GGGGGGGGGGGGGGGGGGGGGGGGGGGGCGGGGAGTATCAATGATGGCATGTATCATCTAGGGACAATCACCACACCTGCCTTCTCCGGAGACGCCATCTTGGTGGTGAAAGCGAACTGCGAGTCGTCGACGGCGTGCATCAGGGCGTCGCGGGCGTCATCCTCGCTCTCCATGCCCCTCTCCGGAATGGCCCACGGCTTCAACCTGAACCTGTGGAGCAACGTCACCAGAACCGCCGCGAACTCGACCTGGCTGAACTTCTTGCCCGGACAGACGCGAGGCCCGTAACTCCAGCCCAGGAAGGTGCCGCCCGTCGGGGTCCTGATGCTCTCCACGCCCGTCTCGGGGTCTTTGACGATCCACCGCTCCGGCTTCCATTCCAGGCTCGTCGCTCCCCAGTGCCGAGGGTCGGTGTGGATGCCGAAAAAGTTGGTCGACACGTAGACGCCCTTGGGGACGAAGAGGTCCCTGTCGCCGACGCGGAGGCGTTGGCCCTCGCCGCCGGCGAAGCGGGACATTTCAGGAAGCGGACCCCAGAGACGGAGTGTTTCGTATTGTATGAGAGAAAAGAAAGAGAACGTGAGTGGTTGTTGCCTTACTATCGATGAGAAGGACGCGAAAGTGGGAAAACAAAAAAAAGAAACAATCGGAAAACAACAACAAAAACTCTGGAAAATATCCGGGATAGATAAACAAACATACCATGATGGCCAGACATCTCGTCAATCGTGGAAAAGTAGATTCATAATCAGACGACAACGGCGGAGTCGAGCCGAAAACCGCGTCGATCTCTTCGCCGACCCACTCTTGTATGTGCGAGTTGACGGCAAGAAAGGGAATTGCGTAGCACAGAGTGCCCGCCGTAGTGTCGAACCCAGCCACATTGAAGGCGTACAGGTTCCCCAGGAGCTCCGTGTCGCTCAGGTAGTTCTGTCTTTTGCCGCCACCACCACCACCACCGAGGGACTTGCCAGCATGTTGTTGATCGTCCCTTTTTGCTGCCTCGTCGGCTTCGATGAGCGCACTGGCAATGTCGGCATGTCGCCCGCCTCCTCCGCTCTGCGTCGTGGCCCGAGTATACGCGATCGTCTCGGCGAGGTACTCTCCTAGGTCCCTGATGGCGGCCTGGGTCTCGCGGAATTTAGACCAGGTGAGGAAGTGAGGCAGCTTCATCTTCCCAAACACCACGACGGGGATTATGTTCATGAGCATAAAGTTCAACGTGCCCGAGAAACTCTTGGTCTTGCCCTCGGGAACCTCTTGGAGACCGCTCGAGAAGTCATGCAGACGGCCGAGCTCTGCGGCGGAAAGGACGTGCACGGCCAGGAGGTGGAAATCAGTGTATATATCTGCCAAGGTCACCTTGCCGCCGTCCGTGGACCCCGTTCGGAGGTCGAGCATCTGATCCGCCTGCCGCAACGACTCTTCCCAGACCATCTTGTAGTTCTGTTCGCGGAACGCTGGGTTCACGATGCGTCGGTGACGCTGCCAGTCTTCGCCGTTGACGCTGACCACGTTCTTCCCGTACAGGTCGAATATGTCGTACAGGCTGGCCGGTTTTGTCCAGGTCTTGTAGTCTCGCTGCAAGACGGTGCCGGCCTGTGGGTCGTTGACCTGGATGAGTACGCCGTTGGGTGCGACGATGGCGAACGCGTCCCCGTATTTCTCGTGGGGTTTGAACCGAAGGCGCAACGGCCATCCGATATAGCTATACCGGTACCAGTATCCCAGCACCGGGATGGAGTCGATCCATTTGAACAGATGTCGAACGAGAAGCCATTCTCGATCGTGCCAGGACACAGGTATCACCAGGATGGGAATCCCGAGTTTTCGGGCTTCAATGTAGTTGCGCACCAGTTTGTATGTACGTCTGAGAAAGAGGAAAACAACGGGGAAGGCGAGAAGCTGTGGGATAAGATTGAGGATCTTACTGCTGCTGTCGCCGTTGAATAACGCCATTGTGACTCCTTCTGTCCAAAAGTGTGGTATTCAGCTGTCGGAACTGCTATATGTCCCTTGGGAAGTGTGGAGGTTCAAGTATGAAGCGCAAAGCCCTGGTCAGTATCGACGAACCGCCCACGAGGCCGCGTCAGATCTGTATCCAATGGAAAACCTTCAAACATCAACGATACATCCCTGCCTCACTGGTATCGGAGGGTAGGGATTACGAAGTGACAATAGGCTTACTGTACAATGGATGTTTACGTCCGTAGAGTCCATGACAGTTGGAGGCCTGAAATGCCCAGAGAATCTCACGTCGCGGAAGCCTCATTTCGAGTCCCGTAACCAAATGTTAGCAGGGTCACCGTCTGACTTACCTCGAAACGGGGCAGAAGTATACGGCTCGACTAAGATGCGCGCTATACCTTGCGAGGGTGTAAGCAAGCAGCTTGACGAGTGGTGTTTGCCGTGAGGAACACGAGTGTGGGGGAGAAGGTGTTACCTCTCTCGGGCCCTTGAGCCCTTGATGGCCGTCAGACTTTGGCAGCAAAAGGCAGTGCTCACTCCTGATGCTTTATGCTTTGGCTCTGAGACTTGCAGCAGTTCTGTGCTAAGGAGCGCCCTCTGTAAACTTGTCGTGCCGAGTCTTATCATCTTCTTTCTGAGCCTTGTTCGAGCACTTGGCCGGGCTCTGACACATAGTTCGTACACCGTGAGGTTGACGGCTGTCATTGATTGAGCAGTGTAAACAAACGTTGAAGGACGGTATGGTAAAAGCGTGTTAGACAACATGCAGGAATAGTGGTGTTTTGGTGGCCCAAATAGGACGAATGGAGGAGCCTCCCCTCGATGACTGATGTAAGTAAAAAGGATTGAAGATTCTTCTTCCGATTGAGGCTTTTCTCGTCCTTGGATATACTGCCGTAAGGAGCCTAAGCTTAGACGGTAAATTATCTGCCTTGGTGACACCTTTTAGGCCGTTCTCGAAAAGTTGTGGATATGATACGGCCAATTGAGCGACTCCACTAAACATGTAAAAGGGCGAAGTTGAAACATCTCGTTGACCGAGTACTCCGCAAATGACTCACCAGGGCTCATCAGTCACATTCACTCGCTATGCAGTATATACCTAATGACTCGTTCTGCGAGCGAACAACATCGAGGTCGGCGGCATTGTGGTGTCCAGGCATTTGCGAGAATTTACGTTCAGCTGGTCAGCCTTGTGCGAAATGGCTCGACTACCCGTCAACGAGACCCTGGCTGGTCGGTCTCTCAACTTCTGTCTACCTCTGGATCTTTCTCGACTGGAGAATGCAAGACTAAGACTGGTGCCGTTCGAGGTACGTGACACTCTTGGTTTTCGAACCAGTTGAAACTTGACCCGTTTTCGCTTTGGTTGGAAACGCAAGTCTCGTCGACACGTCGATGATGATATCTGACGACGTTATGCTTACACTCTTCAACACTGACCTCCCTCCTCTCAGCAATATTGGGAATCGCTTTCTTCGATGTTTGTTCAAGAGACGTCAAAGTGGCCAGAATTGTTCAAATACCTGCCCTTTGGACCGTTCCAAGACCAGGCACGGTTCAAGCTCTGGTATGACGAGACATTCGGCCAGAACGAAAGCGTGATTCTCTTTGCAGTGCTCGTGAAGCAAGGAGCTCTGGAGAAGACGGCCACGGCGACGCAGAACGATTCTTCTACAACACTTGGAGGAAGCGAGGAATACACCTTCGCAGGTACTATTGGCATGCTGAACGCAGATGTGGCGCATTCAAGAGCGGAAATCGGATATGTCAGTCAATCGGCTCCAGGAATTGAACAACTCCAACAGCTGGGCTAGCTAACATCCAACTCAAGATCATTATTCTTCCTCGGTTTCAACGCACCTTTGTCGCAACGAACGCCCACGGCCTTTTGCTGCAGCACTGTCTGGATCCAAACCCGGATCTCGAGCTGCGCCGTGTTCAGTGGCAAGCGAATGCGCAGAACGCCGCGAGCATCGGATCTGCTCAAAGAATGGGATATACACTCGAGGGCATCACGCGCTGGCAACGCGTACTGCCCGAGGGTAAGACTGGAGTCGGCGCCACGGACCGAGATGGAAAGGGACTTCCGGAATTGGGCGCAGACGGGAGGCCGCTAGGCCCTGGAAGACACTCGGTGATGCTTTCGATGTGCTGGGATGACTGGCGCTCTGGGAAAAGGGAAGCGGTGGCCGAATTGATGAGGCGCTAAGTCGTCTCTGTCGGCATGAATGTCAATCATGGCTGAACGATGGGAATGCTTCCAAGTGCTCTCTCATTGCCGGTCACCTGCGGAATCCCCTCTGACGGCTCTCATACTTCCATCGGGAAATGATACTCCTCTCCAAGGAATGGAAAATAGCCACAAGGCAAGCAAGGGTCGCTGTGTGAGGTCCGGTAGACGGTTTACCTGGGACTACAGCCATGCAACATCCCATGCACTGACTCCTGTCAGCTTACCTTCCTTCGATGCAGCAGCCATGATTCTCAAATCGGGGAAGGAATAGACATCGGCAGACTCCCAGCTGCAAGTTCTAAAGACAAGTGGTTGGTTATCGTGAACGCTGTTCAGTAACCCTATTCCATACGACAATGTCCGTGTGTATTTCTTGAAGCAAAAAAAATGTACCGGAGCTCAGATACTTGTTTAGTCTGGCGCAATCCTTGGACTGCCATGAGGCACAAGGTCTAGCTCGAACCAATTCAGCATCATGCCCAATACCTGTATGAAACAGACAATCTGAAGATTATACATAGTCAAAAAATAGTGTCCCTGTATCAAGCCATGCCTTTGTTTTCAGCTCAGGAAGAGGCGCGTAATCGACCCCAAAACACACGCTGACATGGTCCTTCAACATGGCAAAATAAAAGTTTGTTCCTTCGCTCCGTTAAATCAATGCTGTATCTACATGACAACACAACGACTCCCTTTCTCCTTCCTGCCTATACTAGGGCTGTCTGCAGGTACTGTTTGTGATCTTCGATGATCCGGCAAGCTCTCGCCCTTCTTGTTTTTGCTCTTCCTCGTCCGCGCACGACTCAGTCGAGACGTGTTGGAGCCATCGCCCCTCTCAGACCGCATCTCCTGATACGCCGAGATACCTTGTGCGAATGAACTGCCCAATACCATCTGATCGGGCAAGACCATTTGTCCCGAAATACTGTGTGACCTTGACCCTGGTTCTCCAGGTCCGTATGCAGTCGATACGCTTTCGATTGTATGGAGCCTGCTGCTCATTGCAGGTCGTTGCGGATATGAAGCCAACAAATTTGGTGTCGAGGACGACATGGCTACGTCTCGACCACTGCCACGGGAGTTGTTTCGAACCAGACCGTTGGGTGTTGCGCTGGCTTTGTTGAAAGACGGCGCATTTGCGACGCCAGCAGCTCCCCACGCTCCTCTCGGCGGGGAAGGGGAGACACCTAGTGGACGACTGAAGTCCATTGTTGCCGTGCTATGATTTTGGAGTGCGGCACCGTTTGTCGACGGCACTGGCTTTCTCGCAGTCTGCGAAATTCGCCGATCCAGGTTGGCCATTTGATCTGCTGTAGGGAGCGCGACGATATACCCGGAGGCAGGGCTCGAGACAGGAGCCGGTTCTGCCTTTGGAGGTGGAGGTGGCCCAGTGACAACATACTGTGAGTTGCGCGTTTGGTCGAGCGTTGTCGGAGTTGGAGGGATGGTGTGATTCAAACGACCTTGATGATTAGCACCAGTCAGTGCGAATGAACCAGAGTCCGATGGTCTTTGTGAGTGATGTAGAACAGCCATTGCCTCGAACGGAGCAGGCTCTGGCTCAGAGATATTCAAGGCCGGCACACGTTCCCGTTCAGGTGTATAATGAGGAGATGATCTGTCAGATTGAGACACTGGCCGTGATGAGGACTCTGCAGAGATCGTGGAGGCGAATGCTTGATGTGGTGGAGATGTTCTGGCTTGATTTGTTGAAGTATGTTGGTCCGAATTAGGTGGCTGCACAGCCAAATATCCTGAAGGCATAGACCTTGGAATACCAGAGGCAGCCGGAGTTGCGGTGTTTTCTCGTGCGCTCATGTGAGTAGAATGCGATATCTGGTGAGGCTGGTCACTAAAACGTGCCTGATGGCTGCTTGAAATGGGTCCTTGGCCATAGCCTGGCTGATATATAAATGCCTGACTGTGTTGAGGTATATGATTGTTCTCGGGAATCCCCGCTAGAGGCATCGGCGGCTGGCCAGGGCTCCTATTAGGGCGAGGCTGCGCGAGAGGGGGGCCCAGAGACGGTCCTAGGGGGACCGGACTAGGAAAACCGCCTGAATAGGGCGGGGGCGGTGTTTCCCATCCTTCTCCAGACTGCCACTGCTGCACAGGCGATCTGTGATAGACCAGCTGGCCGTTGTCTTGAAATGCAAGCGGCGGGCGTGGTGGATAGCGTGCCGCAGCAAATCCCGCTGCAGTCATCGACCTGTGTAGATTGCTCGGTGGTTGTTTCGGAGCGCGAGAAGAAGCGTTGGCCAAATCCATTTGTGCATCCACGTCAAGAGGTGACGATGCCGGGGATGAGGCGTTGTTGGTTCGACGCTGATTCCAGGACTGATTGGCGGACACTGTCGTTACAGATCGCCCAAGAGGCATCCTCACCGTCCCTCTTCCACGGTCCCGCACGCTGCGACGCCTCTCGATAGCCACCTCAATATCCATATCCCCAATCTGCTCAGTCAGTAACGCCGGCTCTTTCTCGCCGACTTCGATAGTAATTTCCCGATCCTGGCCAGAAGATGGTCCATACTCGAAGTCAAGTATCGATACTCGAGATCCATCCACAGGCATGGTTTCGTCTCCGAGTTCCTCCACAAATTGATCAACTCCCCCAGGTGCCACTGCTACCAGTCTTTTGCCAGGGAAAGCACATTCTCGAACTTCACATCGTTCAACCCATTTGGCTGCCGTGCAGCCATCGAGGGACCTTATTTGGGCGCATTTGACGAAAAGACTCTCGCGCCAGTCAACTTTTGCCGCCAAAGAGTCTTCTTCGATTTCCTCGCTGCTTCCAGATACTGAAGGTGAATACGCCATTAGCGGTTCAAGGTGTCCAGTAGCAGAAGTCAAGGCAACTTGGCCTTGCAGGCGCTGTTCGTGTCGTTCTACAACTGATCCCATGTCTGGGCTGACATCCAACCTCTCTGGCACTCCATATATCCAAAGACCAGCCCCACTGAAGCCGGCCACGACTAGAGTGCCGCATGCTGTGGCAGTTGGGGCCGTTGAAGGCGCAGGTATGCTGAAGCGGCGATTTGTTGTCGGATTCAGAAAATAAGCCACGCCCGTGCGCGTGTCGTCGGTTCTGACTGCTCGATAGGACATCAATGAATGGTCGTAAGCAAAAAGCCAGCTCGCGTCGCCTTCCGTATGGCCTTGCATCAGTTCGGCATGACTGCACACGCTACTCAGCTGGGGAAACAGTATTTGAGTGGTCCACATCCGACTGTGAACCTCCTTCGGTGGTAGATCGTTCTCCGTGTAGAAGGGTGCTGTGATGACTACTGCCGAAGGTTCTTCCAAGCTTTGCGTACTGCCATAAAGCATCGACCCATCACCGGAAAAACTCAAGGTATCCACCCCTTCACTCCTGACAGCTCTTCGATCCGTTGACAGAGCAGTAGGAGCCAGTGAGAACACTTCGACTCCACCGTCATAAGCCGCTGCCAACACCGTGCCTTGTGGAGCTAACGCGATTGTCCGTGGTGGATTGTCCATCACTATCACTTGCACATGTTGTACGCCCTCTGAGCTCAAGTTGTATATGTTAGCCTGATGTTTGGATGACAGAACCGCAAGTGTCGTTCCATCGTCAGTCACTGAAGCTGCTAGAGGTCGTCGTAGCGTCTTCAATTCGTGGGTGACAGAGACAGGCTCCGTGATTGCATCGATAACATATATCCTCGAAGAGCTCAGTGCGAGTATGCATTGGCCATTGGGGGAAAAGGCAAAGCGAAAAGCTTCGGCGCCAGGTAACGCAGCGGAAGAGCTCGCGCTGACCGAGATCAGATTAATCAAAGTCTGTCGAGGTCGTAGGTATGCTTCGAAGAGATTCCGACGAACTTCGGCTGCAAATTTCGTCTTCAGTCGATACAAGTCATTCTTCCGAAACGGACCAGTTATGACGGTGTTGGACAAAGCGTACGACGGACAACGGGATAGATGGTGTGCGTAGAGTTCCCTGTTCTGAGCTGCTTTGTACCAAGCCTGGTTCAAGATGGCCAAAGACGCGAAAGTATTGGCCTCGACCATCCACAATATTCTGGGGGATGTGAGCAAACGTAGGAACCATTGGTTCTGACAGGATCCAACAATTTACCTTTCTATCACGTCAGTTGGCAATTTGTGGAAAGCAATCGCTTCTCGCATCTGCTGGTCTGAGCCGTTGGACGACGGCTTATGGTGATTCTTGGGAGAAAAGTCATGTGATGTGAGCGGCGGGTGGAAGAAGTCAGCCTCATTTCGATTCGGATCCAGTGGCTGAGGTGGAATGTCATCGTGGGAGGTGGTCGACGAAGTCTGTACTGACGGTGGTCGCATAATCATGACAGGAGACATCCTGCAGGCGGAGAGCGGTTGTGAAACAAATCCTATTCAGACAATGTCAAAGGAGAGGACATTCCTGATGGAGTCCTCGTTGCTCGTTCCTCCATGGACGCGTCGCGAGGATGGTCTCCCTTTGGATGCGTTCAGAGCGAGGTGGGTTGGGCCGTGCAGTTAGTCGGAGCTGATTGTCATGAGTCCTACGATAAATATACAAGCTTCTGTGATGGTAAGTGACGGCGTCAGCGTAGACGATCGGAGTATGTTGTTGTTCAGTAAGAAGGTGAACGGAGGCTTGCTCGGTGCTTCGTTGGAACTGGACGGTCTAACTTAGGGCCCGGCACAGAGGTAAGTCAGGTAACTTGGAGGTGGTCAGCAACTCAGCAGCGGCGCCTGGAGCCTGTAGGTCGTAGTTAGATAAATCGCAGAGTAGCTGGGCCTGGAAGAGATGGAACCGTGGTCTTGGTTTTGGAGGCTCGTTAAGCCGTATGCGTGGCAAACAGTGAGCGAATGCCAGATGGAAACCAGAGGGACAACAAAGGTGCCTAGGACGAAGCAAGCGAAGCCGACATTCCAATCGCATCACAGCGCAGTGAGGCGAATGGCACATTCGGTCCCAGTTAAAAGAACCGCTTAGCACATCGGTGTTGCTTTTCTTAGATCTCAGACAAAGCCTAGCGGGAGTGTCCCAATCTGCCTCGGAAATCGCCTTCGTCAGACCGCGCCCGTGAAAGGGGAGCGTGGAAGCCACCAAAGGCCCGACGCTTCAAATGGCCGTCAGACACCCTTCGCTGATCATCAGGAGTGGGTGGCTCGGACACTCCCCTACCGGCTACCGCTACGGATACAACCTTGCAGTTAACATCAAACACCATCTACTTCAGCTTCGATGATGGCTTCCCCAGATTGCCGTCGCCTTCATCCTGGAATAGCAGAGAATTGACACTACGGATGAGCTGAGTCCAGAGCACCATGTACGGACCTTTCCCATCTCTGTTCTGGAACACGCCAAGTCCTGTATCCGATCCAAGTCGCCCAGGTTTGGTCTCAAAACACGCTCAAAGAATAATAGCTGTACATGAATGGAGACGGTGGCCTAAAATACTACTCGAACCCAGCTTCGTCGATAAGCCGGTATGCATGGCGAGCCCATCTTCCTACTGCCCTCGAAAACATCCCACAGATACTACATCTCCCTTTATACAGATCGTCACTCGATCAGAGCATTAGACAACTTCACTTCTTCTCTGCGGGCTTGTCACCACCTCCCACAACCCCAGAGAACCATCCGCCGAGCTTCATGTTCTTCATGGCCTCTTCCTGCATTCTCTTCTCCTCGGCGTCTCGTTCAGCCAACCATTTTTCACCTTCTTCCTTGATCTTTTTCTCGAACTCCATGTATTGTCGCTGCCCCCGTTCGCGGATTTGATCCCAAAGCATCTTTCCTTCTCCGAGGCTCTCTTCCTCATGGGGCTTGGATAATCCTAGGAAGGAAGCTAGGCTGCCCAGACTCTTCTTGGACTTGTGTCCTCTCTTTTCTGCTTCTTGCTTCTCGAATTTTTCACGAAGCAGCTTCTCCCGCCTCGCGAACTCTGCTGGGATATACTTGCCTTCAAAAGACTTAAGCACCTCTCTTGCGTCCTCGAATCCCATCGTAGCCAGATACTCCAGGAACGGAATGAACTGGATCAGAGTCTGGTCGTTCGGGTCCCCCTTCCACTTGGGTAGGATGATAGCGTTCTCAGGTTGATTTTGGACATGGTTTGGATCGGTGTCCATGATCAAGACCTTCTTGAGGTCACGGTTGAGGTACGAGAGATCCTAGCCGAAGTCAGCACAGCCTCGCTTCTGGAGAAAATTCACAATTTTACCTTGACATGGTGGCCATCTTTGTACACCGTGGCTTCGCGGAATAGCGGCCATCGGATCGTAGAATATGGATCCAACTTCCTTAGCAGCCCTTCCACCACAGCCATGGGCTGACTGGTAAACAGCACAATTTCGTAGTAGCTGCCGAGATATCGCAAGAAGTAGTCCACTCCTGGTCGTTTGGCGACGCGCCAACCGTGCTCTCGTGACCACTCAGAATGTACCAACATATCTTCCAAACTGAGGACAAGGGTGAAGGGGAATCGCATGTTCGGGTCTGGATCTTCATCAGGCAGTAGTTTGGTGGTTACCGGATCTCGGTAGTAGCTCATGGTAGAGCCAAGACGGGCTTGAATTCTGTTCCAGAAGAGTCCCAACTGCCAGCCGGATGGTGCATCAGCGTGCTTCTTCTCCTCCTCTTCATTTTCCCAGTTGCGGCCCAAGTAAACGGAGTAACCGACGGCGCCCAGACCTAATGCTATATACATGTATCGAAAAGCCGCATTCTTCTTCCGGTCACTTGATGATACGTATTGCTGGCGAGGGATGTCACCCCGGCCTCGGTCACCTTCATCAGCAGGCGTTGGCTCGTCCGGTTCTTCGGTGACGTTGAGACTGGACTTCCGTGCGTGAGATTGCGAACTCTGCTCGGCTCGGCTCAATTCCGCATCCAAGGTTGATGGGATCCCCTGTCTCAGATCGGGTAGAGGATTCTGAGGCTGTAGCTCTGGCTCAGACTGAGCATCGGTGGTCTCTTGCTCAGATTGTGTCTCCCGGGCACCGGCATTCTGCCTCTGCCGATCCCTCATTGACCTTCTGGTCGCCTTCGACACTGAGCCAGAAACATCGTCCAGATCTCGACTGGGGTCAACTCCGAAAGGGGGGCTCTCTAGGGGTTGGTCATCTTGGGCTGCAGGGTTTGCCGGACTTAGAGGGACCTTCCGAAGAGGCTCTTTCGATGATTCCGGTTGCGAATTGGTGGGAGGTTTGTAGTCAGGGCCTTTAATGCCCTGAGTGCGGCTGTAGGCTCGTACTGGTGAAAGAGCATGCGCAACCAGAGGCCGGCACGGTCGTGGCCTCAAGAGAGGCAGAACTGCACGGCTTAACATCCTTGATCACTCATAACACCACCAGCCAGACGTCCAAAGATGCAAGATAGTAGACAGCGGCAGCTGGCGTTTGGATTACAATACGCTTGAAATTGGAGATGCCCTCGAAAACTTTCCCCGGCGTCACTACCTAACGTACTAGTTAGAGTCGCCAAACTGCGCTCAGTTATGCCTTGGCGGCAAAAAGCGGAGAAGCTGCTCGTCTCCTCTTTTGCCTCATGGGTTCTTCCATCCTCCTTTTCTCTTCTTCTTTTCTCTTCTCTCATCGAAAGTTGCACCGAGGAAATTTGATCCGCCGATCACAGCCATCATATGTTCGAGGGATTGTATTAGCTCGGGAGAGTAACCACGCCGTTCTCCTCAAGAGCGCGAGAGAGGTTCGCCCATGATCTTCGTCGCCCCGTAAGGACGCAACATTTCCACCTACTGCCTACTCCTACTTTTTCTACAGTCGCAATGAGTGCATGAAATCCGAGTCCAGTCGCGCGTGCACTTGGTCTCGTCCTCCATATCAAACCGCCAAATGCCACCCTCCTGGAGGACTGGCCTTGTCAATGCCTTCCCTATTCCCGAAGACCGCTTGAAGTCGAAAAAGGGCTTTAGAAGGGGACATGTCGGGGATCTTTCTTCTATTCCAGTAGAGCCAGATGTACCGGCTCTCCCGGGTGGGCCGTTCAAGTTCTTCGAACTCCCGGGCGAGATTCGTAACAAGATTTACAGCCTAATTTTGTTCGGCGCGCCGGGCTACAGAGGAATTGACGGCCGGAAGAAGAGCCGTACTTCAATCCTTGCAGTCAACAGAAGGATGCACCAGGAGACGTCATACATTCTGTACAGCTCTCTGAGTTTCAGAATCTTCCCATTGCAGGATTTTACGCCTGCGCCCATCATCCAAGAACTGCGCCCAATGTACAGGGCGATGGTGACAAAATTGGAAATGGTGGTGGGCTCAAGCTGGACCAGTCCGCCCAAGACGTGGCGAGTTAGCAAACTCCTGGCAAGACGATTGGGAAAGTTGTCTGCTGTGCAGAGCCTGAGATTGTTTGTGCAATGCGACCCGAGTACGCCAACGTACGAAAAGTACAGAGTCTCGCTCAACTTCTACACCGACTTCTGCGGCGACCTGCTTCGCGATGTCCTGGCAGTAATGCCCCATTTGGAGTACATTGAAATCGATGGGAATCCAGGCGTTGACACCCAAGGTCCGTTAGTATCTCGACTAGTGACCGAGGCTGATTCCAAAGGCAAGACTTGGACTTTAGGGCCAACAAAGCCCTTTGCGACCCCAGAAGGAATCAAAGTTCTTTTTTGGGTTTGATCATGTTAGCATTATGACCTTCAACGAGATAATGAATGACCGGATTGTAATTATTGAACAAATGTATTGTCAAGAGGTTTTTAGCAGATCAGAACGCTTTTCTGCGTCAAGTTCTTGCACTTTCCCGCAGGTGCTGCCAATGCCTGGCCTGTCTATGCAGCAGCCGAACGCCATGCACGCCATGAAATCTGTAGGTACAAGTTACACAGTTGAGTCTGGTCATCTCTCCCTCGTGACCGACTCATAGCTCTTCGTCCACTTCCATGTCACCATCTGTGCCGTTCGTAGCTCCGTGACCATTACCATTTGTCTGCTGCGCTTTCTTTGGGACGCTGGCTTCCTTATCAATCGCCTGCCTTGACACAGCGACAATGTTGTCCTCTATCAATCGCTGGCCAACATCTTCGATGTGCTTCTTGGGGTCCACTTTGCCCACGTATCGAGTTTTTAGCTGCTCCGGTGACAATTCGTTCTCTTCCCTGACTCTGCGCTCGTAGCCCTCTGCGAGATGAACAAGTTGTTTTAATCCTTCTTCGTTTCGTTTTCTCTCGCCACCAAAGCTATGCGGTAGCTCCAACCCTTCGGTCCAGACTTCTTTATGCAGGTTCATCAACATGTTCTCTTCCAATCCTGTTTTGCGATACTGAATTCCAATGCTGTAGTAATGTCTATTCAATCCATGAATGAGTGCCTGGATCGAAGGCTTGTTCAGATGACCCAAGTTTGATGTGGTCTGACGTGGTTCTTGTCCCAGCATCATGGTTTGCGGATTGATCAGGCGGAATGCATCAATCACGACCTTGCCCTTGACTGATTGTATGGGATCGACGACGACAGCCACCGCGCGTGGAGTGAGCTGTTCGAAAGATTGCTGCGTATTGATATCGACACTCGACAGCCAGCAGCCGAATCCAGGGTGGGAGTGATACCATCCCACTACCGTCTCGGGCCGACCGGTTTGACGTAGCATATCCATCATCTTCGTTTGGAAGACAGGGTCAACAGACTCTACGGAGACTGAAGTTCCCGACTGCGGCATGGCAAACACATCAACCACTCGCACGGTGAAATCGTCCACAAACTCTCCAAGCATCAGACCCATAACTTCCATGGGTACTCCGGCGCGACCGTGCCTTAACATTTTCAGCAAAGCAAGAGAGGAGATGTACACCGTTTCTGAATTGTCGACAAGGTTTGTGTCATGGCCAGGGGCTGCTCCAGGCATACCCATGCCCGAGGCAGCAGCAAGCATGCGATTGAAACGATCCATTGTGGACTATGTTGGAAGAGTCGGAGCGTACAGAAGAGAGGACTGAGACTCAGGGCTTTGACGCGCCGAATTTGCGGCGAAATGGAAGGTACCCTGTCCTGATGTTGAGCTTCAGAGAATTCTTAGGTAGAATGAGATGAATAGAGGTGATTGTCAAGTGTCAAGGACGTGACGAATCTTAGTGAAGACGCAGGCGATTTATTGACGACAGTCAAGATGCAGCGCAGTCCACAGCTACGACCGGCGTCACCTCCTAGCCGCCTGAACAGGACCCGGCCAACCTTCCTGTTCAGGGTTTGCAGCGGGTGCCCTCGTCTAACTTTCCATGTCAGGCCTCGTCTCGTTCCTCCTCCGCGTTGGACTCAAGTTGGAGATGAGACTCTATTCAAAGTTGAGAACCATTTGACAACTTCTTTAATCTCATGGTACGCAGTTAAAGTCAGCATATTCTAAAACACGCGCAGGCAGCAGTTCTAAAACACTGAGCCAAGCGTGTTTAGAATTTTTTTCCCACAGTATTTCTCCCTCTACTCCTCCTCATTCTCTACTTCAAAGACCGCGTACTCTCTCAGCCAACACTCGGTCGCCTCGAGCTACAACCTCCTCCGATCTCCCCGAGTTGAGACCCTCAACAAGCGCAATAATATTCCGTCTCCTCACTGCGGCTTACTTTATCTGTGACATACTTTTCTCCAGCGTATCACGAGGCTGAGCCACGATCATCATGTCTTTTGCGCCCGTTGATCCACCAAAACTGAAGGGTGATAGCAAGAAGCGGGTGGCATATTTCTACGATTCGGATGTTGGAAACTATGCCTACGTATCGGGCCACCCGATGAAGCCTCACCGAATACGACTTGCCCACTCCCTAGTTATGAACTATGGTCTCTACAAACACATGGAAATCTACCGTGCGAAGCCTGCCACAAAGTATGAAATGACGCAGTTCCACACGGACGAGTATATCGACTTTCTGGCCAAGGTCACCCCCGATAATATGGACTCATACGCAAAAGAGCAACAAAAATACAATGTCGGAGACGATTGTCCTGTGTTTGACGGGCTTTTCGAGTTCTGTGGTATCAGTGCTGGTGGTTCCATGGAAGGCGCAGCGAGACTCAATAGGCAAAAAGCCGACATCGCCATCAACTGGGCAGGTGGTCTGCATCATGCCAAAAAGAGCGAAGCAAGTGGATTTTGCTACGTCAACGATATCGTCCTGGGCATCATCGAGCTATTACGATTCCACAAGAGGGTCCTTTACATTGACATCGACGTCCATCATGGAGATGGTGTTGAAGAAGCATTCTACACCACCGACAGAGTTATGACCGCCTCTTTTCACAAATATGGAGAGTACTTTCCTGGCACCGGTGAGCTTAGGGACATTGGCGTAGGTTTGGGCAAGCACTATGCCGTCAACTTCCCTCTCCGTGATGGTATCGACGATTCTTCTTACAAGAGTATCTTCGAGCCTGTGATCCGAGCCATCATGGAATTCTATCAGCCAGAAGCAGTCGTATTGCAATGTGGTGGCGACTCTCTCTCAGGCGATCGACTTGGGTGTTTCAACCTCAGCATGAAGGGCCACGCAAATTGCGTAAACTTTGTCAAGTCGTTCAATCTGCCTACCCTGATTGTTGGTGGAGGTGGTTATACAATGCGCAATGTCGCCAGAACCTGGGCCTTCGAGACTGGGTGCATTGTCGGAGAACCCATGCACCCGAACCTGCCCTACAACGATTATTACGAGGTAAGACGCATTTATATCCCTCTATGGACCTAAACTAACTTGAGATAGTACTACGCGCCTGACTACGAACTAGACGTCCGACCGTCCAACATGGACAATGCCAACTCCAGGGAGTATCTTGAAAAGATTTTAGTCCAAGTCCTCGACAACCTGAAGAGAACAGCACATGCGCCGTCTGTACAAATGACTGACGTACCTCGAGAATCTCTTGGGATGAATGATGATGATGAAGCTGCTCTCGACGATTTAGACGAAGATCAGACTGGCGATATTCGCATGTCTCAGCGGAGAGCAGACAAATATGTCGAGAAGAATGGGGAACTTTCCGATAGCGATGAAGAAGTCGTGGAAGACTCGAATGGAAGACACACCAACAGGAAGCGACGCATCATGCAGAATTATCGCCATATCATGGATGTTGGCAATGATTCTGGACTCGACACTGGAAGTGGGGTCGATACACCACAACAAGATTCGAGCCTGCCTGGGGACGAGATGAACGTGGACGAGAATTTGAATGACGAGATCCGTGAAATTCTAGGTGAGGGACCTGTACCTGCAAATGGTTCTGTGGTTGCTTCAAAGTCGCCTTCACCTCCCGCAGTTGATACCGCCGATGGTGATATTGAAATGGGAGAGGCAGATGCAGAGCCTGCCACTACCAACAGTACGCAACCAGCAGATGAAGAATCCACCATTACCGTCCAGCCCCAGACTGCGCACCAGAGCACACCGCCAGAGTCACCTCCTGTCCAACAGCCCGACCATAATGCGGTCAATGGCGATAAGGCTGCTTCAGCGACAACGAAGAGAGAAGGCTCTGCCGAAGAGACATCTGCTGCAGAACCGCTAGCGGCGTCCAGCGACCAGCCAGACGCCACGGGGGGCCCAATCGAAGAAACAGCCGTGAAACAAGAAGTGGTTGGAGATGATGATGTTGCCAAAGCACAAGATGAAGGCAGGCTAGAGAGAGAAGCTGCAAATGCAGAGGGAGAGGCTCGAACTGAAGCAGCTGCTCGAGCAGAAATGGATGCCGAGCCTGAGGCCGAGCTGTAGAGTGGCCGAGACCAGAACAACGCAGATAACGAGATTGAAGCGGCAGAGGCTAGTAACAGAATCCACAGCACAAGGATCAGGCCAACCGCTCCGGGATCTTCAAATAGTCTTCCCGGAGGTCACGGCTGTTTGACATTCGAAGCTCAGTTTCTGGCAGGCGTGGCGAAGATTGGCAGTAAAAGGACACGCACGTTGCGATCCGGGAGGACAATCTCAGACTAACTCCAACCGACCTGTTGAGGGAGTGGCACGAGGTTCGTCGACAGCAAAAGCAAGCTGCGTTTCCGCTAGCTAGGAATATGAGTTGAGTTGCTGGATGTTCACGAGGTATCCATTGTGGACGTCTCAGGAGGCAAGGCTCAGACTCTATTTATCTCAAGGTACGCTGCGGACGGGAGAGGAGAATACTAGAGTGTGCGCCCCATTGAAGGTGCTGGGAGAGCATATCGAATGGCCACGGAGTATTGCACACGAGAGAACGGAGTTGAAGCGCTGGGATGGAGCTCTCATGTGCGCTTTATGTACTTGTACCTTGCATGGCTTCGTTGGCTTGTGTTGAAAATGATACCACTATTGTTCCATTCCACCCAGACTATTTCAAATCTTGTCGATAGTGAGTGCCTGTTCGTGTCTCCATTATTCGGTCCAAAGCCCAAGAAATTGGTCAGATTTGAGTGCGATGCAAAGCTGGTTGCTGGTCAGGCCTGGGAGTCGGCAAAACGGAGGGAGCACGATGAAGAGGACCCGGTAGCAGGTGAGATCTAGATATAGAATAACGATACCGATGAATAATGGAATGAAGGCTTGGCAGCGACTGCGTCCATACGGAGCACTGAAAACAATAATAAGCATTGTGGTCCAAGGGAAGCTTTTAAAGAGCAGGTATTATGACATAGCACGCAAGGTCTTCAACATGAGATGGATCTTGATCAAGGCCACGCGTGGTATCGACGTAGCAGTGGTACCTGTGTAGGAAAAGACAAACTGCACCCGAGATGCCCCAGATTGAAGAGAGAACCCAGCAGTGGCCACGAGCAACTCTAGGCGGGAACCGCGAGCCCGTCGCTGTAATTGACTGGGACTTGAGGACCAAGTGTTCCGCAGCCATACAGAACGACAGAGTGACGCCTGTGCATGGGAGTCTCACCAGCCATGGCATGATGCAACTGCGCCCCCCAACCACGTCAGAGCCTGGGCCGCCAACTTAAGTTAGGCTCATGAGGCTGCAACACCAGCCAGCAGTTCCCTCGCGCAATCGCGGGTGATAAAACCTTCCCCAGCTCGACTTCCTTTTTCCTAATTCTCAACTCTCAGTTCTGTATCTTTCCCCCTGCTTCGTCTGTCTGCTCCTCGTTGGGAGCGCCACTTTCGCAAGCCCCGACCATGACGATTGTTGGTCTTTGTTTCTCTTGATTGCCGCTGGTTCCTCTCACAAAGTTCCCTGCTTCTGTGGGAAGTGCAACCCATATTCCTGCCCCGTTGCGGTTCGTCGACGCCTGGTAGACGACGAGCGCCAGAGTATTCCAACTGCTCGCTGTCCCTTCTCGATCGAGTCCCTCGCCCTGTTCCGTCTCCTCCGACTACTCTGAAAGGCCGGGACCGCGAGTCTCCCAGCAAGATGCCTCTCTCCCAATACTTTTCCAGTCCGATCTCGTTCCAAACCCGAGAGCTTCTTGGAGCGTTGGTAGCTCGAGATCAAGTCCCTCTTGTGGGAAATGCAATGGAAATCTTCAAGACCAAGGCCCCCCCTCATTCGGGCCATCCCAACTTCGGTTATTTGGCACTTCTAGTCTTCGAAGCAGTACTCGAGGTAGTCTGCGTCAGTCTCCCAGGCTACATCGTGGCAAGGCAGGGTATGTTCGATGCCGAAGCACAAAAGTTTCTTGCCAATCTCAACATCATGCTTTTCACGCCGTGCCTGATCTTTCAGAAACTGGCGTCTCAATTGACGGCGGAGAAATTGGCCGACTTGGCTATTATTCCCGCCATCTTCGTGATGCAAACACTGGTCTCATACCTGGGCGCCAGACTCATTGCCAAATTTCTCAAGTTCAAAAAGAGACAGGAAAACTTTCTCATTGCGATGGGTGTCTTTGGCAATTCGAACTCTTTGCCAATATCACTCGTCATCTCACTCTCCAAAACCCTAAAGGGCTTGCACTGGGACAAGGTGCCACATGATAATGACGATGAAGTCGCAGCCCGAGGAATTCTATATCTCCTCATCTTCCAGCAACTGGGTCAATTGCTACGATGGAGTTGGGGTTACAACGTGCTCCTAGCGCCACCTGAATCTTTCACTGTGGAAGAAGGTGGCACAAAACAAGTCGACGAGTTGGAACGAGGACGCGCAGAATATCGAGACGACGTCGACTCGGATGACGAACAACAGCGCCTGCGAGCCCCAAGTTATGACGCCGATCGAGATAGCACCGATGATTTTGAAGAATACGAGGATGATCAGACCCAGGTCGGGACCGAGTCTCCCGCAATGTCCAAATCTGACGGCCTGAAGACTCCCCGTGATGGTAACAAATTTTCGGCGAGGTCCTCCAGGAATTCCTCACATCGCAGCCTGAATACATCCGGCGATGTGCCCGATCTCATGCCTACTCCTACAAATGGGATGGTGGCGCCTCATCAGCGCCCCGTCTGGCTAAAGACGTTCGACAATAAGAAATATGACGAAGATTGTGGTGGCATCCAAGGATCCGTGAACAGGGCAAAGAATGTTGTCAGATCCCGCACCTTCAAGATCGTACATGCCATTAAACGCACTTCCAGCTCAGCCTTCAACTCTTTGCCCAAACCTCTTCAAAAGTCTCTGTCGTGGATTTCGATGAAAACCTCGCGATTCTTCGCAGGACTCTGGGAGTTCATGAATCCACCCCTGTGGGCCATGTTGATTGCGATCATTGTGGCATCGATTCCCACCTTGCAACATCTCTTTTACGACAACGGCACCTTCATCCGCAATTCAGTGACGCGAGCCATCGATCAGAGCGGCGGTGTAGCAGTTCCCTTGATTTTAGTGGTTCTCGGCGGCAATCTAGCCAGGAACACCGTGCCCAAAAATCCTGTGGGCGCCATCACCGATCCAAACGAAGAACGAAAGCTTCTATACGCCTCTCTGGTGGCGCGCATGGTGCTACCTACGGTAATAATGGCTCCTATCATCGCCTTGATTGCCAAATACGTTCCAGTCAGTATTGTTGACGACAAAATATTCGTAATCGTGGCGTTCCTCCTCTCTGGAGCACCGGTCGCTCTCCAGATTGGACAGATCACTACGCAAAACAACGTTTATCCCAGCTTGATGAGCAGGATCCTGTTCCAAAGCTATGTCATTTGGATTTTGCCGTCGACTCTGATTTTGGTGCTGCTAGCACTCGAAACGGTGGAGTGGGCGACTGTGTAGAGGTTGATGTGTGAACAAAAGGTACCGTGCAGATCACTGTTCACAGACATGACACGCACGAGAAACAAAGGAGCAGAGCATGGATTTCTTTATTTTTCCACTTCAGAGCACTAGGCGTAGGAGAATTGGGCATCATGGATTCGGGACGTAACCCATGATTGTATTGATAGCGTGCATTGTATAGGTATCAGGAAAACTCAATACAAACATGATTGAGCTGTTCGGTCCAGATGCTCATGCTGAAAAGGGAGTGTGACTTACCACCTATGGCAGTGGCATAGTGTGATAGAAGTCCGATGCGACTTCCAAAACGATTGAATTGTCGCTAGATGATCTTGATCGTTAGGCTCACACGTACAAGGCTGCCGACCATGGCTTCCCGTGGATTCTCAATTTGCGATAAGATAAGGAAGGGAGGTGGTTCGAGGAATGGACGAAAAGGGCGTGGCACGTGACCTTATCTCAGGCCTGACGTATCTACACGTGACTTGAGCTGAGGTAATCTCCGCTCGGCTCTCGCTCACCGCAAGGCGCAAGCTCCTCGTCGTCAAATCTTCCTTGGTCTCCGTAACTACACGTACTGTCGGCGAGTTGCAGTCCGTATTTGCCCACTTTCCACCATCCCCCAGCATTACCTTATTCTCCTGCTCAACCATCCCATTTCCACATCCAACCTCCAGCTCAGCATATATCGTTCAGACCCGATCTCGTCCCCGCTCCCAACCCTCATTGAGTCGTGCTTTATCCTAATCATCCATGGCCTTTGTCAACCGCTGACAGGAGCAATTTGGCTCCGGTCAGACCCCGCAATACGATACACTTTCACGACACCGAGTAGACGGTGCAGCGGAGAGCACTTGACTTCTCCCCCTCTCGAAGCGACCTCCTCTAGCATTCCTCAACAACTTCAAGACCGAACTCTCTCCGCCATGAGCACGTCATATGCGATCCTCCGTTCTTAACCTCAAGATACAACACTCAAAGGATGTCCTTTGAACGAGATCCTGAACAAACCCCAGCTATCTTGTCGCCCAATCAATATGCTATCTCGACCGAAGAGACATCCACCCCAAGAAACCACAATACAATGCCTACGAGTCCACCGAGTAATTCTCTTGCTCCCAAGTTACAGATATACTCGACATCGATTCCGAAGGCGTGGATAAGCCCAATATGCGGAGCAGGTGCTGGCTTTGCTTCCGGTATCGTCACCTGCCCGCTCGATGTGATCAAGACGAAACTACAAGCCCAGGGTGGTTTCCAATCAAGATACCAATCCAAGACACAACCCCATCAACTGTACAGAGGCATTGTCGGTACGGCTCGCGTAATATGGCGGGAAGAGGGTGTCCGTGGCATGTACCGCGGACTAGGTCCTATGTTACTAGGTTACCTACCCACATGGGCGGTTTACTTGACTGTATACGAGAACACCAGAGAGTTCTGGTATGATCAGTGTGGAAGCTGGTGGGTGGCCCGCTGCTATTCATCATTGACGGCGGGCGCCTGCTCGACCATATTAACGAATCCCATATGGGTCATCAAGACGCGATTCATGACACAGAGCGCCAAAGCTGCAAGTGACGGCATGCGTGCGCCCTACTATTACACCTCAACTTTCGACGCCGCCAGAAAAATGTATCGCCATGAAGGCATGAGGTCATTCTACTCGGGGTTGACACCTGCCCTGCTCGGCTTGACCCATGTCGCGGTTCAGTTTCCCCTGTATGAGTACTTCAAGATGAAGTTTACTGGCTATGGCATCGGTGAACACCCACCTGAAGACAGCAGTGCAAACTGGGTTGGTATTTCAGCCGCCACCTTTCTGAGCAAAATCTGTGCTAGTACAGCAACATACCCACACGAAGTACTTCGCACCCGACTTCAGACCCAGCAACGCAGACATGGTTTTGCTACCTCGGACGGGTTGGCAGTGAAAGCACGCTACACCGGTATCCTACACATGTGCAAAGTCATTCTCAAAGAAGAAGGTTGGCGAGCCTTTTATGCTGGCATCGGCACAAACTTGATTCGAGCCGTTCCGGCCGCCATGACAACCATGCTCACATACGAGTGGCTACAGAGCCTCATTCGCCGTGCTCAAGACAAGGGCGAGCAATTGAAGAAAGAGAATGGCGAGCAGGGAATATGAAGCAGAACATTATTACCCTCTTACAGGTACCCCCCAGCTTTCGACTCGATCAACAGCAGGATGTTGGGACGAGTTTTGGTGAGCTAGGTTGGGACGCAGATGGTTTATTGCTGCCAGAAGTACTCCGTATTCCCGACAGTTTACCTATGTACACAGCAGCACTGTCACTCTAGCCAGAAATGCGGTGGTACTGCCATCTTGGCTGATATCACGAATTATCTATCACGCCCAACAGCACCGCCCCGTCCACATTGCCCTACACTGCCCCAGGTTTGCCCCAAGGCCTGGTTTTGAGCTCCTGATGACGAGCAATCTTTGAAACTTGAGGGTGTCGCATTACGAAGGTGTATCATCCCGCACCAACAATCCGGCCTCTCCCACCACCGGACATTCTATAAGGTCCGTATCCCCGTTTTTATCGCATAACACTCGGGTTTGCGAGAAAGCGAGTTGAGGGAGAGGGTCGTTAGACAGACAGCGAATACAGAAACAGAGAGAGAGAGAGAGAGAGAGAGAGAAAGAGAGGCAGAGCTGGGTAGCCACCGATGAGGAGGCACCTTGGGTACTTCTTTACCTTTACGTACGTACCTTAAGCTAGTCTATTGATTTTACAAGAGGCCGGGCAGCGTGCCTGGTGGGTTTAAAAAAACCGTGTACATCTACCTACATACTTGCATGCCTACCTACCTGCCCAAGCTACGCCGTGTGGTGAGACGATCACCTCTGTATGGTACCTACCTGGCTACGAAGGTACACTAGTTAGTTAGGGCATGACACCAGTGGGCGGCCATGCACTTCATTGATGAATTGGATGCTTGCGACGTCGACGGCGGACGGGGGGACGGGAACCTCGAACGGGCGCCACAGATCATGCCATCTATCTGTGTACCTCGGAGGCCGTACGTTGTTTGTTTCTTTCTTTTTTTTTCTTCCCTCCCTCGCAGGGAGCCCTCGTCAAGTACCAGGTAACCTACCTAGGTAGGCACCTCTGTCCACCTTGGTACGTAGGTACGTGAGGTACCCACGTAGCTTGGGCATCGAGACGGAGAAGATTCACCTCGGGCGGCGGGGTCGGATCGAGAGACACACCGAATAAGCAAGTAAACGTGTATGTATATATATACTCGTACGTTGACCTCCTGTTCAAGGGAAACTTTATAAAAACTCACTCCGACCGTATCCAAGATTGATGTTCATTTCGCAAACATCCTCAAATCGTCCAAACCCCCACCAGGATACCAAGAAATCAAGACAACAAAGACTGCAAGTTGTGTCAATAGATCATAACTTTGAAAAATTGAATCCTGTCGAGGCCAAATGGCCAAAAAGTCTCATTACTACATCCCATTCAATCCAGTACTGGACCCATTCCCGTACACCCAACATCATCATGCCATGCCTTCAAACTCCGTCTGTACAATCAACACTATGAAAACCATCCAAAATGTTTTGTGGCTCATTGGAAACGTGCTCGCTGGTGCACTTGACAGTGCCAGCAAACCAACCTTACCAACCCCAGCATACATTCAATACATCAATCATCTAACCACTGCACATGATGCATGCCTCCTTGTTCTCAATGGAACCTGTGACACACGTTAGTCTTGACCAACTACGACAGTCGGCGGGAAGAAACTTACACTGCAGAACTTTTTGAGCATAAATATCACCCTCACGCTCCTCTGAGTCGCTCTCCTTATCCTCATCTTGAAGAGCCTTGGTGGCTTCTCTATCCTCGAGGCTCTCCTCAATGATGGGATTTCCGACGGGGTCGGTGGGCAAGACCTTAGGGCTGGGTTCGCCACTGCTAGCACCGTCACTGAGACGGCTACGAGCAAGCTTGCTGGCGAGCTGCTTGTCTTCTGTTGGCGGAGGTGTCGATGTTGGGGTTGGGATTCCATTCATCGAGGTAGCTCCGCCGTGAAAGCTGGAGTTGGAGTTCTTGGAAGCATACATTGGTCGCACAGAGGAAGTCGTGTAACTCTGTCCATAACCGAGTGAGGTCCGCTTCTTAGGAGCACTTCGTTCCCGGGCAACATTGGTATCTGCGACCTTGAGCTGCTCCTGGTCCACGGTGAACTGAATGGGTTGGGTGGCTGCCATAGTTCGGAGATAGTACATGCCAGTCTTCAAGCCCATCTTCCAGCCGGCAAAGTGCATGGATGTGATCTTACCCATGGTTGGCTCTTTGAGATGAATGTTGAGTGACTGAGACTGATCGATGAAGGCACCACGGTCGGCAGCCATCTGCAGAACAGTACGCTGACTGATTTCCCAGACGGTCTTGTACAGAGCCTTAATGTCATCAGGGATGTTTGGAATGTTCTGAATCGATCCACCCTCGGCAATGATACGGTTCTTCATATTGTCAGACCAGAGACCCAGGTCGACCAGGTCCTTCAGCAGCCATGGGTTGACAACTTGGAATTCACCAGCCAACACACGTCGAGAATAGATGTTCGATGTGTATGGCTCAAAGCATTCGTTGTTACCCAAGATCTGGGAGGTCGATGCAGTAGGCATGGGAGCAACTAGCAGGGAGTTCCGGACACCGTGCTTAGCAATCTCTGCCTTCAGGCTATCCCAGTCCCAGAGGTCGGAAGGAGTGACATTCCACATGTCATATTGAAGGATGCCTTGTGAGACTGGGCTGCCCTCATACGTTTCATAGGTGCCTTGTTCCTTGGCAAGCTCACAAGAGGCTGTCAATGCGGCGTGATAAATGGTCTCGAAGATCTGAATGTTGAGCTGTCTGGCTTCTGGAGAGTCGAATGGTAGACGTAGTGCGAGGAAAGCATCCGCCAGACCTTGAACACCAAGACCAACAGGTCGATGTCTCATGTTGCTCTTCTTTGCCTCGGGTACCGGGTAGTAGTTGACGTCAATGATCTTGTTTAGGTTTCGAGTGACTACTTGGGTAACCTCGTGCAGGCGACCGAAGTCATACTCGCCAGTAGACTGATCGACGAAAGTCGGCAGTGCCAGCGAGGCAAGATTGCAGACAGCCACCTCATCAGGGGAAGTGAACTCGACAATCTCCGTGCACAAGTTTGAGCTTCGAATGGTGCCCAAGTTCTTCTGGTTGCTCTTCTCGTTGCATGCATCCTTGTACAGGATGTAAGGTGTACCGGTCTCAGTCTGAGCCTCAAGAATAGCATACCACAGCTTCTGAGCCTTGACAGTCTGGCGACCACGTCCTTCTTTTTCGTATTTCTCATAGAGAGCCTCGAACTTTTCGCCATAGACATCAGCAAGACCGGGAGCCTCATGAGGGCAGAAGAGGGTCCAATCCTGGTTTTTCTCAACACGCTTCATGAAAAGATCAGGAGTCCACAGGGCGTAGAATAGGTCACGAGCACGGACTTCTTCTTTGCCGTGGTTCTTCCTCAAGTTCAAAAAGTCGAAGACATCCGCATGCCATGGCTCCAGGTAGATGGCGAAGGCACCTGGGCGCTTGTTGCCACCTTGGTCGACATAACGTGCAGTGTTGTTGAAGACTCTTAGCATGGGGATGAGGCCATTGGAGGTACCGTTGGTGCCAGCAATGTATGAGCCAGTGGCACGAATGCAGTGAGCATTGAGACCAATACCGCCAGCGGTCTTGGAGATCATAGCACAGGTCTTGAGTGTATCGTAGATGCCCTCAATGCTGTCCTCCTTCATGTCAATCAAAAAGCATGAAGACAGTTGGGGCTGAGGCGTTCCAGCATTGAACAGGGTAGGAGAAGCGTGAGTAAAGCACTTCTGAGACATCAGATTGTAAGTCTCGATGGCCTTCTCGACGTCATCGCCATGAATACCAACAGACACACGCATCAACATGTGTTGTGGTCGTTCAGCAACTTGTTTGCCGATCTTGAGCAAGTATGATCTCTCCAACGTCTTGAAGCCAAAGTATTGGTAGTTGAAGTCTCGGTCATATACAATGGCCGAGTTGAGCTCATCGGCGTGCTTCATGACACACTCGTAAGTCTCTTTCGAGATCATGGGAGAAGGTTTTTGGTTCTTGGGGTTGACGTAATGGTAGAGATCTGAGATTACAGACGAGAACTGTTTCTTGGTCTGCTTGTGGAGGTTGGAAACAGCAATACGAGCCGCCAGTATGGCATAGTCGGGATGTGTGACGGTCATGTATGCTGCGGTCTCTGCGGCCTGGGTTGGAAATCAGCAAGGGCAACAGCGAGCCATAAGGTAGGATGAAACTCACGAGATTGTCTAGCTCAATGGTGGTAACACCTTGGTAAACACCAGAGATCACTTTCTGGGTGATAGCTGCTGCATCAACGTGTTCGGGATCAAGACCATAGCACAATCTCGAGACACGTGCTGTGATCTTGTCAAATTGAACGCGTTCTTTGCGTCCATCTAGAAAACTCTGTCAGCGAGAACGTCCGTGTCGACGAGTCTCTCGAGGACCCATCTCGTGAGCCGCCGGCCCCATCGAGGGATGAGGAAACCTTACCTCGTTTGAAGACGAACATGATGGCGATCTAGGGCGGTATCTTGCAATGCAGTTCAGTGAAGAGAGAAAAGTGGTGATGAGGTACCGGCAAAGACGAAGGGCACGGTAGAGGAAAAGCTTCCTCTTATGTGTCTATCTGCGTTCTTGCTAAGGACTTGTCGCTGTAGAAACGCAGGCAGCAGGAAGCAAAAGAGGCGTAGATGGGAGGAAACAAAGCAGAGAATGGATTGCAAAACAGTTATATGCAGGAACGCGCCTTGTCGAGACCCATTTAGTACGCGTTCTCGCGTTTTCGTTAATGAGCAGGACTTGGCCCCTCAATGTCACCCATATCGCCACTGCGTCATTCCCCGGCTTTTGAACCTTGTAATACTGTCTGACCAAATAATTCTGCTGCAAGTCTCCATTGCCACCGCAATATTGGTACAAAATGACTGTCTGACGTGAACAGCATTCGTCAGCAATTCCGGCTCCCTTTTCTGCCTGGGCCATTGGCATCTGCCGCAAGCCAACAACCAGCCTCCGTCGATGTTCGAGACTACATGGAAACATGCCATCCCCAGCAATGCCGGACGTGTGCTCGATTCTGTCAACCAAGTGTGTTGTGCAAAGGTCCCGAAATTACAGGTTTGCGCAGGAGCCCACCGATCTCGGCACGGGCTACAAGAACACCCCCCCGTCTACGCGCCTGAATCCGCCCACCATAAACATCGCTGACAAATGCACGGAGCGTTCCAAAAGTACCAATAAAGAGCAATGTTAACTTACTACTGTTAAGATAGATATAGAGAATATACAGTACATGACCAACCTCGACTCTCTAACTCCGTGGCTTGGCTCGAGACACGTCAACCTGCACCAAGTCCTACAAGATCAGATAGCCTGCCCAAACCCAGGCTCTATATCGCAAGAGCACAAGAACAAGTTAAGTACAAGAATGCAATGAAGAGTTTTGGTCCAGCCTCGCCCGCTGGTCCACTCAGTGCTCCCGCTCCTTTCCTTTCATTTGAGTCGTGGAGTCGTCAGGTTCATAGTCTTCATTATCACCCTCCCGAACACTGCTCATCCTCTTGATGTTTTCCCTCTCTCTGTCTTCTTCGTGGTCGGCTTCGCTTCTGTTGCTGCTTAAAAGACTCAACGCATCGGCGTTGACGACGCGCAGTTTCTCCTTCGGCACTGTGAACATGACCTGGACTACTCTTTTCTGCACGGCAGTCTCGACATCCCAGTCGTCGTCTTCGTCGCCCAGTTCCTCATCATTTTCGTCAACAGCTTGGCCCGGAAGAGGTTTCCTATGCGTTGAGGATGGCCCAGCTTCACCTCGAGCTGGCAGGTCTTCATCCCAGTCCTTGGCTCCGCGCTTCCCACGCCAGAATGACGATGCTCCTACGCTTAAAGCTCTGCTCGGAGCGAGGTCTATAATCTCAGGCCGCTTTGTCGGGCTAGATTGAGTACTCCGGGCTTCCAGCGCGCCGACGCGCTCATGGACATCGACGTTGCCAGTGCCTGTAAAAACGCGCCGCATACTACCAAGCAGATTCATGGCTCTCCGAGTCGTGCCGGAGAGACTGCTTGCATTCGCATACCTGTCTGCTAGAGTGCTCTCAGGCAACGTCCTGTATGACCGATTGTCCTGAGGCTGACCTCGCGTCTTGAGAAGACCTTGGCTCTCGCCCAGTGGAACTGGGGCCCAAGGATTCCCACGGGCAAACGCGTATTTGTCGGCATTATCACGGGCGTTTGGACGCCCGTTCGAGTCAGTGTTCAGCGAAACGCTTCGATTTGACGGCGCTCGAGAGAGCCCGCCATTGTTCGTGGTTTCATTCTGAGCTCCGCGGCCGCCGCCAAATCTGCTCATCGCAGCCGCTGCCCCTGCGAACAACGCATAACCCGCACTGACACTTCTTTGAGATACGTTGCGCGATATCGTGCCAGTCATAGACCTTTGGATTGAAGAGCTCGTGAACGCGCTGCTCTCAGACAAATTGCTTCCGGTGCGGTCTGACTTCTCTGGGGAACCTTGCCTTGATACGTCTCCACCAGTGGTTAGCGGAGGAAATGAAGAAAGATTTGAATGTGTTCGACTGTACGCTTGACTGGTACTCCTTGATACGCTGAAGGACTCCGCGGCAGATTGCCAGTCCTCCACCCAGCCTTCGACTTCTTTCTTTCGGCGGGCTGCCGGATCCTCGACGGCAGTTGTAGGGTCCTTGAATGGATCGCTTTTGATAGAATTGCCGTCTAGGTTGCCATGGAGACCCTTGATGCGCCTGGAAGAGCCACTTTGACTACCCTCGTCCTCTTCGTCGATCCGAAACATTGAGTCTGGCACCCCGGTTGGAGGGTGTTGATTGAAAGGTCCAAAACTCATGGATACTCTATTGCTCAGACTTCTCCTCAGCCCTCGCGTGGGACTGGGTACCTCCATCAGTACTCCAGTACGCTCTGCAAGCTTCGCATAATTCCCATCTTCATCGCGGGGGATTTCCAGCCTCCCAGGCTCCCCTGGAGCGTTAACTGGAGCCCAAGGATAAGGATTGCCGGAACTTTCAATATGCTTTTCCTGCAGCGCACCCCAACTAGCAGAGCGAAAATTAGGAGCATCCAAGTCATGATCAGGCGGAGGGCTGGGTGTTTGGAAGCGACTGCGACTGCCCAGCGCCTGCTCGCGCAACTCCTTCTCCCTTATGGCTCGCTTTTTCTGCAGTTTGCGCGAGTACAGAAGCCAAACGATGGCCACACCAGCGGCTGCTGCTATTCCTAGACCAAGACCGGCGCCCAGACCAGCCTTTTCCGCAGGTCGCAAGCCGGAGGATGAGGCACTGGATCCCGCAACAGCTGTGGGGGACCCAGACGGGTAAGGGTTCGTGTATGTACTGGACCAAGACATTGTCGTAATGTTAAGAAACAAGATGTCTCCCACGACCCCATCCCTCCTGCGTGTACTTGACTTGCCAATCGAGTACCCCCCGTATATCACCATGACATCTCCTGGTAGCAGAGCAGCACCGTGACCATAGACTCCTGACTCGGCGGAAAAAGGACTCGAAGATGCAGAAGGTGCCGTCCATTCCCAGTTCCCTTCGCCGCCGTAGCCTTGGCCAACTTCCAGTACTACCAGCTGCGGTTGTGCAGGAGTGGATACATCTCCCACCCATCCTCCCACCACAAGAATTCTGGATCCGTCAGAGGTCAGTACCGCGCTGTGTCCAGATCGAGGTTCGACCGTAGTCCCGTCCTGAGGCTGGGAAGCACCGACAAATGCCCAAGACTCCTGTGGTAGAGAAAATATCGCTAGTTGAGACATGTTGATGAATGCGGTTTGAGTGTGGCCACCGAGCAGAACGACATTCTGTTGCTGGGATACACTTGTGTCAGACGTGTTTGAAAAGACCGGTGTCAATGGTGTTATGGTGAGCCCAGCTTCTGCGATAGGTGGCGCTCTTGCTCCCGTCAGAGACAATTGATATGGTGAAATGCTCGAGGACCCAGAGCTTGGGGCCAGCGTCAACATAGTGTTCGAGTATGTGGCATCGGAAACCCAGTCGGCGGAATTGGGAGTGGATGTTTTGGGGCACATCCCCCCGAATACGTACAACGACACATCGTCACTGGAATCGGTCGGAGAAAACGAAAACCCGGCTGAGAGATATCTGAGCCGTACGGACGTGTCGTTTGTGGAAAGCGGATAATGTAGCCAGGTACTATTCGTCTCCCCGTCTTTTGTCTCCAGCCTCCACAGTCCAATCTCTTGCGTGCTGTTATTGCAGTCTCCTGCCAATACGGTGATGCCCTCCTCATCAGGTATCGCGATGAATGCTTCTGAAGCCGTTCCAGACAGAAATGGCAGATTTTCAGTCAGCGTATCCTTTGTCGACGTCGAATTGAAACCGTGAGAGACGTTTATCGAGTACAGTGAGAACTGGGAGGAGGACGACGACTGCGGCGTAAATATGTAAGCAAGGTCGCCATTCTTCGTGGGTATGATTCGTGTTGGGTTGTAGGGAAGTTGCGCAGACACAGGTGTAACCAAGGCCCAGAGACCGGCGTGAAACAGAGCGTGTAGGAGTAACATAACTCAGTGGTTGTCTTCAAGTCATTGTCGGGCAGTGTTGGTGTTTGGGATGTTGAGCAAATCCATCTGCGGCTGGCCAGTCGAGGAAGATGATGGCCCGGTTGCTGTTTTCAAGAGAGGTGGGAGTCGAGTCCCCTCTGATGCTACGACAAGGTTTCGACAGAGACTACACAGTCTGGAGGCTGGACTGCGTGAACTTTGTCGCGGGGCAATTGGACTGTATGTGGTACAAGGGTCGTAAACAGATGCGGATAGTCGCCAGCCACGCTGACCACAAGTCTAAACCTAGGGTTCCTGGGCGACCAGCGGTCGTGCGAGGTTTGCAGCAGTCATCAAACGGGCCCAATAGGCTTGGAGTGTCTGCAATAGATGTGGCTCCTTGTGCAAATGCCAAAGAATTGGGTGCATGGACGGCGTGAGGCAGCGTGTTTTGATTGGGTCTGTTGTCACGACAACCGCGTGAGATTGAGATAGCCGAATCGAGCCAAGTCCAGCATGTGAAGCATTGTTTCATGCGACCTTTGCCCTGACCTTGTGTATACGCTATTATTGCGCCATCGAACCATGGCTAAAAACTTAAGATGCAGATGGCGTACTCGTACCCCTCAGCGCCTTACTTTTGGTACGGATACTACAGTCACAAAGTCTAGGGGAACCATAGCCCTGTCTACGCAGTATGTACATGGAGAATCCAGCCCCAATCACGCGGAAAAAGGTGCCGGCATCCTCTTAGCGGAGCAATCCTTCCAATGTCAGTTCGTGCCATTGCTTGACACAGCCTTGAGATGCTCGCCGACCTTTTTGAAATCCGCCGCAGTGCCCGTCTCTTTGGCCGGTAGCGTTGTCTTCAGGGGGGGCAGAGCGCTCCTGGCGCTCTCCCTGGCGACTTGTGAAAGGAGAGCATCCATTACAACCAAAGCCGACATAGCCTCGACGATTGGCACGGCTCTGGGGACGACACAGGGATCATGTCGACCTTTGGCCTCCAGAAGACCATCTTCACCGGCGAATGTGGCCGTTTGCTGTGCCTGCCCGATCGTTGCGGGAGGTTTGAAGGCTACTCTGAAATAAATGTGTTGCCCGTTCGTAATACCGCCCTGGATTCCGCCAGAATTGTTTGTTTTGGTAATTAATCTCCTTTTCCCGCTATCATCCGGCCCTGTGGCCATGAAAGGGTCGTTATGGATTGAACCTGGTACTTCACAACCGCCGAATCCAGAACCGATCTCAAAGCCTTTGGTAGCTGGTATGCTCAGCATAGCTTTGGCCAGCTCTGCTTCGAGCTTGTCAAAGCAAGGTTCTCCAAGCCCGATCGGGCAATTTCGGATCACACAAGTCACTGTTCCCCCAATGCTGTCACTGGCGTCGCGGAACTTCTCGATCACTTTCGTCATGCGCTCCATGGCACCTGCATCTGGACATCGAACAGGAATAAAAGAATCGACTTCTTGTCTCGTGACTTTTGAGATCAGAGACAGAAATTCTGGATTGGTTGAAGGCGACGGATGATCGACGGTTGGAGGGAAAAGGTGCTCTGCTCCCACCGATGTAACAAAGGCGACAATCTCAACACCATGCGCCAGAGACAAGTACTTCTCTGCAATGGCACCGGCGGCCACTCTGCCTGCGAGGGTTTAGGACATGATATCGGATGCAGCGGCAAAAGTCATACCTATCGTTTCACGGGCGCTGCTTCTGCCTCCGCCACTGCTCGCCTTCACGCCGTACTTTTCTAGGTAAGTAAAATCGGCGTGGCTCGGTCGAGGGTAGAGATCCATTGTCTTTCCGCCGTAATCCTTTGGCCGTTGGTCTTCATTCCGTACTATGAGACCGATGGGCGTCCCAAGCGTTACACCGAACTCAGTCCCTGACTGGATTTCGACCCGATCTTTTTCGTTTCTTGGGGTAGTCAATGCGGATTGACCAGGTCTCCGCCGGGTCAGTTGCGGTTGTATATCCGTCTCTGTCAGTTGCATTCCAGGCGGACAGCCATCCACAATACATCCAACCGAACGGCAATGTGACTCGCCATAGGTGGTGACCCGAAAATGTCTGCCGAATGTGGACATCTTTTGCACAAATCACCTGCGACCTCGCACGATGTATCACAGTTTGTTATCGTCTTCAAAGGGTGTTGAACAGTCAAAATAGTCATACGCAATTGAATTCCTAGTTGCTGTATTGAGGTCAAGGAAGTGGAGGAAGTTTTTCTGCATCTATGAGTCGTCGAGCATCCACTATGCCGAAGAAATCCCAGGAGGGAATCTAGAGCGAGGACAAGGCTTGCCAAGATGGTCACATGATCAGTCTCCTGACACTTCTCCCGCCTGCTGTGGCCGTTACAACAACCCACTCCGAATACTCCGTGCTTGAGTAGTGGAAGATTTCATCGATCGTTCGTTGACGAACGACGGGGCAGTAATAGCCAGCATGCTAACTTAGTGCCCAGCTGCTATAAAATCTTTTCTGCAATAGCGGCGGGTCACCATGCGAGCCCAGGCTGACGGAGCGAGCTGAGGTCGCGAGGCATCATCGATCCTTGGACCGCAGCAGTCATGTCCTGAACTCGGACAAGCTGACGATACTTTGACATTATGTATCATTATTCATGGCATCACATATTCCTCAAAGCGATGGTTTCAATGCACTCCGCTGTCCCTTGGCCACCAAGTCGGCTATCTCCCGTGCAACGCCCCAAGATAATTCGTAACCCTGCTTGTCCGTTAGCGTACCATGATACCACGGCAAGGTGAGGTGGTCAGTGGACTGGCCACCTGGACAGCAATCGAAGAAAGGACATAAGACTCACCGAACCACCCGCACCATAAGCATGCACGAGTTGCAAAGTCCTCTTCTCTTTGCCTTTGTCGGGGTCGACCTCCATCATTTCCGTGCACAGTCTCAGTCCTCCTCTTCTCGTCGGCCTCCGGCCCACGATATCTCTAATGACTTCAAAACCCCCTTCTGCAGTTATGGGCGGGTACATGGCGGCAGCACGCTCCAGCAGCGTCCTCCGTACCTCCTCACTCGCCCCCAACGACCAATCGCCCGGATTCTTCGTCCCTCCAATCACCGTCCCACCCTCCAATGGCCTCGGGATGATGAAGGTCCAGCTTCCATCCTTGTTCTGCTGCGTGATGGTCCTGTCACAGGCGTTCTTCACAAGACATGTCTGCCCCTTCGTTGGGAAGCACTCGGCATCTCCAAACCCGACTCCAGAACAGTTGACGACCACGGCACTTCGCGGCGCGACGTGCGGAACCTCAAGTAAATTGACCAGTCTCATGCGCAACGTTTTCCCACCGCGGTGGATGAATCGCCGCATCAAGAACGCGCAGTAGACGGGAGAATTCAGGCTCCACGTGCGGTATGTGCTGCCCCATTGCACACCGCTGGGTAGTTCTGACTTGTCGAGAACCCTAAACCCATCGATGTCGCCGTAGCCTCCTCGTAGACCGACGTAGCTCTCGGGAGGAGCCTCGAGGTACTCGTACGCGTTCATGAACTTTATGCCGGCTTCCGGGTGCGAAGAAGCCTGGTCGCGGAGCACTGCGTTCGTCACAGTCATGAGTTTCTGAGCACGGATATCGGCCGGCGTCAGAGCCGGCATGGGTCGATAGTGCGCGCCGGCCCAGGGTGAAGCGTAGTTGATAGATTCATCGCCTGGAAATTCTGATGCTATGATCAACACCCGTTGCTTTGTATGTTCTTGCAGCGTCAATGCAGCCGTGAGACCAAGGACACCAGCGCTACGACGTGTCAGTACGCAAGTACGGCTTCGTATACAAGGAGCATTCCAGTATCCATGCGGAGTAGCGAGTGATATGACGCGAATCGGTAAGAAAGTCAGGCTACTCACCCTACGACAACAATTTCTGAATTTTCAGCCATGGTGAAGAGAACACTGTTTAAACGACATCAAATATAAGATGCCCAGGACCTTCTGCGAAAGTAGACATGCGTGGAAAGGTAGAAGTGGACTGACTCTAAAGAATAGGGCGTTGTAGTTATCAAGCCCAGAATTCTGACGGCATATTATTTTTCCGAGATGTTGCAAGGCGCAACTCGCAACTTTGGGATTTTATACCATGATATTCGGAGAAGCCCTCGACGATGCCGGGGATCGATGGACTCCATACTCCGTACAACTAGAGCAAAATGACAGTGGACGGTTCAATGGATACTATTGCTAACGCGCCGAATTTCAGGCTAAACGTAAGAAGAACTCGTTAGAGATATCATGTTTTGGGAGTCCTTCAATACAGCCAAGATAAATGCTTTTTCATTCATTTCATAACGTGTGACGGCAAATGTCGATACTTGAGATGTTGATGGGGCTCTTGCGGTCCTGCCACGGTGGGAAACTTGCATTGAATACTCGTCCCTCCGTTTCCTGGGGGCCATAATTGTATCCCAAGGCTTCAAAGTGCTGTGGCTGGCTCCACCCTTTCTCACACCCTAGTAATCATCACCACGACTGACAACTTCCTTGACATTTGGCCTGAGCAAGATTGTATGCTCAAACTGCGCGGTGTAGCTGCCCTTCACGTCCACTAGAGGCGGGTAAGCCTCAACGATGCCTGACTGAACCAAGTTGTTCAATCCGAGTAGATATTTCTCCTGTCCAAGCCGATCAAGATACCGACGACACCAAGGGAGCGTTCCAAAATTCTTCTTGATGACATTCAATAGCGATCTCGCGCTTTGCACGCGCAGGGCAGTGTTCGGAGCATCGGATCGCAGAGCATAGTGTGAAACTTCCAGGTCATCCACAACATAGCCACGCCCAGTACTGCCGAATGTTTCGATTGCAAAAATCTCCCCTTCTTCCATCTTGGTTTGATCACCACCTTTCACGATGGGCACACTCTTCCCACCGTGAATACTGTGCTGCACGATGTCGTGGCCGTTCAGGTTTCGGATGGCCTTGACAGGGTAGGTTTTCCCGTCAAGCTCGACTTCGTAGGATTCCATAGCTTCTTGGATGGCGGCGCCGATATCACAAACGCGCACGTCGATTCCGGCCTCACGAATGCCGGTGTTCGTCGCATCCTTGACCGCCGCTAGGAGATTGTCGTACTTGGGATCAAAAGTCATGGTGAATGCCGAGTCCACGATCCGTCCGTTTACGTGCACACCGAAATCCACCTTCATGACATCTTGCTCGCCGAGCACCCACTTGTTTCCTGCGTTCGGTGTGTAATGCGCTGCAATATGATTGATGCTCAATCCGGTGGGAAAGCCAACACCACCTTTGATATTATCGCCTTCTTCGAGACCCCAGTGCCCTGTGAGCGCACGGGTGCCGTCCTCAATGCCCTCCGCAATTTCCGTCAAGGTCATACCCGGCTTGATGTTGGCCTGCGCCCATTTGCGCACCTGGCGGTGGACCTCAGCGCCCTGTCGGTACTCCTGCAAGAAGTCGTTGTTGATACGATCCAGATGGCGCTTCTCCTCGTTCGTCGTACGGTAAGCATTGTCGTTCTTGTATTCGACCTCTTCGCCAACCGGGTAGCCGTTGGGGAAGAGTTGGCTCAAGAGGACGCGCGGAGGGTCGGACTGTACTTTGGGAGTGGTCTTCTTCTTCTTTGGCTTCTTCTTCTTCTTCTTTTTTGCCGCACCGGTTGCTGTGTTTCCGGTGCCAGGTGCAGTCGCATCGTCGTCGTCGGAGTCGTCCTGGTCTGAGAGATGGCCGTTTACGCCGTTGGTGCCGTGGGCCGGAGAGTTGGCCGCGGGGGCAGCGCTGCCGTTGAGAGCGAGCTTGGACAGCTCGTCTGCTGTTTTGGCTGCCATGGCACGAGATTCAACTGTGCCACGGTGAAAACTCGTGTTGTTGGAGGGGGAAATACCAGGCTGCGTTGTAGTGACTTTTCTCTCGCCCATAATGGTAGGCACCGAATCTGGCTCGGGCGGGAAAAATTGCGGGCGAGCCAGAACCCGCCAATGAGCGAAACCACGCAGTGTCAGAAACTGCAAGACGTCACATACTGCAATTCGTCCCTATCGCTGCTACTCGTATCAATCAAATCAACAAACTTGCATGATGCCTTGAGGTCGGCCTCTATACTCGTCTATCTGCACCCATCCAAACAATAACCAGCGTAGCACCTCGATCCAAGTATGAGGCATGATCCTACGCCCGACTTCCTTCTCAACTATCACATCGCTCCGTATCGGTTCCTTTCACGGCCGAATTCTTGACCAAAAATGCACACGCACACGGAGCCTATCCACCTATGCCTCTACGAACAACTCCACTCCTAATTTGAAATTGAAGAGTCCGAAGGCACGAGGACAGATACGTGCATTCTCGCATTCTCGCCTGCGTTCGTCGTCCGCGGATCCCCCGAATCACTATGCGATCCTGCGCATGCCTCCCGACGCCACAGCGTCGGAGCTCAAGAAACAATTCTACGTCCTGAGCAAGGAAACCCACCCGGACCGCAACCGACAGGACCCCAAAGCCGCCGAGCGCTTCGCCCAGATCTCGGAATCATACAGTGTCCTCGCCAACCCGGAGAAGAGACGACGGTACGACAGAGACGTGTACCACGTGCACCACGGCCATCATTCACACTCCCACTCGCGAGCACATCACGCCCACGGACACCACTCTTCGCACACGGCGCGAAAAACCTACGCCGGCTCGCGACCGGCAACGGGTCTCTCGAAGCGCCGCAGCGCGTTCAAGGGCCCTCCACCTTCATTCTACGCCCACGGGAAACCCAGCGCAAACACGACGAGCCACGCGCAAGCGCAGGCTCAGGCAGGTACGTTCAACTCGGCAGCATTTACCGACGCCGACGCCGCGGGAACTGGTTTCGCCTTCGATCCACAAAGCACGTTCAAGACGCAGACTCACGAAGACTACCGGCGTGCGAACCGACGTGCGGCAGAGGTGGAAGCCGCACGGGCCGCGGCCGCCGAGGAGAACGACTTCTGGGGTCGGTTCATCGTGGTTGCTGGCGTAATAGTGCTCGGCGTCAGTGTCGGCACGATCGTGATCAGCATGGCGAACACTCCGAGGGGCGGGCTCACGCGAGCAGATGGTAGTCGGAGGGATGGCCCGCGCAATGAGTGGACGAAAGCATGATGACATCGGAACGACCCAGGCTGGTAGCTGGTTCAACAGTATTCGACTGTGTGTATACTAGAGAAGGAAGAAATGTCTGGAGGACGCGAGTTTAGATTTTTTTGCGAGAACGTCGTCGTATCCTTCCTGAATATACAGATCGATGGCAGACTGCTCCCATGCGTTGGCCAAATTTTATGATAGATGGGATCAGGGCCTGTGAAGAGATCACACGGCGACAGTCTCGAACGACCAAAGTACGGCACGGAATGACTTCAATGTAGCAATGTGAAAAGGCGAGCTTTGGGTAGAAGAAGAAGATTTGTTACATTCTCGTGACTAATGCCTCATCAAGACGTGGAAAGTCGAATGACGATCCTCTTTTCCCGTCGAACTTGGAAACAGCGCCAGATCAAAATGGACATCCTTCTCCCCCTCTATGCCCCTCCCCGCGTCGCCGTTCTTATTCTGTACAATCTGAACCGGCACGCTGCCCATGATGCTCGAACATACAGTGGATAGGCAGGGCAATGTTTGGTGCGCATCTATCCTTCGAAGGTGAAGGAGGCGCCGACCTTGTGAGCGGCTTGGTTGAGGTTCTGGGTGTCGAGGCTGGCGCCGAGGCCGAGAGTGACTCCAGTGCCGAGCTTGACGTTGTAGGCGAGAGCGGCAATACCGCGGTCGTTGATCTTGGCCTACAAGTGAAGGGTTCTGTGTCAGTTTCTGGATAACTCCAATCTCAATTTCAACAGAGAATTAATTGGTGCCTGCGGTCTCCAAGAGACGAACAGGTTCTCTCATCAGGCCATTTCATGGGATCCCTCGGGAAGAGGAGGTTGTCCGCAAACACAGAAAAAATCCACGACGTACCTTTGCGAACGAGCTTGGGTCGAGCTTGTACTTGGTCGCAACCTCCAGACCGACGTTGCTACCTGCGGTGGAGTCCCAGGTTGCCTTGGCGCCGGCCTCAACCTCGGTGTTGACCTTGTGGTAGTAGCTCGCGCTGAAGACGCTCAGGTTGTTCGTCGAGGTGACGGCGGCGGCGTAGCTGCCCTGCGAGTATCCGGCGGCAAGAGCGTAGCGGGTGATGGCGGCCTTGCCGACATCGTAACCTCCTTCTGCGCCGATGAGGAAACCCTCATGGCCGAGCGTGACGTCGAAGGTGGCAGTGGGGCCCTTGAAAAGATCGGTGAACAGGCGGGTGTGGATGTTGGGCTGCTTGTAGAACAAGTTGAGCTTGCCACCGTAGGTGCTCTTCGCCGGGAGGTAGTTGGACAGGACCTCGGCCTTGAGACCCTTGGTCAGGTTGTCCTCTAGCTCGACCTTGAAGTCTAGGCTGTTTGCGGTGGTCCAGGTGTTTGTGATGGTGAGGCCTGCAGACGCAATTCAGATCAGCCAAAAAAAATGATCAGATCACAGGAAAGCTACGCTTCTCACGACACAGGCACGTTTTATCGCAAGATCGAACGCCCCCCGTGTGGTGCGCGGACCACTACCACCCCCAACGCAAAGAATTGTTCAAAAGGTGCGCGAAAATAGGAGCCATACCAGCAGCCTTATCGGAGTATTTTCCTTCAATCTTGCCCCTGCCGTTAATATGTGATATTATGAAGTGTTTTTGTGATATCGTTGTGCTCACCGAGCCAGAAATAGGTCCATCGTGGGCAGATTTTCCCTTGACGTTGAAGCTGTGGAAATTTGATCAGAGCCTGCTCAGTTCCGAAGTGCCACCTAGGAAATCATACGTAACGCCGTTGGGAGCTTTGGACTTGACCTCGAGGTTGGCGGCGGTGGTGTGGTAGAAGTCCTTGTTGAGGAGCTGCGAATGACTGTCAGTGATGCCCGCATTGCATGGCGGCGGCGGGACGAGAAGCTTCCTTACATCGTTCGCTGGCTTAGCGATGTCGCTGAAAGGGACAGGAACACCGGACATGATGGCGGTAGGGGTAGTGAAAGGGACTGTAGAGGAGATGCTAGATACGACGAGTGCGCAGGGTCAGGAGAAAGCGACAGAGTGATCAGATGGACACTCAATCGGGGCGGAACATGAAGCTCAAGCAATGTTTTCGTTCTCCAACTCCGAGGGCCAATCAGCGCTCCATTTTCAGCAACGTCGCGGTCGGAAAACTTCCCCTGAAAGACCGTGTTTCGGCAAAAGCAGGAAGCGCTTGTACTGGCCACATATACAGTGGAACAGAGTCCTCATACAGATACTCAAACTACGTAGGTGCCTAGACATTGGAAACAGTCTATTTGTATACAGGGGTATGTCCATTGTGTTACTACTATTTGCCGCGAAACTATCCATATCCCACCTCCTGCAGGTCTCATACGTGAACAAATGGAAGAGATCCGCCTATGAGCTTTTGTTGAGCTTTTCGACTTTTGATTCATTGATCGAAAGAAAACCACTCCAACTCCGACCAATATAGCTGAACCCTCTGATATTCCTCATGATGAAACCACTTCTCCATTCTCATATCTTGCAACATGAGTCGCAATAGCTCTGCCGCTGGGATCGGTCTGCTTTGACCATGTCGGAGTCCATCGCATGACGGTTGACGCGCAATATGGCGGGAAATGCTGGTCAAACATCGTTCGGTACCAGTAGGCTTCCTTGCTGTCAGGAATATCGTCGCCCCATTCTGCTTTGGGGTTCTTCATCATCTCGTCAGTGACGTTAAGCTCCGCATTGTCTTTAAGGGCGTCAATCCAACCATAGCCGACACCATCGCTGAACTGCTCCTTTTGCCGCCATAGGATGTTATCGGGAAGATAAGGTTTGGTCTCCGGTTCGTCCGTCGTGTCGAATGCCTTCCGGATAATGTACTTCTCGATTCTGTCCTTGGTGATCATTTTGTCAGCTGGGTCGATGTTCATGGCCACTTCTAGGAATTGCTTGTCCAGGAAGGGTACTCGGGCTTCCAATCCCCAAGCTGAAGTCGACTTGTTGGCACGAAGACAATCTGCCAGGTGAAGGTTCTTCACTCTGCGCACGGTCTCCCTGTGGAACTCTTCCCTGTTGGGGGCGGCATGGAAGTACAGATACCCGCCAAAGATCTCGTCACTCCCCTCGCCACTCAGCACCATCTTTACTCCCATCGCCTTGATCTTCCTGCTGAGAAGATACATGGGTGTTGAAGCGCGGATGGTCGTTACGTCGTAAGTCTCAAGGTGGTAGATGACATCTGACAAGGCATCGAGACCCTCCTGGATGGTAAATGTGAAGTCGTGATGCTTGGTGCCCAGGAACTTGGCTACCTCGAGGGCTGCTTTTGTGTCTGGCGCACCAGGGAGACCAATGGAGAAGGAGTGGAGCTGGGGGAGGAATGTAACGGTGGACAGCTCATCCTCGTCGTCGATTCCAACGAGCTTGGCACCAGTCTGGGGTGTATCGCCGTTGATCTCGCTACTTGCACCATTGGTTTGGGAGGAGATGAGTTCGCGCTGACGGAGTGATTCTCGCTGGGCAATAGAAGCGACCAAGCTGGAATCAAGTCCACCAGACAGAAGGACACCGTATGGGACTTCAGCCATAAGTCTCTTCAGCACAGATTTCTCCAGCGTCTTTCTGAGGAGTTTGTAGTCCACAGGCGTTGAAGGAACCTTCTCCGGATCCCACCATGAGGGTTCAAAGTATCTGGTGAGCTTGTCGGTTTTCGAGTCATAAACGTGGCCAGGAGGGAAAGATTCGATGCTGTCGCAAACCGGGGCCAAGGCTTTCAGTTCGGAAGCAAAGAAGACTGCACCCGGCGTGGTGCTCGATCGGCCGAGATAGAAAGAGGTAATGCCAATGGGATCCCGGGCGGCAATCGTTCGATCTTGGGTCTTGTCGTAGAGAACGAATGAAAACATGCCGTCCAGGTGCTTGGGGGCATCGATCCCGTACTGCATGTACAGTGGGATTATAACCTCGCAATCACTGTGCGTCTTGAAGTTGTATGGCTCCTGCAGGTGTTTACGCAGGATTCGGTGATTGTAGATCTCGCCATTGACGGCCAGGGCAATGCTTCCTTCATCGTTCACAAGAGGTTGTGCGCCGGTGTCGACACCCACAATGCTCAAGCGCTCATGGCAGAGAATTGTGTTGTTTCCAATCCAGTTGCCCGACCAGTCGGGACCACGGTGGCGGAGGCATTTGACACACTGCAGCGCAGTGGTTTTGAAGGTGGCTATCGACGGATGACTACAGATGGATTAGCACAAGCACCGCCGAAGCGCACAGTGGACAAGCCCAACTCACCCATGACAGGCAAAGATACCACACATGACTGCCCACGAAACAAAGAAACACCTTGCTTAGGAGGGCGTAGAGAGTGTGACTGTGTATGCAAGGACTGAGAAAGTGTGGGCGGGCGTGGGCGTGGGATAAATAAAAAAAGAGGCGACTGCGGCGTTGGTCCCGAAATTTTGGAGCGGGATGGATGACTCAATGCTCTCAGCTATTCGTGCGGATGCGGATACAGGACAGTATTGGAGCCCGGAGGACGGACGTCGCTGTGGCTCTGGCTCAGCAAAGTATCAGAGGCAGATCCAAAATTATTTTTCACTCATTCGACCATCTAGATATATGCGTACCGGCGCCCAAATCTGCCAGTACGGCTTCTGGTCCTCTGCTCCAAGGTGCGTTGCTGCGACTCGTCTCACCTCGAACCTGGTGCCTCGTCGCTCCTCACGGTCTGGTGCAGGCGAGATCTACCTGAGTCTGTATCCCACCTCGCTAGCTCCGACGATAAGAAAATCGGCTGACTACAACTGAGTCTATCACCTGCGGTGGAGCAGGAGACGCCGATGGCCGCCACTCACTTGCCCTCACCTCATCCTATTACGCCTGGTAAATTGGCTCTTGCGGCAGCTCAAAACGGGGTTTTCTCGCTTGTGCTACTGTATAGTTTCTACACCCGTCTTTGGACACGCGACTCTCTTGCTCGCTATTACACAGAGCCTGGCGCTTACTGGCGGGTGGATTTCCCCTGGCGCAGCTCTTGGGCAGGCATCTGCACCTCCCCGCAATCCTTTCTCTGGCAAAGAGCAACTAAGACAGCCCCCACGCTTTCACCCTTTGGGAGGATTGCACATCTCAGGCAGGTCATCAAAGGCCTGGCGAGTCTCTCGATTGTGCTAAGGCTTAGAAAGCGGCAGATCCTGGTAAACCTTGTCCCTCTCGATCAACAACACGTGGAATGCATCACACTGAATTCGTAGTCGCCAATCCTGCATGTCCGCCCAAATCCTTCGCCTTTGCGCCTCTGCAACATGCACCTAGAGAACCCTCTATGCCCAATCTTCCTAAAAAGTCCCGTCCAACTGAATAGTACCATAACGCCTCGCTGTAACTGATGCTGACACTGATCATTGATTCATGCCGTAGGATCATCGCCCATAACTCTTCGGGCCCTCAGAGGTGTGCGTTGTCCAATGCTCTCACGGCGCGGGATTTTCCTTGACGATGCTTCTGATTTTACGCTCATATGCTGCCTTATCCTTCTTAAATAGGTTGTATGCATCAGCTTGGGCCGGCGATTCAGGATTCGGGTCGTTGAGCAAATCTTGAATGCCAATGAGAATCTGCTTAATGGTGATTGCCGGTTTCCAGCCTTCTTCCTCATTCAAGATCGAAAGGCAGACGGTACCAGACGGGTAGACGTTGGGATGGAAGAGAGGCGGAACGAATTTGCCTAGTGCCGGTGAGACAGTCTTCTGGCGCAGACGAACGGATGTGCCTTACATTTGGGTGGTTTCGTAGGATATTCGTCGGGAAACGACAGCGTCAACTTGAACAGGCCGCCTTCCCAGATGGTCTTTTCCTTTCCAGGTATTCCCACTTCCCAGTTCTTCAGGTCGAGAACACCATTGGCACCTCGGACTGGCTTTGCGAAGAAGCCGAATGGGTGGTCGCGCCGCCATTGTTTCCTTCAATATCCAGTCAGCAAATGCGCCCTCTCATATTGAAGAGACACTAACCTCTCCTCCTGGAGACGATTGAGACAGAGAGACATATTGGGGGAAAGGCTCAGACTGGAAATCGAATGTCGGTTGGCCAGGCGAATCCAGATGCGGCTGAACTAAAGAATTAAAATATGGCTTGGGAATGTCTGCGGAGTCTGGAAGGTTCTGCAAGCCTGACTCTGGTTTTATGGAAAGCGCAAATCGGAAGTGAAAGATGAGATATATGGCACAAGGCAAGAAAAGTGTAAAGGTGAAGTGAACAAAGACTGATTAATTTATGTGATGAGGACGCAGCGGCAAATACCGCGAGGCGCGATTGTCGCCGGCGAGATCTGCTTGGCAGCCTCACCAGCATCAGTGTCTTTGTAGTATCTCCGCACCACTCAAAAACCACCACTCTCCCCTCGTACTCCTGTCCCAACCCTTTTGCTGGTCACGCCACGAGAATTGCCATTGTATGAGAATATTGTCAGCAATCATGGTGTGGTAGACATCACTTAACAGCGTTCTTCCCGGACTGAATATCCGTCTATCTACTCGAGTACACGCTCTCAATATTTCAGGCTGCCATCACCATCGATCGCCAACGTCTCACGCTGTTCTCATTGGGAAAGGTTCATTACCAGTGACCGTTGCTCCCTTCGGACTGCGGTAGTCCATACACTGGACATCCGCAACGACACCGAGGGATTCCGCACCGTTTCCATAATCAGTGCAGTGAAATATGGGAGGTTGCGCTGATCGTTGAGACTAAGTCAGAGCTGAGAGCCCACCACTGCATCCACTTCACGCTCCAGGTGTTGAGGACGGCGGTGAGAGTGAAGATATCGAGAGCCATGTTTGTGGTGTCGAAGCGCTGCCAGGTAGACGGTACCGATGGTCGTTCGCGACCTCAGTCTCTGGTATCGCCTTCCCCTCCTTCATGTCCACAATTTGTTTGGTGAAGTTTTACGATGTTTTTTGCACACCAACCTGCAGATTCGGTATGCGGAAGCCAGATTCCAATCGCCAGAAGACCTCCTCCTTATGTCTTCATGGAGCCAAGAAAGCAGGAGGAACATTAAGGATGGGGAAAGGACCACAATATATGGGCCCAAGTTGGTTGCGTCGAGGAAGTTTGCCTTTAGTTAATCAGCTCCTTTGATCATGTTTGTCTTCTGTTGGACCTTTCTTCCTATATGCGAGCCAGAATATGAAATTGGGGGTACAACGGCGGGAGAGTTTGCAAAATCGCCCGAGTGGAACAGGTCATTTTTAAGCAGCTTGCACTCACCGCATACGGGTAGTTTAGGTAGCGGGACCTCTCACTGAATGAGCAGCTGGACGGTTCATCTTGCATTTCGCTATAAGGCAGTCATGAAACACGTTGAGATGGGAATGCTTCACGCAGATCTGACCTACTCCTTTCACCTAGGGTCCCTCTCTGCATCATGGATATTGAGACAAAGCATATCACTGGCCAAATGATCGAGGTATCGGCGGAAAAGCCGCCGCACACGGAGGATGTGCCTCTCGATTTCATCGATCCTCCTCATCGCACCCCCCTGGCAATGAACCCAGTGCCCTCTGAAAAGTTGTCATTGTCCACCATTCTTGCCATCGCAGTAAGCAGATCATCCATTTACCGGAATTGAAAAACTTGTTATGGTGTTTAATGGCGCTTCTGCTGGTCACTGGCGCTGTCACACACAGCGATTTCCGGGGCGTTGTCGCTGTTGGAGGATGGAGGGCAATTCTCGGTCCACTATGCCATGACAGACCTGGTGAACATGGGCGAAAGACCAACGGTCCCTTCGCAATGACAATACGGACGAAGGACCCTCTTTTGGACCACTTGCTGCCGTACCGTAGATTTATGATTGATGACTGTCTCCTGCCGCGTTGCCTTTAACATGAGAACAAAAATAAAAGACAACAAAGATAGAACCAGTGCGGGCTTTCAACCTATGAGTATGTGTATATTATCACAACCATTCGAAACCTGCGTGTAGCTCAGAGGAAGAATATGGAGCAACGAAGGCTGTTGGACAAAGACGAGTTCCTCCGATTGATGGGTTTGGTTCGGGAGACACTTTAATCCACGATTACCCACGAGCAATCGTCGCGCAACCTGGCAGACTCAGCTCGCTCAATACATTGCAACAGAGGGCTTCGATGTCGTATGAAGATTTGACAGCATACTTTATGTTGGGCTTCATTACAGATTCCTGCGCCAAAGATCTTTACTTTGTTGTAAACCGGCCCAGCCCGAATTAGAATCCGCATTCCACGGTCCAGGTTAGGCTCAGAGAAGGGATCAGCCCAGTAAACATTGCCCAAGAGCTGCCGCGTCAATCGCATATTGAGAGTATTGCTCAGCGACGCCGTCATTTGAGACTCGAGGTCCAGATGTGTGGCGGTTGCCAAAACGTCGATCGCACTGACCCAGGACGCCTTTCGCCGCTGCGCCGATTTGGTCAGACTGTCAGTGTACCTCATGTAGTGCTTGAGTTCAAGCCGCGTGCCGTTGGTCGAGGCAAAGGTATCGAATGAGTACAGCCTGTCCTTGATCGGATGCTGCCAGCCAACTTCTGGCATGACGAAGCCTTTCACAGCATCGAAAGCCGGCACTGTAGAAAGGTTCAAGGCCCTGGAGACGAATGGGGCTTCGCGGATCGAACTGTAAAGCACCTGGTCCTTTTTGATTTGGCCTAGTTGCATTCGAATTTTCAATGCATCTGGATGGCCAGCGCTCTCTGTCCACAGGATATCCATTCCAGCGACGTATCCGTCCCTGGCTACCACAAGATCACAGTCATGCCAAGTATCGAGACCAGGAAGCAATTGCCTGAAGGCGTGCTTTCGGAAGTCTGAAACTTCCAATCCGCCTGAAAGGACATTAGCCACTGTGAAGTCGGCAAACTCGAGTATCTCATGGTCGAGGGGCTTGATGAACCGACTCCCTCTTTCGAAGAAGGTGGTGCATGTGACAGCAGCATCCGCGGCCACGTACAAAGCAGGATCAAGGACGTAGTCGGTCTCGACTCCGGCTTCGGAAATGCAAGAAAGGATAAAATTCCGGCATAGATGTTTGATGGGTGACACAACGTCCTCAACATTCACCATTGACAGTGGAATTCCACGACGCCAGTCGTCCACCACTTTTAGTATGGCTGCGAGTAAACCGGGATCAAAACTAGCTCCATCTTCAGCGCTCCATCCATAGTCTATGACTATTCGTTCGACCTTTGCAAGCCAGAGGGTGTGAGCAACATCGGCCAGCGATGCTTTGTTGCAGTATGTCGGTGCTCTGCAATCTGCACACTCAAGATACAATAGTCCGCGCTGCGAAATGGCCAGTATGAGAGTTTGCGCGACTTTCCCCGAGGCGATGGCGGCTTCTCTGCGCATTGTTGCGCTCTCAAACGCGCTCCAGTAATACTGACCCAGAAATGATTTCAAGGATCGAATAGGAATCTGGCCAAGGGAATCAGACTCGTCGGAAGATATTTCGAAGACAAACTCGGTTGGATCTTCACTTTTCCTGAAAACTTGCATATTCCAAGGTATATCCTTGACTGGCTCGATGTGGATACATAATTTGGCTCCAACGTCGCCTTTGATGACGGTGTCATCGATGGTCAAACATGATCTGTCCCCGAAGAGCCAGAGGAGAGACGAAGCAAGCCAGACGCAATTCTGATGGCCGACAAGCGTGATTCCGTCGACAGTTTCATCTCTAATTTGTTCAAATAGCGCTATTAGCATTTCCGCCAGGACATTGACTTCCATTCTTCGGAAAATGTCAGGGGTGGGACCTCGCTCGTCGACAGCTGACGCGACCTCATGCATCATGTCGACTGGAGCGACAAGGCCTGCCTGGCCAGAGACTTGGCTGATCATGCGGGTAATTTGGACCGCAGAACACGGAAGCTTTGCCAGTACTTTGGAAGTCTTGAGCATTTCAAACATCAGATTGCCGCATTCTTCATCCAGGAGCGTCACTTTGCAGGCAGCACACAACACAAAGAACTGGAGCAGAGGGGTGGATTGCCGCATTACCATGCACAACCCGCCTGAGGTGATACCAATCGAGGCTTTCAGATTCTGAACAGGGATAGAAGTTTGACCACCGAGGGCATTCACCGCCTCGTCGATACGTTCAGGGGAGACCGGGACACACGCACCAAGCTGTTCAACGGCTAGCACCGCCTGCGTGTGGACATCGTCTTCGCTGGTTGCGGCGATGAGGCTGCGGAGCGCATTGAGGCTGTTGAAGACGGACCCTCCAATTTCAAAAGATGGATTCACTGGTCGGACTGACATAGCGAGAATGTGATTTGGGGATGTTCATGTAGGTGAAGCCTGATTTGACATTGGTATCATGTAAATGTCGTACGCTCCATTTCAATGGGTCAATGACAACGTTCGAGGTTCTCTTGTTCAGACAAGCAGCTACAGGCGCCAAGCATGGATGTATGTTGTGCTGGACAGGATTGTATCAGCTGACTTAACATCGCACCTAACGGAGGAGGCAGAATGAGCCCCTGTATGCCTGGTCAGCCTAACAGATATAGATTTTGAGGAGGAACGATAGGTCAAGGCTGCGTGGCGCGTGGACCAAGGGCGAATCAGCACCAAAGTGGCTCGGAAGGTCTGAGCCACGTTTCAGCGCGAACTTGAGGCAAAGTCGAGTAGTGCAACCAGGAATCAGAACAGGGGTATCAACATTCTACAATACAGAAGACACGCTCAAGAACATCGCGCGATGAACGACCTGCTAGGTCTTTGTCTTTGCCGAAGTCATCTTTATCAATATCTCCATCTCCTCAATCCACTTTCTGGCGAAAACTTCCTCGGTGAAGCGTGATGTACTTGCTCGACCTCGTTGTCGCATGGCGAAGCGCTCTTGAGGATCAAGTGCGGCCACTAGGGCAAAAGCCGCCGCAAACTCTTCGTCTGTCTCAGCGTGATATCCAATTTCTTTGCCTTGGTACGGCACGACAATGTCGAGCTTGGGACCACCGCTGTTGTGGACCACGGGTATCAGACCAGCAGCAAGTCCCTCAACATTGCCAATACCGAAATGCTCCGAATACATGCCATTGGTGGAGATGCTCGATTTTTGGAGGTATTCGAGTATCACCGAAAAAGGGGCATCACAAATGAAGACGGTTGCGTCTGTGATCTTCAGTTCTCTCGCCTCTAGTCGTAAATTGTAGATGTGCTTCTCATCGGGAGTGTTGCTTCGAACCGACCCAATCAAGATAAGCTTCGGCTTGCCCTCGGGGGGGGCCTGATGGTAGAACTTGGCGAATGCTCGCAGGATCAGAGAATGATTTTTCTCCGGTCGGAACTGTGCAATGTAGAGGACGATATCCTCTCTTCGTCTCTCGCTTTCCGGCGTGACCTCGATCTTTTTTTCTAGCTCTTCGACAGGACAAGGAGGATATACAATAGGGGCGAACGAGGTTGATTTGCTCTTCGTACCCCAGAGCTTTTTGATGTGGCCTTGTGTCCACGTGGAATTGCACATGACCACGTCGATATGCCCGCCAACCCAGCCATAAAGCCACGCAAAAGCATGCCAGTATAGTCGTTTACCTCTCCCTTTCCACCCGGCGCCGGCGCCGGAGTGGATGCCACGTTGACCGGTTGTGTCGTTGAGACTGTCCAACATGTCGGTGGAAATGGTCGGATAATGCACGTAAGCGGCGGTCGGCACCTGTGGAAACAAGAGTTTGCACATCGCCACGGCAAACGCATATCCCATTGTGTCTATGAATATATCGGGAACAAGAAGCTGGAACGCATCGTAAGCGAGTATGAGAGATCCCAGAGACTGTCCTAGCAAAGTAAAATGCGGCCAGGTGCTCGCAAGAACGTAGCGTCGACTAGACAAGTACAGAAAGACCAGAGAGTGTTCTTGCAGGGTGATGCCGAATCGACTTTTGACTGTTCGGACAACAACACTCCGGTCGATGTCATGGTCGCCTGTGTAAACGGCGCAAACTGCATTCGGCCACCGTGTCTGGGTCGCTGCTATGGCAGCCCATAGGACTCTCTCACCACCTCCCCCAGCATTGCTGAAACGGATATCAACAACTTGAAGATTCTAGCAATTGGCTTAAAAATACTCACCAGAATGGATGAAAGAAGCCAACGACCCCGTCCCAATCGTCCTGCGTGGCTTTACCACCATTTTCTGCACTGCCGGCCTTTTCGACCGTCTCCCAGCCGTCTTCGCTCACGTGTTCGGCACCCTGGCTTTCGCGAACGGCATCTCGGTCTCTCTGAACTCGAGATACGATGGCAGTTCGTCGACCCTGCCCGCTGATCTGCAAAGCCTGCCCAAGGCTCCTGAGTGAGACCTTGATGATCAGCAGTCCGAGTAGCGGTAAGAGAGGCGCCACCGCCAAAGCTGCTACCATAAATGAAGTCCCCATTACTGCTGTTTGCAATAAAGCTCAACAGCGGACATTGTTTCCACGACGACTGTTGGTGCGAAGCTGGATAGAAGAAAGTGACTTAGGCGACAGGGGGATCGTGAGGCCAGGCAAATGTATCCTCATTGATCCAGCCAACAATGACGTACCACTCTAGCGCCCAGAAAGCGGCGACTGAAATCAGCTCAATTCTTCACGTGTACGCTTTCGAGGGCCGCGCCGCTTTAGATCCCAGTCCCACTACCAGCGTACACATGGACTGACTACCTCGAGGGCTGGTCGAAAGGGCAAATGAGAGAGATGTAGTTGCACAATAGAATGAGCTGATATAGACACATACCTTCTCCGACTTATTCAGCGCAAGCCACAGAGAGATACCAGATTGAAGAGGAAGAGGCACGCAAATTGTTGACCATGCAATGCGCATTCCATCAGTCGGGGAATCGGAGATGTACAGTATTTCTCTAGCCAATTTTCTCCGCAGTAACTTCCCTGATCACGACTTGTACCAGCATGTGCATGGGTTTCTTCAATGCTCTTTGACGAGCATTGATCTTGCTGCAAATGTCATTACGGCACCCTGTACGATGTCTTCCTAGTTCCTCGCTCAGATATCGAGCTCGCTCCTCTCCACGACACTGCGGGCTCCAAGCCCTGAGCCCGAGGCAATTCCATGCCTCCCGACCGAACTATCTTCTCGCAGAAGTCCTTCAACTCTCCGAAGCCACCTTTCAGCAAGTTCACAGTCTGAGTGGACTATCATGGGGTCTCTCGATCCCTCTCACGGCCGTGGTGTTTCGCCTCGCGTGGCTTCCGATTCTCTACGTCACCAATAAAGCCAATAAGCAAGAACAAAAAGTAGCCGGCGTGCTCAAGGGATGGCGGAGGGCATATCAAGATCGGGCCAGGATGAAGAACCCTCATGGAACCGAGCAATCGGCTAAACTGGCAGAGTCATGGGTACAAGCGCACCTTCGCACCAAGCTCAAAGAAATCAAGCAAAACACTCCCTACATGAGCTGGCAGGCACGACTTGCTCTGCAGTTCTCCTTCCTCCCCATCTGGTTCATCAATGCCCAAGTTATCAGAAACATGGCAGGCGATGATAGAACACTGCTCAGTCTCTTCACAAAGTCAGGTGAAGAAGCGCAAACCAGCGTAATTCATACTGAACCAGGCCTGGCAAACGAAAGCTTTCTTTGGCTGCCTGACCTGGTTCAATTTGACCATACCTGGGTGCTGCCGTTGACATTTGCCGCTTTGTCGGGGGCCAGTGTCTGGCAGATGCTCGGGAAAGACATCAAGCAAAGACAGAGCAAGATCGTAGGCATGGATCAGGGGTGGACCAGGACCCGCGAAGTCTGGATTCTCATGGTGTCCCAGTTATTTGCTGCCAGCCCTTTCATTTTCGGCTATTTGATTATCAGGGGTGAGATGCCTTCCGCCGTCGTCCTCTACATGATCGGAAGCGTTGGAATGCAAATGGCACAGCGTCCCTTCGTGAGATATGTCCTTGGCATCAACAAGTCAATGGAAGTTTTGGAGACCAGAGTTCCAGCACTCAAAGGTCAGAAAGAGGCACCCCGGAATACCTGAGCAGCAAGGAATCTAGATGGGAAGTTTCTCTGTCACCAAACCGGCATTCGATGTTTGCACGACACGGCAGAGGTTGCCTTCTAAATCGAGCTGCATTCTAAGAATCTCCAAAGACCCCACCGTAACCTCTCAATGCTCAGAGCCAGGCTCCATAATACAGTCAGTCAGGAGAACATTTCCAAATGGGGCTGTTATTTACTATGGCATTGGCGTGCTCTCACGACGAGGCACGGCTCCGCGCCAGATGCATAGTGGGTAGTCATTGCCTTGACTCTGGTGGTCTCCTGGTTCGGAAATCCTAGGGAAAGGCAATGAGCCGTTGTTATCGAAGCGGACGTCACACTGGTGGATCGAGCTTGCACCTGGACAATGCTATGCCAATGCGAAGCCCATTGATAGTCAGTCCGTCTCTTCGTGAACATGTCGTTCAATTATCGGTATACCAATCGACGGGGGATATATCAATCGGTTTCTATGCAATTGGACAGGTATAGAAACGGATTGGTCTATGTCAAGGATACCTAAGACCATATACGCGACCAGATTATGAGAGGCCATAGAAAGAGTCGAAATAGGATGAGGACTTGAATTGTTACCCCTGCGGTTATGGCACAGTGATCAGAGCTCTTGCAGTCTTCCCTGCGCCGGCTTTCTTCTCTATCCATCTCCTTGGACTGTATGACTAGAAAACGACATGATGTGAACCGAAATATACAACCTACACAACCCACACTGTTTCATTCAGAACTGCCCTTCTAACTTCGGACTCGTCGCATCGGACGGATTGCCGTAGCTGGTCACTCGGCGTGAGCTGAGATAGTGCAGTGGATATTGAAACTTCATGTTTATTCTCCATTGTGTGATTTACAACTTTGCTTTCAGACCTTCTCCATCATTCTTTGCGGTAGCTTCTGAATTGACCACAACGGCACCAGTATCTTCTCCTTCTCCAAAGAAAATCACCTCGACCGTCAAATCGTCCCTGTATCGTCGGCTGTACGGGCTCGGTAACGTCAACAACGCACATACCATGTCTCTGTCCTTTCCACCAAGCGCGTTCCTGACCAGATGTGTCGCAGCATTCTTGTCCTCGACAACAAATCGTCCATTATTCTCACTCTTGACGTCCCATTGTTGTTGGCGAATGGGCTTCTCGCCACTCCCAGCTTTACCGTTGTCGATGCGTCCAGTCTTGTCCATATTCCCCCCTTTTTCAACTGGGAGCGCACCTGGAGATGAAGATTTAAACCAGCTCGTCAACCATGCGGTGTTGTTGGATGACTTGCTGGCTTGTTTGTTCTGCTGCTCGATCCACTGGCCCACGAGACCAACGACTTCTTCGTTGGTAAGCATTTCCCACAGGCCGTCAGTCGCCATCACCACGAAGTCACCCTTGGACGGCTCGATCGATGTGCTAGTTACGACGGGTTCCGCCGTAACGTACGGAGGTGTCTTGAGCAACGGGTGTGGTGTGCGGCCGAAAAAATGTCTCTTGACTCGATCCTGTGTGTCGCGGGACCATTTGTAGAATGCGTCGCCAAAGGCCCGGGTAGGTTCCAGATTACCCAGAACGCGGCCGGCGCGAATAACGTGCTCTTCACCGGGATGTTCAGCACGCATTCGAGCTTCTTCGTTGGGATTGGAGCCGGTTTGATCCTCGGACAATGGAGTCGCGAACCATTTGCCGGTTTGTGTGTTGCGTCGTCCAAGAACCGCTCTACTATCACCAGTGCAGGCCACGCGGAGGGTTTTGCTTCTGGAGTCATAAAAGGAGAGCAAGGCGCAGGAGCCAGAAAGGGCGGGGGCGAGGATCTCAGCGGCCAGACGCTTGCTCGGGTTTTTGCTTAGCTTGCTGACGCTATCGAGACAAATTTCGTTATCCAACTTGACAAAAGCCGACTTCAAAGCTTGGTCAATAGCAGCCGGAGGAGGGAAGGGCGATTTAGCATCAGCCAATGCGGCCTTGTAGGTGCTATTCAGTTCGCGTGCAGCAAACGAGATCAGCACCTGACGCAGTTTGGCTGAAGTCGTCCAGCCCGAGTGACCATCAAAAACACCCCAAAACATCCAGTCTGATGAGGCAGCACCATCTGTCGCAGCAACAGAACTAGGAACCTCTACTATCTTTTCAGAGTGGTCATCCTCAATGGGGTCATTGCTCGGTAGTTGGACGACATCATATCGGACCACGCCACGTCCTCGGCCAACAAGATACGACTGCTCGTTTTTCCGTAGTTTCTCGGTGGCTTGCTCTGGGGTCATCATCTCGAGAACCTTCCTCCCGTAGTCATCCGTGTCTTTTGCTAGTGGTCCTTCGCCCACAATTGCGCCTGTGAAAAATTGATCGTTGTCGACGACCAATGCCTTGCGATTGGGTTCTTGACCTGCAGTTACTGAGGCAAGACTGGTGGGCTCTGATGTTGGCGAGGTAATGTCTGGTTTGGTGCTCAGACTTCTCATCGATTGAGCTGATAATGGTGCGGTCGGATTTCGCAGAAGTTGTTCTGGGCCATCACCTCGATATGCATACCATGCGGATATGGCTCCAAGCGTCCCGACAAAAGCGATTGGGATTTTTGGAAGACGCATAGAAGCCTGCAATGGCTGACGAGAGGTGCTATATCTCCGTATCACCGCGTTGGAGGAGGCAGATACAGGTGCTGCATTGCCTGGGGCCGACAAGATCGACTTAGGGACGAACTTGCGAAAAGCAGAGCGTCGAGCAGTACGAAGAGCGAAAACGGCTGCTCGACGCATTGGGGCGGTTCAGGTCAGGGATATGAGGGCGACGACATGGGAGAAAAGGGTGCGTGCAAAGGGAGCGACGATGGATATCAGCAAGGACACTGGCGACGTTCAAAGCATCATCATTGCCTGCGCCGTCTACGAGGCGAACGTTATTATTACCGTATGCTGTGTTACTTAAGCAGAGGCTGGTGTGGCTAGTGATAGGCCTAAGGAGTAGCTACCTTAGGCTCTGATTAGCAAGAGTCCAGCCAACTGGAGGCTGGATTAGGCGGCCTTTTACCGGGACTAGTAAGGGCTCTTTCCACCCCGCGAGCCTCACCTAAAAAAGTTATTGGAGAGAGGATGCGTCATATCTCCCTTGCAAAGTAAATATCGAGGACTTTGTCCCCTCCACAAATTTCCTCCGTTTGTTTATTATCCCTCTCAGTAATCTTGCAGAGTCACAGTTTACTTGTCCAGTTCATAGACAATCGTTCATACCGCTGAGCCACGACTATGTCTTCCAGAGCCTTACGAAAACTCCAGCGTGAGCAAGAACTCCAGCGACAAATCGAAGCGGCCAAAAGGGCATACGAAGAGGCCGAGGAGTCGGAGGAAGAGGATGATCTGCTAACCAGCTCCAATCGTCCAGTCAATGCATTCGACATGCTAGAAGATGCTGAGAATAACGAGGACGAGCCAGAAGAAGATTTGCCCGCCTCACAACCCGCAGTGCCCGCAGAAACTACACCTCCCCCATCGTCCTCAAAGTCTAAAAAGAAGAAGAAGAAAGGCAAAGGGAAGAGCAAGCCGAAGACCAAGAACATTGAATCCACCATACAGCAAGACGAATCAGGAGATGAAGTCGATCGAGCTCTCAAGGAGTTGGCAATCAAGGAGGCCCGGGCGACTACCGCCACTGAAGATGAAACCCCAACCTGGGAGGCCCGGGCGACTAAGTTACTCGCGATAGACGAAAAGAATCTCAACCCTGTGAATGAAATGAAAAGTCTTTTTGGGAGCATTGCTCTAGAGACACAAGAGTCTAGAGCCAATTCACGCCAGCAGCGGCGCCGCGATCAGAATCTCCAAGGCGGAGTTGACTTGGCAACTGCGCTTACAGGCCGATATTGTGTTGGAAGCAGAGGTAAAGAGTTGGGCGCACTTGCTCACCGAAGGAATATTTTCGTGCAAGGCAGAGAAGAATGGCCATTGGCCACAAGTGGTGGATTGAGCATGGAGTACGTCAACGACTCGAGGCACGATCTGAAAACGACCTCGTTCGAGAAAACCTACAACATCATGCACAATACACTCTACCAGGAAACTCAATTACAGTTTCGCATGGCGGTTGAATCTATGGATCCGCAACGGATGATAGGTCTGCTGTCGATGTATCCCTATCACATCGCTACTCTACTCCAGGTATCGGAAATCGCCAAACACCAAGGTGATCACGCTGTCTCCGGGGACCTGTTGGAGCGGGCCTTATTCTCTTTCGGCAAGTCGGTACACAGCTCTTTTCCAGCCTCGCTAAGAACAGGTGTCGCACGGATACCGTTCGATAAGCCGGCCAACCGAGAACTCTACTTGGCAATATGGCGGTACGTTAAGAACCTTGAGATGAGAGGCACATGGCGGACGGCGTTTGAGTGGAGTAAGATTCTTCTTCAACTGAACCCCATTACCGACCCGTACGGAGTTACCCTTATGATCGATCAACTCGCACTGAGAGGTCGCCAGCATGACCAGCTGATAGAGATTTGTTCGGACGACGCTTATGGTCAGGCATGGGATTTCCTTGCTAATATTCAGATCTCTTTGTCTCTGGCATATCTCCGATCAGGAAAGCCCCAAGATGCAAGAAGACAATTGGCCGTCGCTATGCACAAGTACCCTTATATCCTGTCTGCATTAGCAACTGCGCTGGACGTCTCACCTCTGCCAAAATCCTTGTGGGCAAAACTACCATCCACTGATGCTGAGAAACTGCACACGCAGCTCTACGTGACACGTGCCAAAGACCTCTGGAACACTCCAGAGACCATAAGTCTGCTTGTTGAAGTGGCAGAGACGTTGTCGCATTACAGCGATGCCATATCTGCGGCAGCGCCTGCTCCAAAGCTAGAGATCTCATTAGAGGAAGCTCGCCACATCATGTTGCTCGAAATACCCTCACTCATCTCCCTCTTACCACGATCCTTCACCTCCAGGCCTACCTCTTCCTACGATGTCTTACCTCCCCCAACATCCGACGCAGATGGCTTCGTCGTACGTGCTCCAGCCGGTGCACAAGGTGCTGAAGGCCCATTGCAGGCCATCTTCAATGCCGCTGGTGCCACTGCTGGCGCCACAGGAGGCCTCCTTACACGATTAATGCAATGGTTTCAGACTCCCGCAGGTCCTAACGACGTAAACGGTGAGTCCGATGGTCAGGCTGCTTTGCAGGAATTCCAACAACTACTTGGCGAGGACCTATCGCCGGAGCTCGTGCAGCAAGTCTTACAGCTTGAACTCGACGGCCACAACGGTCCTTCCAATGAGCCTGTGACGGCTGCTGGTCTCGGTATGGTCGGGGGATGGGATTACTACCAAGATGCTGATCAGGAGAACTCTGAGGTCAACGAAGAGGACGAGGATAGCATGCCTGAGTTGGAACCCTTGTCAGACGACAACGAGCCATCTCAGCCTGCGTCGGTGTTTCGTAATCCGCGGGCTGCTATGGTCGAGGAAGATGATGATGAGAACGAAGATCGACCTTCGCATTCAAGTCACCAGCCAACCGGGGGCGCTGTGCTGCGGCACGTAGACTCGGACTCAGAAAGCGAAGACATCACGTCTCGTTCTGCAAGGGTCCAACCGGCTCCGACACCGCCTACGGCATCGGCAGGTGCAGGTTCAAGCAGTGGTCCCTCGGGTGCGACATCTGATGAATCCACCTTCGCCGACCCGCAGCGTCTACAGCGTTGGCTGATCACCTCTGGTCTAAGTGATCTCCAATCGAAGCCGGAAACACTAAGCTTGTATGTGTCTAGGCTGAAAACGCTCCCTCGCAAAGCACAGCAAGACTGGGTGGTTAGTATGGTCAGACAACGAGCCGGAGCAGACGTGGAGGAAAGAGTGAAGTCTGCTCTCCGTTGATGATTACCGTGGAACAAATGCGATGACCTTAATGTTCATGCACAATGACTAGCAACGCCGATACGTTCAAGGGCGAAAAAGGCCAAGATCACGACGCAACGAGGAGGAAGCAAAGAGAGATCTCAGTAGATGGTGTCTCAAGCAGCACTCAAGGATCCGTAGCTTCATAGTACACTGAGCCTTGAAAACAACCTTCCCTAGCTGCTGAATGCTTTAAGCTGCTATAGGAGGTATTTAGTGGCGTGGCTTCTGAATTCATCCATCTCGGACAAAAAGGCAAACTCGAGCAGCGCGTTTTTTGGTTGAATTAATTCCATGTTCTGACCACGAGTGCCTCTCGCGGTAGTTAAGCTAGCTGACTACAGACGGGTACAGAGAAATTCGGGTAGTTGACCAGTAGAAACCACGAGGAGACCGAGACGCCCTTTCTGCAGCACTGGAAACGTGCATGCTTGACGGGCCCCCCAACTCAGATCTGCTGAAACGTTGAAATTGCCATCTCTCTCTGGCTCTGTCTCCTGTGCGGTGCTTTGTCTTCTGTCCTCAAGCGAAACCTTCTGATCTTTTATCTGCGATGCTTGCTGACCGGCTTGCTGACCCTCAGGTTCGTACATGAGAGTCCGTCCCGAAGTGTGGGTGGCTAACTCAGAGTTCCTCTTCCTCACTCCCGTCTTCTGCAACGGAGTTGGGGTGTGATGAAGTTTTCTGTTCTAGAGCAGCCAGAAGAAGAGCGTAACCAGGTCCTGGGGTGGCGTACTGACGTTTTGAAGGAGGCCGCGATGCTGCCGCCGCAAACTGGAACGGTTTGACAGGGTTTTGTTGGTCTCGCAGAGCATCAGTGGCCACTTCTTCCCCGACAGGAGATCCTGGTCCAGACTCAAGGCCAGTCAGCTTGGCTTCAAAGGGGTTCTTCACCTTCTTTCCCGATCGACCTCCATTTGTGGACTTGGACTGTAGCACCGGCTGCTTGACCTGGCTGCTTATGTCACTGGTTTCCGACGCAACAGGATCCATTTGAGAGATATCCTTGGCCATGGGATGCGGCTCATAATCCTCTCCGGGAGGTGCTGCCCATTTCGAGACAATCGCATGCTTTGTAGCTTTGGCCTTGGCCTTGGCGGATGGTTTAGCAGGCGCTTGTATGCCCATGGCATTCAATGGAGAATTCACAGCGGCGACCAGTGCTTCGTCCAGGGTTCGTGGCGGACCTTGTGGAACTTGAAGCGGTCGGGAAACAGCCGCTTGTGCAACCACTTGATCTGAGGTCCCTTCTGGAGCAGGATCTCGTGGCTGGAAGGGGTTGACGGCTTTGGTGGAAACCTTTGTAACAGTGCTAGCAGGCTCGTAGGAGGGGACCATCAATGTCGGAGTCTGCAACTTAGACTTGATCAAGGCAGCTTCGTCATGAGCCTGAGGCTCTCGTGGGTAGTCGTGAAGAGAGGTTTCGCCTTTTTTGATACTCTCTTCGAGGGCGAGAAGCCTGGACTCGGGAATATACCGTACTCCATCAATGACAACGACACCCTTCTCTCTGCGCTTACTGGCGACAAGTACAGCACTACCCATGTCTTCAGGAATAGGCGAGTCCAGAAGGCTCCTATTCTCCGAGGACACGCCTGTTGGGAGTGGACTTGGAGGCACATTAGGTTTTGTCGATGTTATGTTTCCGAGACTTGCGCCTGAAATACCTAGACCAACAAGAGCTTTGGAAGCTTCAAAGATATTGGTATCTTTGACCGGTTGCTCGCTTCCGACCGACGGGGAGATAGAAGAAAGTACTGTAGAGCTAGGTGCACCGTCCGTATGAGTGGATAGCTGTGTACCTGCAAGTGCGGCACTGGCGGAGAATGAGAATTCTGCAATAGGAACTTTCCGGATGCCAGGTTCGTCGTGACCAAAATCGGCAACGGATTCTTTGTCTTCTTGCTCAGTTTTGGCCTGGGTTTCCATGATAGGAGCAGCACTACCAGAGGAAACAGCTCCAGCAGAGGATTTCTCAGACTTTGATTGGGAGCGCGAGGCTATTATGTTTGTGGCGAGTGACATGAAAGTCGACGCATCGGCTAAAGGAACTGCGCTTCGAGGTCTAGCTGACAGACGTGAGGATGGGATCGTAGCCGATTGGGGTCGCCGGGTGTGAGCGTTTGCTGCACCAATCTGAGATGCGTTTCCAACGTTTGTGCGTGGATGCTGTGGTGTCGGAATCACTCCAAAGGACATCGATTGGCCTGATCCTGACAGAAAAGGTGACCCTTCTAGAGCCGGCGGCGGCCATGGTCTATTTTGGAAGGGGCGGGTACGATCTCTCTTCTTCGAGCCCGACGCTTCGGTAGTCTTGCGCGCAGGGCTAGGAAGCTGATCTCTAGAGACATGGTAAGCAGATAAGCATGGACTGAGAGTGCATTGACATACTGTTGACCCGAGATAGTACTCTTAGCAGCGTTGGTACTTGCACCATGCTTGAAACGTTTGGTGCTGCCTCGGTCGTCATAGGTATCGTTGAGCGTTAATGGACGACCAGCTCGCCGCTCGGTTTCTGCAAGGGAGTGGGCGAGACCGGCTCGATGAGTATTGCCTGTTCCAATGACACGCTCACCATGTGCGGTCTTTCGTGCTTCGTCACTAGTGCCCCAGTCTAGATTATGTCAGAGATAGAAAACTTAGGAGGAAACTGGCAGGTGTAGTACTGAGCCATTGGGATGTTTGCTTCTTGTTCTTTGCAGCAATCTTTGCCTCCGCGCTACCTTCGTCATCACAGAGACGGAGGAGCTCGACATTCGCTTTCGTAGGACGACGATAATCGCTTGTTTTGATGTGGTCGGCGGTCGCAAGACTAAGATCTGCCTTTGACATATGTCAGCGTCAAGTATGTGGCCGCGACTAGAGCTTTCCTTACTGTCATAATTTGCATCTTGTCATACTCTTTCCGGGTGTTTGGTGACATCTCTGATGGAGCTGGGCCTTCATCAGATTCGTCGTCCTGAGCCTGAGCCTTACGGCTCTTCTTTCGTCCCATATTCGCGATTTTGCTTGACGCAAGTAGAAAGAGACCTCTGCTTGAAGGCAGCTCCCGCGCGGAATATTCGAAACTTGACAAGGGTTCTGATTATCCGTTGACCACGCGTAGTCCTCTAGAGTCAAAACGCACCCTAAACAGTCCTCTAGCCTCGTATCTGAAGCTCGAGACCTGCAGGATAAGGATCGATGTGAGCCTTGCCACCTAATCCAGATGGTAAGACACCGCGATCAAGGGAAGCCCGTACGAAGAAAGGTGGTGGAGAGAGGGGAGAATGGAGAAGGGTGAAGTTTTCGGCATGTGAGCCTCAGATTTCAGATCCAGATAAACAAGAACAAACAATGAACACTCTTGGCATACCATCTCTTGCTTGCGTCGCTTAGTCGTCGAGACAGAGAGAACGAGGGGAAGAAGAGTGACCCCTCAGTGCAGTGGGTTGCAGTAAGATATGGTCTAGGGTACTGCAATGAGAAAATCACAAGGGCATTAGAGACTCAAAGATCACTGATTGACGTACAAATGAACTGGGTATCGACAAGGAGACAACCCAGAAAGGGCAGACTGAAGGAAGTGAAGTGAGGTGAAGACCAAACAAAGATGCCCTGTCTACTGATGTGTTCCTCAACACAAACAAAGTCTTACCCTTCGACAACGTTGCTCCCCATATACCATTCAGCCATCATCATTCCCTCTCAATCTCCACCCACTTCGCCCAGACGCTCGACAGCCGAGAAGCCATAGCACAGAAGAGGAGGAACCCATCAGAAAGAAGCGTGGATAGACAGCACGTCCTATGGATATCGCAGGCTCGTGGACATGTTCTGGTTAGCTGGCCAGACTTGCAATACCTGGACAGAAGATTGCCGGCCAGAGTCAAGAAACCGCGAACTGGAGTGGCCCAGGCGGACCAAGACACCTTACAACGAGGCTCTTCATGATCTTCTGATGTATAGCAGTATCAAGGGTATTGGGCCCCATGTTGTTTGTGCCCAGTTGCCGTCTCGAAGACCGAAGAATGGATCACAGTTTGTGTACGGAGTACGCTGGCAATATGCATGGATGCGGCAGCCACGGTGAGCAAATGTGAAGGGGCAGGAGCCAGAAGATGTCAGCAATCTCAGGGTGTTTGACTACCAAGAGGTAAGAATGTCTAAGCATCTTTGGTAGTTTGGTCGGCCGCGTATCCTGGAGGTCCATGAAAAGGGATGAAATGATGTTGAGAGAAGCTGATATCGGAATTGACCATCCGGATGGAGCCTTGCAATGTTAGCGCCGGCCGACGAGTCACGGTGGATTCTCAGGTTGTCCCTATCAGCCAATTTTAGCAGTCTTGTGGTCCTCAGCCTCAAGACTGCTACTTCTGGGGAGCGATGACGGACAGGGTCCGGGGTCAACACGAGATACGAGGTTGCAACAGTCAGGGCAACCTGGCAAAGCACTCTCTCGGACACAGAATCTGTCTGGGAGAGGGCGGACAAGAGCTGCTAATCCTCGGCATCTCTCACACTCACCACTTGCTCCTCCGCATTTTTAGCCAACGTACTACAACTGCAGCATCAGGAGACGCGCGGTGCGTGATGATCCTGCGGTCGATACACCGCCAGAAGGGATGTACGAATCAACCGGACAGCTCCAAACTACATACCTACATGATACGAGGATGTTTTGGCGTTGCCCCAACTCACCCATGCATACTAGCTCGGTGAGCCACGACTATAGCGTCCCTACGGAGTATTAGGCGAGCAATGGCGCGGGGTCCGAAGCTTGTGGCTTACCACCATCCTCAACAATTGATCGCCGGGCAGCCTACAGGCTACAGGCGACAGGTCAAGATAAAGGATGCCAGGATCACTGGATCAGTAGCACACCTTCCTCTTCTCCGTGCAACACTCTACTCTACTCCCGACCTCTTCCGTACTCCCCTCTTTGTGTACACCATCACCGCCATATTTAGGAAGGCTGCAGCTCCTCCATCTCATCATCAATCCGTCACCTCTGACTCCCTTATTGATCTGGCTTATGAACCCGCCTCCAGACTACGTTGACCATACCATCTACCATCCCATCCATTAGTCGCCCTGCTCAACACCACACATACCCGTCCGCCATGGCTGCTCCTCGTGCGTCTTCCTTCAAAGCTCTTCGCAGCCTTCAGCGATCCTCGGGTTCGACTCCGGCCAAACGGGGTCTCCACATAACTGGAGTCCACGCCCATCCACGGCCCATTGATCCTACTCACAAAACCACCTATATGCCGTGGAACCTACAAGACCTTCGTCAAGAATGTCAAAAGAGAACCCTCTCGGCCTCTGGGACCAAACATGAGCTCATTGATCGCCTGGCTGGTCACGACAGCTTGCAGGCGCGTGCCTTCTCTATGGCAATGAGGCGCATTGCCGTTGAGCAAACCAAGAAGCCAGTATCTGGGTACGTTGGATTTTTCTCTCGAAAGCACCCACTAACTGAGAAGCAGTCCTTCCGAGACCGGTAGCCAGAGACATTTCAACACCTCGCGAGAGTCGAAGGCTGTCCACGACTCATCAACCATCGACTTCGCCTACCTTCCCAGACTCTTCGAACAGCAGTACGGTCCACAGCCCCCAGAGATCCGAGTTCCCATCCTACCAGACATCAGCTCGCAACAGGCGGAAGCAGTCCTGGAGAGATACCCTGAGCTCGATGCAGCCGCCGGAAGCTATCAGGACACGCAGGGCGCAGAGATAATCATGAAGCCTGAGATATCCACGATTGGGGATGCTCTAGCCACCCCGGCCAGTGCCCTCAGCGACTTGCATGATGGTCACCATGAGAAAGAAATGTCGGTCGACATGCTCACGGCTCTGACCGAAAATGTGGGCAACAGCACCCAACAATTTGCCCGGATGTCCAAAGACAAGGACGAGCAGACCATGAAGAAGGTCTGGCACGGTTTTCTGGACGATCTGTTTGGTGGCCCGCAGAAAGGTGCCAGAGCATGAGCTGTGCGGCGTCGCATCATTTCGTGTAGGCCGACGCCTCGACGCTGTATCACTGTTTACAGAAGGCCCTGTCCGTACTTTAATACGAGTAGTTTCCGAAGGCTAGGAGATCACTGATCAGGCCTCGCTGACTTTCCCATCATTCTTCTACGCACAGGGCACTATTCGCTCCCTGATATGTTTTGCTCAGAACGATTCTCCCTTCGCGGTTGCTGTGCTTCTCCATGCTTGACGCGCCCGTATTGTCTTTGGCAGTCCCCACTTTATGTCTCTCAACGGCCTAGCGATACGAGGAGACGGCGCGTCAGGAGCCCCTGAACTTGGCGCTTCGACGTCGAGCTTCGAGTTGCAAGCCTCGCCCGGCCTCAAATAATCCGGTGAGTAGCACCAGCCATGGGGGATGAACGTGTTACATATCGAGAATGGTCATCTGTAACCCGTGTCTGTATCTGGGAGTTGCACAGTGAGCCTGTGTCAAGACGGGAATCCCTCCTCACTACGAAGGGCATTTCACCCATTTCCCAGATGAGGCAACGCGCCTGGACTGTTCCCTTAGCGAGTGGCTGGACAGGAGAATCCACCATATGTCATTGGTTTCAAAGCCCACATTCCAAGGGACGAATGCGAGTGATCGCCAGGTACCATTTTACCCGACCCCTGGATTGTTCAGACCCGCAAAGACGCAGCACAGATGCATCGGTCGAACTTGGCATGGCAAAAGATGGCGCTCGATGGGATGGATGTCCTCCAAGGCCGGGCTGTCAACTGCGGTAGCTATGTTCAAGATGTGCATGTTATTCCTCGACTGTGACTATAACCTCTATCCCTCTCCTCCCTGGCATCCTAACTGCTTCGACAATTGACCTAGAGATTTTGCCGCGAGATCTCTTCACTGAGCATCTCTCATATTTCTTTCTGTTTACAAGCATCGAGTATCTCACGACCGATATTTCATTCCTTTTGGCAGGCCACGAATCGAGATATATTCCTAATCATTGCGATCATAACAAGCCACTGGACTGGCACCCTGGACGAAGAATAAACAAAATTACGACATCCTCAGCGTATGAGTTAATAAAAGAAATATGCTTCTTCAACCAACATGGCTTACATGGCTGCTGTTTTCAACTTCTTCTTTTGCCTTTTATCCGTATCATGACGACCATGGAGGAAATGCTCGACGATTTATTCCACTCAGGCCCGAGTCCCAGCCTCCGGGGAGCTCTGAAGGCGTCACAATCGACATACAGAAGGTCAGAGTAGGTCAACCGATGTTTTCCACATGTCGGGTAATGCTAACAGGTTCAGACAAGGAGGAAAAATGACTTCACCGTGGTCGCCTCCAACAAACCTTCGATACCCAATGCCATGGCCGTGGACTCGGACGGTTCGGACTTTACCTACTTTTCTGTTCTAAAATTCGGATCTTCGAGACAGGAGATGTACATGTTGATCGACAGTGGTTCAGCAAACACCTGGGTTATGGGTTCGGATTGCGACTCTAGCGCTTGCAAGATTCATAACACCTTTGGCAGTCAAGACTCAACATCCTTGCATAAGACTTCTCAAACCTGGAGCCTCGCTTATGGTACAGGCGAAGTAACAGGGGTGGTAGCAAACGATACCGTCAGCTTTGCCAATTATACTCTCCACATGGGTTTCGGGCTGGCTTCAACTGCGTCGGACGACTTCAACAGTTACCCTATGGATGGTATCCTGGGCCTTGGCCGTCCCAGCTCGGACGCTTTGGGCACCCCTACTCTTATGGAAGTGCTAGATCAGCAGGGAAATCTTTCAAACAACATAATCGGCGTTCACCTCCAGCGGGCTTCAGACGGCACAAAGGATGGACAGATTACATTCGGAGGCGTCGACCATTCAAAGTTCAGTGGCAAGCTAGGCTACACCAAAGTAACAAACGACGCCTCTTGGGAGATTCCTGCAGACGACGCTGGAGTCGATAGCAAGGCTGTTGGCTTCACAGGTAAGAGTGCCATTCTCGACACCGGGACCTCGTACATATTGATGCCGCCATCGGATGCTCAGAAATTGCACTCTTTGATTCCTGGCACTACTCAAAACGGCGAAATCTTTGTCGTACCATGTTCCAGCAACGCCAATCTTTATTTCACATTTTCCGGTGTTCGTTACACTGTTTCCCCGAAGGACTATGTGGGACAGAATCTTGGGAATGGTTGTCAAAGTAAAGTCATCGGCCACCAGGCGTTTGGTCCTGACGAATGGATTCTGGGGGCGGTGTTTCTCAAGAACGTCTACACGGTCTTCGACTTTGATAACAACCAGATTGGACTGGGTATTCAGTCAACTATCGAATCCAACTCTACTGGTAATACGATATCCACGACATCCACGACATCCTCGTCATCAACAAACACAGCATCGTCGTCACACACATTTTCTGCAAAGTCATCAAAGACTACGGCAGAGTCATCCAGCACGAGCGGCTCCTCATCGTCGCCTGCAGCTTCAGCAACATCATCTGGTCCAGGCGACAGCAGTCCTTTTGGAAGTTCAGACCTTGCAGCTTCTTCAGCGTCGCGAACAGGCCTGAGCATTTTGTCAAACGCCCTTCTTGCATTGATTATTGGATGGATATTGTAGTATAATTCCCAATGGAGCGTATCAGCGAAACTTATCTATGCTTGCTGTAGTTATTATATGGAATCTCTGTCTTCTATGTGAGCAATGTACCATGAGAAGTACTGTCAGCCTCTGTTGCTTTCTAAAGGGTGTACTCCCAGCTTTATGATAGATGCTTTGCACCGAATAAAGGCAGAAGCGCGCCGGGACTCGGCCAGTCAGGGACCGAAGCTCCGCTTGGACCCAGCACAGCCTTGCACGTGTCTTTGAATGTGAACACCTTACGAGTACAGACCAAAGTTATTCAACCTCAGTCGAATACATGGACGACATGCACCTCTTACGCGATGACCCTTGATGACGAGCACTCTGATGGTTCAGTCAATGGTAGAACCAAAGGGAGCCTCGAAATCCAGATTCCTCTCCTGTTGTCCTCGACCGACGACAATTCCGACGACAATGGGGATCCTTCGATAGCCTCAAATCAGCCCGGTCGCCCTACGCCCCAGAGACAGTCTTCCCTCTCCCACCCTCGCCCAGACGGTACGCCGCGAACTACAAATAGGGTGCGCTTTGATCTGATTGAAGGGCAAAATGTACAACATCCAGAAGAGTGGATGGAAGAGGAGGACTATCTCGAATCTCCGAGCAATAGCCAGCATGCACCGCTGCTCACTGATATAACTCCCCCGGCCCAGTCACCATTCCTCTCGGACTCCTTCCAGCCGGAGGATTATCTACCAGATGCTCGGCCCAAGAGTGGTATGCGCAGTGCTTTTATGAACATGGCCAACTCCATCATTGGTGCTGGAATCATTGGGCAACCGTATGCCTTTAAGCAGGCTGGTCTTACAGTGGGAGTCATCCTCCTTATCGGGCTTACAATTACGGTGGATTGGACTATACGTTTGATTGTAATCAACAGCAAGTTGTCAGGTGCGGATTCGTTTCAAGCAACCATGCAACACTGCTTTGGTAGCAGCGGACTTGTTGCAATATCGGTTGCGCAATGGGCATTTGCATTTGGTGGCATGATTGCTTTTTGCATTATCGTGGGCGATACAATACCACATGTTCTGGAAGCCTTGATTCCTGGGTTGAGGGACCTACCTTTTTTGTGGCTCCTCACTGACCGGAGAGCGATCATAATACTGTTCATCTTGGGGATTAGTTGGCCTCTGAGCTTATATCGAGACATTGCAAAGGTATGGTAAGCGGAACTTCTTCTTAGAACACGCTAACGAGCGCAGCTTGCAAAAGCTTCGACACTCGCATTGATGAGTATGCTCATAATCATTGTGACCGTTGTCACACAGGGACCATTCGTGGATCCAGACCTCCGGGGCAGCGTCAGTGGAATGTTATTTGTCAATGACGGCTTCTTTCAAGCCGTTGGAGTGATCTCATTTGGTGAGTCTGGCTGGACGTCTTGATCAAGTCATGACTGACATCTTAGCGTTTGTTTGCCACCATAATTCTTTACTTATCTATGGGTCCTTGAAGACCCCTACTCTGGATCGATTTGCGACCGTCACACACTATAGCACATTCATCTCGCTCGTTGCTTGCCTCGTCATGGCATTGGCAGGGTTTCTCACTTTCGGCGACCGCACCAAGGGCAATGTGCTCAACAACTTTCCGTCACAAGGCCATATCTTGATTCAGATTGCCCGCTTGTGTTTCGGCCTCAACATGCTCACCACCCTTCCACTCGAGTGCTTTGTGTGTCGAGAGGTCATGAACAACTATTGGTTTCCCGAAGAACCGTACCAGCCGCACCGCCATCTGATCTTCAGCAGTGCTTTGGTAGTCAGCGCCATGGGCGTAAGCCTTATCACATGTGACTTGGGGGCGGTCTTCGAATTGATAGGGGCTACGAGCGCTTGTGCACTTGCCTACATATTACCGCCTCTGTGCTATATCAAGCTAAGCACGAGAAGCTGGAGGACTATTCCTGCGGTCCTCTGTATGATGTTTGGGGTCGCTGTCATGACGGTGAGTTTGATACTGGCTATGAAGAAGATTATCAAAAGTGAGTCTCATTCAGATTTTGGCCACAGAGGATGACTGACACCTTATTACAGACGAAGGAGAGCCACAACAGTGTTGATCTCTTTGTACTAGAACTGTATCGAGGTAGTCAACGATGGAATGAAATTTGCCGCCTTGATCAACATGATGCTTCGAACAGCAGGGAACTCGAACCCACTCCCTCTTACGCTTAACCCGTGTCACGGATACTCTTTCGAGACCCTTGGAAGGACGTCATTGCCGCTCTGTCCCTGTGCACCATGGCGAACCGAAGCCATACAAAGCTCATTTTGGGCTCCGCGAGACCAACACGTCTCCTGCCGTGTGAGTTGTCTCATAACGTGTAAAGGGGTTCTCCTTGTCGTTGGCGTCCTTTCAGAACCTGTTATCTGGGTACCTCACATGCACGAGGCCTCTGAGTGTCGTAAAACATGAACAAAGCCTCCCCCTTTTCCTTGGGACCAGCGACAGTCGGCCATGCTTATCTCGAGACTATCTAGAAGTCTTCGAGATAACGAGAAGCCTCTAGGTGCTATACAATATGGAGACGGTCTCCCCCTTTTCCTTGACTAGTGGCCACTCGAGCAATGTGGCTTCGTGACTAGGAATGCTGGCTATCTGGCACTCGACAAGATAACGCGTGATCCCTATGAGTGTCATACAAAGATGAAGACAGCCTCCCCTTTTTCCTGTAAGTTGTGCCCATCGACACAGTGACTAGTGCCACGAGAACGTGGCTTTGTAACTTCGATTCTAGAATGCTTAATTCGAGACTATCTGTAAGTTTCCGAGATAATATGCAAGACATTCGGGTTACACGAGGCAGATTGCGGCGCACCTAAGCCTCGTGTTTCTCGACCACCATTTGTACGATGGAATCTATGGCGCTGACGAGGCGTTCGGAGTCGGACCACGCCCATTCGACCTCTGGATTCTCTGCCTCGGGGATTCTCACATAACTTCTCGCAGGGCGTACCCAAAGACTCTTGTATGTTGTCTGCTCGACTCTTCACTTTCATGACGATTGATGAACAGGAGTGTCAATGGAGACCCGGAAGTGTCGGAGACCTCGTTTGAGAGTCAGGAGTTGGACTTTTCCAGATGGCGCTAAGGCTAACCCGGTCTAGTGAAGATGTGCGGCGCAGCGGGGGCCAATCAGCCTTCTCACCACAGCTGGCAGAGGCTCGACTTCGGCCCCCTGAAGACGTTGACTACATCGTGCGACATCAGAGCCCCTCAACTTGCACGCGCTGTCAGTTAAAGTCTATCCCACGCTTGCACCATGATCTCTTCCTGTTTCATGCTGGATCTCTCTGGTCAAACCACGCCTGGGATGCCCCCGGGAACGCCTGGCCACAGGCAAGCTCACCATGCTCCTACAATTTCCTCGCAGTTCGAAGAGCGGCCTGTATCCCAACTTTCCTTGATCTTTGCCTTGTGTGTGATATATGATGTTTTGAATTCCCCTTTGACCCATTGTCGTTCTTTACCTATCGTTCCAACGTCCCAGCGACGTCAGTCATTCATTTCACAATCTGTGCCGGTCCTCAGTCATTCCTTTTGTGACGCAGTTTCGCATTCGTTTAAGCAGGTTGATCCTGCTATAACCAGACGCTCATTGACCAAATTGACACGACATTGACGAAAAAAGAATACGAAAACGAGATTATCGGGGACAGAATGCATCTCAGGGCCATAACCTTGTTGGTCGCCTCCTTGACATTGGCTCAGGCGCAGGCACGCCCCGATGGTATGCTGTACCGACGACAGTATGGCAATGACACTACATCGTCCGATATCACTACCACAATCGCTACTCCTGCTGCTATCGATGCTGCGCTGTCAACCAGCAGCGTTGCCACAACGACCACGGCAGACACTGGTGTCGGATTGACGAGCAGTACTACAAGTACCACCACAACAACCTCATTGTCCACTAGCACCAGCGCCGTGGCGGCTACCACAACTGCGGATTTGGCTTCGTATACCACCACCGCCGCCGCCGACGATGCGGTTGTGACTGCGACGACAACAACCACTTCGTCGAGTATCGATACCGCGAACGATGTTGTTGCCTCAACTACGACAACTACAACTACCACGGCCACAGCTACCACGAACACAACCACCACGACTACAACTGCCACACCCACAACTGCTGTAGCCGCCGACAACACGACTTCAATCGACGTTGCTACGAGCTCTTCTACTTCAAGCAGCACCACGACGAGCGTCAGGGGTAAAAAGAAGAAAACGACATCTTCACTGGCAACGAGCACTACTGCCACTGCGGTCGTCACATCCAATTCCACTACTAGTACGTCGAGTACAGATGAAGTAGAGGGCATCTCGACTTCTTCGTCTGGCACGACAACTAGTACTAGCACTGCCGAAATGGAGAACGTTTCAAGCCCGTCAACTTCAAGTAGCGTGACTGCAGAAGTCACAACACCTCCGGCCGAGGGTGCCGTGGTGGCAGCGAAGACTACAGATAGCGCAAATATCCCTGCCGACATGACTCAAACCTCAAGCGAGGCCGTCGAAGTCAGTACCACTGTCGAGGACAAGACTTTTACCATGACTATTGGATCTGGACCGTCCGCATCTGTTGTTACCACGACAATCCGCCAGACGAAGACATTTTATGTCACGAGTGTCGTGTATGCCACCATCACTAAACCATCTCCAACTGGTGCAAATGTAGGCGCTGGCGGCGTTGGGGCTTCACAAAACCAAGCAGTTGGTGTCACGCCCACAGCTGGGGACGGGACAACCACGATCACCATGGTGTCTACCACTACGGAGACGGTTACTGTTGTGCCTGCGACTACTGGAGTTGCCGCCGATGCGGGGGGTGCTTGTGGTGTTTCGTACGTGACGGTAACAGAGACGATCCAAAGCACCGTCACTGTTACTGCAGAGCCCACGCTGAGCAAGCCATCGGTCGCGAACCAAGCGCAAGAGACGTCTCCCAGTGCCAGTATCAGTGCCAGTACCAGTGCAAGCACGAGCGCCAGCACGACCACGACCACGAGCTCCAGCACATCTACCACGGGAGCTCCGTATACTTTTGGAAACGGCACCGAGTCGCATAATCTGAACTTGGCGAGCTCTGGGTTTATGACGGTTTCGCGATTCGCCAGGGAAACAGCGACGGGGTTCAAGCCTTGAACACCACTCGTGCGGTACCTTGTATATAGATATAAGTCAAATGAGAAAAGAGGGTTGGAAGCAGGGATTTATCATGTTTCAGTTCTTTGTATATAAGCTTTTTTGCTGGCATACCACTGTCCGACTGTGCCACAGAGGGGGGAGAGTCCCTGACTCTATTTTGGAATGCAAGGGTAAGGTGGGTGCTGTTTGTAGATGTGTGCAGTAAGTAGATCCGATAAGTGACGGTGATTCGATCTACCCAGGTTCTACAAATCATTGGCCTAATGTTCTCACACTCTAGGGCGAGTAAGTTACCAAGTCAAGGCGTACACGAGTGCTGCAAGTCACTACGCAAGATTCCAGATGGTTACGGCGGCGCTATGACGACAAGTCGGCGGTGTTCCCGGCGTGTTGTTCTGAAGAAGAGGCATGCATACACATACTCTTGCCGACAGGTAGAGATGGACGAATGGTTTTGTCTCCTCGATCAGCGTAGGTGGCGCTTATTTGCCGAGGCCTCAAGCGAGAGAGTTTTCTCGAACATGTCCTATCATGGAATCCCATGATCTGTTTGGACATACAGATCTCCATCCCCATCTCGACTCGTACCCGCACAACTCGTACGAGTACCAAGGAATCAAGCTAGCCTGCCAATAATTCCTTGATTGTTTGAAGAGCTTGCATTTGCTTGGTTGGTCGGCGGGGTGGAGCGTACAAGTACTGACCTGTGGTTTTAGTTGGTCCTTTTGCAGTGCGGCCCTCCAAACAGGTTGGCGGCTCATGTTGCTCGTGGCAGAAACTCTGCCCCGCAATGATGATGACGATGATGCTCAACGACTGTTCACTGTTCACTACGAGAACGAGTGCGAGGACTCGCATTGTCTCCCCCTTCTCCATCTGAGATTTCTTGGATGCCCAGTGCGTAAAGGCAACGCGGGACGGGGCCATTGCAAATCATCTGTGAACCGTGGTATCCGTCCTATCGTGACCTCGGAGCTAACTCTTATTCGTAGCAACTCGTCTTCTCGTACTCGTACCTTTGGTCAGAGTCAATGCCCCTATGACGCAGGGTTATGGCGTCAGTCTCGCCGTCCTAGCGAACACAAAGACGTCAACAATCGCGAATATGCTGGCAGGGCCACGAGTACCTGTACAGCTTCTTATAACTCCCTTCCACCCCTCGTCTGTTTTGCTCGTGCCCTGGTCTACCCACCTCTCGCTTGAGAACTCAGAACTCAGAGCTCAGATACTTAGCATATTGCATGAGAGTGCCCGGTTGAGGTAGAGCGTAAGACGTTTTCAACGAGATCGAATCCAGAAACAGGGAAGAAAATCAACAAAATCCGGCACGATGGAAGCTGCCAAGTCAGCCATCAGCAACCTCATGGGCTACAATAAAGATGAAGATGCCACTACGGGCACCGGCACCACTGCTGGTACGACTGCCCACACCACACATCACGCTGGCGATAATACCTTCGGAAAGGGTAGTCTAGGTCAGGTTAGTGGTTCAACCTACGTGCTTTTGTGAGTCGACGAATGCGGAGGCTGACCTTGCTGCAGACTTCTTCAGACACAGGGTGTGTACTCGTGCTCGTAATTGTCTCTTGATGCAAGAGGCGAGTCTCTAATACGTCTGCAGGTCTGCTCCTGCCCATCATGCCACCACGACCGGAACAAACGCCGAGACAGACTATGGCACCAATACCAGTGCCACGACCGGGACATACACGGATGAAGGCACCGGTGCGACTTCTGGTGCCTCCGCGGGCTCCTCTACCGGTCCCTCAGCCGGCCACTCTACTGGCCACTCTACTGGCCACTCTACTGGCCACTCTACCGGTCCCTCCTCCACGCGTGCAGCCACCGGTGCGTCGTCGGCCGGCTCCAGCACCGATACCGATCACGGGCACAAGTCCGGCGTGCACCTGCACAACCCTCTGCACCATCACAAGTCCCACGACAAGAGCGACGAGTCTCTGGAGTCGAGCCGTTCCCATGCACAGTCCCCCAGCCAGGGGCGAGACCCAGCCGTCGTAGGCGATGACGACCCAGCGAGGAAACTGACTGGCACCGCAGCGCCGGGCTCGCACTCCGCGGTCTTTGGACTGACCCCGTCCGGTGAAAAAGTCACCGACACCAGGCCGGGTACGGGGATCGTCAAGCCCGCGAGTGAACTGGGCAAGTCAAAGTCAGGCAACGAGCACAGCAGCACGTCAGCAGGGGCCGGTGACACTTCGTCCCGTGCGCCAGCAGGAGGTAAGGAGCTGAGTGAACAAATGCACAACCCCAGAGACCAGGGGCCCAAGGGACTGGAACGGACAGATCCCGTGACGAGTCTGGGTGCTTCGGATTCGGACAAGCCTGGCGCAGGAGGTGTTGGCTTACACCAGGGCACCGGCGACGTTAGGCCCGGAGAGAGAGGCGGCAATGCTTGAGTTCCCCGTACAGAAAGATCTGGCGGAACTTCAAAGGAGAGATGGATTAAGGGATTTACATGCACAGGTGGGACTCTACATGAAGTGTCAATTCATCGACTTGACTTCCAACGTTGAATATCAGAATTATGTATAATTATCATATGCCGAACGTCATCACTGCTGTGAAAAACATTCAAAAGCATTCAGTTTCTTGTATCGACACTTGTCTAAGTCTGTTCCATTGATATTCATGGTATATACATTTTCCTTTAGGCTCGTGTGGAAGGAGGTCATCCTTCGTAGGCTATCCATCACAGGCCCTGCTTCAGGGCGTCTAAAGTACGAATTCCCCTTGCATCCAGGTCGGGGATATCTGGTCGGTCAATTCAACCCGTCGTGTCATTTGTTGGTCGTCGTCGTATAAAGCCCGTCCTCCCGGATCCAATCTCCAACGCCTCGGCCGACCAACGCGTTGACATCGGACCAGCGGCCTTCCTTCGCGGCATTACGAATCCTCGTCGAACTTACACCCTGAGTCTCGCCCGTCTCGTCGACCACGAGGTCCACCCTGCTCGCCCATTCCCTCTTCAACCCGTCGGACTCCATGTCTCCGTCCGCTATGCGCTTCAGGTACGCCAGCTGGCCGTCGATGCTCGACAAGTCCTCGTCGGCGCCCGTCGTGTCCTTTACATTCTTCGAGGGGCTGTCTTTGTCCACGCGGACCGTGGCGCGGACCCGGTGCCGCGTGAGGAACGGTGCCAACGCAGACAGCGGCGGCGTGTGGTCCGGGTAGTACTTTGCCGTGAAGATGCGGATGAGTGTGTCGAAGCCTGTCAGGTGGATCTGTTCAAAATGGTCCCCTGGGTCTCGCGGTGAAGCCGTCGCGTACGCGCCCGAGTCGTCGATCGAAGCGGCCTTGTCGACAAAGTACGGCTTCTTGGTGATTCCGATGTCGACGACCGGCGGGTCCGAGAGCGCAGAGCGCAGTTCCTCGGCCATGAGCGTCATCATGACCAGCCGGTCTGGAAAGGCGGCGGGCTCAGGGGTCTTGTCGGCGTTGACGGTCGCCAAAAGAAACAGAACTCGAGACTCGGCGGGGTTGGCTTGAGAAGGAGGAGACGGCTGCGGCGGCGGCGGCGGTCTCGAAGCCGTTTCTGACCGGCTTGACGACGAGAGGAAGGTGGTTGTCCTCAGTGCGTTCTTGACGAGGGCCAGATGTGCTTTGGACGGTGGGTTGAAGGACGAGTCCAGCACGTACAGCGTCCGAATAGGTGAGGAGCTTGGTGGTGAGGTCGACTGAACGGACCGTAGTACCTTGAATGTGCTGCTGGGCGATGAGGCAAAGTCTGTCAGTGCCTGCGCGAATTGAGAGCGGAGGGACTGGAGAGCATTCATGTCGAGATCGGAGTCGGACATTGTATGATAGCAGGGCTTCTTCCACAAATACTCCGTCTACTAGGTACGGGCGGAAGCGTTTGAATCGGGACCACGAAAGAATCTTATTGCCGTCAGGGCGAACACAGCATGGTTCCTCTATGTTGAGTCAGAAAATCCTCTCATACCAATGGCTATAGCTCATTTAGTTCAAAATATGCAAATTGTTCAGGAAGAGGTACTATGTAACAGTCTACCGCACCAGAGACGCTTGAAGCAGGAATGACGGAATTGGTCGGGCCGTGGTAGCAAGCCTTGCCGCTGACTAAAAATCGAGGTCGACAAGGCTGGAAACTGCCAAGCCCCGACACGTGACCAATATCGAAGTCCCACACCCACAGTCCGAAATATCAGAGTGCAGCCCGCACATAACTTCTAACTGCGCGCAAGTTCAATTCCTCGACAACCAGCCCAACCACCAACTTCCAGCAACTTTGAGGAATCCTCTTCAACTCGTCAAGATGTCTACCGCCGAACTCGCCAGCGCTTACGCCGCTCTCATCCTTGCCGACGAGGGCATCGAGATCACTGTACGAGAGATCCCAGTCCCGAGAAATTTTTTGGAAGACACTCTTCTCATACACAAGAGGAAGACGTTCTCCTGTCAACGCTTCAACACTTACTGACCGTTGTTTTCTGTGCAGGCCGACAAGTTGAACACCCTCATCAAGGCCGCCAACGTCCCTGACGTCGAGCCCATCTGGGCCAGCCTTTTCGCAAAGGCTCTCGAGGGCAAGGACGTCAAGGAACTGCTCACCAACGTCGGTTCAGGCGGTGGTGCCGCTGCTGCCGCACCTGCTGCTGGTGGCGCTGCCGCTGGCGGTGCCGCCGAGGCCGACGCTCCTGCCGAGGAAGCCAAGGAAGAGGGTATGTTTCGACGCTTCGACTTCGCAAAACATGATTTGACTGACCACCACAACAGAGAAGGAAGAATCCGACGAGGACATGGGCTTCGGTCTCTTCGACTAAGCGCTTCGGTTTTACGTACTGCCCTCTTATTCTCCACGACTATTCCGAGACAAGACAAACAAAAAGAATCCTTCATACAACCACTCTTGCAGCCAATGCACACCTTTCTGTCTTGTGTCTTGAAAAAGCTGGACCTGTCTCCCTCTTCTCGTGAGGAAGCGACATGCGTTCGGTATCTAGTCCAAGGCATTTGACATTTGTGGATATCAAAATGAGCAGACAAATACTCGAGAAGAACGGTCCGGGACGAGCAAGGGCATGCTAAGACTCATGCGGACGTACCTCGAGCCAGAAATCATCTTTTGAGCAATTGATCCACAATGTCAATAACTCATGAAAGAAAAGCGATCCAAGTTCTTGTTTCCTCCTGCGCGTCTCGCATGTTTGACTGTTGCGGACAGCTCTAGTCCAAGTGTCCTCGCGCCGTTCCATGCGGGCTCTCATCCTGGTTCGGGCGGTATTCAGTTGTGCAGTGCTTTCGCACGAAGTTATCCTATCACCACTCGTCCCTGATCTTGACCTCCTCTGCCCCGATGCTTGGCCCTTTTACATCGGAGGATATTGCAAGGGTGTCCCTCTGGAATGTACTTCTGCCCGTCTTTAGCGACCGTCGTCTGCCGCCCTCACTTTTTGTCTACTTCCCTTACTAAGGAACAGACGGTATTGTAGACCGTACTGTTCATGGCAGACATGTCTGTGTACCTCCTCGCTCATTCAATCCAGTCATATGGTGCGAACAAAATACTTGCAAAACGCAAGCCGCCTTGTGGATATCCGGCTTCTCCACTTTGGGAGTCAAGAGGTGCCTTACTCCAACACTGATATTCGTCGTCTGTTCCCCCTCTCCACGAATACCTCTGTGCTCTGGGCTTGTACGATATAAACCTGCCCGCAGTCCCGTCGATTCCATGGGTCGCCCACCGGTGTACGACTAAACCGCTGTAGCAACATTCCTCCATCGTTGGTGTCGATAGAATGCCATTCACATACGGCACTGATCATCTCGAGCCGGCTTTTCACGACCGGCCAGTCCCCAACATCACTTATGGTCTACACTTTGACGAAGCAGCCGCCCACCATGTTGAAAAGACAGTCAAGGCCAAACGTGTGTACATCATCGCATCCAATTCCTTGTCGAGGAATACCTATGCTCTCAAACGCCTCCAACGGGCCCTAGGCGAGAAAGTCGTCGGCACACGGATTGGCATGACTCCCCACACGCACTGGAACCAGGTTCTCGAAATCACCCAAGACGCTGCGCCAAAGAACCCCGACTGCATCATCACATTGGGTGCGGGCAGTCTTACAGATGCGGCGAAAATCATCTGCTGGATGCTTGCCAACGACATCACCACGGCGGAAGGTATGGAGAAGCTAGCCTCTGCAGGGAAGGACTTCAAGGACCCTGTCGTACAGCACGTTGCGATCCCAACGAGCTTGTCTGGGGGCGAGTACCAATCCATTGCAGGGGCGACACGCGACGATGGAACTCATCGCAAACAACTATTCACCCCACCTGAGAAGAACCCCTGCCTAGTAATACTGGATCCGGAGTTGACTATCACGACGCCTGAGAGAATTTGGCTGAGTACCGGCATCAGAGCGGTCGATCATTGTGTTGAGACACTATGTAGTCTTCTTTCCAACGCTAGGGGGGATGCAGAAGCCGAGAAAGGACTGCTACGCCTGGTGCCGGCTTTGATCCGAACACACAAGAACCCCGACGATCTAGATGCACGCTTCGAGACGATGAGAGGTGTTATCGAGGCCATGAGCGCCGTCTCCTCTGGTGTACCATTGGGTGCCAGCCACGCAATCGGCCATCAACTTGGGCCCATGGGCGTTGGCCACGGCGAGACTAGTTGTATCATGCTGCCCGCTGTGTGCAAGTGGAATGAAAAAGTAGGTGCCAACGTTGGAAAACAGGCTTACACGAAGAAAGTCTTACTCAAGTCGCCAATTGTCATGGATCTGCTGGAGGCGAAATACGGGAAACATGTCGGCGCGCTCAACAAAGTTGACCTTGGCGATACATTGGACGTAATATTCAGAGAGATAGGGATGCCACGAACACTCAAGGATGTTGGCATTGGAAAAGACAAGTTGGATGCCCTTGCAACGAATAGCTTGACGGACCATTGGATCCAAACGAACGCAAAACCGATTACGGAAAAGGGGCAAGTCATGGAAATCCTGCAAATGGTGGTAGAGTAGGAATGAATGGGGCGTGTTCTGTAGAATGCACCTGGACAGTTGTCAGTTGACCTTAGGAACAAGAATCTTGATGAAAGCCATTCACATCTTTGGCGACAAGGGTGACATGTGTGCCATTCGATCGGAATGCCATCAAGGAGACACGGTGGAGCCCTTGTGAAAGGAGTAGTGCACAGGACAAGTGACCCGGGAATACCAGCTAGACTCAATTGTAGATTACATCTCTTCTAGCAATCTAGACTACATTCTTTTCAGAAAAGACTGGCCAGATGATCAGTCATTGTGCAGTGGTGGTGATACAACATAAATAACCTCGGTTGGCAGCTCCCTTACTCCAAATAATGAGATCTCTTGATCTTTTTGACCATGTGGCCCACGAGATACCTTTTCATAATTCTCAATTGATCTGTCGCCTCGACACCGGAGACGAGGGTGGCTATTACCAATGGAGATATCCCGCCAGAACATACTCACCGACCAAATTGAGCCCCCGAAACTACAGGTACCTTATCTACCTGGGCACGGAGCCCCTCATCCCAATGTCTCCCGTATCTCGCAACAATCTCTTCCCAGGCGAGCAGCTGTCGACAATCAACGGCGCCCCATGTATAACGTATTTCCGCCCGGGTGACCCATCGCGCCCTCTTGCAGTCCTGGTACCTGGAGCGGCACACCTCGCTCGCGTCTTCTATGGAGGTCACGACGGCCACGACCCGCACGACTTTGTCGCCCACTGGCTGACGCAACAAGGCTACAACTTTCTCGCCATCTCGTATCCTCTCGAGACCGACCCGGCGACAATGCTACCGACGCAACCAGGCATGACTGTATCCGAATGGGGCGCGCAAGCCGTCGAGGCCACACGGCAGACGATACACCGGCACCACCTCCTCAGCAACGCCGTCATCCTCCTCTTCTGGAGCATGGGCGGCAAGATTCTACAGCCGTACGTCCTCGCAGCACGCGACACCAACATCTCCATCTCCTTTGCCGTGCCGCTCGTAGCCACCCCGGCCATCCGCGGCGTGCGCGATAGACCCATCCTGACGCCCAGTCCCACGGGTTACGCAACGGCAGCAGGCCTCTCGGAGACATACTTCATGTTGCAACTCCACGAGCAAAACGCCATGCACAACGGCAAGACCATCATTCCAGACGAGACCTACCGGCGTGAGTACCTGGGTAATTTCCCCGTGGGTCTCGGATGCTATGGCGTACGGTGGTGCGCAGTAGAGGAAGTCCAGCCACAAGAACAAGACCAACGACAGCGGAGAAACCGAGGCTCCTTCGTAGACGATCCAGACACGGGCTACGAAGTCGCCGACGCAATTCCCCATGCGCAATTACCATTGATATGCTCGATATCATGCTCGAGCCCCGCGGACCTGAGACACGCCATTGCCGACAAATACACCTGGGGTTTCCTGTTGACCTACAAGCTCCTCGGTGGCATTGCGCCGTCGAAAAGGGCAGCGTTGCAGACCGACCAGGATAAAGGGAGACGGGTCGTCCAGTTCATCCACTCCGCACCAGACACACTGTCGGCTACAGTCGAGGGAGGCCATCACTTCTTCATCGGAGAGAAAGGGGCAAAGAGGACGGCGGAACTCGTTGCGGAGTTTGAAACCCGCGTAGCCGATTTCCAACGAGATCTGGCGTCTCTGTTGTCTTGAGCCGGCTGATCAAGCTGGGCCTGGTCCAAAAAGGGACATATCTACACATATTCCGTACAGAGCGACGGACAGAAGAAGGTGGAGACAGCATCGGGAAATAGTCTGAGACTTGGAAAGCCCCAGTTCAGCACTTCCCAGTCCCGCAAGCTGCACAGCAACCCCATATCTTGATTCGTCCCAGAGTCACAAAACCAGCACGGCACCAGTCTAGCATCACTCAGACATACAACACACAAAAACAGTTGGCGTGACGGAGCCAACACGCCACACACTGCCGGCATCAGTCTACCAGAATCACTCAGGCACACAATACACAAAAGCAGTTGACATACGAAAGGATCTGTCATAACTCAGTCATCAATGCGTTTTGAAAGAAAGGAAATGAGAGTTATGTACAGCTCCAAAGCCCACGCTCGTTACTTGGTACTTTGAGCTTCAAGGTTCTACCGAAATGATTTCTTCCAGAAACACTCCTCACAGATGATGCTTATATCGCCAAAATTCCTACTCCGAACGCCTCGCCATTGAAAGGGAAAAACAGAAATGAGAAATATGGAAAAATCGGAACCAAAATGACGGGCTCGATATTTACCGGAGTCAGTAAGGATAACAACCACCATCTAATCATCCCACTTGATAAAAGTCTTGGACTCCAACCACCTGCCGCTCTTTACGACCAGTTCATCGATACGGGTGAAGTAATCTGCCGCCCAGATGATGACAAGAGCGGTGAAGAGCTCACCAAGGGCACCGGACCAGTAACTCTGGGTGCCAAAGTACTGTTTCTGCCAAGGGTCCACGTACGGGATGTATAGGACCCAATTAACGGTGTTGTGCATGGCGTATACGCCAAACGAAATATCACCGAGATACTGCGAGAACCCCCACTCGAAAGGAATTTGAAAGATCCGGCAATTGTCCAGGGCAAAAACAAACAGGGCAGCGCCGATACCGAGCCAGAAATGTTCACCCAGCTCGGGGACATACCACCAGGGGATGAGGTCTTCGAAATATCCCCAAGGCCACCAGTCCCTGTTGTAGTGACCGTCGTATGGCGGGGGTTGTCCCATCAAAAACATGCCCATGATGAGCAGGACGAGGCAGCCCACGATTTTCAAAACTTTGCTGTACACCTTGTTCTGCGGCTTCTCCGACACCAGAGGCAAGTCGTCCTGCTGGTCTTGTTGCGGGAGGCGAATCTTCTGGAGTCGTTCCGGGTGACGGTCGAACTGGTAGTCGGCGATCAACATGCCGTACATGAACAGGGCGACGTAGATGACACCCCACCAGTAGCACAGACCGATGACGACCCACGCAAAGAGTCTCCGGCCAAATGTCGCCATGTAGCATGCCGCGGCCAGGAACCAAAAGACGGCCATACTTCCTCGGAACTCGACGGGGATGGTCCACATCTGATCCAGGTAGTGCGTACGGAAGACATCGCCGTACCAGAAGCCTTTGATGTCGCCGAACGGGTTGCTAGAGGCGCCAAAGTCCCAGAACCAGTCCCGCATCTGCAGGTAGAAGGTGGCTTGCTGTGGTGCAGGGTGGCACCATCCCCAGAACGTCATGACCGCGGTGACCAGGGAGGCAACACCAGTCGAGATGTAGAGTCGCCACCACCTTCGGAAGGTCGAAGATGCCAGGGCCCGCAGGAGACCCGTTTGCTGGTTTCGGACCATCTTGAGCATCCGATAACTGAGCACATATCCGGAGATGATGAAAAAGATGTCCACCATGGCCCGACCGTTTAGGATCATGCGGATGACGGGTTGCTCAAAGAGCCACGTCCTGTTGGCGAAGGTGTGGTATCTGGCCACCGAGACGGCTGCCCACCCTCTCAGGGCATCAAGGTAGGCTGTCGGGTGTAGTTTATCTCTTTTGAGGCCGCCGGGATGTACAAAACGAGGGAAAACGAGGACGAGGTACGAAAGAACGAGAAACAGGAGGGTCTTGAGGTCCGCCACGTCCCATTTGGTGGTTGTTCTCCAGTCGGCCGATAGGCGTCTGATGGGGTCTTGATACCACTTCGGTCTTGCTTCTTCGGGGAGCTTTTCGAGGTCGATTTCGGAGAGGTCGTGTTCTTCTCCTGCTGAACCTCCTCCTCCTCCTTCTTCTTCATAATCGTCGGCCAGCCGAGCATGGTCCGTCAGCGGTCTGTACTCGTGCGTGTTTGACATCTTGGCGCGATGTCGTTATTCCCCCCGGCGTTTACCGGTGGTGAGAAAAAAAAGTTCAGGACGAATAGCACGAGTTTCGTAATGATGATCATGGCAGGAATGTAGGCTTTATGAAGAAAGTAACTGGTGTCGCTCTGAAAAGGTGGTGGCAAAGTAAGGGGACGCACTGCTGATGCGGGAAGCGAGGTATGTGCCAACTTATCTCCTGACAGCCATGTCACGGACGTGCCCTTATTGTCAATCACATTGACCGTGTCGTGATCGGCGGTTGTTTCTGATACGAGAAATGCGAAGTGGCAATCTGACGTGCCTGGGCAAGCTTCCTACCTCCATAGTTAAGGACCTTTTGTACTGGTACCGTGACCGCATTGATGCAGCAATGCTTTCGGCCGCGGTGCAGTAGGACCGTAAGTTGGACACGTAGTACGACGATGCTGTGAAAGTACTTCCCTGGTATTCTGTCGAGACCAACAAACCATCTTGGACCCCTTCTACGCGTGAACCACCTTCTTCCACGCATGTGACGAAAACCGGCTCTCTTCCCCCCCTCGTCTGAGGCTTCGGTCCGTGTTTCAATTGACTACCTTGCTGTCATAAGATGTAGCGGTTTCTGTCAAGCCATGTATAGCATCGTCGACTGCTTGGCCTGTAGATTGAGGTTGGACGAAAGAGAGCCGCATGGCTTTCTTAGTGTGCATGGGAAATCTTCCAAAGCGCATTGGACGGGCTGCGGCTGACAGATTTCCCCATTGGCGCAAAGCGACGACGGAGCAGGGGGGTGTTTTATCGGTTTTTGTGGATCACTACTGTGCCCGGCCTAGATTGACACGGCTGGCACACTGTCAACGGGCGCGTGGTACCTCGTACGAGTAAGGGGGATGAGAGAGGAAGACAAAGGAGATTTTGACAGCTGTCGTTGTTGACGGAGAGAGGGTGCTTAACCGCTTTGGGCTCTCTCGACTTGCGGCCAAAGTCCTAACTAGTTAACGCCCCCTTTAGCTACCTAGGCATCCTACCTAGTGGCCACTTGAGTTTGAGGATGTCAGGAAACGTGCTTCGCCTAGAGCGATACACATTCCCAGTCGAGTCCAAATGCCATTATTACGGGCTTCGTCTCCAAATTGTCCATCTTATTGACGTGAAATTAGATCTTCAAGATAAAGTTTCGCGTGGCTCGTTACCCGTTTTGGGTTGGACGAGACGTTGCTTTCGGGTACGGTCGCCGTTGTATCTTGATGCTTTTGTCCAAGGGGGCAAAGAAACACAAGACGGAATGTCGAGGGGCAGAGAGAGACACGGTAGATTCTGAGGTTCCTGTGTCTTCGTTGCCTGTGGACGCGCTTGGTCCAGCACAAGCAGGAATACCGAAGTATGAGCGAGTCCACGGCTGTGGCTTTTCCCTCCCTGTTGGCGATCGCCGATACTCTGTATGACTCTGTATGTACTTTCGAAAGACACGTGGGCTGTTGGTCGTCCAGAACTCCAAGTAAGCAAGTGGATTGCTTGTTTGTCGATCAAGTGAGCACGCTTGAACGAGGCTTTTCAAGCAATTAGTGAAGAAGCGAACGACAGAAAACGAACCTTTCCAACCGTGGGTATCATTATGCAGTGAGACTGGACTGGGCGGCATCATCAAGACTATTAAGCTTGTCTCGAGTCCCTACGCAGTGATGGGCTTTCGACAAGGCAGAAAGAATGTTGCTGCACATCAATGATTTAAGGACAACCCAAGTGTACTCCCCCTATAGGTACTAACTAATTGTTTGGATACGAATTATACGAGGAACATACGAAATACGACGAACTTGGGACAGCGGGCAGTGCGTGCCATAACAATGATTACTCCTGTTATGTACTCCATAGTTAGTAGTAAGACGGGACGTTTCATCGCTATTACGAATCGATCATCTCCACGCTCTCTCCTTCTCGGAACTCCATGCTCAGACACAGACTAATGTCCTCCAAGATCTCGCAAAATAGTCCCAATACTGCTAGTTCATCCCATCGACAGCGGCTAGATAAGATAGTGTCAGAAAGCGAGATTTTCCCACACTAAGAATCACCAACGACATCTGGTCAGTGGTCGTCAATCGCCCTGGCGCCATCAAGCTCCTCAGTGCTCGCTCACAATGGTCTCTTCGATGTGCATTCCGGACATCGTTCTCACGCCTTGTCCTGGCGCGGACACGGACAAGGACCCGGTTCGATCTCCAGCGCTTTTTTTTCCAAGTTCAAGTTCGTGACACCGAAATTCAGCCAGCCGCACCAGCCTCGCATCCGCTCAGGTTCCGTTGTGTCCAGCTCGTCTACTCCACACTGTGTACAGCTTCGATCCCTCGTCAGCCAGTCGTGCCTGACGCTGGGCCACTGGAGCCTTCTGCTTCGTGTACAAATGCATATGAAGCACGTTGTCGAACTCGATGTCACGCAACCGTAGACAGGACGGACTCTGCGGTTGTCTTGAGCGGGTACCTCCACGCCCTGCGGCTCGTATAGGGCAAACCCTCTCATGACTCTTCTCGTGTATAGCGCCCAACCGAGCCACTCACTCACTCCCTAGTCAATGCAGCTTTTGGTGGATGCCTGGCAGGCAGGATATATATGCAGTGGTGTGGGTATGATATTTTTGCTCGATATGTTCTTCTCCTTGCGATCTGTCGTCCGTTCTCTCAGCACTACGAGTGCATCAAATTGAAGACTGCTCTTGAACCTCAACAGTGCCAAACATGGCAGCCAGCGGCAATGTTACTTACCTGCCCTACCAAGATTGTTACAATGTCACGCCACAGTGTCCCGTCGAGCTCAGCATCTACGGCTATTATCCCAACATCGGCGCGAATGCTTTTTTCGTGGGCTATTTCTTTGTAAGTATCTGTTTTTGTTCTCTCTCTGTCCAACACCAACCGACAGCATCACCCGGTCCCGGTCCTGTTCTCTTTGTCCCTCATCGCACGTCCACCAAAGTTGGCCATGGCCTCGGCATGAAACTAAAGGAAACCAAAAACAGATGGCAGGGGCTCTTCAACTATACGCCGGCATCCGCTACAAAACATGGACATACCTTCTCGCCATGTTCCTTGGTTGCGTCGATCAAGGGCTCGGCTACATAGGCCGTGTGATGCTGCACAGCAACCCCTACGACAGCGTCGGCTTCCAGATTCAGATTTGCTGCCTCATTCTCGGTCCCGCGTTCAACTCTGCCGCGATATATCTCGTCCTCAAGCACATCACGCTCTGTTTCGGTCCGGAGTACTCGCGCATCCCGCCAAAATGGTACACGCGCATCTTTATCACTGGCGATCTGGCCTCACTCATCATCCAAGCCGTCGGAGGAGCAATGGCAGCTACTTCTATGGACAATAAGTCTCGCCAAAAGATTGGCGACCATATAATGGTAAGTTTTCTCCCGAGATCTATTTGTTTCGTTCTCAAAGACACACTCTCTCGTAATTGAGCCTGACGTTCCTCCGCCATGACATGTTCAATCTGTTCTGCCTTTCCTTGCCATCTCCTTCACCCAGGGTACATCCATGCTGCCTACCCGTGACGCTGACTCGGCCTGTTCTTGCAGATGGCCGGTATATGCTTCCAGGTCGTGACGCTCTCCTTTTTCGCGATCGCGTCACTCATATACATCACCACACGATACCGCGCAAAGACTCCCCTGCCCGCCGAAGCGAGGATGTTCCTGAGAAGCACCAAGTTCCGCCTCTTCGCCATCGGTCTCGTCGCGGCCTTCACCTGCATCTTCATCCGATGCGTCTACCGGATCATCGAGATGGCAGGCGGCTGGGGCAACCCCATCATGCAGAGTGAGGTCCCCTTCATCGTCCTCGACGGCACCATGGTTATCATCGCCACGACGATTCAAACACTCTTACATCCAGGATGGTGTTTCCCGCGCCTGTCGAGTGCGTACGTGCCACCGGTGGCAAGCAACACCGGACTCTACGGCCGCAACGGAGGAGCAGAGTTGGATACGGTCGAGAAGAAGGATGGCATCACCGGAGACAACACGGATGCTTTGTAATCTTTTGCCGGAAGACGGGAGGTTGAATGGATTTTCTTTTTTGCGCACCGTGTTCGCCTGGGACGGATGAAAATAGATTTGGACTTACATCATGCAGATGATCGAAGACTAATTTGTGTCCTTGATGTCCACATGTTTACCATTCCACACTCTCGCATGTCGATGGGTATTGATACTCGGGACGTTGTCTCCGACTCTGAAGGCACCTCATCCGCTCTTCCTTCCATCTGTCCCGCGATGATGTGCCACTACATGATGCTCGGCCACAACGGCAAACGTCCTCTACGACACTTCTTCCTGCCCACTCACTCGTCAATCGCCATGTGTTGTTGTCCCTCGCCATGGACATAGCTCTCGTCGCCCGTCGTCTTCTCCTTGTCGAGATATCGTCATGTAGACCGCTCGCTGCACTCCCACGGCGGCGTCCTTTAAACCGTCGAGATTGTCATCATGTAGACCGCTATGCCCTCCCTACTTGAAGGTTTGACCCGCCGACCTCTTCTCGATATAGCCTCATGCCATCTAGTCGCACGTCGTGCTCTTGAAACGTCGACGGAAGGGCTCTAACTCTCTTTCTCTACATTCTCTCTAGGTCTCCTCCCTTCCCACTCATTCTACGTACCATCTCCATCTCGAGTGAGTGAGCGAGCGAGCGAGTCTCTCCTACCGCGAGTCACATCACAAGCACAAGTCTAGACGCGGATAAATGTATAACACCTCTTTTGCGAGGGAATTAAAACTAGTCTGAAAAGAAAAAAAAAAGAAAAGAAAAGAAAAGAACAAAGGAAAAAAGAAAGAGAAAAAAAAGCACAAAAGAAAAAAGAAAGAAAAGGAAAAACACTCCCACAACGCAACACACAACAGCAGACAACAACAACAACACCAGCATCCCCAGCACCCCAGCACCCCCCTACCACGCCTCACCGTGGAGTGCAAGGAAGCGCGCGGCAAACGCCCCCTTGCACTCCCCCCCCCCTCCCCCCTTCCTCTACTCCTCGCCGCCGCCAACACCAGCACCCGCACCCGCACCACCAACACCACCACCACCCCCCCGACCCCCCCGCAGCCCCCCGATCTGCATCCGCTCCAGCTCCCCCAGCCAACCCGGGGCGGAGCCCAGGTTGAACCGGGGGAACCGGGCGAGCTCCCTCCTCGTCTCCGCCGCGGCGGCCTCCGTGGCCCTGGTGGCGGTGGGCCTCAAGGGCTGAGTGCCCCTCGCCGCCGCCAGGGTCTCGGAGGCCAGGATTCTCTGGTGCTCCCTGGCCAGGAGAGCACGCCTCGCGCCGCGGGACATGCCCCCGGCTCTCGCCCGCTCGAGGACCGCCAGCAGGTGGCGCTGGAGGTTCTCGTTGGCCGCCACCGAACTGGCGGGCCGCGAGCGGTCGAGGCCGGCGTCGATGCCCTCGAGAGGAGCGGCACGACGGCGACGCGAGGCGGCGGTTGTCGACGACGGACCACCAACGACAACGTTGTTGTCGCCCACAACAACGTTGTCGTTGGTGGCTGTCGTGTTGCCGACAACAGAAGACGGCGACGGCAGGGACGCGAGCCGGGACATGATTCTGTCCCAGGGCGCCTGGAACTTGGCGTCGAACCAAGCGTCGAATTCTCGCTGGTCTTCTTCAGTCCAGAATTCGTCGTTGTCATTGTCGTGGCCGCCGTCGCCGTCTTCTTGTTGTTCGTTTTGATCGATGGCTCGCCCCTTGCCATGATCGTTGACTTTTTGTGTGACTTCATCGTCACCATCGTCGTCGTCGTCATCGTCGACCTCGTCGCCGGCGTCGTAGGCTTCTTCGCCATCATCGTCGACCGCCGGGACTTCTTGATCGTTGACTTGATCGTCACCCGTGTCAAAGTTTTCGTGAAGAATCATTTCTTGTTCTTCAACACGCTCATCCTCATCCTCGTCGTCGTCGCTATTTTCTTCGCGATCGTCGCCTTCTTTGGCAGAGTAATAGGGAAGTGAGACTTCATCATCTGATGTATGGACATTGGCTGTATCGTCATCGACAGATGCTGCATCTTGTTCTTGTTCTTGTTCATGTTCTGCTTCATCTTCATCAAGATCCGTAGCCTTTGCTTTGCCCTTGCCCTTCTTGTTGTTCTTTTTGTTCTTTTTGTTCTTTTTGTTGGGGTTATTCTTCTTCTTCTTATCCTTTCTCTTGTGGTTGTCTCTTCTCTTCTTCTTCTTTTTGTCACCAGTGGTAGTGGTAGAAGTAGTAGTTGTAAGGACATCGTCAACATGGCCAACTGATTTCGTGACGGTTCCAGCAACGTGAGTTTGAGTGGAAGAGGTAGTAGGACATCTCTCAACGGCTTTGCCTTTGCCTTTGTCAAGAGGAGAAGAAGTTGTGTGGTGAGTAGTTGATGGACCTTCGCCAGGATCGGAGCCATCATCACTCGAATCGTCCATGAGGTACTCAAAGCAGTCTCGGAAGTGAGTCTCGATGATTTCACCCTCAGCGGCACCACCTTCATGGTCAGACTCGTGGACGTGAGGATAATCTAGTGCATCAGGCACCATGACGTTCTGCTTGTTACCCATTCTGGCTGTTCGGTCGTTATGAAACCAATCCCAAACCGCTTTGAACTGTGGATCTGCACTGCTGCTTCGCGCTGCGTGTTTTGTGCGATAAGTGAAGTCAATCAGGCCGATGAGAATGGTCGGAGAGGCTGATACGATGTTGGATCTGTCCCCGTGTACCACTGCGCGGCGAACCAGCCACTGACAGATGAGAAGGATAGCTTGGTACTCGTTTATTCCTGGTTGTGTGGTGATGACAATGTCTTCAACTTTTAGCCCAGTTGACACTGCACCGTTGGTTTTGAACCATTTGTCCAATGCGGGTGTCTTCACTACGTCTTCGGCAAGGCCTCGCGTGATTTCGGGATCAAACTGCCACGAGAGTTTCTTTTGATCAGGAAGCTTGAAGGCGTACAAGTAGGCGATTTGACTGTACAAGTACTTGATGCCTGTGGTCTCGTTTTCTCTGAAGAATGGAATGAGTGTCTTTTCAGCTGGTTGCCAAAGCTATAAGATGAGAAAACTGTTGTCAGCTGATTTCACTCAATCCTCACGTCCCAAACTGAACTTACATGATCGGTGATGAAACGTAGTTTGCTTGCTGGGAACGGAGAAGGTACCAATGAGGTGTACTCTTTTGGCAGACTCTCTGTTTCTGGGCTTGCTTTGGGACGAGTGTTTTCAGATCGAGATTGAATTGGAGATGAAGGAGGAGCAGGAGGAGGAATGTTTGTTGAGGATGATTCTCCTTCAACGGAAGAGAGCGCCGAGCCATCTGGCAAGCCTTGGCTAAAGAATTGCTGAGTCGCTCGTGCAGAGCGACGAGCCCTGCTGTTTTTGCCGCCGCGGCCCATTGTGATGGTTGTGGTGGTGGTGGTATCGCGAGATGATGAGGTCGCGAAGGTGGTGGAGGTCGCGAGAAAGATATGTGCGACGGCACCTCACAGTACCTACCCATCTTGGCGAACGCACCAGCTGAGGCAGTGAATCTATGCACTGGGAGTAAGAGTGAATCCTGGACGAGTGAATGAAGACGTCGTGGTAGATGAGAAAAGGGCATCACGTGACTCAGCCTCGCCAGGGGCTCTGTGAGCCAGGAACACACTGTATATGATAGTTCTGGGACACGCAACAGTATAGCTTATTGTTTGATACAAACAAGGGGCTACTATCTATTCTGTGAACAGACTTAGCTTTTCGACACTCGTCATTAAGAAGTGAATCAACCTACCTTCATGCACACAATTGCTCCTCTAGCTCTCAAATCGGCCATTGTCACTGACGACCGTCGTTTTAGACATTCGTGGGGATACCAGCATTAGTATCGATCAGGCAAAGTGTAACGGCATTGAGCGGGAGTCAACAAGAGTCAACAAACTGTTCATTGTCCTTTCCAAAATCAAAGTGGTATCTGCAAATACGTAGCGTCGTAAACTCCCATGTCATCCCATGCGGTCATGGTCGTAACGGTTGAAACCAACCAGGTCTATCCACTGTTAAAGGACAATCAGGCATCGCTAGGGATAAAAAGAGGGATATCATCCATAGCAAACCGCAAATAAATCGCCGAACCTTTAGCCGTATTCATTGACCCATATACATCTGGGGCCCCGGGTTCGAAAAATCCAGACCATTTCCACTAACATATCCGTCACTTATATCTTCGTCGTAGTACTCTCCTCCGCTTGAACCATCGAAACTGGCCCTTCCCATGCCACCGACATCACTCAGATCACCTTGATCGTCGACCGTCGATATTTGAGACCAATCGATATTTTGAAGAGCAGGATATTGCTGAAGGAGTGCTGCTGGCAGAGCAAAGCCACCAGTGCCTGTGCTGGGATCCATGCCAATCATCATTGGTTGTGGGACAGGTTGCAGATTCTGTGCGAATTGTGCCTGCTGGTGTTGCTGTTGTTCCATAATGGCTCTATTTTGCCGCTCGGCCTTTTCCTCCTCTAGTAACGGTTTGATACAGATCCTTCCTGCCTCGGACCGGAAATGTCTCCCCAACGCATCGGCTCTGGCAAAGCGCCGCCCGCATCCCCAATACTGACCAGGGTTGGAGTGAAGTTCGCCCTTGCACACAAACTTTTTCTCACCACTATGAAGCCCTTCGTGACGCTTTCTGTCGTGCTGCCTTGCAAACGCCTTACCACAGACGGTACATACAAAGGGTCTTTCATCGGTGTGCGTTCGCAGGTGGGACCGCAGATTGTAAGCCCGTGTGAACCTTTTGGGGCATAGATTGCACTGGAAGGTTGCTGGGTGTTTTTGAACTCGGGCGCTCTGGCCAGACGGTGACGCGTTGGGTCTGCTAGGGTCTGCCAGATCAAGAATATAGTCACGAGATTGACCCATGGAAGAGGTTGACGCTCTACGATTCTTTTCCACTCTGCCAGACGCGACTGGGCCGGGGGATGAATCGCGAGACAGAGAACGGGCACCCCTGTCGGGCGATCTTGATACAGCGAGATTGTTCGTCGAGGGAGTCCCAGCTCGCGACAAAGGTCTGCTGAAGGTGACATCAGACTTACTTCGGCTTCGGCCTCCTGACATTGAGTTAGTCCAAAGTCTCGGAATAATAACAGAAGCAGAACACCTACTATTCGAGGATGGAGGGCTCAATGCACCTTCTACTGCTTCTCCCTGGGGCCCGAAACTCTGTTGCCTGGAAACAGGGGCAGGTTCGATGTTGATAGTCGGAGGCGCAAATTGGTCAGCTTGTCCAATGTCAGAAACGACGGAAGTGTTGCGCATATGATTGCTCGGAATAATAGAGGGGTATGCTGATGCTTCCGAAGTGTATACGTTGGGAATAGGTATGCCCCCCATCGGCTGGTTCAGTGACAAGCCTTGCTCAGCTCCGACACCTTGTTGATTGCCCTCCAAGTGTGGCATCAGTCGTGGAGACCGGTAGGAAGCCTGTTCGCCCAGGCTGAAAGTCTCCATTCCGAAGGCATTGTTGGTATCAGGTTGGGCCTGAAGAAATGGAGAATGGTTCAAGTCCGTCGGATCATGTAGGTCTGAGTGGCCGAGGTAGGGAGAATGGCTGGCCGACGAGATTTCGCTGTGATCTGAGGGGGCCCTCCTGTGCTGCTGAAAGTTGAGGCCAGAGTAGCTGTCTCCGTACGCACTGGAAGGATCCAAAGAGGCATGCCTTGAATGCTGTGGGGTATAGAATTGTCCATTTGTTGAGGCAGGGGATCCAGGCTGGGAAGATAGGTTTTCTGGGGGAAGCAAACTGGGTGACTGTTGGTCTTGTGGAGGAGAAGAAACCTTGCTGAGGTCGGCGGGGTTGATATTTGTCTGTGGATTCATATCGTAGGCATTACTCAGTGTATAGTTTTGGTACTCATTAGACATATTTTCCCCTTGGAACATAAAATTGCTATTGAATGACGGGTCAAAAGACTGGTTGTCAAACTGATTGGTCTGAAAAGTATCCTGATATTGACTGTTTCCGTAGAAACTCGGCTCAGCAGAGTTGGTTTGCAGGCCGTTCTGCTGCGACGGGTCGAAGAAAGGATTGGAGAAGGGCTGTGTGTTTGAGTTGATGAACTTGCCCGAGGTCAAAGCTGCTTGTACCGAAGGAATCACACCAGGAACGGTGGTAGCGTATTGATTCGGAGAGGGCTGAGGGCTTATGTGCTGCGCATTGCCCCTCGAGGGAGATCTTCCCCGGGAGTCATCCATCTTTTATGAGAGAGCCGTTCTACTCAACCGACGCTGGTGATGTGGGTTTGGATAATTATGGTGAAGAATGGCAAAGAAAGCCAGGCACCTGCGGGAACTTCGGTCGTCGGTGGAACGGCACTCAAGCCGTCGATGGTAGGATTGGGCTAGTTGGAGGTGTTTTGGGACGGTTCTTTTACCAGGCAACCTGTGGCGCAGTGTGTTAGCAGACATTCTTGACGAGTCGTGGTCCCTTCTTGGTCAGGAGCGTACTCAGCCGCGTTGAGGCTATGCCGAAGTGAGGTACTATAAGAGATCGCGCAGAGCCTTCAATGATGTATACAAGTCACAACAACCGTCCTCAATCGGCCGCGACCTCCGTAATGGTCAGTCGAGCCTCGCTACAATGCGCTTGACGTTGTCAGGTTGTCAGGTTGTCAAGGTGAATTGGTAGGCAGAAGCAGAAAGTGTGCGGAGTTCGTGAGAACCAACAGAAAGTGGCGGCAGAAAGATGATTCAGGTAGAGACCATCGGAAGATCCTAGGAGACGAATTCGCCGGCCTACCAGGCTGGAGCACAAGAAGAGGGTGCGGCGAGAATAATACGAAGACTGCGAAAGACGCAGAATGAGGGTTTGTGAGATGATGAACGAACGGATAGAGGGACTGTGGTGTACTTGTTATTTGAAACTAACCAAATCCCGCGGCGCCAGTGCATCATGATCATGGCCCTCTACAGCAAGCACCATTGCTCGCCCTCATCATCTACAACTCGCTCAGTCCTCAATAAGTGCCTCACGGAATACTTAGTTATATCAGCTCACACTCAACTGTATTCATTTAGCTCTTGATCAGACAATGCCGCCGCCTTGACCACAGTCATTCAGTCCTCTGAAGGGAATCCTTGCCAGGTGCTTCATAAAGTGCCACAATCCGCCCGCAGCGGCCAGAGGTTGAACAAGGCCCAAATCTCAATCGTGTTGGACCCAGAACCATTCTGATTCGTCGTGAATGGAACTTTGGTACTTCCTGAAGTATTTTTACCCCCGTATGGAGTCGTGCGGACCCAAATCACCTGTTCGCCAGGCGCCAGAGGACTTTTGGTCCTGCAAGTAATGCAGTCAGATAGATCAATGCATCTCATCAGTGCCATGACGTTGCAGATGCAGCATCGAATTCTTCTCATGGGCGAGTAGCGCTGGCCTCCCTTGCTACTATGATTGCTTTATCGTTTACTGTGCAAGCAAGCTCAACCAGAAACAGTCTGAACGTGCGAGTCAGAGTGCTGTGGCTGTGCAAGTACGCCTACGAGTCCTACGAGTAATGTTGCAGCAGCGGTCGCCATGAACTACAAGGCAGATCGAGCAAGTTTATGGATTGGTTTATTCCTCATTACCCCTTTTCTTTGGTCCTTTATTTCTCCTGCTTTTGCCATGCTTGGTCTATGGTACATGCCACAGCAATGAGCGGGCCGGTCTGGTTTTCGACATCAATCAGATCCCAATTCTCCGAGCATGTGAAGGAGCGAGACAGCCCTGATCTGTAATGTGTTTTTGTGTTCATGCATATGCAACTCCGACTGTAAACTCCCGGCTCCCGTCTGTAAATGCATCCATACAACACCATCCGCTGACCTTGTACAATAAGAAAACAGCGCAAACGGTGTCAATTCAAGGCAACAAGTGATCATGATTCGTCAAAATATTTGGTTCCTCCCATCCTCGTGGTTTCGAACATCGTGTTTTGATGGAGCGTTGTCGATGGACAAACTGCTGGAACGCATCCGAATTATGAAAATGCTGGAGGACACAACTGATCCGCAGCGATGGGGACGTTCGGCGAGTAAGTGGTGAAAACGGCGCTGTTGCACAACAGACGAGACGCAGACGGCGGGTGTCTATCATGCTATGCGTGTAATAGCCTGCTGCAATTGTGGAACGCGTTCAACCTTGTAAGCTATGTCAGCACAATTTCATTTCTCTCATACATCACGACATACCACAACAAATCAGTTTCGCAATCTTTTGGAAAAATCCAGGCTGTTGATCTTGTTGCTGAGGAGGCCTTCCCTGGCTACTCTGCAAAGCCCCGGCGGCTGGACTCGTGCGAGGCTGGGATCCCACCAGGTTTGCGTTGCTGTTTTGGAACTGCGCCTGGGTACTGGCGGGAGGGGTATTCATATCCAGTTGTCCCGCTAAAGCACTACTCCTCTTAGGAATGTTACCCCCCGCGGCGCCGCTTGTGCGATCTCGAGCGCTCTTCCCCATGGCTGCCACTCCAGGTTTCGCTGGGGAACCCGGGGGCGGGGGCTGCGCTGCGTTTAAACGATCCGCCGATATAGCTCCTCGGTCTCGCGATGGCCGTTGCCCACCATCTTGGCGTATGGCAGAAGCTCCATGCAACGCACGCGCCGATGCATCAGCTGGAGGGTTGACGTTGTGTAGATGCGCCGCGGATGGGTGGGCTTTCATCGCCTCCCAGCCGCGTCCGCCGTTCAGTTTCATCCAGTCATATTCCCCATCCTCGACCTCGCCACTGTTTTTCAGGGCCTGCGTGAAAAGGTCGCGTAAAAAGTCATAATCGGGGGTATCCTCGAATCCAAGGTTTCGGACGTAGCTAAGATATTTGTTGAATTCCTCTGTATGCACCATTAGCTTTATCGCTGATCATCCCAGTACACGATAGTGCCAAAGCATACCTGGGAATCCTTCGCAAAGATCCTTGATCGCAGTAGTTTGCTTCTTCTCTCCTATCTTCTCGTATTTTTGTTTGTTGGTTGCTGCCTTTAGTCCTTGCCATGGGAGGCCTCCTCTCAGAAAGTACATGAAAACATGTCCAAGAGCTTCCAGATCATCACGCCGCGACTGTTCCCGGCCTAAATGTGTATTGATACTCATATAACGGGCTGTGCCCGACAAAGATTTCCGCTCACGGTAGGGGATATGCTGCTTAGTTTTAGGGTCTCGGTATTGTTTTGCCATCCCGAAGTCGACCACATGAATGACGTTAGCCGCTTTCGTACCGGGCCTGCCGATCAGGAAATTGTCAGGTTTGATGTCGCGGTAGATGAGATTTTTCTCGTGGATCGTTTGGACTCTCGAAAGCTGAGTTCGGTCTGTCAGCGGGGATCAGTTACAACAAGAGAGCAATCTTACCATCTGTTTGGCAACCATTACCACGGTCTTGATGGAGAATCGTCTGTTGCAATGATCGAAGAGATCTTCCAGACTGGGGCCCAAAAGATCGATCACCAGGATGTTGTGCAGACCTTCCTGCCCGAAATAATACACATTGGGAATGCCAGCTATGCGTTGTTAGCCTTTTGACTTGTTGGCGGCTAGAAGGAGGAGGCTAGACTCACGGCAACCGACTAGGATTTTGTATGTACGATATTCATCTCGCAATTGAGGAGCATCGCTTTTTCTGGGTTCCTATCATGCCAATGAGACTTAACACGTCGAACGCAGTGACAAGCGACATACGAATTTGATGGCCACTTGTTGATTGTTGAGAAGATTGGTGCCTTCGAAAATAACACCAAAGGAGCCCTCTCCTATCTTCTTGCCCACTCGGTAGTGTACGCCAACGACGTTCGAGGAGGAGGAAGCCATCGTTTCGCAGGTTCTGGCGTTGAACTGATGAGAAAAAGGTACGCGAAAGAGTGGATGGGCGGAGAGACGGCTTCAGCGGCGAAGACAACGACAACAAGGAGGGAGTCGAGGGAGTCAGAGGGTGCTTCACCTCCGCGACGGCGGTGACTAGAAAGGCTGGTTAGTCTACTTGTCAAACAGTACCTGCAAGATGAGTATCACGTACATGGATTTCAACCCAGTTGAGAGCAGCAAGCATCCGTATATCGAGGAGTGAGGTGAGCGTGGTTAAGCGTAAACGGAGAGTTGTTGTCGGGAAAGTTTGAGTCGGAGCTCCTGCCAAGGACTACGGCAACTTCGCCTAGCACTCCCAGCACGGACTTGTGAGGGTCGGCGTTCGCACACCACAAGCTACACAGCCACGAAGAGAATAATTCGAAAAGCGTTGTCGGAACAAGCGTTGCAAGAGACAGATTCCAGTTGAATCACCAAGAGAAGTTCCGGCTAGGCGCAGGAAGCTTGAGAGAAAGACGAAACAAGAAGTTGGGGGTCGGTGCAGCTGGGCTTAGGGCGCAGGAGTCATCGGGGTGGCTATGGAGACTACTGCAAGTGACAAGTGAATACTCCCGTACTACGGAGGAGAAATACGCGTACGGAGTGCTAGTAAAAACTTTCAACAGTAGCTACGGGCTACAGAGGCGCTTGCAGGCTCACTAGTCCACTACCTGGAAAGGGTGAGTGAGGGCCAGACTCGAATGGGATAAACGAAATATCGCATCTCGGTGCCGATCTTCCTGGGCCAGAACACTTAGTACACCCCGTTCTGCAATACCACCTCGAGGTAGGGAGTACCCCTTACCTACTGTACTACCTAGGTACCTATAATACGGCGGTGGGTAATTGGTAACAGGGAAAAAGCCCCCTCGGGTCACCTTCCCTTGAATCACCTCCCCACCTTTATTACTAAGGGAGGCTTTCATACTTTTCGAATAAGGGCTCCATGACCTATAAGCCTCCCTAACACCGCCTAAACTGCTAGTAATCTTATAGGCACTTTCCGCTTAGAATTTGAGGCCTTCTCTACTTGCTTATAGGTCTTCACCTCTCATGAAACACCTGAAGCAGTATAACACAGTGTCTGCTAAGTTACGTTCTGTCGATCACTCTCTTCTCTCTGATCTTCCCAAGAGTGCCTAACTCCCTATTTCATAAGCGCTTCTCGTGTCTAAGGTATCTCTATCAACCCTAATGTCTTAACTGTTGAAACATAATTGAACGGGCAGTGTCCCAATTGTTTGCAGAAAAATACTGTATAACATACAGAGTACCTAACAAATACAATCAGAGACACCCCGGGTGTCTCGACCCTGACCTTGTCCGCCCTGCTGCAACCCACCAGCCAGGACTGCTGCTAGCAATTAGACGAGAACAGATACGAAACCTCTCAGAGCCTGGGTAGACAGCCATAGCAAATGATCATCATTCATTACCCAGGATCCCGAACGCCCATCTGATTGCCATCCCACTACAGGTCTCAAATGACCTGTTGCCGCCTTGTGGAATTCTATCATACCACAGCGATCCCGGTCGAGACCGTAGATGCAATGAGTCCGTCTTCTTGATTTCCCGTGTCATCCATCCATGTTGTCACTGCTGTCACTTTTTCAACTCGACCCTTGCTCTTCGTTAGAGGTGGATCATTCAAGCGCCAGCGGAACGGCAAATCAAGGATCGAGGGTCTCTGCAGCGCCATCCACGCAGCCAATCAATCGTCCATTGGCAAATGGGTATGTTGGCTGAGGTTGTTGCCCCTTTCGTCTTTCCAACCACTAATGCATTGGATCGTACAAGACAAGTGCCAAGGAGTACGCCCACCTTCTCCTTACTCAGTGTGACACAGACCAAAGAAGACAATATTTGCCAAAGAGGATGCTGAATGTTGTTTGGTTGGATTTTCTACAAAGCTCTAGATGGTCAAGAAGCCATTGAGTCTGGTCTGTTCCTGGCAGGACTCAAACAACCGGACACATTTTCATCGATTGCCATTTTACCCAGGTCCGCAAGATGCAGGCACCATGCAGTAACGTGGAAAAGCTTCACCGCATCTTCACCTCTCGTTGTCCCAGGCTGCGCAAAGGACTAGCATGTCAGCCTTCAGAGACCAGCTCTTTCTGCCCCAACTCCCTTCCATTAATGCTCACCACCCTTTCCTCCTGCAATACCATTGATCCGGAGCGCCAGTTGACCGCTTCGACTGTAAATCGTCTGAAATTGTGTGTACCCCACTTTGCCACGATGTTGCTATGGACTCTATTTCTTCGTGAATCGCATGGGTGGCAGGCCATTGTCGACTTTGCCGCTGGTCTTGTCACTCCCGTGGGAAACTCGCGTGACATTTCGAAGTGGTGAAGGGGTTGTCGGCTGGAATGGAACTTCAGACGGTGCCCGTTTTCCCGAATTTGGCTGGCTGTTCTTTCTGAAGAGTCCCCCAAACTGAAGGCTCCGGCTCTTCTTCACTGTGCGTTCCTGGTTCACCTTGACCTGCTGATTGACATCTCGATGATGTAAAGGGCTGGCGGTCCCATTATCCCTGGGGTTTATTGTTTTGCTTGACTTGGATATAGAAAAGAGTCCGCTCCTGCTCTTCTTGAGTAGCGTTCCATGTCGTTCTATCGGTGTCTTCCTGGCCGGCAACATCCCAGCGCGAGTAGGAGTAGGATTGGTGGGAGCTGGACGAGATGTCTCTGTTCGGCGTCTTTGATGGGACGGAGGCGTGTCCCGTGCGTAGTGACTGAGATCGCCCAACGAAGGTGAATAAATCGGGGCATCCTGGAGAGACGCCATGTCGCCATCTTCATCACACTGGTTGCTGGCTTTGGGGGTCTGCTGTTCAGGTGGCGAAGGAGCAGCGTCGGCGCTAACAGTAATCATTCTAGGTCCAGCTGATGGTGGATTTGCGAATGCGCCTGGCGGATGCATTCTCAAAGGGTTCACTCCGCAAGGATTGCCGGACAGAGGTTTGGCATCCACGTACTGATTCGGCTCGGTCGAGAAGAGCACGGGAGTCGGAGCATTGTTCTGCATTGCAAGGTCGTTTACAGCCGTCTTGACGGGCTCTGATACCGCAGCGACAGCCGAAACTCGGGACGTATTGTCAGGTTCGAGAGTTGGTGCAATCATCGCAGGGGATTGTCTTTGTCTGTCAAGACAGCCTGCCTCATCTCCGTTACATGCCTTCGTTTGGGTAAAGAAAGATGACTGTGATTTCAAAAGCGGAAGATTGCGTCGGAGAGGTGAATGAAAGTCCAATCTGTCGACCGCGCTCGCAAAGGATTTGGTCAGCGAGCCAAACACAGACTCCTCGTTGTCGCTTAGTTCAGGCCCTGCCTCAGTATCAAGGATTGGTTCATTAGTGAAATCGCCGAGAAGAGGCGGATCCTGTTGTGCTTTTGCCAACCCTTTACTGCTATTCAGCGATTTCCTCCTGTAGTGGCCATTCTCAGTAAGGCCTCTCATCTTTCCTTTGTAGAGATTCAGCATTCCTACTTGGACGTGCTTGTCAGAACTTCCGCAAGCCGCGTGCTCATCTGAGCTTTCGTTATTTGAAGAAACTATGCGGGATCCAGCTTCTCTGGATCGGAATCTCACAGGAACCGCTTTTACCTTCTTCCTTATGATATCGCCCAGCTTAACGATGCGGCCTTTCTTCAACCTGGTCATGTTCTTTGGAGACTTTGACACACGAGCGACCCCTCTTGGTACCTTGCTTCTGGGGTTCTCGAAGGAAGTGCCATTGCCAGGTTCTTCCTCTAGTGAAGTGTCAATCCATCCAGCCACTGGATCCCACCTGGTCCTACCAAAAGTCATGTCAGACATCTCGCCACATAAGACACCCTCAGCACGGGCAACATCCATGTTGGTAGTACTGGTGAGTATCGGAGCAGATATAACGCTTCGAGCAACCGTGGATATGCTAGGAGCTTTGGAAAGGTGAACAGACTGGCTCCGCGGATAGTATGGTGCAGGTGAGGACTGAGACCATGGAAGCCACGATAGTGGCCGAAAAAGCCGTCTACTCCGCAATGCAGAAGCCTCTTGAACTCTGTCAATATTGTCTCTCTTGTTTGAAAGGCCTTGGGTTGCCCCAAAGTCCTCTTTTCGGTCTGAGGACTGTGCCACACCACCATTCCTGGCCACTCCGCCCTCAGAGCATGCTGGGGGTTGATCATCGGGATCACATGGATAGGAAAGGCTGGATTCTGTGCGGGCAGTCAATTCGGCCCTGGACGGGATGCGAGAAGCTGGAATCATGGTCAGTCATCGAAATACCTCTGGGATTTCATGTCTACCTTGTCGCGTGCCAGGATGACCAAAGGATCTGATTGAGTCGAAGGAGAAGATTGAGAAAGAACCTTTGCTGTGGGTGCGTGTGTGAGAAACCATGATGTTTCGACAATGACGATGTCTCAGTTCACAATCCGAGACGAGAAGAAGAGAGGCGAGAACTCGTAAGAGACTGTGGGCACGATGGAGAGCTCCTGATATGAAAGACAGGTATATAGACGCCTTTCTCACAGCCTGCATTGATATGGAGGGGTAGAGCGAAGAAACAATGAGGACAAAAGCATCAGGAAGGAGCAAGACACACCGTGGCCATAGCTATCGCCATGTTTGAGACGAAAGCAATTAGCCATTCAAATGTTCACACCGCCCAAGGTAATTCTGCCCACGGCAGTCATGATTCAACTTTGCACCTTGCCCTGTGTTCACGGACACCATCCACTCTGTGACCCTTTCTTCCATGGTCCCTACTCAGACCGATTGTAGCGTATGCTGCACGGTGTTACTGGATAGCGACGCTCTGGGGTATCAGAGCGACTAAATCGGTTCAGAATCCGATTGAGCCTCATTCCACTGTTCTAATTGTTCCAACTACTGGGTGTCGTAGGAAATATCAGGAAATGTGGATGAGAAAAACCCCGCGTAGTCAGATGCCTGGACAATAAGACTTGCGGAGGTCAGCACGCGATATGGCTCGTAAAACGCACACATTCGGGTCACCTTCCTTACTGAGACTACTCCATATAGGCCTTTCATATCCGCTGAAAGAGATGCTAAAGGCCCATAAGACAACTTTATCACCTAAACCTTCAGTGCCCTTAAAAGCAATTTTCCCTAAATAACTAACTAGTATTTAGGCTCCTCTTGAACCCCTTCAGGTCTTTACTCTCTAGAGGATAGCTGTACCCTTACATTTCAACACACGGTATTTTCTACTGCCGGTACGACTAACCTATCTGCCCATCACTCCTCTGTCTGTAGGACTCTGCTAATAGTAACCGATCATTATTCTCCAAGCATCTCATGTATTATTTACGGTCACCTGGATTAGACTACTAAGTGATGTATTATTGACTCAGATGATGCTGTGGCTGGAGGACATTCGTGACAACAGCCTCTGGAGACGCCCACCCTGTTCTCACCTTCCATTGGCGAAAGTGGTGGACAACCTTCCTGGCTCTCTGAAGATTAGGGAAGTCCACTGTCTTTCCCTTGGACGATGTAGAGGAAGAACGCCGGTACCAGGTCATCAAGTTCCTCTACGGCGACGCTATCGATTCTGAGTTCGAGGTGGTGTGTCGGCTGCCATCGATTTGTCATCAGAATCTCGCGAAGCGATATTCATGAGGAGGATAAGAAAAAGCCATCGACTATTGAAGGAAACTACTGGCGTCTACTCCGGACCCCTAACGATGGCGAATCGACCAGGCATTGAAGACCTCAACCCCGAAGGCTACGATTAGACTACGACCCCGTTCTTCCTCTCTCCGGGAGCCTACCGTCCATCGCCTTGAGCTGTATATGGCTGTGGTGGGAAACCCCCTTGTGGAGGGGGGAGAGACAAGACTTTCAGTGGCCGGCCCTAAAGTGAATCTGAGGTGAGACGAGATATGGGACGTAGTTCGAGATGATATCTTGCAAAGGTCACCAACACATCCTTTCGCTCTCACTCTCCCTCTAGAAGAATACAAGTAAGGCCGCAGGAATCGTCCCTGCACGTCCTTGAGGCGACATGGCTAGAAGAGTGCATAGGTCGTCACCTCGACAAGATACCCTAATAGTGCAACACATTCTTTGGTTCGGGGTGGTATTTTACCAAGCGGGGTGTGCCTTGTATCCTTTACCTCGGGAATGGTCCGTTATTAATCCTGTTGCTAGCACCACGGGCTTACGAGTATGGAGACCGGCCTACCTAGGTACCTAAGGTGTGCTCTGTTGGCCATAGTCCATGCGGGGTGCAACGAGCATCATTCACAGTCTAAATAGCGAGTCTCCCGCATCATTTGCTGCTTGTGTATTACTCTATCTCCGGAAGCATATTATCTTTCTACCGAGAGGCAGATCTTATTCCGTACAAAGTTTACATTGAACCGTTGCTACTACCACCTTACACAATGCCATACAATCTCAGGGATCGTAATGTTTTGGTCACTGGGGGTTCTAGGTACCGTATCTCCGGAAGAAGAAAGATTGGAAGCCATCGACCAAGATTCTTACTATAATGCAGGGGCCTCGGCGCTATCATTTGTGAAAGGTTTGCTGCAGAGGGTGCAAATCTCTTGATTAACTATGTAAGCGCAAGGGACAAAGCAGAAGAGCTTGCCGAAAAGTGCAAGCAGAGCTTCGGTGTCAAAGTTGCCATTGCCCAAGGGGTAGGTCAAGTGATCTGTCAGACTGGCGCGTACCGAACAATGCTCATATGATTATCAGGATGTCGGGGTTGCAGCAGACTGTTCTCGCCTGGTCCAGGAAACCGTCAAACAACTGGGAGGTATCGATGTCATTGTCAACAATGCTGGTTGGACCAGGTTTGCAAAGTTTGGAGACCTCAACGACCTCAGCCACGACGAATGGAACAAGGTACAACGTGCGAATGCAATCTTTGGTACCCGTGCTCATATCAGCAGTGTTGGCACGTGAATGTCATGTCACAACTGTGTCTGATGCAGGAAGCCGCGCCCCTATTCAATTCCAACCCGGATGGAGGAGTGTTTCTCATTTCTTCGTCGGTTGCGGTAGGAGGTTTCCAAGACCACATATTCTGCAGACTGACGTAGGAAAGGGAATTAGCTGCGGTGGAAGTAGCATGGGCTATTGTAAGTTCAAGAGGTCCCCATTCAAGCCTGGCATTTTGACACACAGTAGCTGTAACCAAGGCCGCTGGTATTCACCTGATGAAGTGCCTTGCCTCCACCCAAGGCCCTAAGATAAGAGTCAACGCCATCTTGCCAGGCCTTCTTCTTACAGATTGGGTAAGTGTAGTTCAAGCTTCCGTGTGGTCTCAAGCGCTAACAACACCAGGGTAAGAAATATCCCGAGGAGCGACAACAATTTATAATCAATTCGGCTGCCTTGAAACATGAAGTGTGTTATTCTTCTTGCCTTTAACGAGCATGCTAACCGTTGAGAAGACCTATCTGGATGATTGCGCCGATTCATTCGTCTCGACTGCGAAGAACACTTCCATCACAGGGCAACAAATTGTAGTTGGTATGTCAAAACTCATGGAGACGGGATGTCGCTGACATTACAGATGCTGGTCTCGTCATTAGGTAATCGATCTTCTGCCTTTCTGATACATGGGGGTCTGTTATTGCCCGTTGAGGTCATCCGGCAGCATGAAAGGCCGCGTACAAATATGAAGACCAAAATCTCCGACGATCTCGGCTCTGCGAAAGGCTATAGCTCGAGCAGCAGCTGCTGCACCGGTAGATTTTCCCATAGATGCGACGGTCATATGAGGAAATGCGACTTGTCTGCAGTCGCTATCCGTCGCGAGAGTGTTAACCAACAAAGGTTTATTGCTGTTAGTCGGACTTTGGCTCTTTGACATTATTGCATAAGGAACGCCTGCTGGAATGCGGTCGGCAAAGCTTCTCATGCATTCTGGGATGTCTGAGCTCGTAGCAAATCGAGCATCCTCAGAGATCTTGATGCGTATTAGGTCTTTTGACTCGTCGCCCTTTTTGAGAAACACCTGCAAAGGCCCAATTGCTCGGTTTCGCCTTAGGAGTTCGGTGGCGGTGAATTTGGTGAAATCAATGACTCTCATCTGCGGAGTGATTTTAGGAGCCATTGCCACCTCTCGGGCATTCCCTTGGTCGCGGACGGGTTCATATGGCGAGATGTACAGTTTGTTCCGAATCGCGTTGACCAACATTTCGGCTCCCAAAGGCGCCAACAAGTCAATAAGCTGCGGGGTCGTGATACTTTGAGGATTGGGAATTGCTATGCCGGGAGCTGGAGTCTGGTCGAGGATCAGCCCCTGGTCGAACTTCGATGGATGCAATGTCTGCACTGTGACCCCTGTCGTCGTTCTGCCATAAATTATGGACCATTGAATCGGAGCAGCTCCTGGCAGATCCGGTAGCATCGAGGGATGCACATTGAGGCCATTGTATTTGGCCATGTCAAGGATCCTTCGAGGGATGAGAAGTCCGAAGGAAACTGCGATCACCAGGTTAATCTGTCGATTTAAGCCTTTGTACTCTGGTAAATTCCATCCTTTGAAGGTGTCAATCTGATGAATTGGAAGGTCAAGTCGTTGGGCGTCATGCTTGATGGGCGGGCTATTGACGAGCTTCAGACCTCGCCCGCTTCGTTTGTCCGTTCTCGTGACAACATCAATGGAGGCGATGTTGGCTTGCGCGGTCTTTGAAAAGGCATGTAGGGCAGTCAAGGAGGCAGCGCTGAATGAATCGGAGCCGCAGAAAAGGATGCGTAGCGGTTCATCTTTGGCTTTTTGGCTCGAGAGTAGACGGGGAGAGGGTAATCTCGCCCACCTTGAAATCTTAGAACGTGTGTGCCAACATGGTGATGGCTGGAATAGAGTCCGCTTCATTGGCCTCAATCATGTCGATTGCTGGATGTCCGATTCGAAGAACGACCGCAATATACCTCGCTCGACGAAGCAAAAATTAGCTCTTTGCCCTAGTCATTAAACGGGGGAAGGCCAGGCCCTTCCTGATCCATTTCTGAGGACCCAGAGACGTCCACCGTATTGGCGCGTTCTGCTCGCCCGACGTCAATCACAACTGCCTCGGCCTGCGGGGATTGTCCACGGTCCAAGACTACAGTTGTTCATTCATCGTGCGTGTACCGACAAAACGGTTGGCTTCCTGTTATTGATCCTGTCGGTCCAACCTCACATTTATGCTCTCGACTCTCGTACGCATTCTGGTTGCTAGATTTAGTGCGCGACAAGATTCGACTGAGCTCGTGATTTGACCGAGCACCACCAAACCCGCTGACTGCGATCGCACAGCGTACTGCTGAAGTTTAGAAAGCATGGCGGAACCACCACGGCCGTCTGGGCCACAAGCAGAGCACTCCTCTGACGATACAGCTACCAAGTCACAGAAGCCTCTTGGAGCCAGCGCCGAAGATCCTGACTCAGACCCAGACTTTGATGATCTTGATGGTGAGAAAGTCCCTTCTCCTCCTTGCGCACACTGCTACACCGACATCCTAACGCTCATCTAGATGTCCTCGACCAATTCTCAGCTGCATCCTCTGCGCAACCCAAATCCCAACCCGAGCCCACACCTTCATCCTCTGGTCCAGGCAGACCGGCCGCTGCAGCACAAGATGAATCCTCTCTCCCTCCCAACATTCCCATCCCAGAAGGTCCCAAACCGAATGAGTCCGAGGAAGAGTTTATGGCACGTCTGACAGCTGAAATGTCCTCACTCATGTCTAAATTATCGGACGAACCAGCCGCCTCGGCAGCGTCGCCAGAAGACATTGCGAAAATGGGCCGCGAACTCGAAGAATTCACCCAGAAGATGGAAGCCGAGGGTATTCAGCCCGAAGATCTCTTGAAGGCCATACTAGGTGAGGATAAAGGGACCAAGGTCGGAGACATTGCCACGAAAGAACGCGACAGGAGAGAGAGCGAGTCTCAGTTACAGAGTCCAGAAAAGGGCAAACAGCCTGGGGCCTCCAAAAGCAAAGCAACAAATACGTCGTTCGAAGACACTATCCGCAAAACAATGGCCCGCATGGAATCCTCCTCGGCAGCGGCAAGCAGCGCGACTGCGCAGTCTTCCAAGGCCGAGGAGGATATGCTAGCCGAAATGCTGCGCGCTTTGGACGCCGAAGGTGCTGGCGGCCAGGACGATGGTGATCTGTCCAAGATGTTTCTTGGTATGATGGAACAACTGACGAATAAGGACATGCTCTACGAGCCGATGAAAGAGCTCAGTACGAAGTACCCAGAATGGCTGGTGCAGAACAAGCCCAGATTGCCAACCGAGGAGTACGAGCGTTTTTCGAGGCAACAGGTTGTTGTGAATGAGATTGTGAACAAGTTTGAAGAAAAAGGGTACAGTGACGAGGATCCTAAATGTCGAGAGTTTGTGTGGGAGAAAATGCAAGCCATGCAGGCAGAAGGCGCGCCTCCTGAAGATCTTGTTGCCAATCCTTTGGGCATGCCAATGCCTGACTTGGACGAGAGCGGACTTCAAGATGGGTGTCCGACACAGTGATTTGCTTCGTGAATCAAGTCTCTTGTAGCGTGATGCGGAAAGTCTCCCGGGCAGGAAGGCTGTGTACCAAAATCTCTCGAATGAGCGTTGCTCGATTCAATCGAGATGAAACGATCGATAGACTGTTATGCCAACCATATTTCGAATTGTTGCAGACAAAGGAAATCTTTGCAGTTGGTAAAGCATTACAGATTGGGTTGGAACAAGACCAAGATGCCTGAAATCGAGACCTTGATGGTGAGGACCCGCGTCTTGGGTCCGCCTACTCAGGTGTGGATGGAAGTTATAATATAATATACGCGGTCACACTTTGAGCAAGCATGGTTTCCATGAGCACATAGATGTACGTCGCGTCGGACTTGAGCTCAACTGCTGCTTGGATGATCTACAAGAATATGATGGTACTGAGATGAATTAAATGAATGAGGTCGGCTAGGGATTTTTCTGTTCGCGTTCACTTCATTGTGATTCCATTTTTAGCATCGTGGTAGTCCTCACGACCTAGGTAGCTTCTGGTCTTATGGTTAATAGCACGTAGACATAGACAATGTGTGTCATTATATGCTACCTATGTACGGAGTACGGAGTAGATAGTAGGTCTATTGAGCACCGATACTCGGGCTGGCCGGGCCGCGTTAAACTATGTATCATGGCAAGGCTGAAATAAGGATGGACGTAAAGTCGAGGTCTGAGAAGCGTTCGGTCGTCTCGGGTGTCAATCTGTGATCTACAGCACCCGGAGACGATCTCGAGTATCATTGGGACGTCATGTACCAGCACGGACACGAGCAGAACAATAACCTAGGGCAAGGATGCCTCTGCTGGTAGGGTACTCGTGGCGTACTCACAGTGGTTGGTGACGGTCAGCCTGCTGAGCCCCTTTCTGCCCCTCCAAAACTGGGCCCAGTCTGGTAATGGCTAAAGCAGAGAACTCGAGCTGAAGTCCAAGCTTCTCATCGACATCATCGACAACAAGCTCAGCTGAATCTGCAGCTAATTGTGTGGCCATCCATGCCAGCTCGGCCTCGCTAGCCTAGCCCTGGTGGTCCAGGTTCAGCTCATTATTATTAGTAGTATTATGTTCCCCTTCGATGTCGATGAGTTTCTTTCCCGTCTTCCGCCGCCAGCCTCGACATACAACCATGGCTCCCAACGTCACCATTCGCAACGTCAGCAACAACCCTTTGACCCTGGTCCTGGTCGAGCATTTCGATCCTGCGCCAGATGAGGGCTTTCAGATGCAGAATGTCACAATGTCGTTGGCTTCGGTGACCAACAGCCTCGGCCTGACCAACAGCACCACAAGGAGAGAGGTGCCGCAGATCGATGCTGATGCCAGACCCTTTGCAACACGAGAGGTCTCAATCAAACTACCACCTTTCACGGTCGTGCCCACTGATGTCAAGCCTGTCATTAAGAACCCCAATGAACGCCTCAGGCTGACGTTCCAGACTGAGCTTGGAGGCAAGCATCAAATGTACTGTCCCGTGCCGACGAAAGAAACCGCGTCATTGGTCGCATTGGCTCCGAATCCCAAGATGCGCTTCACCGGCATCTATCTGCCCAACTCGTCCTACGTCGCGCTGTTCAACACCTCGACTCTAGAGTCTTGGATGAAGGAATTGCCAGACGACATCCCCCTGGGGGCGTTGTCCATTCCAGGCACACACAACTCTCCGACAAACCACAATGCACCTCCCTCGGTGAGATGCCAGGCTGTCTCACCCAAGGAACAACTAGCAAATGGAGTACGGTTCTTCGACGTGCGCGTCCAAGTGCCCGAGCCCTACGACCCTAATTCAGACAAGCTCCATCTTGTCCATTCGGCCTTTCCAATAGCCTTATCAGGGACGAAGTACTTTCGAGACCTATACAACACCATCCTGCAATTCTTGAAAGAGCACCCCAGTGAGACCCTGATTCTCTCCCTGAAACGGGAAGGAACCGGCAAAGGCACCGATGAGCAACTGTCACGCATCCTTAAGGATCATTACACCAATCCACGCGAGTGGTTCACCGAACCTCGTGTCCCTTCGCTAGGCGAGGTTCGAGGACGCATTGTCCTGCTCCGTCGCTTCGTCCTGGAAGAAGCACTCCGCAAGGAATGGAACGGGCGTGGCTGGGGGATTGACGCCCATGTCTGGGCAGACAACACGCCCAACGCTATGTGCCCCTCTGGCGATGTTTGCGTACAGGACTTCTACGAGGTCCTCGAGAGACCAACGGTCGAGAAGAAGATTCAGTATGCGAAGGATCATCTCGAGCGCAGTGGTTGTTGCAAGTTCGATCAAGCGAATGCGCAGGCTCATGGAGGCGAGAAGTATCCTCTCTATGTGAACTTCTTGAGCGCGAGTAACTTTTGGAAAGTCGGTACCTGGCCAGAAAAAATCGCGGCCGAGGTCAATCCTGCAATCACCGCACATCTGTGTCAGAACCACATGTTGGGAGACCAAGGCCGTGTCAAAGATGGAGATTGGTCCACTGGTATTGTGGTGACAGATTGGGTAGGCCTGGGCGGCGATTGGGATATCGTGCGCTGCATCGTTGGAATGAACTCGAAGTTGGTTCGCTAGATGTCATAACCTGGGTAGTATAAACAAGGCTCTACACACTCCCTGTCCTGAGGTCCCACTTTTCCTCTGCTAAGAATCATTCAAGCCTGCCGATGGTCCATCGGGGTCTATCCCCCAACAATGTCCGCCCTCGGCTTGTGCAGGGGAGGCTTCGCTACGGCGACGGAATCTATGCTCACCTGGCACGGCAATCACAGCAACGGATTACAAACGTCCAGAGATGCCTATCGAGCGATTGTCCAGGGTACGCCATTACTGATCCGATGCGGAGTGGTCAGACCGTGAGCGACTTCTTTCCAATTTGGTGAGTCATATGTCTTCGTCGTCTTGATTGTAATCACAATTGTCGTGGGATTTATGGCTCACTGCCGCCGCAACCTCGACGGCGGCGGAACTGTTGGTTTCACCGCAGACTTATCGACTCGTCGGGCAAACGTGCCTATATCCCATCGGCAGCAGTTCCTCTAGCTCTTTTGACAGAGGCCACTGGCCCGTGGACGCTCATTTTCTGTCAGACTAAGCATTTCGGTTCTTCTCATCAACGGTTCGCCTAATGACTAGTAACTCCAGTCAAGCTGCCAAATGCGAAGCTCCCCAGGAAAGTTCCACCAAGGATACTGAGGAAGTAGCCCACGTTCATGGTCATGACTGCAAGCATCCTAGCGTTGTGGTCAAACTGCCTGTCTGGTGTAGTATGGATCATTCATTCTTACAGCAAATAGCTCACTCCAGCCAAGACAACATCAAGCGCAGCTCTCGACACAGCCTCGTGTGCCGTCCAAGGCCGAGCCTGTATACCTCGCGTGGTGAATTCCATGGTTCGAACAGTGGGCTTGTCGTGGTCCGGTCCCAACAAAGTGGCACTGTAACGATCTCGCGGAAAGACACTCCTGATGGCCAAAATCGCTCGAAAGATGACAGCAAGAACAATTAGGAATATACATGTGCCGGCGTACTGTCCCGTGGATGAAGGAGTCCATGCTGTGGAATACAATGGTGTTTGGGTGCCAGTGAAAAAGACCATCATCATGTCTTGCATGCTCATCATCATGCTCCCGCCATGGCTCGTGGAGCTGGCCGTGCTCATAGCGCCGCCTGACATTGTCGACGTCGGTGAGCCTCCCATACTCATTGTCGATGACATACTCGACATATCCATTGTGATATGCTGTGCAACGGTTGACTGTTTGTGGTATATGGCAGGACGGCGACACGGTATATTCAAAGTGTGAGAAGAAATAACCTTTGAGAGCAGATGCTTTCAAGTCTTATCCAACGTCCATCACTTTGAGAGATTCTATACCTAACTGCTTCTGGACCCAATCTGGGGTCCATAATTGGGTTGAGCAGGTAATTCTATGGGTCGCCTGAAACCTGCTCACTGTGGAAACATGCTCACAATGAATTAACCATCCCTGGAAAAGTCCTTCTCAATCAGCCATTCAGTCAGGCTAGCGATGGGTAGTTTTCCAGGATGCGTTTCACGAGGTGGTGTGAGATGCCGACTTTGCCGTTTATAAATCCTGCTCGAAGGGGTGAGCCCTGTTACCAGCCAAAGATATAGGAAGTCTACAAAAACGCCAAAAGGAGGTAGGTCTCCAAGGAAACACTGCAAAACTCGTCGCACGACCGTTCGTCGAGAAGGGCACAGTCAGTTTCAACATGGCACCATGGCTCGATCTTCCCATTATGCTACACTCCTCTCGGGACTACATGTGTATGCTCAATACCACAGAGCAATGTGCATATCAGCAGGGTTACTGGCGTTTTTGGTACTGCTCTTCTGACCCAACCGGCCAATACCTCTTCTAATATCTGTTAACCCAGGTACGAAGCTGATCACCGCTACGGATTGCCAACTGTTGCCTTCTTTCTCACTGCCATTATCCTGTTCTACTTCGGACACTTCCTGTCATCGACGTTGCCGACTGGTAGAGAAGACAAAATCACCATCTGGAGACGGATCACGGCGAGCATCAGATTCCTATCCTATCGCGGGTACCGCTTGGGAATTTTGGGATGGAACTCACCTCCCTTGGGACTCCTCCTCCTGGGTGCTACCGGAGTCGTTTTCTTCTTCTGTGAGCACGTACGTGAAGGGCATAGTCCCCAAGTACTGATATCACCGCAGGCATGACCCTTGGTCCAAAGCCCTACTACTGGCCCAACACAAGAACCCTAACCTATGGCAACTCGCCTCCCATAGCGACTCGGTCCGGGTGGATGGCATTGGCTTGTATGCCCTTTGTCTTGTACGGGACGACCGTTCTATTCTCGGATGATAGTTGTGTTGACATCAACCAGTGCGACAGCGGCAAAGGCTAATATGATCACACTCTTGACGGGTGTCTCACACGAGAAACTTCAGGTATCGACCAACCACTCCAGGGTGCAAAACCTTAGCTGCTAATGTATTCTCGTCCAGGTATTCCACCGCTGGATCTCGTACGCCATGTACATTCTAGCACTCATACACACCTTCCCCTTCATCGTCTTCAATATCTGGAAGCACGACATGGTCGAACAGTGGAACACCAGCGTGTTCTACTGGACCGGCGTCGTAGCCCTGCTTGCTCAGAGCTGGCTTGTATTCGGATCCATCAGTCCGCTTCGGTGAGTCTCTCTCTGTTCCAAAGCTGGGAGAAGACGACGACTTAACAAGAACAGGAAACGGTGGTATGAAGCATTCAAAGTGACGCACTTCATCGCAGGTTTAACTTTTGTCGTCTTCTTTTTCCTCCACTGCGACTACACACTTACCTCTTGGTGAGCCGCGACCCCTTGTACGCGTCAATCCCTTCTGACACGTCTGCCTCAGGGACTACTTCATCGCCACCGGAGTCTTGTACGTCGTCTGTGTTCTGTACTCACAGCTCCGCACCTTCGCCCGACATGGGCTTGGTCAACGAGCAAACATCTCACTGGCAACCAATGGGCTGATCCAAGTTTCGGTGCCGGTGTCTTTCGACTGGACTCCAGGTCAGCACTGCTTCATCCGGTTCCGGTCCATGGGTCTACACGGTGTCACCATCCATCCATTTACAATCTGCTCGCTTCCCCACTCGCCAATCAACAAACCCTCCAACCCGTCGTCCACCGTTGACTTCTACATCCGGCCCTCAGGTGGGTTCACCGGCCGCCTAGCGAAGCACGCAGGCGGCGGCAAGTCGGAGACGGTTATGCTTTACGGGCCGTACGGGGGTGTTAACATGCAGAGACTGCTCGAGTGCGACCGTCTCGTCGTGATCGCCGGCGGTTCCGGCGCAGGCTGGACACTACCCTTTGTCGAGCTGCAGATCAGACACGTCAAGCGTATCCTCAAAGCAGAAGCGAGCTCGGATGTTGCTCCCTCGCTAAAGCTCATCGTCGCCACACGCGACCTCACGACGTGCAAGTGGTATCTGGGAAAAGTCCAGGAGCTGCTCGACGCCTACGGCACTACACTCGCTGAGATCAAGTCGACCGTGGAAATGTACTTCACGGGAGCCGAACCGTTAGAGACCGACTCTTCTTCTCCATCACCGCCACCATCCACAAGCCAATTCGTGTCCAAGAAGGTTGACGAAAAGGACACGGAGATGGTGCATCCAGAGACGGCATCTGACTCCGTCGACCTCGATGCTCTTGGAGAAACACACACGGGTCGACCGGACTTGAAAAGCATGATTTCAAAGGAAGGGTCTCGAGAATGGAGTCAGATTCTCGGCGTGTTTGTCTGTGGTCCACTTGAGATGCAGAATGATGTCCGCAACGCCGTCGCAGACCAACAGCTGGACATCATCCGAGGATCCGTAAAGGACGTCTATTTACACACGGAACATTTCGACTGGGCTTAGACTTGTAACGTGAATTGGTAGAACGGGGAACAGAGATTAGTCACAATGACGAGAACGACAACAGAATGTTGATTGTTATAGCCATCTCTGGAGGAGAGGGAAAAAGCCAGGTATCTAGACAGCGAAAGCAAATGTGAGCCGAGGGGACAGTGCCGTCCTTCGTTCCTCGGCAACTCCCACGAGGCACCTTCCATTCTGTGGGCAGAATTCTGTCGGCCACTTATCATTGCGAACAGAATTCGGTCTTGGAAGCTCGTCGAAGGCATCTTTGATGCCACGTTTATTTGTGGCTGCAACGATTCTGGGATCATCCAGATCAACGTCTGTGCGGAAAACGTCGAAGTTGTTTTCGTATCGGTCCCTCCACTCTTCTCGCCATAGGAAAGTTGAGAGGCCAATCGTCTCTCTTCTTGTTCATAGTCCTCTGCGTACAGTTCGAATACGTTGATGCCGTCCCGGTTCCATTGGTGTGCGGCGTTCGGCTCTGCCGATTATGTATTGTCGCTGGACAAATCATGGATCGCCAAAGTGCTTCTGCGAGAATAAGGAACGACGCTCTTGTCAGGTCTTGTTAGGGTTAGGTTGCAGCCAGCTTTAAAGACGCGTGTCTGTCTCGCTGAAATCTTTCCCCATGTGATATCGATCGCGAGGCATCACCTGGCCGTTATTCTGCCCGACTCTGGCGTTCCGATTATTTCCCTCTATGGCTAGTCCTCGAAAGCTGACACACCTTTATCTGGCGTCTCTTCTGGGATTCGATATCAGCAATCATGCCCGACCTTACACGTACAAACTGAGCACTCCCTGGCCCGGTTGGCAAAGACAACTTTTGCCGTCGGATGTCCGTCACAATGATAGCCATGTCTTTGCTGAATCTCGTGCCGGGCAACTAGCGCTGGGCTCCGGTTTGAGCCATTGAGCTCAGTGATTTTGGGCAGCAAACCTGAGGGCAAATAGCGCATTCTCCTTTTCACACAAGGATTTGGGCAGGATGGACATCTTTGAAAGGTCTTCTGATAGCTCGCCTTTATCATCCTGCTGGAAAGGTAGAGCTTGACTGCGCATTGGAGTGGTAGGAATATCATTGCCAGTGGAAGTGCTTTGTTCGGTCACATTGGCCACATTGCCAGCAGAAACTTCCGTACCGGTAATCCAACGACCACTGGATGATTGTCGAAAATGTCTTCGCTTCCGGCCTTCTTGGTTAAGTCGGGCTAATGTTTGCAAAGTCTCGACCAAGCAGAAGTTACAACTCCTCAAGGAGTGCGTCTGACTGATCCTTCAAGGACTTCACAAACTCAATGTCAGACGCGGTGGTGAGATATTTGCTGCCTGATACAAAGTTGTCGAAAAACTCCGCACAGTCAACGGACAAGTCGTTCGTCTTGCTTTTGGTCTGGCGTACATCTCTCTCTGCCTCCACGATCTAGCCCTTGTAGATATTTGTCAGAAGTTGCTCTCCTTTGTCATGCAGTTCCTTGACAGCGCTCAACAGGGTATTCTGGTCTGCTTGCGAAGTCCTTCTCTTCGTGGTATTCCTTGCTGTTGTGCCGGACTCAGACTCGACGCCTAAATTATCCTCGCTGTCGCTGACCTCCTTGTTCTGGATATCTGCCCCTTTCTGGGATGCTGAGCGGGACCGGGGTCGATGAGTCGCGTCACGGCTTCGTTGGTCAGCATGATCACTTGAATGAGAAGGGCTTAGCAACTTACTCGCTTTTTCGATTGCGGCAATCGAAATTTCAACCGTGCGTTGGGTTTGCCGTTGCATATCCGCCAACACCTACATAATGCGGTACTGCAGGATTCCCTCGGCCGACAACATGTTTTCGTTAACTGGATGCGCCCCAAGACGCATCTCGGTGATGTCAATATATATATATAAAGCCAAGCCGGAGAGTCCAAAAGTTTTGACTCAAGCAAATAAAACTGCAAAGACACGTCAGCGCACCTGGTAAGCAGGCAGAACGCGCATACCCACATTTGACTCGGTCCTATGGAGGAGAAAAGGGAAGGGAAGAAGCAAACGGGATCAGTTTTCATCCATGTGCAGAAGGTAAAAATGATAGTCTTTCATAGTCAACTTCCGTCTTGTGTCGTCGCGCCGAATAATGATTGAAAGAAGAGGAGCCAGACTTCTTCCGAGCAGGGCGTAGGACCTCACTTCCACCGACGACATTTGCTCCTTTGTAGCGTTTTATTGCCACGAAATTTGTCCCCGGCACCTGGCTTGAGTAAGGAGCAGTTGTTCATGATATCGAGCTGCCGATAGGGTGTGACCGGGTACCGCTTTGTCCACCGCCTCACACGTAATCTCTGTACCATACAGCGCTCGTAAATTCGGGCAACTGGTGTCAGCCTTCTCGAATGTACTCGTCCTCATCGTCGAGTCGTCTGTTTTTGCTTCGTCTTTCTGCTTGCAGAGCTTTTGTGTGACATTGTATCGCTATGGATGCATGCATGCATTTTCATCTTCATTTCCTTCAGCGGGAGGAGCTGACCGCCATGATCCAATCAGATTCTTAGAAGGAAGATCTTCCGGAGAGCCTGCCGATCCTAGAGCTGCGTCGAGATACGGTGCTGCACAACTGTCAAACCGTCATCGACAGTGCGAGGATTGATTGTCGAATACGTGGCGTCCATTCCGTTCGATGACGGCCGGTCAATGATCAACTCACCATTCGTCAAAGTCTGAAGGACGCCTATCAGAGGCAAGCATGTCGCTGGTTGGCCAATTTCTCCTGTGCAAGGCAGATCAACAAGCCAACCATCTTGAGACTCACGGAATGATCATTGGTCATATCAGGCAAGCGAGCGTTTCAAGGACGCACCGCCCAAAGGCTGGACGACTCCTCGCATCATGGTAAATTTGTGCATATACACGCATGAGGAGAATCCATGTCTCTGGATCTAGAAAGACTGAGTATTTTGCGGGGAGAGCGCTCCTATATATAGGACACCCCGGAGCGCTAATTCACGCAGAGACGCAGCCAGCGAGTTCGGCGCCGGCCCGGGGAGGAGAGAGTGCAGCAGGTGTTGGAGAGTAAGCGTTGATTCAATCTGCGTGAGTCATGGGTATCGAGATGAATGCGAGGCCAAAAGTTAAGAAAAGCTGCGCGGGAAGAAGGAGGAATCTGCGGAGGATGTGGTTGTTTTAAACCTCCCGACTCGAGTCACTGACGGTGTCTCGGAAATGGAACGTCCTCCAGTTCTCCAATCAATATACCTGTTACCTAGGTACATACCTAGTGAAACTCAAACAATAAAAGCACAAGCACATAAAGTCTATTGGGTTTTGGTAAATGCACACAGCCATTATCATTCAATATTGGTACAGGCTATAGTAAAGTTTCAGGTACACAGCATGCTCCGATCCCCGCTGCACAGAGAGCCAGGAGGAAAATGAGACAGAGTCTTGAAAGATATTATTTGTATTCATTGTACAGGACACAATGGTGTCGAGAGGTGAGATGGGTATCAATGCAGCAATCAATCATTCATTCCACGCAAGACAATACTCCATTTTCCCATCCAATAAACTCCAAATATGCAGCGTCCAAAAGTTTTGTTCATGCAATCATCTATACATTCACAGAAGAATTCAGTCATGAGAGGTCATCATGTCACAGCCTCTCTCCTGCCGGTTTGAAGTTCTGGTGGTCATGTGGACCAATCTTTTCAGGTCCAGGGAATAACCTTGGTAGTTGTAACCCGAGTAGTACCAGGCGGTGAATCTCTCAATGTGCCGTCGCGGAATGAAGAAACCGGCAGACCCAGCCTTCAATGGTTTTTGCCGATCGAGTCGTGGGCAGTCGTAGCGTGTAGCGATAGTGACTTGGCAGTCTGGTCTCAAGACGTCTTCGAAGACTCCAATTCTAAAGTATCCCCGTCCTTCGAGATCACAACCTTTGCCAAATCACCGGTCTTCAACTCGCCGCGAATGATCCTGTCGGCCAACCTGCGCCCAATTTCCTGCTGTATCAGCCTGTTCAGAGGACGAGCACCGTACCGAGGATCGTAACCCTTCTCGCAAAGCCAATCCTTGACCTTGTCCGAGATGTCAAGGCGGATTCTGCGATCGTCAAGTCTAGTCTGGAGCTCCTTGATGCGAATGTCGACAATGTCTCTCAACGCCGATTTGGAGAGCTTGTTGAAGATGATAAACTCGTCAATACGATTGAGAAACTCTGGAGGATAGCTTGCCTGAACGACTTCCATAACGCCCTTCCTCTGTTCGGGCGTGACATTCTCGACGTTCGCACCGGATCCCATCAATATCTCGGCACCAAGGTTACTGGTCAAGACGATCAAGGTATTCCGGAAGTCGACCCTGTGGCCTTGAGCATCAGTCAAGAAGCCTTCGTCCAGGACTTGCAGAAGCAAGCTTGAGATATCGCGATGAGCTTTCTCGAACTCGTCAAAGAGCAGGACAGCATAAGGTTTCCTGCGGACAGCCTCAGTCAACTGTCCTGCATCTTCATAGCCGACGTATCCTGCCGTTGCACCGATGAGGCGAGAGACAGTATGCTTTTCTTGGAACTCCGACATATCGAATCGGACCACAGCACTTTCTGTGCTGAAAAGGAAATTGGCGATCTGTTTGCATAGTTCGGTCTTGCCTACACCTGTAGGGCCGAGGAACATGAAACTCGCGAGAGGTCGATTCTCGTTGTTCAGGCCGGCACGCTGCATCCTGACGGCATTGGCAACCGCTGTAAGAGCCTCGTCCTGACCACGGACATGTTCTCGCAGCTTGTCTTCCATTTTGATGAGCTTCTCGACTTCTCCTGACATGAGCTTGGTTACTGGAATTCCAGTGGTACGGCTGACCACTTTAGCGATGTCATCGGCCGTGACAGAGTCGTGAATCAATGTCTCTCCATCCTTGGTTGTGGTCTTGACTTCCTCGCCTTCTTGAGGTAGTTGGGCTTCCAATTTGGGGATGGTGGCGTACTGAAGTTCACCAGCTTTGGCGAAGTTACCTTCTCGCCGTGCTTGTTCCAAATCATAGCGAGCCTTTTCCAGGTCCTCTTTGGTCTTCTTGATGGCTTCTATCTCTGCCTTCTCGCGGTCCCAGATCTCGGTCAGGCGGTAGACTTCCTTCCTCTTCTCCACCAATGTATCTTCCAGTTTCTGTCGACGTTCCTTGGATGCTACATCAGTTTCCTTACGCAAGGACTCGAGCTCTATTTGTATCGTCATGATTTCTCTGTCGAGTTTCTGAATAGCATCTGGCTTCGACTCTTGCTGCAATCGCAACGCCGAAGCGGCTTCGTCGACTAAGTCTATAGCCTTGTCCGGCAGGAAGCGATCGGTGATGTATCGGTTGCTGTATGTCGCGGCGGCAACTAGGGCACCGTCCGTAATCCGTACACCATGGTGTACTTCGTACTTGTCCTTGATGCCTCGGAGAATGGATATCGTGTCTTGTACCGACGGTTCGCCAACCAATATAGGCTGGAAACGTCGTGCTAACGCAACATCCTTTTCAATCTGGCGGTACTCGTTCAAGGTTGTGGCACCACAACATTGTAGTTCGCCGCGGGATAAAGCAGGCTTCAAAAGGTTGCTTGCGTCGATTGAACCCTCGGCTTTCCCCAGTCCCAGAAGCGTATGTAGCTCATCGACGAAGAGAATGACGCCTCCTTGAGCCTCCTCAACCTCCTTCAGGACCTTTTTCAGACGTTCTTCAAAATCACCTCGGAACTTGGCACCCGCGATCAACTGGCCCAAATCCAAGGAAATAACTCTCTTGTTCTTGATACTTTCGGGTACATCGCCCCTGACTATTCGCTGCGCTAGGCCTTCGAGGATGGCCGTCTTGCCTGTACCGGCGGCACCGATCAAGACCGGATTGTTCTTTGTCCGTCTCGAGAGGATTTGAATTGTGCGGTGAATCTCTCCGTCTCTTCCAATGACCGGATCAAGCTTTCCTTCTTTGGCACGCGCGGTGAGATCGACGCCGTATTCCTCCAAAGCGGCTTTTTCTGGCTCGCCGCTCATGTTCATCCGGTGAGTGCCGCCGGGCGGATGCGGTCGTCCATTGGCATACGTTCTCACGAAGGCAATTGCTGGATGGCTGGTTACCGGCGTTACGGAGCGTGTGACTAGGGATGACCGGAGGCTGGGAGATAGTAGAAAGGGTGTTCGACGACATGTAGGAAGAGATGTGAGGCGAGGTGCGGTTGCTCGCCGCACGAGCGAGGATTTCGCTACGTTCATTATGTAGTTTTACTGCAGCGTCAATCGAGGACACTTACAACGAGTGTTATCGATGGAGAGGTAGGCAACATGACATTATTGTCTTCCAAGAGCAGGGTGAAAGATTTCAACGTTCTAGTACTCTAGCAGCAGATGTCGACTTCCATTCTCGAAGAATCCAGACACATCTCAAAATGATCTCATGTTAGAGGCAGAAGCGGAATAGTCCATATAAGAGTTTGCCGATGTTGTGCCGTGGCCAATCTTGTCCTGTGATTCGAAGCCTCACAGTTGATCAACATGATTTGGCGAAGAAAACAACGTAGCCCCACATCAAATAATTATTGATATATGGATTTAACAACCCCAACTTTTGTTCAAATTCATCCGTCAAGATTAATTCACAAGCAACGTGGCGCAGCGGAAGCGCGCCGGGCTCATAACCCGGAGGACCTCCGATCGAAACGGAGCGTTGCTATTTTGGGACTAGCGCATTCAGTTGGTGCTCCCGGACTTGTCTAACTTGATTTTTTTTCGATCCCTTATTTTTTCCTGGGAAAGGGTTCGAACCGCATGTTGATCAGATTAAAAAGTACTGCAAGAGTTTTTTCCCCTCTGCATATATGATCATACAAGAGGACTATTCCAATTACATCCACAATTGAAGCTATTGCTGAAAGACACTGTCTTTTGCGTGCCGTTCAAACTACGGCTTTCATCATGTTGAAGATTACGCTTGTCGGTTCAATATCTGCGTGGGATTAGTAACTCTTCAGTGTCATAATTGCCCCAGTTGAACGCCCGCTGTGACTTCTGTCACAACAGGACTGTCTTTTTAAGAGAGAAGTCTTCGTGTAGCTGGAACAAATGGCCACCACAGGGCTATGTAGGTTCTTGTAATTGAGCTGGTAGTCTTCAGTTCTGGCTGAAAGCAGAATGGCTCAAGTTCCAGTACATCGAGCTCTCGTAAATAAACATCTTTATGTCCTTCGAAAAGAGGTTGGCATCTTGGAAATCTTCCGGCGCAACTTATCAGCGACTCATAGCGAATGGACGGTGGGATGTATTCTGCGTTCACGTGTTGCGAGACAAATGAGTGATGACATTCGAATGGCTTCGCCATTCGGTTTTGATGAGTGAGTCGCCTCTCGGGACTGAGTGGAACGTAGACAAAAACCTTCTGACATCGGCGTGAACAAGCTAAAGGTAATGTCTTGATCTAGTGGTCCTCAGTTCTTCATCTGTCAAAGTGGGCACACTTCAGAGTGCCTCTCTCAGTGCAAGCTTGCGATGCGGTGCGAAAAGGACTGCCGTACCTGCTGGGCCACTTCGCAATCTCACACAGACATAACCTGGTTGGAAAGGCTTCCGCCGGGTAGTCATACTAGGAAAGTTCTCCCGGTGATGTCTCCTCCCATTGTCATATTCTGCGACCTCACAAGGACTCGAATAGACGGCTTCGGTTGACCGAGAATAAGCAGGTATAGGAAGCCCTGGCATCTTCGATCGGAAGTGCTGCATGGAAGAAGCTGGAATGATGGTTGTGTACGTAATACTATTACTCGGCGACCCTGCGCGCACAAATCTGTAGACTTGTAGACTGCGCTTTCGTGACGGAAGACCAAGGAAACACTTAGAGTGAGATGAAGGTGGAATTCGTTCGGTGACTTTGAGGTGCTGCCGAGAGTTCGACTCGTGTCATATGTTCACAAACTATTCATTTTTTTCGTGCTGCGTGCACAAGCTGCCATTCATTCAACGATGCCATTGACAACATTAGGTGAATAATACACTCAAACAAGTTTTCTCTCCACAATATTGTCGACACCTATCACAAAAACTGCGTAATTCGGACACTCATGGGCGATCGATGCCTTGTCCACGGCGTGACAGCTGAGTGAAGGCAGACAAAAAGAGAAGTGCAATAATAGTACATGGTCATATGGAAACATACAAATGATAAAAGCTTAAGCAAGTGAAGGTTTAGAAAATCAGTGATCCTGAGATGGCGGCCGGCGCCTCTCGTAGTCGGGCCGCCAGGCTTGAGGCTTTTCTTCCCGCACGTTGACTGGCCATGCAACATTGTCGATGGCGCATAAGAAGTTTGCCTGGACTGCGGCCCGGGTATCATTGCCTTTTCTCGAGAGCCCAATGTTCTGTGAATGGGCTCATCCGGTGACCTGGCTGGAAAGGTCTTCCTCCTCGTTTAAATGCCGTATGTAGTTGCTCGCTTGAATCTTCATCAATCATAGCCTGGTATGACCGGCGCTCCTCTTTGTTTCCGCCAGAAATTTGCACGTTGACCCCATTCAGGACCGAGAACGAAGCTTCCCCAGCGTTCAAACACACTGGGGGAGAACTCCCAAGAGAATTCGCTCAGCCAGTCTTCTCCCCACACAATCATTTGACCGGTATCCTCGATATCGCACGCGATAGTGCATGCTTCCGTAAGAAAAGAATTGGCATTCGCTGGGCCCACTGTTATTAATCGATCTCTGAGACTGGGAGAAGGTATCATGTCTATATAGGCGTGGTGAGGGGTGGATAGCTGTAGAGGCGTGGGTTTCAAGGGGCTGGGTAATGTTGATTCTAGTGCCGCTAAGGTGGCCAAGTGCGTTTGAGGGTTTGAAATAACAGGAATTTCGAGAAGGGGGCTAAACATGGCGTGTAGATTTCGTCGAATCTCGCGAATATTATGAGGGACGACCACCACGACGTTTGCCGGGTCTGTACTTGTGCTTGACATCGGTGTTGTGGTAGGCGGATGAAGTGCCGCTGGCACGACCCCGGGTATGTAGGAAGTATTTGCAGACACCGAACCTAGATAGCCAGGATGAGGTGCACCGTAGTGAATGTAGCCCGAAGGCGATGGTGTGATCGTCGGTCCAGGAGAGTTTGCCTGAGACCCGTACGCTGCTTTGAGGGATTCATTCTCCTGCGAAAGGAGTTGGACTTCGCGACGGAGTCGCTCGACTTCCTCAACTTGTATGCTGTTGAGTTCGCGCTGCGCCGCTTCGAGTTTGCTAAGATGCTCCTTGCGCCGTTGACCTGCGGTGGATTAGTGTGTGTCCGAAGTTCGAAGGGGAGCTCGCCGCTGCGGCAGCCGGGACAAGCCGTGTTGCGGTCACTTACGAAATACCCGCTGGGCATTCCGATTGTATTCCCTATCGCAAGGTCAGTGATGTCAGGCAAGATCAGTAAGTTGTTGACATATCACACTGACCTCTTCTTCGCTGCCTTGCTGGCCTCGCTGCCAGACTCCGACATGGCGACAATAGAGATGACTTCACTGCTGCTATGATGGTGGAGAGTCTCCGTGGCGACCGACATCATTCAAGTACCTCTTGTGGGATGAGGCGTCGCCGTGGCTGTCGCAGCCGGCATGTACGTAAAGAAACAGTGCGACAAGGGATGATCCGCAGAAGCAAACAGTTCGTTACCAGAAGCGAAGATCCAGTGACAAGTCCAGGACCCAAAGCTGAAGGTCTCAAAGGGGGGTCGCCGTGTAGGACAAAGATGAGAGGGCGTGATGTGTTCAAATGAGTTGGGAGATGACTCTAGCCGGATAACAGGTGTACTGCCGGGGTGATTGGACAGCCAAAAGGCTCAGGGTAGCGAAGCGCAACGGCCACGGCGCGTTCGATGGAGTTTTAATTGCCCTTGCCGAACGGTCATGGATCGAGTATGATACTTGAGCACTCGGTCCGCGTCATGACCAGGCTTGGGAGGCAGGAGAATGCTGCCCTATATCTGTGGGGAGCGACGCCTCTGATGGATCTGCAAAAACGGTAGGCCGACGGCAAGCCTGATTGACCTTGGGGAATGGAGAGCACTCCCAATCAGCAATCCGTTGTCCGCCGTCCGACGTGATTATTCTCCGAATGCGCAATTCGAGTCAGCCACAAGCCGTCTAGCTGCAGAGACTTCTTTGAAGTGGATGAGACCAGAGAAGAGCGGGTTTTGCTCCAATGCACTGTGGTCCCGCAACCAGCGTCCAAGGAGGGAATTGTGCATACAAAATGACTGCTGAATTCAGACTCGGCAATACGATGCTGACCCGCTTTTGGCACGAGGAATCATTGGGAAAGATGCATTAGCACCAGCCCAGAGGCCAGGTGAGCAGGGATATCGTCTCGCGACGAATTCTCAGGCTAGTGAGGCCACAGCCGATGTACGTTGGCGAACAAAAAAGTGTCAGATGTAGATCGCCGCAATCCGCAGCCCGGGATTGCCGTTTGCTAGGGTGCGACAAGGCTTCAATGAGCAAAGACTGGCAGGTTGAGCCCAGAGTGGATTTGTTGGTGTCGGCGAGTCGCGATGGCAAGTCGAGTCTACATCGCGGATGGAGACTTCGGAGCTAGAGGATCTTGAGATTTAGCCATTGCAGGGGCTCCGGGAACGGCATAGTTGACAGGGGACCTAGTACACCAATGCTGAATTCATCGACGCCAGTCGCCGGGTTGAAAGTCTTATGGGGTAAAGCGAAACCACAGCCACGGTGTGTCGAGGGTCTACAGCTTTGCTCTGCACCGTTGAGCCACCAAAGTCAAATTACCTTTGCTGAGGGGGTTTGTTGTGCTCTGTGTTCTTCGTGTGTCAAACCAATAATGCCGACGTCGAAGGCTTCCTCGGGCGGGTCCCCCGTCCAGGACCACTTGTTCGGGCCCTTGCGACGTCAATGGGCAGTGGAAACGGCTGCCACCGGGCTGAATGCTTTCAGCTCGAGTGTTACGGAGCTAACGATGATGAAGACGTGCCGCGGAGTCCAAGACACGGGCACAGTGCGAGGGCCGCATCAAGTTGTCCTGACTCCTGACTGGAGCGAAGTCGATAGAGATCAGTCAGGACATCCAATACCACGGGGCCGTGATTGGCAAGAATCAGGCTGCTCTAGCCTGACCAACTATTATGTTGTTCAGCTCTTCGCGTCGAGTTGACGTCGAGGGCTCACCTGAAACACAATTCACTATGGTGTTTCAATTGTGCCATGGCTGAGGCCACAAATCTCGATTTTTTTTTTCAGGCAGGCAGGGTCTGATGCAGCTTAGCTGGAATCAAGCCGTCGGGCTGGACCCCTTGCAGAGCTGGCGATCGTACTACGAGGTGTGCTAGGGCAGGAATAGGCCGGGGCTGTCAACTAGTCCAGTCGCTCAAGAGTGGATGGGGCTGTTTGGAGGATGGTGACAGGCTTCAAGCCCGGCGCTCGGCCGGATCACTGGCAGAAGGAGGAATGGCAGAGCCGTAGCTGTAGAGGGAAATCGGAGGCGTGAAGACATTGAGATCGCAGGCTGCTGTGACAGGGCCCGGAAAAAGCAATCGGCCCAGAAAGCGAATATAGAATTCCGCAAGGACGGGAGGAGGTGGAGGGTCCCAATGGTGGAAAGGAAATGCAGCCTAATGCGCCTAAGGGGCTTAGTAGAGCCGCTGGGCCTGCGAGCCTGTGAAGCCCGTGGGCAGCTAGAAAGTACGCTGGGTCCTGAGCTGAAAATTGACTAACTTAGTGACCAACGGCCAAAAAAAGAATGGAAAAAAAGAAAAACCAATAATAATGTGCTACCTCCAGCAGGGGCAGTTCCAGGCGGGACGAAGGTACAGTACAGCGCGGTACTTGGGAGGCTTCGTGACCAGGAGAAATCTTCCGGGAAAAAATGACTGGGTAGGTATGGATCAGCACAGCAGCAGAGTTGATTGCGCAACAGAGGCCGCCGTATTCGCATTACGCGGTACCGGCTCGAGAGGTACTTTTACCGTTAACAGCAGGGATACCCAGTCCCCGATGTACTCCAGAACCCTATGCCTACAAGTACCTAGGGCACCTAGATGTACATGCTCCCAGCCCTACATCAGGCCCCGCGGAGTTCCTACAATTAAAACCCAGGTTGCCCTTCGTACCTTCCCCGGCTTGCTTCCTCCAATCGCTCTGATTCCATACTACCTGTACCTACTACCCTACTGCGTAACGTCTCTACACTGACACCGGCGGATCCGACCGCCTGACATACTCCGGTTGCCCCGTTGCTTTCTTTGGCGCTTGCTCTAGGCGATTTTGGCTTTCGTCGTTCACTTGTCTTCAGATTCGATGGCACCAACATCGAGGTTTTCATTCTACCTGTTTTGTGGAAGTCAGCATTGTTTGCTCGGCTATTCACACCATCCACCAGCAACCTCAACCATCCCTCCCTCCAGCGGGATGCTCTGTATTCAGTATGCGCTACCGAACCCGAAGCGAGTCTCCATTCTGTTACCAACCTTCGAGGGCCGCCCTCCCGGCCCAGCCTCCCAGGCACCCTTGTCGATAGAGTTTGCATCCGCCTTCCCTGGCTTCTGATGACCCCAGCTGCATGACTGCGCCGACGGGCTGTCCGTTTGCTCAGCTAATCGCGAATGCGAACCAACTGTTGTATTGAAGAGGAGTAGTAGCAAGAGTTGGGATGTCATCGACTTTACATACGATGATCCCAGGCCATTACTTCGATTCATCCAGAATGAGAATCATGCAAGGGCCACGACGCGGGATGGGAGGTCTACGCCGGAACCTTCGTTGCGACCTCTGACTGGTTACATGTAACTACATATTAAGCCCACTTGCGGTGATGACCTGCATTCCCAACATGCTGGGAGCGAGACGATCACAAACGCACATCACTCGCTTCTCTGGATAGGTATGGTGTACGACGGTGGTACATCGGTACTTGTCTCTTCCACCACATCAATTGGTCGTGCTAACCCTGCTCAGCACGATCAACACGCTCAGTGACCCTCCCGCCGATCATGCTACTCAACTCCACCTTCCTCGCACTGGCCGGGCCAGAGCAACTCCCATAGTAATCTTGCTCATTTCTCTCTGGCGTGAAAGATCTCTCCAGCTTTGCCAGATCAACAGCAGAAGTTCAATTTGCTCTTCCCCTTTTGCAACATCGAATGCCAATCTTTCGTGGCGAGGACGTCAAAACACCGAACAACCCATGAAGCAAATCACGCTCTTAAGCCACACGATCGGTCATTGTGCGGGCACCGAATGCAATACCTTGCTGTAGGCTCTCTCCACCAGCCCAGCTCGAACCGTCACAGGGCTTCCAATTACTGCTTCCGATCTCCTGCGGGCTGATCATAACCACACCCCCACTGAGCTGAGCCTCGCTTAAAATGGCTCTTAATATTTTCAGTACGAGACTCTTCTTTGGGGTAATTATGCGAAATCAAATGGAACAGGGCTCTACGGAAGAAGATGGCGCTGGTATCCATCAAAGATAGAGGTGGTTACGTGTCCCCGGCTCACTAGACGTCTCCTGACAGAACCTCCAGCCCGCTATAGACCGAATAAGGACACAACTTCAACCTCGCTCGGCTATCAATTCTCGATTTTCAGAGGACATCGGCTTTTTGCACTACTTCCTGCCACGTTATCCTACCTGCAGTAATTATTGGGTGTGGCAAAACTCAATGTCTACGTGATAATGCACCGGTTAAGACTTTTTGGAGAAGACCTGGGGTGAGTTCACTATTCGTCAACAGAGCCGGCGTATGGCTTCAACGCAGACATCTACCTGTGAACCTTCTCGACCTTCTCACTCCAACACTCTGACATGGCTTTGACAATCTTATGACTGTCCACCAATGACCTTGTATATCAAGTCTTCTTTCGCAATGTTCAAGCACGAGCCACTATTCGGCGCCCGCCGGCGGTGGGTAGAAGTACGTAAAGGAGTTGCACGAAGACAAGGATGCTGCGGGTTCTCAGGGTGCAAACTCATTGCCAATCAACCGGATCAATCTGGTAGATTTCGGAGATGGCCAATATCAGCAACGGCCAGTAGAAGCCATCCTCGTTCCTACAGCTTATCACAATGTATACTCCCTGAGCAAAGAACGAGCGGCCACCGCACCATCCTTACGCATGATTGTCACGATCTCGATGTGATCCCGGAGATTGTGGTGGAACAATGCTGCCACTGGTCGAGCTACTACAATACTTGGATTCTAGAGTAAGGTTCCCTGGTACCATTGGTACTCTTCGCACCGTTTCCGGGGTTGTCGGACTGTTGAAACGTCGAATCTGCAGCCGTCATTTGCGGCGAACACGGTCTATTGAGAGGGTCAACATCTTGCGGGACGATAAATTTGCTCACTGAAAGGGACATATCTGCCGACGACGAACAGTGGCTCTCCAGGCCAGTTTCGTGGCTTCTTGCATCGGTTTGGTGCAGGCTAGTTTCACGGCTTAGACCAAGGCCTGCACATTGTTTCTCATTGACCACAGCAGTATGGTTGCCCTCTTCACGTCAAATTGCTGGAGCTTTGGCTGTCCATTCGCAAGTGACAATTGCACAGCGTCAACCGGCTAGGTCAGAATCGCTTCCACCTTTCGGGACGACCAAGTAGGGCCTAAACTGGGCATGAGAGGTCAAACCAGTTCCTGAAGACTCCTCATGAAAAGGACTACTGTGACAGCCCCAGCAGCCGTCATCCTCAGCCCTCTTGGTTCTAGACCTTGTAGTCCAGGACGCAGGCCCTACTGACCCGCATGAAGATACCTGAGTTCTTCAATTCTCTCGATATCAACCATATCCGTGACGCGTCACCTCAGAATGGCTTCCAAATTACTCGTTTTCCGCGGACCCAATCGGGCACAGTTGAATGTCCACCTGGTGGTCGACATGCCGCTTGGACACAGATCTAGCCCCTGCCTGGCTGTTGACCTCCTTCTGATCACGTACAGTATCGGCTTATTGCTCTCCTGATCAGGCATTGTAAAAGGCTTAAGTCGGTGAATGGACACCTTCCTCCGTTCGAAGTTCTACTGCTTGATCTAAATGAGCGAGCGGATTACTAGGACGTTTAGGCGCGCTTAACTTGTCCTGGTGGTGCAATTTAGACCTTCGATCCTATAATAGGCTTGAGATCTACTATCACCAGGTCTATCTGTTTCAAAACGGAAGCCGTAAGGCCCCTACGAAAACGGTAGTCGACAGGAGTGTTCAACTGCCTCAAGCTTATGGCACTGATACGGTCCACAGCGCTGCTTAAAAACTCAGGCAACCGGGGGATCGAGAATCAGGTAGGTGCAAAGAGTTTCTCCCATCTCCCTTAAAACCTCAAGCAGGGGTACCTTAGGTGTCTCCTCTCTAGCTCAAGTCAACAATCATACTCCCTGGCTCCTCGAGGTACCTCTGGACAACGGTGGCCATTCGGGCCATGGTAGCCCCGTCGACAACTCTGTGATCAGCACTCCAACTCATACTGACGACTTGCGCAGGACGGATAGTGACACCGTCCTCTGCAAAAACAGGTATCTTCTTGATCTTACCGATACCCATAATCGCTAACTGCCCCTCGACGATCACCGGGGCTACTGTCTCGCCACCAATATTGCCTATGTTACTGACGGTGATGGTCCCACCGGTGAGGTCAGTCTGGCTCAGTTTGCTCGCCTGGCCAAGTGCTGCGAGACGCTGGACCTCGTGTGCTATGTCTGCAATTGATCGAGCTTGAACATTCTTGACAACGGGAACAATCAGGCCACTTGGTGTATCCATCGCTACCCCGATATTATGCACATTCCTCATGATGAGCTGCGGCTTTCCTGTACCTTCGCTATTGAGGTCCAGCCGGGCGTTGAGCAAGGGGTACTGGCTCAGCGCGAGCGAGACTGCCTTAATGATGAAAGGCATATACGTCAGTTTCGGCGTATCTGGCCTCCTGGTTGAATTCAGTCGAGTCCGCATGGCTGCCAGATTCGAGATGTCGATGGTGTCAGAATACAAGAAATGGGGTATCGAAAGAGAGCCGGTCATGCTTTTGAACATGGCGGACTGGACCGGTGTGAGTCTCTGCGGTGTCTCCGTCTGTGTGCCGTCGATGCTTGGCTTCGGCGGTGTCGAGGTCGATACCGATGCAGGAGATGATTTCGAAGACGTCTCCAGATGCTTGTATACATCTTCCTTGAGTACTCTGCCGTCCTTGCCCGTGCCCGTGATTTCTTCTATTGCTAAGCCGTGTTCCTTCAAAAGCCCTCTCACGGACGGTGTCGCAAGCGAAGAGTGCTTTCCAGGCGTCTTGGGCTGTGCAACGATCTGGCCGGATGATGCTTCACCCTTTGTTTCCTCCTGCGATCCCTCTACTACCTGGCCACCGCCCTCTGCGGTCTGCTCGTGGTCTGTAGTCTCATCGGCGTCCGCCGTTCCTGCCTGTGCTAGATTTTGATCACCACCAGCGTCGTCACTGCCTTCGACCTCTATGTCCAAAAGAGGGTCTCCGACTTGGACCACGGCGTCTTGGGCAAAGTGTAACTTCTTGATGACGCCCGTATATTTCGAAGTAATCTCGACCGAGGCCTTGTCGCTCTGAACCTCACACAACGGACTCCATTCTTCAATGGGTGCCCCTTCTTCCACGAACCACTGTATGATCTGCACTTCTTTGACTCCCTCGCCGATATCCGACAAGATGTGTGTTTCTGTTTTCTCGAGCCGCGTCGTCGCGTGGAAGTGCTGCCGGCCTGTACGGAGAAAGGACGCCGCAGCGGTGGCAGGTCTGAAGAAGAACGGGGCGGTTGCGGGTGTATGGCCCCGCGCGAGGCCTGACAGGAGCCGAAGCGCCTGCGGTGAAGGGACGTACTTCATCCTCGCCGTAGAAGGCCTCTGCCGAATCTACGGTGTGTAGGGAGGACTCGGAGGGAGATCAGCGACACGATCCTGCACAAGTAGGCGGGATTCACGTATTTGAGAGAAGCGTAGTCGCGAACGTTTCGATGTCCGACGTTATCCAGCCGCGAATAACCGAGTACTCCTCCTTGTTGTTGGTCGTTGCCGATGCCGGGGATAATAATCGTTCGGAGTACGGAAGTACCACACACACCTACGACTATCGTCGTTGGGTGCCAGACCTACTAGTCTATGATAAAGGCAGGACGTTCATGTACCAACCAGTACGACCATCGAAGAAGTGTCGGGGCTTAGAAAACGCCGGGACAATATATGTTTACATGTGTTATCTCACTTCAAAGGTATAGAGGCATGCATGGCGAGGTGGTGAACGACAATGTTGCTCCGCTTGAACTGAACATCCTCCCATTGCAGAGCGGCCGAACGCCAGCCACGGTAAGGAAGGCATCCCAGGCTAGCTGACTCGGCCCAGGGAGCGTGCAAATGACAGCATGTCGGAACAGAATAGACCCAGACGGACCATCACATACGCACTCCGGTATAGGTGTGTGTGTGTAGCTTTGCAGGTGGTATGTGTATTCGAATAGAGGACAAGTACCCAAGGACCAAAAGAACGAGGTACATAGCAGTTGACACACTCCTCTGGCCCCAATCTATCTACCTTCTTTTCTTCCTACCCATACCGCTCCGATTACTACCAGCACGACTGACCTCGGAAATGACACTGGCAGACCTCTTGTGCGCACGTGTGGCTGCGGCAGAGACCGATGCGACAGCCTCGTCTGGGTCGTCCTTCGCAGGGTTACTATCGCCATCGGCATCTGCATCCTCGCCGTCCTCTCCATCGTCCTGCCCAGCGTCGCCTTCTGACTCCTCTTCGGCAGCTTCGGCCTCAGCTTCTTCTTGTTCTTCATCTCCTTCTCCATCCTCTTCATCGTCCTCATCCTCATCTTGCTCTTCGTTTTCTCCATCTTCGTCCGCATCACTGTCGATATCTGGAGTCGCGGCAATTTCTGCTCCATCTTCCTCGTCTTCGTCGTCATCAACTCCAAGTTGAGGTCCGTCGTCATCCTCGTCTTCCTCTTCTTCTTCTGCATCTTCGTCTTCACCGTCTTGGTCTTGCTCAGCAGCAGAGTTATCGGCATCTTCATCCTGATCTTCGTCGTCACCGTTCTCATCCTGCTCTTCGTCCTCTTCATGCTTGAGCTGCGAGGCCTCGGCGGCTGCCTCTTCATCATCCTCATCAGCGTCGGCGTCCTCGTCCGGTTTATCCACAGCCATGGTGCTTTCGTCGCCTTCAGCGCCGTCTTTCTTCTCTTGATTGTGGTCACGCTCGGCAGTGGAATCGGCCTGACCCCCGGCGTCCTTACCTTCGTCTGCAGCCATCATTGAACTATCCTGTACCGTTTCGAGTTTACTATCCACAATCTGCGACGAGTCCACCTCCATTACACTTCCGTCCGTTTGACCAGGCGGTCCTCCTTCCTTAGGCAGACCGAGCCTGATGCGTCTCTGCTCTTCCAAGATTTTGATCTCGGTCGCAATCTTCTCGTTGACCTTCCTGGCATCGAGAAGAACATTGATCTCCTTCACCAGCCGCTCAAATTCCCGACAGACTCTCTCAGTCGGCATGAGCAGGCGTGGTGGGATACCCAACTCCGTCAATGCAGCCTGAATCTTGGTCGTCTGTGTCTGACTCTTTGCCATGGTAAGACGGTTAATCTTCTCATGCCGGAACTGGACCCCACTCGTGAGTCGCTCTTGAGGATGAGCAACTCCAAAACGTGCCTCTTCTTGCGGTGTCAATACCCGCACAGTTGGTTGTGACACAGAACCTTTCTTCTGTGAACCCGTTTCGTCCGCCTGAGTGTCCATGGTGTCGCGTCGGCTGTACGAGGGTTGTTGACTCGCCTTCCGCGCATCAGTCGGCGTTGCAGCGGAGTGCCCACTATGTGCTCCTTCAGGCATAGGACGAGGCGGCTTAAGCCTCTTCTCCTTTGCGAGCATGTTTTGCAAGAGCATGGACAAGCCAGCCGAAGTCTGGTACATGGCAGTCGACTGCTCCTCGCCTCTTTCGGTGCGACGAATGGGGGCGACAGGCTCCAGCCGGGCGTACAAGTCTGCCCTCATCTTGATAAAGTCTTCCTCATTCTTGGTGATACGGTATAGCTCTTCCAACAAGGTTCTCTCCTCATCGGCTTCGTCTTTGGTGCGTTCAAACAGTTTCTCCGCCATTGCCTTGCGCATGGTCTCTGTCTTGGCGTCGAAGCTGCGCATCTTCTCCCACAGCTGGAATTCCGCTTGAGCCATGCTGCTGATGGGTATCTGAGTCTCGAGGATCTTGGCGGCAATGGTGTAATAACGTTGTTTGAGTGCTTCCATGGTCCGCTCCGGAAGTCTGGCGGCAACCTCGCGGCCTGCCGCTTCGCCATTCTCTTGAGACGTACTAGGTTTAACGATATCTTTCGCGTCGTACCTGTCTGCAATGACCACCCATCGCAGATCGTATTCACGACAGAGCTCCATCAAATAGTCCGTCTCTTCTCTAGACCAGTCATCCGCCTTCAACAGATTCTCGTACTGTTCGTCCGTGTATGTCGGAATCTGGACTTTGACATTCCACTTATGCGAAGGATACTCATCTTCATACCGAAGCTCGGGCGCAGCAGTACTCTTTGCGTCATCCGTCATTTCTACATCACCAGACCCCTCGCCGTTGGTAACAACTGGTGGGCGCGTCTGTGACCCTGGGATAGACCGTTTCCAGTGTCTCAGCACAAGTCCATCAGTTCTCGCCCCATGCTGGAACGGTCTTTCCTCCCAATGTCTCGGCTTGAACAGTTTCTGCGAAATCGACGGTCTTGATTTGTACGAACGTTGTTCGACGATGGCTATCGGAGGGACGGAGTCGCCCATGAGTGCTTGGACTTCTCGCTTGAATCCCGTCATACGAGGCTGCGTATCTGCCAGTTTCTTCCTCTTGGGCGCAGGCTGACGAGGGCCTGCCTGGCCCAAGTTCATGATGTCGCGGATGTCGGACGAAGAAGCCATTTTGACGTCGAGCGGCGGCGCAAGGTCGAAGCAGGTGCGGTGATGAGATACGACAAGTTCACGCTGAAGTCGAATCGCCCATTGGCCCTCCTTTTACATCAGTAAACCCATTGTTTCCTAACGCGTTGGGGATGGAAAAGAACCGTGCAGGCGACCAACCGTGGAGTCAACGGGCGCAGAGAAGCAAATAACTACAGGAAGACAAGAATTCACGGCAGCAAAAAAGCGGCGAGATGTTTCTCTCACTCCGCATTTTGCATTCGGCGGCTCCAATTCGACACCCCTGAATTGGCGGCCAAAAACGACCAACATTTTAAATACGTGTAAACCTAAACATGTGTGTCTTTCAGTAACCCGTGCTCATCGACAACGACATCCTGCAAATACTCATATCCCGCAGGACAGCCAGCCAGCCAGCCAGCCATGCATTTCCCTCTTGCGACCGTGTTGGCGGCCTTCAGCCTTCTCGCTCCTTCACAAGCGCTGTACCTGTACATTGACGGCACGTCGCCAAAATGCTTCTACGAAGATTTACCCAAGGACACGCTGGTTGTCGGTATGTTGTACACACCCCTTTCAGTCTCTCTCTCTCTCGCACACCGAGACTTCCACCCGAGCTGCAACTTGACTTACTGACGCGCGATTCCACCGCCGCAGGCACATACAAAGCTGAAGCCTACTCGCCGGCCACCTCAACCTTCCGAACTACATCCGACCTTGCCATCCAGGTGACGGTCGACGAGGTCTTTGACAATGACCACCGCGTCGTGACGCAGACGACCACCTCTTCAGACGCGTTCTCAAAGTTCACATTCACCGCGGCCGACCCGGGCTTGCACAGGTTGTGCTTCACCCCGTCCGGCCCGGCGGCCATCAGCGTGGGCGGTTGGTTCTCGGGCTCGGCGGGCTCGACGATCGGGGGCGTCAAGTTGACACTCGACATGGCTATCGGCGCCACGTCAAAGATCGAATCCGAGGACAAGTCAAAGATCGACAGTATCGTCCACAGAGTCAAGGAGCTCAATGGCAGACTTACGGATATCCGGAGGGAGCAGGTTTTCCAAAGGGTACGTGGGTGGACACCGGGGGGTGGTCATCTTTGGAGCAGGGCAGAGTAGCTCTGACTTCTTTGATCGGAAACAGAGAGTACAACGCTAACACAATCCCAGGAACGAGAAGCGGAATTCCGTGATCAAAGTGAAGCTACGAATTCCAAAATCGTCCGATGGACCTTGATTCAGCTTGGCGTTCTCGGTGTTACATGTGCATGGCAGCTGTCGCATTTGAGATCATTCTTCATCAAGCAAAAGTTGACATGAGATCGGATTCATGCCAAAAGTAACCCAATGACTATGAACTTTGACGACTTGGTTCGTTGGATTGGCTGTGTTATACTACTCGGGTATCGAGACTGATGAGCGTGTCTCGAGGGCCACCTAATCTCCCATGATACGAATAGAAGTGCTTTCATGGACTCAATCCAGGCAGTCATATGCATACCTTTTTAACCAATCGTTCCTCGCTATGCCAAAATCGATACAAGACCGCTCAATGCTCCACAGAATATAGAGATACAAAAAGAGGTGTTTCAGGTAGAATCGAGGAAATTCGTCAGCTACATTTCGTCAATACCCTCTTCCCGTCCGGGGACCTGCAATACTTGATCCCGTGGATCGAAAGTCCCAGCCCCTCGAAGAGCCTCCTCTCCCCGTCACTGGAGGACGGTCGGTCAGTGATAACCCGTCGATACCGAGGTTACTCCTCTCCGACTGTGCCGTCCCTGAATGCCTGGGTTGACTTTTATTAGGTCGCGGTGTGCTTCCCCCCAGTCCGGGAACGTCAAACCGTTGTCTGCTGGACCTCGGAGGAGTCCATTCTGGCATTGTAGAGCTTGTTGCAACGGACGCCTTGCTCTCTATTGACTCGGTTGAATCTTTTCGATCAAGCAAAGGCCTTCGTGGGAATGCGTCCTGTTGGTTGGTGGAGCGTGGAGCACCTTGTGTGAGGTGCGACGGGGCTCGGTACGACAACGTCGATTCGTTGTCGTTGGTTGAATTGTTCATTTGCAAGAACTCCTGGGGCAACAACAAAGCAACAGAGGCAATCGCCAATTTCGTCCAAAGGTCCCGAAGAAGTTGGCCGAAGGGCTCACGAAGCATAGAAACCCCAATCAGGAAGCTTGCTTCGAGTGCATAGGCGAGTAGCCTCAAGAATTGACCCTGTACTCCGTGCTCGGCTAGATGGAGTGATAGATGACCGATCGGTACAAAAGTACTCGAGAGAACGACGTAATAACCGAACCTCGAGGATTCTGTGACAATGGCTGCCTCGAACATCCACACCGCCACCGACATCAAAATCGCAAAGAATGACAGACTGCTGAATATCGCACAGAGGGACGCTCGCTGAGTCGGAGCTGTGAAGCCAGGCGTAGAATCAGTCCGAGTGACAGCTGTCGAAGGTCCCTGACTTGATTTCGTTGGCGAGTCTATTGATTGGTCTTTGAGAGAAAAGACCGATCCAAATATATTTTCCAGTCCTGTATCTGCTTCCTTCGGAAAGAACTTTGGTGGAGCCATAGTCTCACCAGGCGAGCCTTGTTGACGCCTGGGTATCGCTGATCTTGCAGGCCGATCGAAGAAACCCGGTGGTATCCCAATGGCCTCTCTGGTCTCTGGTTCCTTTTGGCCCACGGTTGGGCGCAACCCTCGTGCGTCAAGAGCTGGCAACTTGCCGTAAAAGGGACTTGGGCTGGTCGGCTGGTATCGAATATTCTTCAATTCGGGTCGAAAAATCTGCTGGGTCGGAGACCAGTCCATCGAATCTCCAGCATCTTCAGGAGGAGTGGGCGGCCTCCATGCTTGATACGTCGAATTCTGCGCCGGGGAAAGATTTTCAAGGTTGAAAGGTTGGCTTTGACCAGCCTGTATAGCCTCTTCAGGCAGTTCCGGAGGCACAAATTGATTCTGAGACAGTAACGGAGCGGGATCATCTTGCCAATTGACTGGTGGAAGACTCTTAGTCTTCACAATGCCAAGGAAGGACCATCCGGCGATGATTGCAATCCCGACGGCAAAACAAGCATGTAAAATAGCTGAAAATCTAATGTCCAGAGGCACATGGAACATGACGATCCACGCAATGAAGCGTAAGCCTAAAAGAGCCATTTGAATGAGATAGTACTCATACAGGCCAGACAGACTTCCGTCGTGATTGGATAGCTTGTGTTGCCATTTCGGGTTCCACCAAATGCACAGCAGGCTGACTGCTAGCGACAGTCCAACGAACGGTTCCAGCGCATCCAGGCACTGTGAGGAGTAGACGCGAAGTTGGTAACATTCCCGCGGGCTGAGGACCTGCTCAGAGGACTTTCCGACAATCTGGGACCCGTAGAGATGCCATCCCAATTGCACAACGAAGCTGAGAAAGTATCCGACGCCGGCTGCGCTAACCAAAAGACTCCTCCATCCAAGCCGGCTCCCAATCCTTCGTTGTCGTGACTTTTCCAACACACGCCTGAGATGATCACTTCTTGCATGATAAGTTGCTTGATGCAGCTTGGCCCGGACTTTCGGCTCGCAGCGTGGACAACATTGGGGGTATCGTTCCTCGAGTCCTTTCTTGTACGCAGGCAATTCTGCCTCCAGTTTCTCGTAGTCCGGATGGTCGGGGTCAGGGAGGAATTGAGCGAGATGATAGGTGTAGAATTGCTGGTTCTTCAAACACGTCGAGCAGAATATTAAATCAGCCGACGAGGGCCCATCATTGAGAGGATCGACACGGACGGGTTGCGCGAATCGCTGCGCCGGCTCTAATTCTTCTACAGGGACGTCTGCAATCTCGCCATTCTTGATGCTCGTCAGCAAAAACATCAGCAGAGGGGGTCTTCAACATACCTCGTCAAAGAAGTTCACAGCAAGACAGTGTTCGCATTGGAACTTGCGGCCATCCTTCTTGCTCAGTTTCGATCTCCTACCACAGTAGTGGCAATCTAGGCGCTGGCGTAGTGATACTGGCATGATGCAGCATGATCGATCGTGTCAAGTTGACTTGCCTCCAGCGACAGCTACTAGGTATCAGTCACCGTGTGTTTCAGAGGCGATCAACTTTCCTTTGTTTCTGGTCATTTTTGTACTGGCGTTCGAGAAATGACAACTGATTTCCTTGATTGGTCTAGCGTGGATCTCGGGTCAAGCACCAGTATCTCCGAGACCAGAAGAATAGATAGTATTCGCGACGCACATCCATTAACACAGCCGCTGGATACGTATTCCCTACCTTCGTAGGTATGCAGCATGCGTTACCCGGAAATATCAAACGTTGACAAGGACGAGAGACACGACGGGGACGCGAGCTGGAAAAGGATACTATTCTCTTCCGAGACCTGGAATCAACGTTGAGAAGATCGAATAAATATTCCCTTGGAGCACAAACCGCCAGTGCCAAACCAGGGTACCACCATAGGCTTCATCTTGGGATATCCCTGACGCAACGTAACAGACAATCAAAAGTATCCCAAGCAGTATCCTCAGCAGTACAACAGAGACAAGGGAGAATTCAAAATGGGCTCCCGACCAGCTCAAACGGATGAAGTGTCTAATGCTGGATCTCCATCCTGGCCAGACAACCCACTCACAGCAATAACCTCTCTCCCAACCATGGTCCAGATCCTGATCGTTCTGTTCGCGACGGCCCTGATTCTTGGGAACATCATATTCTTCCGCCTGGTTAGCATCCTGTCCCGCCCTGCTCCGTCTTCACGACCACAGCCTTCCGCCTCGAATCCAACACACATCCTCATCGTCCTCGGCTCAGGCGGCCACACTGCCGAGATGCTCAATATCCTCTCCCAAGCGCACTGCCTCCAACTCGACTTCACATACCGCACGTACGTTGTGTCCTCAGGCGACGCCTTCTCCTCCTTGAAAGCCCACGAATTCGAAAAATCACTCCTGGCCGATCTCTCGAATACTCCTGGAATAGCCGTCCCTGAGGAGACATTGACAAATTACGACGTCGTCACCGTCCACCGAGCAAGACGGGTCCATCAAAGCATTCTCACGACACCTTGGACAAGTCTCAAATGTCTGCTGGACTGCATCGACGTTCTAAACGGCACACACCGGGATCTGCAAACCTCTACGAAGCAACGTGGGTATCCCGATCTGATCATGACCAACGGGCCAGGCACGGGGGTCATTGTCGTGCTCGCGTCGATAATTCTGTTGTTCTTTGGACGTTCCGGTCCTCGTCAAGGTAAATCAGGAGGAGCCGCTCCTGGGGGTGGAACGGGCTTGCGATCGGACCCCTTTGCACAATGCGGCCAGATGCGAACAATTTTTATTGAAAGCTTTGCTAGAGTCAAGACATTGAGTCTGAGCGGACGACTGCTGAAACCCTTGGTCCATCGCTTTATAGTCCAGTGGCCAGACTTGGCAAAGTCACAAAATACCAAAGTCGAGTACATCGGTTCATTAGTTACATAGCAGAAGAATACAGAGTACACGAGATAGTTTTCCAAAGGGCGCGCAAAATGCTGCCCAACATGCCCAGCGGTATGTCCAAGACCATTCAAACCCGAGTTGTTACACGTGTCCAATAGGTACTTTGATCATGGGAGTTACCTACATAGTAATCACAGAGCTCTATTGTACTGGTATGTATACATATGCCATCAAGGCCTTATCCCCCTGTTGCAGGCTTACCCTGCCTAATTTTTCTCCGAATATATCGTAGAGCCTGCTGTTGCTGACCTGGCCGCGATTCCACTGAGGAAATCCTATTTGAGCAGACAGTGGAGCTCCAACCTGAGACTCAAGCGTACCATAGGGCAACATCAGCTTGCTCACATGATCTGGTCTGCCTTTGTACAAGCCGCTCAGTGTTGATAGCCATTGTGCCTTTCGAGGTCACGTTGGTGCATAACCATCGTCAAGTCTGGCCCGGACCGAGAGTTGACAAGAACCCAGGAAGCTGGATGTTTCTTTCAATCCGACGGGCGCTTGCGAGACCCAACGAGTGCACACACTCCTAGCCCGCTAACATGCACGATAGCAGGACCGGTAGTTCACTCCGACGATTTGGGATCATCTTCTCGATGCGCTCTTTCCTTCTTTCTGTCTCAAGATTTCACCGATGAGGCTCAACGTCTGATTACTCACTCCATGCTCTTTGATCTGCGCGGCTCTCTCAGCTGCCAAGCGCTTCTTCTCCTGGGCGAGTTCGTCCTTTGGCGTTGTGATTCTTCTCTCGGTGTACCATCTCGATCTGGCATCTTCTAGTATTTTCATCCGAACATAGTCGTCCTCATGCCACTTTCTATTGGGCGAATACTTATCAGTTCTGAGCTCGTCCATAATGCCTGGTCGAAGAGGTGCAGTATACAGGGATGGTTGGAATGTCTGGGCCTCGACGTCAAGCCGCAGGGTGTCGCCTTCATAGGCCTGATAGGCCGGCGCATCATCTTCCGGCCATGGAATTTCAATATCCTCGCCTGCAATGTACCTAGTGTGCCGAGGAAGTTGGCTGTATGGTAGTCGTTGGAGATATGGTGCTCCATAGCGAATGTGTTTTACAATAACGTCACGACTGTGGCCTGTCGCCTCGTCGACAAGTTTGTGCACGAGGCGTACCGTGTCGATAGGGACCGGGAGAGGTGCAGACATGACAGGTCTCGTCTCGCTCTGTTTCGTGCCAAGGGGTGTTTCCAAATCGGCCTGTGGTCACACTTAGTCCACTATTCGCTATTTTATAGTCTCGTGCGTTGTCGGAATGTGTAGGCAATACGTACCATATTTACCCCTTCAATGGTGATTTCTTTCCTTTCCCGATGCACTTCAATCACCTGGCCGATCCGGCCTAGGATGCCTTGATGGCCACTAACAACGCATACGCGATCTCCAACCACAATATTTCCTTCGTTGCCGAAACCTTCGAGTTCCTCCTCCTCGTTCTTGGGACCTTTCAAAGCTCGTTCGGGGAAGGTAGGGCCGTCATGCAGCAGTAAGCTCGCAGCGCCGTATGTCGCTGCTTTCTCGGCAACATTGCGTTTCGGTGCTAGAGGCCCAGCGAGCCAGTCCTCCCTACGGTTCTTACGCTCTTCTTTGACATACTTTCGCTTCACTCTTTCAATCTCGATTTGTCTCCGATCGTGCTCACGCCACGCCGACTTGAGGTCCTTGAGGTTCTTCCTGCGCTCGGCCTTCAGGGCTTGATTTCGAGCCTGTAGGTTTATCCGGAGGATCTTCTGCATCCTGACGATTCGATTAAAGGACGACTCTTAGTGGGAAAGTAGCGTGGGCTGGGCTCGGTCGGAAGTTCAGCAAAGGCAGGAACTGAGATTGACCACGGACCTAACTGAGTAGAATGTTGAGTGTTGAGCCAAATCAGGCCATAACCCTTGGTGTTGATCTCAGTTCGGAAGACAAATTGTGTGTTTCGGGGACTGTAGAGACTGTATAGCTTTGCAGGGCGATTAACTGAATTATGCTCGAGGAGAGATAGCAACGCTTCTTATTTGTACCTGCAGGCTATAGGTGAAGCTCAGCCGCTGAGAATAATTTTGAACGGTTGGAGATCACTCGACCCGGATGGCACAGTCACGTGCTGTGGCCATCCCTTTTAAGACATGCTTAATCCTAAGAAATTCAGAGGACCAACGAGCACAGTTTCTCGAAAGCAGCATTGAGGGATTGATCCACCGTATGCAAAAATCTTGATCTTACATGATCAATGTACGAATATGGCAGTATTAACGAAAATTAGAACAGTTGGGGATTCCCGCGTAAGTATTTGTTCTCATTGTCCTAACGTGTACTGATGGATAGGATCATGTCCTCCGTCATCACTATTGGCACTCCCAAATAGCTCTCCAGAAAGCTCGTCACCTCATCCACTAAATGTACATTTTCGAACCGAATCGAATGAGAAACGCCAATCACCTTCCTGCCACCCCCTGGTGAGCAAAGGCATAAAGCGCGAGCGACAATTGATAGCCGCCCATCGTAAACTCTGCTGTCTTTTCGTGCTGTTACCTCTGGGTTTTGGCTAGCGAGGAGACGTTTCCCCTGGTGTACAAGTAATTTTTTTCTTCATGAATCAGTAAATGTCCTCCCGTTACTTTTCATGTCTTGTTAATTCCTTCGGCAATAATGCTGTGCAATGTTGCCTTCACAGCAATATCTGTGATGAATGATGACCATCCCAGCATAAACAAAAGAAAGGTAAGGTAGGAAATCCGACGCCATACTGTCTATAATCCGGGTATCGAGAGAAAAAAAGGTGAAAGGTAGAATAGAAGAGCGTAAAAGGTTCGTGGAGCCGTACTTGGATAAGTGGCGGTCGTTAAAATGGAATGCAGGTGGCAAACAAAGATGCATTCACCCCCTAGCCTCAGGTGGACTTCTTAGGCACGATCGAACCTTTCATCATCACCATACCATCATCGTCTGAGTCGTCGTAGTCACCATCGTTATTTTGATATGACTGGGTGGCCCAATCTTCCAGGGATGGAGCCGTGGCGGTCTGCTGAGGACGACCGTGTTTGATGATAGTGTCTGCAGTGCGCATGAAGTCCGGCTCAAGATCCTTTCCCGTAGCAGGAGTAGTTTGATGATTGCTCGCAGACTCTCCATGGTAGTAGCCTTCTCCAGGAGGAGAGGAAGCGTTAGAAGTCACGCCGAAGCTGGGATTGGACATGCTTTGCGAGACACTGCTATTTCCGTAATCTTCAAGAGACGAAGCAATGGTACTCGCCGATGGCCCGGCCTCGATTGAGATGGGTGGTGCCTCATTGGCAACACGAGTACGCTGTCTTTCGAGAAACGCGATGTCATCTGGTGATGGAGCGCATTCATCTGCGACATTCTCACTCTGTGCCCTAGAAGCCGCCGCGGTAGCAGCTTCGGCTCGGGAATGCACCTCTTGAATATGTCTTCGCTGGTTGACTTCCTGAGCGTGTTCAAAGGCTTCTTGACTGGAAGTAGGCGGAGAAATTTTAGTGTTTGTTCGCGAAATACTTAGTGCGGCTGAAGCAGGAGGAGCAGTGTGGTATTCCACTGGTGACATTACAGTCTTCAAAGCTTCCGGCTGTTCAATGGCACCAGAAGCAGAAGCCGTGCTAATGGCGAGACTGGGTCCTGCATGGCCATCGCCATCTGACGAATGGCGGCTTGGAGCTGGGGAACGGTCGAGATGTTGAGAACGGCGGTCTCGACTGCCGAGCCGAACAAGAGTCTTCGAAGTACCTTCCCAAAGTCCGTCAACCATGGCTTTGAAAGATCTTTCCCCAGCAGCAAATGGACGTTCCAGCTCAGGCGCAGTCTCTGCATGCGGGAGAAGCAGCCTCTGCATCTGTGAAGCTCGGATGGTCTTGACTGATTCAGCGGTAGACATGGTTGAGATGGCACGATCAGGCCCACGAGGCCGACCTTCCCGTTCCGGCACGGTGCTTGACAGCGTGGATGGCGCATCCAAGCCCTTTAATGACGAAGTAAAATACGTCTCCCTGGGAGAATCATCAGGGCTGGCAGTTTGGCTTTGTGCCAGAGGATGTTCGCCATTGTCTCTCGAGGTTTTCAAAGCTGCGAGGACTTCGTCACCTCGGAGTGAGGATCGGCGTCCGTCTTTGATCTTGTTTTCCCTGTCTCCACGGCCAACAGTGCTTGTGCTGGAGGGCGACGCGATTGACTCGCTTGAGTGGCTGGCTGATGTTGCTGCGCTTGGTGCTCGTCTGCGAGTATTGCTTCGACCTAGGAGACTGCCTGCAATCCTTCCGGCTGTGTTGAGAGCGCGCTCTATGATGTTTCTCTTGCCAACGGCGTGAGATATCTCCCTCTCATCGACTTCCAAAATCTTCTTCTTGCTCTCTTTGGCCATCTCCATTGGACCTTTAATCCACTGGTTTGGATCGGGCATGCCTTCAACGACCCACTCATGGGTCTTCGCTTCCTCCATGGTCATGCGTTTGGCAGGATCCTTTACGAGGAGTTTGCGTATAAGATCGCGGACCCCATCGGGCACGGGTTCAAATTTGAGCTCGTAGTCCAAGCGCTTGTTGCAGTTGATGGAGGAGGGTACGTACGAGGTAGGTTTGTCTCGTGAGGTGTCGACTGGCACTAACCTGCTCTTGGGGCAGAATACCTCTGCCCTGCACACTGCTTCATGCAGGCCCATCTCGTCATTGGCATAGAATGGAAGACGAGCGTAGACCATGCAGTACAAGGTAATACCCAACGCCCAAAGGTCGAGAGCACCAGTGATCCTGGGACCATTCTTTTCCTCAAACATCGATGCGTCTTCGTAGCACAGTTCAGGGGCCCAGAATGCTGGTGTACCCACAGATCGGGCGAGCTCTTTCTCATCGTCGAGAGCAGATACATCTTTCTCGGTGAGCCTGTTCTCAGGATCTTCTTCGGTCGTTGGGCGGCCTAGATAGGAGACACCAAAGTCTGAGATCTTGACGGTGCCGGTGGCTGATACTAGCAAATTGGCTGGCTTGATGTCCCTATGTATGATGCCGATAAAGTGTAGAAATTCAAGGCCAGCAAGGGTGTCTCGAAAGGCCCGACGCGCCTCTTCCAGCGTCAACGCAGGGACGAAGGAGTGCTCGTCGTCGATCTCTTCAAAGTTGACTTCTGATGACATATGTGAAATGGCACTTGTAGCAATACTGAATTTGCGGGGCCGATAAGTCTCAGGTACATAGGCACCATACATGCTGCCAGCCAGGGCTGAGTCGGCATGATAGTCCTCGTGCGAGTTTGTACGACTGGGATTGCTGGAGCCAGCATAGAAATGGCGCGATGCCGATCGGGAGATATCCGAGAACTCATCTTCATCCTCTTCTTCTCCTCCATACTCGAGACTCCAGTTTGGAATAGACTGCAGGTTTGATAATCGGGATCTTTCTTGCTGCTCATGTCGCCGAGCTGCCTGGGCAACAATGTACAAGTCTCGCTCAGTCGGCTCGATGGGGACATCAATGCCGACACGCTCTTGTGAGAAGCGGTTGTTGTTAACAGCTAGGACTTCCCTTACGCCTGGTTTTCTCCATTTGATTTCTCCCTTCTCGACATACTCAAGGATCAGGTAAACTTTATTCTTAGAGGGGTCGTCGATAACTTCCAGCAGGCTGACCACGTTTGGATGTCTTGCCTTTTTCAGTATGGCGACTTCACGTTTGGTTCGATCCTCCGGAGCACCCAGTCGACCGAGGCGTCGCTTAGCTGAATATCTGGGCACAATCTTGATGGCAATCAAAGTTCCTTTTTCGATGTCTCTACCAAGTTTGACTTTCCCATGCTCACCGCGGCCTAGTTCCTGGACAATTTCATAATTGTTGATGAATTTGTTGCCGGAAAAGGTATCGTGCTCGATCTCGACGGTATGGGTCTCCTTTGGTGTCTGGAGGTGGTGAAGGTGTGGGGAAAGGTCGGTGAGGGACGAGGCTGATGGCACTCTGGCGTCAGGATTGAAGAGCCCAGGACTTGACATTGGAGTATTGTCTGCAGTCTTTGTACCGTGAGCACCTGGGTGTCGTTCCTTGGAAGGTCTCCAGGTAGACATTTCGTTGTAGACGAGATTTTGAGCCGGATGAGAGCTTCTTGTCCGCAAGGGAGGGTGAGGTCTTTGTCCGTTGAATTGCGCTTGCAACGCCGCAAAAGATTGATCAGGGTATTTTGGATGGTCCGCAGTAATGCCAGATAGTCTAGGGTGTGATGAGGACAGAGACTTAGAGTGAGAGAGTCGGCGCCCGCGAATTTGACTTTGTGAGGACCTTGTTGAGAGCTTACGCTGCACCATAGACACCCCAGAGCCAAATCCGCGGTCACTTTCCAGCAGAGACAAAGCCTTCAATGAATTTGACGACGTTTGAGTGGATGAAGGTAGTGACCGTTCTGGTCTCGGCGGGCCAAAAGCTGGTGATGCGGCAAGGCCTGGGAGAGCCTGCGCATCCAGCTCATGACCATGGTCTTCTTCGACTGTTTCTAAGGGGTCCTGTGCCACAAGTGCAATAGGAGTGTTGCCTTGGGTGCCAGAGTCTCTTTCATCATGATTTTCCCTGTCTCCCCACTGATCTTGTCTCCCATCATTGCCAGACTTATGATGTACATTGAGTCCACCGGTAGCCGTAGCAGCCCCCTGGCTGTGGCGAGGCTGCTCAAGATTGGGAGCCCATGTTATACCAACGTTGTCCGACATGATTCGAGGGCCACTCTGCTGTGATGTGTCCTGGGTGATGGTTGGGACATTGAAAGATCGACGGCTCAACTGGTCGATGATCCCTCCGTCCACAGCTCACTCCGTTCACAGCTCCTTATACAGACATCTTTAATCTCCAACAAAAAGCGACGGGATCTCGTAGGGTCCAGTCGGCCCAGAAGGTGTGTTATCGGGACACGAAACTTCTGCCTCCGGCAGCCGACGTGGTCGCACCAGACAGCTCAACAGATACGCAAAAGTTTACAAAGGCCAGCCGGTCGGTTCAAAGGTAAGACGGTCTCGAGCCGTGATGGGTCGATGAATCAGTCAGACGAGGAAAACCATATGAGGTAGGATGTGGGTGTGGATTGTGTGTGGCTTTTGCTTCGGCGGTCGGAGGAATGAAAAGAATACGTGAAACTGAAAAATAAAAGACAACGCAACAAAGCCAGCCAATGTCGAATATCAGAAGAGACTGCGGCGAGTCGATGTAAGGAATGAAGAGGCTGTCGAGTATGCGTACGCAGTACGGTACTGCTGCTAATGCTAATGGGCATGTGAGGGCAATACAGTAGGTGGAAAGGCAGCGCATGCGGCATGCCCAGCGAAAAGGTGACGGAGGGGGGACGGAAAAGCCTGGTAAGCCTGAGTGGCCAACCCTAGAAGGGTCTCCAGAGAGCAGGCGAACAGGCCTTCTCAGTGGTCCAGCCGAGAGGATCTTCGGGCACTTGCACGCTTGACAAGCCCATGCAAGAAGCGGGCCTCTTTTTTTGGCTGCATGTTGAGGGGCGTTTTCCCAACGCCAGACTTTGTCGTTATGGTGGGCGGCGAGGACGTGGTGGCTTACAGCCATCCACTTCCAACTTGTATATCCCTGCCTCCTCCTTAGCCTTCTGCTGGACAATCATCAGTGGATGGCTGCGGTGCCCAGCACGCCCTGGCCACCCCTTGCAACTTGCTCCGATTGGCATTTTGCGACTACAATGAACAACGCCGGTCCGGCATGGAACATCCCATCTGCGGCTTGCCTACAGGACATGAACCAGATCATCGATTGATTTCTTGTCATCTGTGAGGGGACCACTCTCTCTTTGAAACAACACCCAGAAGGTCGCTCAGTCAGAGGACAGGGGATCCCTCGATTGCCAATTTCTCCTTTCGCCCTCATGCAGGCTTCTGCCTCATCGAAGCAAAGCCGTGTCGAGTCGGGTTCCTCGCGCTTATCATCATGCCACAGCTTTGGACACGAGAAGAGTTGCCACCACAGGACACCGAAAGACCATTAACTTGGAATGGTGCTTGACGTCCTGCGCGTTAATCGGTACTAACAACTTACAAGCTAGTGTTCTAGCTCTAGTCTCTGCTGGCAATCGGCCAAAGCCATTCCAGGATGCATTCGACTGTGCTCTCTTCATTAGATCTCTCGCGCGACATGAATGGGGATGGGTCTTCACTCCACTCTGCCCACGAGTTTCTCGTCACACCTTGGACCCCTCGCCTTTCACTTTCCAGTTGGCTCTGTACAACTGTGGCCAGGTCTTTTCTGCCGCACGAATACTGATCTGTGATACTTTGTTCGCCCTCTAACCTTCTTACAAACGATGGTCTGGGGACATGTCAATCCCAAGCCATGCCACCTCGCGTGCACCGGAGGCTAGAGGCAATGTGGAGAGGCACACCTGTTAGGTGTCGTGCCAGGACTTGATGGGGATGGTTGACAGTGCTAGCTGATTAGAACAACGAATCGAAAAGACCTTGGCCGCACGCCAAATGGAGACCAGCGCAATCAGAAGTCTTCGGGGCCAACAAATGTCCCGTCTGTTGCGCCATTGCATCGGCCCGCTCGCTGTGCGCATCAGTCCGAGGGCGCCATGTGTCGTCACTGCGGAACGTAAGGTACTAATAACTTAATGTACCTGAGCACACGAGGTGTGCATGGATAGGTCTGGTAGCGATGTAGGGCCAGATGCTTCCTTCAGCCGAATGAAAGTGGTTTGCAAGAAAGCCCTTCACATGCCCCAACAACTGATTTTGTGACCTTCCAAAACTGATCGCCAAAGATCAACCGGCCATCGTTTGGATGGGTTGCTGAAAGGGCTTGTCAAGATAGTCTCCCCCCCAATTTAGCCGCCAATCAGCATACGACAGCAAGCACCGCACTCACAATGCTGCGTACATTGCATGATGCATCCAATCCAGCTGAGCAGCGAGCCCCTGCAAAGCCCTTGGTCAAGAGAAATCGCTAGCGACTTTTGCCTCCTTCCAAACACACCACCATTACTCTACAGGTACTCCGTATAAGGACTGTGCAATACGAGCGTATGGGGGTGACAAGTATCTACAGTGCCGTAGGCTGTAGCAGAACTTCATAACCACAAGCCACTTTTCTACGGTTGCGACAAACCAATTCCTTTATCATGCCCTCTCCTGTTGCGCCGTGCAAACGGAACATGCCTGGTATGTCCCCTTCTGGATGGCTGCCTCATTATGGGATCCACACGAGTTATGGTTCCACATGTTCTGCTGTACGCAGGCAGGTGCTGTAGCATGGAATAATTTTGAGCACCTTCAGCCCGCAGCTTTGCAAGACCTTGTTTGTTCATTGGGGTTTAAAAACCCTCACGGAGGATGGAGTACACGGTAACAATACCCTTCGATAGCACGAAAGTTCGCTTCGCTTACAACAACAAGCGAGAACTCGGGCGGGAGACAGGATTTGAGCCTGAGACAGCCTACAGCCTCAGGCAATTTCGGGCGTGATCTTGGGCGTGCGAACTACTGTACGCAATGCTAGGGGGCACGATCATTCCGTTCTCTTTTCAGATGGCCCCAGAAGCCTGCGAGAGTAATGTGTCTTTTGCTACATTTGACAGGGATCCTAGTTAAGCCCTCGCTCGACGTGCAGTGTGGCATGGTTAGCACACAACCTCAGCCTGAGGGTTTTATCGTCCACTGAAAGGGACCTGGCGTACGGAGTACGTAAAAAACTCAGCTCATGCATTTTCACCATGTCGCCTTGGAAAAGTCCGTCGCGCACCTGGTATCTCCATCGGCGACCGATACGGTGTTGTTCATGTCACGCTTACTGGGCGAACATGAGGTGTTCACACGGATCCCTATGCTGGCACTTGGTGAAAAATTTTCATTTGTTGAAACAAGATCGGCATGACGATCGCGTGTCTGACTTAGATCTGCCTTTTGTCTGAGCCTGTGCTTCCCACCTCTTTCTCTTATTCATTATCGTCGTCTGGATGGTGGTCAAGTGGTCGACACTTTGCCATGAAAAGGTTAGTTGAACGAAAAGATAGCCCAGGCTAGTGGGCTAGTGAGGCCGGGGGCCATTGATGTCGTAAAACTCGCCCGTTCGCGAGCTTTGGGGATGGGCTGGGGAAGGTGATCGCTGATCAGTGATGAGGAGCTTCCCCTTTCAGTCAGCCACTCCGGAACCCAAAGCCGGTCCATAGTCGACGGAACCTCAATCCACCCTACTGTACTGTGCCCCTTCCTGAACGAGTGATAAAGTATGCCGACAAACCATCCATCTCCCTACTTGTATCTATTCGCTCATCTAGTGTCCCATTTCCCTTCGTCGAGGTGCAGAGGTGGAATGTTGAAGACTTTTGCCCGCTGCAGGACCATCTCGAAGGCCTTGGTGCGAGTACCGGGTAATTCTTTCGAACTAAATGAGGGTCCTTTTGTGAGGCTGACATGCATTGTTGAGTTTTCTCGGCCGTCGCAACACTCTGTTTCCCCTTGATTTTGCTCAGTAGATGATATCCACTAACAAAAGCCCCGTTGGCGTTTTGTCCACACCATTGCAAGCACAATGGCCAATGTGCTATCCGTACTCCAAACAGAACAGTACAAAAGCGGCCACTGGCAGGGGTTGTGTCGTGCCATGCCCCAAGGGTCTGGACCGCTCTGACCGACACCGGGAGATGCATACCCTCGTATCTGGTGGTTCTGTTGCCTGGAAAATGCTAGTGACGTGCAAGGTTTGGGAAGCCACCAGCTGCCAGCCGGTAATTTGGGCAGCAGTCTTCCACCACTTTCAGCGCCAGTGGCGAGGTTGAAGCCCCTTCTTTGGCATTGTCACACAGTGTCGCACTCTGGGCCTTACATACTTTTCGTCGGACCCTGCCACTGTGAACTCAACCACAACCGTCTTCGGTCAACCGTGGCGTTCCTCAGCCTGTACTAGCATATCGACACGTCGGAGGCGCTTCCGAATTTCACTTCCAACAGCAGCTGTCTGTTGAATGTCGGCGATGTCAAGAAGCCTAACATAACCATCACGATATTTTGTCTGATGCTAGCACCGTCAAATTTCAATCTGGGTTTTCCAGCTGGTTTTGGCTGTTAGCTGTTCAAGCATATCCATTGTCAGAATCTCAGAAGCTAGTGCCTTGATCCGCTTGAGTTTCTATGGAGGATTGTGCAACTCCTATCTTTGGTCATTTTGCACTGTTTGACCAGGATGGGCAGAATTTACACCGTGGATGAGAGTGACTCTACTCCATTATATAGTTTATGTATCAGCGCTACACTTCCTCTGCTCTTTTCGTCTAAATCTCCTCTCACAGGACTCTGCGCCACTACGGTTCGTTTGTAAGTGACGCTACGCCGCCGAAGGAGCTCAACATTCCTCTCTAGAAAAGTACGAGCCACATGGTGCTGAGACCTAGCAGCGCCTTCTGGCTCTCGTCGACAGCAATGCTTGTTGGATCCCATCGTCAAATTGACGTTGAAAGTGGACATTCAGTGACTGCGCAACTCCAACACAAAGCAAAGTCTTGACCAAAATGATATATAATTCATAAGCGCAGACCTTCCACCGTGGTCTGTAGACTTGTGGGTACCACTACCAGCCACTTAAGGCCTGGCCGGAAGACTCTCGAACATTGAAGTTATTGGCGCTTGCCGAACTTAAAGGATGATGGAGATTACATAAAACAGAGATGAGCACCAGAAGTGAGTTTAACGGGTCAAACAAAAGTCTATAGGAAAATCATGGTCCTGACCGTCGGAAAAGTACAGTCGTTGTAAGGATCCCGACATTTGACATGTTACTAGGGCAGCATTCCGCCGCACTAACTAGTCCTGTGTGGGAACTACCGCCGGCTGCGCCCACAACACCCAGAACAGCGCACCGCGAAGTTCTAGTCCTTCGTCCAGAGTTCTATCATTTCCAACGCATTAGGCAGTCGCGACAGTTGTGCACGTACTGAGTGTGGTAAGTGGCCGCCTCCCCGCCGGTGACGAGTTGACCAGTCCGAGCCGAGATAAACCGCGCAACTAGATTCGTTTCGGCATGGTCATGATTATGAAAGATTGCATGACATAAGCATTCTACCTAAGGGACCTGGATAATTGTCATCCTCTCTCCTCCTCCGCCTCTTCGCCTAATTCCGCGCATGCGCGATTAGGAATGCCTGACATATCGTTCAATATTGCGGGTCACGGGGTTTCGTCTCCCATGCTGAGTCCAGTAAAGAGCATGCATGTGCGCTTATGTCATTCGGCCGTCAATCGATTCCAAAACTACGAAAGTCGACTAGCATCCATACGATCTGGCATCGCTGAACCGACGGTGCTAAACATGGCATCGGAGGCGCTAATAGTGGAAACGCCCCTTCCTCTTAAAATCAACCAATGAAGTAGCCAAAGTGCCCTTCAATAAGTGGCTAGCTAGCATCTTGCTTCTATTCCAGATGAACCAATCTCGAACGACATTGGACCCGACTTTCCATCTCATTTTCATTTCCAATGCTCAGGTAAGAATGATAAAAGAAATACAGAACCGCCGGCAAGCTTCTCGAACAACACAGCCGCATCTAGAACTCTGGTCCTGTTCTTCAATAAGGATCTTCTAACGCAGCAGGCGCCATGGCTACAAGTACTATCCTTGTACACTACCCGTCCGAGGAAGAAACCCTGCTTCAGTTAGATTCCCAACCCATGTCTGGAGAAAAGCGTTCATCCGAGCAGCCAGCGCCCTTCCGTGGCGAGTTTTCTTTCGTCAATAAGGATGCTGGCAATATTGATTCCAAAGACCACAATGCTGCCGTTTCATGGCATGTCATGAATAGGTATGAGCGATGGAAAAAACAAGATCAAGCCAGAAGACTGCGCGCCTCTGCAAATGTGCCAGTAGGGCCACTTTCGACACCGTCACAACCGCAGCAATCCCAACAGTCATCGCAGCCTCAACAGCGCCAACAGCCCCCAAGTCTTCGTTCGCCGGCACCGGGGCCAGCTATACGTCGTACTTCCTCTCAAGCGTCGCGAAAGGCACGATTAACAGAGCAGACGCAGACGCCATCGACTTTCTCGGCCAATCCTTTCAGCTTCAATCCTTGGATGGCCGAACAGCCATTGCAGCTCGGATATCCTGGCATTATCCCAGCTCAAGGAAGTGCTATTGATCCCCAAAGATCGTCCGCTTCCACGCCTTCTGCTCACTCTGTGGTCACTGATGAAGATCCTTCCTCAATGTTCACGTCGATGAGCACCCCGTTAGACCTCAGCGAAACACTGTTCGACACCTCCGGTCTGTCTCTGAATCCCCTCGTCAGCGGCTTAATAAGTTATGCGTACGACATGTTTATTCCGCAGCTATGGCCTCAAGAATCGACCAAAAGCCTGGTGACATACGAAGTTTCGAAATGCTGGGATGACACAACCATGATAAGTCAAGATACCTGCTACGCCAATGCCTATCTAAGTGTCCTTGCAGCAGCAATGGCAATCATGACAGATGACGAAAGCCTGGCATACCAATCGCGATACTTTCAAGGTCAGGCAATGGTGGAATTGAGACAGCGAGCGTCCCAGCCAAATCCTCCCGAGCTCAGTACGTTGAAGGCTATTCTGAAGCTCTTCGCCTCTGAAACATTGGTGGACAACACGGCCGTCGCCCGTATGCATCTCAAGATGCTGCGGAATCTGGTTAACGCGGCTGGCGGAGTTCTTCTGATGGATTCGTGGTTCCGTGAAGATCTACTTTCGAGCGATTGCTATTTTGCTCTCAAGTACGAAACGCGTCCTCTCTTCCCTGCACAAGAGTGGACCCCTGGACCCCTCAGCCAACCCTGGAAAGCACGACTACTATCGGCAGGGATTTTGGGAGAGCATGCAGCCGGCGTCGATCCTCTGATTGAGCACCCGATCTTGAAAGGAGTAGTGACGGACTTGCGCGAATTGTTCAAGACACGAGAATACCTGCACCTACACGAGGTTCCCACGGATGACCAACTGCTGAGATGGCAACAGTTGCGCAAATTTGACTGTATAGCCAGGCTTGCTGATCATCACGTCAACCTATCGATCTATCCCCACCTCTTTCAACAGCCCATAACGCAGGCTTACTCCTGCATTGCAACTGCCCTGATGGCTTCAATGGTACTTGGTTCACCTGAACCAGTGCGATTCGGTCTCAGATTGATCACCAATCTACGCGCCAAAATAACTGAGAGTGAGTCGGAGGGGGATAACACATATTACTCACGACTTCGACTTTGGGCTTTGTACGTGGGATCTTTGGCGGAAAAGGTGCATCCAGTGGGCACCGAGCACGATCTGTGGTTTACAAAGGCCTACACGGCACAAATGGCCGAGATGCGGTTACAGGGCTTCGACGATGTCAAAAAAGTGATTAGACACTTTCTCTATTCAGAACGATTACACCAGGAGGTCGAGTCAGGTCGACCTCATAGGCTGGTGGATGCTAAACAGGGTCTGTATTCAGTGTGTGGTACGAGTTGGAGAGAGCCAATACTGCAGCCTGAACTGATCACCGGCAGCTTCGAGCAGGAAGATGCCGCGGGTATGTCTGCTGGTGCGGGTAAAAAAAGGGCAGATGATTGAGAGGTATTGCGACAGTTGTAGGGTACGGCGGTGTCAAGTTAGTCAGGCAAGACCTGATTATGCAGCACTGGTCCATGTTTCACCATGTGTGGAGGCATGAATTTTGGCATGATTAGCTTGTACAATTTTCTCAATTTGTGAAAGCGGGATCGAAAGTTATATTAAAGAGCATATCAGACATACTCTTCCATGGAGCAAGTAAGATTGCTTTGGAGGATCATTCAAACTCTCCAAATTGAAAGCGATTGAAGAGGACTCCACCTGGTAGAAGAATATAGAGACAAAGTGAAACAGACCTTCATGCGTGCAGTTTGAAGTGTGCGCCGGCATTCCACGGCGATTGGATTAGATAAGCCCTAATTGCTTGTTAGTCAGAGAAGGAGAGAGTTTCCCAACTGCGGCTATGGAGAGCTTTCACACGCTAAAGATCCGCCTAGTTAGTCGTGTCTAACCGTTTGGCGCCGGTGAGAAATTCGGCCAACCTGCTCAACTAGCCACAATTGTCTTCGCAAGAGTACAAGGCTCTCGTACTCGTAGTTACACTAAACTCGCAAGCTCATCGCCTCTCTATACCTCCGGAACTGTGCAAGTTTCAATGCGGACGGCATCGACCCGCGCGTTGACAAAGTCCAGATGCCTCTTGCCCCAACCTCACACCCCAGTGTCTCAGAGAAGATCCCGTGTACGCCAGCGCTTCGACCTCTCAGCAGCCTCTCGCCGTATCACTACCTCCTCGGCTCCAGCATGGAGTCTCAGAGACCTTCCTGGAGTCTCGGAAGAGACGTCACCGTTGATCTGTCATCTGACCTCAGATAACCCCTACCATAACCTCTCGATCGAACACTACTTTCTGACGCATTCGCATCCCGAATCTCACATTCTTCTATTCTACACAAACAGGCCCTGCGTCGTCATTGGCCGCAACCAGAATCCGTGGCTCGAGACGGACCTGAACAGCCTACGACGGGGACTCGCCCCTGAGCTGGAACAGGAACAAGCTACAGGGTCTATAGACAAGGGGAAGTCCCGAAACGGACAGCTTCACGGTCAAGCGAAGCTTGAAGACCAGCAAAACGGAATTGGCGATGGAAACTCGACACCGGTCGACCTCGTGCGCCGACGGAGCGGAGGCGGGACTGTCTTTCATGACTCGGGCAACCTGAACTACTCGGTGATCGTGCCCAACTCGAAATCCTTCAAGCGCAGCACCCACGCTGAGATGGTCGTGAGGGCGCTCTCGCCGGCAGCCGCAAGCTACGGGTTCGGCGCGATCCGCGTGAACGACCGTAACGACATAGTAATGCAGGAGCAGCAGCAGCAGCAGCAGCACCGCAGGACCGGAGCAGCCCCGGAGCCAGCAGAGTCCAGATGGCTCAAAGTCAGTGGGAGCGCGTATAAACTTACAAGAGGCCGGGCGCTCCACCACGGCACCCTGCTCTACTCCAGCCCGTACATCCACAGGATCTCAGAGCTCCTGAGGAGTCCAGGCAGGGACTTTATCACTGCGAAAGGCGTCGAGAGCGTGCGGAGTCCAGTGGGGAATCTCGTCTGCGCCGCGGACGGGCAATGGACTAGGGAGAGCGTTCGAGAAGACATCACCCGACGCATCGCCCGGGAATTCTGGCGCATGTACGGCGCCGATCGGACGAGGGCGGCCGGCATCAACGAGATCACGCTGGGGTCGGAGCAGTGCGTCGTCGGCGCGGACGGAGACCCCCCAAGCGAGATAGCCAACGGCGTCCGCGAACTCATGTCGAATGCGTGGCGGTTCGAACAGACGCCTCGCTTCGACTTTGCGAGTGGCATGCTCGATGGCGCCGAGGTGTTTTTGACTGCCAACCGCGCCGTGTTGGAGCGTCTGGCCGTGCGGAAGCTTGGCGAAGAACAACTGGTTGAATGGGCCAAGGCCGATTTTGGGCGCGAGATCAAGCTGCACGACCTGCGGAGTTGGCAGTCTTTGATTGGTGGCAGTGGTAGACAGACGGGTAAAATTGACGATGACGAAGGTCCAAGGGTAGAAGAAGGTGTTGGCGTTGGCGTCTCTGATGCCCTCGTAAAGCGAGTCGGTGCCGTTTTCCCACAATGGCCTGCTGTCGACTGTTAGGAGAGTGAAGAAAGAAAAGGCCCAGAATGGTATCGTGGTTGAGTGGTGTATCGGCTTCAGATTCAGAGGACAGCGAGCAATGCGGCGACGATGCCTCCACTTTCATCATCGGACGAGTACGGGGAAAGTTTGCGCCTCATGTATTGTACATATGTATGTATATACTCCGGTATATATTTATATAATCCCCGAACTATCGTCCTTCGCACCCACTCGGCTGACTCATCCCTCGCCGCTTTGCTCCCCCGCTAACGACTATTTAGTCGATTCGCTCCCTCGTCTGCTCTCTCCTGCTCCCTCACGGCTCTGGCGCGCTCCTGGCATGCTGCTCTCTCACGATCCGGGCCTGAGATGCGCGCAATCCAACGAAGAGCCTTGGTTTTTTAGTCAGAGGACTGAACTGCTCTCCGTATTAGCGATGTCGCTACTCCGTTCGGGATGAGTCGCATCAATAAGTTGACCATCGACGCCCGACGTCGACACATGTCCTCCTATCTTATTATTCTTATCCCCACACTGTTCAGAACAGGTATCGGGTGCACCTTAGGTGCTGCTAATTAACAGGATCCACCCACCGCACAGCGTGGGGTGCGCTTGGAGTACAGTAATAAGTTCATTCTCGCATACGGGAACTCTTTATCATAAAAAAAAATTCCCGGCCACGGATAGTGTCATGAACTGGACGACTGCCAAGAAAACCACACCAGCAAAATCAGAGAAGACCGCGGGACGAGGAAGACCGGTTGGCCGACCTAACGTCGAGACGCCGGCGAGAGACGAAAGGTTGATGAGACACGAGCTAGAGAGGCTCTCTCTGTTCACCAAAGGAACACGGAGAGCAAGGAGATAGGATGGCTTCACGCATAGCCCCGCGCATGAGGGACTCTTCCTCCTCTCATGCTCGAAGCCACGTTGTAACCGAGGTTGAGGAAGGCTTTTAGAGTATGGAATTCCAATATTACTTGCTACTGCACTCTGCCTATCTACATAGGCGTTCCTGACAGATAGAAAACCCGAGTCATCATGTTGGACGACCCTTTCCTGCGCGTGCAGCGGTGACTCCAGGACCTCTTCAAATATGTTCAAGTTCGACCACTTGGGTCGTCTCCTTCACTTGGGCAGCATGAATCGTGGTTGCGTTGAGACCAGCCTCTTTCAATTCCTTGTATTTCTTGTAGGAGTTCTTCGCCCAGACGCTAGAATCTTTGTCGAAGAGCAGATCCATGTCTTCCAGAGAGACGCCCTTCGTTTCCGGAACAAACAGATAAGCGAAAACCATGGCGACAACGGTGCAGGCCCCAAAGAAGAAAAAGATGCCATAAGTTATCGACGCCACCATGTGGGGGAGCGAGTACACGACCATGAACTGGGCAAGCCATTGCATGCACACAGCGCACATCATGCCCAAGGTTCTGACTCGGGTAGGCAAGATCTCTGACGAGATAATCCACGGAATTCCGTTCCAAGAGAATCCGTAGAACACCGCGTAGATGTAGACCATGGCGATGGCGCCATTGGCACCAGCGTCTCGGGGGGGAGTATGGTTGAAAGATCCGCTCACTTTAGAGTAGATCCCCAAGTAGAACATGGCAAACGCGGCGCCCACAGAGCCCACCAGCAGCGAAATGCGACGACCGACTGTGTCGACAATGAAAACCATGAATATAACAGTCGTCACCATTTTCACGAGGCCATACACTCCGGTTGCCAGAAGGCCGACTGATGTTCCCGAGATCCCAATGGCTTTGAAGATGATAGGTGAGTAGTAATTGACCGCATTAATCCTAGAATAAGTATTAGACCATGTGTTGGAGGGATCTCTGAGACTGAAAAATCAGGGACATCTCTTACCCGGTGAGGTTCTGCAACAGCATCAACAGGACAGACAGAATGACACGGTTCCTGATTCCCGGGCGAATGATCTCGCGCAACATCTGGGATTTGCCCATCCCTACTCCGGTGAGCTCCAGTTCGTGATTAACGCCTGCTGCCATCTCCGTCAACTCTCGATCTAGGTATTCGTGGTCCTGTGGCAAATTCCTGACCCAAGATAGAGACTTTCTAGCCTGCTCCATCTTGTTTTTGCTGAGAAGCCATCGAGGGCTCTCGATCATGAAGGGCATGAAGCAGAGCAGAAGGCCGGCCGGGATCAACTGTATACCGACCGGAATCCTCCATTGAGCCGGATTCGTCGCGGAGATGTTTTTGTTGACTCCGTAATTCACCCAGAACCCGAAGACGAGGGCTATTTGGAGCATTATTTCAAAGAAACCCACCATTCGACCTCGAATCGAGGCCGGCGAACATTCAGAGATGTATATCGGGATGATTGTTGCAGATGCCCTGTCGGACAACCGTTAGAAGGGAAGCAACATCCACTGAAGTTGGGCAAAGGAGCGGGATTCCGTACCCAATACCCAGGCCTGTCAGAGCACGTCCAGCATAGAGCAGCCCAATTTTGCCAATCAATTGCAAGACGGCACCCAACGAAAAGACGACGCCCGAGACCATGATGATGGGCTTCCGTCCGAATTTCTCGGAGAGAAAAAACCCGAAGATGGCGCCAAAGAAGGCGCCTCCTTGGAAGGTAGACACAATGTTGGAGGACAGATCAAGTAACTCGGTCTTGCCCACGGTGTCGAGACCGTACGAGTGCTTGAATGAGGGCAGCGCAAGCGTCCCGCCAATGAATGCCGAGTCGTAACCATACATTGACGACGCCTACGCAATTCGCAAGGTTACCAACGGCCAAAGACCCCAACTTGAGACAGCACAGGTTCAAAGGAGCTAGAAGCTTACCCATGTCGCTGATAGAGCCAGAAGGTAGATGCGATACCCAAAGATTTCGCGAGGTGCGTCGCTCCTGTCCTCGTTGGCAGCAAAGGGATTCCGCATCGTGCAGACGAGAAAGCTGTGCAAGACAAGCTGTGCAAGAACAGTCTGGTAAGGGTAAAGCAGCCGTCACAGGGAGATAGACGAAGACAAAAACAAAAGGAAGGCACTCGATCCGCATGTGGAGGGAGAGTAATACCCCCTACTCTCTATACATGTCATGAAGGCTGGGGTGCAGCATGGTTATGCGGAGAAAAGCCGGAGTTGGTTTCTTATAGTTTCGTTTTCCATTGGCTGTGAAGACTCGTCTCGCTTTCATCTGTGGAGAGCCGGAAGAGTCATTCTACGCCGACAATTGCATCGGGAAAGCGTTTTGTTGAACACAACTGGGCCGGTGCGATGCAGCGGCGACTTGCCGCTGAGGAGTCCTCCAAAGGTGGAAACCTCGCAATCGCTGAACCTCGGAGCTCGCAAAACCCCAGGTTTTGGCTATCTGTGACATCCGACGCCGGGGGAAGGGCTGTCAGTTCATGACAAAACATTTGTGGGTAGAAAAGGCCATCGCAGCTAGAAGAGAATCTTGCGGTTCTTCTCTCAGACCCTCCTCCGTTCCTTCGACTGCGCCGCTGTAGGCCAAGACCCACCCAAATGGAAGCCGTTGACGAAACGCCTGCTGTGGGACCTTCTCCCGCCCCCCGGCACCCCAACGCCGGTCGTCGACGACTGCAAGGGAAAGTCGCTGCCATTACAGGCGCGGGAGGATCGATCGGGCTTCAGACGGTGGTGCGACTTTTGCGGGAAGGGGCCCGAGTGGCCTTCATAGACATCAATCGTGAGTCTTTTATCGAGGCTTCAGAAGCACTGAAGCCGTTCGAGAATGCCGACATTCTTTTTATCGAGGCCGATGTGGCCGAGGAAACCGACGTGCAGCACTACATCCAGCAGACCGTGCAGTATTTCGGACGGCTGGACTTTGTATTCCTCAACGCTGGTATTAGCTATTCCTCGACCAGTATCATGGAGACCACGGAGGAGCTTTACGAGAAAGTCATGAGGATCAATGTCAAGTCCGGTGAGTTGCTCCTCTTATCTACACTCCCCTCCCTGTACTGGTGTCAAAAGCTAAGTCCTTGGTGCTCAGCTTTTCTCGGGCTCAAGCACGCCGCTGGGGCAATCCGAGACTGTGGCAATGGGGGAAGCATTCTTCTGACTAGTTCGATAGCCGGGTTGAGAGGGACCCCGGGTCTGTCACTTTACAGTGCTTCAAAGTTTGCTCTTCGCGGTCTCGCATTAACAGCGTCCCAAGAGCTAGGTCAATACGGGATTCGTGTCAATACCATTCATCCTAGTGGCATCAACACCCCCATGTTCCTGCAGGCTTGGAGTCCAGCTCAGAGAGAGGAGATGCGCAAAGGGGTTCCTTTGGGGAGATTTGCCGAAGTCGAAGACATCACTGGCACTGTTGCTTTTCTCGCGAGCGACGACTCAAAATTCGTGACAGGGGCGTTCTTGAAGGTAGATGGGGGAATTGTCAGCTTTTAATAATTGGCGTTACGGCCCCTTAGGACAACATATAGAACTCAATCTTAAAAGCAGGAGAAATGGAGAGACTCGGCTGACGAACGAATGAATGAACGAGCGGACAGCAAGATCCATGTCCATACTCATTCCTGAATCGCCCTCCTCACATTTTGCCAGGATTGCCAGGCCCGGGCGGCCATTCTCTCGGGCCCAAACTCTTCCAGGCTGGTCTCTGCCAGAAAGCCCTCCAGCGAAACCCAGCCGTCCCAGCCATAGTCCACTAACCACGCCTTTGCAACTTCGGCCACAGGTAAGTAATCGTCAGGTTCAAGAGGGTATGGGCGTGCTCCCCGAGACCACGCCAGAATCGGATTGTGAATCTCTAACCCTTCGAACAGCGGATCGTCATGCTTCATGGGTGGTTGAAATAGCTTGGCTCCCGAGAATTGGACGTAGAAGAGCTTTTCTTTGGGGCATGTCTTCTTGAATAAGTCCAACGATTTCCGCACGGCCTCATCTCCGCCTGGCAGTTTTCCACCTTCTATCGTAGGATCTCCCCACAGACGAGCATGGATGTGGAAATTATCCAAACAGATCCCAAAGTTGGCGCGGTCGACGGCCTGTACGATGCGGAGACTGTCTTGCCAGAGCGAGTTATGTACACCCATGGCAACAGCTTCGTATGCAAAAGATACCACCTCACCGCCAATACAGCCGATCTCAGCAAGCTGGCGTAGTTCATGAACGAGAACCCTGTCGTCTCCAGTCGAGTTCGGGTCCATCTGGGAGGGCACCCGTATCAGTTTGGTCCCTAACGCCCGCGCAATCGCCACCCACTCTCTGCCCACGTCCAGACGTTGGGCTAGAGTCGTGTTCAAATTACCCTCGAACATTTTCAGAGGATTGAGAGACAGGATTTCAATCCCATTCTTGTGGGCAATTCCTTTGATGAGAAATGCGGCTTGGATCAGCGAAACATGGTGTGATTCCGCAAAGAAGACCAGATCTTTGTAGACGACTTCCACACCTTGAAAATGGTTGGAAGCAGCTGCCCCGAATTTGCGCTCCAGGGTGTGAGAAGGGTGTTGACCCAAAGCCGCTGTGCCCACACACAACTTGATCTTGGGAGAAAGTGGCATTTTCGTCTGCGGGAGCTATTGTAATACAATAGTAGAACTTTCATTGATTGCACAGGCCGGTGTTCGATGTCACCCGCAGCTCTAGGCTTTCAGCAAATTCACGGCACCTGCTAGTCTCGACGCCCGGTTGAGGCGTACGAAGAAACAATAGAGGTTCCGTCCGTTAAATCGCTTCCTGCCTGTGGATAAGAGCTTACCCGTGACTGAAGCCCCGGAAAGACTAGTGGAGCATTGTTCGTTTAGCATGATTCTGACCATGTTTTGGTAGTTCGACAGGACCCAATCGTCGAGGACAGATCTCGAATAGTGATGTCTCCTGCACAGCTGAGTATCCAACCGACAAAAAGTGCCACACATCTCCTTGGTACATTGTTCACATGCCGCTGCGAAAATCGAGACACCAATTCTTGAGCTTGTCCAAGGTCGCAGTTAACCATGGTCCAAGGAGTAACTGCCACTCTGCGATGGGGGATCCTAGGTGAGTTCGGCCAATAAAACCATGCTCCAGCAATCTCTAGAAACTAAACAGCAAACTGACGGACGGATTTGCCAAGGTACTGGAAGAATATCCAGTAGATTTGTGGAAGACATTGTAACGAACCCTCCGCCCAGCCCCGAAGTAAAGCACGTTATCCAAGCAATCGGATCGTCTAGTATAGTGTCACGATCGTGACCTGGCTGGCGCCAAGCCTTCCCTTCACTGAGGCTCTCGACGCGCACCCAATACCGCGCCCCGAGCCCTAACCTCCTTCATAGTCCTTCGTACTACAATTTATTCCTTTTCAACACCTAGTTGTGATATATAGAGAAGGCCCAGAGCTTTGTACAGCAATTCACCCCATCTTCCACGCCGCATCTCTACGGCAGTTATGAGAATGTCTACGAAGATCCGGATGTTGACATCGTATATATCGGAACTCCGCACTCGTTTCACCACAGAAATGCGCTGGACGCCATCCAAGCAGGAAAGCATGTTCTGTGCGAGAAGCCTTTTACGCTCAACCTGGAGCAGGCTCGAGAAGTGGTTGAGACTGCACGTAAGAAGGGAGTATTTCTCATGGAAGCCATGTGGACGCGGTACTACCCGCTGACAAGGGAATTGAGGCGGCAGATCCACGAGGAAAAATTGCTGGGAGACGTCTATCGGATGTTTTCTGATTTCGGCCTCGATTTGGATATTCCCAGTATGCCGCGTGACTCTCGTTACGTACAGCCATCACTCGGTGCGGGTGGTCTGCTAGACGTCGGAATTTACTCCCTGACCTGGGCGTTGCTCACTCTCGATCCTGGTGTCGGCGTGGGAGCCGAAATGCCCCGGGTCTTAGCCGCGCAGACGATCGAGTATAATGTTGATGCGACCTCATCAGTCATCCTTCAATTCCCGTCCACAGGTCGTCATGGTATCGTCACATGCACCACAAAAGGGAGACAGGATCGAGAGTTTATGCGTGTCGAGGGGCCGAAGGGCGTTATCAAAGTCGAGGGTTCGATGCCCTCGTCGCCAGAGTCGTTTACTTTTTACCCACGAGACCCGGCAGGTGAAGTCCGCAAGTTCTCGTTTGAGAAGCCCGGCTGGGGGTTTTGATGGGAGGCTAATGCATGTGCGCTGGATATCGCGGCAGGTAAAACACAAAATTCCACCATGCCGTGGACAGAGACTCTGCGGGTGGTGGAGATCCTGGACGAGGTCAGAAGACAAGGTGGTGCGAAGTTCCCGCAGGACAAAAATTAGAAAGAGCTAGTTATTTGTAGTACCACAATATCAACAGGGTGTCGCAGAGGCTGATAGCGACGGATTTACTCTCTGTCGTTCGAGCCTCCGGCGGACGGGTCGTCGCCCCCGGTTTCCTCATAGCCAGTATGGCTGGTTGGCCAATTGAGCCGGCCAAACGGTCCAACTGGCCGAACTGATCACGTGATAAGGCGGCAGCCTTGCCAATGAGGCTATGCTCCTGGTTTCTGGCTCACCTGCCCCATCTTGGCGGCCGCCACTAACTACCTGAAGGTAACTTAGGTCGCACTTCCTAACATTTCGGTGCATTTACGAAATGGCACGCACGCCAGATATCAAGTTATGAGCTTCGGCCTTCTCCCTCACAGCTGTTCTTCCGCCATCCTCATTGTCTCCTTCTTCAGACCCGATCGCCTAGCCCCGCTCACTAGGCTCGGGATTATTTAAATTTGCTAAGCCTCTTGGATTAAAATATAAACTAATATATGGCTTTAGCTAAATATCATTCTGCAGCGAACTTTATAGAACGATGGCCGGTATTATATAGATATCTTATATATATACCTCGTAAACAATTTACTCATATAGACCGACGGTAGGTATCCTTGATAACCCCAGAGTGACAGGTCAAATGCATGATACGCTACCTAGCAGGTGTCTATCTATCCAAGCGGCGTAGATTCTTTTCCCTTCAAGAGTTCACTACCTATCGTTCGTACGTCACCCACTCGCTCCTCCTGCTGGTCCTCTTGGTGGCTGCATCCGCTGGCTCGCTCGAAAGTATACGCTAATCAATCACTTCAAGTACAGTATATAATCTAAGCATGTCTCTGCCTACCTACCTAATGATAGGCATCGAGCCACGTTCAATCCCTTCGCCTATAACAACGCCTGTTCCCAATTTTTATGCCCGTACCTTCGTGAATTCATCCTTTTTTCAAAATCCAAATATCTCGTCTCTCTATCGTCCCCTTGTGCTTTTTCGAGCTTGTACGTTGATGCTCCGGACAAAGTGGCTCGGCGGACAGTTGGCGGGAGTTCGCTGATATTGACTGGACTGTGATCTAGCTCGTATACCATCACATTTGGGGGTTCCAGATGAAGAGATCAATCCTCGATATCGTCATGTCGTCGTCGGCGTTGATGGGTTTTTGGCCTTTTTGGCTGTCAATAATGCCATGTAAATGTTATCCCTTGCCTTCCGAATGGTCGAACGGGATGGCCTGGCTGTGCTCCAAGGCGATGATCTGTGTTTGCTTGCATGATCGTAGTTGATTTTATCGACCACAAAGACAGATTCAACAATGATACATTTTACATCATCTTCGAAACCACCTGAGACGCATGTAGTTGTAACTACCAGACACCATCAGAAAAAAAGGAAACAAAACTTGTCTCCCTGTACAGTCATCGCTCAAGCCATGCCAAAGACCACATCCTGACCAGATGCACTGATAGCGTTGGGATCAAACAGATCCCACCCAGCGACGTAGCCCTCGGCCGAAGCCGATCGACCATCACTCACGCTGAAGTCTTCCCAGTTCAACGTGCCCATGTCGAAAGACGGTAGACCCTCACCGTCAAAGGACCGACTGCCGAACCGCAACTTGTCCAGCTGCGACGGGCCAGGATACAACAACCTCAACAGCTCGGCGTCTTGGGCCGGGCCGAACGACGAAAGAGAGGGGGCTCGGTTTGAAAACACTGACTCCAAGAGAGGCCCGAGCAGTCTCTCGTAGACGCCGGCGTAGTTTGAAACCTCGTTCCACCCTTGGGCGGCGAGGGCGAGGAAGTTCGACGTAAAGACCTTTGTCATTTCGAAAATTTGCTGGGCGCTGAAGCGCGCCGAGATGGTGTCGAAGCCGTGCCTCAGACAAAACAAAACGACCATGCTGTTCTCGAGCACGTGGTGCGCAATGAGCCACGACCGCCGGTAGAAGCCCGAGAGGATGTGGTCGCGGAGGTGTTTTGCGCTGGAACAGGCCGCCTCGAATGCCACCATCAGGCTGCGCGGTCCGGGCATGGGCACCCGCGGAGATGGACGGTGCAGGTTCGTCAGACCGTGGGCGAGGGTGAACTCCGTGAGCTCATGTCCGTCGTTATAGTCCTCGTACCACGCTTGAAGACGACGTTCCATAAGAACCAGCCAGTCCTCCCAGCTCTGGCCAGGCTCCAAAGGCCTGCCTTGGAAGTGCACCTCGACCATCGCAGACTGCAGCCGCCGGAAGTGGATCCAGCGCAGGTTGTGCGTCTTGGTCTCGCTACCCGTGGCGTCGATGCCCGAAGGGTGGATGTGTCGGTCGTCCAGGATCGAAGGGAAGTGCGCGTCTATGCTCTGGTCCGGAATGGACAGCGGTCGTTGCAAGGCGGAGCAGATGGCCCGGTCGAAGTTGTAGGCGCACCAGAAAATCCGGCGGCGCAGATCGAGCGTGAGCTGGTCGAACTGCAGCGCTTCGGGAGCCTCTCGGTGCAGGCCGAGTTCGAGACACGCGCGCATTGCGGCACCCGTCAGCATCCACACGTTGGCCAGTCGAGGATTAATCGACGCGTATTGGAGCACCATGAGCGTGACCTGGATGCCTGCGAGGTCGGAGGGGATCTTGGCCTTGTCCGACATATGCTGGATGCCTTCTTCAAACAACGAACTCGAAAAGACCATGTGCTTGGCTTCGTGGCCGGTGCGGGCGCTGCCCAGAGTGGCCGAAGTGGAGAGCATGAGGTACACGATCAGGAAATCATACGAGGGCGCGACGGAACGTTGTCGCTCAGGCATCTCTTGCAGGGTCTTGACAACGCGGTCAAGTTGTTGCCAGAGTGAGGGAGCGTGGAGGACAGGGAAGATGGGGTAGACTCGGGTCATGTACTTTTTGATCAGGCTTCGCACGATCGGTGTGGGTATGCTTTTCAGCATGGCACAGCTGACTTCGTTGTTTGCACGAGAAAACGACTTTCTGCGAGCTTCCCTCGGGCTGCCTGAGGCGATGGCGGTCGACGGAGTGAGGCTCATTCGGACTCGTGCTATCAGGTCGGTTATCCCGGGTCCTGTCGGGAGTATGGCGAATATCATGGCTTGGATCTCGCCGCAGCTCATTACCTCATCGCGAGAGGTGTCTTTGACGGTTGCTGAGGGGCCCTGTACGTCGACCAGCAATTTCGGGGTGTCCTCGAGTTTCGGCAGATCGAGAATGGACAGCCCATTCTCCTCGAGCGGGATCCCGTCGTTGGTGGGCATGCCCGCGAGAATGTCTGAGGCATTGAGTTCCTCGAGGTGACCATTGCGAGCAAGTTCACTTTCAATTTTTGCGATTTCCGATTCAAGATGCTGGACGATGCTTCGTGGGATGTTTGGATCTTGGTCTTTCGAACTGAAGCCGGTACAATCTGATTTCGCGGCTATGCACTGGCCGCACGGGATGGCGCGATCACACTTGATCTTCCGGCGGCGACATCGCGCGCAAGACAAGACGGAGCGACGGCATTCAGTCATGTTTGCTGGCTATGGTCGTTCTTCTGGCTCATGACACTGCATTGATCATGGACGAATTTGTCTTCGACATCGATTTCAACAGGGACGATGATGAGGTGGCGGGATGCTTGTCTCAAGGCGGATTATGCACGATAAAATCTGGCCAGTGAGCCTAAGGCTATCAGTGACCCCTCCCGGTGAGATTGTATTGGTAATTTGGATTTCGCTGAGAGGCCGGCCAGTTGGTGGAGAACAAGATGCAGAGAGACAAAGAGGCAGAGATAGCATCCACCCCAATTTAGGAAGGGGAGAACGGGGGGTTGCAGAAGCGCTATAGGGCGATGCAGGGTTCGTTGGTACCTAAAGGCCAGGTAAGTTTGGGGAGGTGCCTCAGCGATAGCGACGGGAGGTTGAGGGCTCGTACGAAAACTCCGTACTGGTTGTTGAGCCTGGCGCCCCGTTAACCGGGCTCTGTGCGCAGGTGGCATGGTGCCTTACCCTAGACTGCCAATGCCTGCGCCGTAGAAGAGAGGCTCACTTCGTACACATCGCACTCCATACCCACAGCGAAATCAGCGATCAATACCTCAGCGAGGCACGTTTTCCTTATCGCCCTTATGCCCCGCCCCAGTTGCCGGGCCGGCAACATCGTACTCGTATCTCTGTCTTTCTCTCTCTCTTGTCACCTTCTTCTCTTGGATTAATGTCCATCTCACCTCGTCGCACAGTCGCGGGTCAGGCTCTGAAAGGGCGGGTATGAAACTGTTGACGGCTGAGTTCCAGGAGACTTATATACCTGTGCGAGGCTGTGCCACTAAAGCGCACATGTCCTTCATTGTTCTTTATTGACCTTTACCCCGGATCGGACTTTGGCTGTTGCAATACTCAGTATGGAGTTTGATAACACGAACATCTCCGAAGCAGATCTCACACGTCTGTTGCCCACTTGCCAGAGATGCCGACGCCTGCGAAGGAAGTGCGACACGAATCTGCCAGCTTGTCGATTATGTCAGAAGGGAAAGGCGGAATGCACCTTCTTTGACCATGCGTTGCAGCAAACACTGCCTCGAAGGTGCGTTGAGAGAACCTGACCAACGTCGAGAGCCCGCCCACTGACTTCCACGACAGCTATGTTCACTCCCTGTTGAACCGCCTGAGTCGACTGCGATCCGTTCAAGCGACGGTCAATGGGTCCGTGGAACCACTGGACGCATTCCAAGTCGGCCAACACGAGCGCACGACATCAACAGCTTCATCGCATCTTGAGAATAAGCCACCGCAATGGGGAACTTACACCAGCGAGCTGTCCTTCGACAAGCACTTCATCATCGATCATGCCAATCCCACTTGTTGGCAGTTTCTCGGCAGCTCCTCCCCGTACGCTTTGGTGGTTGAGGTGCTTGTTCATGCTCAGGCAAAACTCGGCCCCATGGTTCACAATCCAGATTATGCCGGCCCGGAATTTTGGCTGAACGCCCAAAGCACCGAGGTTGCAGAGCCAGCGCAGCCACGAGCGACTCCATCTCGGTCAGAGATTGAGATGTTGGTCAACCTGTACATGGCAACCACCAACATCCAGATGGCCTTCTTCGACCCCGATGATATTGCGCTCGAGATTGACACCTATTTACGCCTCCACGGAACTGGTGGAAAGTACCTTACTGGCAAAGATGCCCACCAGTTCTTCCGCATCTCCATGATTTGTGCCATTGCCTCCGCAAACAAGGCAAGACACCACTCGGCTTATGACACCGAGTCGATGTCTTACTATGCCGACGCATTGCAGTGCGTGGAAGAAGTCACTTCAGATGTATCTGTGGACGCGCTGCAGGCTTTGTTACTGCTCATTTGTTTTGCTGTCTTTCACCCCAGGAAAGGCGACTTCTGGAAACTGTTGGACTTCGCCTGCCGCTTGAGCGTGGAGCTCAACCTCCATACCGAGACCAATGACGAATACGAAGACGAGAAGATCAAAAGGAGGCGCAGGTGGATATTCTGGGGCTTGTATTGTGTCGAAAGAACAATTGCTCAGCACCTTGGACGGCCGTCGGATTTGACCGAAGAGATCATCACAGCCGAGTATCCAGCGACCTTGACAGAGTCCACGATTGCGAATCCCTCCTCATTTCAATTGATTCTTATCTCACACTTTTACCGTCTCACCTATCTTCGCTCCGAAATCTTTCGAGAGCTCTACCTGCCTGCCCTGGCTCCCGACCTATCACGTCTATGGTATGAGCAAAGCCTAGAGCAGATTTTATCGTGGAGACGAGAACTGCAGTTCCTCGATTCGTCGATAGGCATGGGTAGTATGACATGTGAGATGAATTTCGAGACCTCCATCCTGTTCCTATTCCAGCCGTTACTCCTACGCGCGTTAGCAGCTACCAAGGAACCAATGTTGCCTCACGAAACAACCGAGATTATACCTCGAGAAAGCTACCACTCTGCTGTCAAGGTGGTTGAGTTTTATAACAAAATTCTTCGAGGCGCTGAAGGCACTCCCTGGGGCATGTACCCAGTCACCATTGTCTCGGCACACTACATACACCAAGCTACTATTACCATCATGGCTCATTGTTTGCTTGCCATTGATGGGCGGCTACCTGTCGTGAGCTTCTCGCGAGAATTGAGCGGGGATGCGGAAGGACCAGTGGATTTCAATGGTATCCACGAGATTTCAGGAACGTGCCTGATCCTGCTAAATACATTGTCCAAACGATGGGCTGGCATGGTCGGCATACTTGATATCTACAAAAGCTTACAGGCCCAGGTCCTACCCATCATGATGCGGAGCGGGCTAGGTTAAGGGACATATCGTGCACATGATGGCGGCATAAATGTGGCATCAAAGCCCGTCGCCACAGCTTGTCACGGTTTTCGCCGGCCCACCATTTTTGGCCTACGTAGACCGATGTGACTCGACCTTGATAAGCTTGGCCTAGCTTGAGAAGAACAGACTATCTTGGGATAGTTAGGCGTGTTGTCTGACGTAGGAAAGTTTGCAAGAATCAGGTTGAGATGATACGAAAACACTCCTTTGCCGTTACGGAAAGACTATGATATTTCATTTTAAGAGAGATGTGGGTACTGAAATGGGTACTGGATATTCATCGCAGCGATGTTTCCGTGAGCAATAGGTCGAGCTGGACGATGTAGATCTTGGGTGTGTCATCGTCGAAGTATAGTTCTATTATTGGTATTAGACCCAACAACATGCTTGGTTGGTCTTGTTGGCCCATCGTGTAGTCGTTGGCTTCAAACAGAAGACAGGTCCTCGAACCATGCTCCATAGGTAGCTTCAAACGCGTACCCTCGTCAACCTCAATTTCCTGGGTCTGAGGGTGGACATCAATGTTGAGGACCTGCTACCAGGTCTGGGTGGTCTCGTAAACTTTCATTTTGCTCCCTGGCTCCTTACGGTCCTCGAAGGTCCTCATCGGCCAGATACAAAACGATCCCCAACACCCGGCCAGCAAGGTATGAGAAAGCAATATTCAAGTGACCGACACATTACAGTCAAGAGACACGAAGACAATTCATAGCGTCCTCCATACAACCAACCAACTCAACAGCACGACAAACTCACCTTCATATTCACAACACAACTAGAGATCACAAAAGCCTTCATACACAATCCAAATCGAACGAAGTAGGTGTGATGCCCTCCTGAACACATCATGAACACCACTGACTCGTGAACAGCAGACTCTCCAAACCAGAACCATGGCCGTTTGCACACGAAGCATGACCGCTGCGGCAAAGAAGTCGGCCAAGCCAAGAATCAAGCTCACCCTGAGGAGGAGGAGAAGCGTCGAGATCAAGCGGGAGAGATCGTCGTCGCCGGCGGCGTTGACATGGAAGGGCACCAGGGTTAGGTTCACCATGAAGGATGGTAGACCAATCCATTGTGTCGTTGTAGGTTAGCGGTAGAGACGGGACGCAATCGGTCAGGTGGAGGACTGTGGGTGTACAAGTATTGTGTGTGGCAGTGGACGCCACCTGTACGAACAGATATTGGGATCGGGATTGGGACAGGGTTGAACGTCTGAAAGCTCCCGCCTGTGCAATGAATATTGATTTTGAACGAAGGTGCTAATCCTGTGCCTCCAAGCCTCCTCGTCATTAACGTTGTAAAGAAGACCTACCTACTGGTGCTCGTAGTACTGTCGTCGGTGGTCGCGTGTCTCGATCTGTCCTCCACTGGTGGTGGGCGCATCGTGGCGATAGTCATGATGCTCCGATATCGTACTTCCACCTTGTCTTTTCTTGACTCATATTAGGACTCTCGCATAAATGTTGAAGTCCTGGTGAAAGCTGGATGTAGACAACAAAGGGGGTCTCGACTTGTCATATTGAAGTTCTTCAGCAACGAATAAGAGGAGATGAAGAGGCGATCACTCATCGCTGGGTGCGTCACAGCGCTAAGCTGCAAAATGTGGGTTGATCCGCCAACGGGCCGATGGTGCATCCAGGCGGCCTCTGGATCTTCGGGCATCGGCTACTCAAGCCTGAAAAAGGGCGCCTAGTGAGCCCCAAGTGGCCCCCTCAAGCTATAAAGCCTCTCAAAAGATACGGAAAATGACGAACGCCGAGGGCATTCCCATGCCCAGAACGGATACTCCGTAGCAGTTCACTCATTGCTACCCCCGTACCGATAATCAATCCTGCAAGCACGCTCCACAGCGCTAGATTTCCTGAGCTGAGGTTTTCTTTTCATCCAAGGATAAATAGATTCATGAACGAAATCGACAGTTCATCCTGACCTCGATCTAACTATTATGTGAGATTCGTCCCAGCTTGGACGCCACCCCTCAAAGCCCCGTCATGGCAGGCTTCTTGCCCAGCGCTCTCACCATGCTCGCGCACGAGTCTTCCAGTGTACCTCTCTCCACGCGCGAAGCCCTCTCCGGTATCTTTGGCTCTATCTCGCTCGCCTGCTGGATTTTCCTCCTCGTCCCTCAACTCATCGAAAACTACCGCAACGGATCCGCCGAAGCCATCAGCCTTGCCTTCATATTCGTGTGGTTCATCGGAGACATTTGCAACCTCGCAGGCGCGCTCTGGGCTGGTCTCGTGCCTGTCGTTGTTGCGATCGGCGTGTACTTCTGCATTGCGGATGGCGTCTTGATCGCACAGTGTCTATACTACGGGATCAAAAACAAGAGAAGGGAGGCTAGGGCCTTGTTGGCCGCAAGGCAATCGTCAGCAGGGGAACCTTCAGAAGACGAGCCACTTCTGCGCCGCGAGAGGACAAATAGCCTGACGATCCCGGGCTCGAGGGAACGACGCAGACGGAGCAGCGCGAGCTTGAGACGCCGTCCGAGCAGCAGCGCCCAAAACGACCATCTCGCCAAAATCCTCGAAGAAAGCGACGAATCTGGCACCAGGTTGTGGTTCAAGAACGTGATGAGCGTCCTGGCCATTGTGGTCGTGGGCGCAGCGGGTTGGGCCCTGGCGTACGAGTCGGGAGCATGGAAGCCAAGTCCCACGTCGACTGATGTCGAAACGCAAAAGACGGCAGCTGGCGCTCAGGTCTTGGGATATGCGAGCGCCGTGGCATATCTAGGTGCGAGAATACCGCAGATCGTAAAGAACGCGAGGGACAGGAGCTGTGAAGGTAAGTCTTTTCAAGCACTACATCTATCGCGTACTTGGGGAGCGTGCTAACAACATTGGGACAGGGCTGTCGCTCTTGTTTTTCATCCTCTCGTTAATGGGCAACCTTACGTATGGTGCAGGCATTCTTTGTCATTCGACGGAGCATGAATATGTCATGAAGAACCTGCCGTGGCTGATTGGGAGTTTGGGCACGATGGTGGAAGATGTGACCATATTTGCGCAGTTCCATATGTACGCTCCCAAAGCTGGAGCGCATGAGGAAGCCGTGGTTTGAGATTTGGTTGGTTTACAGTGCTACGATTGGGTCTGTCTGAGTTTGGGAGGAAGAGCCTGACACGGGGTCATCCACGAGATTGTTTACACATCCAGGAACAGCACGAGCACACAGGATCATGATGCGGATGTTTAAAAAGCGGGAGTGCGTAGTAATATGTCGCAACGATCTGAGTAAGACTGCATAAGGGCTTGGTCACTTATTTCTTTAGGCCAGTCGAGCTGACACAATATGTGTTTCGGTTCTGATTGAAGCATGAGGATGACCTTTTTCAGTCATATCTAGTAATCCAGATCCGGCGACTTCTAAGCCGGCCTAAATACAAGATGGCATGCTTATACCTCGCATAGCCTCGGCGGCGAGGTGGTACTCAGTATGTGTGACCAGTTGGTTATACAGTGTTGTGCAGGCAATTTTGGACGGATTAGTAAATTGTACTGTACTCCTACAACAGGGGTTGCATCGCGCACTTCCGGGTGGCAGTTGCAGATGGCTGAGAGAAATGCAGGGATTTGCGCCACCCGAAACTGAACGGTTGTGAGATCGGCACGTGATCGACTCCTTAGTGAGACAAGGCAGGGCCATTGGCATCAGTGAGAGAGGCCGGAATGGAGAAGTTTAATGTTAGTTGCACGGTGAAAATCTCGCCCGGCAGAGGCGCCTGCACAAGTGCCTAAGAAAGGCCGCGAGTACAAAGCAACCAAGCAGCCTAATTAACCGCAAACTAAGCCCGAATCACTCACACCACGCTGCTGTAGGCTGCGACCTTGTTTTTCTCTTCCTTCGCCTCACGACTGTTTCTCTCTCTCACGCAGCCCTGCTTTTCAACCAATCCACGTTCCACCCCCATCGACTTTCTTTTCTTCTCGCTTCTCTTTGTCTTCATTGTCTCATTCATCCTCTTTTGTACCAATTCTTCTTCTCACTCAAATCCCTTTCTTGCCCACTTGCGGTCATTTCGGATACCTCGGATCACGGGCCTTTCGTTTACTTCGACCTGACGACGCTCGCTTCACTGCACGTCTTTGTTTCAAGCGCAGGCCACGAACTGCAAACAGATCAGAACCAATTTCCACCTCTCTTCTTCCCTTGACCTCATTCCCTCGAGCCACCAACATGCAGAAAATATTCTTGCTCCTCTTCTCGATACTCTTCGTGTCGTGCGTGTCTGCCGATGCCCTGGACGACGCAATCGCCCTCTTCAAACGTCAAAGTGTTGCATTGTCCACTGGCGGCAGCGATTCTTCGAGCCCATCTTCCTCACCGACATCCAGTGAGACTATCTCCAGCTCCGAGTCTTCGACCCCAAGTACCACACCTCCGTCCAGCTCGCCCTCTGTCACTGATGAAACCTCTACCATTACGACAAGTGTCAGATCCACAACCTCGACTGTCACCGTAGAGACAACGTCGACGTTCACCCCCTCATCAAGCTCTTCGCAGTCATCCGAATCTTCCAATGAAACTCCCCTGACCACTTCGAGCACCTCGTCTGCGTCTCGGACGTTGATCACCACTTCATCCTACTCTGAAGTCGTCACTACAATCACAAGTGTCAAAGGAGGAAGCACCGTACACGTTACAAGCACAGGTAGTAGTGCTTTCCCTGTCACGACAAGTGTCGACCCTGCCTCTTTGACCAACGGCGGTAATGGCAACGGCGGCAGCTCCGGTTTGAGTTCAACGGCCAAGAAAACTATTGGTGGCGTTGTTGGAGGTGTTGGAGGAGCTTTGCTTCTTGCCGGGCTTGCCTACACTGCCTGGCGTATCTGGGGCAAGAAGAAGACCCTTCACGACGATGATCTCTACGATCCCAACGTCAACCAAGACAAATTGAGTGCCACCACTGGATCTGAGAGCACGCCATTCCAACGAACCCTGGACCAATATCACTCTCCTGGGCCAGTCAACACAGCTTCCAACTTTTAACCCCCAACTATGCATGGCAGCAGTGTCGGTCCTTGACCATTACGACCGTCACGAATCTTGTTCTGTATTTAGCGAAAAGGGACGGCATCAAGTTTTGTCGCCCTACCAGGCACGTGAAGCAGGCGTTGCACCTAGGAATTGGGACCGTTGTCTCCGACGAGGGATTTTATCGTCGATGTATTGAACTGAGCGTAATTAGTGCTATTGCACCCCAAAATGGCCAGTCCTTTCCACACTGTGTTTTGTACATAAAGGATATTGCCTGGAATGGTGTGTGGTTAATTGGCTAAATAGAAAGAAAAATGAAAACCAATTTTTGATGAAATCGACTCTCCTGCTTTATATCGTCTTGTACCTTGCATGACTGGAGGCCTCCTGGTTTCGTCTTGGGCTGCACAAGCAAGGAATATACGAGAGATGACATTATTATACAGTAGGTAAACCCTCGGTAGCCGTTGTGAAGACCCTGATTTTGATGCGATGAAAAAGAACCCATTAGGACGAAAATGGCTTAGCTCGGGATGGTGTCGCGTCCAAGTAAGGCCGGGGTTGCGCGCTTTTGCTACCGCGTCGTCATATCGAGGCGCCCGACTCGTTCGAACAATCTGGGTAATATCGACCATTCTCACTCGCACGACGTTGTTCCCGATTCTCGCATTTCCATAACTTCCTCCCCCGTGGCATTGCACTGCAGATGTCGTAGCTTTGAACAATTGTGCAGATTCGTACTCAAGTCGATTATCGACACTTGAAGGGGATCGAAGACGATGTTCTCGACGCAACTCACGCCACAATCCATTCCGAGTCCCAGTCCCTTCTTCGCCGCCAGTCGGCCGTCACAGCCTCACTTCTATACACCTGTCACCCCGTCGCCGCTTCGGACGTCGAGGAATGCAAACCTCATGCCCGTGAGCCCTGAACGCGAAGGCGGGAATCCACCTTCCTCTCCGTTGAGGCTGGGAAGTTCGCCGCTGGGGAAGTTTGCGGTTGCCGAGGAGGAACAGAATGAAAGCTTGACATCTCATCGCACCTCTGGACTCTATTTGCAAAAGACCCCGGAAGTGTCGAAACAACATGCAGCGGCCCTGACAGGGAGTGCTGCCGGTGTGCTAGCCACGCCTCCGGACTCGACACGCTCGAAGACCGGCTCCGGCGGCAACGGCCAGGCAACATTCGGCTTTCCAAAGACCCAGAGCACTTCGGCATTTTCAAGTCTAGCAGGCTCGGCGAGCGCCAAGAGAAGCACTGCCGGCACGTGGGAGGGCAGAGCACAAAGTCTCGGATCTGCCAGTGCGCTCGCTCGACACGCGGCGCAGGGCAGGGAACAGAAGAAGAGCCAATTCCTCGACCGGATACGGCGGAGACGGGACGACGCACGCAGTGAGCTGGTAGGCGATCAGGTGCTGCGCATGGACTTTGTGAGGGAGCGAAGGATATGGGAAGACGAGATGAGAAGACGGGCGGCTGCAGAGGCCGGCGTCGATGGGGTTGGAGAGGTCGACATTGACATGATGCTTGATGACGAAGAGCATGCCGCAGATGAGATGTCGCCGACAGAAGAGTTTGACCCGGAGCTGGAGTCATATTACGATTATCAGACCGGTGACTCGCTCGGACTGGATGGCTCGAGAGAAGGCCGAGGTGGTGGTCAACACGGCGATGACTTCCCGCTGGGTGAAGACGAGGACGAGGACGATGAATATGAAGAGGTGTTTCGAGAACTCATCCTCAGAGATCAGTCGCAACGAGGCCAAGGCAGTCCGTTCAACCACGGTGCTGGTGGAGGAGCCGGGAACGCTGGTGCCAGGGGTGAGCAAGAGGAGTACGATGCTGGTATGGATCTTTCTTGAGAACGCAATGGTTTGATCTACGTCGACAAGCTTGCCTCCCGTCGTTCCTTTATACGAACCCCGAGGGCTAAGTTGTGACGGCAGGCATGTTTAGATTTGTCGGAGTCTGACTGTCTTGAGAGTGAGAGTGTATGATCATGAGCGACCTCTGCTCGGTACTCAAATTGTTTGTATGGCTCTCTCGGGATGATGTTATGTCCCCCGATCTGACTACAACGACGGTGACCATGTCCTTCCTGCGATGAACAAATGAACGACAATCAATCACACATGCATAGATTTGCCTTTTGTGAAGGGCAGTGGGGTCTCGGTCCCATACGTATCACTTATTTCGAGTACGAGTACATACGTAGACGTTTGGCGCCGTGGTACAGGAGGCTCCCGCGAGAAATACCTCAAATCAATCACGATACGGTTCAAAGGTCGCAACATTACGAACATACATGCACACATACCTGTGTAGGCATTGACGACTTTGGACGTTGTGAGATCTCCCACGATAGAATCCTTGCAACGTGCCAAACCCGAAAGGGGTGCCCGGGTCCGGGTCGTCCTGGAGAGAGCAATCAAGATGTAATTTATGGGTTTTGCGCATCCCTGGTGCTCGAAGACCAAATATCAGGTAGCTCCTCCCAATTGCCAGCCTCGGGAGCACCGCGAAAGGTTTACCTCCCTTCGTCGGAACCCACTTCGCACAAGACGACTTTTACGACGGCAAGGACTGGCTTATGAGAGCGGCCTCACGCAGAGGATCAGACGAGGGAGTTGCTCGGGTGCGATCGCCTGGGGTGTGATGAACATCAAGAAAAGGTCTACGAGTGGAGCGGAAGGAATTCAACAATGCGTACCATACAACCCTGTTGTAGAGGTGAGATCCTTCGTCGTTGAGATTCCATCAGTCCGTCTATGCTATTATACAATGTCTTCGTCACCCCTCAGTATCCTGCAATCTCTTCATCACTCCTCAATATCATACAATCTCATCGTCACCCTTCAGTAGCTTACAATCTCTTCATCACTCCTCCTCAATGTCATACAAAGTCTTTATCGCCTCGTAGCTTCCTAGATAGACACCGCCACCGACACCTGCAGCTATGCAAGTCAGGAGAGAGCCTCGGAACAGCGCTGCCCATCCTTCACGACGGACGATATCTCTCGCACAAGCCAGCACGTTCACGTCTGCCGATTTTGGCACGGCTGGCCTTACACCGACACTTTCTACTGTAGCGATGGCCGCTCGAGACTGCTGATGTTCTACCGCACGGCCGGCCGCGAGTCTCAGCCTGAGAGTGACCACATCTGCAGGAACAAAGATCCACGATGAGAAGCTGCCAGCAATGGCGCCGCAAATGGCACTTGTCTGCACGTGCTGGACAAGGCCAGAATCCCCCACCTTGCGCTCGTCGTGCACGAATGACGACGAATGTTGCTTGAGCCCCTCGTAGATCGAAAACATGAGGCACGTATGGGGCAACTGAGCTGCCACCAACACGGTGTAGCCTGCCCATAGTTTGGACGGTTGTCTGCCGAACAACTTCAGCAACTTCAGCAACTGCGCCGCCGTCGACCGTGATAATTGATTGGCAGGCTGTTGAGAAGGTATCCGGGTAGCCTGGGCATTCTGCTTCAGAACTTGGGCAGGGTTAAGGATGGCGCATGCGAGAAGTTCGCCTGCCGCGCTGCCGACCGCGTAGTCGACTGAGTGCGGTAAGCTGCCAAGGTGTCCGGCAGCGCGGGCGTTTGAGAACGCGACTTTGACGGAATCGTAAACCGCAAAGAAGACGACTGATGCCGGTATGCTTGCGACCACGGTAGGGCCAAAGCCGCGATAGAGACGGTGGAAGAGATTTTTGTTGTCAAATGGCCTGGAGACGGTGCCGGCTCGATGAGCGGAGACGTTCCCCGACTGTATGCGACAAATAACTGTGTCCAGAGGATGGACTATGCTCTCAGTGAGTGCGGCAGCACCAGCTGCGGCCTAAACAGCTTCAGACTCTGTCTTCAAGATGGAAAATGCTCTCCTGCTTACCACACTCAGCGCCATTGCATCTTCGGCAAGCATGGCTGCTATTCCCTAGAAGTTATCGCATAAGAAATCCGTCGCTTGCTTCCTCATTGCCAAAGTGTTGACTTCAATTCGGAATACCAAAGAGTCCCTCTGCCGGCGTTCTACTTGAAAAAAAAAACAAGGGTTTCTGAAGATCTGTGACGAAGCGTGAAGCTTCGACGAAGGGCTGGTGCGATATCGTTGCTAATTGTATGATCTTGAAATGAATGATTGTCGACTCGCGGATGCCGTCCAAGGAAACTTCGCTTCCGTGTTATGACTTGGTAGCAAAGACGACCATCACTTGACGATAATTCCTGAAGAAGATAAAGGCCAGTATGTTCGATGCCTAGACGCAACCCGAGGGCTCCGGTGGCCCTGTTACCCCGGATCCCAGCTACATGGATATCGAAACAGTCGGATCTGCCTGTGCTAGCATGTTCTTGACTGCTGGGTACGATGGAGGGGAACACGGGGTATATCGGACGTTCGAGTCTGGGCACTGCGGGAGAGATCAGTCCAGGGTCGAAGCACTGAAGCCTACATATTGTACATGTCTACCTACAAAAGATATATCAGATAAAGTACCTCAGTCTGACCCCCCAGTTAGGAAACCGGACGATGCCGCCCTTACTGACCCCCGACTAGCGCGACCAGGGTGAATGATCACTATTTCAACACCTTTCTCTCCCACAAAGTCGTCCGCTTTTCACAACCACAGTTCCCAGCGTCTGATGCCATGGCCAATCTAGCCTACAATTCCCCTGGCTGTGAAAAAGGCGTTTCGCAGAAAGGAGTACTTAAACGGCACGGCCCTACACAAATCCACGACAACTCGAGACCGTTTACTTGTCCTGCCAGAATGTGCATTTTTTGAGTCACGAGTCTCATTATCACTATATTTAAGAAAACAGTGACATCTGGGAAGGCGAAACCCTTCTCGAAATGGAGTCCGGCAAGCATGATTGAGTATATCTACCCCGTGATGCTTGATTTCGGAGTCAGTATCGGATAAGGCTATTCTCGTCCATCAAACGGCGTTGATGAAGGATTCTACCGCGAACTCCCGTGGAAGGGAAATTCAGCATCACGAACCAGGCTCCAAGGTTGGAGCTCATATCGCAGCTGGGATCCATGACCGTGTATATGTATAGCCGCCGTATGTCATGTTGTGCTGGTGATATGCTGATGTGATGTCCAAGTCACCCATGTCGCCACATCACCATACCAATAGCTTTTCCTGGCCCCGCCAAGCCGTTGCGAGGCTGGAAAAAGGCTGTCCTTTCTGGTCCGTCGTCTCGGGTTCGTTCGCGGTGTGCGGTCAAGGTCGACTTGGGAAACATGCGTGTGAGTAGTGCGTGTAATACCCACCACACACAATCAAGACTCCCTTTTCCATCCTTCCCATCGTTCGAAATCGGCCGTGTCGAGGTCAAACAAGTCTAATACACGCCCGACGGTCTGGTTTGAAAGCTCATCTACACTGGACGCCTTGATGTAATAAGCAGGCACCGGCGGGAATATGATTGCTCCACTCTGCGTCACAGAGAGCATGTTGCGTAAATGGATCTCACTCAAGGGAGTCTCTCTCGCCACCAGCACCAGCTTCCTCCGCTCTTTAAGCATGACATCCGCGGTCCGAGAGATCAGGTCATCGCAGTAGCCAGAGCTGATGGCAGCCAACGTCTTCATCGAGCAGGGCACCACGACCATGCCATCCGTCTTGAAAGAGCCGCTTGACACTGGAGCAGCCATGTCGTTGATGCTGTGGACGTGATCTGCGAGTGCACGTACGTTTTTGGGGGAATAGTCTGTTTCGTATTTTATCGTTGCCTCGGCCCATTTACTGATGATGAGGTGGCTCTCGATATTTAGCCGCCGTAGTGCGATGAGTATCTTGATGCCGAGGACTGCACCGGTGGCACCGGTCATGGCCACCACAATCCTCTTTCGGCGCGCATGAGGACGTAGCGACGTTGACAGGCTGGTGCGGGTGTCTTTATCAGTGTCTGAAGTTGCTTGAGATCCATTGGTGGTTCTGGCGTTCTTCAACTCGTCATTTTCTCCCTCAGAAGCACTGGTGTCCGGCGAGTTGGTTGACTTGAACATTGCGGGCATGTTCTAAGGGGATTCATTAGACTTTTGGCACTGGCAGTTTGAGGATGTCGTGGTGGTTTGCGCAAGCAACATGCCAAGATAGGCCAATACCTGTTACGTAGAAAATCATCTGGGGCCTTGCAACCTTTACGGCCATGTTATATATATAGCCCTGCACTGTGCGCAAGGATTCTGCTATAGCTGGTGACGAAGCTTGAACGTGTTCTTCGAGCGGCTGCAAAAAACCGTCCCTCCGAGCCTTGATGCAGGCGGGACCAGTAAGCACAGAGATTCTTGATGTCGCTCCGAAGCGCCGAGCCTCCGAGTTGCCCAAAATTCGCGCTTTACAGCAGGATCGCAGGAGTGGTGTGTACTAAATGGCACCTGTAAGAAGGAATTTCAGTCACAAAATCCTAAATTATATACCTGACATGCTTACCTCCCATGATGTAGTTGAGGTAGTTCGTGGGGGACATTTCCATGGCCGGCAACCCCATATCCGTCGCTCCGGGGTCGTAAGGAACGCTGGACAGAGGACATTTGCGTCAGCAGCCTTTCGCAGCTATTTGATGGGTACTAGTGATTTACCTTTGATCAAAGCCATTTGCATAATCAGCGAAAGGGTCCCAGTCAGCATCAAGGTCTGGTACAAATCCAGATTGTCCAAGGTCTGCACTGTTCCAACCCTGCAGAGCGTTGTAGTCAACTTGCAACCCGGAGTCGCCAGCTGTAAATGCATCTTTAAGAGTCACCAGCGCGTGGATGTGCCTAGACGATAACCACTGGGTGACCCCATCAGCTGATGCCAGATCATCCGCGTTGTTGGATTCTGGAGACGAGAATGCCTCAATAACCTTCTCCCTCAGATACCGACACTCAGGCTTCACCCTTGTCTCTTCCCATATGCAGAGGAGCAATACGGAACTTAACGCGGTATGCACCATGGACCAGCTCCGTAGTGGCACCGTGCTCACCGCGCTGAACTCGAGGAACGTCTTCGTCGCTTCGATGAGGTTGTTTTCAGCACGCTCCCGGAGGCGCAGCTGTTTCTGTGACAATGTTATTGGTGGATGGTTCAACGAGCGGTTGGCATTTCGAATTTCTGGTCGGCACAGAAACGTGACCAAGAAGCACTTGTGCATCTTTAATGCTAGATGTTGGAGGCGTTCTAGACTTGATCTACATTGATCATGGTCTTCCAAATAGCGTTTCGTTTTCCGGTGCAGCGTATCAAGTTGCTCAAGCATAGTTGTGACGCCGTCAACGTCAGGGGAACCGTTGTTCAGCACTGCTATGGAGATTCGACAAAGAGCATGCATGAAACCATAATAGGTAAGTTCGGAGCCCTCGCAATCTAAATCGACATGTACAGGCGCATTTATTATCGCCAATGGGCGTCGAGCGTGACACATACTGAGCAGAGTATCCTGCCATATGATATTTGACCTATGAATAACAGAATTTTAGAGATGCACAGTACAGAAAGTGCACGTAGTCGCAGAAAAGCATACCAGCAAGTTCTCGCTTTGAGCTTCACTGTTTCTGGGATGTTCATCCTGTTCCCTCTAGCGTGGAAGTGGAGAGTTTGAGCAAGGCGAGCCGTGGTACCCAGCGATGCCCAAGCTGCATCAGACTGTCCAGTGTTCTGAAGCATGTTCCCCAAGACCAACATTGTCTGAACATTTTCCTGGGTCGGACGGAACAAGAAGTTCGCGAGTCGCAACGCCTGGAAAGACCTTCGCGCTAAATGAATATGAGCACTGCTTCCTGGAAGCACCATTGCTGTGTTCTCCACTTACCAAGATCATAACAGACACGAGATCTGTCGGGTCCAACGAGATCTGAAAAATGTGCCGCATTGGATAAGACGGCAAGAATCAGGCTGATCAAGCCGATTGCTTGCTCATTCCCCCATTCCTTTGAAATTGTCGTGGATTTAAACTCGCCCGCTGTGTAGGCTCGTAAATAAGCGTGCACGTCTAATTCAAACTGGTCCATATCAACGAGTAGCGGATTGAAAGGGAACACCCGCATCTGGAAGATCGGAAACAACGACAAGATCTCTTGCCGATGTGGTATCACCTGCAGCAACCCACACCAACGCTCAGTGGAAGACGCGAGGTCCATGAACGGGTAAGAAGCCAGACTGTTCTGTAGCCCCAATACAGACCCTACATCTCGTGCCAATTCCTCGCCATCGGTCTGCTGCGCCTTTGCCTGCGCGATGGATGCGATGGAATAGGCCTCTGATGGGCTTGAATGACGGTTGGTTCCCTCAAGATGTGGCTCAGGAGCTCCCAATGCTGCTGGGGCAGTGGATAATCTCAGTGGATGAGCAGGTATCTCTGTGTTATACACACTTCTTTGCACCGGAGTCGCGCGTCTCGAAGGCCTTGAAGCTTCGTATACACAGATCTCAGGATGTCCACGCTTCTTGCATGTTGTGCAAGGCTTGTTATTATCGCACCTTACTTTGCGGCGCTTGCACGGGACACAAGACCTCGACTCATGCTGTTTCCGCTTTTGTCTCAGGACGCGATCAATCTGTCCGTTGTCAACCTTCTGAGCATTCGGGGTCTCGGTAGATGGTATCAGAGGTTGCTGCTGAGGCGCAGTGGCGTCCATCGTGAGGTCTGCATATGTCATGGAGGTCAAAAAGTGAGCCCGGGAGGCTCGGCGACTATGTGATGTGTAGACAAAAAGGAGAATCTCCGAGGTTCCGAGAGCACCGAAGCAAGCAATAATAAGTCCTGGGCCAGTGACGAGCCCGTGCCTAATATTTTCTGGGGCTCCTGTTGGCAGCGGGCTCTCAACGCGCGGAGGAGCGATTCTCCCTGCCAGTTATTTGATCGCTACTTGTGAACAACGACATATGCCTCGATCTGAATATGGCACCGATGCGGCACCGATTGTACGACGGACATCTCAGCATGGTCGGCGCCTCGGTGCTCCTGATCAGGATGATGCCCGGTGGCTACCCTGTTTGTGCCTGCTTGCACCCTCCCTAGATATATATATAGGTCATATTCCTTTACAAAAACTGATCAATCTGTGCTTCATCGTACCAGAAACTAACAGGACAGACAATAATATAAACAAAGTCCAACAACAGGCATCCAATCACCTATCCTATCATCCGCAATGGATCACTCTTTCCGCGCCTTTGTTGAACAGCTCAAAGCCGACAACGACTTGGTGGAGATTAACGATGAGATCGACCCTCATCTAGAGGCAGCTACTATTACGAGGCTTGTGTGCGAGACCGACGACAAGGCTCCACTGTTCAACAATCTAAAAATCCAAAATGACAAAGGACTCTTCAGAATACTTGGTGCACCTGCATCTCTTCGACGTTCAAAGAAAGACCGATATGGCCGTCTTGCTCGCCACCTCGCACTTCCTCCGACAGCAAGCATGAAGGAAATCTTGGACAAAATGCTATCTGCGAGTGAGCTACCAGCTATCGCACCAGTTATCGTTGCAGACGGACCCGTGAAGGAAAACTCCTTGACGAGAGACGAAATCGACCTCACAAGTCTTCCGTCGCCGATGGTTCACCAAGCCGATGGAGGACGATACATCCAGACTTATGGTATGCATGTCGTACAAAGCCCTGACGGAACATGGACGAATTGGTCCATCGCTCGAGCTATGGTACACGACCGAAACCATTTGACCGGGCTTGTCGCTGCGCCGCAGCATATCTGGCAGATCCATAACATGTGGAAGAAAGAGGGCAAGGATGTTCCGTAGGCATTGTGCTTTGGAGTGCCTCCAGCTGCCATTATGGCTTCGTCGATGCCAATCCCTGACGGTGTTAGCGAGGCAGATTACGTCGGGGCAATGACCGGCCGCCCATTAGAGCTTGTGAAGTGCGACACAAACAATTTATGTGTTCCGGCCAACGCGGAGATCGTTTTCGAGGGTACCTTGTCTGTTACCGAACTTGGAGATGAGGGGCCCTTTGGTGAGATGCACGGATATGTCTTTCAAGGAGACACCCACAAGTGGCCCGTCTATAAGGTGGACAAGATCACTTACCGGACCAATCCGATTATGCCCATGTCTGCTTGCGGGCGTCTCACAGATGAGACACATACCCTGATTGGAGCTCTTGCTGCCGCGGAGATTCGCAAGGTCTGTCAGAACGCTGGCCTGCCCATTACCGATACGTTCGCTCCATTTGAATCTCAGGTCACCTGGGTTGCGCTCGCGGTTGACACTTCGAAGCTTCGCCAATTGAAATGGACGCCTAAGGAGTTCCAGAAGAAGGTTGGAGATGTTGTGTTCGCTCATAAAGCTGGCCACACCATCCACCGTCTTGTTCTTGTGGGCGAGGATATCAACGTATATGAGGGGAAGGATGTCATGTGGGCATTTTCGACTCGCTGTCGACCTAATGCCGACGAAACCTTTTTCGACGATGTCGATGGCTTCCCACTGATTCCGTACATGTCCCATGGTACTGGACCCCCGACTCGAGGGGGAAAGGTTGTGTCAGATGCGCTGATGCCTTCTGAATATTCGAAAGGTGCGGATTGGCAGGCTGCCGATTTTGAACATTCATATCCAGACAAGCTTAAAGAGAGCGTTCGTAGTAGATGGACGTCGTTTGGTTTTTCGAGTTTAGATTAGACAACACGGATTCTAAAACCGAATGCATGCTAGACCATCAAATGTCCCACAAGGTTTCCATGTTACGAAGCAGGCTGTGTTGTTATATGGTGAAATGACAGCCAAACTAATCGAGCTTACTGGTAATGACGGAGTCAAAGGAATTGAACTCCATAGGTACTCATGTAATGGGAGCTTAGGATGCAAAAAGTATCACTCATAATTACTCCGGACAACAAGCTGGCCTGAGGTCGCCAGTGTTGAGGTGACCAACATGAAGGCAGGTAGGCCGATAGGGCTGAGTCACGTGGCTGAGACTGAGCCGAGAGCTCGGAGCAGTTGGACCCTTGAAACTGAGGACAGTAAAAATAGCCTTGCTTGGTCTGCACAGCGACATGCTACAGGCATAAAATGATTGTGTCAGACCCCGTTTGTACCCAACCCGGTCTTCGCTGCGAGGTGAGAATGGTGTAGACAGTATTGTATTTGGTTAGAAGCCTCGTTACTTTCCGGTGACTTGTCCACATTTCAACAAGTCCAGGCGAACAAAAACCAAACTTTAACATGCAAGTGTTCAGTTGGCAACTCCTCGAAGGTGGGCAGCGTGTTGTTTTACACCATTACTAGTCTATTCCTTCTTTCCTTCTTTCCTAAATGTCTAATTTGGGAATACTTGGGATTGCATACGGCAACATGGGCATTCCTACTGAACTCGTTGGTAGTCTTCCACGGCCAACATATCTCCAGAAGGCGTTTGCAGACTACGATTCAGGCAAGATCTTGCGGGATGATCTCATCGCCGCCCAGGACAAAGCGGTGGTAGATTCACTGAAGAACCTCGCAGCGACGGGAGAAACATTGATCTCAGACGGTGAGCAGAGAGCTAGCTCGTTCGCCACATATCCCATCACCGACACGTTGGGAGGAACGGGGTTGGCAGAGAACCTCGCGGCCGGCGGGCAGTACTTTGCTTACTTTGACGACGGACACCACAGACAACTGCCACGCCTCGTCAAAGGTCCATTCAGGTACAAGACATACGCTTACGAGAACTTCCAAAAGTCGGCGGCGCTGGCGGATGGCCACGCGATGAAGTCTGCCGTCATTGCGCCTTCAATGTTGTGGCTTTTGTACCCCTTGAATGGCACTGTGGAGGGCTATTCCCGAGAGCAGTATGAGGTCGATCTTGTTAATGAATGCGAAAAGGATCTTCGCGGTTGTTTCGCCGCTGGAGCCCGGCGGGTGTCAATTGATTTCACTGAAGGTAGACTGGCATTGAAGAATGACTCCCGTAGCCCGTGGACCGGCATGAACCTCCTACACAAGTTCATCGATCTGATCAATCGAGTCCTGGGTAAGGTCACACCAGCCTCGAGTCGGCTCGTCGCTGACATGATTTAGCTCGTTTCACTCCAGAACAACGAAAGAATATCGGACTACACACGTGCCCGGGTGGTGATTGTGACTCGGTCCACTCGGCTGATGTTGACTACCACCAGCTCCTACCGTCACTCTTCCAGATCAACGCGGGATATTTCTTGATCCAGTTGGCTTCAGAGAAGAACAAGGCAAAAGTGTACGATGAAATTGGAAAGACGATACGGGTGGATGCCGACGGGGTAAAGCAAGTCGCATTTGTGGGTGTCACGAACCCATTGAGCCCTTACATCGAGACACCGGAACAGGTTTGTGATGCACTCCTGGAGGCAGCCAAGTATATTCCCTGCGATCAGCTTGGAGCAACGGACGACTGCGGTTTCAGTCCCTTCAGTGTCGACTCGAAGCCCAAGCACCAAGGTCCCGATTTTGCACGCGAAGTGGCCTTTAAAAAGATCGCCAGCCGGATCAAAGGAGCACAAATGGCCAGCCAAAGGCTAAAACTATGAGTGATCGTTGGTGTGGGTGCTCGATCAACTCGAGCTTTAAATCGTTGAATCTAGGTCGTCGAGCCTGCAAAAGTAACAAGATTTCTCTGCTAGTGTTCGGGCTTCATAAGCGAGTGAGAGTAAACATCGAAAACAATATCTTAAAGCCTCACAATCATAATGAATCCGTACTCTTGACTTGCACCCCTGTAACCGGCTCTTGCAGAATTTGTGAGCACCGAGAAGCAATCCCTCGACACCGGCCTTATGCTAAAGCGGCCGATGGGGCTGCCGACTTTGGACTTGCACCAGTGGCCAATCACCACCTACCGCGATGCCAAGAGTGCAAATGCCCGCACAACTTGAAATTCCATCGCACTTCAAGACTCAGCACAACGATCTTGCACGACCACCGCCGAACAACCCACAACCACTGCTCAAGATGAAGTACATCTTTTCCTCCGAGCAGCTGGTTATTCCAGACGATGTGAAGATTCACATCAGATCCCGAGTCGTCACCGTTGAAGGACCACGAGGTACGAGACACCGTCCACACATTGGCTTTTTCCTCGCAAAGGGCGCAGGCACAAAGGATTTGGGGAATTCTCGACTGACAATTCGGGTGCTTTACAGGCAAGCTCACCAAGGATCTCTCTCACATCGCCGTCACCTTCTCCCTTCCCAAGAGCAAGAAGGGCCAGCAACTCGTCCAGATCGAAATCCACCACGGATCGAGAAAGAATGTCGCTACCCTCCGAACCGTCAAGTCGATCATCGAGAACTTGGTGACCGGTGTCACCAAGGGATACAAATACAAGATGCGATACGTCTACGCTCACTTTCCCATCAACGTCAACATTGAGAAGAACGCCGAGGGCCTCGACCACGTTGAGATCAGGTAAGGAAAAATGCCTCTGCGAATAGCTCCCAAAAGGCCAGGACCAATGGAAGACTCGTACTAATCTAAACGTACTCTGTACAGAAACTTCTTGGGCGAGAAGATTGTCCGACATGTCACAATGCGCGATGGCGTCGCCGTCGAGGCATCCAAGGGTGTCAAGGACCAGATCGAACTTAGCGGCAACTCACTCGAAGATGTCTCACAATGCGCGGCTGATATCCAGCAGATCTGCAGAGTACGAAACAAGGATATCCGAAAATTCTTGGACGGTCTCTACGTGAGCGAGCGGGGCAACATTCTCGAAGATTAGGGTGGTGAATGTTGAAAGAGCAGAAAAAGCAGAGTTTCTCTTGAGGTATGGAAGGAAGGCGTCAACGAATCGAGTATTTGTGCTCATAAACTGCAAGCGTTGCAAATATGGTGCAGCTCTACATTCCACCTGAGCAAGCTTGAGGCCCTGGACCACAGGGTTGAATGTGAAAAAGACATTTTCCAAGAAATTCATCTCTTGATCCCTTGGCTCGATTTACATAACGCCTTCGTGAAAACCTCAGTGGGCCACTTGAGTGTCGAGCGTCGAATGTTGATCTGTGGTTTCGTTGACGAAGGCCGGCCAATCTGCAGTCATGATACTACTCATCATGGGTTTGAGACATCTCTTTCCACCCCGGGTGAAGATGCAGTGGCTTTCTGAGAACATTGCGGTGAACACGCTTTCCTCTTGATGCTTCTTGCGTGTTCTCAATCGTGGCCCTCCGTTCGGCGTTTCTCTTTGAATGAATTTCGATGCTTTTGTCACCTGTTTGAAATGATGGCATGTCCAAGTGCAGCAAACCCATCCTTCTACAAGTCGTTGGCGGGAGTAAGTAGTGGATGTGACTGACCGGTGAGGGTTGGGAATCAAAGTAGCCGACTTCCGTATTGTGGCTGTGGAGGACTTGAGGGCGAATCTCGCGATGCTGATGTCTACCCTGGGTATTTGTTCCTGGTTTGCCTGAGACAATGTGCTGTACGGTTGTGAGTACAGCCCACCTGCTAATTCTTATGCAAAATGAACATCCGGGGCGGGAATCAGCGGCAGCCTTACGAGGAGTCACCAGGCACCCTGCTGCTCACACTGCATCTGACATAACCTGTTTTTGGCATGTAGGTGCAAGCCCAGATCTTCTTCCTGAGGCATTGCTGCATCAGTGCCAACGGTCATCCATAAGCTGTATAACGGTTAAGGAATATGCGTATGCTCTATTTACAGAGAGGATCGAACATGAAGCACGTATAGTTTTGAGGAGGACGAGAAGAAACTCCGGTAGAGGTCACGATGACATATGACATGGATTGAAAAAAAAAGCTAATAAGGATGAGTTGCCTGAACCAGAGCAATCTGGACTGTTTTCAACGGTCGAAAGGTGGGAGAGAGAGAGCTTGATTGTCTTGTGGCCAGGCTCGCTTGCGACGAAGCGACCGGTAAATGGAGGTTGCATACAAATACAGAGTTCTTCCTACTGTAGACCCTAGGTGTTTAGATATGCAATAGTCGTATGTACGAGTACGGAGTAACCGAGAGAAACGAGAGAAAAGAGAGAAAAAGTGTACGCTGCTTGGGCTAACTTAGAGCCTGGGCTGCTGTTTGTTGGTCACTCCACTCCCCATCGCTCGCAGAATCTCCGCTTCAATTAGGTCTCCATCGGCACTCTGTAGACGGTGCTCGTACTCGCGTCGGAGAGGGCCAACAAACACATGCCCAAAGCCACCCTGGGCGACGACGGCGAAACCGAGCAAGGGCCTCCCAAGGGCCACTATTTTCAGTCACCCATCTGGTCCGCATCAACATCTCCTCCGGATTTCCAACTGATCTACACTCGACTATCTCGGTGTCAATACTTGCACATTTAACCCAACTCATCCTCTCCCTCGACTCGCCCATTCTTGGTCTATCCTATTTCTTGCCACATCTCTAACATTCCATATTTTTATCCTAGTCCTGCGAAAACACTCCCGTGGGTTACTTACCTATACACGCCGCCGCATTCCCCCGGCCCGGTGCCCTTCGCAACGCTCGCAACGCTCGCAACGCTCGCACCTCTCACAACCTCACAACCTTACGTCCTCTGCAGCACAACCATGCCTCTCTGCGGAGGCAATAAAGTCGTCCAGCGCAAGTTGGTTCTTCTCGGAGACGGCGCCTGCGGCAAGACGAGTTTGTTGAACGTGTTCACGCGGGGTTTCTTTCCGGTTTGTTGTGCCTCCCGTTCCAGCCGGAGCGTAAACGCAGCAGAGATCCTCACTAATGCGGCGCAACAGACAGTGTACGAGCCCACGGTGTTCGAGAACTATGTCCACGACATCTTTGTTGACGGGATACACATGGAACTGTCGTTATGGGATACAGCTGGACAGGAAGAATTTGATCGACTACGGTCACTATCGTACGACGACACGCAGGCGATAATGTTGTGCTTCAGTGTACGTACACACCAACACTTTTCTTCCGCGCATGCGCACTCGCATGACGCTATGATAGAACACCGAAGATACAGAGGTTGGATGAAGAAGTTAACACTTCGATTGACAGGTCGACAACCGTGGCTCCCTTGAGAACGTTGGCACGAAATGGATCGCGGAGATCAACGAACACTGTCCTGGCGTCAAGATCGTGCTGTGCGCCTTGAAGTGCGATCTTCGGGAAGAGCATGAGAAGGAAGAAGATGAGCCAAACACTCCACCACGACCGATGATTCAATATAACGAAGGCTTGGAAGTTGCTCGGCGGATTGGCGCTCTTCGATATCTCGGTATGCTCCCCATCCTTCTGGCGACATCGGTTGCGCTGGTATACGCGGGAACTAATGACTTCGCAGAATGTTCAGCCATGCGAAATCGCGGTGTGAACGAGGCTTTCACGGAGGCTGCTCGAGTAGCTCTGCAAGTTAAACCGGCGAAATCGGAAGACGACTCGAAATGCTCGGTCATGTGAAAATGTCCCGGCAGTTTCGTATCGTTCACCTTTTGCCCTTTCTCATCTTTGAACTCTCTCAGAGCGTAGTTCCGGTCCGGTTCATCGACTCGCTACCTTATATCACGACTTTCCTGTTGTACATACACCCTTGACGTCTCCTTCCCTTGTCTTGTTCGCGTTCTGGGCGTCTCCTTTTAGCGTTGATCTTCTGGACTAGTCTTGTGTTCTTTGGGAAAAGCAGGAGACAGGCATTGGCCGCTGCATTTTGACTGCAATTCTGAGTCTGGCTAGTTATGTGACGGGAGCTTCATCAATGATATACGAGCTGCCAATAGAATGACTCTTGCGAGTTCTTGATCGGAACCCCTTCTCATCTGTTCGTATGATTGAATGGTCTATTGACTCGGCGTCTCTTTCTGAACGAGCCCCCGTTGGACTGTCGCATTAAATGCGCTTGGTGTATGAGAAAAAGCACACTGTTCGTCCTTGCGCCCGCGTTGTTGCCGTGTGTCAAAAAGAAGGTTGCGATGGAGACAGATAACTAGACAGTCTTCAACGCATCCTTCAAGATGGCATGTGCGTAGCACTCTCGGTCCAGCTAGAAAGGCATCCTCAGTTGGGCATTGAAATAACAAGAATATTTCAAAAGGAGCAGACGCTATTGCTATATCCCATTTACCAGTGGCTGTCCATTACTTCGACCTCTTGAGCTGTCTTCCGGTGCCTGCACATCTTCATTAAATAAAATCCAATCCTTGACACCACCCTTCCAATCTGCTATTCGTCCTTCTCGGATCGGGACAATGACCACTCTCACATCCTCAGCGCCAATGTAACAGCTTCCGGCATCATCTGGATTTGGTGCGTGGTGCTGTACGCCGAATAGACCGATCTCCTCCTTTGCCTGATCTCCAAAGGTATTGTTTGCTAAATGAGTCTCTTTACACCACTTCTCTTCATCACTTCCTTGCTCGAGAAATCGTGCTTCACCAGTTATGGTGGTGGATATGGAGCTCAGCGCCGAGGTATTCAGGTTCAGCAGTAAGCTGGCCAGACTGGACCGAGTTGCGGCAGCTGGGGGACTGCCCGAGCGCTCGCCAGATACTGATGTCGCGGTGGGAGGACGATGACTGACCCAGTCGTGGACGAGCAGGGAGACCTTCGGATTTGAGGTGAGGTTTCGAGTTTTGATGGATTGCGCAGAGGTGGTCATTATTATCACCGGCCCGTGCTCCAGGTAGTTTGGCAGAAACGTGTAGTTCATTAGACTCACGTGCGGTGTAGGCTGAGATGAGTCGGGAGCGGAGGAAATGGTGCCCAGATGCAGGAAGCGTGCATTCTTGAGACATTGAGACACTTCAGGAGGAAGACTGGAGGAACGGATTGGATGTGTCGAGGCGGAGGGCTCGTAGGTGAGCGGTGGATGGTGTTCAGACATTGCTGGAGGTTGTGCCGTCAGGGAGCGCGCCGCGGATCGATATCGAGCTATTGCTACTGATAAGCTGTACTATAGTAACGAGAATGACACAAGTGCTCGCAGCATGTACACTCATATGCAGGACAACAGATGGACGGACTGACTCTGGCTGAGAGAAAATGAATGATGTGCATCTGCCCCGCAAATGAGAAGGTTGCTAAGTGCGTGTTAGCGGCAGCACTACCAAATGCGTAGCCAACGCCCCATGCCCATTGTCAAATGTTGTCTGGAGACTGGAGTCTCTTCCACTGACGTCGCCCTTCCTCCTCCTCGTGACGCCCATCTCTACCTCCAATCGCAGCTCCCACCACCTCGGCTTGTCGTGTGAGCCTGACAGTACAGTAGAACCCGCATCGCTCGTCCTCTGGGGATTTCCCCAGCTTTGCATATTAGTATCACTACCGGACAGACCAGTTACCTCTCCGCGCTCGTGTGTACCTCGACGCACCTCACCACTACCTTCACGCCAGATCCAAATACCAAGCAAAAAAGTCCAGCCAGCTTCCACAGGGCAGATAGACCTTCACTTTGAGGGGTCTGCCGTCGTTATCACCTGTCTCTTGTACCACAAGTTGCCGCAGATTCTATTTCCACGCTCCAGTCATGCTCGCTCGACGACTACCCCTCTGCTCTCCTCAAGCTTCCTCCTTCTTCCGCGCCTTCACCACCTCCGCTCTATCTCGAGAACCTGCTCGCTCCCCAGGCCTAGGCGACATCACACCCGACGGCACCGATGCTTTCATCACCCGGCAAAAGGAATTCCGTGACGGTCTCGAAGCGACCAAGAAGAGAAAAGAACAAGCTGAAAGTCAGTCTCCAGTTACTGCCTCCCCCAATGCGTCTGATAGTGCTTCTGGTGTCTTTAATTCTCTTGGACTGGGCTCACTTTCTACCGCCCCTCATGCAGAAGAAGCAAGGCAAGCCGAGACAGATACCTCAACCAGACGCTCCGGAAAACTCTCGAGTCTGATCTACGGCACCCCTGAAGGTCAGCAGCTAGACAAGGAGATGGAACGCTCCTTCTCCCAGGTCCTCGCTCGCGGCAAATACGTCCATTCGATCGTCTTCCACGACGTCAAGCCTGACAAGGTCGATGAGTATGTCGAACTTGTAGGTAGCTGGTACCCCAAGATGGCGAACATCCCCGAGAATAAGGTTCACCTGGTGGGAAGTTGGAGAACAGAGGTCGGCGATTGTGATACATTCGGTATGTGTGTTTGCAACGGGTATGATCGTTGCTGGTTAACAATGTCATAACAGTACACATTTGGGAATATCAACGCTACACAGGCTACCATGCGTCATTACACAGCATCTCCCACCACCCTGAATTTCCGGACTTCGACAAGAAGCTGAAGAGTCTGATCAACTCAAAGAAGGTTTCGCTGATGCAGGAGTTTTCATTCTGGCCAACAACTCCCCCACGGAAGCTGGGTGGTTTGTTTGAGCTGCGATCCTACACACTACACCCGGGTAATCTACTGGAATGGGAAACGCATTGGCGAAATGGACTGAAAGCGAGGAGAGAGGTAATGGAGGGTGTAGGAGCCTGGTTCGTCCAGATTGGAGACCTGAACACTGTCCATCACTTGTGGCAGTTTGCAGACCTCGAGGAGCGTAAGTTGCGTCGAGAACAATCCTGGGGTGTGGAGGGATGGGCAGACACAGTCCACAAAACCGTGCCGTTAATCCAGACTATGAAGAGCAAGATTCTCATTCCCATGCCTTGGAGTCCCGTGGGATGAGGAAGAGACGCTTGGAAAGTGTGGCCATGTATCCTAGTGTCTGAAGTTTTCGATGCTTCGAGTGCTGAGTGTATGGTGGGTGGTTCACGAAGAAAATGCGGTGGTCTGGTCCCCACTGGGGAGAATATCACGCAGGGAACTGTGAATCACAGCATCAAGAGCAAGGCTGGTCGGAAGAAAAAATTTGCCATACTCTGTTGTTGAGCGATTGATATGGCTGATAGTTGGCTTCTCTGAGCTGAACACTCCGTAGGAGTATGACAATCGTGACCAGCCAGCCACGAGAAGACAATCCCCCATCCTCATCTAGCCATATATCGGACAGTGATCACGTCTCCACCGCAGTCAGCACCAAGCTGGCCAGTGATCAGTGATGGTCTTGAGCTTGCAATGACGACATTCACCACACAATCTATATGCTCGAACCTCGAGCAGATTAGGGTCGTTTCAGAAACAAAACCCCTCGAGAAAAGCAACGATAAGAAGAGAGCCAAGTTGATATGCTAATTGTACTAAGCAGCGATCTTTGGCGTGCGGGAAGCGGATTGGTGCCAAGCGAGGTGCATATTTCCTGTCGGCGTCAGATCGTCGTACACTACCACTAGATGGCTGCTTCGTCCAAGTACGAGTACTCCGTACACACACAATCATGAGGTACGGTACAGTATGTTCCTTGTGCATGAACGGACCACGGTCATCCGCCGGCGTTATAAGAGCGCGACGGTGGGAACAAAGTGAGACCGACGCAACTTGTCGTAATGGGGACGCGAACGTAAACGGAGAAGTGAGGTTAGGCCAATAATGAACCTCTGGCCAGAGCGGGGGTGATCCTGGAAGAGCGGGAAATTGAACGAGAGGCCAAGTTGACAGCAAATAGGTCGGCCGGTTGACAATAATGACGTGGACCACGATGGTCCGTATAGGCTAGTAGAAAAGAAAGGAAGAAAAGCTTAAGAGATGCTTGACTCTGGGAGGATTTGCGGCTCAGGGGCAGGGGTTTGGTGGACTTGTAAAGGTCCTTAAACTTCTTGAAGAGCATACGTATACAGATGTCTAACAGTCACTAGGTGAGTGGTAGTGGAAAGTATCTGTGCTTCTCTTGCTGGTGCTGGGTTCGTGTGGTAACGGGTAGAGTTTTGGTGGTGGTCAGGGTCACTGCTGAGGATCGCTGCATCGCTGAGATCCTGGCTCGTCAAGAGGTGACCCATGTCCCATGTAATTGTACAGTGCTCCGTTAAGGCCCAAACATGGATTTAAGAGAGATTCGATGCTGCAAGACACGTGCATCATAGAGCCACCAGGTCACCCACAACCCGCATCCACAGCATCCTTTGTTCCGTCGACATGGAGCCGTGATGGAGTCTTGCGGCCAAGGGGATTGGCAGGGCCTCCGTCTCTCAATCTGACACCGACAGCCAATAGCTGGGCCTTGAAGACAGCACTGTGGCTGAGTTCGCAGGCGCCTATTGCTCCAGCCGTGGTCCCTAAGGAACTACAGTGTGGTCACTAATGCAGCCTCCCTTCGGGAGCCACTAGGCATCCCTGGATAAACTCCGTGCTGCCGACCTGTAGGTTGTGCTTGTGGTCTGTCGAATGTGTGAAGTGTTTCTCCTTTGTGCTGCTCCCGTCAATTGCTTTCTGCTTGCAATTGATTGAGCACGGCCAAAAGTCTTTCCTTTCTCTCTCTTTGTTTGTCACTCATTTTACCCCAGTCACTCGTTTTTTTTGTACAGAAATCCTACCGTAGTCGTTCTTTCAACATACCAAGCTGTGGAAATTGTTCCACGTGCGTTCATTCCATCCGCCGGGCAGTCTGGACCGTGAAGCACAGAACCAAAACCCATTGACCACCTGCCGGAAGAACACCTTCAGACGCATACCAACTTCGGAGATCTTGATCCAACATGTCTTATTAGACCTCCCTACTTAACAAATAATATCACTTGTACTGTCTTTGTCTGCTGAGCACGCTCAGTCGGCGGCCCATAATCACCAGACGATGTTCGACGACATTGTGCCCGAACACGAACCTCAAATACACCCCCGGAATCCCTACCCTATTGCCCGACCAGGTCCGATACCAGACTTCAGGTTAGATGGGTTGTTTGTGGAAGAGCCAGTGAAGGTCTCGTTGGTTGCAAGGAGTGAGGCCAGCGACACGTCGAGCTCGAGCTCATCCAAGTCAAACGGAGGTGGAGGTGGAGGATCCAGCGACACGTTACCAATCCTTTTGGGAGTGCTCGTACCGCTAGGCATTGCGGTAGTAGTTTTGGTATACCTGCACCGTCGGCATTTGAGGAAGCTCCGGGAGGAAGATGCAGAGGACAAGCACAAGTCCTTGGATTTCGGTCTCAACATCTCGTCAGAGAAATCTGGCGGCGGTGGCCCCCAGATGTCCGAACACCCAGGGTCTGGAAGGAGAGCTCGGGGATTGTCGATCGATCTAGGGATGCATAACCCGTACCTTTTGCCGCCAGAATTGCACCAGTCTCGGGAATCCTTCCACTCACTTTCTCGATTAAACACTGGTGACGACAAGTATCGAGCAACTACTTTCATTCCAGATGATGGTTCGATCCGGCCTCCATCAAGCCACAGGAGTCCCGTCGATGATTCCTCAAGTTATACCGGATCCATGAGGAACCCTTTTGATTCCAAGCAAAACCTGTTGTATAATGGGCAGGAAAATCCAAGGGGGGAACGCAGTGGCTCTGTGGACATGATGCCTCCCACGTCAAGAACTGGGCCCACGAACCTCCTTGCACCGAATACGGGAAATGCTGGAAGAGAATCCTACTTAAGCACAACGAGTAGCAATGGCGCCCTGACAGCGTTGAGGGCTAGTAACAATTATCTGGGACAGTTCATCGCCGGGGGTAAAAGCATACAGCCAGAAGATTCGAGCAAAAAAGAGCCCGCGGTCACAGTCGCTGAGATTCGAGTTGACCCTCCTGCAGAGGAAATCCAACCTCCCCCGCCGGCTGTCGTGAAGGAGCCTCAATATCATGAGCCATCTGCTGCGAAGGCCCCATACCCATCACACCAGCCAAGAGCCTCGGACGCACCTGGTATCGCTGTCAGCCAGCCAGAAGAACGCCAGCCACGACTTCCTCAGCTCAGTTTCATTGACTCTCAAGGAGTCAAGCAGAACACTGTCGAGCTTCCGGCGGACACGCACGTGAAAGCTCCAGCCACCAACGACGCTCCTGAACATACTACCGCGCCTTCAGCAGATACCGTCCCTAATACTCCTCAAACGCCCTCCAGTCAGTACCAGCAAGACTCATATGTTGATGATTATTATAATGACTACGAAGCACATGGAGCCGAAGATTACCAGGACTACCTAGATTACGAGCAATATACTGGTTACGACCAGAGGAGGTCGATGATGGGCATGCGACCTCTTCCCCCCGAGGATCCTTCCGACAATCCTGAACAGCGAGCCAACCGCATCCGGTCTTTCTATAAGGAGTACTTTGACGAGTCCAAGCCACATCCACCTGGACAGCATCAAGATCCAGCCGAAGCTGGATTTGATAACTATCATGATGGCTACTACGACGATGGCTCTTTTGAACCTCCCCGCCAACCGTATGGGCGTCACCGTGCAATGTCGAATGGAAGCTACCTTACGGCACCGCGAGCATTCTCATCTGCATCAGGACGGCTCGGGCCTCCTCCTTCCATGCGACCCAAGAAGAGATTGCCTCCACCCAAGGCACTCAATATTTTGCCTACTCCTCATCTACTCGACAACGACAATTTCTTGCCAGCGGATTTTGCACCACCCAAGAAGTTCCAAAATCAAAGAGCTGGTACCCCTGATAGTCTTCGGGGTGGGGTTCGGCAGTACCAGATGCCGCTGAAAGCCCACGTACCGCTGGCGTCGTCGTTCGATGACCTGGCGGTGATTCCAAGCCCGTAAGTTCAGGTCATTCTCCATTCCCCTTGACAAGCATACTAACACTGTGACAGTCACGCATTGAGAAGGTCTGGCACGTTCACGGCCTTGGACTTTGCTCCACCAGGTCGACTGCGGGCAGCAGATTCTGCAATGAGCGAGACTGGCAGCATCCGAAGCAATCGGTCTGGCATTTCTGCCATGCACAACCACAGCATCCGCACAGGAGCTTACCGTGTTAGCCGCATCCCCAAGGAGGTGGCCGGCACCAAGAACGAGTTGTATGCAGCTTTGAGACCACAGTGGAACCTCAACCGATAAAATCTAGAGCCATTTTGGACTTGATATGTATATATGGCCGTGGAGCTCGCGGTTTATTCCGACATTTTAAAGCGTGCAGGACATTTGAGCATAGCGAGAGGAGTTCAGAGGCGGCACTGAGCGTGCCCTTTAGCTCTCTGGGATAGTTTGTGTGTAGCATGTGTACTAGTACTCCTCACATGCCAGAAGAAACAAAATGTATATTATCTCGGACTGGGCCGGCTGGTCGGGGACCAGCTTGAAATGAGTCAAATCAGCTGGTATCGTGACAAAAGGACTCGCCCAGATCTAGATGTATTGTACAAATATCGATATTTAGCGAGGTGCGTCCGGAGATGCATGATAGTCGGGACCTGGCATTGCTCGCATTGGGTGAATACGAGCAACACCGTCTGGGCATGTCTAATCTTGGGTCACACATGGGCCAGGGCGGAACCGGCTAAAAAGTCACTTCTGGTGCGGGCCAAAATACCGGGTGACATTGGGTGGTGATGCGGTGATCCCTGGTTCTGGCGCAATTGATGTATGACAAAGATGATGGAAAAGCGGATTGTATGGAGCCCAGAGTCTCACAACAATCGGTGCTCGCATCGTTCGGCGCCTGGACGCAACTTGTCTGGCGATGACGAGGAGAGAAACACTGCCTGAAGATGTTGTGCTTGTCATGCTCTGGCCGAGGTGCAACCAAGTTCTTACTGTATGTGCGAATGAGAGGAAGCGAGACATGGAAGGTGCCTACAGGCTACAGTCGGTACAGTAGATATGCCTCACTCGGCCTAGCTGCTGTCCTAACCACTAGGTCTGCCCAACGGCTCCCAGAGGGCTCTACAATATTGCAGCGCCATATGGAACCTACTGTAGGCCGATGCGAGCCCGGGTGGAGAGGTTTGTTTGCATGTTGTCAGGGCTCTAGGACTATAGGAGGAGTAGCTGCAGCACCCGGCGGCCATGGTAATTTTAATCCTGCAGTCTTCCCATCCCCTACAGCGCCTTGACCTCTTCAGATCTTGCTCCGCCCACAACATCCAACACCTCGCTGCGCCTTGAGCCATTGCCACGATTCTGAGATCTCTTGACGTGAGATCTCGGGTTGAAACCTCTTCTTCATTCTCTCACGCGCTCCGCACAGGCACAGAATATACAGCGTCCTCCAACCCGTATATTTACCGCCCTCGACATACGACCTAGCCTGTAACACGAGCATTTACGAGTCTCGTATTTGGCCGCAAGGATCGTCCTCACCCGTGTTCTGACACCCATCCACTTTCCCGTCAGTCACCTGCGCGTAGCAGCTCTATCGATTCCTCTTGAACGTAACGAACGCTCTCTTAAGGACTCATCCCCCCTGAGATCTTTGGGCTCTGCAACTTGGCTTCGCTACCATCGACTTGCCTCTGTCTTTGTCTGTCCGCTTGCCGCGGGCAAGCTCTCCTGACGCTCGAAACCTGTCACCACAACCGATATCACCATGTCTGCCACAGATGTCACAGGTAAGCGGCATACAGCTTGCTTTGGGATTCACAGCTCATCTAACTCCGGCTAGACACCACCACCACCACAGACGACCCGAACAACCTCACGACGACCATCGTGACAACCTCGACAAGTTTAACAACCTCTCCTGCCACGACCGTAATAGTCACCGACTCTACCACCTCGACCCCCGAAATCACCACCACAACCCCTCCACCTACAACTACCGTCTCGACCGTCTCCCTTCCTGATTCCACCACCGTTGTAGTCACGACACCGACTCCGACGACACCAAGCGTAGTAGACGTTACATCTACCATTACTCAGACCCCACCGACCACCAACAACGATACTCCCACCCCTTCAGTCATTGTAGTCACTTCTACGCTTCCTCCCGATGACACCAGTAGCAGCACCGCAACGTCCAGTATCACATCAACGCTATCTTCAGCTAGTTCCTCACCCTCGGCCTTGAGCGCGTCTGGATCGGGATCCAGTTCCAGCAGTGGCCTTGGTTCTGGAGCCAAGATTGCCATTGCGGTTGTGATCCCCATTGTGGTGATTGCCGCGGCACTCTTGATTGGGTTCTTCCTATGGCGGAAGAGAAAGGATCGAAAGGACGCGGAAGAGTTGCGCAAGAATGAGATGGCCGAGTATGGGTTCAACCCGAACAACGACCCCACACTGGTGGCCGGGGCTGGTGCGTATACGGACAATCAGTCGGAAGCCCAAGATGACGGCAGTGGATATCGAGGATGGGGAGCCACCTCTTCCGGCCGCCAGGCTTCCACGACACTTGGTTCGAATGGACGAGGCAACAATGGCATGGCTGTGTCAGAGAGTAGCAGCCAGCCTGGAGGTTACGGCATCAAAGATTCACCCAATGGCGCGTCCGACGCATACTCGGCTGATCCTTTGATGAACGGTCACCCTGAAGGCGGTGATGGTGTGGCGGCGTTGGGTGCCGGAGGACTGGCGCGAAATCGTAGCGACGCCGCAGGTATTCGACGAGGGCCATCTAACGCGTCCTCGGCCTACTCGACAGGTCATCAATCCGAAGCTTCGTCTGACACGCCTGGTGCATCAGGTCCATACTACCAGGAAGAAGTACCGTACAACATCTACAACGACGCGGCTCCCAGTCATGGCCCATACGGTGACGGCTCTTATGGCGGCGTTGGAGGTCAGCCTGTGATACGAGACGTTCAAGCAAGACGAAATACTCGGATCGAGCGGGCCCCAACATTTCCTCAAAATCAAGGTGGAATTGCACAAAACTTCTAGAGTCGCTGACTGGGAGGTTTTGTTTCCACGTCGCTTTTTGCTTTACGTGCATGGCGGGGAGTCCCTTTACATTTCTTTTGCATTGAAAAGTTTCGTCGATTGTGTGTGTCTATCTACTATACCCCGGGGTTTGACTTCTTTCACCTCATTGGAATCTCTGACGACTTTTCTATCACAGTCTCTTTTCCTATCGCGGCAATTCAGGGGCTTATTTGGGAAGGAATTCTCTGCGAATACCTAATTAATAGCTGCTTTGGACATGAAGTGGACGTACTGAGGTTGGAGGCATGGTACATAGGTGTGGGAGGAATGTAGTTGACGGAGGAGCGCAGAATGAGCATCTATCGATAGTTGGGAAGATGAATCTAGCCAGCTACAGATTGTTACAGATTTTTACCAGTCGTATCATGTGTATATATACTTTGGTACCTACCTAGGATGTTTTGCGTACTCGTAGTAACCAAGGGCTCAATGGCGGTCCTTCTCTTCAGTTTACTGCGATCCTGCAGTAGAGTCCAGTAATGATGCCCATTGTCGTGGTGAGCGAGTACGGAGTAACATACCTGTTATGTCAACAAGGGGGAATAATGATGAGGCTGTTTCTCACAGCCTTGCGTCATGTGTCGACGGAGAACACCAAAAAAAATATCCCCCCGAGTCCTCTTCTTCCAATTCGGATTCAAAGACTGACAGGTATTAAGTAACCACACTAACATACCTACCTAAAGGTACATCGTTTGTTGCCTAGTTGAGAAAAAGCACCCAAAGCGAGTCCTCTCGACCCGACATCGCTTTTCGGTCGTGTCAAGACGATAGTCAAGTTAGTTCACACTTGCTCGGCTCGCAGAGTGGAGGGGGAAAGAGGGCGGCAGCGAGTGTCATTGACGACCGTCGCGTGGTCACGGAAGCCTGACTTCTGTGACTCATTTTCGTCGACGGGGGGTGAAGTGAGTTAAGGTACCTGGGTGCTCCGTGGGTAGTAGGTAAGAGTCATTGGGATTTTTCAGCCACGTACCTCATTGAGGCTACCATACCTACCTTAGGTGGGCAAGGTCAGAGCAGAATCCAGCCACAGGGACAAGGAGGAGATCGGTGAATATCCATCGTGTGCATTTATTTGTATGCGCGTCCGTGGATACAACGGTCCATCCGAAGGAGCGCAAAACCAGCAAATACTTGGGACGAGAGTCGGAATTACTTGGTAAGGGAAGGCAAAGTGCGGAGCAGAGTTTCAATACGGGCCCCCCTCTCTCTCTTCTTCTTTTCCAAACGTCGGAACGTACGCCAGAGAAGATTCCGCAAAATTACACCGATCGGCACTAAGAAAAGACAGAATTACGCCAACCATCGGAGAGGAAAGACAAGACTACAAAGCTGGCAGAGAGGAAAAGCAAAAAATCACAGAACGACCAGATCACTTTCAAAATGCCCCGTCTAGAGGAACAAGGCTCTTCGAATGGTCGTGGCGGCGGCAGAGGAGGAGGGGGAGGAGCAGGCAAAAAGAGCCACCACCACCACCACAACAAAAATGGTTCGTTGCCCAGAGAAGTCCTCGTTTCAAAGGCCCTTTCTCGTCTCCTTCGACACGCCGCGGCTCAGGAACGCATCCCCATTGACAATCACGGGTACGTGAGGATGGACCATTTGCTTGCGTGGCAGAAGTTGAAGAGCATGCAGCCTCGCGTCACCTTTGAGGAGGTGGTTAACGTGGTGTTGAACAACGAGAAGAGGAGATTTGCTCTGAAGTACGTCGGTGACGATCTAGACCGGGAACCCGAACGGGCGCTGCAAGAGCAAGAGCAAGAGCAAGGACAGAGACAAGGACGACCAGACCACGACGCCGACACGGAGACCGAAGCCGAAACGGAAACGCAACGTGCAGTCTCACAGTACGACAATCTCAAAAGGGCAAACGGAGGCCAGCTACCTGACGACACCGCTCACGCTCTTCAACGTTTCTTCATCCGCGCCACGCAGGGACATAGCATGGCCGCGGTCGAGGCTGAGAATCTACTCACGCCAATCACGCTCGATGACCCCAGTTCCGTTCCTGAGACGGTGGTTCACGGGACTTTTTACGGCGCCTGGGACGCCATCCTCGTCAGTGGGGGGCTCAAGAAGATGAGCAGGAACCATGTCCATTTCGCCACGGGTCCTAGTTTTCAAGATGTCATGGAGAGGGTTGGTGCTACCACTGTTGGCCACGGTGGCGCGACGGAAGACACCCCGGCAGACGGTATCGACGGACACAGCACCAGCACCAGCGACAAAGGCAAAGGCAAAGGCATAGGTAAAGAGGGAGGTGAAAGTGCCGCCTCGAGAGAGTTAAACCAGGTCCTGGGGAAGAATAAAGTCATCTCAGGCATGCGCTCTGACGCCCAGATTTTGGTGTACGTCGACATACGGCGCGCTCTGGCTGAACGGCCGGAAATGAAATGGTGGAGGAGCGAGAATGGAGTCGTTTTGACTGATGGAGTAGGGGTGGCTGTCTCGAACTCCACCGCCGCCGCCATCAAGAATACCAGGGATTCAAAGGAGGCTACTGACGGTGGTGGTGATGGTGATGACCGTGACGGGAATGGGATGGGGAATGAACAACACGGTGGACCGCAAGACCACGACAACAAGGTGGTGCCGACGATATTCTTTTCTGCCGCCGTCGAGATCAAGAATGGGATCGGCCTCCTGTACGAGAGTGGAAGGGGTGTCGTGAATCAGTTACCTGAGCAGTTGAGGAGTAGAGGTGTACCCAGGGGTAAGGGCCGGGGTGGTAGAGGAGGAGGAGGAGGAGGAGGAGGAGGAGGAGGAGGAAGAGCAAGAGGGAGGTGAATGATGGTGATTGGTGCTGACCACTGGCCATCGTGTCAAGTGATAGCTATCTAGCTGAGGGTAGCGGTAGGTCAGCTTGGATGGCCACCTACACTGTGTACCATCAATGGTACTGTACAACAAACTGCCTAAGGCTGCTAGCAAGCAATGGACACAAATCAACCAACGATTCACTCGTTATTTCCGTAAACCTGTTTGTTCAACCGTTCTCTTTGGTCGTCTACCTATTGTCTACCTGGTAGAGTAGATTCGAGCTGGCCCGTCCGTGCCAATACTTAGGCCACGAAAGGCTTACTCGAGACAGACCTTGTGTGCAATGGGTCTGCCCAAAGTGCTGGTTTCCCTACGCGGCTCGAAGAGGCTCTGAGGATCGAGCCGAATTTTTGGCCCATACAGAGCAACTTGGGTTCCAGCGTACACGGAACTCGCATCCATTCACATGCATGGTACAGCACGACACGGTGGAAACACAGTACCCATGGGGCGAGGGAAGCCACTTAGAGAGAGAGACTGCTTGAGAAAGTTGCGCGGGCCCAGCAGACGACACACACCACGATACTTTGGACCAATCCGACCGCCGTGGTAGTTCGATGCTCTCTCTCGTCTTTGCTCACGTCCCCAAACACCCGTACATTTCGTGAGCGCTCTTGGCGAATTAACCATTGCCATTCATTCATAGGGCCAAGAGACGATATTGTCTGTCCGCGGCCCCTTCTCTTGCCCCGTCCGGAGATATCATAGTCGCAATGATGCCAGAGCGTAGATGGGTGGTCGCTTGTCCTGCAGTCTCCGACGATAAATCCCGCCTGGTGATTCGAAGAGTGGCCGATATTGAGATTGCACGTGAGGATACTGGCAGAAGTTCTCCCGTCTGTAGAGATTCTTCGATTATCTGGATAGAGACGTTTCGTGATCAGTATGAGCACAGACAGAGCCCAACCCGGTATCATAGCTGCTCAGAGTCGTTTTACCTGCGTATGGTCAGGCTGTAGTCCTTCTCGCAAATGTAGTCATTGCCATTTACCACTTTGTCAAGGCCATCCCAAAGTGCGATCGGTAGTCGCTCATCGACAGAGCTAATGTGGCTCAAGTAGGCAATCAATCCGTGAACGAGCCATTCCAATCAATGGGCTTATGCAAAGAGCAATGATCTTGTCATACTATTCCGGTGCTGTTCACTTGCCCGGAGTTGGTGGAGGGCCCATATTCGATTTCTTCGAAGGGGGTAACGAAGGGACTTTGAAACCACCTTCGCTCTTCCCGGCATTGGCTTGCGTGAAGGTTCCACTCGAAAAGTACCCTGCACTCTCGGCATCTCTCTTCCTCTTGAGCTCGGCTTGGACTTTTGGATCGACCAACTCGAGACCTTGCACTGGCGTAAAGGCAATAGAGCTGGCCGTGCCCCCCACTCCACTTGTGCGGAGCCCTGATGCTCGAAGCGAAGTCGTGTTTCCTCCCATGCCGAACCCTTTCAACGAGGTGTTCATGCCGCTGTTCAGACTGGTTGCCGTACCAGAACCGCCCCATCCGGGATTCTTCTTGCTGAGCTTGGCCATTGTTCGACGATCAATCTGGGTCGCACGGATGCGCCCGTCATTGGATTGACCGATCATGCCCAGTCCCACAGTTTCCTCGCCAGTGCCGTAGCCAACCTCCTTTTCTTCTTTGCCGAACGCCATTCTATTTTGTTGCTTTCGTAATTCCGTCATGGCCGTAGCTTCCTTCGCCTTGCGGGCTCTCCTACCACCTCGTTTCCTGCTGGGCTTGTCATCGGGAGCAGGTAAAGCTCGAGGACCCCTGTTTGGTGGAGGTTCGGTCAATTTATCTAGTCGTCGCAAACAGTCGTCACGAAGTTGTTCTCCGGTCGAGCCGTCTGGGGCCTGGTGTACACTGTCGACACGTGCCGCAAGAACGAGCTTCGCCGAGACGATGCGCATGGCTTGAATTTTGAGATCGTTCGGAATGCTTTGAATCAGCGGGGAATGATACAAAAACCCTTGTTGGCGTATTCCAACATTTGTGGCAAGCCCACTCTGCTTTTGCTTTCTTGATCCCATCGCAGGAATATTCCGGTCTGGGACTTTTGCGAGGCCTTTTATTCCGCCAGCAAAGTTGAGCAGTTGAGCAGCGGTCAGAGAGCCGATGATGGCCGTCAAGTTGGGCGCGAAAATGTTCATCCTTGACTGAACATACTCTGTTAAAATCTTTTTGGCGCGATCAAGCTCAATTACCATCTGACATGCGCGTAATGTTGTCTCAAGCTCTGCATCACTCAAGGGTTGGCCTTTCGTTGTCGTGCCTTCAACCGTCACGACCATGAGCGTTGGCCCATCGAGAACTGATCTGAGAGTTGCCTTGACCAGATTATCAGTAGAGTCTGCCAGCGCTTTGATATTTTCAAGTGGCCCATTCCGAATGATAGCCACCGTCTTCGCATAGTCCAGGGGATTCTGCACCAGTGTCTCGAGTTCGGGGAAGCGTGTAGAATAATGGTCGCGAATGAACTTATGAACAAGGATGATTTCATTGTCGATCTGAGTCGACAGAGAATTCGACTGAGTCAGGAGATGGTACTCGGGGTTGTCCTCGATTGACCCTACGGTCGAGGTTCGCAGGTTCGGAGGGAGGTTCTGGTAATGGGAGATTTTCTAACGGGGATAGAGTGTCAGGACTAGATTGTACAAATGTAAACCACAAAGACATGGATACAGGAGCGGTAAGAACTTACATCTAGCACCGGTTGTAGAATCTTCATCAATCCCGCAACACTTCGCACATCGCGAACCATTCCCAAATGCATCTTCTCGACCTTGGCCTTTGTCTCGTCCTCATCCTCTAGAACGTCTGCAGAGACGAATTCTTTCTCCTCCTCATCTTCTTCCATGGCTCCATCGTTTGCAACATCCTCGGCCAAGCCCTCTTCGCTGTCATCGTGATGAGTGCCATTGAGGCCGTCGGCTGTTTCGTGATCTTGAAGCGTCTGATCCTCGTTCTCGTCGCCGGAGTCTTCAAAATCATTGAGGAGCTCATCAGCCAGCGTAGACATGGCGGCGAGGGTGTTGTCGCGCAGGCAGCTGCTTAAGCAAGTGTGAATTGTTTTGGTTTGTTGTAGGTACGTCGGCACATGCAAAAGTTTGGATGCGGAGAAAACTTGAGCATGAGTCGTATGAAAGTCTGGGTGTGGAAATTGTGTAGCTGGTATGACTCGTGTATGTTCATCTTAGCGAGGACAGATACTTCAGAGAGCAGTATCTTTCACCACGTCCTGTTCACAATTATTGGTATTATCCCCAGCATTGTCTCTCTATACACCGGTAAATATAGACCATTTTCGAGGATATGATTGAGTGATATAAAAACCTGAACGAAGCTGCACCAGGCCTTGCCGAACAACTGTCTATGACAATTCTATGCGGAAAAATGCGATAGTTCGTCCACAACACCATTATCATGCATGAAGAAGAACCAGGTTACTAAAACGTCTTCAACATCTGGTTGAAAGGCTCTGGTGGCACGCCACTCGCCATTGTACATTGCCACATCAGCCTTTTGTTGACCTCCCTTCTCGCTATCTCAGTCGCATCGGTAGTTTCTCTCTCATCATCATCTCCTAGCTGGCCAGTAATCGTATGCCATACACCTTGATTGTGAAAAGCGACCAAGTCGCCGTCTCGCCAAGTGTGAGCGTAGATATACGACGGTGCCATGGATTTCTTCTGAAATGAGTGACAAATTTTCCGTACTTCGGCAAGGTCATCGATCACTTTCCTCTCCTTCGTCTTGGGGTCGATCGTGATCAGGGACTTAACACACATGCCCAGAATCTGTAAATGCGGCCGGTCTGGAAACAGAGGGTTCTTCCATACCATCTATCATTCAGAAGCCTTAGTAGCGCACGTATCAGTTGTTTAAGTGCTTACCGGATGAGCCTGCACCTTCTCCGGGTCCCACGGCGTCAATTCTTCTAATGGTTTCTCTAGTCCAGTCGTGACGATAGAGAGACCATCTGAAGTCGCCTTGCAGTTTTGAATCCATTCGTAAGGTCGCGGAGCGTATTGGACGATGGTGTTGAGCGCGAACTCTTGCTCTTCAGGCGTCAGCAGTTGAAACGCACGAGCTCCCGAGACAACTGTTTGATGCAGTGTATGTTAGATACGATTAATTTCCGGGTGGGACATGTCTCAAGTCAGGAGAGGAACTACTCACATGCCGTGGCGCCTGCATCCAACTCAAGCTCTTGTCCGTTTTCAAATTTGATCTTTTGTCGGGGGGACTTAGGCACTTTTAGAGCATGAAGAATGGTGACTTTCCCGGGAAGTTTTTCGTATAAAGGAGCATCACAATGGAATCGATAGAACCTTGTATAACCTTGGCCAAGCTCCTCCTGTGATAAAGGCTGATCATGAAACTCGAGGTGGTTCTGGACATGATGAAGCTCAGCACATATTTGAATACCTGGTCGGTGTCTCTAACACTCAATGGTTGCTGCCAACAAGCATCGAGGATACATTGATCTCTTGAAGAAGCCGGACTCGAGACTATGCTGTACTTACAACATGCCGTAGCCTGAGCGTGGGTATACCTTCGTACCCATCGAAGCTCCCTTGTCCTAATATCGTCACTTCCTTTGCTCGAGGTATGCGTGCAGCATTGTTTTTGGATAGAATGTTGTTGGTAGCAGTCAACGCAGCAATTTCGCCTGAATGGTGACTTTGTACTTGGTCGTCCCATATCGCTGCAAGTAACGGTAGCGTGTTGGGGTCAACCCCTTGCTGATTTCTGAAAATAATGACGGAGTGTTCAAAAAGTGCCTGTCGCAGTAGAGAGAGGTCGCTCTCGGTCAAGTCCTTCACATCGATGAGCCTGCGAGAGAGTCTGGAGTCATCACCTCCATCTGCGTTGTAGTTGAAGGCAATTTCAGCGCCAATGAGGGTATCCTTTCTCAGATCGCTCTTGAGAGGAATGACATGGAAATTTGATGAGGATTGATAGAGATTGGACAGCATGGTCACTGACGTCCTTGCCTCCGCTCCGATTTGGGGAGTTTGGCGTTCCCTAGACTTGAGAGTACGGGATCCTAAAAGGTGATTCAACGATATAAAAGCCCAAGTCCGAAGTCCGTGTCACAATTTCAGCGCATTTAGTTTTGGAGCGTAAGAGTGGCCACATCGAGCCTTCGTCTCTTCCATATCAGCGGGTGAGATAAACTCACCCGACTACTAAACGTTAGAGCCTCAAGATACGCCAATAACGCGGCCCGCGAACTGTTGCTCACAACTCCACGGTGGGACTGTCCATTCGCTTGTGCGAGTCAACAGTTCCAGACTCATATTGGCCCAACTCTGAAGACTGATTCTGTGTTTATTTTAGTTTAGTGTCAGCTGCACTGATGGAAGGTCATGTGCTGCTCAAGTATACCTCACCCCAGCCAGTAGGTGAAACCGGGACAGGACTATCACAATTGTAGATGTTGTCCGCGAGCTGGTTGACGACGCAAGGCTTCTACTCCTATTTCTGTTCTTCCCCCATATTCCCACTGCTGTTAGTACCAATTCATGAACTCATAACCTGGGGCTTTTACTTTTCTTCAAAGCTGGGACGGCCACCCCGATGGCGCTGATAATGGCCCGTCTACCTGACGGTCAAGGCAAGCGTTGCAGGGCCGCTGTCCAACGCTAAATCGAAATGCAGGGCTGTGAGAAAGGATGGACATATTTTTGGTGATAAGCATCATCGGACTCATTCCACACTTCATCCAGGCTGAAGAATATTTAACCCTTCATGGCGGCTCTGGTTCGATAGAGTATCAAGCATTCAGAAGGCGGCCGGCCGAGGCGGGTAATAAAGAAGTCTAGATACGTGCGTGATAGTCAAGATCTAATGCTATACTTATACTGCCGTTGGAGACCAGTCTCTATCAAATTTCTCTCCCGCCCGTTTCGGTTCTGCTGGAACATTCGCGGTCCGTGTGTACGGCTCAATTTCATCTGGGCCCCTATTAAAGCAAGTGGCTATTTGACTTTGCTCACAGATGTCCTGATCCAGTCTGCTGTTTCTGCCACGTGGCTTAGGAACGGACTATGTGAACTATGGATCTTGGTAACCTCAACGTCTGCAACTCCACCGTTCGCTTCAACATCTGCATTTGCTCCCGCGACTACCATCTCCTGTACCGCAGATGGTAGTGCATGGTCATCGGTGCATACAAGATAGAATGTTGGCACTGCGAGGTATCCTGCGTACGGCACGGTGGAGTAGTGATTGTTGAAGATGAAAGGTTTGAGCATCGCCGCGTATCGTTCGGCTTCTTTGGGCTCGACGTCATGGTACATTAGGTGAATCGGCCCTGGACGATCAATGGGGGTCGTGAACACTATCTCAACGTCAGGTCCATTGCCTGACGGGTCGGGAAACCTCTGCTTCGACACGCTCATCTGGGCCGGGAATTTTCTTCCCCCCATTTCCCAGAGGGACGCGCCAGAGGGTAAAAAGACACCAGAGATCGCCAACAGGGCAGTGATGCCGTTGGCGTGGCCCGATTTACGTCGGGTTGCTTTGTCAAGAGACTGGACCGCGCAAGAGGCTGGGACACAACCGTACGAGTGGCCTAGTAGGACAAGGTCGGTCTGCGGATTGGCATCAAGTTCTGTCTCAGCCAGACTGGCAATGGCTTGGACGTCTGCTGCAAGTTTTGTCGGTGGCGGACGGCCTTGCGCAGCGTAGTGCACACTCGGAAGCGCGACGGTGAGAGTCTTGAAGCCGTGTCCCTCAAGCGCAGTTGTCAGAGCCTCGAAGTGCGCTGGAGAATGCCACGCTCCGTGCACGAGAAGAACTGTAGGTAAGCACATGTTTGCAGGACTTTAGAGGCGGTCGGAGTCAAGGCGAAGTACCCGGTAAACCTTGTTGGGTGTCTGATAAGATTCGGGGGATTAAATAGTTGTGTTTCCAGTGGAAGAAGGTTTGCAGAGCCAATCTTCAGCATTGGACGCCTCATTTCATGGTGAGACGGCGTGACTGGCGTTAAAGTAACAGGCTAACAGCGGGCTGTCCTCTCTTACGGAATGAGCCTCCTTGAGCTAGTCTAGAGGCGCGATTGAGCATTTTTGGTATTGTTACTGATAGTATGGGGGGTTGGAATACTGTACAACACTATCGGCATCTGTACCATAGTGGGAGGATAAGGATTCAAGGAACTGTACTACTACAGTATCAATACAGTTCGTAATGTAATGAAACACGTGCAAATCGCTTTTCGGTAACCAGACAGTCCTCAAAGACATACTTGTCAAAAACAGGAACAGCTATTGAAAAGAGCGAGACATGTCAGAAAATAGCGACACGTGTCAGAAATAAGGAACCGTGTCAGTAAAGTGTTAGTACCGTTCTTGAGCTCGAAAAAGAGGGAAGGCCACCACAAGGCATGCATGCTATGAAGATTAGATGTATATAAGTACAAAATGATTCGTAACTCAGCACAATGATTCAGGGGAGCTTGTTCCGACAGCTTCCATCGCCAAGGACATAGACGACCGGGCCAGGAAGAGAATAAGTGAGGATCTTCGAGATGTCCTCACTTCAACATCAAGCAGCCATCCAGAAAGTTCTTCTCGCTTATTGTTCGTCTGAGTAAACCCCCCAGCAGCTGATACACACTAACCTGCCATAAACTGCCCATCTCGAACCGACAATGTCAAATGGGAAACTAAATCAACCGGACGCGGTAAATAGAAGATCTAACGACATGCCAGGATCTCAATAGACTTACTAATTCGCGAGACCATAAGGGTGCTAATGACAAGGTCGGAATAGACTCTTTGTCTCCGGTCGTAGAGATCAGTCTGTTTGGCAGGCATCCAGCGTGCAGGGCGAGGCTTCTTCTTCCTGAAGGCGAGTCTATAAGCTGGGTAGTTGTGTCTGCTCCGCTCTATAGCCTTCATGGTAAAGGGCACAATCCTAAACAAGCTTGCCTCCCTCATGAATAGTTTCACCCCTTAGACGGCGGCCACTGGTGGTGGCTGCAACCGTCTTGAGCTTCCCAGGACCTTGGGGCTCCTGCTCTGTCGGCACTCTGAAGCTGAACGACCTGGGGATTGTCTGTTGCCGTCATCTCCTTCTTGTTTGTCACTATCGCGCAGACTTTTGGGGTGAGTCCAGGATGATTCGGCAAAGGTCCAGCTTCTGCCTATTCGGCAAGCTCTCCAGCAGCCACCACATCCCGATGTACGCAACGGCTCTACAGGCTCCGACAACAGAGCCTGTGAGGACCTGTATAATACTCTGCTTCACGGTGGTGCCTTGCCGATCATCCTTTTCGTCTTTAAGCTTCCCGACACGCTTCTTCTTCTTGTTCTTCTTCTTCGTGATTCGACGTTTTTGGCATTGGTGTTCTCATTGCAACCGAATTTGGACATTTTCTCCCAACTCTCTCCATTTGCTAGGGAGTTCCTTATCTGTCCAGCTTCTGGAACACTGAATATCCTGCCATACCTGGGGTCCAAAGCCTTAGCCGCGATTTCCCCAGCCATTTTAGTCGAGATGATCTTCTCCCCGTGTCGACGGGTTCGTTTGAGACTTGATACTGGGCTCACTGATGCTGCGCACGTCGATCCTTCGCATACAGATTCAACCCACCCACTCCGGGATATGGGTCCTTTAGCTGAGCATGCATCGAGGATTGGTCGGTGCCGCTCTCAGGTTCACGATGCACACCAAGTGGACGGAATTGCAGAGGTTGATCCTTCCAACAAAGACAGGGCTTGGTCGTCCTCTCGTCTCGAGGACAACAACACCTATCCCCACTCGACAGATGGTCTGACAAAAGATTTGAGAATCCAAAAAGCTCGGGCACAATGCGTTCTCCTGGAAATCAGGATTCTCTTTCACAGAGTCTTCAGCGGTATGGCACTGAGAGTTTCCACCGGCAAAAAAATTTGTGAATCCCTTTACTGCCATTGCATCTCGTCGTACGTAGACTAAAGTATATCAAGCCCACTCGCATTGTGACTCACCGTGATTACCCACAAACACTCGCTCTGAGATCTTGCACTGTTAACATTGACTGGCCTGGGGGGAACTGGCAGCCGCCGTGGTTATGGCCCCTCGCGTATGGATGCACCTACGGCGTCTCCGTGTCCGGTGTGGTACATACTCGGGCATGTCGAACAGGACTCCGATCGGCTAAGCCGTCGGCCCGGCTACTCTCATGCACTGTACAGTCCGACATCCAAGACTAGTCTATCTCATACTCGTGGGCACTTGGAGGCCACCTCTGCAGGGATTTTGACCTTGGCATTGCTGGTGAAGCTGCCCTTCGAAGACTATTCGGCGATCAAAGTCGGGGTAATAGAGGTGAATTAAGAAGTACCTGTAGTCGGGGGAATAAACGCTTTGGCTTGGCATTTCTCCGCAGTCGACGCCTGGCCTAGAGAAGAAAGTCAAGCGCAAAGTTCATTCCATCGAATAAATTTACCAGCAGCATTTTCTTTGTTCAGAAGCGACATCGCTCGGCAACCAGAGCGGGCGTAACTGTTTCTACCTTTGAACCCTCCATATCCTTACCCTCGCTTCTCCTCAAAACCTCGTCGCACGCTTCCATAACAGAGTGTGAATCCTCCCCATTCCTCAAAGATGGATTCATCTAGAGGCCCTCCGCGGGTCAAGAACAAGGCCGCCGCGCCTGTTCAGATATCTGCCGAACAGCTTCTGCGTGAAGCCGTGGACAGACAGGAGCCGGGCCTCCAAGCACCGACACAGCGGTTCGCCGATCTCGAAGAACTCCATGAATTTCAAGGCCGGAAGAGGAAGGAGTTCGAAGACTATGTACGCCGCAACAGAATCAACATGAACAGTTGGATGCGATACGCGCAATGGGAACTAGAACAAAAGGAATTCCGGCGTGCGAGGTCAATCTTCGAGCGAGCGCTGGATGTGGATAGCACCAATGTGCAGCTGTGGATTCGGTACATCGAAGCAGAAATGAAGACCAGGAATATCAACCATGCACGGAATTTACTGGACAGGGCGGTTACGATCTTGCCTAGAATCGACAAGTTGTGGTACAAGTATGTCTATATGGAGGAGACGCTTGGGAATGTGCCTGGAACACGACAAGTCTTCGAACGCTGGATGAGCTGGGAACCTGATGAGACAGCTTGGCTAGCATACATTAAACTTGAGAAGAGATATGGAGAATATGATCGCGCTCGTGCTATTTTTGAGCGATTTACAGTCGTTCACCCCGAACCCCGGAACTGGATCAGATGGGCGAAGTTCGAGGAAGAGAATGGGACAAGCCAATTGGTGCGCGACGTGTTCGGCGTCGCCATCGAGAGTCTAGGTGATGATTTCATGGACGAGAAACTTTTTATCGCATACGCACGATACGAAGCGAAACTGAAAGAGTACGAGCGGGCCCGAGCTATCTACAAGTATGCACTGGACAGGTTACCACGTTCTCAGTCAGTGGCACTGCATAAAGCTTACACACAATTCGAGAAGCAATTCGGCAATCGCGAGGGAGTTGAAGATGTGATCCTCGCGAAACGCCGGGTACAATATGAGGAACAACTCAAGACCAACCCACGGAATTACGATGTATGGTTTGATCTTGCGAAATTGGAAGAAGCTGGGGGTGATGTCGATCGGATACGAGATGTGTACGAGCGGGCCATTGCACAGATCCCACCCTCCCAGGAGAAGCGTCATTGGAGAAGGTACATCTATCTATGGATCTTTTACGCCTTATGGGAAGAAATGACAAACAAGGACGTGGAACGGGCAAGGCAGGTCTATCAGGAATGCCTCAAGCTTATCCCACATAAGAAATGGACATTTGCCAAGATCTGGCTTATGAAGGCACAATTTGAAATTCGACAGATGCAATTACAGGCTGCAAGAAAGACTCTTGGTCAAGCGATCGGCATGTGTCCCAAAGATAGCCTTTTCCGAGGTTATATTGAGCTTGAGAAGCAGCTGTTCGAGTTTGTGAGGTGTCGGACTCTTTTTGAAAAGCAAATCGAGTGGAACCCGTCCAATGGTCAGTCATGGATTCAGTTTGCTGAGCTCGAGCGAGGACTCGACGACTTGGAACGAGCCAGGGCGATTTTCGAATTGGCTATTGATCAACCTACCCTCGACATGCCGGAACTGGTCTGGAAAGCGTACATCGACTTTGAGGAATATGAAGAGCAGTATGACCGTGCTCGAGCATTATATGAACGCTTGCTCAGCAAGACGGACCACGTCAAGGTATGGATCAACTACGCGCGGTTCGAAATCAACGTCCCGGATCCCAACGAGCCGGAGGTCGAAGGCGAGGAACAGAAAGTAAGCGAAGATGCAAAAGCAAGGGCTCGCAAGATCTTCGAACGCGCACATGATTTGTTTAAATCCAAGTCAATGAAGGAGGAAAGAGTAGACCTGCTAAACGCGTGGCGCTCATTTGAACAGACTCACGGATCACCCGAAGATATTGAGAAGATTGAGAAACAGATGCCACGCAAGGTCAAGAAGAGGAGAAAGATCGAAGAGGATCGATTTGAGGAGTATATTGATTACGTGTTCCCGGCGGATGATGAGAGTGCGGCGAAGATGTCGAAACTGCTGGCGATGGCACATCAATGGAAGGCGAAGCAGACGAATGGATCGGCAGAATAGTTTCAGACGGACAATGCCAGGAACGGACGATCCGTCGTCGCGAACAGCTGAAGTAGGAGTGATCATTACAATATATCCTGGTGTTGAGTGCTGAATGTTGCGTGGCCAACGTTTCAAGAGTCTCGGAAGAGCAGCGAACGAAGTTTTATCATTTGCATTGGTGTTGTTGTATCCGTACCGAGCAGTATCATCTACATTTAGGTCCTTTCCACGTGGCGACGGGCATGATGCAGGCAGCTGTATTGTCCTGACAAAAGTCTACGGGGACGAGTGGCTCCGGTCTCGACGACAAGACAAGGACCCCTGCCTGAGGCTACTGCACCTACTGAAGCTATTGTGCCCCTTTTGGCATAGTGCCGGATGACTGGCGCTGTTTGCCCCTGATTTGCAGTGTCATGTTCCTGCGTCTGTGGCTCATTGGCAGCTCGCATTTGTCGTAGTGCCCAGTGATTCTTCTCACTTCCGCGACTCGGGAAACACTGTGAAACACCTGGAGCACTTGAGTCGACGAGATTCGGTAGCCTGGTGAGCCAACGGAGTTCCCAAAGTTAGTGATCCCTCCCGCTTCAGAGATTCACCGTCTGTCTCTCCCATGCCGCCCTCTCTGTGTGACCATACAAGCCGGACCATGTAGGCGCAAACATGGAATCTGAGAGTATGTCTGGCTCAAAGGCGGGTTCCATGGATGCATGCGTCTGCGAGCACAGCTCCCAACGCTCCATCTTGTGGTCCTGCGCCGGCGGTGCTGAGAAGCATCACAAGCAGAGTTTCCTAGACTACCGAGTGGCTGGAACTGTTGGCCAAACCGAACTCTATACACGTACTGTACGGATCCCGGCAGTCGTGGGTGCACGAGAAACACTTCTACGCCAATCTTCTTCTACGGACGAAGTTCTCACCTTTTCACTGTCCTCCCGGCTTTCTTTGGTGCTAGTCTCCTCCGTAAGCGACCTGTAGTCCACCGTCACACTTGCTGCTCCCCGTCTTTCCCATACCTGTTGCCGCCAGCCTCTTGGTGCCTTGTTACTTTTCTTGCTCGAATTTTCTACTCCTCTCCAGACTCCATAGCATCCGATAGAAGAGCTTCATTACTCCTTACCGTCAAGTATCATTGACTGCGAGGCTGAAGGCAGTGATTATTTCGCCTGGCGCCGCTCATCGCTGGTCGCGTCTGCTCATCGTGGCCCACTTCGACGGGATCAACCCAGCACCGGATTTCTGTCTCATTTACCAGTGACACTCACTCCACCACACTCAAAATCATCCTGGTGTCCAGGAGCCTCTGACGGACACCGCTTACGCCAACTCTGCCTTGTCGAAAGCAAGTATCTTTGCGTCTTTCGCACGTCTCAATCTCGGTCGCCGTTTACGTGGGCTACCAAGTAGGCGAATCTTCATCATCTTCATCGCGTTTCCGAGCAGCGCTAACATTTCACTCCGCAAGGTCGCAGCACCCCTTTCTTCCATTTTCGCACACGGCCGTTCGTTGATCGCTCGAGTTGAGCTCGAATTGACTGTCCTCGTTTGCGCGTGCGCGAAGTCTGCCCCCTTTCCTGGGGTCAGTCCCGAGTTACGACACTCCGTCCCAGAAACCGCTGGTCCAAGCTCCGAGCACACGCGCTCCCGAAGGGCCCTACTGTGTCGCTGGAGAAACATCCACCACAACTGTTGCGCGAAATAACCACGTCCTGGCGCCATCCAATATTCTTACGCCCTATTGATACTAGATCCTACCGTCGCGCACCCTGCACGGCAACCAGGGTTCTCGTTGTGCGCAGGCGTCTACTCGCTGATATCTGCAGCATTTCAGCAACCTGCAGTGCAGGTCTTTTCTAACCCCCGACCCCCTGTACGTCGTCGATTTCGGCATGCGTCCGCAGAGACGAGCTTGACAAGAAGACTGCGTGACAACGGGGAGGACACAAGGCCGGCCTGGAGATGTCAGCTCCAAAGCCTCCTGTTGCCCTCAAAAATCACTGCTCGATCATCCACGATGGTATCATCTACGTTTATTCTCCGGACGCTTTTCAGACACTGGAATTGAAAGAGGGCGCGCAATGGCAGCAAGTGGAAAACGGCGTCGCGGTGGAAGGAGCCGCCTGTGTTAAGGGCGGTGTGGATGGAGACAATTCAAAAACCGCCCTGTATGTTGTTGGAGGAGCTGCCAATGCGTCTTCCTCGGACTATCCGGGCTTACAGCGCTTCTCGATCTCAGACAAGTCCTGGCAGACTATTACCCCCACCGTCAAGGTCACCCAGAATCGGCTTAACCATGGGGCTGTCTACATGAACGCCTCGTCCTCGATCTTGGTGTATGCCGGTTCTCAAGTCACTGGCTATGATGGTCTCTCTTCGGAAACATTTGTATTAGAGATGTATCCCCCCTATCGTGTGCTGGCTTATAGCTCGATTGCTCCACCGACCACGAAGCCAATCATGCTACCATGGGGTGAGGATCGAGCTTTCATGGCAGGTGGCAGTTCAACAAATACCGATATTTTCACTTTTGGTCCTCAAGATGGCTGGCAAAATCTGGGACTGTCCCTCCCTGACCCTCTTCCGAATTCCTCAGTGGCGCAGAGCGCCATACTGACGCTGGACGACAATAGCAGAATATTACAAACCTTCAATCTGGGACAGGATGTTCCCAACATCACATCAAATGTGTTATTAAAAGCCGGAGGCCAGCTTGCAGACTTTGGCGAAACTGTTGGAGGCAGCACTCCGACGCCAACTCCTATACCCTTCACAAGCTCAGGTTCTAAAGCTAAGAGGGACGTGACTCTCGCCACGTATCCGAGTTACAATGATAGCCTGGCCCCCTCGACTTCTCGAACCGACTTCGACTTGGTACAAGGCGACGATGGCCTAGTGGCCTTCGTCGGGGGCTCTACCGACTCGGTGGCTTTCTTCAATCAAACTGGTGATAGTTGGATTTCGACGACATCGTTACTTGGGAAACAACAAGAACCACTCAGTAGTCCCTCCAGTACACAATCTACCTCAACCGCAACGTCGACCCCGACTAGTGCTCCCGGCTCATCCTCTCATAAAACCAATGGGCTGGCAATCCTGGGTGGAGTGCTGGGGGGTATATGTGGCCTTGCTGCCATTCTGATCATAATTCTCCTGTGGCTCCGTTCTGTTCGTAGAAAACGAGAAAAGGCCGAAAAGCAAAGTGGATACGGAGACGACAAGAAGAGAAGCGGAGAGTACAATTTTGAGGAACAGGGATTGCAACCTCTGGCTCGGCAAGGTCAACCTATGGGTAGGAGCCCGGTGCCTTCTGCTGTGATCACGGAGGCCGACAGCACCGCCATGGTAGGAAACAAAAGCGACCCCAAATATCTCATTCGACGCGTGTCTTCAGAACGAGTCCAGACGCCAGGGTACCGCGGTTCGGGGATTGGATTTGGACAAGCACTCTTCAAACGTGACAAGAACCCTCTATCCATCTCCAAACCGATGAATCCAATTCTTGGTGATTATCAGCCAAGGCCAAGTATCGAGCTGGGGCGAGCCACCCCTGTCGGAGAACCTATAGCAGCAGCTGTAGCTAAGCCAGCGAGAAAAGCTTCCCAACGCAAGACTGATGAAGGTTGGGGCAAATATTTCCAAAGCGACCCACAGACAGGCAACAGGACGATGTTTTTTGGGGGGAGGAGCTCTGGTGCCAGTCGAGGCAAAAGTGGTTTCTGGCCAGGTTCTGGTGTACCAGAAACTTCAACACGGTCAACCACAGCTAGATCAACCAAAATTGTTCTCCGGGACAGCCACGGCAATCCGCTCCAAGCTCATACAGTTATGGCAGGAAGTCCTACACTTGCACATGGTCCTCCGGATCCTCAATCACGAGGACTTGAGGTAGCAGAGGGAATACCTGCTCGCATCTCCCGTGCCAGCTCAGTCATGACCGACTCTGACGAGGACTACGAAGACGAACGTATCGACGGTGCATTCTCCAGCGGCATCCCTGCGAGTGTAAGCGATATGCCGTGGACACCGGTGGGGAACACCTGGGGTGGCCCAGCTCAGCGACCGCTTCGACCTCCTAGCAGTTACTATCAGACGCAAGACATGCCTCTGCAGACAGCGTCCTCGGAGGAAACAACCGGTACTCAGAGCTCGTCCATACCATCTTTCCCCATGCCGAATTCCGTCCGAAGCATGAATCCCGATGGTGGTAGCATCACTACAGCTGAAGCGCCTCTTGTTCGAGTCAACGGCCGAACGCAGGAGGCTCGCGACTACTTTACGCACGCGCGGGCAAGAAGCGGCACGCCCGAGAACAATGACATGTCCTGGTTGAATCTAGGCACCCCTAATCGGTGACTCTCGAATCGGTTCTCTCGGATTCTCTACCAATACTTGCTCGACGACGTTGCACGAAAGCCCCCCATCAAGCAGGTCCCAGCTGATATGCCAGGCTCTGGCAGGACCCAGACACGGTCTGCAGCGAAGAACAAAGCCTTATTCCGAACCGTATCGACAGCCTGGAAAAGCAACGCGTTTCACTATCCGACGCCGGCGATGAAACATGAATCTTGGGCGGACGACGTAATAGGAGAGTCTCCAACCCTTCCTCCGCCAGCGGCTTCCGTGCCCTCGGTGGTCCTGGAATCTCGAGACAGTCGGCGGTTGACGATGTGAGTGCGAACAGGAAAGGCGACTTGAAGGATCCCATGTGATTGTCACCACTGGACATGTTGTGGCGGAAAGACCATTGTCATTTTTCTCCTCCCAGCGATCTTTTTACAGTATCTGTTTCTCTAATGTGTTGACGGTCATCTTGCCCATGATATCAATGAATGCGGCCATTCAGGGGCACGCGTTGATGTACTATAGTTGGACGAGAGGTTAATATAATGATCTCATAGTGTATAGTCAAAGCTAGTCATGTAGATTGAAACCGTGAATTGTCTCATGGTACTCGTACTCATTTCGGATTTCTTACTGCAATCAATGAATGCCACGGGTTTTGTTCGCTTTCTTTTTGCGTGCTTTGAACTAGACCAAGAAGTTTTCCCATGACACATCACACAACCTGTGGCTCCGTTGAGGTTTTTCCAGGGCACATCAACGGCACGAATCACAGTGTTGGTAGCAAGATCGTGGTCTGCCTTGACCAGGGCGAATTTTGCCGTTTGAATGGGGCAGCAACGGAGTCTCCAGAAGTGGCTCTCTGTGGAGAGGCCTATATTGATGAATTGCTCACAGCGGGTGGGGTTGTTGTCGTCGTGGTACCTGTGCTGCGTAGCCCTTTAAACTTCAGGTCAGAGGCGAGGGATAATCAGTGACCCCAGGATTCACCCACGTGCGGATTTGACAAGCGGACGGAATTGGATTTTCATTCATTAGTACTTGAAGTTTGTACAAGTACATTCCGGCATCGAGCGGGATGATCGGTAGGTCTTCTTAACCGTACCTGGAACGTATGGGCAATCTTCGTCATACCTGTCCTGGCGCCCGGCTGGCAAAGAAGTCAAGGGTGAAACAACAAATTGACGATGTCGTGATCGCCGGGGAGAAGCAAGAAATCCACCGCACACGCAAAATACAATACCTGTGGTAGGAGGACTCCGTGAAGGACCGGCCCAACGTCATAAAGCGCAGCCTTGGGGGATCATCGCAAAGGGTTAGCGAGTCTACATACAACTACTCCGTACGGGGTACTGGCACTCTCCCTACCCCCTCGTACTCGTAAGGAATACTGCTCGGTCAAAATATCCAGTTCTCTCCAAAAGAGGGTGGCACCACACCTCCGCAAATGCCCGGGACAACGGGTAGACTGATCAGTGATGTTGTAGAAGAGGGAGCGTGTGTGGCCCGCGCCTTTTTCGTTATCAATTGTGGGTTGGAAGTCGCACCTTATTGAATACGAGCACGAGGAACTTTGTTTTTCCGAGATAAGATACGGCGATGCGCCAGGAAGACTCGGTCACAAGGTGCGTCGAATTCTCGTCTTATTATGGAGCCGCTGAGGTCAAGTGGTGCACGATAATGAAACCCGCCATGGTTGTTCTCATTATGTGAGTATGAGTACGGACAGATGGAGTGCCAACCCTCGAACAAAAACCTGCAACGTCTCGAGTAAGGGCGATCAACATTGCCATGTGTCGGGGACGGGAATCGACTATTGGAGGAAACTCTATTGTGAAGCTACAGTCCATGATTCTGTAAAAGTGGCTCCTTGGGTGGATGTCGACGCCATCATGGACCCCATTGATTTTGGATTCACGAACTACGTGAACCACGGACGACACGCCTCGTTAGAGACACACAGCAGAGGGCAGAGGCCAGGACGAGTGCACGCACTAATGATAATACCGTACTCAAGGAAGGGGCAATCGTTCTGTGTGCAGTGGGTGAATCTTCCGATGCTCCGGAGAGTGTCTAGTGAGCCTGTCTCTGCCATGCCCGGTTTATTGACTCTCCGGGCGTCCCTGAGACGCACCAGCCCCCGATGCTGCCCGGGCACAACCCAGACATCCCGGACTGGCCAGGGCCTGGTGAGCCTCAACCTTGCCTTGTAGGCGATCCAAGCTTCCCTCTCGATCGGTGCCTCAGTGGCCTCCTGGGCGCCCTTAGCTCACTAATAGTATCCTTGGAGGCTTGCACTGCTCCCATCTCAACTCCTCCGATTATAGTCCTCCTGCCTTGTTCTCGTACACGCCAATCATTCCACCCACCTGCACCTATCGACTTGTGCATGTGTGTGAACCATCCATCTCGCCTCCCAACCTGAACTGCAGCTGCATCCCCCGCTTCCTGTTTATCAAGAACGTCCATTCTCTCCTGTTGTCCCTCTTCTTCCTCCCTCTCACATCTTCCTTACATCGAGGGAAGATATCGCTGCCCAAGAGACCACCGTCTAGGTCGTCTCGCATCGCCACCACTCGCCTCTGACTCACCACGCTTTTTGTGTCGCAACATCACCACTGTGGTTACTCGACCTTCGCGCGCCACCTCCGCTTGCCAACCAGCCCAACTCCACGCAAAGCGCTATCGTTGCTTCTTCTGTTGAAGAATATCGTGTGGTGAGCCATCCTTTATCATCTCTCACTTGGGACACTCGCTGCATCTATCCGTCTATGACGCGTCGCGGAACTGTTCTCGAGTGAGTCAAATATACAGACAGCGCTGACTCATATACTCTGCGACCAACAGACATCTCTCACACGATCCTCCCAACGAAACAACAAGCATGGCTCCCGCACCCGTGTCGGCCCTTGGTATGGCACTCAACGGCAAGTCCGCATCTGTCGATATTCCAAAGCCTCGCGATGCTCTCGGTCGGGACAACTTCACTGCTGCACCGGCCGTCTCCCAAAAGCACTCGGGCATGTTGCCTACTCCTCCCAACTCCATCTCTCCGAACCTCCCTCCACGCAACCACGGTCGTCGCGACAGCCGTCACCATGGCCCCGTGTCGCCAAAGAGCACCGCCGTTGATTCAGACGTTGACTTCCACGATGTCAACGATACCAATCAACCGACTGCGCTCAGCGCTGAGGCGCTAGATAGCTTGGGTGATCTGGACAGTGCTGGCGCTATCACCCCTGGCATGTTGGCGAAACACCACTTGCCAGACATCCTACTGTCCCATGGTCCTCTGGCCATTAGACACATCATGGGCTATCTGACGACCACCGTGCCTGGCTTCTCGCGCATCACCTCGGCCAAAGCTCGTCGTCTGGTCGTGGCTGCGCTCGAGGGCAAGGGTGGCAATATCGAAAGAGAAGGCGATATCCTTTTCGACAAAGTGGGTTGGGGGAGATGGGATGCTCGCATCAAGGGCCAGCCGCCACGAGAGCGCCAGGGCACTGCCATGACACCTCCGGGCAGTCTACCCTCATCCTACTCTCAGCCTGGTCTACAGGTACCTGGCCAGAGATCCTGGCGCACGGGATCCCAAGACCTCGGCACCAGCTACACCGGGAACTCGGCCGTCTTTTCTCACTCCGAGATGGAATATGAGGACCAAGACATGTTGGAGCATGAAGCTGACAAGATGTCTTTGGACGGCGACGAAGGCGGTTATGTATCGTCCGTAGCCGAGGATCCTCTCGACGAAGATCTCGGAGAGGGCGACGCTACCGACGAGGAAGACTGGGCCAGCATTGGCGCCGAAGCTCTTCGTGCAAGGTCGTTGCCGAACAATGGCAGATCCATTTCTGGCCCTGGCCGGCTCTATCAGCCTATTGCCACCTACTCTTATCGGCCCAGGCCGCGATCAAAGACTCCCGCTGAGATCGCTCGTACTGCTCCAGCGAAGCCGTTTCCGATCAACTCTTCAACTCCTTATTCATTTCCAAGTGGCGCCGGCGTTAACAACTCCCAAGAAAGAGCTGCAATTGAAGCACTCTTGAGCCTTGGGTCTGTATAATTTATAATGGTCGAAGGTGTCGTCGAATTTACCTACGGTGCCGGCATTTCGGCTTCGACACTTTCCTCGAGGATGCACGGCACTCGCACAATTCCTCGGTATCTTTTCTGGCGTTTTTGGGATCTTTTATTTTACGACACCCCTCTCCACTGATGATGACTTATGACCTTGAGCCGCATGGGCAACGCTGGCTCGGTTTCGGTGGACTCTTACTGTGATGGTTTTTACCCCAAGACAACCTTGAAAATTGTCTATCAATTCAACTTCGACTTCGACTTGGTCCTCTACAATGGGTATAACTGGCTCCATTGCGTGTCAGTGACCCCAAGAGGCCAATTTTACAACAATATTTCTTTTGTAATGCGCGCCTTTTCTTTGTCAGGGTCAATGCTGTTGCAGCATATGGATCGACTCAGATGTGAGGAATGAATGGGCCTAGGCTCGTTGCGCAGGGCGTTGTTGTCTGGTCATCTTTATTGATCGTACTGGAAATATCGATCTGCAACTCTGTCATGTTTACTCATCGCACGGAGTAATGAGCTTTATGCTTGAGCGAAAAATCATTCTTTGTGAACAAATGATGATAGCAGCCCATGTGGTGGAATGGGCGGGGATGATTCAAAGCATAGGGAATAGGACTATCAGACGTGTTCTATGCCACTACATATTTCATTTGTTATATGATGGAGCGGGGGACGAGAGTGACAAGGTGGAGCTGATTCATTAGGATATCGTCCTGATGGAGATTGAAGAGATTGAGACGAGGAGTCCAAGTAAACAATCTGGCAATCAAAGACAAATGAGGGCAAAAGATATACAACGAGGAAACACCTTGGAGAGACGAGGAGGTGAACCTGAGATGGCACTGAGGACAAGTGCTTTACCCATAGGGGTTTCTCTTGTATACGTATTGTATCCATTTGAATTGTATTGATTGATTAGTATCATGTGTGTGTCCTCGCCAATTGTAATTGTGTGTTTGTGTTTGTGTAAGTGTGGAAGAATGAACATTGATTGTCAAAGTTGATTTAGTCAGATCCAGACAATTAAATTCATCATCGAACCTTGATCCCATCCTTGGTTCTCTTTCTCTCTCTGTCTACCTCAGGTATCCAAGATAGAAACACCAATCGGCCCAACGTGAGCATTCGTTCAATTTCTTTTCATCCTCCCCCCTTTTCACTTTCCAGATTTCTCATTCAGGTTCAAAATTCAAATTCAGTCTCAGTGACCCGATCCCTCTGCGCCATGAGGCTCACGATGACGAAAAACCACCATCCTTGCTCAGGAGGGCTTCTTCTGCACATCTCCATCGCCATCTGCGGTGTACAGTTCCTCTTCCCGAATCTGATACTTGGCCGATTTGCGAGCCGGGACGTCATTTTGAAACTAAAAAAAAAGAAAAACGCGCACACACGCACAACGCGTGTGTATCGGTCAACACGTCAGTACCCTGAACTTCCAGAAACTCGGGGACTTGTTGGGAGGGTTGCGAAACGTCAAAATGTTAAAAAGGCCAAAGGTCCCTCGGAAAGGTCCTTTTTGGGGAAGGGCCAAAGTTGACCCAGTCAACCACGTACCATGAAATCCAGTTCGCCAAATGTTCTGTCCTTTGTTTCGAACAGGCGGAAATAACCCCAGACCAAAGTCAAGGTCGCGAGGCCTGCCCAGAAGAAAGCCTGTCGGAAAAAACAAAACGGGGGAGGATGTCAATCAGCACTTTTCCGATCAAGATATGGGAGGTACAAGTGACGCTTTCTCCTGTGGATGGGGGTCGGCGGCGGCGGCGGCGGCGAAAACCTCTCGCCCCCCCAAAATGAGGGATGACAAGCAAAAAAACAAAAACCAAAAAAAAAAGAAACATACGGTCTTTCCCTTTGCGTTCCACGCACCGGGAGAAATCAACTTGGGCTGGAGAAGACCTCCGCATATGATGTTGCCGACGTAGTAGGTGCTCCGGGCCAGCACTACGGTCTGGGTGCGGAGGCGGGTCGACCCGATCTCGGACACGAGCGTGTAGATGATGGGGCCGACGCTCATGGAGTAGGCGCCCAGCCAGACGATGCACAGGAGCGACTGTGCCCAGGCCAGGGACTTCGTCTGGTGGTGCGGCAGGGCGAGGAAGCCGATGGTCCACAGGATGACGACGAGGAAGCTGAAGCCGACCAGCCAGATGGTCCGGCGGCCCCAGCGGTAGATGTACAGCCACGAGATGACGGTGCCGACGAAGGCGATGCCGGTGCCGCCCAGGGAGATGGCGTAGGCGGCGCTCGCGCTGATGCCGGTCTGCTGGAAGAAGAAGGACCCGGAGTAGCACAGCGCTCCGCCGTTCGTGATCTGCGAGAGGAAGCCCATGCACGCTATCTCGGTGCGGCGGCGGTTCGTGCCCCGGAACGCGTCCCAGAGCGTCACGCCCGCCCGCTCTTGCATCTCGAGTTTGTTCGTGTGCACCATCATGGCGAGGGTCGGGTCGATGTCGCCGTGGTGTTCGGGTTCCGTGAGTCTCTCGAGAGATTTGCGCGCGGCCTCGATCCGGTCCGTTCGTACAAAGTACCAGGGAGATTCCGGCGCGAGGTACGCTGCGATGAAGAGGGGGACGGGCCAGATCCCTTGACGTCGTCCGAAAGAAAGAACGAGACATGTCAGTGTGTGTGTGTGTGTGTGTGTGTGTGTGAGGTACGACAAGAAAACTAGATACGACAACATATTGAAGCGTGCCATGTGCCGTGCCGTTGCCGACATGGATGACGACGACGAAGGCTTAGAACTCAGAAAACTCACATTGTACAGCAAAAGGAACGCGATAACTCCACGGTGTGTCGTTGTTCACGAGACCTTTGAGCACCCCTGCGGAGATGAACTGCCCTATACACCAACAAAGGTTGACGTAGGCAGTCAAATAGCCTCGAATGGCCAGCGGTGTGACCTCGGCCGCGTACGAGGGTCCCGTTGTCGCGAACACCCCCCAAGGTATGCCGCAGAAGAAAGAACCCAAAAGCATGACTTCGATCGTGGGCGCGAAGAAGACAATGAAGATGAACCCGGTCAGCCAGAAGAGGCTGAACATCAGCACCCTACGGTGTCCCCATCGGGCCGTGGCCCATCCGTTGAACAAAGCCCCGATGATGTTGGCCAGTGCCCCGAGACAGTTGAAGCGCTGCTGCCACGTCGCCGAGATCTGGTAACCGCTTTCTTCGTTGAGGTACGCCCCGTACTTTCGGCGGAAGGTTGGATACCCGAAGAACGAACCTATCAACGTCACGTCGTAACCTTCCATGACGACGGTCGTAGAGATGACTGTCATTGACGGCAGAGAGAGTCAGTCAGTCGGTCGGTCGGTCAGTGAGTCAGTGAGAGACCCTCTCGGGCAGCAGATGAAAAGCCAAGTTGGGGTACGTACGGATCGACCAGAACGCCGCGCGCTTGTATGTTTTCAGAGCTTGAAAGACCCCCATGCTGTGTTCCTGAGCTGTACCTTCGAGAGCGCCACTGGCGAGTGTGGCATCACGCAGGCCGACATCCTTGAGGTGTTCGAGCCCGGTGTCTGATGCCTCGATGTGCACTCCGCCACTACCGTCCTTGACGGCTGCCATCTTTGGATGGGCTAGTCAGAGAGTCCTTGTGCCGTACTCTCGGACCTGGATATCTCTGTGATCAGAGGCCGAGGGTTTGCGAGCCTGCAGCCGGAGACATGGCAGGGACGATGCCCACATTATATAACCACAGACAACATGGTCTCCTCAACTTGTGCGTCTCAAGGTCTGGATTGTGGGCATGCCGATCTGACGCCCGCATTCTCCATGAACAATGTGCTTCTCCGTGGCCATTGGCTCAGTTGGTTCAAGGTAAACATCGAGCTTCATGGCGAGACCCTTCCGGGAATTGAGGCTGATTTCACTGGCTCGATTAGAGCTTCCTAGGGTCTTGAGACGGTGCGTCCCCCAGCATAGGTCGTAGCCGTCGTGGGATGGGAAGCGACAGATATCCTGATCGTATTGGCCACGGAGGGCGAGGTGTGCATGAAGCTCGCATCGACGGAGCAGATCCTCATCGTCTCTCCCCGCCGGAATTTGGTCAAGAACAGACGTGGACAAGCGACACAGAGGGAAAAATTCAATGCAACCATGTTCTCTTTAGGCTGTATATCGGTTCAATCACTTCTCGGTGGAGGTGATTGGGTTATGTGATGAAAACCCACGGGGCCCCGCATCGGGTCGCAAGTTTCTGGGGCCAGATGAGACGACAACTCGTCTTGGTGGCCGCCCATGAAGCCCTCGCATTGACCCGAAGAGTCTACCTGGGTGCACACACACACTGCCTCTGTATGAATAAGGCATATCTCCGGAGTGGAAAAATGTACCTACCCAGGAAGCTTATCGGCTCAACGTCGGTCCTACGCATCGTTGTGTACCTTTTCTTGAGCGGGTTGGTATCTTTGATCTTTTCGGTCAATCACCCACATGCGTCCTCGTGTCTAGCGCGCAGACTGGACATCCCAAACCTGACAATACCAAGCAAAAAAAAAAAAACAATCAGAATCAACAATCAAAAAAAGGACTATGATTTCTGTCCTCAACTAGTTCTCTAGGGAGAGTATCCCTCCTTCGACTCGTACGTCAAGTTTGCACCAAAAGGACCTATTGGGAGGAGCAACAAATGTTTCTGCTCTTCCAGTAGAACACTGTAGAAGGCCTGTACCACTTCCAGACCCGCTACTGGCAGTGGCCACCTATCTTGACCCGGACCTCTCTTCCTAGCTGTCACGCTTCTTCCCGTAATTTGAATCGCCACATTTGTTAACGCAGACGATGTCGAGGACAGCCAGACCCGAGAGGCGCAGGAGGTCGACCACTGCCACTCTCATCGTTCTCTTCCTCGTCGTCTTCATCCGCCTCGGCCTCCTCATCACCTATAAGGATGCCGCCACGGCGTTTCTTGGCACCTTTACCCGTGCTTTTCAAACATGGGGCCACGGCGCTGGTGGATGCTGTGGCCTCGTGATGCTTTTGGTCGTGATTCATGCCATCGTGACGTCGATCTTTCTCATGCCGATCATCTCGATGATCGTTATTATGCTTGTAGATGCCCTTCGTGAAGAAACGAAAATTTTAACTCTCTTCCTCCAGGAAGAAGTAGTTGCCTGCAAGCTTCTGTTCCTGGTCCATTTGAGACTGGTATTTGTTGATACGCGGTCTGTACGAGTTTGGATCTCGGCGGAAAGTGACGTCAAGGTTCCTCAAGAATTTGTTGCAACCAGTAAGCAGACTCTCGGGGGTATTGGCACGGGCGTCAACTGATGGCTTGCCGTCGAAGACAATGACACGATCCGCCAGGTAGGTGGCCATGATGAAATCGTGCTCGACAATGAAAGCGGTCTTCTTGCTGTGCATGATGAATCGCTTGATCACTCGTGCAGCAATGATACGCTGTTCGGAGTCGAGATATGCCGAAGGTTCGTCGATGAGGTATATGTCAGCGGGAAGACCTAGGGCAAGCACAATGGCGACACGTTGGAGTTCACCACCCGAGAGATTCTGAACTTCTTGATCGATGAAGTCGTCAATCTTGAGCGGCTTGTAGACATCGGTCTGGAATTGAGGGTTCAAGAAGGACGCCTTGATACGCTTGAAGAAAAGCTGACGGACAGTACCCTGGAACTTAGGGGTGATTTTCTGAGGCTTCATGGAAATGTTCATAGCCGGAACCTTCTGGGTGCCATCAGGTTTCTCAACGCCAGCAAGCATCTTACAGAAAGTGGTCTTTCCGGTACCGTTCTCTCCCATCATGACAATGATCTCCGAGTCTGTGAAAGTTCCTTTCTCAATCTTGAGGTGGAAAGTCCCAAGAGTCTTCTCCATAGCAGGATACTCGAAGCCACGGGCTTTGTCAGCCATGTAGTCTTCGCCAGCTTCGGCGATACGGAAGGTCAAGCTTTCCTCACGGAATCGCAAGTTCTCCGTGGGGATGTGGCCATCAAGGAAAATGTTGATACCTTCACGAACAGAAGACGGGAGAGTAACAACACCATAAACAGCAGGTCTTCCGTAGAGGACGCAGATGAAGTCAGAGAGGTAATCCAGGACCGACAAATCGTGTTCGACAACAATGACATAGTCGTCGGCTCGGAGCAGTTCTCGAATGGTCTTGGCGGCACTTAAACGTTGCTTAACATCTAGGTACGAGGAAGGTTCGTCGAACATGTAGACATCCGCCTTTTGCACACAGACAAGAGCGATGGCAAATCTTTGAAGTTCACCGCCGGATAGAAGGCCAATTTCTCGATCCTTGACCGCGTTAAGTTCTGGTAGGCTGTCAGTACCGGGTCTTCATGTTCCCAGAGAGTAGCCTTACCTAGCACGTCCATAACATGGTCCATGTTTCCCAAGTCTGCCTTGGCTTCAATGAGTGGCTTTACCGTCTTGACGGGACCCTTGATGGCTCGAGGAAGTTGGTCCACATATTGCGGCTTGACGATGGCCTTTAGGTCATCTTCCAACACTTTGGTGAAATAGTCTGTTGTCGTCAGAAGCCGGAGCATGAAATGCCACAATCGGACTCACTTTGCAATTCCGAGCCACGGAAGTATTTCAAGATTTCTTCCCAATCCGGTGGGTTGTCATAGCGTCCCAAGTTCGGCTTCAGCTTGCCACTGAGAATCTTCAAGGCAGTACTCTTTCCAATACCGTTTGTTCCGACGAGACCCAGCACTTGTCCAGGTCGTGGCATAGGAAGCCTGTGCAGCTTGAAGCTGTTTGCCGAATATCGGTGGGTAACTTGGGATTCGAGGTTGGTGGGCAAGTTGATAATGTGAATGGCACCAAACGGGCATTTCTTTGGGCAAATACCACAACCAATACACAAACGCTCAGATATGTAGGCGATTTTGGACTCCGGGGTCACTTCGATGCAAAGTTTGCCGGTTCGAACGACGGGACAAGACTTCTTGCATTCTTGACGACATTTCTGTGTGGGTTAGAATTGTCCGTTGGCTCAGTCTCAATCGCACGCACCTTTGGTTTGCACTGCGGGGCAGAAATTCGAAGAGTTAACAATCTGCAATTTGAGATACCAACTTGAGCATGTAGAACCAACCTTGTCGCTGTTGACAATGGCAATTCTAAAATGGATATTAGCAGCTGTTTCCCTGTCCGTCAGTGCTAGAGAATGAATACCTTGTCAACTTGTCAGACATCTTGATTGTCTCTTGAGTCTCGACAAAGCCGGCCGGAATTGGCTGTGTGGTCTTCGGTGACAGACGGCAAACCGAGGAAGAATGGCAGAAATTCTCTGTCTATTGTTCCTCTCGCACAGTAATTGTCCCGTGACTCACAGCTAACAACGAGACGGTGAATCAAGGTGCGAGGTTCAATAGGGCCCGGGTGTGGAAAATCGAGGCAACGAGGCAGTGAAGTGGGATACACACAAAAATCCAAAATGCTGGTATTGTGATTGGGTGCCGAGGGGCATGACGGTGCCTGAAGAATCACCCGCAGGCCAAAGTGCAGGCTTTTTCTTGGCATTTGGCTGCGCTCTATTGTGGCTATTGTGCTATTGTCTGAGCCGCGGTCGCGGTCGGCCGACCTTCCCGGTTTGACTTTGGCGCCAGGGCTCACAGCGCCATTCACTCCAGCTGGCCATAGCAGCCTCGTCTCGTGTGCCCCAGGCCCTTCGTCTCTTCCGCTCCCGACTCTGCAATTCCTCTCTCCCACTTTCACGATATCACACGCTTTTGCACCACCACTACCTGAATGCAACATTGTTGAGCACCCTCAGGGGCTCTATCCAGACATGATGGAGTGTGAGTGAACCCCTTTGACCCGTTCCAACGACTTTGCCCGTCAAGATTTTGTCCCAGTCTGTTTGGCGGCTGCTCGGCCTCGTGTCCAGAGCCTGTCGCGATTCAGTTCGAGATAATACAGTTGTCGCTGGGAATCTCTCTGAGATTGTGACCAAGGCATCTGCTGGATTTTTGAGCGCTTGATTGTCACATTTGCTCAGAATTCACACCGGGTTGGGGTACATCTCACCCGAGCTTCTCACCTTACTTCCATCTCGTCGCCCATGCAGTCCATCCACCATATGTTATATTGCCTTTTATTCATCTCGGAAAACTTTTTCATGCTGGAATATGGTGTTTTCTGAGTCGCCAAGTGTCAAATTACTGGACGGCAGTGTCGATTTGCTGCCGGAGCTCTTTGGTAGCACACCATGCTGACGCTCTCTTCCACAGCCTCCAGCATTTTAACGCAGCCACTACCACCCTCGATACCTGATCATTCCCTGTCACCAGGAGACGCCAATGAACGTCCAGAGCTCATAGCGCAGAATGGAACGAATTACTCTGACAGTGAAAGTGAACTATCCGAACCTACAGAACCTCTCGTTGCCGCCAGCTCGCTGCCCCAAGTCAAGGTCGACGACGAGGATGAAAACATGCAAGATATAGATGAACCTAGCTCTGATGAGCCAGATGCTGAAGGTGATGCGGATTATGAGATGGACACTGGGATGCAGGTCAACGGCGTGAGATCCGAAGAAAACGACTCTTCCTCGGATGAGTCCATCAGACCCGCTAAGAGAAAGGCACCCCCAGTCGAGGAAGATGAAGACATTCGAAACAATCCAGAGCTGTATGGTCTGAGACGCAGCGGAAGGGCTCGTCATGTCCCTAACATGGCCGAATCGGATGCTGAGCAAGACTCGGATTCTGACATTGCTCCTCGGCCGCGGAAACGCCTCCGACAAGTTTCTCAGCGATCCTCCAAACAGCACACACCCATGATCGAAACACCCTCGTTGTCTGATGATGATTCTGATGCCTACGGTGGCAAACGTGCGAAGCTCACCAAGAAGCAACGCCGACGACTCCTGCAGTCAGCCGACAACCTCACTCCTGCACACGCCGAAATCCGCTTCTCCACCCGTCGCGCTGCGAAGGTTTCGTCTTACAATGAAGATGAGGATGACGGAATGTTTGACGAGGACGATGCGGACACGATGACGCCAAACTACTGGGTCAGCGAACAAGACAATTCTCCTGCCATTGACGCAGTACTGAATCACCGTCTCAAAGCCGATGTTACGACTCCAACGCGTACAAAGTTCGACTACGAGTTTCTCATTAAGTGGCAGCTGAAGTCACACTATCATGCTACCTGGGAGACCCTCGAGTCCCTGAAGGAGGTCAGAAGTCTAAAACGACTGGATAATTATATCAAGAAACACTTGATGGAAGATATCAGAATCGTCAACGACCCCGACATTGCACCCGAGGACAAGGAGAAGTGGTTCTTGTACAGAGAGGAGGTCGCAGAGGCTCTCGAAGAACACAAGAAAGTCGAAAGAGTGATTGGCGACCGCGAAGGTGAAGAAGGCACAGAATACTTTGTGAAGTGGAAAGGACTGCTGTATAACGACGCCAGCTGGGAATCGTCAACTCTGGTAAGCGAGATTGCTCAGGCCGAGATTGATCGATATCTGGCGCGCAGACGTGAAGATTTCAGATCGAACGCGAGCGAGAGCAACCCTGGAACCCGACGATCCTTCCTTCCCATGAGAGAACAGCCGTCATACATCCAGAACGGAACGCTCAAGGATTTTCAACTTCAGGGCCTGAATTTCCTTGCCTTCAATTGGTCACGTTCGAAGAATGTTGTCCTTGCAGATGAGATGGGTCTAGGAAAAACTGTCCAGACTGTCGCCTTCATGAGTTGGCTGAGACACGACCGCGGCCAACAAGGGCCTTTCATAGTCGCCGTTCCCCTCTCTACCATGCCTGCCTGGGCCGACACCTTTGACCATTGGGCGCCTGACATCAACTACGTGGTCTATAATGGACCACAAGCGGCCCGGAACATCATCAAGGACTACGAGTTATTCCCTGATGGAAATGTTCGTCATCCACGATTCCACGTCCTCCTCACAACTTACGAGTTCGTCCTACAAGACGCTCCATTTTTGAGCCAGATAAAGTGGCAGTTCATGGCTATTGACGAAGCCCACCGTTTAAAGAACCGCGAGTCTCAACTATACGATCGCTTAAGGGAGTTCAAAGCCCCAGCACGACTCCTGATCACCGGTACACCGGTTCAAAATAACCTTGGAGAGCTGTCTGCGCTTTTCGACTTTCTGAATCCTGGAGTCATTAACATTGACGAGAGTATGGACTTGACCACAGAAGAAGCCAGTGCCAAGATCGCCAAACTCACTGAGGATATCAAACCCTACATGTTGCGACGTACAAAGAACAAGGTTGAAAAGGACCTACCACCCAAGACCGAAAAGATCATTCGGGTCGAATTGTCCGATATTCAGCTCGAGTACTACAAGAACATTCTTACCAAGAACTATGCTGCTCTCAATCAAGGAGCGAAAGGCCAGAAGCAGTCCCTGCTCAACATCATGATGGAACTGAAGAAGGCTAGCAATCATCCCTTTATGTTTCCGAGCGCAGAAGAACGACTGGTGCCCGAAGGCGCTAGAAAGGATGAGGTCCTCCGAGCGCTCATAACTAGCAGTGGTAAGATGATGTTGCTTGATCAACTGCTTACCAAGCTCAAGCGTGATGGCCATCGTGTCTTGATCTTCAGTCAAATGGTTAGGATGCTCGATATTCTCGGAGATTATATGGACTACAGAGGTCATGCCTACCAACGTCTTGATGGTACTATCGCGGCGGCCCCTCGTCGAATTGCCATTGATCATTTTAATGCACCAGACAGCACAGACTTCTGTTTTCTCCTGTCCACAAGAGCAGGCGGTCTGGGTATTAATCTAATGACTGCCGATACCGTCATCATCTTCGACTCAGATTGGAACCCTCAAGCTGATCTGCAAGCCATGGCTCGCGCTCACAGAATCGGGCAGGTCAAGCCTGTTAGCGTGTACCGCTTGGTATCAAAGGAGACAGTTGAGGAAGAGATCTTGGAGCGTGCCAGAAACAAGCTGATGCTTGAGTTTTTGACCATCCAGCGTGGTGTCACTGACAAAGAGACCCAAGCACGACGCAGCGCCTTGGTTGGTGAACCTGGAAGCTCAAGTGAGATCTCCAGAATTCTCAAGAAACGTGGCCAAAAAATGTTCGAACAGACGGACAACCAGAAAAAGCTTGAAGAACTTGACCTGGATGCCGTACTCAACAACGCAGAAGATTATAAAGTGGAACAACCGGACGGCACTGATGCCGATGGTGGCGAAGAATTCCTGCGCAGCTTCGACTTTGTCGATGTCAAAGTTGATGAAATGTCTTGGGATGATATAATTCCCAAAGAGCAGCTCGATGAGCTCAAGGCTGAAGAGCAGAGGAAGGCTGATGAGAAATACCTTGCTGAAGTCATCGAACAGAATAAACCTCGAGTGCGAAATCGCGATGCAGAGGATCGCGAGGCTCGGAAAGCACGAAGACAAGAGCAGCGTCAGAAGGAGATTGATTCGGACAGTGAATCCGACGAGGGTCCTAAAGCCGATCCCGCACGCCCCTTAAGTGAACGAGAGTACCGATACCTTATCAAAGGCCACCTTCGCTACGGCTCAATCGACGATCGCCAGGAGGAGTTCTTGACTGAAGCTCGTCTACGAGGAAGGGATATCGACGTGGTCAAAGCTGCCATGAAGGAAGTTTGGGACAAGTCGACCGAACTCTTCAAGGCAGAACAAGAACGCATGGCTGAACTGGAGCGAACTGCGAATCGCCCGATTACCAAAAAGGACCGCAAAGCTGTCCTGTTTGAGCTCCATGGCGTCAAGCGAATTAATGCAGAGACTATACTCGAGCGTCCCAGTGAGATGAGATTGCTGCATGAGGTGACCTCAAAGGAGCCTGATTTCAAGTCGTTCCGCATCCCCGAAGCCACAAAAAGTGCAGGATATACTTGTCCTTGGGGGGCGCGAGAAGATGGCATGCTCTGTGTTGGCATTTCTCGACATGGTTATGGCGCTTGGGAAAAGATTCGCGATGACCCTGACCTTGGTTTGAAGGATAAATTCTTCCTTGAGGAACATCGTGTCGACAAGAAAGCTGAGCGCGAGAGGCTCGATGCTAAGAATGCGAAATCACCAGGTGCCGTTCATCTCGTCAGACGTGCGGATTATCTGATCTCTGTCCTGAAGAGCAAGTATGGGGACGATCCTGCCGCCAAAAGAGCTGTGGAGAACCATCATCGAAACAACAAGAAGCTACAAGCTGAAAGAGCTGCCAATATCGGCTCACCTGTGCCTGGCTCGCATCGCAAGGTACACAGAGACTCTGAAAAGCCACGACATCGCCATAGTCAGGGCCACCGTGATAGCTCTGAACGATATGGTACCCCACGAGCTGACAGCCGCCACGGCCACAGTCGACATGATAGCGAGCGCCGAGATGAGAGAGAACGCCGGCACCGTGATGATCATGGCCATACTTCCCATCACAACCGGCACGGAAGCGAACACCGCCGTAATGAAAATCCTGCTGGTGGCTCCTCCTCTGATGTTGATCCACTTATGCAGGTCCTTTTCAAGCCTGTTCGAGAGAGCTTGAAGAAGATCAAAGCAACCACTAAGAGCGCTATCCCTGATTCTCAGCAACGAGCGAATGAATTGAGAGTCCTGCTAAAGCAGATTGGTAATTTCATAACCGAACAGATCGCAGATCTTGATGACAGTCATGAATCCGTTGAGAAACGTTTCTGGTGAGTTGGCCAACCGCCAATCCTCAGGCTATTTACTAACTGTGTTCAGGGATTACGCCGCCACTTATTGGCCCAATAAAGGTATCAAGGGTCAAGAACTTCAGACTATCCATGGCAAGATTGTGGCTTCAGACAATAAGCTTGCTGGCGAGGCTTCACCAAATGACGAGTCTAGCAACGTCGAAGGTCGGACCAATGGTTCTTACCGTACCTCGCCGCCACATTGAGTGCCAGTGGATGTTCCTGATTTCATGGTATTCTCTCGGAGTCTCGATCGTCAATCCCACGGGTATATGATGTTATATCCTGGAGGACAAGCCGCGGACTGAGTGCATGGCGGTCAGCAAAACATTTCGCATTGCATCTTCACTACAACATTAGCCCTCAGTTATTCGAACCATCAAATCTTAGCGACAGCATTCAAGACTAGATATAATGAGGTTTTCTGCTATTGGAACGGTTGGTTGATGCGGATCTCCACGGTCAGGCACACAGCATGCAAGAAGGCGTATGGGTAATTATATTTCTATTTCAGTCGTGTGACGATTTGAATGGTAACAACGCTATTGTGACGGGAAGTGCGTGGAGTTTTGAGGATGAGATTCCCTGCCGAACAGTGCAGAGAGAGTGATGACAAGTATGAGCGCATTTGCATCCCGGGGATGTCGACGCATCCGTGCATGGGATCATTGTTGATGGCTGTATACCAGGAGGAGTCGAATCGTGGGTTACCGTTGCAGTGTCCAAACCAAAAAGCAATCAGAGCCAGGAATGCGTGGAGAGAGCACGCGTATCGTGGCAACATGGGCAAAAAGCATCTCTTCGTCTTCTACGAGTAGAATGATTAAAAGACCAAATGTTCTCTATCCGGCCGCCACGAAGATGGAATGATCTGGGCACTGACTGATCCTTGAGCATTGTTTACCTTTTTACATTTCGTTCCCGACGACATTTTCTGATCGGAGAACTATCTTGTGTGATATCGACTCGTTTCGACTTCTGGCACATATCATCCACCACGCCATCCCGTGACCATCGAGGGCTTGTCGAAAACAATCTACTCCTCACTCTCCTGCTATCTACCAGCCTCATCCCAACACATGTCTCCAACTCTACATTTTTGAAAGCATATATGTACATGCGCAAGCAGGCAGGCAGGCTGGCAGGCAGGCAGGCAAGCAGGCAGACTGGCTAGCGAGACCAAGGAAGAACAATACCAACGACGACGACGACAACAACAACAACGTAGGCCGGCCCAGGCCAACGCCAAACAAAAATCTTCTCCCCCCGTTAACTCCTTCAAGTTACAGGAGATCACCGACCGTGAGAGTCAGCATGGCCGCCACGACCACCATGCCCATGCCCCCGATGGCACCTGCACGCAGTGTCCCGGCCGCGTTCACTTTGAACTGCAGCACGATCCCGTTGGTAAAGTTTGACTCGGCACCCTCGAACGCGATCGTCGTGAGGTTCCCGCACTCTCTGTTCAGGGTGGCGTTGAACTGGAGATTGGGCAGCTGGAGTTCGGCCTGGTCCAGGGGCGCGCGGGCCGGGTCGCTGCCCTCGGGCGACGCGGCGAGGTATGCGGCGCGGTAGGTCGCGTTGGCGCCGACGACCGAGAAGTTGGCTATCCTGCTGTACGATTCGCAGTCCGGGGAGTTCGCCGAGGACGACGATTGGCGAGCGTCGAGCAGGTGAAGAGGCGGCGAGAGGGTGGCGGCGGCGGTGGTCAGGGACAGCAGGGAGAGGACAAGGAGAAGTAGTCCGAAGGTCGGGAGCTGCGTGGCCGGGGTCATCATGGTGAAATGGTTGATTGATTGATTGATTGAGAGTTCGTGTACTCGTTGCCTTTTGGTGGAAGTATGGTGAGTGAATCGTCCAGAAAGTCCGATGTTGTTTGTGTCCGGAAGGGGATGCCGTTCAGTTGCTTTAAGGGGTTTGCTGTGTAGGTATGGTAGATGTTGGTACTGCTCTCTCTCTGTAGGCACCGTGCTCGGTATGATGATGTGGTATATGGTGTAGTGTATGGCTGCTACTGGACGTCAAATGAACGGTGGCCCGGCCACGTAGACGCAAAAATGAAGGGGAAATTGAAATGCGATTGTGATGGGGGAAAATACAATTCGCAGAACACAAACAGTGAAGCTACCAGGCTAAAGAATGGAAGGGAAAGGAGAGAAAAGAATGCGAAGAGAGAGAAGAATGTCTTGCAAAACCGATGTAGTCGAAGAAGGGGAAAAAAAGGATGAGAAGATAAGTTCAAGTCAGTCCCCTTAATACTTTCGTACAGCTTGGAACTCATGAGACAGGCGCATGAAACTATGGGTTGTTACGAGTGTCGTTCCCATGGTGCCGGCGTCAAAGGGTGCGCGGTGAGGACAATCTGAAACTCACACGGTGTCGAAACGAAACCGGAGACAGATCTTCTCTCACCTTATCGGTCCTCCTTGCGGAGCGTGAACAGGGCTTTGTGTTTCTGAACAGGAGAGAGATCACGAGAGGGATATCGTGAGCGAGTTTGAGCCATGTGCAGCATCGGGAGCGCGACGTTGGTCTGCGGATACAAAGGCCAGGTACTTAAGCTCTCAAGATCTCATTGAGGTGTTGAAAGCACGCAACGCAGCCTTGCGAATCTGCGACGAGGCTGCGACGGCACCAGTTCCCGAGATCGAGCATGCTAGGACGAGATTACCCCACGGGACTCACCTACTGAAGTATTGTAGCAACGTCGGTGGGAATCATATCGGGCTCTCTGGATCTCGTTGACCATCTCAGTCCAGGGTCAACTCTGGCATATTTGCAGTAATCGATGCAGATGACACTCATATTGAGTTCTAGATTTCGCACCCCGTGCCAAAGATCGAATCGAGTGCTTTTTGTGCAGATCCAGGATTCTTGTCGTGCTGGGGTCGAATGAGACCCTGACTATTTCCGAATCAGTGAGAACTCCGCCATGTCGCTTCTCACATCTCTATCTGTACAGAGCACCGATCCTCTTGCTCTTCCATTTCAACGAGTTCTTCGCATCTCAAAAGCTAACAAGACTTCAGCCTTTTCAGGGAAGCGTCGCTCACTTAGCCTCCTAGTTCTTGTAGTCGCTGCCATGGAGGTATTCCTCATATCTGATATGAGGCTGCATCTCAAAGTACAATGTTTCCGGGTCACTGTTCATCTTAAAGTTGTATGCGGCTTCTTCGTGACCAATAAGCTGCTTTTGTACTCTGCCACCGGCCACAGCTGCTTCAATAAGCAACTGCGCTTTGCAGCTCCTCTCGAGAACCATATATAGGAATGCAGCTTCATCCACAGTATTGCCGACAGTCAGCAAGCCGTGGTTGGCGAGGATGCAAGCTTTGCCCCCACCGAGAGCTTCTGCAATGTTCTCGCCTTCCTCACCCGAGAGAGCCACGCCGCCGTATGTCTCATACACGGAGTGGGCATTGTAAAAGTTGCAGACGTCCTGGTTGAGCATCTCCAGCGGCTTTCCGAACGCTGAGTACGCACGTCCGTAAATCGAGTGGGCGTGGCAGACTGCATGAACATCAGGCCGTCGCTTGTGTGCAGCACTGTGAATCGAGACACCGGCGGCGTTCGCTGGGATTTCCTGCATGAGTTATGAGCCACGAATTCATCATGCACGATACTTGACAGTGCGACTGACAGTATTTCCACCTACGACTTCGCCGGTCATGTAGTTGATGCAGACCATGTCGCTTGCTTTCATCATGCCGTAATGAACGCCGAGTGGGTTGATCCATAGTCGATCGTCAAATTCTGGATCCCGCACACTGATGTGTCCACTGATGCCCTCCGCGTAGCCCTCGTGCGCCCATACCCTGAAAGCCGCGGCCATGTGTTCTAGTTGCCATTGTCGTTTCTCCTCATGCGTGTTGAATGAAGGGATCTTGGGAAGAGGTTTGCTATTTGCCTGGTGGGCAAGCGCCTCTAACGGGGTGAGTTCTTTCTTCACGGACGCTGCAGCAGCGACCTTGGCTGCATTTACAGCTGGTACCGCCCCGTCGTCTAATGCGATTGGCGCCATTTGTATTGAGCACCTACGTGTTGAAGACTGTCTCGGTGCAAAGTCGCTTGGATATTCTTGCTTCTCTTGTTGCTTCAACGAAGAGGCCGAAAATGGGCGAACTGGCGCCGTGCGCTCTCTATAGACGGAGATGAGAGATAGGCCTGGTGAGCCTTCTGATAACAGTGCGTTCGACCGGGGAGAATCGCGGATAAGACCGCGACACCCAGATCTCAGCAACCAGAGTCGGAAAGGGAAGTGCGGTCCGGTGGGTGACGATGGCAGATAATGCAATTGGTAGGATGTCTCCGTAGGGGAAGTCAAATGTTGCGGATCGCATCCTGGTATCTCTGACACATTACTTGCCTCTGATGTCTTCTCCGTAGGGAAACTGAAGCTACGAGTACAAGCAGTCCTCCTCATACTCGCTGATGCCTTCCGAAAGACGCAGACCGACAGTCAGCTGCCACTCGCCTAGAGTCATCATCTCGATGTTCGAATCCCCAAGAACTGGCTGCGAACAAAATCTCAGCCGCGTCGAGGGAATCTCCATAGAATAGATGTCTGGCGTGGTGGTGGTCGTGCTAAGCTTTGCCGGCCAGAAGGGGCGTTTCCTTTCTCCTCTATCATGATGCTTGTCAGAAGCCGTTGCACGGCGGGAGCCACAGAGATGCCGATCATGCTGTAGAGAACCTCAAGGGGTGCGCAGAGTTCTGTTGAAGCAGGCCACGCCGAGAGCAGCTGGTAGCAGAACGATGCCTCAGCTTTGCGCTAAGACACAAGAGGGTTAGATGAATTCACGATACTAGTGCGACCTTATCGACGCCCACGCATTGCTCTCCCTCTCAACCTCGTTCAACCCCGGACGAGATAGGCGGAGAAGTTCTCTCGGGAGTTCCAGGATGGCGGAAGACGGATGCGCTATCTTCTCTCCCCTGAGCTCATAGACCACCTTCGCTCGACGTCGATAAGCGATCGTCACGTCCACTAACTTCGGGGCTCAGGTAGGGAAATTGAAACCCAATATGGAAGGGAATCATGTGGAGGCTTCTAGGACGAATCTTGACAACGTTATTCTGTCACGCTCGAACGCTGGGATCCTGCCCAAGGGTGTCTATTGTGACTCCCAGAGAATAGGCTCTCGCTCCATCCCAAGTGTCCTGCTCACCCTTCAATGCTGAAGCCACTTCTTCCAGGTATTGTACAAGTGCTCGGGTTCTAGGTTTGTCTTTTGCCTTGTCCTCTCCCACTTCCCTTGAGACTTAGCCTATCTACGTTGGCAAAATGATCTCTCGCCTGCAAGAAGAGGCCGAGGAGGTCTTTGATCCCAAGGTTGTCACCATGCCCCCGGGATGGTCTCCTTCTAGGACTGACGATATGGCCAGGTACATCTGGCGTGTGAGCTTCCGACAAAGTCTTTTACTTTCGAAGATCTGAATCTACAACCCTCTGCCACAAGCGCAAAGATTGCTGCTACCCTACCATTTCCCATCCTTTCAGCAGAGGGAGTCCGCGCCTACAGACGGTCCTTGTTCACAACAAAGGTGCTTCACAACTGCGCTGGGACCCCTGGCCCTGGGGCCCTGACTCTTCGCAATGCCGCGGAATACTCTAAATTCATCAAACAATTCTGGACACACCCCGAGACTATCCGACTGTTGTCTGAGGCAGCCGGGGTGCCCCTTCGCATCGTGATGCCGACCGAGATTGGCCACACAAATATCCAGACCAAGGGCGGTACTATTGGAGAAATGGTCTCCGAGCTCAGCGTCGAACCACAAACCACAAAGGTGCCTTTGACAGACGAGGATCGTGCTTACGACCCTCTGAAGACCTCTACGATAATTCCCTGGCAGTAGGATTTCCCTGTCTTCCCTTCCCAACCCCAAAAGTATCCTCCTAATCCGTGTAAAGTTACGACTCCTACCCGTACGTGTGTGTCATCATGCTCAGCGACACAGAAGGCATGCTCGGCGGAGAGACATACATCAAGACCGGCGACGGTGTGCCCATGAAGGTAGTTCCCGCGCTCTTCTTTCCCACCCTTGATTCCATTCCCGTTTTCCTCGATGCTGATATACTGGTCTTTATAAATCACAGGTCGAAGGTCCAACTCTAGGCCACGGCGTGATTCTACAGGGTGGCCAAGTCCAGCATCTCGCTGCTCGCGGCATCGGTGTCACGGAACGCATCTCCACCATCACGTCCTTCTGCGCAGACGTGCCCGGGGTGTACGACTCGAGCCACATCACCAACGTCCGCGTGTACTCCGACCGGCCCGTGCTGTACAGGCAGTGGACGCAGTACCGCCTCGAGAAGATGAAACGCGAGATTGACACGTTACTCGACGAGATCTCGACCGCCCCGACGCTCTACGACGTGCAGCGCGTCCACGACTTCGCGGCCGACCAGGTGGAGTACCTCAAGCGGACGGCGCACCAGCTGATTCCGCACGACGACGTCGCGGCCGTGGTCGGCACCTTTGGCGAGCGAGCCGTCCGCGAAGCGTCGAAGACGTGGGAGCGGGCCGAGGCGCAAGCGGACTTTCACGAGCGGGCTGCCTCCGTGACGCCGAGCACCTGGATGCCCGACAGCGATCTGTGGATCGACCTCGCGGGCACGAGGACGGCCATTGAAGCCGGCAAGACGCTCGAGTCGCAGCACGGGAGGTTCAGGTGGACGAAAGACCGCCCGTTCTGCATGGGCGATGAATTGCTCCGGCAGGGTCTGCCCGAGCTGTTCCTGTCGTGGCTGCATGCAACCGGCTTACACGGCAAGGCGGGGGAAGCGTGAACGTGAGAACGAGGGCTAGGTTTCTGTTGTCGTCTTGATCGTTTCCAGGATTCTTCTTCTATCTTTTACGCGGAGCAATAGCGAATGGCTTTTTCCCTTTTCCCTTCTCAAAATGCAAAGAGGGCCTTTTGACGTCGTGGCCGCAGGAGGTTGCTCATGTAGCCAGTGCCATCACATTCTACGACGAATATTATCAACATCCTTACATTCTGTGTCGTCCCGAATCCCACGAGTGATGTGATACTGGATGAGAGTGGGCGTAAGCGACTTAGTAGAGGTTTTTCAATGAGAGGTGCTACACCCCGTCACTCGCAGTAACGTTCATCCCAGAGAAAGAGGTATATTGGTACAAGCTGCTTCCCTATCTACTACTCTAGGCGTGGCCTCTCCTCCGCTTGCCTTGGTTCCGAGGCCGTGGTGTGACCACCATGTGGTTGATCTTCTTCCTCGGTCGAGTTTTGAACCCAGATTTGGCCTGTTCCCGATGCAGTTAGCAAGCGTGTTCCGATGGTCTATTTGGGACAGAATGAGACATACCGGAATACCCCAGGGACTGACGGGGATACGATTGCCCTTGGACTTTCCTCGGCCACCACCGTGGGCGTGGTCGGCTGCGTTCATGGCCAAGCCTCGCACGGTCGGACGAATACCAAGCCATCGCGACCGGCCGGCCTTTCCCAGTTGCCTGTACTTGAAGTTGACATTGCTCGCCACGCCGATTGTGGCGACGGCTTCCTTGTCAATCAGACGAACCTCGCCACTGGCAAGGCGGACAGTTACGTAGTTGGCAACCTTTTCAAAGCGCTTCAGCTGCGCCGGGGTCAACGAGTCCATGAGCTGGTCGGGCGTCAGGGAGGTCATGTCCATGCTGCTGGTCTCGCCGATGAGCTTGATCATCTCCTTCTGCACGCTGTCTTCGCCCTTGCCAATGATGACGCCGTGCGTGCCGGCGCTGCGACAGATTTTGGCGATAGAATCTTTCGAAGGACAAATGTTGAAGATGGGGGTTCCAACGGGGATCATCCCGAGCTTTAAGCAGTTTCCTCTCCACGCCGTCTTGGAAGCAACGACACCCAGATCCGTCGTGCCGCCCATCTCTTTGATAAGGTCTTCCGGTAGCCCGCTTCGATAGCTCTCGACAACGTCGCCGGCCCGTAGACCTTCGGCGGCCAGGATGTAGGTCCGCTCGTTCGATTTTAGATTTCTGACCAGAGCGATATGGGCTGTGCGATTGGGATCGTGTTCGATGCGCTCCACGAGGTGTTTGCCGCCATTTTGCCGCATGAAATCCACGGTTCGGATTCTTCGCTTGTGACCGCCGCCACGGTGCCGGACCACGACGTGACCGGTGTTGTTTCTTCCTCCTCGTGCATGTCCCTTTTTAGGGGCCGTGAGCGAGAACCACGGACGGCCTCTCCATAGGTGATCGTTCAAGGGCCTGACCAAGTGGCGGATACCCGGGGTTCGAGGAGTGTATCGGCGGAGCTTGACCTCCTCCTTTGCAGAGCCAATTCGGTCATCCGGTTCGGCTAGTGATGAGTTCGTCAAGGGCCTGTCTAGATCTGATGTCCTTGGGTGCACTGGGTCGACAACTTGCGCGTAGGTTCTGCGAAGAGCAGGCTTCGCAAAGTTACATCCCCTGCACAGAGTGCGAAGAGGTATCCGTGGTTGCAGCATTGTCTTCTGGGCCAGGCCCCTGAAACAAAGGTTGACAAAGTAACAAATTATGAGCTCAATCCCGAACTCATACCCCGATAGTGCCGATACCACCTCATCTACAGCGATGGGAGCAGGGTTAAGTTCAATCCTGGAGACTGTTGGTTCACCCACTGTGAAGCTCCAAAATTCGCAGTTGAAAGTCCAAAGGTACAAATGAACCAATCGGCTAACCTGCTTCCTGGGGAGCAGCACCTGCAGACCAAATGACTAAGCAAGCAGTTCATCGCGACGACTTCCAGGTCACTTCACAAACAACCAACACAACTTCTTCCTTCTTTACGTGCCCGTTCCTGATGAACCAACTGTGTCCATTGATCCACAATCGCCATGGTTGTGTCTGATCAGACTCCGGTGGACAAGTCTCAAGGTCTGTAACTGTTCTGCCCGAAGCTCGATACGTCGCGACCTAACCCTATCTCAGGTGGGTGTGAAGATACGCGAGACGACAATTCAGCGCAGGTAAACCCTCTGCCTGACAATGAGATGAATGAGAATGCAACGATTGATTCAGAAGACTGTCAACGCCGTCCTCAACCAGCCCCTGGAAACAATTCCAACATCTCTCAACAGTCCTCCCCCTTTCTTGCGGCTTTCAACCGAGCGTCAATGGCCGTTATGCAGACCCTTGACTGGCCGGAAAACGAATTCCTCCAATGGGCCAAGACTGATGTTAATGAGGCAGTAGCTGCGGCAGAAGAAGACATCGCTTCTCTCGACTACATCTGTCAACAATCCATGACGCCAGAGGTCTTACCCAGTACCCTGGAAGCGGCTCCGAGTATGGAAAATGGTTTGTCAATATTCGTACAGCCCAAGTGATCGAGCACTCTCAAGTCGTCACAGGTCGCATATCAGCACAACATTCACAATCGATTGACAAGCTTAAAAAGGACGACAACAAGGTCTTGTGTCAGCGATACACTTCTACCGGTATTGGACTCACCATTGCGACACGGGCAGACACGGCTTGGCGCATTTGTTGCTGACATATTCAGGCTCATGTCCCTTTGGAGGCACATGCCGTCACGGCCATCACAATGTTAACAAGGTTGCGATTTGCCCTACTGTCCTACGTGGTATTAAATGTGTTGCTAGTGATGACTGTCGCTTGAGTCACGACGCTTCACCCGAACGGACCCCCTTTTGCTTGTTTCATATGAAGTCCAGATGCAATCGCGAACCATGTCCGTACATTCATACTGCTGTTGACCCGGATGCCCTCATCTGCAGTGATTTCGCTCTGTTGGGATACTGCCACAATGGCTCGGCTTGCAAATCTCTCCATCTTCGCTATTGTCCAGATTATTCTAATTTAGGTCACTGCACGAAAGCACGATGCTACCTACCGCACGTTGGCATGAGAGACATCCAAAGCCAGAGGGTCACGCTAGCCTCGACTTCTGACTCAGGCGGTTCCGTGACACCAATCTGGAATGAGACGTTTGTCGGAGGCCCTGTGGGTGGTCAAGGCGGATTCATCCAGCAGAACGACTTCATCCCATTGTAGGTTTGTCGTCCCTTGTCGCCTCCCCCAGGCGCGACACGGTGCTATTTCTGCTCCTCCCTACACACGAGGCACTTGGCATAAGGACGGGACTTTCTCTGTGATGGATGTGAAAGCGTATCGGACGAAGGCTTGGAGTATCAGGAGGCGGAGGGATGCATGGCTTTCATTGCTGGTGTCGGTACGTCGTGGTGCGAACATGCGCCCTACTTCGCTTAGAAATACGATCAATGGCGGTATTACGTTTTGCAAAGAGTGAGGCTTCCGATCGTTGTAGCCGATTCCCTATCCTCTTGGTCTGAATGAAAGTGTGATAGGCCTGTCAAGTTGTTTACTTGTCATGGTCAGCCTCACCTTTTGGGCAGCAAGGGGCTTGTAGTGTTTCAGGAATTGGCTGCTTAACCCACGTACTCGTACAGAACCAGCCACCGGGAAGCCACAAATCTCGCGCGGTAATAACTGGAGGCTCCATCGAAGCAGCCGTCGCTATGTAGGAGATTCTTATGATCATCAACGTCTGAGGTCTAAACAACCATCACATGGAATGGGAACTGCCCGGGCCGACTGAGCCATTGCACTCTTCGGGGGACCAGCTGGTGGTGTATTCGGTAAGTCGGCTCAGATCAGACGATCATATCACCAGATATAGTATAAGCTACAACCCCTGATTGGGAAACCTCTCTCGAGTCCACGCAGGAGGCGTAATCGGGCCGGGGAGCTTGGTGCCCCTCGCCCAACACCTTGGCAAGTACCAGCGGAACGAGGGAGCCAGACAGTCCTCGCGCCTCGTTGAATTGACGTACAGAGTCGACGGTCGGAATGTTTATTCTCCGGGGCGGCGGATGCATCTCCTGCTCAGACGTAAACGAGGTTGTTTTAGCTACAAACAGAGGTTGATGTGCAAAGAAAACGATCCTTGGGCACGGCGTGAGAGGCCCGAGCCGTGCGGCGAGGACCGGGAATCGTAGCCTAAGAAGGTCGCCTAGAAACCACGGAGCAGGTTACTGTTTAGTGTGGACTGCGTGACTAAGTTAACTAACTTAGTCGGCCAACTACGGTACTAACTAGTTAACTAAGTTAACTAGAGTCAACTGAGTTTCTCCTCACGCATCTCCTGGTCGCGCTATCGCCGGCAACGAGCTGCTTGTTCACGGTGATTGCGACTCAAGGCATGCTATAGGGACCTGAACACCACTGCTTGGACTGCAAATCATGGCCCTGGGCCTCTTGTGCCGCTGCCAGGCTCTGGTGGCCCCAGGTCCCCTGACCTCGCGTGTTTCTGTGCCTGAACGAGACCACCTGCTCCGTAAGACTGATCATGGCCACATGAGACTCGCGGGCAGCCCGGGCCACCGCCAAAGCTGTTTGGGGTCCCTCGCGGTCGCATCGACACACAGGGCGACGGCAGGTCAGTTGGGCGAGTCGCAAGGTTGTGGATGAACTGGAAGCTGCAGGCCGCTAGAGGAGGTCGCATACTGGGCGACCGCTGGGAGGAGTCGATGGCAGCCAGTGTCGTTGCTGCAGCGCTGCAAACTTTGCGCAGCTCTCGAACCCACAGCTGCACACCTGCCCAAGGACCAAAAGCCTCCCATTGCAGAGCATCCAATGCCCTGCTGGCTGACTGTTTCTTCCGCCAACCACCGCTGCTTTTCTGCTCCTGGGCCTCGATGGCGGTCGCAGACTCAGGCTTGTTAGGCGTCGGCAGGGACACGGAAACACACACACACACACACACACACACACACACCCACACACAGAGAGAGAGAGAGCGACAGACACAGCGGCCGACGCAGCAGAGGGCGGATTACACTAGACTCGGCTCAATCAGACTCTGGTCGTGTCTCTCGCCTCTCCACTCCCAAGCACAAAAAATGCCCCTCAGCCAAACCTCCTCCCACTCGTGTCCTCGGCCTCGTCGTCCTCTCGGAACGCGGGCCTTGGGTCGTTTTCCTCGCTGAGGCTCCCTTGTTTCTGATTCTTGATCCTTCCGTACGCGAACGCCTCGGTCGGTACTGTATTGTATCGAGACCACGTTACCCGCCTCTCCTCGATACCCAGGGTCGGTACTAAAGCCCGGGCTGCTCTCCTCCTCGTCCCTACTAATACCGCCTTATATCGTCTACCACTATCGTCTCGATCCTTTACTTCTGACTTCAAGATCATTATGCTTACCTTTTCTTCTGCTTCTGCCTCTTCATCTGCTTGAAAACTCTGCCGTTGCCCCCTCGACTGCGACCGAGGCGACACCACCACGGCCATTGTCCTTCCCCACCTTCACTCACCGCCACTTGCCCAGTTCTCCGATACCTCGACACACCCATTACCCATTGGCTTTTTCAAACAAACTTCTCATTCCATGGCCATGCAATATTCTCAGCAGGGCTTTTACGACTTCGCCCCTCAATGGCCCGACGAGGTGAAGCCTGCCTTGACCGAAGACAATTCTTCTGTCCTCGACGACCGAGTCCTGGATTCATCGACCCCGGCCGACATGACAGCGGCTGCTCCCATTGACAACGGACATCTCGCCATGCCGAAAGTGGAGGATGACTTCTCCGGCCCTACGCAAGTCTGGCAGGAAAGACCCCAAGCCGTCATGAACGCCGCCAGGCACTACTCACAGCCGTCGATGTCCTTAGCAAACGTCAACACCTCGTTCTTTGCTCAACCACCCTCCGCCAACTGTGGCTCTGCATTCGCGCAGACCCCTTCCTGGCCGCTCACGGCGCGTTCGGAGGCGAGCACTCCTACGCCGTTCTTCGCAGCAGCACAGGACCAGTTCAACCAGCAAGTCCAGTACCCCGGCGGCCCGGTGACGTTGTCTACCTTCGCTCAACAGGATCCCCTGTCGGCAGTTTCCATGTCCCCACAGTCAAGCCAGGGTGGATGGGCCTCGACCACCTCCTCCAATGCTACGGAGCGCAGCCGAAGACTGCGACACCACAAGTACCGGGCTCCCTCGCCTGGACTGGTGGTCAGATCAGATGGCATCAGGAAGAAGAACGCCAAGTTCGACATCCCCTCCGAACGGAATCTCGCCAACATCGACCTCCTCATTGCGTCGTGCGTGAACGACGAGGAGAAGAAGGAGCTCAAACAACAGAAACGCCTTCTCCGCAATCGTCAAGCTGCGTAAGTGCCCTCAGCAGTAACGCCCTCTGTCATCACACTAACCCTGACCGCTGTAGGCTTGATTCCCGTCAACGCAAGAAGAGTCATACTGAGAAGCTGGAGCAAGAGAAGAAGATCTTCACGGATCAAAAGAATGAGATGGAAAATACAATCGCTCACCTCGAAGCGACTCTCCTCCAAGAGAGAGAACAGTGGGCACGTCAACGCCAGCAATGTGAACAATACATCCAGCGACTGCAGTATGAACGGGACGAGGCCATTAGAACCAAAACTCTCGATACTGCCGACCTTCGGCGTCAAAACAACATTCTCAAGGACACCGTCAGAGACTTGGAGAGGCATCAGCACATCAAGGCATTTTCGAACAACCCTGCGGATGCATTCACAAATGACTTTACCAACTTCCGATCCTTGGATCTCGAAGACACGTGGGATAGTGAATTCAGTCTGATCAACCCCGACGATCTGAAGCTGGAAGAAAACGAGTCGCTCCAACGACAAGCCACACCACGTCCCCCTACGTCGACCCAGCACGTGGGAGGTGACAGCCTCGACGTCAAGGTCGACGCCGGTTTCAGCTGGAATACCTTCTACATGTGCCTGCTGGCAGGTGCCTTTATTGTCTCTCAGACCGGTTCCTCGTCGACTAATGCGGCCACATCAGCTGCCGTCATCACCTCTACGATGCCGGCCCTTGCCGACGACTATCGTGCCGAAGCTGGCAACGTCCTCAATGCGGTTCTCGCTTCCAGCGCGGCTGGTGCACATGAAGCACTGCCCTCTCGCCCAGCAGCCGCAAACATGGACCACAGTAATTACCAACAGGCAAACTTGGCACAATCCGACAGAGTGCCGAACGCCGGTCGTGCCGCCGAGACATCCTTGGACAGCTTGCACGCAACGCTCACAACGCCATCACGTCAACAGCAGACCAGTGCCGCATTCTCTCTGTCGGCCTCGTCCTACAACCACATCGCCAATGGGGACAGTGTGTTTGATGATGACAGTGATGACGTTGAGATTGTTGAAGTCAAGCCAACTCGGCTTCAGCAATTGTTTGCCAACATGCAAGCTGAGCGAGACGGCATTGACAAGATGGCCGGCATGAGCAGCAAAGCCTGTGAAAGGAGTGTCCTCCTCGACCGTGTTCCCGAGAAGGTCCTCCGTGACTTTCGGGAGATGATTGCTCGCGTCGAGTAAGATTTTTTCTTGTCTTATCTGGCTTCGCAACACACAGGACAGAGACTTATCTCCTATGTATCCTTGGTTTGTTTCTTTTTCAGCTCTGGACTCTGGGCACCTGTCTTGAACAAGAACGATACTCGACCGCCGCCACCACCACCTACTCATCCATGCACACAAACATCTACAAAGATTATCGGCTCCAAGGCACAATTTCTTTATTCCCACCACGGTGTTTTGTCTGGCTCAGGGGATTTTTGTTTTCTTGTTGCTGAATGAATGACTACTACGAACAAATGAATGAATGAATGAATGGAATGGACCCAGCTATTGGCTTTGTCTGTTTTTTTTTTTGACTTGACATCATGACCGTTATGAAGCACTGACAGATGGAATGGAAATTTGGGGGGAAATTTAGGAAAGAGGAATGGTACCTCAGGTATCTAGGTTTGGTAAACAGGTACACTTTGGGACTTGGCAGGCCCACACTGTGCAACTTAGCTGTTGTATTTTGAGAGGGTGAGAGGGAGATAGAACTGGAACCAGTCCGGAACATGTTATGTTTTTGAAGGGGATGGTTCTGGAAATGAGTAAAGCAGGAGGCGAGTCTACTCTCTCTCTCTCTCTCTCTCTTCTCTCTCTGTGGCCCGAATCAGCACAGATTCTGAATTTTTGTTTTTTTCCCCTTGTGTGATGATGACGATGACGATGACGACGATGTTGTTGTTATGGCGAGATTCCAGATCTACAGAGGCAAGGGGGGGGGGAGGGGAGACAAAGATGCACATTTTTATGACCATTTTATACTCTGATTAGCTAGGTAGCTTCGACGGTAGCAAAAGCTAGCTTAGGTGGCTTGATTTTACGTTTTTACGTTTTACGATTATTGACTGACGATTCCCATGAAATGAATCACGAAGATGGACCGAGGGGGGGGGGGGAGGAGAGATCACGGGTCAATTGTTGATTGTTGTTGATTGTTGTTGTTGTTGTTGTTGATGATGATGATGATGGTGATGATGACACTATAGGAGTATCTATATAGCACGGGGATTCATTATCGTGACTTCCTGGAATGGAAAACGTTGTCGACGACGACGACGACGACGACGACGAGATCAAACGAGATACCGATGACCACTCGACACAGAGACAATTTCTCTCTCTCCCTCTCCCTCTCTCTCTCTCTCTCTCTCTTACGTTTCCTTCTTTCTCCAAGCTGTTCATTTCATCTACCCTAGAATCATAGATGGAGTGACTAGAATCCTAGATACGGACGGACAGAAGGAGTATGTCGAACGTTGGTCAGACATCGACGCACGCGAAATCTCCCTTCATTTTTTTTTCCTCCTCCTTTCTCAGCACCGCCGAATGAAACTTCGGTACGTACGTACGCAGCTTTCGACTGACCAGCCAGGCTGAAGTGGAGAAAGTAGGAGATGGACAGTCAGTCAGTCAGTACCTTGTATCGACAGCCTCCGTCAACGGGGTCCTCGAAAAACAAAACAAAACAAACACAAGGACCAAAACAGGAGAAAGACAGGGAGCGAAAAGGGAGGGGGGGGGAGGGGGGTCTATTGATCTCCCTTCACGTCGGACTGATGACTCTGCATTAGGAGAAACTTTTAGCCAAAAACGTCCGAGTGCAAGTCATCCAATGTTCAAACAGATGCTTATCCCCGTGCTACGAAGATCGTGCGATGATCAAGTGCACCAAAAACGGCGCCGTCGTTGGACCTCGCCAGGATAAGGAGCGGCGAGAGACACAGACCAACAACCATGGCCAACCCACCCCCCCCGAAAAAAAAGAGAGATCCACTCGAAACGCGTGATATCCTGGCCCAAAGGTCGGCAGGTTCAAGAAAAGCGAACTGCAAAAGTTCCCCCCCTGGCCAAAGAAACGACGAGGAGAAGCATCACCAGACCGGATAGATAGGATGGGGTCAATTTGTCCGCCTCCCTGGGCGGACAAAATAGCTCATTTCGTGGGTATCCAAGACTCGTCAACGTGAATCTCATGAGCTTGAGCTCATGAGAAAGGTGAAAGAAACAATGTATTCCTGCCCAACTCAAGGCTGGAGGTGAGTCAAAACTCGTCGCAGCCAGTGCTTGACCGCCTCGTTTAACACGCGTATCCTTGTCGCCTGAACACATTGATTCGTATTCCGCAAAGGCTGTTGCAGCCGACCCAGGAGTAGCCAATGCGACGTGCGAGGAAGGGCCTCCCTTGACAGAGACCGATTCAAAGGGACGGGAAAGGCCTGGGGCGACGGGCACAAGACACCGAGCAGTACTTGCTTGGAGAGACGGTCTTGCTGAAGCAAATTCCCGGACTCACTTAGGCGGGTCGTACTTCTCCTTCCAAATCCTGTTGATCACAAAGAACAAGAGACGTCAGCAAACGATTCCACACCAAGACACGGGGGTCGGGCAAAAGCCTTGAAACATGCAATCAACGCCCGTTTTTGCGGTCGCAAATGTACCGTGAACCCCAGCCACCTTGAGCTAGGCAGTTGGAACTTCAAAGCCCGTCAACTAAGAAACAAACCGCGGGTCGTGGGCATGGTGACCCTGGCCGCATATGCGGTCGCATAAGTCGGTGTCCAAAGTTATCGACGAATCAGGCCGGTCTTGGCGCCGATGTTCACGACACCGCCATATTTTCGACCCGATCGAGCGAAAATTCAGGCAGGCCACCGACAGGTGACAATGCTCGATTGGGGCCGCGGATGGAGGGAAACATGCCAAAAGGAAAGCCAAAGCGACTTCACTTACCAGGTGTTCCCCAGTGTTTTTGCGCCGTTTTTCTCCGCCAATCTGAGAAGCTGTGCTGCTTTAAACTAGATCGCAAGATGCACGAGTCAGTGCGCCTGTATTTCCCCGAGGCAATGGTGCATTGTGATTTGCAGCAGGAACACCACGGGGGGCTAATGCAAGGTACCGCAACGAGAGCCAGTGAGACGGCCGTTGTGTGGCTGTGGCACTCATGCATTGCTGCCCAAAGTGAGGCAGCGATAGAGAGCGAGCTGTATTTGGCTGGTATGTGTATTTGGGGGCCGTGTTTGGCCGGAGCCGGATTCATGGGATGGCTAGTGCTGAATCAAACAGGGAACACAAGGACCCCTGACTGTACGATGGCTGAGGTTTCTCACATTCGCGTGCATGGCTGAGGCTCAACTGGCTCGCTGCTTTCACTTGTCACGTGTGGGGATCGGGACGCAGAGGGTGATAGGGGATTCTCAGAGCGTCGTAGTAATTGTTGAGAGCAGGGAGAAAGCACCAGGAATCACTCACCTTGTCCTTCTTGCCCCCAAATCCTTCCAGATAACACCAGGCCGCCTCATTCATTGCGTCAGTGTCTCCCAGGTTGGCGGCTGTTTCGTAGTACTGCCTCGCTGCGACTTTGTCCACTGGGATGCCCCAACCATGTCTGAAGCAGTTGGCCAATTCGAAGATGGCAAGCACCAGTTCCCCTTTTGCTGCACCTCCCTTCTTCATGCCGGCTTTGAGGGCATCTGATTCGATGGTTGCAGAGTTGGTTGCAGCGGCTGACAGGTAGGTAACCGCCCGCGCAGGATCGGGCGTGCATCCCCAACCATGGCGAAGAGAGAGTCCATACAGAACCTGGGACAAGACATTCCCGGACTCGGCCAGTTGGCGGAACATCTCTGTTGCCTCTGACAGATCACCAGATTCGTGAAGTTGAATGGCCTTTTGAATGTCAATGTCACCCTCCGGGTCGTTCACACTTCGCGCTCGCGCCCTCGTCCCGATGTTTAGACTCTCCATCTCGCTCGTGGGTGATTTGGCGGGAAGGACAGGAATTTTGGTCGCTAGCTTGGTGGCCCGTTCTTCCCACTGAGCTTCTTTATCCTGACGGTCACCAGACTCGTTGTACGCATCCCGAATGTCCGGAAGGTCAGGAGGGAGGTTGACCGAGCTTGTACTCCCCGACCGGTCTTTATTCAAATGCAGGCGCTCCGATAGTCGCCTGCGGTCTTTTCTCTCCTTCTCTGGAGACGATGCGTCAGATCCAGCCGGACTAACACTCTTGCGGAAACGACTGAATGATCGTCTTGAGGCCGAAGGGTTACTTGGACTAGCAGGAGACGGATCTCTCACATCGTCAAAGGCAGGAGGGTTGATGTATTCTTCAGTGTTCGTGTCCGTACGGACAAAGGTGAACTCATTCGCCTGCGGCAAGGGTGGTGGTAGGACGCGCTCATCATCGATTTTATCCTTCTTCTTGAGTAAGTCTTTCAGGGGCATGTTTTCGACGGGTTCTTGGAAAGATCACAGGCTCTGGAGGGGGTTTGTGGTAGGAAACAGCACACGCGCAGTTGGACAAGACGGAGCAATATCAGGAAATGCTTCGATACTGGCAATATCTCTTGATATTGAGGCAGGAGCAAGACATATCAGGCATGCGAGGGTCGTGGAATGCGTTGCGGCTGTGCCAGCGGTTATTGGGTGAGATTGCATCAATGGATGGATGGAAATGGGACGAGAACCCTTGGCCACATACATTGTGCCATTGGCGGCGGCGTGGGGGCCGTAGCCTATTGTACTCGTACAGCACCTACAGCGTCTCTCCCTCTCTACCAGCGGTCTGGTAGGTGCAAGGGATAGGATCGGTCCACGAGGCCTGTTGATAGCAGTGTATCTTGTATATACAGCGAGTGGTCTAGTTGTTCTCTGGGTCTGCGAGTCGATGGGGATGCAAAGGTCAAGCAACGCGAGCTCGGCGGCAGTGCAGTTAGTGGGCGGCCTCACTAACGTTTAGCTCACTAGCCCGCCCGAGGACTTAACTGCGAATACTGTGCTTAACCCCGGCGAACTTCCTTTACTCGTCCAGTGAGGGGCATCAACTCTCTCCAGGCTCCAGGGGCCCGGCCTCCGTATCTCAAGGACTGAACGACATCCCTACCTATATGCGATACATCCATTCATCATGAACTCCTGTTCACTGGTCGTCCCGATCGAGTGCAAGTTATTCAACCACAGCGCTCAAACAATCTGCTCTCTATTTGAACCACTTTCCCTACGGCGCTAGTTGACGCCGCCATCCCGCCATGAACATCCTCGAGCTACCGCAGGAACTCCTAGGCCATATTCTATCGTTCCTTCATCCCCAAGACATCATCCATTTCTGTCAAAGCAACAAGCGAGCTCAAACCTTCGCAAGCCCGCGGAACCAAGTTCTCTGGCGTTCGGCCTTCTTGCACATTTTCGACGACCCCAAAGATGCCTGGTCTCTAATGCCCAATGCGGCCTCCCTCCTCAAGGATTGCCAGTGGGACTGGCACGTCGAACTCGTGCGGCGGTTGTTAGCACTACGAGCCATCCGGTCCAAATGGTGCGTCGCCGACGAGGCGTGGCGGGCCAAAGAGCACATCAACGCCCTACTCAGCATTCTCGACACGGCCAAGTTCGGACCCGATGAGCGCGACAACGCCACTGGTCGCCTCCCGCGCGAAGACGACAGGTACTTATCGCTCAACCTGCAGGTTTTGTCCAACGTCGACTCGTTCCGTGACGGGCTAGAGAATCTGATCCACGACACCGATAGGGTTCTCTACATGCGGCACACCGGCGGTAGCAGCGACGACAACCCGTGGACATCGCCACGCCGACCCGTCACGCGGTCCATGAGCTGGTGGGCTGAGAACGAAGTCAACCGGCCCGAGTGCGCATCCAGACTGCACGTGCTGTTCGGACTGACAGTGCGCGAGCGCATCGAGCACCGGGCGCGGGGGGCAGCACGCCGCAAGGTGTACGACTGGTCCCTCACCGGCGCCGATAACGACTACGGCCCGTTCAAGCGCGACGGCAGCGGCAGCGTGGACTGGAGTCTGCTCGAAGGCGTGCACAGCGTCATCGCGCGCAACTTCTCCATGTGCGTCGACGGCCACATCTCCATGCCGCAGGGGTTTCCGTTTTCGATCCCGCACCGCACGCTGGTCCGCTCGGACGCCCCGCGCGACTGGGCTAGGGTCTCCGGGTCGTGGCTGGGAACCTACTCGTTCCTCGACTACTCAGACCTGTTCGCGTACAACATGTGGGAGACCCGCATCGGCCCGCGTCCGACACTCGACGACGAGCCCGAGGCCTGCGGCGACCTCATGAGGCTGGACTTGGAGCTGGACGACTCCCTCGCCGACGACCCCCGCCTGCATAACTCCCTGGCGATATCGCACGACGTCCCGCCGTTGTACTTCCGCGGCACATCTCGCGCCCACGCCGGCATGTACCGACCCACCATCGCCGTGCGGGGGTGCGCCAGCCTCGTGCCTGGGAACAGGGAAGTCCGATGGCGCTTCATCATCAGTTACAGCGGCCAGGACCAGTGGCAGCTCGAGGGCGTTCAGCCCGGGGGGATCCGGTCTGGAGGCGTGTTTGGCCTGTGGACACAATGTGATCATGAAATAAACGGGCCAGTCGGACCGTTTTGCTATTTCCCCGCGGAACTGTGCAAATCGACTAGTATCGTGCTCGCCTCTGATTCGAACGCTTAGGTTGTGAGAGGAAGGAGGAGCGAGGGAGGCGGGAAGGGATGGACGGACCTACAGAGAGATAGTGGGGGGATGAAAAGAGGGATGGAGGGAGGGAGGGAGGGAGGGAGGGAGGCAGGAATGCAGGGCCCCAAAATTCAAGAATCACCTACTTTATACTACTCATTTATATCACCATCGGCACTTCTATAGATTTGAGACTTCGCAGAAAAGAAATCCCATCCCAAAGACGCTGCGTCCTCTGCATCTCTGCATCCCTGTACCAGTACGAGCCTCGGCGAGGGAGGGTGGGAGCGTTGTTGAGAAACCACGAAACGTGTGACCGGTGACCAGTTGACCATTGACGAGCATGGCAAATACCATAGCGTTTCAGTACTGCGCTTTGGTGACAATCATGGGGATTTTAGATCGAGGTAACGCTTATCGCTTTCCACGATATGGCACCGGCGTCAACTACGGTGCAATAGGAGGCGGACAAGGCGCTCGTCAAGGGGGGCGGGGTGGGCAGATGGTTTGCGAGTGGAGGAAAGACGTGGGAAGTGGGGAGGAAAGAAATGGAATGCAGCATGGAGGAAATAAGAATCAAAAATCAACCATCAGGTGCTCAGATACCTATTGACACGGTGTGTAGGTATATCAGGTACGGAATTGTAGATAGTGAATAAGCATGTGCCCAGTGAGCGAGAGATATGGACTTTGTTTTCATTATTTGCTCTATCATCTCCGTCGGAATTGCATAGTCTATTGTACGGAGTACGAGCACTCTCTGGGATCTCTTTAGATTACAACTCGCAAAGGGAGAAGAGGGCCATCCGTTCTCTCCCCGAATTAGCGACGGCTTTTCACTGAGTGAGGGTCATGAGCTTCGTGATCGGTCGTGGTATTACCCCGTGCACCCCGGGCTCACAGTGATGAAACGGGAGTGTGACAGAAATAATGGTTCATCCATCTTCATCATCGTATGCGTGTGTGTGTGGGTGTGCGCGCGCGCGTGTTTTCGGTATAGCGAGAGATAGGGTCGTCAAGATGCAACCAACCTCTCCTCACTCCTTTGGAGACGAAAGGAAACTCAGATTTCAATCGCAGAAAATTGGATGCATGTTGTTCGTTTCCACCGAGAACTGTGGATGCAGTCGTACAGTCCTGTGCATGAGTAGGCGTTCCCTTGTTCTTGGTGCGGAGTACAAATCCCCAAGAACAGAACGGAATCGGAGACGCGGTCTTACGTTGTTGGTTACGTGTACCACCCCAACCAGAGATAAGCGACTCTGCAGGGTGTGGGCCGGTCTCTCGAACAAGGGTGATCGGCAAAAGCATTACAGTCCGCGCAGATACCAAAATGCTTCATCGGTGTTTTGGGAGGCATGATATGCCGATGGTCGTATCAGGACCTCAGTGCTTGCGCAGTTGAAACATGTCGATCAAGTCCAGACACAGCATGTGACGTTTCGACTGGATTCGATTTTTGTTCACTGCGACAACTTTCTGTCGAGGATGTTCAGTGAGTAGAGGAACAGACAATGCGTTGCCAGAGCCGTGGGGATTCCATTAGAGAAGAACAAAATCAGTCGTCAATCGTCATTTCTGGGCGTTGCAAGACAATTTCATGCGCTCGAAGCTGCATAGTGGACACTGGCACCGGCGACATCCCTCGCGATAACCGCATAAGTGGTGGCGGACGCTGTGGTCGAAGCCGAAGTCGTCGACTGTGGTGATGCCGAAATGGTGCTGGTGGTGCAGTCTTTGGCGGCCGCAGCAGTCATCTGGGGCCGCATGGTGGACGGCTCGTTGAAAAAGTCATCGTCGGAAGCTTGTGAAGATGAAAGGCCCGTGCTGAAGAGTATATGATGCATCAGTTGCTTGAGCATTGTGGCAGCACAGTTCGCTACGAAGGAAATTGGTGGTGACAAAATGAGAGGGCTGGGTTCAGTAGCGAGTGGGAGGGAGAGTGGGAGATCGAGGACAAAACTCACAAGACCACGCTGAGCAAGTAGGCGGCCATGCGGAGCGAAGGTTATATATAGTTGTCCTGTATTATGCTCTGGCGATGCGCGTTCTAGACCCACGGGAAGCTGGGCTGGCGCTGACGTCGACATCCGAGGCCGCTCGGTCGACCTGCCTGATCCTGCCTGCTCTGGCCGATTAGCTGTGGTCACGGCTTGGCAGCAACTATTGTTTATCTTCGTGTTCTGCCTTCTAGGTAAAAGCAACCTTGATCATTGCAATATTCACCTGTCCGGAGTGCATCGACGCCATTTCCCAAACCGTGACATATGGTCACCATCTATCCTAGTCGTAATATTGCTCTGCCATGTACTTCATGGCTACATCTTTGTCGTGACCAAAGACAAGCCGAGCCTGGAATAGTCTCTGCAGGCGCTGGATCATATTCAAACTTTTGTACCATGCATTGTGGTCCCTTGCAAGCCAGCCGTGGGCATGACTCAGCTCATAATTCTCTGCAATGTGGAACTGATCCGTAGTCCAAATCCAAGTCCCGCTTTTCTCCAAGTTCACTTGCATGCAGACAAGGCCAGGTGTATGTCCTGGAGAGTGATGGAGCGTGATGCCTTGAAACAGATCAAGGTGATCATCAGTGAACGTCTTCCACACGAGTTTGTCAAGGCTCATGTAGCCTGGCAGATAAACTCCAAGATCGGCACCTGTTGCGATTGCCCAACATGCGTGTTTGAACTCCTCCTCGTGCACATATATTGGTACTTTGGTGCCAATGAAGTGCTCAAGCCCACCCGCATGGTCAAGATGCAGATGGCCAATAATCACTGCCTTGATGTCTTTGATATCATTGCCTGTTGCCTTGATCGCGGCAGGAAGCTTTTGAGCCTCACTATATTGAATACGTGGGAAGATGTCCGTTAATGGGTGGCCCCATGCCTAGAACAACCGTCAGTCGTGTGTGGAGATATTTATGTTCGATTCATTTAAATTCTGACGAGCACGAAGGCGGTCAAAGGATCGCAATGAACATACCACGTTGAGGTCCTCTGCACATCCCGTTTCGAAGAGTATACAGCCGAATCCGGGGATTTCAATCAGCGCTGCGAGCACAATCAACTCTCTTCGGGCATTGGTTGGATTTGTATTGCTCGCTGTACTCGTGTTGGAGCCACGCAGAAGCCTACCATCACAATTAATTCCAAGAAACTTTCTCAATGGAGGAGCAGATGGAGAAAATCTACAGGAAACATACCAACCATCGTCCATCTCAAGTCTCCCTAAATCCAGGAAATACATCTTCGTACCAGAGGGACAGGTGAATGCCGGTACCTGTGCTTTGGCTAAAGGAGACATAGAGGAGAGTGCCATGGTTGGCTGCTGTGAACGTACAATTTGTAGGAGGGCGTCAGCGAGACCGGGAGAGTGAGAAGCACGGAAACAAGGCTCATGTATTTTGCAGTCGTTTATGGGTGCAGAGCCCTCTGATATACTAGTCTAGGTTTACAAAGTGCGATTCGAGACCTAAAATCGGGAATGACAGACTGCTGGTACTTGTACCTTGTTTGGCAGTCCTTTACTACACTATATGATGGGCTCTAAACTCCTCACTGCAGCTACTACCCCCTAAACCCCCGCGTTCCCCTCTTTTTCTCTTCAACCAGATGGCCTAACTAAAATGCGTCTACTCAGTAGAAAGCATGTATTCGACGGAGTGGAGTACAGGAGGATGAGGAATGTTTAATGGGTGGGCCCGGGCTACTTCGGTATCCGGGGCTCCTCAGGTCGGCCGTAATCTGAACTTAAGATATAACCCGTACTCCCCGGGGAGTTCAGCTGTGTCTTTACCGTACTCCTGTCCCGACGGCATCATCTTGTCCGCTGCTCCGCCGACAGTGTGGTGAAAGTTGCCGGAATAGCGAAACTTCGCGCCCATTGTTCGTCCCCCACCCCACTTCTACTGCACACATCGGAACGAAGTCTTGGACAATCCAGTGTGATCGCGCGATATGGCACAGATATCTAATTCGAATGACCAAGCGGGGGAATCGGCATCGGTGCTGAGGGATTCGGCTCGCGAGACCCACCCAGTTACTGGCAAGCGACGGAGAACCGTGTTGGCCTGCAAGAATTGCAGACAGAGGAAGTCTCGCGTACGTACACATTGCTCTGGGGAGTGCGAGCCGAAGTTCAGGAAAATTAACTGAGGCACTCTGCCCTATAGTGCGATGGGTGGCGGCCAAAATGCTCCACGTGTGTTCAGTTGGACTGCGAATGTCAATATGAGCAAGCGGCTCTTATGACTCCGAGCTTGATGGTGGGTCGAAAGTGTGTCTCCCTTTATGGCATCGAGATCGCCGTGAAGCTATCGGCCACGACTAACCAACCAGATAGCTATCTCAATCAGCTCGAGGAGAGGATTGCACGTATCGAGGGCCGGCTGAGTCATTGCCAGCCCCAATCTCACCCCGGACCCCGTTTGGAAGCGTCAAGGACAAGCCAGAATGGATCTGGCGACGACATCCCTGCCAGCACAGCTAGTTCTGTCTTGGGCCACCAGGCCGAAGTCATGCATGGAGCAACTCGGGAAATTGAGTCAAGTGAGGACGTGATTGACGGAATGGGGGCCATGAAATTCACGGACGAGGAAGACAGTGGCTACTATGGTGCGTTCACCATCTGCATTCGTGGAGAGCACATCTCTCTGTGCCGTTGTCAGAATATTACCCACTAACATTGGTATAAGGGCCTTCGTCGAATATTGCCTTTATCCAGAGTATCAACCTGGCCATCACCAGAGCAGACCACTTGAGCCCCCGAAGTTCCGTGTCTTTCAGCCGGGTACGAATCAATACCGGCCTCAGTGTATCACGGCGACGGTATGTACAGGACAAAGTTGCCCAAAATGGTGCGATAGTCTCTCAAGGGAGCGTTAGTATTTATGCTCTCCCCTCTGAGGCTCGGACTTGGAGCCTCATCGGGCAGTATTTCAGCAAATCTGGCCAACTGCTGCCATTGATCCACGAGGAAAGCTTCCGCGAAGCTTATTTCCAGATGAAACAGAACAACTTTACAATGGCACGCAGGACGTGGCTGGGCCTGTTGAATATCATGCTCGCGCTGGCGACGATGATAAGTAACGAAGGCCACCAATCTGCGGTAGAGCGGATTAAAGAATCGGACGTCTACTACCAAAGAGCCCAAGGCTTGTGTGACAGGGAGTCCAGTCACACCTCGAGTATCGAGCTAGGTGAGCTTTTGCCGCATGACCCAATCATTCCCATATTCCTGGAGGGCAGTACAATCTACTGTGTCTATGTGCAGAGTTAACACCGCAGAGAAGTGCAGTACCTGCTCATCCTCGGCCAGTACCTTCAGTCAACACAAAAGTCAGTACAGGCATGGACTGTCCATGGATTGGCAATTACACTTGCTCTTCAACTAGGATTGCATTCCTCACGGACAAACCAAGAGTTCAGTTCGTTGGAGAGCGAGATCAGGAAGCGCGTCTGGTATGGTTGTGTCCTTCTTGACAGGTATGTGGCAAACAACTATGCACAAAATGTTACAACTGGAGGAGAAAGCAGGCTGATCGCAATACGTGACTTCAGGACGTTGAGTATGACTTTTGGCCGCCCAGCTGTGATCCCAGATCGATATGTCTGTCTGGATCTTCCGTCGCAGCACATCCAGATACTGGGTCGCACACCGGGAAGTCCGATAGAACAACAAGCGGATGCTAGATTCTTCATCGCCACTATGTAGGTGAGACAGAGCGTTGAAGATGCGGTCAGGGCTGACGAGGTCACGCACGCACAGCAAGCTTTACAAGGTGATGTATCATATCATTGACACCTGCTACGGTCAGAACCTCGGCCTCGATGACGCTTCCCGGGAGTCAGACATTGTGTTGCACGTCCTCGAAGGGAGCCGACACCTTCGGAACTGGAGGGAAGAAGCCGGGACACTCAAGCTGCGTGTGTGGACCGACCCCCTACGACCGTCGGAACTTTCGCAAATGAAGAGAGAAGAGACGGTGACACACAGATTTAACATCGTGATTTCGCTCCGCTACCACAATCTGCGCATCTTGCTGTATCGGCCCATTTTGGAAGCATTCCTGGACGCTCACGGAAGCAGTCGCATGAAGGACTCATCCAAGATGGACGTGTCACACCAGGTGGGTGTCAGCAGCATCTCCAGTTGTGTCGACTCTGCCATGGTTATCATATCCGTGATTCACACGATTGTTACGTCGGAAGAATGGCACCCCAATCTGCTTGGAGCCTGGAACTACTCTGCGTTTTACAGTGAGTCCACTGAAATGACCTCCGTCTTGCCCAACCAGTCAGAGGAGGCTGGCCGCTGATTCCTCACAGCATTTAATGCTGGTCTCGTCTTGTTCGCCACTCTACTTGTCTCGCAGTCCGGAGACGCCCAGCGCTGGGAATTCGTTGAGAGAGCTCCTCAGTATCTCACATTCGCCATCGAAGCGCTACGAAAGCTCGATCCCGGAAATTCGGTGGTGGAACGATGCGTCAATTATCTGTCCCGATTGACCGCACTGCTCGACTCTGGTAAGGTCTCGATTCATCCTCGCAGTGCACGGAGCAGGAATCAAATCTCCAGTGAGGTGACCTTTGTTCTGACATGGCGCTGTAGGTACCGGAGGCATTGACCACCAGCAATCCGGACTATTTGGTCCGGAGCATCCACTGCCGAGAAACACGAATCCTGAGTATCCTTGTATCTCCTACAGTGGTGGCGCCAGAGGTGGTGATCTGCAGTCGACGATACAACACACGTCTAATCAGGGTTTGATGACAAGGGCATACGACTGCGGGGATCTCAATCTCAATGAATTCATGTTGGATACAGACTTGGACTTCTTTTCCAGACCATTTGATTCCATCAGTTGATTCTGGAAACGCCGAAGGGCTACCATGAGTAAGCCCTATGCCTCTCGGCTGTGGCTTGGAGGCTGTAAATCGATATGCGTAATTCGAGACCGTCCTCAACCGTTATTCCCTCTTGATTTAGGTTTGCACTCTGAGAAAATAACATTGTAAAAACTTGCAATCCGCATGTGCTGCAATTCAAGTCCGCTACGATATAGTTTTCTCACCGAGAACAATTTTGGCCGTCTCCTTAGAGCCTATCGCATTCGAAACAGCAGAAGCGGATTATCCATTCATCGTTGTGTTTCATGAGCGCAGAAGGATAGCTCGATTACGTCGTATCGACTTTTGCGTTGGCCAGGCCTTAGCTCCTGCGCGTTTGCTTCAAAAGTGGGAACGTGAGAAAAATGGTACATGTGGCTTGCAACCTTACAGCTTCGAGTACTGAAGCTCGTTCTTTCTTCCAGCTGGCCACCACCATCCAATATACTTGTCAACTTCATGCTGAGTAACGTCGCCGTTAAACTGACTCTTGGTAATATATGCGTCGATGGCCATGTCAGCGTCCCTCTCCGCATCGTAACCATAAACTCTATAGTAGCAGTTAGGGATTGATTCGAGACTCAAGATTTTCAACGGCGACTAACGCGGATGTAGTATCTGGATCCTTCCAGAGGTTGGATGAGTACTTTGCAAACTCGTCTCGCAGCTCAGCCGACATTGCTTTGTTTCGCGCCTGTTATGGGGGTTCGGAGATGAGTACAACGTCTGGTGGAAGTAGCAGAGAGGAGGGAAGTTTACCTCTGTCAACTCTCCCTCTGGGATTTGCCACATGAAGCCGTTCAGATATGAGACCCGCTGCTTCGCGGCAACCTTGTCCATCCGAGTGTCTTCGTAGATTTTGATCGCTTCTGCCAGGCTCAGTTTTCCATCGACGACTTTTGACAACGTCTTCGCAAGGAAAGCACCGTCTTCGATGGCGGTAGCAGCGCCTTGGGCCATGTGATTCACCATGGAGTGGGCAGCGTCACTAGAAAAGAGGAATCAGGACTGTCTCAGGTCTCCACGGCCACAATGAACGCAGCAAGCGCTGCGACAGCCACTTACCCTAGCAACACAACATTTTTCTGGGGCGTCGACCAGGATTTCAGGGGCCCAGTCACAAGCAAAGGCCACCGGCGCGCCTCGGGGACCATGTCTACCACGCGCTTGATTCGAGGGTCATAATCTGCATATCTCTGTCGGAAGTCAACCTCCATGTCGATGTCTTCGGTTTGTTCCACCAGGTGGTCGACGTGGTGGCTGAGCACCATGTTGAATATCGTGGCTGCCGACATTGGATACGAGATGATATACGACTTGGGAGCCATCCAGACCTCCATGGTGACCTTCTTGACGAGTTCTTTGGAGACGGGGTCCTGGCGGATCTGATCGTATGGCACCGTTGCTCGGTAGGCACAGTTACCGTTCGGAGGTTTGGGTTTGACTTCTGGCATAATGTTCTTTCTTATTGCTGAGTTGACACCATCCGCGCCTATGACCAGGTCGAACTCCCACTGTTTTCCCGTTGTCGATGTGACTTTCACTTTTTCGGAAGAGGTCCAATCTATTTTTTCGATGCGAGTGCCGAGAACGGTCTCGACGCCTTCGCTCTCAGCCACCTCTGCAAAGCCCCAGAGCAAGTGCATACGATGAACTGTTTCGATGTTCAGACATGCATTTCCTGGGCCTGTGGAAGGGGAGGGTCCCTACCTGTCCACCAAGGGAAACCAAATTGCCTGCACGTGGGTGTGTTATTAAGTGGACGTTTTGTCTTTGTCATGGAACGAACCCTACCTTCGTACCGTGTCCTTCACTTTGAGATGACCGATGAGCGTTCCATCCTTTTTCCGCAGGTTGAGTTCGTCAAACTCGACAAGGGAATTGCCCAAAACCTGATCCACTCCCCACCGGATGAGGAATCTGGACACGTTGGGGGTCATCTGGATCCCAGCCCCAATCTCCTTGACCTCTTCCGCCTGCTCGAGGACTGTGACCTTTAAACCTGCTTTGGCGACGGCACAGGCGGTGGCCATACCGCCTAGACCGCCACCAACTATTCCGACGTGTAACGGTGGCATTTCGATGATGGTATGATACGCAAGGCTGTTCTTCACCAATGAGCCGTTGTAAAGATCAGTGGATTAGCAGTTGAAATGTGATAGAACATGTTCCGACTTTGTCGCATGCAAAGAAGGGTCTTTGTTATAAAGCTATAACCACATAGATATCCGATAAGATTTCATCCGGATCGTATCCCTTTGATTTCATTGCCATCTTCACCCGACATCCCCGGAGATGGTTCCGCTTCCTACTCGTATTGGCATTTGGCCGCCTCCACATTCGTGGATCTTCAACCAGTTTGGGGCTCCGGTTTGTCGGGGAGAACGGGTTTTTCGATGTCCCCGATTCGTTGGACGGCTCACTGGCTCCCTACCCGCAGTGCACTCCGGCGATATGTAGGTTTGATGCATATATATCCGTACTCGACCATATCTCTCCCAATGCGCACTTTGGATCGCTCTAGGGGAAACAGAAATAAGTCGGGGTGGAGAGACATAGTGGAAGTCGTCTGCACAACACATGGAATAATATTGTGTATCTCCCGTTCCGCTCCCGCCTGCTGATGGGCTTCGGCGGCCAATAGGCGCCTCTTGAAGTAACGTGCTCCCCCGGAAGAGATGCCTGGTTCTACGGGGCTAGGAGGCATGAAGGAAAGACGATCGCCGAGATTGCAAGTTAGCTGCCTCTTCTCTGGCCCAAATTCGGGGAGTCTGCTTCTATCGGCGCCCTGACCGACTTCCCAAGCCTTATGAGCAGCGAAGCCGCGCATTTGTCACTCGGACGAGCTTTCAACGGTCGGGTCCAGAAGCGGACGAATTTGACAATCCGGCCTTGGAGACGGCACTCCCGACTAGTTTTGTTCGGTAAAGTATCAGTCGCTGGGGGGAGTTTTTACCACACAGCCTAGTCGGATATCGACTTTGTAAAACACGTCAAAAATGGTCCGCAGCTCTTCAAAGGACCATTAACTGAGCGTTTGGACGTGCTCAGGCGAGTGACATCCCTCGACCAACTTGGATCATCATCCGGCGATACGATAGGTACCTAAGGGATGTAGGCCTAGGTCAACCTTGGAACATGGGCAAACTTTCAGAACCCGTCAAACATCGATTGATACCCTATGTCTTGACCCAGACGCCGTCGCGAGGCGCCATGGTGATTCCGATACCAAACGTCGTAGCTCCGTCGGTCATATCGTATCGCGTTTCCTCACTAGGCCAACTGCGTCTGTTTGTCAGCTTCATACGAGCAATCTCATCTGGGGCCTCAGCCAGCACGAGGCGTTCGAGACTTTGCAATAGGCGCACGACCAAGTATGACACTGTCATCATGGCCATACTTTCTAAGAATTTCCACCTGGAATTAGCCCATAGCTTTTGCAAGTACTGGCTCAACAACAAAGGACAATAAGAACAATACTCACTACCTAAGCAGACCCGGGGGCCGAGGATGAAGGGTGCAAAAGCACTATCAAAATCTCCCGACATATCACTCTCCCAGCGCTCCGGTCGGAACTCATCTGCATCGTCGCCAAAGATATCCCGTCGATGGTGCATGGCATAGATGTTGAACCCTATCGTGGTCCCCCTGGGGACCAACAGTGGTCTTCGTCCGTCCTCGCCGCCTCCCTCAGGGAGCACGGTGTCGACTCGGGCGGTTCTCCCGTTCATGGGCACGACGGGGAAGATTCTCATTGCCTCATTCAGGACGTGGCGTAGGTAAGGTAGAGCTGACATGTCAGTCATAGTGGGCACCGTGCCCTGTGGGAGACGAGCCTCGATTGCGTCTCGAAGCTTGGTCATCGCCCGGGGATGCTTCACCAGTGCGTACATGACCCAGCTCGCAAACGACGCCGTCGTGTCTCGACTCGCCAAAAGCAACGAGAGGAGCTGGTCCCGCATCACGCCCGTCGACAACTCAGCCTCCTTGGAGACCAGAGACTGCAGGAAGGAAACTGCACCGCCGCGGCCGCCTTCGACTTGTCCTTTTTTCCAGGCTTGTTCAGACAAAGCGTCGGTCAGGTATCGATTGACGAACGCCCGACAGGTGCGACACGATCTTCGGAACCGCGGCGAATCACGAAGCCAGTAGAAATTCAACAGTTGGCCTCGCTGGCCTAGCATGTGCAGCGCGTGGCCCAGAGCCGTCGAGAACTCGCCCGTGCTACCCTTGTCCTGTTCTTCCCCGGACCAGTGCTTCATATCGAACAGCAGCGTATCAGTCGAGTGGCCAAACACGGTCTGCGTCGCGAAGTCGGTGCTCAACTTAAGCAGCAAATCTGCAATGTCAATGGCCTCGCCTTCGTTGTGCGCCTTCAACCTGCCCAGCAACCGCTGCACATGGACTTCGAGCTGGACGAAATCCTGATCGATACTGCGATTGAAATGAGGTCTACATATCACCGGCGACACTCGTCAGATAACTTGGACACACGTACGCAGCGTTCCCGGAGAAGGAAAGGGGTTGGAGAAGTTTGCAAGTGATGGTTGAATGGTAGGGGATCCTCCACACCTTAACATAGCTCGAGACCTTGTCCACTCCCGTCCATCCAGCGAAAGAACACCATGTCCAATCAACGGTCGAAAGTTACCTGCTCGATCGGGACCCAGCTCGTAATCTAGTCGGAGGCATACCTGGAATCAGCTGAATGCTCCTGTGAAGACCGAATGGATGGGCGAAGAAAAGAAAAGAAAAGAAAAACAAAGTGCATGTTCGGACCTTTGAACCGGTACTTGCAAATGGCATGGACATTGGCCGGAGACCGAGTGAGGACCACCAATTGCCCATTGACCCGTTGGGTGTAAGTGTGTCCATGTTTCTCGAACTCCTGGAGCATGAAAGGAGGCAAGCGGCCCACCCGTTCTGCTTTGAGTGTGGGAAGTGCCCTGAATCGAGTAAAAAAGTGTTAGAGTAAGTTACGTATTCAACAACCACCCCAGTTCATTCACACACACGGGTAATCGACCCGCTAGGTTCGTCGTTCCCGTCTCTTGCACATGTGACGGAGCCACTTACTTGTCGAGTCCCAGCGGAGGCCACCATGGGTTGTAAAGGTGCTTCTGCGCAGGTCGACATGCGTGGGCGGCAGCAAAGGCCGCGAGGTCCTGTATCGATCCGACAGGAGCAATTCATCAGCGGATGCTATTATTGGAAGAGGCGTATACAGTGATTGGTTCATGGCTTTCATTCCAGCGAGATCAATAGGAGCGAGCAAGAAGGCAAAAGCCTTTTTGCGGATTTGTATAGACTGAAAAGATCGATTGCATAGACATTAGACATACCTTTGCCCGTCGTCGACGTCGCGTCCAGTACGTCGCAAGAACCAGAATCAGACACAATAGCGCGCCGTAGTAGGCGACTCCTCCTGTCGCAAACGGGGCCCTGGAAGTGATTATTTCCATCGTAGATCACTTGGTGTCATTTCAAAACTTGAAAGTCGACTTTTATCGATCACAAGTTGAACGCAGTTCGTTCAATGCGTTGTTCGAGCTGACTACCTTGTCCCTTCAGCGAGCACCAACATTCTAACAAAAGAGAAAGAGAAATGCGACATGGGTCCATGACTCTCCGACTCCCATCTGGTTTCGCCTAGTCTGTGAGGCTTAGACGAAGAAGCTTGTGAAATTAATGGCTGAATGGTGGTTTCGTGGGTAAAATGGGGCGAGGATTTCGAAGGGGTTAGAGAGTCGCGCCTCTGGCCACCTACGTACTCCGTCCCTAAAGTGTCTCCGCCGAGGCTAGCCCGAGGCTTCACATAGCCACATGTCAATCAATACTCATGAGAAGCATTAATCTACAAACGCTGAAGTACGTCTCGTTATTCATTTTGTCGCGCATTAAGAGCCTGAACCCCCAGCGACTTGAGAGTCATGATCTCCATGTATATGTATGTATGAACGCCAAGCCCTGTCAAGATCCGAACCATCTTCAACCATTAGATCAAGCACTTCTTTCAAATATTATCATCTCAAGACTTTGAACGCCAGGTCCTGTCCGGTCCATATTCTGTGAGAGTCTTCGTCGTCCACGTTGCCGTCATTTCGTGCGCGCATCAAGTCGTGTCATATATGAGGAACCCATCTGCCCCAGTCTACTTGCTCGTATGTTGACACTGGCATGGACCGGAGCGCCAGAAATGATTCTACAAGTACATACATGCGACTCAGCCCGTATAAGATGGCCACTAGGATGGATGCTGGTATCCTCCACCAGGGGACAATGGAATCTCGATCGACTATTCCTTTCTTGGATTTCTGGATGAGCCGATACTCCTGAAAATGATCCATGCCGAACCACGCCACGCAGCAGCCGAGCATGATGATGGATGCGATGCGCCATAGTTTCTGTTCGATATCCGTTGGAAGGGGGATGTTCCAGGCAGCAGCATGAAGCCCTGCGTAGGCGAATGTAATGACTGCCTTGATAACGTTGGTCAGCACTGACTGAATGAAGAACCGAAAAATGCAGTAGGACTCACAACAACAAAAGTCACTCGGTGCTCCATTATCGGAAGGCGGTCGTTTCGGATTCTATTTGGATTACCACCCTTGCTTCCCCAATATCTCCGATATTTATCGGTAAAGGCTCCGGTAAAAGTAGGTTCTCCATCGTCAATAATGTCCAGCTTGGTATATGGTGCAACAAGTTGCCCAGTCTCATCAAGTATCTTGGATTGATTCGAGGGATGAGTCGACTGGTACTCCTCCAACAGATTCCGCTGTCTCCCACCTTCTTTTTGGTCCGTAAAGGTAAGGTCGATGTCGTTAACGGTGTATCCGTCTTTCATTTCCAGCAGGGTATATGTCTGCACATCATAAGGTTTGCGATACCAGGCAATGAAACTGCCCATGGTGCAAACGACGAAAGAGAGAGTCGTGACTTCGAGCACTGTTGTTTCCAGTTTCTGAATCGCTCTGGCGATAACTTCGATGGCAAGCCAGCCAACTTGCATGATGGCCAGAAATTTGGCTAGGCTGTCTGATTTGGAGCGGTCGTTGATTTCGAGAGTGCTAATGGTGGGAAGGTCTATATATCCTTTGCGCACCAGGTAGTTGATGTGTTTCGCATTGACGAGGTAAGGTATCGGGTTTCCCTGCTCCTTGAGCCGGAAGCCACCCATGTTGGCAAAGAAGGCTGGCGTCCGTCAGCGTAAAGCCCCAAAATGACATGAAAACTAACCATGGCGCAAGGTCCATCGTTCGTCGTCTTGTCTCTTCCGCATTTCCTCAAAAGTTTCAGAGCGTTGCATCCTCGGCCGACTCATCTCGATCATCTGAATCTCGTCTCCATCAGTGGCTGGAGGAGAGGGTGGGGTGTTGGTCACGCTGATGAACGGATCGGTGACGGTCTTTAGGAGCGTTATGTTGCCACTTTCTAGGCTCAATTGTGCGTCTTGTTCGGTAAGAATGTCTCTCATCTCACGCCAGCAAGACCGAGCAAACGACCATTGGCCAGCCGCCAACATGGTGACGATCTCCGGTACAATGCAACAGTTACCGACTTGAGCGTTGTCAGCTTCGGTGCAGAGATAATCGTGCTGAGAATTATCCTCACCCCATTTGATTCGTCTCAGCCACAGATCGACGGTACTGTCAGTCCCAGGCGGTGCAGGTACGTTCAGATGAACAGCTGTCCACACGCAGATGAAAACTGTGAACTACAACAGGTCAACAACACCGCTCAAGCGTAGGCCGACTGATGGATCGACGGGTGAGCAACTGAAACGAACTCACAAGACACGCCCAGATGATATCCATTGTGCCTCTACCGTTCGGAGAGTCCTGCCATGGGACGAACTCCTGGGTGCGGTTGACATGCTGGGCATAGCTAGGCGTGAGCAGCAGACTGCTGCCAACAGCAAGGTGCAAGGCGTTCCTCATGAGTCCATGTTCTGTGAACTGGAGGGGAACTGAAGCTGATCGTCGGCATAAAAGGCGAGGCAGGATGAGCGCTATTAAAAGACGCTTCGACTCCTCAAGCGATCTGGCGGCCAACTGCGACTCCGCTAGATTTCACCAACTTCGTTGTCACACAAGCGGTAGCTGAAATACGACGGGATACAAGAGACTCCGTATTTGGGGCCTAAAGAGTTTGCCAAGGGCCAGCTTCAGGCCCTGCAAGGGTGGGTGGTTCAGGATCCAACTCTTCATCAGCCTTGAAGATCTATGAACTTAGGTCTGTGAGATGGAGATCCTGATTTCTGGTGCCGAGTACCGACTACCCTGTACAAGCAATGCTTGTATGCAGAGTTCGTGGACAGAAAAACAATCGAAACGAAGCCCCAAGAAAAATGAAGGAGGGCGACAGGAATTCGAAGCGGAGACTGAATCTGGTCGCAAACCCTGCTACGAAAGCCGAAATGGGCCATATCAGCTCAAATATGCGGCTGGGGAATTGCATTTATCCCGCCGTGGAGAGCCTTATCGCGTATACAAACCGAGCCCACCATCACGAACAGGGTACCACCAACTAAAGGTCATTTCCGGTTTTTCGAAAGATGCAGATCAAGAGAAGGTGTGAAAGTATGCACTTCATGCCTTGAAAGCGTCTGCGGTGACTATGTCGCAATTTGTTATTGAGTCTTCTCACGCCGTAAAAGCCAAGTTTTCAGCCGCCTGGAGACTTTGCAACAATGCTGAAACGATTCAAGCAGGAACCTCTTGACTCCGCGCCACTTATTACTGTATGGCAGCTCAACGTCAGGCCCGGCCCGTCTCAGTGATCGAGATTCGGAAACCTTATTCGACAGTCATCGTTGGTTCAAGGCGGCAACAAATACAGAGAGAAGGGGGGTGGGCGGGGGGGGAGTCTGCCAAGGAGCGTCGTGGGGAGTCTCTGCATCACTGGTCTCTAAAGTACTCGGCAAAATCTACCTAACAATGGTGTTGTAACGTTTCCAACGCAGCCGTACCTTGTAGCGTTGGCGGTTACGGATACAGCAGCTTGATAAGGTTTTGGGCCATTCTCCAAGACATATTGTAGGTTAAGGCTACAGCTCGCTTCACCCGGCCGATACCCGGTCAGAATGGGGGTCAAGAGACATATAGCGTAATGCGTAGGTGCTATTGTTACGATTGTACATGCTTCTGAATGATTCTGCAGAGCCGCAGCAACCATCATCAACTTTTGACCCTGTCGTCGGCCAGGGGGCGTTAGCCATGCACCAACAAGGTGCACTACTAGTCAACTAGGCGCCAGGCCAACAATAGCAGCGAAGTCCTTGATATGTGGCCCCCCAGCGGTACAGGACGTTGACGTTCGTATTCGATTTGTATTGTCTGCTCGACTTCCCACTGCGAATTCTCTCGTCAAGTCCGGTTCGTCTCAAAAATGAAAGGTTCGCCCCACGTCGTCCTGATTGTCAGTAGCTCGCACACCGAGCCTGACAATATTCAAGCTCTCAATGGTCTCAAAAGTCAACCATAGGTCGGCCGCCTAAGTCCCCAGCTCATCCTGTGTATGCTTCGACGTGCCAAACATCCATAGAGACTATCCACGCAGGTATGTCGACCGTCTAGCACAAAATGGGTCACTAGTACATGTATTGTAATATTTCCATTCACCCACTTTGAATCGTTCTCTCTTTGTCCAATCTTCTATGTCATCGAGACCTTCCATCATCCACCACCCACTGTTGTGTCTTGCGTAACAAGATACAAATTGTCAGACAGCATACCAATTCTGCGACCGCTGGCCATCCGCCATTCCCTAGACCCGATTCGTCCCGACTATGCCTACCGCTGCGCTTCGGACGAGACCACGCCAATCGCGAGAGGCAGGTCAAAGCCCTCATGGAGCCGTTGAGGCGACATGAGACCTTACGCGACCTCACACTATGCTCTCGGGAAGGAGTCATTGCAACATGGAGGACAAGATGTTCACCCGCAATTTAGCAACCGAACAGTGCCTGTGTTTGACTCGACGGGATCAGGAGGTCTGTTTGTATCGCCCTTTTACTCGTCTTTCTTAGGGACCTCGGTGCTCGGGTAAAGGTAACGCCACAATGCCTTTGTCCAAAAGATTGTCTCCATGGTACCTAGGACTCCAATTGCGGCCATGACGGTTATCCTGACCCCCCGAGACGCACCAAGACCAGCGAAACTGAATGAAGGATAGGATGGGTTGTCCTTGGGCTCGCTCCCTTGCCCGCCGGAGGTAGGTTCCTTTCGGCTTGTGAAGCGCATTTGCGGCTTGAACAACATGGCTTTTGGCATAGGCTGTCGCCACGGCCTGAGGGAGGTAGCGAGCGTGCCGGGGAAATGAATGTACATTGAGAGAGATCTTGGAACAGACATAGTGCCTTTGTGATGTGGTCGGAAGCTTCAAAGATGTTTTTCTAGACAGTGTCTCTCAAGCCAAATACGAAAAGCGAAGGAAGACTTAGAGGAGGTGTTGCAAGACTCGGGCCTTATGTATCTCTGCTTCGCTTACCAAGATCGTGGGTTTTCTGGCACCATATTTGAAAGCAGCACCAATCGGTGTGCACCAGAGTCATCGGCTGCAAGCAAGATCCATCCATCCATCCAACTAAGTATCAATGCGCCTCGATGTAGAATTCACTCTTCTGCGTCCCCTTCACGAGTACGACCTTAGCGGTAAATTTAGCTTCAGCGTTGGCGGGACGGAGCTCCATATATTCGTACTCGTATCCGTGTTCGTAATCGTATCCGGATTCGTTCGTAAAACGTCAACAACGAGCAAGGACCCTAGAACCTCGTCTCCCTACCGAATTGTTTCTTACTCCCGAGATCAATGCTCATGCTTAGCATCAGTAACAACCTAATGATCGCCCCGTAATTGCCAGAAAGGTATACCGCGGTCCGTTCATGGTTGTCTCAGACTCATTTGAGTGCCTGGTATGGCTTGTTCTCGGGGCGGTGGTCTCCAGATATAGTCTCTGCTCGGTTATGGCCTTGCCCACACTGCTGCAGAGCTAACGCTCATTACCGATGTCGTTTCTTGCCGTTGTCTGGACAGTAGGCAATCTTTGTTGAACTGCAGGATCATGCAAGATCAAAGAGACCAGGCCATGGTAGACTTACAAACCTCAAGCAGGATCCTTCACGCGGCATTTCATCGAAACCACATCAACAGAATCATACAGAACGAAAACCCGTCTTGTGTCGGGAGGGTATGGACTACGGTTCAGCAGGCTTTGACACATACCCCGCAAGCCACCGCGAGACAGGAAGAACGACTACGTCTAATTCTTGGCTTCCATCTCACATCGGTTCAAGAAGAGCAGTAAGCTCAGCAAAGTGGTCAGTGTCAAACAGATTATCCATCTGCACGTTATTCCATTCCCCAAACGGGCCCAGTCCCAGTGCAATGTCGAACATGTCGATACTGGGAAGTGAAATGGTATTTTCTTTCTGTTGACCATGTATTAGTAACTCATGCGACGATTCTTTTGGATCAAGCTACTCCAAAGAGATCGCTGTGGCTAATCAAATTCACAGTTGAACTCACCAGAGAAAAGTCCATACCGGGCCAGGCTTCCACTCCACTGTTTGCCCAGTCCCACTGCAGCTGGGCGGGAGAGGTCTGGCTCGAGAGAGGCATCTTAGGAGTTTGATACCTGGGATCTGACCGTACCCTTGGGGCTCTCGCGTTTTGTCGCGCCTCATGCACGACCTGTCGCGCGCGACGATCAAGCTCTGAAGCCACCACATTCATGCGTTTCATTGCCATGAGAGTCGAAGCCTCGCTCATTCTGTTGAGAATACCCACGGCAGAGCCCGTAAGTTGCAGATCTGAGTCCACATTCTCGTCCAGTGGAGATTCAAAGACGTTGGCTTCGAGAATTAACAGAGCTGAAAAGTAAGCGCATCCGTTTGCCCTGTAGTCAGTCGATCAGTCAAAGACTCGAGTGGGATGGGGGCTGTAGGGTGCTTACCATACACTGCAGTCGCTAAGAGACATTTTGGAGATCATTACCATACAATTTCTGCTCATCAACACGCAGTTTCGCCAGCCTCTGGGTAGTGGTGGCGGTGTTGGTGTCGTCAAGTTGGAGTTCTGCCCATTCGCGGCAATGCTAACATCAATATTGTCATGCCTGGTGGTTAGGCGGCTGCGCCACTCCGCATCAAAGCTCCAGATCCCGTGAATCATCACTAGACATCCGAGGTATGAGAAATGCATCATGCACAGCCAAAGAAGAGCTGCTCGATTGACATGATTGACAACGACGTTTGCTTGCAATTCGGGTGGGACGGTCCGCCTCCACTGCTCTAGCTGGTTGTGAAGGAACGCGATCCGGGCTCGACGTTCCTGTGGAGTGATCTTGGTGGCTTGCGTGGCAAAGAGCAGGTCGTACACTCGGCCTTGGATATAAGCCAGCCTTACTCGAAGCCGGAAAAAATTGACACTGGTTCGGCCATCAGTTGTATGGACGATTCCAACATCGTCAGGTGGATGCTCTGATGGCAGATCTACGTCGATGGCGCCATCGGCCTGCACCGAAGGAGTATGGTGTCGCAGACAGATGTCCTTGTCAAAGATATAGGTAATCCAAAACACGCGGCTGCGTTGGAGCATCTCGTCCACAGACAGAGAGTCTTGTCCTTCTCGAATGTGGAGACGGAGGCGGTGGGCAAGCCGCACGGCCATGCCTATCAACACTACCGCTGGGCGGGAGTCTTTGAGCGCGTTGAAGATGATGACGAGACCTATGATGACCTGCAGGCCCAACAGCTCAACCTCACCAGTGACGAGCTCGGCAAGGACAGACAGGGCGTTGTTGACGTTCTTTGCAACCTGACTATCACCAGGACCCAAGTCGAGGTCGTTGGAGGGTGATGCTGGAAGACGGGCTGCCAAAGCCAGGACAACGTTGATCGCTGCCCACGCTGTTCGGGGGTATCGAGAGTTGAATGAGTAGTAGTCTTGCAACATGCGGAGAAAGGTTGATTGCGAGAACAGTGGGATGAGCGAGTTCTGGTGGGCAAAATAGACCTCGATTGCGGGCTGGATCGTTGTCAACGGAGGGAGGCTTGGATACGAGCTGTCCACGATGGGTACTGGCTCGTCTGCGGCCAGATCATAGTCTGATGAGATGATCTGCTCGGAAGATGGAGGTAGGCTCGATTGCTGTTGGGACAGTAGTTGGTTGACTTGGTCTAGGTTGATGTGATCGAAATCTAGTATATACTGGTCCGGATGATATTCTTCCGGCAGAGACACCTGTGGGGGTTCGTGGTGTTGATATGCAGCTGTTGATGTATCCTTCGAAGACATCCCTTTTATGAACTGATCCATGCGCAGTTCCATTTGGTTGAGCCGCGACTCGACATTGTCAATCCGACTGACTTTCTGTGAGTGGGACTTCCAATGCTATATCGTCCAACTTACTCATTGGTATGATTGACTCGTTCAGGAGACACCCAAGCTGAGCTTGTAGACTGTTTGATCCGACGAGTCTCGGCAGAACCCATCCTTTTACGGACCGTTGTCGTGCGACATTCTGCCTTGTAGAGCTGACAGTTCGAACACGTCGGCCTGAGCATGTCACATTTTATCTTCTTGAGGGAGCAAAGATCACAGGCTGCGTGGTATGCCACGGTCAGGAACGAGGCCTTTACATCTGCTGCGTTGGGTACCTTTTCGTCTGTTGACTTGATATGTCACCTCCATGATCTCCGACCAATTCTCATCGCTCATTCCAACAAACCACGATTAGGATGCCTTTTCGCTTCGATACATGATTTTGCTTCGAGTTGTGTTGTCCTGTATATATAAATCATCAAAACTGGGGATTCCCATTGCGGCCATCTCACGAGTCTGCAGCAGAACCAGCTGAAGCTCTCTCAAATCTCTTCGGACATCACCTGTGCCCAGAAATTAGGCCACCACCCCGGACGTCGAGATACCAAACGGCCCGTCGGACATCTGACTAATCCGAATTTTCATTGTGGCAACATTGAATTCCACCTGTCTGGATCTGGGTCTATTTTCAAATCTGAACAGTCTTTATTATTTGTTATTACAATCACTCTTCCTGCCCGGCAGCATTATCCAGCCAAGGAAAACCGAAATGCTGTTGTCCAGTTATAGGTCTCCAGAAGAGTCGTATGGGACTTTCTCGGCAGACACGCTCACAAACCAAGGGACTTCCTTGTCAGGATCATCCGCTGCGGCCGAATCGTGAACTTCTATGTCCCGTTTGAAGTTCTCGATGTCATTTTCGTCGCTTGGGTTAAGCGGTCGGAAGCCGAAAGCCACTTGACGCAGCTGAACACCCTCCAGGGCGTTGCTCAGCGCGCTGTCGTTGTCAAACGGTGGGACCGGCTTGACCAACCTTACCATTGAGCAGATCTCGCGCAATCCATGGCTCGTGAGCCGATGGGCGAGCGATGCCGACTGCCTCCTCGACTGTAAATCCGCCGTCTTGAAACTCCAGTCACGCCGACAGTGAAGGATAGTGAGGTCCTGACACGAATTCCCTCGGCGACTTGCGCAGGCATCCTCATCCGGGTCGTCAGCGAGCCCCCGTACATGTCCGTTCGCTTGTTGGTGCGCGCGATGCGAGGAATTGGGAGAGGACATAGCCGTGGGCAGGCACCGTGTGGTTCCACTCCCGTCGAACCCTGCTGCTTCCAAGTACCCAGCCGCGTACACGAACCCGTTGATCAAGAAATCGATATCTCCCTGGGTTGCATCGCAGGTTTTGGCGAAGGTGGCAGCTACTCATAGGTGACTGATCAACTGACCGTGTCAGCAGTTGTTCAACGCATCCAAGGAACGGTGACCCGATACTTCGACAAGATCACCTACCGTACGGTACAACAGACGGCGCGATCACCGTCTTTCGGGCAACAGAATCCAGAACCTGACGCCCGGCATCGGAGAGTTGTGCGATCATGAGAGAGCATTTGGCCTTTCTCACCAACCCAACATATTGAACGCCTCGAATCGTGACCTGTAACAAGGGTGTGGTTCGTCGATGATCAGGTCACCCGACAAATGGGGTACTGCGGAGCTGATTTGGATGTTGACTGTAATGATGATGATGCCGAACCCATTCTCTGACTTACCAAACCTAAAGACTGGCAGTCATCTGTTGACCCCCGCGATGTAGTCGGACTAGTCTTGTGAACCTACACATAGATACGAATAATAGGCGTACTCGCCTTTCATACAACTCGATGGTCTCGTCGGTGGGGATCCCACTGGCTTCGGGGTCGTTGATGTCCCAACTGGCGAGCGTTTCTCTCATAGAAGTCTTGAATAGCCGGTTGCACGCCGTTTGGTTGGAGAATGGAAATGTGCGAGGCTTCCGTGGCGTCCTGTATTGATTTCATTTGTTGTTCTCTCACCGTCCCACCGTCATTATGGATTGATTATTCTCTGAACTGTGTAGCTTTAGTCTCAGTTGGTCCTTTTTACAGTGGTTACTTGTGAGCTTGTCCACTATTCATACTAAGAGAGCCAGTTAAGACACAGCATGTCTCCGACGTTGCTGAGACCACAGCATGATGACGTTATATATCTCGACGAAACGCAAAGTCCTATAGGATTGAGGCTTTTGATTCTTAGACCATTAGTGCTCCGGTGCAGGTACATTGATAAATTCCGTATAGTCCGTGGAACTCCTCAACAAGTCAGCCCGTGGGCAGTGGTAGTCCTCGTTTAGCTGCTTCTTTTACGGAGAAGCGTGATCTAACATATGCTATGCTTCTTACATAAGCTATCTAGGACACTTATACTGTAAGATGATGTATGTTACATTTTCCCGGCTGACAGAATATCACAGGATTCGCAAGACTAGGATACTTGCCATGAAGTTGTAAAAATTCACTGCGCTCCGTAAACTACCGCACGCGGTCACAGGGGCGTGCGAATACGTCAAGTTCCCTAATGATCCCCAGCTTGCCGAGTTCCGTGGAGTAATGCGGTGTTATACGGAGGTCCCGACCAATGAAGCAGTCTCGTTTCTTTCGATCTAAACTCAAAGAATGATCGACCATTATACTCATCAATAGTAAGTCAGCAAAGCAAACTTGGCAATCGATCATGTATTCCCCTCTTTCGCATGCATAAATGGTGCTGTGATATTTCTGATGGTTTGGCGAGGGCTGAGTCGCTTCTTACGACTTACAGGTAATATTTGCCCTAGATACTCAGCAGGTCGCTTTGGAAGCTATCCCAATCACAGTCCAATTTTATAAACTCACCAAAAAATGGGTGATTGCATACCGAAAACGACTCCGTTGTGGAGAGTGACAGGCTACAAGGGGTTTGACTCCCTCAAATTCATAGAGGAGCCTGTGCCTGAGCTTGGCGACAGTGAGGTTTTAGTCAAAAGTGAGTGCAGCTGTATCCTGTCGGAGACAATTGCTGACAGTAACGACTTCAAGTTCGTGCTGCATCCTTGAATGTAGAATGATGTTCTGTCTTCTGATTTCCTCATCGGCAGGCCTAACGTTTCTTAGTTTCGCGACATCATCATCCCTTTGGGGAAATACCCGTTCACCCAAAAGCCGAATGTGGTACCGGGATCAGACGGGGCGGGGACTGTTCTTGCAGTCGGAAAGAATGTGACTCGGTTTCGGGCTGGGGATAACGTGGTCACAATGCTCTACCAGCGGCATTGGGCTGGGTCCCTCGACGCGGCCGCCGAAGACTCGGCCCTCGGAGGCTCAATTGACGGCACACTGCGCTCAATCGGGGCTTTCGATGAGGGGGGACTTGTCCGAATGCCCCAAGGTCTTACCTTCCTTGAGGCCGCAACCTTGAGCTGCGCCGGGGTCACTGCCTGGAACGCTCTCTTTGGGCAACCAGGCAGGGAGCTTATGGCTGGCCAATGGGTGCTGACCCAAGGTACTGGGGCTGTAAGTGCTTTCGCCCTGCAATTTGCTAAAGCCATTGGTGCTAGAGTGATCGCCATTACCAGTTCGGACGCAAAAGCCAGGTTCCTTCAAAAGCTTGGTGCCGACCACATTATCAACTACCGTGAGGTGCCCAACTGGGGCGAGAGGGCCAAAAGTGTCACAAACGAGAATGGGGTGGACCTAGTTGTGGAGGTTGTCGGCGCTGCCACCCTGGAGCAGAGCGTGGCCAGTCTCAGACTCGACGGGACCATGAGTGTGGTTGGATTTGCGGGTGGCGAGCCTGAGGGAGTGGAAGTTCCGAACTTGTTGAGCGTCTGGCTCAAACACTACACAGCGCGAGGAATATCAGTCGGTAGTCGGCTACAGATGGAAGCCATGGGACGCGCCGTGGAGGCAAATATTGACAGTCTACGGCCTATCGTCGATTCGAGAGTGTTCAAATTGGCAGAGCTCAAAGAGGCGTATATGTATCTACAATCCGGAGCGAACATGGGTAAGGTGTGCATCGATATTGACTGATCCTGTGGCAAAGCAGATGTTGAAGATTGTCATGAAGTGACATCATTACCCTCATGTTTCTATTGTTCTACAAGTACCTTGGAGTCTGTATACAGCTCGTGGCATCCTCGGCTTTACTCACCTAATCCCCTTCTCTTCGTCTGGTTGCGGTTGCAAGCGATACAAGGTCTCCTCAGTGCTCCGTCACTTACCCGAGTAAAACGGGCTTGCTGCTTTTGATGAGCCTTTAAGCATGAGGTACGCGAGTGGAATTTCTCATTCCCAACAATATCAAATAACTGGAATCCCTGCTTACCGACGCTTGAACGGGAATTGTCTCTCTATTAATATTCATCAGACCCTACCGAGACTCGCCGTCAATGCGACCCAGTCATCCCCTCCCCGAGCGTCGAGATCTGGGTAAGGTCAAGAGCCTGTTGGATGCGCGCCGGGTTCAGATAGCCGAGCATCGGAAGATAGAACGAGCACCGGTCCTGCACGATCACGCTGATATCGAAGACGCTCCTCTAGCGAGCTAACTGTACGTGAAGAACCCGCCCGGAACACAACTCACGTTGTTCAGCTGAAGACAAGACCATCATGATATGGAATGCGACGATAGGGGAGGTAGAGCAGACACTAACTGGTCACTTGGACTGACACTAGCTCTTCCGGCCTTCTGCCAGAGTAAAATTCCGGGTATGGCTGTGAAAGCTGCCCGTTCTATCCACTAGTGTATCTGATGACAAGTTTGAGCATATTGTTGGATTAGAGGATTCTACAGATGCTCCGAGAGCAGCATTCTCATCCCACCAACATACGGAGCGTTGGAAGGTTTTGGTAATCTAGAATTTTGTGCAGAAAAAGGCCGGGTTTCAATGTAGAAGAAGTGTTGCCTGGACTGGGACAATGTGTTAGCACCGCTCGTCGAGAAGGTCAAACAAGCTGTCGTCAGCAAGGTGAGAGCGTTCTAGCAGATATCAACCCTGTAGTATTGCGAGATCAGACCTGCATGTTCTGTCGGGACTAATTCTGGCTTGATGGTGACATGAAGATGGTTAAGCTCATCGGATTCATGAGTTTGTCGGTCTTGGTAGTATCTCCAGGGAAGCGTTTCCCTCCCAACGTGGTACTTAATCCATATCGACTGGGCAAACTCAAGCAACGAAGATGGTACGGCACAACTGAACCCGGCACACCAAATTCGACCATGATCCATACCAAAGACAAGAATGAAGGCAGTCTTTTGTGTTTTCGTGAACATCAAAGCAGATCCATGAGTAGCGACAACAACCATTGGAGGAAGCGAGGTGTGATTGTCACAAATCGATTCTGAGGTCGAAGAAGACATTGCGATAGTAAAATCTGCGAAATGGACAAGCCTATCCCGATCCAACATCGGCTGTAGAACCGCACGGTGATATGGTAGCAAACTTGCCTTCGGCTCACCGAGGGTCATGATCACAAGGTCACTTTGAAGGTTCCTCACCATTGCATCTCCGAGGAATACAATTTCTCTCCCTTGACATCGTGACCAAGCTCCTGCGTATGCGGTGCTGTGTAGGACATGGATGCCGATATGCCTATCCTCACGCCGACAATTCAGAACAGCTATGAGCGACTTACTAACGGACTTTAGCTTACTAATGCGAATTGGAGGATGAGGTAAGGTCGCAATTGCGAGACGCATGGATAGTCCCACGTTGGAGACCGTAATTGTCACATCTTCTGGCTTGGGCATTGACTGAAATCTGGTGTTGTTTTTGTGAGGGCCTTGTACGATAGAGCGCAGGGTAAAGCATGCTGGAGACTCTGCGAGCATGTCACAAGGATTGGCCCTCTGCACGATTCTTCGTTCGGGAGAGTTCCACGCAAAGATCGAGTGGTCACCGGACTCGGACACAATCTGGAGTTGTAGACGTCGGAAAGCCTTCTTCCCTTCGCCGTAAAGAAGTGGCATGTTGACGTCGAATATGCCCAAAAGACAATATGCAATGTCTTCCACTCTGGTTGTTTCCCTCTGGTGAGCCCAGAACATTCTCTCGGCCACGCAATATTGGTGGATGGTGGCCGGGCACGCTAGGGCACTTTGTGGGACACCTGTGATCGCGTTCAATTCATCCAACAATCCCACTTTTGAGCCGATCTCCATCCAGTTTTGATCGAAAAAGACGACATGGAGCGGCGCGAGTAGTTCTTGCAGTGTCCACCCACGAGTGAACCATCTTGAACCCCTCATCCCACTATTGTGGCGGAGGTCGACATCCTCGAGAAAGGCATAGCAAACATGGGCTTTCGAATACCACCGAAACATTGAATTTATGGCTTCCGAGAGCTCCGCACTCGACCGCTTATCAATGCAGCATGTGTCGACCCATGCATAGTCTAGGCTGGCCCCTTTCGCCTGAGCACAGAATTTAACGATCTTCCCATACCCTTTCTTCGTTTCGGATGTAGGGGTACCGATATCCTGAAATAGAACCTCCTCTTCCCCCCAGGTGTGTGAGAGAATCGCGTACGGTGGAGGAGCACCCTGAAATTCATGCAGGTCTAACGTCGTAGTATGTAGGAGCCGCATTTTTCTCGGTCTTGATGTTCAGTTCTCTCAATGAGAGGGACGCAGCCTAGCGGCTCGAAGAGGCGAAATAGCGGCGGCAGCAACAGTAAGACAATGGACTATGATGAAAATGAGCATGCAGACAGCGTTCCAACATTCGGACAATGGTGGTCTAGAAGAGCCATGAGTCTGTCATTCTGCGGCGATGTTTGTATATTTGGCCGTATCATATATTTCGGTCGATCATGTACCTTTCACCCGCAGTGCCATCACTTCAGCCATTCTCACCACAGTGAATTCACTGCCATGTCTCTATTGAAGAATCGAATATTTCTTTATTCAATTCCAACTCTGGCTTGATATTGTTCCACATGTCACTCGTGAAAGCATATCGACACTCATGTTGCGGAAGGTGAGGAATAATCTGGTAGAGAATGATTCTGATCCTCCCCCTTCTTTGCATCCTTCTCCCGGTGGTCTCACTTTTTCACAGCCTATCCCCATTTCGCGATCCGCGATCTCCTTGACGCTGAAGCTAGCCACCAAGATGAGTTTTGACTTGAATGCTGACAATCCTGATGACCCGTTTGGAGTCTTTGATGATGAACTTCCTGATGATGGCATGATGGAGGACGACGATAACGACTCTAGCACTGATGATCACGAAGACGATGAAGATGAAGATGATGAAGACTATGAGGATGATGAGGACGACGAAGATGATGATGAGACATCACCAGGTCGACTTTTGGAAGACCTGGAGAGTGAACTGAACCTCTTGACCCTCGATGCTGAAACGATCCTCTCGCGCCAGCCTCGAGCGACGCAACTCCAAATGACCGTTAACACGCGCAAAATCTTCGAAGACTACAAGCAACATGGCTCAATGGCACGGCTCAAACGTGGCATCGAGCAGTTCTTCGCGCGTGAGGACGTCCGTAAGGGAAAGAAGCTAGAATACGCGACTCTAGAAGAGGAAGAGGCCAACACTGACCCAGGCCATTTTGGCGAAGTGTTCATGGTCAACGACACGGCCGACGATGACGTGCCGAAGTTCGTCGACGGTGCCACCCGCACTTACAACACCATCTACGGACCCAGATCGAAAGTCAACAAATTCCACAGCGTGGACCCGGACTACGCCGCCCTCGTCGCAACCATGCCCTGGGACCCTGTTGCAACCGTCCTCAAATGGCCTGGCGCGACGCGCTGGCTTCCCGGAGTCCTCGGCGGCATCGACAAGATCTTCAGTCTCGTCGACTACGAGTCGCGCGTGCGCCTCTTCCACCACGTGTCAAGGTACGGCCCGTCGCCGATCTTCCGGCTCGGCATCACCGAGCACGTGCGCAGCCTGTACTCCACCATCCTCGAGACGTCACACGACAACTACCTTGGCCTGACTCCGGAGACGCGGACGTTTCTGCGCTCTGTTTTTGGGTCCATGCCTGGCAAGCCCAACGCAGTCGAAATCACGATGCTCGCGCAGACGTGCCGGATTGGAGAAGACTCGGTGAGGATCTTCTGGGAGGACTTTTACACATCTCGACGAGGATACACTGCGATGAAGATCTTCATGACGGCGAGGGAGATTGAAAAGTCCAAAGAAGCATGGGCAGTGAATCATACTGCTGGCCAACATCCTGTGTGGAAGCACTTTAAGAAGCGGGAGGGCCAACAGCAGGGACATCAGACCATCCCAAATTCACTGCGATGAAGGATGGCAACAGGCATACCGGGTTACAGAGAGGGTTTCACAACAAGGAATCCGTCCACCCTGTGCAAATATGATGCCGGGGTTCCTCCAACAAGCCTCTCAAGCAGTAGTGAACGAACGAGCAAAAGACATTGAATTGCTACATGGATACTTCATGATGCACGACTGTTCCTGTAGCGCCTCTCTTGTCGTTTAGCCATTACCATCGTTACGTCGTGCACAGGGTCACTCTCTCGTTTAGTTGTTCGTAAGTTCGTCATATCTGGCGGGAATACCTCAGGTAGTTAGGCAACCATCGTAGTCTGTTGGGGAGGATTTCGGGTGCTACCGCCAAAAAGGTTGTCGATTCAACCTCTGGTGATTGAGGAGAAGGAGCAGATTGCAAGGCGCGATAATCATTCCTCTCCAATCCAGTTGCCGCGCAGTGAGCAATGGGCCATGTCGGGTTAATGGAAGGCTTCACAACACAATAAGATGCTGAGGACATGGCTTTTTCCACCTCTTATTTACCTCGTATCCACCTCTTATCCACCTCTTAATATCCCGCGACAAGGACGTACTCTCAAAATGCTTGTCCGTTGCCAACTGACTTATCCACCATACTTCTTCCTTCTGTGTACACTTCCGACCTATACTGCCACATTACAGGTCACTTCTTCGTGTCTGAAGGGGGTGGTGCATCGGGCATTTCAGGCCCTTCTTTGGTCTTGAGGACGTGTGTGGATGCTTGAGCCTGTGCCGTCGTTGGTTTCCGGCCGTAGACTACAGTGCTACTTTGTATGTCAGCAGCGTCTTGAATATCAGAATTTTGGGACGAAAATCGTACACGTCCTGATAAGCATGGATTCTCGGGTTGCGCAGGCCGGCTCTCATTCGGGACAGGTAGACTTGGACTTCTGCTGGCGCCCACTGTCACATCACACCGCAACACGTCAGTATTCCATTCACAGCTGGAAAACGGGGCCGCAGCTTGGGCAACCACATACACCAAGAATGCTTGTCAGTAGCATCATCGTCCACGCTTCGATGCCTTCTTCCCATTGGAGCCGATTGACTCGTCCGAGCTCTTTCAGGCGATGGTCTCTCGGCCAGCTGCCGACAGGTACATGGAAGCGGCGTTCAGTCACGTCTTCGAAGCCAGCGTCGCGCATGTGCTGCGCCGACTCGTCGCATATGCGGAGGCTTTTACCAAATGCGTCCCCAGCCTCCAGCGACACTTTGCCCCATTCTTCGAAGATTGTACCGTCGACGGTCCCGTCTTGGGATTTCGGCACTACGGACTGTTCGACTTGTTCGACATAACCCCCTGGCTTGAGGTTCCTGCCTTCAATCAGCACTCTGATGTACGTGTATAGGTAGGATGTCAAGTGACATACCTGTATACTTCCTGATAGAACGAATCCCAGCGGGCTACGCTGCCATAGAGACCTCGGACATGAATGAAGTCGAAGCTGGCTTCTGGAGCAAAGATCCATTGTTCGCAGCAGTCCTCAACCTGTTCTGAGTCAGTAATCTGTTGTTGAGAGCCTGCAGTAACAATAATCACAGAGGGACTCTGACCTCGAAAGACAAGTTTGCTGGAACAAGGGTTGGCTGGATAGGGGAAAGGTCCGTCCCTATCACGATAGACTCTGGATGTTGATCGGCAAAGTCGCTACATATAAGAGTCAACAGCTATGCGCAGCCTCCGAGAAATGAGATGTCGGGATTTTCAGACATTGCCCATATGCCCGTGCCCGTGCCAACATCTAGAACACGCTGAGATAGGGTAAGCTGACGCCCTCTAAATCCTCGGAAAATTCCAAAAATACCTGTGGAGTGGGCCCGATCGGAGCCTGATACAATTCGCCATCGAGCAGTAACTTGTACAGATGGTGCCTGTGACAGTGAGCCGGGGGTTAAAGCAACATTGATGGCCCGTGTACCCTATGTCAAGATGTTCCATTGCCTGCTCGTCATTGGGGCCCCTAGGGAGGTTGTCAACAATGCCTTCAGCCATCGTCTGTGACACTTAGGTCCACTAACCAGTAGGAGCCGGCGTGGTAGGCGTGATACCGTCTTCCATTCTCGTAGCGATAATTGTAAATGCTGCTCCTCAGCGAGGCCAACTCCCTGTTATGATAAAATAGCGGGTGAACGGTTTGTAAACGGTAGAGAGAGAGTGCTTGTTGGATGGAGATCTGAGTAGGCACACTTACGAATCGCCGTCGTCGTCACCAAGAGCAGAATCATCATCGAAGCCGATATCCTATTCCACGAATGTTCAGGACTCTAGTCCCGGCCAAGGAGATTCCTTTCTCGCTTACCACTGGAATATGCTGGGCACTTTCGGAAGGGTTCTCGTCAGCCATCTTGAGCCGTCAACCCTTTAGACGGTCACAATACTTGGAACAGCAAAGAATAATCACGGATCTGAAACGGCAGGACCAGCGGCATCGATACTTGTATAGACGGGATGAATTACGTACATGTCGACAAAAGGACGGGGTAAAGATAACACTACCGGCAAAGATACTTTGTGCAAGCGCAGCAGTGTGAACTTTCCGGAAGCCGGCGACAGCATCAAGCCAGTTGAGTCGACGGAAAACACTTGCGGGAGGCTTGAAAGGAGGACAGACCACGGCGCATGTTGTGGTCAGGATGGTGTATGAGTGGTTCTGATGCCCACGTAGCGCAGGCGGGGGACGAATTCCGGCTGCGGTGAATACGACGGCGGCAGATCGACTGGGTTAGAACAAGCATCGATAAGTCCCTCGTAGTCTCGTAGTCTCATGCACCAGGGATGATAGGGCTCTCGGTTGCGCAGAGAGTCCGCCGTCGATTGTCCAATTCCCTGACTACCGAGTCGAGAAGCTGAACCTGCTTTTGTCTGCCCACATCCTCTCTCCGTCCTGAAACGCCCTCGCGTTTCTCTTCCTTTCTTATTTCCACAGCTGGGGCCAGGATATCGAGATCCCTGTCAATTGCTCAACCATGGCCGTGACATCAACTTTTGACTCGCTCGCCAATGTCGTTGCTCCGTTCGGCATCGTCCAAGGCTGTGTGACTTTGGTGCTGGCTGTCTCTGCATGGGTGGTGCTACATGCCACCTACAACGTCTATTTCCATCCATTGGCTTCCTGTCCAGGCCCTCGGCTTGCTGCTGCGACGAGCTTGTACAAGGCATACATCGACGTCTTTGCGAAGACCGGCTTTGTCCAGGCTCTGGAAAAGTTACATGCGCAATATGGTAGCTATTCACAGGAAACTATCAACCGCAGCTCTCTGACCCCCCCTACAGGCAACGTGGTAAGAGTGGGCCCCAACGAGGTGTGTTCTCGAACTTTGTTTGTGCCGTCCTTGCAATTCGGTGTAACTTGTGCTAGTTGCACTTTTCCAATCCCGAAGTCTACCACGAGATCTACAATGCAAACAACCGCTGGGACAAGGAAAAGAACCTGTATCACAGCTTCGGCGAAGACAGATCGTCCTTTGGGTTTCTCGAGTACAGAGACGCCAAACCGAGAAAGGACATCCTGGCACGCCTCTTCTCGAAGAAAGCCATCACCGAGGCTGAGGGCCTTGTGAGGGAAAAGGCAAGTGGCTAGGGTGGACGGTGACAAATGAACTGACATGATCTAGGTTGTTGCACTGTGCGAGTCCTTTCGTCGACACACAAGCAGCCCAGTCAATTTGCATTATGCCTTTCGCTGCATGTCGATCGATGTTATTACCTGTCAGTATGAATCTTCTCCGGAGATCCTGTAATAACCCGTAGTGGCAGATTTGTGCTTCGGAAACTCGGTGGATGCGCTCAATACCCCTGATCATGAGGCCCCTATCATCTTAGCATTGGATGCTTCAACACCAGTGTTTCCCGCCTTCAAGCATTCGTCAATATACAAGAACATGATCATCCACTGCCCCCCCAGCATTTCCAAAGTCATTAGTCCTCAAACTGCAGGTCTGGTGGATCTTCAACAGGTCAGAATGCGGTCCATAAAAGCGTTTGACTGATTTGATGTTGACTCAATGCAGGTGCTCAAGAAGCAAATCGACAACGTTACCAGCAACCCCGACAACTTGAAGAAGCTACCACACTCAACGACAATATATCATGAACTTCTGAAACCAGAATTGAACCCTGGCGGCCAGGTTCCAAGCGCCGGAAGTTTGTATGAAGAATCGCAGGCTCTGATGTTCGGTGGCGCAGATACAACAGGCGCAACGCTGATGCATGGAAGCTTCTATATCATGACCAAGGAAGATGTTCGTAAGAAGCTGATTGCGGAACTTCGTGAGAACTGGGAAGACCTAGATCAACCACTATCCTTGGCTGCCTTGGAGAAGCTCCCGTACCTGGTAAGTCAACATGATCGAAATCAGTGAGGCATGCTGACCCTGTATCTCAGACGGCTGTAATCAAAGAATCCTTGCGAATAAGTCCCGGTGTCGCCTCGCCACTACCGCGAGTTGTACCTGATTCCGGGACAACTATTGGTGGCAGATTTATACCAGGACGTGTATGTTCTCCACAGCCGGTACAAATCTGTGTGTCTCAAACGCTAATGCGAAAATGACAGACAGTGGTGGAAATGAGCAGTCATTTCGTGCACCGCAACGCTGATATTTTCGAGGAGCCCAACGAATTCAGACCAGAGAGATGGCTTGGCCCGGATGCCAGGAAGCTGGAAAGATGGCTTGTCAGCTTTTCCCGAGGCCCGCGTAGCTGTCTTGGTCTGAAGTAAGTTTTCATATTTGCCTGGAACTCGACAATGTTGCTGATCGTCGTTTAGTCTAGCCTGGGCAGAGCTGTACCTGACTTTTGCATACGTCTTCCGAGAGTTTGATGTTGAGATGGATCCTTCCAGGTATGCAACGAAAGGGCGATGAGAACGGGTTAAGTGCTGACGAAGATATCGCAGCCCGAAAGAACTCAGGTGGCGAGATTGCTTCCTTCCCGAGTATCTGGGGCCACATTTGAAAGCGAACATGACCCCTGTGGCAACGTGACCACTCCGTCCGCAATCAACATCCAGCACCAAGAGATGTTTGTTTCGAAACAGACCATCGAAATGGACGACGTAGCAAAGACTTGATACTGGGGACAGCTTATAGTGATACGACCAAGGGTACAGAATACATACAGCGTTCCTGGAGACTCTGGGGCTCTGGCAAATGAAGATGAATACGGCCAGGCGCCTGAGAGTCTGGACAATTCCTATGGCAATGTAACGCGATACATGATCTCGTTCCTCCCGACATCTCTAAAGGGCTGGACGTTTAAATTGATGGAGAAGTTCTCTTCGTGACATCAACAACGCCCAAATGGGTGTGTCCGAAACCGGTTCCATACTTCAAACCAAAGCCAAACATACGGTCCATGCCAATGTGCGCAAGCCAACTGAGCGCTATCCCGGTAAGGAGCTTGTCGTTTCGGGCCAAGGCTGTGCAAAGTAGCAGTATCGGAGGCGTTTCGGTGTGGACGCTGTTATAGAGGGCGGCACCGGCAGTGGTGTTGGCCAGGTAGCCCGCCATGCCCAGATCTGGGACAAGAATGAGGCCGGCAAAAGTCCACCAGGACTGTCCGAGTCGTGAATAGGCCCAAATTGTCGAGCCGAAGATGCAGGCGCCTTCAAGTTGCAGAAGTCGTCGTGGCCATGTCTTCACAACGCCGTCGTCCGACATGATGATGTTGAATGGGATGGTGAGTGACAGGCTCAGCAATATTGTCAGAAGATGTTAATAGCAATTCTGATCGTTCCGAGGTTGCTGATCAGATGCTGGTTGAAGAGGGCAGGGCAACTATTGAAGAGGGGTGAACAGTTATAAAGCTGAACGCCTGCATGCTTGGATACGAATACGATTAGTAAGGTAGACGGGTTCGGATTAAGGCATCCAGGGTCGGGGCTCCGAACAGCAGCGGCGGTGGAATAGTTCCTCCGCGCTGGAACAACGATGCGGTCGCCATCTTCATGCGAATCTAATAAATCCCTCTATGAGTGTAGTCTGTGTCCTGGCGACGGGATGACCTCGGATCACAATGTCAAATCCACATTATCGATGTTCTCCGTCTTCTACAGCTTGTTAAGGGTAAACGACGGATGTGCCTGATCTTGACAATGACTTCGCTAGTGGCCAAGCCTAGTGAGCCTCCCCGGACTTCGACTTCGAGGCCGCGTGGGCAGAGCCATTAGGTGCCTCCCTCCATTCTGAGTGCAATACAGGAACACCTCGCCAGGGACATCTTAGCCTTCTCTACCAACAGCGAGAGGGTCGCGCAATGCGTCAATAACCTCTCTGCCGTCCGCCGGTGAACTCGGGTCTTATCTTACCATCTCAGCTCCGCATCAATTCGCGTCACCACAACAAACCATGGACTTCGCGCCCTACCAAGATGCCTCTCCCGAGATGTGCGTCTCTCATCTGACAGCCTGTACGATCTTCGTTGACTGACATGTTATTTCTAGAGAACGGGCTCTATCACCCCCTCCTGCTAAGGGCAGGCCGTCTCTTGACTCACAAAGAGTGCGCACTCCACCGCCTCAAAGCCGACCATCGCAGCCTTACTCGAGAAAAACGTCAGAAGTAGCGGCACCACAGCCTCAAAGAGCTTTTGGGAACAATGCGTTTGCTGCTTCACAGCAAGAACGGGGACAAAGTCTGGAGGCCTTCGAGACGAGCTTGCCTATAAGGTTGGACTATGAAGCCTGCTTAGCGTATCTCCTGCTTCCACCAGCTGGAGGAGTGTTTCTTCTCATCTTCGAACACAAGAGCGACTATGTTCGTTTTCACGCATGGCAATCGAGCATGCTCTTCACCGTCATTTTTATTCTACACCTCATTCTGGCATGGTCGAGTGTACTCTCTTGGATGCTGTTCACCGTCGACCTGTTGTTGATGGGCTTCCTCGCGATGCGTGCTTATCGCGACGTCGATACCTTGGAACACTACGAGGTCCCATTCTTTGGGCATTTGGCGAATGCCTTTGTGGACGACGAGTGAATATTGATTGCACAGTCCACCTTGCTGTCAAGGGTTCCGCGACACAGGCGTTGTCCAGGCGTTTGAGGAATATTAGTCAACAAGATCGGTCGGTACCTTTATACCAGCTGTACAATATTTTTTTCCCTTCGGAACTCGAGATCTACAGTACTCCCAAGAGTCGGTGCCCATTCAAGAAAAGAGGAGGCAATCTCTGATTTCTATATACAACTCTACAATGCGCCCAGATCGATTCACCTGAGAGCAAGACGGTTTGCTTTGCGAATCCAGTGAGACAGGAATTGAGGGCCATCATCTGTCGTCGACTTTGCACAGTGTGCTGGGCAGCGAGATCTCTCTCCATCCGCAGTCGTTCAAGCTTCTCAATGCCAGCTATCCCCACTACGATTAACATGGCCTTCCAAAACACAATCCCCGAGCAGAGTTCAATGTTTCGGTTAAGACCGGGAGGAAGAGCCACGAGTCAACAAAATGGTTAAGTCGTATTGGTGGCATGGCCGGGTCTATTGTCGTCCTTTTCGGGTGGCTTTCACCATCCCCACGCTTCCGCATCCTTGGTACCGCATTCCTCGAAAAATGACATAGAAGCGTTGTCGGACAGAGCTGCAACTCTGTATCCGTGTAATAGTCGCCATAATAATCATGATGATAATAATAATAATAATAATATGCTGACCAGATGGAAACCATGACATTGAGGTGTTGGGACTCCAGAGTAGACATGACAGTGGGAAGATTTGAAACTGCGCCAGGCGGTTGCTGGGGTGACGAGTCTGTTTGGGGATTTGACCGACTTTGTCACTCCAGGACCGTGTTCCACGCAGGCCAGTTCCTTTCTCAAGCCCGGAGTGCACAGACATACAGCCATTTACCTGCGACCTCTGTCATATCCATACCCATATGTGATCGCAGCTGTCGTAGACGCAAATCACCACCGCACTCTCTACAGTAACAGAATCGAACCACACAGGCACAATGCCGCCAGGCACTGCGTCCGAGACAGGCGCCCCTCCTTCAGTGCCGTTGAGCTGTAAGATTCTCATGAAACGGGAGAGTCATGGGCAACAGCTAACAAGACCAGTTTCAAACAACTTCTGGGGCCGAGATGACGCTGGAGTTGATCCTCTACTCACCCGAATGCAAAATGCCCGAACGACCTGCGACGAATTGAAGACGTTCTATGCCGCTCGCGCCGCGCTCGAGGAAGACTATGCAAAAAAGCTGCACAATTTGTCCAGGAAGCCACTGGGGAGTGTTGAACAAGGCACATTGCGAGCGAGTCTTGATGTTGCGAGAGGAGAGACTGAGGCTATGGCGAAACAACACGGGTTGATCGCTCAGCAAATGAAGTCCGAGCTGGAAGAACCGCTGGCCGCGTTCGCAGGTGGAATGAAGGAGCGCCGCAAAATCATACAGAACGGGATTGAGAAGCTCCTGAAGACGAAGCAAGCACAAACCGCTCATGTCAACAAAGCTCGAGACAAATATGAACAAGACTGCTTGAGAATAAAGGGTTACCTGGCCCAGGGCCATATGGTCATGGGCCAAGAAGAGCGAAAGAACAAGGCAAAACTGGAGAAGACCCAGATAAACATGGCATCGGATTCCCAAGAATACGAAGCTGCAGTCAAAGTTCTGGAGGAGACCACTGGCCGGTGGAATAAGGAATGGAAAGCGGCCTGCGACAAATTCCAAGATCTCGAAGAAGAGCGACTAGACTTTACAAAGTCGTCTCTCTGGGCGTTCGCCAACATCGCATCCACAGTGTGCGTGTCTGATGATGCTTCATGCGAGAAGATTAGGCTGGCGCTGGAGAACTGCGAGGTGGAAAAGGACATTACTAACTTCATCAGGAGCTGCGGCACCGGTCAGGAAATCCCAGATCCTCCACGATACATCAACTTCTGTCGAGGAGATGTGGACAGCCAGTCTGAATTGTCGGAAGATGAGAACTATTCAGTGGCACAATTCTCACGCACCACTAACCCGGCATTCCGAAGCTCGTCCCCAACACATTCGAATGTAACAAGAAGCACACCTCAACGTATGTCGGAAGAGCCAACGATGCCGGATGAAGATGATTTACGCACCCCTTCGAATACGAACAGCGGACGGCCACCACCTCTCAACTACAAGCATACTGGTCCTAACGTCCCTCCCAATTATTCACCCAGTCAGCACGGCGAAGTGCCTCAGGTACCGCATAACCAGTATCCCACAGATGGAATGACCATGTTCTGCCGAACAGATGCTGCACCTTCAGTGACTGGATCTGCTCTGTCTTCCAACACCCGCCCGGAGAGCAGAGATAGCGAGAGCCAGTACTCTGTGCCCAGCTCCTTCACCAGTGCTGATCCGATGTCTGGTGCAAACTCGCCAACTAAAATGGCCCCAGCAGGTGGTGTAGAGCTTCCCGGGATGGCCTCACCAGAAAGGTCGATACAGAAGAAGCGGTCTGGATTCTTTTCGAATAGCCCTTTCCGGAGGAAGTCGAGAAAAGACCACGACACTTCGACAACCAGCCCTCAGAGTGGCAATCCGTGGTCTTCAAACCTAACCAGTAGCGGGAGAATAAACCTCAATGCTCCTGGATCCAGTACACAGTCCAGTCCCACCAAGTCGCCCACTAAGCAATCAACAAGCTTCTTCAACCGCAACACTGCAGCGACGTCCCTGGAGGGAGAGGAGCCCGTGGATCCTCGTGCGAATTTCCAATTGAACGTCGGGAACAACGTATTCGATGTTGCCAGTCCAGATGGTCAGGACTCCACGCCAAAAGCCAGCTCGGCAAATCGGCGTAGTCAATTTCTCCCCCCGCCTTCTTCCATGGGTGATGATGTGATGAATGATCCAATAGCACAAGCACTGGCAGATCTTAAACGAACATCCAACGGTTTCACAGGCATGGCCAAACAATCCAGTACTCGTGTGCCTGTCGATCGGTATCATGGGGTGGCCACTCCCGCCCCTGATCAGGACCCAGCACTTCGACCCGGTGTCAGCAGTGCTGAAAGTCAGGCTCGATTAGCAGCGCAACGAGGCACGCCACCACCAGCCTATGAGCCTGGAGGTGCAAGGCAAAGTGTGTTGGGAGTTCCACAACCAGCTCATACAAAGAAGGAAATGCTGAACCGGACAGAGACCTGGGGCACTGGCTCGGTAGCTTCAACTCCGAAAGGCAGCCAGCAAACTAGAGACGGAAGAAGAAGTCCTGGGCCCGGTACGATGCGAGCAGCAAGCCCACAACCGCAAGGTCAATATCAACGGTCAAGGAGTCCAGCACCAGGCATGAACATGCGAGCCGCTAGTCCTCAACCACAGAATCAGTACCAGCGATCCAGGAGTCCGGCACCTGGAATGCCTCGAGCTGCTAGCCCACAACCCCCACGACAGGATCCCTACATGAGATCGCGTAGTCCCGGCCCAGGAATGATGCAGCAGCAACAGCAAGGTGGCCGTCAGTATCGTTCGGCGTCTCCCAACCCATATGGTGGTGGCAGGCCAAGCGGACAAGGCTCCAATTCGAGACAAGGAAGCGGCATGGAGATGCAGCTCAGCTCATCAGACGTAGCCAGATACGATGGATCTGGGAGCGGACGAGGACGACAAAACATGATGAGACCGACATCCAGTTTTGGAGGCGATCGGTATCAACAGGGGTACGATGGGCGCGAATCCAGACAACGAGGTGGTGGTGGTGGTAGTATGGATGTCGAGTTGAAGAGGGAAAGGAGCAAGAGTCTGGCCAATATTCCATTCCGACCTACTCAGCCTCAGGTTTTGCATTACGGTAAGTCATTCTCAATTGGTCGCGATAAGAGAGAGAGGAAATGAATCCTTGAAAGATCGCTTTAACTGACGTTTTGTTTGCATAGCACGAGCGATGTACAGTTACACCGCCGCGATTCCTGAAGAATTGAGTTTCAGCAAAGGCGATATCTTGGGCGTGTTGAGGTTGCAAGACGACGGATGGTGGGAAGCAGAAGTCCGCGAGAGTGCCAAGGGGACGAGAAGTGGTGGCATCGGCTTGGTACCGAGCAATTATCTCCAGCGATGTTGATTAAAGTTTGAAATTGATCCGATGTTCCCGTGGTTGTTAGGGTGGAAGATCACATCATACCAGCCAGGTAACGGAGGCATAATCTCTTTGCTGCGCACTCATGGGATCTTGAATACTTTTTGTGCCGCCGGAGGGAATGAATACGCGAATGTGGGAAATATGAGAACGCATGCAATTCGCTGTTCAGTGTTGAGTATTTTACTATCCACAGATTCCGTCCCGGGGCGGTACGGCATTGCTGGCATCATGTGAGACATGTTCACGACTTGTTGTGTTGTTGGTCACTTTTCGGAGTGATCGGTATCGATGGGAAAGATTTGGCATTGTAGTTGTACATAGGAATTGGGACCGGGAACTGGTTCGGCGGGCGTTTTGGGGCGAGTCGGCAATCATAAAATTACCTCTACGGGGTCCAATCGGTTCATCGACGTGCAAACTCGAAGTACCGTTTATTAGTTAGTGCCGGCAGCGGTACTGGCAGTAAATGGTACTGGGCAAGTGAGTGAGTGGGTGAGTGACGCTTAGGAGTCTGAAATCTGCGTGTCATCAAACGACATCCATCCACCGAAATCCAGGTCGTCGAGATCATGAAAGGCGAGGTTCAGAGAATCGAACCGGAATCCGCACCCTGGCTCGGTGACAAGACCGGCGTTGGCGGCGGCGGTGTGGTTGATATCAAAATTGTCGTTGCAGTTGTCGTTATCGGTGTCGGTGTGGTTGTTATTATTGTTGCTGGTGGGATTCGGATGCGCTGCGTACACGTTCATGTTCACGTCGAAAAAGTCGAATACCGTATCCTCATCCACATCATTTGCACCTGTCTGATCATGCCCGCTCGTGGCCAAACTCGAAGTCAGTGGCTGCCGCTGAGAGGGTGCGGGCCCGAGTCCGACTTCGAGTTCGAGCGATGAAGACGTAGATGTAGCCGTAGCCGTAGCCGTGGCTGCCCCTGTGGAAATCGAATTGTGCATCATGGTGGCGCCGAGGACTCCTCCGACGGGCCTCCTCCCGTCCCTCACGGCGCTGTTGTTGTTCTGAGGAGCTTCCGCACGCTCCAACGTGAATCTTATAGCGTGCGAAACGCGCCATGCGTCTCTGCACGCCGGTGCCCTTTCGACACACACGGTGTAAGACTGCTCTAGGAGTCTCGATATTTCTCTCTGCGTAGCCACGTCGATGGGCAAGCTCTGATGCCAATTATTGTTGCCACCGCCATCACCATCACAGTGGTTGCGATTGCGTGGTTGTCGTTGACGACAGAGGTGCACGACAAGACACAGCACCATGACGCCGAGCAGGAAATCGTTGATGGTGAAGTTATTCAACATCCACCGCTCCGTGTACAACTGCCCCCCCGGCCCGAGTTCCTTGTACATGTCGAGAAACTGGCTGACGAGACTCCTCCCTGCTTCGACGCAGGCCATGGTACTGGAAACGCTGCCTTTCACCATGTACCTTCTGTGCAGCACGAGGAGGTTCTTCAGGTGGATGAACTCGACGAAGAAGCGGGTCATGATCAGAAAGGGTGAGTCGGAGAGCGAGTCGGCGAGGGGGCGGCTGCGCAGCACGTCAGGGACGCCGGCATCGTAGACCTGACGGATCTCGCGGTCGAGCGCGACCACGTCTGCCCCGGACCTCTCGGTGAACGACAGGGCGCCGCGCGACACCTTGCTGAACAGCGCGAGCATCCGGTCCTTGACGATGAACCAGAGCAGCGGCGACGGTGCGTCCTCGGACCGCGCAGGCGGCAGCTCCGTGCTGGCCTCGTCAAAGTCCGAGTCGAGGATGTGCCGCGGCGGTTTGGTGTCGGTGTTTTCTAGCACGATGCTGCTTGGCAGGCCCAGCTGGAACGAGAGCATGGTGTCGTACTGCTTGCACACGGCCCAGAATCGACGGCGCATCTCGGCTTCGAACACGGTGAATTTCTGGCCCACGTGGTCCGGGTCGCGGTGGTAGCCCATCTCGTACGCCATGCGGACCACGATGGCAAGGATGGTGCCGGCCTCGCGCGACGGCTCGAGCGTGCTCAGGTTCTTGCAGTGGCCGTAGATGCCGAGCGCCTCGAGAGCGAATGGTTGGGGCTGGCGATAGTTTCCCAGCACCAGACACTTTGCCGCGGCGACGTGAAAGCGGCGACGCTGACGGACGAGGTCATCTTGTTGGTGTGTGGTTGTGTCTGTCGTCAGTGTTGCGACACCCGCAATCAGAGAAGCCATGTAGCATATGGAGAAAAGGATCGAAAGCCACAACGGGTTGACTTTGGTCGGATCGGCACAAAACTCGCGGTACTGGCGCTGGAACTGGTAAATGTGCACAAAGGGAATGATGAACGTCTCTCCGCGAAAGTAAGCTGCGAGGGCGCGGTCCACTTCGATCTTGGGAGGGAGGTACTGGTCGAGGATCTCCTCTAGCGAGAAGCTACTCGATCCTCCGAAGATGATGTCGTTCCCTGCCCCGGACAGTGTTGACCCAGGTGGCGTAGAAGTGCTCGAGTTCAAGCTCAACGCCGCTTCCTGTGCTTCGTTCGCTCCAGTCAGGGCGATTTTCAGTTCGTGGATGTCGTCGAGGATCGCCGACCAGTGCGTGAATCCAACATAGCGACTGTCACCAGGCGTCTCGTTACACTCGAGATCGACGGCGTCTTTGGGCCTTGAATGTGGTGCCCTTAATTTTGATGGAACCGCATGAGTTGATGATTGCTCAGTGGTTGACGCCTGCTGCTCCATCAGTTCCCTCACCATGGCCTCGAGGTGCAACAATCTGTCCTCGGCCACGGAGGACAAAGTCCCTTCGTTTCGAGACTCGGATAGTGTGGGTGGCGGACGATGGTAAGAGCACGCTGCTCCTGCGTCTCTCTTGACGCAGCTGCCACATGGTTGTGCCTTGTCGCATCGAAGCTTGGACTTTCGACATTGGTTACACACCAAGGAATCTCTTGGACGTTTGGTGACTCTGGAGACGGATGGGTCGGCTCGGAACTTGGTGGTCAGGCTTGCAAAGTCTGCCATTGCTCACTCTTTACGAGCTCATAATTCAGCTGTCTTGATGGCTCGAGCAGGATGTTAGATGAGAGATTCATGTTCGACAGCGTTTGGCCAAGGTCAACGCCTCGTTCGTGAGCTTGGTGTGCGGTACAAGGACGGAGGTAAGTAACTTGCGAGTCTTCACAGATTGCTAAACTCCGCAGTCCGAATACGAACATTGGTGGGGTCCAGTGGGCCTCTCAGGCCTATCATGCCCAGTGTGAGATGGTCCCAGGTGATCGTTCATCGTTCATCGTACAGCAGCGCTCCATGAGAACAGATGTGGGTTGGTTCTTGTTATACAGGTGCGCCGATTCCACGATCGAATGTTCTGAAAAGGGACTCATCTATAGATGAATTTTGACACCTGTATATTTTGACATCGTGAGGTATGAAACAATTCCTTGCTTTCACTGCGACCTTTGCCACCACTCACCATGGCTGTATACTATCTCTTCTGAGGACCTTGCCAGCATCCTGGTCTCTCTTACCCTCAACGACATCCCTTACAACGTTCGCCCCAATGGCCGGATCCAGGCCTCCCATCTTCTTGATTAACTCTGGATTCCCACCCAGACCCGTGACCAACAAGCCCGGAGAGATGGCAAACACCTTCACGCCGTCTTCCTTCAAGATGCGCGACCACTCTCTCATCATCATGTTCAAACCAGTCTTGGACGACCGGTACGAACCCAAGCCTATCCCCATCGGCTCCTTCGGCCAACCCTTTGGGGGAACCTGGTCAATCCACAATAGCCCCTTCTCCGCTTCGGTGAGGGTCGACGTGCCACTGGTGATGAAGAGCAGTCTGGGGTTCGACGACTTGAGCAACAGCGGCACAAAAGTGTAAGTCATTATCTGCGCGCCCGTGGTATTGACGCTCCAAGACTTGTTCCAGGCTTCTCTCATGGTCATCTTCCCCGTGAGAAGAAGAGGATCCAATTGAACGCCTTGTGAATAGATAACCCAAGGTCAGTATAACATGCGCTGCCATAGATCGAACATTTTGGTCCTCATGATGCATCATCTCTCACCTGCATTATTGATCAAGACGTCTAAACGCCCGTAATCTGCCGACACCCGTTCGAATGCCTTGTTGATCGAATCGTCGTCGTCGACATCGACTTGGATCGGCGTGACTGTGCTCGAACTGTTTGAAATTTCCTTTTGGACCTGTTTTACTGCCGCCTCGGCTTTGGCCAAGTCACGACCAGCGAGAAGGATGGCGTACGCCGTGGGCGATTGGCATAGCGATCGCACTGTCTCATACCCAAGTCCAGTATTGCCGCCGGTGATCAAGAGGATCTGGGTCTGGGTTGCAGTCATGGTTTCGCTGACTTTGCACTTTCGAACAAACTGGTCTCTATTTCGGTTTTGATGATTTTGCCCCTACCTGAGATCACAAGTCGCGGTGCTTCACCCCTGGATATATACATCACCACAGTCCGGATCTAGAGAGCTGTCTCGGCCCATGATCTTGCCAACTTTGAAGATTGCCAGGCCGTCGCCAGCGCGTAATGGCCATCCAAAGTCTATTCGTTACGCCGGACAGAAGACTTTCAGTCCCCATATCTGGCAGTGACTCGGCCGTGTTCATTCTCCGCTATGAGCATAGTGGAGACAAAAGCGGCTTGTTTACCTGAGGGTTGGAGAAGCTGTGATGGTGAATGGCCGATCGTTTCCCGTGAAGCCGTGAAGCTTTGAGGCAACTGACCTTGGCCTTGAGGTTCGTTGTGATGTCCAGGCTCACGAGGCTAGTTAACTAGTGAGGCGTTGACAAAAAGTGGTCTGCTCCCCGGCCGAGAACATTTCTCTTTTCAGGAGGGGATCGGCGACTCCATTGGCGCCCGACGAGGCATAAAACCACCGGCGGGCCAAGTAAGGCTCACTAGGCTTTAGGTGCAGTTCTCGTAGGGCACTTTTATTCAGCCTAACCAGTTAGTGACCACAGCCTGGCACACCCGGATGGAGGTCTTACCTACAACAGCGGCCCTGTTACCTGTAGTAAGCCCTTGGAGCTATCGGTATGTGGACGAGCACAGTAGGTACCCGTACTCCGTGTCCGTATAGTTACCAGACTTTTGCTGCAACAAGGGGCTTTGTTGTTGTGGGCGCCTCCAACTTACAACTTACGGGCCTTCACAGTGTGATCTTTTGCCGCATGAAACTTCCCACGTGCAGTAACTCTCTGCGTAGGTATCTACCTTACATGCCAGCAACACATATCCATCCTCCAGTGTCCAATAGGGCGAATTCCCCTTTGAGTCCCATCCATAATAGCCTATCGATCTTTCATGAACCATGAACGGCCCCCTGCTCCCCTCCTCTCCTCCTCCTTAACTCATCATTTCGCCGGTCGCTCCTCACGGTCATTCTCACGGTAAAATAGCAGCAATCCTTATCAGTCATTGCCTCGTCTGCCCTTCGAAAAAGCGCCTGCCAGGGCCCCCCTCGATGCGCGAGGTAGGTAGGTACAATAGGTATTCTTGCTTAAGCGGAGCTCGAACCGCAAGCGAAGAAGTCAGAGAGGCAACCATCCACTCCACAGCCTCGTCTACGAAAGCAAAAGGGTCCAGCAACTGCAATAATACCTCCTTCCTCATCGAGCCATTTGACTTTCTTATCTGTCTGTCTCTGTCGGCTGGCTGGTTTCGTATTCTGCGGTGACGACGACGGCGATGATAAAGATCACCGATGGCAATCTTCAATCTACGACCAGATGCTCCTGGTCGATGTCACTTCCCTGACTTTCTGGAGTAGCAGTGTGACTCTCGCGCTACCATTGCATGCGTTGCGTCCATGGCATACATGGGATGCAACCAAAGCCCATCTCGCCAAAACAGTTGCGGTGAGGCTGTGACGGACGCCCTTTTTTTCTTTTTTCTTTTTCGCAGGACCAACAAATCAATCGGCATTTGCCTGACCGAAGCGCCTATACCTAGCTGCTAACTTACATAGCTCAGGGAACCAAACCAGGGTCGATTCCAATTCAAGTCCAAGTGTGGAAGGTCACAAAACACACGAGACATCCCTTCTCGTTCTTCCCCTGCAAAGGCTGCGACGTCACGACATACGGCTATCTATCTACAATACGTACCGTAGTTGTCGGGAAATCAAATCACTGACAGGCTGCAACAACTTAAGACAGAGAGCCAGACTTTGGCCCCCAGCCCCGAAAAGTGAATCTCCCTTGCTTATTCAGTTGATTTTCCATTTTGCATACTCCGTTTTCAACCTTGCTTCCTTCCCGACTGGGAATAGCTCTGCTTTGGCCTGATAACATCATGCTCATTGATACAATATCATTTCTGGCCGCGAAGACGCCCGACGGACAGGGCGTCGACACTTCCGGGCCCCCTTTTTGCCTTCCCTTCTTCCCCTTCTCTCTTCATCTGCGCCGACTTGTGCAGAGCCCGCTAAAGACGCCACGGTTACGTCGTACCATGATTCCAAATCCCTACGTCCAAATTCGAAAGCAGTGGCATCGCAGAGCATTGTAAGGCGTCCCGTCGAATGACTTTAGGCGGAACGGATATCTGGTGCCAATGCCGTAGAATGCGTACCGTGAAATCAAGGAACATTCTGCGCCTCGTTTCTGGTTGGAGTGTGAGGATCCTTTACTCGTCCTCAATCACGTAAAGATGCTAGCAACTAATAAACAATACTCCGTATTCGTTTCTCATGGAACCGCAAGCGATGTATTATTTGACATTTGCCGTATCCCAAGTGGGCGATCTCCCAATCACAACGACCGATGTCGTATCCCTCCTGCCATATTTTCATGTCCATATTGTCCTCGTCGCATCATCTCACTTGGGATCGACGTAGGCGCTTGGGTTTGCGTCTGTTGCATGTCAAGATCAAATCCCAACTGCGACTGATCTTCGTTGAATCCTCCACCCACGTCAAAATACTCGTCAGCATGGGGCATGCCAGCCCAATGCTGCATGGAATTGTAATCCCACCCGTGACTCATCTGTGGGCCGCCCATAGGACTGTCCCAACTCGTACTCCATCGTATAGTATCAAACATGTTGTCCATGTAGACCTCCTGGCCCGCGGTGCTGAGTGGCTGTGCGGTAGTGGCACCGTACGTATTGGCATAAGAAACATCAATGTAAGAGGGGCGGAATCCTGATTCTGATTGTGATTGTGACTGGGACTGGGCTTGCACCTGCTGCTCCTGCTGTTGGTGTGGTTGCTGTTGCTGAGGGAGTGTATCAGACGTTGACTTGGGTGTCATGTTGCTTGGTACACACACGTCCAGCACCTCGGACGAGGCAGAAGGGCCAAGTGCGCCGTCGCTGTGCTTGCTCGACTCGTACAGTCGCACAACAACCTCCAGAGATCTCTTCGCAGTTGTTGACCACATCTGAAGGTCCCTCATTGTGGCCATCGCAGTCTCGACTTGCTGCTGACTACTGCTGACCACGGTAGCGTCCGATGTATCAGAGTAAAGACTCAACAAGGGCACCATGACTGCCTGATACATTAGCCAATTAGCATTCCACCCTGCCATCTGGCAAGGTTTTTGGCCTCTCCAAGTTGTGGCGATGTCGTTGATCAGATCAGCACAGGCTTCGCGGCATAGTTCGATCGCAGCCTTTTTCTCTGAGGAGAGATTCTCCCACTTCATTCTGCGCATTGCATACCACAGAAGAGCCGGCCGATGCAGATAAATGCGATTGGTGTAATAACGCCATCTCATAACGTTCTTGAGCGTGGTGGTCCCAGGTGGGTCAGCTGTAGTTGAACGTGGTGATGCAGGTGCAACTGAAGAATGCTTGAACCATTCGCAGTACATTGCTTCTAGATCGCGGCGTTCGGTCTCCTCGAGAAGAGGCGAGCACGCAAGGGCGTCTTCCATTCTCGTACTGATCTCGCAGAAACGTATATTTTCCCGTACCAGGGAAAGCAGTGTGTGAGACTGGCCGATGGGCTCTTGCGGTAATTTGGCTGTGATGGCAGGGCTCAACCTACCCATACTGGGCCTTCCCAAAGAATTCCCGGCCCATGTGTCTAGCATGAATGTAGACCACCATACTCGGCGTCGCATCTCAATCGAATAGGCTGCCTTCTCGGCCTTTGCTGGACCTACTCCCTCTGAATAATCGCGATGGAGTCCCAGCGTGGTGGCTAGTTTCAGCGTGGAACCCATGAGCGAGTTCGCTTGGTTAGGAGACTGAACATAGTGTAGGTAAAAGCCACTCAGGATAGCCAACGCTTGAATAGTCTCCAGATGCGCAGAGTCTAATACCTCAATGGTGAGATACTGTTTTGCTCGTTCATAATAGATCAGGTGGGCAGTATCCTCGGCAGACGAGTTGGCAATGCTACCCATGACTAGTACTGCGTTAAGAAGCAGAAGCCATCCCGTATCCGTTCTGCTAGCGGCCATGTAGGTGTCCCTGAACGACTGTTCCTCAAGAAGGGGAATGAATGGGTGTACATAGGTGAAATAGGCATTGATAAGGGGTATTTCATCCCAAGCCGTTGAGGAGGACGTATCCCCAGGCGTTGTCCCACTCTCTGTGAGTTGATGACTGGGGGAAGACCCGCCATCTCGACTCATGAGGGCGTTTTGATCCGGTGGATCGGAAAGACAATCAGGATTCAGCCATGTGATGACTCTCAGGACGGCCATCACAGAAGAAATACCGAGGTAAGAGGGATTCTGTTTCACGTGCATTGAGAGTATACTCACGTCGTCCGTCATCCCTCGGAGCTGCGTCGATCTTTGATCAAGGACTTCACTGCCCTCCTCGGGCATGGGTTGGAGCTGTTCGAGGCTGCCTGCTTCCGGGTTTACCAGATGGGGCTTCTCATCCACGCTAGGCGTCCGAGGAGAAGGTGGATGACATGGACTCCGTTTCGAGATGAGCTCAACAAGGCTGTCTCTTGACATTTCTCGGAGTTGATCTGGATGCATGTTTGGAAAGAGCTTTTGCAGAACACCTCGATAATCTTGAAGTGTTTGTGAGATCTTCTCGACTGACCTAGGAGCCAGTTAAATAGACGAAAACGATGCGAAGCCCGATCTTGACTCACCTCCGCGTAGGTACTTGTCTCTGTCGCGGCTGTGTATAATAGCAAGAAGCTGTCTTCCGATACCACTGACATGTCTCGCAAGGATGTTCGCCATTGCAACGGATCTTCCTCCTTCGACACGGTTCACAGGCCCTCACAGTGGAAGTTCTTCTTTTCGCCGCGGCGCTTGCATTTGCATCTCCGTTCTCGGGACTTGTATACTGGGCAGTCTCAAAGGTATGGAACATCTTTAGTGAGGCCCGATTTGAAATCTCATTGAAAGATGCAACAGAGTCGGTCCGAGAAGCGCGAGTAGCTTTGTCCTTGCAGTCTCGGATGATGCGCGAGTGACGACGAGCTCCGCAGCCCTATCGAGAGTATAAGAGAGGAGATGTTGTTCGAGGAGAGTAACAGTCGGGTTTGCACGCAACGCGCAGTGCGTCTCCACTGAACAACGTGTTCGAGGGTTCTTTGAAGTCAAACTCCGTTCTGGAGCAATTCGACCGAGTAGATAAGCGGGACAAGATAGTCGGGAAGATATTGAAGCTGGGAGCACAAGCCAGCAAAAGAGACGAAGGTCAGCGCATGCAACGGTCGGAAGACAATATCTTCAATCTAGGATAGAGTCGAGCCAGAGGAATATTGAGGCTATAAGACTTGTCATGACTTGACGAAATGATGTATGCATTTAGCCCGTGGCAAAATCCGGGGAAACTGACAAGTTCTTGTGGCTGGAATCCATTTCTTAGCATGTTCGGGATGATCTGCCTGCATGGAGCTAAAGCTAGCCGTTGGATAGCATGGAAGGGTCCAAGAAATGGGTGTATGTCATGGAAGGGAAATCATGATCGGGGGTCAGAGGTCGCCATGACTATTAAGGCCACTGTTTATCCATGGACATGGGCACCGCGCCATAATTGTTAGGATCGAAGCGACCAGGTAGTTAGCTCCTGGAAGAGCTGCCACACCAATGATAGGGAGGGCGAGTCTGAACCCTCGTGTGTATGCAAATCCTGCTACGGTAGTTGCCAGTGACTCAGCTTAGTTTAGACGCCTCTCCTACTGCCTCGCATTGTGGGGCCACAGATGTTTTTGGACGCATTTTCGGCAGCTGCTGGCCTCGTTGCTGGAGGGTGGTAGTTTTGAGACTATGCTCAGACATGACCCTCGTTCACCAGATCGCTGGGATATGAGATTGTGTAGCAATAGGCACGACTTCGGTCTTTTTCCTTTTGACAACATTTGGGTGCAATGTCTCAAACCAACCCAAAGGAAGTCGGCCCCCCTGGATCTCCCGAACATCTCCCACCAGAAAACGCCGCAGTCAGGCCATGCCCTCGGCTAGCAAGTGTTATCAAACACCTAGAGCAGACTGGGAAAGACAATCACCCGACGAGCGAGCGCGCCCCTGCAACCACATGTCCCGCAAATAGGACGACATAAGCAACGTGGCCATTGTACGTATTCGGATGCCGTTAGTCAGTCTTGGTGCAAGTTCAAGGGCTGTATGCATGCCATGGTTAATGGAGCTTCCGCTCGTCCTAAGCCAAGACACCCCCCTGCTCATGGATCGAGATGATAACAGGCTTTTTCCAAAATCATTTTATCCGCTAGGCAACCCATCCAATGCCTTCGAGGTTCTTTCGACAAACGAATCTCACTCGAAACACAGCTGTCGCTTTCGCCGACTCAGATCATATTCTGGAATTTCTGTATCACCTGCAAACCCCGCAAGATGGGTCGAAGCAGGCAAATGAGCTGTGGACAAGCATCTTCTCAGTACTGAGATGTTCATGGACCCCATGAATGCTCTAGCACAGGCTCGAGCTAATTTGACGACTGACTCTTGAAGTAGTTGGGATATTTCCCGGTGTGTTGCGGGAACACCGTGAGACCATGACAGCTACACACCGACGTTCTTCCGGTTCGCCTGGCGTTGCAACCACCGGCCGGCTCATCAAGCGCCGGCGGCTTCTTCTTCACCCTTGTCGTCTCGATCCAGTTAATCGTAAAAAGTTCTAGAAGAAGAGACTTCTGCCTGCATGGGCCTCTGTCGTCGAAACATGGGCACTTTTAGCGGGTGGGGTTAGCCCTTTGTCGTTTGGTAGGCTAGGCGACATCGTGATAGCGAATGCAACATTGTACCTGACTGAGCCTCGCATATGATGCAAATGCAGTCAAGGGTTAAGTCGCTTTCTGGCGCTCAATACTGCCCTCCAGGGAGACGTGCACCGACTACTACATATCCTGACCTAGCACGCAGGTGTGCCCTGCTCACCCGCCCCCAAATATGTCCAGTTCAATGGAGGATCGCCAGCCCTGAGACCTCTTACTTTGACAATCTGCTTGTCGTTGGGAACCAAGTCGATAGCGCTGTCGCTGAGGTGGCAACCTTCCCGCTCTTCGAAGACAAGACATTTGACAGGCCTGTCGGCTGTAATGTGCATCTCGTCACCAACATGGTTGACTTTGACATTGCGCTCTGGAAACTGCAGATACTTCAGAGGTTGCGGCCAATCTGTATCGCGGCCCACTAGTTCCCCATTAACCCATATCCGTGCGGCGAGTATATGGGGCTCTTGGTGCACATTGTCGATCTCGCCGTCAGAGACATGTGTTGTACTGTTGGACCCGATGCGGATCGCTTGCTTTACAAACTTCGGTTTGATTTCCCTGCCTGTTCGAACTGACACAAACCTAACCTCCACGTCGGCAGTGATTTCTGTTCGGTGAGAACTGACCACCCACAATTCCCAGGCCTGGGTTTCGGGTTCTCGAGCATGTGTGATACTCCAGTCATAGTGAGCACGGCGGATGCCTATAGCCACCGGAGCCAGGACACGTGCCATGGCGTAATAAGCAGGTTTCCTTCTGAGGTAGTAGTCAACGATCGACCAGCTCGTTGTCGGCCAGCAATCATTGAGCTGCCAGACCAATGCTCCGCCACAGTGTCGTCCATCACCCCATTGCTTCCGCCATCCGCGATAGCCAAACATCAGAGCTTCACATTGGATGAGCTGAGTCAAGTGAATGTAAGCTTCCAAGTCAGTGCAAGTCCTCACGTTCTCCACCAGATATGTTGCTATCCGTCGTTCGTGTCCATCGGCTTTGTTGTGAAAGTCGAGGACGTGACTCTGAGGGTAGAGGTCTTCGTCCTTCTCTACAAAACTTCTGATCGTCGCAATGTGAGGAAAGGCCTCCATGCCAAACTCGGAGTTGAAGCGTCCACCGAGTGAATCAAAGATTTGGTATTTTTCCTGCTTCCCATGCCACACATTCCACTGGTGCATGTCTCCAACGGTCGGGTCAATGCTTTTCTTGCCATGGCTCCACGGGGAGCCGGGCCAATACGGGATCCAAGGAGCCTCAGCTTTTGAAAGGCGAGGTAACAGTGACTCGTAGATGTATCGAGCGGGAAAGTCAGATTTGAGCCAGTTCTCCTCGTTCTTGTCATCATAGTCATATGTCAAGTTGAAACTCTCTTGGACCTGATAATCTTCATTGTTTCCGGCAAATATTGCCAGGCAAGGGTGGTGTCGAAGTCGGCGAACATTGGCAATAACCTCTGCCTCGATAGATTTGAGAATCGCGGGAAAGCAAGGGTAATTTCCACAAGCAAACATGTAATCTTGCCACACCAATATCCCCAGCTCGTCGCATGCGTCGTAAAACGAATCGTCTTCATAGATGCCACCACCCCAAACCCTGGTTGTACCGTTAGCAGGTGCAGAGGCACCATATTCATAGTCTTACCTGATCATCTTCTGATTGGCAGGAACCATCAATTCGATCCATGCCCTGTATCTCTCAGGGGTTACGTTGGTGAGAAAACTATCAGCCGGGATCCAACAGGAGCCACCGCAAAAGATATCTACACCGTTGACTCTGAAGTAGAACGATTTTCCGTGAGCATCATCGTCCTGTACAAGTTCGATCTTCCGTAGACCGACTCTTCGAGATGTCGTATGAAGTGGGATATTATCACTGGCGATCGTAACACTCACCGTATACAGTGATTGCTTTCCATAGCCGTTTGGCATCCACAGCTCCGGGCGCAAAATGGGAAGTTTGATTGAAGCCTTTCCATCTTTGTCCGCCACACAGTTGGTAGCCGATACCAACTTACCGTCAAGCATTACGTGAAATTGAGCGTGCAATTGAGGAACTGTGCGGGAATTACTTTCGATTTCTGCTGTTGCATCAATAGTCGCAAAGTGGTAGTCGTCCGAGACGCCGACGTCGAGTCTAAGGTCTGACACTCTCGCATGGTACATCTCAAGACGTGCCGGCCTCCAGATTCCGGCACACATCAAGATCGGGCCCCAATCCCAGCCCCAGTGACATTGAGCTTTTCGCACCGCTAAGCGATCAGGTGGGTCATTGAAGCACAGGAATTTGTGCTTAGGATGCTGGGCTCGGATTTCTCTGGCTTTGAGAAAGGCGGAGTCGAACTCGATTTCTAGAATGTTGTTGGATCTTGCTCGAATAGCTTCGGTCACGTCGATACGATGTGACAAGAACATGTTATCACTTTCTAGAATGAGTTTTCCATTGAGCCTGACGTGAGCAAAAGTGTCGAGACCATCGAAGGCCAGAACAACTTTCGTCTCCGGCGACACGCCTGGGCTTGCGAAGGTAGTGCGATACGTCCATGATTTCAACCCTACCCACTCGGCTCTGGTCTCATTGAAACCGATGAAGGGGTCTTTCAGCCTACAGGTAGAATATCAATCAGCGTCAGTAGAAGAACTTTCAGCGAGATACACACCTGCCACAGTTGATAAGGTCCTGGTGGACGGTGGATGGGATTTTCTTGACTGGATTCCAAGCTTTTTCTTCGATATCATCAGTCTGCTTGAACGACCATCCCGTGGACAGGTCAATCACTTCCATGTCGGATGGAGAATCCAGTGGCTTTGAAATGTCGCCCATTCTGTCTTTAGTCCGTGTCAAGAAGAAGAAAAAAACAGATATAACGAAAGCAGCTTTCTCGCACACCGACCGTCTCTGAAAGGGGTGTGACGCACTGTCCACTACGATTTCAGGTAGTATCCCCTCTAGACGTCTGTGAAAGGCGGTGGTAATGGCGCCACGTTAGACACGTATACATAGAGTTGTTGGGTTGGTGAGCCACGACGGGATAAAAGTTGACTACGGCGACCTTCCCGACCAGGGATCAAAGCGCACGATGGCGAAAGGAGGCAGAGAGAGGCATCTTGAGAGGCTTGACCTTCTGTGGAGGTCGATGAGAACCCAATCATCAAGTTGACTTAACGGCTGCGGAAGTGCCGACTGCCGATCTGAACAGGCATCACCACGTCACTTCCACCCGCAGTCTTGCCGCATGCTGCTTTCGCTTCTTCGGTGGCATTTCCAGACGCAGTCCCTAATATGTCTAATATCTAGCCATAATCTAGTCTCTGTGTCTCTCTGAGATTTCCCCGGACTATCTTCAGCAGATACGCGAGCCGGTAGCGTTCCGATGTTTGCGCTAGTTGCGGTTCCAGCATGCGACTGCATCCCTCCTCTCTTTCCAACTACCAGACCCCGCGAGTTCTGTGTTCCTGTCCACGAACTACTTTCGAAGCCAGTATTTCCGAGATGCAAGAATGTTCATGCGATACATTAAGAGCGTAAAAGCTTGGGACATACGGACTACAGCTATAAGGACCGGCCGAGACAAGGGGTTGGGGATTGGTGCTGCTGCTGTAACTGTGCGATCATAGCCCTCTTTCAGTGGATCAGCAAAGACTGTTATCGTGCCATTTCAGAGCATTATACGACTAGGTGATACAGGATCGCGGCGGCCGAGTGTGCCAACGACGCTCCAGGCCGATCCGCACCTGAGGGCCACCGCGGATGTGACATATCTCACCAGCCCCAGGTACCTGGTCCCCCCTTCATGGGACCTTCCAATTCACTGGTCACCCATCCACCATAGTAGTCACCTGTAGCAAAGGTCAGGTCAAGGCCCGAGGTTGAAGAGGGTATTGACCACCCAAATTACCTTCTTGAGGCGTCACCTTCTCGTCGTCCACGAAACACTCCCAGGGGACATCATTGGCATAGAAAGACAGAAATCCCTTGATGTCCTTGAATGCTGGAGTGGGTGATTCGTAACTCCATACTTTACCCTTGACTATCTCACCGGTGGATTGGTTGGTGACATCCCAATATGTGGCCCGACCCTTCCACTCGCACAGCGACGCTCTCCCTGGTGCCTGGCTGAGTTTGAAAGTGGGCGAGATCGAGTCTCGTGGAAGATAGTATGTTGGTGGGTGTGTTGTTTCCAAGACCCAGAAAGAAGATCGCGTGTCAGCTAGAGCGTGGCCATTCCATCGTATGAGTAGGTGTCTCGGAATCTGCTCGAGCAGCGGAGGACGTGGGAAGTTCTGCACGATCAATTTAGGTCTGGCCGACATTTTGATGCCTGGAGAGAACGACACTGAGAGCACAGCCAGAGAATAGATGAATATACATGGATGCTGCTGAGAGTGTATTGATGACGCTGAGATCTTGTACTCGTAGGAGTCCGGGGAGTCTCTCGGCCGCCGCTCGGCATTAGCTTCTGGCGATTGATGGCTTCAATACTCTATATCTAAGGAATATAATTCACCCGCAAAATTTCTCTTCAGCCCACCACCAACACCACCACCGGAGGATGGCATCGCTCGCGCTCAGCGCCGCTTCAGGCGCCATCTTTGGATCCGCATTGACCGCGTCTGGCGTCTACGCACCGTCGGTCATTATTTCTCAAATGGGACTTTCGAATTTTCACATGCTGAAGTCCTTCCTTGCTGCCAGTGCGTGCAGTGCGCTCATTGTGGTGGGTGCCAATCGCTCAGGCTACGCGCACCTCGCGCCTCGAACAGACTCCTCTTACGGCTGGTTCATGAGATACGATGCCAACGTCGTCGGCGGTCTGCTGCAAGGCGTTGGAATGACCCTGACCGGTGCGTGTCCCGGCACAGTTCTGGTACAGATGGCACTGGGCATTCAGTCCTCCTGGAGAGTCGCAGTTGGGGGTCTCCTTGGTGGAATTGTCTTTGCGAAATCCGGCGATGCCATCAAACGCTCACACCCGCCGAACACAGGCACAGGAAAACACACGGTCCAGGCAAAGACGGGCCTCTCTACCCCACCTGTTGTCTTCATCTACGAAGCTCTATGCGTCCTTATGATAACCGCGGCCAATTACCTTGCGCCTACACGAAAACACTGGCTGCATCCGGTCTTGGGCGGGCTTCTCATTGGTCTTGCTCAAGCCACTTCGGTGCTCTTTACCCGCAAAACCCTCGGTGTGTCGAGCGCGTATCAAGACATTGGCAAGTACTTTTGGAGCGTCTTGGAAGGTAAGGCAGGTCCAGGGCTATCGAACATCGTCTTCGCTGGCGGCGTCATGGCAGGGTCCAAGATCATTTCCCAGTATGTCCCGATCGCCGCGGACAGCGTTGCAGGGGTAAGTACCCCTGCGGCTGTGGCTGGAGGCTTTGCCATGATCTTCGGCGCCAGGCTAGCTGGAGGATGCACCAGCGGACACGGCATCAGTGGGATGTCGACGATGAGCTTCAGTAGCTTTATTACTGTGGCGGCCATGTTTGGAGGAGGCATCGCGGCGGCTTTCCTGAGTCGATGAAAGTAAAGGGAAGCTTGTTCTTGCCCTTGCCCGGGGTTTTTAAGATCCCGGAATGGGGGGTCCCCCGAATCACTGCTTTATCCCGATACCACCGTCAACCTCGACCACGCTGCCGTTCATAAACCTACTCTCTTCACTGAAGAGAAACGCAACGACGTCCGCAATCTCCTCGGGCGTCCCCGTCCTTTTCAAGCCAATCTCCTTTGCGAGCTTCTGTACTCTCTCCGACCCCGCGCGGAACGCGACGTTCGTCGGCGTCTCGACAATTCCCGGCGCGACGACATTGACTCTGATGCCTCTCTCGCCGAGCTCCAGGGCCATGCACTTTGAGAACCCAATCACCGCGTACTTGGTCGCGCAGTACACCGCGAACCCGGCCGTTGGGTAAAGCCCGCAGACCGAAGAGACGTTGACGAACGACCCGCCGCGGCGCATGTGCGGGATGCACGCCCTGGTCATGGCGAACGTGCCCTTCAGATTCGTGTCGACCAGCCTCTGCCAGTACTCGTCGCTTATGTGCTCCGTGGGCAGGTTTGTCGGGTTGATGCCTGCACAGTTGAAGACGTGGTCGATCCGTCCTTGGTGTCGGTCTGCAACCGAAGCAACGAAAGCGTTCACAGCTTCTGTGGATCTGATATCCACGCTGCTCGCCATGTGCCGTTGCACGTTTGCGTCGTCCGGGGTCAAGTCGGCCGCAGCAGCCTCTCGACACAAGTGGAGTGTAGTCTCGAGCCCGCCTGAGTCGATGTCTGATAATGCCAGGTTTGCACCGGCCGAAGCTAGCCGGATGGATGTTGCTCGTCCGATGCCGCTTCCTGCTCCGGTGATGATGACTACGTGGTGTGTGAAAGGTGCCATGGCTGCTGAAGTATCGGCTTCTTTCTTCTAGATAGAACGGCAGAAATATGTAATCTGCAAGCCTGCAAAGGCGCAAGTCTGTTGTTAAAATATTCAAATATTGTTTAGAACAAGTCAATTCAAGTCGAAGTTGCCGGGCTAGTGTTCCACTGTTCGCGAGTCAAAGATATAATATACTCGTACAGTTCATGACATCAAGTGGAGAGAATGCGCACTGCGGAAGAGTCCGTGGGTTCTGTCCGGCACATATGGGCCGGGCCTGGATCGCATCGAAGAAATTTCAAGCAACTCGGACATCTCCTTGCTGATCTGTTGATGAGCGAATGAGTTATGTTAGAAGGGCGGTTGACTTTGCCTCTCTTCAAATTTCATAGCGTGGCACCTTTACGCATACGCAACATTTCTGTTATTCAAGGGCTTTCATGAGGTTAAATGCTGCCAATGGCGATGAACTAGATAAATAGATATTATCAAGGTTGACGTTATGTTAGGAAGGAGCTGAACTGAAGATAGTGACAGCAATGTTCCCTAACCTATGCCGTAGTGAAAGAAAAATCAAGCCCGTCCGCGCCCACCGATTTTCAACTTGTCTGCCCTTGCCCTACAATATTCTAGTTGATGTAGTCCGCCATGCATGAACACGATCATGCATGCAGGGACCTAGACAAGCGCAACAGCACCGGCAACACCAACCAGTACGGCCAGAATGCCCTGTCCAAGCTTCGTCTCCACCGCAGCACCAGTATACGTGGATGGTGCCGACCCAGGCGCCGTTGGGACCGTGCCCGTGGTCGTGCAGGATGTGTTCCACATGGTCGCCATAGTCGTTGGGACAGTCGACACAGATGTCGTGATCGGAGCACTTGCGGTGTCCACGGGAACACTCGTAGTGGACGTCTCAGTGGTAGGCACAGTAGTGGTCGAAACAGCCCCTGCATCTGCGTCGCTGGTGGGAGCAGTGTACGATGAGTCGCTTGTGGTTGGAGCAGCGGCACCTAGAGCGTTACCGCAAATAGTCTGACCAAAAGCCACTGCAGCTACACACACGTAGGGTCAGCGCCAGAGCCTACATTCAGATAAGGTCAATAATGCAGTGGCAGTTACCTTGGACGTCACCTGCAGAACAGGATTGTAGGATTGTGGTGGTGATAGCGTCCTGGAATGCTTTCGAGTTGCAGATGCAAGTCGTGTCGCTCAGAGCACAGCCAGACGAGCCCAGTGCGGCAGCTGCGGCATCGCGCTGTTGTCGAGGTAGTGGTCAGATCGTTATCAAACGGGAATTTCGTCAATGAAGTTATGCTATGTACTTACAGCACAAGGGGGAAGAGCACTCAACTGGCTTGAATCGACCTGTGGAATGGCCAGAGCCAGCTTGGTGACCAAGGCCACAATATAAACGACGTAACGCATCTCGGTAGTAGTCGATGATCTGGATATTAGGAAATAGGAAGCAAACAACACAACGGAACGAAAGAGATGTACAGATGAAAAACTCGAGCTGAGTAGTATTTCAAGGTTGATGGCGGTAGATACCAACAAAGAAAACGGCCATAACAAAGAATGTGTACGAGTCTCCACCGCACATAGTCAAGTTGTTATGCCGGTGGCCTTTGCGAGCAATAGCACGTTGTTCATATCAGTGCCCTGGAATGCGGGTTGGATCAATCAACCCAGTCTGGTTGTACCATTGGAGCATTTCGAGAGCACACGTAGGCATCCCAGTATCCTGAGTAGATTCGCTGAGAGATATAACCGGTATATGCGACGAGAGAGTCACTCAATATTAGAAAATTGGACAAAGGAAATCTGTTCTGAGATGGCCGTGGAGTATCGAGGAGCAGCCGCATGCGTGTGATTTTGTTCAGGTCATTGACGACGGAGTCAGAAATGATCCCTAGACAAGGATTGGTAGTCACTCATAGTAGCAATACAGGGTTGAGATCAGGGGCTGTCGTGTTTTCTGACTCTGTTGCGATGCGAGGGTTCATACTGATATTGACGATGTTTAGGATGTGATATCGTGTTGTTATTGACCGAGTCTCGGCAAACTCGGCCGATGTCGCTCAACTGTTGAAAAATCTGATCTTATCAGATAATCGGCATCAACTTGATAACGCATCTTATCCCCCTCATCCAGCCATCTTCCTGAACCACATCGAATCAGTCCTGTCCCATGGACGAAGCAATATCACTCGACATTCGCAATGCCCTCCGACTATCCCTCAAATCGTCCGGTGACCTCGCCCAAGTGTTAGATGCTCCTCAAGGACGAGGCCCGACGCCGGAGCATCTTCGTAAGCTCATCGAAGTCCTGCTATGGCACCGCCGGTTCATCGTCACTTATTACGCCGTCATAGGAGTTGTTGTTGCGATATCATGTGGCGTCAAAATATACAAAAACATCAAGAGGTGGACTCTACAGCGGCATGAGGATGGGGGTGATACAGTCTCGTCGTCCGGGACGGTATCATCGTCCTCTAGCACATTGAGAGGCACAGTGACACCTCCAACTGGCAAGAATGACGATCTCTGCTGCGGTGAAACAACACCTTTGCTCCTTCAGGATTCCGTCACTAGACCTCGGCGGCCTCTTCTGCTGCACCGGTTGAAGGCGTTTCTTTTGTACCAGCCGCGGCCTATACGTGCATTAACATCTCCATCCAATGTTCTCCCGGACAACGGAACGTCCCTGCTGCTCATATTCTTCCTTGGAGTCAACCTGTTCTATTTGTTGTATCGATCACCCCTGACCATATCCTGGATCTTTATCCTAGCTGATCGAGCCGGCCTCTTATTCGTTGTCAACTTACCAGTTCTCTATATTTTGGCGGCAAAGACGAATCAGCCCATCAAACTCATCACTGGCTGGTCCTACGAAGGATTGAATCTCTTCCATCGACGACTGGGCGAATGGATGATAGTAATTTCTATCGTTCATATGCTTGGTATGTTCGTCGTCTGGTACACCATCTTGCGTCCACTTGACTTCGATCTTTTTCGATATCTGACCGAACCTGTGGTTTTCGTGGGAATTTCAGCCATAATTTCCTATTTCATCATCTACATAACGAGCGTCGGCTGGTTTCGACATCTATATTACGAGGCTTTCCTTGGTCTGCACATATTTTTCCAGGTGGCAGCACTTGCGTTTCTGTTCTTCCACTACCCGACCGCTCGGCCATACGTCCTGGCGACTCTTTCCATTTGGGTCATTGATAGATTGGTCTGGAGAATCTCCTTGTCGAGTCGGAAATACCTGGCTACATTAGAAGTGGCTCCAGATGACCACACTGTTCTCCTCCACTGTGACATAGACCTTCAGAGAACTTTACTCGGCACAAGAGTTGGGCTGCACCATGGATGGCTTCCTGGACAACATGTCTTTGTTACTATCCCGTCAATGGGCTTCAAGTACCGCTTCCAGACACACCCGTTTACTATTTCCTCTCCGGCTCCAGGGCGGAACGCTGGGGCCAAATCTTGGCCTCTTCAACTTGTCATTCGTTCTATCGATGGCTTCTCACTGGATCTGCTGAAATATGCTCGCCATCATCAACACTGCGAAGTTATCATGGACGGACCACACGGTGGCATCGAGGCCCTCGAGGCTGCTCACGAGGCCGATCGTGTTTGCTTCGTCGCAGGTGGGAGCGGCATTGCCGTCACGTATCCACTTGCCTGGGACGTACGCGTTGAGGGTGTGATGCAGCCAGAAGCACTAGTGAGCACCCGCACCATGTACCGAGAAGGAATAAGGTCTACACAATCTGTGATTGACTGTGGTCCTTTGGTCAAGGCTTCCGACTACGCTCATTTCTGGGTGCGGCAGGACCCGTCCCACGCGAAGTGGATTTCAGTATTTCCTAGGGCTAGCAGTGTGAAACAAGAGCCTGCGATGAAGTCCCACGCCCGAAGTGCCGAAGGAAACCTCGGTCAAGAAGAGGTAGCGAGCATTGTGACTAGGTCATTCGACACAAGAGTCCCACTATCCGAGGGCGGTAGACCAGATGTCAAAGGTGAAGTTTGGAACTGGGTGACTTCGACGTCCTCCACTAGGTCATCTTCTTCTACGTTACTTAGGGCCACAGAGACGGACTCTGCGGTCCTTGAAATTAGGGACTCAGTGTGCAGGACGGCTGGTTCGAAAGGACGAGACAAAATATGCATTATTGTCTCTGGTCCTGACGGACTCGTCCGAGATGTCAGGAATGTTGTGGCTCAACTTGTCCAAGAGGGATGGGATATTTATGTATATGTTGAGAAGTTTGGGTGGTGAAGATACCAGTATTATGGATATATCTTGACGAAAGTTACAACGATGATGACTACTTGGTACTCTGCAGGTACATTCTAGATTCGGCGGTGTTGATTACATTCGTGAATTTCCCAGATGAGCAAGCTCTAGGTACTGAAGAAAGCAATGCACATTCTCATTATCGATATTATGATCTTTCCGATATGCTGGCAGATGGTATTTTGGCCAAATTCCAGGGAATGAAGTCTCGGGGGCTGCGGCGCCACATAACGTTATGATTGTTACACTTCCAACACCCACTCCTGTTCTCTCCATCTTCACTAAACCACACTTTATTTTCCAGTTTCCCTCGCATAACGCGAGCAGGGAATCGATTTCGTCACCATAACCTACCGCTGTGTATGAAAGGCGTAGATGTATATAAAGGTAAGATGAGCTTCCCAGTGTCAACATGTGCCTCAGGTTTATCTCCATCACCACCACCGTCATCGCTGCGAGAGCATCTGCAATATCAATCGGCATCACATCCACACACGTTCGAAATACCTTCCGTGACCTCGATCTCAATCTCAATTCCAGAGAATGACCACTTCGACTCAAACCACCATGCCCGGCTCTGGTTCGAGCACGCCGTCACCACGTTCATCCCGGTGGTCGTTCTTGTCCTCACGTTCCTTCGCCTTGCACGCCATTCCCATCTCCTACGCCCTCGCGTACCCACCGCATGTCTACGTGCTGGGCACGCTGATGAAAGCGTCCTCGTCGAACTACGCATTCACCAACATGGTCCCGCGCGTGAACTTGGAGCGCCTTGGGCCCTCGCTCCCCAAGGCGACGACAGACATGCTCTGGCGCGCGAGGGGTTGCCATCTGAATACCCTAGAAGGATTTCCTTTGTTTGCTGCGGCAATGGTACGTATGCCTGAGCTTACCCAACCCGATGGATGAATCATGACAACACCTCATACCTCGCACCGTACCTCCCACCTCCCCTTTCCACAACCCCTATAATGCCCTCAACAACCCTGCGCAACCTTCCCATGGTTGGTACCATGATCGTCGTCAATACCAGCTGACCTGACTTTCCTCCAACCTCGGTCGTCCCACACAGCTCGCAGGAACGTACACATCTTTGCCCACGCGGGACCTCAACATCTGCGCGGCAGAATACCTTGCCGCCCGGGTCGTGTACAACGTGCTCTACATGACGGTCCGCAGCGAGGCGGCAAGTTATCTCAGGACAGCGGTCTACTTCTATAGCGTCGGCATACCTTTCTACGTCCTCTGGAAGGCGGGCCAGAAGGCCGCGGGCGCCATCGCACAGGAGAAAGGAAAAGGGGAGTAAAGTAGGTACCCGGTGTTGATGGATCAAGGAGGAGGGAAAGACGAAGAGGCTCTAAATCAATCAAGATAATCCTTCACCAACGAACCCAGACACCTCGCTCACTCTCTCTCTCTCTTTAACACATACACACACACACACACACACACACACACACACAGATTGGACAAACAAGGCGAGACCAACGGAACAAATCGCTCAACCATGAGAAAATGCCAACTAAGGAAGACCCTGGGCAGATTGTATAATAGAGACAGAACAAATCTAATGCTGAGACCATCGTCCAGATGATCAACATATGATAAATAATTTGCGGTTCTGACTTTTATAAAATCTCTGGAGAGGGCAGGAAAGTAGCTGCCATGTCTCGGTACATAGATACCTAGGTACAAGTACAAGAAAAAACGTTATAACCTGTCTATGTCTCCTCTCTTGTTGGATCAATCAACTGTTTTTCTCCTTTTCTGATTCCAGCTGTTTTGCAAGAGCCCCCTTTTTAGCTTTTGCCCGCTTTTCACTCGCGTACCGCCAGCTTCGTGCAATTCCTGCCGTGATGGGTCCCTTGAGACTCTGAGTGAACGAAGGCCAGCGAATCGTCGATTCGATGACTTGTCGCACTTCCTCGCGTAGCCCGCCACCTTCGGTATCGGAAGCGATTCGTTGTTCAAACTTACCACCCTCGCGTTTTCGGATACGTTCTGGATCTTCATCCTTGGTCTGCTCAAGCATCCTCATGAATTCCGCCCGGGGAAAGTTGAATTTGGACTGATATTCAAAGTACAATTTTTCTCGGAAAGCGCTGGGTAGACGTCGAACCATGTGTCCCCGGGTCACAGGGTCCATGTTCTGAGCGAGTTTCGCATTGACGGTCGGATCCTCTAACCAATCTCGATTGGAGCATGCCGAGTCAACAAAAGAGATGTTGGGAAGATTGTCAACAAGCGGTGCATAGAGACGTCGGAAGTTATGGATCTGGTGCTTGACAATGTTCTCAACTTTACGAGGATCATCGCCCCCAATTGTCATCCTTGGGTCACCCATATAAGATATTCCGGCGATCGTCCCATAGAGTTCCCGTTCGGTAAAGTTGGCTGGGAGAAGGAGTAGGGCTGTGCGGACAGCTGCAATTAAATTGACTTGATTGGCAAGTCGGACTGCTGGATTGTCGCGTAGAATCTTGACTGGCTTTTGTAGGCGGCCAGCAAGATACAGAGTATTCCACTCTGATAGATCTTTGCACAAGGTGTCCAGGTTGACCACGCCGTATTTGATTAGAGTCCCGTTAACAGTGACGAAAGGATTAAAGTACACGCCGGCTCCAAAAGACTCCTGGATCTTAGAAACAGCATAAGAACCCAATGAGCCAACCGCCGAGTAGTGGTCCCGGTGCTCTTGTAGGTTCAAATCATGCCAGTGTTGACTGTATGAAACGCCGAATATAAAATCAATCATTTTCTGGTTTCCGTCTTGGACCTTCATTATTGCTTCCGGAGGTGAAGGATGCAATTTAGAATCTCCCACGGTGCTGCCCGAGCTCTGCGGAAATACACCAGATCCATAAGCAAAGGCATACCGAATGGGCGCGCGAAACTTCCAAAGTATTTGTCTCAAAGCTTCCTTGAATTCTTCATTGATCAGCATATGCTGATTGACTCCGAAATCCTTCCCCGGCAGTTCAGAGAATTTTGATATGCTCAAGTCCGGGTTCTCTTCCCAGTCTTGCGACCCGAGTGATGATGTCGAAGGTTTCAGCGGACCATCGCTGGAAGATTTGGTCTCGGAGGGAATTGAAGTGCCCGAAGAGGACTGCGGCGTAGAGGCAGAGCCGCTCTGGGGCTGCTTAACTTTCGATGGATCGAATCCTGGAGGTGGCCCCGTCTCTCGACCGCGATCTTCTTGTAAACTGGCATAGTATCGGACATTGTGAGGGAGAGGCAGACGTCTGGAGGCCACGAAGAGAGGAAGTCGTGGAACATGGTAGAGCTCCTGGAAGGCTCGCTTTCCCAGTACGCTGGGAACGACTCGTAATGTCATCCTGGAGGCAGTAGAGATTCAGACGTAACAGAGTGAACCATTGCCAATGCTACCGCATATCCAAAGACTTCATGGCGTGGTGTTGGAACTTCGCGTGCATTGACACGGGGAGAATCCCATGTAGCGATGCCTGAACTGCCTACGTAAGATGTTCGCAATAGTGAAATCTCCCCTTGCGTCATTGGTGAGCAGCCCCTTGCTGACTAAGCCTCGATATGCTTTAGTCACATGACCAGAAGCACCGCGACTCCCGGCAGAAGCTCGGCGAAACTCGATCGCGGCCGTGTCAACAAACAGATGAACTGCGCTTCTCTCCAAGGTACGAACTGCCTCTCAACAGCCACATCGTGCCAGAGAAATGGAGTTCTCTACTCTAGAAGCGCGTCTCGCCAGCTTCGAGCCTCCATCCAAGCGATCGAAGCTAGGATGGCCTCACAAAACACCAACACCTGACGAGCTAGCAAAAGCTGGGTTCTACTACAAACCCTCGAGCGCAAGCAATGATAACACCATCTGCTTTATGTGTGGAAGATTTCTGGATGGCTGGGAGCCGGATGATGATCCAATTCAAGAGCACCTGAAACATTCCAGTGATTGCCCATGGGCGATTCTTATGGACGCCGCTCAAAACACTAGTCTCGACGTCAACAACATGGACGATCCCACGGGAGAACATCACGCAGGCGCGCGCCGAGCTACGTTTGGGATAGGATGGCCTCATGAATCGAAGCGTGGTTGGACGTGTAAAACCGAAAAGATGGTAGAGGCAGGCTGGTACTATGCCCCAACATCAGACAGTGATGATTTTGTGAGCTGCACGTATTGCAAACTATCGTTGGATGGCTGGGAACCCAAAGACAACCCATTCGACGAGCATTATCGAAGATCTCCCGAGTGTCCTTTTTTTCACTTCGCAGGCACAACTGCCTCTTCGAGACGGCCCAAAGCCAAAAAGGGTCGCGCATCAAGATCCTCAAGATCCTCGAAAGTCTCGACCCGGCTTTCGACTCAGTCAAATAACACAACCATGCTCTCTGAAGCTCCATCTCTCAATGATATTCCAGACTTGGACGAATCGATAGACACCAGTACTACATCCGTGTTATCAACAATGTCAGTTGCTTCCACAGCCACGACCAAAGGAAAGCGAAAAGGTGCAGGAGGAAGGACGAAGACCACAAAAAGCAAAAAGCCGAAGACGACACGTTCAACAAGAGCCAAGAAGGCTGAAACAGAGCCGGAGCCAGAAGTAGCGCTGGTTGAACAGCACGCCCCGGAAGCAGAAATCGATGGGGACGAAACCCCAACCCAGGGTCAGATGCACACGCAAACGCATACCGAAGTCGAAACCGAACATAGACTTGAAGTACTATCACAAACTCCGGCCTTTCCTAGTCCGAGACCAACACCACCAAAAGAAATAGAATATCCAATCCTTGCCGGCAGCCCCGGGATCCGCAGTACACCACGACATTTGAGTCCAATTGGTGTACCGCCACAACCCTCGCCGACTCCGGTTCGAACGAAGGCTACGCCTTCTGTAAAAGGTACAGCTACATCTTCGAGAACGGTTCCCCGGTCCATTCCTCGACTTCAAGCTACGAATCATGCCATTGAATCACCCTATGCGACCGGGCGTTCGCCTTCTACAGACATTGAAAATGCCCCTCCCAGTGCACGGTCTGCGTCGGTGCGCAATGCTCTGACATCTCAGAGTCAGACGCAGACAGTTCCTCTCGCGTCCTCGAGTCCAGGAGAGGTTGTGCCTGCGTGGGAGCCTGCGGATATTGAGCTCATCTTCCATACCGACACACCTCAACCGGCAGATCTGTTGGGCTTGACGGGCGGCAAACTGTCCAGAGAGGAACAGGAAATGACTGTGCAAGAGTGGATAGGACATGTGGCCAGTCAAGCAGAGAGCAGTTTGCGAGCGGAAGCTGAGAGGGTGGTGGGTGTGTTTGAGCGCGAAGGACAGAGGGCTATGGGTGTTTTGGAGGCGATCAAGTGTGTATGAATTTGGGTTCATTGCGGTCAAGGATTGGGTGTGAACATGCCACGCAGTCAAAATAAAGCATGAGAGATCGACGAGGACGCAGGAATGACATGACGTGGAGTGTCTCTTGTGGATCTTGGGAATCAGGTACAGAAAAGAGCCACCTTTTTAGTATAAAAAGGTTGGCGGATTGAGAAGCAATGCATTATGAGTGGTACATAGGCGTTGAGGGTTGTGGGAATTATGGGGTGGTGTGCTTGTGGAGGTGTGATTTTGGGTTTCTTCGTTTGAACAGGGAATACTACCAAGAGGACGGGGAGTCTTTTGTATGAAAAAAGAGTGTTCCTTTGGTGTCAAGTTTATTCGTGTTCGTTTGTGCTAGCTATCTGATCTGATACCCGTTCCTGCGGATGCAATTCAGCATATCTAGGTATTGATCCCACTTTGCGCCGCGGTCCCATCTACGCACCGACGAAGAAGAATCAACTTGGATACCGGAGCCAGCGAAAGCGTCTGACCGTTAAGGAATACAAGTATGCTTCTCGTTCTCATTGGGGTTCCTTTTTCCCACACCTCTATCTCACATCGTCACATATCATGCGAAGTACAGACCCGGTGGAATGAATCCACACCACCACCACCATCACACTGCAATGTCGGCCCCGACCAGATCGACCTCTTCGACCGGCGCGCCTTTTTTCACCGGCTGTCCCGTCAGGGCTGCATCGAGACTTCTGAATTGTTCGATTTCGTGGATCTTGTCTGTACATATTTTCATTGCACAGAGACACAAGGCAGGATGTTAGCCAAAGCCGAGCCTTTTACCTCAGGTGCGTAAAGATTTTGCAGAGGTGGAAAGGTTGGAAAGAAGACAGGGGAAAAAAAAAGAGGGAACGAAAAGACATTACGTGTGTCTCGTCTCGTCTCGTCTCGTCTTCGGTGTTCCAAAACGTAAAGGAAAAGGGTGAGTTAGAACAAGTTAACAACGTACCATCACTGACTGGACTCGTCGAGAAGATCGCCTTCTCCCGCTCCCCGAGGCTGGGATATATCCCCTCGTTGATCAGCTGTTCGGCCAAGGCGCGCTTGTTGGTGCCGTCGTCGGGCAACGACGACGACTTCGCGAGCTCGGCCCGCGCCCGGTCGAGGCACTCGTGGTAGTAGGAGCTGTGGTTGATGTTGCACACCTGGTCCCACTGCTCGGACTTGTGGATCGGGCAGAAGTACCGGCTGCACAGGAGGCACTGTTCGAGAAACTTGGTCGTCGGGCTGAAGTCGCCCGGGTTCTGCTCGTCGCAGAGATAGCACGTTTTGACCAGGACCGGTTTCTGAGGCCGTGAAGAGGCGGCGGGGGCGGTGTTTTTGGTTTGGGAGGGCGCTGCTGTCGTTACGGCGGCCGCGGCCGCTGAGCCTGGACCAGAGATTGTCGTGTTGGACGCCGCGTTGATGGTGATGATGGGTGGCGGTGGGATGGCGGACATTTTGGGTACAACAAAAGAGGTAATTGGATTGCTACGAGGTCGAGAATCAGGTAGCTACCACCAACCTAACTTGGGTCACCTGTGGTTCGGAGGGTAGAGGTGAGGAGGAGTAATGGTAGTAGTAGTTGTAGTGGTAGTCGGCCAAGGTGTCCTGAGGTAAGCTGAGCTAATGTGTTTTCTGCTGAGCTGTTGGTAGGTATACGGGCACTCGTGGTGGTGGTGTGGTTACGCTTTCAACGGGTACAGAGTACAGAGGACAGAGTAACACAATGGGGTACGAGGTTATACACGGGATAGGTAAATGGATGATATTATTGTCAGCTTTTGCGAGAGCGAGAGAGAGGGGGTCTCGCTTCTTATTTAGCTGGTACATACATACATGTCCGTACTGTAAACGGCGGGATTGCAGAAATCCCACTTTGTGCTGAACATCGACGTCGACGTTAGGATGGAGGGATGGGACGGTGTCGGTGGTGCTACGTAGGGGCCCACAGGGGATCCCGACCTTCCAACTTAACTCATTCTCAGTAGACTCCGTCCGCTATAGCCTCATCCCTTCTAACGAATCGCTCTCTGATGGGCCTTAAACTAAACCCCCCGCAGCTTCTCAACTGCCTTACGAGTGTGGCTTGCCAAGTGGCCCCGTGGGCTGTCTGTGAGTCGTTAGCTGTGGCCACGGTCCTGGATAAAGCCTAGAGGACAGACAGACATTGGCTGTTCGGGGTCCGAGAAGAAGAGAGTACGAGGAAAACAGACCATACCTGGGTTTTACTGAAGCCACTAACTCGACGGCTTCAGGCGTCCTGGTCTCTTTTACTGAGCCCAAGAAGAATAAATCATTACGAGTACAGCTGCTTGTACGAGTTAGATCCAGACAGACAGATTGTTCTTGGATCGACTGCCGACTTTCGACCTGAGCCGATGCTGATCCAAGGTGATGATGATCAGGTACAAGGACCCCATCAGACAGACACACATGCCGTAATACAGCCCATACTCGTACAAGACCGGCGATTATGGGTTCACTCGTGGAGTCGTTGGACCCCTACGACACCACGGAGGATCGGGGCGCCGACTGACCGTTCCAAAATCTTAGAGGGGGCTCATTAATAGGCTCTCTAGGCGTTTCAGGGACTTTGGCCGTTCAACGTTCGCAGCCTCAACTACAATACAGTATGACGTCGCTGGCGTCGGTGATCAGCAGGAAGTGCCCGCCATCATGGAAACACCACTCGAAGATGGGGGATGAGGCTCTACCCTCTAGCGACACGCATACTGGAGCATCGAAGCACCAGGGAGGCTTTGAAGCCAGTTTCGTCATAATGGAGTCCTCCTTAACAGCGAACAGCCCAGCCCTTTCCAGCTCACTCAAGACCAAAGACATAGACGATGAATGAGAACCAGGACTCTTTTTTCAGACCTTCTCACACACGGTAACAAAGGGAGAAACAATACCTTCAGGTCATCATCAGCTTCAGCGGTCGAGACCACGAGGATATCGGTTACTTACCACTCATGAACAGTGTCCCAGTCTTCGCATCATGAATGACCGTGGTCATAACGGGCAACTTCTCCCCCGCGGCGTCCTCGATGATCTTGTCTAACTGATACTCGTATGTACCAGGCACGTCTCGATTGAGTCGTCTTATGCGCCAGACCGTGGCGGGAGCAGTCGGTGCGTTCAACGGGTCATTGAACGCCGCGAGCGTCGCGAGACACTTGGGCATCGTGGCTGCAAAGATATCGCCGTTCGCGTCTTCGGACAAGTTGTCGATGGGATAGTCGAGCTGGACATAGTGCACCTTTGTCACGGACCCGTCGGCCCCAGGCTTGAACACGGTGACATCTCCCTTTACAGCGCTGGGGACGTACAGCAACCCGTCACGGCCGAGGTGCAAACCGTTGGGAAACTTGAAGCCAGATGCTACTTGTCTACAATCCCCTGTCCCCGAACAGTACGAGACGTCGCCAGTCCCGAGAATAGATGAGAGACGGTGCCCCTTGGGAAGGTCAAATCAGCTAAGCTTCGGTCACAATCGCGAGTGTGTTCGGTGTGTGTCTAGGTGGGTAGGTAGGCAGGATACATGGGGTACTCACCCAGCCGACCTTGTGGGGGCCGTGGTCATTCGTAAAGAAGAAACCGCCATCCTTGGTCACGGCGATGTTGTTCGGCGTTGCGATTTGTGGATCGGCATATGTCTTGATGTGTTCCATACTATCTGCACCTGGTTTGGTCGCAAACACGTCGATTGTCGCATTGGCACCGACGACCTCCTGGTCTAGAAAGTCACCGGTGGTCGCGTCCACAGAAGGCCGGTCGTTGACGAGCCACAGCTGGGCGTCCGACTCTGCTGAAGACGCAACCCCAGTAATGCCCACGACGTGGATACGGCCGTCGCCATTGACGCCAGGAAAGCCTGGAGTGTGGAGGACTCGATAGGTATACCCACCCGAAGTGCTGGGGCTGTCAATGTCCATGGCGACAACGTGATCGTTTAGGGCACGTCCGGATACGTTGAGCCGATGGACGCTGTAGGAATGGGTCAGCGTGTTCCACTGCCAACGCGCAGGGAAGATTGTAAGCATTGCACTGAAGAACTAACTTACTTGGGCATCCACTCTCTCCGGGCGGCCGGGTCTGAGCAGGCAAGGTACAACGTCCTCGAATTCTCGTCCAACCACATGTCTTCGCATGCCTGGATATTTGGATCTCCCAGAATCCGACGGCATTGGTAAGGGAACGAAGAGACAGGCAAGACTGTTCGACCCAGTCCTATCGTTCGGAATAGAACGTCTTTGACGAAAAACTGGTACAGGACCGCCCCGAGGGCGAGGACGATCGAGAATCCTTGAACCTTGGTCGGCATCCTGTTCGAGATCACGGGCTGCGGTGCTGAGGGAGTATACACGTTGCTAAACCAGGATAGTTCGATACAGGTGCGAGTCAAGTACGCGACTGGGTGGTCCTTTCGGGGGAGTCTCCCAGTACATATGCCCGAAGCAAAGCAAATTGACTTGGACGCCTGAAAGTCTTGAGAGTTACGTACAGTAGACGATCCATGACTTGTTCTGATCATACAGTGCCCTTGAGGCGGACGAACGAAACTCAATTCACTCACTAGTCTGGTAGTTAGTAGTCCACCCCGCGTATTCTCGGCTTAAGGCGAACGCGGAGACGAGAAAATACCGTTACAGAGCCCAAAGTGAGTCGGTCTGAACGTCGTTGTCCAGAACGTCGGTGGAGTACGACTACAAAGCATTCTTTTCAGGTCTAGGCTGGCAGAGCATGATATCCGGTAAAGTGTATAAACTGCATCTGAACTGCACATAAATTTATATTTAACCTTTGGCTCACGAAGCGATCAAGAACAGATCAGTTCCAACACTAAAAAAAAAACGATTTTATTTTTCGTAGCAACCTATCTCATCAACAAATGTATCACATTGAAAGGCATAAGAATGTCCTCAAGTACCATGAATGACGTCGTCTCTCGTATGGCGTCCTCTCTCGCTAAACATCTTACAGCAGGTATTCGCCGTTGCACTCCTTGGCCACAACGTCAAACATGGGCTTCGCGCTGAACCATCCGGCTCTAGGAGTGCCGACGCTCTTGTAAGTGTACGCAGCGTCCTCTTCGTCGATCTTGACGGTCTCACCGCCCCGTCCGGCCGCTGCAGCGTCGGCCAGCAACTGGGTATGGCACAACTTCTCGAGACTGACAAACCAGAACACGGTGGCCTCGATGGTCTGTCCGCATGTCAACAGCCCGTGGTTCTGCAACAGGCACGCCTTCTTGGAACCAATGGCCTTCGCAATGTTCTCGCCCTCCTCCTTCGCGAGCACGATGCCCTTGAACTGCTTGTACACGGCCAGGTCGTTGTAGAATATGCAGCTGTCCTGGGTGGTGATGTCGATGGGTCGGCCGAGGGTACAGAAGGTCCGGCCGTAGATGCTGTGGCTGTGTGCGGCGCACATCACGTCCGGCCGCGCATTGTGGATGGCGGCGTGGATCATGTACGCCGCCGTGTTGAGCAGGCGGCACGGTCCGCCGTCGATGACCTTGCCTTCGTGGTCGACGAGGATCAGGTCGCTCTTCTTGATCTCGGAGAAGGCGACGCCGAAGGGGTTCACCCAGAACGTGTGCGGGTCGACGGGGTCACGCAGCGTGATGTGGCCCGCCACCCCCTCGTCGTAGCCATACTTGCCAAAGATGCGGAAAGCCAGCGCGAGTCGGCCCTTGAGGTATTCTCGCTCTTCATACTTGTCGGTGAACCGCGGCGGGCCAGGGAATTTCTGGTAATGCGCTGTCGGGGGTGCGGGCTCGCTGGGTGCGGTGTCGGGCTCGTCGAGGCCCATGACAGGCGATGTGATGGTCTCGGTGGCAGTGGGGGGCGCCATGGCTCTCGCAGTACTGTATGAGGTGCAACGTAGAAGCAAATACGGAGTGTGTGAGTTGCGAATGCCAGGTTCAGAAAAGTTGGAAAAGGTGGGAGATGATAATATGTAATATGTGTACGGAGTATGCGATCAAGAGCCCCCCCCCCACCCTACCGCTTACGACGGATTTATCCGGTAAGATGGCGGAGGGGCAGGGCGCAATAGCCGTGGGTATGAGGGGGAGATGCTCGCATTGCGACAACAACAATATCCACGTCGTCGCAGATAAACCTCGGAGTTGAGAGCCCACTAACTAAATAGTTAACTACCCTAGCCCTTCCTCTGCGCTCCTCACCGTAGGCTATGGTCTGCGCTCTGCCGCGCCTAACCGCACCCATTCCAGTGTCGACAATCCTGACGCCGAGCTGTCGCAGACCATCGACGCCTCGGTTGACTGGCCACATCCTGGGGGCCCTGCTCACCGGCGTGAACTGCGGGGAGTCGCCCTCGACCAATGTCCAACGGGTGATTGGCATTTGTCCTGAGCAGAGCATCGAATCCAGAAGAGACACACATCAATCGTTTGCCGCGTAGCCGAACCCGCATCAGAAGGACCCACATGTTTGACCCGTACGCTTATAGACACTGGCAATCGCCTGACGCGGTGATTTGATAGCCTTCGCTGAGTGAGATAGCATATCCGACTGGCTATCTGCGGAGCGTCAGTCCTCCGTTATTGGCTCCTGACGGTACCAAGTTAGCACGTAATATCGCAATAGTACTCCGTAATCTTTGATAATACTGATCTCTTCTCTGCGAGTAATCAAATGTATACTCCGAAGACAACTTGTTCACCAGAGCAATACTGATATTCAACCAGCAGTGCCCTGTGGCGCAAGAGCTGCGATAGCACCTGAGTGTGTGGCGGCAGCCCGCCTCCTCCCTCCCATAATTGTTCAACGCAACAACGTGAGTCTTTCCAGAAAGTGGACACTATCGTGAACTGCTTCGTACCATTCCTGGCTTGTCGTACAGAAAAGGACAAAATCTCACGCCGGGTTGAATCATGTAAGATGTAGACCCCCATTTCAATCGATGGCAGACTGCACCTCATCCCAAAATGACCTGACCTGCGTAGAAAATGCCTTCTCCGACCAGACGAATTGTCTGAGATCTTGAACCAAATCACTCCAAGAAAGAGACAAATGCATGAATTCTGAGGAAAACTCTGCCTGCTTTTGAAGGAGCTTGATGTAGCCTGTCCGTGTAGGCCCGCGAGGCGCAAAAGCCCCTCCAATGTACAACATCCAACTCAGCAGGTCACTATGGCCGTACCAATCTGACTCATCATGCTCCTGCTGTAGCTTCTGAAGGAGCTGCGAGGAAATCAATGGCTACACGGAGCGTTCCACGTCAGCTCTCATGCGCCCTGCTCGAACCGGCGGCGGCGTAGTAGTAGTACTCACCGGCATTACAGATAACCGCCAAACCTTACAGCAGAGCATCGACGCTGCCAGGTACGCAGCCCATCGGCTGCATTCGACAACGTATGGCATGTTCGGAAGATTTGCAAGTTTTGACTGAACTGATGCTTGTTGATTGTCCACGCGCATCATGGACACAGTGTCCTCGTAGGCAAAGAAAGAAGAATCTCGACAACTTTGCATGGCATGAATGTCGACGAGAACTTCCAGAAACTCCTCGGGAAAGAGATGTGCCTTTCTCTGGAACCCGGGAGACAAGACAAAGATGTCTGACGGGAATATGTCTCTCTCCCACCGCAGCTCATGGGTCACTATGCGTTCCGAGGCGGTCAAGATGTGTGCGTACAAGTCCTGCCTATACCGGTACATCAGCATGAAATGGACAGTGAGAAAATGGTGTGTTTCCCTTCTTCTCACCAGAATATAGCGCGTTTGATTCCATCAGTCAGATATACCTGTCCCACCCTGGAGGATTGCAGTAACTGATAAATGGCTTTGAGATGAATTTCGACTTGCGATCGCATTCCTAATCGAGTCTGGGTCACCGGAGAGATCAGCATTACGTATCGCGGTAAATTGGGGATAGGACTCGCAGACCTCGATCCCGGCAAGCAGAAGGATGGCGCCCATCGTTGAAACGGTGGTGGACGGATCAAAGAAGCTGATCCTTTCGCGGACGATCCTCATCGTCTCCGTTTGGTACTTGAGATATTCATGATCGAGCACATCCTTGGTCGCAGCGTAGGTCGCCGTGAGCAGGACTGCATTTAGGAGAGCAGGGTCGTCGACACCTGTCCGAAACACCGATTGAAAATTCTGAAGAGCAACGTTATCTCCAACGCTAAACACTGGCTCAAGAGCTTTCTTTGCCTCGTCTGTGTTGCTCGAGTGTCAGGAACGCCGTAGGAATCACGATGGCGGACATGAAAGGGCCCACCAGATCTTAGCAAAGACCTCAGCCTAGAAAGGCTTGCATCACCCTCTTTTGAAGGATTCGGAATATCCCAAGAGGGTGGGATAGTGGCGAAGAAACCAATGTTGTAGCCTGTCTCGCCGTTTGAGGACGGTCTGTGTTGTAGGGAGCTAACAGAAAATGCTGGTTGCGTGCATTTTCGGTCTTTCGTTTGTTCTGAAGCGCATGTTTGACGGCATGTGACTTGATTGATCTCCTCAATTCGCGATCCTTGGACCCTTCAGGGCCTTGGACCGATACGAATCGAAATCCATGATCTTGGTATGGATGTCAGCAGGAAATCTGGGTGAGTAGACAAGATCGAAGGCGGGGTAGAAGCGAACCGAAGCACCTCCCAGTGTATCCATTACTCACCAGCACTTTGATTGTTGTTCTCCGTATCCCTCGTGCTCGATCCCCATGACTCCATGTCCGATGCAAAGCAACCCCTGGAAAAAGGGTTCCCGTGCAAGGAGCAATGATCCTAAAATGGAAAGAAGTCAAGATTTTTCCCAATTCGACCAAGAGACTGAAGACGGCCAACACTAGGCCCTTGTGATCCTGGAACACTCAGCCCGTCTAGGGTGTCTAATGAAAATTTGTAAGCACGAGCAGCCGGTCCAACTACTAGGGGACCCACCGGTTCACCGTGATATGACAACAACTTCTAAGCATCGCTGGCATGAACCAACATATCCGACGAGGTAGATCAAAAGCAGCGAGAAGGCTAAAATGATGCGAGAATATTGTATACTCAAGCTTAATACATAGATAGTGGGTTCAGAATGGGAACGGTCTATGTAAGGTCAGAAATTTACTTCTGTAGTATACGAATTCGAGTTTTCTGGGCCTTTTCAAGTCACCACGCAGGATAAGATCACAACGAAGTGCAGCCTCCACTTGCGACAGGTAACTTATGCAAGGGCCCTATCTTGATTTACCTCACAAGTCAAGCGAAACCGATCGTAAGACGGCTGAATCACGTCTGTTCGAACCGATGAGGATCGGGAACATCGAAATCAAACATCGGATTGTGATGCCTGCCTTGAGTCGAATGCGAGCCACCGTCGATCACGTTCCTACAGATCTGATGCTCGAATACTACGCCCAAAGAGCAGTCGTGCCGGGGACGCTCATCATCACCGAAGCCAACATCTTATCCGCTGAGCATAGTGGGTACACCAACGCCACTGGAATCTGGAGGCCCGATCAAATCGCCGCCTGGAGGAAGATCACACACGAGATCCACAACAAAGGGAGCTTCATGTTTCTTCAAGTCATGGCCATGGGCCGCATGGCAGATCCAAACGAAGCTAAAAGAGAGGGATTCACCATCGTCGGAGCGAGCTCCATTCCATTCGTGGACGGTGCAACCGTTCCCAAAGTCATGAGCGTCCAAGACATCAAGCGCACTGTCCAACAATTTGGCCAGGCGGCAAAAAACGCCCTCGAAGCAGGATTCGACGGCATCGAGCTCCTCGCCGGAAACGGGATGCTTGTCGAGCAGTTCCTCCAAGATATGACCAACCAGCGTGACGACGACTATGGTGGCAGCGTCGAAAAAAGATCCCGATTCGCCATCGAAGTCCTCCACGCCATGGTGGACGCCGTCGGTGACCCTCGACGTGTCTCAGTGCGTCTCAGCCCCTGGAGCAAATTCCTCGGCATGGGAATGCAGGACCTGGTCCCGCAGTACTCAGACCTCATCAGAAAGGCCGACGCAATGCACCTCGCCTACCTGCATGTGACCGAGTCTCGTGTCAAGGGCACCGAGGATGTCGCCAGCTCAGAGAAGCTCGACTTTGCCTATCAGCTATTCAATGGTCCTGTCATTGTCGGAGGTGGATACAATGGAGACTTAGCACGCAATCTGGTAGACCAAGAATATCGTGATCGAAATTTCGCCGTTAGCTTCGGACGCCATTTCATTGCAAACCCGGACTTGGTGTCCAGGATCAAGAGAAATCTGCCCATGAATCCGTATCGCCGGGATTACTTTTACACGCTCCAAGAGCCGAAAGGATATACTGATTATCCATATGCAGACGAGCTGGTGATGCTAACTAACTCGGTCCCAGGAGAGGCGTGAAACCCAAACCATGATTTATGTTGCTGCGTGCATTCTCCTTGTTCGGGGAGGATGATGAGATTTAGCATATATTTGATTGAATAGGGTATATACAAACAGATCACAATCATCTCTAGACGTTGAAAGTGCCTTGCATTAAAAGTTTCGTGCGGGCTTCTCTAACACGAATTGACACTTTAGCAAGCAAAGCAAAAGTAGAAGACAGAAATTCCTTCATGTTACCAAACGGGTCCATGTCTATCTTCCGCCAATTTACCGAGTAAAAGATCCCTGGAAGCGTCTTTGCTGGATTTTACCTTCATGTTGCTTGTCCCTTACAGTCTCCGTATCGGTATCCTTGCTCCATGAACTACTGTTATGGGCAGTGATTAGAAGATTGTTTCTAACTGGCATTTCGTTGGTAGGCACTACCCGGGTTGGCAAACCTTTCACGATCTACGATAACGATGAAATCTTGGATCATGGTACAATCGAGTTGAGACCTATATTCCATACAACTTCAATCGTCTATACTGTTCATGTACAGTATTTGTGGACAGTAACTACTCCGAACGTTCCTGACATTAAGCCTGTTCAAGTAAATGCTGTGCTTGCCGCTCAAACTCAGCCACGGCGAGAAACGCGATAGTCGGCCCGACACTGATGCGAGAAACACCTATTTTGGCCAGCTCAGAGACAGTCAGTCCGTCAGTCCACCTCAAAGAAACATTCAAACGACCGTCAAATGCCTCGACAAGTTTCGCAACTTCTGCCCGACTGACGCCTCGCTTACTCCCTCCCCACACAAACACACTCGTGGCTCCAGCAGCGAGATACTGTCGGCCTCTCTCAATTGTTTCTTCCATTCCACCACCTTGGACGAGCGTGTCACATCTAGCATTCACCACAAAGGCTGGTATCCCTTCCTTCACACCGACCTCGACAGCAGTCTTGACCCGTGCGGCTGCTTCATCGACCGAGTAGAACTGCTTGGTTTCTTTGTTGTAGTCTTCCAGGTTCATGCCCACTGCACCTGCCCCGATGATCTGGCGGACGGCTTCTTCGAGTCTCTCTCCGTATCCATCTTGAAGGTCGACGGTGAGAGGTTTGTTGTGCTCCTTTGCCACTTTGCCTATCAGGCGTGCCGCAGCCACGTTTTGTTCTAGAGTGAGACCGTCGTCGCTGGTTCCTGCACTGATTGCAACAGAGTACGATGCCGTTGCTAACGCCTTGGCTGAGGACAGAGGAGCCACGGCTTTGGCAGAGAAAACATCGTGTACATTAGCGAGGACGAGGGGATTGCCTGGGCGATGATAGCTTTTAAGTGTTCTTGCCAATTCACTTGGAAGCCCCTTTGAAGTCATGGCTTGGGTTTGGGTGCTAGATGCTTTCGGAAAGGACGTTGAAGGTGGCTCTGGCGGTATTTTGAGAGAATTTTCTGTTGTTCTGAGTGTCGCTTGGTCGTCCTTCGTCCATCCACATACAAATCGGCCTCCAGATGAAGCTGCATTTATGTTTCCAAGTCCAATCGAGAAGAGACATCTGCGATTAGGTGAGATGAATCAGCATTCTTTGTCAATGTCATTGTGCTTTCAAAGCAGCGACTGTGATGTAGTCCTTCCGATTTTACTTTTCGAATGAGGTAAAATGTGCTTTTCCCGATTAGGAAGAAACTCGTTTCCTAATTAGGAAGGATCTCAAGGATCCACTGTAATTCCATCAATGCTACACTCCGTCTCCACTTGGCCGTGGACAGGCAGGCAGTTCTCCGTACAGTTTTCGCGCGCTCTGCATAAACGGTGCCCCTGTATGGCATTACTTGAGGTATTTGAAACTGACCCTTACATAAACAAGGAAATACGCATCAAAGGTAAAACCAGGCCGGGAATAGTTGAGCAACACCGGACAGTTCACGTAGACTCTCGCAAGCACATCCCCGGGTATTCAGCGAAGTGGATTATTAGTGGACTCGCTTATAAATGACTTTCGGATTACCGATATATTGTATATAGGGTGAATACATTGTTAACTACCTCTTCCGAAACAACCTGTAGCAGCCGTGTTGCCGCCCTTGAAGCCCTCGCGTGTATCCGTTGTTCTGTGCCCTCAACCGAAATAGGAATAGATCGCAGAAATGACATGGTCTACGATCAAATTGATGTCAATTGGTGCCCCAAACCTTGCCCGTACCTGCTCCGTTCGAGGCGTTTTTTTGCGGGGCGACCGATGAAGTCGTGAGTGCTGTATGTTCTTGGTCCCCGAAGTTAAGCCTGCGCAAACCTGGACCGAGCGCGCAAGCTAGCACCGTAGTAATACAACACAAACATGCCAAAGATACCTAAGACACTGATTGAGGGCAAGACCGTGACGCCTTTGTCCACTCCAAGATTGACAAACAGCGGCCTTGCGAAGAGAACGCTGCCAGCTGCGAATGAAGAGCGAGTCAGGTCGTTGGCGGCGAACAGAGACGCCGCGTACTGAGGATACGAGAGCGGCACGTAGACAAAGATGCTCTGTAGAATGAAGAAGGTGCCGAAGACGAACAAGACAATTCCAAGGATGGGCACCGTCCAATGGATGTCCGGCCGAGCGGTCCAAGCGAAGATGAAGAGCCCGATGGGGAAGAAGAACGACCCGAAAATTCCGGGAACGAGTCTGTGTTCCTGTTCGCGGAGGCCATTCTTCTTGTTGTCCGGGATCATGTACCACCGTAGGTAGGCAAAGTAGGTGAGGAGGCCCGGAGTGGCGCCAATCTGACATGGGACAAACGCCAATCCCGTTTCCCCAAGGTTGAAGCCGTACATGATGGGGAACACGAGCGGGAAGACCTCGAAGAAGGTAAAGTAAGTCGCGTAAAACAGAGCAGTGTACAAGTTGGCGAAAAAGATGGCCTGGTCCTGAACCATGATCTGAACTGGCTTGATCAAGGCATGGATGGCGATGTTGCGTGCGGTGAGATTCCTCTGGTCGATTTCACTTTGGGCTTGGAACCTTGGAGATCCGGTCACTCTTCTCAGCCGCTGTGCACGCCGGAGCAGAATGTTGGCCGCCGAAGTTTCTGGGAGGAGGAAGAAGAGGACGACAAGCGCCGGTGCGGCCATCCAGACCATCTCCCAGAGACCCCAGTGCCAGTTTTCGGCACTGACAGCAAACCCACTCAGCAGCGGCCCCAGTGCTGGCCCTCCCCACGCAGACCAAACCCACCACGCCAGTGCATAGGGGAAATACATGATGGAGTAGACGTCTCCAAACGATGCACCCGCGTTTGCGACCGCAGGACTCCCAAAAAATCCTTGCAAGAAGCGCAAGACCAACAAGGCGGCAAAACTGTTGGTGGCTGCCGTTGGGATGGAAATGATGAAAAATAGAATAAAGGGAATGATATAGATCGAGTTTCGGCCGATGATTGGTATCTCTGTCAGCGGGGCGAACAGCAATGGTCCGATACCATAAGCCAGGACATATAGCGAGAGAGGAAGGCTGGCTGCTGTATGTCCGACGCCGAATTGTGCTATGACGCCTTCTTCGCTTGCGGCGTATATGGCCGAACCGATGTAGACAACCCAGGTGTAGAAGCAGAGGAGGAAGATGACAAAGGACTTTTTTCCGTCACTCCAATTCAGTGGGTTGTCTGGATCGTCCGTTGTGTACCAATCCACCAAGATGATTCCGTCGTTCGTCAGCCTGGGAGCAATTGACAGAGATTTTGTTTTTTCAACCTCAAGTTGTTGTTCGACATCGAAACGCTCGTAAGAGTGAGGGATAGTTTCAGCCCTGCTTGGGACATGCGAGAGAGAAAGACCTCTGTCAAGTTTGGCTTCATTAATGCCTGCATCCGTTCCCCCATTTCCCAAAAGGAGTTGATACTGCGGTGGAAGTTGGAAGTCTGCTCTTTCTTCAGGATAGCGAAACAGACGGTTTCCAGAGATCCACCTCATAAGTTGTCCAAAGGCAGCTTCGCGGATGAGGTCTGGCATGCTAACTCTAAGGGTTGTTGATAAGCTGATGGCAAGGTTTAGAAGTGTTGGATCGGCTGTGATTGATGGGCTTCGGGGACTTCGCTACAGGCCGACTGAAGATTGAGATTTATGGTTTTGTTACATACTTCGCCTTTGCAACTGGGCTCCCTCAAAGTATTTGAATCTATTCATCACTCAGCAGCCAGGGTCAAGAATCTTCCTGTTCATCATCGCACATTAGGGATGGGTCCAGGTTGGTCATCAATCCTGAGTGCTGACTATTCAGGCGACGGCCAGACTCCTATCTGGATGATCAAGTGGCTGAAAATATTGGTCGTAGCCGACTGATCGTCAGACTCCCTCTCGGGGTCTGTTCAGGCATCGCGCACCATTTCAAAGATGTTAATTCCCTGATTTGGTTTGGGCTGACGCTAGAATGAAGCCTGTAGGCAGATGGTCAACCGTGAATGGTGACAGCCGTTGGGCATTCACAAGAGAGGCCGTAGAAGAGCAGGCATGTTACCATCGCTTGCTGCAGGCCGCATAAAGGACTAGTGTTTCATAGGATCCAACGCAAGGGTGCCTTAAATATGTAAACTTAACTTTGTCTGTTCAGGCCGGCGGCTCCGCTGCTGTAGCTTGAGGCCTTTACCAGTATCCACGCACAAAAAAATCATGTTCCCCAATTCGGAGAAACCTTGATACCCCTTTCGGCAGTAGCTAGATAATTGGCGAAGCAGCGCAAGGTTATGAGGTCTGACAGCCATAGCGCGCAGAGCCCGCAAGAACTATGTGTAAGTCGTAGCGCTGACAAATGGATCCTAATCGAGTAGCATTTGAACTAGAATGGGTTCACAGATCAATTGTTCAAGCAAGTTTAACATGGAATGATTTGCCTCAACAGTACCCATGACCACTCAATTGTACACACATTCAAGACGTCAGGGTTTCACTTCTTTCACCTGAACCATTCTCTTTCATTATCCTCACCGTGGACGAAAATACCACAAAGCGCCGACTCTCGCAGAGGAATATCTTCTCCAGGGTTGGTTAGTGTTCTTTAGGACTTGAAGAGAGGTGGCGCCATTTCACGGCGCGACTATGACACCTTTAGTGGGAAGCAACCCCGGACAAAATGGAAACCCCTATTCATTCATCAACAAATGTACTAAAATGCTCATTGTCATGTAGATATCTATTTTCTTTAAAATGACTGTTCTTGTATCTGCCTAAGCTCCTGTTTCCGTCCATTATGATCCTGTATGCGTTGAGGGCCATGGGCGGACGATGCTATCCATCAGAGACCCATGCTAGTTGTGAGCGTTCGTGGGAGAAGCGCACCCGACGTACTAGACTAGTGTGACTCTGAACTCCACTCTACTAATGCTATTGTTGTAGATGCGTCGCCCAAAGCAGAAACCCAAAGAACTCTTTTTCCCCTGCTGTTCAGGCGAAAAGCTCTTCGATGAATTGGGCCTTCCAGCGATGTGCCCCAGCAAATGCAATAAATGTGACGCCCTCTTCGATTTGACCTGTGCTTCTACCGTAATCAGCGATTGATTCACCGTTAGAATACTGCAAACCGACATTGTCGATGTGGTCCTCAGCGACAATTCCCCGCATAATGTCGCCAATGGTTGCTTCCATTGAGAGAACGTCTTGACGCGTCAAAGTTGGTATATAGATCTTCGATAGAAGTAAAAGTGGATCTTGCTGAGACGAGTCTTGGAACTCTGCCGCGGCATCCTCAACTGCGTCCCGAATGTTAGGAAATCGAATGACATCCCGATCGAAAAACGTGCTCAGCTCTCTTGAAACGTTGTTCAACTGCATCTGTAACGCTGTTTGACCGCTTGCTATCGACTCTTTCATAGCATATGCGAGCATTATCAGTCCTGATGCGTTTACACGATGGTAAAAAAGGTGACAATATTCGCGTGGGGCTGCGTGTCGTACAAGGATTGACGGTAATAAACCGTTTGCAGACATCAGAGCGACCAGAGCAAAACTGTAGCTGTAAAATGACTTCGTAGCAAGCCTCCACCTGAAAGTCATGAGATTCGAAATGATTGTAACCCTATCTGCGACCACTTGGTTGTCACAACCTTCCATGTCGAGGAAAGTTTTGTGAATATGAAAGTCGCGGACAGCACTTATATCCCGCTGTACGTCACTTGATTCAATCGTCTCGATGACCCTGTCGGGCGAAGTCCCAGAAAATATTGGGCTGCTGAGAACCTGTGCAACATCGTGAAGTGTGTTCAAGGACCGATATAGGGCATCTCGGAGGGCGATATCTCCCTGGAGTATTTGATTCACTTCTGGATCAGTCAAGTGTTCCCTTATCACGATTGCTATCGAACATAGTGTTGTAACGATCAAGGGATAATCATCCCAAACGGCGTCGTGAGAGTCATTGCGAAGCATTGCTTTGGCTTCTTGGGATAACGGGAAGAGGAGGGTCATGTTCATATTTGCCGAGTATCTTGTCGAAAAGGAGGAACTTCAAGACAGCACAGCCATGCTGGGGTTCGTTCTCTCCGGTTACTACAGCTGAGCATTGCCAAGGCGAGATGTATTCGCATTTTGGTAGGCAAAATCGCTGGAGGGGAAGCAGGTATTACAGATGTGTCCGGGTTGACCACTGAGAAAGCGGTGTGGGGTGGTGACAGTGTAGTAAATAACTTCTGCGCATATGAGCTGCCGAGTTCAGCCTCATCATGCCTTTCCAGCAGTGGGAATTCTGGTCACATAACATCCTGCACCCCTTTTGGATATATTATCCGCCAGTTGACCGCAATTGCCGGAAGCCTTTTGAGCTGAACATGATCTAGGTCGCCTGACTATTGAATCAAAGCAGTAATTCACGGTCCCATGGTTTTGCCTAGGCCAGGTGCAGATGGACCTCACCGCTGAACACGGAGTACCACGAAGAAGAATGGGAAGACTGGTGACTGTTCTCAGCAATTCCATTGTAGTGTGTGGAGGGATGAGAGTGTCGTGGCTCGGGGGATACGTGAGAAAAGAAGTCCTGCTTCGCTAAAAGGCTTTTGAGTATACCTACTGTGCAGAGTGTATTGTGCCGCACTCGCAACGACTAAGGTTCCCACAAAGCGATGTCTATGTGGCTTTGTCCATCAATCAAGCAGTGGGCATATTCGAGCCGTGCAGCCAGAGAACATCTTCAGCTCTAAGCAGACACTTACTGCATTCGGCGAGGCTGGAGAGTGAGGTCAGAGGGTGGATCGCGAGGGGAAACAACAATCTTGTCAAAAGCTTGGTCCGTGAGAGAATGCTTGCGTCAACGCCACTCCACGGTCCCGAACGTCGCCTGACGTGAGCAAAATCCCATCGTGTTAATGGAACGGTTTGGCTAGAGTGGACGCGCAGTGTGATATGTGTTGGAGTATGTGTCCTGTCATGCGTGCTGAAATGTTCTCGCCGCAGATCTTTCGGCCAGCATAGGGTACTGTACTGTAGTGAGCTGGTGCGTAATGCAGATATATGGCTCATGTATGGATTGTCACGGATCACTCGCTGTAAAGATATCCCCAGCTAAAGAGCCGCTGGGCAATATCGATGTTTACGCTACATAGAGCCGCTTACTTACTACTCCGGAAGCTGCTATTGTACTTGAGACTAGAATAAGGTTTAAAACTATTTCCACCTTCTCCAGATATGGATAACACAAAACTGCACACCGGTGATCGGATCTCCCCGTTGATTAGGTGGATAGAGTTGCTGGGCGAGGAGGCTTGCAGACAGGGATTCTTGGTACTTTTGCTTTCCGATCTACTCTGCATATGGGGGCATTTTGTGTAGTAGTGCGAGCACTCAGTATCTGACATACCGGCGCGGGTCCCACAACTGGCAGGCTGAGATTCTCGCGTCCCCAGCTTTCATCGAATGCATACAAGAAACTTTGGACTCCTGGCACCGAGCAGATTACCCATGCACCATCCTGGGTACTCCTAACGACCCAGGTTGGATGTCCAAGATTGTATGGTAATGAGATACCAGTATCCACGGTTATCCGCTTTCCGAGGAGTAGAGGTGCAGCAATGGCTGAGAGTACTCTACCCAGACTACGTCAAACTAATACCATTGATAACCACTAAATGCATATTTGTCATCATGAGATTTGAGAATGCACTCAGTATAGTACTATGCTCCGCAGGCGCAAAAATGATGACTAAGCCACTAAAGTCACGTGACTGTGAATTCCAGCTTCTCTTATCTTATCAGCCAAAACGAGCTAGCGCAGTGTCCATCGATATGATTGGGCCACGGCTTCGTGGGAGAGTTTCCTTCTCTGCTCGTAGAACTTTTTGTCGCCGAAATTTTGGAATCGAGACGGCATTGAAGGGACCTTTGATCCTTTTGCCGATTTCTGTTCTTCTACATCTCCCTCACGCTCATTGTTTCCATCTTTATTTTCCTTGTTGGATCTGTTATTGATTCTCCCTCACTCTTCTCCATTTGCTTATTCGTCGGCAGCATGTACGGCGCTGCCCGACAGGGGCGTTTCGCCTTCAGAGCACTCCGTTCCCTCCAGTCGACCTATACCTCTTCGACTCTTCCCCGATTGTCTCCTTTCTCCTGCAGAACGATACCCTCTATCTCTACTCGTATCAGTCAATTTTCGTCAATCTCACAATACCGGCAACATGCCGTCGCATCAGACATGGGCGCCGAGGACATCTCAGACGTCCAGCGCGAATATGCCACTTTTTCAGAGCTGGGCAAGGCAGGCATCGTGGATCAAAGGATCGTAGACAATCTTGTCGTCAAGAGAGGCATTGATGAAATGACCGAAGTCCAGCGGATGACTATCAATGAGTGTTTGGACGGGGCCGATGTCGTTGCTCAAGCTCGCACTGGTACCGGAAAGACTTTGGCATTCTTGACACCGATCGTGCAGCGCATACTCAAAGACTCATCGCTAGAGGGCAGAAGACCAAATATTGGCGATACCAGGGCCCTCATCATCTCTCCAACTCGAGAATTGGCAGAGCAGATTGCCGCAGAGGCCCGAAAGCTCGTCTACGGAACAAGAGTCCAAGTGCAGACTGCCGTTGGTGGTACCCAGAAGCAGTATCACCTCAAGCTTATGCAGCGCATGGGCTGTCATATCCTTGTTGGCACACCCGGTCGGATCAATGATCTGTTGTCAGATCGCTACAGCGGACTCAAGCTAGACAACATTGAAACGTTTGTACTGGACGAGGCTGATCGACTCTTGACCATCGGATTCTCAGAGGCAATTGCCGAGATTCAGTCTTACATGCCTCCTCTCGAAACCAAGGACCGTCAGACTCTCATGTTCTCAGCCACCATGCCCAAGTCTGTAGTGGGTCTGGTAAGGCAGACCATGAAGCCAGACTTCAAATTTGTTAGAACCATCGACCCAAACGAAGCTGCCACGCACGAAACAGTACCGCAGAAAGTTGTCTACCTCCCTGCTCTCCAGAACCAAATCCCTGTCGTCACCGAAATCGCCTACAAAGCTATTCAGGCACACAAACAAGATCCTCAAAACAATCTCCCCTTCAAGGCCATGGTTTTCTACAGCTCTGTGAACGAAGTGAGATTGGCTTACGAAATCCTGAAAAATCTTGGTGACCGTAGCCAAAGAGGCGGATTCTTCGCCCCCCATCCCCTATCGCCTTGTAAAGTGCTTGAGATATCCTCTCAACTCACTCAGACCCAGCGCGAGAGAAACACCCAAGAGTTCCGCAACTCGACCAGCGCTATCCTGGTTGCCTCTGATGTTGCCGCTAGAGGTATGGATTTCCCAGACGTCACCCATGTCATTCAAGTCGGTTTGCCCAGAACTACTGAGGACTACATCCATCGACTTGGTCGAACGGGCCGTGCTGGCAAGTCGGGACAGGGTTGGCTGATCCTGCAGGATGACGAGCGGTACGAGTTCAGGTCACTTATGCGCGACATTCATGCGCACAACATCAGCGAAGACGAGACTTTGGAAACAAGCAAGCTTGACATGACTCAACCCTCACAATTGTCAGTGGATGCTGGGAAGATCATGCAGTTCGTTGAGACGGGAGTCAAGTCTACTTCGATGATTGACAAGGCGAAGGCGTACTTGACTATCATGGGCGGCATGGTCCAAAGCCAGGCCAGCAGGAGCAAGCAAGCCATTGTCGACTTGGCCAACGACCTTGCGAAGTATGGCTGGGGTCTCGAGACTCCTCCTCGGGTGTCCAGCCACTGGGTTTCCAAGATGGGATTCCAATCTACGAACGGTCTCAACATATCTGCAGATATGGATCGCATGGATCGCGACCCCAGACAGATGAGAGGTGGAGACCGAGACCGGAGATCGAGGGGTCGATTCGATCAGGAAGACCCATTTGGTGCCGGTGGAGGCAAAGGCGTCTTCCGAGGCGGTTCTTCTGAATCGGGCTTTGAGAACCGTCGATCCGGCGGCTTTGGCGATCGAGGCGATCGGGGCGCCCGAAGGTCTGGTGGCGGTCACAACGACCGACGTTCTCGCTACTAAGCAATTTCTTCGGGAAGAAGGTGTCATTCGAGGTCGCCGGTCGATTGCCCATTACGTCGTTTCCACAATATGCTGAACAGGCGTGGGTATCGGCGTTCGGGTCTTTGATGTGTTCGAAGCCCGGTGTTAAAAAGGCGTCAAGCGTTCGGTCTTCTCTCAGCAGCATCATCCTTCGCTGCGGAAAACAACTCTTAACAGAGTTCTACCATCTGAAGCCACCACTTCGATCAAGCCCACAAAAGGGCAGCTCATATCATATGGGACCACCCATATTACCTTCACAACAGCTGTATTAACAACACTGGGCATTGCGATTGTCACTACCATGTGGAGTGCCCCATCTTCTTCGACGACAGACGCCACAAATTGTTTGATGGGCGCCCCGAGCCAATTCAGCCCTTCACACTTCGGTTCCCGGTCTGTGGATCGCCTATCGATTCTCATCCCTGGCGCTATCGTGTCCGGAGTGGGGAAAGGCAGTCAAAAATTGTCATAACATAGAAAGTTCTTTTTTCCATGCATGTATCTACCAGAGCGGCTTATATTTGGGTTCTACGGCGGAAAGACTTTGTGTGTGTGTGTGTATGCGTATATCATATGTATGTGTGTGTGTTTGCATATCCTGGTGTTTTTGACGAAGCCCACATTACCGCGGCGTTGACGGGTGTGCACTGGAGATGGGGGGGTTTTGAACATGTGCCTGCCGACGTTAGGTAGGCAGGCATGTTGTGTTGTATTGCTACGAATATGGCGGCGCAAAAGGGACGGATCAAGCTTTGCAGGGTGGGAAAGGCAAAGGGAAAGAGTCCCCAAACCAACAAACATCTCCTCTACCTCTCAACTTACTTGATGGTACATGAAGACAGTGTACCTTCAATACCACACCACTCCCGATCTCTTCTACACTGAATTGTTGGCGTTTCGTGCCCTTGAATGCCTGTCTTGTCGTGCTTGTAGCCCCTTGTACTCTGGTTTCGTCGACGTGGAAGAGCAAGCCATCCGTCACTCCACTTCATGGGCAGCGGCCTCTGGAGGGACAGGACCGAAGTTACAAAACCATGCTCCGTCTGCGCAGAGGGATATTCGTATTGTCTCGGTCAGTATTTATTCACCGATCATCAATTCAGCCAGGTTCGGGGTTGCGCTGTAACTTACGCAGCTCAAACTGTGCCCAGTGATAGGGCCCGTCTTCGTCCCAGTCCTCCCACAGTTCCCGAACCGTCTTCTGCAGGGCTTTTGCCAAAAACACGGACGAATCGCTGTGGTTCGCCGTGGCGTGTCCTCCGAAGGCATGGGCGTAAAATCGGGTTGCAAAAGCCCTCGCGTCCGATGTCTGAGTTGGCCACAGGGTGGCAATGCAGCTGGTAGCACCGGCGTAGAGGAACGCAGAGAGCATGCCCAAGGGGTCGTCGTTGGGTGCAATGTCCTCCTCTCCCGAGGCGCAGGCGAGGAGGACCACGAGTGCAGAGTCGAGCCCCAGGTCGAAGATATCCATTGTGGTCAGGTGGCCGTCGTCACTTGTAGAGAAAGACTGTTCTGTCTCGACGACCAGGGCTCTATTCTTCCGCTCTGCAGCTTCGAGGTACGCGTGACCGTGATAGTGCAGGATATTCGCCCCTTTCGCCAACTCCATGAATTTACTTCTCGTCACGTCTCGTCCGGCAGTCACTTTGCTGTTGGGAAAATACTGCATTGCAGATGCCGTGACTTGCTTGATCCTCTCCTCTTCCCGAGGGTCTTCTGGCCCCAGTCGCGCGAATGCAATTGCCTTGATATCGTCCCGATTTGTAGTGCTAAATCCCACGGCTTTCGAGACACATTTCCAAAGAAGCGTGCTACTAGCACTATAGATGACCGGATTTGTGATGATCAACGGTTTTCCTTCCGGCCCAAACGGAATCGCGTGGAGGGGGATGGCGTGCAATACACCCGCACGGCAGAAGACAACCAGGTCGTCCGGATTGACGAAATCTTCGATGGGCTCCAAGAGAGGGCGTAGCAGATCGAGGGTCCTTGTGCGCATTAGCTTCTTGCGGACAACTTGCCCTTGCTGGAGACCTTCAACTCCAAGGTTGTCCTTTACCCACTTCTCTATCTTCCAGTAGTCGTACTCGACTACTCGTTTCCGTAGTGCTGAAGTAGTACCATTCCATGCTGCAACGAAAAGTGTGTCGTGGTAACGAACCCAGTCAACGAAGACAACACTGGCTCCTTTCTCGAGGTGTTGCTCCGCAATTTCTGCCATCGCATATATATCGTCTTCGCCGACTGGTTCAGCGGTCGAGAAGCGGTCCAGAAGCCCGCGTGCCTTCTCGCTGGCTTCGACAGTTGACGGATTGACGTTTTCAAATCCCAGATCCCCACCATCTTGGGTTTCGATTGAAGTGACTAGTCCTCTGGACATCACTTCAACTAAAGCGACAGCTTTCCATTCCTGCATTGCTTGCCACAATGGGTATGGATCTCCGGTCAGTCTGGAAAGCGACATCTCGAGGCCCATATGAGTCCAGTACAATTCTTCCGTCTGCTCGAAAAAGAAGAGCCTACTATTTTCTAGTTCCTGCAAAGCAGGCATCGTGCCAAGTTTCTTTCGAAGTCTCAGCCTATGCAAGGTTCCATGTCAACATTCGTCAAAGAGATGTGGAGTTCGATTTTACCAGTATACTTACATTCCATTGAGACCCCTTCGCACAGACTCTTCTGCAGTCAAGCAGAAGCTGATTAGCCTGTCTCTGTTTGTTCTCTGAGTCTCGCTTAGACTCTCGATTTCTGTGTCTTCACCCCAATCAGTGTCGTCGATCTCATAGTGGACACACCTTAGGTGTGACCGGGCATGGATCATGCTAGCAGTAAGAGCGTTTCGGTATGATGTTTGCTGTGTTGTTTCAGTCCAGAAGAAGTCTTCTGCTGCTTTGAGGTAGGCCTGACAACGGGGCAAAAAGTCCACAAACAACACTCTCGCGTACCATAGCAGCGAGTCCAGTCGTCGACCAATATGCAACTCGAGCTCATGGACATCAATTTGCGTTTGACTGTGACCACATTGCCACCTGGCGCTGTCATAGAGTAATAGACATAATAAGGGGTTCCCGGCAGCTTCTGCAGCCGTTCCGAGTGCCCGTAATACCTTTCCCGCATGCATATCTCTGAAGACCTGAGGGGCCAGAAGGAGAAGACTACAGACCAAGTGTAACGAAGCCTTCAAAGTCATTGTAAGCTGCGTGGTCTGAAGCTGTATGGAGTTTTCTTCGACGTTGCAGGAAACCGTGTTTGCCAGCCATAGCAGAGATTCAACGGGCAATTCTGACCACCGCATTGTAGAGCCAGCCTCCTGAAACTTGGCCAGAAATATTTTGAGCTTGATATATATCCATCTATCCCAGATTCCTGCGAGATTGGTAAGTTCCTCAACACGTGCTGGATCTTGCATGGCTGAAGTGACATTGGCAAGCGCCCGTAGAAAGAGCTTGGTCGCCGTTTCTCCCGCACCGACATCTCCGCGAGACACTGCATATCTCAGGCAAAGAACTGCATACGCATAGGCTTCACGGAAATTGTTGTTGGTAGTATAGAGCATGCACAGAAATCTGGAAGCAACGAAGGCGAGCTCATCACTCTGAAACCCACCTCTTGGATGAAATGTGCGCTCGCAAGTAAGGATTAATGTTGGACTTTGAAGCCAGGATTGCATGCTCTGCAGCTGGTTCAATCTGAAAGCCAGTTCGTTGCCTGCTCGTTTGAGCACAGGGAGTAACTTTGCACAGACTCGAGGGCTTGTTGAGTTCACCCTCAGATCATCCTTATCAATCTCTGCCGCAGCCTCGAATTTCACTAGCCGCACCAGGCCATGAATATAGTCCATTTCCTCAAAAGAAAGTTGAACAGTTCTCCAAGTTTCACCTGGAGGAGAAGTTTCCAACCGAAGGCGTAGCCTGAATAAGGATACTTGGGTTGCACCCAAGCGTGACCCCGTCCGAGAGAAAATAGCGTCTGCTTCTGTCAGCAGCTGTTCACATTGGTGTCGCCATCTCTCAGGCTCAAGCGAATTGACGAAAACTTCAACGAGAACCAAACGTAAAAGCCCACTGATGATAGCATCCTCAGGAGTGTCGAGATTGTTCGTTTCTGCATGCACGCTCTCCGTGATGAAAGTTTGGCACAGCTCCTGAGCCTTAACAGGTTCAATCACATTTTCAGGTTTGTTAACCAGATAGTCTGAAGTTCCAAGTTCATAGACAGCAGCATCAACCTTGTGCATATCCAATTCCGTAATGAATGCGTCAAAGGCGAGATCCGATCTCTGCAGGTGCAAAAACTGGCGACGGAGATAAGTGATTCGTTCAGAAATCGACGATGTTTCATATTGGTTTAGCTGTCTCCCCAAGTCCGCTCTCAACGCCGCCAAGATTCGATGGCAGTATATTTCCGCCTGAAAATAGTTTTTGTGAGCAGAAGTTCTTAACGCTACGGATACTCCAAAACCTACCACTAGCAATTCGAACGAAACGTCGACAGCTGGATTCAGCAAGCGAGCAAATATCATGCAAACTTGTCTCAATGCTTCTAGCCAAGCGCCGTCCGTGAAACATTTGACAAAAGATAGTGCTGCTGTAAGCATGCACATGGCTGGAGCCGTTGCTGCAATGTCGCAAATCGAGGCCCCCGCTTCTTTTGCAAGCTTCAGATTGCCTTGCCTCTCGTAAATGCGCAGCTGTTCGAAGCGTTTTGACACAATTTCGAGATTCATCTTTTCGGAGACGTCGACTGCATTATTGAAATTGCCTGAAAGCATTTCTAGTCGACTCCGAAGCTGTTCCCTGGACGTCTGGTCACATTGTACTACTGCTGACGAGCTTGTTGCCATTCGTTCCTCGCACAGACGTAGCTGAAAGCCGTTATAAGTAAAACTGGTCAATGTGGAGAGATAGAGGCTCATCATACCTGTTGAGCGGCACAGAGTTCGTAAAGATGGTGAATCTGTATTCTCATGGTTTCATATTCGAAGATCCGATACCGCTATGATGTGGATAAGTCCATTCTGATTAGTGATAGGTTCTGCGGGACTGTACATTCTCTTTGCAACTTACTTCACCACCCTCGTTGACCTGTTTCTGAGATTGGAGTAGGGCTTGTACATCCTCTGGTATGGTCAATTGGGTTCCATCTGGCTGAGATTTCACTTAGACAGAGCATCCTTGTCGAGAGAATTGGCTCACCTTAAACTCTAATGCTATCAGTCTAAAGTACCGACTTCTTGCCGACTGGTTTGCGGTTGTGCAACCGGATACCTTGGCCTCCCATTCCTCTTCTCGTTGGGCACAATGGGTCTTGAAAGCATCTGCAATGTTGCCAAATTCAGCCGCTCCCATCTCATGCTGCAAAAGGCTCTTTTGAATTTCGGTGCGCTCTGTCGATGAAGTGGAACCCGGGTCCACCAAGCCTTTTGCTAGCCCCTTCCAAGTTGATGCAAAGTACTGGGATGCTTCTGCTCGCAGAAGTTGGATGTCCACAAGGTTCTTGACCTCATTTCTAAGCGATTGGTGGTTCCAATGTACACAGGCACACATTCTAATATACTGGTCTAGGAAGAGCTCGGCATCGTCTGGATCGAGGCTCTCAACCGCTTCGAGGTTTTTTCTGTGTGCTTCTTCATCCACTGTGCCAGCAACCAGCTTGTCGAAAGTAAACGGATTAAAAATCCAGGGGTAGTGAAGGTAAAAGCTCTCGGCCGAGTCATCCTCGTGGAATCTTCGCAGTAATTCAAGGTCTTCGCCCCAGATCGGAGGGACGTCCAAACGGCGATACTGTATGCGATAGAAGTTGTGGGTAGTATCGTGCAAGCGCTCGCGGTCTTCATGGCATGAGACACAGAGATCGAAGTCCTGGCACACAATGCATCGGTAGCGGGCGGCTTGAATTTCCTTCAAAAGTTAACGCTGCTGATTCCGGAATCGAGTTGACCAACTGAAAAGCATCCATCGCACTGAACGTCTGCGTGGATGTAGCGTTCCTCGACAAGATTCTGGTACCATGGCTCAATCATAGCACCTAGACTCTTGGGTTTGTCCACTGCAGGATCATCCTCTGCGGGGGAGGTGTCCATCGCTTCGGCTTGACAGGTTATGATGTCTTGATGTAGACACGAGAAAGCTGCGGCTAATTCCACTGTCGCATAGCATAGCTGTGAGATGCGATCCCAGAAGAGTTCACAGTTTTGAGTTTGAGCAATGTGAGTCTGGGATTAACTAGGATGGTGGTTGGGTGTCTTCGGGCGCACCGGGCCTAGGCGTTGCCTTAAGGTTTTAGTTCTAACCCTCTTTTGATCAAATCACCCCGCGACACCCCCCGCAATTGCGTACTGTACTTCCAGCCGACTTCTAGCTTTTGAGATGGTCTGTTCTCAGCTTTCTTGTCGCTGGTACATAACGATGCGTGTGTGGTTGAGACAGAACTAAATTCCTCGCGAGATATCTCGCAATGGATTCCATAGCCCCGATTGAGCTCCACCTCGAGCCTGACACAGAGCTGGCAGATGCCGATACAATACCTTTCGACGCAGAGGAGATCCGGAACTGCAAGATCGTGACGAGTGTATCCCGTGCCCGATATGGCAAGTTTCGGCAAAGCGATGCGTGTTTCCTTGTTGTCAAGGTCGAATTCCTGCCGTTCTACAACATTCGATTCAAGTACGCCGAAATTGAGTTGCGCCTCGTCAAGCCTTCTGGTCTGGCTCAGGGTCCAGCTCTGCCCCAACAGCCGGCGGTGGCAGCCTACGCCCCTAAACGCTGGCAGGGTGTGCAGGCGGCTAAGAACATCCAGAAAAGTATCCATACGGGTGTCAACACAGGCATCGCGACGCAGGCAGTAACGGGAGTCAGTGCCGGGGCCGAGGCAGGGGTAGATCACACAGTCCAGTATGCTGAGATGCGGCGTGCGTGGGTCGAGTCCGAGCTCGAGCAGACAATGGTCACTTGGAGGCTATGTGAAAATGATGTGACTCACGAGGGCATTCCTAAGCCCTTTTTGGGCGCCGTCATCGTTTCTGCGACGGACAGTGTCGCGATCCGCATGAGGTACTACGTCAAGCTCTCCAAATCTGTGAATCCACTCTCATGGACGGCGGGCCATGCCCGGATGTCCAAACCGCTTACTCTAGATCGAGCAACGATTGGCCAAGGCCTGGGTCCAGACGTCGAAGGCATTGGTGCTATGGAGCAAGATACCTTCAAGCTCGAGGATTTCGCTCCGACGAACTGGACTCTGTGACGGGTATTCCCTTTCCGCATATAAAACCCCCTTTTACGGTCCGAAGATTAACATCTTCTCGAGCATCCATCGGAGGATGTAAACCCCCCCATGCAGGAATTGCAAGGAGACTAATGTTTGAAAGGGGCATATGAGGCTGAGGGGAAGGAAGAGACTGATCTGACTGTACCATAGTCCAGACCCATGGATCAATGCGGCTGATATACCCGAGCAATGAGGCACTGTGACTGCACGTCCTTGTAGCAACGCGAACGCGAGGGAAAAGTAGGGTGATGGCAAAGCTTAACCTGGCTAGCCCAATTTGCATGGAGAGACCAACTTCTATACTCCGTACTAGTAATCAAGACATCAACTAGAATCGTGTGCTAACTCATGGGTATTATAAGCCAGGCTGAGGAGATCATCTAGCAACTATACTCGGGTGCCGGGAACTGGGCCCCATAGCCTAGATATGGGTGCGATTGATCGGTTGCTCAGGCCGAACTCCACTATGCTCAGTCACGTAGGAGCGTCTCAGATTGAAGCAGTGCTGCTCAGGGCTACGCCCAGGTTCCAAGATGGAAATATGTTGTATTCGTGTCGATATTCCCATACCGAATCGCCTGTTCCTTGCAGAATGTTACGACTGTCTAGTTATTTGTGCGCATGCTTGCGTTTGGTCAAGGATGTGACAATCTCCACTGTTTGATTTCCTCCTCATCAATCTCACGGAGTGCATTGACCTGCGCGGCTTCGCCTGTAATGGCACCCTTGACCATCTCGACGCCCCGACCGAGGAATGTGCCCTGGGACACGGCGTACGTGGCGGTGACGGCCTTGACTTTGATGACGCCGATGCGGGGATCGTTCTCGCTGCCGTCGTGCGTGCCGTCGCCCAGGTCGCCCAGCCACGTCTTGAGCGCCGGCGTGTAGTATTTCTTGACGACGGCGCGATCCGTAATGACGGCAGCCGTGCCCGAGATGCTGGCCCAGCTGCCGTTTGCGGAACAGAACGAGATGTTGATGTGCGAGTCCGATTCGAGGTCGTGCGTCTTGCCGGATTCGGTGTTTGTGTGGAAGAGGAGGTCGACGCCGCCGGATTCCTATCACCACAGAAAAAGAATGAAGGTGTTAGTGTTTGTTCTGGTCGGTGTCTGCTTTTCCTTCTTACGTAAAGGAAGAACGCCTGTGCCAACGTACCTGTGCTGCGAGAGCCATACACCTGGAGACGAGAAGACCGCTTTCGGCGATGCGTGTGGTCATCATTCCATATTTCTGCGACTGAATGAAGTTGTTCAGCTGCTCGATCTTGGTCTCGACGCCAGGTTCATCTTTGTTCTTGGCCTTGTATCTGGGTTATGGGTTAGCTGAGACTGTTCGTTCTAGCGTGAAAGAAGAGCTCCCCACGGATCAGTAGGTTGTCCAGAAGCCATGCTGAGGGTCTCGAGGGAGAGATATCTGGATTGAGGTTGATTGAAGACAAGGAAGATTGGATTTAACGAAGAAAGGTACGTTGTGCACTTGAGACTAGTCAAAAGAGAAAGTTGAGAAGACGGATGGAAACCCCACGAGGTGTGTGATATATGAGATGTAGCAGAAGTTCACCTTGGGCAGTCATTGGCATCTGTCATGAGTGACGTCGTTTTTCTCCACGAGCACAGGGACTCGTACAGGTGAATTCAGGAACAGACATACACCCTCATAGACCCCTCCCGTTGCATACTAGGAGCAGCCACCAGGCACGCGTGGCTGCTGGTGAGGAGGGGGAACGGGAACAACAACCCCATTCTTCCATGATCGGAATCAAGGCGCCATCGTGGTTGAAGGTTCTGACACGAGAGACACGCAAATCGACGCAGTGAGCAGTTGGGGTAATTTGGGCCGTGTACGTCGCCCAGAAGAAGAGAAGATGAACCCGCGTCACTGTCGATGATGATGATGATGATGATGATGATTGTCATGATGCAATGACACGACGAGGCATCCATTTTCCGCCATTGAAGCCGCCTTGTTTGTTTCCTGGCCGAAAGTGGCCGCGGGTTGCTTGGATAAGTAGTTAACTTTATCTCTCTCGAGTACTTTGGGATGTCCGGTTTGATCATCTATTGGAAACTGTTCAGCGTTGTTGATGCTCGACGAGGCTGAGATTGAGATTGAGAATGAGACGCGGGGAAAAGAAAATCCATCACCATCCCGTGATGACGTCAAGACTCCGACGCCCCCGATCAAGTTAGACGCGTTCAGCCTTGTCGTATTCGTATTTAGGAAGTCGGAAAGGACACTCCTTGGACGACCGCGACGCAGGGGAGCGACTGCTGGCGTAGGAGATCTCAAGTCTGTTATTCAGAGACTCAGTTGATAGCTCATATGTACGATAAGCACCGTCGAAGACTCAAAATCCTCAATGAACTTCTGACGTTCACGTTGATCCTCGACCGATGGACGTCTTGTCACTAGTTTCAACCTCGAAGACGACGACAGCGAATGCCTCCATGAGAGAGCCGAGGCACATCCTGTGAGTTGACGGAGGGAGTGTAGAAGATGCAAGGGAAGATCGGTAGGTATCCAACTTTTCAAGGTCCGCGTAATCTCAGATTCATTATATGGAAATTGTCATTTCTCATCGGCTGTCCAGTTTGAGCCGTCCTAGGCAACCAGTCTCAAGTGTTTCACCCCTAGGCCGCTTAACACCTAGATCCTGCTGCAAGGTACCCCGAAAAGGGGATGAGATCCCCTATTCAACATTTTGGATACGAGTTATCATGGCTGCGGGAATACAATCCAACGCGAGCCATTCAGACCGCTGGACAATGCTGAACTCCACCTGTAACTTGGGTGCTATGTCCTCCACTGACATAAAGATAGTGCCTGTATTCTCATCTATCCAGGCGGGAAGATGAACCTGTTCATTGAAAAATTGAATTCCAATACCAATTAATCGCAAGTGCGTAGTGTCGATGGTAATGATTCGGACATTCTGCTTACGATCGAGGACAAACAGTCGTGTCCTTCGATTGGCATCACCTTCATGGCGGTCTCGTAAGCTCACGGAAGTGCAAGAGGATAAGTGGGAGGAAGCATACCCTCATTGTCAAACAGCGAGATAAATGGTGTAGGTTCGAGAGATCGATCCTTTTGATCCAGGTGTTTCTGGACTTTTGGCTTGTTTAGCCAATGGCTTGGGTCCATGAAGTAATGTCCCTGCGCCGAAATCCCTTCCGGACCATATATCGTGAATGACTGAGCATGTTGCACACGCTGAAGGATTTGAGGTCGGTCTCTCATGTCAGTTTGGCGTGCTGTCCAATAGAGTTATACGGATTCCTATTTTGTTACGAATTAGGCCTGGCTGCAGGCCGCATACAAAGCTGCGAAGACAGCAGGGGCAAGGTAGGAAGGCCAGCCGAGGGCGGATGACCGGCGAGGCTGTCGGGACTCGCGCAAGGCTGATGATCCTGACCTGGCTCAGGATGGACTTGTATGGGTTAGCTGGGCCACACTGGTCCACAACGATATGTATACACGGCCATTTCATACCTTTACTAGTAAATTTCGTTCGCCATCACACCCATACGCTTTGTCTGTGATCCCTTCGCTCTTCTACTCGCTGGAGATTGCTGCAGGGAGTCATCCCCCCTACAGCAGAATAGGAGAAGGTATCAAGTACGATTTCCTCGCCCTGACCAGCCAATCAACAGTGAAAATCGCAACCACGGTTCCAATGATCGCAACAGCGTAGTTCATGTTGCCTGACGTAACCGGACGATAGTAAGGAAACACCAACCAAACGCTCACAAAAACAGCCCATACGGCTCCCGTGATGGCGACCGTATTACTCAAGAATCTGAGATCGAAGTAATGTGCCGGGACGCCCTGTGACCACTTTCTGTGCAAGAAGCAGCCGAGCGTGATGAAGTAGCTCATGTAGAAACACACGTCTGCTGCTGTGAACAAGGCTCCCAAGACAAAACTAGGCCCCAAGTTTAACAGGATAATAAGACACGATAACACCATCGTGGTCAGTGTTGCGTTGACAGGGACAGTCCATAACTTGGTCCGGTGAATCACAGCGAACCACGAGGAAAATGGCAAGCCTTGATGTTCAGCGAATGACCACCACACTCGACTACATGTCGTCGTGCATGCCGTGGCGGCAATGACTGTCGCGAGGATGCAGAACAAACTGCATACAATGAAAAGCGGCTCGCTATCCAGAGAGTCATTGAATAGCTGGATCAGTGTCACTCCGCCAACTGGAGCTAGCAGGTTGTCCAAATTGGTAATGCAGAAGCATAACACGATGATCATAGGTAGACCGAGAAATCCAGACAACAGTGCATTGCCGACCATTACTTGCGGGACTTGGCGGACAGGATCAGGCATCTCCTCAACCATATGGGCGGCTGAGTCGAAACCGTTGATGGATGTCGCACCGGGTAAGAGGCCGAGGAAGAACACAACTCCATTAGACGTCCATCCGGACGTGTTGGCCACATCAACGAAGACCGAACGAGCAGACTGTTTGGGGTTTGCGCGGACAAGGAGACTAATTGCGATGAACAGTGCCCCGGCGTTGGTGATGAAGATCATTGTTTTCAGTGCGTACGGCCACGTCTTAAAGAACGGGATGTTCCAAGCTACAGAGACCAGGGCCTGAGCCCATGCCATGAGCACGACATGCCAGGCGGCTGGTGTGACTGTTGGATAGAGAACCTGGATAGCTGCGCTGAGAATCTGGGCCGTGAGAAGATAGGTTCCTGACGTCCAGAAAAACCAGGCCGCCGAGGTGAATGCGCCAGTCCAATAACTAAGGAAGAGACTCCATTTCTCGGGGCTGAGTTTTCCGACCCAATATATGTGGCCTACAGGACAAATTAGCTTTTGAGGTATTCTCTTCAGACCCCCAGCGACAGGGAGATTGGAAATGCTGCGTTTGAAGAAAATTTGGAAAACAGACTGACCACTTGGATGCGGATAGAGTGATGAGACTTCAGCCAGTGCTACACACAAGACGATGTTGAAAGTGACTGCGAATATGTAACCGTAGAGATAGAATGGACTGCCGCCCAGCACAAGGCTGAAGGACAGGTATGCGCCAATAGCGATCGGTGTTGCTGTCACACTGTAGACTAGCCCCAGGGTACTCCAGAGGCTGAAGGTGACGTCCATTCGACGCATATGGCCTTCGGAAGTGGCGGGGGACTCCTCGGCGACCAGGCTTTCAGGCCTGGGCTTATCGAGAGCATTTTTGACCGCTGTGCCCATCTTGACTTGGTTGTCTCCCAGAACACGGCGAGAAATGTAACAAGGAAAGCTTTAGTCGTCGGGTTCGGGATGCAGAAAGAGTCGAGAAGATGCGCATATATAGGAGAAGCAGGCTGGGATCCATTGCGGGAGACTGGTGGGGCTTTATCTTGAGAGCCATGAAGTTGAATGCTAGAGCCTAAACCTCAGATAGGAGGATGCTTGGGTTAAAGTTAAAGGGCGGGCTCACTAACCCTGATTTGGGGCGAGATTGAGAACTAAGCCTAATATGGCCAGCGCAACCCACTACACATACCAGTGTACGTCAACCATGTTGTGCGTGCTGTACAGGAGGAACACCTACCTAGCGCCTCTTGCTCTCAAACACACCCATGGGCAGGTCCAACCAAAGGGGCAAAAAAGTCCACACCTCAGAACTTCGATAAAGGATATCCGCACATAGAAACTTTCGAGAAGACAAGCCATTCCGTCTGACAAGATGTCGAACAAGACAGCTTGAAATCGAGGATTGCAATAGCTCTCTAGGTAGGTATTGAGCAACTGTGACTTCGTTTCAATGACCATTCAAAAGATCAGGATTGGTTCTCCCCGAAAGGCATAGCTTTGAGCAAGATCGATCCAGCTCGGAGGAGTGCCGCCATCGCTTAATGTCCAGAACTCTTCGAGAAAACGTAATAGCCGTCGCCGTTCACTCCAGCCGGTCAGTCGGATAACTTCTTGCAATTGAATTCGGACAAATGAGATGTCATCAGGAGACCCGTGACATCCTGTGCCTGCAAAAAATACAGGCCATCCCAGGTTTTGAGCGACGAGCTTTATATCGGGAACCTGGCGAAGCAGGCTCAATAACGAACGATGTGCGCTTGTGGCAAAACTCGCGGATTGCTGGTCATGGCTCAATACCTGAGAACCAAAATAGATTCCAGAATAATGGAAAAGGTCAACAAGGTGTTCGAAAATTCGTGGGGGAACAGGAACACGAAACTTGTGCTTCAATGAACGTTCTCTGGCTGCATCAAACTCCTTCCGAAGCGCCACGACAGAAAGGTCGAGCCAGAAATTTCTTTGATGCGAGCGCGAGTGCGAGCGTGATCGCTTACTCTGCTCAATCTCCACAAGATCCAAAATGATCTTCAGGTACCGCATGAACGGTTGATCTTCATTAATCATGGAAGCGGCCTCATAGGGATCATCGAAAGGCTGAAAAGTGCTAAGGGCCACGCAAACTTTGAAAAGGTACGCTTCGTGGAGAAGAAAATCCCTAAGACCTTGCATCGAAGGTTGCACACGCAGAGGGAGCGACAATCTCCAATTCTCGATCAGTGACCAAGCCGCACGAGTGTGAAGTCTGTAATTGGAGACATCTCCAAGCTTTACGCTCAAGTAGATCATGAGAAATGTCGCTAGAACGTTGCCAGCCGTTGGAGAAATGTCTGCGACCGTCTGAGTTGTCGCTGGCGCTTCGGTCGCATCTTTCAAATGGCGGGCTAGTCGGACCAGAGTTTCCTCCTGATAAGATTCCAGTCGGCTGGAAACCGCGAACTCAGAAGCATATATCCCATGTGACCTAACTCGAAGGTCTCCACTGGCGAGCGTAAGTATCGATGTCATAAGTACGGGCGTCTGGATCGCTAGAGGGATGACTACATGTCGGAATGGATTTTCAGAGGAGTCTATCCAGACCATTTGCGGAGCGACAACATGATCGTAGTATTGGACAAGTCGAAGTGAAAATGGATCTTCAGACATCACATGAGAGGGGTTCAGCTCTCGTAGAAGTCGCCAATCTCCCAATTGTGGGGCTGGGCCTATGAGTGCGCAAACTGAGAGTTGACTGATATCAGAGCTTCTTTCTGTCGGCGGGTTGGGCTGAGTGTATCTGGTCGGAAATGTAGAAGACACCAGGCTACGTGTCGAATGCCCAGGTTCGAGCGGAGAAGTGTGCAGCATCTTTTTTGAAGGTGCCCTGACCGCGATAAATCGCCATTTAGGGTTGTAACCAGGACATTTGAGGCTTCTGGTGCCGCATTTCCCACAGGAGGGCAAAGTGCGATCGCATTTAATCCTTCGGCGTCGGCAATTGTTGCAGTCTGGATGCGGTTAAAAACTCATTAGTCTATGGATGCACGTCAGTGAGCGTGGTAACATATTGAGGGTTCTTACCAGAATCCGATGCCATCGACTCTTATTCCGCCCAGGTGGAAAGAGTGTCAGGAGAATGACCTTGTCCGGGAGATTTCATGACAAACATGCAGAAGCATTAGAACTCTCCTACATTGCCGTTGGCTGTAGCGGGACTTTGCGAACACTGTGTGAGGTGGATGTACTGATAACGACCCCGAGAATGAAGGTCGAAATGTGCCCAAGTTTGTGCCAGTCTCTGAAATCACAGAAAAGGTTCGAATCGGGAAAAGTCGCCCTTTCTGTACATCTCCTTGGCTCAACGCACTAGTCGTCTAGTCCCGCACTAATCTGCTTAGCGTTCTTGGAAGCTCAAGATAAGAAGCCTCGACAGACTCCATCCCGTAACACTCACTGGGCCAACATACCACGATCCACGCCAGCGTAGGTACCGTCAGACACTCGATATAGGCCAGCAGTGGCAATCGAGCCCCAGAAACTCTGTCTTACGGAATAAAAGACGACTAAAACTAATCGGCACAAGTCGTCCTAGATATGGCACGCTTGCATGGCTACACTCACAGTCATGGTTTGTCTAGACCGGGTCGACTGTGGCATCCCAACTCAATACCTGATGCACTTCTCGTGACATGCATCCAGTCTTTGCTGGCCCCTTTAGGGTGCCGTTTCCCGTGAGCTCCACTCAGAGCCTTCCCCCATATATTGAATGGTCTTCTAGCATCCTTCACCCATTCGAGTTCTAACAACTTGCCAAACATCGAATCTGGTTCTATCTCAATGTTCCGGCACGATAGTTCACCGGAGGCCAAACTGAGGGAGGATTTCGGAAAGACTCTGCGGCTTGCTCTCACTTCAACTCTTGTTGCTGCTGCAGCTCTTTTAGCATATCGATTTGTCTTCCCAGCTCGGAGTGTATCTCCGTTTGCCAAAGTCACCAATGGCACTTACTTCGGTCTGCGCAATGACAAGTACCACACCGACCACTTTCTGGGGATTCCATATGCTCAGCCCCCGTTGGGTAACTTACGGTTCCAGGTGCCGCAACCCTTGAACACTACTTGGGCAGATGCCAGGAACGCTACAGATTATGGTTATGCCTGTATCGGATACGGCGAAGATACAGCTATCGCCTCTGATGATTATGTCAATGAAGACTGTTTGACTTTGAACGTGATTCGACCTTGCGGCAACTACGATGGCTCAAATCTTCCACTCCCGGTCCTTGTATGGATACACGGTGGCGGCTATTTTGCTGGATCAAGCCGTGATCAAAGATACAACCTAACATTCTTGGTTCAAAAGTCAGCTCGAATGGGAAAACCTTTGATTGCGGTTAGTGTCAACTATCGACTTTCCGGCTGGGGATTTCTGTGGTCACAGGAAATTGTGGACCAGGGCATTGCCAACCTTGGTCTCCGCGATCAAAGGTAAGTCAGACTGTTCGGCTTCTATACATCCGCTCAAGACCTTGATCTAAAACGTATCACGGTTGACTAGACTCGCACTTTCCTGGATACAAGAAAACATTGGTGCATTTGGAGGAGATCCCTCCAAAGTGACGCTTTGGGGCGAAAGTGCGTAAGTCATGAGCATAACTCAAGTCCCAACATCTGTCCAAGCCGACGCTTATCATCATCTTCATAGGGGAGCTGGATCAGTTAGCTCGCAACTCCTGGCGTTCAAAGGACGGGACGATAGACTCTTCAACGGGGCTATTGCTGTCTCAGGGAGTCCAGTTGGCTTCGGTGCTCTAAATGTACAAATGGGTAAGTGTTATTACGAGCCCTCATCTACAAGATCCACTCCAGAACGGCCTTGCCTTGGAAGTCGGCATCATACTAACTCTCCATCGCCAGAGACGTCCGAACAAGCTTACAGAAACTTGGTAGACAGTGTTGGCTGCTCCCCCTGGTCAGATCGCATCCAATGCCTACGCTCAAGACCTGCCCAGATGATTAACAAAGCGTTGAACTTTACGTCGCTTGGGTTGATCGACCAACCAAGCCTGCAATTTGGACCTCTCCCGGACGGTGATATCGTATCTCGAGACCCAATATCTCAACTTCACGAGGGTAGCTTCGTTGGTGTTCCCCTCATGATTGGTGATTGTTCTGATGAGGGTACCTTCTTTGCGAGCCTCGCTTCTGATTCGTCGCGCCTCAATACAGTAGCAGATATTGCTCGCCGCTTATCCAAGTATGGTCTTTCAACAAATATCGTCGACGATTTGCTTAAGCTCTACCCCGAAGGTCCTTCATCTTCCATTCTACAGTCTTCGGGGGGTACTTTCAATGACAGCACTGGGCAGCATTGGAAACGCCTTTCGACCATTGTTGGTGACTTAGCAGAGGTTGCGCCACGACGTCTCTCTCTTCGAGAATGGAAGGGCCACAGCAATACCTCTGTCTATAACTTTCGATTTGATGTTATTCCCAACGGGGTTTCTGACTATTTCTCTGCGACTCACGGGGTTGACATACCCTTTACCTTTTACAACCTGGAGGGTGCTGGATTTCCGGATATTGCTCCTCCTTTTCTCGGACCTAATCCATTTCACGGCAAACCTAAGGCTTACTTCGACCTTGCCGATCTCGTCAGCAGCATGTGGATCTCCTTCGCACACAATGGTGATCCCAATTTAACGGGCCGTAAGTCAAGTTCCCTTACTCGATCCTGTGGAACCGTGCAGGCCTTGTGGAGAAATACGAGGGATGATTTACGAACCATGAACTGACCTGTCCCTTCTCTCTTCGCAGAAAAAGGGCCCTCATGGCCGCCATACACTTTGCAAAATCCGAGCCAGTACGTCTTCAGTGCTGAGCCTACATCGCATATTGTCACGGACGATTTTCGGGAGATTGCAATTGACTACATTATCCAGCTACTCCGGAGCAAGGTGTCAACATTCTCGTAAGAGAAGCCCCTCCTCCTTCTGTTGAATTACCGACCACGACCTCCTCCGTGCTCGTAAATAGTTATAGTCTGCGAACGATAGATATTTTTGTTTACTTTTTCCAACAATGTGCATGGTCTACTATGTTTGGGAAGTCAACCACGGGATACCACAGATCAAGTTGAAGATCAACTGCATCGTACCCAGCGCCATGCAGATCGTTGCAACAAGGCAAGAGTAGAGAGGTCAGATGCATCTCAACAGCGGCATGAGTCAGCTTTGTGTAACCCTGAGGTTGGCCCTGGGGGTGTCGCGCGACCAACCTCGTCTTTCAACGTTTCTTCGTCCTGTCTACGCCGCGTCGACAGTGCGGATCCGTGTCGCCCTTCGACAGTGCAGTAATCCAGTCCTTGTCTCATCAATATTTGAGTGCCGCAGACCTTCCACCCTATCAGATACAAGAATACCTACTCAAGACGAAATGTCGCCGCAATTTGAGTTTGAAAAGACCTTTCCTCCACGAGGCTCGTTACAGCTGCATCGATGTGTCAAGGCCTCCACCTTTGCGTGCAATCGGTGTGGACAGGAGAAAAGATCAAAGCTAGTAGCTTTCAAAGAGGATAAACAGGATCAGCCTTTCTGCAACGGCTGTTACGGTTATCTGCTTTCCAGCGAAGGAAAGGACCGTGGAGATGCCCGAGATAAAACCTAGCTAAGAGTGCATACGGAGGACTTGATGTTATGATTGACTGGTAAGCTCGTCGGAGTTCAACCGTGTAGATGCAAGCGGCGGAGAAAGCTGACCCCTTTTTTAGGATATTTAGGGACCAATTCCATAGGACAACGTTCTGCTGAGGAGCTGCAAGTTCTACAGGCCAGGGAGAGGAATCCCAGAAGAAGATAGGCCCTGGCAGCTATGACTTATGGGGGCCTCTTCGGCCAGGGCTTCCACAGTCACAGGAGCGGTCGTTCAACGGGACAGGAGTTTTATAGGAGAGGGTAGATGGGACAGGGGTCAGGGGTCCTGTCGCCGTGCCAATATCCCAGTACAAAAGAAACTGCGGTAGGAATTAGACCTTCACTGTAATGATATGTGAGAGCGTGAGTAGAAGGGTGAGAAGCAAGTGAGAAGAGGACGAGTCGTGAGGTGGTGGTCATTAAAAGCGGCACCGTTTGCGAGAGGTCGGCGCCTTGCTTTGCATGCCAAGCTAAACCAGCTCAAACTCTTGAAACTCTTGCTATTATTAAGTCAACCTCCTTCGGCTTCTGCAAAACTTTGATGCAAATGCCGGACAAGCATCAGGACGATATGTTATGTCCCAGTCTCCACGCATCACGCAAAATGCCCGTCCATCATCGGGCTACTTTGAAGTTCGAAGTACGGCGACATCGGGCCGTGGCGTTTTTGCCCTGACCGATATCCCTGCAGGGACAACCCTACTCGAAACGTCCCTGATAGCCGCCAGCACCATCTACAAACCCTACGCCAAAGAAGTGTGCGCGCAATGCTTCGCGTACAACCGTGGGATCGTGTGGAAGGTCCGCGACAATGCCCGCAACGTCGTGTTCTGCAGTGACTCGTGCCAGGAAGTATGGAGAGCGACCACACCTGCCCCAGCCCTCGTGGCGCGTGAAGAAGTGCAGAAGTTTCTGCAGCGCAGACAGAAACTCTGGAACGCCGAGATCGAAGACTTCAACAAGCCTGCCGCCGACCAGATCGACGGCGCATGGGCAGCGGCAGAAGAGAAAGCCACGCTCATCCGCGCCGCTCTGTCGAGTACAATGCCGACCAAAGCACAGATCAAAGCGCTCCGGCAAGCACAGTCCCTCCACCCGGATCCGGACACGCTATGGTTTCTGCTAGATGCAGTCACGCAGTCTCTGCGTCAGACCGGCATCCTCGACCTCACCGCCGACCTCGCCGCGGATCCTCAACCGTACATCAACGCCGAAGATCTCGGCTTCCACGTCGACGCGTACTTGGCCATGCTCGCCGTCGTTCCTGGAGACGTCGTGTTTCCCCACGTTGACCGGTCCCTGCTACGGACGATCCAGTCTCGCACCACGCACAACTCGTTTGGTCTTCGGTCGCTGGACGAAGGCGGCAGCGCCGACGACGCCACCGGCACAGCAGGGAGCGAATGTTTCGGGTTCGGCGTCTGGCCGGAAGCAAGCTACTGGAACCACAGCTGCGCGCCGAACCTGAAGAAGCAGAGGACCGGACGGACGTGGACGTTCTCTACCAACCGGCACATCAAGGCCGGCGAGGAATTGTGTATAAGTTACCTCGGGGGAGATGAGAGGGACATGACGACCGCCGCGCGCAAAGAGAAACTCAGGCGGATCTGGGGGTTTGAATGTGCTTGTGAAAAGTGTGCTGGCTGCTAGTTAGAACTGGAGCGCGAGTACTCGTTCCTTTATGAGGTACGATCCAAAAAAAAAAAATTAAAACATCTCGTGGTAGTAGTTCAACTGCTATCATACATTGTAAAAGTATCTGTAAAGGCGCCGATGAGAGTATGTAGTGATGACAGTGTTGGTGATCCAGGACCACGTTTACTGGCTGATCTACATTATACTGTTGTACCTTGTGTCGGCCTTTTGACGCAAATCCGCTTCTTTCGCAAGGTATTTATTGTACGGTAGCCCGTGTCACCTCGTGTTGCCTCGTGTTGTGTCGTAGCACAAGCCGTCATCTTTATTAGAGTGCGACGTTTTGAATGTTGCTGAGTGAGCGTTACCAACACCAACACCAACACACACCAAAGTGATTATGGCCGAGCCGAGGTTTCTTCGTAATGCAACAACATACTGTCATCAAGGTGACATACAGACATATGTACCCTACCTACCGTACGAGTAGATGATCCCTTCCAAGTTGCTTATACCCGAAGGGGCAATAATCACCATATGCCATTCACGGTATCTATGGAATGTACGGTACCAGATCTCCATTCTCCTAACTCTCGGTCGAAGCATACCCAATATTCTCACCGTCGCCCATGCTTCTCTCGTTCAGCGCATGCTACCTACCTACATACCTACTTTCGTACCCCAAGCAACGTTGAGTAATCTGATTCAAACTTTGACAATGTCGAACCGTCAACACATCGGAAGATCGCCCTCTGGCCTTTCTTTTTTAAGACTTGGAGTGCTTTTCTTGATTAGATGTGCTACGACTACTACTACTCCTATTACTATTACGTACATCCCGCTAGGACCATGGACCCCCTAGGCGTCGAGGGACGCAAAAACCCGAAAGGGTACATACCTACATACATAAAAAGTGGCAATGATATGGCTAGCCGGACCCGGTCACCGGGTGGTTGTTTAGTCACCCCCGTCAATCACCATACCTATTGTATGTACACCGTAGTCAGGGTAGCGTTGACTAGCGATCTGCGATACGACACAGTCCCCTGCGTTTTTTACTTTCTTACCGCTGTCCGCACTGTCTCGCCCGTCTCACCCGTCTCACGAGGAGGCATCTAGCTCACCCTCCTCAGGTGGTTGGTCCGGATCGATTGGCCAAAGCGGTAGCGAAATCACTTGGGATTCCAAAATCCAGAATCCAGAATTACAGCGTAGCAGGCAGCAACACTACCACCAGCACGGAAACGGTCAACGGCAGGGCGCAGCAACGTAGTTGAAAGATCGCCTGGGGAGTCCGGAGGAGGCAATCGAGACATGAGAGAACTAGTCCATCTTCATTAGGAATTGTTGGTGGACCAACCAAACGCGTTTGCTTCCCTTTGGGAGTGTTCGGTCAGATCAGAAAATAGTAACACGACCTAAAAAGGCTCATAGTAATGATACATAAAGACAACATGGAGGTCCTCCTGCTCACGTTCACTCGGTGTCTCGAGAGGCATTCGGAATAATTCAACTCGAATCTTCGGCTCCCGCTGAGAACATTCATATCCTCAACCCCGGAACGACACCAAGCATCTAGCACGAACACTCTCAAGAACAAGTGTTCCTATCTCGGCCTTCACCCTCATTCACCCTTCGTCAAGCCAGATATCATCCCTCGAGATGCCTCTCTGGAGAATCTTTTCCCACCCTCAGACGTTCACACTCGACCAACGCAAAACCCTCGCCAAAAAGGTCACTGACCTATACGTCTCCATTGGCCTACCTGCATTCTACGTCAATGTCATCTTCATAGACGTCGACGAAAAAGCCACTTTCGTCGGTGGTGAGCAAAAGTCCAACTTTGTCAGGATCGCCATCGAGCAAATCGCCAGGACCATGGCCTCGCAAGAGACCGAACAAGGCCGACAGCAAAGAAAAGGATGGATGGACAAGATCAACGATGTAAGTCTTGTCCACTCACACAGCCTTTTCCCTCCAGTTTTGACATCTGCCTACACACATTGGCACCAGTTGCGTATCAATGAGGACTGACTGACGCTCTCTTTCACAGACTTTGAAAGAATCTATCATCGATCGTGGGGAGCTGGATTGGGAGATGCACATTTATGAAACTCCGCGCGATCTATGGCGTGTCCAAGGAATGGATGCGCCTCCAGCTTTCTCTGAGGCTGAGAAGGAGTGGAAGGAGAAGAACAAGCCAGTCCCATATTAGCGACTGAGGTTGTTGAGTAGAACAACCCTGTCCTATACCAGTAGACGAGGGTTTTATATTCTGTACTCAAGTGTAGGAACCGTGTGAATCGGAAATTCCAACATAGAATTTCACTTTCACATAAGCTTTGGGGCGAAATACCACAGTGCTGCGAGCCCTGAAAGAACGGTAGCGCCTCCGAGTTGTCGTGTCCACTGCTCGTTTTCCGACAACTTCAATTTTCCAATCCTCTGTTGGTGCGTCTTGGGCACTTTCTTGCTTGAGGTCGCCTCTCGATTTCTTCGTTGAACAACATCTGACATTTCGGTGCCGTTGCTCTCTTGTGCCGTAGCAAATGTCTCGTATTCCTCGACCAGACGCTTCAAGCCTTCAAGGTCCTCTTTGAGCGACTCCAGACTCGTCCTATTTCCTTCAACCTCGATACTCTGAACATTTCCGAAGAAATCAACCACTCTCCTGCTTCTCCCCGCTTGTTCTCCTCCAGGAAACAAATCCCACCTGACTCCTGGATTGGAATGAATTTTGCCAACATCATAGCTGTCAAAGAGGTCACCAAGTGTCTTGTCGGACGTCGGGCCAGTGACTTGTGTCTCTAGGAATTCCAAAACGTAATATGTCCAGCGATCAATGACCGCAACGCCAACATCATTGTCGGCGTGATGAGAATACGAACTCTCATCCTCTTCAGAAGAACCCGTCGCGATGACTCCGGGAGCATAAAACTGTCGGTACAACGTATTTGCCTGACACGTGTCGATCATGAACAGCATCTCATTGTACCTCTTCTTCTCCCTCATTTGCGAGAACGCATCTGCCAAATCCCAGCTCGAGATCTCCTCGCTGTCCTGAAACTTGAGGAACTCGCTACCGCCATGACCCGTCATGTAGATGAGGATGTTGCTCCCTTCGTCCGTCTGTAGTCTCTTGCTCGCCGGCACGCCTTCTTCCCACCGGTCCGTCAACAGACGTATGAAGTTCTCGACCGTAACTTCGTACCCACGATAGTCCACCTCGACGTTCTCGCCGTATAGATCCATTCGTCGATCGGCGTTCGAGTATACGGTACCCGAGAAGGCGTTTCGGGGGTTGCAGGCCATGTCATCCGGGAGGAGGAGGAGGATTTGAGAGTCGGGAATACCGAGGCGTTTGACGGTACGGTACAGGGACAGAGTATTCGCAAGATGACGATAATTGAACCAGAATCGAGACGTCGAGACCAGGACTGCCCAGTTGGAGGTGTGAGCGGCGCAGGCCATCGACGCCAGGGCAAGAAATGCCCATAGAGAATGAAGGAGATGCATGCTTGCTAAAAACAAGGAAGAAAACGAACGAGTGACGGTCTTTCTATTGGAATAGGGAGGGCAAAGAGATAGACGGAACGTTTATGTATGAATACAATTCATGGCTCTGTTGTGATCATTTCGTAATCTTGAGAATTGGTCAGCGTCGACATTCTGTAGGAGAAACGAGAACGAGTACGCAGCGCGGAGCGTCTTTAGTTACGGAATAACGTATCTCCGTCTTGCATTTGGGTGGAGTGTAGAGACAACACATACCTCTGATCAACCACTGGGGATTGGGATCATTCTCTTGTAACAACAAGTGAATCAGCGGAGGAGTCGACACTATGGGAGGTTTCTTGAACTACTCTGTTGTCATTTCAATAATGTCTATTCCATCCTGAGCAAATCTCAGCTTACACAGTGATCAACACCGAGTAGCTGTTTGTAGAAACGGCAGACGCCTACGGTGCAGCGTACTACCGTCGCTGGCACTCTCCCCTGAATGGAAGGACATGGTTCATTGCAGTTTCAAGCTTGCTTCCCTTATGTCTGAAAGCATTGTCAAGTCATTGCTTGCCCTGGTTCACAAATAGGGACACAACAGGTTGTCTTCATCACACCCTTGTTTCATCGCTCTCTGCCCGATGATCACTCGTTCGGTCGTGGTCCGATCAAGACAGGTAGGCCCATCTCACACAATTTTGCCTCGTTGTCGACGACATTCTCTGCTTTAAGCGTATTCTCCCCCAACAACTCCCTCTGCAACGTCCCACAAAACACCTCGAACCCGCCGAACTCGATCAAAATCGATCGACCCGACATGGAGACGGCGGTCCCCGTCCCATTCCAATTGTTGCTTTTGTGGCTTCCATCGATCACAACTTTCATATTCAGAACTTTCCGAAAGGGTACCAAAGAAACAATTAGATTCTTGAGGGTGTTTCTGGCGTGCAATGCGAGGAACTCTGCCATCGTCTTGGTATTATTGTGCTCGGAAAAAAAGAGCCCCCCAATATATGATGGTAACAAATGCTCTGGAGAGTGAGAGCTTGTTTGACCTGACGCAGCTCTTGCATTGACTATTTTCGCCAAGCTGACTTTAGCGACGATTTCGACGGATGGACAGTCCAACAACCTCGCTGTGTTGGCCCCTAACCAGTCGCCAATTCTATCACAGTACAACTGCGCCTTCGAGAGTCTCTTAGTCTCAGCATCAATGTCGAATTTATGGCGCCGGTATGATAAGTGATAAATCCCCGAGAGATCGAGGTCGATGATAATGGCAAGGTGCTTGATCTTGGAGAACATGCTGGTCAGGTGTCTGAAGGCGACATTACGAGGAAGCTGGGCCTTTGGGATTTCGGAGACGAGGCGCTCATTGCGATCAGAATCATCAACCATGACCCATCGCTTTGTCTCCCTGTGCATGTATGCACAGTCTGGCTCGGCGCAGCGGACTCCCTCGAACGCAATCTCGTTATGGGCGATTGTGAGCAGATACCGGTGAGTTCGTCGAATGCCGCAGGCCGCATTCGCTACCCACTTGCATGTTCTTGCAAAGTTGGCCAAGTCGTTGAATATGTCTGGTTGCTGAACAGGCCTGCTGATGAGAATTTCATCAAAGCCAGGAGCATGTTGTGGTGCCGAACGAACAACTATGCTCTCGGGACCGAGGTTGGTAGGACCGACACAACTCGAGGGAGGCATGTCCATGCGACAATAAACTCCGTAGGGGAGACTTTCAGTCCACTTCAATCCGTCAATGACTGTGTAGTCTTGGTGTACCACCCTTCGGGGTCTGTCGAGCGATCGGTCAGGTAGGAGGAACTCGCAGATAGGTGAGAGGATCTCTGGTGGCATGTCAGCGAGAGTAATGGACTCCTTTCGACTGGTTGACATTGTGTCTTTTGTCAAGCATTGAGTCTCTGTCTGTGAGGTTTCGTTGTCCATCTTGACGGAGTATGATGCTGATGGCTCTCGAAAGCTTCAGAGTCGCGTTCTTTATAGCTGAAGATGATGCCTGGTGGTTTGGTGATGGGGTAGTGACGGGGTGGTTACTCAAAGATGTTTCCTCAGAGGGTGTTTCCGGTGGTTCGAGTCAGTTCAGTGAATAGTAATGAGTCAAGGGAGCTCAGTGAATATTGATGATTGAGGAAGAGAAGAACGGATTTCACAAGAGAAAATGCGCGCGGCATATGTGACACGAGCAAGCTGACCCCATGCATGCTTTGAATCTTTTTTGGCTTCTACAACTGTTGTTTCACCAAACGACCTCTGGAGGGTGGGTTCTGGATTCGGAACAGAGAATGACTTGGAGAAACCCGCTATTACACGCGCTTGAGAACTTGGAAGCTAAATGTCGGATCAAGAGTGTCGCAGTTGTTGAGTGGTGACTGTCCACAGATCACGGCCGGCTGAGGGCCGTAGCGCAAGGAGCTCAGCCTTGTATACAGTGTTGGCGACGAGGCTGAGATCCATAGCTACATTCGTATTCCGTGCATGATGGTAATCCGCGACCAGTCTCGTTGCTAGGATCTCACGGAAAAGAAACCCTGTATGAATGTAGATAGCAAATCTGTGCATTTACCTGATGGAGACCTCGACGAAATGATGATCTTATTGTTGCTGTAAGGCAGAATGGATGAAATATACACGTATAGGCGACCATTTGTTTGGCCTGGGCCATTAGGCATTGGAAAAACGGAATGCCCCGACAACATTCCTTGCAAAGGACCGGGAATCGAAAGAAGTGGTCATCGAACGTACTCGCTCACACCTAGTCTAGACAGAAGATAAGATCGTCTGCTGAAGAGCAAGCAAGCTGTCCCGTCCCTTTTCCTCCCCCCGCCGACGCCAAATGTTAATTACTTGGGTCTAATAAGAATGGTCATTGTCTGGGAACATAATCCGTACCCGTACATACATCCACGCGCATACTGGCCGTCTGCTGAAAGTGTTGGTGACATCTTCTCCAAAAGCCTCACCCTCAAAAAGAAAAACAAAGAAAGTGAACTTTTCCACCCAGGCATGCCTATACCCTTCAACCTCCCCGTCCCATTATGAAAATCGTTTCATCAATACCGCGCTTGGAAACCCAAATGCCTCGGAGGGCTTCCCTGGATGGTTATACTGATCCTGCTTCTTTCTGTGCCGTCAATCTCGAGCGGAGAAGGCGGCTTAGGTGGATGGTGAACTTCGAAGACGTGCGTCGTCGTACCACCGCCACCGCCGCGGCCGCCGCCAGGGCCATGTCCTCTCTCCGCCGTCGACTTCGTGTCCAGCTCATATGTAGGCGGGGGCCCTCTCGGGTCTCCCGACTGGGCACGATATACGCGTTCCTGAGATTCGCCGTTGAGTCTTCTGCGACCGCCCATCATCTGGCCCTGTCGACGACGCTTTGTGCGCAGGTAGAGTGCGATGGCCAGGGCCCCTCCGAGAACTAGAGCCCCGATGGCAATCCCGATACCTGCGCCCGCAGCGGCACTCAGGCCCTTGGACCCGCCGCTGGACACGGACGGTAGAGACGCGGGCCGCTGACCAGTAGTGTTGGGGTTCAATGGGCTATGAAATAAAGCAACAAAAAACATTGATTAGCCTTTATCGTCGATCTCGGACAAATCCCACGTCACATACCTGTCGAGAATCTGCAAAACGCCGTTCGAAACGAGGTAGTCGGTCGTAGTGATCTGAGAGGTGTCGACAAAGTAGCCTCCGCTTATGTTCGTCATCGTCAGGGGTAGTTTATCCAAAGTTTGGAACTGCGAGTTGTTCTTGAAATCGGATGAATAGATGACCTGTCCCTCAACAATGCTATATTCGAATATGGAGAGTTTGTCTGTGTCGGAGAGACCGTCCCAACCGGTGTAGGAGGCGCCGTATCGCGGGTCATTCGGTCCCCACACCGTCAGGTCAGACAGAGTATTGACTATGGAGGAACGAATCCAGGTTAGTATAGTACGTGACGAAATCGCAGAGTAAAATATCTTGATTCTTCATGATCATCGATATCTGACACTCACCAATAGAGGCAGCAGGCGAGTTGGGGGTCAAGTAGCCTCCCTTGTTCAAGAGGGCGATGAGATTAGTCAAACCGGCCTTTGTGATCGTCGCGGGAAGAGAGATCGGGATTGTCAGGACCGAGTCGACGATGTGGATGAGTCCACCAATGTAGAATATGTCCTGGCCATATTAGCAAACGGAGTTTCCAGCCCTCTGCTAACCACGACTCACAGCCTCGACCAGCTCTGTCTTGGCCTTAATGCCCGACAGAACGGTCGGCTTCCCATTTTGCGACGTGATATCCACCACTTGTCCTCCGGTCACGTTGGCATACGTTGCGTTAGTGAGCAGGGTTGGCGCGAATAAAGGCTGCAATCCAAACCCAGCCGAAGGATGAGTACCCTTGACGCAATGATATTGCAATAGTGCGAGGAGAACATCTTCTTGCTCGACCAGATCCGGATTTGCGTTAGAGAAGGTCGCTATTGCTTCGTCATTCGGCGCCAGAACTTCCTCGACTGTCAGTATACTTCCCGGCGATCTCGTGGCGCATCTTACCGCTGAATGTTCCTCCATTTAACGTTTCAATCAGGCTTGGAAAGCCTTTCAGGAGACTGGTGAAAGTCGAAATCCCTGATTGTTGGTTGAGGATGGTGATGATGTCCTGGTCAGCGGCGAAGCAGCCAACAGTCAACGCCGCGACGACAAAGACGAACAGAGGCGACAACATTCTGACCGCTTGCAGAGCATGAGACCCAGAGACATGGTCAATATGAGTAAGAAGAACACAAAAGAGCGGGCTCGAATGAGGATCAAAACCTGCCTTATGAAATGGAGTGCCTAGTGAGCCTCCGACGTCTGGCCCGGTCCCAGGACTGGATGATTGGAAAATGCATGTCTTCTAGTGCGACGCGTTCTTTCAGGAGACACTCTCGCTTCTAGTGCCGTCCACTCCCATGTATTGTATCTGGACTAGGGAAGGAATGGTGGATTCGCTTAAGCAGACTGGTGTTGTACGGAAGTCGAGATTCAAGGCTTAGGGATAGTCTGAGGATGACGGGCCGGAGCAGCAGTTTGCAAAAGGATCCTTGTTTGTTGAATCCATCCCGTGCTTTTGACTTTGATCGAGCTGTGTGAAAAGACCAGCTCCCCTGGGAGAAAGACGCCGGAACAAAGCTTAGGTGTTTCACATCTCGTCGCTGTTTGTGCGGGAGGCGTTGAGTATGCAAGGGACCGTCCACATGGGGCATGGGATGTTTTGGTTCCGCTTGTTCGCCGCGCCAGCCATGTTGGTGGCGCTTTTTCTTGGGGCGCCTTACCTCAGACCTGGTGCGAAAGCCAAGTCAACAAAATTGCCATCAATCACCTCTCTCTGAGTGGCTTGATATCATCGATCCTATCGGATGCTCTCCTTTGTGATTTTATCAACCCCTGGTGATGAACGACAAGACCGTGGTCCATGGGAATTGGAATGGGGGAGCAAGAATTTCTTTGCTGGCCTGGGCGAGGGGATCACTTCAGGGACGAGCAGATAGTGGCGTTCGACGCCTCCAGAGCATCGAGAGGTTCGACTAGAGAGACGGTCCTTTCTGCCGCCTTAACAAAAGGAAATGCCGGTGGAAATCCCTGCGTTCCTTGGGCGCAGAGAAGCGCATCGAGGCTAAAAGTTAGCAAGCCAATTTCTTGGTGTGCGCCCGAGGGATCAAAGGCCCCCAATACCAGTGTCCTAAGTTATTTAGCGGCTCGCTGCTCATGTTGTCGTTTTTCCTTGCTCCAGCCTGGACAGTTTTCATGACGATCTCGAACTTCGGGCTGGGGTACAGAAGGAGAACATTCCCCATGAAGGCCGCTGCCGTAGCCCCCCCAAGTCTAGGACGGTAGTGGTAGACACCAAAGGTCTTCGCTGCGGTGCGTGTCGGCGTTGACTGGCCTGCATTGAGTTGCTCCGGGAATCCAGCGATAGAAGTCCAGAATGAACACCGTCACATACATTTATAGATGTCGACCACAGGGTTACATCGACGTCGATATAGATGCGGATACTCGGTACATCCTTGACCTTTTGGATACTCTGTCGGACGTGTTCCCCATTCGGTCGATGCCTCCGTCCAGATGGATTTTTATTTGGACGACCACACGGATCAGCCTTGCAATGGAGCACCGGGGTCCAACTGCCTCGAGAATTCTGTATGTACGAACTGGGGATGAATCCCACTGTCATGCACATTTCGAGCGAACAACCGTTCCATGTGTGAATGCCCCAGAGTGGGAGGGAAAATCAGGTGCAGTTTCTCCAGTTTTCTACAGACAATGAAGTCAGAGGTATTTTCAGGTCGTTGATTTTCTATTCTTATCTCGCTATGCCGCCAAAGTGGTGGGACAATCGTCTCAGCAGAAAGAGGGCTCAAAAACAATGCAGAGACTCGCAGGTTCAATGCCCTTCGCAAGCTAAAATGTGCTTGCTCCCATGCTGTCTTCAACAGAAGCCCGAGGCAAAATGCAATCGCAAATATATCCAAGAAAAAAGACATCATGTTCGATACTCTCACTCCCTTTCCTGCTTCGTCTTCATATCATCATCTTCCTACGACGGCCTTCAAACTCAGCCCTTCCAAGAAGCCTCCCAGATCCTCCTTCTTGACTTCGACAATACAATGATCAAAGCTATCAATTTTGACCCTTGCATTCGTCTCTTCCACGACCTCTTGAAAAGCAATGCCGAATCGATTGTGTCCATAACCTCGTTTCTTCCGCCTTGCCAACTCTTCCTCGTCCTCTTCGTCGCTCTCATCTTCGCTCTCGTCCTCTTCCTCACTGCTCTCACTGTCCTCATCTCCATCGTCGACATCATCATCTCCGTTCAACTCCCTCGCTGCCTTCCGCGCCGCCCTTTTCTCCTCTCTGATCTTCCTTTTGGCCTCCTTTGCCTCCTCACGTTTGGCTTTGCGCTCGGCCTTCTCTTTGCGAGCTTCGAGATCCTCAGAGCCTCCAATGCCTCCTCCTGTTCCGACGACAACATACGTGCCGCGTGCCTCATCCAGTGCCGCGAGAACCAATGGCGTTGGAGCTTCGCTACCTTTCTTATCCTTCTCTTTGACAGCGACAGCCTCGCCGACCCACAGCGCCAGCTTCACAAGCGCCCCAGGACTATTCGCGAATAATCCAAGATCAGGCCCATCTTTGACCACACCCATCCGAAAGGCACGTAGATGGCGAATCTGATGCTTGACCATCAGCGACGAGCCGGTCCGTAGGATAGACCTCAGAAGATGCTGTGCTGTCGGAATCGCTGTCAAGAGATGGCTTGGGTGGTTGGGAGCTAGTGCGTCGTATGCCGCGAAGAAACGCGGTAACAAGGCCTCGGATCTGTCGGGCACATCATCTGCTATATTCGTCCGCTGCGATGAACCATTCTGGGCCGCTGGGTTTGACACGGCAGGGGTATGTGTCGTGCCAATATCCAGTATAGCGCCGAGGATAACGCCCACATCCACTGCTGAGAGTTGGGCTTTCCAACCCCACGAGCGGATGAATCCCCATCCTTCTTGCTCGTACGAGGCCCGACCAGATCCAGACGGAACGAGGTCGTCAAGTCCATACACGCCAGCGTACTTCAGCAGGCGTTCTCGCAACGTCTTCTTAAGGTCCATGTCCATATGTGTGTAGGTTTGTTTACACTGGGTAAGGCTGACTCCCATTTTGGCGAGAAGCTTGTGAAGATACTTGACACCGGACTCGTTCCAGACGTGAAGGCGTGAGGCGAGATAGGGGGAATGGAGCATGCTGTCATACAAGGACCAGTGTCTCAATAGGAGGAATCGGGGGTCTGGCGTAAGGCGAATAGATGTGTCGCTAGGGGAGCTCGTGCCACCTCCACTTGGTGATATCGTAGGTGACCGGTCCGCCGGCGGAGGATTGAGGCGCCGTACTTCGTCACGGAGCAGAGCATATGTCTGAGAAGATCTTGTGGCACGCCACGACCTGTGATGTTCGTGTGTGTTCGTGATAGAGACGGAAGTCCCCAGCCCAGTCGAGGTATGGCCATAGAGTTCCAGCGACGTGACGCCAATGATTGCAAGCCAGAGGAGATCGTTGTCTTCACGGCCCAAATCCGTGGCCAAGGAGTATGCCATTGAGGCAATGGGCTCAGAATACGATGTGCCCAGGCCATTGTATTCTTGCAGCACTCGCTCGTGCTTCTCTCGTAGTTTTCGTAACCTTTTGCGGAGTTGTTTTGCAGTCTGCAACCCTGGGGATTGAGGTTTTGAGACTGGTGAAGTCAATTGGGAAGAGGACGGACTCCTGCTTCTGGGGGTGGACGCAATAGATGAGCCAGAATTACTCCTTCGTCTCTGTCGCGGCCTTTCTTCGTCCATTTCACTTTCGTCGCCCTCGTCGTCTCTGTCCGACCAAGATTTCCTTTTCCTAGAAGACGAAGTGTCCTGGCTGTCTTCATCTTCGTCTCCAGAGTCTTCGTCATCACTCTCATCTTCCCCCACATCTGGCATCGACGAGAGCGTGCAGTATGCCTCTCTTTCCGTGCCGAGTTCCGTGGCAATGTCTCCATCGTCAAAAACAATTATACCGCCCCTCCCAGACCTGTATGATTTTTGGATGCAGCCTTTGTCCACACCCGGTGTCCTCCTCATAGCTGTGTCTGTCTCTGCAGTTTGTGCGTCCATAGGAAGCCCACCAAACACGTTCGAGAGGTTCCAGGGGCGTCTCGCGTCCAACACCCAGACCTCAACACCACACATTGCTTCCGAGGAGTTTTCATCTTCTAAACCAAGCAGGCTTCCGAGGTCTACTAGACCTCCCACTCCAAGACAGATAACCACGCCCCCGCTACCGCCCTCTGACGTTTTCATAGGCCGTATGAGATCCTCCCCAGCTCTTGCAAGGTCTGCATATCCTGAGACTGGCTGAATCTTGTGGGGTATGTAGTCGCGCTTGAACAGCGCGGTAAGGATTCGACAGGCGCATAATGCGTCGGGTTCTAGTGCTACCAGGAGGAGAACTGGCGGAGAAAGAGGATGATGGGAGCGGACAAGGTTCGTGTAGAGCTGAGAGATCAATTCGCGTGGCAGGTACATGGCTGACCTGCGCGAAGGAACCAGACTGCGATTTGTATGTCGGCTTGAGGCGTGAACATCGCATTGAAGTGTCTGGGGCGTGACGGCTAATGGCGCATGGTGTAGGTGCGTTTCGCGAAGGTGTGGGTGAGGCTGACCTGGACGAGGATGCTAGCCAGATATCTTCAAAGTATCGAGTGGCTATCGAGTCGAAGCAGTGGGATTATACGGAAGTGTGTTCCTGACATGAGAAGTCCCAAGGCTCACAGTGTGTGTGAGTGTGAATGTGAATAGTGAATGGTGAATGGTGAATGGTGACTGCTACTCGTGCCAAACTCCCGCTCTCTGTCGCGTGTCGACGCGTCGGGCCTTCAGCCAATCAACCATCGCCGCGGCAAATATACGTCATTGGCCACTTTCCCTTTCCAGCTGCATCTCTTCGTGACATTTTTGACACTCACTGTTCACTTTCCTATGAAGATCATCCCTGGGCTAGATCCGTACACTGCAGCATACGAGAGATTGCTCCCCATTTCATCACATAAGGACAGAGCACCAGCGCCAGCTATGAACCCCCTAACGCTCCCATCGCCGACTTAACTCACCCAGCCGTCGTGGCGTGCAACGACCTCGTCTATCAACACCCCAGCAATCCCTTTGTGGCCGAGACTCGTAGGATGAAACACCCTCCACCTCTCCATATCGAGGATGTCGCTGTTCGACACTCCGATGCTGCGTCCATGTGCAACCCCGATCGGATTCTGCAACGGCTGCTTCGTTACAACCTCGTCGGTCATAGCCGATGGAAGATTGAAGAACCACGTCTCCTCTCTTCCCAGGTCCGGCTCCTGCACACCGGCTTCGCAAAACCTATGACCTTCAAACGCGGCATCTATATCGACGTACACTGCCCCATAAGCCTCCGCAGTCGCTCGGATAACATCGTTCAACATGCCAACCAGGTGATTCAAGGCCGTCCTCTTCGCCTTGGTAAGGTAATCCAGCGGTCTCGTGCGGCTAAACGTGACGTGGTCACAGATATCGGTCCTTTCGTTGAAGAATCTCGCATACCCCGTAACCAATAATAATGCACCAGGTTTCAATCTGTCGAGAGCGCCTCGAACGAGGGCTTGGAAATTGTCCCATAGCACGTGAGATTCTATGCGCGCTCTGGCCTCGACTAGCTTGGCCTCGCAACTCGATGATGTCCACCAGTGATAGACGCACTCGTTGAGCACCATGAAGAATTCCACTTCGTTCCCGCTGACCGTGATACTGACGACATCAGAGTTGGCAATGCGCGGAACCTGATCATGAAGCACTGTGCTACTGGTGGCGCCGCCACAAGCGAGGTTTCTGAACTCGCCGAAGCCCAATTTTGAGCTGTTGGAAATCTGAACGGGATAGGCATCTGACCAGTGACCACAGCCGTAGCCCCAGCCTGGCGTGAATATCAGATGGCCAGCGCCTGCCCCGGCAGCGTAGGAATCCCCCAAAGCCGCATATGTGCGAGTGGGTGAGTGACTTGAAGACGACGAAATCGCAGAAGCGCAGCAATTCGCTGCGAACCAGGTTAAAATGAGTATCAATGGTGTGCGAGGCGCCATTGAGAAGACGACATGTCACAACGAACAGAACGAAAGACTCAAGGAAGGCATACCTTGATCTAATCTGATCTGATCTGCCGGAGTACAGCCTAGTGTGAAGTGTATCGCAAAGTTGAATGATATTCTGGAGTCTCACGAACCTGTAGGCAGCATCACCGTCGAGATCCTGACTTGGAAATGATTATGACAGACGAGTCTATCTCCCGGAAATTGGTGCAAATCTCCAGAAATATTTTCTGTCTGACTGATTACAATTACTGGCCAGACGTCATGATTGACGAATCCGTTCAGGCAACTCACTTGCCATTATTTCCCAGCCTGGTGGTGGTGTTTCCAGGGGTGTCTCTCCTCTGTTGATATTTGACCTTCACAGTCTATGCCGTCGGTTCTCAAGGTCTCCCGTCAAGCTGTTCTACGACCGTTCCGAAAGTGTACCCGTGGAATAATATACTCCTTCGCCACCGCGCCTTTCCGCCCCCTTGTTCTCCCGCAGCAGGCCAATGGCACACGAGGCATGAAGCGCGCCAGCACTTCCAAACCTCGACCTAAGCTTCCAGAGTACTGCGAGGTAGATCCCAGGCGAGATGAAACCGGCAAGCCCATATGGCCTGCGCCCGCAGAAGCCATCGAGAGGGTCAGGACACTGATAAGAGAATGGTACCTTGCTCCCTCTCCCCCTCGCTTGGACTCTTAGATTTCCACACGAGGTACTTACAGGCTGACGACCACAGTGCAGCAAGTGGCAAGAGGACCTTGATCGTGCCGGACAAAGATGCCGACGGCCTATCGTCCGGAGTCACGCTGTATCGCACTTTGACAACGCTGGGTCTCGACAAGTCTTTAATCGACGTGCATCTGGTCCAGAAGGGCTCAAATATCCATCTCCGGTCGGAGAGAGAGGCCATGGCAGCCAAAGACCCAGCTTATGTATTCGTCCTGGACCAAGGGTCAGTGGCAGGCCCTCCGGTGGTTGACTCCCCGACGACGAAATCGATCATAATCGATCATCATTTGAGCGACCAATTTCCTGAAGGCGCCGAGGTCGTATCTGCATGTCACTATCCGCCTGTTTCGACTACGTCACTTCTGACCTACGAGATATGTAAGACCCTTTCTGACGGGATTGAATCTGCTTGCGCGTATCTTGCCTGTATTGGAACGCACGGGGATCTGGGCAACACTCTCAAATGGCTACCACCGTTTCCTGACATGAAAGAAACTTTCAAGATCTATACCAAAAAATCCATCAATGACGCCGTGTCCCTCGTCAATGCTCCTCGCAGGACATCAAAGTACGATGTCATTACCGCCTGGACAGCGCTTCTGGAATCGACTAGCCCAAAAGATCTATTGAGCAATGGCAGACTCCAAAGTGCCCGTGCCGAAATCAACGAAGAGGTCGAACTCAATACGCATACACCGCCAAAGTTCAGCTCCGACGGCCGCATTGCAGTTCTCCGTATCCATACACCGGCTCAAGTGCACCCGGTCATCGCTACGCGTTGGGCTGGCTATCTGAATTCAAAAGCCTTGGAGATCGTGGTCTGTGCAAACTCTGGATACCTGCCTGGAGTGGTCAATTTCTCCTGTCGGATTGCTCGCAGTGCCAGGTCTCGGGATCCGCCAGTAAATATCATTGAAAGTCTGAAAGCTGCAGCCGATCTTTCAACAGATGGTCTTAGAGACCGGCTTGGAGAAAGTTTCGCCAGGGGGCACAAAGAAGCCAGTGGAGGCGTAGTGCCTGTTGCAGCATTTGAGGAGCTGATGCAACTTCTTAGAATAGGCGAGAAGCCTGAAAAGAAAGATGGTGGAGAGGACCCCAAGCCCAAAAAGCTCAAAACAGTTGAAAAGAGCCCTCAGAAGAATACCCTTGGGAATTACTTCCGCAAAGCCTGAGATGTCACGTTGGCTTATTGCTCGGCATCAGCAAGCCTCAGCTGATTCATCGTGCCCACTTGAGCTTCATTGAGAACTGAAAACTGCTGTCGCAGCTCCGACAATACGAGAGGTAGTGACTCTTCGAGAACCTGGTTCAGTCTCCATTGGAGTTCCACTTCGTACCCGGCGCCGAAAAGAGGGATTGCCATTCTCTCGGCCAGCCTCCTGGGAGCTTCGTACTCCGCAAACGCTGTGAATTCACCAACAATTCGGCCTGCGAGCAGGGCCTCGGTGCATTCCACGTAAGGGTTATCAGGAAGTCGCGCCCCTGGGAACAGGGTTTTGAATATTGAGAACCACGCTTCCACACAGCTCCCGCCAACTTTGCGTCTCTTGACATCTTTACATTGATCCCGATTCATCTTGTCCTTGAACGGACACTCAATCGCCAGGCATGATCTCTCGCGTTGGTGAAGTTCACAGCTCTGTTCGTTGTCGAACGCATTGAAACATGATGAGCAGTAGTGTTCAGGTCGCTTATGGACACGATACAGGTGCTGTTTGAGTCGAGGGATGTTTGTGAGAATTTTACTGGCGCATTTGTGGTAGGCTGTCTCCTCCGGATTGGTGTTGCGTTCGGAATATCGGATCGGATCGTTCTTTGCGTACGGACATGCCAGTAGTTTCTCTCCTACAGCACCCTCCGGCTCATTTTCATCACCACGGATCCTTTTCGGATCTCTACCCTCGTCTCCAGGGTCGTCGTCCAGGCTCCGGCGCTGTTTAGTGGGGTCTAAACAGGATGTACTGTAGCTGGTTGTGCTTGAGGCCCCGTAGTCTGCAGAGCTGTTGATAATAGTCTCTCCTGAGCGTGATGATGATTGCTGAGATCCCTCTGGCCTGCATGTGAGACGCGCTTTTGCGCCTCTGACAAAATCTTGAACCAGATCGTCCACAAGTTCTGCTAGTATGATGTCTCCTCCACTTTCATCGAGATGATCTTCCAGTGGAGACGAAGACTCCTGGACGAACGAATCTTCACTCTCGGAGCTTAGAGATGCTTCGCTGGGTGCTGGGAGCTCGCTCCTGGGGACGACTTCGGCCTTTCCAAACACGCCTATTTCTAGAGACCTCGTTGCCCCGTCACCACCAAGCAAGTCCTCGATTGGTGGCATTGATCCTTGCACGGGCCTCGAAATCTCAACGGGTGTAGTTCTTGGGGAAGAATATGGTGTTGTAGGAGCGGCCCAGAAGGGCACTAGACCAAACCTATATTGCTCGTCTAGCCGTACACAACTTTGACATCGGCCATCTGACGATGTCTTCGAGCCTGCACAAAACGGCTGTCGATATTAGCTCTGATCATTACATAGCACTCCCAACACCGCGTTGCATACCTTATCCAACAAACAATGGTCACAGCCTAATGCGAGCTCAGGCCGCTGGCGATTTTCCGTGAGGTCCGCTTCCTCCACGAACCAGGAGGCAACTTGCCTTTCATGATTGAGGGAGGTTTTAATGGGTTTGTAACGAGGTCTCTTAGTGTTTTGTGCGTGGCAGATGGTACCCAGTGCTTTACAGCGCCTGCACGTGTCGGTTGGGAACTGTTTGCTCAGATATCAGTCGTGGAGTCGCCAGTTGGACAGAGCTCATCAATAGCGGTCATCGCTCGAAGCGTCGTGCTTCTGTACTAGATGATGTGTTTGCAAGCTTTGTCCTGTTGGTTTTGAGTATAACTAACCACTTTGTAACATTCCTGTTCCAATCTTTTGCAGTGAACGCATGCATCGAATTGCTGCTTGTAAGTGCCTTGTAGAGGCTTCGTGGAAGCATGCACGCTATGACAATTGTCAGTCCAAATCGCCTTTTGAAGGTATCATATACGATCTGACTTCGCAGGATGTTCGATAGTTTTGCTCGGCTTGAGTGGCTGTTTCCCTACTGAGGAAAAAGCTTCCTCCCAATGCCCGAAGAAGATAGTTGGAGTGTCACTGCTGACCCGGGGTGAATTACTACCTGGGATAGCTTCGCCTGTTTGGTGTGCTTCTGGTGATGTTTCTCCTGCTTCATCCAAAGCTAAGGATTCGTCCGCTTGATCATTGTACGCTGTCCAAACGTGTTCAGGGCAAATGTAAACCGCCAGAACGATCTTATCGGTGATAGGATGGCCATGCTCTCCAAACATCGAGCATGGGTCGACGGAATGCTGGCGATAGACGCAGTGGCATCCGGGATACCTTTCGATGACCCGCTGGCACATATTCGCAAGGTAATTTCACAATTGGCGTTATTTCAAATCTGAGAGCGGGAATATTAGATGGAGCGAATGCTCCTTTATACACCGTTGACAGCGTCTGCTCAGACCCACGCAATGGGTACATAATTCAACTTGGAGATAAGCCTAGCGTCGAGTAATTCACATCTGTGAGAAGAGACTCAGCCGCATCACCATTGAGCCTGCCATTGGCGGGGTCCCTGAGTAGTCCAGTCCCTATGGCGGCACTCGATCGTTTCCAAGCAGGGGGGAAGACGAAGCTAGGAGCACAGAGGTTAGCTCACCTTCAGTTGGCCTTGTCAAGGGACAGCCACCACAGAATCGTTGGCGCTCGACCTGGGTTCAGGGCTGGAAACCATTTGGGTCCCGGCAATGCATTGTTGCCTTTAGCGAATAGCTTGCAGCGCTCGTCTGCCACAAACCTATAGATGCTTGCGCGGCAAGAGACAGTAACTTTTGACGGGGAAATCCTTGAGGTCTTGTTAGGCAAGCGCCGAACAAGTGAGAAATTCCATCAACGGAAGCCCTAGAGAGATACCGGAGTCGGAAACTTTGGTTGAGTCTATGTTCGACGAGACATATTAATTAACGAAACCATGTTAGATTGTTCGTTGCACAGTGATTCATTATTGCGTTGGACACAGAATTGCAATATGTCAATGACCTTCGCTTGTGATGCCCGCCAAGACTTCCCCAGATTGTCTCTTTCTCTTTCTCTCCGCATGTACTCGGAGCACCCATCACCGCGTGTTTGATATTGTCAAGTGCCGTCGGTTGAGCCTTCAGCGGCCTTTCGTGCTACCGCGCGGAAAATAAGGCAGACCAGGGTCGTTTTACCGGCATGGATTCCCTCGTCCTAAGCCCTCTCAACTCCATCGAGAACCATCTCAACGCCCTTGTTGCAAACCTCACCCAGACCAACACATTCAACAATGCACCGCCACTGGCAAAAGATCTTGTGACCGACGACGATAATCTATCCGCTTCCCTCACACTCCTCCGAAAGCATCAACAGAACTACGCGCGTCTTCTGAACCTCCGGGCTGAGGTTGAAGATCTACAGACACAACTCCAAGACACGATCCGTCGGAGCGTTGCGTTTCGGGAAGAGATCCTCCAGATCCACCCTGCGATACTCGACGACTCCGATGACGAGGAGGACAGCGAAGAAAACCATGTAGCGGAAATAGATTACCACACGTTGCTGGCGTTTGCCGCACGGATAGGTAAACACAATGCCGCTGCCGCACGAGAAGCCGAGGCAGAAGCTGTGAGACGGAAAGTCGCTGCGAAGCGCGAGGCGGCCAACGGGGCAGTTGATGGAGAAGAGAATGCTACAGCAGAGACAGAGGCCGAACTCGAGCGGATCAACAACACGGTTGCGCAGACTAGAGCGCAGATGGGCATGTCCTTCCCCGATGCAAACTTGCTTCGTGTGGGCGCATTGGGACAGCTACAACTGTATCAGGAGAGACAAGCGGCCGCGGGTGGAAACACACAAGATGCGTTGGACCGAGAGGTTGAGAGGCTCGTTCGGGAAACTGAAAATATTGCGGAGGCGGTGGTTGAACCCGCCGAAAACACCGCAACCGAAGAAGGACTGGGCTGGACCAGTCCAGAATTGGCGAGGCGGACGTTGCCTGGATCTTCAGGTCAAGCAGGGCCGGCTCATGGATCAAGTCAGGCATCAATGTCACAACAAGCAAAGCGACCAGGGGGTGAAGCGCCGCCAAAGCGGAAAGTTGCTCTGGATTTCCCTGGCAGCGACGACGACGAGGACGACGACGATTGAACTCTTGAAGATGATACAGATACATTAGGTTGTTCTGGATATAATAGCATCATCTCAATGCCCAAAAACAAGTCTGGGCCATGAACCGGTACAATTGTAAAACCTTCACAGCCGTCGCTCGTAGTGGTTTTGGTGGTGCTTCGTATCTCGTTGTCGCTCTCGGACACAAGGCAAAACGTTCTAGCCAGGCCCCGAAGCGATACGATGGTCAATATGTGTGTGTGTGTGTGTGTGTGTGTGTGTGTGTGTGTGTGTGTGTAAGCCTGTTCTCGTCGTGCATCGTCTGGGCCGACACCTCGATCTTACTCTTTGCTGGAAGAGGCGTTGGCCGTTGCGGGAGATACTGTAAGAGTCTACTGTACTACCGTGCAAAGTATTTTTACACAGCCTCGATCATCCGTGCCGTGCACTATTTATGGCGCCTTCATTCGTCATCTACTCGCCATGATTCGCTTATCGCCTGGGTCCAAGCCGGGCGGAATCCATCCGAGGACACGAGCCGTGGTACAATATGTGTAATGGATGCCTCGGTGAGCCTGACATGCTTGTGTGGCTTAGATAATTCATACGAATACGACTTGTTTGGTGAGTACGACATTTCCTACAGACAGCACGACTCGAGACATCTGAAGTCTGGAATCTGGATCATCTTCTCAGAGTCGATATCACCAAGAGGAAAGAAAAAATCAATCACCGACGTCGTTAAGCCTTGGGGAATAAACACCGCCCACAGACTTTGGCTGGCCTTATTCCGTCTCTTTCATCGGAGCTTGTGGCGAGAGGCTTTCACCCAGCCGGGCGATCAAGATGGTGTATGAGGGTGGCCCTTCTCGAGGCTGTGATACATGTGAGTTATCGCCAGCTAAGACTCCTAAACAACGTCTTCCCATTCTAACGTTGCTGTCGCATTCAAGGTCGAGCGCGAAAGGTCAAGGTACAATTTAGATCTCTCTCATTTTTTTTTGGAGACGGCATAAATGCTTTCGTGACATGAAATCCAACTCCGATCCGTTACTAACACAAGGTACAACAGTGCACAGAAGAAAGGCCCTTTTGCACCCGATGCCAACGTGGCGGATTTCTCTGCCTGGGGTACCAGAGACGGTCACGGGCGGCGCTGAAGAAGGAGACCTACAAGCTTCATCGTCCAAGTTCGTCGTCCACGTCTGATACCAGCTCTTCTATCACGGAGTCGCCGACCATCCTGAGTCCGACAACTCTGTTCTTGGAGCCGTCCCTGGAAAGTAGATCGACGTCCTTCTTCATGGATCAGTTTGTCGTCGCCCCCGAGACCGGCCAGAACGTCGGCTGGTTCGAGTTCTTGCCGGAACTCCTCTCTCGCGCAGAACCATCCTCGGCCCTGGACGTGGCGTTTCGAGGATGCTCCTACCTGTCGCTGGCCAACCGTCAGGACCACGAGAGTCTCCGGTATGCAGCTTTGAACCTGTACGGAAAAGCACTGCGGTCGACGAATGACGAGTTGCAAAGTCCGGAGACAGCGACCAGTGACACCACCTTCGCCGCCATATTGCTGTTATGTTTGTTTGGCGTGAGTCGATGTCCATCGTGATTCAAGATCTCCGTGGTTGACGTTGAAACTAATTGATTCGTGGGTTAAGCACATAAATGGCGACTTGAGAATGCAGATCGGTGCGCATGCACTCGGCATGTACAAACTGCTCGAAATGCGAGCCAGGTCCGGTGTCCAGAGTGCCCATACACTGTCTCTGACTCGACACTTCTTTGCACTAATGGTGAGTGTACAATGTTCCTCCTCCTTGCCCAGCTTTAAGCTAAACACACGACCCTGGTAGCATTTGGAGAACAATGAGAAACTGCTTGCATCACCGGCAGGAGCAGCAGCAGCGGGAGGAGACGACGCTTCCAGTGAAGATTCACAAGCTGCAGCCTCCGACCTTTTCGCGCGCATGGGAATGCTGTGGCCCATCTCGGCCGCCCTCCTGACTCGGATGCGCATGTGGATGAGTGGCGACGATTCGACGAAAGACATCAAGACTCTTCTGCCACTCCTGCAGAATATAATGAAGCTGGAAAAACAGGTGCAATTGGCTGTCCACGGCCTGGATCCCATGTGGTACTACACCACAATTCCCGCCCGCGACGCCCCTCCGAAGTCGAGATGGAATGCGACCTTCCGCAAAGCGTTGGTGTACCACGACTCTTGGATCATGAGCATGTGGCATGCTTACCGGATCACTCGGATATCCTTGCGCACGACAATGGTTGCGTGTTACGATCTGATTCTGGACACTGGAGAATCCAATACGATAAACCTGTTCGATGACGACCTGGAAGAACTAAAGGCTCGATCACTCTCGACAATTGACGCGTTGAACGAGGACATATGTACGAGTATCCCGTGGACGCTGGGTCAAGTGGAAGCGGAGTTCGACGAACGGAGCCCGGAACCTAGTCTTCCAAAGGCGTCTCGGGCGTCTTTGAGTATTGTCGGATTGAAGACGGTGGCGAACGGTCGATATACCCGTCAGCACCATTCAGATCAAGCGAGGAATGCCTTGTGGGATATCGCATATCGATTCGGTATCAAAGGGGCTTTATGACACGACTGATTTCTGGTTGACATGCCATTATTTGTTAACATCGCGACAGGATTATCGAAGGGAGCTTCACAGCTCCGCATGAGGTTGATGTCTATGCTAGTAAAATAACAAAATTCCAACGCACTGACTGAGAGCCCAAAAGGCCAGACCGAGAATTGGCCATCTTTATCAATCACTCCTTCAAAGAATTCTTGAAATAATCACCATCCCCCTTTCCCCAGGGATACCTCTCTTCGACCTGTCGGATCAATTTCTCACGCTGAGCGTCCCGTGGCTCAAACTTCGCTTCAAACGGTTCCGGGTGGCTGATGATCCCTCCCAAAAACTTGGGGCTGCTGACCACGTCATCAGCATCCTCACCCTCAACCTTAGGCGGCCTGGATATATCAAAGACCGCCAGCATCTGTGCCACGTTAAGCCACATCGACTGATCGGCCAAGACGCGACCAGGACAGATTCTCCGACCGAACCCAAACACGTATCTGGCGGGATCCTGTTCTGGGGTGGGGTGACTCTCGGTTTCCAAGAAGCGGTCGGGATTGAAGCGCATCGGATCTCTGTAGACCTCCGGGTCATGCATGAACAGCCAGATGTTCGGCATGAGGATGGACCCCTTTGGAATATGGTATCCGTTGAACTCGTCGTCCCGACTCGAAGCGTGCGGGACCCCCATCGCCCCTATCGGGTGCCACCTCATGGTTTCCTTGAGTATGGCTTCAACGTAAGGAAGGTTTGCACGGTCACCAAAAGTCGGCAGTCTGTGGTCTCCAACCACGCGGTCGATCTCTTCCTGAGCTCGCTTCTGAACCTCCGGATACAAAGTCATAGCCAGGTAAAAGACCGAGAGGGAGGCTACCGTCGTATCAGCGCCCCCCGTGTACAGTGAGGCGGACGTGTATTTAACTTCGACCCGTTGCTGGGGGCTGAGCTTCTCGTCCTTGAGAAAGTCGCCTAGGTACGACTCCGGCGCCGTCCCGTTCGAGACCTGGTCTTGGACGAATCGGTATGGTTCCTCCACCACCCGCTGAACAGTCTGTTCCCATTGCTTCGCTGTCCGCTTGAACCCGGCACCGGGCAACCATTCAGGAATGTATTTGAGGGCAGGGACAACGTCCACCAACCATCGACCAGGCACGGTCGCCTTGGAGAACTGGTCGAGGGCTTCATCGGCCAGAGTAACCAGAGGATCGGCACGATGCGGCTCGATGTTATAGCCGTAGGCGATTCTCAGGATAATTGCTCCGGCTTCGGTGCGAATGTGGTCCACGAAGTCCTCGGGCCTCTGTAGAATCCTGAGAAGACTACGGCCGACTTCTTGTTCCTGCAACTGTCCGAACTTGTCGAGGAGATGGCTTGAGCCCATGAGGACATGGACATGCTTCCGGTACGCCCGAAACCGTTCACCGTACGGTTGGCTGGAGAGGAAGTTGAGCCAGCCGCACATCTCAAACGCGAAGACGAGCCTCGGGCGCGACGAGTAGATGGCGGACCTCTTCTCGAGAAGCTCAATCGCCGCCTGTGCGTCGTTCAAGATGACCATCGTCTGACCCATGACGGAAACCGAGCTGACGGGTCCGTACAAGTCCTTGTGCTTGGACCAATGTGCCCATTCTTGCACGCCGGCTGGTGGAAGGTCCTGAAGGTTGCCGATGAGTGGTTTTGGCTTGGGTCCCGGAGGCAGGGGCAGAGGCCGGTTCGCGCTGCTACGTGACCGTGCCAGGAAGAGACGCAGAACGAAGTAGGCAACGGCGGCCACTGCCACTCCGGCCTTGAGCGAGTAGGAAGCCATGGGTTTTTGGTCCTTTGCGTTTTAGCTAACGTCAGAGTATTCGGGGTGTAAAAAAGAGCGACCGCTGTTCGGAAAGCCAAGGAAGCACACGATGCTTCGTCTTAAGAATCATATGCTAGCATGCCCTGACGGGATTATTCATTGTAACAGGTCACATCGAGTGCTGGAGACAAGCATCACGCAATCCACTTCGGGTCGACTCGCTGATCAGGGTCCCCAAACCCACCATCCGTGAGTTTTGTATGCCAGCGCATCTTAGCTCGGTGTTTCGTTCGTAACAAGCGAGGTCGTTATCAGCACGCTGCACCCGGGCGTCGGTTTGGTATTGGGTACGACAGGACGTTACACTCCAGCTTCCATAAACAACAATAGCGTAGAGCTTATGTCACCACAACCCACACCGACGAGAGTGACGCGTCTGAGAAATCGGTGTTTGCAGGCACCTGGAAGGGCATTTTCCCCGTCGTGACGGACGAACTCCGCAGGGTATGCTGTACGACGGCTTCAATGGGTACGCAGATACGCCCACTGTGGACAGCAGATTTGTCTATGATATCAGGGGGTGGAAAATGGCAACTACTTGTACGAGCAAAGTGTAGGTAATCAACTACTATGCTGTGTCGATAATTTTACCTGGCCATGTCACTGTCAAAGGACACCGCATAAGCACTAACTAGTTAGTCAATGCGGTGACATCGAAGGGGGGAGCAACGTTTACCCTCCGTGGCCTTTGTCTCGGACTGTACATACAGCTCCTCCGTACAAGGTCCACTCAGCCTCTCGCCGATTTTGATCTCCGTCAACATGCGTCATAAAGCAAAAGCACATGGGATATTGGCTTTGATTATTCATGCGGTTGAACGCAGGCACTTCTCCCTTACGATTCGATCAGATATACCCGATCGCCTGTGAATTCAGTAACAACCACGATGAGTTCCATGTTGTCGTCGAGTCATGGCAGGGCAGAAGAACATTTCTCAAGTTCTAGATTCCGCTATACTATCTGGCATTGCCCGGCTTGTTTAAGTGCCCTTACACACACTCTCTCATCCGCGACAGAAACAGACAGACGAGAGCATCCTGTTAGCAACCTTTTCTCATGGTGATAGACTTCTCCGTCATTCGAAGATGATATCACCGGCTTCCTTACGCAAGGCCATTAATTCGACGAGTCTTGTGCCTCCGTAATTCCCGTCGATGTCGTCTCCCAAGTCAACGGCGCCTTCTGGAACAATTGCAAACGAACGACCTGGGTTCATCGTTCATCGGTCAGTCTGAGTGAGGCCGGGGTGCACACGACCGGGGTAGGCTATCGGGACCAAAACTCACCACGAATAGTGTCGTCCACCGCAATCGTCGTCAATGCCTGCGTCAACACTTCGTGTTCCACCACCGTGATGCCCTTCCCGTGTACGATACCGAGCTCCGCAATACCTTCAAGCATTGCCTCGGTCATAGGCGTCCTCATGGCCCATGGTGCAATGGCGTTGACACGCACGTGGAATTGATCGTACGCCTTGGCCCGGATGGTGCGGAAGAGCCCCCGACTGCCGAACTTGGACGCCGAGTAGGTCACATTGTGGTCCTCGTCAATGTACCCGGACAAAGAAGCCACGATCGTAAGTGATTTTGTGATGGTTGAGACGGGGACGGTGCCATCGGGGGCCTTGAGGCGAAAATAGTGCAAGGCGAGGATTGATGTAAAATATGCGCCTTTCAGGTTGACATCGATAGGGGCAACACTGGGAACGGCCGGAGGTTGGCCGTCCACACTGGCCTCGGTCTCCAAGATGTGTTCGAAGACGTTGATGTTCCCGTCGACTCCAGCAAAGGCTGCGACGACATCCAGTGTCCTTGTCGGAGAGAAGCGGAGCGCGGCCTGAAATGCGGCGACTTGAGAGCCCCAATCTGTCACATCGCACCGAACGAACTGCGCGGTGTGACCTTGCCGTGTCAATTCCGCGGCGAAAGAAGATCTATCTTGAAGATCAGCTATCGTAACAAGGGCACCCGACTGTGCGAAGAACGTGGCGGTGGATTTTCCAAGTCCGGAGGCAGCTCCAGTGATGAGCACAGAGGCTCCTTTGAGCTTCGAGGGATCGACTTGAGCAAGTGGTTTGACGACCATGATGGCGACTGGACAGGGGGGAATTTGTGCTGGCACTGAGCAAGTTCCAAGGCCCAGATCACCTCAAATACGTCGGGGCTGACAGGATATCTATATACTCACTTGCGGAGCCGTCCGCTGTCGTTCGGACTGGCTCGACCTCAGCTAGCTGGCGCATCCCGGCGGAGCAGCGTCTCTCTTTCTACAAATCAGCACAATTGGACTGCATTCTGGAACCTGGTCATGCCAGAACTTTGTGAGTTTGTGCAGGGATCGGATGCGGCACCGAATAGTCCAAAGTAACGGACTTGCGTATGGCTTGTTGCCAATCAGTGATGCCTGTGGCCTTGCTCCCTGCGCGTCTGAGGAGGTGAGCAGAGGCTACGTGCTGACTTTGTCAGATTCCTGATGTCTTTTTGCGGCTGAGATAGAGCTGCTCAGTCTATCTGTTGACAGTTTGCAAGACGGAAGCGAGATGGCGCTGTGCTAGTCTGTCTTGTCATTCACCGCTGGGTGCCTGATGCTGGACTTTAGTCGCGTGAGTCAGCAGCCAATGCCTTGGCCCATTTATAGCACTGATAAACAGACTGCAGGAGTGTGCGACTATACCAGATCTCCGACAAAGTTTGCCTTGCAAGGTTTGTACTAAGAGCCCTGCGAGGCTCACCCATTTCTATGTATCATGCAACCAACACCTAATCAGGCAATTGCGCAAGGCTGTGCAAGGCTGCGTGCGAACTCGACGTGCTCATTTGGACGCTAATCACTGACACACTCCCTTGAACTTCTGGGTAAAGGGGGTGCCTTTGAGAGGTGACTTCTAGTTAAGGGGAGAGTCTGTGAAAGGGTACTTTTACGTCAATGTGCCTATAAGGTGTTGATTCTAATTAATCATGACGTCTGTGAGGGTTTGATTTCTAGTCAAAGACGGACGCCTAAGGGGCCTTTGATGTTAGTTGAAGGTGATGTCTGTTCGGGGTCGCGGCACTAACTAAGTTAAATCTCAACGCCTATTACAATTACCCGAAGCGAATAGGTGTTCCCGAACAAAAGTACACAGTGCCGGGATGTTGTGCCCACGTAAGACCTACTAATGTCAAGACACAAGACGCCTGCGATTCAGCTGCCAAGTCCATGCCGACAGTATCATCAGCATGTATCCCAGACTCGGGTATAATGCCACGACAAGTCCAGAAGTGGAAGCTCCTGGGCAGCACACAAAATGTTGGTGATCCCTCCACGCATGGTATACGAACATGCGGCGTTCAGCGCAGCTGGCGGCGGGCATAGGCGAATGTTCTCCACCAAGGTTGATCCCGCAGACTTGGGTGGTCGACGGCATTATTTACAATCTCGACTCGAATATGGGTTGTTGTCGCATCTCTTTCAACGTTGCTTGGAAGCGTAGCGTGATACGATAGCATGGACCGGTTTGTGGCCGAGACTGACGCTTACCGCCAACATTCTGTGCAGGACCTCCTCAGCCTCCAGGGCAAGACGGCAGTCATCACAGGTAAGGCAGTGTGTACAGGGAGACCCCGAGTTGGCCAACCAGTGTTTTTCGTTAACGTCTATGTCGCAGGGGGTGCTCGCGGACTCGGGTTGGCCATCGCTCGTGGCTGTGCAGAACTGGGAGCCAACGTTGCTGCCCTCGATGTGCTGAAGGAGCCCTCTGCAGAATTCTCAAACTTGACCAGCGACCTCGATGTGACGGCCAAGTACTACAGGTCTGTTACGCCGCATACAGACAGACCAAATAGTCGCAGGGTTAATCGATTGACCATAGTGTGGATGTTACGGACGATCACGCCCTGCGAGCGACGTTCGAAGCCATCGCCGCCGAATTTGGGAGCATCGACTGTCTGGTCACGGCAGCAGGGGTCGGGCAGGGAGGCCCTCTTGTCGACTACGAAAAGTCGGTTATTGACAGGATCATTTCTATCAATGTAGGTCCCGAATTCCTGGCCGGTCCTTACCATGTCTGGACTGCGCGTATCTGACCTGATGTGGTCAGGTTACGGGAACGATCCTCAGTTCTCAGTTGGCGGTTCGGCAGATGATGAAGCAGGGCGGTGGTGGCGCGATAGTGCACGTGTCGTCAATAGGTGGCCACGCAGGTATCCCAGGGCAGACCAACTCCATCTACTGCGCGTCAAAGGGCGCCATACTGGCCTTTACAAAGTCGTTGGCCGTCGAGCTCGCCGAGAGTAACATTCGAGTGAACAGCATCAGTCCCGGGTTCTTCTTGACGAGCATGACGCCGGGCTACCTCAAGCAGGACCTTGCGCTCTTGGAAAAGTTTGAGAAGTCGATGCCCATGAAGAGATTCGCAGATAGGTCTGAGTTGAAGAGCACAGTCGCGTTTTTGTTGAGTCCCGGGAGTTCATACATTACCGGACAGGACATAGCGGTGGATGGCGGGATATTGGCGTGGTAGTTAGATCTGTGCCGAAGCTGCAACTCCAACATCTGAAAATCCCAAGGTCGCCATTGAAATGATGAAGAAGATCAACCGCGTCAAGACAGAAGAAAGGCTCTTGGTGAGTTATAGATATACTCATCCATGCCAGGACTCGTCGTACTCGTACAAGCTATTCCGCGGCCGTAAGTTTCTCCGGCCCCGGAACTTGGACGGCGTCGGTCTTTACGGATCAAAGATTTTCCCAAAACAGCGACAGCAAACGCCTTTGACGGGTTTGCCGGAACATCCCGTAAAGTCCGTTGACTCTTGCGCCGAGATGTGGTATGAGTGCTCGTACTTCACCCTAGGAATCTTCCACAAAGGACGTCACTTCTACGGAGAATCACTGGGTCTCTCGGGGAACAGCGCCCTGTTCAAACAGCAAACGCCGCGCGAGGGAAAATGGTTCATCCAAGCTTCAAGATTTCTACCATGATCGACGTTGCGCTTTTCAAGATGAGGAAACACAGTAAGTCCGGGTGTGGTGTTGATTCCCAAGGCGAGGAAGCCTTCCATGTCCGAAAAGAACAGCTATATAAGGTGAGGACGAACATGTCTCTCATAGTCAAACTCACGAACTGTGCAAATCGACCTTGACATACCAGAACTTTCACGAAAGCCGATCAAAGCTTTTGTTTTCGATTGCGTTAAACTACAACTACAAGTCGAGATCCCAAGCCCAAATTTGAGCGCGACCAGCAACAGCAACAGCAACACCGCCAGACACACCACACCGTGTCTCCGTCAACCGACATGTCTACAGCCGTGCTCTCCGGCAAGGTCGCCCTCGTCACCGGCGGCAGCAAAGGCATCGGCGCCTGCGTTGCGATGGCCCTCTCCCAGCTCGGGGCCAAAGTCGTGATCAGCTACGGGAGCGACGCGTCGGCGGCGGACTCGACGGTCTCCAAGCTCGGGGGTCCCGACAACGCCCTCGCCGTGCGGGCGGACGCCGGCAGCGTCGCGGGGATCGAGTCGCTGGTCAGCGCGACGGTGGGGAAGTTCGGCAAGATCGACATCCTGATCCCCAACGCGGGCGTGCCGGAAATGAAGACGGTGTCGACGACGAGCGAAGCCGACTTTGACCGCTCCTTCAACCTGAACGTCAAGGGCCCGTACTTCCTCGTGCAAAAGGCGCTTCCGCACATGCCTCGCGGGAGCAGCGTCGTGCTCATCTCCACGACCCAGACGGCCGCGTCGACCGTCACGGCGCCGTACACCCTGTACTGCGCGACGAAGGGCGCCGTAGAGCAGATGGGCCGCACGATGAGCAAGGACCTCCTGGCCACGAAGGGGATCAACGTCAACGTCGTCTCGCCCGGTCCGACGGGGACGGAGTTGTTCTACCGGGGCAAGTCCGACCAGGTGCTCCGGATGATCGCGGGCCTGAACCCCAACAACCGCATCGGTACGCCCGAAGAGGTCGCCGACGCCGTCGTGTTCTTGTGCCGTCCCGAGGCCAGGTGGATCTCGGGTCAAAACATCAGGGTCAACGGTGGCCAGGCATAGAACAGACACTGATGCTCACCGTCACTGGACGGTTGGTGGATGCAATCAACGTGCCACACGTGAAGATCCGTACACGATCCGGGTGATGCGAGAGCTGTGAAATGGCAGAAACTGGTGAACGAAAATCCCGACCGCGGGCGCCACGACAGGAACAAAACGAGTGGATATCAAGCGAGATGGATGCAAGAGCGTTAAAATTACGACCAACAATGAAGCAAGCCGTTTGACTCTGATCTAATAAAAACTACATTCATACCTACATGGGATACATTCCAAGGCTGAACATATGCCTGTAGATACGACGAGCAGATATGGCCATGGCTCTTCGTCTATAAATAAGATAAGATTCCTTCGATTCGTCCACACACGGACCGGCAATATTGCTCAAATCAACGGATGAACCCCTAGAAGATTCGTTCAAGACTTCATGCACTTCACGCCGCATCACAATAAGTCCATTGATACGGGTCGGAGCCTACCCACGAGTCGAGTCATAGCCACACATTCGGGCCCCGACTCAACGTTTTGCGGCCTTCTTCAGCAGCTTCTCCTTGATCTTCGCGACCTGCGCCTTCTTCTCTTCCTCGTACTGCTTCTGGAGCTCCTCCTCCAGCTTTCGTCTCTCGTCCTCTCTTTGTGCATTCCGATCCGGCGGCACGCTCATGTACGGATAGGCACTTGGGGGGCCGCCGTCAGGACAGGGCTCGACGCCGACTCGCAACATGGCATCCCACTCACCACCTCGGCTGCCGTCTCGAGCACCATGTCTGCTGTCGGCACGAGGTAGTCTGTCAACAATGTAGAATGTCTCCTGAAACGTCTGGAGCCCGTTATCATAGTGCCAGCGGAGCGAGATAGTCGACGCGGAAGTGTACGTGCGGCCTGTATGATCCAACAAGATGACTGGCTGACATCGCCTGACTACGCCTGATGTAGCCAGCGCCTTTGCTTCGCAGATCAAGCTTTTCTGAAGGGTGCCGTCGTAAAGTGTATTGGCCAGCTTGACGACATGCTCCTGGTCATCTGCAATAACGGAAATACGGACACTTGTGTTGGATGCCTGGACGTGTTCACACCACCAATTAGCCACCAATAGAGATTACATGCAAATGAACCGGTACCCCTGGCAACAGAAAAAAGTCCAACAGGGGACGACAGGGAAAACCACCTCGACCACGGGGGACGCATCGAGGAATGAGGAGATCAGGGGGTTAGAGACGCACCATCCTTGACACTGAACCAGCTTGTGATTGATGGAACAATTGTGGCCGACGGCTCTGCCAGGAATGATAAGACGCATCAAGCTGACGATTACTCTCTTGCATTATAGCATTCGGACTCACGCGCGTGCCATGAGGTGGAGACGGGCGACCGCGCCCCGTCGCCATTTCCGTGGAGGCGATTGAACGAGGCCCGGCAAAAGAAAGCCAGCCAAAGTGAAGCACAACACGGCACAAACACCAGCCTCGCCCCAACTCTGATCTTCTGACTGGGCAAGGCAGCCTTTTGTGCCCAAGGCCGAATTCAAATCTCTAGGAGCCGTACGTGCTGGCGGATTTGCATTGGAGGGTGGTTCTTCCTTTCATATATCCAGGTGGTGGAAGCTTCCGCAGCGATTAGCCATGCCCTCAATGGTACATCCTTGCCCGGAGCAACTTCTAAACGTCCCTCGATCGATGCTGCTTTCCGCTCCTCGTCAAGATCGGGAGTCACGTATACACCGAGGCGTATTTGTCAATCGATGTACTCGTACAAGCAACTCTGAGAGCGGCAGAGTGACCCAAGAAAGACTCTTGATAAGGTGGAACAGAGCTTTTATAGGTACGAGAGACAAGGAAAAGTCTATCGCTTTTGGCAGCCATGGTGGCTCAGGAAGTGAAACCATGACCAGATGACCACGCTATCCGCAGGAAGTCCCAAGAAACTCTTCAAGGGTTTCTGGAGGCATCAAAGCATTTTCACAACGTCGTGTAACAGAGTGCCCAAGAAAGGCGCCAATTGCGTGAACCGTTGGTAGAAACATCCCTCCCACCTAGCCTGATTCCAGATATCAACCACCTGTGTAACACACCCCCACATCATCTCGACTGTGACAAGTACCTGGAAGAAGATCTGTTTGTGTCTCGAATCATGTTGTACATTGAAGAAATTTCAGTTTCTCATAAGAGTGAGAGTCCGCGTTCGACGACAAGCTGGTTCGGCGCATAACCACGACTCAATTTACGATGTGCAAATTGCAAAGAAGCCGCCAATATGTCGCAATGGCTGGGCGCCGAATGCCGCCTAGACCCATGCTCCCAAAACGACTATTCTGGCCTTTTTCGGTTGTCTTCCACGAGAGTAACGAATTCGGACCAATTTTCCTCGATCCAAGGACGACCAATGATACAGTCAAATTTTGCAGGCGATGTGTTCCGAAGGATGTGAAATGATGCATGATGTTGATATGCGGAAGTTGTAAGAGAACTGGAAAGGCGGAAGTGCCAGTCCAAGAGAATGGTGCTTTCTAGCTCGCTATATCCGCCCAGGGAGTGAACCAGGCCTTGAGAGGGCCTTCCCTCGACGTTGAGCTGGGAAAATGCCTCGTGAGAAATCAAGTTGAAGTCGGCTCCAGTGTCGAGGAGAGCACGTCTGGACGTGATGGAATGTTTGCGACCATCAACAAGTGTGTGTTCTGTTTCAACGTGGATGAACATGTCCAAAATGAAATGATTATGGCGTGGCCTTTTCCAATCCAACATGGCGACGTTCTGCGGGCAGATTGATGCAATACACCTGCCGGGACTCTCTTCCTGATCGGGGCATTTCTTGTGGACACGGCGGCGAGAATCGCTTCCTTGCATAATACATTTTTCGGGCACAGAGTTCGTGGCACTCCGAGCGCGAGTTCTTAAAGAGAACCTCTTCATGACTCCTGGTTGAGCAAGCCTTCGGCCAAACCCCAGCAGACAAATCGTCCCTTCTTGAAAGGCAACAGTCGGGAATCCCTAGACCCCTTGACCGGGCACTTCGCCTCTCAAACACCGCGGCTGAAACTGTGTAGGTTGTGAAGACGGCCCCGCAGATATTTGGACGGCTCCAAATGCTGGATCAACACCACGATGAGCACGCTCATCAAGGCGATCTTGTTGATTCTTATACATGGGAGGGTGACTGGACCTGTCAAAGTCTGTCAACACCATGCTTATTGGAAGTAAATACATGTCGCACAAAGTCGGCCTCGTCCTTCGAGCCAATGCAGCATGGCGGACTGTTGCAAACTCCTGCAAGCAGAGAGTGAACTATGCTTTCGTATCGTGATCCACAGCTGTGACTCTCCGATATTCTGAGACATGTGGAGAGAGGCATACAGGTTGATACTTTCGAGATACTTTCGGAGTGCACTCGGAAGCACCTCCCACTATCGTGTACTGGTATCACTGCAGGACAAAGAGTATTCCGTAAAGGTCGGCGCGCTGTGGTGCTTAGCCGATTCTGAGTGTTGCCAATGTTACAGTCGTGCGATTCAACCGAAGCGCGAGAACGAAATGAAGAATGTAGATAGATTACGGCGATAAATGTCAGGGGTTTGTGACTGCAACCTACAGAATTCGTTCTGTGAATGAGTCTGACTGGATAAGATACCACCGCTAACCACCATTGAATCGGATTCAATGCGAGACTGCAACCACTCTGCCAGCAATGTCAATCGACGTCAGTCCACAGATACGTTTAATGGTTGTTGCGACACCCGACACGTGTATCAGGCGGGAGTGGCGTTGATTTTCTCGCTCCTGCGCCAGAAAGTGTCTCTTTGATGGGCTGGGAGCAGACCAGGGGAAATTTGTGACAATCGAGAGATGGCGAGCGGTGATGGCCTGTGAACACGGAGCCATGCTAAAGGATGCTTCTTCCGCGTCCTCTGTTCAAGGGTCCTGACCCGCTGTCAAGTTCGGGTACCCGTGCAGCTCATTGTCACCATTGGTCGCCAGGAGTGTTTGAGTAGGACAAGGGCACGGCGTGCACCGCATATAAGCAGACAGCCGGCGGATTGTGCTCCCACCTGAACAGAACTCCTTGACTTTGTGATCTGTGAGAGAGGCTGTGACATGGGCGCCTGCCAAAATGACCGGCTATGGAGCTCTAGCATCGATGATGGCAAGCCATCAGAGCGCTGAAGCGTTCAGGAAATTCTCCAGTATGAACCTGGAAAACATTCTGCACATGCAAGCCGAATTACAACACCTAGAATTGATCATCAACGAGATTAGAAAGATCCCAGAGCTGAACAGCTTTGACCGAACGTGGATCGAATCCCCTGAACACATGTCAGAAGATGATGTACGGAATATCTTTGAGCGGTCAAGGACCCTGCTTAACCAGTATCGTAAGCCGCGCCAGTCCCGCCACTGACCGAGGAGCACGCTCTGACGCGCACAAAGATCGAACCCTTCTGCAGACCGCGAAAATCAACGCGATGCACGCCCCTCAAAAGGACGATCTGGACCTACGGAGGAAGTGGTACGACGAAGAAAGTGGTGGCAACCACTTCCTGTATGGGGTCGAGGCAGGTATTTTTCGTGACGAGACGATCGAAACCGATTTCATGACGTTGAAAGAGAACCTGGAAAGTCAAGATGCCTTGGCCAGATTCCTGGGTCGAAGAATCGTTCCACTGTATCATCGCACGGTCGGACACAGGATACACCGAACCATGGAAGAAAAGGCATTCGAACAAACGTGCTATTACACGCCCGAAACCTTGGTGCGGATTGGAAATACAATTTGCATGCTCCTCTCCGCAATCATACCAGCTCTGTCGATCATGGTCCTCTTCAGTGTACAGAGCATCGGAGGTAGATTGATAGCCATCAGCATGATGAGCCTCATATTTTCATTGGTGATGAACGTGATTGCTCAGAGACGAGCCGACGTATTTATGTCCACCACCGCGTTTGCTGCGGTCCTTGTGGTGTTTGTTGGGAGTGCGAATGTGATGAACGGTTGAGTAGGATGGTATAGCAGGAATTCTCCGACCCCCGCCATGCAGGATGACGCCTTCGGAACGGGGAGCACAATGTCCAGGCGGATACTAGGAGGTCAGTGCTACACGACCGCTTCTGTGTAAGTGTGAAGCCTCGTTGAGGTGATCATTTTGACTGCAAGTGCCGGGAAAAGCGACAGTGGACTGCTAGCAGACCGACTTCGGGGTAATCCAGCCCAATTTGAATTTGATCAGGACGCATCGAATAGAGAACAGGTGAGCCTGTTGACGAATGAAGACGAGGACGCACGTGCGATGCGAAGCTATTCGAGCCAAATCGCAAGTTAAAAAGTTTCACAGCTAAAAAAAATGAGACACAGGTTCGGTCAGAGGAACAGACTTCCGGATAACGATAATAGATTGACACTTCGTAGCCGTCGTAGCCGTTGTAGCCGTCTTGCGAAGCTGGTACGAGTAGTTAGTTGATCAGCGGGAGTCGGCAGGGACGAGCATGAACGAGAGTATGGACCTTGTTGGTCGTCTGTAAGGAGTGGAGAGGCTCAGGGTTCGGTTTGCTGACACTCGAAGACCCGAGGTGCGAGGTTTGAGGTTTCGGTCACGTTTCTGATCACGTGAGAGCCGGGCGCAGGCTGGGAAGGTGCGGATACGAGTACGAGAGAGATGAGGGGAAGCAGCGAGGGGCACGTGCGAACCCACTACTGCGCCGGAGATGTTGGGAGCTCCCTCGAACTACGCGTCTGGCCACTCCTTCTACGAGTATTGAGCCAAGCCACCGGAAGCATAGGCACCGTGGAAGCATGGATAACGCAAGATAATGGCTGATGCGACGTGACGGGAATGCAAGGGGAGCGAAGGGAGAAGGGCCAAGAGACAGAGAAGGAGACAGGAGTAGCGAGGGGGGGCAGGAGCTCGTCAGGCCAAAGCTCCCAGCTCCCAGCTCCGGTCACGACTTCCAGCTCCTGCTCCGCCCAACCTTCTCCCATGCTGAGGATCTGCCCGTCTCCCATTCTCCCTCTCCCTCTCCCTCTCCCTCTCTCCCTCCCTCGCCCTCTTCCTCTTGCCAGCCTCTCTACTCTCCCTCTCTCTCGCATTGACGGCCTTTCCCAATCCAGCGCTTTCTACTTCCCACTGACGCCAATAGCTTGGGCATGCTGACTTCCGGGCTCAAGCCCCCCGAACTGCCTGCTACATCGTCATGTCTCCTCTGCTCTCGCATCCGTTCTCTTACTCGCTGCTCTCGTCCTCCTCCTTGTAGCTCCCTCCTGTGCCTGTCTTTACTCCTGACTTTCCGCTAGTTTTGTCTGCCCCAGGGCCCTGACGTTGACTAGAAGCTCTTCCCAAGTGCCCCAATCCTGTCTCAGCCGTCCTGACGTTCTACCTCGACCTACCTATATCTCCTGTTTCTCCCTGACTTCTCCCTTCTCATCTCTCTCTGCTCGCTAGACCCCTAAACGCCCTCTTGACCCTACTTCTTCTGTCTCTTCCTAGTACACCCAGACTCGCTCTACACAAGCTGCGCCAAAATGCCTCGAAGAAGACGCCAGGAATCCGACGAGGAGGAAGAGGAAGAGGAGCTCCAGGCTCTTCCCAGTGATGAGGATGAAGAGGAAGAAGAGTAAGAAACCTTTGCTTGCTGATCTTCGGTTGATTCGTTTTGGTCGCCATGAAATTCCATCAAATGGCGCTCGATGCGCCTTGTTGCTACTGTCAATGTGACTGCGCCAGCCTCAATGACTGCACGCGTTGCTTTTCTCACCGAGTTCTTGTTTTGTTCGATCCAATGTCCGCTCGTTGCTTCCTTCACCTATGGCCATTGCGGCACAGACCGGGACAACGTTCCATTTCATGCTGACGTCAAAACGTGATAACAGATACGAAGATTCTGAACTCGACGACGAAGAAGAGGAAGAGGACGAAGAGGAAGAAGAGGACGGAGAAGGAGAAGATGAAGAAGAGGCCGAAGAACGTAAGCACTGGTGTTGTCCCTGGGGATTCAGGCAATGTTCGTCTAGCTGACTCAATCGTCAACACAACAGCACCTGCGAAGAAGCGCAAGGCTGATGCCGACGAATCCGAGCCTGCTACTAAGAAGAGCAAGACTGAAGAGAACGGCGCTGACGAGGAGGAAGATGCTGCAGGAGATGACGAAGATGAGCCAGAGCAAGAGGATGATGAGCCTGCAGTCAAGACAAAGGTCATCAAGGGCTCGGAGAGCAAGACAACCGCAGTCGAGGCAGAGGCGGAGACACTCGATGCTGAAGATTAGTTGCCTTGGACCATGGGCGGCTAATTTCAAGCTTCATCTTGGAAAAGTCTTCTTTGCAGATAGAGAAAACGGATGCCAGTTGGATTCGAAGCTGTCGGTGACACCCTCGAGTCCTTTCACCTTGCGTGTTCTTGTTGCATTCCACATGATTGTCTTCTTGTTTGTAACCCACGTAGTCTGATACACAAGTAGAGCCCAACAACGAACATGCCCAATGCAAACGTGTGCTGTCGCCAAGACTTTCGCCGACGATGTTACAGAAGCCTCACTGGATCGGCTGGAATCATATCGGATGTGTTGTTCATCAAGCAGCTTCATTCGTCCATCCATTGCGCGAGTCACACTTCCTGTCTGGGTCGGCTGCTGTGAGAGACTCGACTTATGATGGTCCGTCGCAAGAGTGGTGGCTTCTGTGCCGCTCATTTGAACCATCATTGCTCGGGTCGAAGGATGGCAGTCCTGTCCTGCGGAACTTGGCCGTGCCCCTCTGCAGCATATACATTAGACGCATGCTCAACGATGTTGCTGCCAATGAAAGATGTGCGGCGAATGCGGCCGCAGACTCCTCTCCAACCCTATACCATGGCCTGAAGTGGACTATTATACATACCTTTTTTGACTCTCCATCTTGCAATGAATGGCCTGATGATTCCCAATGGTTGTTGCAACGCTCCGACAACACATCCTCCCCGTAGGCTTGAGTCCAGTCAGTGCGATACAAGGCACCGCAAGGCACCACCATGGCTATATAGTCGGACGTGTGTTCGGCTCACGTCTTCTGATTAACTTCGGTTCTGCGCTGGGATACGTGACTGAAAGGACAAAGGCAACAATCAATCAAGCCCACATAATCAAAATGGCTACCTCCAAGGTCTGGTTCATCACCGGGTGTTCCTCTGGGTTCGGCAAGGCACTCGCCCTGGAGATCCTCGGACGCGGTGACAAAGTCCTCGCCTCGGCGCGCAATGCCACGAAGCTTGAAGCGCTCAAAGACGCCGGCGCCACGGTCTTCGGCTTGGACGTCACCTCTCCTCTCGGCGAGTTGAAAGGTCTGGTCGAATGGGCCAACAATCAGCACGGCAGGATCGACTACCTCGTCAACAATGCTGGCTACTGCCAGGTCGGGGGGCTGGAAGAACTCACGTAGGTGACCGTGATCCAGAAAAGCAAGCATCGGAACTCCCCCGAGCTCACGAACAGACAGTCCCGAAGAGACTGAGGCGCAGTTCACAACCAACGTCTTCGGCCCCTTGAACGTCACCCGCGCCGTCCTGCCTTATATGCGAGCCCGAAGGTCAGGGGTCATTGCCAATTTCTCCAGCATCGGCGCATGGCGCGGGACGCCGGCCGTCGGGGTCTACGAAGCCTCCAAGTGGGCGGTCAGTGGTATCACCGAAACACTGCGCCTCGAGCTCGCCGAGTTCAACATCAGAGTCTGCAGCATTGAGCCGGGCTACTTTCGGTCCGACCTTCTGGCCAGCGGCCACAAAAACCTCCACCAGCGCGTCATTGCAGACTACGATGGCACGGCAGTGCGGAGGACAGAAGAGAGGGTGGAAAGGACGAACCAGAACCAGCCTGGCGACCCGGCCAAGGGGGCCAAGGTCATCGTCGACGTCCTCACCGGCGTGGCTGGCAAAGGTGATGATATCCCTGTCAGAATTGCCCTCGGGGCGGACGCAAATAGGATCATCAAGGGCAAATGCGAGGAGACCATCGCGCTCCTGGATGCGTGGGTGGCAATCACTTCGACGACTGACTTTGATGAGCCGGCCAAGTGACGTGTTCGCGAACGGTTCCTCCTTGCATCACCATAGGCGTCTGGCAGAAGACAACCAGACAGACAAAATTCATCAAACCAGTCTTTCAGCTACCTGGCCAGATGCGTGGGTCGATTCCAGATACACGTTTGTCTCTTGAGGATGTACCGTACTGCTTAGTGCCAGTTGGAAATACAGCAACTACTTGGGGTCCCAGCCACACTACAAAAACAATGACAATACTGGCCCATGGAACACGAGCTATCAGAAACATCCATGGCCAAGTAGACTTGACCGTTGCTGCTAATTACATACATACATACCACGGAGTTTACTGGAGCCATCTTTGCGTGCCGTTCCGAAGACACTCCTCCTCTGTAGCCCTGTGCAGTCGGTCACTGTATGTACGTGATGAAGAAGGCGGTTCAGCCAATCACACCGTATCTCACCTCTTCCTCAATCGGGTTTGGATATCCATTCCTGACTAGCGCATCACATCACATCACATCACATCAACTCCCCGAAGTAATGCAGGCGAGAAAAGGGGGGCAGGGTGGGCACACGACGAAGGAGGCAGGCTAGTTCAGGTATGTAGGTAGTTAGCTAGCTGGGAGGGGGCCAATATCCGTATTCAACAAAACTCTTTTCTCGGTGGTTGACTTTTTACAAGTATTACCAGGGCCCAAAAGGAAGGTAGATCAGGTGTAGGTAGGCCGCCTTTTACGGAGTACTCGCTCGGCGCTCGCCTACCTTTTACCTACGGGAGCATGTACATACAATACCTTACATGTCGTATCCCGTAGCTATCTACTTCCTACTAGGTAGGTTACCTTCATGAACCCCTACTACCTACCCAGGTACACCTGGTTTACAAGACGATACTCGTAACTTTCGTAACTCGGCCCCCCTCTCCCCCCTCAGCACATGCCTAGTTATTAGACACATACCACATGCCCACGCGAAGATTCCCGTACGTCTGACCTGATTTGATATACGAGGTTGAACCTCTTGAACAGATAAGATACCCAAAAGTAACTAACCACCCATTCTGGACACATCACACCCGTTTTACCTATCCGGGAATACCTACCTACCTACCTACCTACCTACCTACCTACCTACCTTACTTATTACCTCGTATTCCAGACCGTGTCACGCACGCACGGGAAAAAAGGGGGCCGCTGAACTCGCAAGCCCCTCCTCGCAAGACACCCCTCGAAAGCAGACGAAGATGAGAGACTAATAGACGCAACCTATTCTTACCTACCTACCTACCTACCTACTCCGTACGGTAAGGTGCCTTCTTCGGGGAGAGGCTCACCCATACATACATAGGTACACAGCCTTTGACTTCTGCAGGACAGTAGTTAGTTGGTCGTACGATCTCGCGTGTCTCTCCAAAGGGGGGTTAAACTGGAACCCGTACCTAAAGGGCCACCCCCCACCCCCCCCCCCCCCCCGGTACCCCGGTTCGTGCAGTACTCCCTAGGTGGCGATTCCAGCGTACGGAATACTCAGTGCTCACCCAGCAACTCGGTCAGAGTCCAGGGGTTCGCTATTTCTATTCCTGTCCTCGAATGAATGCTTGCTTGCTCATTCTGGACGTTTCACAAAGGTCTATCTGACCGGCTGGAGTCTCCATCTTATTCCACAGCCTACGGATGTCGATGTCCCTGTATGCAAATTCCGTGCTGCGTCGTCATTCTCCATGCGACTCTGTGACCATGGCGTCCTTGCCTGTGATACGATACTCTGAAAAACCACGAGTACCTCGCTCTCCGAGGATCGAGGTTGAAGGGATTGAAATGTTATGCTTCCCGAGTCAGTCAATGGTCATTAGTTACCGAGAATAGATTTATCGCCCCCAGAACAAGATGGATTATTCGTAAATGGTCTATCATGAGCCGTCCCGCGCCATGCTATACCAGCCATCCCAAGAAACCCATGGACGAAACACTATTGATCCGTTTCAGTAAAGACAGGACAATCATGTGTCGATTTCACGCGAAAAAAAAACTCCCTCCTCCTTTGAATAAAATCGCGCTTTCATGTATACACAAAACTGTGCAATCGTGCTTCCCTTCCGTGTCTGTACATGTCCAAAACCAATACCCATAGATAATTCCATTGCTTTTGCATGGGGTTTTCCATTTCCATTTCATTTCCATTTCATTCATTCGTCTCTCTCGAAATCACGTTCGATACCGTTGTTGCCGGAAACCTTGCAATTCACAAGCTTACAGCCGACCCTGGTGGCTTTCAAAACTATCAACAAAAGTCCAGTCAATATCCCCCGAGTTGAGTCGGGGATGCGGATCGAGATTATAGCCCAGTAACGCCGTTCGAGCATGCGAGTCGACTTCGTTGCTTCCAAAGCTATGTTCGGACCCGACGGGAAATTGCTGACCAGGAAAAGCGGGGAGGAAGTCGTCCAACACCTGCGCTTGCTCAGAGTAGATACTACTTCTGATACCGGACTGCCAGGGCATCGGGGTAATGAAAGAGCCTGCCGCGTCAGGGTTAGAAAAGGTCGCATGGGCCAAGGCAGGGTTGGACAGGGCCTGGAAAGCTGTAGGTTGCGCCAGATCCATCTGGTGACTTGTAGGGGTCGGAATCGTAAATTTGGGCGGCGTCGAACCGTTGGAATAATTGGTCCTCGCTGCCTTTTGCCGATCGAGGACAGCCTTCATGCGCTTTCTTATGATGGCATTGCTTCTTTCCAGAGCTGGCATGGCGTTTGCCGTCTTTTGCAACACGTCCAGCAAAAATCCCAGCCCGTTCTTCTGTGCAGCCGTCGCTTGGTCCTCTCCAGGTTGATATTCTCGCTCGAACCGTAACACGGCGATCGTGGCTGCAATGTATGCGCTGTATGCGTTGAGATAAGACACATGTGATAGCCCAAACGTATTTGCCTGTAGCATGATCAAATCATGGATGGCCGCCGTGGCTTGTATGCACATCTGGTACGACCGAGAAGTACCAGGCGCGTTGATGTCTCGCGCTCCGAGGATGACTGGTCGATGCAGCAGGATGACTGTCGTATGGTACAGCAGATTCAGCGACATGATATGGACGGGCGGTGCCAGCGAGGGCATCTGATCCGGGTTTATTCTCAGGTGGGAAGGCAGAGAAATCAACCAGTCACGCAGGTCTCGCGATATTCTAACGAAAACTGCCTCATTTGCTGCTTTGGCTTCGGTCGAGCGCTCTTCCTCCTCCATTTCACGCCTGGCCGCTGCTTCGGGCGAATATATATTGTGCATTAGGTCGTTCAGGATGACACAGAGCCTGCACAGCTGCCGGAAACACGAAACGACGTATCCTGGACATGGTTGGTAGTTGGGCGCATTGGGAACATCTGGGCGAGGCGTTTCACCATAGTAAGGTGCCCAGAGCTCGTTGTCGCTGTAGTCGTCCATAAAATTCACAGGCACTTCCTCGGTGTTCGGCGTAAATCCAGGCATCCTACCGAGATAAAGAGAAAGGATCTTGTCCCAAGTGTAGCAACTCCAAAAAAGTCTCTTGCGGACTTCGATGTCTTCTGCGGTCAAGCTCTTCACGAATGATTGAAGTCTGTCGCTAGGCAAGTGAATCCCCATATCCAGGGCCATCCGGAAAGCAATGCCCGCGAATGTCCACGATTGCGAGGCGTTTCCGAACATCACTTCACGAGCTGACTGTTGCAGGAGCGCCTGTATCGTTGCAATGGTTGGCTTCTTTAATATGTCCATCCCCAAGCCGAAGCGGGCTTCATCAGTCATTCTTTGCATGAAATTTGCGGCGCTCATCGGACCTCCATTCGAACTCTGTCGACTCATCACGTCATGGTACTGGTTTTGATAGACATCATGGTTGAGGAATCTCGCACAATGTGCATGAATCACCTAGAAAAGTAAGTCAAAAGTCGCTCGGAATGTACAATTGGCCGAGTGCAATGCGCACCTTCAAAAGAGTTTCTGAGAAGTATGGAGGGTCTTGTGCTTCGGGCGTGTTCAAGTCTACCATGGCCATTCCCCTCGTGAACGCCGGTCTGTACACAATCAAGAACAGCGGATGTTGCCAGCACCAGTGGTATTTAAGCATCTCCTGAGAGATCTCTTTGGGAACATTGGCTTTAGCAGCACCATTGGCAATGGCAAATGGCTCAATCTGTTTCTGGTGATTGGCGTTTAAAATGAGATCTCTTCTTACACGTTGGTCCTCTTGGGGACTCCCGGCGACTTGTGGGTGTGGGTGTGAAGCCGGTATGGGCGAGCGATTGGGTTGCGTCGAGGGTGGCTGGTAGATGGGAGATGTCGAGTTGTGAAAGGCAACACTCCCGCAATCATCGATACTGATGTCTGTCTCCCATTTTACCTGCCGGTTGCGATATGCAAAATTACTCGAGGACTGCGAGCCTGCAGCTTCGCTTACTGGCGAAGTGCCAACCGGTTTCTTCTCGTCTTGGGCGCTCGCCTGAAATGTGTCAGCACGTCTTTTGTGGGAATGAGCTGCACCACTATCATCACCCACCCTTGATAACCAGGCTTGCGTTTTGGCTTGTCGCAGTTGCAATTTCAGCTCTTGGATTTCCTCTTCAAGAGACCTCACATACGCAAGCGACGGAGGCTTGTCGTAGTGGCAGTCGTCCTTATAGGCGATACACCTACCGACCATCAATACTGTGAGTACAAGGTGTTTCGAAGCGGTCACCTTACGTTGTACATTTTGGTGTTTTCCCATCGCACTTGGACTATCATGTAATCAGCCACTTCAGGCCGGGAGCGAAGTCGGCGGAAGGAAGGCGAGGCGCAACGTACCTTTCTCCTGCGACAACCGGCACATGTTGATTTACGATGTTTAGACTTTGGTTTCGGTTCGAGTTCTGGAGGCATGTTGACGGTTGAAGGGTTCTGCGACAAAGGAAAGGAAGGCGGCGTGGAGTTTACTATAGATTCACGAAATCTAATCAAGCCTTGTAGGCCCGGGCACCTTTTGATGGATCAGGACTTCTCCTCACAAACACTCCAAATCGGAGTCGTCAGCGGAGTGCTGGGGTCCCTGTACAGTAGCTCTACCAGGGCTTAGCCTTAGGGTGATTCAACACGGAGTGAGTGGGACTCAAATGCACTTTTGCTGGCGCCACAGGGTCTGGTCAAAAGCGCACAGCAGCAGCACCAAAGAGGATAAGTCGGCTGTACAGGAATAGCAAAGGATGAACATACTGGCTTTTCGAATATCTCATCGATCCGTCGCAAGCGTGGTTGGCGCGCGAGCAGCCCCGAGATAGGAGAGAGTTCACGACCAACCGTGGCAACCTCGTTACTGCAGCCGATATGCTAGGGACACGACAAGCTCGCAGGGCTCTAGCTCGAGGAATTTTCTAGTTGGTCTGACGAGGCCTTTTTGGTGAGACTCAAGCCTGGGCCATTAGCGCGATCGAGGGGTCAAGCATCAGAGAAATTTGGTGGACTGAGATGATCATCGATGGATGGGGGAAAGGCCACGATGCTTACGATATCGTCGTCTGGACGCACCCGTGGCCGGACCAGGATACTCACAGACTTAGACGGAGAGGCACTGGCCGGAGGATGCTGCACTTAGCTTGACGCTATGTTTGGGGACAGCTCGAAGAGGCTGTTCCTAACTGCCTCCGAGGGCAAGGGCATTGTGTGGAAGGGAGACACCGTCGAGGGCGATGATCGCAGGGGTTTGGAGAATCAGAGCGCTCACTGCGGTTCAATCGGGCAGGTGGTCCCCATCATAGTCGGCATCGTCGGTGGAGATAGCGATGGGCAAGGGAGGCCATGGGATATTATGGAGACCTGGAGGCCGGGAGCCCAGGGTGATCACTCGATCAGTTCCTGTAGAAACCCCTCGCAACAGCGGGTTTGGTTTTGGCCCCAGAATATGCGACAGATTCTTTTCTGATACGGATACAATATGGAGAGAGACGGTGGTGCTGGCGTCGCTAGCTGGGTGACGGACCAGCATCAGGACCTTTTACCGACGGAGACCGACCAACATCACTAGCTGGCAGTCTTGTACCCGTCCTCGTACATGGACACCCTCACAATGCTTACGAGGCTAAAGTCGAGGCTGTCCAATTAATCAACACCTTCATTCGTGTTGTGCTTCGCTGAACCCGCCTCTCGTCGCTTAGAGCGGATCCGCTGGCCTGGGAAGAAAATCGCCTTCTTTCACTTGAACGAATACGAGCCTCAGACGAATCAGCAGCGTCAGCTGGGCCCAACTATAGAACCCATCAGCACCTTGTTAGAAACAAGCATCGCCCACTTCCCTGCTGCCACGAGGAGACCAGTAAACGGCCCATGCACTGTATCAGGCTCAATCCAGCAACCAGGCCCCGGCCAAGTCTGGAGAATCCTGGTCGTTGGTTCCCTCGATTACTCTTCCAGGGGACTTCCACGTCTTCTGATTCGATGCCATGCTGCGTGGGCTGCAGACTAGGCCACTGGCAAAACGATTAAGCTCCTCAGGGTGGTACTGGGCCGGATATTCATTCAACAACGACAACAACAACACGAACCTGGCACGAGTTGCCGCGCATATCCGCTTGGAATAGCAACGGTACCTCCAAAGCCTTGCCGAACCATGCAGTCAGGCTCTTGGATGCAGGTGCAGTCTGCTGACGAGCAGACGTCCCGACCCGGCTCCCCCAGACCTTTCACCATATGAGTCATGTTCGAGCTGGTGACTACCAGCTTCGCGATCAATGGATAGAATATTCAACTGGTGCAGAGATATTGTCTTCCTAGCCTCAGAGCAAGCAGACACCGATGGATGCAACCTTTCGCCAGCCCAATTCCCATACTTGGCTGTCAGCGGCTTCGACACCACTTCTATAGTGGTGCATACTTGGGTCGGACGTGTCTGAGGCCATCAATCCACGCATGGTAACAAGAAGTAACGTCTTTACCCCAAGCATACATACCTATATACATCCCCTTGAACTAGTCTCGCAAGCTCTTCTCATCCCGAAAAGATTTCTGCAACACCATCCCCTTTCAACGACAACCACCACGCCCTGCACTATACGTCTGGGTTGTAGAAGGGGTGACCAAGGCCCTTCGGAGCTTCGCACCTGCTCCATGATCAACATTGGCTCTCTAGCCGAAACGCGGGATCTTGTAAGGATCGAAGCAGGGGTATAATGGCATGTTGCAGTGCCGTCGTGACTACCCATAGATGGCTAGCCACGCCGCGCCAACAGCCTCCTCCAAATGCGGTATATGTTAATGTTGCTGACAGCATGATCATCTGCTTGACGTCAGTCCTGCAGCTCAGCCTCGATGCTAATATTGGAATTTGTCATCCGAGTCAGCAAGCACCATGTCTGGGGAGACACGGGGAATACGACGTGGTGCTCTCGTGATAGCCTGATCAAACTGTCGTCAGAATGGCATGCCTGCGATGTCATCTCAATCCCTTGTCCAGCGAGGCGAGAGATTTCAAGCTTTAGGGAGCAAAGCTTGTTCTCAAGTTTCCACTGTCGGGCTCGATACAGACCTCTGGGTGGATTGCTTTTCTGATTTTCTCCCCCAGACCATTCATGAATGGAATGATTCACGTGTTGACCTCCTGTTCCAACAAAGAGTTCATTGACCAGCCTAGTAAACCTACAGGTATGGGTTCCGTCCGGACCTGCCCATTGGTCGTCGGGTTTCGTTTCCCGTCGCTAATAAATCAGCCCTTCCGCCCCCTGAGGACTGTTGCCAGGCATCTGTCCACTCTGCGATGTCAGGATACCATGTGTAAGATGTGAGAAAGAGCCTTGTCAATCGAGCCTCTTGCATCCCTTAGCGAGGGACTAGTAACTAGTTAGTCAACCTTTCGTTGCTTTAGACCACCTCCGTTCTCTTACATACACGTCCCCTCCAAACGCCAGGGCTAGCGACGGCACCATCGCTACAATAGTTCGCCAGTGTCGATTTCGCCGGTCGCTTTCATGCACATAATCAGCAATGATGCATCACTAGATTCCCTCGGTTGTGACTTTCAGACCGTCTAGTCTCTTGTTGACTCTGCGCTCTTCTCCGGTGAGTTCACGACAAATCGAGGACACCCGATCGATGATGGGCAGTGAGGATGATCGCCATGGGGAATTGACAGTCGACCAGGAGTTCAAGGTTGACGACCATCATCAATCGGTCGCTCCGAACCTTGGTATGGGTGATGAGCTGGCTCATCACGATAGTAGTAGTGCGGACCCGCAAGATCCCCTGAATTGGCCATTATGGCTCAAGGTATGTTGTCCTTTCAGATCGACGACACTCCCATCGCACAGACTGACGACGTCGAGATCACAATACTTGTGCAAACGTCGCTCCTCGCAGCCATAGGCGGCCTGAACACCGCCACAATCAACCCTGCGTACGGGCTACTTGCTGAACAATTCGGTATCAGCACCGTCAGAGCATCGTACCAGACGTAAGTCATCATCATAGGTCGCGGGTATCCTCGCAAAGGATGAGGCATTGACAATAAGGGGGGTTATCTAGCACAGTCTGCATTGCGCTCAATGGGGTCGCTCCCTGGGTCTGGATACCGCTGTCCAACAAATATGGCAGACGGCCAGTCTACCTTGGGACGACCTTCCTCGGATTCGCCTCCGCGCTGGGGTGCTCATATGCCCGGTCTTACGGACAGTTGATCGTGGCGAGAGTCTTCAATGGCTTCTTCCCGGTTGCCTTCGCCCTGGGAGCGGCCACTATCACGGACCTCTTCTCCTACGACCAGAGAGGCAGAGCCATGGGCTTCTTCACCGTCACCATGACCACGGGCAGTCATCTGGCGCCCATTGTCGGTGGACTGCTGGGGCATTATTGTGGATGGCGATGGATCTTCAAATTCGTCTCCATCGTCGACGCGGTGATGTTCGTCACGGCTTTTTTCTTCCTTCCTGAAACTCTCTACATCAGAGACGCACAGGCAGAGGTGTCTAACTCTAACTCTTCTTGCGGAGGCGGACGCCAGCCAGGTCGTCCACAATATACAATTTTCACCCGATCGGCCTACCTCCGGCATCTTCGACTGTATTCGAAATTTCCTCAACTGTCCCTGCGGCCAGGCCAATTCGTCATCCCGGCTCTGAAGATGGCCAAGTACCCATCCGTTCTGTTTCCCGCACTCTACTACGGAACCATGTACGGCTTCGCCTCGATTCTTCCCGCGGTGACGGTGGCGGCGATATTTACCCGATTCTTCCACTGGGAAACACTGGCCATCGGACTCACGTACGGCGCTTCTCTCACGATCGGTAGCATCCTCGGCGAATGCGTGTCCGGCTGGGTCGTGGACCACATCGTGAAGCGTGAGCGGAAACGGCTCCTCGGCCGGGACCCGGAACCGGAAGTCCGACTGAAGGCCATCTGGATGGGCGAAGTCGTCGTACCTGCTGGCCTCTTGATCTACGGGTTCTGCCTGCAGTACCGGACGGCCTGGATCGCACCGATCCTCGGCATGGGAATCTCGTGCTTCGGCCTCCAGATCATCACGACCACCACCTACACGTACGCGACCGATTGCTACAGGCGCGAGAGCAGCGAGGTGGCGCAGCTGTTCAATTTCGTCCGCCAGGAGATCGGTATGACCTTTGCCTTTTACGTCGTCAAGTTGGCCGACAGGATCGGGTACCAGTGGACGTTCCTCATGTTTGCGCTGATCGGCGGCGTGTTGGCTTTCATCCCGATGCTCTTTGTCGTATTGAGAGGCGAGGCGTGGAGGAAGAAGCTGGGAAATCCAGTGGGCGTGAACGCTTTCGACAGCATGTTTACGGCGGCGGCGGCGAACAAGCAGGATATCAGGGCAGAGAACGAGGAGGGTCAGAACCGCACAGAAGTCTGATTGACGATCGACCCCCCAAGGATATGCGTTTTGAATTTGAGTGTGTGATGATGATGTCCATACGTCTCTTGCTGCTACCCCAGATCTCCGGAGCTGCAAGGCTGAATTCAGATCCAACGAGATCCCCAGGCGACCCGATCGACCGGATCAGCCGTGTGGGCTGGAAGGCACTTGATGCTTCTTTGATGCACGTCACCCACGGCATGCGCCGCCTCACCGATCCGAGGTTCCCAGCCCAAGGGCCCGTGCCGAGTATGGGCATCAGATATGAAGCGAGCTGCAGTGCAACCTCATCTTTTTTTTGGCGGATTCAGTCACGATGATGTCTTGAACGGTCGGGCCGACCCCTGACCCTCCAAGCCATGGTCAGAGCGGCAAGACTCCGAGATGGGAAGGATGGGAAGAAGGGAGGGGGGGGGGCGGGTGTGGTTCGGAAAGGGGGACTTGCTTGGCCTCATCTTCGTCGTGTCCTTTTGGACCAACTAACTCCCTCCGCGCGGCATATCGCCGACCTGCCCCAGCACGACAGCGTGGTGGCTCGGTTCTAGGCTTCCGGAGGTGCCTGAGCACGACATGGCTAGGTGCAACATGTCAAGAGTAGGGCGTGGCCGGACCACTTACATATATTCACGTACCTTACGTACCCTTACGTTTCTGACCTACCTGACGCACCCGGCCACTCTCCACTCAAACCCGTGCACGAGGACGGGCTAACTACCCTACCTACTTTCTTGCTGCTGTATAAGCACGTCAACACCCTTGACGAACCCTGAGACCTTATATTCCAGTACGACTGAGGTGCGGAGTAGAAAGGGAGTGCATTGATACTAATACAAAGACTAACTCATACTTCCTGCTTAGACCCTGCGGAAGAGGGACATTGGTGCACTCTGTGTGCGATATCACCAAGGCTTTCAGGCACTCCATGTCTCAACAAACCTTAGCCTGTCTACCTATCCGAGACCCCCTTCCCAGGCGTCAATGAATCTTGCGTTACCACTGACAACCCTCATGCCTCCATTATGGCTCTCGCTGGCCTCTGACTCGAAGTTTTCTTCCCCGACACGGTCGGCATCAAGGTCATCTCTCCATGCATCTTGGAATGTTTCCGCCGCGGCCCGAAACCTCTCATCAGTACCGTCACCCTCAGGAGGATTGGCCGCGTCTGCTCTCCGAGTGAACATAGCTTCGTCCCTCATCCGCAGCCTTTGCAATCGGACGCCCTCGGCTCTGACACCTCGCAAGAGCTCTCGATTTCGACGTTCTCGCAGGCTGATGGCGCGGGCTGTCGGACTTTGCTCGCTCACTCCACGATCCCACCTGCCAGTGTCGCCAGCAGATACACTACCAGAACCAACAAGAAGCATGCCGGGAGGAGCAGTATAAGCTGCATCTTGTTCGGTGAGGAATGGGCCTCGTGCGAGATCTGCAGGGGTTTGTGGCTGGGAAACAGCTGGAAGAGAATCGTTGTATACCGAAAATCCACTGCCGTCAAGATATTGGTGCCTGACCCGGTGAGGCTCGGTACGAGGGTATGAGGCTGCGTTTCTGATCGGGGTTGGAGTAACAGGAAACTCTGGGGATGCTGACAATGCGTGGCTGAAAGATGAAGACTCGACTGGTGATGCATCTGGGACAGGAGGTGGTGAACTCGGCAGGTAGGTTGACGATCCGGTTACACCTGGGAGACGACTGCTTCTGAGTCCTTGATCTTGTTTCGAAGGAGATCTTATATCGGAGATATTTTCCGAACCGCCAAATGCTTCACTTGTACCTAGACCAGGGCTGTCAGGGAGGGTGTAAGTGTTGGCAATGGGAGGTAAGTCGATGGTAGAGTCACTCTTCCGGCCGGTGCTTTCAAGAGACAATCGCATCAATTTATCGGCGAGCGAATTCTTCTCTGGTATGTCACTGTCAGCTTCTTCGGGCTCAGGAGTTCGCCAAAAATGCGTCAAACTCCGCCTGCTGCTGTTCCTCGCGGCGGTGTGCTTTGGCGAGTCGACGACGCTTTCTGAGTTACCCTCAGGGCTTTGCTTCTCAGGCGAAGCAGCTCTGAAGAAGCGAAGGAGTGAGCTTTTGCGAGGTGCATGCCTATTGACTCGCATCGTTGGAACAGTGGTTTTTGGGGAAGGCGATCTGCTGTCTTCATGGTTTCCAGCCGCTTTGCATTCTTGGTATGCAACATCTTGAGCGTATGAGGACGACCCCGAGCCACAATCGGATGAAGCGGTCCTGTTGCTGGACACAACCTGCGGAACATCCTTCTCTTGATCCCCCTCATCCTGTGGACGTGGACTGACTTGACGAGAGGTGAGCTCAAATGTACTTGGGGCCGATATATTGAACTCTGTGCCAGGCAGACCATGTGCTTCTGCTTGAGCTTGACGATGGTCGTTGAGATAACGAGCGATATCATGTTTCTTGAAACCCTGCCTTAGTAAGCCATAATAAATATCAGCCTGCCGGAGGCCGAAATCAATATCAACGGCAGAAAGCGATATGCTGCTGGGCGGGAGGCGGATCATGGTGTTTTCTCACCCTTTCGAACTGCTACCCACAGCAATAATTTGTGAGACGAGAGAGCAGTAATATCGTCCTAGAGTGGTGATGGAAGCTGCTAACGCAGACAATTGTAATAGCAAGTCGCTAGCGATTAGAAAAGGCGCATGGTGCCTACCTCTCTCTTTCTCTTCAGACTGCTCACCTCGAGCAGACGCAAGGTCACATTTCTCTCGCGTTCACTGGCCTCTCCCATCCTCAGTTGCCATGTTCTCTTGACAATTGACGAACCACTCTTTGTTCAAAATGTGATATCTTTCACGGCTTTTACGTTCAAAGCAAAGACTGGTTCACCCATGCCATGCAATACCCACTGCCATACGTGGCACAGTCTCTTCAGTTCATCAAAAACTCCACAGCAATCTCGAGCACGACCGAAATGGAATAGTCCTCAACGGTGGACTGCTGGGGAAAGGCGAAAGCTATGCTTCAACGAGCCTCGAGGGCGATCTGGAGGCTTGCAAAAGTGTGAGGCCACAAGACAAAGACGCCTCTCCATCGGCAGCACAAGAGTACATCGACTATCGAGCGAAGTGGTTTTGCATCCTTGCAAACCCAAAAGGTCGGTGATGCCCAGGCGGTGGAGACGAGATGCGATCGGCAAGTCACAAAAGGTGGATCGAGAATTTGAGGGCGAGGATGAAACGGGTGCTCACCAAGGCTCGCCCAGACCACTATTTAGACTCCCATGGGGCTACAATAGGCTACACTTGACAGGCCACGGAGGGCCTGGGGCTGCTGCTCCTCCGGCTGCTGGGGGCTCCCTGGGCGTGAACTGCACCTAATGGGACTGGAACTGGAACCGCCATCGTAATTGCGCATGCGCCTGCGCCTGCGCCTGCACTGCAAGGGCGAGTACGGGCATCGACAGTCCTGTACGAGCTGCGAGACTAACCGCCATCTCTGCATTGGCATCATCGTCTCGCATACAGTATTCTGTTACAACCCAGCCAGCACAACACTTCCTCCCACTGCATCCCCAGCCTTCTTCTTGTCGGTTCTTTCTTTCCAAGAAGAAAAGGTCCTATACGCTCGCTATCTTCGATTGTCGACGACTTCCTTTGCGCCATTTCCGACGGCTTCTCTACTCCCTGAGACCCCATACCTAGGCGAGATCTTGAAACGAATCCGAGTTCGCTACGCATCCTGCACTATCCTTGGGTCGCCTCTGGACTACACCTTGACGACCTTGCTGCCTCAAAATCGCTCCGCCGGCCTCACTGCAGTAGCAATAATGAAGAGACGGACACGTACACTGTGATCGAGACATTCTTTCGAGGCCTGAAGCCGCACGTCATCGTTCACCACGTTGCTTTTCCAAGCCACGCCGCCCACGACTCCCAAGACCGCAGGCAAACATGGCTGACCTGTCTCTTGGTCCGCTGAGGATTGCGAACCCGGATGATGCTTCTCCTGATACTGCATTACAGCCTCAATCTACGCCGGCCACACTTCCAAACGTTTCTCCACTGAACGATGTCACCGGACGAGGCGACTACCTGTCAGCTGTGCCTCCCAGATCCGACAGCCCTGTTTCTCCGTTAGAGACGTCTCCGGACGGCCCATCGTCTCAAGTGACTACTGAGCTATCATCATCAGTCTCGTCTTCCACTGCACCATCGACCTTCGCCCCGAATAATCGCCCGGCGGACCGAACCGCACAGAGGTCGAATCTTCCCTACACATATCAAGATCAGCAACAAGCGCAGTTTCCTCAATACCCACCCAACTCGAATCGCCCTGGATCAACCTATTATACACAGATGCCTGTCAACGGTGCTGCCGGCAACGGGATCTCGAGACAAGGATCGTACAGGGTGCGAGGTGATGGAGCCGGCAATTCGGGCTTCCCTGTGAGGACCTCTTCAAAGAGATCGGGCATGGGAGAAGTGGCCGGTGTACCCTCAAGAGATGATTCTCATACAGAAAGAGCATATGGGCCAGGACAATATACGTCGGGCAATGCCCCTCTCCCACCACGAAAGGCTTCTCGAGGAATGGGCTCAACACGGCTGGGTTCCACTCCAGTCGGAAGCACACCGCTGTCTACCACTCCGGGGTCGATACATACGCCTCTTTCCGGGTCGCCGTACAATCTCGAAGATCGACCTTTGACCAGCGCGGCCGAAGACTGGCAAGAACGGGGGGCGGCTGTGGGCGTTAAGAAGGAATACGATGCCGATGGCCGGGTATCAATTAAGCCTGTCAAAAAGGGGGTAAAAGATTTCAATTTTGGGCGTACGTTAGGTGAAGGTTCTTACAGTACAGTGCTTGCGGCGACAGACCGGTCAACCGGCAAGGACTACGCAATCAAGGTACTCGACAAACGCCATATCATCAAAGAAAAGAAGGTCAAGTATGTCAACATCGAACGGGATACGCTAAATCGGTTGACGGATCATCCTGGTGTCGTCCGATTGTACTACACTTTCCAGGACGAGCGATCCCTATATTTCGTCCTTGACCTATGCCCCGGAGGTGAATTGCTCGGGGTACTAAAGCGAATGTCGACCTTTGACGAAGAGTGCACTCAATTTTATGGCGCACAGATTCTTGACACAATTGAATACATGCACAGCCGCGGCGTTATCCACCGAGACTTGAAGCCCGAAAATCTCTTGCTCGATGAGAACAAGCACATCAAGGTGACCGATTTTGGTACGGCCAAGCTGCTGTCGGAGAGAAAGGATCCCGAGGGACGAATCGACTTCGAACCTGATGCCACATCGGATGAGAACAGGGCGAACTCGTTTGTCGGCACTGCAGAATACGTGAGCCCTGAATTGTTGACGGATAAAAATGCCTGTAAGGCCAGCGATCTCTGGGCCTTTGGGTGTATCATATATCAGCTCCTGGCTGGTAGGCCACCATTCAAGGCTAGTAACGACTACCAAACCTTTCAGAAAATTGTCAACCTTGACTACGACTTCCCTCGAGGCTTCCCGGATCTTGCTCGGGATCTTGTAGAAAGACTACTGGTCTTGGATCCTCAGCGGCGTCTTTCGCTTGAACATGCGAAAAATCATCCCTTCTTCAACGGGATACAGTGGGGTCGAGGCCTGTGGCAGCAGAAAGCGCCGCGGTTGAAGGCTTACGTCCCTCCTCCACAGGCACCTATCAAGCTCAATGGTGGCGGTGCTGACCAGGAGAGCTACCCTGCTAATATAGCACCAGCACACAGCACACAATCGACCATGCTTCCTCCGAACAATCAGAAACCGCACCCACGTGTGATCACTGAGTTGCCGCCACCGAGCCAACTCGACATTGAATGGTCACCGGTCCTTACCAGGAACAATGAGAGAATCCTCAAGTTGGGCAATCTCTGTGTTGTGTCGACACCAAATCCTCATAGTCCCCACGGGGGCGAAGGAGGAAACAAATTGTCCAGGTTGTTTGGCAGCAGGGACACCAAGAAGCGACAAAGGCTTGTGATGGTGACATCAAGCGCTCGCATAATTATTGCAGCAGCTGGCGGCGAGGAGAAGAAATCCAAGTCAGAGATATCTTTGTTGTCCCCCGGCACAGAATTCTCCAGTGCGACAGACTCGAAGGGAATTACTCAGTGGATTGTCGATACGGTAAGCTCATTCACTCTCGCCACGCAGCCTCGTGACTAACCTGGTAAACAGAAGGACAGACACTATGTTTTCGAGGATCCAAAACCGCCTTCGAATGAACAAATGGCGACGGCCATATCAGCACAGGAGTGGCTTGACGCACTGGTAAGAGCCCGAGAGATTGCAATCTCTTTGCAAAACTCCAATAACACCTATGCCAATGACGATACCCTCAACTTGTCATCTTCCGGGCTATCCAGTCATGCAAGCACAATGGATAGGACGACAGACCTGAGTCTTCATTCGGTCACCCACGGGCACTCTGGTCGTATGATGCTTCACAAACAACTCTCTGGAGGCGATACCGAATCGCTCAAGGGCAGAAAGCGTTTCAGCAAACGGCAATCCAAGAGCGGGTTGACTGCGGTCTTCTGATGCGGCTTCAGCGTTTCATTTCACTTCTTGGACCATAGTCTTTAGCATAGCGTTGTCATTGTTGGTGTCGGTCAGTAGGCGTGGCGCTTTTGTGGACATGAGAGGGATATGTGTAGTGGCCGTTCACTCAGCTTCAGTCTCTCGAGGATGCATTGAATTGTGTGAGAGCATTGAAGAGTCGTCTTCAGCATTAAAATCTAGACAGGATACACTGGCCTGAGGATTCATCAAAGTCACATAGCAATGTGGATTTACGCCTCAGCTTTGCTTTGTCTCGATGGGGATTGACTGGACTCTTAATTATTAGTGAACTCTTCGTTGCCCATTCACTTGATAGTAATTGCCGAGTGCTCCTTTAGTGCCCTATGGCTTCTGCGAATGACAAGTCGATATTTGTGAAATACACCCTGGTTGTCGGTGTGCCTTGGTTCAGCGCTGCGAACGAGTGGCCGCGGTGCTTTGGCCCTGCATACGAGCCCTATCCCTAAGTGGCATGAATCGCCTGCATCCTCATTGCCACACTCGTCCCTCTGCGCCAGCCTCAGTCGACGAGCATCCGCCAGCCTGATTCTTTGACATGACGGAGGAGTAAGAATTCTCTCGAAAATCGTTACGGGGCGTCTTGACTCTGTAGCGCACATATCACTCGAGCTCGGTTGCACTCCAAGATTTGCAACATCGAAGGGCCTCAATCATCCACGATCGCGACGGTACAGGTACTCGCGCTGCCTCTGAAGAGCCCTTCCTCTCTCCGCGCTGTCTCGACGTCTTTCGCGCGCCTAGCACTTGGAATTACAAGGAGGGACAGTGTTACCCAGCGGCGTGTGACAGACAGAGGGAGGAGGATTCGGTCTAACATGTGCGCAACTTGGACAACATTCGGCGCAAGACCTATGCGTACACGAAGAACACGAGAAAGAAGACGGCATGATCTAGAAAACGTACATCGAACTTGACCTTCGGATTCCTGCACAAATGGTTTCACGTGCTGAAGTTGCGGAGCGGTCTCGAGGGCCTGCCTCCGTCGTTTCTCGAACGTCGCGATCTAGACATCACCATCGAAATAGATCTCACCATGGAGGCCAGACCCAGGCTCCTCTGAACGAGTTTCCTTTCTTCTCCCAGTCGGGAGACGTGGAGATTGTGATAGCGTGCGATGGACAAGAGAAGAAGTATCTATTACACAGTTTTACGCTTGCACAGTTTTCGAGATTCTTCGAAGCCAACACGCGTGAAGAATGGTCACGGACACCAGCTATTGCGCCTTCTTCACGACGAGAGCAGGCTCTCAGTGTAATTGGCGAAGAATCATCTCATCTCAGCTCTGCACGCAGTACCCAACAAGCCCGGCCGATCTCACCTCCTCGACAACGTTGGCGGTTTGAACTAGACTGGGAGAATCTAGAGGAAGATGAAGACGAACCCATCCTCGTCCAAAAAGCGCCTGAAGGAGCTTTGTATGCCACATCTCAACCACCCCCGCCACCGTACCAAGCTGAGCCGCAACGAAGACCACGCGTACAGCCTACCCATACGTCTTTCTTTAGATCCATGGCCAGTCTTGCCCTTCCTTCACACCATGGTGTGTCACAGTCAACAGCTCAGCTCCCTATGGCGGCAGATCCAGCATTGGCCAATCCTCTGTTGCGCGACTACGACAATCTTTTTCGAATCTTCTACAACTACCCTCCGCTCTTGAATGCAGCGAATATCGCGTCTGCCTACTCGGAATGCAAGGCTCTGCTCAGCTTGGCGGACATGTATGAAGCGTTGCCAGTTGTCGGGCCCCGGATTGACCATCATCTACTACGGTTTTCGAGCCGGCTGTTCAAGCAGATTGCGAAATACCCACCGTCATATCTGAAATTGGGCTATCTTGCACGGAGTCGCATAATCTTCTCCGAAGCGCTCACACATGTTGTTGGCCAGTGGCCCGCAGGACTGCCGTACATCAAATCTCCTGACCCGAACGGCAGCGGCTATGAAGTCCCGCAGTCCGTGATTGATCTGATCGAGGACAAAGTGGACGAACTCGAGGAGTTGAAGTTGCGCATTGAGACGAAATTGTTCAGATTGACGCTTACCACGAGCCGCGGGGAACGAGTCAATCCAGTGAACGACTACCTAGGCTGGCTGGCAATGAGCTTGTGGAGGCAATGGCTAGCCGAAAACACAACGCCTGAAGTCCGAGGCATTCTGAAAAACAGTCCGTCTTCGAGACCAGGGAGCGCGAACACGAATGTGAATGTTCCGTCGAGAGGGTCGGGAGGTAACGGTACCACGGCAGGAGGCGTACTGACTTTAGCCTCCCATCCACCACCTCCGGCCCCTGTGGCTGTAAACACAGGTCGAATATTCAGGATGATCGGCTCCACGAACCCAGATGCGTTCTTGCCACATGACGAATTGAAGCGGTTTCTCAAGATCCAGCCCCCGGGCCACTCTAGTAGCTCGGCAGTCTACACTCGAGACAACCTTAGACGGTTCGAGCGCAAGGTTGACGAAATCAAAAATGTCGCCAGGGACATTGTGAAGCCATTGACGAGGAATTGTTTGGAACTCGATATACGGAGTTTGAGTGACGGACAAGGTGGCGGGTTAGGATACTTGACTTGTATGAGGTGTGAAGAGGAAGACATCCCTTGGGGAGTGTAACGAGGGGATACGAAATGCCGTGCCATACGAGTACCCTGGTGTTCTGAGAGGGTCGCATGGATGCCCTCTGACGCTAGGAGGGACGGCGGTCCTCGACCAGGTACTAAGATGGTGGTTGTGGTTGTGCCTAATGTTACCCACGACGTTTCTACGACATGTAACGAATTTCGGCTTGCTACCTTTTCTTTTTGGACAATGCTCTTCTACAATTTTCTTATCCCATGATGGTTGAGGAGCAAAGCAGTACGTGGCCAATGAGTAGGAGAGGCATATGTTGAATGTATCGAGATATGACATTGAATACTTCTTTTCCGTCGTCGTTGTTGTTTCTGTTTCTGTTTTATTTTGCTTTCTTTTCTAGTTCTTTCTAGGGAGCGAGCCCTCGACTGCAACCGCACTCGTTCGTACTTACTCCTACCCACTCGTCCTCTGTACGCTTTCTACCATGCTGACGTCCATGTCCACACTTGTCACTGTACTCTCTGCACTGCACGGCGCCTTGTAAAACGAAGTCCGTACTAGGTAACTCCTCCGTACTACGGTACGGTGTGTACTCAACATATTACCTCGATACCAGAAAACCACACACACACACATGCAAAGAAATGTCCAAACCAGCCAAACTCAACCCAGTCCAGCCCACGCCCAATTTCCTGTCAAGCCCATTCCCAATTTGAACGAGTTCATCCACCCGCTCAAGGCTGAGGGTTACCGGTCCAATCCCAAGCCATGCGTCGACCGAGACGATCCTGATACCGATACCGATGCGGATATGGACGGGTGGAGCGTTGACGATCCCGATCTCGATCTCGGTCACGGTCATAATCGTAGTCGTAGTCATAGTCATAGTCAAGGTGACGGTCATGGTCTTGCCGCTGGCTGTTGTCTTCATCGTCGCTCGCGCCCTCGCTCTCGCTGTCGCTGTCGCTGTATCGAAACTCCGACCCGTCCGTGTCAGTATCTACGTCGGCGTCGTCCTCTTCGTCCTGGATCATGTATCCTGGATCCGGAGTCGAAGGGTGGATGAGGGCGGAACGCGAATCGTTTCGACGAGGAATGCTCGGACCCGAGCCAAACGCTTCGTGTGGAACAAGACGGGCACCGCCTTCTGTGTGCGAATCCGAATCCGAGTCTGAGTCTGTGTCTGTGTCCGTGTCCGTGTCCGCGTCTGGATCCGAGTCAGGGTCCGAGTCAGAAGCATAAGATGGACTGGTTGTCGGGTTGGACGGGTCGTGGCCGTCTCTATCTCTGCCTTCATCGTCATCATCGTTACCGCCGCTCGAACCAGAGCCACCGCCAGTAACAGCCGCCGATCGGCTCCGACTTGGGCCGTCTGCATTGTTCGAATTGGCTCCAGAGGTTGAATTGGTTCGGCCGTCTTGTCGTTGTTGGTGGTTCTGCTGCTCACTTCCATTTCCAGGTTGGATGTTGCCTCTGTCTCGACGGCGTCCGGATGCCGAATATTCAAGTTGAACTTGCTGGTACTCATCCTGGCACAATCCGGATGCAGTATATTCGGTTCCAGGAAGGATCATGTCCTGATTCAATACCTCTGTCGTCGAGTGTCCAGAGCTGAGAGGTTCGTGACGGCCCGAAATGTACCGACCCGCAGTGGCTGAGAACAACGGTAGCAAGGGATGATGTTGTCGACCTGGCGGAGCATGATGTTGAGAACATTGCCACCGCCAGCCTCCTGCCTGAAAGCCATGACCAAAGTGATCGTGTGTCAACGTGGAACGAAAGCATCTAGAGGCAATGCGACTGTCGATTACGATGTTGAGGGGTTGGGAGACAGAGGCTCCGAGAGTTTGTATCAAGATGAGCAATCCATCGAGAGGTGACGTAGTTGGACCTGACCGTGAGATTTGATCTTCTGTATTGTTCTCCGAAATTCTTGAGGTAGACAACTGTTTGCTCTCGACGATGCTGATAGAGTGTGGGAAACTCCCCGGTACTTCCAGTTGGGCATCACAGTCGCGCGAGATAGTTGTTGTCGAGTCATCCGAAGCTCTTGGTAAGTGTGCGTCCAGGGACTGATGCTTTGAGAGACCACTAGTCGTGACACGGTAGACAAGTTTTGCACACAACAGAACCACTGAAGACATGGTGGATGACATAGTGGTAGCATACATGGATGCAAGGTAGCATGTTAGCTTGCAGAGGAGAATGTACCCTTCGGAGCTGTAGGGCGAACAATATAAAGACAAGATGAATTCGACGATGATAGTGGCGTAGAGTTGCACGAGCAGATACACGATGAGTCTGGCCATGGCCTGCTGTCGACTTTTGATCCAGTGGTAGTCGTCGATAAAGGCTGAATGTCAAGACGCGCACCTTGAATCGGGTACAGACTGTTAGCGGCTGATAATAAGTTGACTAGGATGATGATTCTCGCTGTTTCCAAATAGTGCAAAGCTGGTTGCGTGTGTTTGTTTTGTTGATATGATGAGTGATCTCTAGGGAAGACGACCAGCTTTTAAATACCCCTTCGACAGTCCAAGTTCAAGGCTGCTGTCGACGCCGCCGCGGTCACAGATGCAGGTCATTGTGATTGCGCCTCAACTGGACAGGCAGTGAGAGACACGTCGACCATCGTCCATTGTACGTGGTTCTTTGGAGACTCAACTGCAATAATAGCCGTTTCTTTGTCAGATCTCGACACGCTTAAAGACTGCCTCAACTTCGCTCAAAGTATGCACCCCTGGCGAAAGGAGATGTCTCGGACCTGCAAATTGTTCGATCGGGGGTTTCAGAGAACTGTCAGTCACATTTCCTCTTGTGACTTCAGATATTAGAGTCACAATTCGGATGGTCTTTGTAAGTCAATCTTGGAGTCTTTCCAGCCAAAAACGGCTCTTTGGCTGTAGCCAGAACTGCCTGTCAGTCGCGTCTTGGTTCAGGGTGGTCTTTCATATTGGTTGATAGGCCAGTCACTCATACCCATCCACGACTTCTAAGCTGATAAAGTGGACATTTTACACCACCGTTTTCTCGATATGTCCGAAGACACTCACGAAAGGAGGAAGAAAGGTTTCAAAGTGCCTCTGAAGGATTCCTCCAGGCCCCCGAACGCGAAGAGTGTCGATCATCTCTCACTTCTACCCCTGGCCTTTGTTCAAGTGAAGAGAGAGTCTCTCAGAATGAATTGGACTAGTAGACTCTCGGACACGTACTCCCCATTGACTGCAATTCTGCGCCATTGACATCCTAAGGTCCTTACGTTACGAAATCTGGGGGATTTTAATGGCTTTTGGGAAGCTTACCATTCACGAACGCCGCAGCCAAAGTACCCAGTAGGTGTGGGTCTTCGCAATAGGTCTCGAAGTTTCTCCCGCCTGTTTCCCGAGTGAGCAAAGAATCCGCTATATACGTATGATAGACGCAAGGAAATGGGGAAAATGGCTACCACCATGCCTAACGGCGACCGGATGACATTCTGTCGCGAGGGACTGGTCCTCCGGGAGACTCCACGATGAGCCCGAGGACTTGCGAGAGATTACGCCAGCGTAATCTCACTTTCGCAGCCACAAATCTTAGCTCGTGGCTAGGTGCTGAGAGATGTAATGGCTCAGAGGCCATTTAATAGGCCAGTATCGCCATCTAGATTCTGTCGCTCTTGCTTCAAATGTTATCTTGGGCTTAGCGCACACGTGACCCACATGACCACTGGTTGGGATTACTGTATTTTTGCGCCAAGACATGTAAAGACGCCTGTCTAGGGGTATCGTCCCGAGACGCCGATACCCTTGACGGTATCGGTTCGAGGGGCCCTTTACGAGGCCGTACGCCCTCGAACCCTATACAGTCTGACAGCCCCCTAGACCCCCTCGTAGAATGACAAGTTCTCTTTCAGAATCACAAGGTTTCGTCCCTTGCTACATCCCCGACTAAGAACCCTTATCACTCATATCATCCCAACCCAAAGCACCTATCTGAACCCCTGGAATGTCGATATACTGTGCTGATTGGACGGCACTGATTGTGGAATCTTTCTCATATAGATCGCGGCAGAGACAGATCGGGCTATGCGTCGGACTGCCTGCGAACGATGCAGGACTCTCAAAATCAAAGCAAGACACACAGCCTGATGCTTCCAGACTTCAATTCTGACCAGTACAGTGCTCCCCCGAGAAACCCTGTCGCCCATGCCTTCAGTCCGGATCCGAATGTGTGACCCCTGGTTTGCGCCTCTCTCGGAATCGACTGCCACTGATCGTACCGGCCACCGCCGAGAGGCCCGTAATGCTGGAGGAAAGCAGTGTCGTGGATATCGGCAAAGTTGTAAGACCTCCTTGCTTACACCGAACCCGCTGTTGATGGCAAGAGGTAGCTACTCGATTGTGACCAAGTTGCACACCCGTGTGGTAGTTTCGATGCCATCCCAGGCAGTCTTGCATTCCGGATGGAACACTCTACCACCTTTCGTTGGCGCGACGAGTTATCCTACGTCCTTCCACCTCCCGAAGCACTAGATATGCTCTCGGACAGTTATTTCAACTCGGTCAACTGGTTTATGCTGGCAAGTCTGGCAGAGGACGGCCGTCACCAGGCTAGGGAGGCATCGCTGACATCTGATGGCAGGTAGTCGACGAGCCCAAATTCCGAGCACGGTCGACCCGAGTGCTGGCAAATGAGTATGTGAGCACGGCTGATCGCAATTTTATTTTCTTGATGTCTTTGGTCTGGGGTCTTGGGGCCCATTATCTGTGGACCAGCCCTGCAACATCTTCCAACATGCCAGTTCCCACCTCGTTGATTGCAGAGATGATGAAAGTGCTCGATGTTGCATATTTAAGAATAACGGCGAGCCCGACTCTGGAGACTGTTCAAATTGCAATTTTGTGGGGAAGCTTTCACTTGTTCAACGGCTTGCCATATCTCGGCTTTACTATCATTGGAAGCGCCGTTCGATGTGCCCAAGCCATCGGCCTTCATCGTCAACAGCGTACTAGCAGCACAGAAGAGTCTTGCTTGGTTTGGTGGGCCGTGGAAATCGGTGATAAGTTTGTTCCCGATCATGCCTCAAGTGTTTGTTAAGCTGCTAACCCCAAAGGTACTGCGCCGTCGCATTTGGACTGCCATGCGGTGTTGATGACTCGGACTGTGATGTACCAGAAATCAATGAAACAGACAACAACGTCGACGTGATATCAACATCACAAGCAGATAATGAGCTGTCATCCTTGACGTATCACAAGTTTAAAGGTCGTCTATATAGGATCATGGGTCCATTCCTCGGTCGTAAAAAGCAGACAAACCAGCTTTGAGGCCTCCTTGAGGTTCATCAAGAGCTGAAAGATTGGCATGCAAGTGTACCAGACTGGCTGAAATGTAGCACCGACAGTGTGGATATCAGTCAAAGGCCAATCCAAGTACAGCTGCAAACCATTGCCCTCCAGTTGGCTTACGATAACCTCCAAATGGTGTTGTTCAGGCAGGCTGTCTTTCCAAAAAAATATGCGTGAACACCAGCATATGCAACACCATCAGGCCGAAGGCATCAGACAACTCTCTGAGTCTGCCGTTCGTACTGCCAGCATCTCGACTTTCGCGGCATCTGAGCTGATCTCTCAATCGACTCATGCCGCCATGCACGTTGCTATCTGCTCATTCACAGCTGGAGTTATCTTATCCCTGATGATCGCCTCATGGCCCAACAGCTCAGAGTCATCAATTTGGCTTCTGTCACTGAAGAACATTATCAGCTTGTTCGAACAGTTTCCGAGTCAGAATTATCGACTAGCTACTCAGAGCTTGAAGCTACTGGAAGCGCTCAAAACCCGTGTCGACCCTGGGATCACTGGAGAGTCGGGTGATGATATTGGGTACAGTAGGTCATCATGCCGCGCGCAACACGCTGGACTCGCTCTTCATCCTCGTCTTTGCCAAGGAACCTACTGATCAGTACGCTAGATTTGTCCGAACATACCTTTGGCTCTACTGAGAACGCAGCAGTGGCGGGAGATTATAACAACATTACGAGTGCTGCAAGCAACATTCTGGAGTTCAACTTTGGAGATTTAGGCTTTTCATCGAATACTGGTGGCCCCCTTGATGACGTTGGGCAGCTATGGTTGTGGGACGATCTTTCAAATGAGAACTGGATGTCGAATTTTGAATAGTAGAAGGGGTTCAAAGACCCTTCCGGATCTCCTCGGCAAGGAATCTCTGCGCCACATCAACTTTTGCATGTGTCCCGAGTGTCGCGAGCGAGTCGAGTCAGGTTTAGGTCCCGCCTGACTGGACGATTCTTGTCAATCAAGAGTCTTTTGGACTGCCGAGTCAGGAAAATGAATGACGTCAAATCTTCAACACAAGGCTTCGGATTGAATTCAGTTTTGATTGGAGGTATGTCCGGAAGTGAGTTTTGAGTTTCCGTCGCTGTAGGAGCGCTACTGAGAAGATCACAGTACAATCGGAGAGTCGACCAATCATACCTGCACACCCTCCGGGAAAGGGGATGCCTCCAAACAAAGGTTCGCGCTATCGACTCTGACGCAAAGAAAGCAGGTAAGGAACAAGGTATATATAGATACCAATCCACGAGTGCGCAAACCGACGTGGAGTTCGACAGATATTTCTAGGTCTTTTTACTGTTACTACTTACTACCACTATCGGCTTCGTTGACTTTGTCTCTTGTCTGTTATGGCTACCGCTTCATCAGACCGCAAACCTGTTCCAGACCGAGCCGAACATGACGCCTGGTTTCCATCACCATACTCACTGACGCAGTATGTCTCTCCAAAGACCGACTTCGACGGTGCAGACTACCCGAACGCGTACAAGGGCGATAAATGGCGAATTCTCATGATTGCCACACAAGAGCGTTACTTAAAAATGGCTGGTGGCGAGTTTTTCTCAACAGGCAATCATCCCGTCGAGATGCTTCTCCCCGTACTTCACCTCGATGCTGCCGGCTTTGAGGTGGATGTCGCCACAGTTTCTGGCGATCCAGTCAAGTTGGAAATGTGGGCTTTCCCCCAGGAAGATGAGGCAGTTAAGAACATCTTCGAAAAGTACAAGGATAAGTTGCGTCAACCACTTAATTTGGAGTGTGTTTGGGGTGATGGATTCACAAAAGATACACCATATATTGGTGTCTTTATCCCCGGCGGACATGGCGTTCTGAACGATATTCCCTTCTCACCCACCGTGGGCAAAATCCTTAGATGGGCAGATGCACATCAACGCTATCTTATCTCACTTTGTCACGGACCAGCTGCGATGTTAGCCGCGAATGTGGGCAAGCCTGAAGGGAGTAAATTTATCTACTCTGGATATGAGATCGATGTCTTCCCCGACACGCTTGACTCAGGCGCCAACATCGATATTGGGTATATTCCCGGGAAGATGTCTTGGCTCGTTGGTGAGGAGCTTCGCAAGCTAGGTGTCACTCCTCTCAACAAGAAAATCACAGGAGAAACACATCGCGATCGTTATGTTCTCACAGGGGATTCGCCCCTAGCTTCGAACAATCTAGGCAAGCTAGCAGCTCGTACTATCCTCAACGAGCTCCCACAGCATCCCTAAAGAAAGCCAGGACGGAGTGGTGTGGACTTACAACAGTCCTTGAGAGTTGTATACTTCTAGTAGCAGTCAGTGTTTGCCTCTGCCTGATAACATAGACCATTGAAAAGAAGGTAGAAAACGAGGAGCCATGAGTCACCGAGCTCTAAGGAGGACCCTAGAAAGCGTGGTCGACGAGGGAGTGAGAGCGTGCAGTCATAGTTCTGGTACAGAATCCAGCAATCAGGACCTGGGAAACAGCGCAAGAGGAAGTCGCCCAAAGATAGAGCCCGGCGTAGCCTCGAATATCGCACCAGGCAAATCAGAGTGGTTATCCAATTCGACGAGACTTCGAACGGGGCGGTTTGAAAAGTCTCACGCCCCAAGTTTCTCGAAACAATTCTTGGCCGTCATCTCGCTCCGTTATCGTGTCTATTTGTCTGGAACGACGATGCGGACGCGTTGATTCCTCGTGAAACCTGTCGCGATTGTGCTTCAACCCAATTCCCAACATTACCCTGTCGGCGCCAATCTATACCCGTCGACCTGGGACCCAATGTTACCTCTGACCACGGCGGCACTGTGCTCCACACCTAGTCCAGTCGAAAAGTCGTGGTTCCTGGGATATGAGGTGACTGTCCTCCTCCGCGGCCTCTGTTTGACTCACGTAGATGTCTCGTTGCATCCTGGCTGGGCTGTTCTATTGCGGCGTCAGTCCGCCCAGGCTCGGTCAACGCCCGCCCGTCATTCACATCATATCGATGCCGCGGGATGATGTCTGGTGGCTGCGCAACCTCAGTATAGTTGAATGTGATCTCTCGGCACCGTTCGAGACGCCAGTGAGTGTCGGATTCCTCAACCAGAAGAGGCTCCATCGATTCAATGCGTGCTCGGGTGATATAAGGACATGAAAGGCCCCATCGACGCTCGAACGAGACTGTACAAGGTTTCCACGTTGTTGAAGGAGCCCGCAAGGTGGCGAGTATCGTATCCATATAAATATTGTGAGGTTTATATACCTCTTCCACCTTAGGAGTGCGTAAATTGATATATATATGAGTGACCACAAAGACCCATAGTTGACTGTTAAATCGAGGCCTTCTCGATTGACTGTTGTTAGCAAGTCTTGCCATAATTTCTATAGCCATGTCCCTGTGAGAATATTCGAACTGTCAGATAATGGTCGAGATGTCGCTTTAAGTGCCAAATGAATGACTCTTCATCACTTAATGCATTCCTTCTAGACTTGAGGTTATGGTACTCCTAATGCGACGATGATTGTCAATGAAACAGCGCCAAATTCCTTCCTTTCTAGCTCACCCAAGTGTTATAGATCAGATAGTCAAAAATTTAAACCATCCATCTCGACGCTCTCGCTTTAACTTCTTCTATACTAAATTAGCACTCTCCCCCTCGGTGGTAGTAATCACACATTTCTACCAGCTACTCAAGAGACGCTTGAGTTGAACCTTGAATCTTGATGTCGTCCTCGTTGATATCCCCCTGTGTCTGAAAATCAATGTCTCGTTGAGTGACAGGCCTCTATATCTTCTTGATCTTACTCACAATCGCCTTGTTAATAGGTTAGGGACAAAGTAAATGCGAGGCAAGTGGAAAGACAATCTTGATTGTATTGGCGGGGGAATAGGCGGCGTCTGTGATGAGAACTCTCGCGCGCGGGACAAGGCGAAACGAATGTGGAGCGAGACACAGACCGGGAAGGGAGTCTCTTCTATATGAGACTACGTGTGACCTGCAGGTTGCTCTCATGACTCCTCTCAGAACGACACGAAGGCGAATGGGCATCCGGAGATGTCGTGATCCGTCAAGCCCTTCGAGCCCACATGGAACTGCTTGCATGGGTGAAATGAATTGCCGTCCAAAATGACACTGGCATCTGTTCTGTACGAGCCGGTGCCGTCCTGCTACCCGAGGCCGCTAAAGATCTATGGACTTATAGTTATTCCATCCATTAGGAAATCCTACTGTTTACATCTACCTTTCCACTTGGCGAACACTAAGGTAGTGGCGTAGAAGGAACACCTTCTTCGGTCAGCGAGCCCATTAGATGCAGTGCCGCTGACAAAGGTGCCAGCAAATGCCATGGTCATCAGGAATCTTCGACCTCGTCGAGAACAGCCACAACCCTGTCAGGCCTGTGTCCAGCTACCTCAACATTGGAACGCGGCTGTCTTCAACCCCGACATGATGGAGCTCTCTCTTGCCCCATTCCGAGACGAGAGAACCACAAAGACGCTTTCCAATTCAGGAGGCCAATAAAGCACTCTCAGGTCGTCTCGGAACGGGGTCCAACTCCGCCATGGGCCGTCGACTCTACAGCACGGTGCTGCTGCGCAATCCTACTCAAGATACGATAGACGCGCCTCTGACAGTCAGTCATCTTCGAAGTAGGGTCTAGCGCGCGTCTCGGTCTCCGTGGGCAAATGCGCAGAAAGGTGTTGCAGGCTTCACGCACGCCATCGTGTATGTTCGACCAGGGAGATGAACAAAGCCGATCGATGCTTTGCCCAGTCTCGTAACAACGTGCCTATCGGCAGTATCTCAAACTCTTCCCAGCCAAAGCAGGCTCTTCGGCGTCAGCCAGAACTGCCCGTGAGTCGTGGCACCTTGGTTCGAACCGGTCTCTTCAGACTCTCTCTCCAGTGCGCGCTTGAGCTCGACCTGATGAATCTTCCAGGACCTGAGCACCAACGTGCTTGCCGCAGCCAAGAGGAACATACAGCCCACGAATATCTGCGAGCTGAGGTAGCCGGAGGCGGCAACCATTTCCAAGGCGATTGGCTCTGCAAACGTCGAGGGCAGCACCAGAGCCAGACAGATCATGCCAAACGCAGAGGGCAGGCGCTTGAGCCCGACGACCTCGGTGGTCACGGGCGCCACCGTGCTCCAAAAGATACCACAGACACAACCAGAAGCCAGAGCGAAGAAAAGGAGAAGCCCGTACGTCTTCGCCGGCACCCACAGCGCCAGACACAAGACGCCAGACAGGGCCGTCATGAGAGCGGCCATGTTGAGGCGGCCGAACGAGTCGCTGTAGTAGCCGATGATGGGGCGTCCGACGCCGAGCCCGAGGTTGAGCAGCGCCCCTACGACGGAGCCCTGGCCCGGTGACAGACCGATGGAGACGGCGTAGTTCGGGAGCGAGTAGAGCAGGACAATGTACGCCAGTTCGTTGCCGACCCCCCACAGGATGACCAAGATGACTTCGACGTGCTTGTACTCGCGGTAATCGAAAGCGTCCTGCACCGGCCGGATGGCCTTGTTCCGGTCTTTGAGCAGCACCGAGCACACGGCGTTGACGACCAGTCCGCACAGCGCCAGGACGCGGTAGGTCCAGTCCACGCCGACTTCCTGGACGAGACGGCCGGCGACCAGGTTGTACACCAGGCCCCCGAGGCCCGATCCCGAGGCCGCGATCCCGACGGCCAGACTCCGCCGCGTCGAGAACCACTGGGGCAGCACGGCGGTGGAAGGGATGTAGAGGAAGCCCAGCGCAAACCCGAAGCAGACGCCCTGGCTGAGGAACAGGTGCCAGATCTCGGTCGCGTACGAGGCGCCGAACATGGCCGCGAAGACGAGCAGAGTGCCGACGAGCAGCGTGTTCCGGGTGCCTAGCGACTTGACGGATAACGCCACGACGGGCGCGATGATGCCTGACGTGGAGATCGAGAGACCTCCTATGAGCGCATACTCGAGACGCGAGGCGTTTTCGAACGTAGAGTCAGACAAGTAATGCGCCAGGAAGATGCCCCATGCCTGACAGTCGCCTTGTTGATCAGCAAACGCACCGCACCTTGGATAATGTTGGCTGCTGCATTGTTATGGGAGGGGAAGTGGAGTAGTGTAGAACTTACACTGTTCAATCCCCAGGTGTGAGCGTTGATCATGAAGCAGCATGCCGTGCATACCCAGGCGTAGCCACCGTTGGGCGGAGGCTCTTCGACCGAAACGACGTCTTGTTGTTGTTGTGGTGGTGGTGGACGACCGTCGTCGCTGCTGATGAGTTCGGTGGCCGGCTCGGGCTGGGGATCAGGCGATGGACTGCCTCTGCCTCTGCCTCTGCCTCTGCCTCTGCCTCTGCCTCTGCCTCTGCCTCTGCCGTGCTGGGCTTGAAGTTCAACCTCGGAGGAGGATCCCATTGTAACTGGAGTCAGAAAGTAACCAAACGACCTACCAAACCCCCCTCTTATCTGACGACGAGACGAGAATTGCAGTCCTGAGACGACGAAACGAGATCGACCACAGACTGTCCTCAAGCTAGTGTTCTTGGTTGGGTGTGCATGTGTGTGTGTGTGTGTGTGTGTGTGTGTGTGTGTGTGTGTGTGTGTGTGTTCTCTGGGTTATGTGAGTGGTCGAGTAGGTTGAAGTCTACGATCCATAATTACGATCACTGACACACATACCTGTAGGTTCCCCAGATAAGTGTATGTGAGACGGTGCTGACCTGCTGATAGTCCGTCTCGAGGGACATATGTAATCGACGTGTCATAAGGGCGGTCTGCGCGCGCACATCGCCGTCATCCATTCATTTGCTTTCCGAAGCGAACAGTGTGTCTGACATATCGTATCCGACAAAACACCAGTCTCATTAATGCGGGGATCGGAGTAAATCGAAAAGTTTAAGAGGGCTTCACTTGCAGTACTCAAGCGTGTGGTATTGCACAATAAGAGCCCATGCGCAACAAGCAGAAGTGAAGCTTAAACTGTCATACCTAATCTAGACCCTGTACTTTTGACCTCCGATGATGCAACAAAACGAAAATGGCTCCCCTCGAAAAACACACGATCGAGGAGTGCTTGATACTCGAGTAAAAGTCCTACTCGTGACGACGTGTGTCGTTGCCCCGTCGAAGAATCCCTACAGCGTCCAGCGAGAGCGGTTCACTTGTAGTATCGCGACCAAGGAAACTCTGCCCTCCCAAGTCGACATTGGTGCGAGCGAGTAAAGAGTCACTGCCCGTCCCTGCAACTGGGGTTTTCTCTTTCGATCTGGAGGTCCCGTCTTCCTTTTCACTTCCTCCTTGTTGAGACGCTCGGCTCCGTGATCTGGAATCCTCTTTCAGTCCCAATGAAAACTTCAACCGCGGTCGACTGTCTGAAACGCCCTTCTAAGACGCTTCAACAAAATTGGATGTGGAAGCTTGTGAATGATTCGATTTCTCAGACCGAGGGTTGGATTGTGTCGAATGCAAAGAGTGATTCGTTGTGTCACTATCACATCTCCCGCTACTGGAAAGACTTTGAGCGGTGTGTGCCGCCAACTCATCTCTTGGAGGACTTCCGGTTTCTGGCTTCAATGATTTACGTCTTCTTGCCAAGTCCTTTGGCGACTTGGATCGACTGAGAGTACGACTCAATGAACGGGCAAATCGCCTTGCTTTAGTTCTTCCTCGATCGTTGTTGCTAGCTTGATGGCTCTTGCTACTACCTTTGGAGGAGGCGCGACTTTGCCTTGCGTCATCATCCATTTGGCGGGTGACATTTGCAGCAAGACTCCCGGTATTTTTCTCTTTGCCGCCGCTGTCGTTGACCAAGAGAAAATGCTCCTTTTCTCGGGGAGAACGAGAGCGAGATTGGTCCCCGGTGTCCGTAGCTTGCATCTGTAATTGACTTGACCATAGTTCGTTATAATGTCCATTCGCCTTCATCAAAGTATTGTGAGTTCCTGATTCAACCACGCGGCCATCCTGGATAACAAGGATCTGGTCTGCGTGGAGGATAGTCGATAGGCGGTGTGCAATTACGAATGTGGTTTTGCCTGCACAGAGCTTCCGCAGACTGGCTTGTATTTGCTTTTCCGTGATGCTGTCCACAGCGCTCGTAGCTTCGTCCAAAAGCAGGATATTGGCTTTTTTCAGCATCGCCCGCGCTATTGCCAATCGTTGCAACTCCCCTCCGGAGAGCTTTGTCCCACGTTCGCCAATCTGCTCCTGGTAACCATTCGTGAAGGTGGTGATCTTTTCATGAAGCGCAGCGGCTTTGCAAGCCTCGATGATGTCTTCATCCGTGCATTCGAGATCAGGATATCTCATGTTTTCCATTATTGTCATGTTAAACACCACAGGAGTCTGAGGAATAACTGCAACGTGTTTTCGAAAACTCTCCATCTTCACTTGCCGAATATCTTGGCCATCGACCAAAATACGGCCTTGATCCGGATCATAGAAACGGAAGAGGAGTTTCAGGAGAGTACTTTTGCCTCCTCCAGTCCGTCCAACCAAGGCAACAGTCTGCCCAGGCGCTGCACGGAACGTGATGTCGTCTGCTACTTTTCTGTGGCCGTCGTAAGAGAAGGTCACATTTTCAAACCCCACCGCTCCAGCAAGGAACGTGAACACCTTTGATTCCGGCACATCTTGCACGCGGGGTGACTTCTCCAGGAGAACAAGTAACTTCTCGGCATTAACCATCTTCTGGCTAATCCTTGCAAGATTGTATGCAAGGGTATCCAAAGGATATGTAAGTTGAGTCCAGTAGGTGACCAAAATCACAAAGTCGCCTACTTTTCGATCACTATAAGCAATTTGCAAGGCTCCAACGCAGCATGCAGCGACAAAGTTGATAGCCAAAATTGAATATCGTACTCCCCTGCTCCAAGAAGCATGGGCAAAATAAGTCATATCTGCAGCTCGATTGGCATCGCCCTTCTCCCGATACCGCTGCTTCTCGTATGGCAGACGACCAAAATGAGAGACGGTCGACCAATTAACCGTGGACTCAGTCAGTTGGTAGTACTGGTCATGCCATGCGTCCAGTGATACTCGACTGAGTTCGCGATTTCTAGCCAGCGCTTTAAAAGTGAGCCAGTAGAAGAAGATGGTGGTTGTCATGATGACGAACAACATGTAAGGTCCAAACATGATTGTGAGAACCACGGCCGCTGCCCCAAAGTCGATGACGGTTGGCGCGAAGTCGAAAATGATATCTTTGAAGAAATTAATTACATCCTGACCCTGATGCATGGTTTGCCATATGATTGAAGACTTCTTCGTGTCATGAAAATCCGCAGACAGGTTCATGATATGGTCGTATGAGTGTCGATTCAGCGCAATAGTCATATCGGTGACGACTTGGTAAGAGAGGTATGTCTCCAACAACGATAAACCGGCAGCCGAGCTGCAGAATCTGAGAAAGCAATAGAGACCAATTGCTGCCCACGGTATATGCGAGCCCAGTCCGCTGACGACAGCTCCCAGGGTTAAAGGAAGCACAACCATCACAATCCGCTCCACAAGGCTGGTCAGGAGCATCGCGCCCAGAAATGTCTGATTCCGGTAGCCTTTTGGATACATAAAGGGAACAAATATCTTGAAGGATGCAAGATACTGCCATCGTGGTCGGTTGCGGATCTCTAGTCTATCCAACTCGTCCTGGTCTGTTTTCTTCGATTTACCAACTTCATCTGATTTCGGTCGTGAACTTGCGTCACCAAGTAATGCTTGTGTCTCCTCGTCAGTCCCAATCTCATTCCCGTCTCTGTAATATGCCACAAAAACACTCCCAGAAAGGAGGGCCGTCAAGGAAATCCTGACAACTTCTAGGATGACGTTGGCAGGACTAAGAGGATTCGAGCGGTGTTCGTTCTTTACTTGAAGGGTTAAAATGGCACTCTCTGAAAGTAGAAGGATAACCCAAACGCCATATTGGGGATAAGAAATGCCGCTGGAAGCATCCACGGTCTCCAACAGAAGAATGCCCCAGATCAGAGTGACGAATAGGGAGTACAACACTTCCGGATCGTTGGTCAACGCTGGGTTGCTGTTCCTGATAGCAATGATCGTTTGTGCACAAGTTGACAGAACCACCAGGCCACAAAACATAATTTGGACTTTGCGCATTCGTCTTCCAGTAGACCAGCAAGGATTGAATAAAGCATAGCAACAGGCGATAACGTGGTAGCTGAAAGCTAAGACTATGCTGAGACCTCGCACCACGTTCAGTTCGTTGAATCGAAGAGACATGACGGAACACAAAAGAGACGCAGATGATTGAAGTCGATTTGCCTTTGGCGGATGAAATCCGAGTTTTAAAGAACCGATGCAGCTCAAAGGCAGGGCTGAAGATTAGCGTGGCTGTTGCCTGAGGCGCAGGCCTCGTGGCTCATACAGGCACCACGTACGGGTGGCCTAAAGTTGGGCTCATCTGAAAATGCATATTGCTGAAACCGGTGAATCCATGATGTTGCTGACTCGATAGTGATTACTTATTAGCGGGATCAAGTGACTCCAGCATCAACGGTGACTGAGTGGACTTTTTGTGTTGTAGCCTGGTTGGCGAAAGGTATTTCGGCTGCCTGTTTGTTCCTTCCGCGGTGTAAACGAGAAAACGAGGGGGAAATCGATCCATAACCAGGAAAGTGCACGTATGGCACCTTGTTTGTTCTCACGTATTTGGGGCTGAGACGTTCATATATCTATCGTTCAATGTGGAAGCAAAACTGTGCCCCGAGACAGCGGCATGGTCGGCAATGGAATAGATGACCGATACGAGACACCCCTGTCCTTAGGATCTCAGGCGCTCGAGCAAAAACATCGGACATCCACGCTAGCGCACTGGCAAGCAATCGAGTCCGATCCCGATGCAAATCAGCAGTCTGCTGCCACTACACGAGTTCGTTTGCGCTTGAACAACATGAAGGCTGACTTTGACAAAAAATCAATCCCTGTCCGTCAGGCATGGCATCAGATCGTCGCAAATCATGTCGAGGTCAGTGTCGCACCACACCTGTGGAAAGAGGCCACAGCATAACAGTCTCTAGCCTTGAGTCAGTGAGACAAATCCCCGCCAGACCCTTCAGTCACGCCCCAAACTTAGAGCTCGGACTAAAGGCATTTGGGAGCTTCCATGGTAGGCTGCCCCAAAAAAGGGTCCTATGGCTGCACGAGCGACCTCGCGGAAAAGACCACCAACAACAGCATCTTGCAGGTCTGACCCTGTTTGCTTAAAGTCGGGGTAGGCATTCAATTCGAGAAGCCAAACGTTCGCATTTTGGTCGACCAGGAAATCAACGCCAAAGATTTCAAAAGCGTTTGGCAATGCTTGGAAATGCACCATCTGCTCTCGGGCAGCTGCCTCAAAGACTTCGCCCGTGACGTCGCAAATCTGCTGGAATACCATTTCTTTCCAATCAGCTCGCAAGTGGGTTGATTCGAGGCGCCAGAACTGGTGGACAGAGGAGCTCTTGGTCTCTTCGTCCTGGAAGCAGGTATTTGTCAGGTGTTGTGCAAGGTCCAGTATCTCTTCATCTCCGCTGTGACCCGGGGATTGATATTGCTTGGCTGCGAACAAAGCCAGCATTTCTCGATAAACAAAGACCCTGAGCGCTCCAGCAGCAAGTACATATGCACGAATATGGAATTTCCGATTACCGTACGCCTCCAGCAGAAGAGGTGGGTCGATGTAGGGTTGAGCTATAAAGTGCCTGAGCTGGGAGGTCATGGCGTGATCCTGGTTCGAGGCGTCTTCTGGGTTTTCCGTGGTATCTTCGTCCTTCCTGTGATCGGTTTCATCTTCCTCGTCGCCCTCAGAGTCCGACCCCTCCCAGTCTTCAAAAATGGCCTGGAGTTCGTCGAAGCTGGAAAATAGTCTGATGCCATTTCCTCCATCGCTCATGCCAGGCTTCAAGATCCACCAGTTCTTTGACCCTGTGGATTCTTTACGCTCGTTCTCGGCCATGCTTTCGTTCAAGTCCCAGGCGTCCACCAAGGCCTCATCCAGGAACTCTGCATAATCAAGCTCAAAATGAACACAAGGGCGGAAATGCTTGGCCAATACACTGTCCGGGTGCTTGACCAGCCAGGTGGATACTGTATTCGAAAGATAATGCTTGCGAATGAGGGCCTTCCTGATAACATATGCACAAACCTGCGAGGTTTTTGAGTGTTGCATCGCATGCTCAAAATCTAGAGACTCGTACGCGGTGAATTGTAACACGGGTATCGTGGCACGCTGCAATTCGCTCACTGCGGAAATCTGCTGTATTGAGAAGTCCTCTAAAGAGCGAAGACCTTGCAGGATCAACGGCTGCACGTACGGATCCGGGTAGTCAACCACCGCGTAAATAGTATTGGAGGAGGACTCGCGTGTCAAATCCGATTTATTATGCTCCCTTGAAGTATATTCGGTCAGAATGCCTGCCATTCTCACAAGATACATCAGCCTGACTGGACTGGCGAACTTACTCACAGCTTGATTTCGCCAGTGTAGTGAGGCAAGTGCCAAAAGTTGGCCACCAGCGGCGTGACAGTTATATTGCCCTGCAGCACCTCCCAGCCGTCTCCCTTCTGAGCGTCTGTGACAGCCTTTCGCACGTCCTGGAAGTTGGGGGCCCATTTGAACTTGCGATGGAGTCTTCGCGGAACCTGCGTGTGGCCTTCTCCCCCCTCCCGTATGATTTGCTCCTCGGTGTTCGGGTCGCGGTCATCCTCCTCGGGCGGCAATTCTTCAAAGGAGCTTCCGTTGTGCCACCGGTTTTGCAGCATCTCGGTGTACACGATCTTTTTCTGCTCGACGTCTTTGCGCAGCGGGACATTGATGCTGTAGAGATGCACGTCGTCGGGCCACTCGTTCAGCAACTTCTCCATGAGCCGCGCGCTCAGCTTCGAGGCGGTGCGGATGACTTCGGGGTCGTGCTCCCTCGAGTCGAAGGCATAAGACAGCGCGATGCTCTTCATCCCGCTCATTGCGCCTTCCAACGCGCCGCCGATCGTCCCGCTGGACAGGGCGAACACGGCGGTGGTGTTGCGCCCATAGTTTGGCCCACTGACCACGAGGTCGACGGGGCCTCTGTCCTTGAAGAAATGATGCAGACCAATCTGAACACAGCTCGCCGGGGTTCCGTCTATCAGGATCCACTCCTCGCCGCCGTCATTGAACGGTCGATCTGAAGTGACGCCGTCGTCTTTGTGTAGAGTCCCGGGCCGGAAATACGTGGGCGTCAGAGTCTGGCCGACAATGTGGGCCTTGCCGATCCACGACCTCTGTACATGGGGCAGAACCACCGAGACGGTGTGTCCGGCTTTTTGGAGAGTATCAATCAGAGAATGAACGTACGGTGACGACTGATTCGACGGCGGGCCATCGTCATTTACAACCTGCTCGGAGAATTAGTTTGGGATTTTCGTGAGTTTCGGTCGCGTTTGTGCTCACGAGTATATGCATGTCTAGAGACGAGTTCCCGAAAAAGTAAGAAAAGAAAAGAGAAAATCTAGGAGCAAGGGACGCCTCTAATGCAATGCTAGAGAAACGATGGGCAAGCAAACTTGACGAGGTACAAGGTTCTTGATCTGGTTCTTTTCCTCGTTCCCCAGAAAGACTTGGCATGAGGTGATTGTGGTTATGTAAGCATCACCTCGGCTCGCATCACGTGTTGCCAGCACCTACCAAAGGGGCCTGTGGTTAGATTAGAGACTGTCACCACCGACAAAATCGTCTTCATCTCTCGTGGTGCTGAAAGGTACATCTTGGAGAGGTGTTTCGGCTTGAAGTTCACGGTTCGTTGCGCGGATGACGATATAGATCGTGCTTGGACCCATTTCTCAGCTCACAATGAAGGTCCGTGGAGGAAAGCTCGGGAGAGCGAAGAACTCGATAGATCAATGGTTCTAGATCAACTGTACAACATCAGGTCCCATGCTAACGCTAACATGTATAGAATAGTTTCCTGTTGTAGCCGTGGCTATAGAAGTGCTGAAGACGTGCCATATAGAACGACTATCCCTGTCGCTCATAAGAAAATCCTCTTATCAGGGCTTATCGCAGAGTCACTAAGTTAGGGCTTGTGTGTCGTTCGCTGACATGTGAAAATTCGAGGGCGACGACGCAACGAACGAGACTGTGCGTGGTGTCCAACAGCCTTTCATCAGCAAACACGGTTGAAACGTTCTCCGCAAGCTATTTCTCTACTTGAAAAAGTACTTTGGGAGCATTCACAAACTGAATGGTAACACTGTATGCTCTATGCTACAAACAATAACGACCTTTCAAATCAGACACAGACAACCAACCATGGCCCCTAAAAAAACTCATTCGTGTGCTCATGTCTCCAAGTCTCTCTCACGGGATGCCAGATTCAAATTAGTCGTCGTGGGCAATAAGAGAAGCGGCAACATCTGTAGGTCCTTAGTCTGTCTTGCCCGACTCTGTCTCGCACTGCGCTTCAAGGCATCCACCTCGGCCTTCCATCTCTCTCGACCAAAATCGATATCCCCCGTGCCATCTTACACCAAGCGAGGCGACCCTCTATTTCGCCGTCTTCTCCTGGGCAACTTCCTTGGCTTCTTCCTTCTTCTGCTGCAAGAAGTTGCTGATCCACTTGAGGACGTCGCTGGTCAGGACGAGGCTGGTGGTGACGACGGCTTTGCCGCTGGCCACGACGCCCTCGCCGCCGCACTTCTTGTATTCATCGCTGTAGGTCTTGAGGGCCCAGTCCTTGGTGGTGTTGGCGGTTTCAAGCGGCCAGTGGATGTATGTGACCAACGTATCCTGGATCTCTTTTGTCTCCGACTTGACGATCGGGACGCGCTCGTCGATCTTGCTCAAGAACTTGTCGCCCAGCTCATCTGCCTTGGCGACATAAGGCTTTGCGTAGGACGCGGGGGTCTGGAAGTACGGGAGGGTAGGCTTGACGAACTTTGTGTAGCCGGCGTTGGTGAGGTCAATGGATTTGGCGCCATAGGGGTTCGCTTTGATCGTCTTGATGGAATCGGACACGAGAGGATAGGATTGGAGGTGCTGCCACGGCGCCCAAAGGTCAGTGACCATGCACCTACTTCATCATGCGCTTCTCATCACGGGGACTGTGGAAGACTTACAGAGAGGAGGGCGGAGTGAGGCAGGTCGCCGTTGACGGTAGCTTCACCCATTGTGTGTCGGTTTGGTACGATGTCACGGTTTATTGAGGGTCAACGTGTGCTGGAGAGGTGTGAGTGAGCAGTCTGACGGAATTGTTTTAGAAAGATGAAGGAACATGAGAGAGCGAGAGGGAGTGACGCTGAGACATTTTGTTGAGAGATGGTCAAGGCAATGGATCAAGGCCAGGGCCAGGGCCAGGGCCAGCGTCAGGCTTGGGGGGGGGGGGGTCGCTATCTTCCAGATGCACAGAGATTGAAGCATGTGAAAATGCGAGGACGTCGACGCTTACCTAATGAAGCCGGGTAATTTGCTTGCTGGTCCCGTGCTCGTCGTATTCGTATTTGCTTCCGCCCTTGTTTTGCTGAGCAAGGTACGCGTGGTTTGAGACTTGAGTAAACGTCTTCGCGCTGTGACGATCTCGAGGATGGCGGACGTGAGTGCTTGTCCATCCGTGATGTCTACGGTCTACCTTACCAAAGGCACGTCGGTCTCGCCAAAGTGACGTTGGTCCAAGCTATGGATAGACCGGGATCCCCTACTACTCCGCCCCTACCACGTACGTCCCTCCACACCTCTTCCGAAAGCTACGAAGCTGCCATTCTTTCACATGTCAATCATCTCAAGTTACTCGTACTACTACTTGTTAAATTTCTTTCCGTTCTATCCTGCTGTCACTATCGCTGTCACTGTCCCGCATCGCATTTCCGAAAGCTACAGACGACGCTAACCAACTCGTACCCAAGGTTCGGATAGATACCTTTAGCTAGCTGTTCGGATCCAGACAGGTTGTTTTGCCGCGACCTTGCCATCCTCGTTGAGCTTGCTTCACACCACCTTGAGGGGACCGGGGGGAATCAATCACCTGAGATTTGCCCCTGGGGACCGGACGAGAACACCACTTCTCCCACCCAACTAACGAGGTACAGTAGATGGTGGTGTGCTGCGATGACTGTCAACTGTCAGGCACCCCGAGAGAGATGGTCCGACGCCGACCAGACAAAAGAACCGCATCCTGGTACATACTGTAGTCACTGGAAGTCAAAACTGGAGGACTTCGTAAAAACAAGAGTAACAAGTCCAATCGTCAACATCCCCGTACGCCCGTGCAGATGCACCATGCACCCAAGCTCACTAGCTAATTATCATTCTTGGTCATGGCCAGATTTCCCCGAAGGTGGCTCCCGTCGCGGATGCACGTCAATCAGCCCGAGGAGGATCAAGCAAGCAATGACTTGTTTGTCGCTCCGTATTGGTGGTTTATGTGTGTGAACGCCCGGGCATGTTGTGACTAGCTCGTTGCTGCGCGCCCTAAGAACTCCAGAGATACTTACCCACCTAGGCATCTAACCTACCCGAGGCAGTGCTGATACGAGTTACAGAACAACAGCTCACCTCTCATGATGATGAAACGAGTACCGAGTCTGGCAGGAGGCAAACAAGACGAAGCAGATAAGCTCCCCTCTCCGCGCCCGGAGGCTGCAATGCGAATGCCTGGGTGAGGACGATAATGCATTGCCATGCCATGCCACGTCTCCTTGTAGGGACTACAGTACCTCTAGGTCAAGGGATTTAGCTACGTACATAATTATCAGCATGTGCAAGAAGATAAGAGTGTTATCATCATCATGACTTACCTAGAGTTATTATCATCATTATTATCATTATTTTTATTACGAGTGCTAATATAGAGTGCTGCTATATTCATATGTCTTCCGAAGAATCACATGCTTTCGTTACGCCACTCATCGTCGTTTTTTGTGATTGACGTTGAACACCACCAAACCACCGGGATTCTGCTTCAGCTTCTGGCCCTTATTAATAAAATGACAACCTCGCCTAAGTCTCAACTCTGTCGAGGCACACCGTACAGTACTTGCAGCCTGGCATGTGGCATGTGGCATCGGGACGATCAATCTGTGTGGCGATCCATGCGATAAAGCCAATTTCAACGAAACAACTCCACTTGGTGATCTCGATCAGCACATGTCAGTTCCACACACGGATACCTAGGTAGAAGTCCTGGCCACGGTGGGATTTTCCACCACTGTCACGGCCTTGTTCAATCATTGCCTGGTTGTCAACACCAATACATATGGATATTTTGCTGAACAATATCAATTTACGGTTTAGCTGGCTTTTCTCGCCCCCGCTACCAGCTCTCTCGTGGTGACCATACTATCATGCTACGAGCTACTATTCTCGCCCTTGTTGCAAGAAAGCCCACTCTACTCCTTAAGAACTCCATCCCATCTGTATCCCCTCAACTCCATGTGCTTGCTATGCGTCTGCAACGTCTCCATTATCCAGCACCCAAAAACACCAATTATTGTGAGCTCAGCAGCACCACTGACAATCACCGAATCATTCGCAGCGTGCCCGTCAATCCGTACCCCTGGGCTTTGGAAGTGTCAGTCCCGGTCGCTTAATCCAAGTCACTCTCAAACCACCAGAACCTCCATGAGCTCCTCACCATGCTAGGCGCAGCATCAATCACTCCTTCTGAATTTTGTCGAACCCAGCCGGCACTCTCCAGCCATGATTACGACAGGCGCGGACATAGGCTTGAATGGCCTCTCCGATGGCATACGTGTTGTGCTTGCCCTTGTACACCGGTGCCAGTCTAGCGGGCCGTTCTTCGTCACAAATAGACATGCGCACCTGAAGTAACAGGCTTTCAATGTTCTGAGCTGCTGTCCATCCATTGTTGGTCAAGACTTCCATGCACATCGCTCCGCCATCAGTGACATTGCCCCCTCCACCTTGCGCGAATGGAAGAAATCGAGGTTTGACCACGCGGATGAAAGGCGGGCTGAACGGGAACTGGTTCGAAAATCGCATCTCAAGCACAATGGACGTGATGCTGTGCGCTTGCATGTCTTTCGCCAGAGGTAACGTGGGTGGGAAGCTGTGCATTTCCACAATCCACTGATACATGTTACTCATCTTATCCCCATCAATATACCAACCTAAAGTTGCCAATGGTGTTTTGTCTTGCACCGACAGCGTCTCCCGGAAGCATCGCATCAGAGCTTGAGTAGAAGTACGGGTCGCATCTTGAGGTGGCTTCAGAAATCTGATATCCGACACATCGAGGGTGCCCGGTACGAAGTCTGTCCCAGCGAGCTTGTCCACGTTTTGATTGACATCCTGCGTCGGATCGATCGAGGGGCCCAATGCCGAGCCATCGGGATTTGGCTCATCTACTTCCTGGTCGTCGTCATGATCTTGAGCGAAGAAGGCCAAATCACTCGCGTCCGAGACGACGCTCTTAGCATCATCCTCATGACGTTCAGCAGTCTCCTGATCGATAGTCACAACTTGCTTGCTCCGCTTGCCTGACTCTCTTTTTGCCGCTTGGACCGTATCGTAGCGTCTGCGAGACTTGGAAATGGCGGTCAACGGGATAGTGAGCTGTCTTCCATTCACGCCGACAGCCTTGTACGAAGGATCTTGCTGATACACTTCCCTGCATTGTGATGCTGCAGATTTAGCCGCAGCTGCTGCCGCACCTCCAGCTGTGCCTGAAGCTTGCACAAACAGGTAGCGAGTCTGAATCCAGTCGAGCTTGGAGATCACATAATGCGGAGTGCAAGAGACAAACATCCGGGGATGGTTGACAACTTCGTTCAGCGACAATGCGTTCGAGATTTTGAGCATCGAGGGCTTCCATTCGTGGAAATATGTACCCATCGACCGAGATGCATTCTGGCTGTATCCGAGGCTAGTGTCTGCCTGCGGCGACAAGTAAACGCCATGGCCGAAAGATCGCCCATGCGCTATTTCATCAAATCGAAGTCCCTGTCGGACAATGGAATGCCAATTTGCTAAACGGCTCCCGTGCCATGCAAAGAGTGTCGGATATTGCGTGCCTGATAATCGTGACTGGCTTTGAACCGCGTCATTGAATCGCTTTTCTTTGTCAGGCGCGCCTTGAGCAAACCGGAATTGCATATACCCATCCATGCCTCCCACGAGATCGTCACCAATTTGTGATTCTCCGACAGGCAGAATACAAGATCGGTTTGATGCCACTATCCAACGTAGTAGAGTCAGTGAGCTTTTGGAGATTCGGTGCCACGACTCTAGACTGGCGTCATGGAAAGATTTCAGACGTGTACACATCTCGCTTACACTTGGCAGGGCACTCAACAAGGCAACGATCGCGCTCTGCTGCTGGGCCTTGGTCAAATCGTCGAAATTCTTGTTGTAAACATAGCAATCAACCCTCATGCTCTTTTCTGACTCTCCCCCAGATCCGACAAGCGCTTCGTTGTCTGTCTCACCTGCGTCGACAAATACTGTTTGGTCGAGGTCGACCGAATCAGGCAGAACTCCTGTCACTCGATGATGTGCAATCAGGTGTCTCTCTTTGGGTATTGTGACTATCCAGTCCCCCGGTTTCAGCTCCAGGGGGAGCCCAATCTCTTGGTCCACAAGGTCGAGTCGCTGCTTCGTCACGTGCCATGTACAACTGAAAGCTTTCTCCGACGCAGCCGGAGAACCACTGCGGGTAGTATTTGACGGCGGGAGCGCTGCCTGAGGTTTAGCGGTAGCTGGCAACAAAACATCGGCATGGCCAGAGGGTAAGAGTGGCACCATGAGATTCAAGCCAACAGGTAGTTCTTTGATTCGACCGGCACTTGCTGCAATGAAGCAGAAGCTCACCAGTAGGTCCACGACGTAGGGCTGCGAGCGAATTTCCCACTCTAAGCTCGGACCGAATCCGAGATTCATGTACTGATAGAGGCATAGAGGCCTCGAACAGACGTACGGTTTCAAAGCTTCGAAAGAGTTGTCCACACGTGAATGACACACCAGGCAAAATTCGGTGCATCGGACAAGATGCCTAAGCGCGAACTGTATCGCGATTAACGGCAGGGAAGCGTTCTCCAGAGACACCTCTGCCATATGGTCGGCCATGACAATCTTCGGAAGCTGCACATATTCTGAGGCATTGTCGTCGCATTGATAATCTTTTAAACTCTCGATAGAGGTGTCATCGGTGCATATGGCTCTCGCTTCCACCATCTTCTCAGCACCTAGCCAACTGAGACTGTACAGATGACGTGCCTTGACGATGTTGAAAAACCGCTCCTTTAAAAACTGATTAAGTGGTGTGCCAATAAAGAGCGGCTCCAATGACTTGCAGGAAGTTTCTGCTCGGTCTTTCTGGGATGGCGAACTGCCAGAAAACACTGCATGGGCGTCTTCCAATGTCGGCTTGTACTTCCAGCAGAGACCGACCTGCATGTCCACTCTTCCAACCAAATCATCCAGGTCTGTGATATCGCGGGCTTCATAGTAACCCGAGACGTATCTTATGAGGAGCACAAAATACTGTTTGCGTCGAAGACTCCATGCTTGCATCGCCTCATCCGACAGCCCCAGCTTTGAAACGCGGACAGACGCGCAAAGTATCCCTGAACCGGCTGGGTTCCCGAAGATGCCCACGCGGAAGCCGGAGTCTTTCAGTGCTTTGAGGTCTGAGTGTATCTTTCCAATGTAGACTCTGGCAGTTCTTGACAATTTCCTTGAAGCAGAGACACCGTGATTCGAAGCTGCGCACTTGGATGGTTGTAGGTCTGCAAGTCCGAAGGTGTCATCGTCGGAACCGTAGTCAAATTCGAAATCGTCATCATATGGGCCCTCGGACGCGGCCTCGAGATTGTCTGCCGGCCTACCGTCTTCAAGTGCAACTGTCAAGCGTTGGCTAACCTCCGCAAGGACCTGCGATAGAGATTTGCCATGCGTTTCGGCGCCTACACTCTGTAATGTTTGAGGGATGACTGGGTCCGTACGGTCATCCTCGGTGAAGAGCATGAACACGTTGTCGTGAGGATAGTCATCCAGGTTAGTGGCACAGGCCTGGATGTTGACTCTTGAGATTGGACATCCGCCCGGGCAGCAATAGATGAAACTCACCACACCCTCATCAGGTGTATGTACCCCCTCTATGTTTTTTATCGTAGGAACGCTGGCTGCAGCCAGGTGCTGGAGGAACTGCCGCCGACCCATGGCAGGCCTGAATTTCCTGGATCGAGTCAGGTGTGACGGTTGGTTCTATTGTGAACGCGACTTGAGATCTCGGCGCAAGGGGAATCGCAGGAGAAGAACGCAAGTGAACACAGGAGCAGGTCCGATTCAGCACGGAGAAGAACCTGTGGTCGAGAGAGCACGAAGATAGGATCGGTTTTGGAGGATCAAGCCGGAGAAGATTTGACAGGGAAGGAGAATCAAAGATGGGGAAGAAGAAGCAACTGTGGAATATGGGATAGCGAGGCGTCAAGTCATGGCAGCGATTGTGAATGCCTGCGAGATATACCTTGGAGAGAAGAATGAGTGAATACATTCAGAGGGACAAAGCTCTTGGAGAGAAGAATGGGTGAATACATTCAGAGGACAAAGACTTTGGGATGGCAAGTGAAGAGCACATAATGCTGAGCCTCTGCTTAGACCGGCCAGTGCCGTTGTGGTGCTGGTGCGGGCAACCGCAGGCATCTTCTGCGGACGATCTTGCAACCAGCTACAAGAACGAAGGAGGCCTTGGCGAAACAACATAGACCCGGCGACGGATCCTCGCTGGCTTGAGGCTCATATGTCACTATACTGCACTCGGGGACGAGGAAGGCATTCTCACAAAGCGCGGCCTTGCAAACATCGCTGGGAGTTGGTCTCACGAGAAACAGCGGAAAACTAAGCCGAATATCAGAATATCAGACTTAACTACAGGTAGTTAGTGCCAAACTCTCGGAGAACCTTCTTTATTCGTGGTCACTAACGACTGCAGACACCCAGCCTAAACTAAGTGCCTTGCAGCCCTAACTGGGCGCCTATAAGAGTCCTCACGCGACAACTAATTACCTTGGCTCCCTAGGGGTAAACGCAGCATGATAGACTCAGCAAGTCCCCATCGTGAGGAACCCACAACCTACAGGATAGCTGCACATACGCCCAGCAGTGTGTATTCTCAAACTGGCTGAGTGAGCATACCGGCCCAGATGAGAGTGTGGCCATCGACCACGAATTGCGTAGGAACTGTGGCATGTGCCTAAGAAGCTCGTCAGAGATCGCAGAGTATTCGCAGGCTGTTGAGAACACTTACCCTTGATAACAGCGTGGCTTGCCCAATGTTCATATGTTTGCCAACCCATGCGAGGCATTTCCTCATGTGTGTTTGCATGGCCGGCGGAACCACCGACATCCTTGTGCCAACATACAGTGGGTGCATGAGCAACAAGCCGCCAAAAGATGGACCGGGCTCTTGGATGTTGAGAGGGTTCGACAAAGCCCTTTGTGGATCCTTCAGGAGGAGAAAGGGAATAGACGAAATCATCTTTCCTGCCAGCCTCTGCGCTTCAGCATGCTCTGGTTTGTGCGAATCTCCCTCTTGCAGCAGCAATGAACATCGAACAATAAACTCGAGTGCAATAAGGCGAGCCTTATAATACGTGTTCCACACAGCAGCCACATAAGCTACAAATGTCAGTCTCCCTCTAAGGGGTACTTGATGGGTCCAGGGGGATATGCTTACGATCAAAATACTTGTCAACCTGTCCAGGCCAGAAGATGGAATCCCCTGGTGGACTATCGTAGCTACTCCAAATACCCATTGATGTTGGTCTCCATTTGACGGGTTGGCTGTCCTCCCATCTGGTGAGGTCTTCATTCAGGTCAAGCGCAGCGGCTTGTGTGAGTTTGATCTCATCCCAGCCAGTCAAAGTGCACGTAAGGAGCGCCTCGATTCTCGATATCAGCGGCCGCATCTTCACAAATGTGGAGTCGAGACTTTGGACGGAAGAAGTCAACGCCGGAGCACCAAGGATACCCTGTACAACCGATGCTCGCTAAGGGTTGTATGAGTACTTGGGTATCTAAAGAAAAGGGCTCCACCTACCTTTGTAGGAACTCCTATCAGCACTGGATCTGCAAGTTTGAATGTTTTCACTCCATTGACCAAATCCAGTCGAGACTCTCCAGAGCTCAAGATTGCTGATACACCTCTGACATGGGTTCCGTGTTCACCATGATGAGACTCTGTAGCCGAAATCATCTGCAAAGCAGATACGGTCAGCTGGATGAGCATTGCGAGGTATTTCCTCGAAATGTTGTAAGGCTGTCACGAGGGGACCATACCTCATACAAGCCGAGCAGCACAGCAGTCATGAATGATTCGATTGTTGGAGCCGTTAAGGGATTTGAAATAGTTCTCTGGAAGGAATGTAGAAGCCGGGAATAGAGTAGCTCGGCCCTGGCAAGAAGAACTGGACTGTTAGACTTCTTGCTCAAGTTTGCCAGTGCCACGATCTTAGCAGCCTGTGAAACTTCAGATAGAGGCCCTGCATAACATAGCAAAGTCTGTAGCCCATCGAGGTATCCTCGGGAAAGAGACCTGTCGGATGATGGAACACAGTAATCGACGAAAAATGTCTGAAGTGCGTGCTTCTCAGTCTGCTTCTCAGTCTGCTCCTCGTCGTACTGCGATTCGGTAGAGAAGGGATCCGATGCCTCACTGGGACCCCTTGTACCGTTGGAGCTACAGTATAGCTCCTCAGAGGGGGGGACGGAAGATGCCTGATATTGATAAGATCCCTCGTATGGCCGGAAAATGAGATCTGCATCATCTTTGTATCCCGAGCAGGTGAGTCCGGCTTTTCTGCATCGTGCACACACCTACAAGAAACTAATGTTAACACGCGAGACACAAGAAAGCGTTGATCAAGTAATGACTCTGGGTCTGGTGTTGGACTTGGAGCAGAGCTTCAACTGGTCAAGCGTCACTTGGAGGTGCTACGATCTTCAATCTCACGCCCAAGGAACGAAATCGGCAAGAGATGGTAGACTGTGAGAGCTTACTGGGCGTGCTTCATCACACTAGCAGATTGAAAATCTTCAGTACGAGCTCTCAATCTGGTACGAGCGAGACGACCGACCTTCTTGCGCCTGCGCTTGCAGGTGTGGCAACCTCGCGAAACACCGTTGTTGACCATGTCTCGACCAAGCCAGCGCAGATTCGCGCCTGTCTGTGTATATCCAGAGTGGAGGTTGGAGGTACAACTCGAACGTCCGATGCGATCGGCCAACGCGGCACAGCAGGATCGCCGGACCAAAGAACGTCGGATCAGGAGATCAGCAAGCTTAGGTAATGAACAACATCGTACCAAATACGCGTCATACAGCCATTCTAGGCTAGCTTACCGCGCTGCTGTCAAGACTATCGTACAATATCGGATGGATGATAAATGGTTTTGGTTCTCATTATGGCGGATGAAAAGCCCTTCCTTCTGCCGTGGGTATACGGATCAGCCGCTAGACCTGTTTGGTAACTATATCGTTTTAGGTTAGCTTAACGCGCAGATCCACTATTCTGCTTTAGGTTAGCTTTGCGCGCTCCTATGAGTAGCATGATTGGGTTACGCCTGCTTCTGTCCTGACTATATTCCCCATCAGAGTGAAATGGGGTCAGCCTCAGACCTGCATCGCTTGCAAATTTATTTCCCCGAGTACAAGCTCCAGGATTCGGTGTGCTCGATCGCCTTGAGTGTGATGGCACCTGAGACTGAATTCGTTAGGGAGCTCACCGGAAGGACAGATGGGTCTTGCATCCGCTATGGGTATAAATAAACTCATCCTCGCACCCTATGCTCGTGGTGTTCTTCCCCTTGCCAGAACAAAACATCAGCCGTATTCCAACAGACCACACACGGAACTGATTGTCAATTAAACCATTTACGTTTGTCAAGAGTCACCGACATATTTCAAGACCGAGAAAATGTCCAATCATATCCAGAACATCGCAATCGTCGGAGCAGGCGGTAGTCTTGGAAGCGAGATTCTAGCCGCGATTCTAGCCCAGTCGCCTTCCCTCAACTTCAAGGTCAAAATCATCACTCGACCAGGCTCAAGCATTCTCACCTCCGCCCACTCAAGCAACTCATCTATCACGTTTGCAGTTGGCGACTATGACGATCATTCCTTCCTAGTTGGTGCGCTGACGGGCCAAGAGGTGCTCATTATCGCTCTAGGTTTTACTGCGAGCCACAAGTACCAGCCTCTATTCATCAAAGCCGCTGCCGAAGCCAAGGTTCAGTACGTCTTGCCGACCGAATTTGGGAGTGACACGACCAACCCCAAGATCATCGAATATCATCCTTCAGCCCATGAGAAGGTGGCTGCCAGAAAGCTGGTAGAGGAGCTTGGTGTCAGCAGCTGGATCGCTATCATCTGCAGTTCGTGGTACGACTGGAACACCAAAGGCGGATACTTTGGCATTGACATCAAAGCCAAGAGGGCTGTTCTGTTTGACGGTGGCGAGCAGAAGACCGTACTGAGCACAATTCCCTTTGCTGCACTCGCCACCGCCAAGGTTCTCAGTTTGCCAAAGACGGCCATGGTCGAAGGAAAGCCTTCCTTGGAATGGTACAGAAACAAGCCTGTCTTCGTCAACTGCTTTCGCGTCAGCCAGAAGGACATGTTGGCTTCCATTCAGAAGGTCGTTGGAGCAGGTGGGTGGGAGATCAGCCAGAAGCCCACCATGACGCATTACACCGAGGGCAAAGAGCGGCTTGCAAAGGGCGACTTTATGGGAATCTTGAATTTGCTGAGTGCCAGCCAGTTCATGGACGGGGTGGGAACTTCATTGAGCGGTCCCCAGCAGAAGGAGATCCTGGGATTGCCTCCGGTGGACTTTGATGAGACGACGCGGCAAATTGTCGAGGACGTCTTAGCTAGTGAGAAATGAACGACACAGAGAAATGTGTTGTGTATAAGTGTTTTGGAATGAAAATATTCGTCATACATGGGTGGATCTTGTTTAGAGACAATGTCTTCACGTATTGTCTTCTAAGCGGCCTAGTGGTAATTGATGGAGCCAGAAGTGAAGGTATCCTTGGCCCGGTTGCCTCTTTCTTATAGGAGAAATAGGTTGACGTAAAAGCCCTTTCTGTTCTCATCCCATTGGAGGTTTTCCTGATAAAGGTGGTCATGCGTAGAAAATCGGGAGGTACAGAGGTCCTGCATGATCCGGGACTTCGAGGTCTCCGAATTGTTCACACGCCTTGTTTCGTTTACTGTTATCTGTAAGATCCTTCCATTCACTCTATGTTGGCAGAGAAGCAGCTATCGAACCGCTGATAACAATGGGAGGACCTCACTGCGTGGTGTGCCACCATTCAACCTTCACGATCTAGGTATCTTATGCTTCCAATCTCTTATACTCCTCGGCCAATCCCATGAAGCCGTGAAACCTGCGCGTAGGGTCATACTTGCGACGAATGGTTTCGAGGCGCTTAAAGTTTTCCGCTGCCATGAATCGCGCGGGCCTCTTCAGGAGGTTTTCATCCGACAACTGTGAACCCACTCCGACGTCTGCCACGGAAGCAATGCCCTCGGCGATAATCTTGGCCCATTCCTCATGCTCTGCTGGATCTGTGTAGTATGCAAAATACGTGATGTACACATTTCCTTCCAGAGAGAAAGCCATGTCGGGTAGCTTGTGTTCTTTGCGATTCCAGTACAGAAAATACAGATGTGACGGTGCAGGACCCAGAGCAGCTATCATCTCACGCAGCTGCGGTAGTACGGTCCGAATTGGCGCGTTCATCCATGTGTTGTCGGCGACAATTTCGGGATGTCCAACTTCGAGCACACCCCCGACGGTGTCCAGAAGGACGTCGAGATCCCCGTCACGGAAGATCTCTGCCTTTAATGAGTTCGACAGGACTGGCAGGCGGTGTACAGTCTCCAAGGCTGAGCGTGCCTCTGCGCGGGTTGCAGCTAGAGCGTCGGCTCGCACCAGTGCGCTCAGCCCTGGAAACCCTTGTTGGTCGTGACCAATAAACATGGACACTTCGAGATGGCGAGGGAAGGAGTCCTTGGCGCCATCAAGAGACGATATCAGCTCATTCAGGTGATCGGTTGAAACCCAGAAGCAGCTATTCATAATGGCCCTCGGCAGGGGGTGACATCGAAGACGAAATCGGGTAATGACGCCGAAGAATCCATGTCCTGCGCCTCGTGCTGCCCAGTACAGGTCGGAGTGCTCGTTCTCATCGGCGTGGACCAAGGTTCCATCTGGAAGGACCACGTCAACCGCAAGTACGTTCTCGCAGCCCATGCCGTAGAGTCGAGAGTTCCAGCCAAACCCTCCTTGCAGAAGGTAGCCTCCCAGGCCGACGGTCGGACAGTGGCCGCCAGGGAACATGTAACCGTGTTCCTTGAGCCTTGCATTCAAGCTGCCGCCAAAAGTCCCAGGACCGACAGTGGCCGTTCCGGCATCAGGATCAACGGTGATGTCGTTCAGTCGAGACACATCAATCAGCATGCCACCATCCCTGAGAAAACTGGCGGTCCAGGAATGTCCCCCTGAACGAATGCCGATCTTCATGCCTTTTTGCCAGGCATACTTGACCACAGCGATGACATCTTCTGTATCCTTCGGCTGGACGATGATGTCCGGATAGCGTTCAGGCTTGTGTCCATTCCAAACCACCTTACTCCTAACGGCTTCGTACTCGGGGTCACCCTTGGCGAATGTCGCGCAGGACAGCTCCATGGTTTCCGGTTGATCGGTGGATGTTTGGCGTCACTGATTATGGATTCGATAATTGGCTGCGAGTAAGAACAATGATACAACTCAGGAAATATGTGCAGCTCTTGTTGCTTTCATCCACGAATTCTGCTCAGGCGGGGCAAGACTTGCAGAAATGGAAGGGGAGATAATGTATCATGCTGAAAGATATCCATGATTATATTCATTTTAATGCGATTCTGCCCTCGGCTTTACTCTTGGATTTACGAGCGGTTGTGGCCGAAAAATGAATCCAGTCTGTAGCAAGTACTGGATGATGTTGAGCTCCTTAAGTTGTCATCACACGCACATTCTAGGTTAGTTTACCGCGCTGTGGGGTTTGTACGAGCTTCTCGTACTCGTACTCACAGGGTCTTCTTCGGTACGTAGCTTGAGATACCAATAGGGTTGCCGTCGTCTTCGCATAGCAGAGCACGCCTGACGAGATAAGTGAGCACTGGGAACCGTAGTCAAGGGTTTCGATGGTGCTGCCCATGCATGCTGTTGCATCAGCCGTGTTAGTGTGCTTCCAGGCGGCCCATTTTCGTCCGAGGGATGCTCAACCTGACAACTATTCCAGTCAGCAATCGTCGTAAATAGCTTGGAGGCATCGTTGTACCGATCCCGTTCTCGAATATAAATGCCTTGATCCGCATGAACGTGTGATCTTGCTGCCTCGATACTCTTGCACTGATCCAGTTGTAATTTGTTCAAAGAGATTGATCTGCATTGCCACATAGATCTTCTCCGACACGGTCCAGGAATACTGCCAATATGACAGTGTATCACATAGGTGCGTCTTCCTGGCAAATACTGCCCTCAACGTTTCGTCACCACTGAGCCAAGTATTACTGCTGACACCCGGCTTTGCGGTGCTGTGTACTCTCGCGTTCTCTGGCCACCTGCGCTTTGCCTTGGTTGCTGACAAGTTTTTCCAATAGTCCTTTTCAAGTGCAAGCGTGGTACTGGCCCACAAGAGCTCGCTCAATTTTCTCAGTCCGCCAAGCAAATGTTGGGCCAGATTCCAGGATTGTTGGCTGTTGAGGTCGGACAAGCACTAGAATTCACTAAGCCCTTCGCTCATGGATATGATGTGGGAGCTGTGGTGACATTTGCCATGCCAGAGGACGTTGAAGTATTTGCAAAGCATCCTCTTCACGACGGGTATGTTAGCCAAGTCAAGTCATTCAGCATGCTTGACTGTTTCCGACGACTGCTGGATTTTAAAATGAACACGGTCCTTTCTTCGTAAATGCAAGCACTGTACTGACCTTGTTGTCTAGAGTGATGCAGCTGCGGGATGAGTTCTTTGAGGAAGACATGTTGCTTCTCGACTTTAAGTTTTGAACATAACTGGAAAATACATTCAACGCATCGAAGATATATGGTAGTCGTGAGAGATCCTGCCAGTGGGTTCTCTTGAAATGTTCTGATGTACTGTGTGGTTGATAAGAATGAGATGACAGTTCCATCAAGGTATTGCAATAAGGTATTGCAATCTATGCTTTTCTTTGGCCTCATCCCCTGAAAGCATGGACAACAGTTGTGATGGAACCTTTGCCTCGAAGCTGCGAGAGAGCGATAGGAGAGAGTGTTTTTAAAAACGGCGTGACTTTTGGTTATGGGACGTGTGCTGGCCGCTTTTACATCCAAAGCCATAGTCGGGAACCCGTGAAAGTCAATTCAATTGCGGGCAACAAGTGTTCAAGATACGGAACAAGAACACAGTGTTCGTACAGAGTCAACAACAATGATATGAGAATTGCCGCCATCATAATTTGACCAGGTAGTATACAAAGTTGAGCGTAGTGCTGTGGCTTACTACCCACACGGCGTCGCAGACACAGCCAGAAGCCGTCGCAAACGCAGGGAGGATATCAAGACAATGGTGTCTACATGATGATGCTGCTGCTCATCCACAAGCTCCCGCAATTTCATATATTCTCAAAAATAACCCTCTCTAATACTCCAAGACGAGATGCCTGCTCGCACAGAGACCGGGACGTCTCAAGCCGATGCAACTGACATTCTTCTCGCGAAACTCGATCAGCCTACCTTTGACGCAGTCGACTTCCTGAATGCCAGCCTTCCGGTCCTTAACCTTTCATCCCAATCGCAGCTTCAGAAGACAGCCAGGTCTACCCAGATTCAAAGCGCCTCGGCTGATACGCTGTCATTACTATCGACCTTGAATACTGCGAACGTTCGCGCCTCCTCTGACTTGACCTCTCTCACGGACGAGATCATACGTAGTGGCAATCGCCTGGCGTACGAGGTGGAAGTTCTTCGTGGTGATGTCAATGGCATGCATGAGCTCTTAACAGAGTCACTACGAGAAGACATTGCGCATTTTGTTCTGGCCGCAACGAATGCACCGAGCTCGACGGCAGATACAGATGCGTCGACATCAAACGAGGAACCCGAGTTCATGTCCCAACTGCGTTTATTGGGCAAGGTCAAAGCACGTTTGGAAGCTGTCATCGGCATCTTTGGAGAAGCCATGAAGTGGCCAGTACCCCCCTCAGAAGTTTCAGTGACTTCGTCCTTGATATCGGTCTCGGCACCTGAATTAGGAATTCAAAGCACAGAGGCCGACGAGAAGGCGTGGGAATCTCTTAAGGGGATTCGCGCGGATATCAACGAGCTACTCAAATCTGATGGGGGAAGCTATACAGGCCTCGAGGCAGCAGCGCAAAGAGTGGAAGAGTTCAGGCAATTAGCCCAGGTATGGAAGGGCACCAGCGAAGAGAAAGCAAGAACCAAGTTTGTCGATACGTTGGCAAAGTCTGTGGAAGACAGGAGGAAAACACTGGACAGCCGTGAAGTCTCGCGAGGTGCAAGAACAGACGGTCTGCATCGGCCAAATTCAGTCATGGGCAGAAGTACCAAAGGGTTTAATGAAGGTGGTGCGGCCGGGTTGTTCAGGAATTTACAGCGTTTGAAGGACGACTTGTATCTAGAGTAACGTTGGTCCTTCTGGATACCACGCTCACAGGAACTTGTTCTGGTGAACAGCGGGCAGCTGACCAAGTTTTCCTCGGTACATTTTCCTTGCTGCGCAACATCTGTACACCCAAATTTTTGCTCAAGACTGGTTACCCCAAGCATTCGCGCAGGACGCCAGGTGATCCATTTGCTCGTGAAAATTTCTTTTTTATTCGCTTTCGATCCTTGGAATCTGATCGCCTCGTCTTCCGAGCGCAGAACCAGAGCCTCACGTCGTTAAGCCGCCATAAAATGCCATCCGAACCTTCCTAATTCTTGCACGCGCTTAAAATCTGAGGGGAGTGAAGAACCATCGGTTCTTGCCGCTAAGGTATCTCTCCTCCAAAGCCTTCTTCACATTCTTCTTGGCATCTTCTCTCTGAGAAACCTCCTTGAATGTGTCGTTCGAGATGACGCTCTTCAGTCCTTCCAACTCCAGGGTGTATCGGGTAGGCATGATGTGGTTGTAGTTGATCATCTTGATGAAAGGCTTGACCTTTGATCGCTTCTCGACTCGCGTCTTGCCCATGCGGCGGGTGATTTTCGAAGGGTAGCGCTCGATACCGGCAACCAGGGCGTAGGAGAAAGGATGTTGCTTGGTGCCTTGGTCGACGGGCTGGATGATGACAACCTGAAGACTGAGTCAGTATCTGTGCCTGACAATATCGCCCGCAACCTCTCGTCTAGAGCCCGGGCGAACATTAGAACGCACCTTCTTTCCGGCGTATCGGCCTCGAGTGATGATGGCCACACGGCCGACCTTGAGGACTATTATGAATGTCAGTACGCATGTCGATAAAAACACAAAGCGCAAGCGACCTACACTTCATCTTGAGGTCAGAGGGGGCGTGGTGTTGTTGTCGGAAAGAGTTCGAAGTCGCTGGTCGCAATGAGGTTGACGATGCACGACCAACTGCATCGGCTTGAAAAGTTCTTGTGTGGGCTTGGCAGACAACCTATTGTGAACTTATGTAAGCGAGGCCGCATGTTGATTGACTAGTCTCGAAATGGCCACATCACCCACGTGAGAGTACACTAGTCCCATTGCGGAACTGTCAACAAACCATTGCTGCATTACCGCCTAAAGACCTTGCCTCGACATACAGGCATCATACCAGCAAGGAGAGGAGTTTGGATTCTGAATTTTGCTTCTTACGATTGCTGGCAGATTCGATTCTTTCTGTATAGGCCAAAAGCTTGACATTGAAACGATATGACCACAGTTTAACCTCATTTCCAGTGACAGCATTCTTGAAGTTCTCCACGAGGCACTGACCATGTCGACTTACTCTCGAGAAAACTCGAGGGACCGTGCTGAGTCTCGGATAGTGAAGCATCAACATTCGTTTTCCGAGTCCGGCAGAAGCTCCGTGCCCATGTAAGTGCCTTCGTCGCTTCTAACAACAGGGTAAACACAGTACTTACACGTAACAGGTGGGACAGCTCAGATCCAGACCGAGCACCTCCTCCGCTACCACTGAATCCTGGAGGGCCAGGAAGCCCAATCACTCGATCTAATACATCGAAACGTATTGATGAAGCCGCTGCCTTGATCACTGCGAAGGCGCGGGAGAATGCGCCTAGCTCTTACACAAGCAACCCTCCACCTACTTGCGTCTCACCCGACAGAAACATCATGCGAGCGCAGAACCGACGAATGCAGAGCATCCAAAGCCCCAGTATCAACCGATTGAGCGATTCTCTGGAGAGAAGATCACCAGAAAAGGGACTTAGGACTGCTAGATTTGTCGACTTCGAAGATCTACACAACAACCGAACCTCGGAGCGCCCGCGTAGATCAGAAACCCCTACACCCAGTGAAAGAAAGTCAAGAGACTTTGAAAACACTCCACCAGGGTCAAACATGCTTGCGCTACAAAGCGTAAGGAATAGGCAGGACCCGGCGCCGCTTGGGGACATCACAAACGGCACCTCACCTCCGATTCCCAACTTCTCGTTCGACTCTCTCTCCTCGCAGATCTTGAGCCTGACGAGTATTGTCACCAATGTGCAGAAGGAAATGGCGAGCTTGAATAAGCGGAGCAAGGACAACTATACAGACTTGATGGGCTTGAAGGAGGCAGCCACATCCCGAGATGAAGACATCCGAAAGAGCCTACGAGAACTCGTTGCTGGTTTGGAAACTAAACTTAGCAGCCTGGATACTCGTCTTCTCTCTGCATCCGAATCCAGTCGGCCGAATTCCACCATTGGGGGCCTGTACTTGGATGACAAGGCCCATAACATTACAACGCCTCGTAAGAGCTTCGGTCTTCCTCGGATTGGGAGTCCTACAAGTTTCTCAGCCCAACTCGAGCGGGAAATGAGTGCTTCTCCCTCACTGGCTTGTGTCGATGGTGCTGCGAGCATCGCTCTCCTGGAAAAGGTCCTCAGAGAAATGGCCACTCGCGAAGGCCAAGATAACATTATCAATACCCTGGAGGCTGTTAAGTCTCAGGTTGCCAAAAGTTCAAACACCATGGTTCCTACACAATCGACGGTCGACCCAAATATGATGTCAAAGTTGGAGGATGTCTTGAACACCATGAAAGAATTGAAGACAGAGTCAGGCTCTCGAGCATTGATCCGCTCCAATGGCAACGAAAACTTGAAGCGAACTTCTCATCTTGATGTGTTCCTGGAAGACACCGCCAGTCCCAAGTCGAAGCCGAACTCCGAAGGAAGAGCATCATTCCCCGGATCCGATAATCTCACAGAAGAAATCGCGAAGACACTGAAGAGTGTAAAGCAGTCAATGGCGCATAATGGTGGTCTTACCAACGAGGTCAAAGTCCTGGTCCGCGAATTGCGCGGTGAAGTACTTGGAATGGGTCGGGAAATCGGAAGGAAGTTGGAGCAATCGGCTTTGGCCAAAGGAACCGATCCTGATGCTCATACGGTATTTCAAACTGAGATCGCGACCACCGTGCAGCAGGGCTTAGCTGAACTCAAAGAACACTTCCATCAGATTGTTCACGAAAACAGAGGCAGGTCTATGGAAGTCGCTCGTTCGTCAAATGACACCCAAGAACTTGTTCGAGCTGTACGCAACGCCTTGGCCGAAATGCCGCAACCAACTAAGGAGCCCGTTAGAGATCCAGCTGCAGAACGGGAGGAACTACTGGTGGCTGTCAGAGAAGCGTGGGAGGACTGCAAACCCGAAATTGCTCTGGAGCACTTTGGGCTGGAACGAGACGAGATACTGGAGTGCCTCAAAGAAGGCTTGAAATCTTACCAGCCCCAGCAATCGACAGTACAAGACACCGGCGTGACATACGACGAAGTTGTTCAGGCTGTCCAAAAAGGACTTGCGGATTACACACCACCGACTGTACCCACTCCAATTGGGATCTCCCAAGACGAAGTCTTTTTGGCCGTCCGACAATGTTTGGACAGCTTTGAATGGCAGAATGTTCATCTAGCACAACCCTCTGATGCCGGGCTGACGAGGGAAGATGTTACTGGCGCGGTTGAAGAGGCTCTGGCCCGGCAAGAATTGGTTACTCAAGATTTTGTGACTGAGAGCTTGAAAAATGGCGTTTCCCAGTCAGAGCCGGTTGCGAAGGAGATCGAATTCAATCGGGAAGACTTGTTTGATGCCATCAGAGCCTGCCTGGAGGGCGATCAGAACCCTCTAGGTGGCATGGGCGAAAAGGTTATAGAAGCGATGCATGAATTCCTGGGAAGTATGAAAACCGAATTTCAACAGTACTCAGCTGCGAGTGGGAAGGACACCGAACAAGTACTTGACGCTCTGAAAGACGGTCTGGAGGATTTACGAGCAGACATTGAAAGCTACGTCGATCGTGCTGCAGATGTCACTGGCAAAGACGAGATTATAGACACGGTAAAAGCTGGGTTTGCTGCGATGCAGGCCGATATCGACAAAGGCTTCGCGACTCGAACAGGTGGAGCGCCAAATACACCGGAGCTGCTTGACGCGATGGAAAAGGAGTTCGAGCATCTTCGCGACACCATCAACAAGGGCATGGCCAGGAACGAATCATTGTCAGACAAGGACGAAATACTTGATGCTATCAGAGATCTTTCGGACGATCGACAATCATCCCTGAGCGGGAACACTGAGGACCTTGCCCGCCTAGTAAAGGAAGAGCTGGAACACATGCGGGCCACTCTTGCCGGCACTCTGATTAAAAACGGGTCTTCTTTGGACCGAGACGAAGTTCTGGACGCCATCCGTGAAGGATTGGAGGCGTCTCGCTCCGGGCATAGAATGGACGGATCGGAGAGTATTCTTTCCAATACCAGCGAGCTGTTGGACGCCTTCCAGGATGGTGTAGACGGCATCAGAGCCGACATCCAGAAGCTAAACGATCGGCCAATCGATCTGAGCGCCAGTGAAGAGGTTCTGGATGCTTTGAAGGCAAGCGTTGAAGGCATTCGCGAAGACATCTTCCGCCTTCACGAAAAGGAAAAGGATGGTTCCGATTCGGGCACCGCAAGGGGACAGGAAATGGTCATCCACGACCAAAACCGAATCTCGACAGAAATTGAAGGCCTGAAGGTCATGATCACCCAGCTGCGGATCAAAGTCGAAGCATTAGACGGTCTGGGTGCTACAGCCGTTCCCTCCGAGACTCGATTACACAGGGACGATATGAATGAGCTTCAAGATGCCATTCAGCATGTTGGTGAAACGATTGCCCAGACGAGTGCTGAGGAAGTTCATGTTCATAGGGATGACTTGGATGGCATTTACACTGCAATCAATGAGGTCCACAGTTCGGTCAATCGCATACGAGATGCAGGCCTGCCAGAGGTTGTCATGCCTGAGAATGCCGCATCGAAGGATGATACAGATGCCATCGAGACGTTGCTCCGAAACATAAAGGCCAGGCTGGACGAAGTCCTTTCCCCGGAATCAGAACCATTGGCGAAATCTAGTCAGCTTGACGCAGTCGAGTTTGGCCTCAAGGACCTCAAAGAAGTCGTCGAAGAATGTACCCAACGTTCCGGCGAGCAGACTCACAAAGAAGATTTCACCATCATCGAGCTCATGCTGAAGGATGTGCAGGGCAATATCGAAGACTTTAAGTCAAAGCTGGATGGAGTTAACCGCGATGATAATGGATCCATCAGCAAGACCGATGTCGAGGTCATCAAAACATTATGCATGGATATCAAGAGCCAAATGGAGTCTATCAAGCTCCCCAGCTTAGACGGGTTGCCAACCAAGGAAGACATTAACGATGTCAAAAACGACATCAAGTCTTTCCGAGAACAGTTTGAGGCCGATAATGGACTGACGGCTCAAGCTTTTGAGGCAAGAAAAATCGAGCACGGTGGATTGGCCACCAAAATCGACGACGTCAAGAGTATCATCAGCGATGTTCGGGACGAGTTCATGGCAAAGGTCGACGGCAGCGCAGAAGGCATCGTCGAGCTGAACAAGGTGCTCGGAATGCACCATGATGACATGAGCAAATACGCTACTTCATCAAGCATTGCGAAGATGTCAGAGATGATCAAGACCGAACTCGAACGGCACATGGATCATCACGCGAACATCAAGTCCGAGATGGAGGAACGCGATGCCACGTTGTTCAACAAGCATGAAGAAACCGGAGCTGACATCAAGATGGCCATCGAAGAGAAGTTCATCGAACTCATGACCAAATATGATGATGCTCAGCAAGCCAACGAGATCAAGCTGGCTGCTCTTGAAGAACGTGATGGCGCTCATTTAGAAGCCACCACTGGCACGAGGGCTGTGGCGGATGAACTCAAGTTGTTGATAGATACTCTGGGTTCTACAGTTACTGAAACCTGTGAGCGGGTGTCCGAGGACTCGAAGACTGTCTTTACATCGATTGAGGATTCCAATTCGAAACTGGAAAATCTTCACAGTGCTAACGCCTTCGAGCACGGAGTGACGCGAGAAGAGGTCGCCAAAACACTAGCTGCTGTGACGAGATTAGAAGGATCTGTGGCGGAAAAGCAGCCCGCCTTACTCTCCGCCATTCAACAAGTCCTGGGTGTGGTCAGCCAACACTATGAGCATTCGCAACAGCAGAGTGAGAGCTTCACTCGCGCCACTGAAGAGATCAAGTCAGGGGTGGACTCGATCCCCTCAGCCATTCCTCCTCTGCTGCCCGCCTTACCAGCCACACCAGCGAGTCCCGAGATCTCTAGAGAAGTGCCTGTGCATGAGAAATATGACGATAGCGAGGTGCATGATAAGCTTGACACCCTTCTCTCACACGCAGCATTGGCCAAAGAAGTTTTTGCGGGCATCGAAAACCGGCAAAATGATACTCGAGACTCTTTGGCTGGACTATCGAAGCTTGACGAGATCCATGCCCAGGTGATGGCTACAGCTGCGGAGATTGCCAGCATGGTCACCACCCAAGCCAGGCTCATGGGTGAGCATCACGAGTCGAAAGTGGCCGAGGCGGCCGAGGCGGCCATTGCGCTGGAAAAGCGGACAGCTCAAAAGGAGAAAGTTGAAGCCGATATCGTTGCTCTCAACCAAGAGAAGAACGTGCTCGTCGAGGCTATGGCAAGTCTCAAACGTGAACAAGAAGAGCTAAGTGGACAGACCAAGAGGTTGAATCGTGAAGTGGCCAAACTTGAGACGGCACTCCAGCTACGACAAGAAGAAATCCGTCAGATGAACCTCCAAGCTGAAGCTGTGGAGCGTCGTATTGTGGATGGGCTTGTCAATCAGGCGAGATCCATCCATCCCAAGAGGTCCAAAGCCAGGGGGATCAATTCGGCCGAGAGAGATGCTTCGATGAGCCTCAAGCGTGTTCCTAGCAATGCCACGACTGTGACTGCCAAAGCCTCCGTCAAAGACGGTAATTCATCGATCGGCAGCGCGGTTGGCATGGCACTGAAGAAGCGAGCCCCCTTGACGTCCAACGCCCGAGCCTCCACCACTCCGAGGACGTCTGCAGTCGACCGTCGCATCTTGAGTACCAGCCATGTCACAGGCAACCGTGGGCGCAACACTCCCGACATGGCATTGATGCTCGCGCCCGCGCCAAAGCCGGCCACGGGTCTGGTCAGCTTAAAGCGAAGCCAATCAGTGAAGAGCAATCCCAGCAGCTATGCGAATGGTCGAAAGGCGAGCTGGAATGGAGTCACATCTGAACTCACAGACAAAGAGAACTTCGACATGGGCCACGATGAGAGCGAGGATGATTCACAAAGCGATGCAAGCACTGAAAGACGAACCAGCCTCGGCACCAGCTACATGTACACTGACAGCATGACGTATGGCACTGGCAGTTCGTTGAGCGGACGCAGCCGACTGTCAACTGGCAGTAGCATCGTTGGCACTGTCAACGGTCGCACGGAGAGCATTGCAGAAGAAGATGAGGAGCAAGCGGTGGACTCGACTGCTTTGGTTTTACATGACGCCGGACAAGTCAACTCAGGACAAGACAACTCGATGGCAATCACAACACTTGATGGCCTGGAGACGCCAAATGTCGTTGCAGAAGTCTTGTCTGACCTTCAACCTCCACCCCTCTTGACGGCAGAGGGATTGAAATACCACCTTGGTAGTGACAGTGGACTTGGTACCGAGCCTCTTACAGCAGGGACGGAGGAGAGAATTGGTGAAGCACAAGAGTACTTTCGGATGACGGCGCAGGAGATGCAGCAGTGATGAGCACAGTAGGGAACATAGTATGTCTTGGATTGAGCGGATGGATGGTGTTTGGCGTTTGGCCTGGGCAGCCTGGCTCGAGTTCTTGTTTCTATGATGTGAGCGTTCAGCGAGGGCGACAAGGCCAATGGCCACTGAGTTATGGTCTTAGGACAGCAGCAGGTACGACTGTATAGTCAACCGGTCAGGATGATCATGAATTTCTTAATTCTCTTCTTGATTGTCGAGCCTCCACGTCCTACGACTTGTGCCCTGAGGTATACCGTGTGTTGCAGGCGTTGGGTGGTTTGGTGTCAGTTACAGCAGTGGCACCCGGCAGCCTAGTGGCGTGAATCTCGGGTACCTTCGTCAGAGCTCTCAGCGAGGCCTATTAGGCCTGGTAGGCGGCGAATCCTCAGGCGCCTTAGGCGCCAATAGGCGTCCACACGGTGCCTAAGGCAGCGTACTGCCTTCTGTGCCCCCTTATTGGTGCCGCCAGCCACGGATATTTCCCCAACAATTCGCGCCCCGTTTGCTGCGTCATCCCGTCCTCGTTGTTCTCTCTCCTCCAACCTCGAGACCCTCGACATTGATGATGTGACCTGCGCACACGACCACCACCACCGAGACTCCCTCTCCTCGCCACGACCTCCTCCTTCTCTCTGATCAGCAGACCCTCGATCCAAGCACGACAGTTCTTGTCGACGGCACTCCTAAAAGCAGCATAGTCCTCTAACGAGCCGTGCTCAAGGACTGTCTCAAAGCGCTCTCAAAACCAGCACAGCAATAACGTGACAAGAAAAAAAGAAAGAGGAGGAAGACTTGAATCTGTACTGAATAGGAGAGGCGGAAATGCTCGACCCTCTTCCACCCCCACCATCGTGGCTCGTGGCTCTGGTAAAGCCATACTCGGACGCTCTCAGTCTACCAACGTTTGCCTACCATGTCCACGAGGTTCTGTTTGCGTTTGTGTTATACCAAGCTACACAGAGTATTATATCACCGGTGCTAAGCAATGTTCTGTTTCCGAGCATTTATCCAAAATTGAACAGGCGCACGAGAGTCAACTGGGATGTGCACGTTGTGAGTCTGGTGCAGAGTTGCTTGATCAATGGCCTTGCGCTGTGGGTGATGATTGTGGAGTAAGTTCGATCGTCTTTCCCGACCATGGAACCAGACAGGAGACGACCTGCTGACGCCCTGTTCTGTAGTGAAGAGCGTAAGGAGATGGGCAAAGATCGCGGCGGGAAGGGTGCAGTGGAAAGAATCTACGGATACACGGGTGCCGGGGGCTTGATTCAGGCTTTCGCTACCGGTTACTTTGTGTGGGATATCGTGGTCAGTACACGATATCTGAAAATATTTGGGATAGGGATATGGATGCATGCTGTGACAGCTTTGGCTGTGTTCAGTCTAGGTTTCGTAAGTGTACCACGCTCAATCCATTCCCGCACCTTTTCCCTTGTGCAATAGCTGAGACTTTCCAATCTTCCTAGCGGCCATTCTGCAACTACTATGGGCCGGTGTTCATCCTCTACGAGTTGTCATCCCCATTTTTGAACATCCACTGGTTCTGCGACAAGCTCAACATGACTGGATCCAAATTGCAATGGTACAACGGCATGCTGCTGCTAGGCATGTTCTTCTCATGTCGGTTGATATGGGGCACCTACCAGTCCCTCCGTGTGTATCAGGATGTATGGCACGCGATGCACCTAAATACAAAAGGTCAAGCACCATTCATTCGCGAACTGCACGAGTCCAGTGTTCCAGGCCACTCAATCTTTGTACCAAGGGACGGGCAGCTGTGCGCTGGTGATGCGGCTTGTATACGAGCAGAGAGCGAAGTGATGAAGTTCACAGGACCGGAGACATTGGCGGTCCCTATCTGGCTGGCTGGTGTGTATCTGGTGAGCAACCTCGTTTTGAACAGTTTGAACTTTTACTGGTTTGCAAAAATGATCGAGACCGTGCGTAAACGATTCCAAGGAAAACCACATGATGAGTTCGCGGGTGAACGGGAGAAACGACCTCAAAGGAAGACTAGTATGGTGGAGCAGATGGCAACTGAGCTGGACAAGGAGACGCTGTCTGGACCTACTGGTGACGCAGACGATGAGAAAATTGAGGTTTCCGCGACAAGTACGGCTGTGCTTGCAGATGGGCAAGTCAAGAGGAGATGAGTACGACGCCAATGTGATGGCTTCGGCAGACCCAAAGGCGATTATAAGTACCAAGCGGCATGAGGAGGTTTACCTGGCGCGCGTCTTCCCTTGATTGACGTGGATTTCAGTCCAGGGATTGCGTTGCTGAAGACGAAGGCGAGCGAGCGAGCGCGGTGTATAGGTATTCTTGGAGGTGTAGTTTTGTGTCCCTGCCTACATCTCCGAGGGACTGGGAATGGAATGATGCGCATTGCTTGAGACACTCATACCTTGGTGCTTGCAGGATGCGAGGGCAGGGAATCGCAAGGCTGAGACAATGAGGGCTGGACAAGGCTGGGGCTTTGATCAATCTAATCTAATCTTGTTTACTGTGCTGGTTGCCCAATCAACGCCTTCGCACGCCCCAGCCAAAACATCGGCGTTTCGCGCTTCTTCTGTGCCGCGCTATTTGTGGACGGAGTCACTTTTGATGCCACTGCTCGTACATCGTCCGTCGACGTTCCAGAAGCAAAGCTGCAGACAGGCCTTGTCTACCTACAGGACACTCCGTTCACTTGTCGTCGTCCTTGGCTCCGTGCCAAGCAGAGCAAATCCTTTGACCCTGTCGCATCCCTTGTCGCATCCCTTGCAAACCTTGATAGAACTCAGCGAGGCCGAACTTGTGCCTCAATCTGGCATGCGACGACAACGCGTGGCTTCGAATCGCTCGCCTTGACCTGTCATGACCTTGACCTTGACGATATAGCATTCAGAAATCTCGACGGTTGGAAGACCCCGGCGCAGGGCATTGAGGACAGACCACTTAAAATTCTGTTGTTGCAGTCGTTGGCTGCGGGCGGAGCCTTTTACACCACAAGCGGACCACACTGAGAAGAAGTTCAAAGGGCCAAGATGGCGTTCCTCTTCGGCTCAAGAGGTCGACAGAAACACCCCGCTGAGATCGCAAAGGGTTTAAAAGAGTTACTCGGCAAGTTGGGCGAAGGGTCGAAAGGAGGCAACGGGAATGGCAACGGTGCCAGTGGAAAGGTATGTAATGCCTTCTGTATATCTGCACATGAACAGCCGTGAAGGCGAGGCAACCAGAAGGGAGACTCCAACGATAGCTGACGGCGCATGCTCCACGGTATAGGTTGAAGAAGAAGTCGGCAAACACATGAACCAGATGAAGTTGATTGTTCAGGGAACTCCTGGTAAGCACTTCTGCCCTCTTGTGTCTCGGCATCTGTGCTGACCCGTGTATCTACAGAAGTCGAATGTTCCCCTGATCAAGTGCACCAATTGGTAACCTGCATCATTCAAGAAGACATCCTATACGAACTTGCCCGCTCAATTCGATTGCTCCCGTTCGAAGCCCGCAAGGACGCCCAGATCATATTTTCGCATATCTTGCGATGGCGACCGAACGGGGCGCCGCCGACCACGGAGCCGTCAGCAATATCATACCTCGTCGTACAGCGGCCTGAGATCATCGTGGAGTTGTGCCGAGGGTACGAACATCCCCAAGCTGCAATGGCATGTGGTACGATATTGCGACAAGCCTTGCAATACGACACGATCGCCGCGGTCATTCTCTACGACGAGTCGCAGCCGAATGTGGAGGGGGAAAGGGCAGTACAGCTCAAAGAGGTCGATGTCACGAAAAAGCAGTCTGGCAATGGTGTATTTTGGAAGTTCTTTGGTTGGATAAACAGAGGAAGTTTCGAAGTCAGTGCCGATGCGTTTACGACGTTCAGGGTAAGTTGTAATAGTCCAACTGTTCAACGGACTTTTTTGGGGGTTTGACTGATTCCGTCTTATAGGAGCTCTTGACGAAGCACAAATCCATCGTCTCTCAATATCTGGCTACGAATTACGACCTCTTTTTCAAAACACACTACAACCCTACCCTCCTGCTCTCCCAGTCATATGTCACCAAACGCCAATCGATAAAACTGCTGGGCGAGCTGCTTCTTGATCGCGCGAACTATGTCATCATGACGCAGTACGTTGCAAGTGGCGACAACCTCAAACTCACCATGAACCTGCTCAAGGACGATCGCAAGATGGTCCAGTACGAGGCGTTCCACGTGTTCAAGGTCTTCGTGGCCAATCCCAACAAGAGCGACGACGTGCGGAGAATTCTAGTGAAGAACCGGGGGAGGTTGTTGAGGTTCTTGCCTACTTTTCTGGAAGGCCGTACAGACGACGACCAGTTTCTGGATGAGAAGAGTTTCCTCCTGAGACAGATTGAGACGTTGCCGGAAGAAGGAACAGATCAACCTGCGGTGAACGGGGGTGATGGGAGCGGATTAAGGGTAGGAGCTTAGGATGCTTGATCTGTCCTGCGCTCCCCTTGTTCCTATGTGTCTGATGCTTCTTTCACACTGCTCCTTGTCACCTATTTGGTTAGGTGCACACTGTGACGAGAGTGGAAGTGGAAATGGACATCATCACATTGAGATGGCTGTCGATCTCGAAAACGGGGGTCTTGGGCCAACGGTCCTCGTCTTGGAGGGAATGCTGGTGGTGGTGGTGGCGGCGGTTGTGGTAGCGGCAGTGGTGTCGCCGTTGTTGTTGCTGACGGCCTCCCATACCTTATCTAGAGGGTTGTGACTTGTGCCGACTGCACCGAGGTTTTCCGAGGGCGAAAGTACATATGTACATTAGGGACATTAGGTGAGTAGTCGAGGCGCGCTCTTGGGTTTCTCGGGAGAAGACCTCGAGAGCTTTTCATCTTTCACGGTAGCGATGTAGCATGATCACGAGCACACACGATGCAATGATGAAGAAAAATGGCAAACGAACTACTTACTACCTGTCAGCAATTGACTTGACTTGACTTTCTGCGGTGCATGTGCAGACAGACTTCCGTCTCTCCTGCTGTGACAGTGTCGAGGTTAAGGTACTGGCTCGAGGTGAGAGTAGGGTGTTGTTGCTGTGATGTTGAGGGGGAAAAAAAAACCATAATAACGTCTCCCCAGTAAATGGGTGAAGATTGAGTGAGGTCGGTCGATCGATCGTCTGAATGGACACAAGACGGAGTGACTGGACGAATGAATTCATGGATGGATGGATGGATAGTGTTGGAGTGGTGGAATGGTCGAGTGTCGTGGAATCATACCGTATTGTCACCGAGTGAATGTAGTGAGGATAAAATGGTAAATTTATATTCTCACGGCGGGAGGGGACGCGGCATCGGCCAGACACTTCAGTACTAGATAGACATGGGTGTGGTGCCTGTCTGTCACCTACGCTTTACGTACCTAACGTCGACGCAATTCGAGACTCATTTTTGACAGCGCACAAGGTACACTTACTCGTGGGGAGTTTGTCTGCTGTATTAGTTCTTATTTGGTAGACAACGGGGTGGGAGAGTATTTGACTATATGTGGGTGGGTACTATTCTCAACCGTGTTTTCTAACTAGTTGTTAGGGCTTCTAGAAAGTCAGTACCGTCTTATCTGCCTACCCATTTTGTCTACAAAGTACTCATCTAATTACGATGCGCAGAGCAAGTGTGGTCCATCCACCGATCCTGCAGATGATGTTCATTCTAGAACGGCCACAGGCGCCAGGTCTGTCTGGTGGTCGAGATGATATCGAGTCTGACGACGTTTTCGTGATATATATAATCTTAACCCAGTGTACGTACATCCGTAGGTGCCCGTGTGTATGTACCACGCTGGTTTATGCTCTCTCTACTCGTGCCGAAATGTGATACCCTGGCCACTTTAACTGCATACGTTGCCCGAGGACCAGAAAAACGCGACAAAAGGCCAAAGCAAGCGAGGGAGGATTTGGCTTCCTCTCATACACTGGCACACCAGACCCCCTCCGGTACCCAACATTAGGTAGTGTATACATATCCATATCTATACCTCGACATCCATGCCTCGAAAAGCCCCGCGGCCTGGAACCGGTCGTCATCGTCGTCGTCGTCGTCGTTGTAGCAGGCTAGAGCTTAGGAACTCTCCCGTCATGATCCGGGTTGGTTTCAGTCTCAAGCTCGACCTCGGCCTCAGAGGTGAGAGAATGACGGTCGTTCGCTCCAGCCTCACCGAACAAGATACCTGGTTTCCGCGCCGCCAGGTCGACAATCATCTCCCCAAACGCACTGTTCCCCCAGGCATACCACGTCCTAAGAAACCTGGACGAGTCATTCACATCCACGCCTTCATGCACGAGACCGAGCCCCGCGCTGGACTTCTTCAGCGTCTCCAGACACGCGCGGATTTCCCGGTCGTCGTCGCTCGTCAGGACCTGCATGATCGTGCCCAGGGGCCACATGGTAGTCAGATCGATGTGGGGACTGCCCTGGCCCTCGAGCGCGGAGCCCACGACATAGTACGGGTTCCCGTCGCGGGAGAGAACCATGGCGCGCGTGGCACGGTACACGGGGTCCGAGGCGTCGAGGAATCCCAGATACGGCAGCGTCAGGAGGGACGGCGGGCTCGCGTCGTCCATGAAGACGCGCGATCCGTAGCCGTCGACCTCGTACGCGAGCACCTTGCCGTACACGGGGTGCGTGAAGACGCCGTGCTCGTAGATGCCTCGCGTGATCGACCCGCTGATTGCGGCGCACTGGACCGACAAGTCGCGCGCCATCGGCGAGAGCAGCTCGGCGGTACGGTCGAGCTCGACAGCCATGAAGGCGTTGGCCGGGACGTGGAACGGGAAAATAGTTGCGTCGTCACTGGCGCGAAAGGACGACCGGATCAGGCCCGTTGATTTGACCGGATTGCCGGTGCCGACTGTTTGGAATGTGAGTGGTTTCAAGTCCTCAACGCTAAATAGGCACAATCAGCCCGGGGCTTACCGTTAGGGGGTTGATCGGGTCCGTTGTATACCGACGTCATGCTCGTCGACGCCGGGCGCTGGAATGAATATGCTTGCGCGTTGAGTTTGCCATGTTCATCGAACGTGGACTGTGACTGTTCGTGGAGCACTTGCAAGATGGCTGTCAGGGCCGCCATCCAGGAGTCGTCAAGGATTGACGTGTCGGCTGTCTCCTGGACGTATGTGTTGGAGATCCGGAGAAATGAAGCCACACTGTCTAGTGACCATTTACCTTCGAACGACAGGTCGGGGTCGAGTGGGGGTTTGACAATATCGGCACCCATGTCGACGACATGGTCGGTCACGGGTTTCAATCCACTTTCCCTCGGTGCCTGGAAAGAATTGGCGTATGGTGCTTTGGCGATCCATCGTGTATGCAGAGTAATGACACCCCGCCATAGTTTTCGTATTGACTCGTCGGTACGAAGCAAGCATTTGTAAGCTTGGATCTGCCATAGGTTGTCGCGGAGCCAGGCAGCGTCCCTGGTACAGAAAAGAGTTTTAGTATACCATCAAACCACTTGATCGGCCGGGGAAAAGGAACAGGTTCCGCCCATACATATCTCCGGCAATGATGAATGATTTGCAGGTGTCATCGGAGTGCTCAAACCATTTCACCGTGGTGTCGAGAGTGTTTGGAAAGCAGTTCTCAAACATTCGTGCAAGGTCTTTATCCCGCATCTGGAAGGTTATCTCGTCGATGAGGTTCTCTACTCCCGCAGAATGGTACGTTCTTCGCTCCTTGACTGGTCTTTGATAGGGCAATTTGAGGGGGCCTTTGAAGCAAATCAGTCTAGCAAGACATCTGTGTAGAGAGCGGCTTTACCGTTTGAGTATGGAGGGTGTGATTGTCCAGCATACTCAGCGTATGAAAAGGTCGCCATCACGTCGACGAGCGTGCTTTACGATGCCAAAGTAAGTGGACGATGAGGTCGAAGTCGAGAAGGGGGGTGGTGAATGTTGAATTTTCTTGCAACGACTGTTTCTCACGCCTTCATTAAGGGCAGTTCCTGATTGTGCCCTCCATGTGAAGCATCCTAGTTGTAGGACGCACCGAGTTTCCGCTCGTCACTAATATCGACCCACGCGGCTCCTGATTGTTTGGTGGGTAAAGGATGGATAGATCGCGGAGTCTGGACTCGAACTCCCCGAAAGGGTCGCGGACTGCGCGAATCGCTTCCCGGAGTGACGCGACGTCTGCCTTTCTTTTGCCAGTGACAACGTGGAGTACTGGCCCCGCAGAATGCTCGACAAAATCGGAGAAGTCTTGATCCGGGGATCCCAGTATACTCGTTGCGAATGGACAAATTTCAACCATGGAATTCTCGGCTAAGTAAAATCTGGTCTTTGCATCAGCGGTGTGGACCTGCTAGTCTGACTACTTTGTTCCGGGCTGAATCCCACCAAACCTGTCAGGTGCTCTTTCAGTAGATTATGCATGTAGGAAAGTGATGGTCCGCAGTGCACACTTGATGCTAGAGAACTAACGGCATGTGTCAAAGAGGCGAAGAGGCGCGGCGGTACGGCGTCAGCCAGTGCAGGCTCTTTCATGGCACGAGCAGCTGCCATGGTAAAAGCAAATATACTGTGTATGGTCAGGAAGGTGTGTCTTGGCCCGCTAACACGAATCAAAGCACTCACCTTGCCAGCAATGTCCATTTGTTCACGGTACAATGCTGAAGACAGACAGTGGCACTGAGCAAAAAGTCGTAGTATGCATCGAAGAATTTCTGACATCCAAGGTGAAGGTTGTCCTCGCGTCTCCCAGTTTGAATGACTTTGTAAACTGCTGGCCAGTAAATTGAAGTCATGCAGGAATAGTATTGAGTCCTTAGAAACAACACCAAACCCCTGTGGTCTCGCATTTCGGCTTGATGACCGCGATGGAATTTGAGGGATGATGGTAAGTGATGGTACCATTCATCAAGCTGATAGTTCAATTCGGAAGCAACAATAGGCGCATAAACGAGCTCCCCGCGAGATGTTCCACGAATCGCCGATGGAGCGCGATGAGAGATCCGCCGCATTGCAATCTCAGCAAGAAAATATGCGTCAATGTCTTCGAGGTTGGCTGTGTGGTCCCCATCAGGCTGCGCGTAGAATGGTAATTGAGGAGAGGTACTCCACGAATCGCGGAGCTTTGGTAGCATAGTGGACTCGTCCAAATTCCAGACGCCAGTGTCAATGAGCTCCAACTGAACACATAGTTCACTTCATGTTCTCAGTAAGCCGGCCTGCTGGACAAGATTGACCTCCTTACCTCTCAATGAGCAAGATCGCCCAAAACGCACGTCTCAGAGCCTCAGAATCTGCTTCGGAGACACTACATCGGTTGCTGTACCTTGTCAGAAGGAATTCGGGCACATGGGAAACACAACGTACACCGTCAGTAGACTTTGCGCCTTTAGCGAGGCGATGGCATTGTATTCGAATGCCTCAAGTGGACTGCAAAGACAGCAATAGTATACCGCGATGTACACAAGAGCCTCAACGGCCAATACACTGCAGTCGGCTATGATCCGAGCCAGCATGCTGAGTGCCATGTCAGCATACATGGTGTGCTTCCCTCTCACGTCATGTGACGAGAGCGAACCGAGAGCAGCAACGATCAGAGCCAAACATGACTCTGAGGAAGGTTTGAGATCCCCGTCCATCACGGCGGCATACACCACTTGATATTGTGAATCAAGGATTGGGTACCACGGATGAATTTCTTCGAAGAAGGCGTTCAACGCGCTATCATCAGTCAGTAGTCTGTTGGGTGCGGTAGGATGTGCAGGCTTTACTTTATCGCCCGACTCTGTTGGAGGAGAAAGTGTCGGCCATTTTCACCAACGGTCTTGCTTCCTGCAAGCCTCTCCAGCTTTGCCAAGTGTGCAGCCAAATCGATTTCTACGCCGACTAGATGCATGAAAGACTTGTTGCGAATGACCATAACAGGGAACCCTGGCGAGTCTGAGAGGCAAGGCGACTGGGATTGAGCTCCTTCTAGGAGCGCCACAATCGGCGCTGGAGTACTCGTAGAGGTGGCATGTGGCGAAAGAAGGGAATCTACGTCTCTGTGTATGGCAGCGGGTCTCTTCTGGGCAGCCAGGAGATGTTCGATGTTCCCTAGGCGGTCTTTGATCGTAGTGATCTCGCTCTCGAGTCTGGCCCCTTAGCTAGCGCCTGTCATCATGCAGACGATACTCACTTTGTAGGGGGAGGGTCTGCAACCTTCCGATACTCGCAGACCGAGTTGCTTTTCTGTGATCGGGATTTAGCATTGCGCACTGGGATGATCGTTCTCAACTGAATACCTGGCAAAATGAGCAGACTGGGCGTTGCCCATCGCATTTGGTCCGCCTCGCTCGACACACATCGCATGCAATGATGCCTCGACGTCTGGGATTGGCGAATTTGTCGTCCGAGATATCGGTTATTCGCCTTCGACGCTTCCGTCTGTGTGAGACTTGTGACTCGTTCGAAGACTCTTGGTCCCGTCCGCGTCCATCGATATCATCTGCCATTGTTTACGCGCTGGGTAAAGAACACGGCCGCGGAGTTGTGATTCTTGGAGGCCGAACCGAGGAACCACGAAACAGAGTCTTTCCGGGGTATATGTGTAAAGAGTAGTAATCAAACTAGCATGGGCGAATTGAGATAAGTACGACAAATCAGATTCACAGCGAGAAGCGGAATAGCGAGCTCCATCTTGGAGACCCCTTGAAAAATTGGCAGAGACACGGGACTCCATGGGGCGCCTTGGACAGGATGATGCTCCGCCCTCGTGAGGAGAGTGATTTTCCCTTGACATCTCCTGAAAGGAGATTACTTGAGTCTGGGAAATCTTTGACCCTGAGAACATGATCGTCTCCAAGACTCGGGGATCCAATGATGCAGAGTAGTCGGTCTGGCCTGGGTAGTTTTGAACATTTAACATGGCTGTCTACATAGACACCTTGTTCGTATCACGAACGAAACTGCCCTTGGAATCGAGGGCACGTGATCTGCCAAGACACTGTTGTGGGCTTTTCCATCTTCGCAAGTCTCGACGTAATGAAACCCCCGACCGACGCATGCTCATGACTTCAAGCAGTGCCCCTTGCGCTGTTCGTGAGTCGAGAGCGGGCAGCAGAGCCATGTGGCGTGAGGCTGATCCTCTAGACCTGTGGTAGACCCCTCTTATGTGCCGACAATTCGTGTAGTGGCTGTGATCGTCCTCGCGGAGCAGAACCCCAAGTCCGCGACACGGCCAAATGTCAGGGCTCCATCTGGACGCGCTCGTCAGTCCTCAATTGCATCTTGACCCGCCATACACTGCTTCGGCGACATGGTTTATTCCCCAGGTCTCCAGGATTTCTCCAACGTATATATATGCAGGTCTGAGCCGACCCCCAGGCAATAGCAGGATTCACTCTTTGAGTCTTGCTCAGTATTGCCCTGGGAAAGTCGGTCGCCTCGAATCAACATGAGGAAATACAATCTGTATTGTTCCATCTTCGCCACGACGGGATCTCTCATCTATGGCTATGACTCCGGTATTATTAGCACTACTCTGGGACAGAAGGCCTTTCCCGCGTACTTCAACTACCCCTCCGACAACCTTACAGGCGCTATCGTGTCAACATACTCTGGAGGCCAGGGCATTGGCAATCTCGCCGGAGGCTATTTGGGTGATAAGTTGGGCAGAAAGAAAACTATATGGCTTGCATCAACACTGGCCTTGATCGGTGCCATCCTTCAGACCGCTGCTGTGAACATACCTATGTTCTTGGTGGGTAGAATTCTTGCTGGGTTTGCCATTGGGTTGGTGTATGCTGTGGCATCAATCTACAATGCTGAGATAGCGCCTCCGAAAATTCGCGGCGTTATGGTTGCCATGCAAACTTTGCTCATCGCTGGTGGTTATGCCCTATCAAACTGGGTTGGAGTCTTCGGTTCCTTCGCCCGGGGCAACGCTTCCTGGAGAATACCTTTGGGAGTCCAGTGTGTTCCTGCGATTGTGCTGATTGTCGGATTGTATTGGCTGCCCGAGTCGCCGAGATGGCTTCTTCAGAATGGACGGGAAGCCGAAGCCCATGCAGTTGTCAAGCGGCTTCATGGCGACGAGGGGGGCGATAGCACTTTTGCCGACAGGGAGTTCAACCAGATGAAGCAACAAATCGATTACGAGCGAGAGGTTACTATCAGATCTTGGACTCAGCTGTTTATTAAGCCGTCCAATCGCCGCCGCCTGATCTTGGGTATCTTGCTCCAAGTCTTCCTTCAGACCACTGGTGTAAATGGTACGGCCTTCTATGCTTAGCAGCTCCTCCATGTCAGACTCATGCTCACATTGGTATAGTCGTCAACTATTATCAGACTCAGATCTTTGGAAGCATCGGTATTGAGGGACGTAATGTGTTGTGGGTCTCGGCTGGATTTGGTAGGTAATTTTGGTCGCATATTGGATTCACCAGATTTCAGCACATGATTATTCATCTTCTTGCTGCCCTACTGTGGAAGTGTACAATATTGCTGACATGATGACAGGCATGGTCGGTGTTATATCAACGGCTATCTGTCTCACCTATATCGACAAGACTGGAAGAAAGAAGCCACTTGCCTGGGTTTCGGTCGGTCTGACGATTGATATGATTCTTCTGATGGTGTTCTCGAAGTATTATGCCAACAGCGACAATAAAGTCGGTCAAGGATTCACCATAGCATGGATCTTTATCTTTTCCTTCATCTTCTCGCTTGGGTAAGGAGCAGCTCTCCCGCAAGAGGCTTTCCAGGATACTGATCAGTCATTAGTTATAACCCAATACAACTAGTCTACATTGCCGAGATCTTTCCAACAGCCTTGCGTTCCCGCGCCACTGCCAGTAAGAAAGGCCACTCCGACGTCGCGACTTCAGTGCTTACAGGTGTAAATAGTCTGCGCTTTCATGGGGACAGGCACTGGGTTACTCTTCAACCAGTTGTCACCGAAAGCTTTTGCTCACATTGGATGGCGCTACTATGCGGTTTTCGTTGTCTGTGATGCGATTGCTGCTCTGTCATTCTTCACTATTTTCCCGTGAGCTATACTCCCTGATGTGCATCTACCGGGGAGTGGTACCACTGACCAAGTCTATCCCAGTGAAACAAAAGGCAAGACTTTGGAAGAAATTGCCGAGGTCTTCGGCGACGATGTCGCTTTCACAGAATACGTCGGTGCCCCGGGGGATGCGGTGGTCCAAAAGCAAAGCGGCCTCGGGGAGGCAGACGCGGACCAGATTGAGCACCATAACATCAAGGAGAAATGAGGAGATCAACTTCGGTTCCGGAGTATCCGAATCAGTGTGAAAAAGGGTCTCGGTGCCTCAAGATTTGAACCCAGAAGCTGCTCGTCTCGTTGACTTCTAGGACGACAGCGCACCCGCAGTAGTGCAGAAGCTTTTCCTCCAGACATACCCCAGGACGATCTAGTCCTTGAAAAAAAGTTTTGGCTGCAGCCTCTAATGCGAAGATTGATCTCCGTTGCCCGTAGTCGTACTTTCGCCTGGAGTGTCTCTCGCAGATACGACAGCACATCTCTTTACCAGAGAGAATGAGTGAGGACACTGAAAACTTGCTCTCGACCTCATCTCCACTGCAAGGACTAGGGAGCACTACCGCTCAATCACAATAGGCTGTGGAGGAACGAGTACGTGAACCATAGATGCATATCAGCGCTTAGCGCGAGATGCTTGACGACCAATGACAAAGTACCAGCAGGTAATTCCGGGGATCTCAATGTCGTCAGCAAAGCTAGACATGGCTCGATCTGTAGAACGGAGACGACGATGGTCTGAATGCGGCAATGCCATCTCCTAAGTCGACAGGCGGAACCGCTCCAGTCTGTGTCGATCGATTCTGCTTGTGCCCACCGATGTTTTCAATGGCTGAACGCTTCTTGTCTTCACGCAGGGTAAGTGATTGATACAATCGTCGGGTAGTACGAATTGTCCGCTTAGCCTCGGCAGCAAGCTGTTCAGAAAGGCGTACTTTTGTCCATACTGCTTCCACCCTCTGATCTCTCAAAGCCACTGGAACCCCGAGATCACTTGATTCACTTTGGGTTCGTCCGTTTCTGACAGCTGCGGTGTTGCGGAAGCGTGGGTACCTCGTGAATCGAGCACACATTCAGCTCCACTAAAGAATGGAGTCTCATCTGAATCCGGATAAGCGAGACACGCAGGAAGACCAATTGTTGGATAAGATCAGCCTCTGCTTTCTTCTTTGGCCACGTCAGTGGTCAGGTAGCCACAAAACGGCTACTATAAGGGTATCCCTGCAGGCACAAAATATGACGCGAAGGCGCCAAATCTGGCAGCAAACCGTCAGCTGGTGGATCTTTTGGAGTTTGAACTGAACGCCGGGGCCGCCGGATATACTGTACGTACCCTTTGGCTCCTATTGTACGCATGATTTGACGTAAAGGTCCTCCACCCTCCTGCGCACGCAAAACTAACACAGACCAGACTGCGACATCGTGACGCCAGGTGGAAAGATCCCCCAAGAGTTTCTACGAGGTTCTCTGCACGAAAACAATAGCTACTCTACGTGAATGGAAGACTTGCCGACCGGCGCTCCCGAACGTCTTTGGAGATCTTGGCCCGTTTACCCGCATGTACCTCGTTTCCTCGGTTACAGTAACGAAAATATCGCTCCACAACATTCTCCACAATCCCGTTCAGGTCCGTTAAGGGCCGTGAAGTTTCCGTGCACATCTCGGCTGGAGCCGCTACTTGCCCTTCCCCGGCCCCGGAAACGAAAGAACAGCGCTAAGCTCGTAAAAAGTCAGTTCTTGCGTTCGATTTTTATGCATGGTGCTACTAACTTCAGCATAAACCAGGAGACCCTGTGCAAATTTCCAAACAGATCAGCATTTCCATGGTTCCCAACAAATAATGGTACGCGAATTACTGCCAGAAATCTCAGTCGAGCAAAGAAATCGCAGATTTTTCCTCCAGCTAGCTTCCCGGCTCCACTCTGGGTGGTGGTCAAGCTGCCACTTGGGTCTCCGGTGCACCTTCATGGAACCCATCGTGGTCGACACCAGCCGAGTTCAGGTGGTTGGCGTCATGTCTGGACTCCTGCTCCAGGTGGGAGTGGTTTCCGGACTTGGAAATGATTGTTCGCGATGTCCGAAGCTCCCCAGCTCCTCGGGAAGTCCGGTGTTGCGAGTGTGAGTAGCTGTTGGCACGGCTGAAACTGCTCTCCTTCATTCTTTCAATCTCGACACACTTTTCCTCATATTTGCGAATGTACTCGTCACGCTCCTTGTCAGCAGACTCGCGGGCGTGGATGGCTCGCTCACGCTGCTCGCGTGTCTCGTGGAGCAGTGCTCGCAGACTCTCAATTTCTTGCTCCATATCATCTGCGTCGTCGCGGAAAGATGTGACAGTTTCGGTCACCTCGCTGTACTCGCTACGCAAATGCTCGAGCTCCGCGCTGAGCTTGCTTCGAGACTCAACGACGGCGAGCTTCTCGTGCTCAAGAGTGGAGATGCGTTCGCGAAGACGAGTAATCTCCGTCAGTCCTCGGGCGCTCTTGCTTTCCGCTTCATCGCGCTCGTGGTGGGCAAGACGCACTTGTTCGCTCAATGATCTGAGCTCGACTTGAAGTTCCGTGATCTTCTCCTCACTTCTGCTCAAGTTCTCATTGGCAATAACTGCTTGGTGCTTGTGTTCTTCGACGCGCCTTTTGAGGCTGGCCAACTCATCGCCAAGTTCGTCGCGCTCGCGAACAGCACTATGAAGAGACTCACGGGCAAGCTGGAGACTCTCCAGATCCTTGGCCCGTCCCACCTCAAGAGTACGGAGACTTTCTTGCGTACTGACGAGCTCACGCTTGGTGGCTTCGAATCTCTGGGTGACGCTACTAAGCTGGGTAGTGAGTTCAAGGTGATCAGATGTGTGAGTCTTGATTTGACGTCGCAGGCCTTCGATTGTCTGCAAGTGCTCGTCACGCTCTGCTTCAACGATGCCGAGGAAATCTTTCAGCTTTGTGATCTCTCGACTTGCCTTTTCATATTTTTCGATGGCTTCGATGGTTTCCTTGGAATCGTCAACGCTCTGTTGTTTTGCCCGTCTGACCTCTTCTTTCAATTGAGCGATGGTTTGGAGGCTTTCCTCCTGCTCCAACTCGACAGCCTTGATTCGGACTGTCAGCGAGTGTGCTTCATGTTGTGCTGCCTCAAAGCTGGAGGTGACGTCCGAGAGTTTTGTTGTCACTTCAGTACGCTCGCGGTTGGCCTTAGTGAGTTCACGGTGATACCTCTCAGACTCCTGAACAGCGGTATCGCGCTCAAGCTCAATTTGTTTGAGGCGGGCATTGAGTGTGCTTAGCTCTTGACGAGTACGATCGTACTGCGAGGTGTGACGGGAAGTTGATTCTTTCAATTCGCGAAGCTCAAGGCTGACTTTTCTGAGCTGGGAGTCGCGTTCTGCCACACGCTCTTTCTCAGTGGTGATATTGCCGAGGGCCGTGGAGAGCTCTGCAAGAAGTTTCTCAATCTGCTTTTTCCTGTCGATGGTCTCAGACCCTTGACGAGATCTTTCCTCTTCCCAAGTCGTCAATTCAGCGGTCAGATCAGCAGTCTGAGCAAGCAAGTCTTCCCGCTCTTCAAGGTATACTTCTCGCTCGTGCTTCATTTTTTCCCAGATGGCTTTGAGGCTGCTAGCTTCCTTCGAAGCATTGGCTATCACATCAACCAAGACCATGAACTTGGTCTCAGCTTGAGAGGTGAGCTCCGATGACATCTTGGCATATGATGAAGCTTCCGTGCGTGAAGAAGTGCGCAGCAGTGAGCTCTGGCGTCTTGCGGAACGAGTGCTTCCCACTCGCGAGAGTCGAGAGCCCCGACGAATATTGACGGTGCCTGCATCAGACATCGTGTCCCCGTTCAGCTCAGTTGTTGTCAACTTGATGAGGGCCAACTTCTCAGGCGTCAATTGAGTGTGGTGGTGGCCATGAAGGCTGTGCTCATGAGGCAAGATAGTCTCCATTTTGGGCTAAAAGCTTTCTGTTCTATCCTGTATAACGGAGAGAGCGTCAAGGCGGCAAGAATAAGTGGTTCAAATGTTATCACAAAACAGAGAGACTGGAAAGAGAAATCATCCGGTTGTGCTGGTCTTCTTAACTTCTACATTTACCACCCTGAGCTCTCCGGAAGTCCTCGGATTCTACCTGAGGACCGTGATCGTGCTGAATTTACAAATGGCAACGATTGACGATATCAGGACCCAGAGTGACATGTAACTTGTGAAAAGAGGTTAGTGAAGGCACCAATTTCCACAGCGTCTGCAGGATCAGATGTCGGTGAATCCAATAGCTCGAGTTCGTGCTGTCTGCGAAGCCAAACTTTACCAACTTGACAGATATCCACACTCTTTGTCCATCATTGCATTAACGATGACTGAGTTCTGAGAACTACCGCACAGCCTGGAGCGAGAGACCCAGAGTACGAGACTAGGTAACCCTGGCGGGCACCAGCCCACCCCAGAGGCCAGGTCAGCAAAAGTACATGACACTTGCCGTACCCGTCATGCTCACCCCGTAAAGGTGACCCCGTACCGAAGACTCCTTCTGCACATTTCTCCAAGGACCCTGGTAGGGGGCCATCTGACCAGAAACACGACCCTCGGTAGCATGTGCCAAACCACGTTTCTCTGGTAGTACACCCTGCTCTGACTTACGGAGTGTCCGTAAAGCAAATGTCCTTTACGTGAAGCATCATAACGTTCGACGGGGTGGCAGCCATGCAGTTGATCGACAAGTTAATTACCACATCCAGCTTCAAGAGCTGCAGAAAGCCACAAAGTTCAACGGGTGGATCAGAGCGAAGAAGGAGGAGAGGGGTGATGCATCATCGACAGGTGGGAGGCTGGCTGATGCTGCATATTGCCTCTGACATACCAATTAATGAAGAGAGGTCCCACGTTCTTCACTGGAGCCATCGCATCATACATTGGCGCTGTCACTTGTCTGATGCTCAGGGCGAGCATCTTGATGGAAACTCTTCATCTTTAGGAAGGTGATCATGGTCTCCAGTGGTTGTCGATCGTACATTGTCTGTCTTTGTCTCGCTGGAAAGAGGCAGAGGGTTCACCACGGCAGGGAACTAAGAGTGACAGAACAAGTAGGGCGTCCCCACCGGAGGAGCGGCTCCTGTTCAGCCGGTGCCATTGGTGAGTACGTTCGATACGAGTCCCCACTGCCGTGAACGTGGGTCTCGCGCGAGTCAATGAACACATATCAAAAATTTATGTCAAACTCAGCCTCGTCTTTGATCCAGAATAGTATAGTTTCGCTTCTAAACCCTTGGAGCATCTTTTGATATGTCGTCAGCTATTGTTTCCATCATTGGATTCTCCATGCAAGGAGTCTAGGCGGAATCAAGATCACCTTGCGAATGGAGGCTCAGACGGTCGCGCCGGAACACATCCTGGTCTTCTGAACCGGATCGAGCGAGATGGGCGCTCCCCCTTTCAAAAGCCATCTAGCTCCAGACATGACCTAACCAATGATTGCCTGGAAACAAAGTGGCGGTCGACATCCATGACCCTGAAAAGTTTGCATCACAGACCACAGAGCTGATCAGCTCCTAAGAAAGTCACGTCTTTGCATAGGTCTGAGTTAGTGTGGCAGACATGAAGCTACTGATCAGACTATTGATGTATCAGGCCCTGACGGTCGACGCAGCTCTACCAGAAGGAGCTACTGGATAGAGTGGGTGACCTCATTGTCTTGCGTCTTTCATCCTGGGGGGACGCTTTCTGCAATGATTGGTAAGGATATAGGGGTCAACGGAGGCTGGTGGAGGTGGTACACTTTACCAGCACCTCCAGCCATCCATCTGTAGGACTCTGAGACCGATTCTATACGTGAAGGTTGATTGCATTGTTCATCGACCAAATACTACACTCCAGAAGCTCTCTTCCCAGCACAAATTCCCTCACGGCGACTTTTCAGGCAGCAGAGAAGTTGGTTGTTTCTTCTAATTGTACCGTATCAACCAACAACTTCTCTGCATCATCCAGCACAGACATATCCCGTCTGTTATATAGCGACGGTAACAGCGCAGACTACTTCCTCTGGCGAAGCTACTTGACTCCAACATCGAACTCTACTTCTTCCTCTACAATCAAGGACGGCCCTTCTGTAACTACCCAGGCTTTATACACGAAGCCTCACAGAGACAAAAAACATAGTCAGACACCTCCGATACTGGACTCTGGTCAACTAGGGCACGACATACTGGCAGAACTGAATTGTCCAACAAGCCATAATTTCACCATGGCCGCGACAGTGTCGAGCTATCTCTCAAACGGCTTTCCAAAGCCCGGAGGTAACAATAACAGCCAGGGCCACCGATCCACCACCTACAGTGTATACACAAATGGATCGCACACAGCCCACCAAAACACGCTACGGTCGTTTCGCAGGGAGACCACCAATGCATCGAACGCAACCGGCTCGGCCAAGATGTCAGAGACCGTCAACATATTGAAACGCCGCTGCGCGGAAGAATTGGGAGCAGCCATATCAAAGGGGATTGTTAGCTCCTACCCAACTTTGATGGAGACGATCAGCAAAGAAAGACTTCACAGACTTCCGACAGAAGGTAGTGCCTGGGACAAGGTGCTTGCCTGGGCTCAATCATTCGCAGAAAAGTTCTACGACTTCGACCAAGCTATTGAACAATTCACTGGAGGCAACTATGACGGTGCCGAAATCGCGTTTGGCTATTGTATCTTGTTGTTAGATCTTGGCGACGAGAACGCTGCTGCTCTACAGGCATCCTTTGGGTTCTTCTTCAAGTGTTCTCTGGACCTGATTGCATTGCTGGACCGAGTCGAGCTGTTCAATGCTTCCTTCGATATCAACGAACAACTTGTACTTGCATATGCGGACTTGGTGACTCTTGTGTCGGATGTTTCTCTTCGATTCTATCAAGCGATCAGATCGCCGAGTGGATCAGATGAAGCCATTGACATCTACAGTGCCTTCAGCAACACCATCGAAAGTTTCCAAAGTCGCCGTGACAGAATTGTTGAGTCAATGTGGAAGTATCAACTCTCCCAGGAGAATGTCGATCTGGATAGCCTAGTTGACTTCAAGACCTTGCGTTCCTGGCTTTCCATTCAAGACACTATCTTGAAATACAAATATGGCGATCACACTATGCTCGTTAACGACCGTCAACAGCTGACTTGTCTCTGGGCGCAGCCCTATCTGACCAGATTCTTGAACAGTGGGAAAGGGTCGCTCGCCATTACCGGCCCTCCAGGTTCTGGAAAAACTGTTCTTGCTGGGACCATCGTTGACACTGTCCAACGGATCCACTCCAAGAACTCGTACACTGTCCTCTTCATTCCCATTAATGGTAGAACGAAGATACAGGCATCGAGCTTGCATGTTGTTCGCAGTTTGTTGTCGCAACTTCTCGAGACACGTGTGGGTAATGTGGAATCCTATAAGATTCTCACCGAGGCCTACACGACTTCCCGAGAAGCCTCTGATCTTACGATATATGAGTCCCTTTTATGGACTGCACTCGAGAAGGTGATAGCTTCAACACACTCCCAAGCTAAGGAGACTCTAATCATCGTCGACGGCCTTGATGAGGTGTCCAGCGACCCAAAGATTGCTCAAAAGCTACACCAACATCTGATTGATGCCACCTCAAAGCACGAAAAGGTGAGGCTCATAACGCTATCTCAACCATCTGCACTGGCATACAGACAGCCATCTGACGTTGAGGTCTCTTCTGATCTTATATACGACGATGTTTCGGCGGTAGTGTCGGGCCTGCTCCATGGCCACCATTATCTTGAGAATGTTTCACGAATTGATCAAGATGTTCTCGTTCATCAGATTGTGGATGTTTCAAAGAGTAACTTCCTTTGGGCTAAGTTGCTGACAAAGTCCCTACTCAGAGAAGCATCGGCGGAAAAGTTTCTCAAGGCTGCGGCAGCAATCAACAAGAGCTCGAAATCACTTCAGGAAGGCATTCGCGACCAGCTCATCAGTGCAAATTTGTCTGAGGAAGGCAAAAAGCTTTTGATGTGGCTCTCGATCTCCCAGAGACCGCTGACTATTGAGGAATTGTCCTTGTTGTATGCACTTGATCTGAAAGCTGGTATCATCAGTGACCAGCAGATCCAGCCATTACATGCGTTGAAGCCTGTTGCCTCATTGGTCTCTCTTGAAGACGGTCTATTGTACTTGCGTCACTCCGTCATCAAAAGTGTGGTGTCAGAATATTTTGAACTCAGCATGCAATCGTCCTTTGAGCTTGTACAAAAGCTACTGCTCTACTTGAAACTCAGTGTCAAGGACCACAAAGAGCCTTCCTTCTCGTCCTTGACATCTTCTCACATCAACCAGATCTTCGACCAGGCGCCCCTTGCGGAGTATGCCACAAGATATTGGGTGATACATTATCTTGAGATGTCTCCGCAAGCTCGAAGTAACACTACAGAATTGAAGAAGGCTCTCCTTCCTGTCCTTCCATCTTTGGCAACGATTTCTCTACTTGAAAAGGCCATCTGGGCCTGGGAACCCGTCACGCTCCAAGTATCATGGCACACTACCTCCCTAGACATACGCCGGAAGGTTCTCAACGCCAATAATCAAGTCGTATTACAGACCCTGATTGTTCTCGCCACAATCTTGACTGAGACAAACCAATTCAAGTCTGCTAGTGATTATTTCTACTCAGCTACTCAACTTACCGCAAGCATCTTTTCAACTACCCATCCTTTGTACAGTCGGTGTGCTAGTCAATTCCTGGATGTTACAAGCACCTTTACCCTGACAACACGAAACGACATTGTTTCGCGGAGAGAAGAGATTCTTACTACGCTCATCAAAACCTACACCGCTCAATACGGATCTACATCTGAGGTGGTACTGAAGTACAAATCTCAGCTCGTTGAACTTTACAGATCGATCAAAGAAGAGTCAAAGGCGGTTGAGATTGAGAAGACGATATACACTCACGACACCCAGGAAGCCGAAGATCGTGGAACTATCAAACGTACCGGATCTCTGGGTGTCCGTGTTGTCTCACGCCGTGGCAGGGACCAAGAGTACGAGGCTTGGGATTGGAATGAAGAGCAAGACCATGATACACTCATTCGAGCAGAAGGCCACAAGTATATTGAGGAACTGCTTCAGTCCGCTCAGAGCTACGCTACGAAGGGCCTCATTGCCAAAGCTGAGCACGCATATATTGAAGCCTGGCATCATCTTTCCATTCAAAGCCATACTGCTGATTCAGTCAGCTTGGTCCGCAAAAGAATCGACCTAGCTACCCAATACGCCGTTTTCCTTCAATCAACAAAACGGTCAAGCGAGGCTTCGGCATTGTTGGTTGGACTTTGGGAAGAGTATCAGTCAACCTCAGTCGCACGCTCACAGGAAATCAGCTCGCGACTTTTCCAAGTTGGGAAGATTTTGAAGACGGTAGGCGTGACTGCAATTGCTCTGGAGATCTTCAAGCACCATTCGTCTACCATAAAAGCCTCTTCAAAGGTGGAGAGCTCGCTCTACAAGGAGGTGGAAGAGCAGGTTCAGTCAACTCAACGCGAGATTCTCAAACAGGCATCTTCCTCGTCGAGCTCCGAAACACAGATCTCTCAGTCGATGGTTACTGAGATTATAACCAGCATAGAGTCTTCGCACACAACGCAGCTAGACATGACCTCAACGACAGCAATCAAACAGGTTGTATCTGCCTACATTGAACAAAAGCGGTGGAAGGAGGCCACTTCGACCATCAAACAACTGCTGCGAATCATCTGGGCAAGCTTCCTATCTACTTCAATTGAGGATGTTGCACAACCCGCCACCAATCCTGAATTTGCCCTGGAACTTGCTGACCAACTCATCGTTGCCTATGAGGCACGCTTGCGCTGGATCAAGGCGCAGGACCTCAGAGAACGCCTTTATTACGCGGTCAAGGCAACACGAAAAGTCGACGACAGCATTGTGAAGTATAACTTAGCCAACCTGCTCAGATTGTTTGAACAGAACCGAGCCCGAGTTAAGATAGTCCAGATTCACCAAGAACTTCTGGAGGATTACAAGAAGTTCTACGGACCAGAGCACCCTCAAGTGATCAAGACCTTGTGGACTCTTGCTGAGCTCACAAACCCGCAACCCATCTCCATCGGGTATTACAGACATATCGTTGATCTGTTAACAAAGGGCTCGGAGAGTTGTCATCCTGAAGCACTTGATGCTCTCATTCCCCTCGCTGATCTTTATTGGCTTGAACGACGTTATCAGGACGCCGCGTGGGCATACTCGCTGCTGCTGAACACCTTCGTTCATAAAGGGAAAGAATTAAAGCGGTTCCACAATACCACGTTCGTATCCACGATATATGACCGTTATGTGGAGAGCATCCAGAGTTCACGATCGGAGTCCACTCTCGTTTACGAGATTACAAAGAGATATCGCCAGGCCTGCATAACAGTGTACGGAGCCGAGCACAAGTTTACCCAGGAGGTCACCTTGAGTTTTGCGCGTTTGTGCAGAGTCTCCAAACGTCATGAGACCGAGGCCGTGGCGTTGTATGAGGAGCTCGCAAGCAATGCCAAAGCAACCGAGTACCATGCTGAAGCCAGAGCAAGCCTAGATGCCATCTACGAAATGAGGGCGTTGGAGGCAGCTCGAAGTACCAGCATCACTGCATCCAAGGAGCAGGTTGAACGCGCCGTGACTGTTGTTCGGAAGCGTATGATAGAGACAAGGACTCACTATGGGTGGGCCCATGAAGAGTCGCTCGAACAACTCAAAGAGGTGTCTCACCTCTATGCCAAGCAGTCCAAGAAGGTCGAGGCTGTCAAAGAACTCACCGAGTTCACCAGTCACGTCGTGACCAGCGAAACGAGTTCTACTAGGCTTATCAGCGCTGCCTCAGCTGTTGCAGAGAGCTTCATTGCGGTCAGCGAGACACACCAAGGATTAGAGCTTGCTGAGGAGCTTCGCTGGCAGCTGGTAACAAAGGACACCAGCAACTCCAAGAAGTACAAGCTTGACCTTGCAACGGCCAATCGCTCCAGCGCCATCTACATCGCACAATTGGAGTACAGTCTCAGGCAGGACTCACTGCAGTCATTCAGTGACATTTACCTTTCTATCTTAACCGAAATTGTGTACTACGAGGATTTCCAACGTTCCATCCGCAGTAATTCGTCCTTCGAAGAGGTCTATGGTATTGCGGCTCGACTTCACTCCTTTTTAAAGGAGCAGGGCCGCACGACAATGCTGGTGCACGTACAGGATGAGCTGGTGAGCTTCTTCCTCAGATCCTCTGGTGAAAAGGCCAAGGTTGGAGACGTTGCCCAGGTTAAAATCCTCGTCACGACGCTCCTCGAGTACTTTGAGATCCATCGAATCAAGTCATTCCTCGTTTCAGTCCACCTCGCAAGCATTGAAGCCATCAGGGGTTTCCTCAAGCGTGGCCAAGACAAGCAGGCTTGCGACCTTGCTCAGACCGCGTTCCGTTATAGTCATGCTCACAGCTGGTACAATACACCAGGAGCGATCAAGCAGGGCCTCGTCTTGGCAACGACCCTCGCCGACATCCACAGTCACAAGAAATCTCGTCATGCTCAGATCCAGATTGCCAGCCAGATTGTGCAGCAGGTTCTGGAGTCTGCGAAATCCCTCAGACTCAATCTCACCGTCATCCCTCTGAAGGAGCTGAATACCATCATTACGATCCTGGGCGAGCAAAAGGACTTTGTCACACTAGAGGTAAGTCGTGGTGTCCTAGACGTTCACTTTGAAGATGCAGAAACTGACCGTGATCTGCAGTGGCTACTTACCCAACTTTGGGACGCTCGCGAATCCCATGCATCCTGGGGACCTTCGGTTGTGCTCACACTTGGCCGCAGACTCGTGCTTGTTCGCTTCCTTCTCAAGCAGCACGATCTCGCGCTGAGCCTCGCGGCTGACATTGCTTACAACTTACGCCGGGTCTACGGCTCGTCGCACGTCGTAACGCTGGAGATGAACATTCTCCTCGGCCAGCTTCTCGTCAGCACAGGTCTTGCCTTGCAAGGCACTAAGGGAGCAGAAGAGATTGCGCGCAGATACTACAAGCGTGCAGTTGGGGTGCACGAGAATGTTCTGCGTGCTTTGACACTTGACCCCATGGGGCTCCACGAGGATGATGACGTTACAGTCTTGTCGACCGATCCAGAGCCTGTGGACCTTGCAGCTCTCGGTCTTGACAAGGCCGCATCTCAGGGAACATATGCCCGTCGCCACCTGAGGCTGCTGAAATTGGCATTGGAGCGTTTTGGCGACTATCCCAAGGGGTACGCTGAGTACGAACAGCTCAATGCCGACGCATTTCGCACGTTCCCAGAGGACTTGCGCGGCGTAGAGGGTGTGGAGAAGTGGGACATCAAGAAGTTTGGGCATGGCAAGGCCGAAAGCGATGAGGGAGCTTTGGATGTCAATGTCAAGGACTGGACACTGACGCTGGAGAAGATTGAACGTAATGGTGAGGTTAATGGTGTCGATTGAGGGAGGTGGTCAAATTGCCAGAAAAGCGTCGATATTACTGGAGTTCTGAGGCATTGGTACATAGTAGTGAGATGATACGTTCATTTGGCAGGTCGCAATGAAAAGGTATTCCACACCATGGTGCGTCTCTGCTTTCGCGACCCCCCCTGGTCCTGTTGAGGCAATACGCGTATGCTTGAACACCCAGTGCGGAGCCCGGAATAATTCAGAGTCCGTGTTGATGGAAAGCGGAACCTTCCAGCCGCCGCTTTTACTGCATCAACTCCCTTACAATTAAATCGCTTCGTTCGCGTTCACTTCAATCCTACGATTCAGGCACCCAGGCTGATTGCCCTTGGCTGGACCCCATTTCGATCTTTTGAGACCTGGCTCGCAGTCATAATCGAGCTTTGCGTTTCTTCGCCACCCCAACTGTGAAGCCCCTGGAGAGTTGTAGTTGGCCGAGAATGAACCCTCCCAGATGATCATAGCATCGACGTAAAAGTCTCCGATATGGTATTCTGCGGCAAGCCTAGCAAAGGTTGCCAGCGCTGCCGACGCCGAAAGGTCAAGTGTGATGCGACAAAGCCAACCTGTGTCAGATGCCAGAAGGCAGGAGAGCAGTGCCACTACCGCAATTTCGACGAGGCCATCTTCCGGAATCAGACGTCGGAAGTTGTTCGCAAATTCAAAAGGCCACTAGACGAGCATTCCGTGGCAGAGCTCCAGCCATTAGCGGTGATGTCGTCGACTTCAAGCACGGCAAGCTCTCCCGCCATGTACTCGATGCCGTCTGCTTCTGTCTATGACATTGGTGCGAACTTCTTCTTTGACAAGTTCATGTCTGAAAAAGGTACCTTCTTCGGCGACTACTCCTCTTGGCTGGGCCAGCTATACTCTGGAGCGACCTCCAGTGGCTTGATTCGGACAGTCATTGAAGCCGTTGGTTTGAGTGCCCTGTTCAACGTCTCCCTTGACCTAGGGGTTCAGATTAAATCGTCAGAGCAATACTCCAAAACGCTAGCGGCCCTCAAACTTGCTCTGGACGACCCGGAGCAAGCAAAGTCCGACGACACTCTCCTTGCAATCACACTACTCATCCTTTTCGAGGTAACGTTACTAGAATATATGATTCCTGGCTCCGAATCCGTCTTCTTACTAAAATGTAGATGCTGAACTTCCGAACTTGGCAGCGCCACAGGTTTTGGGAAGCTCATGTTAATGCAGCACTGGCCCTGTTGGAGCTCCGCGGTCAAGATCAGTTTCAACGTCAACGTGGCGGACAGCTGTATATACAGGTCCGTTCTCAGATAGTAAGTCCTGAATGGAGATCACTCGGTTCTGTCGATCTCTTTGTTGACTGGAGGGCAGCTTTTAGTCTGTATGCAGAAACGCGTCGTTGTTCCAAGAGCCCTGGTGCAAACCACCTACGACTTCCACGGCAGCCTCGTGAGGCAACTCTGGCAGAAATCTCGAGTCGCCACCCCAAGTTCAATTACCGAAATATGTTTCCGGGTGGTCAATCTCCGAGCCGCATTGTGTCAAGGGCAGGTGACGGATTGGAAAGTCCTACAAAACGCCGCCATCGACATCGACAACGACCTCGAGTCATGGAAGGCTGGATTGCCCTCTTCCTGGAAGTACTCGATCATTCACGGGCCTGCGAAGGTTTCCGAGGAGCTGCTACAAGGAGTACGCCATATTTACCCTACACTTTGGGTGGCAGAGGCTTGGAACAACTGGCGCATCCTTCGGCTACTAGTCAAACAGATGATGCTAGAAGTCAGTGTTGACCCACACGAGATTGCCTCGTCGCAAGATGCTGCACGCCAATTGTGTACCGACGTCTGCATTTCTGTTTCCAGTTTTACAGGAAGTCCAAGTAAGTCACATCAATGAGGACAAATCATGAAGTCTCGTCCTCCTCATCTGACGAAAATGTCCAGGTTTCATATCCTTGATGCACCCATTATACCTTGTGGCCCTGGAATCCTTGAATCCATACGGTTTGCGAGTCTTTGCGATCGAACAACTGAGATGCATTGATGCGTCTTTCGGGGTGCGACAAGCCCGCCTACTTGCTGACACAGCGGAAAGCAGCCTACTCGATACAGTCCCCGAGCCCGGCGTGAGAATTTGAATTCCCCCCCTTTTTTCTGACCCGAGAGTCCTTCGTGTATCAAGTCTATTATTTTCCTGTCTTGTGATAATCATGTTGCGGGCTCGCGGAGAGGTTTGCGCTGGATTACGAGGCGTCTTTCGCGAAACCTCGCAGTGCTGCCCTGTAACGGGAATAGCCTGGTGAGCCCAGGTGGTCCGGGCCCATCCAATTTTGTTCATGGGGGATTACGCCTATTGGCTATTGTCAGCCACGTCCACGGCGACTCCACAAGATATAAGTATGGTTTTGCACGCCTCCTCGACGACCACGATTTATCTTGCTCAGCCGAAGCCTCACGGTCTCTCAGATGTATTTTGAAGTCACCGAGTCTCGCCTAGAACTTTTTCACTGAAGCAGTTCCTAAATCTGCCAAAGACTTCACTTCATCCCTTTCTCACCTCATCATGGCAACCGAAAATGCCTCGTTCACTCAGGAAAAGACCTTCAGCACATACAATGCCGCTCAGGGCAAAGCATACTCCGATCTCCGTCGGGACTACGATCCCAAAGTCTACCAGACCATATTGGACCAGCACACTTCGACCGGTGGCCAACTCGACACGTTCCTAGACGTAGGCTGCGGCCCGGGGTTTGCGGCACGAGCACTCGCTCCGCACTTTACACAAGCCATTGGTCTCGATCCCGCGGAGGGCATGGTCACCACAGCGCGCAACCTCACGACTGTGGCATCCCCAGAGTTCAATAATGTCCGATTTGAAATATCTACATGCGAAGAATTGGGTTCCAACCTGACGCCTCCGATCGCCGATGGGAGCGTAGACCTGATCACCGCCGCCAACGCAGCGCACTGGTTCGATATGCCGCGTTTCTGGGCAGCTGCGTCAAGAGTTCTCAAACCAGGAGGTGCGTCAGTGTTCTTTGTTCTTTGCGTCTTTTCACCGTCCCCATTCCGTTTCGAGTGCCTCTTTCATTCCCCCTACAGTTCTCGTACACCTCTTTTGTTTTCCCTCTCCCCCTTCCGCGGCTCTCCTTCTCCACAACATCTCTCCCAGTTGTTCGTGTTTTACAGTGACTGCCATATCGGTACTTACCAGTACTGGTACTGTCCGGGCTACTCATCTGACATGATGCGTGGGAACATAACCAGGCACCGTTGCAATCTGGACCTCGGGCCCCGGCCGTATCCATCCCTCGGTGCCCAACGCCGAAGCCATCCAGGCCGTGATCGACGCACAGCAGGAGGGCGAGTTGAAACCGTACTTGCTGCCCGGCAACACACTCGTGCGCAACCACTACAGGGACCTCCCGCTGCCCTGGACGGGTCCGCTCGAGCACCGCGTCGACGGCGCGTTCGACCAAGCGTCCTTCGTCCGCCTCGACTGGCCCAGCGACCAGCCGTTCTACCTCCCCGGACCGAAAGACGACGAGGGCGTGAGCATGGATATCTTCGAGAAGGTGCTGGCGACAGGAAGCGCGGCGACGAGGTGGCGGCAAGCGCACCCTGACCTCGTCGGCACGGAGAACGACGTGCTCAGGATCCTGAGGAGGAAGATTGAGGCCCTATTGCACGACGCCGGCGTCAAGCCTGGGCAAGAGAGGTTGCGGGGCCTGTTTGACGGTGTGATTTTGTTTGTCAAGAAGAAGGCGGCTTGAAAGAGAAACAACACCATACACTAGACTATACCACCCTGCACTGCCACACAGTACCCTACACTGCATTACCCAAGTCGCTTGGGTGCGTAAGGTACTCGCTTAGGGTGCTTTCTCAAGGCACTTTCTCAGTTCCTTCCTCACCCAGTCACTTACTTCCTCACTCACGGAAGTGCGTACGTTGAGAATGGTGCCTAGTCTACAAACTCCGGGATGAGGAGCACGATTGCAACGAAGAGAAGGGGTATCAAGTTGTCTTTGTATTCCAATTATATGTTCCCTGAAAGCCGCTGCTCGCCTACCATGATAACAAAAGCATAGAGGATAGACATAACCAATAATCATCATCCCGTCGTCGTCACAAAAGCACGTACAAAGCACCAGACAGACAAGTGTGTGTATGCCCACATGTGTTTGTGTGTGCATGCGTCCGTGTGTGTGTCTCTAGTAGATAAAGAGGACTGATTTCATCATCACTCCTCATCCCTCTTATCTTCCAAACCCATACCATCCATCTCATCTCCCAACAGCTCTACCTCTACCTCCTCACCGACCCAGCCTTCGAACTCCTCGAGCCCCTTTTGCACACGAACCTTGAACCGGATCACATCCTCCAGACACCTCTCGATGCCCGAATGTAGTTCCTCGCGCACTCTGGCAGCTTCCTCGCGCATGCTCTCCCATGCCACGCCGACCTCGATCTCGCGCTGCTCGAGCTCGACGACGCCGCGCTCCAGGCCCTCCCTCATCCTCGCGAGCTCCTTCTCGAGCTTCTCGATCGCGCTCGTTTGCTGCGTGTGCGTCGTGGTCTGACTTTCCTTGAGCGACGCGTACATCCGGCTGGCTTCGTTGACGCGGTAATTCAAATTGTCGATCTCGGTGTTCTTCTCGTGCAGCGCTTCGGAGATGTTGTCCAGAAAATCCCGCGCGTTCAGGTCCGCGTCGGCAGCGGCTTTGCGGCGCTCGTTGATCTCCTTGCGCAGCGCGATGAAGGCATTCCGTACCGCGCCTCGTAGGTCCAAATTCAGCAGGTGGACGGGCGAGTAGCCCACGTTGTTGTCCGCTAGGAGACGGTCGGTGTCAGGCGATCCCCTTCTACGCGACGTCGACGTCGAGAAATTGTCCGAGATGTTGAGGCTGAGTTCGAAGTCGACGCCTTTCGCATTGACCGCTGTAGAGGGGATGAGGGACATTTGATAACCCAAGGAATTGTAGCGCTTGACGACAACTTCGAGGTCTTCAAGTTTTCGCGACGTTTCAGCTTCTTTCTCCAGGACTTTCTTGTTGACTTCATCCAGCATCACGAGTGCATCTTCGTGACTTTTCGTAAGTCGTTCGCGCTCCGTGTTCATTCGGTCGATGTCTTGGATATTGAGGCCTTGCCGGTCGACAGATTGTTGGAGGCTCTGACGTTCTTGCTCGACTACTTGCAGGTCTGCTTCTGTTCGTTGAATTTCTGCTTCGAGGATCTTAATTCGCGCGTCGTATTTTTCAATCTTTGCTTGTACGTTTGCATTGTACTCTTCGAATTTCTTCTTGTCGTCCTCAAGGATTTTGAAGTGCTTATCCAACTTGGCTACGTCGGGGGCGTTGCGCTCGAACTCTTCGACCTGCGCTTTCAAAGCTTCGTGCTCTGCTTCGTACAGCCGTAGCTCTTCCGCGTGCTTGGAGTTGATCCGTTCAAATTCGTCCGTCATTGCTTGGATGTGAGGTTGTAATGCTGCTTCTTCACTTTCTTCGTCATCTTCAGGTCCCATCTGCAGCCAGTCCTGATATGCTCCAAACAAGAACCTGAAGACAATTCTGTCGCTCGCAATGTCGACACCTGCTTCGGCACAGGCATCATCGTATGCACCTCGTGTAAAGTTGTCCAACATTTGTGCAAGCTGCATCATCCAATGTAGTAATCCAAGAAAGCGAGGCCAGTTCTGTCCTCCAACTGCGACCAGGTGTGACTTTGTAATGTCCCTTTCGTAAGGATATCTCAACTGTTTCATGATTGGCGGTACTTCTGTGTCAATGCTCTTCTGAAATTTATATCCGGGGTCAATCCGTCGGTAGAGCCACTGGAACATGAATGTGAAATCTTTCTGCGTTGGTGATTTTACAGAGTTTTGCGTCAACGAATGCTTCATTTCCAATTCGAAGTTGTTTTGTGTCAAGTAGTCCAGTAGTTCTTGACTCAGTCGCGCTCTATACGAGGAGTCCCTGAGAGGTCGAGGGTCTTTGGGTGCAATTCCAGGAGCAGGAGGTTGGGAGAAGAAGGACTGGTGCGCGACTGGGCCATGGCCGGAGGGCCGGGAGAATATGCTGCTTCTTCGTTGTATGCTTTGCGACGCAGGAGTTTGAGATCCAAACAACTGGTTTGGCGCAAGACTCTGTCTGCCAGTGTTTGCGCTGCCGAACATGTTACTTGAAACTGATCTTCTAGCGGTGGACATTCCCATGTCTGCTAAATTCCCTCCTGAAGATGAGCGGTGGAAATTTGGCTGCGCGGGTCGCTGAACACTCTGATTTATCGACGTCGATCGGGCGTGCGACGCCGTGAATGGCGCATTTCGTAACTCATTGCTCGAAGAGACGCGCTTTACGGCAGAGGCAGGTTGCGGGATGCCTGAAAAGTTTTGGATGTGGCCCAGCGTTTCGCGAGGGCGTCGCACGCTGAAGAGTCCAGGTGGTTGCGACATGGGTTCTTGGTTCGTTGCCTTCGATCGATGCGCGTTGTGAGATGGGGAGTGGAGGAGCAGCCGGCTTTGCAATTGAGGTTGTCGCAAACTGTGTACCTAGGTAGCCAAAGGTTGGTATGTACCTAGGTAGGTATGTATGATGATGGAGTTCGTGCGCATGAGCCCAAGCGGGACAGCCTAACAACAACCCGCGCGTCAGGCTCATTACCACGGCGACGAGATGCTTAGGTAATAAGTGAGTAAGCGGGACGGCTTTTTCACGTGACGATGAGCCTCGGCTGAATTCCTAACCTCAGTTGAGGCCAGCCTCCCACCCGATCATTAATTATCTCGTCGAGTTGATGATCTTTTATCGACCTCCCTTTCTTTCGGCTGTGTTAGCGGTTCGTCTCTGTCTCTAGCAAACACGTCGCCCAAGAGTACACTTTTGACGCGCATGCGGTGACTCGCAGACAGTTCCTTGCCGCCACCATGGCTCCCAGAGAGGATCTCGTCACCTCTGCCGTGACCTTTCTTCAAGATCCCTCTGTTGCCTCGGCGCCGCTGGAAAAGCGCATTGAATTTCTCCAGTCCAAGAACCTAACTCAAGAGGAAATCGATCTGTCTCTCGCCAGAGCCAGCGTTCCTGCCACATCCTCCCAGCCCGCTCAGAATGGATACTATCCTCCCCCGACCCAGCAGGTCCCTCGCGGTCCTCCATCACAACGCTATCCATATCCCTACAATCCATACGGCGATCAATGGCCACAGCCACATCCTCCACCCGAACCTCCTCGCCGGGACTGGCGCGACTGGTTCATCATGGCTACCGTAGTGTCCGGCGCCAGTTACGGCCTTTACATGCTCGCACAGCGCTACATAAAACCTCTGATTGCACCTCCAACCCCTGAACAGATCGAGCAAGACAAAGCGTCGATAGATGAGCAATTCAACAAGGCATTTGCTCTCCTAGATACCTTATCATCCGACACGGCCGCGCTGAAAGAAGCGGAGGAGCAGCGCACACAGCGCCTCGACAATGCCATTACAGACATCGAGACGATCGTGGCGGACCTCAAGGCTGCCAACATGCGCCGGGAAGACGACGCGCGTCGCATGGAGGCCGAGATCCGCACAATGAAAGACAGCCTCCCACGCAGTATCGAGAGTGTGCGCGACGCCAGTGAGAAACAACTCAAGGAACTCGGCGCTGAACTCGGCAGCCTCAAAGTCCTCATGGGTAACCGCCTGGGCGGCGGTGCGAACAGCTTGACACCGAATATCCCCAGAACACAGCCTGGTGTCCTGCCCTCGTCGAACAGTGCTGCAACCACACCAGGAGCACCGCCTTCTGTTCCCTCCGGGGCCGTCCCACCTCGGCCGTCGTCGAGTTTCGAAGACCAAGGAAACCCATACGCTCAACTTAACAGGCCGCCGCAGCCTACTACGGGTCGACCACCTAGTGCGGCCGAGTTCCGAACCGCCCTCACCCAGAGTATGAAGGATAATGCGAACAAAGCAGCCATCCCGGCGTGGCAGATGGCTGCGGCCAACAAAGCGAAGGAGGCCAGTGCGGGCGCGCCAACTACAAATGGAGCAAGCAGCAGCAGTGAACAGCAGCAACAACAACAGCAACAAGATGGCGCTGATGCCATCGCGGCCCTGAATGCAAGCTAGTCTATACATAAGGCATATATCGTCGCACTTCTATAAAGGAAAGGTTGTTGTAGTGGCAGCACAAAATGGGGGCACGCTTGTGTTCATTGACGATCAATCTTGGTCCAGAGCAATGTTGTATTTTACTGTTTCGAATCTTTCTATCTACTCTTCTGTGCTACCGCCGAACCTCTGCCGCACAATCTCTTTGAGCATACTCATTGTCTTCTCCTCTTTCTCCTTCAACCCCGCGACGCGGGCCTCTCGTTCGGCTCTACGGGCACGGAGAATTTCTTCCTTGCGTAGTTCTCTCTCGTTCTTCTTGCGCTCATTTTCCTTCTGCATCCTCTTCATCTCAGCCAGACTGTCCTCCTCGCCCATCATATCTGCGTCGCGCACCTCCTCCATATCGCCGCCTCCGCCCTTGGCCGAGGCAAAGGCACGGTTTGAATCGGCCTTTTCGCGCTTCTTCTCGAGCTGGCGTTCTCTCGTGCCCGGCTCGGCACGCGGCGCTATTTCGTCGAGACGGTCGCGTTGGAGTTTCCGATCGAGGGCGCGCGAGTAGTTTAGGTCTTGTCTCTGCTGGGCTCGCGCTGCGACTGCATCTTCTCTCGCTTGTTCGTCGCGGGAACGGAGGTCTTGTAACGAGGGGATTGTAGCGCCGTGGCGGCCACCTTTCAGCATGCGCCCTTGTCCCTGGGACGTCTTCGCTGACTCTGGCAATGTAGGGCCGTAGCCGTCTTCGTCCTCTTCGTCGTCCTCGTCGTCGTCTTCGTCATCGTCATGATGGCGCTGTTCGTCGTTGGTGCGGCGCTCAGCGTATCGATCGGCTACGGCTGAGGAGGAGGACGCGGCTTCAGCTTGGGATTTCTCGAGAGTCTTCGGATCGTACCATCCTTCAGCGAGGTCTCCGCGGTTCCTGCCATGTTAGTCTCCGTCCCCCGTTCTTTGTCTGTAACAAGGGGGAATATAGATTTTGTACCATCTTGAAACGAAACTCTTCCACCGTCCTTTGACTTCGGTCTCGTCAAGTGCGTCGATGTCTATTTGTTTCTGGATGTCGAGGTAGAGAGCGAACATCGGCCGATAGATGGGCAGGTCATGTTTCGACAGCTCGCGAGCGTTCAAGGGCAGTGGCTTAGCAGGGACCTGGGTTCGACTGCTACTGTGTCGAGGAGAGTCTGAGTGTGAGTGATGGCGGCGGTGGTGGTGGTGATGATGGTGATGGTGGTGGTGGTGTCGGGGCCGCTTTTCTTCGTGGCGATGAGGCGATCTAGAGCGTGAACGAGATCGTGGAGTACGGTGTCGACCTTCCATTTGATCTTGTCGGACCAGTTACCGAGATACTTTCAAGAATGAGTGTGCCGCGTCAGTTTCGAAACGCCTGACAGTGGTTGATCAAAGTGTTTGAAGAAACATGGGGAAATGTTGTACTGCATTTCACTTCCCCCCACACGGAGTTTATGATGGCGTCAAGGACAGTATCCATTCAGGTCTATGCAAGAAAGCAGACCTGTAGTTGGTGCACAAGACGTAGACAATCTGACTGAGACTATTGTGAGCTGCTATAGTTACAGGGAGAGGGCCATTCTGTCAAGGCTGTTGAGAAGTCTGTCCTTGAGCAGCGTGCTTGTCTTATGCGACGAAGGGTTGTCATGAGACATTGACTCATTTCCATGCTTGTACCACACTACTTGAAGGGTGTTCACATGGATCAAATCGTGCTTATGGAAGTACCGTAGAGTCTGGGTCGTCCTGCAGTAGTCGTAGAAGACTCTCTGCTGTCGGAGGCGGCGAAGTGAACGCACAGCAATGATTGCAAGGCTGAGGGTGAAGAGGAGGTTCGAGCTATTGCGCTACCAGTGCCTCTTGATTCTCGTATCATTCGGATCAAACCGCGCCTTACAGAAGAACATTGCATTGCTCTATGAGATTCGGGAGCAGATAGTCCATATTGAGAGCGTCTAAACGCAACAGCCACAGCCATCTTTCACGGTACATCCAAGTTACCACCGGTCGTGGAAGATAAAGAGCTGTTATCGTAGGAGAACGCAATGGTGTTCCTACTACTACAACCGATAGAGACGATCCCTTGATAACGTATGCCTATGATAATTGACACTTCTCCTGTGGGAAGAATTGCCTCCCAAGGGGCATCCGGAAAGCACCGTGGCGTGAGATCGGGGTCCAGCGACAAGTCCTCCCTTATCTCTGTCTTGCCATCTCATCTTGACGACAATATGGATCGAAGATAGGAATCATGCTTCGAAGATAGCCGATCTAGGATCCATGCTGGAAGATCTATCATCTCTCACAGCTATCGTGTAACGTTTTGGCTGGTCTAGACCGTCATCTGAGCACCCAGAGGGATCTGGCATTCACCAGCTAGTAGGCAGATACCAACATTCGGATGCCAGACATGCAAGATCGAGTCCGGTAGTGCGATAAGGTAAAGACTTGGGACACGGTGCAAGGTAGCACTCTGTACCAAAGTGGCGCTGGCGAACAGGGTACCGCTGGCCAACCTCTTTCTGGCTTATGCACCCGAGGAGCACATGGTGTTGTGGCCCTGGGTGCCGCGTGGGAAATATGCAGGACATTAAACGGCATAGTGTACAGTAACAGTAGGGAAGTAATGGACCGATATGGATGCTCAGGAGTGTCTTTGCAGACTCGGCTTCCCCATGATCCGACTCAGGGGATGCGTAATCCTTCGGCCGACGTACTGATAAGCTTGCTTGACAACAAGATAAGCCTGGAAGCTTGTGTACGGCTGATTCCCACGGGTGGCAGTCTCCGTCTTCCACCTTAAGTTTCGATGGCGTAGTCCGTACATCATAAGGATGCGAAGCTTCACCTGTTCACGAGGATCCGTGCACTTTTGCAGCTCAAATCGGCTGTGTGAGAGGTGCGTGTACTGTAGGCTCAGAATGAAGGTCTCGTCGCTGAGCTTGCCTGTCAAAGCACCAACAAGCACAGATCGACACTGTGCAACTCTCTGAGATGGCTCGCCACCAAACATAAAGTAGACGACATTTGTCTTATCACCCAGCCCCGGTTTCCCGCAACAACGTACAGAGTAAAAGGGTCTTCGACAAGGAAGGAAGCTAAATCCACGATCATCATGAGTTGCTCGCCTGCTTCAGTGTCGGCCAAAGAAATCCAAGTATGGGGCTTATCACGCATCTGGTTGCAGTGGATCAGCCCTTGCACCACACCACACAGGCCATGGCCTGACCCTGGGCTAGCATCTCTAGCACAGCGTCGAGTCCTGCTCGGCTACTTTCTAGATAACGCAGGTGTTTATAAGCTGGACCACGTCCCTTAGGATTCAGCCGTGTCATCTCACAGACTTTCGTTCCGCCCTGAGCTTCACTGTTCGTCAGGATGTCCAAGTACGTGACGAAATATATCCCGAGCGGCTCGACCGTGAAGGCTCGGGTCACCACCCTCAGTGCGTGGGAGCTTCCCAAGCAAGGTGAGTGAATGAAATGTGACCTGCAGTGGCCTGCAGGGACATTGGTTCGAGGTTGACTAATCGCCTGTGCAGAATCCGCCCTCGCACCCAAAGATGTCTGGTCCGTCCTCTCCTCACATCACATTTGAGGCTAAACTAAAACATTCTCAGGACAAACTCTGATATGGACCCTGTCCCGCCCCAATACCAGACGTGGACGCTCTGGACTTGGATGGCGTACTGGGCCACGGACACTATCAACCTCGGTGAGCACTCTAATGTCACAAACATTCGTTGCCATAGATAGAATTCCGTATGAAGGACGAAAAACAAGGCGAGCTGAAAAGGGCCGAGGATGGTGTTGTGGGCCCTGCTTGAGGTTGCACCCAATCAGGACTGATGCAGCCCTTCACACGTGACCCTTGCTCCAGCTATGGTACCAGTCACGTGATATCCGAGCCCAAGCTCACTCACCGCACTGCGCTGTCCTCGCTACGTCCCTAAATTGAGTGCCCGCTAATTGTGTACGCCTTCAGGCACCTGGGAAACCGCATCGTCTATCCTCGCCGTCGGCTTGAATTGGCGCGATGCCATCCCCATCATGGTGGTCGGAACGTCCTGCGTTGCAGTCCCTATGGTTCTCAACGGTGCGATCGGCGCGAAGCTTCACATACCGTTCTCCGTCATTGTGCGATCCAGTTTCGGCTATTACTTCGGTTATTTCTGTATCTTCTCCCGTTGTGTTCTGGCATGCTTCTGGCTTGGGATCCAAGGTGCAAACGGAGCACAATGCATCACCCTGATGCTGACCGCCATCTGGCCATCTTATGGGCACATCAAGAACCATTTGGCCTCGGACGCGGGCATCACAACCCAAGGCATGATAAGCTACTTCCTGTTCTGGATCATCCAGCTTCCACTCCTGTTGATCCCACCCACCAAGTTACGATGGCTTTTCATCGTGAAACTTGTTGCAGCGCCCGTCACGGCCCTTGCCACGCTCGGGTGGATCGTCCACAAGGCAGGTGGCGGCGGTGCCATCTTCCATCTACCCGAGACTGTCCATGGCAGCACTCGCGCCTGGCTCTGGTTGTCTTGCATGTCCTCGGTCACCGGCAGCTGGGCCACACTAGCTTGCAACATCCCTGATTTCAGTCGATACGCAAAGTCGAGCAAAGGACAATATATCCAACTTCCGTTCCTCCCGGCCATCTTCACAGTTTGCGGCGTGATGGGCATCGTTACGACTTCGGCCTCGAAAGTCGTCTATGGCGAGTATCTCTGGAATCCTCTTGACATTATCGACCACTGGCTCGGCAGTCACGGTGGAAGAGCCGCTGCATTCTTCGCCGCACTGTCCTGGTACATTGCCCAAGTCGGCACAAACATTACGGCGAACAGTATCTCTGCCGCCAACGACATGACGGTCATGTGCCCCAAGTACATCAACATTAAGCGCGGTTGTATGCTTGCAGCTGTTATTGGAGGCTGGGTAATCGTGCCGTGGAAGATTCTCAGCTCTGCGTCAACCTTTTTGGCCTTCATGGGCGGCTATGCTGTCTTCCTGGCTCCCATGGCTGGTATCATTGCCTCAGACTACTGGATCGTCAAGAAACAGCATGTCGACGTCCCCGCGCTGTACGACCCTCATGGCCGGTACAGGTACAACATTACGGGCATAAACTGGCGAGCCATGCTGGCCTTCTTGCTCGCAGTCGGGCCGAACCTGCCTGGTCTAGCCTACAGTATCAACAGTGGCTCCAAGATCACCACGGGAGCAAAGCATCTATACTCGTTTGATTGGCTGTATGGATTTCTTACGAGCATTTTCGTTTACAGCGTAACGAGCCATTTCTGGAAGCCTACCGACCAGCTCGTTTCCCATACCGTGTACGGTATCCCGACCGACCCGATGGATGAAGAAGCATACGAGGAGCAGTACGATGAGAAAGTGTTGAGGAAGGACAGCCTGGTCGGCAACCCCAAGGGATTTTCGAACATTGGTGGAATTGATAACATGGGTAGCGCTCTTCATTTCAGGAAGTCGGTCGAGGAGACGGCTCGCGCGAGTATCGAGATTAGACAGAGCCATGCAGCTCAGGGTGGCCAGGGTCCGCATGAGCCAGGGTCCGTTCCAAGTCATCTCAAAGGCGTGGATCAACAGGTTCTCGACGAGAAGATGGTTTGATTCGACGAGTGCGTGTATGATGTAGATTTTAATGCTGAGAGGTGTGATATGGTCCGTGATTCTTTCCAGATGTGATTTAGGGCCTTGATGAGGAAGATGCGATGATATGGATGAAATGATTGATAGACGGATACCATTGTGTGTTTGGCTACGTGTTGTACTGTTGTGTCTGGAAACGATGGATACTGGTGTCTGATCCTATCGTACGGTTCGAATTCTTCATTAGATCTAGGACGGTGAAAGAATGGAAGATGTTCGAGTGGGTAGATGTTCATAATTCTCTAATTTTGTGCATGACTCGATTTCCAAGCTCATATAGGATTCCGCTTGGCCTTGAACGGTTGTAGCCTGAACCTCCACTCCCAGCCGGGCGCGGCATGGATGAGGTATTCTCACATTCGTCCTGATACACCGTCATCATCCCTGAACCTGAGGTTGGATCTGTCATCACCGGTGCCGGTGCAGGTGCCGGATTCACAGACGAACAACAACAACAAAAGCAGCAGCAGCTTTGGGACTGTGGATGAAAATGGTGACTGTGGAGGCACAGAACCCTCGCCTTGCGATTGTTCCAGCCTTCCCCTTCTCGTTCTGTGGCGTGGTATATGCAATATACCTTCTGTGGATGTCCTTGTGGATACGCAGGCCCCCAATCTACAGCAGGAATGAAACTCGCATGTCCGGGTCCAAAGGGACCTCCTTTGTCCTTGCAGCTTTTCAACAGCGGCGCGTGGCGTTTCTGCCACGACGACGCCTGAAGAGGATCGCCGCCCGTAAACCTCAGCAGGCCGAGCGTGTAGTCGCTCGTCCAGCTCCCGTTGGCGGAGTAGACTATGCCCTCGAACCCGGCCATGCTGAGCCACGTCGGGCCTTCGTTGACTCCTCGCCGGCCTCCGTCGGGCCGTTCCCACGGCAATTCGGCGCGAGAGATGCACGTCAACGTGCGTGCGAGCGCGTGCTCCGGGTCCGCAAGCTCGACGAGGAACACGTCCTGCTGAGTGTCGGAGAAGTCGCCGGGCGGCCAGCCGCTGTAGCAGCAGAACAGCCTGCCACGGAGTGTGAACACGGTCGCGTCGACGTTCCAATGGTCCGGTATCCCCTGGAGCGGGCCCAGGAACGTCCATCCCGCAGCGTCCATCGGATCCTGGCTCGATGAGCGCAAGAGGACCGTGCGGTGAGACAGGCTCCCCCGGCCCAGGTGCGCGGCGCAGAAGTATACATACCATGTTCCGTTTATGTGGTGGAGCTCGGGGGCCCAGAGGTCAGTGGACCACGGGGTGTTGGGGGGCGGGTGCCATGCAGTAATTTTGTTGCAGGAGCGGAAGTCCTCCACGTTGCGAGACATCAGGATGTCGACGCGGTCGCCACATGTAAATGTCAGATAGTAGAGGTTGTTGTGCCGGACCATCCACGGGTCCGGGGTGTCGATGTCGGCGATGGGAATGTTGGACATGGTCAAGGACTAGCTAGCCTACCTCGTTCTGGACGACAAATGTATGTTGGATGGGCGGAGGTTGCAGTTATAAATGTGGTATGAACCATGGATCAATGATGGGGCTTGTTCATGGAGAAGATCGATGCGTGACATGGATTGTCAGTGATCGCGGAAGGGAGATTGTACCTGAGATTGACTCTACATTTCACATCGAGGGCTTTTTTCGGATAGAGGACGTACAATTCGACGAGGAGTTCTGTGGATCTTGATGTGGAGGGAGAGAGACATGCTCGGATTCAGCCAAGGAACGTCACGCAAGCTCATACAACGTTGTGATGTAGGGGGACTTGAGGTATAATGGGGCAGTACTCTTCGATTCCACAGCTCTCAAATTCACAGTATATATTCACAAGGCGGCAACAATAAATAACTCAGTGAGGAGGAGCTTGTCACTGCTCGCTGGGACTCTTACCCAGACTGTGCTGAGATACTCAGCCGCTCAGTAACTAAAGGCTGACACAAGGAATCGAATTACCAGATATGCTACAAGCTCCGCTGCGCTGACTGGAGTATCGAAGTCCGCCCTGGCATCCAGCGGTATATTGACTACCACCACCCCAAAGCCGACCCGTCCCGTAATACTCGCCGTAGGTTCTTCCGCCCCGGAGGATGCCCCTCAAAATTCCCGCCCCCTAATTCTGCCCACTTTGACTCCCACTTTTTTTGCGCTCCGTCGGAAAACGAAGCCCAAGTCTTCACCACTGACATCCGCTCCAGCTTTTAGGAGCACCCTCACCACCTCCTTATGGATGCCCATTACTGCTACCTGTAGGGGAGTCTGGCCCAATTCTCCTCTAGCGTTGATGTCCACTCCAGCCTCCAGTAGCTTCTTCACCACGGTAACACGACCAATTTCTGATGCGGCACGTAGGCCGGCGCTACCGGATGGAGGGTTGATGTCTGCCCCCGCGTCTAGGAGTATCTTCACCACCGTCCCATGGCCCGATGCTGACGCGTGATATAGGGCATTATGGTTGTTTTCCCCTGGAGCATTGACGTCCGCTCCAGCATCCAGCAGCATCTTCACCACCGTCCCATGGCCCATCTCTGATGCGGCATTTAGAGCAGCGTTACCAGACGGAGGGTTGATGTCTGCCCCCTCATCTAGGAGCATCTTCACTACTGTCCGAAGGCCCGATACAGATGCGTGGTATAGGGCATTGTGGTCGTTATGCCCTGGAGCATTGACTTCCGCTCCGCCATCTAGGAGCAGCCGAACCACTACCTCATGGCCACCCTCTGATGCCGCATGTAGGGGGTTATGGGTGTGTTTTCCTGAAAGGCCTCGGGTACGCCCTAATATGCGGCCGGGCAGTCGTACGCAGGTCTTTGCCGAATCGGTTTTCTCGAGCATTAATGTCTGACCTCGCTACCACAGGCGGGGCGTTGTAGAATTGCTCTGGTCGACGATAAAAAATGTTCGCCCCGGCATCCAGCAGCATCTTCACCACCGTCGCATGGCCGTTGTAAGCTACCCACCATAGAGGCACTTTCATATCATCATCTTCGAAGTTGATGTTGCCACTGCTTTCCGAGAGGAAATAATCTGTGAAATGTATGAATCCGCCTTCTGCAGCATACGATAGACCTGTCCTCTTACGATATCCAAATCGAGGGCATCTTCACTCTGCGGTAGACTCTCGTAGACTTGAACTTGTTGTTGTTTACGATATCGAAAACCGAGGGCATAATCACTCTGTGGATTCTCGTTGATCTGAATTTGCTGTTGTGGCGGTTGTTGATCCAGGTCAGTCCATGGTGGCGTGATCTCCTCGGCCCAAAACGTTTGGTCTTGTTCGAAGGCGAAGGAGGACAGTACCTCGAGACTGCTGTCTTCATGTTCTGTCGCCCTGTCGTTGGCGCAGCCGCACAGCAGATTCCCCTGAACGGATTCATCGAGAATCTCTTTTTGATGGCTCAAGATGCAGTCAAGTTTTCCGATATCCAGGAGCCATAACAAAATCAATACTGTCCGACTAATGTGACAAAGAATTCTACGATGCAATGGGTTGCCTGAATTGATGCGCCGACATACTAACACTCCTCCAAGTATGATGTTCCTGATGAATTCTATCGTCTTCTCGCCTTCCGGTTCTTGAATTAGCATCCCAACAACGACTGGATCCGTGGGACGAGGTCCGAAGGCTATATACAGGCCTTTTGGTGATCGCGATGTTGACTGTAAGCTGTAAATTAGGTCCCCGGATGATAAGCCTCCATAACCGCGAAATTCTTTCGTAGGTCCCTGAAGCTGTACTTTGAGAGGGAAAGAAGGGAATTTGTCTTCTGCATCTTGTCCTTGCGTATTCTGAACTGAGTCCTGTACCGTTAATATGACACCGATGTACTCGAAAACAGTGTACAATCGATCGTCTGGGCCGTCCTTCAACGACTTGAGCAAATCTTGCTTCTTTAATGGCATACAACTTTGTAATCGACTCGCAGCTTCGTGTGGCCACCGGTATCCCGGAATCGTAGGAAAGACTCTTTCAGTAGGTAATGTAGAGAGGACTCGGAAGTATAAGTCAGATTCCGACTCATCATAGCGTGGCGATAATCGATCCCCGTTTTCTGCAATACTTCGTAGCGCGAACGCCCTGTCGTGTGGTTCGAAACAGCGCGCATTTTGAAATCGCTCCATTAATTCTAACAAGCTCATTTTTTCTCCGGAGGCAAGCGATTCCACCTTTTTGAACCCTTCGAGCGTTTGTCGGGCTGAAGAGTCGCTTCTCAGCACATCGTTGCCACTCTTACTCTTAAGGGTACGCCATTTTGTTAGACGTCCTCCACAGACAATAGTCCGTTCTTGAGCCAGAGAGAATTCCTGGATGATCCATCGCCGCGTCCAATAAGAAGCTCCGAAGAGTTTTTCAACGCACGTCGAGAATATCCCCGAGTCAAAGCGAGTCTGAGGTTTTCCCTCAATATGTTCGAGGGCATAGTTGGTGTCATCGTCACCAATGCCGAGCCAGATATATACTTCTTTTGCTGTTCTGTAGATATCCCCCATAATGGAGATTTGATCGTTGCGTTCCTCTACATCACTCTGATTGATGCCCTGGTTGATACAGAGAGCGTCTATCCATGATACGTTCCTGGGTTGTGAGATCACATGGTATTGAGGAATGAGTGCAGTGTTGGCCTGATCCAAACAGACTCTCCATGGATAGAGATTTCCTTCAATGCGCTTTTGGGCACTGGCGCACCGGAAGAATATGACACAGCGCAGTATTTCGGCTTATTCTCGAGATAGACGTGATGCATTTCATACTGCAAATCGTTGCAGTTCGTTCCAGGATCGAGGCGAATCAAACGTATCTCCTTGCGGTCTGGCCGTCATGGCTTGTAGCCAGAGTATTTTGGCCATTGCCCTGCGTTGCCGCTCTACGGCTCAGACTGTGCCATGGTGCGAGGAGTGCAGCTCCTGCGACGTAACCTGAAGGAAATCAGATAGAATTTATACTTCCGGCGTAATTGTGCAGACGGAGGATATGGAGTGGCTCAGCTCGTAACAAACATGCTGAGCTCCAAGTCTACGAGGGCCCGGGTCTGGTCGGGAAGGCCAATCCTGCGTAAATGTTGTCAGTGTCTCTGCACTGATCGTCAGTCCATCGATAAGTATCTGAGGTTAGCCAGCAGTTAGGGCAGTCGCTCTCTGTTGGTGCAAGGACGGCGGCGGTGCGTCGCTTTGATGAGCCTGATCCTGCGATGGGCGGTTACGGTTGTAATAGGCCTGGCAGGCGAACAAAGAAGCGGGACAGAGAACAGTCGCAACGACTATGGAAGGACTGCAGTCATACTATTGTCGTGGTCTATCTGTCTATCTGAACGAAAAGAGGAGAGAGAAAATAGAGAGTCAGGCAGATCGAGGGTGTCAGGTCCGCCCTTGCGATTTTAGCGCCGGGGTCGGTTATACTTTGTTCCCGGCTGCTACATTGGCTTATATGCTCTTCTGCATATATACGGCAGGTCGCTCCTTTACTTCTCCTGTAGCTAGTCAATCGACCAAGAGCCCAACTTGTGCTGAAGCGCTCTCTGCGGCGAGGAGCTCAAGATGTCCACGATATTGACGTAGATGCAGCTTCTTGCTGTATTTATTGTTCATCACCATTTCAATCTATGACGATTACTCTTATCTGCATACTTCCAACCGCCTAATCGCTTCTGCTCGTGTCGCTGTCCGTATTATCCACAGGCGAGAACCCATCATTATTTTATCTTGCTCCAGCGCCCTTCTTGAGGAGTTGCACCACCGCCTCATGTCCATTCTCAGAAGCCCACGATAGTGGCGTCCGGCCGTCAATATCTATTGAGTTAACCACAGCACCCTTCTCAAGGAGCAGTTGCACCACCGCCTCATGTCCATTCTCAGAAGCCCACGATAGTGGCGTCCGGCCGTCAATATCTATTGAGTCAACCACAGCACCCTTCTCAAGGAGCAGTTGTATCACCGCCTTATGTCCATTCCCAGAAGCCCACGATAGTGGTGTCTGGCTGTACTTATCCGTTGAGTCAACCACAGCACCCTTCTCAAGGAGTATTTGCACCATCGCCTCATGTCCATTCTCAGAAGCCCATGATAGTGGCGTCCGGTCGCCAATACCTATTGAGTCAACCACAGCACCCTTCTCAAGGAGTATTTGCACCATCGCCTCATGTCCATTCTCAGAAGCCCACGATAGTGGCGTCCGGCCATTAATACCTATTGAGTCAACCACAGCACCCTTCTCAAGGAGCAGTTGCACCACCGCCTTATGTCCATTCCCAGAAGCCCACGATAGTGGCGTCCAGCCGTCAATACCTATTGAGTCAACCACAGCACCCTTCTCAAGGAGTATTTGCACCACCGCCTCATGTCCATTCCCAGAAGCCCACGATAGTGGTGTCTGGTCATACTTATCCATTGAGTCAACCACAGCACCCTTCTTAAGGAGTATTTGCACCACCGCCTTATGTCCATTCCGAGAAGCACGCAACAGTGGTGTCTGGCCATACTTATCCATTGAGTCAACCACAGCACCCTTTTCAAGGAGCATTTGCACCACCGCCTCATGTCCATTCCGAGAAGCCCACAACAGTGGTGTCTGGCTGTCCCTATCCATTGAGTCAACCACAGCACCCTTCTTAAGGAGGAGTTGCACTATCTCCTCGGATCCATTCGCAGAGGCATTTGACAGGGGTGTCCGACCATAAGAATTCTTGTAATTTATATCATGCCCCTTTTTAACTAGCCAATTCACTATCTCTGTTAGCCTAAACCACGCCGCAAGATACATGCCCCTTATCTGTGTTGGTACGCGTTGACTGTAACCAGGATAACGGTGATTTTCCATGACCATTAATGCTTGGCTCGAAGCCAATACTTTGGCTTCATCCTCAAGGAATTCTGTATTTGGATGGCTATCGTTTGAGTTGCGGACATGATGGCCCCAATTCCGGGCCGCATAATCGAACAATGGATTGGACTTTAATCTTGTCTCAAAATCTTCGTCGGACTGGCAGAACCCTGATGCAAAAGTATCGAACGACAAATAAGCCATGCAAATCTCGGCAATGGATGTCTCTGCGTTCTCAAACCAGCGCCTCTGCGTTCGGATAAAGAATTCTTGCGCAGTATAATGAACCAGACGAATGACAGAACTTTGTTCGTCAACAGTAACCAATCCAGCGCACACAGAGACCATATCCTCAATTTCGGGGAGGTTCTGAGTATCAAGCTCGCGCTCATCAATTTCTACAGCAAGTGCGTGTTGTAGTTCCAAGGTCGTCAGTGGCCTTTTGGCGCAAGTTATCCACGATAAGACCTGCTTAGCAAGAGTTTCGGAGTCCGAGATCTGACCCTCAATTCTCTTCATAGCTGCACAGTAAGCTTCGTCATACGCTTCGGAGCCTTTCGGGAGCCTTTCCAGCGCGCTTCTGATAGCTTTGGGCGACCGCTTGCCGATCAATGAGTCGAGGTGGAGTTGTGCTAGAAGGAACCTTTGCCATGTAAGTAGTGGTAACGAAAGAGAAGAAATACTTACATTCCGTCCACTGCTTTGATGATCGTTGCTTTAATGTTGTTTTGTAGCTCTGAATTACGAGAGACAAATGACGGCAGCTTCTGGATATGATGATGAAGGTATCTTGACAAGTCTTCGTCATTTGCACGAATTTCCAGCCTGATGCTTCCACGAAACCTTTTCTCAATACCAGGGATAAACCGCGAAGTCACAAAGAGATTGATTTCTGCCTGGGTTTGAAGACTGAGTAACTCGGTCAGAAACTGCGCCTGCTCTCTGTCCCTGACTTGGCATTCGTCGAGCGCGTCAATAACGATAAATGTTCTGGAGTAACTTGGGACAATGGATTGCAAGGTCTTTGATATCGTATCGATTGATGGTCGACTTCGATTCAGGCAATGCTTCTCGTAAAGCCGCTGTATGCTTGGAGGTACTACATCCAGACCCCAGATTAACTGTTTGAGTAGGTTTTCAAGGAGATCAAGAGCTTTTTGTTCATGTTGCCTTCGGAAGTTGCAGTAAACATACGCAATTGCGATACTGGAGTCATTCTGGAACCTTTTGTAGAGCTCATCGATTAAGATGGCAGTGCTTATTGTTTTACCGGCTCCTGGAATACCGGGGCAAAACAACGTCTGGTTACTGAGGCTCACCCAGTCTCGAAATTCATTTGAAGTTAGAAGCCATCGCCCTGTTCCTTCCTGTCGTCTACCAATGAAGTCGTTTTGTTGCAGAGCATAGTCGACCGGCGAGAGCCAGTTCAGAATAGCCTGTCGATCCTGATCACGCTGATGGGTAATCAACTGATTCACACCCTCTTTGACTGCTGATAACGTTTGACTGCATCGTCCTTAGCAATGAAAAGCGAAGAATGGAAGATTCCTGACCTGCTTATCCGCTCAAGGAATGTAGTGAGCATCGAGACATTCAATGTGACCCGACTTCGAAGCCTGTCAATATCTTTCTGATCCCACCTAAGTCTTTTCCAGACTCTTCTTGACCGTCCGGCAAAGTCCCTCCTGGTAGGATCTAATTCTTGATATTTGTCTAGCGTCTCTTCCAATTCTTTGAGGACTTCTTTGCAGCTCTGGATCACTTCACCGAACCCAGCGATCTCCTCGCCGGGGAGGTCTGGTTGTGGGAGAATCTCGATATCGTGAAGAATATACGAAAGGCTCTTGACTCTATGATGCTGGAGTTAGCTTACTGCAGTGGAACATATCCGAATTACTCACTCATTTGAGAGATCTCTGAATTGATGCGGGGCATCAACAAAGCGGGAACGGATCTCGCCGGCAAGGTTGATCACCGCGATGAAGTCGCCTACGCCGAAACCAAAGCCCATTCTGATTGTGGAGGCGTTGTTGTCATCTATGTGGGCAAGAAGACGGACACAGAGTCATTCTGGATAATGACAATGTTGCAATCTTACTGAAGTGTCAATGGCTAGTGAGGCTGTGCCACGTAGCCGCCCAATGCCGCCACAGTCCGCCCAGGCAGCATTTCCGCCATTTCAATTGACCATGCTACCGCCCAAACAAATTGACGCTGTTCGCGCATTCCCTAGTAGAACCTAACGTCCAAATTGGATTGGTCACAGTCTCTGTGTACCTGGTGCATCCCCTTCTACTTCTGGTGGCTTTGTCGGCGGCGTGATGAGAGGTGTGACTCGTAACACGTCTGTAAGAGGATAGACATAACGATGGAGTGTTAACAAGGACGTCTGTTAATGTCTCTTTTAATATCAGCTCCATTATCCATAAGTGACATGGAGAGTGTGTACTATAATAGCACTTGATGACTGGTCAGATAGCACATCGATGGGGCCAGTGCTAAAAGGCTAGAATAGTCTCCACGTGTCTCTTCTTTCAACCGCTGTGGTTACAATACCGACGCTTCACCTTGTTTGACACGGATCTACACCCTGGTATCTCGCCCAGTTTCATCCTGTGGAAGTCCAAGAGCAGCTTCATTCAGTACCTGGCACTGGTGTTTTCTCCACTTTCGCATTGGTAGACTGATCCGGTACATCTCATCAATTTCGGCAACTGTCCGGGCCTTTGTCTCTGGCAGATAGAAATAAGACCAGATTGCGGTCAAGAAGACGCAGCCGCCGAAGATGAAAGCAGTCTTGACACCCAGGTTACCAGCGTCGGGAGCCGTGATCTGAGGAACCGCAAATGTTGTGATAATGGCCGTCGCGTAGGACCAGAATACTGCCCATGAGACGGTTGGCTCTCGGAGGGCGGCTGTCGATACCTCCGTGGGAAGCAGGTATGATCTTTTATGACCACACCGTCAGCAATTTATCCAAGCTGGTGGCATAGAGCCCTGTGACAAACACCAGAAGTGTACTTACAGCGATTGGAAGGAGACAGCGTTGAAGAAGGCAAATATAATGAACACCGCAGCAAGCCCGAGCCTCTGGCTCTTTGTTGTCAGGCCTGCCGCACCAAGCCCACCAGCAGTCATATCCAGGATGAAGAGAATCGAGAATCCAATAAGGGCGACGGGTCTTCGTCCGGCCGAGTCCACCAAAACCGGGCCCACAATCGTACCAAGGAACGTGAGGCACGAGATGATGATGGTAATTTCGAAGGGATTGGCGACGCCGCTTTGTACAAGTAACACGGTTGAATACTGCGCGAAGTTTGTCAGCATCATGAACGTCGTCCTTGTACAGAGGAGTAGGAGTGTACAATGCTCCAAAATATGCCATAGCAAGCCGGGAGGATTGGGGGATTCGCATGCTCGAACTGAGCATGCAGGTGACCGTACAGCAGAACACCTTGGGGGATCTTACAGTGAGAACCAAGATCTGGCCGCCAACCTGGCTGAGAGGCAGCAAGGCTCCCGCCGTTAGAGTACGCTTCAAGTGCTCTGGCTTTAGGATGTCCCAGAATCGTACACCAGCTTGGCGAGCCGTACTTGCACTCATTGCAGCCTGGATTAGAGTCAACTCTGCTTCCACGAGGTCCACCTTGTTGTTCCGAAGTCGCATGAGAGTGGATCGTGCTGCTTCTAGTTGATCATGTTGGATGTACCAAGATGGAGACTCGTCCGCAAGGAGGGTAAGTAGTCCAAAGGCAGCGGGCAATGCTACTTGGATCGCCAGGGGAACTTTGTACTGGCGAGAGTCGGTAAGCCGTGCGGTTGCCCACACCACGGTAGTTCCGATGATGCCTGTCGCTGAGCTCCCTGCAATACAGAACCCGACCGACCTTGCTCGGACATGTGGTGGTACCAGCTCGGAAAGATACAGTGGAGCAGTAGTGGTGAGAACGCTTACTCCGACATCTGAAGAAACAGTCAGCCATCAATCTCTAAGCCTCTTTTCTCAGGCCTTACAATTCCAGAATCGGCCAACCACCAGAGCTCCCAAGTCGGGGGCAAAAAGTTGTAGGAACGACCCAGGAACGCACAGCAGGAAATATGCGACCAGAAATGCCTTCTTGCGGCCGAGGTATCTCATCAACGGCGTCGCAACAAATGTACCCAATGCGGCTCCAACGAGGGGAACGGTGATGACCAAGTCTAGATTGCGGGCTGTGAAGGCGATCCCGGCGCCTTGATACTTCGTGATGAACAAGGGCAGGGCCACAAGCGGAGCTGCAAAGGAGTTATCGTAACCGAACAGCCCGACGGAGAGACCAATGATGATGCCATTGAGCAAGACTCGCCAGTTTGCCCAGCCTTTGGGATGTTCAATAATTTCACGCCCCTGAGGCGGTGTCGAGGCAAATTCGGTCTGCTGGAAAGCCACAATCTCGGGTTTGGTGGGTGTCATTGTTTCTGGACAATCGTCGTACCAAATTAGAATCAAGAAAACCAGCGAAGTCCCAAATTATGAAGTTTTCTAAGACGTCCATAGTCATACAAGCCTTAAATATCTTGATGGAAAGGCGTCTGACCTTGCCGTTTGGGAAATTGCCCGTTCTGGAATCCCATCACTCCGCACATCTTCTGGGGATTTCGTGGAGAGTGAACGTGCGAGGAATCTGGAGAAACACTTGGGTCTTACCTGAACTCTCTCTGAACTCTCTCGAGGTAGAGTCATGGAAAATGGGGCGCTAGAGACCAATCGGGGGGTTGACCCAAAACAGAAATTCCCCATCCGGTCAATTCACCTCAGGCCGAGGACAACAAGGGCGCCTCAAAATCTTAGATAATTGGTGACAAGTCAACTGCCAAACAGCGGCTCAGTTGTCTTTGCAACACTCTCTTAGAACAAGAATATTCGTCTTTCAAGCAGCGGAGAGATGGCATCGGTCGCAACTGAGAACCCAGCAAATCCCACGATACCCTCGACCATGGATGGTGTTCAAAGCGTGCTGCCCAGGCCTAACGCAGAAATGCTTTACCAGGCATTCGGCATCAGCCCTGACTCGGTATGCGAATTGCTGAGACCGGACATGAATTTTTTCGAGGTGCGCTACGATTGTATACCTCTATGCTAGGCGAAAACTCACTGGTGCCCTCCATAGGAGCTTGCCGAGCTACCGGTTGACCTACTCAAAGCTCCCCTTGGAACGGACGTCGAAGGGATGCGTGCTTGGGTGGAAGAAACACTACTCAACGGTCCTCTCGCCGAGCAACGAAACAACTCCACTTTCGAACGTCGACGGAAGGCCGTGCCCGTGAAGGTCCACGATGTCAGGATCCCTTGTGCCAATAGCGGTGATGGAGATAGTTTCAGCCTTAGGGTTTATGACCCTGAAATCGACCCGGAAGAGCAAAGCATACGGCCCAGACCTGCGATATTGATGCTTCACGGTGGAGGATGGATTCATGGAAAGCCCCACGGCGATGACGGTGAGTCTTGTCTTGCACCGACCAATGACAATGCGGGAAACTGATAAGTCTTGAGTCTTTGCGAAGTTTTTCGCTTCGGAGGTTCGAGCGGTCTGTTTGGGGGTGGACTACAGACTTGCTCCAGAGCATCCATTTCCAGCTGCTTTTGAAGACTGTTGCCAATCAATAGACTGGGTAAGAGCATCTTGAACAATTCATGACGTTATTTAGCCATTTGAAACGTTAACCGTCTTCATTCAAAAGGTCATGGAGAATGCTCCGGCGTACAACATCGATATCCGTCGGCTTGGCTTGTGGGGCGCCTCGGCCGGAGGCAATCTCGCAGCCGCAGTGGCACTCAAGCACTCGCAAAGGGACAGCCAGTCGCATCAGCCTCAACTGAAATTGATCAGTCTGGTAGTGCCAGTGACGGCAGCCTACCAAGCTCAGCATTTGTTTGAACGCAGCCGGGAGCTGGAACTCAGTTCGAATGAAAAGCTGTTCCGAGACGCACCTTTGCCCACAGCCGCCGTAGTGGAGGGTTTCGACAGCCTTATAAGTGAGTGTCCTCCTTCCCGAAAAGTACCACAATGAAACCATTCCCATGCTCATATTTCTGCCATAGAACTATATACAGGTGGGAAGACTGATGAGTGCCACCCGTTCATTTCGCCCTTATTGGCGAAACCAAGTAAACGACATGCCAGAACTCACATTACGGTCGCCGCATGTGATGATCTTCGAGCTCAAGGACTTGCGTATGCACAACTTCTACGCTCGTCTGGTGTGGCTGTCTCCGAGGAGGTACTACAGGGTGTGCCTCACGGATTCACGTTTCCGTTGGAGGCAAGAGTTGTGAAGTCGTGGCTGCGAGGGCAGGTTGACAGGTTCGTGACTGCATTCGAGGATGAAGTCGAATAGTTTTGCTGGAAGCTTTGAGAAAGCTCATGCACGTCTGTACAACGAAACCTCAGAGTAAAAGGATTAAAATGGTATTGAAAACCGAAGCAGTGTAGTCAATGTGCCTGTAGGCATGAGGGATATCCACCGACACCTTCAGATAGAAAATTACCAACCATCGTTGAGGGGCCAAATTTGACCATCAGCTGGATACTGGTGGGCTCGGAGTCGATTGTTTGCATAGTCGTTTTGGAGTGGTCCTTCTATCGGAAGCGGAACCGACAACCTCGGCATGATAACTTCTGCTAACTCAGAAGTGAACTGATGATCGTGATCCTCTTTCATGACAGCGCCCACGAGCCCGGCAATGGCGTAATCGCAGCAGTTGTTTCCTGCAATCGTGTGAATGGCCCGTGCCAGCCCTGCTAATTTTCCCAAACCAACAATCCGTAGCTCACCTTCCTTCAAAGAGCACACCCAAGCCATAGCCGTGAGGCCGAGGTCCTCAACTTCTTGCAAGCTTGGCCTTGAGACTGGCAACCCTCTCGCCCGGCCAAGGACTGCCTTTTGGGAGAGTTGCCATTGGTGAGTTACTGCAACATCAGCGGCCTGAATCCTACAGAATTGATGCTGTTGTAGGGAGACATCGAATAAGGTTTTCAAATCGCCCTCCAGGTGGTTGGTGTTGGTTGTTTGTAGCTCTTCGGCGTCATTTGCCAGATGTATTTGGGAGAGTTTGTTGAGTAGTTGGAAAGCCAGTCTATCGAACTGCGTGACGCTTCCATCCGTAGATGACGATGTTGGAAGCTTGTCTATCAACTTCACCGGCTTCTTCATTCGGCGTCCTCGACGTCCGTGAGCATAGATCGCAACTGAAGCGGCTTCTGTGTTGTAAAGGACTTGTTGTATCAGTTGCTTCCTGAGAAACTCGGCTTCGCCCACCGGGTTCACCTCTTCTAGAAGAGAAATAGCCTCATCTAGGAAAAGAAATGCACGAACGTGTTTCTCCATTATGTTGTATGCGACGAATAAGACCGTCGAAGTGACCACGTCATCTAGCGTTGGTGGCTCGGCGAAGTCATAGTCATGCCGGCAAATCTCAATGCGCCGAATGAGGCCTAGGAGAGTTGCACTATGTGCTGAGGTCATCCGATGCTCAACTGTTGCGTTCGCCAGTCGAATAGTAAGTAGTAAGCAACGAAACTGAGGGTTCGCCTTCGAAGCAGGTCGCGTATTTAGTTGGGACCGAATCGACTCATAAGACAGGAGAGGGAAGATAAACCACGCTTTGTCAAAGAACTGCTGAATGTCACGCAGGACCTCCTCGTCCTCGTTCGAATCTAGCGTGATAGGGGATGGACTCATCATCTCTGGCAACAATCCATCATAGACATCAGGTTTACTTGCAGGATCCCAGGCAATTCCGCCAATGTTGTAGTCGTCACCAAGAGGCATTTGACTGGTGGAGGAGGACGCAAATGCGCTCTGGTCGACTGCCGGGGGGTTTGATGATCCTTCATAGTTGAAATCCTCACACAGCTCTGGCGTTGCCATAACCGTGTCGAAATTCCCATACGTCCACATGGTTGGGAATTCTGAAGTTGACCAAGTGGTTAGTTGGACCCCTGGTGACTGGTCGGCCAGGGAATTCGAGATTGGATCGGCTCGGTCAGCGAGTCCTGGCATTACCAACTCTCCTATCTGAACAGGAGCGTTAGATGTTATCCTGTTAGCCTCTAAGTCAGTCCTGTCTTTGCTGCAATCTCGAATCGAGGCTAGCCGACCCTTTAGAGCGCCTTCCACGCTTCTTCGGTTTGTCCAAATATGTGCATCTTGATCCGGTACGTCGGCATTCATTGCACGGATCGCCAGATGTATCAGCATCCCCAAGTTGATTGTTGTTGTTCCGACACTAGAATGTCAGAGGAGGGCCAATCCCGCGAATGATGCATGGACATACTTTGATCTTTAGTTTTTTACAGGTATCGCAAGCTCTCTTGTCCGACCTGTTTGACGAGCCTGTAGTGTGAAAGGTGAGATACATCAGGGGGGGTCAGAGTGTAACTAGGTAGGATGGCTTTGGAAGAAAGGCTTGCCCTTCGTTCATCGGCCAGTTTGCATTCGGGCCAGTGAACATAGGTTCAAGGATAAGTTTTGGTGCTCAGGGTCAGTATGTTGATAGCCACAGGATCAAAGACGTCGCGGAGGGCGAACTGATGAACTCCTCAAGTCTTTGTTAATTCGGCAAAAAGTACTCAGTACCCGACTTGAAAATGGCGTGGAGTCAAATTCCCACGTCCTCACGGCGCCGCTTTTAAAACTCCCCGCCTACGGGGGGAGCGCGGGAGGCCTCTTTTCCCCTCCCTTCTGCTTCACGCTCTCATTGGCGAACATTGTGGTTCATGTGGCTATTATTCTGCAAGGATGTCTTCGGAGCTAAAGCTGCGGCTCTCCTGGCGCCAGGAACGGCTGAACAGCTTGAAGAGAGATTCTTTCTCTTCAAAACGGTACGGATGCGCCAGCACCGGCAATATCCAAGTCCGCCACCGATACAATGGAGACTGCTCAGGATAGGAATCCACTCTATCTGCTCTTCTCGGAGACCGTCTATGCGAGTTTAGGTGGGTATTGGGAGGGAGTCAGCTATCGACATTTCCCCTCCGAATAGGTCTAAACGGCGCCAGCCGGCGCTCGACCTTCAACCCGCCTTCATCTTATTATTGGCTTTAGACCCTTTTCTCAACAATTGCCTTTACAGCGTTGAGGTCTAGTGCCTCGACCCGCCTTCCCTTGAATCCCGTTATGGATTTTGCCATGCACATGGCATTGTAAATGGCCTCTTCCGTTGCGTCAGCCACCGCCTCAAAAACACCGTCAATTGTATCGTTGTCCGACATCGTGACAGCTCTAGGACGAGGCCTGTACGATGATTCCGTGGTCAGCGACAATACCTCCAGCGGCACCTCATTGGCAGTTGAGAAGGCAAGGAAGATATCTCCCGAGGTATTGCTCCCGTATCCGCCCACCTTCGCCAAGCCGACCGTTGCACGAGTCGCGAGCCTTTGGAGTTGAATTGGAATGAGAGGAACGTCTGTGGCGATTACGACAATGATGCTGCCATCCTTGCGAGGCTCTTTAGCCAAGCCACTGTCGGCACTCGTCACAGGGGCTTTTCCTTCCCGAATCAGAATCTGCCCAACCGGCACGCCACCTATGCGAAGAGATTCCAAGGCGCCGTAGTTGGCTTGGACTAGGACACCCACAGTGTAGTCAACATCCCGCCCTTCAAGATCATAGCCCTTGATGATGCGGCTACTGGACCCGGTTCCGCCCTTGACGCGATGGCAAATCATCCCTGTACCGCCGCCAGTGTTGCCCTCAGGGACAGCATCGGCCGTCGCGTTCTTGATGCCTTCCATCACATGGTCTGGGGTGACGGTAAATCTCGCTGGATCACTTAGGTAGCCGTCATAGGTTTCTGCAACAAGCGGGAACATGAAACCGTCGATTTCCGCATCATCGTTGCGGTGATTCCGGTAGTTGTATTCGGTGACACCGCGATATCCCTCGCCGACCGAGGATGTCGCAGTAATAACAATGGGCGAGCTAAGCAGGCCAGTCTCATTGAGCCAATGCGCGCCTGTCATCTCACCACAGCCATTGAACCGGAACATACCAGCGAGACTCGAGTACTTATGCCAGTCTTTCCGCGGCAGAATGGTGGTGACCCCGGTATGGACGTCATTGTCAGGCTCGATCGATTGTGTATGGACCAAGACTCCAGGAACATCGGTAATCGAGTTGAGAACGCCCGGTAGCCATCTACCCAGATAGAGCTGAGGAAGGATGTCTCGGATGCGGCGTCGCTCACCCTCGGTTGGTCGCGACATGTTGCCAGGAGAGAGAAGGCCTGCTTGGTCGATTTTGTGCGATGTGCGAAAGCTTCATTAGGATTGCGAAATCGGGCTTGCGCGCAAAAAGCGATCCGGATTGGCAGGACGAGTACCGAAGATTCGCCCGCACGCTTATCTGGTCAAACGGGCCTTATTGCCTCTTCACTCAATGCCAAGACCCCCCCCCCCCCCCCCCCCCCCCCCCCCCCCCCCCCCCCCCCCCCCCCCCCGGGGGTCCTTTAGAGGTCTGCCCGTCTTTCGCTTTATTTACAATCTCGAATTTCCTTGGCTTGAATATTGAGTCCTGTCGAAGATAACTGCGAGAGGCTAGAGATCGCTCCGAGAGGCCTAATAACTTAGACTCTTGACGATATTGGTTCGAGGGGCCTTATCTGAATATCACATGATTATGTTTCGTCTTGTGTAGTCTTGGGTCGCTTTATGAACCTAGAGGGCCTGATTATCTCCTAGCAAACAGAATCTATCCCATGGTCTCTAGACATCCTGTCATCTACTAAGGATTGTATCTGAGGCCGTTTAAATATAAATCTGCAGAACTTTAGATAGACGAGTGCAGCTCCCGCCACTCTTGCTGGTTCGGTAATCCATCAGTGCCTGAACGATCATCTTCGTCCAGATATCCGCAAATCAGGCCTGTGGGATCTAGCTTTCGTCGGAGCTCCATTAAACGCGTGCCGTTTTCACTCTTCCAGAACTTGGTCCGGCGAATCTGGAAGTCCGAGTCGCCCAAGTATGAGCCGTCGCTGTGCCGTTCCACGTCTGTCATGATGTCCTTGACCCATTTGCGACATCGAGCATCGTCGGATGCGTCCTCCCAGACTGTGTAAAGGGCAAAGTAGTGGTCTGTCGCCATGCTGAGAGCCATGTCAGGTAGCTGTCGTCGACTGCACGGGTACATCGCATACCAGAGCGAAAATGCCTTCGAGGTGGGCAGGGTGGTGAAGGCCCTTTCAAGGACGGCTGGGACATCGGCGTCGTTGCTGATATACGCATTCTCAGCACAGTAGCGGTGGTTCTCTGGGTTTGCTTCCGCTTGGTTCTTGTATTGCTCTGCAAGGTTGGTTGGATGGTTGATCAGCTCATGGAGTGCGCCTGCTGGACGGGTCTCGTTGGCAATCTTCAGGGCGGCTTTGGCTTCCTCCTCCGAGTTCTTGAATGTCACAAACAGCGGTGTGATGCACGGCTGTGTAATGCCCAACTCTGCTGGAGGCGTAGCAGCGACTGAAACAATTTCAGTGTCCTTGTCATACCCTTTGGAAGTCTTGATCACCCACTCCATGACCTCATGATACTTGGAAAGCGGGTAGAAAAGGACGGTGCTCAGCATGTGAGTAGGTGCAGGGCGGACGTGGAGGTAAAACTTGGTTACGACGGCCGGGAAGCCAGGTCCTGCTCCTCTGGCACACCAGAATAGGTCCGAGTTCTCTGTAGTGTTGCAGTGCACGAGTTCACCTTGGGAATTCACGGCGTCGATGGCGAACAGCTGCTCGCAAGCCCAGCCCCAATTCTTGCAATTCCAGCCCATGCCGCCTTGCAGGAGGAAGCCGCCCAAGCCCACGTCGGGACAATGGCCACCGGCAAACATTAATCCTTTTTCCTTCAAGAGTCCATTCAGAGTCTTTCCAGTAGTGCTCGGCGACACACAGACCGTGTGGTTGGCCTCGTCGAGTTCTATATGATGATAATTTCCCAGGTCGATCAAGATGCTGTCTTCTCGGACACTCCAAGCTGCCCAACTATGACCGCCGGAGCGTACTGCTACTCGACATTTCTGTTGAATGGCCAACTTGACGGCCGTGACGATGTGTGATTCGTTGGCCGCATGCACCACTGCGAGAGGCCGACGTGTTGGTCGTCTCATGTTAAAAACTCTTCCTACAGTAGCCTGCTCATATTCAGCCTCGGACGTTTCGTGGCGCCAGATAATTGGCAATGACTCTTGCGTGGAACCCATGATCTCACTTCCTTAGAAGGTAAATATTGGAGGAGATTGTTGATTGCCTGCATCCGTCAAGAATATACCTCGGATTTATATGAATTTAATTTCCGGACGTAGTCGGGCATTTGGAACTTTCACGCCTCGGTAGACTGATGGTCTGAGCTCACACTACAAATCGTGGGGGGTTTTTGCCCACTCCGGACCTGACACTCCAGAACGGAGAAAGGGGCCGGGGTCCTCCAGCAATCCGGAATTGGCCTCATTAGGTCGGCCCCATTCGAATGGACTGCTTAGATCTTGGAGGAAAGTATGTGGTCCCGGGCCAATTAATAGAATTCATGGGGGTATTAGTGGTCGACATACGTGACGCGCTCAGGCTAGGCAGGAATTGGTTGATAATATGGAGTAGTACGAAGTCAATATAGTCAATGGCAGAAGTAAACTGATGACACAACTGATTGTGTTCGTTGAACGAGCTAAGGGGTGCTAAGAAAGTTGTTTGAAGTGACAGGTGTTTCAGATATCGAGGACGAGTAGAACAACTCTGCCTCTGTGTGGTTACGTAGTGAGTGGCACTGCCGGAACAGTTGTCATGGCGCATTCTCGACTCTACGGAAAGCACGAATTCGTAACCAGCGACGGTATTGTCAGTGCTCATAAAACTGCAGTCCGTACTGTAGTGCGAACACCTGTGCGAATTAACCCAAGTACATCGGTAGAATAGCTTATCAAGATCTCGAGTGGCGGAATCAAGTCAACCGTCTTCGTTAGCGGAGTGATCAGAAGCAGGTAATGGCGTACTCTGGACCAAGAGGCGTGCTTGGGGGTGTCGGGCCCCGCGGTTGCAGGCTTTTCTGTTCACCTGAAATCTACTCATACGTGTATCCTGTCACTGACAATATTCACAGTGTGCATACTGGCCTGATGATGCACAAAGATATTGACTCGCATTCTCAGTGTAATGGATCCTACAAACTTATGGCTCTGGTATTTCAACTTGCAGGAAAAGGCATCACCGCAATGGTTGAAGTGGTGTATTTCAACCACGTCGAGAAGGTATTTAAGGGGGATATGGACCTAGATTCCCCTTAGCTGACATCGACACCATATATGAGATCTTGCCACCGTGGGTAGCTCAGTAAGAAATCAAAGCGCGCACAGTAACGAGAATGCCCATAGTATCATCCGGACCGCTGTACACTTCCTCATCAATTAATTTCGTTCGTGCTTTGGCACCGCTAGGAAGCCATACCCAGTCTTTCTTTGTTATGGCTTTGTGGGTTGTATTATGGGATGGCCAGAAGCAGTTCTAAGGTTTAGTTGTCTGCGGAATCTACCACCGTAGTCTACAGTTTTCACATCCACAAAGCTGGGGGCAACTCCGCCACAGGTTCTGCCAAAAATTCGCACACAGATCCATGACAGGAACTTGATGAAAGTAGTACTGGCAGCGTTACTGATCTTGCCCCGACGATTTTGCTTCTGCGGCTATGGCTTAAAAGTTCTAGATCTAGCCACTACATTTGGGGCCGAGCAACCGCACTTTTTTTCACAGGTGCTCGAGCTACTTTGATAGAACGGATTACTCACGTGTTCATCTGGAGGTGGTTCACCATTATGTCTCCAGTATTCGGCTCCACTTAGTCCCCCAAAACAAGGCGGGGTAGTCATCGATGTGGGGGTAGTTACTGTACATTGAGACCTAGCCAGGAGCTCATGCTGAGGCTGAGGGTCAGGCTTAGGCTCAGGCGTATACAAGTACATTGTCCCCTCTCCCTTAGCTCAACTCTGAAGCTGATCCGTACCGCACTGACGAGCATCATGACTTCTAAGGACGCTGCAGACACGCTTGAGGCATCGCAGTATATTGAAGATTCCTCAAGTAATATCATTGGAAAGGAGCAGACTCAGGAAGAAGTGCACGTCGAGAATGTCGCCACTGACTATGACCTCAATCTTCACTATGATGAGGTGGATGAAGAGCCTGAGCTGCATATGCGGACCTACATTGCCATTGCTGCTATTTGGCTCATGAATCTGGCCCAGACCATCGCTATCCAGGGTCCTCCAGCGGTGGTACGTACTCGAGGCCCTAGGACACCCAGTACGACAATTTGTTCGTGCTTCTGGCTGATTCTATATCTTACAGATCACCTACATTGGACGCGATCTCAACAATACTGCTGCAGAAGCCTGGGTACCGAATGCTTGCACGTTGGTGCAGACAGTCCTGGCACCCATCCTGTGCTCGGCGGCCGACTTATTCCAAGCCCGCAAATCTCTACTAATTGGAACTGGTATCGTCTCATTTATTGGCTGTGCCGTCGCTCCTGGTTCTCACAACATCAACCGTCTCATTGCCGCCCAAGCTCTGATCGGAGTTGGCCCTGCATCAGCGCCTCTTGTCTATGTTGTGCCTAGTGAGGTAGTGCCCCGAAAGTGGCGACCAGGTATGATTGGATCAAGGCCAGACAAATTTTATATCATATACTCATCCGATTTGGTGTAGTGACTCAAGCAGGAATCAACGTTGCATCCATTATCGCGGCCTGTTCCGGTCCCGTTGCACTGGGAGGATTCACGAGGTTGGACGAGAAGAGAGGCTGGACAAATTTTTGGGTAGGTACGCAAGCACTTGAATTTTGAAACAAGGTTTCTGACTGAGGGAATGACTGGATTTAGTGGTTGCAAATGGGTCTCTGGGGATTGTCAATTCTTGGAATCTTCTTTGGCTATAAGCCACCAAAGCGACACTCCCGATACGACCACCTCTCGTTCTTGCAGAAGGTACTCAAACTTGACCTCGCCGGTTCCTTCCTGCTAGCTTCCGGCCTCTCCCTGTTTTTGGTTGGTCTCAATCTGGGGGGCAACTTGTACAGCTGGAAGAACGCAAGAACCCTGTGCACTCTCGTGATCGGACTCGTGATTTTGGTCGTCTTTGTCCTATTTGAATGGAAAGGAACAAAAGTTCCTCTAGTCGATCACCGTCTATTTGAAGGAGGGAAGAGCAAGGGTCGGACTTTCGCTCTTTGTATGGTTCTCATTTGCATCGAAGGCATTATGCTCTTCGCAGTTGCCGTTTTCTACAACGTCCAGTAGGTGTCATGTTGGCTTCAGCAAGTGGATGCGCTAATGTTGAGCTCTCTCCAGGTCTGCAGTTATCTACGCCACAGATCCATTAAAGGTTGTAGCACGAGTCGTACCCTATCCTTTGATGGCATGTGTTGGCACTTTTGTCTTTGGGTTCTGGTCAACGAAGCTCCGGACCATACGCTCACCGATGGCGGCATCCTTTTTCGTCTGGACCGGAGGACTTGTTGGCCTTGCTACACTCCAACCTTCTGATGGCCTGCGTCAGATCATATTTGTCAGCGTCGCAGGTCTCGGATTTGGTGGGCCAATTATTTTGATCATTGCGGGAGTTCAACTCGCTGTCCCTCACAAGCTCATTGGCACCTCTTCAGCTTTGCCAACATCTGCTCGAGCACTTGCTGCAACAGTATTCACAGCTATCTACAGCACAGCCCTAAACACTCGCCTGAAGATTAATTTGCCGAAGGAAATTGCGCCAGTCGTTCTTAAGTTGGGCTTGCCAGCCACCTCGATCGGAGCATTTATAGGGGCCTTGGGTTCAGGAGACTCGGCCGCTGTAGCCAATGTCCCTGGAGTCACCCCAGCGATCATCGAAGCGGGCGTCAAGGCCTTCAAGCAGGCATTTGCAGACTCAATCCGAGTCGTCTACATCATAGCCGCACCATTTGGCGTCGTAGCGATGGTTCTGGCAGTTTTCCTGGGGTCTATGCGCGACACCATGAACTACGGTGTAGATGCGCCGATAGAAGAGCTCCACGCTAAACACCGCCACCGAGAGGCTGAACACAGCGCCTAGTGGGACTTGAGCACTTCCATCTATTAAAAAATGCGCCGGAGTCGCTATAGAGCTCTCGAAAAGGGATCCAAATGCTATGCAGGAGCATCTTATGGAGCGAAACAAGGAGATAGGCAAGATCTTCACCAGACTGGTTTAAGAAGGAAGATAGTACAGGACTCCTTCATGTAAATCGAACCGTGATCCAATCTGTATTCTGCAGAGAGGATGTAGGGACAGCATGGGTCTTACGATTCTCTATCACGTGGTATGGCGCGTCTGACCAGCCCTAGTCCAGTCGGTAGTCACCTTTTCTGCTATCTGAAACTCTTTAACAGAACCTTTCACAATCCCGCAGAAGGATAAACTGACCTCCAGTTGTATGTTACAGAGACCAAGAGTAGATTTCTCCGTCCTTCACAATAAAGTTGCACAGACTTTCATTTGAAGTGCTCTGGCAAAAGTGTACCTGTGGCTAAGTGGAGCCGAGCCAGGCACTCGTGTCGAAGAGGATACTAAATGTCAATGTTCTCAGGTACCTGCGCGTGGTCTCGTGGTGTCTACTAAACGTAATCAGTCGTGGGGCGGTCGGATAGTTAACACCGCTTCCCGACTGGGATTCATACCATGGTGCAGCCGAATACCTCCTATTATACTTCACATCCACGGCAGCAGATATTTCTAAGAGTCAATACATGGCTATTGCATTGAGGCGATATAAAATTAGTGACACAGGGCTCTCCCCGGCCATGACACTGACCGAAGCTGCTGATAACATCAACGGATCTGTACACGCGCAGTTTACTAAACCTTTTTCTGCCACGTTCAAGGAATTCGAAAAGGCCCAGACGCAGTGGCGAAGATCATCGTCGACGGTCAAGTGATAGAAGTTTAGGTCAGTGCTACCACTCTCTTTGAAGAACTGCTAGTCCAATGGGCTCAAACGGCATGGGGCAAACGCGATGTACCTGAGCAACGACTATGCCATAAGGACTATTCCTTCAACACATGGTGATCTGTGCTACTTCCTTCGGAAACTGTCCATCTAACACTTTAGAATCCTATCTGTAGCTCCAGGGCAGCAAGTACATCTGTACTGCCCTGTGCGCTCTCGCAGTCAAGTTGCTTCTTGCACGCCCTAATACTGCAGTAAGAGCTCGGGCCTCTTTGCGCGAGACTGGCTGTCTTTAATTGCCTCCTCCAGTGTCATGGTCTTTCCGATGAACTCCGCACTTAGTTGGTTTGTAACGATAGTTTTCATGAGATCTCCCTCACACTCGTAGTACGCCCACACGACAACTCGGACGATGTCGCCTGCTTCAACGGTAAATCCACTTGGTGCTGGGCCTGGAGCTTTTGCTTGAAAGTTCGTTTCCATCCAGAAAAAGATCCGGTCACCCTCAATGATCACTTCAATCGGTACTAATTTCTCAGTGAAATTGTGTAAAAGAGTTCGGTAGTGGCCCTTGATTCCTTCCGACCCTTTCAGCGTCGGGATATTGTCACCAGTAGGTAGGTCCAAAGTAACGTCTTGTGCATAAAATGCATGTTGTTTGTCCCAATCTGGGATATTAAACGCCCTGATGTAGTCCAAGAAATGTTCGGTCGTGTACGGCATGATATAGGATTTATTCTGAGGTAGGTTGACGGTTGAACCAGAACCACGACTTTAGATGAGACAAACACTCCCACAAATATATGAAAATTTAGTTCTATTGCGCATTACTTCTAACGCCTTTTGCTTAAGACGTTCTATAAGGGCCCGCGTTCAAGGATGCCGGCTCGCAAGAAGCCGAGTGTGGGGCCGACGTTTACACGAGCCGAAAGTACAAGCCGAGAACTACCTACAGCAAGAAGAACTAAGCATTGGGGGTTGATTATAGCTATATAACTTCCGAATGTGGGGGTCAATATCAAAACGAGCCGAAAGTCCCAGCCGAGATCATCAGCCAGGCTTTCTAGGCATTTCGTTCTGGAGTTAGACTCAGTGAGATTCGTCTTAGCTTCCAGAAGGGAAAGCGAGCGATTTGTCTTGCACACCCATTGATCGTCGATGTCTTTGATAGGTCCGGTGAAACGCAGTGGAATGACTGAGAGTGGGAAGGATTGGGCGGAATACTTTGATATGTCAGCGTTGGTTATAAGATCAATAATGACAACACGAAACAACATCATCGGTGATGAAGAGAAACGCGCGTTGAATAAGTGAGCTAGAATGTTATATATGTTACAAGAATCACTTCCTGTCACTATTGAATCGCAGCCGCTGGGGGAAGATTATGGTGGAAGATCCGGAGTGAAGCCTTCTCACGAATAGATAGTTACATAAAGGCAAGACAGATTATACCACATCAAACCCGCTGTTACACAGTCTTAGATTTCTTCAATATCGGACTCAGTCCACAACCAGGCCGCCGTTTGCATGAAGATGCAATCCATTAATCCACCTGGCCCTCTCTTCGCACAGAAATGCAACCGCGTATGCAATCTCCGAAGCTTCTGCCATTCTTGGAGCAGCTGGAATACTGTCAATTGTCGGCTGCAAGATCTTCATGGCCTCTGGTCCAGCTGCCGCAAACCCTTCGGTCCGTGTTGGTCCTGGACTGACAGCATTTACTGTACACCCATATTTCCGCGACAGCTCCTTGGCCCAGCAACGAGTAAAGCTGTCCACCATGCCTTTCGTCCCCGCGTAGATGGTCTGCAGGGGCGGAGGTGCTCGCGACGATGCACTGCAGATGTTGACGATCCTGCTTCCGGGCTGTGTGAGGTACGGTAGTGCGGCCTGGGTAAGCAGGAAGACTCCTCGTCCGTTGACGTTGACCAGCCGATTCCAATCGTCCAGCGTTTGCTCCTCAAACGGTTTGTTGACAGCGATAGCTGCATTATTGACTATAATGTCGATCTTTCCAAACGCTTTAACAGCCGCTTCCACTACTAGTGCAGGACCGTCTTTCGAGCCCATGTCCGCACATACAGCTTTCGACGGTGTTGGGAGAAGTTCTAGCACAGCGGTTGCTTCGGCCTCGAGACTTGGCAGAGGATAATTGATGATAACCGCTGCACCTCGAGATGCTAGTTCGACAGCAATTGCTTTCCCTATTCCTGAACTTGACCCTGACACGATAGCCACTTTCCCGTCCAGGGTATTGGCTGCCTGTTTTTGCAGCGCTGCATCTCGCGCGGCGACCAACACCGAGTTCTGGATTGAAGAAAAATCAGTCATCATGAAAATTGCTGTCTTCTTGCCCCGGTGGGATATTCCCAATTTAGAATCTCAGACAAAAATGGGCTGTGCTAATATGTACATCTCTCGTTCTGTAGATACTGTTATCCGGTGTGACCTAAACCGGCCCTTCCTGCAAGCTTGGTGCCTTCTCCACACCCAGGTCATGGTTTTTAAGGTAAGTGGAGGGTAAGAATCCAGGGTATGTGGGACGGATCCCACAAACGCCGCCCGAGGCTCATGTGAGACCGAAACTGGGGCTCCCTCGGGCCACCTCGGGTGTCACTGCACCTCAAAACAGTTTCTCCCATTTGGTTTTAAGACGGATGACAATCACAAACATGGGTATTGGATTCAGTAAAAAGTCATGTACTAAATAAAGGGGATAGCGCCCGAAATCTTTTTTTTTACGATCAGTAACCAAGCCAGTTCTGCGAAAAGCTGTGACCATGACTACCAGTGATATACAAACAAGCGTTACGAATGGGATGAATGGATCCGCAACCGACGAATCTCCAGATGAAGGCCTCAATATCTTGATTGTTGGTGCCGGCGTTGCTGGTTTGGCTGCTGGGATTGGCTTGAGAAAACAAGGACACCAAGTCCAGGCCAATAACCCGGTTGAACGTGTCCAGCGTAATAAGTACACTAACTAACTTGCTCAAAAAAATCTTTGAACAGAGCAGATTTGCTCGAGAACTAGAAACTGCTGTTCATATTGCACCAAATGCAAACGAGCTTCTTAAAAGGCTTGGTGTCAACATGGAAGCCATACTAGCTAACAAGATGGAACAAGTATGGATATTTTGCTCGTGTAATCGCGTTATCCTGGCCATAGACCTCTCTAGTTGACTGAGTACAACTCCAATGTTGAACTCGAGCGGTCAATTGACCTGACTAAATTTAGTAAATGTGGCAACACGTGAGAAACATATCCCGGCGTCAGTCCTTTGCACTCTGACTTGAACTAGGAATGGTGGTTGGCACAGCGGGCATACTCCTCCACTAAACCCTGAAGGATCTGGCCATCAGCGCCGGCGAAGTAGGCCCCCACAGTAGAGGAGTAGTTGATGTGAGCCTACATGGCGCAACGGTCACTCTCACAGACAGAACAGTCGTTAAAGGCGATGTAGTCCTCGGTGTCGACGGTGTCCACTTCATCTCTCGACGACACGTCGCTGGTAGCGAAAATGTGAAACCATTTGGATCCGGTAAGAGCGCCTTCCGATTTTTGATTGACCAGAAAGCGGTTGAAGAAGATCCGGGCACGGAGAAGTTTGTTCGCCATTCTGAGATCTCGTGATATCGTATGGAATAGATCGGCGGGCTGTCATGTATCCCACATCGGACAACACTCTCCATTCCGAGGCTGGAGACGACTAGAATAATGACTCGAAAAAAGATGCCTTACTGAGAGTATACAAAGATTTCGACTCGAGCTACATTAACCTGATCCGCAAAACGTGTGAGTCCGACTTGAACTTTACGAAACGACTAGATATAAGGGAGTAAATAGAATATAAGAATACTCGCGAACTCTCGTGTATAAAGAAGACGAGTTCCTTGTGCGGACAGCTTGGGTGAAAGGTGCGAAGCTTAGAAATCCGCTAAGTTATATTGGGGTGAGTCTTCTTGGCGCGCAATCTCAGTGAGTGTTGCTCCTTGAAGGCTTCCTACATTAGAACGCCAGCCTTGAGTTGCGCTCTGACAAATGACGAGTTCCCTGTCAACAATCATAAACCTTAACTTGCCATCGGCCTTCCCTTTCATTCTCGTGATTCAATCCTGTTGCACCTGTTGATGTCCAAACGGATAATTGTCCATTGAGCCGTTTTATTCTGCTTTAAGAGAGCGAGCATTGTATGAACAGCGCTACATTGAGAGCCTTCTGAATTTTCGTCGCGGCCCATGATGTCGGCTCTTCCTGCCTTGAGTCGGTTGCGTTCAACCATGCCTGACATCCATATTCAGGTCGCTGGAGACACTCCCGCCCATCTCCTGGTATATCCACTCCCAGATCCACCCCTAACTGACCGAACTCCCCCAAAATTCGGTGTGCAAAGGTACCATGCTGGAGCTGCGCTCATTGCCGACCTTTTGCACGCCTCAGCTGGTGAACACAATCACAAAGTGCACGGGCCGGCCCTGGAGACCCCTAAAGATGGTTCTCTCGAGCATTCGGCGTCTGCTATCACAGAGTTGGAAGTCTTCGGCAACGCAGACGCTAAGCTGCCCAGTTATAAAGTGAAGCACAGCCGGCCGCTCGATACAAATCCAGAATGGTACCCTCCTCGGGGCTCGCTCAAGACCACTGACAAAGTGAGCGTCCTGATCTTTCAAGACGCGGAATCTCCTTTCACAAACCCCGCCGATGCAGTGGAATTCTTTCGCAAGAGCCGGCCGGAAATCCTCATCTATCACATGTCCAGATCCTCAAGTTGCCCTCTCGGGACTGGGGAAATTTGGGATGCTGTTCGCCGCGGACCTTATAAAACGAAGGACCTTCAAGATCCCGAAAGGCTTATTGTTGTCCTCAACGCAGATGACCTTCGCGCTGAAGGGGTCGAATTGCATCACGGCCTTTCTTGGGAAAAGACATGTGAGGATTTCGTCGAAAAGCTTGGTTCCAAGGGTCAACTAGACACCTTAGCCACCTGCGCCAACCTCCTAGTCCTTTTTGGGTGTGACGGCATTATCTATCACCGTGGCCGGGAAATGGAGGAGCCCACTCTGTTCTTTGATCCCTTGGGAGTGGAGGGCAGGTTCTACAGGCAACATATCGGTTCTGTTCCTGGGGTAGTGGAAGCTTTTGTTGGAGGTCTGGCTACTGAGATAGCACGGTCTCCTCCTGGAACTTCTCTCAACGCGGCTATCAGTTTTGGCTTCATCACTGCCAGGCGTCTGGCCAGGTTAGGCTTCGGGACCAGCGAGGTTCCTGGGTGGCCTAGGTATCCTTTCGAGGACGTCGTCAAGAAAGCTACGGATGCGAAAGAATCGCCAATCACTCTCGAAATTCCATCTGAAAGCATTTCTGCCGGCGAGAAACGGCATTGGTCTATTCTACACCACAACATTGGAGATCCTGTGCAAGTGGCGTGTCGTATCGTGTCGGCCGGAACCGACTCCGCTGCAAGCTGGATCCCCATCGCCAGCTTTGGTCGCCTACGCGTCCTGGACAGGTGGGAAATTGAAGGATTCCGCAATATCTTCAATGCTATACGAGAATACCTATCAGCTCCTCAGGTCAAACCGCTAAATATTGGAATCTTCGGGTCTCAAGGATCTGGAAAATCCTTTGCTACCCGTGAGGTTGCAGAAGCCGCAATCTCACCTGCACGAAGTGGCCGGAAGATTCAACACCTGCGGCTCAACCTTTCCCAATTTACCAGCCCCGAACATCTATCTGCCGCTTTCAACAAAGTGCGAGAATGCAATCTTTCAGGAACTCTGCCTTTGGTCTATATTACTGGATTCGACGCAGAATTCTCTGGTCGTCGCCTCGGTTGGCTAACCCATCTATTGCTTCCCATGCATATGGGCCAGTTCCAAAGTCGTGGCGAGATGCAACATATCGGCCCTGCGATCTTTCTTCTGGGGTCTAGTTTGACGACGTCTTTGAAAAGCTTCGAGGAGTTCTCCAAGAAGAATACCGCTGATGAAGAGGTCCTACCCAGAGCCCAAGAATTCCTGAGTTGCTTGCATGCTTTCGTCGATGTGATTGGCCTTGATCAAGTCAATCCATCTGATGTCTTGTATCCCGTGCGCCGGGCGGTGGTGCTTCGGGCATTGCTGGAAGAAAGAGAACCAAAACTGAAGATGGGCAAAGGCATCTCCATTGATCAGAGCGTCCTTGACGGCCTCCTTCTAATCCCCACCTACCGACATGGACTTCGATCCTTGAAGTCCATAATAGCCTTGAGTAAAGTCACTGGGAAACGCCATTTCGAGCGAGCAGCACTGCCATCCGAAGCGCAGTTGGGCCTGCACCTCGATTATCCAGTATTTATGGAGTATTCACGATACAACACGCTGTCTGACGGTCTCAGGGAGTCTATCTCCGAGAAACTCCACAATGTCTATGTCGGAATAAGGAAAAGAATGGCCAGCACAGATGAAGAGAAGCAGGCTCTAAAGAATGACCCTTCGTTGGTCGCATGGCCGGTGCTGACGGAAGAACTCAAAGAATCGACACGCGCGCATACGGTCGACATCCCTCGGAAGCTCCGCATGATAGATTGTTTCTTGGGTGAAATGGATATCTCTCGCGAAGCCGTTGAACATTTCGAGGACAAGGAACTAGACTTGTTAGCTGAGAAAGAACACGACCGGTGGAACGCGGAGCGTCTACAGAACCAGTGGCATCAGGGGAAACGCGATTCGAAGCAGCGGACAAGCCCTTTTCTAATTCCCTGGAGAGATCTTGAGCAGAAGTGGCGAAATGTTGATCGCGACATGGTCAAGTCCTATCCCACAATCTTGCCGGACAACTACAAAATCTACCGCATTGGGAAGGTTGAAAAGACGAAGCTCAATGAGTTGACAGTGGCAACGAAACGGGTAACGATGGAATGGTAAGCGCCATTTTCTGCTGGAGCCGCGGCTAGTCCTCTGGCTTCGAACTATAAGTGTTGGCGGATTCGACATCATCCTTTCGCCATATCTTTTCATACGACCTTTGGGTCCGCGCGTACCACAAGAACCAGACAGTAAGAACGACCAATGTTAGCAGAACTGCGACAATCACATATATCCAGAAACGATGAGAGACAATGTCCTTTCCCTCCTGGGCCTTCCAATCGAACATGGACATGCCGAAAATGGACTATCATACATCAGAACGGATCAGTGGGGCAGCCAACGGGCAACTTACCGCCAGAGCAGTGGCTGGCAAGAAGATCAAGGTGAGCACCGCTATGGTCTTCATCGAGGAGCTGTCGCGGCGAGTGTCCTCTGCAATCTACACAGGTCAGCCAACCATGGCCCTTGCTTCGGTGGACTGAAGGTGGGGAGGAACACACCATTATCGTCAATTTGGAATCAATCTGCAAGCAAGTCAGCGGACGGTTCATAGTCAGAAACTCGGCTACAAATTGGTACCATCCGGTGCTGCTGGTTCAACCTCGAAGGAATGGCATCAAGTTCTTGCTGTGCCATGTTCGAGAGTGCGATCTGGGTCTCAACCTGCTGCAAGAGGGTTTTTGAGTACTTCAACTTGTCAATTTCCTTGGTTTGTAACCTCACGATTTCGCCAAAGCATTTGATAAGGTTTGCAGCAAGGACTTGTCCAAACTTCCACCTCTCCTGCAGCTCGAGGTATTTCCTGTCCAGCTCGAAAAGAGTTTTCTTGGTGTCACCGAGGTCCGCTGGATCGCTGGACAAGACTTCACCGTGTTTATCTAGCACGTCTTCCTTCAACTTCATCAAGCCAGCCCCGACGCGCTCTACTTCTTGCCTGAGGATGGAGACAGGCAGAAACATGAAGTCTGGAAACAGCGAGGCATAGTCCGATGGGAATGGATGCTCGCTGAGCAACCACTCCAAATCAACCCCCGGACCCGTGAAAAGAAGGCAAACCCAGTCAGATCCTCGTTGACGTCCCGGTCGATGGAGCTCTGAAATGGAGAGAGTGATAAAGGGCAGCTTGTCGTTTGGGGTCTGGAAATTGAGACCTGCTCTCAAAATCTCAGTTTGGAATGCACACAACAAGGAGAAGGAAAGACGGATGCTACTACTGATATTTCCCTTCTCCATGAGAACCGCAGATCCTGCATTCCCTTTTATAATGTTTGTCGCAAATTCGCTGTTTATCCATCCCGACTCAGCTGCCGTGCTCACAATGGCTGTCTGCTCGAGGATCTGACTCCGATTCTCGACCTTGATGCATCTGATTTCTATCAGCCCGGAAACCTCAGAGGCTTCCCACGAAACATATTCGACGGTGACGGCCCTTACAGCAACCGGAAACGACTTTCCTCCCAATTGCGACGCCGATCGCCCTATAGATTACCTCAGCCAAGGTCAAAGGGATGAACCTTCATTGGAAAGTAAGCACCCGAGGGAGGGTTTTGATAAAGGCTTGAGCGGTAGCCTTGTCAGACAACTCTCGGATGTCAGGATTGCGGATTTTCCAGCCGCCTCTCTGTTGCGCATTGTCAGAGCTGGGGACAAATTAATCGAACAAGGTGACAGTTAGCTTCACCTTAATGATGGCAGCACTGGTTTCGAATGAATGGAACGTTGGTCGTTTGCCCGCGAATGTGTTTTGGCCCGTAGAATCCATTCTAACCGCATGGCTGTCGGACGTCATCGTCCATCAAGGTTGGGAAAAGTCTTCTCAAATCCTATATCTGGGACCTGTGCTAACAACGTTGAGGCTGAGGAGCGAAAGAGCCTCAAAGCTGTGTAGCCCCGCCATTGGCCGAGTTATTTCCCATCACAACTTCAGACCACTTCGACGGAGAAAGGAGATCCGTTGCTCGGACTAGTAAAGAATCCTTATCCTTTGACTGACAAAGACTGGCAATAATTGGTTCTCCGGAGACGGGCACGAGCCGAAACGAGGCGCAAAGCAGGTAAGCAGCCACAATCCCACTAGCTCAAACGGTTGATACGTGGCGGGTTCTCAGCAGGCGAGCAAAGGGGCTCGACCGAGCTCCATTCTGATCTGGCCGAAGGGGTTCCTCTAATTGGACAGGTGAGCTGCAAGAACTAGGCGAAATTCGCAACAAGAGTCGACGCAAAAGGATGGATACGAATGAGGTTTGAACTTCGCATCCTTCTCGCCCTACCATTGTCGCATCCAGGACCCAAAATTATGCAGCTTTTCTTCCACAATCGGTAAGGGAGTTGTGATACCGACGAAACGGTTGTGCATCAGCCTGAGTCCCTGCGCGTGATTGATCATCAACGCTTCCGTCATTCACACCGGGTTTCCTTAGCCGCATCTATGCTACTGGAAATTGAGTAGGCTGCAACTGTCCTTGATGCTCGTACCTGCCGAACTTCTCAATGGTGGGCATTTGGGTAGGTACCAGACTGCGAACCTTTTCTTCTCCGCCGTAGACTCCCCTTCTTACAAAGTATCCTCTTCACTTGCCTTCTTGCGCACTGATGATAGTTTGAAATAAAACACTTAGGGAAGGCTGAGGTAAGAGCCTCACCAAATATCTCTCGTTTAACCTTTTCATTTACCAGTGCTTTCTGCACAATGCGCCTCCTGAACACCGAAACAATCGTCTTGGAGTCATTCCCAAGCCCGGCAACGCCCGAAATTCCTGAGTACGTGATCCTATCCCACAGATGGAGAGATCAAGATCAAGAAGTCTCTTTCCTGGACATCCAGCAACGCAAAGCTAGCGACCCCGTGGAGCCGCTGAGGGACAACACGAAATATAGTAAGATCCTAAGCTGCTGCGACGAGGCCCGGCGTGTCGGATTTGAATACATCTGGATTGACACATGTTGTATCAATAAATCGGACCAAATCGAGTTGACAGAGGCACTCAATTCCATGTTCCACTGGTACCGAGATTCAGCGGTGTGCTACGCATACATGGCTGACGTGCCGAGCAACGAGGATCCCCTCGCCGAGGGCTCAAAGTTCACTAGGAGCAAGTGGTTTACTAGAGGATGGACACTTCAAGAGTGAGTTAACTGCCACCGACAATCCACGAGTGAACCAGCGGTAACTGGAGCAGGCTGGTCGCTCCCCAATATGTCATCTTCTTCGGGGAGGACTGGAAAGAAATCGGGACGAAGTCTAGCTTTCAGGCCCTCATCACCAAGATCACCGGGATCCCGGACCAGGTGCTCCTAACAAACTCAGGGGGGAGTATCAGCGTGGCGCAGAGAATGTCGTGGGTGGCGAACAGGAAGACAAGCGTGGAGGAGGACATGGCGTACTGTCTCTTAGGGCTCTTCAATGTGACTATGCCAATGGCCTACGGGGAGGGGGCCAACGCCTTCCGACGACTGCAGCTCGAGATCATGAAGATTTCAGATGACCATACGATATTCGCTTGGGCAGGCACGCACCATGGACGGAGCAGAGGGCTCCTTGCCGCGTCACCGCGGGAATTCGCAGATTGTGCGGACGTGAAGACATATGGTGAGAGCCCGGCGTTTTCCATGACGAACAAAGGTATGACTATGAAAATTCCCCTCCTTGAGCACAGCATGTCACCCGAAGGCAACCAGATCTTTCGGGGGATCCTGAGCTGTCAGCGCAAAGGACACGCTATATATCGAGATCGATTTCCCATGGCGATATATCTGGAAAGGCACGGCGGGCCTGACTCGACCAGCTACTCTCGCGTGCAGCCTGGGAAAATAGAGGAGATCAAAAAGGATGTTTCAAAGTTCAAGAAAACGAAAATTTATGTCCGGGAGCCTGATCCCTCGAGCTTCGATGTGTCAAGTAAGTATGATCACTTCATTAATCCTGCGTTCCTCCCGGGGAGAAGACGACGAAAACTGACCTGACCCCTAATCATCTACACAGGCTGGATGAAACCGGAACCCTCATACCACTTCATATTCACCATAAAACCACACCCCAAGACCCTACCCACCATCGAATTCGCCGAAATCAAGACTGGCTCTAACTGGGTCGTTACCAAAGACGAAATCAACCTTACCTTCCCTAACTCTGGCTGCAACTCGATCCTAGTCTTCAAATCTCACGACCACGGCCTCTTCGCCATCTCGCTCGGCGTGCACAATTACAACGTCTGGGGCGCCATGACCGTCCCTGTAGACGCGGACATCAAGCGCATCGCGTGGGCGTATTGGGACGGAGAGTTTGAAATGGCGCGTTGGGATAACATGGACCGCCGGAAATTGGAGCTGGGGAAGGGCCAGGTGGCGACTTTGGCGATTCGGAAGGGGAGGCGCGAGGGTAAAAAGGTGTACCTGATTGAAGTTGATGCCGGGGAACTTTTTTGGCTGGATAAGGTTGGCCCAGGCAATTTTCCGGGCTGGTGGGATTCGGAGAAGAATGAGAAGGTGAAGAATGCGTGGACTCCGGGGAGTGGATAGTACCTAGTAGCTGGGTTGATACATGTCTTGACTGTTAGATTTTTAGACAGCAGCGCAGGGGCAGAGAAACTGCTGGGCTCTAAAGGCCAAATCAAGTCGTAAGCAGCAAATACAAATTGTCGCTGTCGAGCCATCTGGGCTCCACTCACTATGTAGGCGTCTACCTATTTCATCTACTACGCTCAGAACCCGATCTGATAGAAATCCCAATAATCCAAGCTATCAAAGGACAGCTCTTCCTTGTTCCCTGTCTAATCATGTCCCAGCCGGCGATTTCCACTCTCCGTTCTTTAGCCTCAAACCGCCATCCCACCCAAACACCGGCAAGATGACTCTCCTCAGCCTGGCCCTCTCATGGATTGTGTCCTGTCGGAATTTGTGATCTTGTTCACCACCCGAGCCGTCGAGTTCACCTCGTCGACCAACGGCTCGTTGCTGGCCTTGGTCACTGTCCTACTGTCAATGTTCTCCACCCGTAGAAAACATTCCCGTCCCCTCTGCAAATGTATGTACGTGGGCAAGGGCAAAGCTTTTCTGCTTCGTGCATCCCCCTCCCCTTAGATCGACTAACATGAAGACAGATTTGACGATCTCACCCTGCAATCTTTCCACCTTGGCTGTCAAACTCATGGATATAGCGCCTTTCATTGACAATCAAGAATGCAAGGAAGATATCTTTCAAGATATTGCTCCCGTATCCGCCTACCTTCACTAAGCCAATCATTACACGAGTCGCGAGCCTTTGAAGTTGAATTAGAATGAGAGAAATACCTGTAGTGATTATAATAAAAATAATATTACTATTGTAGTAGGTTAGGATGTGTGAGCTCCCTCTTCAGGGGCTGGTCTTTGTTGCAGTGGGCCTAGGGCCAAACAAGCGTAGAAGGCTAAGTCAGGAAGCCTAGACATGTGTTTTTTTCTTTTCTTCGAGACAATCCGACAGTCAGAGACATACTCATGAGTAGGCACGCGTACAGAGAAATGTGCACAGTCAGTATGAGGATACATGAGTTGCGTACAGAGTGATGCTATGAGGCAACAGCTTTCAGTCAAGTTTACAGTGTTCCGTACGGATTCCCAGTACAACGCGCACCCCAGCGCACAATCAAGTCTGTTCTAGGCGAGTAGTCAAAGTGTTCTTGATGACTCCTATGTCCTGCGCTGCCCCCGACCAACAGAGCATTTCAAGGAGTGTTCAGGGAGACCTGGAAGAGACAAACGTGTATTGCAAGGAAGGAAGAAGTGTTCTACGACCGGCTCTCGGCCCTTAACTCATGTTGCCTGATTGATAATAGCCCCGTGCACCTAGTGCTTCTCCCTTTACTCTTGTTATAATGTTAATAATCAAGTTAAGAACACTTAATATTTACTTACTTAGATAAAGCGAAGAAAGAATATCTTAAATATAGTGTCGCTTATTCTCGGTTGATTGTGATATATTGCCACTAGAGAGAAAGCCTGCTTGGTCGATTTTGTGCGATGTGCGAAAGCTTCATTAGCCGTGCGAAATCGCCCTTGTGTGCAAAAAAGTGATCTGCATTGGCAGGACAAGCTACAAAGATTCGCCCGCCACGCTTATCTGGTCAAATGGGGCTTATCGCACTAGCGTGGATATGCAAATTTGAGACCTCAAAGCCTCGTACAAGAGGTGGTGTTGATGGGAGATTCCAACAGACTACCAGAAACAGATACAGATACTGTTGTCAACTGGCCCTCCGTACCTTCAATCTGGCTGTAGATCTATCGACAACACGTGGGGATCCAGTGGACCTCTGTTGGGGCGGGTTGCTTGAATCGTGGACACAAACATACGCATCCTCCAGAGAATCAAGATGGCGACAACGGCCTAGCTTCATGATCATATCCGATGGATGAACCCGCGCCGTGGACGCCTCATACTTCCTCGACAGTGCACTCTGGGTGATGAGCATGGCAGGCTCTTTCGACAACCGTGACTTGGACTTCCAGTCCTGGCCGCCCGGCACAATCCAGATCGAAGATCGTAAGCACCGGATCAAATCACCCAACACTCGCTGTTGCTAACCACTCCATACAGTCTGCGGCGGCAGATATGACAAAATCATCCTTCATCCCGCGCCGAGTACAGATCCAAATGACCCCCTCAACTGGTCGAAACCACGCAAATCCCTCAACTTCGGTCTCACCTGCTATTACACTCTGATGGTTTTTGTTTTGGTTGCCATTTCTACCGTTATCTACGGTCCGCTGATGACCGAATTCGGGTTCGATATCGAAGTCCTCAATGAGGGCTTTGGGGCCAATACTGCCGGCCTGGCGGTTGGATGCGTCTTATTCATCCCCCTTGCTCTCAAATTCGGGCGCCGACCCGTCTACTTGGTCAGCTTCACCATGTCACTCGCCACGGCCATCTGGCAAGCCAGGCTACGGACTGCGGGTGATGTGTACGGCGCAAACGTCGTGTCTGGTCTTGGAGGCAGCGTCGCTCAAACAATCTGTCAAATGACAATCTCGGATCTATTCTACGTGCACCAGCGCGCAACTGCAAATGGCGCCTACATTGCAATCGTCACCACAGGAACCTTTCTGGGACCTGTTGCTGCTGGTTACATTACTGATTCACAGGGGTGGAGGTGGATCTGGTGGTGGACAGCCATCTTTTTGGGGGTCGGGCTTGTTGCTTTCATCTTCTTCTACGAAGAAACGAAGTATATCCCTTTGATCGACGCACACGGCCCTCCTAGTGCTCGTGATAGTGCAAGTAACTTTGCTGTGAGTGCTGCTAGTGCTGGTGATGAGGGGACTCCGGTCCTGAGACATGCAGAAGAAGCAAGGGAAGGCGACAAGGACCTTGAATCAGGCGTCCAAAAATGCGACACCGAAGCTCCCACCGTGGTCATGACTAGGACTGTTGTAAGGGAAGTCAAGCTCACGCCATACTCCCAACGCTTACGTCTCCTCACTGTCACTCCTGGAGGCTTCAAAGACCTGATTCGACACACATGGCAGCCATTTGTGGTCTTGTTCACCACCCCGGCCGTCGCGTACACCTCGTTGATAAACGGCTCGTTACTGGCCTGGGTCACTGTCCTGCTGTCAGTGTTTTCCACCTGTAAGAAACATTCCCGTCCGCCCCTGGAAGTGCATGTGCGTGAGCATGGGCAAAGCTGTTCCACTTCCAGCATTCCCCTTCACTCCGGTCGACTGACCTGAAGACAGATTTGACCCTTCCACCCTACAACTTCTCCACCTCGGCGGTTGGACTAATGAATGTGGCGCCTTTCATTGGCAGTTTTCTGGGCAGCGCCTACGGAGGTGTACTGTCTGATTTCCACATCATTCGCCTGTCGCAAAAGAACAACGGGATCTACGAGCCTGAGATGCGCTTCTGGCTCGCCTTACCCTGGCTTGTGATCACCCCGTTGTCGCTGCTCATGTTTGGCCTCTGCCTCACCCATGTGAGTTGATGTCACTTGACCCCTGGACTGTTTGCCAACAGCATTGAACCTGGAACCCGTCGCCCTAGTCCTCACAGAGAATTAGATAATTTGACTGACATCCAAATCTTACATTTAGAGCCTACCCTGGATTTCTCTGGCCATTGCACTGGTCATTTTCGGCGCAGGTCTCAACGTCTTCAATGCCATAGCGCTTACTTACCTGATTGATTCTTACAGGAATGTAAGTGTCATCCGAACTCCATTTTCTCCTTCTTTTTCCTCCACATCAAATATTCTTCTCCTGCTTCTCTTCCGCCTCTTTCGGAAGTGTTTGTTGGCTATCATTGACATATTCATGTCCTTTTTCTAACGACAACAGATCGTTGGAGACTCTCTTGTCGCGGTCACATTCGTAGGGGATGCCCTTGCCTCGGCGGTCGCCATGTCGCTCTCCCCCTGGATCAAAGGCACCGGTCTCAACACAGTGTTCGTCATTTGTACCGTCGTGTCGACCGTCGTCTTCTTAACGACTATTCCCATGATGATTTGGGGCAAGGCCTTCCGGGCGCGAACGGCCAAAAGGTATGCGATGATGGCACAGAGGCAATTCAACGCCAATCGGTGACATGTAGATTTGGTCGTATGGAGAGCTTCCGAGCGTGTGAGAGTCTAAACGTCAGACGAATAGGAAAGGCAGTGTGTAGAGGTATCATGACCATCTCCTAGGACCTAGGCAGAGCCGACAGAGGTCCTCTGGCCCTTTGTTTCACGGTCAGACCGTTGTTAGTATTAGATAGTGGTTTATTGTGGAGATATCCCATTCTCCGGCTGTGAAATGGTCATTCACTCCCTGAGACAGGCTTCTAATACGCCTCGAATCCCTCGCATCCCTCAGAGAAGAGCGAACCCGGTGCTAAAATCAGTCCAGGAACACTTCACGGGTATCATGAATTCACAATGGAGCTGTCCGCGGTCCAGTTCGAAGATTCTTACGGCGCTCAAGGTCTCGAGCAAAGCTTACTCGACGTGACGACGACTTTTATGCGGAAGAGACCATGATCGAAAAATGATTGACCGGGCATATTGAGCGACCGACCGAGGTGTAACATAGTCAGGCTCTAACCTCACCGTCTTCGCGTGTGTGAATGACCATTGCTGACGCTTGTTAATTTAAAATTTGATTCGGCGTCCCTGGGAACGAGACGGCTACTAGCTAGTCTAACAGTTAGAGTACTATTTCCTGGGATGAAAGCTGGGTTCAAGTGTTGATTGCGTGTGTGAGCGTCCCAGATGGGCGTCGAGGGCAGTATCGGGAATAATGGTTTCCTCTCTTGAGTGCAACGCTATGCACCTCGTACATCTACACACGTAGGTTGTAGCGCCGGTAACATGTACAGACGTTTTCATCCCTCGCGAAGATTTCTACTTTTCTCTTTCACTTTCTCTGGTCGCGTTTTGGCAATCGGGATCCGCACCCACTGCAGAAGTTGTCGACTTGCCTGCATTTGTAGCCGCAGTGGCTGCAGAAGATGGAATCAACTCCCGATGTCGAGGAGCTCTGAGGAGGAGGTGGTGGTGGAGTAGAAGTAGGGAATGCCCCTGGTACTAGCCCGGCTTGTTCGATGTACTGTGGGGGCGGCGGCTGTAGATACGACTGACTCTGTTGATACTGCTGAGGCTGTTGCTGTTGTTGCTGTTGCTGCTGCTGCTGCGGCGGCGGCGGCGGTGCCGATCGTGCCTGAGACGCTTTCTCGCGCTCCTCAAGCTCAACCTGCCTCCTGATGCGTTCTTTCTCCTGTTCGAGTTCCTCGGCCCGGCGTCTCTCCTCCTCCCTCCTTCGTTGGTTCTGTTCAGCTTCACGGCGCTGGTACTCGAACTCCATGGCCTGCTGGCGCTCTGCCTCGCGCTGCATTCCACGTTTTGCACCTGCCCGCGATGCGCCGTAGACGACGGCGGCACCCAGAAGAGGGCTGCGGCGGAACATTTTCCTTTTTATTCTTCCTTTCTTTTTGAATGTCAATTTCAATTTCAATTTCTCAGGGATTCACGCCGATGAAGGGAAAGTCAGCACTGAGAGAGTCAGATAAAAGTGTTTGTCTTCGTTGACGATTGACGAAACTTGGGGTGACCAAAGGCTTATCAAAGTTCCCTAGCTGGAGACTGGAGTCCTTTGCGTAAGTTGTAGTGAACTAGACGTATCCGTTTTGGCGCCCATGCTTTATGTATTTTGCCCTTCCGTCAAACTCCGCAATACTCGCAAGAAAACTTCAGAAGGGTAGACGCTGGGAATATGCCACACGGGCCATGCTGAGCTGAGCTGAGCCTGTCACTTTTCAGCTAGTCCTACAAATAGAGAAGTACTACGCGAATACGATCCTCCTACTGAACGGTCCCAGCGCCCGGGTGGCCCTCGTCGCCCGTTCTTTGATGGCTTCAAGATCGATGGAGGTGTTTTTCAAGAGTGTGGTTGGTGGCATTGTGGAGGCTCTAGTCATTGTGGCTTCGGTTCTCGGTTCACCGGAGCACAGTTCCCCAGTAAAAAAGAACAATGAACTGCGTCTTAGCCGAGGGAGACACCATTCGATATGCAGGGCACGGACGCTGTTCTCGAGAAAATAGTTCTCCGTCATTTCACGGAGTATTTTCTCGCTGCAACACTATGTTCCCTGGAACAGAACCATGATCCCATGAAGCTTTTCACTCTGGAGAAGACCTTCCTGTAGTATTCGAGAGAACGACTCAGCGACCTCCTGTGCCACAGGTGTTGCCTGTCCAATCGCACCGTCGCTGAATCCTCTTCAAGCCATACGCCCATTGTGCACTGGCGAACCACACATTCCTGTGTCGCTCTGGAAGGAGGCTCAGAACCTACTACGCGAGACCTTTGGGAGACATGCACCATGATTCTCGTGAGAACGGCTCCTGGAACCAGCCATGTACCAGGATGGCTGCATTGATAACGATGTCGAACCGGAGATGATGCGCCGAGCTTTTCGAACATTGGAGACTTGCTCGTCGACGCTGACTTCGGTATCAGCTTCTCTTTGAGGCTTGTCTTTAATGTGTAGAATGGACTTGTACACGAGACGGGATCGGTAAAACGAGAAATTCAGCTCGCCTTAAAGGAGATACCTACTGACTTTGGCTCAGCATATGCGGCTGATTCGAGTGGGACTAGGACTCATCGATGACACTTTTCCAGGCTCTGCCACCGATGCGGTCGCGGAGCTTCCCGAAGAAACACTGTGTGGTCTGTTGTATTTAGATAAGATCGTGAGACTTGCTTCAAACTCGGAGGATTGAGAGATCTGCCTACTTGTATTGTAAAGCCAGATCCCGCGAAGGACCGACGCCTGCGGATGCAGCCCCATTACAACAACCATCACAGTGACGACTGATGGATAGTTGCATAGACAGCTTCTTGGACGGCAGAGTGACCCCCTCACAGGGTAGTTCACTCTCCAAAGCGGCGGCAACAGTCCGTTTGAAGTCTTCCTTTGAGTTCACCTGGGGATCGTCTCTGTAGCTTCTGGTATACAAGGGGGACTGGATCAAGGCCATCGTCTTCACTGACAATGGCCGCCGGTATCCCGCGTGCTGAAGCTGCCAGGGATCGAGTTTTGACATTACAATCGTTACCTCGGTGATTGAGAAGCGGGGGCTTCAGCTGGCCTGTGGCATAATACGTTCCCATGGAAAAAGACGAAAGGCTATTTATCCCCTCATGCAAGTAGGAGATGTTTTCCGCGACGATGGTGTGATGGTGGATCCATGGCCCAGAAGATCTTTAACGCTCAGTACGTAAAAGGTCCTTGGCCGGGCATTCCAACGTCTCGAGTGGGTTGTGTAGTTCTAGGATCTTTGACAAGACCCGGAGCATTGCTGGATCTGGCCAACGTCCAGTTCAAGCACCACGACCACGTCGAGCAGAGTGAGAAAAGACGGCCACCCTCCACAATCGAAATTACATTGCTGTAGCTTTGTGACCACGTTGTTTCGTTCCGGCCGTGAACAAACGTAGTTTGCATATGAATTTGTTATCATATGAAGTGCAAACCAGATGTAGGCGTCGTCTCTATGATAGCGCCCGGGGACATGTTAAACGGATTGATCAAGTTGACTTTGCAATGTTCGAACTCGGTACTCCGGGCAGGATTCGCAGACCGAGGTGAAACACCCAGCCGTTATCATTCTCTCGAAATGTTTCCCGAGTTCGTCGTGCCCTTTGCCCGCTGCTTGAATTGGTCTACCACCGTACGTGCCCAGTCTAGGAGCCGTAGTGACGAGGTTTGATCATGTGTCTATGAAAGATTCTGCAGGGAAATTCGACATAGAGTGAGAGTTCGGTGGAGTTGAATGCAGAAACCTATTCCAGGCTCGAATCTACCGACCCCGGGTCGTTGCCAGGAGACTCGACGATCTCCAGGACGTTCCGCCTGGGGTCATGGGAGGACATCCACAAGAATCCGCTGTGGGCAGGATGATCGTTCTTGTATAGTCCGGTCCCATAGGCTCATTGTGCTGTGACTGGAGATAGTCTTTGGCGAGCGGTCGCTCCAGAAAAATTTTGTATGAGCAAAGAAATGATGGCGGTTCTTAGATCGGCTGAGGGCCTGCGGGATTTTGGCCCCGAGAAGACCCGTGGTCAGCTCCCAGGACCCCCCTGGGGCCAGGAGGCTCTGTTCTCCATCATTTCTGGCGGTGGTGCTTTTCAGTCAAAACCGTGCGAAATATACCGACCTACATAGCTAGATAGCCATGTCGAATGGCGCCTCTTCTCGAAATCGCATGTTTCAATCCTGATTCCGCCATTGCCGCTATTGCCTCGGGAGCACACCGTATCGAACTCTGTGACGACGCCGACCTAGGAGGCACAACACCCTCTGTGGCATGGCTATTGAGAATCCGATCCGAGGTCAATAATGGCAGGCAGAAACTGCACCCCGAGGAGATTGCAATCCCAATCAACGTAATGGTTCGTCCTCGAGGCGGGGACTTTGTCTACACTCGCGCCGAATACGAGACGATGAAGGAGACCATTGCTACGCTCAAGGGCACGGGCATCGTGGACGGTTTCGTGTTCGGGATCCTTCGAGAGGACGGCACAGTCGACGTCGAGAAGACAAGGGAGCTCGTCACCCTCGCCTCCCCTTTGCCGTGCACATTCCACCGCGCGTTCGACGAGGTAAAAGACCTCTCGCGGGCCCTGGAAGGCGTTGTGTCCTGCGGCATCACGACGATCCTGACGTCCGGAGGCGCCGCGAATGCCGTTCAGGGCGCCGAGGTGCTGCACCAGCTTGTACAGCGTGCGGCCGGTAGAGTCACCATCATGCCCGGGGGAGGCGTGCGGTCTGCGAATCTGGCACTGTTACACGAAACGATTGGGTCTTCGGCGTATCATTCTTCGGCCCTGATTGATTCACAGCCCGTCGCCAACGCGAACGAAATTCAGCTTATGATGGACATTTTGCGGCCGGCGACAGGGTAATACTAAGTTTTCCTATGACGACGAATCTGTCTGGCGAACCGAAATTGAAATCAACGTCGAGACGGTCAGTGCGGCGTCCGCTAGAAGTTGTATCAGAATACATCTCCGTCATACGCTCTCCATTATCCTATATTGGGGGTATCATTTCTAGTCATGAACTCATCATACATCGTAGTCAGACAAAGATCCAACATAAATTAGTCGTACAGCCATTCACGGGGCCTCAAAGTTACACCATCATTCATCGTAGTCGGTCTCGCCTTCGACGTCGTCTTCGGTTTCCTCTTCGATATACCCGGCACCCAACAGACCAGGCGCTGGTGTGTAGGCTGGCGTGGTGGATGTGGCAACCAACAGACTCCTTCTAGCCGCAGGTGTTGCGGGTACCAAGCGATCCCGCTCTTCTCTAGCCTCGACGTTACTTCGATGATCGGCAGCTGCTTGTCTCCAGCGTTGGAGAAAGCCGGCAGCTCGTCTCTTGTCATGTCGTTGGTGCAAGACATCAGCATCTTGTTCCATTCTCTGGTGTCTCCAGGCCTGAGTCTTCCAATTTCGAAGTTTGTTCCCGGCAAACTCAAGGTCTTTGAGTTCTCGATATTTGTCTGCAGTGTTCTCGTGTTCTTTGTATTCCATCGCAGGTGCTCGCCACCTGGAGTCCCAGAGCCCGAACCTGTTGATGAGTGTGCGGTGATAATGTTGGTCGGCATCTTGCTCCAGTCGCTTGCCATCCATACCTTGTTCATACATGGCATGAATAGCACCAAGAGCCATGCGCTGCGCTGCTTCGCGGTCTTTACGTTGGCGGAATTCATCAGCCATCCTCGCCATCTCTTCGAGTTTCGCTTTCTCCTCCATCGCCTGTGAATGCCAGGTTCTAATAGCATCACGAGCGAGATTCATCTTCACCTTTCTCCGCATTGTCTTGTAGGCTGACTGGTACAGGCCTTCCTTGGCACGTTGCTCGACACGCTCCAGCCATATAGAGAGATACTTCTGGATGAGATACCTTTGGCGAGCCTTATTGAATTCTTGTTCCTCTTGCAGCTGCTCAAGTCGTTCCTGTGCCTTCCCACGCATCGCCTGGAATGCATGCCTGCCAGCAAAATACTCGGCAGCAACGTCAGCTATTTTCTCCTGCTGTTGGAGCTCTTTTGTCTGCCGACGCCAGGAATCGAGAGCCTTCTGAGCTGCGTTTGCCGTCCGCACCTGCACAAGTACAACCTCACGCTCAGCCAGAACCCACTTGCTAAGCACATTCTCTGTATCCTTTTTCCTTCGAAAACTGTCGGCTCTTCTCTCTTGTTCCATGTATTCGGCAGTCACGACTCTCCAGTGAGACAATGCCTTTTGCTTTAGAGTTCCGTCTCGGAATTGATCCGCTACCGCTTCTAGTTCGGCAAGTTTCTCAACGCTGTACTCTTCCTCATCCTGGCCTCCGCCATGAACGCCGTGGGGTGGTTCAATATGCACGACCAGGTCATTGACTGATGGCTGTTTGACGGTCTCCCTCCACAAAGAGAGTGCCTGGCTTTTGAGTCGAAAATGGTCAAGCGCAACCGCCTGAAGCCAACGTGGATCTTGCTCATCCACAGATTCAATACTGTCACCTTCTCTTCTCGCGTGGATATCCGAATAGTCGTCGTCTTTCTCCTCTTCTGACTCTTCTTCGTCTGAATCATCTGTCACTAATTGTATGTTTGCCTTTTCGAGAACTTGGAAGAACTTCTTGTGCGGCGGGATGTGACTGTCCATAAGAATGAGGCACCTGATCCACATTCCACATGTGTCCTCCTCGCTATCGCCTTGGAAGCCATCCTCGCTACAGATTCGAAGGTAGACCTTGGTGATGTTGTCGGCATTGAGGGCGAGTCGTTCCTCGTGTAAGGCTAGGAGGGTTCGATAGAGTCGAGTAATCTGCTCCTGTGAGTAGCTTTTGACTCTTTCCACGAGGATATCCAGCACATGGGGTTGCATTATGGCGCAGGGTGTGCCATGGCAGGATGGACGAGGGATCAAATGGCTCTTGATGTGAGTTGGATGGATATCGATGTCGCAGTCGGACGAAGTGAAGACTCGCGACACGCGACGGGGCTTGGCGTCGCGCTCTCACGTGTCATCGTCAGCAGAGTCCAGATTCAACAACGAGAAGCATCTTCACAGCTCATGTCCAAGCAAGGGTTACGTCGCTCATGGAACCTGAACATATTAGAAATCAGGAGAATCACGTCGATGGCGAACAGAATATCGAACAGGGTTTTCTGTTTTAGCATGCTGGTGGATGGCTGTCCCTTACATAAGGATAAGGCGATGCTCGTCCTCGGCACGGGGAGAGAGCGAGGCTTACAACACCTCTCGCTCTCCTGGACAGAGTTCGCACTGATCCGCTGCTGTCAACTTCTTTGGCCAGTTGATCGATAGCTTCGCCTTGGCCGACGTTGTTGGCGCCAATCGCCGTCCGATCACCGCCACAAACAGGCAATGATCCTATCGAACGCTGACTAACCCCGGACCCCCATCGCGGCACGTTCGCGTACAATGGAGACCGACCGCTTAGCTAATGCTTCGAGATGGGGTTCGGCCATGTCTGTTCTACTCCCGTGCACAAAGGATAAATACCGATAGCTTCGCGCAGCGTTTGGCAAAGCGCATCACTCAGATCTCCGCAGCAAGAACATAGCCCAATACCATACACCCCGGCATCCCGACTACCCTGAGAGCAACATTCTTCTTCACACTTAGGTCAAAACGGCAGCAAGAAACATATCCAGAATGGCGCAGAAAGTAATCACTGTCTTTGGTGCGACAGGCAACCAAGGAGGTAGCACAGCCGCGGCCATTTTCAACAACCCAGCGCTGTCGGCAAAGTACAAAGTGAGAGCCATCACGCGCGACCCGACCAAGCGAGGAGCTCAGGCTCTTGCCGCAAAGGGCGCGGAGCTCGCAAAGGCAGACTTGAACGACATCGACAGCGTCCGCTCTGCCATCGCCGGGTCATATGGCGTGTTTGCCGTCACAAACTACTGGGAAACCATGTCCAAGACGGTCGAATACCAACAGGGGAAAAACATCGTCGACGCCTGCAAGGACGAAGGCATCAAGCATCTCATCTGGTCGGGCCTCCCGAACGTGACTAAGCTGACAAACGGTGAATTGACCATGGTGGAGCATTTTGACTCCAAGGCCGAAGTGGCCGAGTACGCAGAGCAGACCAAAGGTGACATGCTCGTGTCGTACTTCATGCCCGGCTACTTCATGTCCAACCTGCCTGGACAGTTCCGGCCGGACAGCGAGAGCGGTGTCGTCACGCTCAGCCAGCCCTGGAAGCCCTCCGAGACTTGGATCCCAATCCTGGACATCCAGAAAGATACGGGGTCCTATACCGTCGGGCTGCTTGAAGCCGGGGCCCAAGCTAACGGCGTCTTTGTCCAAGGCGTCAGCGAGTGGGTGCATCCAAAAGATATCACCGATCAACTGTCGCAACTCACGGGGCGTGAGGTCCAGTTTGTTGAACAACCGGCAAGTGTCGAATCTGCGGCGAAACTGGGCAACAAGATCGCCGAGGAGTTGACGCAGAACATGATCCTGATCAGAGACTACAGTTACTTTGGCAAGGGTGCGCACGAGAAGCAGGCACAGAGCGATAAGTTCTTGGTCGAGGGTGCGCAGAAGAATACTTGGAAGAAGTTTGCTCAAGGTATCGACTGGCAATGGTAGTCGTTTCTGGTAGTGATTGAGTGTACTAAGTACGACGATGGTAGTACAGAATGAAAAATGCAGCTCATATTCAGGACCTCTCTCTCTCTCTTCCCTTTGCAACTGAACAGACAGTACTGACCATGTACCTACACTTCCATCACTTCCATCCTGCTTACTGTGATCGAGATGAACAATGCCTAGTTTCCCTCCTTCCTGGAACCTTGAGCTACCATGTTCCCTATTATCGGTCTTCGAGTTGCCATAATGACTGTTGACTAACTACATTTTGTGTCAAGGGCGAGGTAGTATTTCTTCAGCCTTACACCGCACCGCGCCAACCTCATAGGCTGTTGAACTCTTGCTCTTATAGCTGACGCTTATTTGCGAAATCCAGCCAATGCCTTCCAGAGTCAGTTTAGACCACCAGGACCGAAAGGAAACATTCTAATTTCAAGCCTAGAACGGTAAGGCCTTGCTAAAGGTGGTAGGGATTAAGATTTAAACAGTCGCCTAGTGAGGCTTCCTCGCACCCCGAGTCTACGGTCCGTAGATCTGAGCCCCGGTATCCGTGCAGCTGTGAGCGTCTCCACACATCCCATGAACGGCACCTGGGCTCGATAGGCGACGTGGGGGCCACAGCGTCAAGGTCAGAAGTCCGTCGAACAGAGCTCTTCTCGTTATTTAAAGCTCTCACTGTCTCAACAGCTAGCACGTATGATGTAAGGGTAGAGAGCCCTACCTTACAAGTAGCCTTTTCCCAACTCTCAAGTTGCACGCAGCAGCCATGAAAGGAATTCTTCCAGTTCCTCGGCCGATATGTTGGCCCCCAAAGCTCGTCGACAATGAACTGGGAATCGCAACCCTCTCACTGGGAAATTGGCGTGAACACAAGCTGACATCACGGCTCGAGGCTGCGGCGCGTGCTGGGTTCAGATGGATAGACCTCTTCGACGAGTGCTGGGCAGCTTACCTGGAAGAAAACGGGCTAGACGGCGAGAAGCTCTGGGATCCAACCCCGGAGAACCTACGTGTGGCACACAAGCTGGGCGATCTGGTAAAGGCGCTAGGGATGCGGATCTCGTGTACGCAGCCACTACGTAAGATCGAGGGGATCAAAGACCCTGTGGAACGAAGGGCCACGCTGGATCTGGTTGCGAAGAGATTCCCCTTCATGCGGGCGTTCGATACAGACTTGGTATTCATGTGCGCAAGCATTCGGACGGATGGCGGCGTCACATCGGATTTGAAGACCGTGGCCCAGGATCTCGCCGAGATGGGAGATCTTGCTGCCGCGTTCGCCCAGGCTGACGGTGGAAAGATGTTGAAGATCGGATATGAAGGTCTCTCCTGGGCGACGCGGAACACCTGGTCCGCATCATGGGAGGCGGTGCGTGCCGCGAACAGGCCTAATGTTGGCTTGGTGGTCGATGCGTTCAACGTCCTCGCTGTTGAGTGGGCGGATCCATACAACTCGGCCCTGCATGGCCGAATCTATTCGACGCTTCAAGAGTCAATTGCCCTGCTCTGCCTGTCCCTCGCCTCCCTGGTAGCATCAGTCCCTGGCGACCGGATCTTCTTCTTTCAGGTGGGCGATGCCGAGCTCGTGGATCCGAGAAGTTTCCAAGGTCCTGCTGAACCGGAGACGCCTGCGTTGCTGCCCTGGTCGCGAGGCCACCGCCTCTACCCTTTGGAGACGGCAAAGGGTGCTTACATGCCCGTCGAGCTGGTCGCGGCCGCCGTCCTGGCTACAGGTTACAAAGGGCCTCTCTCTTTAGAGGTTTTCAACACCTCGCTCAATCTCCCAGGGGACAACGTGCCGACAGATCATGCCCGGCGTGGGATATCAGGTCTACGAAAGGTTCAAGATTTGGTCAAGCTAGTTCCAGCTTTTTGGGATGCTTCACAGGAAGTCCCTGTGGAGGACTTGGTTCGCCTGTATCAAACTAATCGACAACAACGATCCTCGAATTTATGAAAGGAAGGGTAGGGTCTGGGGAAGTAGAACGAGTCATGGCTCGCAAATTAACCTAGCCTCAATAGTGTGACTCGCGTTACAACTTTGCTGAACTTCCAACGACTGCTCCTCCATTCTCCAACTTATACTCATGATCCTCTCTCCACCCTAGCCAGCTATGAAGAAGGGTCACACCTCCCTCGCCTCGTTCCAGCGTCTTGATTTGCCATCCATCACTGCCTGGGTCTGCTGCCGGACTGCTAGACAAGCGAACCGCCGACCGCAACTCGTAGCCATCACGTTCTAGCTCATCGTGCGTGAGAACTGGTAAACAACACGCATCGGTCCCGTCAAAAATGCGCTCCCATTCTTTGCGCGTCTTGCTTCTGAAAGTTTCTTCGAGCACGGTCTTCATTCTCGGCCAAGTCTTGCGATCTTCCCTGTCGCCTCCCCAGTGGTGGTTCCCTAGATGCAATCCCTTGCACAGGGCGGTGAAAAATTGAGGCTCCAAGGCCGCTACGGACATGTAATTTCCCTGATCCTTGCACTCATAAACATTGTAGTAAGGACAGCCTCCGTCGATGAGATTCTCTCCCCGTGGTCGATCCCATTGGCCCGGGATTTTCTGAGATTTCCGAGGAGCAGTCGCGAGATATGAGACCCCGTCGACCATGTTAGCTTCTACGACTTGACCCTTTCCCGTGCGATGGCGATACATCAACGCCAGAAGGATCCCAGTGACGCACATGTGCCCTCCTCCAGCGAAGTCGGAAAGGATGTTTCCCGGTGGGCTCGGTGGGAGGGGTCTGCGCAGGGCGTGCTCTCCAGATGTACCTGTAGGTCCCAACATAGACAGAACCCCCGAGACAGCAAGGTAGTTGATGTCGTGACCCGCCATGGTCGCGTACTTTCCGTCTCTGCGGAATCCGGTCAATCGGGCGACAATGAGCCGCGGGTTGGCTTTCATTAAGACCTCCTCAGGTCCCAACCCCAGCTTTTCCAACACGCCAGGGCGAAATGGGTCGATCAAAACATCCACCTCACGAATGAGACGGAGGAAGAAACGACGCCCACCCAGAGATTTCAAGTCGACCTTGATAGATGACTTTCCGCGCACTAGGACATCAGGACTGGGTGTCGATGGCGGATTTACCCTGTCGATACGGAGCACGCTGGCGCCGTAGTCAGCGAGCATGAGCCCAGCAAATGGACCAGGAGCAAGGCCCGCGAGCTCAAGGACTCGGATACCGGAGAGACTGGACATTCTTCCGGTTCTTTTTGTGAATGGAGATCTCTCTTAGATCGTGTTTTGGGCTGATGTCATGGAATGTGAAATGGGCACCGGGGTGGATTCAAGCTAGAGCTTCAACAGATAGCAAGCCTGCGTACAGATGGCCTATATAAATGACCCTAGATGGGACAAGTCTTCAGAAAGGTCAAGTTGACATCGATCTATGGTGCACTTGAGTCTGCCGGGGTTCGGAAATAGGCCAATTCCTAGCGGGTGTAGTTCCCCCAAAGGAGAAGATCCGGGGGTTCACTCCAACTAGGTCATTGCTTTTACATGGATCTATTCGAAATGGTGACTTCTCCACGCCATATGCCACAGAAGCTGAGAATAATGTGAATAAAAGTGATTGTCAGATTGAGGCAGTCTACGTCTGCTCCTCAGGTTACGAATTTTTTAGGCTCTACGTGTGCGCGTGGACAATCACAGCCGGCTCTTAGGCTTGCCTCCGAAATTATGAACATGACTTTGATCCGCCAACCGCACAATACCTTCCTGGACACATGTCGCCAGTAATACGCCGTCCTGGGACCATATCTTCTGCATCGAAACTCCTCTCCCCTCCCCTGCCCAATGGCTTGAGAGCTCTGAGAGCATCCACTCATCAGCTCGGACGGCTTTTGGAGCGTGAAAGAACATGGTGTGATTCAGTGTCACCATCATGTCTATTCGTAATCTCTCGCCTTCCTGATCATGTGTAGAATTGATGGCTTCACCCGACCCAGGGACTCGAAAATGCTGTTGGGGCTCCTGTGGCAGATCTTGTCCCACGACATCGAATTCAGTGAGCGGTGGCTTCACAAAATCCCATATCCCATGGACATGAGGAATCGTTCCGATAAAGTAGTTGTCGCAGATGTAAGCAAGCGCCGCAAGGTGGGCGTAGATCCCTCCAGAGGTTGATATCTTTTGACTGGCTTTATTCCACTGGTGAATGCGTTTTTCATGAGGATTCACGGAGTTCATATTCGCTATGCCGACTTTCTTGGTTAGGAAAGGAGGCGTGTTACCGTCAAAGTTCTGGAAAGCCTTCCTGGAATGGTTGTAACGGGGCGGGCTGGGAACATCTTGCGGCATTGTCTCGTGATGATTGATCTGTCTTCGTGTTGACTTAACGGATGTCGCGAAACTGATGAGAGCAGAGAAAATGACTCTTTCCTGTTGGCATGCACTGACCGACCGTGTCGCGAAACTCTTTCCATCCCTGATCCGGGTCACATGGAAGACGATCTTTTCGTCGGGACGGCCGGCTAAGATGAATTGCCCGTGGGAAGAATGTGGAAAGAAATTGGGTGGCACTGTGGCCTGGGCAGCAGTCAGGCTTTGAGCGATGCATATTCCCCCATATATTCCCTGGGCACCTGGTGGATGCCAGAGAGCCCCGGTATTTGTGAAGGTATCCGGGCTGCCTGTCGAGAGACGGCTGACTTCCAGGAGTTGTTCAAGGAGCGAGGGCTGGGTCGCCATGAGTGGACTGCTGATCGCCGAGGTTGGCGTTGTTGTTGTGTCTATTGCTCTGATTCAAATAACACCACCAGAGAGGTATTGCTTTGAGAAGTAGAATTCACTCGAGAAAGGATCAAACGATTGATTCGTGGCAATCATGGCAGTGGGCAGCCAGGGTTGTTCCTCCCCAGTCGGAATTACCACGGGGCGTAAATCCATGATCTCTTGTGCTCTACTCGAAGGTTCGAGATCAAAACTATGCGTCATCTCCATTCCACGTTTCCCTCCTGCAGAAGATAGTGAAGGACAGAGATCTCCTCAGGGCAAGGCATCTAGGTAGACTTGGAGACTTCAGTTAGTCGGGGCGTTGTTTTGACCCCCGGCTCCACTTTTCTTGCCTCAGTGCCGGGGTCGAAAATTGAGGGGGCATATCTTTCCCCAGAAACACATTGTGTGCTGACTCGCTTGCTCCATCTTAGGCTCTGGACGAGGGCCACGATGCTTGAAAGGCCAGAAGAAGACACTCAAAGCGCCCCTTGACAATATGGAGGAGACACGATTGCCAGTACATGGTCACGGATCGTCCTCAGAGACTCCAAGGACCCGGGGAAGATACATCAGCAAAGCATGGTATGGGTGTCTTCCTCCTGCAGCTTGTGCTTACGGCCTAATCTCGAACTTAGCATCTCCTGTCGCCAGAGTAAGATCAAGGTAGGATTCCTTGTGATCTCTAGATGTATGTAAACTCAGTTGATTGAAGTGCGACGGCGGCGTGGTCTGTCACAATTGTACAAGACACTCTCGAACTTGCGTCTACCCACAGAAGGCCAGAATACGAAAGTCAAAGGGATCGGACTCTACTCCCTGCAATGCGAAGTCAGTACCAATCCCACATGAGTCGACATGATCTGCGAAGGTAAGAATCAGGCTGACTTCAGGTGGTGTTGCAATTATAGACCACCCTGCACAAAAAAGGATTCTGGTGATTCTTGCAACAATCCCTCCCAAGCAGTGCTGGATCGGTTAAGGGCCCTCGAGGACCAGCTTAGTCGCGTAAATCAAGCGTTAATGGTGGAAACCACGGAGGCCGAGGAGGAATTGCCCGTCGAAACTGAGATATTCGGTGTTTCTCCAAATCAAACAACTGCCGCGTCATTGAGCTCTCATATCGATGCGTTGAAGAGAGCCTTGCATCTAGCCTCCTCAAATGGCACTCAGAGGCAGTGCCTCGAAGGATCTTCTACGCCAGTCGTTGAACAACGGCAAAAGTCACAATATGTCCGCAACTTCCCCTCGATACGACAGCTCAAACTGCTTATCGGTTTGTACTTCGAGGAGCTGAACCCTTTCTTCCCATGCATTGAAGAGCAGGAATTCATGGAGCGTATGGAACAGGTTAGACAGGATTTAGTTGAGGATGGGGGTGGGCTTTGCCTTGTCGTCAGGCCCTCATCACGCAACTTTTTCATGCTGATGTACATGGTCCTCGCGGTTGCGACATATCTTGACTCTACGAGCCACTCACAAAAGAATGCAGCTCCCCCGGGATGGCAATATTGCTTGATGGCTGAAGAGATATCCGGCAGGGATCATCATACGCGACTCTTGCCAGCAGAACTGGATCTCATTCGCTACTATACCGTAAAAGCGATATATATGGTTCACATCGAGAAACTCACCCCAGCCTCACATTCAATTGCAATAGCAATTCAATCGGCATTTTCGGCACATTTGAATGATGAATCCACCTGGATAGACTGCTCCAAGTCTAGAAAACATGCCCGAAGGCTGTTATGGTGGACTGTGTTCTATGTTGATCGCCGAATAGCACAAAAATGTTGGAAGCCGTACATCATCCGAGAGAATGAATTTCGCGTTGGTGAGCTTGCAGTCACCGAAGAAGAACTCCTCAGCACCGTGTTCGATCTTCAGACTCACATCAAGGTGGAAGAACAACTTGTCATTAATCGCTACGTGCAGACTATGATTAGATGGGCACGACTGTGGGCCCAGGTCTGGGATTCGATGTTTGCTGTTAGCTCTAGCTATGGAAAAAATCGAGCAGAAGAGATTGAAGTTCTGGACGCCAAAATCCTATACGCTCAAAGAGAAACTCATGAAAGCTTATGTTGGGACACTTTGTTCCTCCCAACGTATCTAGCAACTGGAGAGACCGACGCTCAGATTCGGTCGAGGCTGGTTGCCTATGTGGTACGAAGGACTCTTTTCCCCCTCCCTCGTCAAGATAAACACTCACCAATATTAGAGATTCAACCTGTTGCGACTTCTCCTTCGCCAGTCATGGAAACATACCACCGCAGCGGACGCTCGAGGCTCACAAATTTGCTTAGAACTCTCAAACGAAACCATCGAAGCAATTGTAGAGTATATGGTATCACAGGTAAACCCGATACCATTCGGGCTCAACGCTATTGAGTGCGTTGTAGAGTGCATATGCCACCTAGTTCCTCACGTCAACAAGGAGAAGAGCATTTTTTCCAACTCTTTGCCCATGTCTTCATTTGAGGGAGCAATTAAATTCCTTGAGAATTTGTCACCAAAGCTCGGAGCGGCGAGGAGGGCGTTGGATGCTTTGGGAGAGATTGCGGAAAAGGGTTGGCCACCGTCTTTCACCTCGAACGGCCAGGTGGGAGGCGTTCAAGAGATTCCATGCCTCATAAACACAGCGGTAGATTTGGGACAGGGATCATTTAATGAGCTTTTTGTACCTGATACCTGGTCCGAGATATGCTTCCCTAGCTTGGAGGAAGGACAGGTCCGCATAACTTGATGTGAAGATATTTACCTCATCATCTGAATAGATCTCAGCCATAATTCTCATTCTGTGGGTGCTACATTGCTCTAGCATCTGGCAGAAGGTCTTCCGAATAAATAATATGGTCTTCCAAATAGTCTCGTTGGAATTAGGCGTGTTCCGACTCGGAAATATTAATTCCAGTATCGAAGCCAATCCACAAGAGAGGAGCTTCCTACATAAAATTCAACGAAAGCAGGTGAGGGTAGTCCCAAAGTCACCTTCTGAACAAAGAATCATTGCCCGCATCAATGGCTCCAGTATACTCTAACTTGACGGTCCATCTACGACCCGATCGCTCCATTACACAGTTCATGCTCGAAAATGTGTGCAACACAGAGCCTACTAAAGTCATCTGCGAGGATACTTTGACGACCAAGCAGATCACATATGGAGGAATCCGCAAAGACGCGTTCCTGGTGGCGAACATGCTTCGGACTGAGTATGGAATTTGCGTAGGGGATGTCGTATCTATTGTTTCGAGAAGCTGCGTAAGTCTGCCATTCTGATGAGAACTTTGGCTGGGTGGGCCCACAGATGAGACACAAGAGATAGCGCAATCACCTAAAGATTTTCCAGAGCGCCGCGTACTGACAACAGGGACAGGTAGATTACATTCTTGCAACCCACGCCGTCTGGGCTGCCGGTGGTACCGTTAGGTGCGTTTGGGACTCTCGACTATAACCTGGGCTCAGATCCGTCGACCTGTTGCTGACCTTAGAACGAAGCACGATCAACCATTCCAACACGGACGACGAGCTTGCGTTTGCCATCAAGATAATCAAGCCGAAAATAATCATTGCTGATGCGACTGTCAAGACAAAGTTGGACAAAGCTCTGAAAATAATCAATGGCACGTCTCAAGGGACTTTGGTAATGACTCTCTTGTCCCGATGTCAAGGGCATGCTCTGGTTTGTCACAAGCCTGTCCTCAGAAAGACAAGAGCGGCGCTGATTCTGCGCTGCAGTTCCCGGATGACCTCCTTCGGAGTAGCGTAAGAGTCAGCCCCGAAGCCTACGTCCTGGACGGACAAGACGCCCATCAACGATGCGCAGCGATCGTGCTCTCCAGTGGCACGACGGGACTTCCAAAAGCCGTCATGCTCTCGCATCACAATCTAATTGCGATATGTGAGATGTTGCGATTCCACAACCAGGACAACTGGAGAGGTGATATGAGAGAGGTGTTCTTCCCTGTACGTTGCTGTAGCAAGAGATTCTTCACACGTTGCTAACACAGGAACGTAGCCCTGTACGTGCCAGTTGCGACAATCATGATTTTGGAAGGCTTATCTGATGTCTTCGCAGTATCGCACATTTACGGCCTCTATGTCTGTGCCTTGCTCGGTCCATGGCTCGGGAGCTACATCCAACTAATGCACGCATTTGACATGGACACCTTCTGCAAGGCATGTACTGGACCAATCTCCCCAGAAGTACAGGAGGCTAACAGTTGCGATTGTTGGCTTCCAGCTCCTGCACAGCAGAAGAGCCACCTTGGCAAGGCTGGTTCCTACAATTGCCCTCGCTCTATCAGAGTCACCCATCGTGTCCAAGTATAGATACCCCGACCTTGAGTACTTCTCATGTGCTGGGGCAGTACTAAAGGTAAGTTTCACAGCTACTTGCAAGGCTATCACGGCTAACTCGGTTGAATCTTTAGCCCAATGTTGCCTCGAAACTCCGTGAAAAATTTCCTGGCGTCAGCCTGTGTCAGAGTAAGTGCGGATCCTCGAACGTTTTTGTGGTTGCTTCGTCTATGGAAGGGAACAATGCAAGAGCTATCGATTGTGTGCAAAAGTATACTTCTAACACTCTCTGCGTCTCTATCTCTAGCTTACGGTTGCACTGAGACGTCCTCGTGTATCTCTCAAAGCGGAGTCAGTGATATAGACGCACCTCTCGTTGCAACAGGCACACTCGTGGCCAACATGGCGATCCGATTCGTGGACGAAAATCTTGTCGATGTATCTCCAGGAGTTCCAGGGGAGATCTGCGTGTCTTGTCCTACCATCATGATGTACGGTTAACTGGCCCCTACAAGGAGTTCCGGCTTGTGAACCATATGGCTAACCCCCGCGATGTCGGCAAATAGGGGCTACAAAGACAACCCAAGAGCGACCCAGGAGAGTTTTCTCGAGGGTGGATGGTATCGCACGGGTGACATTGGATACTTGGATGACAAGGAATACCTCATCATTGTCGACCGAATCAAAGACGTGATCAAGTATAAGGGGTGAGTTTGACAAACACCCCCATGGCTACCCGTCAGCGATTGTTTCCCTTCCCTCTAACTGTTCATCTCCCATGTATATGGTACTGGCTGATTCACAATTTGCATGTGGCTAGCTTCCAAGTTTCCCCTACCGAGCTCGAAGATCTGATCCTCCCACATCCCTCCGTGCAAGATGTCGGGGTCACTTCCACATGGGACGAGAGCGAAGCAACAGAAATACCTCGCGCCTTCGTTGTCACACACTCCGACGTTCCAGAGACTGAATACCCTCGTGTAGCAAGGGAGATTGAGCACCTGGTGGCAACTCAGGCGGCCGGCTACAAAAGATTGCGAGGTGGCGTGAAGTTCGTAAAGAGCCTGCCGAGAAACCCCACAGGGAAATTACTCAGGAGAGAGCTGAGGAAGCAACACAGTGATCAGATGAGTGAGATTGGAAATACTGGGATGTTAAAAGCGAAAATATAGCGACTGATAGATTGTCATCGGTAGTTTGGGGAGGAACACATGGTGCAATAGCCATGCACATATACAATGGTCCTGCCAACATGCATGGAGTACAGAGACCACGTCATGCCATCTTATCTCCTTTGTCGCAGCAATGGCAATGGCACTGATGGCAAGTGGTCTGTGTTGACCAGCTTTAGAGACTAAGAATTTATCAGACGCTCTTTTGGAACTCTTCAGATATAGAGGCTTAAGTCGTTATTGATCTCATGTTGCCCATACTTTGCCCTTCTGATCCTTCGTCCTTCATGTTAGCCCTTTACACCACTCCGGAAACCTATGTTGAGGGAATGAATTCCAGCTTCGAACACATCCAGACCACTACACTAGTCCTTGACAGTACGCTCTCTGAAGTCTTCCAATGAGGAGCAAGAACGGTTTGGCTCGCTGCTGCGGGCCTCTTCTGCTGCCTGTGCGGACTGTGTCGTTGACATTTTCTACCCCGAATACCTGAAATGCTTGTTTTGCAAGTCTGTATCGTCTCTGTGTAGCACTGAATGTTAGAACAACCCAGAGGCATTCCATCAAGCTGGAACGGACGTAGAGACACATACCTGAGGGCAGACATTTCGTCCAAGTTGGCATCACCAGTTGCATAAGCCGGGTTGGTGAGAGCCTTTCGGTCCCGGCGACTGTTTACCAAGCGCATCATGAGCCAAGTTGAGAAAGAGAGCGAGATATAGATGGATACAAACCTGCAAAGCCACCCAAGTTAGCTCTTGCTTTTATCAATAGTTAAGATTTCACGAACGCCAAAACGAAAGCGAGACCCGTATGATATCGGGGGCTCTCTGTCCCTAGGAATGTCTGTGGCGTGATGATGTTGACTACGCAATATAAGAAGAACGCTGTCGAGGTGGAGATCTGTTTTCTAGTAAAACCAGCAGTGTTGGTTCCAATGACGGCCATGATGACGGTGTAGTTGGCCCCGGAACAGGAGATGATGATCACCGAGGCCAGTCGACGACCTTGATATTGAGGCTCGGCAGGTGTGACGTATAGGATCACAATACCGATCACGGCTATACAGCTGGCGATGGCAACGAGTGGTTGCTTCATATTGCGGAATCGTGGAAGGAGAGTGGGTGGAGTGGAGACGATCAATTGTGTCACGGCCTAATAAGTTGTTTCGTGAGATGGTCTTTCGTTTGGAAGTGGTTTTATCATACCTGAACAGCAAAGTTTGGGGCAGTGTATAATTGAGCTTTCAACGCTGTATACCCGAAGCCCTTGATGATGATGCCGAGGAAGTTGGTCGTGACATTGCCAGCAGCTTGTGAGAAAAACATCTGCAAAACCATCATCCAAAAGCGATAGTCAAGCAAAGATTCCTTCAACTGGTTCCACTTGAAGTGAACTAAAGTATGGAGTTTAGCTGATGATCAAACCCTGTTCAAAAGGAGCATGACATGAGTTGCAGCTACTTACCATTCTTGACGCCAAGTTGATCATCGACAAGTCGCCTGATGGCGATGGCTTTCTCCCTCTCATTCAACCATTTTACCGTCACGGGAGAATCAGGCATTAAGAAGTACTAGGAACTATGATTAGCAAGAGAGAAAGTGAACATGCGAATTGAACTTACAAGCAGAATTCCGGTAAGACAGCTCAGCAACCCCAGGAGCAAGAAGATCAACCGCCATGCCACCTTCATCCCGTGTTAGCACGACGATATTCCATCGTGAATCCAGCTTGGTCTTACCAATGGTCCAGATTTGACATGCCCAAGGCCTGGAGACATAATTCAGCTTCAGATTGAATAGAAAGTAATTGCCCAACTTACCCCAGTATATGATTAGAAATGGAACCGGCATGATACCATTGGTAACTGTCCACAGGCCAAATCGAAGAGACTGCTCTTGTTGGCGGTACCACATGGTGGTGCTGTCATAATCAGTTCAAGCTCGCCTCATTAGTAGAGGGACTCACATCAGGAGAAGTCCAGGCACCAAGGCAGATTCGAACAGGCTAGGAGTCAGTTAGTCTCACAGATCAGACTGACGCCATTGGCATCCCTCACCCCAGAAGAAAACGTAAAGCGAGCAGCGTGGCATAGTTGTGAGCACCAACACATCCCAGCAAAGTACATCCCCAGAAGAAATACGCCCATCCAATGACTTTTCCGGCGTGAAAGTACTGGAGAGCACGTCCTGACACGAACGAACCGCCGAGGTAACCAAAGTAGAAGATCTGGGATACATTGGTCAGATGTCATCATTTGAATGTTCCTTTCAATGCTCTCTTACCGACACGCACCAGGAGTACTCCTGACCCACTAAGCCGAGATCATCGCGAAGACCGTAAGTTGCTGCGGCTCCCAGGCCCGACTGTGGAGAGGAATGTAAATAAGACTAGTATCTGGTAGCGAGAGAATTTGGGCTCCGACCTTGTCCACAAATTGGAGACCGCACGCCCAAGCCGCCAAAGGAATGATGTGCCAGTCAATCTTTCTCAAGACCTTTGATTTTTCTACGAGGGTATCAGTATGGAACAAAGCGCAGATCCAGAAGGGACGTCAGAATGCCTACCTTCCTCGGTATAGTGGGTGTCTTCCTGTGCCTGTACAATGCTGGCACCGACATCAAGGTCGCCTTCGGCAATACTGACTTTGTCTTTGGGTTGGTGGTGCTCAAGCGCTTCCACTTCTTGAGTTTGACTGCGCTTTTCCGTTGTCGGTTCCATTGTGGACATGCAGCGTTGTGTAGAACAGGAGGTTGTCTAGTAGAGATAGGGGCTGAAGGGCAGAAACCCTGGGGGTCCCAGAGGTCTATATATCTACGTCACACTCCTACAGCTTAACGTCGAGTGTTACCACGTTTTGTTCACAGGGGTCAGTTGCGCTCACGAGCCTGGCCGGTGTTCAAATTAACCCCCGGCTTTCTAGGCAGATCCGGGGTAACTGTTGATTGTGGGGGACCCTTGATTGGGGGCTTTCATTGATCCATTCATCCGTTAGTCCCTGAACAATTCCGAGGAGAGTGGCCAATACCGGTGTATTATTTAGACGGCCGGAAGTTGCTTATTGGGTTGGTCCAGAGAAACTCTGTTGGCATTCGAGAGGCCCGAAATCCATCAGGACAAAACGCCACGCGGCCTAGAAGATTGCAAAATCCTGGGGACGACTGCTTAGGGCCAGCCTGTTGGGCGACGGACATTGTATAAACGACTAGGGGATTTGGAAGCGAGTCCGTAAGCCACTGATAAGTTCTTGCCAAACGACCCCAACATTCAGCTCACCAATCCGATCCTCTAGAGAGTTCGAACGTGCTCTATCTACCTGATGAGATCCTACAGCCGTGCGGCTGCTAACAGATCCCGGTCGTGCGATGATACAGGTGGCAATTTGGGCTCTCTCAAACCAAGCTCCCTCGCAATTGTCCTCGCTGCCCAGAACCCCGTTACAAAAGCTAGTGCCAGCCCCCCGGCGTATCCCAGGTTACTGAAGCCCCCAGCATCCACACCAGCTACGAGGAGGCCTGGAATAGAGGTCTTGTCAGCAGTCAAAGCATGGCCATTTGAATCCACTGCTATGCCACCGTAGCTGAAGGTGATCCTGAATGGCTGTTAGCCCCATCTTCATACGTCATTGAGTTTTCTAGGCTGGACTCACGAAGGCTGAACTTCCATGGCAAAGAATCCACCTTCGCCATCAAGAAGGGATTCTGGAGGGATACCTCCCTTTCCCACTGGGGCGTCCAAGATAATGCCGGAGTCGGCCTGAGACAAAGCACGATGATATTGCTCGATTGTGAGTTTTGCCTGGAACCCGTCCACCCCCCATTCCTGAAGTACCTTCAACAAGCCTTCTATAGTCGGAGCACTGGCAACGTTGCATCCATGTGCCCGGGCTTTCTCTAAGCGATCCACGTCTCCAGCGTTAGGGAAGAGAGCCGAGACGCAATGTTTCCGTCTGGTTCGCTCACTAGACTCAGTAGTTAGTACTTGATCAGAGCTCCAGGGAATGCAGTAAGGACACGCACTCGAATAGAAGAAACCCACGGCGATTGTCCTGCTTTGCTAGATACTGATTGACGATCTCATCACCTAGGGTTTCGTCTGCGAATCTTCGACCCGCCTCATTGATCAAAAGACAGTACCTACTTTCTAGGAAGGGTTAGTACATAATGAAGTGAGAAATTTAGATCTTGAACTCACGATATTGAGCCAGGGGGAGGTAATCTTGAGGATCAACATCCTCGGAGCGAAGAGGGGCTGCTAGTAAATGACCGTAGTAGGTGCCCATTCCACGGCTGGTACCTGCACCGACCGAAGTAGCTGAATTCAGTCCATCTCCCACAGAGCCTTTGTTAGAGCGGACAAAAATGGTGTCTCCTCCTGGGCCGAGATGTTTCGACGTGAGATCTGGTGAACCCTGAAATCCACCGGTGGCCAGAACAACCTGCTTTGCGCGTACTTCAATGTAGTCGGCGGTTGGAGACTTGAGATCGGTCCGACGTAAAATCGCACCGATGACCCTGGAGCCGGGAACTCCTGGGTCTTCTTGCAATAACTTCACTAATTGTGTGCTGGTGAAGATCTGAGATGCCGTTCCACTATTCTCGATACGTCTCCGGTGCATGTCGTGAAGATACGGGATTTTGATGGGATACCCGATTCCTAAGAAGGTGTCAGTCGGTGCGTTATTCTTCTGACAAAGACCCTACGAACCAATCGTCATGATCGGACCAAATCGATTCGAGGTCGGTACTCCCATCTGTCTCATCCACTGGACAGCCGGCAGATAGTCAGACATCCAAGCCTTTTGGAGATCAATGTCGCCATTCGGCACCCAAGATCTTAGGCTTTCGTAACTTTTGGGACCCCAGCTGTGTGTATCGTCAGTATCCGTGCTGACTTAATCAAGATTGATCACCTGAACATACAACATCCCAGCCGAGTAAGCAGAAGAGCCGCCAACATGAGCCTGTTTCTCAGCAACCAGAACCTTCGCTCCGGCCTCCGCCGCAAATGCAGCACATGCCAGCCCCGACATGCCGCCTCCACAGACAAGAACATCGACGACGAGGATCTCCATGGTTAGAACGCAAATTTAACGGCGTTGAACGTCTATCAGGGTGTCTAATCGATCTTCTGGACCAAGAAAGATCTCAACGTTGGTCTTGATATAGTTGACCCAGGCACAGTTGGACTCCACACGTAGCTAGGGCCAATGCGCCTAGCCCTCCGGGCAACTAATTTGGAAGCCGGGCAGCAATGACAGACCGTTGTTCAAGTACCTGGGTGTCACGCGATATTACGAGCAGAAGACTGGAACAGCAGATCGGATACGGATTCTCATTGTTATCTACTATGTGCTCCTCGCGGCCTTGGATGGACAAAAGTCCGGCAAACGCCGACTCGCTTGTGCTATATGCCCTAGTTGCCTCTCGTCGAAAAATTTGTCATGCCAGAAGTCATAAATAGTCTCCATGATGCTATAGTTTTGCATCTATGGATGATCGTTAGCCAACTACGTCGTTGTTTCGGAGATTTAGAAGCAACACAATACTCACTGGTCGCCGGAGATTCAAGCCCGCACTTCTGGGCGACTTTCCGCCATGAGGCCATTCCTCGACGAGCCCATTCTTCTGGAACACTGTCCATCGCTCTGTGTTAGACTACGGCATGACATCGTGATCGTGAGTGAAGCTTACGAGGAGTCCTTTCTCCACATATCGACGTGGAATACTTCCATAGATACCCATCCTCGATATCCTAATGCAAAGACAGCTTTCGCAACCTCCACGACAGGCAATACTCCTCCGTGCTGTGGTTCACATGGGAATATTCGACAGTTGCGCGACTGAGTCATGTAGGGTGGCTGATTAAGGTCAGGTCGTGGGTAACCTCTCTGATTTGGGTCTGCGACTGTTGCATCGCTAAGTTGGAAATATCCGATGTCGTCCGGCTTTATGGTGCGACGCATTTCTGCCAAACTCTGCCGAAGGTTGCGCAGGCCATCGATTCGAATAGGAGCAGTGGCGTTGAATGGATCGCCGGCTTCCCTAGCTGCAATATGGAAGGTATCTATGCAGAGACGTACATTCGGGAGATTTACCAGAGACACAATGTCCCGTGTTTGTTGCCAGGTGTCTACATGGATCCCCCAGGCCGTTGCCTCGTAGGCCACAACCTTGTTGTATTTCTGGGCCAACATACCGAGCCTTCGGATGTTACTGGCGATGTGATGTTTATCCGGTGTAAGAGGCTTCTGCAAGGGGTAAATGCAGGAACACATCTAGACGCGACTTAGCTTCTCGACACTCAGTTTGACAAAGCTGCTTTGGTACCTGGAGGATAGGAGCATTTAAGATGTCGCAAATTTGTAACCAGAGCTCTGCTTCATACAGGCGTGATTGGATGTCTTGTTCTTGTGTCAGTCCGTCATAGAACCCGAATGGATTCAGAGCTATGATCTCTAAGGAGAGCGTCGAAGCAGTGCGTTGGATGTCTTCGGCAGCCAAGCATAGTCTACGTTCTCGGACGCTCTCCTCTGAAAACAGCGTAGATGATGCATGAGCCTCAAGGCATTCCCATGCTAATTCCACACCATCAAAGCCGTGCGAATGAGCGGCAAGTAGCTTTGACTGAATGTCATGGCCGGCAGCAGATTTACCCAGAGAATTTGTTGCCACTGCAATGCGTACCCTGTTAGATGCCATAGTAGGTGATCTAAAGTTCTTTCACTAGATTGTTGATTCTAGGAAATTCGGAAATTTTTGTGTCCACGTCAATGCTTACGCCGGACCACAAATATATGGCCCGGGCACGTTGCCGGCCTAAGATGGAGAGAGTACTGACTTACAGCCGATGTTTCAAGTGTCAAATATACAAACCAAAAATACTTGTTTACAACACCAGTTATTTCAGCAGCTGACGCCATGACTTTTCTAACAGCAAACTCGGCCCAAAGAGTCGTTGTTGTTACAGGTCCGAGACGCTCTCACCTTACCAAAATGGTCACTGACTATTTCGAGAGCAGGAGGGGCAGATGGGTTTGGAGCAGCAATTGTTGACCGATTCAGCCTACAGAATTCCAAGGTAGTCTTCATTGATTTGAACAAAGATAAAGGAGAGCAGAAGGCCAAAGGAGACGACAACCTTTACTTCATATGTGGCGATGTAACAAAGAGAGAGACGTGGGAAGATGCTCTTGAGGTTGCTAGGAGTAAGTTCGGGAGAGTAGACGTTGTTGTAAACAACGCAGGTATGTAAAGGGCAGTCGTGTCTAGTCGCTGTTTACTGAAAGTCGAAACCAGGTATCACATATGATCCTTCGGTGAGGGAAAACCCCCGTCTCTCCGAGCCAAGTATCTGATGGGTTTGCAGCCCGTTCACACCAAGCCAATGGAGCATTATGACAAGATCTTCAATGTCAATCTGAAGGTATCCATAGTTGAGATACCGCGAAGGCCACACGGTGCTGACTTCTTGGTCAGCCTATTTTCCTGAGTGCCCAAGTCATGTGCCCTTTCATGCTTGAACAAGGCAGCGGGGCCTTTATCAACATCACAAGGTAGCGCTCCCACATGGTGAGATGTGAGAGAAGAATTGGGTTGACAGTGACGATGTCTGTAGCACCGGGTGTACTAGACCTCGACCGGGTTTCGCATTTTACAATGCGTCCAAAGCCGCCGTAGAGGTGAGTTTGCATAAGTAGAATCTCCGAAACTCTAGACTTACAGGGAGAGGTCGCAACCAAAACAATGGCACTTGAATACGCTCCAACCATACGATTCAACTGTATCTGTCCGGCAGTGGGAAATACATCAATGTGAGCAAGAGGTACTTTTCCCGTTCTGCACCCTCCGCTGATTCGAGACAACTACAGGCTACAGGCGAGCATCGGCAAAGGCACCGAGGCAAAGGAAAAACTTCGCAGAATAGAAGAGATGCTCCCGATGGGAAGAGTGACGGAGCCAGAAGATATTGCCAATGCAGCCTGGTTCTTGGGATCTGAGCAGAGTTCATTTATGACAGGAGCAACAGTCGCAGTGGACGGGGGACGAGGAGTGTAGAGTACGAATGGAGGCCAATAGCGCCCACTGTGAAAAGGAAATCGAACTATTGTCACTTAAAATTTCTACTACATCGCTGTCAGACGTTCCCCTCAGGCTTCATAAGCCACGCATAATCTCGCGTAAATGTACCCCTCCAGCCATGTGCCCTGGCTCTCAAGAAATAATTCAGCCTTACCGCCCCGAGGCGGGGTCCCCACCGTCCCGCTTGCTATGGGATGCCACGCCCCCAACTCTCTCGCTTCCACGGTCCGAGCACCATGTCCTGAACTTCAACTTCATCCGTCACATTCTCGTCTTCATCCTTGAAAATCAAGTCTCAATGCACAAGACACTCTGGACTAGGCTCTCAAACTTGACCAGAAGACAGTTGACTGTTTGTAATACTTGCGATCCTTTCCTTCAAGCACAGTCAAACAGAGTTCCAATTGTAACTCGGAAGCAAGGTTCGCAAAGGATCATCTCAAGATGGCACCAGCATGCGAGGCATGTCGCAATTTGAAGGTAGCTCCCTTGTCGCCTTGCTCGACTGCATGACGTCTGACATGATTGCTGCAGATGCGATGCTCCCGGTCTGCTCTAGCAGAAGAGCCAGTCAATACTAGTGAGCCTTGTGACCGATGCAAACATCACGGCCGTCCTTGTAAGATACCACCATCACGTCCCGGAGGACGAAAACCAGGGTCTCGAGGACGTTACAAGGGTGTCGAAAAGGCTTTGCGGAAGATTCAGACCGAGCTACGGAAAGCGAAACATCCTTCATCTTCCGACCAAGACAATCTCAGAGAACTATTGGGTTTCGCGGACGGCGACCAGGAACTTATTGACCTCATTCTATCCCAGAACAGGAGTATAAGCGACATCCAGTCGCAATCCGACGTGCGAGCGCAGCAAATTGAGGATAGTGATACGACAGCACAAATTAACTCTGCAACTTCGATGTATGTACCGGAGGGCTATCTGGAAACAACAAGCCCTTCTCGATCTCCAAACGACACTATTCAGTCTCCTCCAGAGCAGAATGGCTCTGTCAGTAATCCTCTAGGTCTGGTTGCCGATGTTTGCGGCAATCTTAACTTGGATCCTCCGTCACCGAGTAACATGCCTTTGGTGGAGGCGGAATCTAGGCCCAGTTTCCTTGCGACATCCGCAGGCGAATCCGAACCTCAAAACTTCGCACGACATCTATTGCGACGCCCAGGATATGTGTCCCTTGGTCTCAAGCTGAATCGGCAGACTCTTGAAGACGGATTGGATGCCCTTTTGACACGGGAGGTGGGAATATGTCGATACTCTGACTATTTCAAGCCATCCGACATGACCAAGGATCGAGATATAGGGCCAGATCTGGACCCTGTCGAACTCGGGCTCGCCTCGATGGAGGAAGCCCATTATCTCTTCCCCCTGTAAGTACCTCTCGGTGCCTTCGCTTCTACAAGATACAGTTGTCCTTACCAATTGTTCTCAGCTTCTTTGCGCGATTGCACCCCATCAACGGCATCCTCGACCCGATACTTCATACGCCAGAGTTTGTGCAATCACGATCTGCGTTACTATTCACTTGGATAATGGCCATTTCAGCACAATTTGACCATGCATCAGGATCGATTGCGAAAAGATTGCGGATCCACGGTGAACACCTCTCGAAGCATGTCTATGCCAGCGGCTACAAGTCCGTCGAAATTGTTCAAGGCTATTATATTTCTCTTCTCTCGGCAGTTCCAGCTAACACCATGGTAGAGGAAAGGTCATGGCTGTACACAATCTACGCTTTCGGTGTGGCTGCGGAACTGGGCCTTGACCGAGAAGCTCGAGCGCCTGGTTGCTCGAGCGATATTGCCGGATCCCATACTCTGCCTCAAGCTAGTCCAGGCCCTGATGGCTCTTCCGACGATAGAGAGAATAATTCGCAAATCGGCGACCCTTCATTCGTTAAAGATCCGACAGACACGGAACGATTGGCGCGGAATCGGGAACGAACCTGGTTGAGGATACTACTCTGGGAACGCGCTCACAGTGCAGCCCGCGGTCGAGTCAGTGCTTTTCCAGAAACAGACTTGACACTGAATATTGAAACTTGGTATTGTCACCCTCTCGCTGATCTCAATGACAAATATACTTGCGCATTCATCCTCCTCCGACGACATCTAGGAGGGCTGCAGGATCAACTCAAACGGCAGATCGGCTTCCAGCATCCGTCTCGGCATTGGGTTTTGGATCTAATTGACTCAACCCTCCAGCCGTGGTGTCGTTCCTGGCTAGGATCTACAGAGCCTCTCGTGACACCCTCTGAACGTGTCTCCAACGCATTCCTTCGTTTCGTTTACATGCATGGACGGCTATGGACACTATCATTTGCACTCCACGGCCACGCAGAGGACAGTAACCCCAATATTGATGCAATCAAAGAAGACTGCTTTGAATCCGCCGTGAATTGCTGTGAGATGGCGGTGCACGCGTTACAAGAGATTGGTGAGCCGATTTATTGCATGTTAGCACCAACTTGGGCCATGATGGCGTACTCTGCTGTCCTAGCACTGAGACTTTTTCCACTTCTCTACGGCAAGCAGTCTGGGAATGAGGTTGAGCTGCTTTCTCTACTATCGCAAGTCGCTTTGCAACTCGAAAAAGCTGGCACAACACCCTCTCATCGGTTTGGGATTGCCGCCCTTCTCGGTCAGCATTTATTCAAAATCTTACGGGCACGGGCGAACTTTCTGGTCCGGGGAGCTCAATCGACTATCCAATCTCAAGCAGGGTCAGCGGCACTGGCCGGGACGACCAACCTCCATTTAGAGCATCTCGTTAGTGGCAGCATAGAGGACGATTCGAACCAAATGGTGAATCAAAGCCAGCAACTTGACTTCGACCCGTTCATTTCAAGATTCGACCCCTTCCTCACGTTGCCGTTCCACCATGTGAATGAAGACGGCTTTGGGGAAGGATTCACAGACGTCCTATGGGATTGGGTCGGCCAGGGATTCGGGAATCTGACATGAAGACGAACGTGAAAAGTTAGCGAAGAACGACATGCAGTTTTTTTAGAAAGCTACAATTTAGTGCTCCTATTCCAGACTATCTACACCCACCTTATGGACGTCGCTCACAACTGTTTCCTCTATGAAAGGACCGTGTGCCAGGCACAGAACGATTCAAGTGTAGTAACTACAGCTTACTCACCCTCACCTCACCTCTGATGGCCTTATCCACCCATGCTGGGTCCTCTCTCAGGGTCCTCCCCAATCCAATCATATCGACGTCCTCATTCTCTACAGCCTCCGCCATCCGGCGACTATCCCTCCACCCGCCCGTGGTGCCAATGACGGCTCTAGAGAGCACCTTCTTCAATTCCTGTGCCCACTCGACGAAATAACTACCCCGAATTTTCTGGGAAGGTCTCTCGGCGAGCTCTGTCATGATGTTGCCCCTCCACGCAGGTGACTCGTATGTGCCTCCAGATATATCGAAGAAGTCGACGCCAGCGTCCTCGAGCCATTTGATCACCACGCATTGTTCCGCGAAGGATTGTCCGCCTTTGATGACTATCTGATGTCAGTGGGATTTTGACCGCGTATGTCTGGGTAGGAGAAATGAGCTCCCAGAAGAGAAGGGAGGATAAGCTCACAGTCTTGACAGTTGAATTTGACTGCAATCACGAATCGATCGGACGGCAATTTGGCCTTGATACTATTTACGATGTCCAGAATGAACCGGGCACGATTTTCGAGAGTCCCACCGTACTGTGATGTTTCGATATAGGATTAGTTTTCTGGTTCTGGTCGTGCTGGCTCCATACGGCTGATCGGATTGGTAGTATTGTATAGACATGGAAGGAAACCTACCTCGTCTGTCCGTTTATTGGTCAACGGCGAGAGAAATTGATTCAGGATGTATCCGTGAGCACCGTGGAGCTGTGTTTCTTTGTGTCAGTTACCCTTGAAGTTTTGCATGACCAAGCTAGATCACTTACAATGATTCCGTCCGCTCCAGCTTTGGCCAGTACTTCTGCCGCCCACACATACCTCCCCACCAACTCCTTGATCTCCTCCCGAGTCAACGGTGCCGGCTTGCCGTATGTCTTCAGCAGACACGGTCCGAGCTGCACATCTGATGCCGATTTGGGATGTTTGTTGAGGAATTCTGGCACTTGGCGCCCTGGGAACTGCAGCTGGGGCAAACAGATGGCGCCTCGGGACTTTGCGGCGCGGATTGCTGGGGTGAAAGCAGCGACGGCATCCCATGGGTTGCGCGGGTCAAGCACAGCATTGTTGTAGTTCTCGAGGTTGTTGCGGTCGATAGGGATGTTGCCGAAGCAAATGAGGCCAGCACCACCATCGGCAAGCTCTGGAGGATTCTCACTTAGTCTTCCATAATTCTCACTTCTCGCAATTCTAGACACCTCGTGTCAAGATGTCATCATACCTTGATATATTTCGGCGTATCTAGGTTTCGGGATTCCAGTCTTCTCGATATCATTCTCGTCATACGTAGAAGCATATTCGCTGAGCGGCGTCCGATATATTCGATTCTTAATCACCTTACCCGAGAGTTTCAGAGTGATTGGCTAGAGAATGATCAGACAAGAGAAGTCCTGATCGATGAACGTGGACATGCCCGGAGTAGGCGTAGTATACGGTTCTCAAACATACCTGAGCCAATGCCGAAATAGACATGGTTGATACTGATTCGATATCTTTCAGTTACTTCCAGGAGATTCGTATAGCACAATCTTAGCAAAGCCGACCCTAGGGATGATTTGGTGAGGCAGATGACCTGAGTTCAACCTCCAGTATGCCCCTATTTTGTCAGAGCGTTGGTGTCCACCTTGCCACGCGCCATACGAGATACATCCATGAGCGAACTTATAATTCACGATCCGAAAGAGATAGCTCTTACCACTGAGGAGTGATGCTTCGGAATCCTGGAATTGCGGACATCTTTCGCTCACACAAGTGTTTACAGCCAAGGGCGAGAGAGTTTGTGGAGAAAATGCTGACGCCGGGGTCGGTGAACAGATCTAGACGCCGGAGTGGAGAACCTCCTCTTAGCCGAGGAACATCTCACATTTTGAAACTTGCGGATATGCACAGCCAATATGATGCAGATTTCGGATGTTGCTCTTGGTGGTAGAGATGATGGTACTCAGGAGCTCTAACAATTGTGTGCGTTATCCGAGAGTACCGGCTCTTCATCTTTCAGTGATGCTTGAGTGCATAAACAACAAGAGCCCAGGTGCGTTTCAAGCATCAGGAGAGGATTGGGTAAGGGACACAATGGTCTTTTCTCGATAACGTACCCGCTGATCCGCGCTGTAATACTATTCTATGAACAATCCCAATGAGTTACAACCGACTTACTACCCGTTGCATCGATAAAAGAGTCTTCTGAACCGCGTCTGATTTTGGTTCTTCCTCCAGCCAGAGAGTCTGTTGCGCAACAGCGACACGAACTAACACCTCCGTGCCATACATGGTTCTCCAACCACTCGTCTCTGCCAACTTCAAGAGTCGCGTGTGAGCAGGATGATAGCACATATCAAGCACGATTCCTTTCACTTGTCCTCTTTTCTTCAGAAAAGTCTCGCAGATCCGCCACACCAAAAGCTCTCCTGTACCACGTGGTTCGTCATCAGGGATAGTTCCGACGCAAATACATGGTGGTTTGAGACTTTGAGCCTCCTCGACACTCTCGACATGCCGGAGTCGGATGCCAGGTACCGATAGGACCATTCCAGCGATAAGTTCGGTGGTCTCCGATGTCAACCGGTTCACAATGTATATCTCAGAAGGTTTGAACCATTTCCAAAGCGCAAAGATGGCACTACGGGCGGCACCACCGGCGCCGATAACCAATGCCGGTTGCGCACGAGCGTCGTCAAGTACTGTATGGCAATTGTTGAGTAGAGTCTCTCTGATACCCACGCAGTCAGTATTCGTCCCTATGTATCTTCTATCCCCTCGCGGATCCAAACGAATAAAGACCGTATTGACAGCTCCGATTGCACGGGCTTCCTCTGTAGTATCGTCTAACAAAGGCATGAATGTGACTTTGTTGGGCATCGTGATAGATGCCCCAATACAATCAGGCTGGCGTAGAGTGGTCACAAAGTCTTGAGGATTTGTGGTCTCGTAGAGGTCATAAGTCCATGATGCTCCGGTAGATTTGAAAAGGCTCGAATTGATGGTCGGTGAGTGGGAATGAGAGATTCGTCCACCGAAAAGATAGGTTCGCAGCGAATGCCCTCTCGAGTCTCGCTGTAGGGGCGACCCCCCATAGCCATAGGATTGATCAAGAAAATTCATCGTTTTGTGACTCTCGCTGATCGTGAGAGGCGGCGAGTGCTCACCACATCCGGCACTTTATGAGTTGCTTTTTGCTTCTGCGCGGGTTGTACCCTTGGAAACAAGAAGTATATTATTCAAAAAAGCGATGTATTCGGCTCGATCACACATGTAGTCTGAATCATGAATGATCTTGTTGTTCACAGCAATTGTGTAGATGTGTGTAAACATTGAGGTCGGTAGCCAATTTTATACCCCGAAAAACATGGCCTTGGAGAGCGGAGCTCCACCGGGATCGGGGCCTCAGTACAGCATCTTTTAGGACCCATATCGAAATATACATATTGTCTCCGAAAATTCAAAGGGCTTGAGACCGTCTCCGTATAGCGCTTTGCAAACGCGAGAATTGTCGTATCGGCTCCACAGCGGCACCAAAATCGGCCGCCGTAAAAACGACCTCGCCCATGATGCGGTTCAGAGTCGAGTCTAAGAGTCGGTGGCCTGGCCTTCCCTGGCTGGATGCGGATCCAACCATTGTTACCCAGTAGAGTATACCTGACAGTTCTCCCCAGTTGTCGCCAAAATCGGTCTTTCCTAGAGCCCCCACTAACCCTAGAGTGAGCGCCGGATCGCTCGATATGAGGGGTTGGGCTGTCTCGATGGCATTGAGGATGAGCATCACGGTAAGGTGGCAGCATTTAAACACCCATTTGCCCTCAGAGGTGGTTTGAAGATCGTCGGTCGATTTGTAACGCTCCAGCGCGGTTTTAATATGATGCAGCGTGACGGCGAACTCTGCTTCTTCGATTGCACCTTCGTCAAAGCCAATTACCAGGTCAATGAGAGCCTTGGCATGGAACAGGATGTACATTGTGTCCCGTCCAAGTCGCTTCGATTGGAAAAGTTCAGCAAATGTACCCTGCCGACCGTATAGTGGTGACTCATGCTTCAACCGGACCGTCGACTCAGCATTCGACGACTGTCCGTAATCGAGATCGAAAGTGGATGCGGCAGGCTGTGCCTGAATTGCTGCTAGGAGAAGATTCTGCCTGTATAATTGGGTACGAAGTTAGATCGACCTTCTCGGATGAATCCAGCAGCACGATCGCGTACACAAACAGATACTTGCGGACCGTGCGGCCAAATTGGAAAACGCCGAGGCTTTCCATGCCTCTTTGTTTGACCATTAATTCCATTCCCCTCAGATGAGTGTCCACCTCTTCGATCGGGTTGCCAAAAACCTGTCTCACAGGTCAGCGTGGGTGAGCAATCAACATGACTCCCGCGGACGCCATACCCAGGTACCAGTCGACAGATAGGCAATCGAGGCAATCACATTGGTGCAAGTTGCGGTGCTCGGGTGAGACATCTTCGCGTTGATTTGTGACATCGCAGCTACTTTCAGGCCCAGTGCGAGCTCGGGACTGCTCCATCCCCTTACTGAACGGAGGTACGAGTACGCCATGTACAGCATGCTCGCCAGCAATGCAGGTGTTCGCAAAGCTTCGGGGAATACGTCTGTCTTAATTGGGCCAGGGAAGCAAAAGGTGACGGCTAGAGACGGCTGGGATTAGTGTGTATTTGAGAAAGAGTGATGCAAGGAGAAGGTGAAACATGGCCAAGAATGCGGAGCGAAGATATGATGTTTCTGGGAAATTATGTACCAACCGTGGATCTTAATGGCATTGATCTCGCTCGAGAATTTTGAAGTCAGGGACTGGGGTAGCTCGGTGATTGAGTTGAAGGGGTCAAAGTCGGCCGCTGCAAACGTAACCACAGGGTAGGATGATTGCTGCAAGTCGTTTGTTTCCTCCGATGGGCTCATCTTCAATGACTGCGCCTTGCCACAGCGATTGCAACGTTCGGAGGCAGACGTAGAGCTGATCGACGATGTGTCAAGCCTTTGTCTCCGTGAGCCATACTCTTGTGGAGCTGGAGATTGCTGGGCGGGAGGCGAGCATCGGCATATGCTGAGATTCTCCTCTGTAGCTGGTTGACGGCCCCTCCGTACCAGATCTAATTGCTTCTGGCGCCGCTGCGTGCTGCGGAACCCTTTCATGGCGTGCGATCGAATGGCACTGTGAGCCGATTTGTCCACCTTGCGGCCAGACTGTCTGACAAATCGGTATACCAGAGGCTGACCATGCCCAGTTCCATTTGCATGCTCCAGTTTAGGCGGCTGCAATGCGTCCGCAGGTTGCGTATCCATGGTGCTGCCCCTGGGTTGGCCCAGGGCAAAGGATTGGACACCTCTGCAGGGAAGATGGCTTAGTGTAACTAGTCGCCGCTAATAGTAGTTCCCGAACAGAGAGTGCATGTGCTCTTCTTGTAGTGGCGCGAGACAAGTCATTCGGGACCGGGCTCAGCAACGCAGCATTTCCATGCCGTCGTCGCGGGTTGCTTGAATGACTGAAGACATCGAGCCCAAAGTCAGGGGCTAGTTTTAGCCCCTAACCTTTGCGAAGGGTTCGATTAAGGTTCTTTTGCGCCCCGCCGCTGGACCGGGGTGAAGAAGAGCACATGCCCGTAACAGGTTAGGCTGAGATTTCCCATGGCTTTCTTGTTTTGATATCTGTATGAAGACGGATTACAAACATACTGTCTGATTTCCGAAATTATGCCTGGTCCCACTAGCTTTGTGAGGCACTGTTGTTGCGCAGTAAGAGCATTTCCTCATGATATATAAGGTATGTTGCTCTGTCGTCCTTCTGACAAAGCTCTTGACTGCCCACACCCCTCGTACCAACAGCCTCTCGTCTGATCCTTTCCTTCGCTTCTTTGTCCTCCTCCAAGAATTTTCATCTCTACAACTTCAATATGTATTCATTTCTGGCCGCAGTTTTCACCGCGGCATGTGTCTTTCGAACGGTCTCTGCGCAGAGCCCTCCAGGCTTCACGCCTTCCACTTTAAAGCACCTGACAGTCACCTATGGAACCATTGCGGTCAACCCTGCTGGAATCACGATTCCCGGAGATGGTAAGCCCATTCCTCACCCCTGGGCTTCTTCTAGACTCTAACTTTTCAGCAGATGTAGCAGTCGCTCCGAGCCTTGGGTTAGCTGGGCCATCTACCACTTACGTGGCCATCATGATGGACTTCAGTGTCGAGGCCACCCCGGAGTCGAATACCACCCTATTGCACTGGATCCTCGCTGGTCTTTCCTCTCCTGACGGAACCACTACCTTGACATCTCACCAGGGCGTGATCGCAGCCTATTTTCCCCCGGGTCCTCCAGCTGGCCAGACGCATACCTACGGTGTCTTTCTCTACAACGAGCCTCGAAATTTCGCCGTTCCAGCGGATTATGTCCCTTTCTTCAACAACTTGACAGCTTCAGTCTACAACCGTGTCGGCTTCAATCTTACAAAGTTCGTGGCAGAGACAGGCTTGGGGGCCCCCGTCGCAGCTGATTGGTTTCTGGTGACGACACCAAACACAACAGCAACTTCGAGCGTGGCGACCACGTCAGCTTCAAACACTGCTATGTCGGCGACAGCGACGACAAGTGTGATTGCAACAAACTCTGGTCCAAGCGCTGCATCCTCTTTGCCGACAACTTCGAGCATTCCGACTACACAAAGCAGTTCAGGCGCAATGGTGATACAAATTCAATCAGTGCCGTTGGTTATCGTTGCGTTGGGTTTCATAGCGAGCTTGTTTTAGGTAGTGCTGCCAAAAGATGCATAATTATTCCATAGCTCAGGCATGTATATCAGTTGCTCCCTGCTCATAACTTCGCTAGACGAGGAGAAAGAATTTCCTGGATAAATTAGTTTACTGGATGAAATTATTAATCTGATGCCAAATAAGAACGAGAAGTCCTGGACTGGACGTATGCAGGATCCGCCTTGCCATTGGCACAGCCATTTCGTCTTCATTTCCACCACAAGTATTCTCATTAGCATTAGACTATTAGATACATCACCGAGAACACCAGCCCGGGTGTCCTTATGCGCCGTCTGCCAGATGACAATAAGGAGCACGGGTATTAGCACTGCAGCCTCGAGGGAACTTCGTCGATTTCGTCGACACCGGAGGAAATGCGGCCATATCTGGGGTCTTGATCTCTGACAGGGGCCAACCTCCGCGTCCGCAGACCCCTCTTCAGAAGGAGAGCAGCAGAGGAGCATACGTATGACTCCAAAAGATAAAACGAAACGAGAGTATTCATGAACGACCACGCACCCCACTGACCCAAGGTCATCGTCACAGCCACAACCTTAATCATAATTGTGGAGATTGCTGGATAAGCCGCAACAGGGGCTCGCTGCCACGATATACCCTCTGGCCACCCAGGTCCAAGCCTCAATCAGCACATACCGTATTAGGTTAGAGCACTATTATTGTAACCAGGTATGCGCATCTGTACAGCATTGGGAACTTTGGTCAACTCAAGAGATATAAACCTCAAGGAGTCGCAGCTCTGGATGATCCCTCTCATCAAAATTCAATGGGAAAAGCCCACTTTGTATGAAATCAGGCAAAGAAACCACACCCTACCGACCTCTGTGGAGCCAAAATCTTCACGATTTGTTCCCGGCGCGCAACAGCAACCGACTATGCTTAATATACTAGGTGAGGGGTTCTGCTCTGCCACTCCAGGTCGTGGTCGGCTGAGCGTTCGTACAGTTATCCATGGATATGTCCAGTCTGCGGCCACTGTTGCTGGCAATACCCTCCCATTGAAGGAGGCGTTGTCTGATGTTGCTACTCTTCACTACGTGGACGGCCCTCCCCTGCATGGCTCCTACAGCCGTCCCTGGTGGATCCTTGACGGGGATTTGGAACATGACCTGAGGGCAGGCAATAGGTGGGACGATGTCGTGAGTCTTCCGTCTAGACGCTCGTCGTGGGGTGGCATTTACAGCGCTGACGGGGGCATCCAGGTGAGATGGTGGTCGGCAGAACTGTCCAAGAACCAATACGACGGAATCATCGGCCTGTCCCAAGGCGCAGCAATGACGGCTTTGCTCGTTTCCATGGTGAGTCTGCGTCCTGTCAACTGCTCTGCGCTGGGAATGCCGCGTTGACGGGACTTGTGTCTCATAGCTCAATCATTCCGATAAGATTCCAGGCTTTACGGTCCAAAAACCCCAACCCATCAAATTCGCCGTCCTTTGTTCTGGTCCGTCGCATCTTTCCACTCCAAAATCTCCGTTGGGCTCATGTTTACTCCTCTTCGCAGGATTCGTCTCCAGCTACAAGCCTCACGGTGATTTATATAAATCTGTACCCGAAAACCTGCCGACACTGCATAGTGAGTCACTGTTGGCCTCTTGGGAAAGTTTCTTGTCGACGGGCTAACTAGAACCTTCCCATCCTCCAGCTGTTGACCGACTTGATACTGTCGTGCCGGCCCAAAAGACGGTGGATCTGCAGAAACTCTTCAAGAACTCGAAGCTGCTGGGCCACAATGAAGGTACAATCCTCTAGACGGATGATTTTTCTATTGTGCGGCACGACGTGCCTACTAACAGTTGGTGCGTTTGCAGGGCACTCCATTCCCGTCCATGGAGCATGGCCACGGACTATGAGAGAATTTATTGTTAAAAGTTGCTCGTCGACGACTTAAGCATGCTGGGGTAAAAGAATGGCGTCTAATTATCATTTTTGGTGCTGCATTGGGTTGAACATGCTGAGTTGCGTAGGTCTCCGATGACCGTCTTTACAGTCACAACGACCCGAAGCTGGAACATGTTCGAGACGGTTGGGAAGCACGAGGAACAATGTGAACATGGCAACTGGGCAATATACTTAGGATGATCACTAACGATCGGTTACAGCGCGCCGACGCTCCCGCATCGGTGTGCCTATTTGAGAATTTCCGTACCATAGAGACGATTTCCAGTGTCTGTTCCACCTCTGCCGGTAAACTTGTTTTGTGACAGTCGAAGTGTAATCAAGTCAATGCGTTGACGCGGTCTGGTCAAACACCATGTTTCAATCCTGGCTGGCGCTTCATCTTGCACAACTCCTGCAATCACAATGATTCGCACGGCCGGCTTCGAAACCGTCAGATGGCAGATAAAGTCAGCAATAGTCTGACCACTGTTCACCACGGAGTCCACGAGAATAACGGTTGACTTTACGTGCAGAAGTTCTGCCGTGATGTCATTAGGCGTTCTCGCGTGCAGGAATGAGGCGCTGGGTAGAATTTCACTGACTCCCAGCGCCATCGGCTCACCACCCCGCATCAAGGCCACGATCAGCGCTTTGTCCTGTTGTGCGATACGATTGCCATATACGTGATGGCCTTGGACGTGCCGAATCATGTACTCTTCAATTCCCAGCAAATCCGGCAAGGTGAACAGCGCCAAGTATCGACCGGTTTGCCAGTGCGCATTTCGCAATGATGGCCCGCTGTTCGCAGCGTCACGCATTGGAGTTGCCAATATATTCGCGACACGGCTGTTAGTGAAGTCAATTGTGTTTATCAGGGGAAAGGGTGATCCACGGAGGATATAATCGTCGAAATCGCGGCCATTCAGGTCCACAAGCGAGAGAACGCCGGTGTCCAGACGCGGAGGACTTCCTGGAGACAGGACCGCTTGGCTGGCTGCAAAGCGACCCCCGGCGATTGCTGCAGCGAGCTCCTTCTCCATGCGTTGACTCCGCGTCTTCTGATCCCCGACGACAACCACAGCACGGTCCGCCTGGGCGAACATGTCGAGATCCAGGACGCCGTCTCCGATCGCAACGACGTGGAGATGGTAGCGTCGTTGAAGATGAGCAACCAGGTTCGCCTTCACTCGACCAGTGATGACATGGGCGTCACTTATGGGACCCGATCCAATGACCTTGACGGCATCAATGAGACCGTATTGCTCTAGGACCTTTTCCCACACTCGACGCAGGCCGCATGTGACGACCAATGTTGCTATCTTTTCATCCTTCCGTAATCGCGCCAGCAACGCTGCCACATCAGGGTACAGCGATATCTGTCTTGCAACATTGGTACAGATTTCGTCGAACACGTTCTGAGCCACCAATTCTTCGTACAGTAAGGCTGCTTGAAGAAATGCGGCACTCGTGTAGCCAAGTGGCCCGCCAAAGATCTCTTTCAAGTAGTCCTGTTGTGTTTGAAATAGATGTCTGCGGTACACGTCTTCCCAGAACAAGTGGCCCGAATCTGCGGCAGCCAAAGTCTTGTCGGCGTCCAGGACTAACGCCGAGGCCAGGTCCTTTGTTGACAGACCGATGAAACTGTCCAGCTGCGATTCAGCTTCCCGCCTATGACTGTCCTGGCCTCTGTGGAAGAAAAGTTCGAGCAGAGCCTTGACCCCCGACACAGGTGAATCTTCCCTCACGGTGAAATAGATGATGCCGCTTCGGTAACAGCTCAATCTTAACTGCATCTCTTCCTCCCTTTGCCATTGTCGCAGTTCGTCGACCGTGAGCTCAGGTCGACGCTTGGCGGTATCGTGGAGACAACGATCCCGTATTGTCTCTGGCGGAGGGTTGAGGTAGACGATGTGAGTGAAGGTCTCGAGATCTTGCTGCGTCCACACGGAGGTCATGGATTTTTGTTCATCCGACCAAAGCATGAAATGTCCAGACACCACGGCGATCTTGCCATCGTTGAGGCAGTCAGCCAGAACGGTCCGTATTGCGAGTTCTCGTACGGACTTCTTGCGGTCGTCGTCGAGGCGTTGAAACCCCTCTAAACCACCATCGACCAGTCTCGATATCACCTCTGATCCTTCCACTAGGATGTAATCGGCGCCATAGGCATGCTTCAGCGCATTCAGCACAAATGTTTTCCCCGACCCTGAAACACCGTAAATGCCAACAACGGGAGGCCGGCCGATCTGGCAATTGTTGAAGTCGATGTTCTTTACTGATGACATTGCGAGAGGTGTTGTCATCGCACTGGACGAGCTCTTCGAAAGCTCCTCGAGGATACGGCGATGTCAGCACTGTCTCAAGTGAAAGCGCTCCTAAGGAGGTTGCTTCTGCCTCACGCTGCCTAGGGAGCAGGAAAGATGGAAAGTCAGAATAATTATTTCATGACTTGGAAGTCGTTTTATACATCGTGTCTGCCTATTAGATCTCGTGGTATTTCGAGGCAACCAGGATCTCGGAGGGACACGCTGTCGAGACAAAGCTGCTTCCAACAAAAGCATCCTTACCGTGGGAATGTGGGCCAGATGGTAGCTGGACACGCATTTTCGACACGAAATATTCAGAGCCAAGTGGAAATGCTCGAGTCATTCCTGAAATAGATAGAGCAATGATACAGGAGGGACCGTGCTGCCGCCTCCCAGTCGAAGAAGTCCTTGTGCGTCAAGCACTGCACTGCTAAGATGTTGGGCCACTACAACGGTTTCCGCACGCGACGATCATCGATCCGAGCCGAGATGCTTGGCTTCTGTTCGGCACAGTTGCCAGTGCCAGGCCTTCTCTGTAGAGATACGAGCGCTTGTTCTCTGCACTCCGTAACCCAACGCTCTGTCTGACCTGTCCTGCAATGGGACGGGCTCTCTCCAACGTCTGGCTGGAGGTAGAAAGAAAATTCGCTGCCCTCAAATGCTATCCTCTACGCGTTGACTCGGGAAATCCACCGTTCTTGAGTCTGACTGACCTCGGATCCCGGACATTCCACGACACGTATTTCGATCTCAATGACCAGCTTTGGATGAAAGGGACTTGGTTAAGGCAAAGAGACGGCAAATGGCAAATGAAGATCCGAAGAGGCGGCACATACTTGAATTCGCAGTCTGAAGAAGTCTCGGACTTGGATATCATATCTGCGCACATCAAATCATTGACTGGTCGGGAATACGGCCCATCTCAATTGTTTGGTTTAAGCCATCTTGCCAGTTTCAGCACATTTCGCCGTGCTTGGATCGCAGATTCGGCCTTCAAGATCGTACTCGACCAAACAGATTTTGGGCACACGGTTGGCGAGGTTGAGCTTGAGGCTCAAATGGATGTGCAAGGCGCAGATGAAATTCAGATGGCGACCAAGGCAATGGATAAGAGAATCGCCGCATTCTTACAGCACTACGTGTGGGCGTTTTCGTCCGAAGCTCCTGTCGGAAAGCTGTCTGCCTATTTTGCACATCAGTCTCTGCAGAGGGCCTCGATTTCTTCTTAGGTGTCGGCCTGTAAGCGTTAACGGAAGGGGAATGTGCTCCACCATTGAAAGAGGTGGTCCAGCAGCCATGACGAGAAAGATGTTTCAGCTTCCTTTGAGCACTCAGGACAATCTCCACCAGCAACCAGACAAATTACAATGAGTCCCCCAAATGGTGTCGGGGCATGTCGTGGGGTCTGTCGCCGGGCCGGCAAATACGCAAATTCCTCTCTATGCATGTTCTTGAGTGGCACATAGCTTTCAGCATGGACACGGAGCTATCATGGCTAGGTTTGCAGAAGCAACGTTGCAATGCGGTCTGTCCCGTCCACTGCCCACTCATCCGTCGCAGCCCAACATCGCGAGGAAATCTCTATGCAGTCTACAGTGTCAGGCATCCCGATCTCTCGACGAATGCTGGCCACCGGAAATCTTGTCAAGTTCTGCCACGAGACAACTTCACGTGGATAGGTGAACGCTCTGCAAAGCCAGCTGCGTGTTCGAACTGTTAGTAGGGCAGCCGACCAGACCACGTAAGCACCTCAGGACGATTGTGGACCACTGCGGTGCATTCTTCTCAACCTTTGACCATAATCCCGCAGTTCCTTCGTTGAGGAATACTATCGCCTCGCTGTGAGCAACCAGTGAAGAGTTGCGATCGAGTTCATCGACTCGAGCTGCAGAAGTTCCTCAGAGATGCATTCAACCAATACTGTGACAAATCTTGACAACTCATTCAGCGATGTGGCCATCCACCCTTCACCCTTTTCGACAAGGAGGTGCAGAGAGGTCTGTCCACGTCGCAAGCTGTGATTCGCGATGGTAGCTCACGCCCGCAGGAGCATTCATGAATTTGTCCACGTCATCAATATGGCTGAAATGGAACAAGTCGGCCTTGAGCCGCAGCTTTTCCCCTCCAAAAATGCATCGCGATGCCCCTCGCTTGATAGGGAAAGGATTTCAACCAGAAACACAACGAAGTAAGACGGCTACTTGCATGCATTACTGAGACTCTCTTATTCCGGAGACTGCGCTAAAATGCCGTTCGGCATTTTAGTGCCATTCCCCCACGGCTCATTGGCTGGGTCATGTCATCCTTTCAAAACCGGTGACAAAATATATAAAATGTCTTTCAAAGTGTTCATTGCTGACACACTCGCGTCGTCTTTCATGTATGTTCATCAAAAGACAGGAATTTTGCCTTGGCACCAAATCGACACTATGGCACCCGAATCCTCCAATGCTGTGGGACCTTCCATTTTTGACGACTCAGATGTCGAGAATTTATCCTTCACATGGGGAACAACGCCTATGCGTGACGAAGTCAGCTATTGGCTTGGTCAGAAATACTTCGAGTGTGTCATCTCGCAGCAAGTCCTCCAAGATTGCGGTCCCTGCGACACACCCTCTGAAGTGGATGTACGTTCCCTTTCAATGATATTCGCTTGTGGGTGCCTAATCAGTTGCCCAGTCTCGACTTTTCTGTCACATGCGAGATTTCCCATATGACGCGTGTCTCTCGTCGCTCGCTGAGTTTCATCCAATGCAGCGGTCGAATCGTTTCGAGGTGTCAGGAAGGGATTCCCGCGCACGAGTGCTGGTCCTGGTAGGTTGGATCATCCGCGAAGGGTCTGCCCGTGCGAAGCGTCAGATGTTGCAGACAGTGAGATCCTTTTATCAAGACCAAAAAGGCAGGTATAGGACGAGTTCGAGATCGGCAAGCAACAACCGTGAAGCTGAATCTCATACAACACCTAACGCCACAGCAAATCCTGGTCTCTACAGCGTCGCTGTGAATAATCACGGCATGAACATTGGGGTCAAACCGTTGTACAGTATGGAACAGATATCATCGGATCCCTGTCTCTGGAAGACGATCTTGTCATTCAAGGGCCGTACTTTTGAAGGTACGGCTGCAAGTTCTAAATTGGCCCAGCACGAAGCTGCGAGACAAGCGTGCAGGCTGTTGGAGCTGCAAGTGTGAGCAGACCAGGATCACACCCCTGACAACATGTTGACGATCGACAAGATAAATGAGAATGTCTCGAACAGACTGAGCCCGGGACTAGATCGAGCATGTGACTCGCGAGCGGCTGATAATGAGCTGTCGTTGGGTTGTTCCGGCATCCTGACGGGTGCAGAATATAGTGATGATAGTCTTTAAGGCTCGTGTCTCGCTTCATCTTGGTCCTAGCATGATTCTCCTCTGGTGAAATAACAAGAAATGGAGGCGAGAACGTCGCTCATTCAAGAATTTTACGGATGTCTAGTCTTGCTAAGGCTATTGACTCCGAACCGATCGAGGGCCATCTCGGACAGGTCTGTCGACCCAGCAGTCCCGAGGCGGAACGAATGGCACGTCTTCCTGGACAGTCTGGCTTGGTTGGCCGACCACAAAGGCGCCGGGGAAACAGTCACATCCATCGCTGTCGAACCCTCCCCAGCTCGACCAACATACTGGGTTGCCAGTAACTCGTACATCAAGCCAGAGGCGCTCCAACATGTGAATAGTGTGTTGTCTGCTCTGCAGCAGGAGACCTCTTTGGATAGGTCATCCTCGAGGGAGCTGATCCGAAAGATCGCACGCGATTCTATCGAATTTTCTGGTCTCCATGTTCGAGAATACTGTCGAAAGTTGAAGAGCACTATTGCTGCGATTGATGCGACGGAGCCCATTGTGTTACTCGGTAATGGCATCGGGCCGATCCGACTATTTTGTGGTCTTCTGCTGATCATGCTAATTGCACAGATGTGAGTGAACGACAGCATTTGGAATCGTTCCTAGATCTTTCGAAAGATCCAGATCGGTTGATCCATCTATCAATGGAGTTCAAACGATCTGGACTTCTGAAGAGGCTCTGTCAACTGATCCAGACTTCTGGAGAAAAAGCTTTGTGGATACAAGTGCGGCACCTGTTGGGTAGATTATGTTCCTGGGTTCGGGCAGCTCGTCATCTCGTCCTCACTTCCGACCGCTTCCGTGACCGCATCACAAACGCTCAAGTGAGACCAGTCGACATGTCTTCTCTCAGTTCGGCTTATTTTCAGCTACCTTGGCGTGAGCCTGTCGACATCCTGCGCGCGTTGATGCCGGAATTTAATGCTTCGACTTCAGGATGCATTGAATGCCCGTCAGGACGATAAGGTGGCCGGTCGAATTCTTAAGTGTCTTTCGGCGAACAAATTTGATGCAGATCTCCACGCAGAGGTTATTCTGCTACTTCACTTTCATGCCCGACGGCTCGACTTCATCGCGGGTGACCGCTATATCGGTTGCAGTAAGCCGTCTTGCTACTGCTGCGACCTGTATCTTCGAAAGCATCCCGCTGGGGTCCAGCCACGCCGAAGTCACGGTAATATATGGATTAGGTGGGCAACGCCACAACTTTACGCGGAGTTGATACCCGGCGAAGAAGAGGTCTTGCAAAATCTTGTGACAACTATCAAGGTGGATCTGCACTATCAGATCATGTCTGGGCCGACGCAGATGAGGCGACCACCAGACTCTACCACAGGATTGGGAAGTACGGAGCCTCGAACTGATCTCCACTGAGGGAAGGCATTAACAAGTGCAAACCCAGCTGGGAATTTATTTGCCATCAATCTATCTATATATGGATAGCATACGATGTGCCTAGGCCCATTCCGCGAACTGCTCCCAGTCGACATCTGTGTCAAGTTCGTACAGAGTGTCACCAACAGGGTAGTAAGTAGTTGGCAGGGCCGTGTCTGGCTGTGCTGTATTCGACTCCTGGGGAAGCAGTAAGCTGCCAACCAACGTTGATGAATGCATTGCCGACAAGTTCTCGAGCTCACGCTCAACAACCAATTTTCTTACAAGCCCAAACTTGTTGACCAAGCTTGTCAGCTGGGTCGTTCGTATATGGTTCATCACCGCATCGTGTACTTTGCCGGACTTTGGTAAAGTTTTGGTCCATCTGCTCACGTTAGTATTTCCTCGAAACGCCGAACCCGCTTACATTGACTCGGCAATGTCAAGACCCAAGAGCAAAGAGGATCCACGTCCTAGACTCTTCTCCAGATTGAGATAGCGGCCACCGCAGTTAGCCATATACTTGACATCTCGCTCGATTTCCTCGGGGCTCCGGTCCAGATTGTGCACTGTACGAACAGCGTCGGTACATTCGGGGGTCCACGTACACCCGAACCGTTGCTGAAATTCCACAAGCAATATGCAGGCACATCTCCTCATCATGCGTGACTAAGCGTCGACGTCTTGACCATGGAAGTAGTACCTAGCAATTTGGGCTCGTGCGCTGGGAAGTCTCACCGAGCCGGACAGAAGGGGTGTGTTCCAAAATCGATTTGGGTCGTCCATCCAGAGATCTCCATACTGGTTCAGAATTCTCTCAGTTTCGTGGTCGGGTCCTTGATAGGAGAACAGCTGCTTGAGCTGATTCTTGTCTTTCTCTCCTTTTTCTTTGATGCAAAGGGGAATCCTAGCCGCAAGTTCTTCACGCTCTTGTATGATCCCCCGGATTTCAATCAACACCGCCGTCAGTAACGAAGCGTCCTGGATCTGTCACCTCGAGCCTTATCAGAAGCATGTGCACGCACCTGGTCTAGATCATGCTGTAGGAAAGCGCGGATTTCGAAGGGCAGCTCTGAGCGCTGCTCCATTGGGGAAATGCCTAGGACAACAGCCGCGGAAGTGATATGGGTGACTCTGAGCTTGAGAGCGATATCCAGTATGACAGGTAGCACATGGGAGTTTACATTGGGAATTTTATACGTACGAGAACCTTGGCCCCTTGACGCAGCTAGCAGAATTTCTGCCTAAGCCGGTGTTTGTGAACACAAAACGGCCTCCTTACGGGGCAAGCGGGGGTGAATACGTGTCAATTTTTGATTCAGTCGCGACGATAAGGCGTTGATTGCCATGCACCCTGGTCAAGAGTACGATCCTATCAAATTGCCTTTTATGCGTCGGCAGAGACTTGGATTGATACGACACCTCGTTGCCAATAGCATCCGCAAAATTGAGACGACAAGGATCTTGCCGATGATGGAATCGACAGATAAGACAGCAATCAACCTCTGCCACGCTCTCGAAGGTTGGTGAGTCTCTAGGATTATACAACAGTGTTTTTGCGGCTTCATAAAAGCAATGTATTCCTTCTTCGCCGAGGGCATAGCCACCAACTCTCAAACCCAACTATGTTTCAGCAACACCCGCTCGACGCGAATGGAAAACTCCTCCGTCGCTTCTACGAACCATTGACTCTACTTCGGGTGATGGACCCAACTCGCGGAGCGCAGCGTCCTGATTTAACATCGGACCGTGGCCTGGATGAACAGTCAAAACTTTGGCGCAACTTTCTCGATCAACTTGCATTTGTATGCGACTCCGAAAAGCGCGGAGATACCGTGGCTGCAATCGCTGCACAACGGAGTTTTGAACATCCAATCTTTTCCCTTGCATCCAACTCAAAATCGAGATCTGAAGCAAGAGGTCACCTCTGTTGGGTTCTTGCTGCTCTAGGCCAAATCCATACGAACGAAAAGCCCCGTTTGCAAGTGGAAGACGAGATTCGAACTCGATGTATTGATTTCAGCCATCAAAGAATCCAAACGTATTCTAGATGGCTGATTCAAGCAATCCAAACTGCAACCAATATGATGGATGAAGTCTCGAACGCTGAAGGTTGACCTCCTTGCAAGGAACATCCAGATTGAATGCTGACTCCCCCTTGATACGATCTGCAGATGCGTTTATTTTAAAGGAGTTCCAGCAATTGGAGACGCTCATATCTACTCCTCACCGACAGTGTTCACATGCTCACACTCTTCGGAGATGCCGATTGATGGAAATTCTGAGCATACGACATGTTGCACATGCGCATCGCGGGGTCTGGTCTGACCTTCGTCATTATCTCGGACGGCTGGGGTCCTGGTCAAAGGCTGTGCAAATTTTGGTTCTCGGCGCGGTGACATTCCCCCAGCGGATCGAAAATGCCCAAGTCGAAATCATCGGAACCAACGGGCCAGCTGACTTGCCGAACAAGCTTCACTCGACTGATCTCGTCGGCGTCGTGAGACGCATGGTTCCCATAGACCAAATTGTGGTGTTCGAACAGCTAAATCAAGCACTTTCAGAAGCAAACGCGGTCGCCGAAGTCGAGGACAGGTTTCGGCAAGAGTACGCGCAAATTAAACCCCGTCCGCACGCAGAACTACTTATTCTCGAGCACTTCTATCGCAATGGACTCGACTTCGTCACGGATGACAGATACATCGGCTGCAGCAAGCCTTCCTGCTACTGCTGCCATATCTATATGCAATGCCACCCGGGGCGATTTGCTCCTCGGCCCTGTCACGGGAATCTGTGGATCAACTGGGCCCCTCCATATCCTCTCCCCATCCCTGACCCTCATGCTGTTACTACTAAAGGAACAGCTCGGCCGCAGAAGCACCATACCTTCAAGATGCTACAGGACATGCTTATCTACATCCGTCGAGACCTGCAGGAACAAATACTTTCTAGACGACCCGAGAGAGCAAGGCTACCGGATTCAACCACGGGAATGTCCAGCGTCGTGCTTGACCTGGACGCACTTCTAGGCTCGGCTCGAAACGCCAGTCAGCCACACAACGGCCACAATTCCAACAATCTAGATGATCATGGGGTATCAGTGCTAGTGTCGAGGGATTCTGAGAGACGGAGTGCAGGGAATCGCACGTCCCAGGAGGTCCCATCAACAAATGAGCCCGAGCAAAGCACCGAACAGGATCAAAAAGGGTTTCCTGAGGGGCAATATGAGCACTTTACAGATAGCGATGCTTCAGAAATCATAGTGTTCCGCGGAAGAAAGAAGGTTAATTCATCCTAGGTTGGCCCAGACATCTGATACAGGAGAGCTAGCGGCTTTGAATATACTTACGTCTTTTTTGTAATGGAGAAGTTTGTGGAGACTTTGTCAGACCAAAGACGTCAAAGGGCTTGTAGGGTTCAGGATCATATCTGGTATCGGTGGTGTTCATTTCAAGAGGAGGAAGGGTCAATCGTGCCCAGGACCGCCCAAAAAATGAACGCGCTGGAATGATGGGAGTAGGTCGTTCTTATGTCTCAGCTACAGGGGAGCTGAATCACATCCTCGCAGTTCGGGGGCCAGGACGTCCTCGGTTCTCCAGGACGATTTTCTCCCGTCTTGCTGGTCAGAGCCCCTCGATGTCCCAATTATATCACAGCAGTCTGGTTGTGAGAAACTTTGCCTCTGGGGGGAGGAATCAATAAACCACACAATGAAATCTGCAGCACAGAATGGCCTGGAAACAGCCGAAAGTGACGACGAGGACGGGTAAGGTGGATGGCTCAGTTAACCCCCAATTCAGGGGCATCCTCTCATGGATCCCAACTTTCATCAGGGCCGAAACGGGCGACCGTTTTTGTAGTCGGGGTTAAAGTTACCATGAGGCTGGATGTGCGCGGTGTTGGCGCCCGTAAGACTGAAGCCCAAACACGGAGCCTCCCTTGCAGGCGAGGGAGTACGACAGGAGGGAGCGAGAGCGACGAAGGAGCTGAAGGGAGTGCAGGGGGGGAGGACGTAAAGAGAGGAAAGGGGATTGGGAAGGGGAGTGAACGTGAGCGGACAGGGGAGTGATTCGACTAAATACTCGTTTAACGGGAGACGTTGGCGAACGAGTGCTGGCGGGTTCGTATAGGGCCCGAATACAAAACAACCTTTCAGCTCTCAGCTGCTGCAAATACTCGACAGCGTACGTAGTAAGCCTTTGGGATATGAAAAAAGTCCTAATTGCTTCCGTAATGTTCATAAATCTTAAACAATGTCCGAGCATCGAAAAGAAGCAGCGCTGAGTGACAGCGACAACACCACCACCACTACGCCTCTCCGTGGTGACGGAGACGGAGACGGAGACGGAGACGGAGACGAAGCGGCGACAGCTGAACAAGAAGTAGAAATACAAAGATTATCGTCCGCAGAACACCACCTCATATACCTGCCTCTCCTCGAAGGTTACATCTTCAGACTCATCGAACTACCGCCGGGCCAGCCTGACGACCCTATCTCCATCCGCGTGTGGATCGTCGAATTGGGACATCAGCCCGACTACGAAGCCGTCTCGTACGTCTGGGGCGACCCCACCAGCACGGTGTCGATATCGTGCAACGGACGACCACTAAATGTCACGACGAGCCTCCACTCCGTGTTCAAGCGCGTACGGTGCGCGGACCGGTCACGCACCCTGTGGGCCGACGCAGTGTGTATCAACCAGAAGAACAAAGCCGAGCGATCGCACCACGTTTCGTTCATGGGCGAGATATACAGGCGTGCGAAACGGGTTCTTGTTTGTTTCGGAGAGGACAGCAAGCGAAGAAGTGAAAATGATGATGGCGGTGATGGCGGTGGGGGTAGTGGTGGTGGTGGTGGTGGTGGTGATGATGATGCTGCTGGTGCTGCTGCTGGTGCTGCTGGTGCTGCGAAAGACGTGGCGGAACTCGTCGAGGAATTCACATCCAAATACTTCCCAGCCAACACACCAACCACCTTTCACGACACACTGCCCCAGGTCGATTCGAGAGATCCCATTCTCTTCGACACGCGATGGAAGGCCGTGGCAGCGCTCAGCAAGCACCAATGGTTCACGAGGGCGTGGGTGGTGCAGGAGGTCGGTATGGCGCGGGACCCGGTCTGCTTGTACGGCGATCGAGAATTCAAGTACCGCGACTTGATGCACATGGCCTCGTGGACAATGGTATGCGCGCCGCAGATCGAGACGAGGTACGGCACCTCGTTCGGAAGTGTGCACGCGGACTGGATCGATTGGTCGCCCGAGTGGAAGCGGACGTCGGCGTACCCAGACGAGGACTTTCTGGACTTGCTGTGTCAGTCGCGCTGGTTGTCGTGTGCCCTGAGGCAGGATCACATCTATGCTCTTCTGGGACACCCCCTGGCGGCTTTGGAGGATGCAAGTGGGAAGAAGAACCTCATCATCCAGCCCGATTACACCAAATCCGAAGAAGAGGTATTTCTCGACTTTGGCAAGACACTACTCCGACACTTTGGCCTCCGCGTACTCTCGGCAGTCGAGCACGACGGGGAAACGTGGAGGGGTAGTGCCGGCGGTGGCGGCGGTAGCTCTGTTGTTCCTTCATGGGTGCCACTGTTTCACGATGTCAGTTTGTTGACGAACAGCATCGGTGTCTTCGAGGGGTTCTACTTTGATGCGTCTGCGGGTGTGACGACGGGGACGGTTGAACCCTTGTTTGTGGACGAAACGGATCTCAAGCTGCGTGGTCGTCAGATCGATGTCGTGAAGAAGACGTTCAAGTTCTCAGACGCCGACATACAGGATCTGGAAATAGTCAACAAGGGAGAAGAAGACACAGTCAATCCGAACACTGGGCATGTCGCCCTCTTGGCCAGCATCATGCTCGAGGCTCTGTCAGGTGACCACACCGGGAGCGACAATCCGTACAAAAGCCTCAACGACAGAGTCACTGCACTCAGTCTCACGCTGTGTACCGGTCTGTCGACATATCAGTGCGCAGAAGACAGGCTGGACCAACACTGCGATGACTTTGCAGCGTATTATTCCCGTTGGAACGGGATGGCACCGTCGAGCTATGAAAATGAAAATACAATCCCACATCATGCAATCCCGGGTGATGCTTCACGGGGTGACTTCGAAAGGTACTTGAATGATATGAAACTGGGGTGTAATGGCCGGACCTTCATCATTACTGAAACCGGTCGATTCGGGCTTGGTCCCATCAGCGTAGAAGTAGGTGATGTCTGTTGTGTTCTGTACGGGTCGAGGGTGCCGTTTGTGCTTCGCGAATGGGGTGCGACGGGTCGGTATAAGTTAAAAGGAGAGGTTTACATTCACGGCACCATGAGAGGCGAGACGATGAAGATGTCCGGGGACGGGCTGGGAACTGAGACTGATTTTGTCATTTGCTGAATTGCGCGGATTGTATCCAATTGGTATCTCTCTGCCGAAAAGCGAGCTTAATACGAGCGAGTAAATGAAACATGACCATTTGTAGTCTGAAGGTGATCGTAGCCATTCCAACACCAGCCAGCCTACCCGTACGCCGAGGTTCGCCATGGTCCATTATAGAATCGTCAACGTAACACATAAACGGGGCTTCTTTCATCCGCACTGACAGCACCCGCTCTTGTTCGTCTTGAAATTCAAGCATCTATACCAGTGAGAACCAGTCAGTGGCTTTCCAGGGGAGCATGATAGTCATAAGCGTTTGAAGGCTAGAGAGGTCGAATCAAGAGGATCAATCGAAAAAACGTACCCTCCACCCGTCGCCTCCCATAGCATGCATCCATTGCGGGATTTATAGTTGCAGCTTTGTAAAAGAATATATGTCAGCACAAGGTGAACTTTTGGAGATCCGAATTGGACGCCCTCTCCGCCAGGGTACCTTACCAACCATCCGTATAGTCACCGTAGTTCAAACATCCTGTATCCAACCAAGTGTGAATGTTAGCATACCAATCGAGTAAGGAGTTTGTGCCGTATAATACCCATACCTCGAACCTCGAGGTAGGTATGTACGATACTTTCGCGGTCGGTGGCAGTGTGGATAGTTGTTGTACTATGCTAACCTTCTGCGTGATCTCCGTAGTTCATACACCCTGATGCGCCGTTGCCGAAAGTCATGCATCCTTCTGCTGGCTTCTCTTTGGTTTGGTGTCCCGCCCGGTTATGTTGTATCGTGGGACCTTCCCCCCGAGTGTCGGCTGGTTGTGTTTGGGCATGCGGCGAGGCATCGCCGTTTGAGGAGGGCTCTTGTTGTTGGAGTCTATCCTGACTGTGCGCTGAACTCGTGCGAGAGGACAAAGATGCTTCGTATGGCGGCGGAGGGTCCATGCGAGGAAAGCTACTGGTTGCGACTGGCTCGGGAGCGCGCGAGGAAGGAGAAGAGGAGGCTTGGGATCTGAGTTTGCCCATGATAAGGTTGTTGCCGAATGCTGGCAGAATACTCCGTATGTGCTCTTGTGAATGGGTACGGTGAGGAGTACTTTGGGGCGCAAAAGCACACTAGCTGTATGTGCAGTGGAAGTTCAAGGAACAGGATAACAGATTCGAATTATATGTGCAGACAGTCCTACCTTGGAAGTTTGGGCTCTTGTAGTTGTAGACGTAGTTTGCATGATTAGCATGAGACTCAAATGGCATCAGGTATAGCCAAAATCCGGGTACGGGGTGACGATTGGCTGCAATGCCGTCTGCCTGGGGGACGCCTTAACAGAGGAGAAGTTTTGGGCGGAGTGAAAGTCGCAGAGAGACAAGAGGAAGAGGAAGAGAACAAGTGGCTGTGGAGGGGGTTGTGGCTTGTGGCTGTTGAGGCTAGTGAGGTAGTGAGGCTGATGCTCTAGAGTTTCTGTGTACTATTCCGTTTACGGACTAGCCGCGGCCTGGCCAGAATCAGTCCATGGGCAAATGGGCGTGTGAAGAATTTACGGTGCCTGATGATGGTTTTCAGCTGAAGGGCCTTTTTGCGGTGGAGATGATGTCGTTGATGGACGAGAGTGGGAGGGGACTGACAAGAGGTACCTCGTATGTACTCGTACGAGTACGAGAACTCCAAGATCATCTCCCACATGGCAGGGGAGGGTCTACAAGGGGGGAGTTACATAAATAGTAAATGACGCAAAACAACAGCACTGTAGGTGGTTTGAGTTCTTACATGATACCGACGAGGACCAAGTCGAGTCTCTGCAGACGAGTGGTGTGTGTCTTTTTGAATCGACTGAGCAAACCGCCTCAGGTGATGGTTACAAAGCACCGCAGAGTTCTAAAGAAAGGAGGGATGTTATCGATAATGTAATTTCACGGCCACCATCTCATGATGGTTGACGGCCGTGCACAGATACACTGATACAGAGATTGTGCTCACTCTCGCTGCCCCAACACTAAGCGAGGCGCCCCTAAGGCTCCCCTAAAGTTCTCCTTAAGCTCGCTCTAGGGCCCATTAGGCTCCTCTTAACCGTCCCCTAGAGGCCTCACATCGGCCTCCTACTGGCCTGTTGTCGCCTGTCGCTTCCCGTTCGGGGGCTCGGCATTGCTGCCCCCCTGATGCCACTTAAAATGCCACCCACCCACAGACCCAGCCAGATCGTGCTCGGGGGCGCAGCTTGAGCGAGTTCTGTCTCTCTCTTCAAAAACAGACCATCACCACCACCAAACCGACACCGACTGTCGCCGTTCAATCTACCAGCAACGCCCAAAGTTTTCTTTCTCATCAGTCTCTCTCGTACACCCTTGACTCCGTCCTCATTGTCGCAGTAACAGCCTCGCGCTCGTTTGGGTTGTTACTTGCTTACTTGGCTCACTACCCCTCTCACTCACTCACTTGACGCGCTTATTCCCCTTCAATTCAGCACAACAGACCGCTTCCTATCGCAAAGATGGGCTTGGACGACAATCACTACCGCTCAGTCTCGGATGAGGACGAGACTTTCCCTCTCGCACCACCTGAAAAAGAGCCACCCAAATCAGGTTGGGGAAAACAGTCAATTCTGCTCTCCATCGCCACCGCGACTCTCTTCGTTGCTGTCATCGCAGCTGTCCTCTCTACCGTCGGATCCGCCGTCGTAACATACAAATCCAACTCTTCAGATGCCGTCGCGACCGCCACACAGAGTGCAGCTGCCTCAACTGCAACCTCGGCCATCCTCGATGGTGTCTCCGAGGCCACCGAGTCCAAGGACGAGGAGGTCGAGATCCAGGGATGTGGAAGTAATCCAACAGAAGCCCGCGCAAATGGGTGTGTTTTCGACGTCATGATGCAGCTTTGGACTCCCGCGGCCTGCTACGACCGTACCCTTTCGGATCGATTCCTCGAGGAAGGCAACTGGACCTGGTATGCAGACACATCAGCCACCAAGGTCTGGACCCTCGACGAGATGAGAAAAGGCGAACATGATGCCGTCTATGTGGCTCAAGAATATCACATCACCCATTGCATTTATGCTTGGGAGATGTTGGTTCGTGCCTTGAGAAACCAGGCCCCCATCATCACAGAATTGATCTCGTACGACCACGTCATTCACTGCCGCCACAAGACTCTTCAGAGAGCTGATGGTGGTTCATCCATCCGCGGTGTCCGTGCCCCAACGGGATATACCAGTTGTGCTCCTTATAATACCTGGAAGCACCACCTCCCGGCCAACCAGCATTCTTCGACGGACTAGAAGATCTTTTGATGAACTTTCCTTGATATTCTCTCCTTCCTCCGACTACGCAAACCATGTCGCATTATCGATGGTTCCCCTCGAGTCGTGCGTCAGAATAACTTGACACCTTGTCCAACACACCACCCTGCTATCCCAGCTTCGAGGGACGGAGAGGAGCGGAGATGTGAAAGAGGCAGTAGGAAGCAAAAACACCAACTTGAGGAGAAATCATTTGTTAAAAGTCCAGGCGAGATGGTGGGCAGTCTGGGAGAAGGCAATCAGAAGGCAATCAGACGTGATGAATATTCTCAAGCCTCTATTTTTTTATATATTCCCTCTCTCTTTGTCTCTTTTTTTAAGGTATATATCGTTTCTTACAACACCACAGCGCGTCGTTATGTATGATCTCGGGGGAGGGGGTCTTTTCTTGTCTATCTCAAGAGGAGTGTTTTTTTGTGCAGGATGGGGGAAAATGGGAATATTCGAGACGGAGTTGCCACCGTGTTTACTGCTGCAGACTCTCAAATACCTTAGATACTAACCAAGCAAGTATAATTAACATACCTTTCCTTGTCTGACTTACTCGGGAGTTTTCCATGTTTGTATCGAGGAATTGACAGAGCACGGAGTACAAGAGTGCTGTGTTACCTCTAGGCAGTATTCTCGGTGCGATGCTTACCCAGGTACAGTAGGTAGGTAGGTATCTACGTGTAGGAAATGCCTTTTCACTTCCCTTGAACGCGGCGGCGACAACAACAACAACAACAACAACTGTACAAACACTTTATCCTGTACCTATCCAGGGTCAGGTCCGGTCAGGTCAGGTCAGGTCAGGTATGTAGCACGGACAATTGAATGAACGCACGAATGAATGCATGCTACGCTAAATCCAAAATCCAACTGCTACTGCTACCACCACTGGCACCACCTCCGTCAGCCTGTCCTACGTCTGTAGTCCCAGTCGCCTTCATCATGGCTTCGACGGGCTTCGCACCCATCCACAAAGTCTCACTCCTGTCCAAACCTTCCTGGACATCCCAACATTCGGTACCGACGCCGTAAATGATGCGGCCGTGCAGGTACCTCTCCCTCACACCACGCTCGAATCCCTTTTCGTACCAGATGCCACCTCCGGTCGTGATGCCGGTGTCCGTCCCGTCCGTCGTGATGGCGGCGTTCGCGCTGCTCGTCGCCACGACCCCGGCAACCACGCGCGCCACGTCCTCCGGTCGGTCGGGCGGAAGTTGCACGCTCATTCTTCCCCCGCTCTGTGCCAGCGCCCGCGGAACCATGATATTGGTAACGACCGCGTTGATCCTCACCCCGTCGCGTTCGGGATCCGGGTCGACGGCGCTGCGGAGACTCCTGACCAGGCCCAAGATCCCGTGCTGCGCGATCTGGTAGATGGGTAGCCCAGAGGTTTCTTTGAACGCCGCGACGCTCGTGACAAAGGTCAGGCTCCGGTCGTTCTTGGCTGCTTGTCCTCCTCCTCCTCCTTCTCCCCCCGCACTGTCGTCGGGTCGTGGACTCGCGTACGGATTGACAGGCTTGGACTTGGGCTTCGCTTTGGGCGAGTATTTCAGGTACGCCATGGCGATCCTCGCAAACCTCGTGGCCGCCGTTAACGTCTCGCCCAGCCCGTAGGGTTCGCGCTCAATCTCCGACACGGCCATGCGGAAAGTCTTGTTCACACCTGGCCGGTCATGGTCGAACCAGCCGCGCTCGGCCTCGGCGACCGACCGTGCCTGCCCGCCGTCATCGCCTACGCCGAAGATGGCATGATCGACCCGTCCGTACATGGTCGTTGCGAGCTTGAAGAGCTCCAAAATGTCCGAGTACCGCGTCATGTCGCATTTGTTGAAATGCACCACGTGAGGAGGGGGGAGAGACGAGATAAGCTTGCGGGCTTGGTCGGACGACTTGTCGCCAAAGATGACGCGCGAGCCAGCGGCGTGAAACTGGCGGATCAGAGCTTGGCCAGTCTGAGACGCACCGTTGGTCAAGACGATAACTTTGCCATAGAAGGATTCGTCCGGTAGAAGAGGGGGAGTGAAGCGGCATGGATTGCTGGACGCGGTGACGGCGGTAGACGACGATAGAGACTTCTTGGGTCGGTGGGTGGCGGTAAAGGGGTGAGCCGCAGGTGTCGGGAGAGTCTGTTTGGGCGAGATAGGCCCATGTTGTGCCACGGAGGTTGGCGTTGATGTTTGCGACGGCGGCACCGAAACAGGTTTTGGCGACGTTGGGGTTGCGGGTGTCGATTGAATGGAAGGTACAGCATTGACTGTTATCGACTTTGGCGTTTCTGGAGGCGGACCTTGAGAGACCTTCTTTTTCTTCTTCGGCGCTGGGGTCGAGGCGGCTGCTTCGGTCTTGGGCAGTTCTGGAGCCGCTGGCAGCAGCGGCGGTGGTGGTGGTTCTTTCTTCATGGGGTTCAGGTCGACCTCGAGCTCAAAAGTGTGAGGTGTCTTCGTAATGGTTTTCCTCCGGCGGGTTGGCTTGTCAGTGCCGTTTTCTGCGCCGTTCACTTCAAGTGTCGCCGGCGTTGTCGACCGCGGCGGTGGCGGTGATGCAGATTTTTCCTGAGCTGTAGGTCTGATGGGAGACCCGGTGTCGGGGGTCTTGAATGATTTGGACGTCTGTCGTGAGATGGACTCACCATTCGCCGCCGACGAAGACTCGCTTGCCCATGGGTTGGAGGGCGCTTCACTTGTGGTGTCAAAGTCGCTGTTGGAGTCCGATCTCGTGGACTTTTTCCGCAGCGTTTCCTTCATGGTTGACAGGCCACGAATGGCAGCGCCTGGGTCATAGTAATCCGGTAGTAGTCCTCACTTCGACGGTGGGTGTGTATCTCAAAAGAAAGAGCTTGGATGGAGTCCGGACGACGACGACGAGTAAGTTGCTTCGGTGCCGGGTAATTTGAGCGGGAGATTCCAGGCAGCGCGATGACCAAAGTGGCGTAAACCCAAAAGGGGGCGGGGGACGGGACAGACACAGAGACAGGGACAGGGACAGGGATTGGGACTGGAAAGGGATCAAGCAGAAGATCACCAGCTGCAGAGAGAGAATTTATTAGACGGATCAAGCTGGCCTGGAAAAAGGCAGTGTGCGATAAACACGTTAGTAACGATACTGCAAAATAGAACCCGGGGGGGTTGTTTGGTCATTGATGAGAAGTTGCTGAGATGATGCAGACTCGACGAGTCAATTTGCATCTGATACACAGGGAGATTCAGAGACCCCGAGTATGAGTGAGTAAGTACTCGTACTACGAGTCCATCGGGCCTATACATAGTACATGAGGGACGCACCTAATGTACGGACGACACAGTGATTGTGCTGTGTGCACCGCACAAAACACCCGAGCATAAAACAAACACCCATCACAGGCGGGCGAGCCACCCTCTCCCCTTGTCCCCTTGTCCCATTGTTGCCTCTGCGCAGAATGCAAATCATCTTCACGCAGTGTTATATATATTATACACACCCACCTCGTCCATGGAATGGCGATAAGAAAAGAGTCAAATGGCACCCCGATACGCGATGCTTTCCATTTGCTGACCGATCACCATTTGACAGAGTTTTGCTGGATTGCGTCGATATCCGATATGCTTCTCACTGCCTACAATTATCTGCATCTGTATCTGTCCTGGTTACTACTCTGAGTAGGTATCGTGCTGATCATTACTTGTCTATTGGTGATTACCGGGATTTCCTGGGTGAGATGCTGCTCCATTGAGTGACTCAGTCAACAACACACTCTTTTTGATATATATATATACACACATACACTTTCACGCATACAATCAAGAACACCTACCGCCACGGCATATACGCTCATTCATTATCCGTTCTCTCCTTTCCAGCACGAGCGAGACCAGCCACCATGCTGCCCGACGAACATTCCTTGTCCTTTCGACCGACCTACACCCGCGACCAACTCGCGCTGTACGTCTCTTGCATCGCGCCCGATCCAAGCTATACCCTGTCGACGCTCGAGGCCGAGATCAAGGCAGACCCACTGGCCGCCCTGTCGACTCTTCAACTCCGGCAGATGGCGTTCAATCCCTGGGGAAACGTGGCGTTGCACTACTCGTGGCACCGCACCATCACGCTCGACCCAGAAGCCCTGTTCCACAAGATTGTCGAGCGCAAACTCGGCGGTTACTGCATGGAGAACAATGCCTTCTTTTCCACCATCCTCCGATCGCTGGGGTATCAGCAGTACGTCACGGGCGCCAGGATAAGCCACGCGCTCACAGGAAATGCCGACCCCCGTGGCTTTGCAGGATGGTATGTTGATTGTTGTTGTAACTTATCCTGCGACCACGATGGCCAGTTTTGACAAATAGTGAACTTCAACAGGCAACATGAAGTCATCCTCGTTACGATCAACGGACAGAAATACCTGGTGAGGTCTCACTGCCTGACGAGTAGTTTTTGCTCGCTAGTTTCGTTTTCAACTGACTGGTGTTTTTTTCTTTGCCCGTGACGAACAGGCCGACGTGGGTTTCGGTTCCCAACCACTTATCGATGCGATCCCACTGATCAAACCCACGAGGGAAGACTGCTCGGATGCGCCCATCTACCCGTCGGTTCCCGGGGCCGAGTGCCGCCTCGTGTACCGGCCCATAGCGCCCAACACGGACCAGTCGCAGAGGCTGTGGGTGTTCGAGACGCGCAACAAGTCGAAACCCGAATGGGCCGCGGGCTACTGCTTCAGCGAACTCGAGTGGCTCCCGGGGGACTTTGAGATCATCAACTACCGCACCTCGATGGACCCGACGAGCTGGTTCACGCACCGCATCGTGCTGGCCAAGATCCTCGTCGACGAGAAACGGGAGAAACCCACCGGCACCATCACGATGAGCGGCGAGAAGATCGAGCGGAGACTGGCCGTCGAGTACGGCGGCAAAGGGAGCAAAGAGGTCGTCGTGGACGCGAAGACGGAAAAGGACCGCGTCATGGGCCTCAGGACGTGGTTCGGCATCGTCTTGCATCCGGACGAGGAGCGAGGGATTAAAGGCATGGCGAGTGAGATCGCCGAGCCTTTCAACGTTTGAGTGATTACCCCTACCCTGACTTACCTACCTCCCTACCTCCCCATCGCAGGTACTTACCCCCATGCGTACGCACCTTCTTGATGGTAGCAGTATCCAGGTGTAATAGGCAAGGTATATCAATCGCCGCAGGGCCAGGGGCAGGGGCAGGGGCAGGGACGGGAACGAGTGATGAGTTGAGACATGCTATGTTCGCCCTCACCCCCGAGTGATGGTTGTCGATTTCTGATATATCTCGAGGGGTACCATAGGTTAAAGCCTACCTATATGAGGTAATTGTGACTTGGGTAGGTACTGAAGACAAGAAAACATAGAACTACTAGACAAGACTAGCACCGCCAAAGCTTTATTGTACTTCTGTCTTACCATCAAACTTGGACTTCCTTGGTATTCTGCCTGGAGTGTGAGAATTCTTCTTTTCCCTGGTGCTCTTCGCCGGCTATTCACCTTCACCGGGGGCCCTGGATTGCCAATCGATGACCGAGCGTTCAACAGCACGCATGATCACAATATCCACTCTTCACACCGACGCCATCATCGTCAATGGAAGTCTGGCAACAGCATGCCTAGAACAGAACTCGAGTCAGCTCCTGTAAGTAACTAACTGATGACAATCCTTGGATCGGTAAAACGAGACAAGAACAAAACAAGACAGGCAGAAGAACATGACCCTAGGCGATACTTTGAAGAAATGGAGATGACGATGATGATGCAGACCCTGAAACCGAGAGCATAGCAGTAGTGTGGTGTGGCGTGTGAACTCACTCTGATGATGAATGGAGGAAAGACACTGATTCCCAAACAACAATCCTCGTCGCTGTAGCAGCACCTATCATGGTCTTGGTACGAGATGCAACATCTGTTGATGGGATCGTCGGTTTTTTTGCAGCCGCATTCCTCCTTGACTGGTATTGACGCTGAGACAAGCCCGTGAGCGTTTGTGAGATTGATGAGATCAGCCGTTGCCGCCGAGAAGGTGAGGGTGACGTTGGTGCCCGATACTGTCAGCGGTAGCGGCGGTGGCTGAGGATGCGCAGGAATTGGGGTTGGATACAGGACGAGGACGAGAGCGGTGAGGATGACGAGCCGGACGGTGAGAGTTGGGAACATTGCCATGATTGACATCGTGAGTCGTAAAGCAGTGGAGGAGTAGCAACCACAAGGTACACACTGGGAAAAGGAGAGGATAGAGGAGATTCAAGTTTGCTAGAACAAAGAGAAGAGAAGGGCGAGGAACGTATGCAGTTGATCTTGTCACTTGGAAGCGACTTGCTCTTCACTGTCCACCCGCGTGCCTGTTGTCCAGTGAATGAACGTCTTGTCCATATAGATGACCACTGTTTGGAATATTGGGAACGTCATTCACCACCGTAATTTCCTCTTGATAACGTTGTCAAGTGTGTACCATAAACTCTTTCTTTCCAAAGTCGTAGCACTACATTCCTTCGGTAACGACACAGTGCGGCTTCAGGCCTGGCTGCAACGGACGTCGGGGTGCGTATCAGGCCCTGCGGGTGGAACATGAGGAGTATGAAGAATAGAAACGTGATATGATGCATAATTGACGTGCTTCTGGCTTCGTTATCGTAGGTGCTCTTTCATAGATGACCGCGGCTTGCTGTCGCTTCCTCCCAAGTAGGGGTGTCATAGTACCGGCGGTTCGTGCAAAAGTTGTTCTGGTGTAGGAAGCAGTAACAATGAATATGTAAGATCACGATAGGGATAACAAAAGGGCCAGGACATGTTCTCAACAAAGACGATCATGTCTTCCTGGAGAAACTGAGACATCTCAAAGAGGAAACCTCGTCCTACTGATGATACATGAATTGTCCTATTCAGGATGTACTTACATAGTGGTGACTCGACCTCGACGAGGCTGGTCTCCTGAACTCATACCCTGAGAGGAACAATTGCATGAGAATACACCACCCTCTGTCTGACCCGAGGCATTAAACTGCTACCTGTTGTCAAGTCTCATGGTTTTCAACGCCGAAATGAACTTGTGACTCTTGACAAAAGTCCTGACCGACTCCCTTGGTGGACCACAACGTCTGCACATCACTTGGGACGCCGATAGCATCTGCCATCTTTGCACTGGGTGGATCGAGGAACGGGGGAAAGCCACAGCCAAACAGCCCGAGCAGTGTCCATAAACATGTCAACACCAACATCACGAAGACCCTTGACCTCTCTTACCCGAATACGTGACTCTTCTGGAGACGAATTCGTCCGAGATTGCGGAACGAGGTTTTTCACATCGCTATGTAAAGGGTGTGCCAATCGGCTAGACAGGTGACCATGTTGGGAGCCCTCCCATAAATTTAGGCTGTGGCTATTTTCGGACCAAAGAATCACAAGTATGTCGGAAAAGGAGGTTGGGCGACGGTGGCACTCACCGTACTTTGTGTCGACGAGACCGACGAGATCACCCAATCCTGTGGCTATTCTCCCCCTGAATCTAGTAAAACCTCTGCCGCTCAAAGACTTGTGTATGCTGGCCCCATAAAGTCCTTTCTGGCAGTCTGTCTTGTGGCTGTTTGCCGTGACGGCCGTTTTGATGATCTTGGCAGCAGGTCATGTGAGATAAGAGTGGACGAGAACACAGCGTTGAGCAACAGGGCAATGATGGTCTCTGACAGAGGGCTGCGAGGTCGTGTCTGAAAGGGGGAGAGAGCCATACTTCCGCATCAGGATCTCGAATCGGGAATGAGATCCTCGCGCTAGCTCTCTCGTATTGGAGTGCTCTTTGGTCATCGACGTTGGTCTTCTTGTCTAGATGCTAAGATGTGATTCCTTCGGCACTTTGGCGGGTTCTGTTTTGCTATCGGTTCGGTTCTTGGGTATCCTCTCTGGGGAAGCTTTGAAGGCTTGATCTGGAGCGCCACTGGCCTTCTCCTTCGCTCGCGTTCGTATTATCGATAACCTTAGGGTGACTCCATTGTCCAAAACGGCTGCGACGGCAATGTTCAAGTATCATGCTGCTACTTTTAGCATTGTTCAAATACGAGTACGACATGGCCAAGGCATCTTTGCGTTAGGCGAGGTAACGTGACAATCCTATGTGCCATGATGTAAGGTCACGACCTTGTACATTAGCGAGAGTTGGTGGGATGTCGTGGTCTTCCCCGGATATTCTGATGCCATGAATCACGTAGTACGAGTATGACGGTGCCAGAAAGACGCCACTGGTACGGGGTGCACTATGCACAGAATACGAGTACGAGAGCCGAGGACCGAGTATCCGTCCATTGCGGAAATTTTCCAAGCAGTCTGTTGTTATTTCGGGACCTGGGAAGCCTATCCCAGTGTGCAACAGGTGACTAGCCTCACCGGGAAAGGTTCTCGAAGGTCACTGAAGAGATCAAAAGCCTTCGCTGCCGAATCCCGTGTCCCAAGGAAATGCCACGGCGCTGGTATGCCTGTATTGTCTGTAGAGGTGCTGATCAGCGGAGATGGTCGATCGTGATGAGTTCATTCTGGGGCGTCTGAGATGGGTTGGACGAGACCATCGTTCTCAATAATGGCAACGCTCCACAGAATACAGATCACAATGTGGTCAAGGGCGCAGTGCCGCTCTGTCACAGGATGCCTCGAAGGGTGAAGGGATTGCCCGTTCAGTAGTGCCGCGGGAACCCTGGGTACGGGGTTTGTACTCCATCTTAGTACACCGAAAAGGATGTGATCCTCGGTTTCATCTCCAGCCTCCCGAAGGATCTGATTAGCCAAGACAAGGCTCACTTGCTTCAGGCAGTGTCGCCTTGCTCAATGCCGACGGGCAACATACAGCTTGTTGGCAAATGCCGAGTGTTTTGAAAAAGTTGAACAAAGTTGAACACTGTTGTCATCAGCAGTTCCCTGAGGACGTGGCCCACCCCGCATGGTAGCTGCATGAGAGAATAATGCTAGGTACTTCTTGAGGAGTTGGTGTGTGTACGAACAGGGGGGGAGAGAGTTCATGTGCTTCGGTGGCGAAGACGTTGAAGAGACCAAGCTTTCTCGCCGAAGACGCCTCGACTCTTTTGGCAGCAGAAGGGCAAGGATGACTGCGATCGCGCATGATGGTGACCAGCCGGGGAGGGATAAGCTGCCACACGAAGTGCTTCAGAAAACTGCCGTGGAGCGAATGGTAGCACAGCCCGGGAGCGGAAAAAGGGAGGATTGTGAAACTCACACAGAGGTAAATATGGCCTTACCTAACTCGAAATGCCAGAGAGGACTCGCAGTCTGTCAGTGGACGAGAAATCGAGCACTGCCCCGTACGAGGAGCTCGAAGCATTGTCGCTAGAGTGGCATGCGCCCTCTGCTTCCCGAGGGTCAAAGCTAGAATCTCACCTCTCACGAGCCACAACCCTCGCTCCCTGCTCGCAAACCGCAGGAGGGGGGGCTCGCACATTCTCGTAGCGTGCAAGGCAGATCCCCGTCAGGATTTAGAGGTGTCTCCGTTTTTGTTTGCAAAAAGCGGACGCGGTGGTGATAGTCCTTTCCCGGTCATCTGCGCCTCGGGTTGACGGTTCACTGGTACTGTACGGGCTAAGATGCGAGGCATGCATCATCGGCCTGTCTGCCACCTCTGGGGTCGTTCTCGGCGTCGTATGGAACTGGTAGAGGAACAGGTGGTGGAAATATGGCAGCGTAGTGGACTGTGGGATCAGCATTACTTCGCAGCCGGAAAACGGCACCACAACCCCAAATGCTTCCAGAAATAGCGGCCTCCAGGTTGCAGCAAAGTTTATTAGGGCTGCGAGGACAGTGATTAGCGTGTCCAAGTCCCCTACAGGCCTCACTAGGCCGCCCAGACACTGCCAATGGCGCCCGCTGGACCCTCCCGATCATGCCCAGAGGGAAAAGCGTAGGCGTCCTCGGGCGTCCTCCAATCACCAAATCTCCCTCACCCTCCATTTCCCACCCCTGCACTTCTCCCTCCTCACTCCACCACCGTCCTGATCGCGCGCAGTTGGTGTTGTATATGAACTTGAGGACGTCTTGAACCCTGGTTACTTCTGTCTTTTAGATTCACTCTCTCGTGACTGTCAGACGTCGCAAAGTTTACATCCGCCCCTTCACTTACCACCTGTCGCCGGTCAATTGAATCGCGAGCATCTCATCTGTCCTCGACAAACACCTGCGCCCTCCATAACAACACCTGTCTTGCTCGCCCATCCTGTCGTCCACGCGCCCTCTCTATAACGAATCGCAAAACTCCGCAATGGACTCTCCACGAGGATCAAACTTGGACACTGGCAAGTCGCCAACTCCACCCGTAGGCTTTCGCCCACAAAACGGTGGAATCATCAAGGTGCAGCCACCGCGTCGAGAGGATCTTCAACCCTCGTATGCGCAGACTCTTCAGGGCGACAATGATACAGAAACCCATGGCTGGTATGGATCTATGAGTATGTTGGCCCTGCGCCTCCGCTGCACCACATCCACTAACGCTGTGCAGTCAACTCCTTGGGAAGCTGCATTGGTTTCATGGGCGCCATTCCCTGCTGCGTTATCTGCCCCAACCCCTACAAGCCTGTGTCGCAAGGTAACGTGGGTCTGGTCACCAAGTTCGGTCGCTTTTCTCGAGCGGTTGACCCTGGGTTGGTCAAGATCAATCCGTTGTCTGAACGACTCATCCAAGTCGATGTCAAGATCCAGATTGTAGAGGTGCCACGTCAGGTGTGCATGACCAAGGACAACGTTACACTCAACTTGACGTCGGTCATCTATTATCACATTACGTCTCCTCACAAGGCAGCTTTTGGTATCTCCAACATCCGTCAAGCCTTGGTGGAGCGAACTCAAACAACCCTGCGACATGTCGTGGGTGCGCGTGTCCTGCAAGATGTCATTGAGCGTCGTGAGGAGCTTGCCCAGTCGATCGGCGAAATCATCGAGGATGTCGCTTCCGGATGGGGTGTCCAGGTCGAGTCTATGCTGATCAAGGATATCATCTTCAGCAACGACCTCCAGGACTCGCTCTCCATGGCCGCCCAGTCCAAGAGAATCGGTGAATCCAAGGTTATTGCAGCCCGTGCTGAAGTCGAATCCGCCAAACTCATGAGACAAGCGGCCGATATCTTGAGCTCTGCTCCTGCCATGCAAATCAGATACCTCGAGGCAATGCAAGCCATGGCCAAGACTGCTAACAGCAAGGTCATCTTCTTACCAGCCAACAATCAAACCATTGGGCCAGAGGCTATGAACGCGGCATTGCAACAACCAAGCTCAGGAGAGGCCAGTGGCTATAACTCGAGACACCACACCGGCAACAACCCTTTCAGCGGCGAGACCAACGATGGCTTTCAGCAAGCGATGAATGCCCGAGTCATTGAGAACATCTAGGCTGGACGGCGACGGTAAGGCCGAAAAGGCCGGAGATTGACGACCAATCCTCAGCTTTCTGCCGCAGGGATCTGGATCTTGTGTCAAGAGATCCTTCAAAATGGACCTCGAGGGTTCGGCGCATATGAGTTTTCTTTATTGAGATACCCCTTCAATGAGTATCATGGCACTCGCTTGACGATTGTACAATTACGAACTTGGCAACCTGCTGTTTCTGATATATTTAGTTGATCTGTGTCGGTTTTAATGAATGCATTGAGTTACTCTTGTTCATTTTGTTTCTCAGCATCGCGCTCATTGTAGTCCTGATGCCACATGTACGCCGTTAAGGACAAGACATGGAAAGCTGTACAGGTCCAGGGAACATCAAATCAATCGAGTCCGACCCGGGTCTTTAGGATCATCACCAAGAACACGGTAGATGAAATACAGAACATTGATTCCGAGCAGGACGAGGGCTAGGACTGGCGCAAACGGTGTATACTAACTACCATTGGAAAGTTTAAAACAGTAAATCAGTAGCAACTCCTACGGTCGGCGATATGGCACCGGCGATAGACGTTCGTATTCTCTCTAGCTAACTAGGGGCTCTACGGTAAACTCCGGTCGGCCGCACCGCAGCCAAGATGCGGCCCTGATATCCAATTCTCGTCCCAGCCAGAAACTCTGGTTGGTGTGTACGATCGACACAGAATGTTGCATGGCGTCCGCATTGCCGCCCGACTGAGCCATAATTTCATTCTGCCCAGGACACAGCAGGGCCTGATTCGTGGGTGGGATTGTGTCTGTTCTGTTGGTACGGTCCAGCCAAGTATCCGTTTGTCGTGCATTGTCACCAGACAGTGGGCTGGTCGGCCTTGTGCTATGGAGTTTAGGTATACTGGACCGTGTTAAGGTAAGCAAGTTACATCATCCATCGGGGAAGGGAAATGATATAAGGAGACAACTTGCCCGGTGGGAAAACAAGCAAAACAACATCTTCATCCAAAAGACGACTCGACAATACCAGAATATCCGATTCGAAACTCGTGCTGTTTGCTCCTGAATCCTCATCATGAAAGACTTCACCCGAGAAACCACCGGCGTCGAGGTCGTCCAGGAGTTGCGCGACCGAGTCGATGGGAAAACCAGTGAGTAATAGTCCTATGCCTCGTTCGACAAACAACACATCACTGACCGTACCTCAACGCAGTTGTCATTACCGGAGCCAGTGAACGAGGACTTGGTGGCGAGACGGCAATCGCTTTCGCTCATGCAAACCCTGCGCATCTGATTCTCCTTGCTCGCTCGCAAACACGAGTCGATTCAGTCATTGCCCGGATCAAGGAGCTGAACCCAGCCATCAAGGTCACATTCGTGCCTGTCTCGTTGGACGACTTTGATTCCGTGCGTGCCGCAGCCGCCACCATCAACTCTTCTATCGATAGGCTCGACTATTTGATCAACAATGCCGGTGTCATGGCACTTAACGAATACCAGACGAACAAGAATGGCATAGAGATGCAGTTCGCCACGAATCACTTGGGCCACTTTTTGTTCACCAAACTGCTCATGCCCAAGATCCTCGCCGCAGGGCCAGGTTCGCGTATCGTCAACTTGACAAGTCTCGGCCACAAGATTGGACCGGTCCGCTTCGACGACTACAACTTTTCCAACGGCAAAGAGTACGATCCATGGTCAGGGTACGGCCAGTCAAAGACAGCCAACGTTCTCTTTTCTCTGGGGTTGACACAAAAACTGAAGTCTCGAGGTATCCAGAGCTACGGAGTGCATCCAGGTGCCATCTTCGGCACGAACCTGGCCGCCCATATCACTGACATCATGGCTTCATTGGCCGAGATTGATCCAATTGCGCTCAAGAACACGGGTAAAGCCTTCCCACTGGCCCAAGATCCCCCCAAGCCGATTGAACAGGGTATCACCACGACCATCGTAGCAGCTTTGGACCCTAGAATCGAGGGTCAAAGCGGCATGTACATGGCAGATGCAAAATGCGAGCCAACATATGACTATGCCGAATCTGTGGAAAATGCTGAGAAACTGTGGAAATTGAGCGAAGAGTTGGTCGGTGAGAAGTTTGAGATATAATACGAGCTGGAGGGCAGATCATATATACGAAGTTGCAACTTGTCTTGATATGAGGAACAAAATTATACATAGGTCAGCTGGTCGATATTTCAATGTGAACAAACACAAACCCCCTCATCTAGAGTCGCCATGAAGTTGTTAAAGAATGGTAGAAAGAGGACACATGAGCTGAGGTATTCGAAGCTCACAGAAAATGAGTTAAGTGTTGGGCGCGAAGTCTTATAGGGTTGATACAAGCGTGGCGGGTACTTAAAATTTAGGCAGTGTTAGGGAGGGCTTATAGGTCTTAACTCCTGCCTGTCTAGTGCACTAAGTTAGTAGGCATAAAAGTCCTTAAGAAAAGGAAGGTGAGCCGATGTTATTACGTGCTTTGGCTGTTTAGTAAACCCCCTTTGGCTTGTTAGGCATTGCCTGCCTGCTGCCGGGGTTTTGCCGGTGCGATATATTCCGCCTCATTCACTCTGTCTTGATATGATTCCTCGCACCCCACCACGACTGGCACGAATGCCCGTTCAGTTCTTCAAATTGGACAGATGCGAACCCTCGATATTTACGATCATGTTGCTCTCAAGGACGATTCGCGACTGTGTGGGACAATTACCCGTACCAACGGCGACCCCGGCGACCTTCACATGGAAAATGAGTTAATCATCGGCCACAGTACCGTCTCTCCCGATGCGCTCAACGAGTTTGTCACCACGAGTGTGCCACCAGTCGGTCATGTCTTTGTCCGATGGGCCGCCGAGATACATGGTGGCTCGCTCGTGGACGAGAATGATTTGATCCTCCTGAGCCGCTCGTTTCAGATTGGCGACGTCGTAAAGCAGGATGCCAGCGGCATGACTGGGACGGTCATAGATGTGGACGAGAATTACACCCTCGAACCCATCGCTTCCTGCGACGTACAAGTCTTCAAACTTCTCTCCCTCGAACCCGAAATCCCGTCGTGCACGCCTGCATGCGCCTCGCGTCCTCCACATCCCTTCTTTCATCCAAATCCGCATGCTCTGATTTGTAACGTCCCCTCTCGGGAAATCAAAACGGCACAAGATGTGGTCAAAGGCGAATACCTCACATGTAACAACTGGATAGGATTGGTCGACGATGTTGAGTACCTTGTGGTCATTGGGCTCGAAAACAAATCAATCGTCGCGGTCGCCGGATTTCACGGCATTCATCGTCCTATTCCAGACCATGGAAAACCGTTGATCACTCTCCCCGAGTTTGACGGGTTCCGGAAGCCGGACTTTGTTGTTGCCAAACAAGGCTGGTCGACAATGATCCCCGTGGGAAGCTTACGGCCGGGGGAAATGGTTGTTGCTGACCGTAGTCGCCTGAGAGAGGGAAGATGGATTCGCGGCTCATATGATCCCAAAAGCTCTGGACATGGAGTGGTACTAGATGTTCGCGCCCGAGATGTTGCTATGGAATGGATTTCCAACAACAAGGGCGGAGAAAGGTCCTCAAGTACGGCCCCAATCCCGAGATACGAGCAGATGATCTACCACAACGTTGACCACTTTCAAGATCCGGCCAGTTTGATCCCTAACAAGAATGTAACTGTCTACGACTTTCCTAAAATGCCAGGTAAAGCACCGACGGTAGCGTTGAATTCAAGGTCACCACCTGAACATCAGCCAGACACACGACGTGTCTTTCCTGGTCAAGATTTTATTGTGGGTGCCCACGTCAAATTCAGAGATCCCACGGGGGCAGCTGTCAAGTACCAAGGCATTGATGAGGACAATTCTCATGGCCGGCTGGTGAAAGTTGTGTCGCGCAATTTTCCTGACTGGGACTTCAACGAATTCATAGTCGTTAACATGACACAAAAAGCGACAGTACTCTGGCAAGATGGCTCTACGACAACATCTGACTCGCTGAATTTGCAGGATCATGGCCTGTTTGAACCCGAGCTACAGCCTGCAGATATCGTCCTTATGCGCGAAGAAATGCGTCAAAGACCGGTAGGAATTCGGGATGGCCGCAACCTCAAAACCTCGGATTTCAATGAGGTGGCGCTTTTTGAGCGTCCACACGATTTGATACCGCTGAAAGTGGGTGTCATTCAGATCGTTGAGCCGCGCGAGAGAGTGGCCACGGTCCGTTGGTATCAGAAACCCAAAATTGAGCTCTGGGCGTCGGGATCGATCTTGGCTCCAGGTTCCCACTTCGGACCCATCGGCGACACAGTGACGGATGTCTCTTTGTACGAAATCCTATCGTTTCCTGCACTGAATTGGAGGAAAAAGGACATGTGTATTCTCGCAAACTCTGAAGAAATCATGAGGCGCCGACAGGCTTACGAGGCTGGTCAAGGCGTCGACGCAGGTCGACCAAGGCACACAACTTCACTGAGAGGAGCAATAGAGAGAGAGCTTGCCCCCCTTGCTCCCTTGCCGGCCAGAACGCCAGCGACTCGCGCGAGGCCAATTGATGCAGGGCCACAAGACGTCGACTGGGTAGGCCAAGTCGTGGCAAATGGACTCGATGGCTCACTGACTGTGCGACTGGGTGCAGCTCAGAACTGTCGGGATGTCCAGACGGATCCTGATGGGATCATAGCAGTCATAGATGAACGGGACGGCGTCTTCGATGATGGCGATATGATGGATGTGGATTCTTCGGACGAGTACGATTTTGGTTTCGACGACTGGTCGGATGATTCATACGTTGAACCTATATCCGAGAGTGTCGAATACGAAGGCGGTGAACGCCTTGATCACGACGAAGGCGACGAGAATTGGGTCTCTGAGGAGGACGACTATTTCACTGACGCCGAGATGGAAGTGAGAGATGCTGAAGATGTGCAAATGAATGAGCCTAATTCGCCCCCGGCGGGAGAAGAAACTTTGAACCATCCACCACATGCGCCATTATCGAGCGTAATACCACTTGAGCCACCGCCGCAATTTCTCCTACTCGACGAAGAGCCCCCATCAGATCAGTTTGGGCTCCATTCGCCTCCATCATCTCTCGCCCTCCTGAAACGAATTTCCAAAGAACACAAAATTCTGGCGTCCTCGTTGCCCAAGGGAGAAATCTATGTGCGCACTTATGAAAGCAGACTCGATCTGTTAAGATGCCTCATCATTGGACCTAGAGACACTCCTTACGAAAATGCTCCTTTCCTAGTCGACTTACATCTGCCAGAAAGATTTCCTGAGTCCCCACCGACGGCCCATTTCCACAGCTGGACGAGTGGCATGGGTAGGATCAATCCCAATCTTTACGAAGAAGGCAAGATATGTCTCAGTCTGCTGGGCACTTGGTCAGGAAAGCATGAGACGGAGAGTTGGAGTGAAAAGGCTACCATCTTACAAGTCTTGGTTTCTTTACAAGGGCTTGTTCTTGTTAGGAACCCCTTCTACAATGAAGCCGGATTTGAAGGCCTTGAGAACGACGCCAAATATATTCACGACGCAGAGCAGTACAGCGAAAAGGCGTTTGTCATTGCGAGAAGATTCGTCAAGCATGCACTGCTGCGGCCGCCGAAAGGAGTGGCAGATATCCTGGCGTGGTTATATCTGCCTCAAAACTCCGAAAAGCCATCCGAGAGGCTGCTTGGTACAATTGTGAATCAAGGCAAGCTTTTGATTGAAAGGTCCGAGTCTGCAAGGGCTAGGAATGATGAGAGCTTATTGGATTCCCAGGGAGGCAAAGACGATGCTACCAAGGTGTTCCTACGACCACTGAGCCGTGGAGGGGTTGTTATGCTGAGAAGAGTCATCGAAGAGTTGCAGGCGGAGTTGGACAAATTGAAATCGTTGGATGGTGGTGCTGGTGAAGCACATGGATAACGGCTGTGTACACCAGGATCCACGACCAGCGTGGAATTTCAGGTTTGAACACCGGTCTCATTGATAGTCAACATGTCCTATGCACCGAGGTGACTTGTGACCGATGGTGTTTGGTCCGCCTCGAAACGATGATCAGCATGGGTGCTCCGGGCCATGAAGCGAGTACTCGTGCTGGGATGAAGATGAATCACGATCTTTTAATACCCTACGGAATGGATGATGGATAGAATGCCTACTGGGTCTACTGGGACAAAGTAGCAGGAACAAACTCAGGTCATATAGTAGCAGAATTTCTAATATCTATCTCGCTTACCTACCTGATGCGCCTGGGGTGGGGGGGTATTGTATCTACCAGCTGGACCTGGCTAAGTCAGGTAGTTCTAATATCTTGCCTAGGAGTTGCTCACTCATAGATCCCTATCTGTTGTGTTTTGATGGTTGCACTTGGTCCTCGGTCTCAGTCTCGGTCCTGGTCTTTTGGTCTTGGTGATCGCGCCGGTGTATGAGTCATTCACCGGGATGTAAGCGTAGGAAGGAGTACCAAGGGTCTTATGATGCGAGTCCCCTTCGTTGAACCGAGTAAACCTTGAGGGAGGTGGATATTTACCTTGCGATATTGCAGCTTCGTGCCCGGGTACTTACTACAAGAGGAACTACTACGTGCCTATGTGGGTACAATGGTATGTTTAGGTCGCCTCATGTATCGTACAGTATTGAGTACAGCTCGTTTAACAATTTTCTTATCTGGTCCCTCGAGTGGATACTGTCAAGTAGTTGGTCAGTTCCTTCTCCTCACCTTTCATGAACCGACGCCCTCGACGACATGAGTATGTTCTAACAGAGCACATCCGTGGCCAATTGGCCGGACCGTGTTCTGATGTTCATTATACCTCTTATACTCCTACTTCGCATTTACCTGACAGACGGCCGACGTGTGACAACGGCCTTCAGGCGTCCCTCCGAGACTAGTAAGTCACTCGGGCGATCAAGCCTCAGGTAGGCAGTTTGTCAGCCACCTACTGCTGGACTCTCGTGAGAGTTTAGATATGAATCACTCACTCCCCCCTTTTCTCGCCGAACGAAGGTACGTATATGTATATTCAGTTGTATGCTCCCGAGTCTGTGAGCCGTGTCGCCCTTTGTTACCACCAACACCATCATCCCCCATAAGCCAACAACAACAACAACAACAACAACAACAACAACAACAACAACAACAACAACAACAACAACGACAATGACTACTTCCGACATCACCCCCTTCGAAATTTCAGTCCCAGAGACCATCCTCGCTCGTACTCGCTCGCGACTCTCACTCTATGACGACCTTCCAGTCGAGGTAGTCGAGGAAGATGATCCATGGGCACGCGGCACACCCAATGCCGAAATCGACCGTCTGGCACGGTACTGGCGCGACAAGTTCGATTGGCGCACGGTCGAAGCTCGACTGAATGCCGAACTACCGCAATTCACGACCAAGATCGACGTCGATGGGTTTGGTGCCTTCGATGTCCACTTCGTCCACGCGACGAGTAAAGCCGAGGGTGCTATTCCGTTGATCTTCGTGCACGGGTGGCCGGGGAGTTTTCTCGAAGTCAGCAAGATTCTGCCTCTGCTGGTGGACGCGAATGGAGAAGGGAATGGTGAAAAAGGAACACAGTCTTTCCACGTCGTGGCTCCGAGTTTGGTCAATTTTGGATTTTCACAGGGATGTGTCAAGGTAAGCAAGTCAATATACGTTTCTTGATCATGACGCCACCGGTTAGTATACCCAGATGGGTTCTGCACTACTACTGCAGACCTCTACCTACTTGCTGGCATTCATTCATTGCACTTGCTGGATCTCTGTGTTTTCATGGCCACGATTCGTCGATCGGAACATTCCCATACCATCGCCCGCCCGGCTGGTTGGCTGACGGTCTGTCTGATCGACTCACGGAACTTGTGTTGATATTTCATCCCCCTTCTAGCCAGGATTCGGCGTCGACCAGCATGCCGAAGTCTGTCATAAACTGATGCTGAAACTTGGCTATGACCGATACGGTACGTCTTTTTCAATGCTCGACGGTCAACACCGACTGGAAGTATTTTGTTGGCACACGGTACCGAGTTCCAGCATGGGTACATCAATCCACCAACTAACTGACTTGCGCGACAAAACAGTGACGCAGGGCGGCGACCTGGGCTACTTCACCACCCGGTTCATGGCGCTAAAGTACCCTGGCCACGTCCAAGCTCAGCATATCAACATGGCCATCCCCGCCGAACCGACCGCGACGTCCCACGCGGAGCTCTTCGCGGAATGCCAGTCCACGCCCCTGAACGCGTGGGAGACTGCGGCGGCCGGGCGCAGCGTGCACACGATGCGCACGGGCTTGGGATACTACAACATCCAGGCGACCAAGACGCAGACCATCGCCATCGCCGTCACGTCCTCGCCCGTCGGGCTGCTGGCGTGGATCTACGAAAAACTCCACGGCTGGACCGACGGGTACGCGTGGACCGAAGACGAGGTCCTAACGTGGGTGTGCATCTACGCCTTCTCGGCCGCGGGCCCCGAAGCGAGCATGCGCATCTACTACGAAGAGACGAACCGGGCGGGCGAGTCGAGCGTGGCCGTCGCGCAGCGCGACAGCGGCGACGTGAAGGTCGGGGTGAGCCAGTTTCCCGCCGAGTTGACGCCGCCGCGGGAACTGTGGTTGCACACGCTGGGGCGCGTGGTGTTCACCAAGCAGCACGCCCGGGGAGGGCATTTGGCCGCGTGGGAGGTTCCGGAGTTGCTCGTGGACGACGTGAGAGCTACGGTTGAACGTGTCGGTGGTGTGTCTTTTTAAATGGGTACCTGTCTTCCATGCTAACGTTGATTTACTTGTCTGTCGTTTTATCTATCTACCCGACTCTACATTCCCGTCTCGAAGAAAGGAGAGTGGGAGGGGGAGGGTGGCACTGATGGATATATGATATGTACGATACAGCTAGAACTGGGAAGATCAGGATCCAGATGAAGTTGGAGATGCACGTATCGCAGTTGACGAGTACCTTTGACCTTGTAGATACCTATGTGGGTGTTTGTGTAAATTTCCCATATCCCGAATACTTCCCAGTATTATCTACGATCCAGGTGCCTTAGATCCACTGATATCTGACCATCACTCCCTGCCTACCATAACTATTCACAGTGCAATGTTTAATTAGTTATCCCCCGAAAATTGACATTGAACTCCTTCACGTCACAAATCAATTTTCTCATCGATCCCACCTCGTTCTTCCAACTCAACGTATCAGGAGAGGCCACTGAGTGAGCCTCCGCTTCGAAATTCGGAGGTACTTTATGTATTGATGTTCTATCACCTGTCTAGCATGACCTCACCCTACGACAATTGAAAATTGAAAATTCAAAAAAGACAAAAAGAAAACCACAAAACCCTTAAGGAATCAAGGAATCAAGGGGAACAAAGATCGACATGCCTCTTGACGCATCCTCTCGTCTCCACTCCATCACAGCCCTCTACGACGCCCGCAGCAACACATACGACGAGAACCATGTCCACGTCGACCAAGCGCGAGACTACCTCGTCTGGGCCGGGTTACGACCAGGCCAGAACGTGCTGGACCTAGCATGCGGAACGGGCCTCGTGACACTGGGCGCGAAATCTACAGTCGGCGATTCGGGCGTGGTCGTCGGCGTCGACGTCAGCCCCGGGATGCTCGACGAGGGGCGCCGCAAAGCCGACCGTGCCGGATTGCAAGTCCGATTTCTCGAGGGTGATATCCAGCACGTTGACGAGGTGCTGCTCGTGGGTGCGAGCACGACGAGCACGGCGAACGAAGTGACGCCGAGCAATTCTTTCGACGTTATTACGTGCGCCTCGGCGTTGATCCTGCTCGACGACCCCGTCGACGCACTCAGGCGGTGGAAACCCCTCCTGAAACGGCCCGGCGGCAAGCTCGTCACGGACGTGCAGACCCGATCGGCGAACCTGCTGATGAACGTCTTCCGCCACGTCGCGGGACACCTGGGCACGAGCGTGCTCTGGGACGGCGGTGCCGCGAGGTACGAGGCCATCGAGGACCTGGCGAGCGTGGTGCGTGACGCGGGATACCACGTCGACAGGCTTTTCGAGACAAGGGCGTACGCCACGACGACCTACAAGCTCGACGAGGCCGGGGAGATCTTTGACAGAGCCGTCGACGAGAAGGAGATGTTTGCGCAGTTTGCCGGCACTGAGGGTGGCGTGAGGGAGCGTGCGAAGGCGTTGTTTGTGCAGCGGATGAACGACTTGAGTGGCGGGAAAGACTCGTTGCTCGAGGAAACGAGGTTTTGGGTCGTGGTGGCCTCGGTGCCAGATGATACTACTACCTAGTACTCCAGGTACAGTACTAACTCGGACACTATCCGGTGCTCAAAGTCACAGCTCAAGGGTTACAGACAGTGCAGAGAACTTTAAAACCGATCTCAACTTCGTAGAGGCTATAGAACAAGCAAACATATAACCGTATGGTATGTTGGGGTTATGGGCCCTGTCATTGCGATCATGGAATGGGTCCTCCGCATCGACTACGGTGTTCGTGTCCGGATAGTAGACGGTACCCCGGCAGGTAGTTACTTCAAGTTCCGGTATCAAAGAATGCTGCATATGACCAAGTCCTTCTCTAGTTGGTGTAGTAAATCCAGAGGCACGTACCTACTTACTCAAGGCCTGATTGTTGGCATTGAGAAGTGGACACCTCATACGTAGATCGACATCTTGTATTACACCCCTGAAGCATGAAGGCTCCCGATCCGAAGGTCCGGTTTTCCCCTTTCCATAAAGTTGCGCGCCGGCTGGAGAAAATCCCTTGAAGCCAGAGAACGCGCTTCTCTCCAGCTTGTTCGCGGTACATCTCGTTTCCGTCAAGATGCTGCAAATGGAACAGTCTCACTCCCGATAAGAGCCATGGCCCTGTTCTGAAGCCTTACCCTATGTCGACCTGATCCCAAGGCCAATCAGATCCGTATCCCCTTTGATAAGCCATGAATGTCTGCTTGTAGATGCTCTTTTCATGTTGTACGTCAAGGGCTCCTCGCTGGTCGATCCGATCACTGCTGTCTGGGAATGTCAAGCCGTAATTCACCTTGTAGCTTTTGGTCGTGCTACAATGAGAAATTAGCTGGCTTAGAGGCCGTCCCTCCTTATCCCAACAGCCTCCATCTCGACGACTGCACACTCATGTAACATGACGCAACCACGACGCCGTCAATCCGATCTGAGTGGGTGCTTCAGTCCAAGGACCTCGTTGAGACATCGACTGCTATTCTGCATGCGACTCCGTATTGTCCAGAGTGGGGGTTTTCAAAGGGCAGGAGTCTCGTTGAATTGTGATAAGCAACATCAACATCAATGCTCATCTCCATCCCCCAACTCTACCTTCATCCCATCTGGCCCTCATCTCTCTCCTCTTCTCCAGTGTCGTAGAACCTTCTCTTATCCTTCGTACCCAGTCATTGACCTCCTTCTCACTAGCCTTGCCATGCGCCGTGTCACTGGTTGAGCCTTCGAGAAAACTTTCTTGCGTGGCTCTAAGTAACGCCTCTTGCTCACTTATACTCGACACAAGCCTTTGATACATTTGTCGGGGACCCCACGGAGACAGAGCATCATCCATTTCAGTTTGCTTTCTCCTCCATTGTGCTTGCAGTGAGGCATGTTTGAGTAGAAGTTGGCCAGTTTCGTCTCGTAGTTGGCGTAGTTGGTTTTCGACCTGAGACACTTGCTGTGCTAGTTGGATATTGGCATTGATCGCGGCCTGAAGAGGGCCGAGAGACGATGCGTAGGAAGGATGCGTCGAGGCTATCGATGCCACCAAGGATGGATTGTTGACGAGCGTGTGGAGTTCATTGATAGGTTTATCCTGCAGTTGAGGTGGGATCCAGTGGTCGGACAACGATGGGGGTGGAATAGGTTCATATGGTGGCTGCGATTGTGATGGGGCTGCGGTGAAAGACGGCTGTGCGTTTGGGACAGGAGGTTGTGGTCGAGGAGAGTTTGTTACACCCGGTCCAGCAGCTGTCGGTGTTGACGAGAGCGCGGGAGTACCAGTGCGGCTTGCATTGGCGCTTTGAGCCTGGCTGTTGAGATGCGAGACTGGTTTCGGCGGGGGCGGAGGAGGTGCGCTGCCTGTGATAGGGGACGAAGGAGGAGGCGTAGATGTTGCTGCAGCGTTAGGGAAAGTTGAAGCCGATGACGATGTATAGAAGGATTCAGACATTTTTCGACCTGCTGTAGTCTGTTGTTGTAAACCAAGGGTGTCCGACTTCGAATCGTGCTTCTATGAGGTGCCTCCGATATCCATCCAGCCTTGCGAAGCCTCGTCCTCGGCAGCCTTGCCCAGTGCGGAGAAAGGCTGCGCTACTCGTACTCGAATGAATTTCTTCGCTGCATTCCCTCCTCCATAGCGACAACAACCAACATCACCGAGCCCCTTTTCCACGCTGCCTCCACTTATAGTCTCCAGACAATTCGAAGTCGCACGGCCGTACTTACGTCAATCATGGATTATCAGAACCGCGCTGGTTCAAAGTTCGGCGGTGGCGGTGTGGCCTCGCAGTCCGCCACCAACGCCGACCGACGAGAACGACTTCGCAAACTCGCGCTCGAGACCATCGATCTTGACAAAGACCCCTACTTCTTCAAGAACCACGTTGGCAGCTTTGAATGCCGACTCTGTCTCACGGTCCACCAGAACGATGGTTCATATCTCGCCCATACACAGGGTCGCAAGCACCAAACGAACCTCGCTCGCCGTGCTGCTCGCGAGCAAAAAGAAGCGCAAAAAGATGGACAAATGTTGTCGGGTATGATGGGCGTACAAGTCAAAAAGAACATGGTCAAGATCGGACGGCCGGGCTACAAGATCACTAAGATTCGAGACCCTCTGACGCGACAGGTCGGGTTGCTCTTTCAGCTGCTGTACTCTGAAATCACACCGGGCGTGGAACCTAGAGTGCGATTCATGAGCGCGTTCGAACAGAAGATCGAAGAGCCAGAAAGGGACTACCAGTATCTGCTTGTCGCTGCGGAGCCGTACGAGACGTGTGCGTTCAAATTACAGTCCCGGGAGGTCGATCGCCGTGAGGGACGGTACTGGACGTGGTGGGACGCTGATGCGAAGGAGTTCTGGTGCCAGGTCTTGTTCAAGACAGAACGAGACGAAAGATACAGTAACGTGCCGGGTTTGGCCCCAGCAGGAAGGAGATAAATCCGGGGGTTTACAAAGGCTCAGGCAGCGTATTGCCGTGTGCTGTGACTCGACTTTTCCAATATGACAGGGGGCTCCGTGGAGATATCGGTGACCTGCCACCGATCTGGTATATGCCAGCCATATTCTGGACAGCGAACCTCTTCCATCGGCATTCTACATTCGCCGATTGCGAACTGCATGCTGAGTCTTTTCCATGATGACCTCGCCTTCCTTACTCGGCCACGGAACGGCCATCCGTCGACTTAAAGATGTCAGCCGCCAGATACCCCCGCCACCCTTTGGCTCAGCTTTTCGTCGCTGTCAGGCGTTCGACGAACAGTCTAATGGGCTAGGCTCGCCAAAGAGATAAACACAACGCTACTCTATACGACAAATCATCCACACAGTATGAGCGGGCTGGAAATCAATGATACGTCGAAGCAGCTAACATTTGCGCGACGGTGGATGCTAGGGGGCAGTTGGGCAGATGGACAGTGTCAGGCTCTCGATAGCAAGGAGACATCGCGTTGAAAACGGAGGTACCAGAGATTGGTATCCCTGGGTGTTCATGAAGGTGGCCCAGCCGGGCTCGCCAGGTCGAACTCTACTCTCCATCTGACCCCAGAAAGTTCATTCATACCAGGATGGGACATGCGAGGGGAATTCGTGGGCGCCAGACAGAACGAGGAAGAGACGAAGATAGGTTCAGTCTAGGAGGCGTACTACATTGTAGGAATATCAGTGGATGAATATTCAGAGACACCATTGCATCCTCTCCATTCTTCTCGCGCAATCTACAAGAGTATACTAGGAGGTACACCCTAGATATTTTCCTAGACAGGGTGTCTGAGCGGCATCAGCATTTCAGGGCATTCATGCAGTCAAATACGACGTAGCTTTTCCCATTCGTTCATTCATCATCTGCTTAGCACGATCTCTCATTGCTAGGTATTCTCATTGCTTGAATGGCGCTGCAGTAGTGTAACGCCATCAGTAGCGCGATCTGATACGTAAAAACCCATGGACCCATTCTTATCATATCCTCAGGCGCCAACACCAACGCTATGCATGCATGCCTTGAACAAAGAAATAGTAAGGGCGCTTCAGCCGCAGCGCTGCAACAACTGGGGCCTGCGGTTCTGGTTCTGGTTCTGGTTCAGTGTCTGGTTCCTCTGATTCCTCTGATTCTTCGTTTGCCAAAGGACTCGCAGGGTTGTCCGACCCGGTGGTTCTCTCATGCTGGCGAGCATGGCTAGCTGGCAAAGAGCCCTTCTTCATCGACTTTCGTTGCTTTCATCATGACATCTCCGTACTCCTTGAGACTGAAATCCCGATCGACCACGTTGTCCCAGGCACGCGACATCTCTTCCTGCGCTTTCTTGTTCTTCCAGCCCCATCCTGCACCGCCCTCTCTGCTGTCTTCTACAAACGATGCCGATGCTGCGGTGGCGGAGGAGGAGGAGGGATTCGCGCTGCCTGCAGTGCGCTGGTTACCGAATCCTGCACTTCGCAATCTTCGACTGCTCGTGTTTGCTTCGTTGAATGCAGGCTGGTGGTGGTGGTCATTCTCGTGGCCCTGCGACCCTGGCGGGGAGAGTTCACCGGGTGCTGCGGCGTCGTTGAGGTGTTCGTTTGGAGGAATCGGGGTTCGCGGAGCATTGGACGCTGAGGAGGCCGACTGAGGGAACAAATCGTCTTCGTTGTTGTCAGGATGTGACGATGCCGGAGGAGACGAAGAAGTTGAAGTCGTCATTGTTTCGTCCAGGTCCATTCCTCCTACAATGTTATGGGAGTCGGAACGTGGAAGTTGGTCTTGGTCGGTCAGGCTGTGGGAGCCGCGCGACGGTCTAATCCTTTGCGCTGTCAACGAATGGAGTCTGTAGCCGGCTGCGTAGGCACTGTCAGAGAGTAGACGAACAATTTGAGAGTCAAGAGAGACGAAAAGGAGAGAAGTGAAGTGCAAGGAAATACGTAAGGCTGGAAGGGCGTACCTTATGCACATAGACTGATGATGCTCCCGCATTTGGGAGTCGCGGCTTTTCTGGCCCGTACAGTATCAGCCTCGTATCCGCGCGCGACCCAAATCTCATTTGGCCGATAAAGTCAAAGTGTGTCAATAAACATGTTAACTCATTCTATAGCATGCTTGGAAAGTGCGGACTGAATACAACAGCAAAGACCATTTGCTCGCAAAGGCTCATAGGCCATTCAGATGCAGTGAACAGTGTGTCGTTCTCCTCGGACGGCACACTATTACTCTCTTGCTCAGCGGATATGACCATCAGGATCTGGGAAACAGCAGGCAACACCTACGACATTCTCAAAAGTCACACCCTACCGGTTAACTCTGCAACATTTTCAGCAGATGACACCTACGCGGTCTCTACCTCGGATGACCAATCGTTCGTGTTTTGGGACGTGAATAAGAAATTGGCTCGAGGAGTGGTTCACTGCGATATCGAGGCTCGTTCTCTGCAACTCTCCAGCTGCGGCCGCTATATCGAGACTGACAGAGGGAGGTTGGACGTCGGCGTGATTTCTTCTCCAATTCCCTCCGTCTCCTTGGACGGGCCATCTACTCTCTTTGCGACGAAGGAGTGGCTGAAGATGGGCTCAGAGAATGTTCTTTGGCTTCCGGATGAGTATCATGCGACTTGCGTGGCGGCACATGCTGATACAATTGTCTTGGGGCACGCAGGTGGCAGTGTTTCATTCATCCATTTCTAGCTGTGACCATTCGCAGACTCCATCACGAGGCTTGCTCTTTTTCCTCATCTTGTCCGTTCTCGAGAACACTAGGTAGATAGATACAATACACTGCATGCTCGGTCATCACATCCCACACTATATATCAGTCTTAACTACACATCTCGCGACCCACCCAAAAACCATTCACTCACCACCGAATATTCAGATGTTATCAATTGAACCCGTGAAATTATTCCCCAACACCAAGACCCCGCAGTGATGGCTCAGGTTAAAACCACATGGCTATGTGGCGGACGTCCATTCACTGCGGCGAGCAAGGAATCACGAGGGCCGCGGGCGAGTAAGGAAGAGAAGGGCCGCGGGTTCGAATCCCCGACCGTTCGAAAAGATATTTCGCCAGGTATGATAATTAATTCTTCCAGCTCCTATAAGAGATTCCATTAACATCATCATAGATCAAAAGCTTAATCGCCCTTAAATCTCAGTGAGTTTAAAAGACTTGATACAACTAAAGTTGTGACAGACATCAAATCCGATCTACACACACAAGTACCCAGAATATTTAAAAAGAGTCAACTTTCGACTTTTTTTTGGAAGTTATGGATTCCACAAGGGGTAGAGATCTGAGAGGGATTGGTGCTGAGGTCCTTCTTGCGGTGGTCAAAGTCAAGGCTGATATCTCGATATTTTTGCGATGTTGATCGATGGAAAAACAGCGCGCCGCCTGTACGGAGTTATCGGCCGCGGAAAAATCTCCCACCGAAAGCGGGACTTAAAGCGGCGCGCAGCAATTGCCACTTTCCAGCGGGGAAATTTCTCTGCCACTTGCGTTCAGTCTGTATGTAATTCCGACACCGGGCGCGGTACGTTGAACATTATTAATTGCCTCCTTCAAGAGAGCACTCTTCAAATTACCAGGGCTTCCCACTGTCACTTGCATGTTCCGGTATCGTCCCAGACAATGCATTCCGTGTAAATCTTGAGAAGACACCCCCGAACTACACTGGAGATATCAACCTTCGCGGGCAGCGGCGCCCTTTGATTGCCGCCATGAGCGCCATCCTATCTGCGGACGATCTCAACGACTTCATTTCGCCCGGCGTCGCTTGCATAAAGCCCGTTGAGACTCTTCCTGCCCAGGCGGAGTCCAATCCTTACGAAGTAACCACCGAAGACAAGGTACAGGCTCCAAACCCCGCGCCAGCGTCGATTTCCTTGACAGACTGTCTCGCCTGCTCAGGCTGCGTTACCTCCGCAGAAGCAGTCCTTGTCTCGTTACAGTCACACACCGAGGTCTTGAACACTCTAGACTCCTATCCCCCGCTTGATGTCCGGTACCTCGTCGAAAGCCGAAATGGCTCAGTCAACGGCCATGCTCCTCCTCCGCCCGATGCCAAACTATTCGTCGCCAGCGTGAGTCCTCAGGTCCGAGCGAGTCTGGCTGCTACCTATGGCATCTCCGAACACCAGTCAGGGTTCCTGATAGAACAATTCCTCAGCGGATCGCAGGGCTTACGGATAGGAGGACATCATAACAGCGGCTTCTCGTATGTTGTGGACACAAATCAACTCCGGCAGGCTTGTCTTGTCCTCGGAGCGGAAGAGGTGGCGGATGCGATCGAGGCCAAGTCGAAGCCGAAGCCAGTCTTGACGTCTGCTTGTCCCGGTTGGATCTGCTATGCTGAGAAGACACATCCTTACATCTTACCTCATTTGTCGAATCTGAAATCACCCCAGGCTTTGTCAGGAACCCTCCTCAAGTCGGTTCTTAGCAAAACACTCGGTATCCCACCCTCGCAGATATGGCACTTGGCGATCATGCCATGCTTTGACAAAAAGCTAGAAGCGAGCAGAGAGGAGTTGACGCACAAGTGGTGGCAGTCCTCGTCTTTGGCCGACGCGCCTGTCCGGGACGTTGACTGCGTAATCACGTCGCGAGAACTCCTGTCCCTTGCCGAAGCCCGAGGTGTTCAGCTTGCTCAGCTTCCCCTCCAGCCGCTATCACCCTCCGAAAGAACTCCGTTCCCGGAAGGCAGACTCTCTAGCTTTCTTTTTCCAAAGCCACGGCGGCGGAGCGAGCAGTCTGTCACAGCAGGCTCCTCTGGCGGGTACTTATACCACATCATCATGACGGAACAAGCACGCCATCCAGGCAGTACCATCTCGGTACAGCGTGGTCGCAATGCTGATGTTATGGAGTACGCGCTAGTCTCTTCCTCGGGGCAGACATTGATGAAATGCGCACGGTACTATGGTTTCAGGAATATTCAGAATCTAGTTCGCAAGCTCAAACCAGCCAGACAGTCCAAGCTCCCAGGTGCCGCAAGACGTATGGCGGCAGGTGCTAGTGGCGGAAGCGACTATGCGTATGTTGAAGTCATGGCGTGTCCAGGTGGGTGCACGAATGGAGGTGGGCAGATCAGGATTGATGATGTTGCATCCATCCTCCCTCAAACACGGGGTGAGGAAGTGGTCAATACAAGCCCGCAGAGCCAGAAGGAGTGGCTCAGAAGAGTCGATGAAGCCTATTACTCTGCCGACTCTGAATGTGAGAGCGAATCGGACGGCGACATCCACATGACCAATGGCAGTGTTGTCGAGAACGGTCACCTTACCAACGGGAGCCAACAAGCCATCAATGGTATCAACACAGGAGAGGTGCAGGACTTCTTAAACCAGTGGTCCAGCTTGGTTGGCATATCATTGAGAAAATTGGCCTATACAACATTCCGAGAGGTTGAGAGCGATGTCGGAAAAAACAAGGCTTCAAAAACTCTCGATGATACGGCTAGAATCGCTCAGATTGCTGGGATGAGCGGAGGGGGGTGGTAGATTTGTGGTATTGTCATGTTTGAGCGTATACATTGGGGTGGTGGTATTGCTCATGTATTCTGCATTTACCGGAGTAGTCTTGCCGTCACACATTTGCTTTTGGATGAACATGGGAAGGGTCACATTGATTTATGTTGGGTCACTTGAGACAGGGGCAATGGACATTGCATGTTTATGGGATGAGCGATGATGATGATGTGAGTATACGACATCTAGATGGATAGAGACATATAGAAAAGGATGTCTCTACACGCGCGCACGCGCGAGAGAGAGACCCTTTTGACACCCTGCATATGCCCTTAATATAGGACCGTCAAACAGCGTGGCGATGTAGACATGTTCGAAGTTGAAACAGTGTGAAATGAGGTCAAGGTACTTGAGTAGAGCTTATAATTTTTCTTCTATCTCGACATGGACCGTGGCTTGAAGGCGATCAGGGACAGTGAACAGTTTGCGCGAAGAAAGTGTGCCCTCCGCGCGCACGCTAACACCATGCCTGTTCAGATTGGTTCAAATGCGTGCAATTGACAACAAGATCGCTTGCTTCCGTCCCGTTGCTAATCATGTACACACATGTACATACTATGTACTATGTACGGATGCGGTTGGTGGTGATGGCGCGTATAATACTAGGTTAAGTAAAGTACTTTTCCCGATGGATTTTGTTTGCTGGTGATCAATATTTGGTTGGTTGGAGGTGCTCCCTTTGAGCTCTCGATCTGCTAATACAAGACGGTTCCCATGCCACGTACACTGTGGATGTGGTTGTAATGGGTGGGTATGGATGTGGTTATGGTCATGCTCGTGGTCGAGGGTGCATTTGTAGCTGTAGTTGTGGGTATCGATGTAGTTGTTATGCTGATTCTGATCGTGGAGGGCCGCTGCGAGAGGTCAAACGTGCCCACCGTATCGGTGCATTATAATCGTATATCGTGTTTTGTCGTGCTGTGCGGTGTGCGGTGTGCGGTGCCGAGGTGAGTGACGTGACGTGACATGACATGATATTTGTAGAGTTTAGGTAAATGATGCTGAAACGTGTTTGAACGTGTGTCTCGAGACACGGGGTGAATAGCCAATAGCTTCAGCTTGTTCTCGTACTTGCTGTTCCTGTTCCTGGTCCTGTTCCTCCTCCTCCTTCCCTCTCTTTCCACCTGTCGAATTCCCCTTCCCAATTACCTCCAACTCCCTCGCAGCGGTCCGTCACGGTCCCCCAGGTCCGCGCCCTGACGATCCCCTCGACCGCCACCTCGTTGCGCAGCACGCTCGCCAGCATCTCGGTGCGTGCTTCCCTGGGGAAAAACCGCGCGCTGTAGGGGTCGAGCCGCTCGTCGACGACACGCTCGGCGTCCCGACGGTTCAGCGCCTCGCGCTCAATGACGTCCGGGTCCTCCGGGTCCGGCGACGTTGCGACGGATGTGCAGTACTGGATGACGCTCGCGCGCGAGTTCCAGCTTGGGAATAGCACGTTTTCGAGAAACGTCCTCGTCGTCGTCGCCGGGATGGGCGGCCGAGGATACGGCCCGGGGCTGCGGATCGATGTCGAGGCCGGGTCAAAGGGCGACGTGCTCGCGGGGGTGATGAGTGCGTTGAGCGTCGTCGAGATGCTGTCGTCTATGCTGGCCCGCGAGAGGCGGAGAAAGTCTCGTAGCACCCGTGTGTCGAAGCAGAATTGCGGTGTGAGGGGCGGCGTGGCCGTTGGTTTGGACATGACGAGTTTTGGTTTGGGAGCGGGATTGGGAGGGCTTTGCGACGACAGGGGCCTCCGAAAAGACGGCGGTGAGGACGAGGGAGGCGAGGGAGCGGGAGAGGTGGTAGTAGTAGGAGGAGGAGGCGGAAGAGGCTTGCTGTGACCGGGCGAGGGAGATGAGGTCTCGGAGGGAAGTGAGATCCAGAACCACGCCAGTTTGAAGTCGGGACTTTGGTCGTTGGTAGATGTAATGGTGGACTTTGATTATCTACTGTATCTCATGCAGATGCGGCGGCGGCGTATGGGTTTGAGCTGCCGGTGCACCTGTCGAAGCTCTTCGATGGTCTGGGCACAGGAAACGGTGGGAGTAGAGGGTTCTCAAGGGGATTGTAGTACGGTACAATATGTATGCAGCTCATAGTTAAAGCGTAGAAATTGTGGTCTGGACGAGGCTGCGGCGAAATCCAAGTCCAGCCAACCACATCACGTCATAGACACTTTACGCGTCGAACGCGCCGCGCCGAGTCAAAAGGCAGAAACGGACAAGTTGAACTCAGAATCCAGGCAGGCGACGGCGTATTGCTACCTACCTTAGTATGTAAGCAGAGCTGTTTCATCCTTGCCCATCTCTTCTTGTCCTTCTCCTGCTTCTCTTCTGCTTGTTCAACTACTTCCCTGGCTCTACTGGTCACTCCTCGTCCTCCCACACCGTTCCCTAATTATCTAGGATTGGACTTCTCAACATGCCAGAGATCGCCGAGGTTGCCCGCACGGTGCACTACATTCGCAAACTTCTCAAGGGCAAAACAATCGCCAAAGTCGTCGCGAATGAAGACAACAACGTCTACGGCAAAGCAGGATGCTCACATACAGAATTCCAAAAACACATGACGGGCAAACAAGTTGTCGATGCCGGCCAGCAGGGCAAATATTTCTGGATGATCATGTCATCGCCTCCACATCCCGTGATGCACTTCGGCATGTCTGGCTGGCTCAAGTTCAAGGATGAACACACGTACTACTATCGGCGCAAGGAGGGAGAGGCAGAAGAGCCGTGGCCTCCCAAGTTCGTGAAATTCCTGCTTGAAACGGCGCCTGAGAGCGGCGAGGACAAAGTCGAGGCTGCGTTCGTAGACATGCGGCGCTTTGCAAGGATCAGACTCGTCGACTGTCCCGGAGAGGAGATACGGAACGTTACACCGCTCAAAGAAAACGGCCCAGACCCGGTGATCGACAAGGACGTCGTGACGGTAGAGTGGCTGAAGACCAAGTGCCGGGCCAAGAAGGTGCCGATCAAGGCGATGCTGCTTGACCAAGCCAACATCAGCGGCATCGGGAACTGGGTCGGCGACGAGATCATGTACAACGCAAAGATGCATCCAGAGCAGTACGCAAACACTCTGTCAGACGAGCAGATAGCGCAGCTGCACAAGAGCATCCAGTACGTGTGCACCACAGCGGTCGAGTTGTTGGGCGACTCTGAAAAGTTCCCAGACGACTGGTTGTTCAAGCACAGGTGGCAGAAGGGCAAGAAGAATGCGTCAAACACTTTACCTAATGGGGAGAAGATTGCTTTTCTTACGGTTGGAGGGCGAACGAGTGCCGTTGTCCCGAGCATACAGAAGAAAACAGGTCCAGTCGCGAAAGAGATGGACGAGGCGGAGATTGTTGACGGTGACGACGAAAAGAAACCAAAGGGCAAGGGAAAGAAGAGGAAAGCTGCCGTTGAAGAGGATGAAGAGGAGGAGGAAATCATGCCCAAAAAGACAACTGCAAGAGGCAAGAAGGGGGGGATCAAAGATGAGATAGACGATGCAGGCACAGTCGTCAATGGTACCGTTAATGGTACGGTGAAGGGGAAGAAGGTGAAGCAAATCAAACAAGAGTCGACTGCTGCAGAGACTAAGCCTACAAAGCTTGGAGCTGTAAAAGCTGTTGAGGATAACAGCGGCAGACGAAGGTCTGGCCGTCTAAGCAGGTCTTGAAAATGGGAAGGTCAATCAGGGCGCTCTGTGGCTGTACAAATATTTTCTGTGGGAGAGAATGTCATTATTCTACTTCGCAGCTATCTGAATCTCGTAAAACATTGGTTGCAAATCACACCCTTGGACAACACTGGTAATCTTACAAAACCCCTATCTAGTGATACAGGACGGCCTGGATAGCTATGAACATCACACCCGTCCACTACGTCCGCGAGGCCAAAACCCGTTGTATTTAGGCCTGATGGGTGGCTCGAAGGTGGGCTCAACACCGTCAATCTGGCCTGTGCTATTACTGGACACCATTGAAATGTGGCCAGGCTCCGACTTAGCTTCCACATCGCCATCGGAACCCCCGTCAGCACTCACTACTGCCTTGTCAACCGCGCGTCTGTATGACGGAATCAAATTCGTCGCCAGGGGGTACGTAAACACCAACAGGAAACAGCCAGCCGTCAACCACCATCCAGGTGAGATGCCAACGGAGTCGACGAGCTGACTCATCAGCGCAGGCTGTACGGCGCCGCCAGAGATGCTGAGAATCATGAGAGTCTCACAGGTTGAAGTCCACTGCTCGTAGTCCGCTGTTGCACTCTCGAAGACCATCGGGAACGAAGGTGCCTCCCAAAACATGACCATGACGGCCAAGGCAATGGCTGTGACGCCTGTGATGGAAGTGCCGGCGGCGGTCGTCGCAACAGCACCAGCGATGAAGAAGACGAGAACCAACCGGGGCTTGACCTTGGGTGTCGACACAGCCGCCGCGGCAGTGAAACGACCGACGACAAAGGCAGACTGCGCAATGGACATACAAGTGGCTGCCCATGAATCGCTGGCGCACGCGTTGACCTTCATGTGCTCGATGAAAAATTGAGCAAAGGTTACCTGGCAGCCAAGGTTGAAAAAGTTGGCACCAACACCCCACCAAACTCGAGAGTACCGCCATGAGACCAGAGGGTGCTTCCACTTTTTCCAGCCGCAGTCCACGGCCGGGGCCGGTGGCACCTCCACCTCAGGAACCACGTTGGTGCGGAACAAGAGGAGAGTAAGAAGCAGGGCGATGGCAAAAATGACACCTGCAAGCACGCGGTAGAACGTTATGACGGTTCCGAGGTTGTCGCAGGAGGAGGTCTTATCTTCGACCGGCATGAGACATTTTCCGGGGTGGAATGGGTCTGTTGCCGGTGCCCGTGATGATGTGTCCGGATTGAAAACAAAAGCGTTGGCGAGGAAGGGAGCCACAACCGTTCCGATCCCGGCCCATGCCTGGGCGATCAAGATGCGCAAGGGTGCTTGCACGCGAGGACCGCAGTTGACGGCGTAAGGGTTTGCCGAGCGCTCCAGAGTCGAGACACCAAGCCCAACGACGAAATGCGCGGCCACCATCCCCCCAAAGCTGCAACCCCGGGCGGCGACCGACATCATAAGGTCGCCAAAGGCAAGAGTGACAAGACCAACGATCATGGCGACTCGGTAACCGCATTTCTTGACCAAAGGGCCTCCGATGAGAAGGGATCCAGGGATGTATGCAACATAGTAGCCAGCCGCGAGGCCTGCAGCCATCCCACGGCCAATGCCCATGGCAACTTTGACGTGGTAGTTCATGATATCTGCAGAACGATTAGCACTGTATATATGAGATTCTCTGCTGGCAACAGGGGGAAGTACCCAACAAGCCATAGGCAAGACCCCACATGAAGAACAAAATACTGACGACCCCAATAGGTACAATGGTCCCAAGGGGCTTGATAGGCATCTTCTGACGTCCAAACTGAACGTCGAAGTGTTTGATGTGCTCCACGAAGCTGTGGAGAGCCCCGAGGACGAAAGCAAACATCATGAAGCGAGCCGAAGGTGTAGCTTTGGCACGATATTGAATGGTGAGTTACGTGATCAGGTAAGGAGCAGTGTGGCTAAGGAAGTGTTCGAGAATTGTGAGTAAGAAGTTGTCAGTGCCGAGTAGATCTTGACTGGTTTGGAAAGGTGAAGAGTAAAGAACGAAGCTCTGATGTCAAAGAGGAGCCTGAAGCGGTTTATATACGCATTCGGCAGACATCGAAGGGACTCTCCTTGTGGACCTACCTGGATGCGAGGGCCTTTCGAAAGCGCCCACGTCTCCAGACTCTGTGCTCACCTTGCGGAGGAGAAGCCTGTGAGGTTGTGGTTACTGCATGGTTGTTTGTGGTAAGCCACTCGGTATCGAAGACAAATGATTAACCTTTCGCCATATCTGGGTTGATCCAGAGTCTTATTCTGCCTTAGGCTTCGTTTGCAAGGTTTTGTTGCTTTTTTTTTAGCGTCGAGAAGGGAATTTATTGGAAAAACGAGGGGAAATACTAGGGCGCATATTCATGAGCGTCTCATCCTGCAGTTCATCCACGCAGAAAAGAGAAGCTTGCAGGTCAGCAGTGATCAGCACGATCTTTGCGGAGGAGATCTGCGGGAGGCCATCTAGACGTGGATCACCCGGGGGGCTTTGAGGTGGACGGGGCGTGCTACCAGCGTTCGGACTGTGAAACCATAGGAGAACCAGACGCGAATAAAGCAGCATAGTTTAGACAAATGCAGGTGGGAGTTTGTCTGCATGGGGCTTTGCATGAGGCAGACGTCGTGATGTCGTCGGAGAGCGGGATGCTTGGCATGGATTATGGATTACCAACAACAACTCATGGTCAACTCCTCGCAACTGGTTCATTTTTATTGCTAACGGTCTGGCTTCCGCAGCGAGACGGAGTGGTTGCTACTGACGATAGTCTCATGAATAGACTTTTCTTCTACACAACAGTTTTTCGACCGTCTGCCTCCGCGACCGCTTTCTTTTTCCCAGTTCGGCTTACGCCACCCAGATATCTCTCCATCATGCCTTCCGCAAAGGAGTCCCCCGCGATTAAAGTGTTGATGCTTCATGGCTACACTCAGAGCGGGCCACTGTTCCACGCAAAAACGCGGGCCATGGAGAAGCACCTACAAAAGGCTTTTCCTGGGATTTCTTTGAGCTATCCTACAGGTCCCCTACAGCTCAGGCCAAAGGATGTGCCCGGTTATGATGCATCCTCAAGTGATGAGCCGGATAGTATCGAAGCTTACGGATGGTGGCGTCGTTCGGACACAGCGGATCCACCAGAGTATGCGCTTTTGGAGGATGGCCTGGAAACTGTTGCCAAGGTGCTCGAGACTGAAGGCCCTTTTGACGGCGTTATCGGATTTTCACAAGGAGCAGCCCTGGCCACCATGGTAGCTTCCTTACTGGAGGGCGAGCCACGAAAGAAAGCATTCGAACACGCGCGGTCGAAATCATCGCTGGCAATCCCTTATCCTACATCGTTCGAGCGGCTCAACCATCCGCCTCTAAAATTCGGTGCTGCATATTGCGGCTTCAAAGCTCCTGGTGAGAGATACACGGGTTTCTACGAGGCACCTCTGATTCAGACACCCTTTATTCATTTTATTGGCAGTCTCGACAGCGTGGTCGATGAGACGCGGACACAAGCATTGGTGGACGCCACGGGAGGAGAAGGAAAGACACAGGTTATCGTGCATCCCGGTGGCCATTTTGTGCCGAGTGGAAAGCAGTATCTTGACACAATCGCCGCTTTTATCAGGGAGAAAATGTCGTCGCCAACTGCCGGCGCGGATCAGGACGAAAGAGTAGAGGATATGGATGTGCCGTTCTGAGTCACATTTTGGACCGATGTGTTGCTAGACATTTCTAGATGATACCCTGTAGACAAGATCTAGACTTAGAATTCCTGACAAGACGAAATGCCATTGTTAAGATGACTCTTTCGCGACTCCACGATGGACAGGCAAAATCCAAACTGCCCCCATAGTCATTGGCTGGAAGGTAGAGACGAGATTCACATCACGTGATATAGCCTTCCACTAGCTAAAAACAGGATTAGCGTGTCCGTTGCCGCCAAGACTGCACCAAAATCGACATCGCTCGCACACTCCTTGAACCCCCGGCACCATTTCTCCTCTGCCTATATCATCGCAGTCGACCTTGTCGCAGCTTCAATCTTTTTCCTTCAGCATCCAGCAAAGTGACGTCTTCAAGTCAAATCCTCGAAACTAATCAATCAAGCCGTCAAAATGGTATGCACCCCCTTACAACGACTGCCCAAGTCAATGAATTGCAAAATTCTCTCCCCGCTTTGTCAAAGCACACGATCAGTGGCAACAACCATCAACTTGAATGCTATTGCTGTCAATCATGGATCTTCATACTAATCAACGTTTATCCAGGTTCTCGCAGTCGATCTCCTAAACCCAACGCCTCAGGCTGAGGCCCGCAAGCACAAGCTCAAGGTACGATGATGACTGAAGGTTTTGAGGAGAATGGGGGCAAAAATCTAACGTGCTTCACAGACTCTCGTCCCAGCCCCCCGATCATTCTTCATGGACGTCAAGTGCCCCGGCTGCTTCACAATCACCACCGTCTTCTCGCACGCCGACTCCGTTGTCCAGTGCGCCGGTTGCCAAACCGTCCTCTGCCAACCCACTGGTGGCAAGGCCAGACTCACAGAGGGCTGCTCCTTCCGAAGAAAGTAGACGACCGGAAAATGAAAATGATTTGATGGCATGTTTTGCTTGATAGAAGATGGATTCCCAGACCCTGTCGCCAACTCACGATGATTGGAGTTCCGGATATCTTGCAAAAAAAGACTTCACGGCATGGCGAGGAAATCTTTTGTGTTCTTCTAGACACACCACACGACAATGACAACCGAGACAGTGGCACTATCTGCTGTCTTGACTTTTTTTCGACCAATGGATGGGGAATGCTTTTTTTCTGCAACAAAACCAACAACGAAAAGTCCTTTAGTGCTTGGGATGACGGGCAGAGGCTGCGGGATTCTGCATGAACATACACTTCCTTTTTCTACATGTGATGTGAGGATGGCAGATCTTGCATGTTGATGAAGCTTTTGACCTAGCGTTCAGGCTGAATCATTGTGCACTAGCGGATGGTCATGTACATTTAGTACAAGCGCAACCAATAAAAAATCTTCCAAAAAGCATATCAAAGTTTTGTTTTATTACATTCGTGCGGTTTCTCGTGTATGTCATGGTGTTGGCCTCTCGTGATGGCCAGCTTCGGCTTCAGTGATGCTTGCCATGATTGCCATGCTTGAGATTTGGCCCATAGTCTCCTTGGTTCACATCTTGTCCCGGGGAATTGTAACTTGTCCTCAGAAAGCTTCGGTACCTCATCCCCAGGGACCATACCTAGATGATTGTGGAACGTTCTCTCTTTCTCTCCCTTTCCAAGGCCACCAACAGCGTAGCGGAATAGACAGGGTAAGCCTAGTTAGAGCACCCTAGACGATGAAAGCCATAGAGAAACCGCACGCCGTGTGTGCTGGTTTCGCTATGTGTACGTGGATGGGTGACTGTGCGGCATCATGTCACTGCCCATATCCTTCATACTCCCCCTTCCACTTTCAGGTCAGTAGCGGTAGACCGTTCTTGAACGGATCGAAGAAGGCCGGCTAGCCCTTCTCTCAATTCTCCATCATCCACGTTCAAAATCTGCTATTATTCGATTGACGAGCTTCCTCTGGTCTTTCTCGGTCAACTCCAACTCGTCCATCTCCCTCAGACACCTGCCCACGGCGCATGTGCCCCTCACGCCGGCCTCGGCACACTCGACCCAGACCTTGCCGTTGCAACCGACGGCGATCTCGAAACCCCCGGGCAACCTGGCGCCCAAGTCGTCCAGAGCCACCACGGCGATCTTCTTGATCAACCGCTCCGCCAGCCCGGGACTCACGTCAAACACCATCCCTCCGCCCGTCAGGGGGCCGAGACCATCCGGCTCCGCCTTGCCCGTGCTCGGATTGACGCAACTCAGCTCGACCTCCATGTTCTTCTGCGCCGAAACGACCTTGGCGTAGACCAGGTCGTTCGGTTTCAGGTTCGGCCGCGTCTTCTTGGTCGCGCCCTCAAACGCCAGCTGTGGCAGCACGGCCGGCGGCGAATGCGCGTTGATGTGGACGTGGAAAAAGTCCACCGACGACCCGCGCACCTGCGCAATCACCAAGTCACCTGGCTTGGGCACGTAGCGCGCGGACGGCGTAGAAACCTGAGCTGCTTTCCTGCGGAAGTCGATTTCCAACAGTCCGCCTACCGTTGCCATGTACTCGTGCGTTGCCGCGTCTTGCTTGAGGCCTCGGCCTATTTTGCGTTTTTGTGATGTAGGCAGTTGAGTTGCCGGGATGATGTCCCCTGGCAGGACGATCTGCGTGGTCGCCATATCGTGAGTTTGCCGATCTCGAAGAAAGCCAGGAGGACAAATAAAGGCGAGACCCTGGAGAATCAATTTGGTAATACTGTTCCTTTGGCCGTAGACTTGAGGTGTCTATGCTGGTCGGTTGTGTTTCTTCACCACCACCACAGAGATGCCAAGACGAGGTAAATCTGATATTGAAGAATCGGGCTAGCGATCCCCTCTGGGAAATGATGCGATGCCGCCCTAACTACTTGCTGAACTCTATATGAAAGTTTCGCCCGCTGCTTTATGGATGGCCGGTACTGGCTTAAGAACTCCCCCTTTTCGTTGCCCGCGTCCTCGCCTCGGTGCCCTTGACTTTGTTCATCTCCTCGTCTTGGTCCCTTGCGCTACGTGACTCGATCTCTATACGTGAAGGATATCGGACAGATAACGTCAAAATAATTGGCCGAACAGAATAGTTCTTCGTTTTGAAGTTGACTGACTCCTAGGAACACAGATAGGGGGCGTCAGCGTGGCTAGTGGGCTAAAGACCCTCACCTCAGCCTTCCATGATCACAGCTGCCTGACCTCAGTATGCTATATGCCATGACGGTGGGTTGTCTGATGCATATGCAACCTAACTTTTAAGCCAGTGTGACGTTATACGTCGTGCCCTTGACAGACTTTAGATGCACAAACTTGCCAGACCCCATGCCCTCGATCTTGATAGAGGTGGCGTTATTGCTGTTGAGACTACCAATCGCGGCTTTCCCCAAGGTCACATACGCCTCCTGGCCCAAGTTTGAAGTGATGCTAGCCCCGGCTAGTGTACCGTTACTCGACCAGCTCATGTTGACTTGGAACCCTCCGCGAGCGACGAGACCAGAGACCGAGCCGCCTCCATTGGCACCCCAGGCCGGCGGAAGGGTAGGCAACAGGCGGATCAGCACTGCCTTGTCGATGTCGCCCGTGTAAGCGGCCCTCAGCAACCCGTTCGCGGTATTGTTGTTTGATGTTGTCGCCACGGTTTCGTGACTCTGCAGCAGAGCCTCCACGACACCGGCAGGCGTGCCGAAGTTGCCGTCGATCTGGAACGGCGCAGGGTACCCGTAGTTGAGCAACGAGGTGTTGAAGGTGCAGTTGTTGAGCTGATTTACAAAGTAGTCGTGCACGATTTCGGTGTCGTACGTCCTTGCGGCGAGCGCCACTGTCCACGCGCGAGGCCAGCCGCAGCTACCGCCGCCATTACTGCCGAGGAAGGAAGATGGCTGTCAGACGCGGATCCCCATGATACAGAAACAAGATATTGGAGGGGTGTACTTTTCCTGGAAAACAAAAAGGAGAAGAAAAGAAGAGAAAGACAAGAAAAATCGAGTGGGGGGGTGTGCCAAAGACTTACTCGAGGCGATGTTTCAGACTCGTCAATGCGGCGTTGAATGTGGTTGTGTTGGACGCCGTGATGCGCCCGAGAGGATAGAGACCTACGAGATGGGACATGTGGCCTATACCTGGCAAAGCCTATCGTTATCGAAGACCGTCAGTGAGCGTCCTTGCGTACAATCATACATAGGTAACAGTCAAATTGATACTGGCCCAGTACCGAACTTACCTCTTCAAAATCCTCGATCCACTCGGCGATGCCGTCATACTGATTAAGTCTCAGTGGAGGCAGCTTCGCCCTCATGGCGGTAACCTGCTCTGCGAGAGCGGTCTCATTACTGATACCCAGCGCGTCTTGCGCTTCCAGGATGAACCCAAACAGCTCCCACAGCAGTGTGTTGTCAATGGTCGGCCCGGCCGTGATGGACACCTGCTGCTTCGAGGCGTTGGGAGCATAGTAGATGTTCTCGGGAGAAAGGGAAGGGTTCGTGACCATGTACTCGCCCCAGGGGGTCAGAAAGTCGAGAGCAAACTCTGCATTTGCCTTCAGCGCAGGGTACATGGTCTGCAACATGGCCGTGTCGCCCGTGAATCTGTAGTGCTCGATGACGTGCGTGATGAGCCAAGTGGCTCCCATCGGCCAAAACGTCGATGAGAGATAGTTGTCTTGAGGGGCAGAGTCTCCCCATAGATCCACATTGTGGTGAGACACCGTTCCAGAGCAGTTGTACATGTCTCTGGCTACCTCTCTGCCCTCGGCTGTCATGGTTTGGATCAAATCGTGCAGCGGGCCGACGAGGTCGGACAATCCTACAAGGTTAAAAATGTCAGATCAAGGTCGAATTGAACTGCGATAGGAAAGATGCTTAGCTGTGTCTCCTTACCTGTCGTCAAACTGGGCCAATAGTTCATCTCTGGATGGAGTGTTAACAGATCGATCACCACAACAACGCTTGTCTTCTCTATTCGACTTACGAAGATTGATATTGATCGTATATTTTGACCCCCACATCGGATCAAAGTCCTCACTCCATATACCTTGGAGATTAGGCGGCAGTGTACCATTTCGCGAAGATGCAATCAACAAGTACCGCGCGTACTGAAAGTACAACACGGACAATTCTGGGTCGAAACTGTTCGGTTTGATCGCACCCATCCTCGCCGGAGTAGACATGTTTCTTTGCTTTTCGGAAGAAGAGCCAAGGTTCAGTTGAAGCCGGTCATAGTACTGCTTGTAGTCTGCCACATGTGCCGCGCGGAGAGTGTCGTATGTATCTGGAGTGAACACGCCCAGGTCCTTGAGCACCGCACTCCGAGTGTCATTTGTCCGAAAAGTCGTGTAGGCAGAGATGTAGATGTATGCCTCATCTGCGCCGTTGCAAAGAACATAGTCTCCAAGCGTGGAGACCTCTCCGCCTGTAGCAACGACTCGTGCGCCGACTGCAGAACCCATTGAGTTTGCCCCTCCGCTGCGGCTCCCCATCACTATGGTGTCACCGTTGACAGGCTGAGAGTAGTCTTCCCAGCGATTGAGAGAGTTTTCATCTCTGTCCAGATGGATGTTGAAGTTGATAGCGCCAGGTTCGCTCGCGTTGAGACGGATGACGATGATATCGGCCGGGTTGCTTGCTAGATATTCACGTTGATACGAGACGTTGGAGTTAACAAAGTATACCCCAGCAGTGGCATCGGCCAGGTCAAGCCATCTCTCGTAATTGGTGATATTTCCTGTTATGTTCTGCTTCAGAGTTAGATACCCCAGTGGCTCGTAGTGTTGGGTGGAAACAGGGGTTCCCGTGTAGCCCAGACTGCCGAGTTCTTGTGCTTGTTGGATGTATCCTTGCCGGACTTGTGCTTGCATTTTTGCCACGCTTTCTACGGCATCCGGGTTGACACGACGAAGCAAAGGGCCGGACCAGTAGGAGTCGTCGTTCAAGGTGACATGGTCAGATGTCGCATCTCCCGGCGAGATGGCACCAAGTCTGCCATTCCCCAGCGGATATCCATCTGTCAGATTCAGTCCTGCCTCATCAGCCCAGATGCGCAATGGATGAGCAGACGAGTTGGGAGGTCGCCCAGCTGCTGTTAGTGCCGGGGTGGACAGAAGCAGCAGTGAGGCAATGGTTCCAAGCACCTTGAACGCTGCCATGACAATGAGATGTACTTGAGGCTGTGGTCTCGATATCAGCCTCTCAAAGAGTCGTACCTTACCTGTTTACCATGGCCTTTTGTATCTATCCATTCAGCCCCTGTGTTAAGTCTTCACAGTGTAGCTGACTGAAAATCCCCGCAGGTTAAATTGTCGATCTTTCGGGGAACATTGACTCAATCCTAAAGCAGCACATTACTGGAAACATACCTTTTAGCCGTAGGTATGCATTTATCCTGAGTGGAGATGTAGACAGGGACTGCTATGAGCGTCTCTGTCGGGACTTTCGCTTGCAAGGTAAATAGGATCTAGGCTGATCACCTGGTGGGCTGGTGATGCCGAAGTGCAGAGCAGGCTCGGTTCCCCCAAGGATAAATTACCGCGCCGCCTTGAGAAAGTCATAGATTGTCATGTTGATCATCTATGTTCCTGGAGAAACACCGACTTTCAAGGTGTGTAATGGGTTGTCTGACTTGATACATCTAATAACTACAGACTAAGATAGGACTGCGTGATGAGTAGGTAGTGATAACTGTTCGCTTGGCTTGAACTCCGTTCATTGGTCTAACCAGAAGTTTTATTTATGCCGCTGTTATGCAACAAACATTTGGGCCTGAGCAGTGTGGTCTCTTAAGATGACCATTTCTCGATTCGCAATTGATGCAGAAAACATGCTTAGTATCTCCGATCAGCTCACGCTCGCTGCTATCAGAGCCCATAGTAAGCAAAGGGTTCCAAGGCCTATGAGATGTCAATTTCCAAGTTTGATCAGTTGATCGTTTCCCATGAGATACAACAGACCCATGCAGGACACTTAGCACTCTCAATTGATGATTTGCGAGGCTGAATGCGGTGATGTTGAGTGCTTGTGAGGCGGCACTTCTCTTTTATAGACTTACGCCTCTGACCTGATCGACTTTCTGCCCAGTATTCGAGACACGTGTTGGCGACTCCTTCACTTGCAGCTGTCAGTGCATGCTGGTTGGGCAGGTTTTGGACTGAAGTTCTCGCAGTGTGCCTTGGACAGAAAGCATTTCACTATCCTTATTGGAGTTTGTGTTATTTCTCCGCCGACCGCTCATCAATGGAAAGAAGAGACCTGGATGAAATACCGTCAGTGTAACGGCTGCTAGTGCTACCATCCTGGATAGCCACTTAGTTAGAAAGGATTCAAGTGGTGTGGTCACAAGTTCACTCACATCCCGTCAAGTATCAAAAATTCAGTTTCGTTTCTCATCAACTGGTTTCCCCAACCGCCAGCCATCTCAGGCAAACTATCGGTAGCAGTAAATTATTAACTCATCCTCTGACAACAAACAAGCAAGGAGAGAAGGTGGCATACCGATATATGGAGCGAATCAACACCGTCACGAAAGCGAAAATCTCAGCGAAGTAGAATAGTCTGAACCTCGTGTGGCTAAATGACGTTGTCTTTCTTGGACACTCAGCTCGCTTTCGATACGTGATAGCGAAATCAAGGACGAGTATGCTGCACATGGTCATAGTAGCGACCTGGATCCCAATGCCCGCCATGATTGTAGTATTACCAGCTTTCATCAAGCTCGGGTTGTCGTTCTTAGCGGTCCCTGCCAACGCACCACCTGCTGCCTGAACCAGGATGGAAAATGCATCGCATCCAATAAAGACCCAGGTGTACAGTCTTGGTTTCAATCTCGAATGTTGAGGACCGCGGTAGATGATGATGTGCTTGAGAGAGAGGTATATTCCGGCGGCAATGAGGGAGGGAGCCATGATTAAGCACACAATCTGTTGAGTGAATGCTGCCCGACTCCAAACGTTGTGATGCAGTTCAATACGCCCGATGTATCCAATGACTTCCATGAGACAGCCAGCTGTGATGGCGATCATGAACGTCCATGTCCGGAAGAATATACCGAGCGCCAGTTGCAGGAAAGCGCAGGTTCCGAACACCACTACAAGTGCATAATTTGCAGGAATATTTGGAATATAGCCGTATGTCGTCCCTGATATCGGGCATCCTGGTGATACGTCGGTACAGTTGTGGAAGTCGCCGTTGACCATGATGGGTGGTCAAGAAAGTTACAATAGAGAAATGTCCACTACGCATATACTACAGTGCACAAACCGGCCTATATATACCTTTCGTTGTAATTGAGGGCCGCGGTTATGATATCTCGACAACCATAGCAATGTGGCTGTGACCAGATCAACAGGTCGATAGCCCACCATTATACGCGGACACTGTCCGCGTACCGCGTACCCCGGGAATTAATGGTGATTAATTCGCTCTCATTGGCCAAGCCTCCATCCCCAAGCGTAGTTTGGTTCGAGAATGGGGCACAGGGCGGGCGACAGACCTTGTTGGGCCTTCGCAAGGCGTGACATGCATTGAGTTGTACAGAGTACGGTATCAAATCCGATGGTCAAGGAAGTGCGCAGCTGGTTGCTTGTACACTTGATAACATTCCGCGTATATGGTAAGTCACCCTGCCAATAGAGTTAGAATAAATCGCTTTCTAGGCCAAGCTAGGTAGGCCAACTTGCTGATGGACCCATGAGATCGCCGGCTCCCACTGCGGCATCAGTGGTTTCAGGGTCATTGACAGCTCAGTAACTAGCATTTTTCCGCATGATTTCCCCCACCATCGCGTCTCCCCGAGTTTGTTCAACAAGATAGCCCAATGCATGGTCACAAGCATCGCAACCGGCTCGTGATCGCTTATAGCGTCGATGATAGTCCCCTCCAGAGTCGCCAGCCACCTCAAACAGCTCCGGCTATCAGCACCAGTCTCCCAGAGGAACAATTGCTCCAGGCTTTCAATGGCAGCAAGATTCGATTCGTGGTAAGACACAGCCCTCAGGGGAGAAGAGGCACCGTCGGAGCAAAGCAGGCGGTACCCTTCATCATTGGCAAGACGAAGTCTGTCCATGGCGGTTCTATGTTCGTGATCCAATTCATCTCGGCACATATGTGGCATTCGGCGGTCGACCAACCCCTGGAAAGCGCCAGTGCTGAGCCAAGTCCGCGCTGAGGAAAAGATGGATACCACACCCTGCAGGAGGCCAAACATAGTCGGAAGTTCTTGTCGTATGTTTGTGGGGTTATTGTCGCGTGGTAAATGGTACGGCAATGCCACAGCAAGCGCCATATTCAAGACTGAGAACGCAAACACAGCTTGGTGGTTGGCCGCAGTCACACGGAGATTGCTTGCCTGAAAGGTGGTGATGGCTAAATTTTGATACTCCAAGGCGGCAAGTTCGTAGGCTTGGGATCTAGAGGGTCTCGTCATCGTAGCGACGTGCAGAGCTGTTATTGAGAAAATGGCATTGAGGAGAAAGGGGTATGTCAAGGCTTCTTGGGGCACCATGAGACGCCAAACATCCCCATCACCGGGTGTAATTCTGAAGCTTTGGTAGGTGTCTGTTGACCAGCGATGAAAAAGCTCCAGCTCTGATATTCTGTCACCGACGATCGCAACCGATGCTTGAAGGGTCTTCTCTCCTGCAAGCTGGGATCTCGGCCGAGGAGAGCGTGTGCTAAGTCCAGGGGGCTCCTGGCCACATTCCACATTTCGAACCCTGCAGTTTGCGCATGGAGGGCCTAACTCATCACACTGCTCGAAAGGTCAGTGGGTGTAGTATAGGCCCATTGGCAGCGTTGAGGTCGCTGGTACGCAATGAGCTTACCTTGATGTGCCGCTTCTTGCAATTGATGCAACCAGTTTTATTCTTTGAGTGGGTCCGTCTTTGTGCCATGGTGAGCAATTGTATCTACGATGTAATGACACTGCAAAGAGATTCGGTGACGGAGCAACAGAGACCAGAGAGCGGACTGCTTTGCGTTCATCGTGCTATAGTCTCTCATCCTGGGACAAAGTGCGACCCGCGAACTGAACTGGAATTCTGAGCCCGCCAAGCAATGAGCGACGGTCTACAGATACCTGCAGCGAGATAGTTAACAGGCCAAATAAGCACCTATCCTGTTCAAGACTAGTCTTTGCTCACATTTCCGTGAGCAGGGCCGAGATATCATGCCAACACTATACTGTACTGCGCTTCAACATCAACGAAATTTCGTGTTGCAGCATGGGTTATCAAAAAGGGGGAAACACCATTTGAAAACCATCCGACCCCTCGATATCCAGCTTGTACCTGTTTACGGGAAGACCGGCAGGCTATGAAAGACACATTGTCTCGTAACGGTCGTAGAGCAGTAGAACGCAAGGCACTGAAGGCGTCCCGCCGAGTTCCCAAATCCCTCGTGGCAGTTCTAGAACTATTGAGGCTGTGGCCATTCGTCCATCATATACTCATTCCCAGTCAACTCAAACTCCCATGTTGTCTGCGTGGGCACATCCACAAGTACTGTGTAGCTCCCGGGATAAAGTATCTGGTTGCCGTTCTCATCGTACCTTGACAGCGAGCCGAGGGTAAAGTTTAGATCGGCTGTCTGACTGCGACCCGGCTCAACGCCAAAGAGTCTCTGGTACGCTACAAGAGATTTCAGGGGACGTGGTGTAGGTCCATAAGCCCCGGAAATGAAGGCTAGGGCGACAAAATCGGAGCCTGTACTGCCGGCATTGGTAACGTTGATAGATACGGATGGTGATGAAGCTCCCGATGGACGAAATGGGCACTGGTCAATGTGGCTGTAGGAAGCGAAATCGCAAGCGGAGACAAGAGACTGAATATCAAAGGATGTGTTCGCCGCGGCCTTGATAGCAGTCGTGAAATTTGTGTAATGCAGCCCATAACCGAATTCCACAGTAGCGTTGTCGAACCATTTGTACGTGCGTCCAGGGTTGCCAGTCTGTGGGTTGGGTCGTAAGTTCATGTCTGTCATAGCTATTTGATGAACGTAGTCCACAGGATACTGCGTCACGGGCATCCTGGCAGCAGGTGAAACCTTGCCCGTGATTACGTTGATGAGTGCCTCTCCTCCAAACATTCCAGGATAGCCTGCCCAGACAATTGAGCTAACATTGGGGTTGTTAAGAAAGGCGGAATCGTCGACCTGCTCTCCCATATGTGCAACAATCAGTGGCCGTCCTAGAGTAGCCAACATCTCGACGGCGTCAATCTGGAGGTTGTCCCACTGAATCGTGTTCCGGTCTTCGCCTTCCGCGGCAGCTTCGTTGGTGGCATCGATCCACAGAATAGCATCCGCTTCGGTATCAATGGCGCGAATCATAGGAGATTCATACCACTGGACAACGATGACTTCGATATTGGAGATGTTCTGCAGGGCCATCCATGGAGAGACTAACGTCCTAGCTGGGCCAGCATAGTTCCCTTGTAGTTGTGTGGTGGCGTTGATCCAGCCCCCAGCGAGGAGGAGTGTCATGTTTCGGTCCTTAGGAGGAGTCAAAGGAAGAGTGCCGTCATTCTTGAGAAGGACTACGCCCTCCTCGGCCACTTTAAGTGCAAGGCCTTCAGCTTCAGGCGTAGACACATTTTCCCATGTCAGTGATCTCCACGGAGAGTCTGGAGGGTCAAAATATCCTGCCTTGATAAGACCTGAATATAAGCGTAGAAGAGCGCGATCTAAGCTTGATTCTTGAATGAGACCCATTGCCAGAGCCGAGGGGAGATATGTCGGATTGTAGAAGCCGCAATCTACATCGACACCGCTATTTAGGGCTGCTGCGACAGTCTGCTGCCTTGTTTCGAAAGCATGATGGTCTGTGAACATGTTCTGAATGGCTGTGCAGTCGGAAGTTATGTAGTTCTCATCTGCGGTCCAGTTCCAGTGGCCCCGGAGGATCGAGTCAATGTTGTATGAGTTGGCACATGCAGGCACTCCATTGACAGCATTGTAAGAACACATGATAGACCCTACCTTAGTGTCTCTCGCGCACTGCTGGAACGGCTGCATGTAGAACTCGCTCAGCTCCTGGGTGCTGACTATAGCATTGAAGCCATAGCGATTGTTGCCTTGCCATCCCTCCAAATCGTAGGCGGCGAAGTGCTTGCACGTGGCAATGATCTTGTATGGGGCAGGATTGCGACCACCCTGGAGACCCGTGACAAGGCTGTCAATGTAACGCTTGACCACGTAAGTGTCTTCACCTGGTGTCTCTTGACCACGGCCCCACCGGGGGTCGCGGAATGGATTGATGTCTGGCGTCCAGTAGTCAAGGCCCGATCGATTGGCATTGTTGTAAGCTCGTGCTTCAGTGCTGATCGCGTTTCCGATGGCGTAGAACAGATCATCGTCGAATGATGAGGCCATAGTTATCGGCTGAGGGAAGGATGTCGCATATGACCAGTCGCCTGAATCACTGAAATTTACTCCAGGGGCGGAAGCAACCCCATGGAGGGCTTCTCCCCACCAGTTGTAGGACGGTAAGCCCAGCCTCGGAACTCCTGGAGAGTTGTTGTGTGTCAAGTTGAGCTTCTCGCTCACTGTCATGGCGCTAACAAGTGCCTGAGCTCGATCTCGTGTTGGCAAAGCTGTATTACAGACGGAGTTATTCGCAAGAGGACCATGTCGGCAGTCGGGGTGCTCCTGTGCCAACACCAAGGCCGGCAGGAATGCTAGTAATAAGATCATCTTGGCCGAGTGCTCTGTGGTACTTGAGTTTTCATCAACGGATTCTTCTGGTCAGTATCACTTCAAGAAAGCCACCAGCCTCGCACAGCTTAAGTATCATGGGATGAAGTTCAAATCAAATGAGCCGCCAGTTCTCCATCGAAGAAGAAGAATAGCCGAAATACAAATGCTACGACTTGCCTTCGTAGGAAAGCTAGGCCCCTCGCGACATGGCTGGTGCAGTATCGTTAGGTCCACGAAGATCTGCCGAACTGGAGGCCCCAGTCATGCCTCAGGATACAAGTTCGAGGTGGAGTCAACTTGGCCCATTGACGTGCAGTGGGATCTTGATGCAAAATCGTGAAGCTCTGTACAATGACGCTGCGAGGGACAGTCAGGAACCCAGGAAGATTGCTGCTGTAGCTTGTCGATGATCTGTCGACCCCGGCCCAGCCGTCGAAGAACTTCTACTGGACAGGATGAATTCCTGATCCCCGCAAGTTGTGGGGTGAGCTTGTACTGTAAGTACTCTTAAGTACTCGTATAGGTCTCTGCAAGTGTTTTAGCCGGCACTTGTCCTCTCCCAGGAAGATCTGTCTTTCCGCCCCAGGTTAAATTCATCAGATCTCACGCAGTCCTCCAATTTGGCTGAGGTTAAACAGTTGTGGATGCTGCTATAATATTGTATGGAAAACCTCCGCTCAAACTCCGGACTTAGAGGTGTCGTACTTGTGTCGTATGCACGGGTAAAAGGGAGGATATTCGCCTCGGAGTGGTAAACACCGAAATCTGCGTCTGCCACTGCACATCAGCTTGTGCAAGCTTTGAACAACGTTCCAGACGTTGAGCTGGCATCGGCAGGTAGATTGGCCTACTCGCGATCAGTATGTATGTTAACGGTGTAATTATGAACCAGTGGCGATAGTGACTATAAATACTTACTGGAAGATCCGCCTGTGAATAATCCGTTAGCTTATCCGACGAACTTCTCCTCCGCGAACTTGGAAGCGCCCACCAATGCCTGGCCTTCGAGAAGTCCGCCTCAGCATGGAATCAGCTTCTGCCGAGACGAGGATACATCTGCTTTCCTTGCGGCCATTTATGATACTGACCGTTTCCCGAAATTTGAGCATTCAGTCGAGAACTGATCGCTGTTGCGGCTCGCTGCCGATACTCGAGGATCCACTTTATCATGTTGTCACTGCAGAAATTAAATGAAACGCCGGCAATTTGGCCGCCGACCTGCGGCCGTCTCTCAGCCGAGCAATATATCGTTTTTGCTGCCCCCCGCGATTTCTCAGTTGGTCCAATCCTGCATATCCTTAACCAATAATCAGTATCAATATGGCTGACATTCGAGAAATCCGCTGGCAGACGCCAGACTTGACCGTCATCCTGACAATTGAGGCTGACCAAATTGTGCGGTTGAAGGAGATCAAGCCTGTTGAGGGTTCAAGGATTCCACAGGAGTCAAGTCTGTTTTCAGAGTCGTCCTTACCACTGACCGAAATTCGCCTGGCGGGGGAGGGCACCGATGACACCAAGAGTTCAAAGACGCTGGTCTGTGGTGCAGTCACCAAGCGCTTGAAGTATCAAAGCCACCAAGAATCGGCTAATGGCCAGCATCAGTCACTGGAAATCACGTCGCATGACCATATCTCGAAGCTGACAGTGACTGCAACTCTTGTGGCTTACCCAGGAACTCCGGTTTTGCGTTCTTTTGCGACGGCACGAAACGACGGAGATACAAACATCATCCTTTGTCAGGCTACTTCACTGGTTGTTGGTGGTTTGACCGGAGGTAGTCGTGAATGGTATCATGACTACGTGGCCTCAAGCGCAACGAACACCTGGTTCCGAGAAGCACAATGGCATGACCATGACTTGCCAAGTATTGGCTTGGATAGTATTGGGGTCTGCGAACTGAATCAGGGTCACCTAGGGGGTCACACCAGTTACTCTGTGTCAAATCGTGGAGGATTCTCCACAGGAGGCATGCTCGCCATGGGCATGTTGAAAAGAAGAGACGGTCAAGATACATGGCTGTGGCAGATCGAAAGCAATGGATCCTGGAGGTGGGAACTGGGAGACTTCAAGGAGGACATCTATGTTGCAATCAGCGGCCCTACCGATTTCAACCATAGCTGGAAAGAATGCCTTGGGCCCGGGGAGAGCTTTACTACCGTACCCTGCGCAATTGTTCATATTTATGGAGGAATCGACGTGGCGTTTGGAGCTTTAACAGATTACCGAAGACGCATCCGACGGAAGCATGTGGACAACGAAGAGCTTCCTATCATCTTCAATGACTACATGAATTGTTTGATGGGCGATCCTAATGAAGAGAAGATAAAGGGCCTCATTGGGCCTGCAGCCTATACTGGCGCAGAATATTTCGTCGTCGACGCCGGCTGGTACGCAGATACGACGGACTGGTGGGATAGCGTCGGTGAGTGGAAGCCTTCAAAGAAACGGTTTCCCAACGGATTTAAATCTGTTCTCGATACCATCCGTTCAGCAGGAATGAAGCCAGGGGTCTGGCTTGAACCAGAAGTTGTGGGAATCCGGAGCAGCATCGTGGAAGAACTCCCTGATGAGGCCTTCTTCCAAGAGAATGGACGACGTACAGTGGAGAAAGGCCGCTATCAGCTCGACTACCGCTCCCCAATTGTGCGACACAGGATGGACAAAATTGTTGATGAACTGGTCTTGGAGTATGGTGTTGGGTATTTCAAGTTTGACTATAACATCGACGTCGTCTACGGGACAGATTTCAAAGCGTTTAGCTCTGGTGCAGGCGCACTCGGCCACAATCGCTCCTATCTAGAGTGGGTGAGCAAGATCCTTGATCGCCATCCCGGGCTGGTCATCGAAAACTGTTCGAGTGGTGGGCAGCGACTTGACTATGCGCTGCTTGCTATTCACTCGGTCCAGTCAACAAGCGACCAGCAAGACCCTGTCCGCTACGCCGCTGTGTCCGCTGCAATTGCCACAGCTGTTACGCCAGAGCAAAGTGCCTCATGGGCATACCCCCAACCCGAGTGGAGCGACGAAATAAACGCTTTGACTGTAATCAACAGTTTGATGGGGCGCGTTCACCTTAGTGGTGCCCTGCACCGTCTCAGCAAGCCGCAACTATCGCTCGTGCGCGAGGGCATGGATGTTTATAAGCAATTCAGGTATGATGTTAAAAGTAGCAAGCCGTTTTGGCCGTTGGGGCTGCCTGGCTGGCACGACGATTGGATGGCCGTTGGGCTGAAAGCTGGATCGTGTCAGTATCTTGCTGTCTGGCGTCGAGGAGGTGACGATTCCTGTTCTCTGCCAATATCTGGTGCGAAGGAGAACATTGCCATGGCAGCAGAACTACTATATCCAGTGGGTTTCGGGGTGGATTGGACTTGGAATTCAGAGAAACGTGAGCTAAAACTGAAGCTTCCGTCAACTATATGCGCGAGGCTCCTGAGGATAAGCGAACGGCAAGCTGCTTGATTGTGTGGCCTAAAGTCCCAAACAGATCATGGTAACACCTGAGGTAAGTTCGTTGCAAAGAGCATGATAGAGAAGCATGGCATGAGCATTGAAGACGACCCAACATTTGCCTGAAGTTTCTCACCTGACCACGTTAAATGTATTCCACACGACTAAAGCCTACTGACAACGGTATACGATCAAGGTTTGTGACGTGCTACTGTAAACACCCGAGCAGCGTTTGATTTCTGGAGACTTTCCACATTCGTTCGTCTCGAGATCTTCTGAGCCTTGTCGAAACAAGGGCGTCTATCGCGAGGACAGCCACTCACAAACCCCGTGCAGGATCTCAATTGCAGCATTATCCCCTCTTAGCCTCTGAACGGAATAAAAGCCTCCAGATCCACTAACTCCCCGCTCCGGGTAAATGAAATGGGGTGATGTTGGGGAAGATGATCCACTCACTCCTCACTACTTTATGGGATCTGGATCTGGATTTTACGCGGGGGGAAATTTGACAGTCAAAATGTCCGTCTCTCAGAGAACACCTCAATCACAATTACCCTAGGGACAAATGCAACCCTTGTGAGACCTCGCTCTCTCCATAATGAGCCAGGAGCCTTCAATAGGTCCTCAATCGAGGAAGCGGACACGGCGGGCATGTGACAAGTGCAGCAGTTCACGAGCGCGATGCGATGGCCAGTGTCCTTGGTAAGTATCTCTCTGTGGCCGGGTCCTAGGCACTACGTTGACGGTCATCTAGCCGCCGTTGTCAAGAATATGGCCATGCGTGTCAATATAATCGAGATTTGAGAAAGAGAGGTCGAAAACCTGGTTTTCGCCTGCCTGCCACAGCCTCAGGCGACCAAGTTGACGATACATATGCGCCCAATGGAGGAGGCATTTCTACTCACACCGCAGCTGGAACGCAATCTCCCCCAGACCAATTGAATGAGCTTGGCGATGTTGTCGATCATGAAGATGCCCTTCCGCAACATGATTCGCTTCGCTCAAAGAACTTCCCGGAGCAACCTGGAACGGAAAACAATGTATCAATTGCTCCTGCTCCGGACTTCCATGGGGCGTCTCCTATTGCACCATCTCGTGCAGCGGGACTTCTTGGGCCAATAATCCACAGCCCAACGCTTCCTCTTTCAACTGGGCTGTTCGATTCTGGCCCAAGTCAAGACCTATTCGGCCAAACACCACAAACCCCTGTATCTGAGAGACGGCCAAGCACCTCTCAGGTTTCAGGAACTGAAGTGCGAGCTCATCGCCCATACAAGTGTCTGCAACCGCTTCTTCCTCTTCTCGAAGGCATAATTGATGCCGACGAAGCGTGTGAGTTGCTCGAATTCTATTTTGCTCAGCCAGGAAGCTCTCTGTTCAAGTCTGCCTCACCATACATATTGAGCCATGTGTTTCGCAAACGCTCTTTGCTCCATCCAACGAAGCCGCGCAGGACTACCCCTGCACTGACATGCACAATGCTCTGGGTGAGCGCCCAAACGGCAGATATACCGCACCTTCTCCTTCCAGGTCAGCGAAATACAGTGTGCGAGGCACTGAGAAAGCTATGTATGCGGCTCGTCCAAGCAAGAGATCTTGACTGCTGGGAGCGCCTTCCGGGAGGGAAGTTAGTGGAGAGATATCCCTCTGTCCTAGAGACCACACAAGGAGGGACCAGAAACTCGGCAATCTTAGAGAACGAACCTCCGGAAAATACGGTCGATGACGTTCTGACTTTTATCTTAATTTGCATTGTTATCTCTGGAAGTGATTTCAAAACAGATTGCCAGGTCTGGTGGAATAAGGCTGTGAGATTGATGTATGGCATGGGCTTAAATCGACAAGACATGACATGCAGCAACCCCGGTGCAAGCTGTCTTACCACTTCGTGCAGATGCAGACAGTCCGACACCTCGAACCATTCGTTGGAGTCGCTAGAAGCTCAGGAAGAGAGTCGCCGAGTCTTCTGGCTTCTCTTCTGTCTCGATCGTCACCTTGCTCTTTCGTATAACTCGACGATGTGTATTGGAGATGATGAATGCCAGGTTTACACCCCCTTACCAGAGGACGTGTGGAATAATCTGGAAAGTGCTCCCCTGGAGCTCCTAACCTTACGAGCCTACGGACCGCCAACCTTGGTCACTGGCACAGGTCTCTTCGACTGGTTCTTACCTCTGATGACGATCCTGGGTGATGTGATCCATGTCCACCATCGTAAGCTACATCCACGATTTGGGTCCCTTGCTGATGAAGATGCTGTATCTCTTGTCGAAGCGTCTCTAGACAATTGTGCACGAAGCATCGGTGAAATTGAAAACCGCTTTGAAACTGGTGGTCTCGACGGAACTATACCTGCCAGCGAGTTCCTCTCCCCGAGTTCGGGGTACCAGGACACGCCATTCAGCCAACCATTTGATGCAACGGCATCTTACAGACCGCGAGGTCGCGCGCAGGCACAGCTGGTGACTGTATATGGCACATTCATCTTGCATGTCCTCCATGTGCTTCTCCACGGCAAATGGGACGCTGTCTCCATGCTTGAGAATGACGATGGCTGGATAACGTCGGTGCAGTTCATGAAATGTGCATCCCACGCCATTTCTGCATCCGAGGCCGTTTCCCAGATCTTGCGTTGCGACCCAGAGTTAACATTCATGCCTTACTTGTTCGGGATCTACCTCCTACACGGAAGTTTTATACTCCTTCTCTTCGCAGATCGCATGCCGCAGCTGGGTCCCAATAAGTCTGTCGAAACAGCTTGTGAGACAATCATTCGTGCGCATGAAGTATGCGTGGTGACGTTGAGCACAGAATTCCAGGTAAGCAGAGTACCTCTCTCATTTCAACCTTCTCCGACTAAAAGTCCGTGCTCCTAGAAACGCTTCCGCAAGGTTCTTCGCTCAACGCTATATAGCGTAAGGAGTGCTGGAGCCACAAATGCGGAAGAGAGCAAAGCTCGCCGCAGAGCCCTTTCTTTGTACCGCTGGAGTAAAGGCTCCAGGGGGCTAGCCTTGTAAGCTATAGGGACAGAGTAAGCGCGCATCATCGAACTGAACAACCGGGAATCTTTATCAAAGTCCCAGTCCTGTTACTCGTAAACACCCGATGTTCCCGGGAATGTCCCCCATCCACATAGAAACCGAAGGGAGATTTTGCAATCCACCTTCACTAAGCTGATACTGTAATATCCGTGTCATTGAGCGGCAAGAAAGAACCAAACCTCGAACCAATCTCTTGGGATTCTGGGCTTGGTGATCATTACCGACAAAGCGGCATTTTTCCACCCTCTAATCCTGTTCTTTACATTTAACCGGATGTCGGCTATCCGTACAAGCAACGAAGACGGAAAGGTTCGTTCGCCTATTGTATATGATCGTGTGCACTTTCTCGGTCTGGTATCCGCCCCCGCGTCTCAGATCTGGGGCTCCGCACTAGGGTTAATATGCCGTCGGGTCATATCCAATATCTCCAGACTCAACGCACCACAAGTTCGGCTCGCAACGTATAGGACTTTGCTTCACGCGGCACCAAACCAGGTAATGTTCCGGTGGAGCTCTGTATCTTAAACATCTTCCCGCCCATCTTCTATCGTAGTCTGTCCATCGAGCCACACCTAACTCTAATCAACGCCTTACCGTACCAATATGGAGACTGAGAAGGTCGTCCCTACTGAGCGTGAGCTCAGGAATTTCCAATTAAGCAACCCTGATACTATCAGTCTCATCCGACGTGCGCAGGACAGCGATGCTGCCGACCGAAAGTTGACACTTCTTCAGGCTGTGAAGAAATACAAGAAGGCTGTCTTCTGGAGTTGCCTTCTTTCCACCGCCCTGGTCATGGAAGGCTACGATATTGTTATCGTTCGTACATGGTGTTACTTTGCTGTCACAGCCAGATAGCTGATTTTTTCGCAGATCAACTCCTTCTTTGGTCAGTCACAGTTCAAGGAGCGATTCGGAACGGTCAATCCTGCAACTGGCCAAAAGATAATCACTGCTCCATGGCAGTCGGGTCTTGCAAATTCTGCCCTGGTCGGTGAACTGGCAGGTCTCGTTGCCAACGCATTTGCCCAGGACAGGTTTGGTTGTAGACCGACATATTTGTTCTTCATGGCCTGGCTGTGTTGCGCTATTTTCATTTCAGTGTTTGCGCCCTCTCTGCCAGTCCTAGCCTTTGGTGAGGCAATGTCTGGGATCTCCTGGGGCGTCTTCCAAGTAAGCTGTGCTGCCGCAAGAAAGAAAGAAAGATCCGTGACCATGCTGACACAATAAGACCCTGACCACTGCTTATGCATGTGAGATCGTTCCGACCGTCCTACGCTCCTATGTCACTGCCTACGTTTGTCTGTCGTGGGGTTGCGGTATTCTCCTCTCGTCCGGAGTCCTCCGGGCTGTCACTGGCCTTGAGGGCAACCTTGGCTGGCGGTTGCCGTTTTGTCTTCAGTGGATTTGGCCAGTTCCACTGTTCATCGGCGCCTTCTTTGCTCCTGAGTCTCCCTGGAACGCGGTGAGACGGGGCGAGTACGACCTTGCAAGAAACTCCCTTTTGCGTCTTCGTTCGGCCAGTCCAACAAAGGAGCAGGAGGTGGACGCCACATTGGCATACATCAGACACACCACAGAGCTCGAGAGAGCAGACACTGAGAAGGCAAGCTTCTTCGAATGCTTCAAGAGCACTAACCTGCGTCGAACTGAAATTGTGAGAAAGCCACCCGTCTATCCTTTGAAGCCTTCAATGGCAACTGACAAGCTGGACCCTAGAATTGCATGACATGGATGTCACAGATTTGGGATGGAAATCCACTCACCAGTTACGCCGTCGTCTTCCTCGAAGCCGCAGGATTTGACGAGGTTCAGACGTTCGATATCAACATCTCGATCAGCGCGTGTTTTGTGATTGGCGTTCTCATCTGCTACGCCATCTTTCCATTCTTTGGCAGGAAGACAATCTATCTATCGGGCCTATCTGCGATGTTTTGCATTTTGGTTACGGTAAGCCATGAAAGCTTTCTTCAGTTTACCCCTTCAATCTAAGCTTTTGTATCTGATTACCTGACTGACACTGTTGTGACATTACAAGATTGGCGGACTGGGATTCAACCACACCCACAGTTCACAACTTGCAATAGGCATTCTACTGGTGATCTGTACTTTGGTCAACACGATTTGTATGGGGCCAACGTGCTATCCCATTGTGGCCGAAACGCCCTCGGGACGATTGAGATACAAGACCATCGCCATCGGAAGATTCGCCTACAACGTGGCGAGCGTGATCCAGAATACAATCACTCCGCGCATGCTGTCTTCAACCTGTGAGTGGATTTTGGTTCCTGGAGTTTGTTGTTAAACTGACTTTGTTTTGCACAGCCTGGAATTGGGGCGCCAAATCTGGACTTTTCTATGCCGGAACCAACATGCTGTGCATCATTTGGTGTTACTTCCGCCTCCCAGAGACCAAAGATCGCTCATTCGGTGAGATTGATCTTCTCTTCGAGAACAAGGTGCCCGCGAGGAAGTTCAAATCTACGAAAGTCGATCGTAAGTTGGCTACTGTCAAACTGTCAAGGCTGGGAACGGGTGCTAACCATATGTTTCTTCTGTACAGAATTCGCCCATGGTGCCATCTACGAGGCCAAAGCAGAAGAAGCTGGTCAGGAGACATCTATGCATGTGGATAAAGTCGAATAACCTGGCAACGAGGCAAACTATGAAACGCAATTTGCATCGTGAAAGGAAGGGGCAAATCACCATTTGGTTTTGACGTGGTTTTGTTATCGACCCATTGAACTTTTGACAAGCAAGGAAGATCATGAAAGTGTACTGAGGAGGTTTGGCAATGGCCTCTCGAGAATGAAGGTGGTTAAACTGTCCTATCTATTGTCTGAGTGATACATCGACCATGTTATCATCAAGGCACAAGGCACAAGGCAAAGGGAAAAAAAGTCTTGTCTTGAGCTATTGTATAAACAAACCCACCAAAGCACTCCACACGCATTCTTTTTTTATCTCCTCTAGGCCTCTCTACTCTCCTCCCTCATCTCTCGTATCTCGCTCCGAAACGAAAACCAACCGGACCCAAAAAAGGTGTGGGAAGAGCAGGTTGTTGTATTCCATTACACGAAGTGCCTGCCATGCCGATGCCGATGCCGTTGAGTACTATTTGGAAAAGAGGAAAACCAAACCCAGACGGTAGGGGGCTCAAAAGGAACCCCCTGCCGACCGGTATACACGATCCGTTCTGGTCATGGTCTGATCCGTGGCTTTTTTTTCCCTTTCCTTTCTTTCCTGCTTCTGCCTCTTGTTTCATTTATGCACTGCCGTTCGAAGTCACTTGAGGAGCCTTGACTTCACCTCTGACACCGCCCTTGCCACCGACAGGTCGGGCGGTAATGGAAAGGGCCAGTTCAGCGTCAACGTTGACCATGACTTCAATCTTTGATCCCTTCTTCAGGCCCTTGAACACGAATTCAGCCAATGCCTTCTTGGGCGTCCAGACCTTCTCGCGGATCTCCTCTGGTTCGTCATCCTCATCATCATCGTCTGAATCGTCGTCATCATCGTCGTCCTTGGCGCCGTTCGTCTCTGGTTTCGGTTGAGCTTCGGCCTGCGTGACTTTTATTTCCCGGTCTCCTTCGGAGATACGGAGCAGAACGTCACCCTCCAGGCCCTCGATAACTTTCGTCCTTCGTGCAGGCACCGCTGTGTCTGGAGGGATGATGACCGAGAACGAACTCGCTGGCTGGCCAGTGACTTGGTACCCGATTGCGGCTGTGAGGTGTGGTGTGACGGTGACCATCTCGTGGGTTGACTGGTCGATGTCCTCCTTGTCAAATTCTTGGATCAGAGAAGCTTGCAGCGCAGCGCCTCTCGCCGAAAGTTCGGATGGGTTCAAGGCTGTTGTCGATGTTGTGGGAGCCAGAACCTGCGTGGATTCAGGGAAGAAGGCCTCGATGTTCTTTGCGATCTTTGGGGTGTTGGATGTGCCTCCAGATAGCACAACCTCGTCAATGTCAAGCACGTCCAAGTCGGCCTTCTTGATGGCCTCCTCGATCAGGCGGGTGAAGCGACCAAAGGTTTTTAAAGCCAAGATCTCATAGCGGCTACGGTTTACCGTCGATCGGAAGTCGACGCCGTCCGCGAGGCTCTCGACGCTGAAGGTGGCACTGGTACTTTGACTCAGAGTCTTCTTCACCGCCTCTGACTCGAGCTTCAGCTTGGCCAGGCTTCTCTCGTTCTTGCGGGGATCGGACTTATGTTTCTTTTCGAATTCCTTGGCAAAGTGGTCAACGAGGACTTGATCAAGCTGCGAGCCGCCCAGTTCGTAGTCGTGGGCAGTGGCCAGAATACTGTACATCCCACCTCTTGAGGCGATGACGGCAACGTCGGATCGGTTGCCGCCGAAATCTGCAACGACGACGTTCTTGTCGGTGGCAGCAGAATCGAAGGATCGGGAGTCGTACGCGAGTAAGGCGGCAACTGGCTCCGGGATGAACTGTAGGATTTCGACATTGATGGCTGCGGCGGCTTTTGTCAGGGCGGCCTTTTGTTCCTCGCTCGTGTCTGACGGGACAGCTACGACGGCAGCATTGACACTCTTGCCAGTGAAATCAGACGCCGAGTTCTGTAGTCGCCGCAGATGTCTCGTCGAAATCTCGGCTACAGATAGAGTGCTCTGTTCACCGTCTTCCTTCTCTTGCACGGAGAACGAGATTTGGCCGTCCGCTTCGATGGGATGCGCCGAGGCATGGCACGGCGTAGGGTCTATGGCCTTGTAATCTTTTCCGATAAAGTCTCTAAAGTATGCGATTGTGTTCTTGCTGTTTCGGACCAACTGCGATTTGGCCTGGGTACCGTGGAATTCCTCTCCGCCCACATATGACAAGATGGAGGGAATTTGTCGATCTCCTTCTTCGTTGGCAATGACCTCGACTTTCCCTTCTCCCGAGATGTGTGCTATTGAACTGTAGGAGTTTCCAAAAGAGATACCAATTGCGTAGTGTTCGGGGCTTGCGCCCGTACCGTTGGCGTTGTCGCTCATGGTCCGCAGAAGAAAAAGCCTACAATGCGACTTTGTCGGTGAGGAGGAGGAGGGAAGAATATGGACGGTGGGACGTCTTGAGAGTCACTCTCGGGTCGATGGAATGTGCAATGCTCTTCTTCCAAACAAAGGTCTGAAAATCCGTCGAGGGAACTTTTTCATTGCCTGCCACTAGAAATTTTAATCCAAGGAAACTCAGCCGAGCTGCAGCCTCGTCGGCGGGGCCGCAAAGGTATCGTATGTATGTGGGTATGTGCACAAAAAGGTTCCCGGCTTCCACATGATTCTCCATGTTATGTCTTGCTTCTAATATCATACCGCAAACAACTAAATGATATTGTCTCTTCGTGCTTTTGATATTACAATAAACAGCAGAATGCCTCACTTTGTCTTTCTCCAGCCGATAACAAAAGTCGAGTTCATGCAGAAGACTCGGTAGAAGCTTGAGCCTCTCAAACTGTGCCGTCTCGTTTCGAATATCCATCAATTGCTATTCCGAGCAAGGTCTCGTCTCAGGAAATAACGCCTTCCAGTCTTCCCCCTCTCCTCTGAGCCTGACGGTGGCTATGATGTCGAGTTGCCTCCATTGTTGTCCTGCTGCTCTTCGTCGCTCGGCTGAGCCACCTTATTTTCACGGCTCTTTCTCTCTGCGAACAGTGCGAGCAATCCTAAATCGTAAGTAGCCTTGAGAGATCCAGCGGCAACGAATGCCACCCAAAAATGATTCTTAGTGCCAAGAACGCCAGTGATGACAGGACCCAAGCTTTGGGCACAAGTTTTGACAACGTTGATCGTGCCCATAACAGCCGTGCGCTCATGTGGCAGTACTATGGCGGCCAGGAAAGCCGAACGTGGAGCCACGTCCATGACTTGTGTGCAAGAACGACCTATGAGGAAGACAAGTGCACCTGCCAACGTAGAAGGAATTGGGATCAGAGCCAAACATATAGCGGAAGGCAGATGCGTGAACACCATGGTCTGCAGAAGGTCAGTACATATCGCCCAAGTGAACAGACGCAATCGCCGCGCACCTTGACGTTTCCGATCCTCTTCGATATGGACGATGCTACAAGCATCGACAGAGCGGAAATTACTCCCGTTACTGAGAATATCGAGCCAAGATTTCCTTCCGACAGATTGAATCTTCGTTTGAAGTAGAAGGTTACCCAGGAACTATATTCATTAGTGGATGCGGGAAGCAGGACTCAGGGATGGGGGCGGCTTACACTGGAGCCAGGCCTGAGGCAAAATTATCGAAGGCAAAGAGAATGCACAGCTGAATCAGCACGACCTTGCTCTCCTTGCTGATGTCCGGGAGGAGATTCCAGCGCTTCTTCTTCTTTTGGGCTGCCGCGCCGCTGTCTCCGAGAAGCGGCGAGGTTTCGCTGGGGTTTGCAGCTTTTGGCTGAGTATTGACTTCACACTCCTTGCTCAATAGAAGGGCCAGGCAAAGCTTGATCAGCCCGACGATAGTATAGATCAAGTAGATGACTCGATAAGCTTTGATCGAACTGAAATGCTTCTCGTCTCGAAGGAAGGTGATGATCCATCCGCAGCTAACGAATCCCAAAGCGGTGCCGGCTGTGCCTATAAGAGAATACCAAGCATAGATGTCGCTGCGGTCCGCACTGGCCGTAAGATGCGCAAGTGTTGACTCCTCGACCGCCCGAAATGGTCCAATTTCATTCCCACTGAGATCCAGTTAAATATGCACCTCAGTAGGGGTGTCGGCAAGTGACATACCTTGGGCTAATGACCCCAATGATGGCTCCTGCAAGTAGCACCCAGTAGTTCCCGCTGAGGCCAAATACTATGCCAGCCACACTCATCAACGCAGCTCCCAGCACAAGAATCCAACGACGGCCAAGTTGGTCGGCCACGAGTGTCAATAGGAAGCTGATGAACACATCGCCAATCAATGTCAGCGTCATAAACAACCCGATTCTAGCATCGGCGATTCCTAGATCCGAAAGATATGAAGCCAGAATCAACGTCGAGCCACCGTAGGCAAAGAGACGGACGAAACGCTGGAGGATGAGAATCTTGGTATCTGTCGAGGCATGGAACAACGTCACAAGGCCAAGTTCATTGAGCACCGCTCTCAACGGTCGTAAAACCTTCGAGGCTGTACTGCCGTTGCTGCCCTGCTCTTGTTCGTTCGTCATGATGCTATTCTGTTTTGCTTTAATGGCGGTGCGTCATTTGAGAAAGCTTCCCCGACCGGAATATTTGTAGGCACCACGGATGCTCAGTCTTGCTCAGTCAGCAACTTGTCTCGCCAGCTCTAGCCATCTTGGGAAATCGTGAGCGAGAAAGACTCACGTCACAAAAAGTTCCCGTCATACGAAGTACAGCGAACAGAGACAATGAATAGAACGCACTTCCCTCTTCGAAGTCATGTCCAGCTCACTTTGAACGGCTTCGATGCACTGGATCATCTTCAATGGGCTTTGATTAGAAACGTGCTTGCCCTCTACGAGGCCATGAAGCCCGCGCTGTTGATTCTTCAACAAGTGTAGAAATACCAAGGCATCATTGGCAGGTTCTACATGATTGCATATTCCACTGGCCCCTCACACCACCGTCTTGAAGAAATTGAAAGTCTTACATCCCTCCGAACGAGAACGGAGGATCGAAGAGAGCGACAGACTCATTCCGGATCTGCGAATCGAACAGTGTGCGGTTCAAGGCCCACCAAGAACTATTCACTTACCACCTACCTAAAATTCAACTGTTATCAATCAAACCCGTGAATTTTCCTCACAATCACCAAGACCCCGCAGTGATGGCTCAGGTTAAAACCACATGGCTATGTGGCGGACATCCATTCACTGCGGCGAGCAAGGAACAACGAGGGCCGCGGGCGAGTAAGGAAGAGAAGGGCCGCGGGTTCGAATCCCCGACCGTTCGAAAAGATTATTCGCAAGGTAATTAATTCTTCCCAACTGACTGGAGAGAGATTTCATTAACACAATCATAGATCAAAAACTTAACCTCACTCAAATCTTAGTGAGTTCAAAGACTGGTTCAACTAAATTCTAACAAGCATCATTTGATCTACTTAAATCTCTTCCCTTCAGCAAGCATCAAGTACCCAGAACATATAAAAAGAGTCGAGTTTCGACTCTTTTTTTTTGGTACGAGACAAAGAAGATAACTCTGTCTGTTGAATAGACAGTGTTTTGAATTCACGAGGAGCTGAATGAAACAACACCGCCAAGGCAAACATCCTTCACATAGTGAGCAAGGGCGCTACGGTGTCAAATGCCATTGCAGAATCTAAATAGCCAACCGGACCAAGCCGAAGGCACCTCAAAAGGACAGACATCCGGCTCTTCGGGGCGAGGTGGGAGGTCGTAAAGCGTCCTCAGGCGGCGAGTGGCTTGATAACATTCGTGAACGAACCTCAATTGGAGCAGCAAAGGAAGAGATGAATAGAATCCGGATACGAGGTTTTGGCCAGATGCAACCGGGAATGTAAACATGGCCTAATTGGAGTATCTACTGTAACGAACCAGGGCACTTGGACTGTAGCACGCACGGTATGAGGTATACTGAACACGAGGCGCCGTTCTAGGTTAGCGTGAGGAACGGTCAGTGGCCTCACCACCCTTCTCTACCTTCCGTAACCAATGAAACTGTAGACGTTCGAGTTGCAAGGTACAACCTCCCAACGGACCTTGTATTGTAACACCCAACACACTGCCCGTCGCATACCGTACGGAGGACACTGGCGATCTTCTACAGACACTCTCACATCACAATGGGAGAAGACTACGGCACATCTTCACTGCCACCACACATCGGGACGCTTCTCAACTCCATCACCAACACCACTACCAACACCACATCATCATCATCATCCTCCTCCTCCTCCTTCTCATCCTCGGGCGACGGCGACGACCTCGACATCTTTTTGCACTGCTGGATCCAACCGCATTGCCCGGCGTGTCTGTCGGCGGACAACAAGTACCCGTGCTCCTGGTGCGCGACGTCCCAGGTGTGCGTGCCCAACACGGTTTACGGCTACCCTTTCGGAATCCTGGCGCCGTTGAAGACCGACTCGCTCTGCCCGCTCGGGTGGCGGGAGAGGTGGGAACTCCGGGCGCGGCCGTTCAGTTGCCGCTGCTCGAGCATGACGTTCGTGAGCGTCGTCGTCGCCGTGCTGGCCACGCTCTTGTCTCTGCAGCTCATGTGGCTTCTCATCACGCTGGGCCGACGGGCCGGACGGAGATGGAGGACGAGACAGAAGGGGTGGTGGAGGTTACGAAACTGGGGTCGTGGTCCCGTCTGGACGATGAGAAGGCCGCCAGGGAGAGATGATGCGGCAGGCACGCAAAGTACGCAAAGCCAGAATGAGAATGACGGCGTTGGCGGCGACGGCGACGGAAACAGAACCAGAACTATACCGCAAGCTCCGCGCCAGGATGATGAAACGACACCTTTGCTCGCTTGAAATCTGAAAAAAAAAAAGAAAAAAAAAAAAAAAAAAGTTACTACCTAAACTACCTACCCGGTGAGATAGTGCACTGTGTAACTACCTACTTGAGCCTACTCGATGAATCGACATGTTTTCAAACCCCCTCACATTGTCAAGGGGGCCACGACACTTTCCCACCAACCTACCCTTAGGTAGGTAGTTATCAAAAACTAGGACATACCTCTCCCATACTTCAAAATAGACTGGTAACGACGTAGGTAAAATATACCCCAAGGTAGGGAAGAACAGATATCTCGACGTTACTAACTAGTACGTAGACTATAACATATCTCATATCGGCATTAATAGTATCTAGTATGCTCGCTAGTTGAATCCCGTTCCCAGACTAACAATGCACATGGACCTCACCAAGTTACCTAGTAATACAGGGGACTCGGGAATTCAAGTCGTTCCAGGTCGAGAGCTTCCTAACATTTCCAAAAGCTCAGTCAACCAAAGTCCTGTTCAATTTCATCGTCCGTCTTCGTATGCACAAACGCCCGCTTGATGAAGATCTTCCATAGATGATTTTTCGCCGTCTTTGGAGCCACCTTGTCTCCCTTTCCTGTACCTTTGGGTCTCTTCGATTCTTCTCGCTCTAGATCCAACAGGTCGCCCTCTTCGGGAGAAATAGATTTGGGCAATTTCTTCCGGCCTATCCTCTCGGCAAGATCCAGCCACGACCGCATGGTCAAATCTTTCATATCGTAAGCAGAATCGCTTTTTGTGTCGTATTCGACTTGGAAGCCAAAGTAGTGATAAGGATCTTTTTTCTTCAAGTGTTTCGCCTTATCCATCTTTTCATGCACTTTGGTCAGGTTGGCATAATACTGTGTCCAGGAAATCAAAGAAAGCGGCTGAGCTGAATAACCCGGGCCGGGAGGAGACGATGCGGATGGAGGTTTCGGCACATGAAAGTTCGGTTTCTTTTTACCCTTCTTCTTTTTCTTCTTCTTTTTGAGATCATGCATCCCGCCTTCGATTCCATCTTCGAATGCTTGTTGTTCATTATCGCTCTCTTCATTTGGCGAATCGTCAACCGTCTCGTCTGCTGGTGTCCCAATGGCTGCGACAGCCGGGTGAGCATCTTCGAGACCGGTGATGTTGTATTCGATCACCCTAAGGGTCGGGAAGAAATTTGGAACCACACTTGGTGACACCAAACTCAGACTGAATCTCTCAGCCCAGGGCCCGCCGATGGCTTTCAGAAACTCGTCCAATTTATCCTCATCATTTGGCTCCTTTTTTTTCTTTTTCTTCTTCTTCTGGTCCCCCACAGTATCCCGAAAAGTGTCCATCTGATAAGAGTGGCCCGCAGGAGGCTTGGGTAATGCGGCCCAGTCGGCTCTAAGCTCGTTGAGGTATGCTGCTTTGGCTCTGATTGCCAGTGTCTTGTTCATCGGGCCGGTATCACCGAGCTCGGGGCGCGTAAATTCGTCGTCAACCCCATCAATCTTGAACTTATATTTCAGATTTTTGACATCCTGAAACATAAAGTGGTCGACGTTCATATGGCCAAACATGGAAGCGATGATCACATCGCGGTACTGCCTCAACCACAACGTATATTTCTGGTAGCAAGTCTCGTCCCAATTCTGCTTGCTTTCTGTCCTTGCTGGTGGTACGTGGCCAATGAGAATGGCTTTCATTCCTCGTTCTCGCATGAATTGAAGCTGGATTCGCAGCCACTCCATATGCTCATAGCCTGGGTCTGATTTGGCGTCGCAGCCATCCACGACAGAGTTCGAGTCAAAAAAATACAGCGTATTCAAACTGACGACTACCAGTTTGTTGGGTATAACCTCGGTGAAGAACCATCCTCCTCTTTCGAATGAATGCCGTTGCGCTTGAGGCACAAACTTATTCCATATACTGCTATAAGTGCGCGTCCACTTGTTCGGGCCCGGCGTGAAGATATTGTGAGGGAGGATATCGTTGTTGCCGAAGGTAGGAACAATAGGGACGACAAAGTCGTTGGTTGGATCGGGATCGTCGATGTTATCGGACTTGCCAAAGGTCTCTACAAACTTTTCCACAATGAACTCGTTGAGCTTGATGACCTGCTTGTCTGATCTTGGATAATTTTCATCATTATCATGCCGTGCCGAATCTCCAGTCCAAATAACGAAATCAACATCATCCTTGATATTCTCTTCGATCCACCTGAAGGTCGCGTTGACCAAGGAGAAAGGAGTGTCACAGTCTGTCACTTCAGCACCAAAGTAGCCAGCTTGGCCCTTGCCGGCGTGGCAAGCCTCGCTCGGGTCTGAATGCACCTTGTAGAAGGGGTCAGGGTGAATGTCTGGAGAGAAGTGTGAGTCGGAGGTTGAATGCCCTGGGGGTGAAACTCGCAGGCATACCTGTGATATGGAGGAATCTTCCCTGTAGTTTTCTCAGATTTGACTGTCCTTGCGGGGACTTGATCACAGCCTGTTGGTTTCCTAGGCCGTTGGAAGGGTACTTTGGCGGCACTGCGACTGCGCATGCTGAGAACAGCAGCAGGCCGCCCGCAAAGCGAACCATGATGTTTCACCGGCAGTCTGCAGCGTGAGTCGAAGTCATGTATCACGTTGTCGACCAGAGTGCCCCGTGCAGGAGTTAGGAAGGGTGTGGAATATCCACGGGGAGCGAAAACCGCAGTCCGTGTGTCAGCGCAAAGTGTCGGAGACAGGGATGAAGTCATATACAAGGTTGACGTAATTAGTGTAGGCGAGCGCCTCGTTAGGCACAAGTTGTGCCTGGAAATCTCAACCGAAGGCTTCAGGCACCCAAGCCTATTGGGCGTCCGAGGGCGTTCAGGCTCACGAGGCACCGATTCTAGCGTCAGCGATGCATCCGGGAATGCGGCACCACCAGACTGGCTGCTTTGCTTCGCTCCGCATCCCAAGGCCCAAGAGACTGTCGATGTGTTGCACGCGCACACGAATTTCAGGGTGCGATATATGGCAACGACGAAGAAAACGAACAGCAGTGCAGCACTCACGGCCACGAAGGACGCGTGCGATACTCTTATACAAAATTATACAACCTGTCATAAAGCATATTTGCAGCCACAGCACACCACGCTACTGCTTGGTGCAATGAGCTGAAGCCTCTCCTCCACGTGCAGGCCTGGATTGGGCGATACAACTCACACTGTTCTTGCTGGCCTTCACTACGTCCTCTCCCCAGCCATTTGACAACATCCACTGAGGACCTTAAGACCACCATCTCTATTCGTAGATCGCCTGACTTGGACTTGTGACAGCGCGCCCGCATGATCTGAGTGAGTCGCCGCCGCAGACTTTACTGTCAATCGTGTGCCCTAGCGCACGCGACATCTTACTTACAGGCACAACCCATCACATGCAGCTGCTTGACTGTGTGGACACCTGCGAAATAATAGCATGCCCTCTATGTCCCCTCCAAGGCTTCAAGATTGTCCACCGAAAAACTCGTAGCTGCGCCGCGGCAAAGATCCCTGAGGCATACCATAATTCGATGGCATGCGGTATTCTTCGGGCGGAGTCAACATCTGCTGTGGTTTTGCGTCTCCCTCGGCGATGGCTTCTTGGTGCAATGGAGGGCTCGGAAGCTGCATCATGGGGGGCCCGTCGTAGGCGTAGTGGGAGGCACCGCTGTACACGCCATGGCTCACATTACCATAGATTATAGGGTCACCGGCAGCGTCGGGAGCGTTGGTGTATTGTCTGGACTGCACTTCGGTTTGTCGACTCTTTAGACGAGATGAGAGAACAGCAGATTCTTGTTCAAATTGCTCTCGCATTTCCGGCATTGCCCAGCGGTGTCTAGCGAAATCTAGGATTTCGACGATCTTGCGTAGGAACAAGGTGGCGCGCTGGGCGTTGTCTAGTGGAGGGGTGTGCCCCAGCGGGGAACCCTCTCGTAAGGTGTGTGAAGATTTGAGCAGGCGGTCAAAATCTGACCACATCACCTCAACAAACTTTTGGCCGACGTACTTGGCCCTGCATATATCGGCGTAGGTCAAGTAGGCGTGCCATGTGACATCCTGAGTAATGGGCTGAAACACATCAGCATACTGAGCTGAATATTCAAAGACCAGCTCTTTATTGAGATCAGTCATGCTGCTTGCGGGCACTCTCTGGTTAGGCGATACCACCAAAATCTGGCAGTATATCCGCTCGAGATTGAACAGCATGAGGTGCCGCTGGGACAAGTTGGGCGGAATTGTCGAATACCACGCATGAATGTCGTTCGAGACAGAGCTTGCGTACGTTGCGGCGGTGGCCAGAGGCCATTGTGTCCGTGACGACCATCTTGTTGTCTGATAGAATGAGGATTGTACTCGACGAATGTCGAACAGGAAGAGTGATGGCCGGATCGAGCGCAGGAATAAGTGAGATGGCGCATCCTCCGTGGCCAAGTTTGGTAGCTGCACATCTGGAGCGGAATCGTCTGTGAATGAAAATGCTCGGTCAAGAGACATGCTCACTAACCGATCTAGTGCATAGGTGCAATGAAATATTCGTCTCCGAAGATCCAGTGTTGTCTTGCTAATTTTGGTTTCCTGTGGTGGCTCACAATGAAGACCAAGGTCAACGACCAGGCGCGATGCCATTCCAACCAGATACCAGCTATCAAAATGAGCAGGATCCACCAGTGCGTATTCAACCAGGAGGAGGAGGGCTTGAACACCAGTGATGGAGCCAGGATGAAGAACATAGTTCGCCAAGCTGCGAGCTGCGGCCATGTGTTGTAACGCCGTCTTGTCATTCTCGTCGTCCTTGTGTTGCGAGGAAGATGCGTAAGCGATGGCCAATATCAGCCTTACGTTCCAGACGTCTAAGGGTGTTACAGAGGATGAGACCGAGGTCGACTCGTTGTAAATCCGAGAGAGGCTCCCCATCAGTTCGGTCTCGGAGAAGAACGGCAAAAGGACATAGATGTTTTCCAGGTAGTGGTTGATCATGGGCATAATGGCGTATCGAGGCGGTAGCCCTCGAGCCTCTGCGTGCGGCAGGTCTCGTCGTGTCGCAGCCGACAAGAGTAATTTGGCAAATGACATGGAGGAGGTGAAGCCGTGGAAGTCTCTGGACGTGGCGTTCACGGTCAAGAAGCCAAAGTCGCTGACCAGCTCATCGACATCTGAGGCCTCTCGCCTACGGGCGCCACTGATCCTTCTGTGCTTCTGACGATGAGCCGAAGACGAGGTACCTTGAAGGGCGACCTCAGCCTTGGCCCGCTCAATCTTCTTTTGGAGTCTTTGTGCAGCGCTTTCGAGTGCTGCTACATAACTCCGCTCTTTCCCACGCGCAAAGTCATCGTTGGCACTGCTACAACTCGTCCCCTTGCCCGACCGCTCACAGGCCGAACAAGCTGGTAACTTTCCGTCGCATTTGATTTTGGCCGATCGACATCGTGCACACGCGGCAACAGGCCTGGAAACACGCAGGGACGGCGCGAGCAAAGCCTCGATAGGCTCTGGTTTCGCCATTGCAATTGTGAAAGGCGATGTTTGTGGAACTCAGGGCATTGTGCAAAATCGCTCGAGGCCAGACGGTACAAGAGTTGTCCGAGCCAGGCAAAAAGATCAGCGAGGTCTGTGGTCTCAGTAAGCAGGCGGGCAGCGGTTGAGATTGTGTAAGACGAGCGTCGACTGGCGTCACAAAAGCTCTGGTGCCAGGGAAGATCGTTCTGAGGTTTCGATAGCAATCGTTTTCTCTTTTCGGTAGCTTCCACACGTTTGGTAGGAAAGGAATTCCTTTTGTTATCTGATCTACGTCTGTGGTCAAGGACGGGTAACTGTCAACTGATTAACGCTGCGCGGGACCAGTAGAGACGCCGTTGTAGTTGACATTATACGAGTGGGCGGGGAACTGCAGACCCTCAACGGCCACGGACGGTGCAGGTCACTTCGTCTCTCAGCGCTCAGTTGAGGCTAGTGAGGCTTGTAAAACCTTCGGCCGGGCGAGCGTAGGACGCCCGAACTTCTTTTCTCTTCGACAGGCTCAGCCCACTAGTTAAGTGAGTTGGAGGCGTCCAATGAAGCACTCGAGCCGTCGGATGGCGAAAGTCGATCCGAGTAGCGATGCATTTGCGAGTTTCGCCCTTTTTCGGTCCTGCGAGCCTACCTACTGCTACTCGTAGGAGTGCAGTACTCGCTGTCCCGCAGGTACTTGTGCTCGTACTGGCGGCAGCCTGTAGGGTCCAAGATCGCCCTGAGAAGGTGAAACACTGTCTGCCACCGACGTTCAGCTTCTGGCCCGTGGCGCCTCGCGGCTGAACTGTCCAGCTTGCTCAGTATCAATGCCCGGCCTGTTGCACGCCAGTCGTTTGCTTTTTGGCTCTGCTGGCGTGCGAAGACGGATTGCTGGGCTGCACCTGAAGTCTTCGTGGGCTTGTGAAGTCACCATCACGACAACCAGTCCATCCCCATCTCTCAGGGCCTCGAAGCCTATTGCCCACCCCTACCATCGCTCAACAGCGTTACAAGGCCTAATGAGCCACAGCGGACCTTTGTGGCCCACCTTCTTCAGTCCTTCCAAGCGGATTCCAGCTAACAACCACAGCCCATTCCCTCTACGTGCTGACACTTGTGCCCTATCAGGCCAAACTTCACGTCTATCACGCGCCCGCAAACATGCCCCATGCAGCCTGTGAGCTACCAGATCTCATGTATCGCGACGACAATCAATCAAATTCCTCGGCTCTCAAGCGAACGCCAGGCCGCGCGGAATGACGAACATACAATAACCCTGCCCTGGCGCATTTGTACACGACAATTTTGTGACGCTCTGCCCTGAGGAACCCATGGCCGACACCGAGAATGCTGCCATGGCGGATTTGCCGGAGACGACCAAGTCAAGGGACAAAGTACACCACACAGTGACGGCATGTGTAAGGTGCAGACAGGTCGGTTTCCCTGCCAGATTCCTTTTGCTCGCATTCGGCGATTGACCTGATATAGAGGAAGACAAGGTGTGATGCGACGTTGCCCCGCTGCGAACCATGCGAACGAAGCAATGCCCACTGCGAGTACTATGATTCCTCGAAAAACCGGACAATCCCACGTACCTACATTACTTCTCTGCAGGACACTGTGCGACGGCTTCAAGAGGAACTCAAGGCGTTGGAGAAGGAGGAAGACTATGAACCCACGCATGAGACGATGGCGCGTTCTGCGGGACTCGTCAGCTTCAGCGAGAACGACGAAAGCCGCTTCCTAGGCCCTTCCAGTGGCATTGCAATTACTCGCTTCGTCATGGAATTTGCCAAACAGAACGCCGTCCGGCGAACGATCAAAGAGGTTGTGCCTCATCAGGCTGCGCAAGAAATCAAGAAGAAATTCGATGCGGAAAGCGATAAGCCTACATCAAAGGTCTATCCGCTGATCAGTTCAGTCGCTGCGCCAGATTTACCCACCCGTGATTTGATGGATCGTTTGGTTGAGATATACATGGTGAAAGCACAGTACATGCTTCCCCTCCTTCACGAACCATCCTTCCATCGAGACCTACAGGCCGTATACAATGGGTCTGACGATCCGACGCTCAATTTCCAAGTCCGTCTCGTCACCGCTATCAGCATGCAGAAACTTGACAAACAATACGCGGGTCTTGCCGATAGCTACTATCTTGCCGCCCTCCCATATCTGACAGGCGCTGTTCAAAAGAAAGATCTCTCGACCCTCCAATGTTTTGCTCTGATCGCCCAGTACTCACTTCTTACTCCCACGCGAACGGCAGCCTACTGGGTAGTAGGGATTGCGGCGAAACTGTGCCAGGAACTCGGATTGTGTGAGGAGGAAACAATCCACAAGCCACCGTCAGGTGCTCGGCCTAATGCTCTCGAGGTTGATATGCGGCGCAGACTTTTCTGGATCATCACGTCCATGGAGTACGGGCTCTCTCACAGCCTAGGGAGACCCAGCGCTTTTGGTGTGTCCATTGACAATATTAATGTGAACTTCTTCGAACTATGCGACGATCGATTCATCAGCGCCGATGGACTGCTCCCCGGGCATCATCCAATCATGAAAAAATGCATCTCGATTCATTTCTTCAAGATGAGGCTGCTGCAAGCCGAGATCAGGCGCACTCTGTACCTTTGTAAACGAGACAGCCCAACGCAAGACACCGACCCATGGTTTCACCAAATGTTGCAGAAGATTGACGACTGGGTTCGTGACTGTCCCCAAAACGACGAAGGATCTGGCTTAAGCGAAGCTTGGTAAGTGTTTACCATTACATCTTGTGCAAATCCATCTCTAATCCATACGCAGGTTCATCGGACGCAAGAACACCATGATAGTCTTTATGTATCGTCCATCGCCGCAGATTCCCAAGCCGTCGCTCGATGCCGCTCAGAAATGCTACGGCGCGGCCGTTTTCAACATCAAATTACAGAAGCGTCAGGTCGAAGCAAATCTTATAGACATCACCTGGATTTTCACCCAAGCGATCTTCATGGCTTTGAATACCGTTCTTTGGTGCTTGTCGTATCCTGCAATCCGGCAGCAGCATCCCCTTGACGAAGTCCTCCTGCATATCCAAGACGCCCTCAAAGCCATTGAGCTATGTGCAGACCGTTGGCCCGGCGTAAAGTCGGCCCAGCAACTGTATGAGAATCTTGTTTCTGGATGCTTAAAAGCCTACGATGCGGACAAAACCGCCGAATCCCCAGCGGCCTCTGACTACATAAGCTCCACGACACAAGACATCAGCTCATCGACTTCTCAATTTGCCAACAGTCCGGCCAGCACCACCAACACATCGCTTCTCGGTGCTCAATCACCCCAGTCTATTCACAGCGTTCATACTCAAGCAGCTGGACCAAATTCATTCAAGATGTCTGCAAGTAAATTTACCGACCATGTCCAGCAAGGGTATCAACCTCAGCCTGAAGCTGTCCCATCAGCATCTCAGCCCAACACGCTTGTAACGCAATACATGCCCTCCGCACTCCCTCGCCTCGATCTCCCAGCAATGCACTTCAGCCTGCCCGGATTTCAGCCGCACAATACGGCTAACTACATCCCTACAAGTTCTCCAGGCTCCAACCACTGGACATCCTCTCCTTTGATGCCTGGTATTATTCCTGGCCTCACTGGCTCTCCCAATATGAATTATGATGAACTACCTTATCTAGCACCGTTTGGCCAGGAATACTCCCGCTATATGCATCAAACGTATCCTTCTGGATATCAAATGCAATCACTTAGCGAACAGCAACAATTGGAATTGATGGCGTCACTCGAAAGGAGCCAGCTCCCAGATGTGTCGAATCTAGCCAGCGATGCAACTACCTTCTACAGCGCTCACCTGCCTTGAATCAGAGTGTACGTCCCAGGGTGACATAAATGACGGGAAGCCATAGACGTTGCCCTTGATCTACGCAGACATCCCTGCTTACGTATGCGAGGAATCAGTCACTACGACAATGGCAGGGTGCCTTATCTACACTCACAGCCGCTCCATGCACCGGAACATATGACATGGCTATATTTGCATCCGCCAGTGCGGGCAACCTCCACGCCGGGTATGGTCAACCCGGTGCGCCGCAGGAAACAAAAGTGCAGACTTTTGACTCCTCACCAAACCGTGCATTTCGACAAGAAATTGCAATTATGTCTCGTATCATGGTGTTTTCTGGTCTCCGACCGACTGCAACTACCTTGTCCAGACAGACATTAAACGTAAAACGGCGCATACGCTGCTGCGTGAAGAATCGGCATCAGGAGATCCGCCGTAACCACTCCACATGAGACCCTTGAAGACACAGCCACATTTTCCCTTTAGCCTTGTCACCGGTTTTCACATTGGACAGGAATGGTAGGTCAAGCCACACAACAGTTCAGCCTCCTCCAGGGATCATACGAACTACTGTACCTCGGTATAGAAGCGACCTCCCGCACCTGGATCGATGTCTTCCAAAACAGGCGTGCCGTGTTCATACTCGTAGAGAACAGCTTTGGATTATCATCAGCTCGTCAAACCACCGTTACAGAAATGACCGTGCCTACACCAATCAGTGGCTTTCCGGGTGTGAAACGTCGGTGATTGGCAATGGATTCACCGTACTTTTGTCATTCAGCCCTATTTATGGGGCAGCTGCAGGTCAGAATCGCGGTAGCCGATACGAAGGGGCAGTGCAGGCAACGGCCTCTATCCCGAAAGGACAACAGCACGAATGGGACCCTGGCCCATAACCGTCTTCTCTGCAGGTCTAGATGCCATGTGCAGACAGCAGCTCATCCCAGGAAGCAGTCAACTTCCTCCTAGTCTTTGGAATTGCGGAATGATCCTCGAGGCGCCGACTCTTCGGCTGCCATAACTTTCGGTCGATGGCTCAGAAAAGCCCTAGTCTCGGCTCACCATTCCTCAAGAAGCAATGTTGACGATCCAGGGCCGGCACGGCGTCAGCCTACTGCCCCATGGAAGCGGCTGCATGTTCATATACAATGACGCCTTCCTCATTACCAAGTCTCTTACGAACCATACAACATGCTTGGCCTGACTTCGCAGCCATAGTCTGCCCGCCAGTCATCCGTAACGTCGTGTCTTCCTTTCGCTATCATTCCTTCACAACGTTCATGGTGTTTTCCTGTCCGACCTGCATTCGATTCACACCGCTGGTCGGTCCAAGACCAGTTGTCTTGCATCTAGCCTCCTCCTGACCCTGCGACTGACCTTGAAGTCTCTTTGCGTTCTGAATCATACGTCAGTCACACCCATGGATGACATCCACTCTATGCCTCTCATCGTTAGTAGAAGGCATAATCAATTTCTACCACTCTCCGAATAGACTATGAGAAGGTTCGCCATGGAGCATGGAAACGATCGCAGTGATCTTGGCTTGCACTATACGCATTATCATCATAATACGAACAACGATCCATTCCGGACATCAGCAACGAATCTCGAAATCCCCCGGTTAAACGTATCCGGCCAGCCAACAGTTCCTCCCAACTCTCTTTCGGATGCGTTGCTTCAGCACGACGAGATCCACCGCCACCGTGACATTGTCTGCAAATATCTCCTGATACCAACAGACTTATGGGCTGCCTTGTTCCAATCCCCGAGCGTGTCCCCGGCTCAGACACTGCTCACTGATTACCTCATACACACCTATGGCGCTCTGCCCCATGGGCTATGGCACTGTCTCTTGAGCCTGAGAAATGACATTCACTTTGACCAGCTGCAAGACATCTTGGTGGAGAGGTTATCGGCTCTTCCCGCTTCACAAATACACTCAAGATCAGGATCTTCCGCGCCTCGGTTAGAAAGAGCCTCCCCGGAAATGTCGCTCAATATGGGACCCTTTCACCCGACCCCGGGGCACAGTCCTAACGACACCAGCCCGTGGCCGATCCTAGACCACACTGGCCAGGTACAACCAAGTACTCCCGTGCCACTCTCGATCGTGCGAAGTCGCAGTCGCACAAATTCTAGAAGCCCATACTCGAAAGACAATCGGAAAGGAAGAGCTCCGCCAGGCCAGAGTTTCTACTGCCCTGTGCTAGAATGCACACATTCGCCCTTCAGGAATGCAGGAAACTATCTTATTCACCTGGATCGTTTTCACCCTGATTATCCAAAGCACGAGCCGGCTTGTGCATTGAGATATGATCTGGCGCGTGGTGGAACTGAACCTGAAGAAACCATTCTTAGTACTAACTCTACCGTTGTTGACGACTTGTTCCACTTTTCTGCTGCTCCTGATGAAGGTCTGTCATTTGGACGCTTTCAAGAGACACTTCAGCGTCACAACCCATAAGCAGCATAACACTACCGAGATGCCGCCTATACATTACAGCTACTCGCACGAGACTTTCCACGATTTGATACGCAAATAACGCCGCGTCTGTTGGGCTGGTTTGATCCATCCTAGATCCGCACTGGAATTCTGGATCTGCCTGCAATCGATAATGAGACGTTGGAAGCATCTACGGGCAAACCCAAATGACTAATATGTGTATCTGAACGATCAATTCGGGGCTATATTCTATACTCTGGCTGGATCTAAGTCTCTCCTCCAAGCTATGAGGAACATGTGCTCATCTTAGGCTCCCTAGGCTGGTCTTAGGCGTCTTGAGTGGCAGCTTAAATAGGAAGAATCGATCGAGGGTGGCCGTGTATTTCGAATCCACACAGCACCCTAATTTCGCTCCATGCGATAGAATTTTGAGCTCGCGCGGGCTTTCTCACTCGCCTTGACTAGAGAGTGTCCATCCGAAATTTCGTTTGTCGGGCTCTGCAAGTACTGTAGTGGTACGGTCGAGCAGATAGCCTTACACGAGTAAAAGCGAAAATGTGGTTCCAGCTACCGAGCTGCTTTTCGTGTCCAACTATCCGTACGGCTCAAGAAACGGCCATCAAATGAGCTACGGTAGGCAGTCCTTCCTCTGAGGGCAATTCAATCTCTCCCTGAGTGGGCATATCCGGCGCTCCTGGTGAAAGGTCGGGCTGGCATGAATCCTCGTACTGCTGACATTCAGCAATCGATATGGAAAGACATTTCGGAAGACACGTTTCGCAACCATTTGGTGCTGCTTGAAGAACGAACGAATGCAGTCCCAGTAGATTCTCAACTATTTCCAGTCACTTTCCCTGCAGCCACACAGTCCGCCAAACACTATAACTTGTCAATCAACGATGAACAGAGACTTGCAGATGCCTTTGCTTTCTTGGCTGCTGTTCAGGAGGGCGCCCAAAGCGTTGCAGCAGTTTGTCTAGAAGAACACATTCTTGAGCATATGCTCACTATCCGATTTGCTGCCGTAGACACCATCAGCCCGGATCTACAACAAGATCTGCACACGGTCAGCGATCTCCTGATTACAACAGTCTGCCCTGAAGACAGAGACCTCTGGTTCAAAAAGCTGTTTCACTTTGTGGCAAGGCTTCATTTCAGGCGTATCTTGGGACGTCTTCGCTCCTCGAAATGGGAGAAGCCCAAGTATCTCTCTCGGACTCACAAAAAGTCCCTCTGGCAGGATTTCCCCAACCTCATTCACAGGGTCCAATTTGTTTACTCGAAGCGCGAAAATGTACTAAGAAATGAAGTCCAAAGTAATCTTCATACTCTGGCCGAGACTTATTCCAGGTTCGAAAGCGTGCCCGCAGAGTCGGTGGAAGAGTTCAACCTCCTTGTTCATTTGATTCATATCAGCTACGTTTTCTGCACGTCCAAAGCCGTTCAAGACTACGCTCGACGCATTTCCAATGCTGGGCAAACAAACCAAGTTCGTGCTGCAGTTAAGACTCTTCGACAGATCGAGAAGATTGCTGCCTATTATCGTGTGACGGATACACTCGTACGGGCCTCGGAGCGCTACCCTCAGTATTTTCGGCCAAAAGGGCTGCGCATGGAGTATTTGGCTCCCTACGGAAGTATTCCCACAAGCATTGGCTATGAAGCGTGGGCGAAAACGTGCCACATCCACGCCGAAGTACAGCTCGTCGTCTACTACGACCTGCACTCGTGTGAATCCTCCATGTCAGGTTATCCAAATGATAGACTCGCGCCTCGAGTTCTAGGCACAAGCAAATACCTATGCTACTTGTGCTATCTTTTCATCAAGTTCCACGGTCAGTTTCCAGCTGCTAGCACACATGGCAGGCTGTACGATCAGTGGACGATACCCGATCTTGCAGAATATGATCAAGAACAGCGTCAGAGGTACCGGCAGGTTATTACGAGCATGGACGAAGAGATTATGACGCACGCATCGAAGCCGCCTTGCTGGAGGCCAGAGCCCATGACGAGCAGAGAGAATTTGCTCGATGGTCCACTGGATGAATCGTCAATCGTACCCTCGAGCAACGTTTCCTGAGACAGTCAGAGCGTAGCCCCCACCTTATTGGTCATCGCTCAAAGAGCCATTCTACCGGTCAATCGCTTCATGACAGTTTGTCGAATTGATTACTCTGGTCCTCAAGTTGGCTGTGCAGTGCGGTGCAGAAACCAATCACTCAAGCGTGGTCACAGCGAATCCTACCTATTTCAGCATGGATTCGGAATTATCCTCACCTCTGAATCCGATTTCCCCGGCACAAAGCGCCAGCCGCCTGAACCTCGGCCACGATACCTCCCTCGGCTTTGGACAAAGCAATGCGGGGAGCCATCATCAGCAGTACTTACAATGTCTTGCCGAAGGAGATAACTAATCGAACGAACAGTACGGCGTACTTTACACTATATCTTCCTCATCGAGTCCAGTCCTGCGTTAGACATCATTTTGTCACTTGCAACACGGCTTATTCAAGCAGATAGCAGAGATCGCTACCGCAGAATGTCTTCCTTTAACAACGCATACGTGCTAGGCGTTGGTGTCACAAAGTTCATCAAACCAAGACAACTCAGAACATATCCCGAACTGGGCTTCGAGGCGGGAACAAAGGCTCTTCTCGACGCACACATCACTTACGACGATGTACAGGCTGGCGTAGCGTGCTACTGTTATGGAGACACGACTTCGGGCCAACGCATCTTCTATCAGTTCGGCATGACGAATATCCCTATCTACAACACCAACAACGCCTGCGCGACCGGCAGCACTGGTCTCCAACTCGCCAGGACCCTGGTCAAAGGTGGAATCGTTGATGTTGCCATGGTCATTGGCTTCGAAACGATGAAACCTGGTTCGATCAAAAGTGTCTGGGACGACCGTCCGAGCCCAATGGGCCTTGGCACCAAAATAATGGAGGACACCTACGGCAAACATAACAGTCCTAGGAATGCGCAGTTCTTTGCGAATGCCGGAAGAGAATACATGGAAAAGTACGCTCCTTTTCCCTTCCTCTCTCTGTGTGTACTCGCATGTCCCCTGGTGGCACGTTTCATGCCGACGAGGCTGTGCATACTATCTTCATCTCAAGAAATAGCCTTCAAAGTGATCAGTCCCTGATGGTGTAACTCTACAGATACGGCGCCGAAGCACGCGATTTCGCTGAAATAGGCCGGATCTCACACGAACACTCGTCTCGTAACCCCTACGCCCAATTCAACCAGGTCTATACTCTCGAGGAGATTGAGAAGTCGCCAATGATTCACTACCCGCTCACCAAACTGCAGTGTAGTCCTACATCTGATGGCGCCGGTGCAGCCGTTGTAAGTCACCCTTATCAACTACCGTCTTCCTCGTCGGCATTGTCATCTTCTACAACTAAAGATCCAACCACCCCCCCCTCCACCTCGTCCTTTCTCGAGCGCGTTTGTCCATCCAGAGACTAATATATCGTGTTCGTCATGAATTTAACTAACACCAACTACCAACCCCACAGATTGTGTCTCAACGATTCCTCGATTCTCGGCCCGAACTCAAATCCCACGCGATCTTGATGGCCGGGCAATCCCTCATGACCGACTCGCCCGCGCTCTACTCCCGCGGGGCGATGGACCTCGTGGGGTTCGACATGACCAAGCGGGCCGCGCAGGCGGCGCTTTCCGAGGCCGGGGTCAACCCGCGCGACGTCAGGGTGTGCGAGATGCACGACTGCTTCTCGGCCAACGAGCTCATCACGCTCGAGGGCTTGGGCTTCTGCGACCAGGGCCAGGCCCACAAGATGGTGCGCAACGGCGACATCACGTACGGCGGGCAGGTCGTCGTCAACCCGTCCGGCGGCCTGATCAGCAAAGGCCACCCGCTCGGCGCGACGGGTCTGGCCCAGTGCGCCGAGCTCACGTGGCAGCTGCGCGGCTGGGCCACCAACGGCCGCCTGGTCAAGGACATCGACGTCGCGCTGCAGCACAACCTCGGCCTCGGCGGCGCCGTCGTCATCACCGTGTACAAGCGCGCCGACGGGCGGAAGAACACCGACGTCAAGCTGAGCGACGCCGAGATCGCGAAGCTCTCCGGCCTCGGATACAACCCTGCCGTTGAGGCCCGGGGGGTCACGAGGGCGGAGGCCGACAAGGTCCGGAGCAAGACTGCAAAATGCGACTTCGCCCTCGGCGACACGGCCGACAAGTTGCAAGCGAGGTTGTGATTCGAGACCGGAGGGTTTGGTTTTGAATGTGTTGTTTCGTAACAGATAGCACCACTGGGAAGGTCACAGGAGAGAAGAAGAAGAAGAAGAAGTGCGACGCGGAAAGCGGCGTTTCTTGTTTGTTCTCTTAAATCTTCCTGGAAAAAAATATGATGACGCTATCGACATCGGTACCTATGCTCACTTATTATTTACCCAAGTTAACTTGGTTATACTTTTGTGATTACCAGTCTGTACAAAAGTTGTTGAACCCTTCAGGTCAAATTCGTATCCCTCTTGACAGCCAAAAAGGTCAAACTCCAAAGCTGTCTGATGTCGCTCTCGGTCCCTGAACTCAACACGCCCAGCGGCGTCGTCACGAATCCCGTGCCATTGCTATACGTCCAGCTCCAGACCTCGCCTTGCAACTGGGCCTCGTTGGCCTCGATGCTGTCCCAGAGCAAGTTGTACGCTCGTTTGACGGTTCCGTAGACACTTTTATCATTGCACCATGAGGGCACGGCGGACGACGGTGACGATGACGACGACGATCCGTTGCATCTACCCAACTGTCGCTCTAAGCCCTTGGCCATCATGGCGAGTTGAAACGACCAGACCACCGTGCCGTGATACGCGGCGTTTGTGAAGTTCGCGATCAGCACGTCGGAGCCAGACAGGGCGGGGTTGGCGACGACCATGCTCTGCGGCGTCATGAGGCCCGCCGGGAAGGGGCGGACGAGACTGTTCGCCGTGGCGTTGATGAAGCGCGTCTCTTGGGCTTGAGCGTCGGGCGTGGAAGGGGTCGCGTTGACGAAGAACAGACGGAACGCCGAGTCGCTGTGCAGCACGTCAACGGAAGATAGGCAGTTGTTCCCGTCGAGCGAGATTGCGTAGTTTGTGACGTTGCCCGACGAAGGCAGGGATGACGCGTTCGTGGGTCCGTCGTAGAAGGTCGACGTGTCGACAAAGTGTTGCAGTCTGGCGCGGGCGGCGGAGGCGGTCACGTTGCGCTCGAAGAAGCGGAGCGTTTGGTCCTCCCATACCTGAGCGCGGGTGTCTGCCAGTGTACGCCACGAGGTGACGTTGACACCAGTGGCACTGTCGTTTGGGAAGACCCCCGGCGTGCGCGCGAGTCGGCCTATGGCCCGCAGAGCCGCGGGGACGAGTGCCGTGTTGACGTCGAACGGGATGCGGCCGCCGCCGATGCCATAGGTCGAGTCGCGCCACTGTCCGACCACCTCGTCCGGCTTCAGGTGGATCAGATTTGCCCGGGTTTGGTTCCTGGCGAACGCGGCCGTCTGGTTCATGATCTTCTCGGCGTTGATCAGCGTCAGGTCGGCGTAGGTCAGGTTGCGGTTTTGGATGTCGACGGAGCCGGCACTACGTTGCAAAAGAGGAGAGATCCGTGACGGGCTGTTGTTGAAGTACTGGGCCATCAGCACGGGGAGGTAGTAGTCTGTGTCGATCATGGGATAGGTGAAGCCCGGAGCAGTGCTGGTGAGGTTATCTTGCAGGTTCAGGTACGTCGCGTAATCGCCAATGGTTTCTTCGTGGCAGACGGATCCGTCGGTGCGGTTGATGCGTTCCAGTACGGCACCGATAACCGCTTCTGTGGCCGAACCATTGCCCTGGCTCAAGACTGGCTCGAGGAGAAGTGCACTTATCATGCTATCTCTGCCAAAATAGGTCAAAAACCTCCAAGCACCAGCAAGCAGCTTCTCCGAGTACGAGAGGAAGGAAAGAGAAGTGGTTTGATCTGGCTGTTGTTGGATCAGCTGCTGCGACGCAGAATTGAGAACACGACTCGGTGCCAATTGAGTCAATTGCGGATAGTTGAAACTGGCCGAGAAGCTGTAGAGTCCCGCACCGAAACTGAGTGTCCTGTTCTGCTGGTGGATCGTGATGTTGGTGCCGGAATTTTGGTGTGGAACCAACGTGAAGGTAGATACGGTGACATTATCGAGCCAAAGTCGAGAAAGCGTTGCCCCTGTCCCGTTAGCCTTGGTGGCATTAACCGCGTCCTGAATGGTAGGACGAAGAAGGCTTGGACCTTCGGTGAAATCTCTAATTGTGCGAATACTGCCCAGTATAGGAATGGTCAGGGTCGCAGAGCTGTTAAATGAGATGATGCCTTCGACGCCGACATAAGGGTACTTGGTGCCCGCATTCTCTCTGTACACAGGTCCTAAGGGGCTTCCCAGTGTTGAGTTGACCAGTTCAATCCCCAGAGAGCCATTGCGACCATTTTGAGGTTGGAAAAACATACATATCCCGCTGTTGCCAGCTGGCCATGCCACGATGAGCCTAGGTCCGATGATTGATAGATTCGAGTCCGGTAGGGGGCTAGTCACCACCACCTGGGAGTCGCTATGGCAGTCCGAGTAGAAGTAATTGTCGTAAGGCGGGTCACTCAGATGCTGAGTCACAGCGCGACATGAGCCTGAGCTTTGAGCCAAGGCATCGTGAAGCCAGAAGGCAAATACCGCAAGGAGAATGGTGAGCATGACGGCGAGAGGTCTGTCCTGGAGAAGAGTTTGCAACATCTACGATAAAGAGACTCACCTGGAGGAAGTCAACGCATTAATACGTCGTCAAAGCATGGCACCCGTGGTTAGTCGTGGTCATCAGTGTCTGGGGACAAGGAGACTGGCTCTTTCAACCGGAGAGATGGATCGACATGACATCAATGCCGATCGAAGCTCGACTGTAACGTGGAGGAGGCGATGTCTACGTCGACTTGCCGAGAGGAGAATCACTAGGCGAGAATAAAAAGTCTTTCGAGCTCGAAATCTGGAGTCAAAGCTTGAGTTGCGGGGAAAGGTGGTGTCATGTCAGCCTCTTGTGTGCCACCGTATATTACTGTGAAGCGTAGGGGTCCTTTCATACCCTTCCTGCTTCAGGAGTTTCGTTCTCCGTCAGCTAGTTAGTTTGCTACCCAGTAGAATCATGTTGTACAGAATCACGTAAATATACAACATTCAACTTGATCGCGCAAGGCCCTCTGTTAGAAGTTATACTGCTGAGGCTTCCTCGATGTCAACGAAACTAGCCACGGCCTGCGGCCACATGTTCGAGCCGTAACCGTTTCTACTCTTGATGTCGGACGTTGCAAAAGCGTCAAACAAGGCTGACATTGACCTGGAACTCTGTCTCGCACGGTTGTAACTTTCCGGAAAATGCAGGTGTCCAGCATTGTTGTAACTCATGGCCGCGATCTCGGCCCGGAACTTCATCTCGACGCACCCGTTCCAGAGGCATCGAAGAGAATCATCTTCCAAAACGCCAGCGATCGCGGCGAGGAAAAGCAATCCCCCTTCGATCAAGGCGTCATCTGACTCCATTTGACTGCTGATGGGTAGTTCCCAGATGGCTAATTTATTGGTGAGCAAGATGATCATGGACGTCAAGTAGACACATGTTATTTGTCTAGGGGGTCATTGTGTCAGTTATGTTCACTGGTCAAGATCGCAGGGGTCGTTCTTGTTGTTCTTTTCGGCCGCCAAAGGAAATCAAATCATGTCAAAGATCCAAATATAGAATATGGCTATACATACCCTAGAAGCGCCATGTCTCTCTCATCTACGACCTTGAACAATCTCATGCACTCTCGTGCTGTTTCGACGTCTTCCAGCCAAGTCGATGGTAAGAGATCCCCTTGTGCAGAACTTTCGATGATTCGGGACTGTCGGCCAGAGTATTTGTCGCTGTAATTTATGATGCGTAGGATCCATTCGGAGTCGTGTGCATAAATGCCATGCGCAAGGTAGAATAAGTGGTAGTATATGAAATGCAGATGGACCAGGAACCGGACATTGCTACCGAACTCTGTTTCAGATAGCATGTCGGGCCGAAACTGGACGGGAATCGAATCCTTCCACTCACGAACCGTGGCATCCAAGTCAGCCAGTGCCGCTTGCCGTTCGTCCGGTGAGAACCGTTCGGCCCGGACAGAATACAGGGTGTGATACACCTGAGCCTGAATGCGGGCGAGATCAACACGACACAGAAGTAGATTGAGCCAAGTGATGCCGTCGCCGGCAAACACGATGCTTACTCTGTCGTTGATGTCGTTGAATGCTGGAAGAGCGACGTCCATGTCGTCGTCTTGTTGAAGGTACGGGTCTCTCAGACGAACATTCATCCCTCTCTCGAGAAAATACATGATCCAGAAGACTCGGTCCCTTTCCAACGCCGTACTTTCATCCAAGCCCCGGTTTCCCGATCTCGTATGAAGCCTGAGCCGGTGACTCAGCTTGAAAGCTATGGCGATCAAGGTTGAGGCTGGTCGAGGGTTCGGTCCTGCATTGAACAGCATGACCAGCCCCAGGATGGCTTGAATACCGATAAGATCCTGGTCCCTTGTCACCAAGTTGCACAAGACCGACTGAGCATTTTTAACGCATCTATGCATGAACTCATAGTCATCGGCAGACTTCTTGATAGGATCGTGCCAGATCGACAAAGCCAGGACCACATTAATAGCGGCATAGGTCGCCGGTATCGTCTCAGACGGGGTATCGTACCACCTGAGGAGTCCTCGAATGAACCGTCCCTCGTGGAAGAGCGGGATCATGTTGTTGAAATGGGCGAAATATTGTTCCACCAGTGGAAGGACGATCTGAAGATTTGGCATCGACATCGCTCGATTTGGCGAGAGAAAAGATTGCTGGCAGATTTCCGTACTCGAGTCGTCCATTCTCGAGCCTTCCGAATGAGAATCCGTTCTTCTAATGACCACCAAGTCATTGCTCGCTACGTCCGAAGACCGTCGATCACCAGCCTGGAGCCTTGTTTCAAGTTGAACCAACCGGTCTTCCAGACGCTGAAAGTCTTCTGATGACCTTGAACAACATCAGACGGGATTGGTTACATTGCATGCTAGTACAGTAGCGCAAAGATTTGAATATGATCATCGCGATAGAGTAGACATTGTAGGAAAGTCTCACCTCGCTTGGGCCATGTGCCGTTTCTTGGACCGTTGTAAATGTGGAGTGTAGGTGCATTTTGCCTTGTACAAGATACAGTGAGAGCACTCAGGCTCTCCTGCATCACATTTTATTTTCCTCAAGTGACATACATCACAAGCCTCAGATGAAAGTCAGGCATTGTAGATCCTCCAGCCCAGCAAGACTGAATGACTCACCTTTCTTCTACCAATACCGCGACGACGGACGGCTGGCTCCATAGTAAAGCATGCCGGTTGCGGATGAGGGAGTTGTTGAAGTGTAAGGAGCGAACCATCAAATGTACAAACAACGAATCTGAACAACGACTACATGCATCAGGAAGTGCGTATGAATTGCGAGTAGGAGTTCGTAACTCCGGCCTCTTCCCACTAGCCTTCGGAGGTCTTGGTCCGCGGATTTCAAGCTGACAAATGCAGCCATCAGGCCCTTCGACCTCATCAATCTGCTACATCGCGACGCCTTCCAGCTTCCAGTCCAGCAGCTTGGTGGTCTTGATTTCTTCCGCCTTCTCCAACAATTCATGGACATCCCAGTTTGCCCATACGAATTTGCTCTTCAGGAACTTGGCCTCGGGGGACGCTAGCCAAACAGCGAACTGTCCGGGAAGCTCAGCTAAAATGACATCGTTAATTCACATGATTCTTCAATACGTCTCAGTGGCAGAAACTTACCGACGTCAGTCGCCTCTTTCTGGTAGCCGTTGAGCTCTGTAGGAACCCATCCTGGCTGCAGATTCACCACATGTATTTGTGGGTTCTCCCAGGCGAAAGAATCGACCAACTTCAGGTTTGCTGCTTTGGTTATCGTGTAGCCTCCTGCTCCCTTGACAGGTCTGAAGTGCGCCATTGCTGTCGAGACGTTGATCACAATCGGGTCAGCCCCAGCCAATGGGACAAACGCTTGCAGAATGTTCAACGTGGTCAGGACATTCAGTTCAAAGCCTCGCATAAGCAGGGCTGGATCGTAGTCCAGCAACACGCCAGTCGTGGGAAGGTAGCCGGCGTTTGAGACGAGAATATCAATCTTGCCAAACTGATCGGTAATCGACTTCAATGCAGCGTCGACCTGGCTCCTGTCGGAAAGGTCGGCTTTCCCGAAAATGACTTTCGTGTCTTTGGTCGCTTCTTTTGATATCACCTCCGCGCCCTCTTTCAGTTTGTCAATCCGTCTCCCAAGGATAGCAACCGATTTTGCCCCTGCTTGTGCATAAGCTACGGCAATGCCTAGGCCAATGCCCGTTCCACCACCAGTGACAATGACATTTTTCCCTTTGGCTGAAAGTTCGGGTCGGGTTGGAGAGATAGCAGGATATGGGTGGGTGTGGAACTTTTTTGTTAGCGATTTGAACTCTGGAAGATCGGCCATTTTCTCAGGGACCTCGTGAGGAAGCTAGGGGTGTTGGTAACATGCAAGGGAGAATAAGTGGTTTAGGAGATTCAAGTTGTAGGATGTTGATCTATCAATGAGCCGCGCGTGATGCATTATATATTCTTTGTCTGTTGTTGAGCCGGATTAAACGAAGGCCGCGGAGCTGGCATCACCACCAGCCATCGACTCTTCCAATGATCACACTTGCCGCAAATTTTTGGCATGCTGAAAAATCATCTTTGGCCGCGGACTTTCAAGACCCGGCGGGATTATGACGATTGACCAGGCCCCAAGGAGTCGAATCAAGCACATGAGAGTACGTAGTTGGCTAAGAAACGCCAGTGCAACGGATATGCTATAGATATTAGCCACTATCGATGAATGGTCTGCAGGGTAGGCAGCAAACGCATTGCTCCTATGCGTTGCCCGTAAGTCCAGAAAAGCACAGCCAACCCCGTCAACGGCGCTGCAATCAACCAATATATCCAGAACTTGTCAGACACTAACCACTCCTGTTCGCCTGAATCCTCATTGAGCTGCAATGAGAAGAAACTCATGCTGAAGATCGTCTAGAACCCGCTCAAGGTTAGCTCCTGCATAAGCAATCTCAGTGAAAATCACTTGCCGAAACAAAAGTTGCTGGAAGGAAAGCAAGAGTGATCAAAGAGATGGTCTTCATTGAAGAGCTATCGCTTTGCACAACAAGATTGAATCCCTGACAACCGTCAGTGACGCAGATGTGCGGATAGGAGACACACCAGATTTATCTCATTCGTAAGTCGCGCTTTCAGCGCATCCGATCGTCGTTGGAGGTTCCGCAACGACCTCAACGAAACCGCGATTTGGATATCGTTGTGAGGACACCTGAGCAGCTGAATAGCGCCGCTGTTGGTGCTAGGAGATGAGCAACCTCCTCTTCGTGCATCGATGAGTTCTGTAACATTGTCACAAGCGACACCGAGTACCTCGCAACTATGAATAATGTGTCTTGCAAGATCATGAAGCTTGGGAAAATCGCGATATGCCCCGGTAATATCTCGATCCTGAAGCGAGGCCATCAGTCATGTAGAAGGACAACAGACAGGCCCGTAGGAAGCTTTACCTTCTCAAGCTTTCGAACATGGTCCCGGATCGTCCAAACAGCATGATCATACATTTTGACTACCTCTGCCAGTATCATATCTTGGAGCAAAGGTGCTGCATCCTCGGTAGTGTCGCACTTTCCCGAACTCATCATATCGACGAGGTTATCGCGAAAGATTTCTGGTGTGTTTAGGCAGAAAGCGACTATACCGCGATTTAACTGCGCATAAACATGGAAAATCATCTCGTACCATTCATACTTGTTCCACACGCTCTGTTTCTTTGGGAAAGCTTGAACTGGATCCACCTGTATGATGTTGAACTTGAACCACGATGCTTTTGAGCCAGCGAATCAGCATGCGTAATGTCAGAGACAGAGGGGGAAGCCCTGCTCACTGTTTATCACTGTACTTCCGTCGCTATGCATGAATTGCGCACTGTTTGCATAGCCGTTGGAGCGATAGTAGGAAGGATGCCACAGCATCGATGGATAGGCCCATTGTTCAGCAAAGATGCCCTTTATGGTATCAAGATTCCCGTTGATGTCGAAATCGCCGAATCTTGGGCAGGATTAGCATTGCCTCCGCTCATGGCAATGAGCTTTTTGCAGTACACTATCTGGATTCCTGGTTTTGGAGCCGTCTTCCAATTGTCAGCTATGCTCAACACACGATAACAGTGCCGGACCTGTAGGAACTTCTCTGCTGCAACTCGCTCGTGACTCACAGGGGAAGTTCTGTCTGCTGGACGTTGTTAGTTAGACCGGAGAGTTTGAGGCTGGCGAGTCATAACCTTTGTGATGAACATCGAACTCGACCAAACTCTGCATATCTGGAAAACTGCGTGTCTGAGGAGGTGAAGGCTAGCAGGGGAATTACCTGGAATAACGAGCTCACTAGAATTAAAGCATTGCAAACATGAGTCTGCTTCTGCCTTTTGGCGATGGTCGCCGGTTTCGTTTGACTCGGTTCGCGAAACAGTGTGGCTGATTTAGAGCCGCAGTCGCACTACATTAGTTACTGTAAATATCCATCCTTACACTCCAATCACCTTCGAGAAGAGGGACTCATGAAATTGCAGCTTTGTATGGGCAGCATTGTTTAGGGGGAAAGGTGTTGGGTGAGGGCCCTTGATTTCCTGGTTGGACAAATGCAGTCGTTAAACGCCGAGTGATTGTGGGCGCAACCTCACTTTTCGTGCGCTGCATCTTCTGCTACAATCACTACAACAAACGGCCCGTCCATCACAGCGGCATCCTCTCTTTTCCACCTAGCGATGAACTTGCTCCCAGCGAGCAGCTTTACAATCTGAATCGACAAAGGACAGTGTGCTAAAGTATGCTGAAGTAATGAGAAGAGGAAGGCGCTTCGCACACCTCAAGGGCTCTCGCTCGACGCTGAAGCCTGGGCGAGCGCCGCAAGAGAGTGGAAAAAAATACTCCTTACAGGAAGTGCCTTCACAAGGACAGCCACTTCTTCAAGAACGCAACCTCCCTCGGATGCAGGATATCTCTGGCCTTCCCCATCAATTCGTAATGATCCGCATCGACAATGGCATACTCTTTGGGCTCAGTCAACTTTTGGTACTGCTTCATCACCATGTCAGGGGGGCTATTCGTGTCTCTAGCCGCCACACCAAAGAAGACGGGAGTTGGACTCATCTTTCCCAGATGCGCCATCGGAGTCGCATACGTCGATAGATCGTCGAGACTAAGATTTTGCTGGTCAGCACAGTTCACAAAAAGCCACCCACAACCCCAGGGTCTTCAGCAACGATTGCTCCAAGACAACCCTTGAGAAGCAGCATAGACGGAGACAACGATGACAGAACACACAACACACCTTCTCAATGTAAGCTCATTCCTCCACCCTCTTTCTTCATCCTTCCCAATCCACTCTCGAAAGAATGCTGTGCTTTCCGGACTCGGTAACAAGCACTGGCCACCCTCGATGCTCACAACAGGCACCTTGATCGGCTCTCCACCCTTGACCCTCGCTATCCTGTCCATCTCAAAGAGGCCTTGCATGGCATTGAGGGCGTGAGGAGGCGCAAGTCTCTTACAGATCTCGTCCCCGCTCATCCCCGGCCCTATCGCAACCACAGCCTTCACCCGTCTATCGACACCGGCGACGTAGACTGAGTACATCGCACCAAGCGAGTACCCCCAGACCACGATCTTCGCCTTGTCCACGTCGTCCCGCATCTGCAAATAGGTAATGGCGTCTCGGATATCGTTCGCCTGAAGCCAGGTATTGATCTCCTGCCGCGGCATGTGAGGCGCTGTATCACTCGCCCCGAACCCACGGTAGTCGTATACAAGACACGCGATGTTCATATCGGAGACGTACTTTGCCGCGACGTCGCCGAGGCCCATTTCTTTGACGCAACTAACACCGTGGCTCAGAATCACACAAGGCAGTTCTGTTCCCGGCGCGACTTTGGACGGTGTGAAAAACCACCCTCGCAGCGTGACGTTGTCGGATGTCTTGAACTCGACGTCGGTACGAGACATCTTGAGCAGGCCAGGAAATGACGGTGATGTTTGAGTTGCGCGTACGGCAAATTGTTATAGTTGATCGAGCTCGATATCTGCAAAGTATCCAATGGCAGTGGCAAATGCAAGTTTTAGTGTGCCGTGCGATACAACGTGATATGACACAAGTATATATACCTCTATAAGTAGGTAAGGCACCCAGGTATCATTCGAACAGAAGGCAGCTCCTAGCGGAGATTCTATTCTTCGAAAACGCTCTACGTTACCACTACGACGTACAATGGATAGACAGTACGAGGACGAGTAGTCCGTAGCTACCCGCCTGTACCTGCCCAGTATCTACCTGACCAGGCTGACCCGACACGACCTGGTCTGTCTTACTCCTCTAATGTAGGTACGGAGGTAGTAACGCATGCAGTGAACCAGGGAGATTACCTACCTACCTACCTACCTGTCTACCCAGTTTCACATATCCGTGTAGCCGCGGGTAACCGTAGCTCTCACTTTTCATCGTTTCTGATCAGCCGGGTACAGAGAAGTAAGCCAGATAGACCCTAGGTGCCTGAGGGCAAAGCAAAAACAAAAAACTTATCATTTCCGATTACAGAAGTACGATCTAATTGAGGGTTAGCCTCCCGGAACCCCTAGCAGACGTTTGTACTCGTAGATCTTACACATACGGAGTGCGATACTGGCACACTTCTTCGCCCCCTCGGTCCCGCCCCCCCCCTCTCCTTTTCACCGCCCTGGCTTAAGGCTAGATCCAGCTTATACGACGGAGTTAGGTATGTCCATCCCATCCTCAACCTAGGTAACCTGAGAAAACTGTGCAGAGTAAAAACAGGGCAAGTGAAGAAAGACTCGGAAGGAGGAGAAGGAATGACCACCGTGAACAGACACCCCAAGCAAGTCATTTGTCAGTCAGTCATCCCCTCCCCTGACCGGTGACCTCGTTTCACCATTCCTCTACGGACGACTATGTATCTTTGTCAAAAGGTTCGCCTCGCCATAAAGGGGAACTGGCTGAGTCAGATGAGTTAGTGTGAACTGGGCACCAAAAGGACTAATGAGACTAAAAGTCAAAGGGGTGATGACTTCGTCGAGGTCTGGGAGACCACCAGGAAAAAGCGCACATAGTCCCGCACCCACACTAAGTAAAGAACCCTTCAGGTGACGGGTCAGCTACGTGGAAAAGACACTACAGTTCGGTTGACGTGTTTACACCGACCAGACAGGTATTCAGATCGAGAAGCATATAAAATCAGCTTACACAGGAGCTTCAAGCATCGAGCGAGCATCGGACATCGTATCACTAGTCCTCGAATGAAAACATAATCGTTTGTCTGTTATTGCCTATCCACACGCAAGCCTTTTTGAGCGATCCTTCGCTCTCATTGACAATCTGCCCAGTAGATGTTCCCAAACACAAACCTCGGGCCTCCACACACCAGACGTGCGCACACTTCTGTTTGCAGGACCTCCGAGTTACCATCCACTCCATTCTTGCGGTCCCGTCAGGAGAGATTTTCGCTCAAAATAAACCTCGCAAGACAAGGACTGAAGGACATTACCCATTGCATATTAAGCTAGTCTAAGTAAAGAACAAGAGACGCCAAATCCAATACTTCACAGGAAGAAAACTGCTGCGAGCAAGGCACCGAGACCAGTCATGGGTGTGCTGGGTCCGAATGTCACACCGGCGTTTTTGCTGGAGCTGCTGGTCGAAGTAGACGAAGCACCGCCGGACGTAGCAGATGGGTTGGTATCTGGGTGAGCCTTGTTGGTGATGCAAGTGTTGACACCTTTGATGACACCAGCAGAATGAGCCTGGTTGAAAAGGTCGCAAATGGTGGTGTTGGTGGAAGTAGTCTGTACGTTGGAACCACCGCGGACATCAGTGAGGGATGGCATGCTGACACTGCGGCATTGTTAGATTGCGAGGATTGATCGTCAGAGGGCAGGAAAGAACTCACCTGTTGAATGCACCAGCAAAGTCAAGGGCACCAACGATGGTCTTGAGCTTAGGGAAGCCGCTGATGGCCTTGAGGGCTGTGTTGTTGGCAATCAAGAAACCTCCACCGATCACGGTCAACGACGGGAAAGAAAGGTTGGACAATTCTGGGCTGTCAACGAAAGCCAGGGTGCCACCAGTCTGGGTCAAGTTGGGGGCAGAGAAGGTTTCGAAAGAGTCGGAGTAGAAGCCCATAGAGCCACCAACAATGCTCAAAGATGGCATCGAAACCTTGCTGACGTTTCGGAAGGTCAAGTTGGCAGCATCTTCGAGGTTAGGGAAGCTGATCTCGAGATCACGGCCGTTGGCGGAGAAGGACAGCGATGTGGTCACGTTCTTCAGGTCGTTAACATTCACGGTGGTGAGGTACGGGTTGTTGTTGATATCCAGGGCCGAAACAGCGGTCAGTTCGATGCCGTTAATGTTGTTAAGCTGAGTGTTGGAAATGTAGACTTGGTTGGCTTGTTGAACACCCTGGGCAAAGTTCAAGCTCTGAAGAGCAGGAAGACCAACCCAGTTGATCTTGTTCACGGCTTCGAGGGAATCAAACTGCAGGGTCGACAAAATGGTGAGGCCGGTCAAACTGAAGGTACCAGTAATGGTGTTGAGCTGGTCCGAGGTGATAGCCGTCAACTGAGTGGCATTGTTGCAGGTGAGGTCGCCCTTGATCTGTTGTACTCCGTTGATCGCAATTTGTCCAGAGGCAGTCGAGTCAATGATGACATCTCCATTGTATGTTCTGCAGTCAGCAATCTGCTCAGCGTCGGTACTGCTGGCAATAGTGATCGATGGTCCATCGCAGACATCGTTTTGCGCTATACCCAACAGGTTAGCCAGTCTCTTTCTCGTAAATTGAATCATTCCTTCTCTTGCGCGTGGGTTGCCGACGCCGCCTTTGGATGCCGTGGTACGTACCGAGGACACTGCTCGCAATAGCGAGTGTGGGAAGGATGAATTTTGTGAAGGCCATTGTGGATCTATGAATCAGCGAGGAAGCTGGTATCAAGGTCAGCCAAGGGATTCCAGGATGCAAAGCAGATCGAGGAGTGGGTAGAGTTAGAGAAATTGAAGGTGGTGGTTTGGGAGGGTGGTTACGCGGCCCCTCGTCGAGGCAATACTGAGGTGTAGATGAATTTCGACAGAGAAAACTGACCTGAAATGCAATATTAAAGGAGATAGTAGCTGAAAGTCGCGATACAGCTGGCTTGAAGGCAAGTCGTAAGAACTTTTGGGGGGATTAATCGGTTGGATTGAGGATGAGCTCGCAACGGACAAACAAAAGCTTCAGCGAAGGAGAAGCTGGGGTTGGTGTTGCTTGAATGGTGTTAAGACAGGCAAGGCCAACGGCAGGCACGAGGTTCTTATTGCGAACTACGTGTGGCTGGCTCTGACGAAGAAATAAAGGAACAAACAGCAGCAACGATGGACTGACTGGTGAGGATGAAGTGCACGGGAAAGATTTGAGAGAGAAGGGGATGGCAGGAAAATAGACGGGGACTGCGGACGGGGAGGTGAAGGACGAGATGCACCGGGCCCGGGCAGCTGATTGGGTGCAAAGGGCAGCGGCAGGTGTGTCGACAGACAATCCCGCCTGTCGCTCTATCAGCTCGGACGCTCCCTGAGCCCACCAAACAGCAGCAAGGAACCAGCAAGGGGATCACCAGCAGTTGCAGGCTTGTCGCAGTGGTGGAGATGGATGGTGCAGGCTACTGAGGCTAGTAAAAAGGGATGGCTGTATCGTTACCGTATGGCCCTCGGCCTGCGTGTCCCTACACGTCTCTACCCAGTACCCGGCATCCCACTCCACCCACAAACATGCGATCCAGCTGCAAGCTTTCGCCTCAGCCACGGGTCGGAGTCTCGCTCCTCTCAGGTACTCGCATCTGAGACATGGTGACAGCTGCGATGCACTCGCCACCACGGCACAGACTGGCATCCTACAAAGTATGTGTGTCGAATCCAGCATTCTGCCATCCCCGCCATACCAGGTCGAGATTGTACTGTACAGGACTGCAGGACACCCTCCGTACAAGTGCGAGCATGTACAGTACGATCTGGCTTGAGGAGGCTATTTCGCTTGGTCAATTCTTGTATCCGCTTGAATTGCGATGGCGACAAAGCTATGTTGGAGGTCGCTGTCTAGATCCACCACTAACCAGGGACTTAGATAAACAACTGGAGCTGGCTGTTAACGAGGTTTGTTTTTCCTATTAACCGTGCAGTTCCGGTGGCCTTCTGTGCTGTTATCGTGCTTAAGCGAAATAGTGCCTCACATTAATATTTTTAATTTATCACTCCGAAATAGCATCGAGGACGGAGCGATATTCCGGACAGTGTGTGCACGACTCTACGGGTGCAATACAGTAAGATACTCGATCACCTGCATATTCACACTTCAGTGCTTTGGCCGTCTGGAAATTCAAAATTCAAAGCACGAGATCTCCCAAAAAAACATCCTGCCTCTTTCGTGACACGCATTCCAACGTCAGAGTCGGCACAGACACCTCACAAGCCAGCTGATGCTCTCCGCTTGTGCCTCAATCATGAAACTCATCTCCTCCACCCCAGCTGATCAGCCATCGCAAAAAAAGGATGATTCTCTGCTTCAGGTCAAGGGGACTTGCGCTGATCGCGGTCCTTGATCAATATACATATACTTTAGTCTTTGGTAGAAAAGTGGGTGTATCAGCTACCTGTACGACATGTACTCCGGACTACTGAGAGATTCACATGCATGTCCAGCTTGCACCGGACAAAGGCAATGGTCCGTCGAGGCCCTGATGCAGTGATTCCGCCGACCTCGCCAATGGATCAGGGCTCAACTGGGCCCGCTGCAGTATGTCCGCCACACTTGTTCCACCAGCACCTTTAGTGCATTTTTGGTTACAGTACGTTACGGTTCGAAGCACTGACGACCATCCCAACGAGATCACCCCAGTCTGTTTGGGAGGATGCCACTTTCGATATGCGCTCTTCAATTTCCATCCAGATCCGCTTGCCAACAACATTCGCAGACCGTGGACCGAAATGTCATCTCTTGTTGATATTTGTATCATTGAACGGATGCGCTAGGAATGAGAATTGTAAAACAACAAATGTCGGAGTTTGTTTTTGTCATTATATCAACAGCGTTTCAGAGACTGCAACTCGTCCAGCGACACAATTGCACGGACTACGTAATATCCTCCCAGGCTAGAAGGCCCACGTGCCCGTAGTTCCTGGGACAAGAATTGCACAGCACTCGTTCTCTATTACCTGCAGTCCATACTCCGGACTCCGTATTCTTTTGAGGTAGGTACGGAATACAAGGTACGGATACTCCCCTACCAGCAAACAACCCAGAATCTCGGAAAGTGCACGGAGTAACACGGTAGCGTGCGTGGCTGGAACGCACACTGCACTACTTGACACGTTGGATGAAGCACGTTCCAGGCAACTTGCCGCCTGATATTCGTGTGAAGCTGGGATCTGCCCAAAAACGCCGGATGGTGTTGGACGAAACGACCATGAAAATTTCCGGAGTATTATTCTCCCCAGCTTTGGCTTTCGAGAAACTGTGATAGGGTTTTGTGCAGGTGAAAGGAGGGCTATACAGGAACAAGAATTCCGTACCCAGTTGGAAGGAAATTTTAGATCCGAACCGCAAGAAACACGCCCGAAAACTAAGTGGTCGCGCGTCAGCACGTGACTGCGTTGCTTAGGTCAGCCAGGCACGAACACGTACGCGCTCGGCCAAGGCCAGGCATCCGTGAGCAGCATGACGACAATGGGGTAAGAGAAATGCTTCACGAAGAGATCGTTTCCATCGCATCTCCCAGTCTCTCTTTCTCTCCTTCTGTCAAAGTCTACGGGACACAATTCTGCGAGTCACCTTGGTCAGAAGTCATCCTCCCTTAGCGTTGTAGTCCAGCAAATGACACCAACCTCGGACCTCGACGCAATCCTACAAGCGACGAAAACCTGAATGCTGGGTCGTGGCCTATATAAAATGACTATTCGCAGATCTACCAGAATTGCCTCTGGCTCTACCGCTGTTGTATCAGAAAAGCCAGCCAATATCGTCAGCACGACGTCCAGAAAGCGCTCGGTGAGCACTGCTTCTCCGCAAACACAAGCGACAAGGACGAGCAAAAAACCCAAACCGACACCAGATGTGGTTCCAGTCAATGGCGAGGTCGAGTCACCAGAGTTCAAAGTGCCAGTCACACCGGTGAAAAACGCCAGGAGAGCCCCCGCCAAAGCCAAGCACCCGCCGTTGACGCCAACCCCGAGCTTGATCAGTGTGATCAGAGCACCGTACAGCTCTGGGGATATCGACGATGCGGCACCACCGCCAGAGCGACCTGTCGAGCCACACGTGACGAACGCAGCGTTGGTGACTCCAGGAGGTACGCAGCAGGTCGCATACCCGGAGGACTTGCCGCCAGACTCGACACCCTCAAAGACCGGACTCCCTCGGCCTACAGCGACGACCAATACACTTCTCGATCAAGCTTGCGCGCACCTGATCAGCGTTGACGCTCGGCTGCGACCCGTCATAGAGAAGCACCCGTGCCACATATTCTCGGCCAGAGGTCTCGCGGAACAAATCGACCCCTTTCGTTCACTGGCAAGCGGGATCATGGGCCAGCAAGTATCCGGGGCGGCGGCGAAATCTATCAAGAACAAGTTCATAGCGCTTTTCAACGAGGAGGGCGCCGAGGACCCCAAGTTCCCCACGCCGGCACAGGTAGCCGCGACAGACTTGGCGCGGTTGCGCCTCGCGGGTCTATCGCAACGGAAAGCAGAGTACATCCAGGGCCTCGCGGAGAAGTTTGCGACGCGGGAACTAACAACGGACATGCTCATGAGAGCCACCGACGAAGAGGTCATGGAGAAACTGATCGCTGTCCGCGGACTGGGCAAATGGTCCGTCGAGATGTTTGCCTGTTTCGGACTCAAGAGGCTGGACATTCTCTCGACCGGCGACCTCGGCGTGCAACGCGGCATGGCCGCCTTTTACGGCAAAGACGTCAAGAAGCTCAAGGCCAAAGGCGGGGGGAAGTGGAAGTACATGTCCGAGCAAGAAATGCTGGACAGATCTGCCCCCTTCGCCCCATATCGCAGTCTATTCATGTGGTATATGTGGCGTGTCGAGGATGTGGATGTCGAGGTCATGAGCACCATGTAGGTAAGGTTGTAATAAAATTAAAACCTCCCAAGGGTGTTGGATATTTCTTTCGTTCCTAGTCAAGGCAAGGCAAGGCATATTTCTTATTGTATATGTACAGAAAGCATCTTGGACTTGACCCACCGTGACTTGACAATGGCATTCGTGGGTACTTCCACCACTGGTAATCATACGTTGAGAGAGTCACTCTCTTCTGGTAGCAGCAGTGGTAGTGGTGGTAAGTAGTAGTTGTAAACTCCACTTTGTCAGGGTCTCATGGTCTCTTTTCACTTTTTCCGCTCAACTATCATAGAGTCCAGATCCGCACGCTCCTTCAACTCGGCTTCGATTTCTGCAATGATGGGGCTCAAATAAGGTCGGTCCTGGAAAAAAAAAAGTCCACAAATGTCAGTGAAACTGCGCCAGCGCAATTACTTCCGGGTGCCTTCGGGTAGGGTAGGGCGCTCCCTCATCCTCTCTCACTTACCTCTTCAGGCTTTGTCTGTTCCGCAGGAGGTAATAGTTGATGAGCCAAGGAGCACTGTAATGAGGTAGAACCCCCGCTGGTCAGTCCCTTCAATCCTTCCAAAGTACGGGGGAGGGATAAAGTTGTCCGTATTTCCATGGGTTCAAACACGTACTTGGAAAGCTCGTCGCAGGCGGAAAACTCGATCGTATGCTTCCTTTGGCGGCAGTCGCTTGAGCGCGAGCTGCACGGTGTCGTTCTCTTCGGGGATCAAGTCGTCTGCGCGAAGACCTGTTTTGCAACGAAATCGTCAACAATCTGTCCTCTTTTATCCCACACTCTCGCCCCCAGCAAAGCTCCCGGCAGGCGAGAAAGCTAGCTGGCTAGCTGACTAGCTCCGTTTGTTCAATGTTCGTGTCCGTACCTAGTCTTCTGTACCCGGCAGCGTCGGCGTACCAGTTTGCCAGCGGCATCATCCATCTCTTGAGCCATGGCCGCTTCAGGATATACGGGGCTAACGAGGGTCCAGACATGGCGACGTAGCGTACTCCGTGTGTTGGGGGTGAGGTGGATTGAGAATGAATCAACGATGGGCGCACCCTTTGGAGCTTGTCGTTCAATGAGCCCAGGTCGAAGAAACATTACTGGCTCTTGGCGCTAAGTTGTAAATGAATGACGATGATTGGTTTTTGAGCTCCAGCACGTGACCCTCGTATTCGCTTCCTGTCTACTCGCAGAACGGATTGACGGGAACTTCTCCTCTCACCTATGATGGTTGTATTTCTCACCTTCTATGGGGACAGTTGTCCTACAAACACGAAGCTCGACCTCTGTCAAAATGAAAATGGAAACCTAATGAAATGGCCACAAACATCTTCCAAGGATCAAGCAAACTACGAGGCCCTCTAACTTGTTCAATGCTTCCTTGTTAAAAAGGGTCTGCAGCGAGTCAAAGAATTAAATATTTTCGCCAGTACAAGGCCTGCACCAGTCCCCAAAGCTAAAAGAAAACCCCCCAAGTCCGCCTCTTGGGACAACGTTCACTCTTGTACTGCTAGCACGGTGTAGGTAGTCATTTCTAACGAACTTAGGATTCCGCGCCATAAATTCACTCAAACTCTTCACCTAACCCTTGAATTGTTTTCAAGCCGCTACTCTTTGATCTTTGTGCAACCTCCCGACCTACCTAAAAAGTCTCCGCACATTCATGGGACTAGCTTACACGTACAGATATGAGCAGGTTTCAAACCAGAGACAAGTTAAAAGAGCATATTTAAAAGTCTCCGCGTTTTGCGATGAAAGGTGACAGGACGCATTGAACCGGGTGAGCCTGAGTTTGATGGAGAAAGTCGACAAGACGACAGCTTGGTCTCCGTTTGCACATTCTATATATTCCTTAGCCTACTGGCCATGCCTCAGCTTGACTGCCTACCTGAAGGTACTAAATTTTTCAAGACCTCAACTTCTTAACGGCCCTTTTTACATACAGCATCAGTACCTGCTCGCTGAATTGTGTTTCCTGCCCCGGGCTCAACATGGCTGATAATCCTGCAAAGTATTTCGATGACCTTGCAACCACATATGAAAGTCTCATCGGACTCATCACCGCCGACATTGCCCACCATATCTTGTACGAAGTATTACCCGCACCGGATTCCACAGCGGTGATTCACGACAACGCATGTGGCACCGGCATTGTCACTCAATACCTAGAGGACATCGCCTCAAGGACAAGATTGTACCCCACCATCCTCGCCACCGACTTTGTCCCGTCCGTCGTGGAGGTCGCCAAACGAAAAAGTGAGTAGTTCAAGTGGAAGAACGTAGACATCTCGGTGATGGATTCTCAGGCTCTCACGTTCCTCGATGACTTCTTCGACTTGAGCATCACCAACTTTGGCATTTTTTTCCTGCCGGAGCCACAGAAGGGCGCGGATCATATCTATCGAACGCTCAAGCCAGGCGGGGTCGCCGTCGTCACAAGCTGGAAAGCACGACCTTTAATGGACACCATTAAGGCAGCGCAAAGATTAATTTGTCCGGGCACGAAGCCATTTGGGGCTCCATGGGAGAGAGAATGGAGTAAAGAAGAAACTCTCCGAAATGTTCTTGAGAACGCAGGCTTCAAGGGCGAAAATATTCAAATCGTCGAGAAAAGAACTGATGCTGTCTACGAGCCATTTATGCGTGATGTACACATGGTGGCAAAAGCCTATACATCGATGATTGAAGAATGGCGCGAGGAAGACAAGGAGAAGCTGGGTCCAGAGATGTTGAAGATCTTGCAAGCCCGCGAAGATGGCCTGGCGGAAGGGCTATGTCTCGTAGCCTATATTGCTATTGCGAAGAAGTAGTTGGTAAATGACTGGATAGCCTATTCTAGAATCCAAAGCCTGGTCCAAGAGAACTACTTAAGTCTTCCTCGCAGCAAATTCGCAAAACTTCGGAGCTGAGCGGAGGTGCGGCTGGGGAGTCTGGGGCACCCTTTTGTCTCTTCCGTGTGAAGCAGCTGCAGCCAAAGGATACCATCCCGGTAGTGAACTTGAGAGGGATCGCTCTGGATGCTGTACGGGAGAAGGTATGTATGTGCAAGACGCCATCCATGAACGAGGTACTATGGGAGAAAGGAACCCGAGTCTATTTTAGGAAAGAATGCCAAGGGCTCAACCCCGGATTGTCCACGGCTTTTCGGCATCGTTCGGTTCAAAAGTTCATACCAGTATCTTCGGCATTGACTGGTGGGTCAAGCTGCTTTCTTACCAAGGTATTGATATCGAAACCGAGGGCAAAGCACAGGGCGATCTCGAATGGATGCGAACAAATCATGGAGCGATTCTTTCGCCTCAAATGCAGTTTCTCCTGCTCCCAGGATACAACTGTTCGATGCAACGAAGGGCCATCTCAAGTCGATCCACGTCATCAGCAAGCACATTAGCGCGGCAGAGGCTCAAGCAAGCCGACTGTGAAGATCCCCTGCTCTCGACACGCGACGCCTCGCAGGTGTCTCGGCCGTCCAAAAGGTTCAATACATCTTGAGCGAAGTTCTTTTGAACTAAAAGCCATCTGCTCTCATTTTGACCAGGGTACGGCAAACACCTTCCCAATATAAGGAAGATGCCACACAAGTCGCGCTGGTCTATCCCGCTGCCGCAATGTTCCTTTCCCACCTTCTTATTCGGCTCCCCTCACAAAGACGTGGGTGATGCGAAGGCGTACATTGACGCTGCACGCCCGGATGAGTTATTCCTCACTCGCCGTGATTTCCGTCTTTGGTCTCAGCGCCTTGCGCTGGGCTTGCTGAGGAGCCAGGCTTTCCATCCTGGAGACCGAGTTCTGATCTTTTCCGGCAACACGCTGGCCACGCCCGTTGCGTTCATGGGAGTTGTTATGGCTGGCGGGATATTCACGGGTGCCAACCCGACCTTTACTTCTCGGGAGCTGGCACACCAGCTGCGCGACTCTGAAGCGACGTACCTTTTCTGCTCACCGAGCTCCATCGCTACAGGGCTGGAAGCTGCCAGACAGGCCGGCCTGGACAAGTCCAGAGTTTACCTCTTCGACGAGAGCATTTTTCTGGATGAGGGAAGTTCGTCTCACGCAGAATTGGCGGGCTGTCGACATTGGTCGGGCCTGGTAGCACCCGCCGAGGATGCCAAAGACTTCCAGTGGGAAGAGTTAGATGTGAGTTCGAGCTCGAATTTTTTGTCTCTCTGGAACTCCTTCCGGCTAACGTAAGCATAGGGGGACAAATGTTCCAAGACGATAGCTCTCAACTACTCATCCGGCACAACGGGGGTACCGAAAGGCGTTGAAGTATCACACTACAATTACATCGCCAACACTCTCCAATACAACCATCTCGCGACGCTAGATCCGCATTATGCCCAGAAGAACGCAAGGGCAAAGTGGCTTTGCTTTTTACCTCTCTACCACGCCATGGCGCAGACCATATACATTGCCGGCAGCCTGCTCCGTGAGATCCCGGTCTACATCATGGCCAAATTTGACTTTTTGGAGATGCTGGTAAACGTTGAACGGTTCAAAATCACCGACCTCAGTATCGTCCCACCAATCGCGGTGGCCCTCTCCAAGCACCCTGCAGCCAGAAAGGCCAACTTGAGTAGCATTGAGTCGGTCGGCTGTGGCTCTGCCCCGCTGGGCAGCGATATCTGTCGGGCGATCGAGAAGCTATGCGGCAATCGAGTCAACATGAAACAAGGCTGGGGAATGACCGAAGTGACGTGTTCACTGCTGGGCTGGGACCCCACCAAGACCTCGTCCTCGTCCGGCGTCGGGGAGCCCAATGCAAACTGCACAGCCAAGATCATGAGGATCGTGACCGATGACAGCGGCAATGAAGAAGAAGCCTCCTTTTCCGAGGTGACGGAGCGCGGTCCTGCACACACAGGGGAGCTCTGGTGCCGCGGCCCCAACGTCATGAAGGGCTATTGGCGCAACCCCACAGCAACAAACAAAACGTTCTCTGTTGCCGATGCTGATGGCGAGCGGTGGCTGAGGACGGGGGACATAGCCTATGTAGACGAAGAGGGATGCTTCTACATCGTCGACCGGATCAAAGAACTCATCAAGGTCAACGCCAACCAAGTTGCGCCCGCCGAGCTGGAGGCTCTCCTCCTCGAGCATCCCGCGGTCGCCGACGTAGCTGTCATCGGCATCCCCACGGCCGACGGTGACGAGAGGCCCCGTGCTTTTGTTGTGCGACAACCTGGTGGCGCCAGAGTCACCGAACAAGACATCTATGATTTTGTCAAGGAGACGGCTGTGCCGTACAAGTGGCTCAAGGGGGGTGTGGAATGGATCGACACCATCCCCAAGAATCCTTCTGGCAAGATTCTGAGACGCCACCTTCGTGAGACATCGAAAGTGAAGCTTGCTCCTAGTAAGCTATAGAAATAGAACAGAACGAGCGGCTTTCATAGGTAGAATCGGAATCATCGTCGACCAGATGACCATCTCATGTTTTCGCAGTTTACCTTTAGTGTATCTAAGATTAGGGTAGCCTCCCATCAGGCTAACGAGCCCAACACTGGTGACATTTCCAGCTCAGTAAGCTAGAAACTGCAATTAAACGCCTCGACCGCGCCTCGAAGACCTCTTTCAAGACGGAGACAGCCAGGCGTGGCTCCGGGATCATCAGAAAATACAGTCTGGAGGGAGTAAATCTCATCTTGTCGCTGTTAGCGACCTCAGAAGTGTCGAGCATTTGGCATGCACAATATCAAACTCGTCAGAACGAGGAATTTCGAGTATCTGAAGAACGTTGGATGCTGCCAGTCGCCAGTGAGAAGGCGGTTTGCGGTAACCTTGCCCGAGCATACCTCGTTTTCGTCCACCTGCATTTTACCCCTGCTGGATGAGGCGGTATTTGGAAATCTTACCCACGGCTCTCCAACGATGGGTCGAAATGAAGAGCATTTGTCCTTGCTCCTCCTTTTACAAGCAATGTCCGCTCGTGAAATGACCCAACAACATGCCCGCAAGCCTCTGGTTCCGAGCTGAGGCCTCGGACCTACATGGTTGGAACTGCGTCGAGACGCCTAGGGACATGGCATCGTCGATGGATTCAAATGGCTTTTGACAGGCTCGGGGTGACGTTGGTCGTCCTCACAGACGACCCTCCTGGTCCATCTCTGAGTGACGAGGAAGGTTTCCCATTCGAAGATTTCATCACCGACAGGCCTAGGTTAGGGATTGGACGGCTACAGGAAATGCTGTCTGCAAATCCCGTCTGACCATGACTGGGGCGAGGATCGTCCCCGGCGAATGATGTATTTCCCTGCGTCAGGGGATGTGATGATGTGATGAGAGTTCCTAGCGACCTGGGTAGGAGATGTTGTACCATGTTAACACGTGTAAGGTAGGCTGCAGCATTTGGTCGAAATGGATGAGATGAAGGTACTGCGCAAGGAGAAAAAGTTGCAAGCCGCAGGCTTGGTGACAAAAACCTCGGCCTCGTCTAGGAGAGCAGTCAAACCACTGCTCTTGGTAACAAGTAAGTATTTACAAGTAAGTATTTACAGAGTAGAGGGATCTGCGTCTCGAGACGAAGATCTCCACATACGAAAGTTGGCCCAGGTACGAGTACCTGCTGAGATAGGCGTCTTTTCCTACCTTACCCAGGGTACCTGAGGGACCTACTGTACCTAGATGGGTGGAACTGAAGCCTGGAGCCGTCGCCCCCAGGGATGCCGAAGGTGCCCAGGGATAGATGCTGTTAGGGGAGGCGGGGGTATCAGCAGCTGTTGGACCAATACTCCGTAAAGTAAGTGACCTAGTATTGACGGCCTCCCAGGTCCATAATAATCGCCCCTGGGTTCACTAACAACTCTCAGTGTACTCCGTACTCCGTAGGCTGATGGGATTCTTAGTAAATGCCATGCGCTGGACGCCTTGATCTCGTCTTGCAAGCATTTGGCCCTGTTTCCTCCATCTCTGAGATTTGACATCACTCAAGATCAGTATTCCGTGCTCGTACGTCTGCTCACCTCTCACCAACACTCGAGAGCGAGATCTGTCGACTCTTGAGCGCATCATCCAACATCGTCGAGGCTTATCCCGCTTGCTACACGCCCGAGCCGCAGTCTGCTCCCCTGCTCCTCACTACTCAGTTACTTCATCAACTCGCCCCTTGCCTTGCGATTTTGGTGGCAGTGATCGACACATTTCATCACACCCTTGGGCATTTACACCAATCGTGGGCTCCTTCAATATCATCCCAGAATTTATCCTCGAGATTTCTTTTGTTCAGACTCTCGTCAATCGACAGACTGTTTCGCAGCTTTCGAGGTTGTGACTCGTGGCCAGCGCGACGATTTCCCCCTCTACCGACTCCACTAGAACTTTCTCGGTTTTCGCCCCTCCAGCAGCAGCAACCTTGCTTTCGGCAACTGTCCAAAAGGTGCCTTCTCACTGCCTACTCATCAACCCCTCCAGCCCAATCAAGGTATCTCGCTGCCCGACTCGACCTCATTCCCTCCTCCCTTCAATCGTCGCGTGTTGAGAAGCAGACGTGTGAGCAATAATCAATATCGGACCTGGTTTTACTGTGCGTTCAGCTGCTGTCCGCCCTCCTCGCATGCTGGCGTAAATTGATCACGCTCAGCGCAGCTGCGCACCACGTTGCTGCGTAGCCAATTCCTCTGGCCAACTTAGTCACCATGGCCGACAGCCTGCCTCAGCAGCCGCCAGCTCCCGCACTCTCCCTGCCCGATGAAGCAGACTCGAAATCCTCACCCACGACATCCACCAGCCCCTCCTCAGACTCGATATCCAGGCCACCGTCGCTGCCGCAGTCTACTACTGGCATGGCTTCCTCGATGAGTCCTTCCTCCGCCCCGCTTGGCCCGGTCAATGCTGCAAGAAGGCCCGGTCCTCTTCCTGGTCGTGCAAGCGGCCTCAACTCCGATATACAGGCGAAAATGAAGGCATTTTCGCAGTCCAGGCAGGGGGCTCGTCCTTCTGCAGCGCAACAACCGGGTGTTCCCCCTGCGTTCGTTGGAGGGCCCATTGCAGGAGCTCCTTCTGCGTCTGCAGCGTCCACGTCTGGCGGACTACAATTACCTGGGGGTATGAGCCGGCCTAATGCTCCCAGCTTTGGGTCGCCGCCATCTCCTGCTACGGGGAGCCCAAGAATGACCAGTCCGCAACCACGGTTGCAGATGGGCGGACTTGCAGCAAAGAGAGGCTTCAAGCCGGGGGCGATGAAATTGTCAGATGCTCATAAACCACAGCCCGCCGGTGAGATCCGTGAAAAACAAGATACCGGTTCCCAATTCAACAAGTTTGCCAACATCGTAGACACCAAGAAGGGTACTTTGAACTTCCAGAACAAGGCCGTCATCCACGGCAGCGGCATAGAGTTTGCTGGAGGCAGTACGTTCTCCATATCTCTCGACGAGGTCGATACGGTGGCCGAGCTGGGGAAGGGGAACTACGGGACAGTATTCAAAGTCCGGCATGCCCGCCCCAAGATGCGAAGGCCTGGGCTCGGCTTACGAGGCAACATGGTCAGACAGGGAACAACATCAAACTTCACCGAAGATGGAGAAAGTGAGTGTCCGGCCAAGGAATCCGGAACGACTGGTCTTGTCATGGCAATGAAAGAAATCCGACTCGAATTAGACGATACCAAGTTCGCCCAGATCATCATGGAATTGGATATCTTGCACCGTTGCGTGTCACCTTTTATCATCGATTTTTACGGCGCATTCTTTCAAGAAGGCTCGGTGTACATTTGTATTGAGTATATGGATGGAGGGTCCATTGACAAATTATACGGCGATGGGGTTCCTGAAGGTGTTCTGAAGAAAATCACTCTGTCGACTGTGATGGGACTCAAGTGCCTAAAAGATGAACACAACATCATCCATCGCGACGTCAAACCGACCAATATCTTGGTCAACACCCGCGGACAAGTCAAGATCTGTGATTTTGGCGTCAGTGGCAACCTAGTTGCTTCTATTGCAAAGACGAACATTGGCTGCCAGAGCTACATGGCTCCCGAACGGATATCCGGCGGTGGCGTAGCACAGGCTGGCGGTGCTGGAGGCTCCTACAGCGTGCAGTCTGATATCTGGTCCTTAGGTCTTACCATCATCGAATGTGCACTCGGAAGATACCCTTATCCCCCAGAAACATACGACAACATTTTCAGCCAGTTGAGTGTAAGTAATCTCAATCTCCCACGGTGGTGACATTACTAATCTTTGTGAAAGGCTATCGTGGAAGGTGAACCACCAGATCTTCCAGCAGATCAATATTCTGAGGCAGCCATTGACTTTGTCCGGGGATGTCTCAATAAAATCCCCCGACTCAGACCGACCTATGCAATGCTTCTTCGACACGCTTGGCTGGCTCCCCTGATGAAGCCGCCGACAATTTCTGAGGACGAAGAGGCTGAAAAGGCAGCAGAAGCCGGCATTGAATCGGCATTTGTGGGCAATGGCGTTCCCGACACTGCAGACAAGGAAGTCGCCGAATGGGTCAAGGCGGCACTAGAAAAGAAGAGGCAGGGCAAGTTGGCAGTGAGCAAGAAGCCGGCATTGCACGAAGCACCTCTTGACGCCGTACCCGGAAGCCCGTTGCTTACGCAGTCCGAGGCTGCCGCCCTACCAAATGTACCTGCTGAGCAACATGCGAATCCTGGTACTCTTGTGGATTCTGCCGATTTGCTGGCGGCGAAAGTGCAAGGTCTCGATTTCGCTTCATAACTAGTCGGGACGTGGATTCCATTAACGCCATGAAAGGTATTGTAAAGGTAACGAGGAACGAAAACTCAGTTGGGGCAAACAATTGGTAGAAGCTCACAAAGTGCCATAATGCGAACTGTGGGTGACAGTAGCTGCCACAATACACTGCTCGTAAAGTTCTACCGATATCAGGATGTACTGATTCCATTCCTGGCCACATGAACACTTAAGAGGCCTTTCTCGATAGAAATATGGGCGATGCAGTACATAATGCACTGTAGAGATTCCTGGTACCCGGTCCTTGCGGAGTCGGAGTCAAAAGATGCCGGATTACTCATGACATCAGAGGCCATTCCTTCTACGACGTCAAATTCCGAGCAAAATGCGACCAGAAGCTGGCGCCGTACTCGTATATGCCATCGTTGCTCGACTCGATAGACCTTGCTTATTTTTATGAATTTGAGACGGCGGAGGACAACTAGCCGTGTTCGCACTTGTCGCGCCCTCAGATAATGAGCAAAGATGCCGGCCTTGGTCAAGCGACTTCTGATATGGGCGACGATTGACGGACTCGTTCTCCAGGCTCACGGCTCTGCTGAACATCACAAAACGATCAAGATAGATTATGCGAGGCGCCAAATAACAGAGGCCCAGACCGGCGATGCAAGTGGCAAGAAGAATGTTTCGCTTGAAGCTCATGGTGTTATAGGTAAGCTAAGACCCGCACTATGAGCTCACCCAACAGGCCTTACCATGTACAGGGGTTCTCTCAATCGCATCTTCCGCGTTTCTCATTGCCATCACGCAGCGAGAACAGGTCGCACAAATCTTCGGCAAGCCAATATACGTTATCAGAGATGTGGCCTTCGTCCCACTGACATCACAGACGGAAGCCGAGCGCTCCATCACATCGGCTCTCGCGTCGAAGAGTCCTGTCACTGGCGCGGAAGAGTCCGATTCCGACCTCAGTGAACCAGGTGAAGAAGAAGAAGTCTTGGTCAAGGAGCTGGAGCCAGAGACGCCGGTCGAGCATCCACTGACCCAGCAGAACAATTCTAGCTCCACCAGCATTGTCAGAGACGTCATTGCCAACCGAGGGCAATACGCACGATTTGCTTCGCAGTGGTTTTCGAAGCAAGGCTGGAAAGGACAAAGAGATGCGACAAAAAATGCCCCGGTATCACCTAAGCAGGTGCAGGATCTGGGCAGGACGTCCTCGGCCGGAGCCGCCGATGCTGCTATAGCAGCCAACTCTTCGGAATCACAGGGCGAGAATGGCGAGGAACACCAGACAGATATCGATGTCCATGAAACATCGAGCACCTCGATCCGGGACGCGCTACCCAAGATTGTCAAGACCACAAAGATGATTCTGACATCAGGAAGCTACTTTTTCTCATACGAGTTTGATCTCACGCGACGCTTGTCTTTGACCGGCGGAAGCCCAAATGTTCCGACCAAGGATACGATGGACCCGTTGGTACGCTATTTTGGAACTTGGGGTGGAAATATTGCTAACTTCTGTAGTATTTCTGGAACCGACATCTCGCAACACCATTCCTCATTGCAAGACAGGATAGTTTTCTCATACCGGTATTGCAAGGCTTCGTTGGCCAGCGGGCTTTCGTGGTCAAAAGGGTCGAACCTAGCGACCCCCATTCGGCATGTGTTGTCTCAGCTGATCATGACAAAGACTCCCCGGTGCTGGAGCATGCAATGAACCATGCCAAGCAGGGTCTCGCCAGTATCGGAGGCGAAACGCAGGATTATTTGCTTACGCTTGTATCTCGACGCTCGGTAAAGCGGTCCGGTTTACGTTACCTAAGGAGAGGCATCGACGATGAAGGCAATTGTGCGAATGCTGTAGAGACCGAGCAGATCTTGTCCGCGCCTGATTGGTCAACGAAGAGAAGCATTCGGTCTTTTATCCAGATCCGCTGTTCGATCCCGTTGTATTTTTCACAGTCGCCATACTCGTTCAAGCCAATCCCAATAATTCACCAATCGGCAGCAAAAAACGATAATGCCATGAAGAGGCATTTCCAAGATCTCAAAGATCGCTATGGCTCGGTTCAAATAGCGGTATTGGTAGATAAGCATGGCTCAGAGACCCTCATCGGTCAGGCTTATGAGGAGGCAGTGCGAAATTTGACCGAGTCGGGCGTGCTGAAAGACGTCGATTTTGAGTGGTTTGACTTTCACGCAGAGTGCCGGGGCATGAAATTCGAGAATGTCTCCAAACTTGTCGACAAGCTTCAGCCCAACATCGAAGCTTTCAATGAGACGACACTTTCTGAAAAGGGAATCGTGACCTCCCAATCAGGCGTTATTCGCACAAACTGTATGGACTGCCTGGACAGGACGAATGTGGCACAGAGTGCGTTTGGTCAGTATATGCTCCAGAGAGATCTTACCAAGGAAGGATTTGCCATTGACCTGTTGCACGACGAGTCAACCACCTGGTTCAACACGCTATGGGCTGATAACGGAGACGCCATATCTAGGCAATACGCATCGACAGCTGCACTCAAAGGCGACTTTACACGCACACGGCGCCGCAACTATCGTGGAGCGCTCAACGACTTCAGCTTGACACTGACCCGCTACTATAACAATATGGTGAACGATTATTTCTCCCAGGCAGTCATTGATGTGCTCTTAGGAAATATGTCCTGGAAAGTCTTTGAGGATTTCGAAAGTAGCATGATGAGTGCAGATCCCGGCATTAACATCGAGCAGATCCGCGAGGCTGCGATCGACAATTGCAGAAAACAAGTCATTCAAGCAGACGATGAAGACCTAATCCAAGGGTGGACAATGCTGACTCCTGCTCATGAAAACACTCTGAGGACGATACCTTTTGAAGAAGCCGTCGTACTATTGACGGATGTCGCACTCTATTGCTGCAAGTTTGACTGGACGACCGAAAAGCTGAGGTCGTTTGAGAAGATCGACCTTAGATCGATATCGAAAATCAGATATGGGACGTATATCACGTCTACATTTAGCGAGCGACAGATGCAAGAGCGATTCAATGCCGGGCTCGTCGTTATATATCAGCCAGGCAAAGAGAGCATAATTCGTACAAACACCCGATCCCTGCAAAATTACGTGGCACCCAAATCGGAAGACACTGCGAACCGCATCGATGGCGGCACTGGTATACTCTCCTGGCTCAGTCCGTCGTCCCCACCATCCTCCCGGACAGTGGCTCTCAAAGTCATCGACGCAACGGCCAGGCATTTCGACAGGCCCGAAGGAAAGCAGGCCGAGCTTCCTCTCGCGGTCGCGGGAAGAATTGCCGAGGAGATAAGAAGAGCTATCGAGGGCCCAGCCGTTGCAGGTGAAGCACAGGACGACAGCAGTAACAACAATTTGGTGCAACAGGATGACATTATCTCTCTGGCAGAGGCCAAGAAAAGAACCGGATACCTTGAACAATTGGGATACTCTATCAAGAAGCTGGTCTGGTCGTGAGAACGAGCTGGATGGTGTGTGCAGTATTGCTGAGGAAAGACATTCTGTCCTACTCGGTACACCAAAGGAAGTCTCTCAGGGAGTCCAACCTTGTCCAATTCGCCTACGTGGAGGAACGCAGCGCTTGGATTTTTCGTCTTTGATCTAACCTAACACAAGCAGCCGTTGAATATATTATGAATGGCTGATATGATGGAAAATCGTTGAGAGGGATTCTTGACACTGCTGTAGTTCTTATTGTTAGACGGCGTATGTGAAGTGACAATATGTCTATGATCATGAACGGGTTCGACACCCGGATCCAGAGCCCGACAATAAGCGCTGTACGACGTGCCTTTCTTTGCCTCCTCATATCCCTTTTCTTTTGCCATTTGGCCTTTGCCTGGTCATTTAACTACCTCCCTATAACTAGGTCGGTGTCCTGCCTAGAACCGATTTCATTGGGCTAACGAGGAACTGGCCTCGCAACCCCAACGACAAGACAAGCGCACCATCCACCAACCCGCTCGCCTGCAGATTCGCCTTGCAGGAAATTGCGACTACACCTGTTCAGTTGTCGTCAGTTTTCTCTACCCTCTGGTTGCGAGCGACGTCGACATCTAGCGTTGGTGGACAATTTGCGGTCTCTCTAAGTGTGGTCGCACGTTACCAGCCCTAGTGAGCCTCCCCACTTCAGACTACAGAAATTTACACCCAAACACTGTGCAGGACAACATTCTGCATAACTCTCGCCTTTCGCCTCACACCTCACACCTCATAGCGGACGATCTGGGGTTCGTACCTCCCGACACAGGGGCGAGGCCAACAGCGTGGCTTCCCTATAGTGCGTTTTTCGACCAGCCTGTCTACGGCTTCATCGTCCACCGATCTCTGGCGTCTAGGCCCTTGGGGCACCGGTGCCCGTCATGGCGTGGCAACCGGAGGAGGAGGCGCTGAGGCAGTTGTCCGAGTACCTCAAGAACTCCTTGAGCGGCCATGACAGAAATAAACAAAAAGAGGCGGAGCTGGTATGGCAAACATGACAATCGTACACCGGATGTCCCGCTAACGAGCGCCCATAGATGATCATGAACGCGAGAAACAATAACGATTATGTGAATTATCTGACATATATCTTTACTACGCCCCAGCTAGGGCAGCAGCTCCAGCTCAATACCCCGAGTCTGTTCCTCATCCGCTATGCTGGGGGGGTCAACCTCAAGAACCATATCAAGCTCTTCTACTCCAACATTCCGAAAGACCAATTGGCATACGTCAAGGCGGCGACCCTCACTGTCCTCCGGGATCCGAACCCCCAACTGAGAGGCTTCGCTGGAACAGTCATTACCGAGATCGTGACACAGGGTGGGCTGCTACAATGGCCGGAGATCTTGCAAGAGTTGTTGTCGCTCGTGGATAACAGTGCAGGCAATGCGCCCGCGGAAACTCAAGAGGGAGCCATGTCGGCCCTGGCAAAAGTCTGTGAGGACAACCGGAAGTTGCTGGACAAGGAGTTCCAAGGCCAGAGACCGATGACAGTCATCGTGCCCAAGTTGCTGGAGTTTGCAACTCATTCCAACCCCAAGATTCGCGTCCTTGCCCTCAGCACGCTCAAGACGTTTATCCCGCAAAAGTCACAGGTCCTGTTCTCGGCTCTGGACATTTACCTACAGACAATCTTCCAGCTGGCAACAGATCCGGACGTGCAAGTCAGGAGGATCGTTTGTCAATCCCTTGTCCAGCTCGTGGAAACTCGACCAGATGCGCTTTCTCCACATCTTGATGGTCTTGTGAATTATATCTTGACTCAACAACAGTCCTCGGGAAACCCCGACCTCGCTCTAGATGCAGCCGAGTTCTGGCTCAGCGTGGGCGAGCAAGACCAATTGAGAGATCGGATGGGACCTTACCTGAACAAAATCATTCCCGTCTTGCTTGCTGGAATGGTGTATGGAGAGGATGAAGTCTTCCGGCTTGGGGGGGATGAAAACGATGCCGACGTTGAAGATCGATCAGAAGATATAAAGCCTCAATTCGCTCAGACTAAAGCCGGAAGAGGTGTCAAGTCAGAGAAGGAAGACTCTGCTCCAGGCACGCCCCAGGCTAATGGTACCCCATCAAAGAACGATGACCTTAGCGACGGTGAGATCGAGGAGGAAGACGAGGATGAGGAATGGGATGATGATGACCCCGAAAATGCTTGGAGCTTAAGGAAATGCTCTGCTGCTGCCCTGGACGTCTTCGCCGTCAACTACGGAGTGGCTGTCTTCGACATCATTCTGCCTTACCTGAAGGAAAATCTCTCCCACAGCCTCTGGCCCAAACGCGAAGCGGCAGTCCTCGCGCTCGGCGCCATCGCAGAGGGCTGCATGGATGTTGTTTCACCACATCTACCCGAGCTGGTGCCTTTCTTGATTTCCCTGCTTTCGGATGAAGAACCCGTTGTTCGACAGATCACCTGCTGGTGCTTAGCACGGTATTCCGAATGGGCATCCCGCCTTGAATCTCAAGCAGACAAACAACGCTACTTTGAGCCCATGATGGAAGGCTTGCTGCATCGAATGTTGGACAAGAACAAGAAAGTACAGGAAGCCGGAGCCAGCTCCTTCGCCAGCCTCGAGGAAAAGTCGGGCGAAAAACTCAAACCTTATGTTGAACCGATCCTTCGCCAGTTTACGGAATGCTTCAAACGATACAAGGACAAGAATATGTACATTTTATACGACTGTCTACAAACATTGGCCGACAGTGTTGGGCAGGAAATCGCCAAACCCGAGCTTGTCAACCTTCTAATGCCGGTCCTTATCGAACGATGGAACAAGATTCAGGACGACTCGAGGGAAATGTTTCCCCTGCTGGGTTGCCTAGGCTACATTGCCATGGCGTACGGCGATACCTTTGCACAATTTGCAGCCCCAATCTTCGACCGGTGCATCAAAGTCATCTATTCAAATCTGCAGCAACACATGGCATTTGTGTCCGGCCAGACGGTGGACCAACCAGACAAGGACTTTATAGTGACAGCCCTCGACCTGCTCTCTGCCATTATCCAAGCCATTTCTCCCGAAAAATCGGCACCGCTTGTGCAGAACTCTCAACCGCAATTCTTTGACCTGCTCTCCTTCTGCATGGAAGACCCCACCACTGACGTCCGGCAATCTGCCTACGCTGTCCTGGGTGATTGCGCCATTGCCCTTTTCAACACCCTCGACCCGTATCTCGCCAAACTCCTTCCGGTCTCGATCCGCCAGCTCGACCTTGATGCCATGCCCGATGACGATTCCGAGAACAGCTTCAACGTGCTTGCGAATGTATGTTGGTCCCTAGGCGAAATTGCCGCACGTGCGTCGACATCTCGCATTTCTCCTTTCATCGAGCCTCTCTACCGCGGCCTCGTGACGATAATCAAGAATGAAGAAGTCCCGGATCCTGCGAGTGAGAATGCTGCGACAGCCCTTGGTCGTCTTGGTCTGGTCTGTCCCGAACACCTTGCGCCTTTCCTGAGCGAGTTTGCCGAGCCCTTCTTATCGAGCATGTCCAAGGTCAGCACGTCGCACGAAAAGGCTAGCGCGTTCTTGGGCTTCAACAATGTCATTGAGCGCAATCCTCAGGCGATGGAGGCCAGTCTTGGGCTGTACTTCTCGGCAATTGCCCAGTTCCCTCAAAAGGGAAAACAAGGGGCCGATTATAGTGAAGTTCGCTCAAGTTTTGGCCGAGTGATACAGGGATATGTTGGACTTATTGGACAGGATGGCTTCCGCAATTTCCTGGGTGGTTTAAGTGCTCCGGTCAGACAGAAATTGAGTGACGGGTATGGCTTAGGATCTTGAGGATCTTGATGAGCACTACATACTTATCATGTTGTTCTTCAATTAGACAGACATGAGGATTTTGAACCCGACTCATGAAGATCTTAAAGGCGCCTCGAGACCCCACGACGACCGGACCGATACTTACTTTTTTCCCCTAGAGAGACTGAGGAGACTTTATGAGTTTACGACGACCAAAGGTTGAGGTTGCCCTTGCAATGACGACCCTGATAGGGCGAGAGGAGGATGAATTTTGAGCCGGCCCATTCAAAGAGAGACTGCTCGAGATGATTCTGATATCAATCGAGAGAGGAGAGAGGACAGGGAGAAGGGGGGGGAAGATAAGACAGAAGAGAGAAAGAGAGAAAGAGAGCAAGAGAACGGTCCAAAGACGGCGGCGGCGGAAGCTGCATTACGATAGAATTTTACCTGGGAAAGCAAGCAAGAGAGCAAACAGGCAGACAGGGCAAGCGAGCAAGCAAAGAATTTTGATTGATTCTACGTGACGGAACATGATCTCTCCCTCTCTCTCTCTCTCTTTTGATATAAGAAGTACCTCGTCAAAAGCTTGCATGTGCTGACTGCCAACCCCTGCCCGGGTTCCACGGAGGTGGGCTAATTTCCCCCCCCTTTTTGTGAGAGACGATGAAAGGACTGGGGCCCGCGGTAGGGAGGTATATTTACCATGGAAGATTTATTTCAGAGTGAACAAACAAAACAGCCTCTCCGGGGGGGGGGGGGCAGCAAACACGACGGTACTCAGAACGGACAGAAACAAAAAGTCCAATCTACCTGCCTACCTTTTGTCTACGTGGGTCGTTCGTTAACACTTTGGACTTCGTCGAGGAGGAGCGAGGTCGCTCAACTAGTGACGGGACAAGAGTTACTGAAGGATTGAAAAAGTTGTCTTGACAGATGATGGAGATGGATGGCCTTTTCATCTTCCGATTTGCTTTTTTGGGTTCTGGCTTTTCGCTTTTATACGGGAGACACTCCGGGCCCAGGTCCAGCAGAACCAACACAAAACAACCGACACAACAACACAGAAACAACACACAGCACACGTTCCTACCACAAACTATGCAAAACACCCCGATCTCACTCGATAAAGTTTGGAGCAGTTGTGTGTATTCTTCAAACAAAAAACACACCCAACCCTCTGGAGAGACGAAGATTGTGAGAGGGGGAAAAGTGAAAAAGGCACCAACCATCTCGCACTTACAAGCAAGCAGCCTTGGTATCACTTTTCTCTTTGTGTGGTAAAGAAGTTGTGTTGCTGCCCTCTCAAAGCGCTCCATCCGGTCGTTATATTAACTGAAAAAGACCGCGCAACCTCCATACTACATTTAATTGTCTTGCTCCAATATGCAAGACGATCGCATTGCTGGATCTTGACAAACAAACAAAGGAAACGCCCAACAGCAGTGACCCGAATCCTGAGAGTCTTTTGATTCTGCAGAATCTGCAATCTGATCCTTGCGCCTCTTATTATTCATCGCTGCAACTAATGAACTCACCAGAACGCTGATTCGCTCAATGCCATTCATTCCAGTGTATGTTTAGAATTCACCTCGTGATCGAAAAGCGAATCTTATTGTGTGCCCAAGAACAGAAGTGACGACAAAGGTCAGATGGGTTGCCATAGAAGGAAGACTTAACTGAGATGCTGTGACACCAGAATTGGGCAAAAAGCGCCTTGTGTTGTTTTCGCGAGTCGTAAGTGTCGTACCTCCTTGTTATGTGAAAGCGTCGCGAACTTCACTTTGCGGTGTGAAAAACAGGCGAGTCGATCTATACCATGATAGTCTTCTGTGCAGGAGTAAACGCGTACTTGGCCAGCATTGCCATCTTCTCTTCGGGGCTTGTATCATTGTCAGAGTACACCAACCTGGTTGACTTTGGTTTCTCCTTTTCTTTGTCCTTCTTCGCCGTCTTTTCTTCGTTGGCTTCTTCTTTGACTGGGGTAGCCGCTGCCGCAGCAGCAGTAGGAACGGTGGATGGTGCCTGAAGGGCTTCTGAGGCAGAACTCGTAGTTGCAGTTGCAGACTCTGCCGGAACTGCGGCGGCTGGTACTGACGCCGCTTTGGCATCGGCTTGATCTCGTGCACCCTTGATCAGGTCGTCTAAAGACTCATCCCCATTGAAGGGCGCCGGAATCTGGGACTGTGGAGGTGGATGTGGAACCCCACCAGGTGCTTGTTGTGGAGGATACTGTGGAACAACATGAGGAGCTTGTGGGAGAGGAATCTGACCTTGATGCATCTGGTGAAATTGAGAAGCACTGACAGGTGGAGCACCAAACGCTGGCCTCTGTGGCAACCCTGGAGCACTTGGTAGACTTACACTGCCTGTACGTACCGGTGCAGGAAAGTTGGGGTTGGTAGCAGGAGAAATAGCTCGCTGGGGTAGATGACCTGGAGGTGCTTGAGCAAATCCGGGAGCCGGTGAGCCTGCGCCAAAAGCACGGGGCCCTCCAGCTTGCCCTGGGAATGGCTGACCAGGGAACTGATATGGTGGCGGCGAGAAGGGCGACTGAGCAGGATACCCCGCCGGCGGTGGTTGTTGTGGTGGCGGGAAGGATGACTGTGGTGGTTGAGCAAATGGCTGTGGCGGATACGGTACCGGAGGAACTTGACCATAGCCTGGCTGTCCAGGCTGAGGAGACACGGCTTGGCCATAACCTCCGACGAGAGGCGGAGAGCCAGCAGTGGCATACGTAGGTGCTTGGTAAGAAGCAGTAACAGCTGGTGGCTGGGCGAAAGGAGGAGCTTGGTTGTACGAACCATTTGTAAGAGGCGTTGCATATGGCTGCTGATAGCCAGGGTAGACAGGGGAGGCGGCCTGCGATCACGAATTAGTTCAGTTCTTGAAACGACAAACAAAAGAACGATCGTTTCATGGTAGAGGAGAAACTTACCGCAGGAGCTTGACTTTGTTGCTGGACTTGGACAGCAGGAGGTGCAGCAGCTGGGGTTGAACCTGCGCTGCTTCCACCATTGTCCTTTTCCGCAGCAAGCTTAGCAGCTTTATGTTCGGCGAGCCGCTTCTTGATATCCGACACCGACTCGATCTTGGGCTTCTTGGGAGCATTGGGATTCTGGCCTCCCTGTCCGGTAGCTCCACCGCCACCTTGCCGGTCGGCTTGTGCTTGGTGAAAATTTGTCAGGACTCGCTGAGTGTGTTGCTGAACAATGTCTTCTGGAATTCCCTCCATGCCAAAAATTTCAATATCCAAGCCGGCGCGGTTAGGAAGGGCATTGTCGACCGCAGTGAGGTTCTCCTTGTGCACTTGGCTCATGTGAACGCTGAGACCTGGTGAAATGTCTGTTAGTACGTGCGACGTTTCTGCCAAAGGAAGTGTCTCCAAACTCACCTCCTGCTGTATTCAGCCGTCGCCCACATCTCTCGCACTTGAAGTGCTTGGCTTTCTGGTGGTTGATCAAGATCTTCAGATCATCAAAGTCGCGTTCGCAATAGTAGCACCACGGTCTCGCAAGGACCTCTTCGACGTCTGGGTGGTGGCGCTTCTTCTTGGTCATGGTGAAATGAGTAGAGTTGAAGCTTTCCAAGGACTCGAAGGTGGTCAGGCTCTCACCAGGTAGTTACCTAACGAAGTCGACAATATATAGGCGTGAGGGGAGTAGCGAAAATGTCGTCCCGGACGATGAAGTTATTGAAGTAGTGACGGACTGCCGCGACTGATCGAAGCAATAGGAGCCTGGGTACGGAGTACAAAGCGAAAGCGCAGGGAAAGTCAGAAAAAGCGCGGCTGGTCCGGAATTTACGGATGCCAAGGCCGGCGCACTGTAACCGCCGGAGCATCACTCTCTAAGGAACGTACCTAAGTATGTAGATAGGTAGGTAGAGTCCTAACACCACGAGCACGCCACCCACAGAAGTAGGGACTTCTATACAACGACCAGGCCATGGCTCCCACACCTTGAAACCTCGCTGTCAGTGTTTGACATTGCTCATGCATGGCACGCCCTTCTCATCTAAGCTCTCCTTTCCGCTGAGCGCCAGGACTCTGTTCTATTCAATGCTCCATGGGATGCTCGAAGAGCACTGCGATGGCAAGGACAAAGGCACCTGATATTGACTCTTTGTGCCATACCATAGTTTGCCAGTCTCATAGTTCATAGTGGTCGCCCTGGAGCCATCAGTCAGTACTGCAAGGCTTGAAGGCGTCTCGAGCTATACGTAGAACCAAGCATTTACAACGAAGGACTTTCGAGGCGTGTTGCCCACCACGCACAAAACAGTAGTGTTGCAATCTCAATGTTCCATACTCGCTATGGTAGTCCTATCTATCATACATTCAAACAAAAAGCAAAAGCGAAAGAAAAGGAAGGAGGCCCAGCCTCACTTCGCATTGCGCATGGAGCGCCGTCTGGGTGGCTCCGAGGCCCCGTTGACCACAATCATTGACTCGTCGTCCTGCAACTCGTCCTCCTGGTCTTCATCGTTCATCATGGATTTGAGGTCCATGCCCCCTTTTCTTCTTGTCGCCCGGTTGCTTCCTCCTGAGCCTTTGACCTCCTCCGCCACAACACCACCATCTGGTGCTGGTGTTGCGGACGGAGTGGTTTGAGCGCTGTCTGGCTCTGCGAGCCTACCGATCTTGACGGCGGCCGCTCTCTTTGGTCGAGATGCCTCGTTGGCATCTTTCGACTCGTCCGGAGTCCCTTCGGGATCCTCCTTCTTGTTTCGTGGCCGCTTGTCTCTGTTCTCGGCCCTCCATTGCTCCCATTTCATCACCATGCTGTAGCTTCGGACAGGGTTCATGCCATTGAGAATCTTGGTTTTGTTCTCCTCGGCCTTGGCAGGGCCCTGCATGCTCAGCCATGAGTGATCTTGTTTGATTGCCTCCAGCAACTCTTCGTCTGTCCACTTGCGTTTTCTCATCTCTTCGGCCGAGAGACCTTGCCAAGGCACCTTCGACCCCGTTGCTTTTGGTGGGTTTTGGACGGCAGAGGTTGAGACGGCGTTCTGTGTGGCCAATTCCTTTGCTTTGGTGTATTGGTTGGGATGTTTGGGACGGTCTGGATTTGTTGGCAAGTTTCCATAGCCAGGACGACCTCTGGTGTACTGGTTTGGATGTTTTGGTTTGACGGTCTCTACTGCAGCACCATTCAGTTTGCGTCGTTTGCCAGTCGGTGTGTCTTCGCGCTCATCATTGGCAGGTGTATTTCCTCTCTTTTTGGTCGGTGTAGTAACGCCAGATGGAGCCTCGGAAACGTCGCGAGTTGCGGGAACCTTTCGACCATCAAATCTGGTTCGGGTCAGGCGTTTGTTGACAGCTTTGTTTGGAGTGTCTCTCGAGGCATTGCTTGCTGGTGACACGGGTCGTATGATTTCACCCTTCTCATCCACATTGCGCTTAACATATGTGATGGAATACTCGTCATGGTGGACCTGCTGTTTGGGGTAGAGTGGTCTGCCATTCTTCATGACTGGGTCCCAGCCGTCGATGTTTTTCGGGTTCGCTGCTTTGGCAACCATTGCTTTGTACTCTCGCTCTTTAGGGACGAAGCCACCTTGCTCGAAGGGTTCTTGAAAAAGTCGCACATCATGCTTCTCACGCTCAGAGATGTCATCTGCCGCTCGCAGACCTGGAATTCCGGCGACGAGCAATGCTGGTTTGTTGGCCTCGTATTTGTAACCGTAGAGTGCAGCTTCTTTGCGTTCTTCAAATACATCATGTGGAGGAAGTGCCTGGGGATTCTTCATGGTCTCTTTGCCTTTGATGCGATTGATCTGACGCTCCAAGTCGAGGTATTCATCCTGGGCTAATCTCATGGCAATCTGATTATTGGCACTTGCAGCATATAGTTGTTTGCGTTTGAGATTCGAGATGTTCATGATGAATGTTTGCGGGTCGTTCAAGGGCTGGAAGCCATCCTCATTGAACTCCTCAGAAGCATAGAGTACCGGACGGGGGGTAGTTCCAAAGGCCGACGCCCACTGAGAATCAATCTCGGCAGTGGACATATTGTGAAACGACTTAGCTGGTACTGTGACAACAGGTCGTCTAGTCCATTCGATGGATTCTGAATGAAGAATGGAGAGTTGAGCAAGAAAGTAGTAGATGGGTGTGAGGACAAGTGGTAAGGGAGGAAGAGAGATATAAGCTCGAGAAATAGAATGGAAACCCCGATATTTATCCTTGAGCACAATAGCCACCAGATGAATCAAAGGACGATATTCAAAACAACGACAATAGCGGGAAAGCTGGATTGTCGAAGCAAAGGTAGTGGTGCCATGTACAAAAAATGGTTTTTGGGAGGCGGCGATGCTTGTAAAGGACGACGAGTAACTATTCGCCGAACCAATTGGGTTGGTGGCGTGGACGCTACGACGAAAGAGGATTAGCATGGGACTTCACTGTGAATGCTGTCAATAGTTTCTATTGTCTGAGGCCGCGCAGTACAGCACAATGAATAGCAGAGGCGGTGGGCAGCGACGCGAAAATTTTCGTGCATCATTTCACTGCCCACGGTTGCGTATAGAGTGTGAATTGGATCACCCGTAGAACGTGACCAAGCAAACAACCGAGCAAATACGGACACTTGGTTCATGCTACGATATAGGGAGTGGTGCCTCGATTTGCGAGTTGTCTACAAGACAGTGGCCCAAAAACTGCATCGGAACTTGGTTGTCTCTATGCAATCATCCTATTGTTGTATATTGATTGGCCTAGCTCTCAGTGTGTGGTGGCGGCTGCGTGCTCCTGTTACCGGATGGTTGCACGAGATCAGAGGGGAGCAAGTTATATGACTGTTGTAGATCTATGTCATATGCCATCAATCGCTCATGCATGTCGCTCTTGTAGATTCTTCCGCGTGGCGGCCTTTGCGTCCTCAATCCAAGCATCATACGAGCCTTCCTTGACTTTCATCTCGACCACCCCCTTGAGCACTTCACCCGTGAAACCGACAAAGTTGTGCCTTCGTAGAGCATTCTCCCAGTCCCACTGTGCTCGTTTCCGTCTTTCACGGTCTAGGCCTTCCGAGTCCTGGAACTCTTGCGCTTTGATTCTTTGATCTTGACAGACGGCCATCAGATTAAATCGGACCTCTCCAGGGGGGTATCTCTCGATCCGTCGTTGAAGTACTGGGATTATCCTCTCGGGGAAGGTATCGGGTGTGCAGTCTCCGTGTGAGATTGGATACGGCTGCAGCCCGTCCAGCTCGTATAGCTTGCCATGGTGACATGTGTACGCAATGAAGTGAAAGACATCTTCCGTGCCAGCATTGGGGTCACGTTGCACCTCGTCGGCAAATGGGCTGGATCTTGCAAAGCTGTTGTGTGTTTCCCGTATCAGGTCCGAGTTTGAAAGCGACTCTCCCCGTAAAGCAGGGTCAAAGCCCGTTGTGAAGTCCTTGAACTCTTGCAGCGACGGCCCTATGTCAATGCGTGCCTGGGTTGAGTCTGCACCCGACGATGACGGGTTGCTCGAGGCGTCGTTGTTCAGTATCACCGATAGGATGGCTTGGGTGCCACAAGCATTCTGAATGGTTTGGGCTGCGAAGAAAAGACCCTCATCTTCAACCGCTGCGGGGTCGTACGAGCCATCTTGTGGTGTGTTCTTGCTCTCGGACGATGAGCCTATCCATTTGAAGAGGAAGACAACGCCGTATACGGGACTGCGCCGGAGACAAAATCAGCACAACGACGAGCCCACAAGGGATTGCATGCACGACCTTCACGTTACCTCAACGCTCGAATAGATTCCGGGTCCAGTGATATCAGCTCTTCAAACTGGACTCCCTTGACCCCCAGTTGTTCGATTAAAGAGGTAAAGACTCCCTTGGGGTGGAGTGTCAGCACCGAGATGCGGTATAGTAGAGACGGGCCTGTTTTACTAACCTCATCAGACTCGATCGTGCTCCAACCACCACTAGGATTGTCTTCCGCCATGGATACTTGGTGCTCGGGAATGGCAGGCAGAATGATATGAGACTGCGACAGTCGAAGAGAGGATGGAGGAGCGAGGAGAAGCGAAAGGCCCGTGAGACTGCGGAAGCGTTGAATGTTGACTAAGTCGATGGAGAGTTGGCACTTTGGGGTGGTGGTGGTGGTGGTGGTGATCAACCGCAGGATTTGTTCGGGTGGTGCTTCTTCTAGGAGGGCGAGGGTGTTGCTACCTGTACTATCAGGCGTTGGCTTTGAACGTACTGGTGTTTGTGATATTTCCAGGTATGACGAAGGAACAAGAATCCACGTCGTCGCATGCTTGTCCGGAAATCCCTCCGAGTACAATACAACGTTTAGGCGGTACCTTTCACTACTCGTCCTTCTCCACCTCGCACTCAGGGGAGCCTAGAACCCAATAGTGTACATTCGGTCGCCCATTTCCGCCCTGGAGAGAATCTTCAGATGCACCCCCCTACGCAGCTTGGGTAGCGAGAGTGGTGACTGCACTGGCTGGTGCCCTATGGAGCCCTGACGAACCTGAGCTGCAGTCCCTTGCATGAGCCCTAATATCAGCATTCTATTAATATTCCATCGACTCTCGCCATTCCGAACATATCCAAACTCTGGATCCTGTGCTCTGGAAATCTCAATACTTGCTACTCCAGCACTGAATGCTCCGGAGTACACCGTTTGGAATGCTGGCAGACGAGTTGTCATTGATACCTCATCTCCCAGCGTGGTGAGCCCTTCCTCGCGTTTCCCGCAAATCCCACGCCCATGTGCTTCAGAGCTTGGGATTACGAGGGACGTTACTTCCTCCTGAGTACGGTATGTCAGCAGGATGACGTTGTCGTCCAGTCCGTGTCAATGGGACGGTGCTGCTGGGAGTGGCTATGCTCTGACTTCTACGCAGTACCCGTGACAAGTACGAGTACCTCGAGAGTACACAGAGTAAGCATACAATATCCTCATCATTGTCCCCCTCCACAATCTCAAAACATGTCCCGAAACCTTGGCTGGGTCAGGCTAGCTGGATACCTCTTTATCCTCGCGCCCGAGCGCCCACCTTGAGTGTCGTATATGCAATCGATGCGACTCTGTCGTTTGCGGTTCCGGGCTCGAAATTCTCCGGTTGGTGGTGGATCCAAACACTCGCTCTGCACGCTGATGCGCGTCCTTTGGCCCAGCACAAAAGTCTAGAGCCACGTGGTTACACGTTGCTCCCGAGCAGCTAGGTAGGCGATGTCAGGCCTCCAACCAGGGGAAACATTCGCATATGCTCGAAGAAACGAAGAGCATTGGTAGGTAAGCAGGATTACCTTGACGCATCTGGCTCGGGAAAATAGACTTCGAGAGAGAATCGGAACCGCAGCTACGAAGCGTTCCTCAGGCCTTCTAGTAATGACACATAAACCCCAATCAAACAACACCAGTATTTGCACGACGGGTCGTTTCAGGACACCCAAGAAGCGATATCTCCCTTTGAGTCTCGGTATCCAAGCCCCAACAGCTCGCCTGACCTCTCCCGAATATCTCACGCCCACCGTTGGTTTGTGACGTGAAGCGAGGGAGTAAGTTCAACGTGGCGGTGACATCAGCCAGAAGTGTCGACCGCTTTGCACTCCTCCAGCATGGACGGGCTGACGACAAAGGTCTACGCGCTGAGTCTCTGATGAACGGAAGACATGGCATCTCGAACAGATTAGTCTTTGTTGATCGTAATTACGTATGGATGATGCCCGAAAATAGAGGTTCCGCCCTGCCGTTGTCTCCATAAGTCGGCATCATATCATGGAACAGTAGTGTTCTCCCAAAAATCGTGAAGAAGAATCAAAAAGTACCGTGATGCAGGTGGGCCTATGGCCTCGACTCCCAGGTCTGTTGCTCCTGGCCCGAAATGAATGAAACGTCAGACAAACCATCAGAAGAGGCCGTTCAAGAGTCATTCCTCAAAAGGCATGATGAGAAGAATACTTTTAACCTTTTCAGCTCGGTCAATAACGTCTTTCCCAGAGATCGAGCATTGCATGTTTCCCATGGTTCCCATTCGTCAACTACCGTACCCAACGCCTCGCTGAGAGCAGCAAATTAGTATTCAGAGGTGCCCTTTTTCTCACGTCATCAGGGACAAGCACCCGTGATCATCATTCATTATGACCACCACGACCACAATCATCATCATCTGTGCCTTTCTTTCCCCTTGTCTTGTGGTGGTAGTGGAAAGATGGGAGGCATCGTCGGCGGTGGAGTCCTGTGGGGTGAATACTCAGCCGGCGACATTCGTCAAGCCCAAAGTTGTGAAGGAGTGACGAACCGAGTATTCATGTTCATGCTGCCGTATTGATTGTACGGTGCCTGACTCTGGCCAAAATAGTCCATTCTCGACCCTGGCACTTCGTGGCTACTTCGCGCGTACTGGGGGGGCGTCCCGTACACCATGCCCATGGTGTGCGGACCGCTGGAGCCCAACGGCCGCTCACCCATCGAGTGCGCGCGGCCTAAAATCGGCGCGGACGAGTCACGCCTCGTCTCCACTGGCCCTAGCGCCGCCTGGAAGTAGGACGACGCCGGAGGCGACAGAATTCCAGGGCCCCCGGGGGGTGATTGTGGGAATGCCGTCGACAGGTCCGAGGTAGTCGACGACATGGAGATGCTTGGTGCAGCGTAGGGGCTTCCGGAAGGCGAATATCGGTATGATTCCATGCTTTGACCTCCCTGGTTGGTGTTGTGATGTTGCTGGAGTCGGTAAGAGACCAACACCTGGACTGGAGCCTCGATCAACGACAGCGCCACCTGAATCCCTGTATCTTGCGGTTGTTGTTTTCTTCTCTTCTCTAGTATCGCACGTACATTGTCAAGCGGATGGACGGACATGCCGCCCAGGTAGGCTCCGCCGAGTTCAGGGAGGACCGACTCGACCGCGAGTGCGCTGGCGTAGACATGAGCAAGTAAGACCAAGGGCGCAAGGTCCGACTCGCCTCGCCGGAGGATGCGTGGTGGGAGCCAAAAGATCCAGTCTCTGAGCAACTGCAGCTTCGCAAAGGTCTGCTCCGCATTTCGAGGTTGCATGTCCTGCTGCAACTGCTGCAGATACTCGACTAGATGGGTGGCATGTTCTACAAGTTCCTGACTGTTGGACAGCCGGAGTTTCAGGGTTTGAAGGGCTGTTATTATGTGTTCGACTTTGCGGAGATCGTCTGAGGAGACCGCGAGCTGTGCGTTTGGTAGTGTTGGCGTGGCCGGGGACCCTGCTCGTGCCATCGCACGTTGATCTTGTAGATACCTCGCAAATTCCGACTCGTGGATCCACGGCCTCATGGCACTCATCACCTGTGGCACATTAACAAAGTTCTACAATACCCCTTGACCCGGAAGCGGGCATACCGTTGCTGCACCTTGCTGTAGGGATGCCCACGCACGCCTGCCATCGATTAACTGGGTTCAACGTATTGATGCGGTGCCTACCATTCTGTCGCTTGCCAGGACAAAAGAATCGACGCAGCGAGTATCGCTTCTGAGTTTTCTCGTGAGAAGTCCCCAATGGCCTCATGCAAGCCTTTGAGTGCTACTCCCCGGTGATGGTATGCCAGGTTATATGTATCGCTGTTCTTCGTTTGCCATGCCAGATCTGATGCCGACAGAGCCAGTAAAGCACTCATCGCAAAGTCGTGCTGCATGGCTGCCGAGATTAATCTGAGCGTGAAATTGTTAGAATGAACATCATATCGAGATACGCACAATGTTTACTCACGAGTGTATCTTGGGTCCCCAGACTGTGCAGTTGCTGTAACCTCTGAGGTGCATTTTTGTTGACTCGATGACAATGTGATGAATTAGACGGAGATCAAAGGTCGTAAATCGAGTCCAGTAGAGGCGGTCCTGCATACGAAGTTCTCGCAAAGGGGGCTCGCCAGAGATGCGCCAGTCGTCCATTTGTTGTTGAATTTCGGCATCCATGAGAAGATCAGGAGGGTTCGAGCCTTTGGGAGGCTCCTCTCCTGCAGCTGTGAGGTCCATGTAGTCACAGCGACAGCTATGTTTCGTACAGTTCCGACATTGCGGGAAGTTCTCATCGCAGCGAATATGTCGCCGCTTGCACGTTCGACAGCCCTTGCGTGATTTCGTATGACTCTTCCGTGGTGGCCCTCCTCCTCCTGCCATTCTCTGTACCACTATGACAAGCGCGATTGATAAAGCTCGAGTAATTTCCTACTAACTGCCAGCAAAAGTGAGCGTGGAAGGTCTATTCGATATATATTTCCACGTAGAGAGACTCGGTCCTAGGAGGCCGTAGAATCTAAGGTTGTTGGTTGAAACATTCCTGCACAGAATGGATGAGTTTTGAGTCCAACAGCAATGTTCATCTACTGGCGGAGAGAACGTCTGCCTTAATGATGATAAGGCTGAAGAAGAAAAACCCGCCCCGCAGGGTGCTTGAGGAAATAAGATTACTTGAGAAGGGCCGAAGTATGCCAGGATGGATCTGACTGAGTTGAGGAGGAGACAAATCGTATGACAGCAGGCGTCATTCGACTTTCCGTCATCCACAAGACCAAATGTCAGCAGCAGTCAACTTGTGCAGTAGGTCAAATCAGAGACAGAGCCATGGTCGCGGGGATGGAGAGGATGAAAGGACCTAGCTTGCCACGACAGGCGCCCTGCCTAGTTGGAAATAACCTCGTGGCAATGGGTTGCTTGAGGCTGGTGGAAAACCGGTCTCGAGCTGTTGCAAAGGTGCATTGAGGGGCATGACAACGATACCGTGCAATAGGAGAACAGCTAATCAGCCTCCGTGTGCTCAGACGTCGGCATGTTCCCTACAACTTACAAGTCGACTACTCTTTTGGTCTCTCAACTTCGGAGTGCGTCAGGTTGGGGCTCGAGCTGGAGTGGGAATCGGATTGATCATACTAGTTACCCCTGGTTGGGTTTAGTAAGAAGATGCAACCAGTATAACACAGACCAGGAGTCCGACCAGCTGCGAATAGCTCTGACCAACAGCCAGTGGTGAAGGGAATCAACAGCCTCCCGCAGCTCGCCGTGCAGCTGGCGTTTTCTGGGCTTGGCTTGATGTGACTAATAGGTCAACTTTTGAGGCGAGGGTTTTGCTATGCTCACACCTGCCACGAATGTAAGTTAACACCACAGCAGCGTTTGCCAGCAGCCGGGAGCCTAACCGAGATCGATCGATTCATCCAGATGACAACGCTTTTGACGGGCATGGGACGATGACAAGGGCGTCTGTGACAGGCGGCTCTCAATGAGACAGCGAGCCAAAGCTTTGGAAACCACCTTCGGAGGGGTAGCGCAGAAGGAAGTTTAGTGCGATGTGATAAGAATAATGGCCGTATGATCTGATCCCCAGGTTAGCGTTTTCTGTACCCCGGGGATGTCCTGCTTCCCGACAAAATGCCCAAATCAGACGGCTCTTCTCGTATTTGATAACCACTCCGGTGGGCCAGGGTCGCTTATGCCTTGCCCGAGTGAGATGGGCGTGAAGACGGTAGCCTGGTGGCCGAGGGGGACCAGTGGACAACAGCGTGATGACACTATTCTCGGTCAAGATACCTTACACCTCAAACAAACTAGCTCCTCGGCCGCACATGCAGCTGTCAAGGACCGGACAGCCAGCATCTCTCTCTCATAGGTCGTCCAGAGATAACGCGAACCTTGACGGAGAACCCCAGAACTGAAAACCGCCCGGGAAGAGGAATCATGAGACGAGTCTTGCCAAGGCCAGCTGAAAAGGAGGCGTAACCGGGCGCGGGACTAGTTGAAACTCACCGACTGAAAGGGCTATTGTTGATGAGAACCTCCGTTACATGGCCCCTTGCTGGTCTCATTGGCGCATGTGCCACCTCTCTACTGCCCTCGCTTACGGGAAACGTTTCCTGCTGAAGCCATTCGGTCGATGACAAGGAGCTGGCGTGGTTGGTGTTGGTCTCCCAGCTTCCTGATTAAGCATATTCTGTATGCCTACTCCACGTGGCCAATTGGAATTCCAGCTGCAGCTCCGTACAGCGCGTCAACTGGGAGCGGCCCTACTGTAAGTGACCCTGCTGGGTAGACAAAAAGGTGTAATTAGGCCAAAAGTCCTTGCCCCAAGTCTGGGACCCCGTCCAGATAGACGTCTTCGTGGGCTTCAGCCTAGAGATCCGCATTGAGTGACAGATTCCCCCTGGCTGAACGGTCCCGTGGGAGGTCTGTGCAAGCCAGAACTGCGGTGATTGGCGGACGACAGTGATTCAGAGCTTGGTCAGACAAGCTATTAGCTCCATCGATTACTGTGTAGAACCGCCCACCTGGGAAAGTCGCTGGGATTATGATTTATTGAGTGCTGCGCTGTCTGGGTCGACCGATTCCAGTTTGTCAGCAGACGTAGACTGCATCGATCGCAGATAGCCTGCGGTCGCTGCGGCCGGAACATGATAGGCGTTGTCCGGAATAGACTGGGATGCGTTGATTTTGAGGTCGTCCTACACTATGTGAAGCGGCATGAAGAGGGATCCGTCAGGACGCGGTAACCAAGCATCTCTCAGTCAATCATGAATAGACCGTCAACAGCCGTCATGCAAGCTGAAAATCGGATACCTAAGGCGGTCAGTGTGCTTTTTCTCGGTTGGACCAGAGCAGGAGACACTAGAGTTTGGATCTCGCTTCCAGACAAAGCTCACCTCATCTGGAGTGGATCCTAAGCTTCGGTCATTCTGTGTTTTCTCGCTTAGGTCTTTAGATCTGCCGGGCGAAGATCGCAAAGTCGATGTTACAACTTACCGATTCGGCTCCTCCCATGTCAGGTCTTGACGCGGTATATCTCGATAGAAGAAAAGAAAGACTTCGAATAGCACAAGAGACAGAGATGCAGCGACAGAGCCCTCGAGAAATTCCGGTCAATCCTTACCCTGTAGGTCTGACCGTGTGAAGGTTTTAACCCCTGCGAAGAGCTGCGAATCCTTACTTGATCAATCCTGTCTCGCATAAGTTGGGCGCACAGCTTTTCGTAGATACAGGGGGTCCTGGACTTTGCTGCTCAGGCCCGCCAAATGTCGTCGTCCGTGGAGGCTCGAAACCCGGCACCTGAGCCAAGAGCCAAAGGCTCTTCTGCCTGGGTAATTTCGATCGTCGCCAGAACTTGTCCGGTTATGGCAAACTTATATATATATGCCGCAATCAAGGGGCCCCGTGAAGTAACAAGAATCACACCAGGCCTGGTGTCCTAGGCCGACTCCTCGGAACCGTATAAACTAGTCCACTTTGAATCCCAAGGTATTCCTGGAGCTCCAGGATAGTGCGTGCCAGTCTATCTCCCGACAAGCATTAACTAGTTAGGAGCCGTCAGGTTGGGTCACACAAACACTACGCGAGGGACTGTCCACCTCACACCAGCTTATGGTATTTTCGATGCCGAGGCCAGGGACACGGAACACGAGCGCCACGTGCAATAAGAATCCAGATTACGAGAACGTTACGAAGAGGAGACGAATATGGCCAAGCTGAAACGATCCATCAGACCCGGGTCCAGTTTGGAAATGGGCAACCCGTGGGATTGCGCCTAGTTGTATTTACAGGTCACAAGCGCGGAGATGAGCACAGTTCAAATAGCTCAAGTGATTGTCTGTGGTCGTATACGACTTAGGCATCGACGCCAGAAGACCGCGGATTGAGTATGCTCAATGCCTCGACGCAACGCGAGGGACGTCCTCAGTGCCATCATGGGAAACAGGAGGAGACGTGTGTGTGCGTTCGGTCTCCTGCACTTGGTGGAGAAAATAGTGCTTCGAAGAGCGCTCTCGAATTCTAATCGAGAAAATGATCGATCTGTTCATGGTATCGTTCTTCTATGCGTGCTTCGTGGTTCCGAGTCTGACCAAGGAAGCATTTGCATTCTGCATCTGTCCGCCGACACAGTAGTTTTCAAAGTGTCCCAAACTCCACATTTTGCACCTGTTCACATCACGACACCACTGTTGCTGGCTATTCTGGGCCACAGCTCAGCTGCCTCCTTTCCAACAGGACCAGTAATCGCACTGCCCTTCATTTCACCCTTGGGGTTGACGATGACACCCGCATTGTCCTCGAAGTAGAGGTAAATTCCGTCCGCTCGTCTCCATGGCTTCGACTGTCGCACAACCACTGCCGGCATAACTAAGTTGACGTAAGTCTTGTCCACAACGACCTTTCACTTGGAGAGCATACCTTTCTTTCTGAGTTCAGGCTTTCCCTTCTTGACGGTAGCCATAACCATGTCACCTACACCGGCGGCAGGCAGTCTGTTCAGTCGTGCGCCAATACCCTTGACGGAAATAATGTAGAGGTTTCGGGCACCAGAGTTGTCGGCGCATGACATGACGGCTCCCCTGTTGTCCATGTTAGTCTCTTTCTCCGGCAAATTTTCCACTCCGAAGCCCTGAGATTCGCCCAGCATGAAAGAGGGAAATGCGGACGGATCGACGTTTGTGCCAACGACAAGAATCAGGGCGTCGAGAATCGGGAAGATCGTGATCTTGGGAAAGACATAATCGAAGATAACGTACACTGGAAGACCGAGGGTCATCTTGAGCTTGTTGCCGGAGGCACCACCGCGACTGTAGCAGGCAAGGTCAGCAGAGGTTGTCACGGTGATGCGAGAAATGCCAACATGATGGCATTGCCGCAACGATGAACATACCCTCGTTTAGACATCTTGACGGACTTGAGTTACAACGATTGATTTCCTTTCAAGGTGCGAAGATTGAGGTGCAATCAATCTCGAAGTGAGTCGCTCGAGCCGAAAATCCTGCGTGCGCCTGCTGCCAAGAAGAAATCTTGGCTAGTTTCCACGTGACAAGGCTGGCAGCCCCCCGCAGCCTTGTCTGCAAATCTTACCGGCTTACTAAGGCAGGCTTCCGAAGGGAATTGCTGACCCCAAGGCCACGAGGCTTCTTCACCTGAAGACACAACGGGCTCGTTCCAGGGCATGGGTGCTTTCAAGATCAAGGCCAGTGAGTCACGCCATATGGCATTACGCCTATCATTACTGAAACGCGTGAAACTTTCACGGAGTAGCGGAGGCTACCTCACTCATCTTCGTCTACGGGGGGGTTGAAGGACTGCCATGCTCTCCTTCACTGCGGCCCCGAGAAGACTCGCTGCCCGCGTCATAGCAATTCCGATGTCCAGATCGTGAAATGCTTACCCAATGGTTCATATCAGCATATAGGGTTGGAGCAATATCGATACGTCAGGTACATAAACAAGTGCTAATAGTGCGTGATCCGGTCTGGTCCAAATTGTACAACTTGGTGCATAAATAAAAACTGCCTGAGCACCCGGCTCCGTTGAAAGCCCCGTTCCACGAAACCATTGACGGCTAACGTAGCGGAGGGAAGAGACTCAGTACTTGGCTGTTCAAGGCGCTGCCGAGCCTTTTTGTCACACTGTGCTCTGGTGTTTGTGGAACGTGGCCTGAACAAAGTTCTGTGACGGGGTTCGTACCCTGGCAACGAAAGTACCAGTTTCCATCCCAGGATGCCACGGTTGTATTTCCCCTTCCACGCGGCCTCCCGAGCGAGCCATGGCCAGAAAACCCTCACCAACTAGCCTTAGGGCGATGCAGCTCCCGTCGCATCATCCACCAGGCCTAATCACAGCCTCGCTAGCCTAACGAGCGACCACCTACGGAGTAAAGGCCATCATGCTTTGAAGAGACAAGTTCAACCAAGTTGAACATCAGGTAGAACATTATTACTGACCATATATATCCTCGTTTCTGATACCGTGGATTCAATGCTAATGCCTACAGATTCCCGCCGTACTGATCGTTTGCATCACGATGCAACACTGTTTGCTGCTGACCGTTGCCTTATTAGAAGCCTCCCCGCCCATTTCACCACCTTTTCTCCACTCCACGGTGAGCACGGCTTTTGGGGCTTGCAGAATATCAAGCTGAAGGCCCCTTGTCCAGCCTAGCACAGAGCTAGGTGGGCAAGCTGGAATCTGACGACGACCCTTGGACGACATTCACACCAATCATGTCAATCATTTTGTCAATCCCCGTTATAACGGCCCCCAATCAGTTCCCCCTCGACGCGGTATTCGTACATGTGCCGTCAGCCTCGAGGCTCTAGGCTGGCTGCCTTTGCTCAGCTCTAAGCCATGTCGCGAGCATGAGATCGCGAAGCTTTGATCAATCTCCTTTCTTGCCTGTTGCTGATTGTTTGCCTGTTACCGTAAGCCTCCTCTTCCACTCCATTACGAGCTTCCCTCCTTGATTTGTTTCGCTCCCCTCGCGCCACCTCTGGTCCCTGATTATTCTCGCTTCTTCCTCTTTCCCTCGGGCCCGTATATAGCCACGCGTATCCCCCAATCCAATGTCTCGAAAACGAAAACTCTCAGCGACTTCCATCAATACCATGGAGACGTCCAACGATTTGTTTCTGGGCGATGGAGAAAAGGGAGCTCGTGCAAAAGTCACCAGCACCGTCAAAGCCTTTTTTGAAAACATTGCTGGATCTGGGACTGATCCGACCAATCCTGTCATCAATGGCGCCTCTGTCCAGTCACGGCCATTTTTGGCCAGAGTCCTGGCCGATATTGCGTCCCAAGCACCTCGCTTAGGCGAGAATATCGGGCTCATTCATTCGTTGGTTGACACGACACTGTTCGATGGCGGAATTGTCGATGACCGCCAATATCAGGTATGAAGATCGCATATAGTGCCATCCTTCCTGTCACTGATGCTCTAGATTCAGATGGAGAAGATTCTGCAGCTGGCAGCTTCACTCCCTGTCAACTCGAAGGCGCTAGAGGACCTATCAAGCCAGTTTATCAAGCTACTGTGGGAGAATCTCGAGCATCCTCCTTTGTCTTACCAGGGTGATGAATTCAAGTATCGGACCGCCGATGGCTCGAACAACAACATCATGTACCCCAACCTTGGTAAGGCCGGTTCCTTCTACGCACGTACCGTGACTCCCCAGACTCTCAAACCTGGGGTGTTGCCTGACCCAGGAGTTATCTTTGACGCTGTTTTTGCACGCGGTGACGAACCACGAGAGCATCCCAACCGAGTCTCCAGCATGCTATTTTACCTTGCTACGATCATCATTCACGACTGCTTCCATACAGATGAGCGAAACCCAGCTATTGTGAAGACCTCGTCTTACTTGGACCTGGCACCTCTCTACGGTAGCAACGAAGACGAACTGAAGAAGATCAGAACCTTCAAAGATGGTCTCTTGAAGCCTGACACGTTCTCCGAAAACCGTATCCTGGGCTTTCCTCCAGGCGTCTCTGCTCTAGTAGTGTGCTTCAACCGCTTCCACAACTACGTCGCGATGCAGTTGAAAGAGATCAACGAAGGAGGCCGTTTCAAGATCCCAACCAATGACAATGACACGAAAGCCATCGCAAAGCTAGACAACGATCTCTTCCAAACAGCTCGGCTGGTCACTTGCGGCTTGTATGTCAACATCATCCTCACCGACTACGTCAGGACGATCCTCAACCTCAACCGCACCAATTCTACATGGACGCTTGATCCGCGAAAGAGCTTCGGTGATGTTTTTGACGAGTCCGGCGCACCATCTGGTATAGGCAACCAAGTCAGTGTTGAGTTCAACCTGGTTTACAGATGGCACTCGGCCATCAGTATCAAGGATGAAAAGTGGACGAATGAGCTATACCAGTCATTGTTTCCTGGAAAAGACGTTGCAACACTAACGGAGCAGGAGCTTGTCATGGGATTGTACAAGTGGCTCAGGAACGTCGATCCAGATCCTTCAAAATGGCAACTTGACATGGGTAAATATCAGAGGACTGAACGAGGAACGTTCCGTGACCAGGATCTAATCGACATCTTAAGCGATGCTACCGAAGATGTCGCTTGTGCCTTTGGAGCACGCAATGTGCCAGTGGTCATGAAACTCATTGAGACCTTGGGAATGAAGCAAGCCAGAGCATGGAATGTCGCGACTTTGAATGAGTTCAGAAAGTTTTTCAAACTGGAACCTCATAAAACCTTCTCCAGCATATCCACAGACGACGAAGTTGCTCGTTCGTTGAAAGCACTCTATGGTCATCCTGATTACGTTGAATTATATCCTGGCCTGGTTGCCGAAGACGCCAAGGACCCCTTGGAGCCAGGTTCCGGCCTATGTCCAGGCTACACGATCTCGAGGACCATCCTTGCTGATGCCGTTGCTCTTACCCGGGGCGACAGGTTCTATACAGTGGTGAGTTCCCCCCTTCCGACCGCTCGTAACGCCTAAGCAATTGCCTGGTTGCGTCCCATCTCCTCTAAGACGAAATACTGATGACTCGTAGGACTATACGCCTGCAAATCTAACAAACTGGGGCTGGTCCACCGTCAAGTCTGACCCCGCCGTTGCTCAAGGCGGTTGCATTAACAAACTGTTGATGCGTGCCCTGCCATTTTACTATCGCGGAAACTCAATCTATGCGATGTATCCGTTCACTGTCCCGGACGAGAATCGAAATATTTTCGCCAAACTTGGTCAAGAGCAAGACTACAATTTTGATCGTCCGTCCTATGTCCCGCCACCCATATCGATCAGGTCATGGAAAGCAGTGACCGACATCCTGGGAGATCAGTCTTCATTCAAGGTGCCGTGGGGACCCCACACGTACTATCTCACGCACCATGACTACATGCTCAGTGGTGACAAGCCAGCGAACGCCACTCAGCGAAATGAAGTCCAGAAAGATATTTATTGTCCAGTCAACGGACTGAAGCAGATTCAGACGTTCTATGAAGATCTAACAACTCAGCTGGTCGTTGCGCGGTCTGAACGCCTGCGTGGCGAGTGGTACCAGCTGGATGCCTGTAGCGACGTTGCCAATCCGTCCCACGCTATTTTCGTCGCCCGCATGTTTCATCTACCACTCAAGAAGCATGGAGACCTCAATCCGGCTGCGGTTGAGGTAGATCAACTATACCTTGCACTGTCTGTGCTGTTTGCCTACGTTTTCCTCGATGGAGACACCGCCAGCTCCTTCAAGCTGAGAGTCTCTGCGAAAACCGCAACTGACCAGCTGGCAAAACTAATAAAACTGGTCTGCGAAGCTGTCAAGGTTGGTGGGTTTTTCCGTCTTGGGGAGCTGTTCCCAACGAGCACAGCGGGACAACTTCTTGAGGACTATGGCATCAGGTTCCTGAAACGTCTCTTCGAGGGCGGCAAGACCGTCGATGAAGTTGTGTGGACTATCATTCCTACCGCCGCCGCTGCGGTAGCCACTCAAGCACAACATTTCACGCAGATGTTGGATATTTATCTACAGGATGAATACTACGACAAACACTGGCCGGAGATTCAAAGATGCGCATGGTCCGACAACCCTGAGGACTTTGAAAAGCTGAAGGGCTACGCCCTTGAAGCCAATCGTCTTGCACCCGCGGCTTTTGGACTGCTTCGACGGGCCGCAGTGGATGCAGTCATCGACGACAACGGGAACAAGGTTCAGATTAAAGCCGGTGACCAGATCTACACTGATTTTATCACTGCTGGGCTTGATGAGAAAGCTTTCCCCAACCCACACACCATTGATCCGACTCGCGACCGATCGTTGTACATCCACCACGGTTGGGGTCCACACTCATGTCTGGGACGTCCTATCACAGAAGTAGCCATGGCCGCACAACTCAAAGTCTTTGCAAAATTGAAGAATCTCAGACGAGCACCGGGTCCACAGGGACAGTTGAAGAAGACTATCCCTACGCCCAACCCGACCAGTAGCGATCCACAGCCGAACCCTGGCAGTGTGGCCGCATTTATGCTGGAGGACTGGAGCTCATGGTACCCATTCCCAACGAGTAAGTGCCACCCTGTTCATGTCATGCTTGATCACTGCTAACTCCACCACAGCGCTCAAAGTTCATCACGAAGGTCTGTTGAAAGACCAATCAGAAGAACTTGCCGGTGAGACTGGCGTTCCCGGAATCCAGGCAGACATTCTTGACAGCGATATGGCGATGGCCAATGGCGCCGACGGAGACCACGTGGACGATAATACTGCCTAAATACATACATGATGTATCAGAAAAGCCACTTGTCGTGTGGAGGGTTCGACGGATTGTACTATCTATGATGGAAGGGTTTGGCACACAGTATCAGCGCGACCAGGGAATAAGGGACACATCGATTTTTACAAGGTTTGAGGCACGGATCAAATTGTCACACCAGTGTGGAGACTTCAGATAATCAATCAGATTGGATATTTATCATCTTGGAGATCGTAGGGAACTTTCAAACTGTTTAGCGATGAGCAGAGACATGAGGCAACTTGTCAACAGCCAGTACTCGTACTTCTGAGACGCAGCCTTATTCAGCCTCGCAGGTCCTGCTCCCCACCTTCCCCATTCGAGCAGGGTGACAAAGACTCCCGCTGACTCAGCCTGCTGCATCTCCGAGAGACAGGGACCCGAGAAGAGTCAACGAGCAATAAACGCGAGCACAATCTCAATTCTTTTCAATTTTCAAAAGGTATCGCATTATAGTGATTCCAGGGAGAAAGTCTCAAGCGTTGGCCCAGCCCCCCGTGGCGTGATTTGAGGTTCTGACGCCGTGACCACCAGCAAACAGCAAAGCAGTCTTGTTCCGTGACAAACTCGTCAAATAGAGCACAACGACTCCCAGAAGCGAAATCTCTGTCCAGCACGGTCTTACCTCGAGGACTGTTACAAGAATATTCTCAACACAATGTCGATACACTACGATTCCATCGTCATCGGCTCCGGTCAAGGCGGCACTCCGCTATCGCAAGCACTCGCCAAAGCGGGCCGACGCACCGCGCTCATCGAGTCAACACACGTCGGCGGCACATGCGTCAACGAAGGCTGCACCCCGACCAAGACCATGGTCGCCAGCGCCCTCGTTGCGCATGGAGCTTGCCGTGCGGCAAGTTACGGCGTACAGTTCAAGAAATCCAGCCTGACGCTAAACATTGAGACGGTCAGAAAGCGGAAGCGAGACATTGTGGATAGTTTCCGGAGCGGAAGCGAGAACCGCCTCAAGGACACCGCGAACCTGGATCTCATCATGGGCCAAGCGAGGTTCACGGGCCCAAAGACCATCGAAGTCAGGGTCAACGATTCCGGGATGAAGGAGACACTCGAAGCTGATCAGATCTTTATCAACGCCGGATGCTCACCGGCGCCTCTGAATGTCAAGAACGCAGAGACCGTTACAGGCAATCTGCTCAATTCGACGACGATCATGGAGTTGGGCGAGGTTCCTCGGCACCTTGTCATCTTCGGTGGTGGAGCGGTCGGTCTCGAATTTGCGCAGATGTGGAAACGGTTCGGAGCAAGGGTCAGCTTGATCCAACGCAACGATCGACTGCTGCCACAAGAGGACGAAGACGTGTCGGAAGAAATCCGCAAGATTCTAGTGGAAGATGGAGTCGACGTCTACGTTGGCGCCGCGCCGAGAGAAGTGTCGAACGTAACGCTGGGTCAAATCGTGGTATCGATAACGCAGCAGGACGGCAGGGTCAAGTCCCTGCTATGCTCACACGTGCTTACTGCGACCGGCCGCACGCCAAACACTGCGGCACTCAACCTGGAAGCAGCAGGGGTCGAGGTCGACGGACGGGGCTTCATCAAAGTCAACGAGCACCTCGAGACTTCGGCACCGGGCATCTACGCTCTCGGAGACATCAAGGGCGGTGTTGCCCAGACGCACGTGTCTTACGACGACTTCCGCGTCCTGCGAGACAACCTCCTCGCCAGTCCGAACCAAGTGGCAAAGGCCTCGATCGAGAACAGGCTGATTCCGTACTGCATCTTCATCGACCCGCAGCTCGGACGGGTCGGGTTGACGGAACGAGAAGCCCGCAAGCGCTACCCGGACAGAAACATCAAGGTGGCCAAGATGCCCATGGCATGGGTGGCGCACGCCATCGAGAGGGCCGAACTGAGAGGCTTCATGAAGGCCGTGGTGGACGCCGACTCGAAGGAGATCCTGGGGTATACCTGTCTCGGCCTCGCGGGTGGCGAGATCATGAGTATGGTGCAACTCGCCATGATCGGGGGTCTCACGTACGACGAGCTGGAGAACGCAATGTTTGCACATCCGTGTTTGTCTGAGAGTTTGAATAATCTCTGGGGGTACTTGGAGTGAAGCCAGCGATTAATTATTGACATTACCTTAAGTTGGCAGAATTGTACGGGGGTGCCGGTTTTGGCCTGGGCCGGGAGCCACTTGATCCAAGAGAAATGAGCACGAACGACAGGGCGAGCGGGATACATGATAATACCATCATCATTGTTCGAGAAACTGTCTTCCACGTGCACCGTACCACGCCATCAGCGGCAGGCTCCATTCAATGCCCGGAGACCCCATTCACGGATCCTTCTCCATTCCTCTCAGCCTCGGGCTCTTCCGAAGGTGGAGGCAACGAACGCTGAGGCTTCATGCCAAGTAGTTCAGTCGCGTCGACTAATCGGGCGTTTGGGTTCAACTCCAAGCCAAATCCAGGCTTGTCTAATACGCTGACATCGAGATATCCCTGGGTCGGTATCGGCTCGTTCAAGAAGAGATCTCCAAACACCGGAAGCACACTCTTCCCGTCAGGACTATTGGCGAGATACTCCTGGAACGGCGAATTGTGCTGGCTGACGACGAAGTGATACGAATACGGCCCAGAGGCATGAGGAACGACAGGAACATCATAGGCCGCAGCCATCGAGGACACTTTGAGAAGCTCGGTGAGGCCTCCCAACCACATAACATCGGGTTGAATGATATCGACGTTTCTGCCCTCGAGAAGCTTTCGGAACCCATAGCGAGAATATTCGTGCTCCTAATTCTATGTCAGTTTCAACATTGTCAGATCGAGTGTTCATGTCATTACTCCTGTAGTGAATTTCGTGTCTGGGTGTGCTCTCTTCAGTAGTTGAAATCCGTCAAAATCGTCGGGGGACAGGACTTCTTCCCACCAGTCTATTCTGATATCTTGTCTCTTGGCCTCTGATACGAGCTCAATCGTATACTGGACGTTGAGAGACATCCAGCAGTCAACCCTCAAGGGAAAGTCTGGCCCGATATCCTCACGGTGCTTTTTCAGGAATGCAATGTTCTTCTTCAGACTGTCTGGCTCCTCGGGGCTGTATGGCAAGGGGACCTTGGCGCCACTGAAGCCCATCTGTTGTGCCGCTGCAGGTTCTGGGCCTGTGCAGTAAAAATGTAGTCTGTCTCGGGTACTGCCTCCAATCATTTTGTAAACGGGTTCGTTTCTGATCTTGCCCAAGAGATCCCATAGCGCAAGATCGAGGACCGAAATGACGGCGACAGGCAAACCCTTGCGCCCGTAAAACATGGACCCTTTGTACATCAGTTCGTACAGGTCGTTGACATCTCGAGGATCCCGGCCGACGAGGAACCTCTCAAAATGTTGCTGCACCAGCCAACATGCCGGTGGGCCTCCGAACCCTGTGGCAAACCCAGTGGTACCGTCCGTAGCCTCGATCTCGACGCAAAAGGAGCCCAAGACGTTGATGCCAAAGGAGGTGCGCGACTTTCGATACCGCTCCCACTTGGACATGGGAGTCGAAATCTTGTTGTCGATGAGCCAGTGGCCGCCCTCTACGTTGTGGTAGTCCCCGCCCGAGCCGACACCTTCAATAACAAAGGTCCGTACGCCCTTTATGGTGGGAAATGCTTTGACCCCGGTAGGCATGGCGTTCGCAAGGTCTTGTTCCTGCTCGGCTGTTCCAGATTTTGGTAGGTGATGATACTGGCTTCGACAGGGAGAGCGCTACCTCGGGGTGCTATCCAAACGCGAAAGCGACGCCGATCGAGCAAACAGCTGACAGAAACACAAGTGTGCATGCAGGATAAGGAAGAGAGACGCACCCTATGGGTGGTTTGGCGGGGGCCGTGAAGAATAAAAAAGACATTCGAGCTGGCATGCAGCGTATAGTCTCGCTCATCGGGACAGTTGTCGCCGGCCAGTGGAGAAGTGAGGGACGGGTATGTTACGAGATCGCCTTGGTGAATTTAGCCGTGGCGGTACGAAGACCGTGTGGCAAGACAGTTCAACACGTATTGTACCCCCGGATGTCAGGTGTTAGTTTGGTCGAGGGAATGCGGTTAGATACTGCAATGTGCACTGACTTGTCGAGACACAAGGCGCAGGCAGGATCGGACTAGGAGAAGTGACCTTATGATGATACTTCAGAGTAAGGAAATACGAGTATTCGTCCCCGTATAGCGCAGACTTCTAGGCGTGGCGAGTGCCTACACCCAGCCGAGCCAGGCGCCTAAAAGGGAATGTCGGCGGGGTCTCTGAGCGCTGTGACAAGTGCTGTAATTTTGATACGGGCCAGTGCTCGTCCCGCATTTACCTCGGCGCTTCCCCAGCTTTTCTTTTTTCCACATTTTCTCTCTCGGCTCAACTTCCTCCCACTCGGTGCAATGTTCTACCCAGACAATCTGTCCGCGTCTTTGCCTGTACTTTGTGTGTATCGTTGAGCCATGACTTCGACAAAGGCGGATCTTCCTGCTCAGAATCGCGCCGACAGCAATGGCATGGGTCTGCCGAACATCATGCCGAGTCATCCACACGCCCCTTCCGTGTCCGCATCTGAATCGGATTCCGGGGAAGACGATCGAGACGGCTCCAGGAAACGGAAGAGGCCGATGAATGTCACGTACGTGTGCCGACTCAATCGATTTCTCGTCGATCATGGCTTGTTTTGCGCTCTTTCTCCTTGCTTTGTCACCCTCTCGCATAGCTACTAATGCCAGTGCTCGATAGTTGCGAGGCTTGCAAGCAAAGGAAGGTCAAGTGTGGTTGGTGTTCCCGCCCGTGGGGCTGAGGTGGATTGATACTCATCCTCGACAGATCGCATCCAGCCTGCGTGCGGATGGTGTACTCGCAACGACCACCCATGCGAATACAAAGAACGCAAAAAGCCTGGCCTTAGAGCTGGCTACGGCCGCGAGCTCGAGGGGCGACTTGATCGACTAGAGTATCTTCTCCATGAGCAGGGTCGTCAATTAGCTGCTCATCTAGCAGAAGCATGCAATATCACTACGACGTCTACGGCCACTCCCACCATCCCAAAACAGAACGGTCCAGGCATCATGCCCGAGACTCAACGCAGGGCCTCTTTCGATCTTCAATCGTCCACTTTCGCTAGCGATGCCGCTCATGCTCAGCCAGTTATCGATCCCAAGCTACACTCCTCAGCGTCTCGCCACGGATCCTTGCAATATCAATCAGACCAGACTATTCTGCCGCCACAGAGTCATCGTACTCCATCAGTGCATTCCCATCCCATGACTTCACCGCATTCTACAAGCGCATATCATGGAACCCAAATTTTCAATGAGCATGCTACCCTGTTGCCTCCGTATGATCTCTTGTACTCGCTTGTCGATCTGTATTTCAAGCATGTCAACAACTGGCTGCCCTTGCTAGACAGAAAGACAACCCTTGACACTCTCTTCGGGCCATCGACCTTAGACGAATCTGACCGTGTCCTTTTGCATGCTATTGTTGCAACAACCCTTCGGTTTTCTCAGGATCCCCGACTAACACCCGAGAGCTGTCGGCATTACCACGACACATCAAAACAGCGCGTTCAGTTGTTTGGTCTTGAGAATTCAAACGTCAGGGGGCTTCAAGCGCTTGTGATTCTGGCCCTGGATGTGACTGGGAGTACCAATGGACCGCCGGCCTGGAATTTGTTGGCACTGATTAGCAGAAGCATGGTGCAGCTCGGCCTCGCAGTAGAATCAGGGTCAAGCCTTACTTCACCAATGTATCCATCGATCGCGACATTGAGGGCATCAGTTCTGCCAGACCCCAGGAACTGGGTCGAAGACGAAGAGAGGCGGCGACTGTTCTGGGCGGTCTACCTACTTGACCGATACGCAACTATAGCAACTGCATTCGAGTTCGCCCTGGACGAGAAAGAGGTTGACCGGCGCTTGCCATGTAGAGATGACCTCTTTGCGGCGAACAAACCCGTCGAGACTCGATGGTTCCGACCTCCCCAGCGGCCTCGTTACACCACAGGGATGGCCGACACCCATGGTCACTTTTCGTATCATTGTGAGCTGATGGCTATTCTGGGACAGATCCACCAGTTCCTGAAGCGGCCCATTGACATTGGGTCTCTTTCCGATGTAGAACAGTGGCAGGGCTCATATCGCGCCTTGGACAGCGACCTCAACGCCTGGCATTTCAGTCTCCCTGACGAGTTCGCCAACGTTACTCGGTTGCTCAAATCCAACGTGCCAGCTAAAAATACCAACTGTGGCTGGATAATGCTCCAAGCAGCCTACTGTTTGACGGTCATTCGGTTGAATTCCTCCGCAGCATACCCTAGCCAGACCTCACAAATCTTCTCTTCTTCTTACAGTGCCATGCAACGCTGTCTATCCGCAGTAGAAAACCTCAGGCTGCTCTGCCGGTTTGTCAAGCTCAGTGGTCTGTTGGAAAAGCTTGGGCCCCCCTTTGGTTTCGCGATATGGGTTGGTGCTCGTGTTATGCTGGTCCATGGATCCACGATGGATCACGATGTGGACCCCGACATTGATTTTTTCGTCACGACCCTCGCCGAGATGGGTGAGCATTGGCTGGTCGCGAAGAGGTACAGTGAGATTCTGAGTAGAGTTTTGGCAGAGTACCGACAGTCGCAGCGGGCGAGCGGCATGACAGGGGAGATGATGACCCCGTCCAGCGTGAAAATACTTGCCGACATGCGCCGGTAAGCACATTCGCTGCAATGATTGGAAGAGGGAAAGTCGTGCTAACACGATGAAACAGCTGTGCCTATGACCTTGACTTCCTGATCTCCCGGCAGCCGCATGCCGCAGCAGTCAAATCCTATCACCCCACCCGGGCCAATACACCGGCTCAAAACGAACTTGAGTATCTTGATGTATTCGATCTATTCAACTTTCCACGTTTGCCCGTGGGTCAGGAAACCCTGGACCAAGTGAACGGACACGGGATAGGCTCTGCTGCGACCCCGGAGCTGGGGGCGATGAACGCATCAATGGTCCCCAGCTTCACGGTACCCAATCCAGAAGCAGATTGGCTTTTCCGAACTAGCTAGAAGGCCTTCTGCCTTTGTGGTGAGGCGAACTCGTGGTCTGAGGGAGAAAAGGTTCTATGCCCGGGCGATACCTTCAGAGCGATGGTGACAATCCACCAGAGTGTTGGCTTATGCTGTAAAACACTTGAGCGTCAGACTCGTCTCGCAGCTTACAGTCTCGAAATGTGGCGGATAGTCCGCAACAGCTTTTGCTGAGGATGAAAATCAGACTAGTCAGTCACCTTAGCCACGAAGCTCTAGAGGTCTGGGCTTCAGTCAGCAGCGACATGCCCAGCGTCAGGGACGGCTCCCAGGCAGTACTGAAATCAGCCTTGTACCATTCGATAAAGGGTAAAATTTCTCGGGCGGAAAGCCATGGGGACATGGAAACTTTCAGAAGAATGAAAACCTACTGGTGCACTTTGCGATCGAAGGAGAGTCTTGTCGATATCTTTTGGGTTTCCAGCTCCGCGAAGCTACGCCTTACGAGCTGACCAACGAGGTGCATCGGCTGGGGCTGGAAAATAGTTTATACTCAGCCCAACGGCGACGCGGGTGAGATGACGTCGCCGGTATTGGTCCGGATTATGAGCGCTGCTTTAGCGTGGCCAATCATGGCCTCCAAGCCTGTCGTCACATGCGATCACATGATGTCCCGTTTATCGGGTCTCTTTTGGGCACGCGATCTGTCTCCCTCTCCCGTACCTTACAGTATGCGATACATACCAAACTTCGTTCCTTTTTTGGCTCGATTGATCATCCACTGGAGGTTCGGGGCACCTTTCTCGCTCGCTTTTGCGTCTTGCGTCTCTTTGATCCTTTTCCTAGCCCGCTCCCACTACTCCCACCGCATCCCCACCGAAATTGGCTGCTGACATATCGGCATATCGCGGCGGATTCAGTCCTCTTCTTTCACGCCGCTCGAATATCCATCGTTTCTGGCCCCCCTGTGACATCTCATCTCCACCCGGCTGGTTCCTGGGTCGTCCGAGAGCTTCTTGCGGGATTTCATCCTGATGAAAAGGGAGGCTAATGTGGTCCGCAGAACTGGGTCACGACTTTCAGCACCGCCCGCCCTAGGCTGGAAAGGTGATAGGTCGTCTTTCAGCCTCACACCCCGTCGTGTCCTGACTCCTTCCACGAGATCTCGCAGTCATCGCAAGGAACCAGCCTTGCTAGAAGTGACAAGGTAGGTGACGACGTTGGGCCCCGCTCGGGGATCTGTGGCCGGTATGGCTTCTGCTGCGAGCCCATTCCTCGCACCATGACAATTTACGTTTTGGACCCAAACTCCGTCCGCAAACACCATACCTATCTGTCGTGATACTTTCACCACATTATTCCAACCCTGGTCTTAGTGTTGGATAAGGCCACGTTCTTAATCGGTCGACATTGCCTATTCGACCTTTTCATTGGTACTTGGATATTGTCCAACACGTGGCCGGACGGGCATTTCGTCTTGCCGGGACCCAAGGCATCAGTTGACACTTTCGCCGTTGCCATGATATCTATCTATCTTTCTCTTGCATATTGGCCGATTCTGTGGTTTCATTGGGTGACTTGCGCCTGCGGTATATGACTGTCCGGACGCCCTTACATGTTTGTCCTCCCTGCCTAACCCTATCTGGTGATTGATTGGCTCCTTCTCCAAGGCTGCAGTCGCAACTTCCACGATATAAGTGTCGTTTGAACACCAGATTTCCAGGATCCAGTCACAGTGTTTGATCGGAATCACTTTTCATCCATATTTTCATTCTGTTTCTTGTTCACCTGGTCTCCCAAAGCCTGGCATCAGGTCTATTTAATACATCTTGTTCTCTCGAGCAGGGTTAACACAGACATACCCAAGCGTACCGGCAGCAACAAAAGTCCTAATCATGTGCTATCAAATCGTCGAAAGATATTCGGTGTGCCGCTGCCTCTACCACAAACACTCAGTCGACCCTTGCCAGCGGTACGGGCAGCAAGGCCACACCACGACCGAGAAGACGGTTCTGGTAGGCTTTGCCTGTCCGAACCATTCAAAGAAGCGTTCGACCACTACCACTTCAGAGAGCCGACCGTCAGGAGGTGGAAGACCGTGGCGTGACTCTGGATATTCCAGCGGTGGCTACCAATCCTCTTCCGGTCGTCGATGAAGCAGGCCAACTATGTTCACACATACGTACTCTCAACGTGAATGGCATCCTTGCGAGACTACGGCGTGGACAATCACCTTGGACATTTAGCGGGGGACTTTGTGGTGCTACATCACCTTGGTGGGCCATCTGGCATGGCAACATTCATCTGTCGCCCCCATGATCTGTCGCGGGCCGACATACACGCACGACCACTTATCAAATGGTGTTTTCGGGGACACCGGGACCTACACCTCTGTCTCCCGGGGGATTGCACATTCCAGAAGGTGCAGATTCTCCGATACTGCGCCTACTGCAGAGGCCGTTGCCTCGCTTCAAAGGCGCGGACACAACAGGAAGCGAGCCTGAGGTGGGGTTGGCCGGCGCAACCTCGAAGCGTTGTCGATCTTGTGGATGATGGGACTGTGACTACGAAGAACCGAGTATGCGGAGATGAGGGATATGTTGAGTAATTGGCATATCTTTAGACGTCACCGGCCATTCGCTTTATATCTCAGCCTGTTTCAGACTTGTTGGTGACCCAAACGGAGATGGTGAATGGGCGGACTAACGTGTCTTATTACAAAGAGGTGCAGGCACCGCTGGAGTTTTTGTACCTTGGGCACTACGGGGGAGGCGGGCAAACAGGGAATGCACAACGCATGATGATGACAACGATGATGTTTAAGGGTGCTGGAGAACGCCTTGGAAATTACTGGGTATGTCGGCATATGCTGGTGCATCGACCGAGGCCGCGAGGGTGTAAACGAATACGGAGACGTACCTAGTTAATTGCAGGGGTATTGTTGCTCCTGGCGAAGCGGAATACAACTTACAGTACGTGCTCACGCCAGTTAGTTAGCTGATCCAAGTCAACGAGAAACAATGCAGTGCTGGCCATGTGAGGATTGATTGTCCCGAGAGGCATTTGAACAAGCCGTATTGTGCCGTAAGCAAGGTAGAATCAGGTAGCTTGGCCCCAAGACCAAAAACAGTGCCTATTATGCGCGGGCCTCAAGGCAGGGCGCGGCAACCAATACGAGATATGGGTGTGTCTTTTTGTTTCTCACTCTGTCTCGCAACTAGGTATCTGACCTAACTTCCCGTACTAACTACAGACGGATTGATAAGGACATAATTAGGTACTTGGTTTACTTGGCCCATTGGAGGGGTGGAGGAGTCGTTTATTATTAGTGTTTTGACGGTATTGTACTACTATTGTACTGACTTGGTACTCCGTACGTAGGTACGTTAGTAGGTGCATTATGACTTTCCCTCGTCGCTACCTGTCAGGTTTCTAGCTAGGTAAACACCGAAATTACCGTACCTGGTGGTTGTAGGTCGATACGAGCAGCTCAAGTTAGTACCTGCGAATGGCCGCTTAAGTTGGTACAGCAGGTTTTAAGGTACTGGAGTACCCTCCAGGATGCAGATGGATCGTCATGAGCAGAAAGATCGATGCACTCCCTCTTCGTATACTACGTTTCCTCACTTGCAGCCTGTGGAAAGCTTATTTGTGTGCAATCACTTCCGAATCCCGAGCCGAGTAGCATTCAAATTAAGGTGGTCAGGAAAGTATCTCTGTACACTGTCTGTTGGGCTCGACCCCGGCGGCCTTGTTTTCATATGGGCGGGCGGAAAAACGAGGTGCCAAAATCCTGTACTCGGTTACGAGGCTACAACCTCGTATTCGCATTTACCCCTGCCCTGCTATGCGCCCGCCTTTGGGAATCCAAAGCCCTTCCGACATCGATCTCTCGGCCACAAGAACCGTTTCCACTCGTGGTCTTCATCTCAAGCACTCTTGTCTCTCGTCTCTCTCTCGTTGCGCAAATGGATCCAAGGTGGTTCGCACCGCCAAATCGTCCGATCCGACCTGTCGACTCCGGTGCTGCGGCTGCCAATGGGGCGGCGATGCTCACTCTTCTGCTGCCACCAGGCCCAGTCCGCAGTGCCGCCGGTGTCCCTGCAATACTGTGGATCGCTTACGATCTACGCCGACATACCACGGGGAAGATCGAACAGGATTACCTAAATGCCATCAACGTTTTCACGTGTTTGATGAGATACGTCGATTTCTGCGTCGTGAATGTGCCAGAGCGTGAGTTCCACCGTGTCCGCCCCGATGGCGGCACCGAGCCAGAAAACCACGTCCGCAACATGACGATCCGGCAGAAATTGCGATGGGGTTTCGACTTGTTCATGACAATGAGAGGCGTCGGCTGGAACTGGAGGGTCAAAAACGTCGAGGAGGTGCCGGTGCACTTGACAAGATGGTACGTCCGTTCAATGACCTCCGGCGTAACTCTTGGAAATGCTCCAAGTACGGTAAGGGGAATGCTGACATACACACCTTGTCTAGGCAATACGTCTTCCAACGGCTCGTGAGTATGGGATATTGCTACCTCCTGATGGATGTGCACGAGTATTTGGTTGAACACTCACAATTCCGCACGGGCGTTGTCGGCTTGGATTTCTTCTCGATCCCACTTGGTCGACAAGTGTTGCTTTCCTGGTCGGTGGCCGTGTACTCTGGCTGTTCCATGGCTATTGGATACAACCTCGTCTCAGCCGTCATGGTCGGTTCGGGCCTGTCGTCTCCTCAATCATGGCCTTTTCTGTTTGGCTCGTTTGCCCAGAAGGGATATACCCTAAGAAACATCTGGGGATCCTGCTGGTAGGCACACAATGTCCGTTGAGTTGCTGCATTCATCACTCACTCACCACTACTCCTCTAGGCATCAACTTCACCGGAGATGGTTCGAAAGTGCCAACTCGCTCCTGCTGAGAATGCTCAAGCTCACCAAGGGATCGCTCAGTTCGCGTTATCTGCAACTATACAATGCCTTTTTCTTGTCTGCTGTGATGCACCACGTCGGATCTCTCAACAACCCTTACTCACCTATGGCGTGGAGCCAGGCGGCCTTCTTTCTGATGCAGCCTGTAGCAATCACATGCGAAGATCTGGCTATCCACTTTGGCAGGAAGGCAGGGCTCCAGAAAACCCGTAAGTATCTGCACAGAGGTGCCCATTGGAGCCACGGACTGATCCGCTCAGGGAAAACCAAAGCTCTAGGTTTTGCATGGGTAGGCCTTGCTCTTAGTTACACGCTCCGATATGCAGCTGCAGCTTTTTACGCGGCTGGATTAGGAACTGCAAGACATCCACTGGTCGCCCGCATCCAACTGACACGGCGAATCTTTGGCCAAGTTTGAACAGGCACAGTATGCATGGACAATCTGGCGGGGTGATTGATGCCGGTGTCTGTGCTGGACTGCATTGTGACGCCACATGGCAGGTTACCGTTGGTCGAGATCGACTGTTCCTCTCAATCATCTTCTGTACGAATAGGCTCTGGCGTAGTCCGTAGTAAATGACATCCGCTCAAGTCTTTTGCTGATCGGAACAGCGGTCAAGGAAAATGCATGCACGACAGATGCCCCAGTCGAATGTCGGCCTGATCTAGTAGATGAGAGACAATGGCGGCAGCGAGCGATGGGATGAGTCGCGTGTGTCTGGCAGAGTCTGTGTTTGTGTGTGTACAATGGCGCGTGTTTGGCAACAATGCCGAAGAATCGCCTGGGACGGGCGGAACCAACAGTCTAAACACCAGAGACCGGAGATCACTATCACCTTGGTAGTTAGACACTCACTCTGCCTCCCTCCCTCTCTGCACCGCAATGTACAATGCCTCACTACGCCGCTGTTGGTGACCACCGCCCTTGACAACGTTGTTCATTGTGCCTCGCCCACAGCTGTCTTACCCGCCGCAGCAGTCGTCCAGGACATCGACCCTCTCGTCTCCCCTTGATGCCGCCGAACCAGTCGCAGTTCAAACCCACCTGCGGTACCTTGCGTTGGTCACTCTGCACACATCCAATCAGCCTTGATCGACAAAGACCACTGCAGATAAGCGAGCATATGATGATCAACCATAAGAGCCGGTCGACTTCCTGACTCTGATCACCCCCATTCTCTACAATGCCTGCTCGCACCGCCGACCCCAGCGACGATGCTCCCACCGCGAGACAAGTCGAGGCTTTGGGGCTCAAGGCCAAGACACCCAGACCTCCCGGCAGCCCTACCAAGAAAGAAGAGCGCACCAAGGCACAAGATGTAGCGGAGCTGAAGGACTATCAGCTGGGAGACTGCTTGGGTAAAGGCGCATTTGGCTCCGTGTACCGTGCGTTGAACTGGGGCACCGGCGAGACGGTTGCGGTGAAGCAGATCAAGTTGGCAGATTTGCCAAAGAGCGAACTGAGAGTCATCATGCTGGAAATCGACCTACTCAAGAACCTCGACCACCCCAATATCGTCAAGTACCATGGCTCTGTCAAGACCCCAGACACTCTCAACATCATTTTGGAATACTGCGAGAATGGCTCACTACACTCCATTTCGAAGAACTTTGGTCGCTTTCCGGAAAATCTGGTGGGTCTGTACATGTCACAAGTCCTTCAAGGGCTGGTCTATCTGCACGAGCAGGGTGTCATACATCGAGATATCAAAGGGGCCAACATCCTCACCACAAAGCAAGGCCTGGTCAAGCTGGCCGACTTCGGCGTTGCCAGTCGCACAACCGGGCTACATGAGTCCAGCGTTGTCGGCACTCCCTACTGGATGGCACCGGAGGTGATTGAACTCACTGGTGCAACTACTGCGTCGGACATATGGAGTTTGGGGTGTACGGTGATTGAACTGCTGGACGGCAAACCACCGTACCACACACTCCAGCCCATGCCGGCTTTGTTTCGTATAGTCAACGACGACCATCCGCCGCTTCCCCAGGGCGCCTCACCAGGAGTGCTGGACTTCCTGATGCAGTGTTTCCAGAAAGATCCGAATCTGCGGGTATCGGCCAAAAAGCTGCTGAAACATCCGTGGATCGTGAATGCGAGGAGGACTGGTTCAGACAAGCCAAAGAATGCCACAGAATATACCGAGGCTGTCAAAAGTGTGCAGGAATGGAACGAAGCCTTGAGAGATTCCCCTAACAGCAACTCGATACGCAAGAATTCCAATGCTTCAACCGCCAGTCCCATTCCAGCACCGAAAGACCTCCTTCGACCGATGAAGAACCAGGTCAAGTCACCTACGCCTGCGTTCAACCGAGAGGACACTACCATGCGTTTCCGTTCGCTTGAGGACGACGACAATTGGGACAACGATTTTGTTACTGCTATCTCACCAAGCACCTTTGAACTGCCGCATCTGCGACCTCATGATAATTTTGGGGGCATGCTGTCGTCTGACAAGTTGAAGGCTTTCGCTTCCATGGAGAATGGTGCTGGGAAAGCAAACGAAAGTGTCTTTGAGGACAAGGACTCCACTTTGAAAGCGTCTTCGACGATAGGGAGCGAGGGCTATAGAACGGTACGACCAGCGCCGCAGAAAAGACCTGAAAAGGGCCATGCCCGCCATAGATCTGAGGCGCCAAAGCCAAAGGCGAAGCCTTCCACGACACCGCGTAAGGCTTCATTACCTTCCGCCCGTCCAACCACCAACTTCTCAAGAACCAAACTCCCTCCGCCGAAATCCGTTGCGGAGGAGCTCCCTACTCGACGTTACAGAGAAGACTCGGTCGAGGATTTCTCGGATCTAATCAACGGTAATGAACTGACGCTTGATACGAAACTGGGTATGATGCGCTTGCACAATGAGGGCCCATCGAAGATTCTCAATTCGCCAAGTGTGACAGATTTGATGCAAAGCATGAGGCCGGCAAATGCTGGCGGGAGCCTCAGACGGCCTTCGGCTCCTCGAAATAAGTTGTCCATGAGAAGGACTAGATCTTCGATTGAGATACAACGTTTTGCCGAAAATGAGGAGGATGAAGACTTTTCGGATGTCTTTGCTCATACAAGCTCCGTCTTTCAGAAGCCCGACAGCGAGGACGGCTCCGAGCTGATGCTGAACTCGAAAATATCGAATCTATCATGGTTGCCCGACGCCGAAGACGAAGACGATCCGTTCGCGCAGCTGGAAGAAGGCCTACCGGAAGTCGATCTCGAATCCAACATAGCTCGGGACAAGCATGCTCGTCTCCGAACAGACGTCGAGGCTCTGGTCGGTCAATTGAAAGTCATGCAAGATGACGATGCGCTATTGCAAATATCTGAAGATCTCATGAATTTCTTCGACCTTTTCCCAGACACGAAAAGTGTCATTGTCAGTGCCCATGGTGTACTTCCAATCCTGGAGATTCTCGAAGACTGCACGCGTCTGGATGTCGTCCTCAATCTCCTGAAAATCGTCAATGCACTCATCTTCAACGACGAAGACGTTCAGGAAAATTTGTGCTTTGTTGGGGGGATTCCGAAAATCAACAAATTCGCCTCGAAGAAATTCCCCAGGGAGATAAGGCTTGAAGCTGCTGCTTTTGTCCGACAAATGTACCAAACGTCCACCCTGATTCTCCAGATGTTCGTGAGTGCCGGGGGTCTAACAGTGCTGGTTGACTTTTTGGAAGATGACTACGACGATGACCGAGAGCTGGTCCTTATCGGTGTCAACGGCATATGGAGCGTCTTCGAACTGCAAGGGTCAACTCCTAGAAACGACTTTTGTAGGATCTTGTCCCGCAATTCGGTTCTGGAACCGTTGTCTCTGGTCCTGAACAGGGTCTTGATGGAGACATCCGAAGCGGGCGATCAGAAGGAACTGGCGGATTTGTGTGAAGGTCGTATAGCCAGCATCTTTTTCGTCTTCTCGCAGGCCGAGAACTACGTGAAAGAGCTTGTCGCAGAACGCACGGTGCTCCATCGAGTCCTGAAGAACCTCAAACGCATGTCCCCGTCCCATCAGGTCACGATGTTGAAATTCATCAAGAATTTGTCGATGCTGTCCAACACCCTGGACGCTCTTCACAACTCGAATGCAATTGACGTCTTGTCCGAGTTGTTAAGCAACAATATGAACAAGTCACATTTTAGGGAGATGTCGAACCAGATCTTGAACACGATATACAATCTCTGCCGCCTCTCCAAACGACGGCAAGAAGACGCCGCATTGGTGGGCATCATCCCTATTCTGATCAAAATCGTCAAGCAAGAAAAGACACCGGTGAAGGAGTTTGCGTTACCTATATTGTGCGACATGGCTCATTCCACGCGAGCGGCTAGGCGAGAACTGTGGCAGAACAAGGGTCTTGCCTTTTATGTCTCCCTGCTGTCCGATCCATACTGGCAGGTCACAGCACTCGATGCCATTTTCACGTGGCTGCAGGAAGAGACTGCCAGAGTCGAAGACCACTTGCTTGAGAACCAGAACTTTGCGACTGCCATCATTGCTGCCTTGACCAGTAGCAAATCCACCTCTTTCGAAAACCTCTTGGAACCTTTGCAGAAACTGCTCCGGCTGTCACCGCCTCTTGCTGCTTCTATGGCCAGAAGCCCTCCTCTGTTCGAAACATTGGGACAGAAGTTAGACCACAACAAACCCGCCATCCGTCTGAATCTACTCCGCATCATCGGCAGTATCTGTGACTCGACTGAAGAAGGGTGCTTCCTTCTAGACCAGTACGGTCTTTATGACGTTGTCCGCGAGCTTTCATACTCAGACTCAGCGGTGCTCGTCCGCAGCATGGCAGGAGACCTCATCCGATCTTGCGACGAAAGTGATAACGTTAGCATCAAAAGTGGTCAGGGCGTGTCTGCGGTGCCCACGGGCGGTCGACGAAAACACCCAGGTTTCCAAAGACGAACTAGCTCTACAACTCCACCGCACCTCCTGGAGCGTCAGATGAGTATGCCGACATCCCCACAGCTGGGCCGCTCCGAACGCGCAAGCATGAACATGTACGATCCTCCAGTAGCCCAGACACCCCGGCGGCAACGCAATGGTGTTTATGTCAATGGTACAAGTGTGATAAGGCCAGCCAGTCGAGATGGGTCGACATACGTGCGCGAGAATTCTCCTGCGTTTGCTATGCCCAGCCTCACACGGGCCAACACTGCCAGCAGCGTTTCGGAAGTCAGTATGAACAAGAGCCGCTTGCCGCGACAATCAACGATGGGCACTGGGATCACAACTGGCCAGCATCGCCTCTCTAGACAGAGTACACGGGAGAGCATGGTGGGGTCAATACGCAATTCCACGTCGACGTCGACGTCGAGTTCTGCCGAGAAGGAAACGACTTCTCGCTCGCATCACAGTAACAGCAGCGCAAACGCGACACCCGTCACTCTAACGCCAGTTGCTGAAGCTAGGATGCGAAGAGAGGCACGCCACGCGCATTCGAATAGCCTGAACAGTGCGAGTAATGGGAACAATGGTATTGTTCGGTCCGGTCAGAGACAACAAGGTACGGGGACTGTGGCCGGTCAAGGGCAGGTAGAAGTCACCATAAACCGAAGAACGACGACGAGACGACAGAACACAAGTGACGACCGATGGGGATAGAGGATAAAGAAGAGGTATTCTAACTCGATACGGTACCTAACCATACGAATTCCCTTGGCTTGGATGTATTCCGTGTTTACGTGTGTCTGCGACATGGACTCTTCAAGTGGAATACGTTGGGCGTTCAAGTGATGTAATAGTATAGTGTATACGAGGAGTCTCTTTCTGTATCGCCTGTACAGGTGTTGTGTTTCAATGTCAGATGTTCTATAAATATAGCGAAAATTTTCGATGGCGATGGCCTTGATATTCGGTTCTACAACTCGATCTACGTACGTGTGTGTATGTAAGTGTGTACTAGATAACATGGTTTTCGCGTTATCAATCCGTTGGTCATTGAGGAAGTAGGTAGCATTGAAGTATTTCCAGTGCTCCAGAATGTTTACGTTTTTCGCCTGGTCAAGATCAAACGAAATAGGTAGAAAGATACGCGTAGGTTTCGACTCCAACTGACTTGGGTAGAAGTTGGCGGTGGACTGTACTCGTACCGGCTCAGTACAGCAGGAAAGGTAGCGTCAACTTGAAATGGACTCTCAGAAAGTCCATCAAACTGCAGGTAATTATAATCATTATTAACTTGTAATCAAATAGTGAGATACTCGCGTACCTTACTAAGGGTAGGTAAACAAAAATTCATCATCGGTCCCGACCCTCTTTTTTTTAAAAAAAAAAAAATAAAAAATAAACAAAAGGTAGAAACCGGAAACCGAGACAAGAAACAGCAGAAAAGAGACACAAGACAGACAAAGACAATTGTGTACATATTTAGTATTAGAAACCCGGTGCCTACTAGGTACCTGCCTGGAAGCCTCCTCCCTCTCCCTTTTCCCTCTCCCTCTTCCCTCTCCCTCTTCCCTCTCCCTCTTCCCTCTCCCTCTTCCCTATCCCCCGACACCCTTTTCAAAGCAAAATGAGGCTGCGATCCAACCGTCCAGCTGTCCATCTATCTGAGTACTGTACTGCTGTATTTACCTCCTACCCAGATAGGTAGGTGAGATCCTATCCAGCCTAGGTGAATTAGTGGCCAGCCTCGTCATGCAAAAAGGAAAACTAAAGTTATCTCATTAGCGTGACCTCTGACCTCAATTCGACCTGACAGTAACATGATGGTTGGCGTATTGGGAAGATCCGTACAGACTGACGTTGCCGGGACCACTCGTACCTACCAGGTACGAGTAGGGTTGCTTGTAGAGATATCCAATGTATAAATACGGATAACGAGTATTGTACAAATACACGGCCCGTGCCTTTTGCTACTTGGAGATTCTACTACTCTGCTTTTCTGTACAGCAGATCCATGAAACGACAGTTGGTCCCGATCAATTTCCGAAGCCCACGTACGAGTACGACAAACCTTGCAACCCTAGGACAAGTCCCAACCTAGGGTAGGTAGGTAGGTAGGTAGGTAGGTACAGTACTCGTACGTAGGTAAGGGATGCACGTAGGTAAAGTAGGTGTACAGTATGTACCTGAGGCATGTTACCATGTTCCAGACGTTTGGTCCGTCTTCCTCCTTCGACTTCCCACGCTTAAGTTGGTTTGGCCTGGAGCTATGTGTACATACAGTGCAGTAGGACGAGGACCTCTGGGGGCCCTGGAAAACCAAGAAAAGGGGAAGAAAACGCTTTGTGCAGGAGTACGAGCTCATGGATACACACCACATGTGGCCCAGCAGCAGTTTCTTGATAACAACTTAAACGAAGAACCCTCTGGCCGTGTAACCCAGACGTCTAATAAGTCACACATTGCAGTCTTTCTTCATGAGGGAAATTGGCATTTTGTGTTCGTACTAGTCAGCGCCGAATCTTCATCATCGATGAACGAAACCTGTCCAAAGGCACAAATTAATGAATTAGTAATAAGACGACGCCGGGGGGTGGGCCGGAGGAAACAGGTAGTGGGGATTTATCCCGTGAAGCTGTCTGTGGTGACGCTTTTGCTTTCGAAAGGGCAAAATTCTAAATCCGCCCATGATCTAAGTCCGCAATAATCGCCGGAGAAGGCAAGGATAAAAGAGACATGATAGCGGACCAGAAAGCGATAGATAAGAAACTTTTTGGTGTTCCAGATAAAAAGAATTCTTCCCTCGAAGCTGATCTCTCCAGTGTTATCAATTCGTTATTGACCTTCGTCGCCAGCTCGGAAAAACCCCCCCGACTCCTACAATGTCGACCGATTACAAGTTTCAAGGATGGCTGGGCCTGGATCCGGAGTCGGTCAAGGGCAAGATGGTGTGGAAGGAGTATGAGCCGAAGCCCTTCGAGGAGACCGACGTCGACATCAAAATCACTCATTGCGGCGTGTGCGGGTCAGATCTCCATACTCTGCGATCCGGCTGGTACCCTGCGGACTATCCTGTCTGCGTGGGTCACGAAATCGTCGGCCACGCAGTCCGCGTCGGATCCAAGGTTAAGGACATAAAGGTCGGCGACAGGGTCGGCGTTGGCGCCCAAGCGGGAGCCTGTATGAACCAGAAGGGCGACTGTGAAGCCTGCGCCGACGGCCTGCAGCAGCACTGCCCGCATCTGGTCGGGACGTACAACTCCAAGTGGCCCGATGGAAGCAAGTCTTATGGTGGTTACGCCGACTACTGGAGAGGAAGTTCGGATTTCGTCATTCCAATTCCCGACGGCATCCCTTCTGACGAAGCAGCGCCAATGCTTTGCGGTGGTGTAAGAGAATCCTCTTGTCAGTTGTCGGTGCCGACCTGCTAACAACTTCCGTCAGATAACGGCCTTTTCTCCTCTCACACAGCACGGTGCTGGGCCCGGGAAAAGAGTCGGCATCATCGGCATCGGCGGGCTGGGGCATTTCGGTATACTTGGAGCCAAAGCTCTGGGATGCAGCAAAATTGTGGCGATTTCCCGAACTTCCACCAAGAAGGCCGATGCACTGAAGATGGGTGCTGACGACTTCATCGCCACCGACGAGGACGAAGACTGGGCGACCAAGCATGCCGGCACTCTTGACATCATCGTTTCAACGGGTGAGTTCGATGCCGGTTCCAGATGACGAATGATCTGCTAACATGACCCACAGTGTCTTCGCCCAAAATGCCACTCCAGCAGTATCTGCAGCTCTTGAGACTGCAGGGCAAGTTTGTCCAAGTCGGAGCACCAGAAGATGTCGTGCCCCCAATCAACATGTTCGCGTTGATCTCCAAACGGGTTTCTATCGCCGGCAGCTTGATCGGTTCTCCTCAAGAAATCAAAGACATGTTGAAGTTGTTTGTCGAGAAGGGAGTGCACACATGGAACAACAACGTTCCCATGAAGGACGCGAACAAGGTGGTTGTCGACATGGATGCCGGTAAAGCCAGGTATCGTTACGTCCTTGTCAACGAGTCGAACGCATAGTAGCCGTATAGGCTGGAGGTCCTGCCCACAAGTGAGTTTGACCAAGAGCACACAGCATGTGCAAGAGGCATCATATTCATCAAGCAAACGATGGAAACTGCAACGAAGTCTCTGCATAGAGCATAGCTGTGTACATGCTTACACCCAACCCTCTGCAGTTATCATGATAGAGAAATGAATAGATAGATTCTCACACCCAATACAACCCGTCTGGCAGACTTGAGTCGACAAGCATTGCATTCCAAGATCTTAGAATCATGCATCCTGTCGAAGGCGTGGCTTAAGAATTGGCAGCGGCTGTAGCTGTCATCTGCCTCATCGGGCTGGAGAAGGCATTTCTTGTCGGCCTCGAGAAGGTATAGCGACAACAACAAATCATGAGAGTTCCATCCTTGCAAGACCCCAGAAAAGGCATTGAACACAAAAATCCGACATATGAAAAATGAGGCCCTCAGAACAAGGTGCTGACGCCCTGCTGAATCTGGTTTGGTCTTGGCACGTGATTGGTTGATATCGAGGTCGATCGGCCGAAGCGTAGACGCGATGAACTCTGCCGCGAGGGTGTCAATCAGCCGCTGGGACAGTGATTGCTAGTCACAGCAGAGAGATGCCTCGGGACAATCCATCCTACCTTTCCTCGTGTTTGGGTGTTGGCGAGCACCTGCGCCAAGTCATAGTTTCTTTAATCTCGTTGTATCTTCTCGGCCTAGCGACATGGTAAAGAACCGGCTTGTTTCTGACATTGAACTCTCCATATTTTCTGATTCTGACAACAAGAACCTAGGTACAAATATACTCTACAACACATTCCCTTTCTGAAGGTTCTTGTTTGCTTGCCCTTCGATCAATTTGTTTTGTAATGCTTGAGGATTCGGAAAACACTCATCACAGCAGTCATCCAAGAACTGCCCATTCTTGATATTTCAGACATCTAGGACCCTTACAATGGTGCAGAATCTGAATGTCAGTGCTGGTCCTGCGCCGACGGTTGTCATCATTCCTGGCTCATTTTCGTCCGCGTATTTCTACGACGAAATTGTCCATCAGCTTCGGATGAATGGCTTCGAGGCGGCGGCATATGATCTTCCTTCAGCCAGCCGGATGCCTCCTCAACCTGCTGCCACGTTGGCCAATGACGCTGCTTTCTTTCATGACATTGCGCAGAAGATCGCCGATCAGGGCAAAGATATCGTCTTTGTTACGCATTCCTACGGAGGCGTGGTTGGCACAGAAGCCTCGAAGGGGTTGACCAAAGCGGAGCGCCAAGCAGATGGTAAAGAGGGTGGGCTGGTTAGATTGGTATATCTCACTTCGGTGGTGCCGTCTGTTGGAAACTCCTTGGCCGATACAATGGGCGACCTCGTGCCAACGTATTTGAAGGTTGAGGTAAGATGATCACCGGCTTTGACAAATCCATGATCGCCGAACTTATGCTTCGAACAGGGGGAATACATGAGGCACGATCCACCCGAAGAGAGTGCAAAGTTGACATTTTCGGACCTGCCGCCGGAAGTAGGGGTTGACTGGGTCAAGAAAATGCCCTTACATTCTGCCCCGAGCTTTGCGGGTAAGTTAACACATCCGGGGTACAAATATGTCCCCGTGTCGTGGATATTCTGCGAGGATGATCTCATCCTGGTTCCGGAATTTCAGCGCAACTGCATCGAGATGATCGAGAGGGAAAGCGGCAATAAAGTCGAGGTGCACAACCTCAAGGCTGGGCATTGTCCGAACGCAAGTGTTGGCGTGGAGACAGCGATGCTGATTACTCGGGCAATAAAGGAAGCATGACGGGAGTACAGTGAAGTTCGGAGCGAGTCGTCGGCTGGCATTGCGAGTGTCCGTCTCTGGAATCTCTTGCGGTGGACAAGTCAGTAGAACAAATAGCCCCATTTTGCAGAAAACTCATTGCCTATTTTCCAGCCAGAAGGATCCCAAGATGCAAATCGGCTATCCACAGTGAAGCTCGTGAGACAGAACAAATCACCCAGAAACTCTTCTTCATCGATGATACTGAGTAGTGTGATCATGTTGTCCCGCATCTTAGGGAATGGAAAGCGATCAATCCACTGTGGGTGAATGGTTGAAAGCTGCAAGGGGGTCGGGCGCAACGATTCTGGTATCTCTTGACCAAACGGTTTCGACTTTGAGGCGAAGGTGATGGAGCACGTCAGTCCCATCATGGCTCCGTTGTGAAAAAGAGCGGCATATACGGAGGCAGGAGTAGTGGTGGTCAAACAAACATCGGGCTTCGTCGATAGCCCGATCATCAACGGATAACCGGTTGGCGATCGAGGCACTGAGGTAATTGCAGATCGGAGCAGCACTCTTTCACTACCCTCAGCGCTTGACTCTGGCGATTCGCTGGAGCCATGTTCAGGCGATGGGAGGCTGGTCGTTTTGGCTTCTGCCAGGCGTTTCCCTGTCGTGGCCATTAGCGATGCTGACGAGTATATCTCACAGGTGTCTACGGACGTCTTGCTCTCTGAGCCAGTCGGTCTTGGATCTGTTTTCTCTTTCGGGGATCTTGTACACCAAACCAGTTGTTGTCCTCGATTTTAGCTCTTCCCATGGCGAAGGCGACAGAGACAGACGGTGAGTTGCAGTGAGCCTGTCACTGACGAATCGCTCACATCAAAATAGCGTGTGGCCTTGGAGGTCTTTGGTGTACAGATGTTCGATGGTGATGAGTGTCGTGATGAAGATGGAACGTTTTGGAGCTGGTGAACCGTGATGGCTTCGCTAAGTCAGTCCAGAGTGCGGGGGACCAAGATACGCCACCAAGAAGACAGACGCCTTGCCCTCTTGGACCTACAGGTACACGTCCAACATAAGACACCTGGATAAGACGACTATGCAGGAGTATTTAGTCATTGGCTCTGGAACGTCTGGGATGATTCAGCAAGAATCTCATCGTGGGCGGACAAAGCCGACAGTCCCGACCAATTTCTGACTTTTGGCCCGAGACTGGGTTCTTTCTGACATTGAGAGATCCAGTCACGTGGTTTCTGCCAGGCTAAGGCCTGGAAAGGCTGTTTCCAGGCGTTGAGGACTGGGCAGGGTGTTGTAAGCCGAGCCTTGTTCCCAGGCGAAAGCAACACCTTCACAAGGCTTGAGATCGAAACATGACCTTGTGTCTGGAGCTGAGGCCACCAGGTTCTTATTCTTATCTCTACACTCGCGGCTCGACTACTGTGAACATGAGGCAGGCCTGGAGTCGGTGGCAAAGGAAGATGGTGTGAACGGTCGTCTACTGCAAGACTCCCACACCACAGATATGTACAGATATGTATATACATACATAAAACTATCAACAGGGCGACGCATTTTGCGAGCTGAATTCAGCTAGTTACGTTCGGAGAAAGGTTCAAATGACAGTCTAGGAGGTCTCTAACGACTCTACGAGTCTACGAGGGATCGTGCATGCGCTGTCATCGCTAGCTGCCCTGCATATCTAGTTATCAGTGGTCCCTGAAGGAGGTCCCGCTATCGGATCCGATGGATTAGGAGCCGATACCGGGATTTGTGCAGCTGGGCAACTTTTTGTGCCGCGGGTATGTACTAGACACTGATAGTTGTGTCCCTAGAGAATAGTCTTCCTTTGACGCTCGATCACATTAAGGCTCGCAAGCCCGTTACCCAGAGTTCCCAGAGTCATTCCACCTGCTGGCCGAGCGAAAATCGTCAAGCAGTGGGCAAATCCCTTTGACCGTGGCATTGAGTTGACATCATACCATGAGTTGCCATTTCATTGCCACCCCCGGGCGCTGTTCCAACTTCCCAGGATTGCGAGTGTGGGCGTCCGGAGAGTTACGGAGACTCCATGGTCTTGGGAAGCGCCCCCGACGCAACTCCGCCATGGCGTTCGTCTGCAATCTTAGCCCTGGTCACGGTGCTATTCGTCAGAAGACACGCGCTAGGACCCGTTGCTTCTTACAGTATCAACTCTGTCGTCTACACACCAGCCCACGAATCCGGTCAGTGCAAAATCTCCCCAGATCCGATGACCGCGCCGCAGCACGGGCTGGCTTTTCTGGAGGCTGACGTGGGCCCGGGAATCATCCCATGTGCTTCTCCTTGCACCGGCCGTAACACGCATACAGTACAATATCTGGGTGAGCAATTCCTTGACTCCGCTGAGGACCCCGGAAAACAGTAGGTTGTTATGACTTGTTTGTTTCCTCAGTCACTATAAACCCCCTTCCGTCCCCTCCACATGCCTATTTCTACTTTCTTCTTAGCTGCTCTCAGTGTACATATCCCGACACCTGGTGCTCTCGGTCTCGATTGTACGTTGCCACTATACATCCCAGCACTCTTTTAGGTACCACGTACAGCAAAGAGCCCCAGAGTATCATGGCGTCGATCTTGGAGCGTCTGTTTCCCGTGGAGCAGCTGGAGGCACTCGGGAACAAGTGGCCTGAGAATGCTTACAAGAGGAGAAAACTCGACGATGGTGCAAGGCAACAAGAGACCTGGGCGGTGCCAGCGCCTAGAAGGCAATACCGCAGCTCTGCGACTCCGGACCCCAGGTACCACCGACTTTCGATGCCGACCCAGCACAGTGTCAAACCCAGATTCACCACACAACCAACACAGATCAAGAGATCCAATTCTGAGTGCATTCCTCGGACCTCACCAGCACCGTCAGCAAGCTCCACTAGTAACAACTCGACATCGACCCAGAAGTCCTGTCTTCCCGCCTTCATCGCACCCGATCTCATGCTCGCCTATCTTCACAATCTTCATCCCAGGGACCGGCCTAGATATTCACTACCTGGTAGTCCAAGCAGCGATACCAAAGCTGATGAGCCAAGACGTTCAATAACCGCCCGCCACGACAACGAGGATAGTATCTCGTCGCCTGGATCCCTGACGACAGACGCATCCTCTCCACAATCTTCGGGGGAGCCCTGCGCAACACCACCTTCATCCGCTGGCCAACACGGCATCGTGATCAATGGTCTACGATTGACCGAGCACGAGCGGGGGTTCATGAACGACCTTCTCAATCTGTCACCTGCCGTCACCGATATGCTCACGTCTGCACCTGGCGAGAAACGGAAGATGCCGTTAGTAGACGAGGAAGAGGACCCTGCGAGCTTTTTCAGCGGTGGAAACGACGCATTCGAGGCCATGTTTGGCCCGTCGTGCGCGGTAGAGGCTCGTTTTGCAGGCTTCGAGTACGCTGCCACGACGAATGACGGGCGGGAGGATGATGTACATTCGTCTGGTCTCAGTCCAGCCGCCGAAGAGAACGAGGCAGAGGACAGCTCTCCTGCTGGGATTGTCATGCCTGTGCACACGGCGCTTAGCGTTGACGACTTTTTTGACTTGGAGCAGGCAGCCGACGAAGTTTCACCGTTGGCAATTTGATTTTGGGTCGTTCCCGCCTGAGGAAAAAAGCGATCATGTCTGTTTTGACGAAGTTGTTTTTCAAAATGTACAAACAACGAAATACGTGGACTTATAGCTACTATATGCATATAATCCAAATGCACAAAAAACATTGAAAAAACTACGAGATACTACTACTGATGGACCCAGAGCTGATTCCATATGAACGAGGACAATATGTCAGTGCGTCCCAGGATTCGACAACCAAAATCTGGAGTATACATAACAACAGCACACCGCCAGCAGAGAGAATTATCTCATGGTATGTCGCTTCGATGAGAATCTTCTCATATGCCAGAGACTCTTTCGTTGGCCCACAGGCATCGCCTAGAATCCGGCGGGGACCCCAATCCTTGTCCCACGGCCAGCTGTTGGCTGTTGCTCAACACCCACCGTGAGCCCAGTGATCGGGTTGAGACCACACTTGGCGCACTGCCTCGTGCTCGGATCCGATGACTGCCAATAATTAGCACCCAGCCTCGTTGGCAACTTGCATCATGATAAGCAGCTTCGATCGGCCTTTTCCAAAACGACGCCAGTCCACGGGAACGATTGGAAAGTAATACAATTAAGTGAGTCCACCGGCCGATGCTGGTTTACCCGCGGCTACCACCATCGAATAGGAACGAGGTCTGCCACCTCACCCAACAAATTCGTCCAGAAGGAAAAAACGTCTACGGGCTGCCAAACGGGGCTTGTTCTTGTGACCCGTTGCTTTGCAAACAAACGGGAAACACTTGCAGTAGAGTACGAGTACAATTAATCAGCAGGGATCACGTTGGGATGCACATGGATTGCACCGGAATTAGTTTTGCGGGCATCTTGAGACAAAGTGAGACCCCGAACGCAAGGGTCTACCTGTAGCTTGGTGCAATGAGCTACAGTACCTAGTACTGTATGTGGCTTTAGTGTCAAAATGAGCCATATTTATTACTGTACAGTGACAGACTGTAGAGTTGTGGGCAACAAAATTAGTTCCTCTTGTCTTGATTTGATCAAGGGAGAGAGATCGCCCGTGCCCCAGGCCTGCCGCGACCCCAGTAAATTGTTGCGAGTCACACATGCAAGTTGTGTTGTATGATGGTCCGCCCATACGGGCCGGCCTAGTACCCTTCAGGGGGGGTTCCGAAAAAGCAGCGCGTTCGGTGAAAAGGCCGTGCCGTGAGACACACGGGATACGGGATACCGTGGTCGGGAAACCCTCAATCGTGGCCCCGGTGTAATGGAAAGTCCGTCCTCTCGACTTTCTTCCAATCCCACCAAGTTCCGATCGCCAGCCTTGTTCCCTTTGCCTACTTACCTGCCTACCCACAGTGCCTACCTACAGTACCTTACCTACCTACAGTAACCTACCTACCTATGCACGACAACAGTACGGAGTACTGTTTGGTACCACAGATAATAGATGAGGAGGTACGGTGCTACAGACTCCTTATGTACGAGTAACTCGTAGTAAAGACTTTCGGTTTTCTCATCCCTTGTACCATCTCACGATTAGGTAGGTAGCATTTCACGATCCGCGTACACGGAGAAAGAGAGGTCTTCCTATGTACCTCAGCTACCTAGGTACCAATGTATAGTACCTACGGGAGGGACCCAGTCTGTACAGTTAGTGTAACGTTTTCTCATGTGGTGACAATAGACTACTGGGATAATAACCATGACTGTAAAACATAGTACGGAGTACCCCAGTACAGTCGGGAACAGAATTCTGGCATACGTATTGTACTCGTCCAGTAGTAACTAGTGTGAGATTGTTGTTGGACCGGCATCGGATTTGCCGGCGGGTGAAGAATCGTGAAATCTTTTTGTATTTCCGATCCGGAAAAGTCGGAGGAACTTGACCGAAAGCTGAATGAACTTTTTTTGGCTCCTCACCAGCTGACGTGCAGCACAATCTACAGATCGGAATAGAGGGTGTTTCTTGATTTTCGCGTATTTCCCGACCATGGGGACAACCCCCTTTTCCCACAAAGCGTAAGAGTGATCGATTGATTGAGCATGGCATGACATGACACAGGACAAAAGCAAAGGCGGCATAACAGGACGTTGCGTGACAGAGCATGACATAGCATGGCATAACGTAGTGAAGTCTTCCGATACTGACCCTGACCCTGACCCTCTGCCTGACTGCCTTACATACCTAATACCTAGGTAGGTTAACAGAAAGTTCGCCCTGGACACGGAGGAGAGGAACGAGGTAACGAATGAGAAAGCAACTTTACCTCTTAGGTGAGGTACTGGAGGTGATCAACTGCCTACCTAAAGGTAACAATGAACTGTACATGGTGTTGGTCAAAAGGTCCACACATACCGACTTCAGGCACCTAGGTATCTTATAGTTGAACACTACCTCCTCTATTTGCAAGAATCTTACTAGAATGCCATACTAATACTCTACTCTACTACACTGTGCAATATCTGTCCCGTATCCCTAGCTGGTCTATATGCCTCTCCTGTCCTCAGAATGAATGCTCTGTAAACCCATGAAAGAAGGGCCGGGGATCAACACTATACTACCTAGTACATATCCGTATAAGCAATAACAAAAACGAATTATTAGTATTATTGTATATATTCTCTCTTTATCTCTCTGTCTAACAAAGGAAAAGAAGAAACGAAGAGGAGACCGTTCTAACTTCCAGCAGTCAAAGCCAAACAAGCATCAACTGCAAGACCGACTCGACCTTCCTTCTGCCGGACGACATCGTCAATAACCTCCTTGTCGAGGTTTGGAAACATGCCACACAACGTCTCAACGACAGTCCTATGCTCCTGACGTTGGATTCGTCGTGCTTCCGCTGCCTCTGCACTTGCCTGTCTCGCGGCTGCTTCTTGCGCGTCGTAAGGAGGCATTCTGCTGCCATCAGCACTGACCTGTTGGAACACTGATGGACTCAGATGAGCTCCTTGCTGCTGCTGCTGCTGCTGCTGCTGCTGCTGCTGTGGAGTGGGACTCGGAGCTGCACTCGGCTCCTGTGAGGTATCTTGGTCCGAGAATATCCGACCAATCGTGGAGAGAGGCTTCTGGATAGATCGTAGAATGCTAGATACTCCTTCTTCACCACCACCTTCGGAACTACTGTTCATGCGTCTGGGATCTCTCCGTATAGGACTGCTCGACGTGACGTCCATCGAGTTTCTTGGGGTCAGTTCTGGCTCGGCAATGCTGGATTTCTCTCGATACAACGCACGAGGGCTCATCGCCTCGGCTTCACGGTTTTGGGCGGCAATTTCCGACACTGCAAGCTCGACGTTCCGTTCAAAGTCCTCGTCACTGACAGTCAGAGTTGTGCGATCCAGGTTCTCAATGAACTGAATCGCCCCGGATAAGGATGAGAGGTAATACCCTGCCTCGCCGCCGAGTTTGTCCTGGTTCCGGAACCGTAGGATATACTGAACGTTCGACACCAGGTTTTCAGGATTCGCTTGCAGCACGACGTAGATCAGCAGCGGCACAAAAGAGTCGGCCGACGTGTCTGAGCTCTTTGCGTTCTTGAGCAGACCAAATATCACCTTGCAGCAGTTCAGGATGCAAATGACCTTGTCCCTTGGCGCTCGATAGCCTTTCATCTTGAGCAATTCTTGCTGGGCCAATCTCAAGAATCTCTCTCCGTTCGGACCAACAGGGGCTAGGTCCAGATGCTCCTCACGAATCCAGCTGTAAATGCGTATCTTTTGGGCCAAGATTTCATCGCGTTCGACGTCTTCTTGATGTTGACCACGTCTACCTACACCCAGGCTCTTCTCTTGCTCTTTCCGCCGACCCCTTGATCGCGACCGGGCAGGTAGTGATGGAGGCGGAGGGATTGCTGGTGAGAATGTTTGTGAGTAAAGCCTGTTCATGACGAGCTTCTCCATGCCTTCTTTGGCGTTGTCAAATTCGTTGTCAGAGACTTCACGCCAAACATCACAGATAGCCATCTTGTTCGTGATGAAGGCCAGGAAATCGCCTATGATCTTGACTTGTTCGTGCACCATCCATTGCTTCTTGCCAAACTCGGTCAGGAACGAACGCAGGAACTTCGCTACTGGGTCTGCAGATTTATGTCGAAGTTGTTCCAAAAACCGATGAAAATCAAATGGTAATTCTGGCTCTGGTTCAGGAGGTGGTGGCTGTTGTAGTAAAGAACTCGTCGAGGCGGCCCCTTTCAGCGAGGGGCTTCTCAATGCTTCCTTTTCGTTCTCTGCAGAATCTGACGGAGGAGAAGGCAGAGGCTTCTCTGAATTAGCTGCGACTGGTGATGATGCTATCAGGTCCATGTCTCTTGATCGAATATGGTCCAGACTAGGCCTCCGGGGCGGAAAGTGAGAACCCATTCCTAGTATCGGCCCCGTCATTTCGTGCCTGGGAGACATTATGTCTTCCTTTGATGGCGCCAAAGTGGCATCATCGAATTGATCCATGATACTCTGGATTTCTGAAGCTGACTCGGCATCGTTATCTTGCCCGGGTTTCTCTCCTGCAGCGCTGGCACCACCAGTTGGAGGATCTTGAATATAGCCCGAGTGTTTCTCATTATAGCTAACCTCCGGTGCCTTTGTAGAAGGATGTCTCGATATTGTGGGAGTCTTGGGTGTCGGGTCTCGGTAGGGCTCTGAGGCTGTAGCTACTGGTTGAGGAAGAAAAGGCGGCGTCGAAGGGAGGGGCTTCTGCAGCTGGGAAGTGTCGGCGGTACCGGGCGCACTGTCGCCGATATGAAGGCCTTGAAGCTTCTGAGAAGGATCTGTGTCGTCCTCTTTGCCTCTATCATTCGAGACATCGTGGGCTATCAACTCGACCGTGGCAGGGGCCTTCTCTTCGGCTTCAAGGTCTGTGAAGTCCTCCGCATTAGGCGAATGTTCATTTGCTTGAGGCTGATCCATCCTGGCATGATCGAGCGAAGACATGAACAGATCTAATCATAGAACTGTAGACGGGATGTCGAAGAGCCGTCTCATTTGAGGTAGTCCCAGCCAGCGGCCGCACAGTGACCTGTTTGTTATGATCGCATGTCCCCAACCGTAAGACGTGGTTTTCAAGTCGATATGTGTCTTACGCGACGTAGGTGTGTGATTATGCGTGCTTCATAGAGATGATAGTTCTAACGGGTCGACACTCGTGGGATGATGAAGCCGCAAATGTTTCGATAGTGGTTCAGGAACCGCCGTGCATTAATTCAGGATTCTGGGATTTAAAGATGCAACGCGGCTAGTGAGGCCGCCCATTGAAGTCCAGATGACGACGTTTAGAGGTTTCGGTTTAGGCGGCACTTGGCCCCATTAGGCTGTGCTGGGGGCTGCTAAATCGCGGTAATCAGTGGCCGCCACAAGGCCATCACAACCAACCACGACCGACCTTATTGGCCACACTGGCATATCTCTTGGCTTCATTTTTGCTTCCTCTAAACTCGAATCGATCTCGGCTTCATACTGCAACTCGCGTCCTCGTTACTGATATCAGGGCCGCCAAACACACCTCCCCTGCGCGCCCATCTCGAGGGATAGGTGGTACCTCATGTGCGGCATCTACTTCTCTGTGGCCAAAGATCGACATATCTTACCCGATCAACCAACTGTAGATGCCCTCCACGCTCGAGGCCCGGACAGTTATAAAGTCTTCCAGACCACCGACAATGACGAGAAGCTGCACCTAACCTTTATCTCATCCGTGTTGGCACTGCGTGGACAGAATATCCAGGAGCAACCTCTTCATGACCCTGTGTCTCGCTCTGTCCTTTGCTGGAATGGTGAGGCCTGGAAATCAGACGGAGTGCCAGTGGAGGGTAATGACTCGGCCTACATTTGGCGTCTCCTCCAAATCTCTCTAGCCCATCCACACGACCGTCAACATCGCATCGCTCAAGTCCTTTCCCACATAGCTGGTCCGTTCGCATTTATCTTTTACGATGCTCCCACCGCCACTGTGTACTATGGTCGCGACAGGCTGGGACGTCGATCTCTCCTTATCAATCAAAGAGACTATGGTTCACTGACACTAGCTAGTACCAGTCCGAATCCTTCGGGCACAGCTACAGCACCATCTGAAGTTTCAACGAATACGATACACTTTTTCCAATTCCAAGAAGGAAGCATATTACAGGGGAAACTGCCGTGGGCATCAGAACTGTATCCCATCAACAAAGGCCTGCCTGACTCAGAGATAGCAGCCCTTCCATCTCACGAGAGCGTTGATGGCCTTCTGGTACATCTTCGCGAATCGCTCATGCTTAGGTCTGTTGACATCAGGGACCATTCCCATCCACAGATGACCGCCGACGCAGCAAAGGTTGCCATACTATTCTCTGGAGGGCTTGACTGTACTCTTCTGGCTCGTATAATCCACGAGATTCTCCCGTCAGATGAAGTTGTTGACCTGCTCAATGTCGCTTTTGAAAATCCACGTTCGCTCGCCGCAAAGGGGCGCATTCAAGCTTCTGCATATGAGCAATGCCCCGACCGAGTCACCGGCAGATCGAGCTTCACGGAAATCTGTGAAGTATGTCCGCAGAGAAAGTGGAGATTTGTGGCTATTAACGTTCCCTACACTGAAGCAGTCGCACACAAGCCTATAATTATCCGACTCATGTATCCCCATAACACCGAGATGGACTTGTCGATTGCGATGGCACTGTACTTCGCTGCACGCGGCCAAGGGGAGCTGTTGGAAGTCTATTCCAATGTTTGCTCAGAACCAATCCCCTATTTGTCAACCGCGCGCGTTTTGATCTCCGGCCTAGGCGCAGATGAACTGTATGCAGGCTACTCTCGGCATGCTGCTGCCTTCTCGCGGGAAGGATTTCAAGGACTAGCAGACGAGCTTGAGATGGACTTCAACCGGATTGGGTCTCGCAATCTAGGTCGTGATGATCGCGTCATGAGCTCTTGGGGCAAAGAGATCCGATATCCCTATTTGGATGAAGATTTCGTCAGGTTCTCCCTCGATCTCCCTGTCTGGGAGAAGGCTGGTTTCCGACGGGGCAGACCCGTGCCCAAACATCATGAAGCAACAGGACTGGCTAGTACCCCCGGAGACCTTGAACCTGCGAAGATGTTGCTACGGCTAGCTGCGTGGCGCCTGGGTCTGAGAAGGGCAGCCGCAGAGAGGAAACGAGCAATCCAGTTTGGAGCAAGGACTGCGAAGATGGATGCTGGCAAAGGCCGCACCAAAGGAACTGATGTTCTTGCAGTCGCAGCCTGAACTACCAGGACATGTCTCCTTTTGGCCCGTTCTGGCATAAACCAACTCGACCTCGCCTGGCGGTGATGACAAATCACAGATACTTCTTAGGTGCAGGATGCGTGCTGGATGCAGTCCCACTGGCGTGAGACCTACAACCGCCGAGTCTACCTGTGAAGACCAAAAGGCAAGTCTGAGCCAAGCAGTGGTGAGTTGGTTTGCCGCAACCGCTATGGCCGTTTGAGATATTGTCTCAGCACCTTCAACGATAGACATATGTTGATGTGACAGGTCAATATTTGCTATTCCGGCCTTTAACAAAACAGCCGTAACAACTTGACCGGGGTGTTTGCTAGCGGAGAACAGCGTCTACAACCCCGTGAATTGTGTAACGAGAGGACGATTGTCGACTCCACTGTGAGTCACGAGCACAAATGATACGGCGGCTTCGCTACTAGTTAGTCAGGCCTCGAAATTTCTATCCGACATCTCCATGAACTGTCAATCATCTCTACTCCACATTCCTTCTCTCGAAGGGCGTGATGACGATGGGTAAAAGAACTACTATAATCTATATCCTATAATAAGGCTTCCACGACGGCTCTATCCCGGTCCATGTATCGTCTAAGCCCGTCATTGACTCCCTTGGCACTTCATGGATGCAACTTCTGCCCCCGTCGTCCAACTACTTACCACAAGACACGAGCAAAACGACGCCGTCGACCATTATGCCCAGCGAGACCCAACCAGCGAATTATTCGAGCCCAAGACCATTGCGAGCAGAGAAACCGAAAGCAACAGAGTCCCCATAGCTGACAATGTGCAGAGCCTCGACCTCGAGTCCTCCACTGCTGGCGCTGCTGCTGGACTGGATGACTTTCCAGAAGGAGGGCTGAAGGCCTGGCTCGTGGTAACTAGTTCTTTTCTCGCTTTGTTCTGCTCCTTCGGCTTCATGGTCGCCATTGGCACGGTCCAGGAGTACCTCCAGCTGCACCAGCTTTCGGATTATACCGCTCGCGATATTGGTTGGATTCCGTCTGTATTCGTCTACCTCTCTCTTGGTGGCGGGATCGGAGTCGGCCCCATCTTCGACCGCTATGGCCCGCGGTACCTCGCTCTGTTCGGGTCAATCTCTTACGTTGTCATGATGTTCCTGCTAGCGCAGTGCAGCAGGTACTGGCACTTCTTGCTGTGCCTGGGAGTGCTGGGAGGCGTGTCAGGCGCCATGTTGGTGACGACGAGCATGGCCGTGGTGAGTCACTGGTTCAAGAGACGAAGAGGGTTCGCACACGGGATCGCCATGACGGGCTCGAGCTTTGGTGGCGTCACGTTCCCGCTCATCCTTCAAAACGCCTTTCCTCGGTACGGATACGCGTGGTCAATTCGCATCATCGGCTTCGTCATGCTGGGCTGTCTGCTCATCAGCAACGTCCTGATGAAGCCACGGCTGCCTCCGTCGGACCAGGCCAAGAAGGAAGCTATCATCTCCCTCACCCTGTTTGGCGACTTGAAGTTCACCCTCTTCACCATCACCGTGTTCGGCTTCGAGATTGTCCTGTTCGGTGCGCTGGGCATCTTGCCGACATATGCCAACTATGGCGGACAGTTTCCTGCCGACACGGGCTTCTACATCATCGCAGTGATGAACGGCGCGTCGTGTGCAGGCCGCATCATCCCAGGGTTTGTCTCGGACTACATTGGCCGTTTCAATACTCTCATGATCATGATCGTTGCGACTTTGGTTCTGATGTTGGCACTGTGGCTGCCATTCGGGCACAGTAGTCTCGCGGCACTGTATGCGTTTTGTGCACTGTTTGGATTCGGCACTGGCTCCTGGATGGCGCTCACGCCGGCTTGCATCGGCCAGCTCTGCGACGCGGAGCATTTTGGCCGGTACTACGGCACAATGTACTTTGTCGCGTCTTTGGCGACCTTGGTCTGCGTGCCTATCAGCGGCGAACTCGTCGAGTCGGTTGGACCCCAGATCATGGTCGGGTTCATGTGTGCGGTTCTTGCGTTGAGTCTGGGCACCTTCATCCTCAGCCGGTGGGCGTGCTTGGGTTGGAAATGGTCGTGGACGGCAAAAGTCTGAGGGACTTGGGAATAGAAGCCCTCGTGGCCGTGGGTCTTTAGCCGCATCAAGCGATGGACTTGGTGGGAAACTGCGTTAGTCCGCCGTTCCGGGGAAGGGAGATACGGTGTACCATCTAACTAGAATCCCGTTCGTTCGGTTCCTACAATACAAGCATGGCTGATCCTGGCATCGGATCGCGCTGGGTACTCCTTGAGATAGATACTCCTCCTAACCACCTCGGATTACACCCGCTATCATCTGATTGACCAAGCTTTCTGTACAAGGCCCGACCACCAAGGCATTCGTGAAAAATCAGATATGGGCTAATCATTGTGCATATCGTATATCGGACCACTGATATCGCTAGAACTGGAGGTCTCGGGAGGTCTCGATAGTAGGAGACTATGCATACTAGGTCTTCGGCCCGCACCCCCGGAGGAAGCCCTAGATTGCCGTATATTTTAACTCTTTACGGCGAACGCGACTCTTAGAGTTATTTCCGCACTTAGGTAGGTTGGTATGGTAGAAACCGCTAACGCTCGTCGACCTCGACTCGATTCGATTCGACTTGAGGCGGTTGATAAGGACCTGGAACTAAGATTCTACAGTACCCTATTGTGGCCAAGTCTAGTTTGATCATCCTAGATAACATGAATAGTGGACCTGAACGGAAGTACCGTTGGCGAGGCGGAAGATGCACTTTCAAATCAGCTTAAAAAAGATCTGTTCCTCCCCTGGGAGCGTGGCCGAGGTCCTTTTGCGTTCTTAATCGAAACTGAACCAATTGTCAGGGAAACACTAGACAAGCTTGCCGAACATGGCGACACCAAGCACCTACGAAAGAAAGGTCGCAGAGGATGTTATCGAGGCACCACGACCTGCTGATGACTATGAGCCGGAGCAGAAAATGGACATTCTCGAGGCACGCGAGATCTTCCACGACGAGAATGAGGGTGTCAAGTTTCGGACGGTGAGCTGGCAGCGCGCCGCCATCATCTTCTTGAAGATTCAGTTCGCAATGAGCATTCTTGCGGTCCCTGGGGCTCTCGCAACTCTGGGGGCCGTCGGCGGGGCGTTGTCCATTGTGGGTTGGGAGGTGCTCAATACCTGTGAGTGCTGGAGAGGGAGGCGGGGTCGGGTTGTAGCTGACGACTCGCGCAGATACTGCTGTCGTGCTGGGCGATTTTCGCAACAGACATCCCGAATGCCATAGTGAGTCAGACGCATCTTGGACCAAAAAAAAAAACGGAATTTGTTCGTCTACTAACACAGCTCGTAGCTCTTGCTGATATGTGTGGGCATATCTGGGGAAGAATGGGCAAAGAGCTTGTCTCGCTTCAGATCCTCGTCGCGCAGGTCTTGATCACGGCCGCTGGTATAGTATCCTGCTCAACTGCGTTCAACGCCCTCTCGGAACACGGCGCTTGCACTGTCGTGTTCAGCTTCGTGTCGGCGGTGCTGATAACCATGTTCTCCTCCGTGCGGACCTTTTCGCGCCTGGGCTGGCTTACGTGGATGGGATTCACGACCTTCTTCATCGCGGTCTTCATTTTCGTGGTTGCCGTGACGCAGCAAGACCGGCCTGCTGCTGCGCCACCGACGGGAGACTTTAATCTCGGGTGGGTGGCTATCGCACACCCGGGCTTCATCGCCGGTATGCTGCAAGCGCCAACATCTTCATCAGCGGAAGCGGCTCGTCGATGTACTTGCCTGTCATCTCGGAGATGAAGAAGCCCCGTGACTACCGCAAGGCTGCGATCGTCGCTGGTATCTTGGTGGGCGCCATGTACTTGACCTTTTCGCTCGTCATATATCGCTACTGCGGTATTTGGCTGGCGACGCCGGCTTTTGGAAGTGCCGGCACCCTCTTCAAGAAGATCTCGTATGGGATCGCTTTGCCGGGGCTTGTCATTGGTGTCGGTATCTACCAGCATGTTGCGGCCAAGCTGATCTTTGTGCGCATCCTGCGGAACTCATCCCATCTCCAGGCAAACACAGTCGTGCACTGGTCAACCTGGCTTGGAAGTAATCTTATCCTCGGGATTCTCGGCTTCATCATCGCCGAAGCTGTGCCTATCCTCAACTACTTGTTGGGTCTTGCAGGCTCGTTGTGCTTTGCACCATTCAGCTTGATATTCCCGGCCATGCTCTGGATGTACGACTTCAAGGGCTACAGGAGCGGAAGTACTGTGCAGAAGCTGTCCTACGGGGCACATATCATGATCGTCCTTGTGGGGCTGTTCATGGTCGTTGGCGGCACGTAAGTACCCCCTGTACTTGATTATTGCACGAACACGACCTTGAAACTGACTGTCGAATCCGCAGGTACGGTGTTGCTGTTTCCATCAGGGATGCCTTTGACAACGGGTTAATCTCAAAGGTGTTTGACTGTGCCGACAACTCGGGGACGATTTCTTGAGGGCGACATCGAGGCGCGGCCTGCAGAGAGATTCCCAACGATGTAGTAGTCGCTTTGCGAGAGATCAGGGGTTGTACCAGAATACTTACATGGAATCTCTTTCATCAGACTGTCGTAGAGCCTTTACTCAGCACATTCCTTGAAAGAGATGATACCTTAGTCGTGGAGGTATAAAATCATAGTTCAGTGACAATTCGACGCCGGTGCCCGTCCAGCTGCGCGTGCGTCAAGAAATCCTGGTAGCGAGTGAAGGTGGCAATGTTGAGTGCAGACAAAGAAGCCTCGTATTGTTGTCCACGGCTGAAGCTGGGGACAGTCACTCTTGGCAGGCACGCCGCTTGCAGTCACTAACGTAGTTGGGCTCACTAGGCTGCACTACGTGACTTGGTCGAGTAAGAACTTGAGGCTGTTTGCGGCTCATCTTGACCTCGACCATCCCTCGCAGACAAGCACCATAAGTGAGGATCTCCCTTCTGTCGCATCCTTCCCTCTCTATCACTCATCTCGAAGCGTCACCCCGTCTCGTCCTGACGATAGCCGCCCTCAAGTCTCATTCGAGGATTTCTTTCGGACACTGCCCAGCTCATCTGCAAGCTGCGACGCGACTTTACTCTCTCCAACCTTCCATACCCTTACACTCAAGATGCCTGACGAATACGATGTCAAGGATGAGCATAGTGAACCTCACGGCGATGGCGGTGAAGAGGAAGAAGAAGTAAGAACGGAATCCACCGCGGATATGCTGCAAACTTCCGCACCTGCGTCCTACGGGATCTGGGCTGACACCACACTTGCAGGAAGAGATCGCGGCCATGAAGCGGCGCGTGGCTGAGATGGAATCTGAAGCGGCAAAGTTACGAGAGATGCAGAGCCAACTCGAGACACAGTCCGAAAGCGGCCCTCGCGAAGACCGAGAAGATGTCGACGCGCGGAGCATCTTTGTAGGCAACGTCGACTACAGCGCTACACCTGAAGAGATCCAGGCACACTTTGCAAGTGGACCGGGCACAATAAACCGGGTGACGATACTGCTGGACAAGTTCACCGGTCATCCCAAGGGGTGGGTTTAAAATCCAAACACTGTTCTGCACGAGGCTTGTTAAAGAGCTGGATGCTATTTGAAAACCTTTAAAATCATTTATTGCTACCTGGCAAGAGCTGGATCGCTAATGGAACTCGCGCAGGTATGCATATGTGGAATTCTCAGATGCTGCATTAGTGTCGCAGGCATTGGTGTTGAACGAGAGCGTCTTTCGCGGACGCAACCTAAAGGTGAGTCGATTCAAGAATGCACCATCATGCCCTGACTCGATGCTAGGTCGTGCCAAAACGTACGAACTTGCCTGGTATGGGGCGCGGTCGAGGGAGAGGTGGCGGTGCGCGTGGAGGCGGTGGTCGTGGAGGCTTTGGGGGCCGTGGCGGCTTTGGCGGCGGCGCTGGCTACGGAGGTCCAAGAGGCGGTCCACGAGGTGGTTTCCGAGGTCGTGGTCGAGGCTATGCTCCTTATTGAGGGCAGACGAAACGACACCGACCGCTTGATACTGTCTTCCACGGGCACGTGACAGCAATGGGCTTGAGAGAATCGCCGTGCAGGGAGTACAATTGAGACCGAACTGCCTCGAGCTAGTTGTTGTTCTGATGACAGACTGGCTACGGCACCTTCGAGCGACATTGCTGGTTGTTCTGATACAGGAAAGGTTTCCCCTCGTGGTCTCAGGCTTCGAGAGAACTAGGAATGCGGACACTGAAAAGTGGCTTTCAAAGCAGGCAAAAATGGGGCATCACAGAGTAACATTGTGGTCGACGTGCGAATCTACCACAATGATAATATTATCAAGCACACAGCCTCTTTGGATCTGGTGTAATGTTAGTGCGAATTGTTCGGGGCCCAGGTAGTAGTAATGGCTTTGGTAGCCCAAGAGACACCTCGGCCGCAGGCACGAAGGACTTTGTAGTGTAGCCGTATGATATTTTCAGGGCACTCTGTAGGCACCTAGTCGTATAGCTCGTCCAAGCGTTGGCGGATGATGTAAGAGAAATCAGCGCACGCAATTGCCGATGACTTAAGTTGTAGCTAGTTGGCGAGAGCGAAAGGATGAAGCAGCCGTAGCAAGACCAGTATCCAGTAGCCGTAGACCCTGCCGCGTATCACTGTGATGGTCTGGTCTGGTCTGGGGACATTGGCCCAGAACTATTCGTACCACTGCGACTCTAAAATACGGGAGTTGACAAGCAAAATCTCTTCCCTGCGTACCCTGTTCTCGTTGACAATATCTAACGACGGCACTCACCCATTATCTTTACCAGTATTATGCAATCATGACATGAGCCTGAAGATTCGCCCCGTCTGCGACTCCAATACCATCACGACGGCGATTTTCCTTGACTCCGTACCGTCCCTTCCGCAAACTTCTTAGCGTCTCAGACGGTCGAGCTGCGCCTCGCCCTGCGGCAACCTACATCAACTGGCTCCTTGCGAATACGACCGGACAGTTTGTCAGAGAACTCTTCGTGTAGTCGGATTCTTTCGACACTGACCACAGCAACACCATCCTTTGTTGGGGGGTCGATATCCTCATCCAACGGGTTCCCTATCGTCGCTCGGTGCAATTCCCTTTACCCCGCCGCTGAGCTGCCGAAGTCGACGTCTTCGGACCACCTGCTGGTGGTCTACACACCACAATGCCTGAAGCGAATCTGCCTGCGTAAGTGTTTCCATCGAGTATCAGATGTGGTGTACATGCTGACGGTCTCGCGAACAGCGAGCCCAATCTTCGAGTCACGAGTATGTCACGTCCCTCCACCCACGATTGTGCTCGACTAACATCATGCTATAGTCATTGCGGCTGACGGACTGTACAAAAGAGATGTGTTCAGTGAGTTTGGCAGATAAGAAACCATGATACATGGATGCTGATCGAGCGTTTAGGATTTCCTGACCCATTCGCGGTCGCGACTATCTCTGGGGAACAAACCAGGACCACTTCCGTCATTAGGAAGACCTTGAATCCCTACTGGAATGAGTCTTTTGATATGTTCGTTATGATTTCCCTGCTCGTTGTGGCAATCTGATAGCTAACTATCGTGCAGGAAAGTTACAGAAGACAGCATTCTTGCCATACAAATATTCGACCAGAAGAAATTCAAGAAGAAGGACCAAGGATTTCTCGGAGTCATCAACATTCGCATCGGCGATGTCATTGAACTAGACGTGGGCGGAGACGGTTCGTTTATAATGTGCTTTTGTTGCTGTATCGCCTACTAACTCCAGCAGAAATGCTGACTCGGGATCTTAAGAAGTCTACCGACAATCTCGTCGTCCATGGCAAGTTGATCATTAATCTGTCCACGAACCTGAGCGCGCCGCCTCCCAATCCCCAGGCCAATCGGCCACCCGCGAGTAGTACCCCGAGCATCAACGGGTCGGCCTCGCTTGGTAGCAGCACCAACGTAAACCAGTCCTTACCCATTCGCTCAAGAAGCCCTGCACCATCGCGCACTGCCACATCAGGATCAGGAGAAGCAAGAGCTTCAACTACCGCCGTGAATGGAGCTGGACCACAAGTCTCGACCAATGGATCTGGAAGGACAGGAGGCTTCAGCTCTTTTGAAGACAGCCAGGGGCGCCTGCCAGCCGGCTGGGAGCGCAGAGAGGACAATCTGGGTCGAACATACTACGTGGACCATAACACCAGAACCACTACTTGGACCAGACCATCAAACCACATGAGTGAGACTGAAGTACGCAATCGTCTTGATGCAAATATGCAGGTTGAACGACAGCGACATCAGAATCGCATGCTTCCGGAAGACCGTACTGGGGCCAATTCGCCGAGTCTGCAAGAGTCTCGTACTGGCTCTCCTTCCCAGAATTCTGTGGCGATGATGGCTACAGGTGCGACAACGGCCGGCACCGGGGAGCTTCCCGCTGGGTGGGAAATGCGACACACTCCAGAAGGTAGAGCTTATTTTGTCGACCACAATACAAGAACCACAACTTGGGTTGATCCTAGGCGACAACAGTATATTCGCATGTATGGGAACAATCCTGCTGGCAATAACACCACCATCCAACAGCAACCGGTCTCGCAACTTGGTCCCTTACCTAGTGGCTGGGAAATGCGATTGACCAACACCGCCCGGGTATATTTCGTGGATCATAACACGAAAACCACAACCTGGGATGACCCGCGCTTGCCGTCCTCTCTGGATCAAGGCGTGCCGCAGTACAAGCGAGACTTCAGAAGAAAACTGATCTATTTCCGCTCTCAACCTGCGTTGCGGATCTTGTCTGGGCAATGCCACATCAAAGTGCGCCGGGGCAACATATTTGAGGACTCGTACGCTGAAATTATGAGGCAAAGCGCTACAGACTTGAAGAAGCGCTTGATGATCAAGTTCGACGGCGAAGACGGTCTGGACTATGGCGGTCTTTCTCGGTAAGGATCCCCTGACTACATTTAAGGTATTCACTGACAAACAACTAGCGAATTCTTCTTTTTGCTGTCACACGAGATGTTCAATCCGTTCTACTGTCTATTCGAATATTCAGCTCACGACAACTATACCCTACAAATCAACCCACACTCTGGCATCAACCCCGAACACCTGAATTACTTCAAGTTCATTGGCCGTGTAGTTGGCCTTGCGATCTTCCACCGCCGATTCTTGGACTCCTTCTTCATTGGCGCTTTCTACAAGATGATGTTGAGAAAGAAGGTCCAGATTCAGGACATGGAAGGCGTGGACGAAGAGTACCACAAGAACTTGACGTGGACTCTGGAGAATGATATCACTGACATCCTTGATCAAACCTTCTCGATTGAAGACGAACAATTTGGAGAGACCAAAACTATTGACCTGAAACCCGGCGGTCGAGATATCCCTGTTACAAATGAGAACAAGAGAGAATATGTGGAGTAAGTCCGAGTTTCTCATGGTCAACGGTTATAGCCAATACTGACTCTGCATAGGCTCGTTACTGAGTGGAAGATTGTGAAGCGTGTCGAGGAACAATTCAACGCCTTCATCACTGGCTTCAATGAATTGATCCCTGCTGATCTTGTCAACGTGTTTGACGAGCGCGAACTCGAACTTCTGATTGGCGGTATTGCTGATATCGACGTTGACGACTGGAAGAAGCACACCGACTACCGTGGCTACCAAGAGCAAGATGAAGTGATTCAAAACTTCTGGAAGGTGGTCCGAACATGGGATGCAGAGCAGAAGAGTCGTCTCTTGCAGTTCGCAACTGGCACGAGCAGAATACCCGTCAATGGGTTCAAAGATCTCCAGGGTAGTGACGGGCCTAGACGATTTACCATCGAAAAGGCAGGTGAGATCAATGCTCTGCCGAAGAGCCATACTTGGTATGTTTTTCAAATCTTCGCTTATCACTGTTATTAACATCACAACCTAGCTTCAACCGTCTGGACTTACCTCCCTACAAGACCTACGACGTTCTCAATTCGAAACTCTCCACAGCCGTGGAAGAGACTCTTGGTTTCGGCCAGGAGTAGGACCAGCCAAGTGAGGTCTTCCATAGGTGTACTTCGTTGCGAGAAGTGGTGATGTTGCGTCAGCACGCAACCTTGGGCGGTATTAGCGGGGCCTGGCGATATCCACGAAAATACCGGATTCTTCCTGTCTCGCCGTCATGCGGAAATTAGCAAGCAAAGAATCAGTAATCATCGTGCATACGTGTCACGAAGATGATCTCGAGCCAAGTCAGCTCAAGCGTGCTTCTGAAAGTCCGAGTCTCTCTTTGGTGGTGAGATAGAAGTTTTGCTCCAAAGGCTCGTACCTGAGTCATGGCGCGAAAGGGGGTCTTGCACATAATAATGACGGGATGGAGTTTGTTGGACGATGTGGGCGACGTCGACGCGTGCGGAGGTCAACTAGATTTGATACAATACTGAGCAAACCCCGGCACTTTGTGGATTTTGTACGGAGGTGTGAACTACAACATTAGCACTGCACAAACTTGGGAAGTCATACTTATAGGAGGGCGTGGGGTCTGCAGACATTCTTTTTCACATTGCATCAGAGTAAATTCTTTTCTCTCGTTCTTGTTGTCAGACCTATCCTATTGCCATCCTAGCATCGAATCGAACTATCTAATTTGCTTTCGATGCCGTAGTACAAATTTGGTGGGTACCAGGCACTTTTCAAGCGCTGTCATGGTATGAGAGTGGCTTCGCTTGTACAGAGCGCCCTCGCTGAGCACAGCGCAGTACGTTTATAGCGCAAACGTGTCAAACCAGCCTCATGGATTGTACGGTACTAGGGCCATATCCACCCATTTGGAGAGTACGGCGGAGGGTTCTCTTCAGTCTGCTCGCCGACGCCGACGCCGACACGGGTGACGGCATGGGCAGACTCTGCGAGACCAGGGGCCAAGTCGTCGTCTGGTACGCAGGCCCATGAGGTATCCGGTGAGCATGACTCCTCCTCGTCGTCGTCGTCGTCGCCGTCGTCGCCGCGAGACTGTCCATGTTGCCTTGCTCTTGCTGTCGTTGTTGCGGTGGTTGTTGCTGTTGTTACCACGTCGGGAGCGTTGGAGCTTTCTCCCGCCCGCAAAAGGGAGTGTCGGTCCTGTTGTATCTTTCTTTTCAACGCGGACCACTTCGAATCTCGTCTGCGGGAAACACGAGGAGGGGGAAGAGGAGGTTCTGACGAATAACGGGCGGGATCTTCGATGACAGACGCAGTGGTGGATCTGGTGTTTGTGCGAAATAGACGATGCTCGTTCGAGGTCGCCCTGTAGATGTATGCGGACGTGGCGGAGTCGAGGCTAAGGTCGCTGTCGAGAGTTGGAATCCTTTCGAGACCCGTGTCTTCGGGAGCAGCCAGAGAAGATGAGGGGCTGCCGCCGCTGTCAGCAACAATAGAATCATGGTCATCTTCGCGGTCGAGAGACGAGCCTCTTCGATACCTTCCGAAGTGGCCCTGGGAGTACCATAGATGCAGCACCTTTCTGTATTCTTTGAGGCTTGCGTCGAAATCGTGGTCTTGGTACATCACGTTACATGTCTCGGCGTAGCTCAGCTTCCGAACCAGGAGGAGCTCAAGAATGTGCGCTTTCAGCGTACACCACTCCTTGACCCTGTCTTTGGACATGGACGGGGCCATGGCTGTGAAGGAGAAGGTGTCCTCTGACTTTTCAGCATTGGTGCGTGCAAAGCGCAAGCCGCAGATGTCTGTCTGGTTGAGGGTGGCGAGCTGTGGCGGTCGGATCACTTGTTGGCATCGAGGTCGCATCTTAAGAAGAAACTCTGTGTTGTATCTCCAGTAGCCTCTTTTGGAGTCGTAGACACTGTCGCCACTTGGAGCGGCCGTCTCGTTGAGATACGCTCGGTAATTGACGGTGTCGAGATGCCTGATGAACTGGGGAACGTCGGCGTCTGGATCATCCCTGACGGCTTCATCGCCGCGCATTTCTCGACGAGACATCCGGAGAAGTTTCTGACGCCTGCGGTTGTACTCTTCGAGGTCGGCCTGGCGGGCTGCGGCATTCCTAGCCCGTGCTTCTACCATTTTCTGGTTCCAGTGGTGCCGAGTAGTCCCTCCGATCTGTCTGGGCAGTGCTTTATCGCACCATAGACAGATCCTTCTTCGCTCCTTGTCGGCATCGAGCTTGCTGCCACATTGCAGACCGTGGCAATCCGTGTCCCCGGAGGAGATTGCTTCCCAGTTTTGCAGGTCTTTACAGTCGAGACATAACCAGCCGTCGTCCTTTAGCGTGCAGGTACAGTAATTCTTGGTGCTGCCGTTGGGGTCGTGCCACTGAGTCTGCTTGGTCCCAGGTACGGAAGAATCCAATTCAAAGCGGTGGCTTCTACTGATGTTCCCGGATTCCCAACACCCCTTGCATAGGTAGCGAATCCGGTTCTGAAAGGTATTCTCGTGGCCTCTGGCGAAGGAAGATCGAACGATGCAAGCTGCACAGATAGGTCTCGAGCAGTATCGACATGGCCTCGGGTTTGAGCCTTTTGTATGACTTGGAGACGAGCATTCAAATGGAGCACGATTCTTGAGGCTCTGCCAGTATGTCGTCGCGTGCTGGCCGACTCTGAGCTCTCTCCTGACGGCGACGGATTTTCCCAGGTTATGGGTGCATTCCGGTCTCTCGAAGCCATGAAGAACTGCACGGAGTGTGGCACTGAGCCTTGAAAGCGTGATCAGATCTCCAACAGGGAGTGTCTCGCTCAGGCTGCTAGCAACAGGCCATAATGCCAGAAGGGACTCTAGGCCTGGTGAGGACTGTTCCTCCATTGATTCGCAACTCGCATCTGGCGAACGTCGACCGTGACAGGCGGGATGGGACAAAGATATGGAACGGGCATTGTGTTACTCTGATTTTCTGTTAGTCATGATCGGCACCTGCGATCCAAGTCACTGTTCCCCATGGGGTAAAAGAATCAGCCAGGAGGTGGTGGTGGCGCAGTATGGACTATGGTAGTGTGTATGTGCCCGTGTTGGCCCGAAAACATGACATATCCATTGCGACGTTGGGTGTTCACTGTACCTCGTAGGGCGGAGTCGCGGCCCGTCTCGAGGCTGGAAAAGCAGCGTGAAATCGCTCTCCATTTGGAAGTCTTTCTGCGTCGCTCTCAGCGTGCGGAGAACGTTGTTTTTTATGGCAGCTTCAATCAACAGTGACTAGTGACTTTTCTCCCAAACCACACCAGGGTCGAGTTGGGTTCATTGTACAGATGAGTTCTTGAATTGCGATACTCTGAGTACAGCAGTCGCCGTTGATGCGTCGAGCTCGTGCTCTTGCCCAGCAAGCAGATCCTTCTACCTGCGTTTGTCTCACCACAACAACCAACTTCCGCCATGTCTCTTCAATCCTACATTGACAGTGGGTGGACACTTTGAACCCATGCTTCATTTCCTGACGATATGACTGACGATCAAAAATAGAGAAAGTTCTTGTCATTACCGTCGATGGGCGCACACTTGTTGGTACTTTACTATCCTGCGACCAAGTCACCAATATTGTTCTCAACGATACTGTGGAGCGCATCATTCGCCCAGCAGACGACCCCGAACCAAGTTCCCAGGTCAGCCATGGCCTCTATCTTGTAAGAGGTGACAACATCACCATCGTGGGTCTAGTCGATGAAGAGTTGGACGACAGTATAGACTGGGAGAAAGTCAGAGGCGAAGTTATCGGCACCACGAAACATGTGTGAACTGGTTACAAAAAGAGCTACTTTTGGATTGGAAGGCGTGACTATACTGGCTACCTATGATCACCATCGAGCATCCTCTTGCAAGGGACCAAGAATCGATGCTGCAAGCAATACTCGGAAGAGATTTCGTCGCAAGGTGACGGGCTGTGGGACCAACTTCCACACCCGAAAACTCGCGGAATTGTCTACTTCCAATGATGCATCCGCTCGGATGAGCCAATGCATGCTGGCGATGTTCCGGCTGAAGCTTGCCATCTTTGGAAACCTGCCCTCATGGCTGCAAAGAGACCGACAAGGGTGTAAAATATCCCGACAAGCAGCTCTTCAAGACGCCTGGACAGAATAATGGCCTTGCTGGACAACACTACGGACAAGAATCATGTCCAAATTTCGATGTGAAGGTGCAAAATTGACGCTGAGTCACCTCTGTCAAGCGGGATGTATCTATTCCTGCGGCGATCGGCCATCATCCTCGGCATATCAGACATTCTATTCTCCTCATTCTCGGCTTCTTTTCCGATCACATCAATCTGTTAACCTGTTGCATATCATTGAAACGTTTTGGTCCTTGTCAGAGCTTTCGGACAGTGCTCATGACCCCCTCGGATTCGAGATCAGTAAGTAAAGCGGAACGCGGGATGGTCGTCACCAAGATTTCTCTTTTCGTCCTCATGTAGTTGATACCTGTAATCTCTTCGACCTTGCTCGCGCAATGCGTTCTCTCTCCTAATGTAGAAGAGGAGTATGACGGCGCTTATAACGCACAGCCAAACCAAGGCGAGGCCAAGTCCAAACCCAAGGTGATATTCGGGCGCTTCGCTCGTTATGAACATATTTCTGCAGAAGGTTAGTCAATGCTGCTTGTCATTGTTTGACAAGAACTTACGAGGCTATTATACCTCCGCAGTTACCGAAGCCTACCATCATGGCGCTGCTGATCCCCCTTTTATAGTGGCCCGACATGTTGTTGTTCACCCATACAAGTGTGATTGGTTGAGCAATGTACCCACCTGCGATGACCAGATAAAGAGCAAAATATCGAACCCCAACTGCCACCTTATGCATGTTCAAGAAGATGACATACCCAATGGTGGCCACAACACAGCCAAAGATGACGAAGCCGAATCGGTGGTGGAGTCTGTCACTCAGTACAGCGGCCGTAAGGGCACATATGGTGGCGACAACAAAGATGGGAATGGACATGACTTGAGCATGAATCGAAGTCCAACCCAGTTGTTTGAGGATCGTAGGTGTGAATAAAGCTCCCGAATAGCTGGTTGTCACAATACCTAAATACATGGCGATACTATGCTCATGGGATTAGCTCTCTTTGGCACTTAATCGATGGAAAGCAGTGGTGACTGACCCAAGGTACATTTTCACGTCCCCGAATATCCGCTTCGCGGCTGTCTTGTTCCAGTGGTTCATTGTGGCGTTCTCGACATCGAGAGCAAGACGGCGGATGAGAAGCTCTCGCTCATCGCTCTTCAGGAACTTTGCCGTTTCTGGCCAATCTGGAATGATCCAGTAGGAGATGGCTGCAACCACAACAGTAAAGATACCCTCGAGGATGAAAATCCACCGCCAGCCTCCGTACCCGGCGATCCCATCCATGAAAGCGATTGCGTATGCCAACAAGCCCGAGAAAGCGCCTGCAATGATGGATGCCGAAAAGAATAGGTTGAAACGCAACTGAAGTTCAAAGCGTTTGTAATACCTTCGTGCAGGCGTTAGCCAAGGGCCCCAACGTCCTCACAGCTGTTCTCTTACATGGAAATCAGGTACAGACATCCCGGAAAGAAGCCAGCCTCTAGCGCTCCTATTATTACTCGACAGACCACAAGGCCAGCGAATGATCGTGTGAGTCCCTGGCATACCGTCACAACACCCCAGAGTGCCATAATGACGCTGATGAAGATGGAGGGGCGCATGTTCTTGAGGAGCGCGTTCGCGGGCGCCTCCAGGAGAATATACAACACAAAGAATGAAAAGAGGGCGATGTTGTAGTCGGAGCCGTGCATGTTGAGATCTTTTTCCAGTCCTTGAATCCGCGCATTACCGATGTTGATGCTGAGGGTTTGGTTAACATCGGCACTCTCCTGGACCACGGGTAAGAAGGATTTACCGATCAATGAAAGCGCATAGAAAGAGCAGGAACGTGATGGGAATCAAGTTCAGATCGACCTTCCGCAAGAGCTTCTTCTCGAGCACTGGATCAATGTCCAGGCCGGCTTCTTTGAGACTGATTGCATTGCTCTCGACTTTATCCATGGGGACATCTTCAATCTCGGACTGATTACGGCCTTTGTCCGTCATCTTCGCAGGCAGGCTTGGTCCAGGGGGAGAACGGGAACTGAACGAGAAATGACCGCAGGATAGTCTCGTGGCCAAGCTAGAAGATGTCCAGCAGAGATTACAACACAAGAAACCTGAAAGGATGAGCAAGGGATAGGTGTCGGTCGCATAGGCGGTACACTAGTTATATACCCTGAGCATTACCTACATCCGGTTGCCGATCTTAAACGTGAACCAGTCGCTGAAGAGGACAGCAGCCGAAGACAATTCCCGTGAACAAGACGTCGCTATCATTCCGTTCTGGGCTGCCAATGAAGTAAACTCTTGGTTCCGGGGTATACACTAGGGCCTTTGGTCGAGCATCAACGACACCGGGCACCCTCCATGTTTCGGGAGCTTGGTTCGACCGGATTGCTTGGCCACCTGCACTCAGTGCAAAGAAGCGGAAGGAGATCCTGCCAGGACCCTGAGATGATGGGCGTGGCCGGCAGGTTACCGACCCAGGTATGAGACAAGCACCTTTGTCCCACGTTGAAGCCGGCCCAAGGACAAACGACAAGTTACAACTTGCCAGCAAAGCTGACCCATCTGAAGGACCAGGGGGGTCGATCCGGGCGCTTGGCTCTCGCGGGGCTCCCGCAGAACACTCCGCACGAGGGCTTCAGACGGAGGCAGTGGCTGATTTGGAATTGACAGCTTGAATAGCCTGAAGACCATTGGATAGACGACATCTGGAGAAAGGAGGTCGTTAGGGGTTGTGTGTGTGTGTGTGGTCGATAATCTATGTGACCCCCGTAAACTCGTATTTGCGGGGGAGCTGGAAGAGCGGAATTAAGGACGACGAACGGAACCAGACACCGCTGTTTTCAGGTAATTGGTACTACGCCCCCCTGCCCACCTCTGCATTACGCACAACACCTAATCTAGGTACCTACCTGGCGATTGTGCAAGGCTGCCTGCTATCTCGACGTTGTTCATTGGACCCTAATCATTAATCTGTCTCTTGACTTCTAGTTAAAGGTAGTGCCTGTGAGGGGGTCACTTCTCGTTAAGGGGAGCGTCTGTGAAAGGTTACTCTCATGTAAAGGTGATGCCTATGAAGGGCCAATTCTTAGTTGTTAATGATGACGCCTGGAGGGGACTGATTTAAGTGCCTGAAGATGATAATATCTTTGAGGGGGTGATTCTAGTCAAAGGAACCACCTGTGAAGGGGATGATTCTGGTTAAAATTCCTCCTGTGAGGGGTTGGTTTTAGTTAAAGACGACGCCTATAGCTTCGATATAGGTAAAGGTAAGCTTAACCTGTGAGGGGTGACGGTACGAATTCTCAACACCTACAGTACCTTGTATAAAAGAAACCTAGGTATAGCGCCTTGGCGTTGTGCGTGATACACAGAAGGGGTGTGCTTGAGATCAACGACCGAATGAGGACTATATTGTACTGTTGATCTATTCTGAAAGAGCTTTCTCTATGGCATCCTTGACGCCGTCTATGCATTCGAGCTCCAATGGATCGTTACAAGGTCATGTTCCATGCTTCTCGCTTTCTTTAGGCAGCGCATTTCGCGAGTACACCCTCCCAGGGCTTCAACGGAATCTTACCTGTCAGCGGCTTCTCGGGCTTCCCCTTGATGTAGGTGCTGCAAGCGTAGAAGTCGACCTTCAGGGTCTCAGGCAAGGACCACTCAACGTCCTTGCCCGAGAAGTTCAACACGACCAACCACTTCTCGCCCGCCTGGCTGGTGCGGATGTAAGCGAGGATGACGGGGTCCTCGGGTGACAGTTCCTGGTAGTCACCGTACACAAAGACATCGGCGTGTTCTTTGCGGTCGTGGATGCCGCGCTGCCAGAACTGCCACGTCGACAACTCGTTGCCGTCGTCCGCCTTGATCTGGTCCTCGGCGTTGATGCCGGACTTGTAGTCGTCCATGACGCGCATCCACGGCTTGACGTCGGGCGGACAGAATCCGGCATTGGGCTCGCGGGACCACTGCATCGGCGTGCGCGCATGGTCTCGTGCCTTCATGTGGATGACCTTTTTGCCGTACTCGAGCCCCTTGGGGTCATCCTTGTAGATCTTCTGGCACTTTTTCCAGAAGTTGATGGTCTCGATGTCCTTGTACTCTTCCTCAATGTCCCATTCGGTCGGGGCGTTGCGGATCCCGATCTCCTCGCCTTGGTAGACGAACAGCGTGCCGCCGAGCGTGGTCTCCATCAACGCGAGGAGCTTGGCGCTCTTATCGCGGAAGGCGTCGCTGTCGTCCGCGTACCGGCTTATGCTGCGCGGGTTGTCGTGGTTTTCGATGAACACCGAGTTCCAGCCATCGTGCTCGATCATCACGCGCTGCCAGCGCGTGATTATGGACTTCATCTCCTTGACGTCCCAGGGCTTCAGCGCCATGCGGACGTTGGGCTTGTCGATGTCGACGAGGTCGAAGATGAAGATCATGTTCAATTCGCCGGCGTTGGCACCGACGGTGCGGAGGATCTCGTTTTCGTCAGACACGCCGGGCATTTCACCCACGGTGATGCAGTCGTACTTGGACAGGACCTCACGGTTCATTTCGCGGAGGTAGTCGTGCAGCTTGGGTCCGTTCACGAAAAATTGCATCCCGGGTTGATACGGGTGGGTGGCTGGGTCGAGGACGATGGGTGCATCTGGGTACGTTGGTTCCTTGGAGATCAGGTTGATCACGTCCATTCGAAACCCGGCCACGCCTCGGTCCAGCCAGAATCGCATCACATCCCACACGGCTTCGCGCACCTCGGGGTTCTCCCAGTTGAGGTCGGGCTGGTCTGGCGTGAAGACGGAGAGGTAGTATTCTCCCGTCTCGGTATCATAGGTCCATGCCGAGTTGGCCTCTCCTAGGATTTGTGCCCAGTTGTTTGGTGGTTCGGGTACGCCTGCTTCGCTCACGGACTTCGGTGGCTTCCAGATATACCAGTGTCGCTTGGGGTTGGTCTTGGAGGACCTGCTTTCCAAGAACCAGTCATGGCGGTTTGACGTATGGTTTACTACGAGATCCATCATGAGTTTCATGTCGCGCTTCTTGAGCTCCGAAATGAGATTGTCTACATCTTCGATGGAGCCGTAGATGGGATCGATGACTTTGTAGTCTGCAATGTCGTAGCCCATATCCGCCTGCGGTGATTTGTAGATGGGCGATGTCCAGACCACATCGATGCCCAATTGTTTGAGGTAGTCGACTCTGGAAGTGATGCCTTTGACATCACCCCAGCCATCACCGTTGGTGTCTTGGAATGATGACGGGTAGATCTGGTAAACCACGGATTCCTTCCACCATTTTCGGGTGGCGTAGCTGGACTGCTTTGCCATGTTGTTTCGGTCTTTGACACAAGGATGAAGATGTTAAAAAGGAGAATGAGAGACAAAGAATCCGCAGAACGTCAGAGACACAACTGAGTCTTCAAATACGTGGGATTTTCAATGGAGAGTATCCGGGTCACCATATGTCATGTTGACACTACAGTTGTTCCGAGAGATTCGCCGCCCTGACGATCCCATGGCTGGATGAGGAAATCCTGCCGTAGATTCCTATTCCTGAGTAGTCTCTATCATCTTTGTGGCCCTTTCCCTTCGTCTCTTCTTGTTGGCGACGGCGATATGTTAAAGCACTCGAAGAGAGAGCAATCCCGGATGCGCGAGATGGAAACGGTCTACGGGCACGACAACCATAAATAAGCCTCCGCCTCAGTGTGGTGTTGTCAAAGCACGGGGTCTTTCGGGGGGCTCATCTAGGGTTTTGGTCTCCGTCGAGATCGATGGCTTAATCGACCCCGTCTTGGTCAGCGTGGCGCCCGGAACGGCGCAGGCGTACAGACATGTTGAAGCACCATTGAAACGATCTGGAAATAGGATTCTCACAATACATTATGAGTACATAAAATCGATTCACAATTACGGATGTGGAGTCGCTTTATCGTTGTTCCGTTCCGCAATCAGTGCGCGATACCCGGCAAACACACTCAAGTTGATGCCGCGAACGCAGCCCGTTCCGTTCACCAACCACGGAATTGCTCCGATGTTTCGTTCCCATGTCGACGACTATGGGCAAACCCAGTCCGATCTTGGGGCTCATCCCAAGAGTGTATATTCTCAGACGACACTTCAATCCATCTACGCCCAGCAATATTGGTGAAAGAGACACCCGAAAGCGGTTCCAATGGCATCATCCACCAAATCCTGGGTTCTCATCCCCAAAGGCAGTCATTTCTCTCTAGCCAACTTGCCGTTTGGTATCATCTCGACATCCTCGAAATCAACTCCAAGACCGGCAGTTGCAATTGGCGATCATTGCCTGGACCTCCAGGAGTTCTCGGCATCAGGGGCTTTCTCGTCGCTCGGAATCGATGTATCGGTATTCTCCAAACCAACTTTGAATGACTTTGCAGCATTAGGCCGGCCGGTTCATCGCTCGGTGAGAAAATACCTTCAGGATGTCTTCGCCGAAAGCACGTCGAATCCGCAAGCGCTGCGAGACAATAAGACTTTACAGGAGAAATGCCTGATTCCACGCAGCGAGGTCACGATGCACGTACCCATGCATATCGGAGACTATACCGACTTTTACGCTGGAAAGAACCATGCCTTTAACGTTGGTTGTCTCTTCCGAGGACCAGACAACGCCCTGCAGCCAAACTACACACATTTGCCGGTGGGTTATCACGGTCGAGCATCGTCGATAGTTGTCTCAGGAACGCCGATCACAAGACCCAATGGACAGATCTTGGAGAACCCAGCAGCCACTCCCAAAGTTCCGACCTTCAGCCCTTGTAAGCGGCTTGATATTGAGCTAGAGTTAGGAGCTTTCCTCTGCAAAGGAAACAAGATGGGCACGAACGTCCCAATCTCAGAAGCGGCAGACTACATCTTTGGCTTTGTCCTCCTCAACGACTGGTCCGCGCGAGACATCCAGGCTTGGGAATATGTTCCCTTGGGACCTTTTCTCTCCAAGAGCTTTGGCTCCACTATAAGCCCCTGGATTGTTCTGACGGATGCCCTGGAGCCGTTCAGATGTACTGGCATTCCAAACGACACGCAGTTGCTACCATATCTGCAAGAGAAGGAGGAGAAGAACGTCTACGACATCAAGTTACAAGTTGATATCACGCGTAAGTGCACTAGGCCTCATTCAGGCAGTTCTGTCGGAAGGCGAAGAAATGGGAATAATCTGTGCTGACTACTACATTCTGATAGCCGAGGGGGGCGAGACGACGACCATCTTGAAGTCGAATGGACGACATTTGCTCTTCTCGTTTGCACAGATGCTCGCTCACCATTCCATTGGAGGCTGTCCGATGGCCGTGGGAGATATGTTTGGCTCTGGCACCATCAGTGGGAGTGAGCCTGGCACTGAAGGCAGTATGTTGGAGATTAGTAAAGGTGGAAAGGAAACCATCGCGCTTAACGGTGGAGGGGAGCGGAAGTTCTTGCAAGACGGCGATACCGTCACCATATATGGCGTGTGTGGCACCGAGGAGTCTGGCCTGGTCGGCTTCGGTGAATGCACCGGTCAGATTCTGCCTGCTCCTAAGATCTGAGTACCCAGTAGGTGACCTCGCAAGGGTGACGTCTACTAGTTAGATAGATCAAAGAGAGCAATCTAGTCAGTGACCCTCAGGATCCTTGGTAGGGAATTTGCGTCTAGACGTCTTCGTTGGGTCTTCACCAGCGCTGGTAGGGCCGATGCAATAATCCGACCTCGAAATGACTCCCGGGCAAATGTGGGTGTCAATTCCGCGCCCCGAGTCGTTCGCCGCAGACTTGCGGGGGCGCCAATCAGGCTGTGCTGATTTTTGATTTCAAGGGCGCCTTTGGGGGTTTCCGGAGTTGCCACTTGTGCCTTTTAGGTGACTAACTTCCATTGTTCAGTTATAGGATCTTCAAAGTTCAGGGAACCCTGGTTGTTGCCCGCTGGTGCCAGAATTCCCCGCGTTTGCGCCTACCATCCCTTTGTTTAACTGGCGACCTCAACCTCACGGCGTATTTCCGCACTCTTCGAAGACCATCCCTTTGATCTCCTCCGCCCTTGACCCCTCCTGTGGCACCCATGACGGAGTCAACTGGTGTGGGACAAGTGAGCATCGTCCACAATAAGCGCTTACAGCAGTGACGCGAGGGGGATTTGGCCAGAAGGCCATGTATCCGCGGTTAGACGTGGATATACAATACGACCATGGTGTGTTACACTTCTATACAGTACAGATATAATAACTAACTCCCGACAGGACACACTGACCTGTGTAGTACCATCCACTCTGTTCTTCCTCGAACACATATCATAGGAAAATCACGTCCCAACCAATATCGTCAACGTCAAGGCCACTGACTCTGACCCGGCGATATGCTCGAGGCACTCTCTCCCACGACGCTCTCGTTCGTCTTCCTCGCCCTCGGATACTTCTTGATACGGTACCTGAACTCCACGGACCAGCCAAAGATCAAGGGTCTTCCTGAGATCCCCGGCGTCCCGCTCTTTGGCAATCTGCTCCAACTCGGTCAGGACCATGCTCGAGTGACGGCCGCCTGGGCAAAGAAATACGGCTGGCCAGTGTTCCAGACTCGACTGGGCAACCGCCGCATCGTCTGGGCCAACAGCTTCGACTCTGTCAAACACTTCTGGATCAACAACCAGTCGTCCTTGATATCACGCCCGACACTGTACACCTTCCACAGCGTCGTTTCCAGCAGCCAGGGCTTCACCATCGGCACATCGCCATGGGACGAGTCGTGCAAGAGACGCCGCAAGGTGGCGGCCACGGCACTGAACAAGCCGGCCGTGCAGAGCTACATGCCTTTTATTGACCTTGAGAGCTGTGTGGCCATCAAGGACATGTACAAGGACTGCATGGACGGGGCTGTCGACTTGGATCCGAGAAAGTACTTTCACCGCTTCGCCCTGAACACCAGCTTGACCTTGAACTATGGAATTCGTATTGACGGAGGCATCGACCAGGAACTCTTGAGAGAAGGTAAGCACAAATGTTTTCAAACTTGTCAACAGAAGATCCTTTTTTCTCCTTGGACCTGCTCAAAAAAAGGGTCTAATCATTTCACCATCACACAGTCGTCCACGTCGAACGTGTCGTGTCCAACTTCCGAAGCACATCCAACAACTGGCAGGACTACATCCCTCTTCTTCGCCTGCCGTTCATTTCCCGTCAGAACAAGGCGGCCGCAGAGTACCGGGCGCGGCGCGACAAGTACCTCACGACCTTCTTGGACATGCTGAAGGAGCGCATCGCCAAGGGAACAGACAGGCCATGTATCACGGGCAACATCATCAAGGACCCCGAGGAGACGCTGAACGACGCCGAACTCAAGTCCATCTGCCTGACCATGGTCTCGGCAGGGATCGACACGGTTCCCGGGAACATGATTATGGGGCTGGGCTACCTCGCGTCGCCTGAGGGCCAGCAGATCCAGCAAAAGGCCTACGAGGAGATCATGAAGGTCTACCCGACCGACGGCGAGGCGTGGGAAAAGTGCCTCGTCGAGGAAAAGGTGCCTTACATCACAGCGCTGACCAAGGAGATTCTGCGCTTCTGGACGGTGATCCCCGTCTGCCTGCCGCGCACCAGCATCAAAGACATCAAGTACAACGACGCCGTCATCCCGGCCGGCACGGTGTTTTACATGAACGCCTGGGCTGCGGACTATGACGAGACGCACTTCAAGGATCCCGCCAAATTCATACCGGAGCGCTACCTGAACGACCAGGAGGGTAGCGGCACGCCGCACTACGGCTACGGAGCCGGCAGCCGCATGTGTGTCGGCTCGCACCTGGCCAACCGCGAGATCTACACGGCCTTCCTGCGCATGATTGTCGCTTTTGAGTTTGTCCCCGCCCGGGACCAGAGGGACTGGCCTGTCCTGGACGCCCTGGAGTGTAATTCCATTCCGACTGCGCTGACTACGGAGCCGAAGCCCTTCAAGGTGGGCTTCAGGATAAGGAACAAGGCCGCCTTGGATATGTGGATCCGTGAGAGTGAGCAGAGAACAAAGGATTTGTGAAGGATGTCGAAGACTTGAGGATGAGACTTTGGACAGGAAGGGGCGGAGGAAACAAGAATGAAGAGGGGATCAAAGAAAGTTGATCTGCCTTAGATAATGTCTTATTGTTCATATTCGTAATATAGACACCGCGCCTCATCATCTCACGGAGCACTTTATTGCCCTGTGGACACATTGCTCTGATGGGATGGATCAAGGTACCGCTTGATGGGCCAAGTTGGCTGTCTTATGCATCCTTTCATGGATGGGGGCTGGTCTGTTGCAAGCTTTGCATCGTTCCTTCGGTTTTTCAGCGGACGGACCAAACAAACACTTCGACCTTCGGAAAACGATGGTTAGTTGAACAAAAATAACAAGAGCACAATAAGTTTTTTTGTTCTTTTTCAACCAAAGCCCACAATCCTGGAGGAACCTGCCACACAATCCCAACAATCCAAACGTATCCTTATCACCTGGCCGCTCCGTCTCCGGCTGGATTACCTTGGGGTTTCACACTGGTAGTGATTTAAGACGTGACCCTCTAACGTTCCTCCCATGGCTGTAGAAAGCAAAGCAGACCGGATCTACTATAATTCTTACCCAGTGACTTACCTACCTTCGTATACAGCAACGCACTCCGGCCCCCGCCTCCCCTCTATCAACGGCCTCATCTGCTCATCTGAGATCACGTTGCCGTAACGGCCGCACGAGAGAGGAAAGGAACACCTGAGAAGCAAACATCTGCAAGACCGTGACGCCCACAGACGCAGTCCCCTCTTCCATCTTGAACGAAAAGAGCAAGTGACGGAAGCGATATGGGCCGTAGCCCAGAAGGAAGGTGTTACGCCACGGAACACGTGAGGTGGTGGGATAGAAACGAGTTCATCCAGGTCGCCAAGGAAGCCCTGGAGCAACACAGGAGGGAGAAGCTGCAGTGTTCGAGCAGACGAGGTGAGTTACATTGTCCTTGGGCACCAGCACATTTCCGTACTTTGTTTGTCGAGTATCACCAGACTGTTTGGCGTTAGGCATGTGCATGTGTAGATGCTGTGATAATGCGCGACGATCGGGAGACGTCGTATTACTCTCCTTCGCTCGAAGGGAGAATGAGGACTGTGGTAATTTCTCGCGCGTGCCAGATGACGGCAGGAGCCGCCAGATGCACAAAAAAAGCCTCTTGAGGGACAATCATCGTCCTCACACCACGGCCAGGACGAGTCGATTGTGGCTACATCGTTAAGCGCACCCGGGTCGCCGAGAGGAAGACCCCCGAGAGATGTTGCTTGGATGAGGAAAATACATCTTGTCCCGATAGCTGTGATCAAAGATACCTACAATTCACTCTTATCAGGGGAGATGGCCGGGCGCATATTGTGCTGAGATCGCGAGGCCCCTGTTTGCCACCGAACGGTCTCTTCTTGGCCCAAGTTGCCGACACACCATACAATAAAAGTTTCGAGTACTCGCGCGGGACACATGTCAACAGCAAGGTTTCCACAGTGCTTCCAGCTTACAGGGGACATGCCGTGTTGGCGGTGCGAAGGAGTCGTCGAGGGGATTCGCTAGTGGCTACAATATTGTACATTATCCAAGTCCACAACGTGGTCTGTTGTTCGAGAAGTGAGTGACAAGGCCGCTGCACTGGGATGGACAAGCGGCGATCCCCAGCGACGATCGCTGGCGTCATTGTGGGTGCATTTTGGCTGGAGGCTGTCCCCAACGTATGTACAGTACGAGTATCGGCCGGCTGAGCAATGGGAGGAACATCGTAGCAGGGAAAGGTGGAAATTGATGGAAAGGTCAGTGCTGGCCAATGTTGATCACGCTAGCAGCAGCACCTCAGCAAGGGAGGTCTGCTTGAGGACGACGACGACGACGACGACGACGACGACGACGAGCACAGAGTCGAGTGTTACAGATGCAACCCAAGTCAACCCAACCAACCCCCTCCATTAGCTACAATAGGCGACTAGGCTGATCTTCAGGCTGGCCCGGCTTCTGACTGTACCGAAAGCAGGCCCCTCTGAATCGCCCCTCGGCCTGGAAGTTCCGATCTGAGCCTCCGCCTAAATGTGCAGCCGATACCGATAATGCTGTTATTTTGGATCTTGAAACGAGGACAAGGCCTCGTTATGGCGGATGATGCTACTTTCGTCAGGGCGAAGCAGCTTCTCAGGCGAGCGACGAGACAAGTGTGATGCGTCCGTCGCTTCTGGGGAGGCGTGTTGCTTCCGAGTATACTTTTCAGCGTGCTTCGAGCCTTTGGGCGACATGAGTACTAATCAGTACTTGCAGCGGCTGGCACGGCAGCGTTGTGTCTCTCAATTCGCCCTGTCAATCGCCCCGGTTTTCCGGACTTCGAACTGCAAATCATGGTTGGGCAGTCTTGAAGCCAGACGAGAAAAACATCCCGCGCTTCCCGCCGCCTGTGACGCCTCTTTGCCTCAATAACGGTCCAAACTGCGCGCGACGCCGACACCGCAGCCACTCATCGCACCCAATGCGGCGCCGGCCACCCATCTCGATATCAGTCTATCCCCAATTGCCTCACCCGCCTATCTGCTTCGGGTCACTTATTGGGCCTTGGCCCGGGTGGTTGCTTTCGCCCTCTGTCGGAGTCCGCCTGGCCCTCAGGCAATACGAACTGCCCGGCGACAAGAAACCCACCCAGAGCCCCAGGGCCAGGACACAAGCAGGGCATGGACCCGCATCCCGCATCAACCATCTGAAGTTGCTTTTTAGCTCTTGTTTCCGTTGTTGTCGCAATCTCATGGTTACTTATTCCTCCCCACGGAACGCTTCCTTCACTCCCACGACCAGCATTCCGCACCCCCTCTCTGACCCTCCTCCTATACACTTCTTTAGGTCATCATACAACATCGTTGCCCTTCATGCAGGGCCTCAAACGTTTACAAGAAGCCATCGAACGGCACCGCGAGAACAAAGACATCAACATCAAATACAAAACACCCCTCACCAGTAAGTCTCCTTGTGGGCACACCCCGGCTCGAGTCCAGTGCCCTCTGCCCTCTGCCCTCTGCCCTCTGCCCTCTGCCCTCTTCACCTCCGCATTTCGCTGACGACACTCCGCTTGCAGTTCGCAACGTAAACACCTTTACCGACGAGCAAGCCATCGACGATGCCTGTAACCCAATTCGCTGTAACCGACACGTACGAATATCTGAATGGGTTCGGGGGATACAAAGAGTAGGCGCTGCCAGATAACACCAGCCGGCATTCGGGACACTTGGACTGACACTCAGCCGCAGGAGTGAGGCTGTAGAAGGGGCCCTGCCGTTGGCGGCCAATTCTCCTCAGAAATGTCCGCTCGGCTTGTACAATGAAAAGTTGTCTGGGACTTCGTTCACCGCGCCGCGCGACGATAACCTACAGACCTGGCTCTACCGAATCCTTCCTTCGGCTAGCCACCAGAACTTCACACCCGTGCCAGAGTCATCCCCGAATTCCCTCACCTCCACCACACCGAGCTTCGGCAAGCACTTCAACGCCATCCCCAATCAGCTGCGATGGGACCCCTTCGACTTCGACAAAGAGTCCTCCTGGATCCATTCCCTGCATCTCGTGGCCGGCGCAGGTGACCCTACGATGAAACAAGGCATCGGCATCTACATCTATGCCGCTGGCGCCACCATGCCTGACAAAACAGCCTTTTACAGTGCCGACGGAGACTTCCTCATCGTGCCACAGCATGGCGTTCTCGACATCCGAACCGAGATGGGCAAGATGCTGGTGCGACCCAACGAAATCTGCGTCATACCCCGGGGTATTCGTTACCACGTTGCACTGCATGACAATGAGCCGGTGCGGGGATATATCTTGGAACTATACCAGGGACATTTCAAATTGCCTGAATTGGGACCTATCGGCTCAAACGGATTGGCGAACGCTCGCGACTTTCGGACCCCCGTGGCCGACTACATCGAGGACTACGAGAACACCGAATGGACGCTCTATGGCAAATTCGGAGGCAACCTGTTCGCGGCCAAGCAGTCGCACACCCCGTTCGACATTGTCGGCTGGCATGGCACGTACTATCCTTACAAATATGACCTGGGCCGATTCAATCCAGTCGGCAGCATCTCTTACGACCACCCGGATCCTTCCATCTTTACCGTTCTTACCGCACCCTCGATCCCTCATGGCGCCGGCACGGCTGTGGCGGACTTTGTCATCTTCCCGCCTCGCTGGTTGGTTGCCGAGAATACCTTCCGACCGCCATGGTATCATCGCAACACCATGTCCGAGTTTATGGGCCTGATCATGGGCAACTATGACGCCAAGGGGGCCGGAAAGGGTGGGTTTCAGCCGGCAGGAGCCAGTTTACATAATACAATGAGTGGGCATGGACCCGACATGCAGACATTTGAAAAGGCCTCGACGATGGACCTACCTCCGACCAAGGTCGGTGAGGGCAGTATGGCCTTTATGTTTGAAAGTTGCTTGATGCTTGGCGTTACCGAGTGGGGGTTGAAGACTTGCCAGAAAGTTCAAGAGGTGAGTTCCCCAAAGAGTCTTTCTCTTCCCCCGTTTCATGAAAAGAAATATTGTGAAACAAGTGACAAAAGTACTGACTGACATGATGTTTGGCCAGACATATAACGCTCACTCGTGGGAACCTTTAAAGGTCCATTTCAAAAGACCAGAGTCGTCGAAGCGAGGCGTCAGCAACGGCGAAAGAAGAACGGGGGTCCGTAGTGCCAGAGACTCGGCTGACTTTAGTGCCTCATGATACTCCGTACATGGGACCAAAGAAATTATACTATAGTAACTGGCGAAATGCAAGCTGCTTGCCTATCTCATGCGACTGTGTCGGTATAACTGCCTCAAGGTAGTGTACAACAACAGTCCCATTATAACAGTTTGGACGGTTGGTGCGTGGACGTTACCAAGGAATGCCTACTATAGATACTATAGATAGGTAAGGGCATGTATCTATCTATCTGTCAATCAATCAATCAATCAATCAATCAATGGATCAAAACCACCGTTCTATCCGTGAAGTGAAGCCTACCTATGGTTGCCTCTTATTGCTGCATGTCATGCATCGATCTACGAGTCTGTGCCATTCTTGTGCCTTGGGTTGGCAGTACCTGTCTATAGACTCTACAGTGCCTTGACCTGGCCGGTGGCTGGTAAAACATCGCGTGTGTGTCGCCAGGCTCCATTCACATGCAGAAACCAACCACCGTACTCACTAGTTGGTATGTTCAGTACTCCTAAGGTGCCTGAGCCCGGGTAGGTATGAGGGTAGGTAAATCCAAAAAGGAACTTTCATTCTTTGAGTGACTTCTTACCTACCTGGGTACCTAACCTATCTATCAATCAATCAATATACACACATACAGTAATAGGTAGTCCTTGAGCAAACCCCCCCCCCCCCCCCCCCAAATAGAACCACGGTCCTGACAATACCACCGACACTTAAAAAAGACGTCATGACCGTAGCCATGCCCTAATATTAAATATCATATGCCAAAATCATGAGCTCAGTAGATCCCTGACACTCATTGCTTTCCCCCTCTCTCCGACCTCTGAGGCAGGCCCCGAAGCCCCCGAAACAGACCCTCTCCACTCGTTGGTCAACATCATCAACGCAGCACCTGCCGTCGCCTCTGCCGTCCCAGACGAATCGCTCAATGCCGCGGGAGACTTGCTGTGCGCTTCCCTCTCGTGCTGCGATTGCGAGGCATGGGCGGTATTGCCGCTGTGCGGCTGCGGCAACTGCAGATGCGTCATCACCGCCGCCGCTGACGTGGGTACGGGCAGGGGGAGATTGAGCGCCGCCTTTGGCGACGGGAGTGGCGCCAGACCAGGGCTCGGGTTGACCGTGGTCCAAGAACTCGACGAGGTCGCCGACGCCGATGCCACAAGTGAAGCACCGCCAGTGCTGCCCCCCGTGGGCGTGCGGGTAAGGTCAGGTGAGAAATGGATCGCATTGAATGCGGGACTGAGCAACGTCGGCGTAGGAGTGGAAGATGCTGCGTATGTGGAGACTTGAGAGGGTGATTTCGAGTAGGGAGGGAGCTGGCCTGGCCTGGTCCTGCCGTAACTGTCTTGACGAGACGAGGTATGTGCAGCAGAGGCACGTGCCGAACTACTAGACAACGAAGAAGCCAGCGGGGATCGGCGAGCGTCTCTATACTGCCACTTGTCGCCGCTGACGACGGCGCCCTTGGAGTGCTTGCCCACTTTGCTCGGCCGGACTGCTTCAGCAGGCACTTCGGCCTCACGGCCGTGCTGGTCCTCGTCGCGCTCATCATCATCATCATCCTCCTCCCCTTCTTCCTCCTCTTCCACCTCTTCATCTTCTTCATTTTCCTCGGCGTCGAGCTCAGCGTCGGCTTCGCGATGGCGAGGGTGGCTTTGCTGTTCAAGAACCAACGTCCTTGACTGCTTCTCGTTCTCGCCCTTGAGCTGGGCAACACAGCCCTCGAGATATCGAACGTACTCGATCCCCGCCTGGAGAATGGCGAGCTTGTGCATCTCGACGCCCTCACAGGCCGGGATCATGTCTTTGAGCACTCCAAACTCTTCGTTCATCTTACTTCGCCTCCGTCGTTCAATGATGCTGTGTGCAGTCTTGCGTGCAATCTTTCGACCGGCCGCACTCGTGGCGGAAGGCTGTTTCCGCTTCGAGTTCGCAGAGGCACCCGTCGCTTTTGCGCCCGAGTTGGACGCTGCACTCGCCGCAGACGTGGGAGGCTGGTAGCTGGCATCGCTGTCTGGAGAGCGCGCAGATTTCGGCTTCATTTGGATGATTTTCCTCGCTCGACTTGGGGGAGGAGGGAGAGTGTAGGAAGAAGAAGACGAAGACGAGTTGTTCGAGGGACCACTGCCCGTTGCAGGGTCCTGGGCGGTCTTGACAGCTCCCGATGCAGTTCTCTTGTGTCGAGGACTCGTAGAGAGTGGTTTGTCCTGAGGAGAAATAGGAGGGGTACTTTGAGAATAGCCAGAGGTTGTGCTATTGCCGCTTTGGTCTCGAGGAATGTTGCCTTTTGTAGCGTGGTTCGAAGAGGATGACGAGGAACCCCCCTCGGTCGATCGCAAGGCTGGAGGTGGCAGTCTGAACATGGACTCCATGTCAGCAAAGTGAACTACCTTTTCGAGGCCTTTGAGGTCTGTTGATCCAATCGGCGTTGGAGGGGCTTTTGGCCTGGGCATAGTTGCTGAGGAGCCCTGGGATACTTCTACGGTCGATTCGATGTTCTGCTGGGCTCGTGAGGCTTGGATTTTGACGGTACCAACAACGAAACGAACAGTATCAAGTTAGCAACGCAGGACAAAGGTCAAAGTAGAACAGAGGGAGTTCGACGGGACATTTCAGAGGAAGATAAAGGACGCAGCGAGTCAAATGGGAAGTTGAAACGCTGCCGTGCGAAACAGTCGGAGAGGGGCACGTGTATGGGAGCACACGACAGCAGCGTGTGAGGCCATCAAACCCTCGTGTGGCCTGGCCGGGTGATGATAGGATGAGGCCCTCGCCGAGGTCATGGTGGCTACTTGGGCTTTGGCTTCAAACATGCAGAGGACGGAGGGAGAGAGTCTTTTGTGGCGGCTGCAGACCGGAGCTGCTGGGGTTGATGGGCACGTGTGCAGCGACAACATGTAATTGGAGCGAGAGCAGGAGAGCAAGAGAGTCCGAGTACGTACATTTGTAGATTATGTAATACCACCCTCCTCCACCAATCAATCCAAGTCTAGAGTCGCTTGATGCTCTCGTTGTTGTTGTGCTTGTATGCTACACGAGACACCCCTTACTCCTTTGTTACGATCGAGTCTTCCTACATAGGTGCGTAGATAATGTGATGCATAAGCGATCCGCCCGTCCAGTTGCGCCAAGGACCTTACGATTGTAATTACCTAGTTGGAATCCATCCTGAGAAATATCTCATGTCTCCAAGCGACGATACACAACATACATATCATAACGCATATCCAGGACTATACTACCTAGTATAAGGCATCGTCCAGTACACCCACCAACTCGTGCTTTCGTGGTGGATGAAGGATCAAGTCAGCTAGTCCACACGACAAGTCTACTGCTTCAGTCGGTATCGTCGTCGTGGCCGTCGTCCGTGTCATCACCTTCCGTGTCTGCGTCCGTTTCAAGAACCTCTTGTCCCGCAAACACCAACCACCTTCCGTCCTGGACGCTCTTCCTCCAGAATTTCGTGATGCCATCGGATCCGCTACTCATCAAGACCTGGCCTTGTCCGTCGAATGATACGGACCAAGCGTCGGTGTGCGCGTCGTCCAGCGCAGTCGAAGACTGAACGTTGGTCTGGAAAGGGAAAGCGTGCCCTGTTCTTGCTGCCCATGATGCGATCGACGCCGAAGAGGGGGCTAATGCAGATGTACTGGCGCCGGGGTTTCGACCGGTCAGTCCGGTCGTCAGACTTGACTGGTGATATTGCTGTTGCTGTTGTTGTTGTTGTTGCTGCTGCTGCTGCTGCTGCTGCTGCTGCAGAAGCTGTTGCTGCTGTCGTCGCGTAGACGCATTCTGCACAGGACCTTGTGCCGCAACGTCTGTCGCGGTGTTTGTGGTTGTGGCTGCCGCGGTCAGGCTCCGATCGGGCGCTTGCGTGACAGACAATTCAAAGATGCGGACCGTGCCATCTTTACATGCGGTCACGATCCTGTCGGTTCCTCGGACGCTGAATGGTGCCCAAGCCACATCGCGGATGAGGCTCGGGTGTCGCCTTGACCGCGCCGCTTCGAAAAACATTACTCGGTGGCTGGCACCGTCGTTGGCACCGCTAATTGAAGATGAGTCCCCGCTGGGCACGACGGAGCGGTAGATTTTGAACTCATTGAGAACACTGACCACGAGACTCAATTGGCTGCGGTCGTCGGAGAGGCTGTTCATGTATGCGAGAGGGGTCGGATTTGGATCGAAGCGGACTTTGAAGCTAGTTTCGTCGCCACGCGCTGGTGGCGAAGACCCGCATACATTGAACGTGTCGACTAGTGTCCAGTCCTTGAGGTCGTCCGGGCTGGTGGGTTCATAGATGCTCAGGAGGCCTTGGCGGTCGATCAGAGCCAAAGTAGTGTAGATATTGTCGATGGTCTTGAGGTCCATGGACACGAAGGGAACGCGTGGAGTCGAAGGGACTGTCGATGTACGACGAAAACGACGGCCTGAGTTGGGAGCTTGAGAGACATCTTCGCTCCAGAGATGGAATTTGAGGTCGTTGCCTATGCTGGCTATATGAGAGCCTAGAGTTGGGTGAAGGAATTTGGCCTAGCAAGCATGATTTGTCAGGGAGGTATCGTGGTGATGGGACAGCGCTCAAGCCAGCACAGTATAAAGAAAGACAACATGTGAACTAAAAAAGGGTATTAAGGAGAACCAACATCGCGTATATCGGCGTCATGTGCCGTAAATGTGTCTATGAGTGTGCGCTCCCCAGTCTTGGGGTCGCGCTGCCATACTTTGATCCGATGGTCGATTGAAGCTGTGAGAATGCGTGTGCCGTTGAAATTTGTGTGGAGAACTGTGACTCTGTCGTGGTGACCGGTGACAAATTCCGTTGACCGTCCCATTGTGATTGATTCTCCGGAGTTGGCTGTAGAGATGGGGTTGAATCACTGTTGAAGAAGCACTGCCAGATATGCCATGGTGGACGCGGTTTGCAAGGGCATTGGGGCGCTGGCTTCCCGATCAAAAGACTCTGCGCGCCTCAATCGATCGCGCAAGTATCAACATAAAAGCGCATAGACTCTGGATGCACCACTAGAGTCGAGGGATACGGACGTATGATCGAACAGCCACACTGTGCTGTTACTCGTTTGGCCTTTGGTGAGGTCCAGGAGGCTGATTTAAAGCTGTGTTGATTGGCGCTGGGAAGGAGGGCCCGGATCCCGGAGAATCTATATTCCGTGATGGGCATCTGGAGGAAAGGACAACTGGCGTCCGCCGTCTCATCAGAAAAACCACGCTTCACTCTCGGCACGTGTTGTCTGCTACAGTATGTGTTCCTGTCATTTCCTTTGAGGTCTCGCTTGGACCTAAGATCAATCCATGATGAATCGCAAGATTTTCCCGGGAATCCTCCAGTCTCCTTAACAATCCGGCCTTGGACGGCGGCCGACGATACCAGTTTCGACCCATCAATATGTCTTCTAGCCTAGGCCATGCAGAGCGCTGGTCGTTGCTGCTTGTTGCAGGTGTTTCGCTGTCTGTCATTGCCAACACCTTCCAAGGGGATGGCGCTCCTCTGGTAGCCTCCCTGGCGTTTTCGAGCCTAGCCTTTTCCATGACCTACGCATTTGTCCGTTGGTCGGGTCCGGCTTTTGTGAAGGCAGGGCTTAGTGGAAGGGATATGAGCAAGCTGACCCCAAAAGAAATGTGAGTGCGTCTTCATCGCCTGCATTTCTGATCTGACGAACCATCATCTATAGCCCCGAAGCAATGGGAGCGGTAGCTGCCTCGGTCTACATCTTAGCGCTGATGGCATTCATCCCATTCGCGTTTTACAAGGACATTGTTGCCGCTACATCTGGTGGTGGAAACAGAGATGTTGTCCTTGAGGTCACCGAAGTCGAGACTGGCCGTTTCTTGCATCGATTTCCGCATTCAAAGCTATCCTCGTATCAATCGGCTCTGAACACACTGCAAGCAACCACCATTCTCGGTATGGCGGACGATATATTGGACTTAAGATGGCGACATAAATTTTTCATTCCAGCGATTGCGTCTCTGCCACTTCTAATTGTCTACTATGTCGACTTTGGCGTTACCTCGGTTGTGGTACCAAATTTTCTCGTTCCATATATGCCGGGCAGAGCGCGCTTGATCGACCTCTCATTTTTATACTACCTTTACATGTCAGCTTTATCCATCTTTGCACCCAACTCGATCAACATCCTTGCTGGAATCAATGGTATCGAAGTTGGTCAGTCACTCGTCATCGCGGGCCTTTTGATTGTCAATTCATCACTGTATTTGGTTCCTTTTCCCGGGAACCCGGTTTTATCGAACGGCTACGCCACGCACCCTCATCCCGCTACGGATTCACACCTTCTGACGTTGTATGTGCTGCTGCCGTTTTTGGCTGTGTCGACAGCCTTGTTCATACACAACAAGTACCCAGCCCGAGTATTTGTTGGTGACACATATTGCTATGTCGCTGGCATGACTTTTGCTGTGGTTGCGATCATGGCACATTTTAGTAAGACGTTGTTATTACTGCTCATCCCACAAATCGTCAACTTCATCTATAGCACGCCACAGCTATTCAAGCTGATTCCCTGTCCACGGCATCGACTGCCCAAATTCAACGCCAGAACACTCCTGCTTGAACCCAGTGTCACGCCATGGCCTCGAGAAAAGCCCCCAAACAAGCTTCAGACCACCATATTCCTCGCACTCGAGAAGTTCAGGCTAATCAAGGTCACAATCGATCCCAAGACGAATCGCATATCGACGACTTCGAACTTGACAATTATTAATTTGTGGTTGGTGTGGAGAGGGCCAATGAGGGAAGATCAATTGATGAGGGAGCTATTATTGATGCAAACTTGCTGCGGTGTTTTTGGGCTCTTTGTGCGGCACACTATGGCACTTTTGATATTCAGTGTGGACAATAGAGGCAAGTACGGGAACAGCTTTCCGGTGTAAGCCTCTGGCGCTCAATTGAATTGCAGTATAATGACCTTTGGTGCAGATATGGGATGAGGTGACTGAATGGGCGAGGCAAATAGTATTTATACCTGCCAATTGATTGCTCGATTCAACGATTTTGCTTTCAGTTGGTGTTTGATCTCATTAATCGTCATTGTAGACTTCTGGATGTGATTTTTGCGTGGTTTGCATACCTGCTGAGTGCATGCTTGGTCGAGCGGTCATGGTTGCCAAGCCCAAGGAGCCTCGCGTTTTGGACTGTGCCTTTTACAGCCTGATATCAACCGTCGCCGAACGTCAAGACTACGAGCGCGGCAATCAATGGCGAAAAATGCATGAAATTGTGACACTTCAACTAGGCCAGAAGAGCAACTACCTTGCTGCTCATTTTTGGAACGCTCAGGTAATGTGGCACCACGTGGTCCGAAGTCCGCCCATGGCTGATGTTGCGCTTAGGAATCGTACTTCACCTACTCTGAAAATGAGCAATCCGTCGTTGACCATGATGTACACTTCCGCCCAGGCATAGGTGCTGATGGACATGAAACATACACGCCACGGACGGTGATCTACGACTTGAAAGGAGGATTTGGCACCTTGCGCAAATTCAATGCGTTGTACGAACTTGAAGATGAGCCGCCCAGTGGCTTATGGGAGGGCATGACGGCGACACACCGAGAACCTACCATCCAACCCTCGGAGTACCAGCGAAAGCTCGATCTCGGCCTACCCACGTCTCAACTGCATGACGCAGATGTCAGGTACTGGAGCGACTTCAACCGGGTTTACTACAACCCTAAATCAATCGTCCAGCTCAACGAGTATGAACTCAACTCCCAGATCTTACCATTCGAGAAATGGGAGGCTGGAGAAGATCTTTTTCGAAGCTTGGACCGAGAATTCGACCTTCTGGATCGTGACATCCGGCCGTTCGTAGAAGAATGCGATCATATGCAGGGTTTTCAAGTCCTAACTGGAGCCAATGACGCATGGGGAGGATTCGCTGCGAAATACCTCGACGCCCTACGTGATGAGTTTGGCAAGACAAGCATCTGGTGCTGGGGCATCGAGGACTCTACAAGAGTGGTTAGGGTAAGTCACCTCTGGCGAAAACAAAGAGCAGCGAAATTTGACCCTGGCAGCAAAAACAATTACAACGATCATGCAACGCCGCAAGATCTCTTCGGGCCATTGGCCAACTGGCTTCGGTGTACGTGCGATTAGCAGCACCACCGTCAAATTTACCTGCATATGTGAATCCTCCGTCGGCGTCCGACTGGGTGACCACTGCCTTGCTGTGCGCCGGCTTCGAGTCAGTCACCATTCCGACAAGGTTACGGCCAGATGCGAGCAAGCGAGGCTCACTGAGCCTGCTTGAAGACGCCTTGAACACAAGCGATGGCCAGAACCTGTTCGAATTGCAAGCCAAAGTCAATCACGCGATGGCCGGTACCAATGGCCAAATGCATGGCGCGATTCAAGCATCGAATGGCAGAATGCCAGCTGATCGAAACGAGGCTCATGATTGGCACCCCCAGCTCACGCACTTTGACCTGGAATATCTCCCGAGACCGCAGAACTCTATCGTGAGTGACCAAAATCACATCTTCGCTCAGGTTGAATGCGAACGAGGGTGGGCGGAACATGATTCATTCTCGCTTAGCCTCGATCCCGAGGACAGGCTCCGCAGACGACAGAACGAAGAGAGTTTGCTGGAAATGTAAGTGGCACTCCTCCTACCGCTTTAGTCAGTTTGTTTTTCCCTTCCGCTTTGGATTTGAGTTAAAATGGTGAGAGTGAGAATACTCCAACCGAAGTTTTCCGTTACCAAATATGGTATCCCGCACACTATTGGAAATGCTAGTTAGCACTGGACTCCAGTTATAACTCAACTGACGACCCTGCGCAGATTTCAGACCGGACTACGATTTCCACTGCTAGAGACATTTCCTAGCGGGCTCTTCGAGACGAACCGTGGGTATGAGGACGGGCTGGACATGTCGGCCGCACTGATCTGCAGTTCGAGGATGAAAAACCACGTTCTCGAACTGAGGAATACCACCTCGCGGCTGATGCCGCTTGAGGACCGGGAAGCCATCTACTCTGATCTCTCTCAACTGGCACAGCACTACAGCTTCGGCTGGGACGACGGTAGTGACACAGGTGAAGACGATTGAACCCCGAAAAAATGCGTTCTTGTCAAGTGATCTCTTCCCCCGCGATGCTAGCCTAGTGACCCTTTGTCGGAAACCTGGGAATTACGCGAGAGTTGGAGGCGGGGACGGTTGCGCCGAGTGCCTGCAGAGCAGCAAGGTATGGACGACTGTAGACAACGTGGAATTCAATATTCATTTGTGCGTGAACTGGGCACACCAGGCAACTTCGTACTGAAGCCAAGAAGCCTGGGCCAACCATTCATTGCCTCAGTGAGCCACAGTGGCGTTGGGGACTGTCAATTCGGTAGACTTGACGGCCATGCTTCTTCGAGACCTCGCTTCCAGTAATGATTCTGTCCGATAGGTCAGCGAGCTCCTGGGGAAAAGAACTCTATTTGCTATATGGTCAGGATACCCTTGCCCAAGGTAGCTAAGATTGTGGGCAAGAGGTGGGCGAGGCTGGGCACTCCCATGAGAATTCGGGTCCCTCGGCAAAACATTCAAAGGTCGGCGAGGTGGCGTTCTTTGTTTTTCACCGTTGGCGTGGTCACAGCACAGCATGATGATTCCGGGCACGGTGAGTGGACTGATGTGGTGCTCACGAGCTCTTGAAATGCAAGAAAATCGCCGAGCAGCTGCAAGCCTAACAGAAGCTTAGCGATAAGAAGCCAGTCATGACGCTGTGCCTGGTAAGACACCCACAACTAAAGTAAGACATGCAGAAGCCTGAAGGTTCCCGGTTTTTCTCTCAGCTTCCCCATTGTCCAGGGCTCCAGCCCGGGATGTCAGCTGCCTGCAATTTTTAGCGAGTGACATCAAAGTGTTGAACTGAATGGATATGCAGAGCCACCAATTCGGTATGCAATAGCTACCAGCACTATTGTCCAAGTGGCCCTAGCTTGGCGGGTGCCGAAGAGAAAAAACTCTGTGTAAAAAGCCAAACTGGTCAAAGCTTCATTGCTTTGATGCCAGAAATAGGTGCAAACAAAGCACAGAAGGTGTTTCCCGAACGAGCCGGGCGCCACTGTCCATGTCAAAGGCGGCTGTCTCCCAACACCGAGTCGAGAGCGCACTGATGGCGATCGGAGGGCACCGACAATGTCATGGGTGTCAAAAGCTCCGATCTGCATTTGACTGGAAAACCGGGAAGCGGAAGTCTACCATAATACGAGCGTGGGCTGCGGTCATCATCAAAGCTGACCAGCGTTCGCCCAAGTCGATGCGACCATGGCCCTCGTTTGCACCGGCGTCGATCACGCAACGGTCGGTAGAATGTGATGGAAGGGGTGTTCAGGCGCCAAACCACATGTTGCACGCTGCCGAGTTGTCTCGATTCACACTGGTCTCTCGAGTTATCGACTAGGGTTCGCTAGGCCCAAACCTAGTAAGCCTATCGTTAACCTATCGGCTGATCCGAGGACGGCGTTCGCAGGCTGCCGAAGGAAGCTCAAGGTGCTCGACGATGCCCGTTGCCGAAAAGAGCCAGTCTTTTGTCCCAGAAGCCGAACTATTCCTTCAATAGTGCTTGCGGGAGGAAGGGTAAAATGCAGCATGGAGTCACCTAATCCTCGTATCCACCACCCACGATTATTGAGAGGAGGTCCATACGAAGGCACCCGAGAGAGAGACTTTTGCTGGAGGGATCAGCGGAAAAGTTTGCAGAAGCCTCTCATCGATGTCCACCACGTGCGCCGCTGTTGTGAATAACGAACAACTACCAGCCTGAGCACTTTGCATGGCTCAAGCTCCCTCTCGTTCGTCATGGATTGGCGTTCTGGCTGTGCGTGGAGGCTATACAGGCCCATTATTGTGTGATAGTCGGCTTATACATGGACAGTGCTTCTGGTTATTGCCGTCCCTCTTCCGGAATCGAGGACGAGGCCAGCTCGAGGCAGTCGATGAGGGACAGAGAAACAAACAAAAGGCTGTCCACCGCAGCACCCACCCACACACCATCGACAGCCTCCCGTTGCAACATTGCCATATAGCGGAGCATTGACCTTACCGCTGAGCTGCGCCCTTGCAGACTCCCGCTCTCGATTGGGAACTAGTTCCACCTGTGGGAATACTGCTCCCCACCATTACACAGACTCCGCACAGTGTTTTTTCAGGAACAGGGCCTTGTTTTGCGCATCGCAGCGGCGCTGAATCTCGTCATGCGAGCAGGTATTGGGATTTTGGCTTCCCTCTCACCAAGGTAAACTCCCAATCGAGCAAGTGTGGTACTGCAGAGCTTGCATAAAGCAGTCGACCTCCCATCCTCCTCTTCTTACTTTCTTTTCCATTCTCACGCCAGTCAGATTCTACTCTCGCTTCACCTCAGGGCTCGCTCGCTAAGGCTCGACCACATTCGTTCAGCACACAGACTCACCAACCCTCTATACACCCATATCAAACAACCTAATATCATTCAAAATGGTCAACACTGCTGTCATCCTGGCCTTGGCCAGCACCGCTGCCGCCGTCGCCGTTAAGCGAGACGTAACCACCGGCGCATGGTCCGACTGGAACACGACCACTACTACTACCACCACCACGACCACCACGACCACCACTCCTGGCTGGGCTGACTGGACTACCACCACTTCAACCACCACCAAGGCCACCACCACCACCACTACTCCTGGCTGGGCTGACTGGACTACCACCACTTCCACCACCAAGAAGGCCACGACCACTACCACCACTCCTGGCTGGGCTGACTGGACTACCACCACCACCAAGAAGCCAGCTGCCACTACCACCACCACCGTGCCTGTCTGGGGTGACTGGACCACTACCACCACCAAGAAGCCAGCTGCTACCACTACCACTACTGTTCCAGTCTGGGGTGACTGGACCACCACCACCACCAAGAAGCCCGCTGCGGTCACCACCACTACTGTTCCGGTCTGGGGCGACTGGACCACCGCCGGCACCACCACCACCCCCAAGAAGCCCGCCCCGGTCGTCAGCTCCACCACCGTGCCAGTTGTCTGGAGTGACTGGACCCCTGCTTCCTCGCCTGCTCCTCCTGCTCCTCCTGCCCCTGTCAGCTCTTCCGCCTGGGTTGAGTGGTCCAGCGCAGCTCCTGCTCCCGTTGTCTCTACCACTCCCGCCCCTGCTTCTCCTGCACCAGTCACCACCACCACCCCGGTTCTGGTCAGCAGCTGGGCCCCAACGACTCCTGCTCCAGCCACCTACACCGGTGCTGCCAGCAGCAACAACAAGCCCGCCGTCGCCCTCCTCGGTGGTCTCGTTGCTCTCGTTGCCCTCGCATAAATGCGACAATCTACTACTTAATGTTTATACAACTGGACGCGTTGTTTTTTCAACTTCGATTCTCAAGACATGACGTCCCTTGGATCGCCGGTCTCCCCTTGTCGTTGCAAAGGTGGGGGAACATGAGCCATCACCAACAAGAGGACATTTTCAATTGAACCCATTTTTGATGGACGGAAATCACGATATCACATCATCACATATTACCACTACTACTACACGATTATTTAGTCTCGGCCCACCGAGGCGCGAGCAGACGATCCTTACGATGACGACTGTATATACACTCATATACGCGCCCTGATGTTCACGCTCGCGCACACGAGGGAGGGGGCGGAACTGACCGGGGCGAACAAAGACCTGTTTCTCCGCGTTCCGCAAGGTGTCCCGGGGGGCGCAAACAAAATTTGGAAAGAAGCGGCATTAATGGTGCATCTATGGCGGGTGGGGTTACTATCGGATCATGACTTGCTAGGTTCTGTTACTTTCCATCTTGGTGGTAGGAAGTTGCACAACCAAGTGTGTGAAGTGTGAAGTTGGTTCCATCCATCCAACCTGTAATGTGTGGCATGTAGAAGACAGTTTCTGAAAATCAAAAAATCATTAAAATTGACTTGTGATGTTTCCTTATTTTCCCCATTTCCTTTTGGTTTGGTTTGAAGTGTTTCTGAATTGTTCAAAGATCGCTAGACGGGATGAGCACCATCTTGACGAATTGAACTTGAGAGTACTATTTTTTGACCTTCTAAACTTGGGGCTCGAGTGCTGTCTTGGGAACTTGTGTTTGAGTAAGGTACTTACAGGCTTCAACGATTTTGGGCGAAACAACTCGAAATTGGCGTTCTCCACTGATGAATCTTGACCCTGGTCGTGATGTGTTGTTGAACTCGCTTTGTCTATCACAATACCACTTTGTTGAGTTGAAGTTCACACCAGACTATGACTGGGACATTGCCATGCTGGACACCCTTCATTCACAAGACATGTGTCATGTGAATTCTTTCGTCTCCAAAATCATAGAGTTGTGACTTAGGTTTTCTGCTCGGGCATGAAGTCTCATGAATCTCAATGCGATAATGGAAGGAATACATATTGAAATGGAAGTAGTTGTGATATATTAGTTCTAAGCACACGCCACAGCCAGACGGAAAAAATAAAAAAGTGAGACAAGGAAAGGTGGAAAGGTCAAAAAAAGTGAGGTGAGTTGCGGTTATTGCGGATCGAACGCAAGGCTTTTGAAGTCAGTTGAGCTCGCACCGATATATCCTCGAATTGTTGGCTTACCCTTCAGATTTTTGGACTTGAAGTGTGACTTCAGTCTGACGCTCTCCCAGCTATTACGATGTTAGTGATGATGTTGCTGATGTGGTTTTAGAAGATTGGATTACCTGAGCTATAACCGCAGCTTATTTGTTGAAGGGAATTCGAGCAGTTTAATTCATATTGTTTGAATTCATTTATTGTGGCACTAACGCTTCGGTAGTGGAGAATTGGGTGGTTCGTGGGCGACTACGGCTTCCAAAGGTAGGGGTGGGAAGATTAGCCGAACCCCTCACTCTGCTATGGTTGCTGTGGTGTCAGACACAACTGCAGTGAGCTAACTGCCCGGTCGCCTACCTGAAATACAGAAACCTAGATTAGATGTAGTAGACATCTCATAGGTGTAGAGTGTGGTATTGCTTGGGTACATAGTAACTTATCGCTACCATCTATGGGTCCTGAGTGCCCCTTGTGGCGACGTAAGCATTGGACGTTGTCTCTACCTAGACATGTGCAAAGCTCCTCAATACACGGCCCTGCGGACATGGCAGCTGTGGTCTCTGAACATCTTTTAGGTGACCTCTGAGTCCAGAGAGAGTATGAAAGTGCCCAACATAGTCTGCCCTGTGCTGGGTAGAAGTACTTGCAGGTACTTACAACTTGCGATCATGTTCGCCACCAGGTGCCTACTTACCGCTGGTGAGACAATAAATATATTCGCCGCGTACCTAAGAACGAACTCCATCCAACCCACCGTGAGCATCAAGCCAACCACCATTACCACGTCCTTTTTATTTCGGTCTCACAGATGGAAATTGACTCGTTGCTCCTTCTCAATTTTATCCGGCAAACAACAAGATCGCGCTCAGTCATTCTTTGCGCCAGGACTTGATGATTCTGAAACCCGGCCCCTTTCGGGGGACTAAGCTCAGCCTCAGGGCCCTGACTCCTTGACATGTCTTTTCCAACACGACCAAATCAACCACCGTCTGGAAGAAGATGAATCGTCGCTTGGGGACAGTGGAGCTCTTAATCATCACCATTGCACCGGAACAGGAAACAGGAATGGAAAGCTTGAACATTTCAGTAGTATTTACCTGAATGCGAAGAGCGAAGACAAGCCTCTTTTTTTTTTTCGTTTATGAACTATCTAGGTGCCCTCTCTGCACGAAGCATCCACATTCACACTTCAATCAAATCAAACCCCATAGCTCTCCTCCCGGCCTCGCCACCCAAGTTGCTCTTCTCGCCGGTAAACATTTTGAAGTCTTTCTCCGCCGAGCCGTTCCTGAAATCCTCGGGCGGGATGCCGTTCAACATGTCCTGCAATTGTCCCTTGATGTAACTCATGTTCTGCTCCGTCCTGGGCGTCGCGGCGATGTAAGCGACACTCGCCTCGTGGTCGCCGTTGTGGTCCACTTCAACGGCATGGCACATGTCCGCGTGCCACCAGACGGTGTCACCGGGCGCCATTCGAGGGATGCCGACCATGCACTCGCGCAGACGCAGATGGGGGTGCGATGACGGACTCAGGAGCTGACTATCGTCCTTGAAGGTGCCTGGGAACCAAGACCTGTCGGCGTCGAACGTCCATTTCGACGCGTCCATGACGTCCGCTTCGTCGGCCGGGGCCTGGAAGAACGGCCGCAATAACAGATACGACATGGCCCACTTGATGTTCGGGTAGAGCATGAGGCTGCCTTCGCCGGGTCCTGCGGACGTGAGGGCCGTCCAGCCCTGGAAGCTGCGAAACACACGCGAATGCGCGCTGCCGGGGAACATGGCCTGGTTCGCCTTCTTGCGCGTCGTGAGGTCGTACGAGTCCAACTCCTCGGGACGGCCGGAGAAGACGGCGTCGTAGAATGACCGGTACATGGGATCGGCCCAGCGGGAGAGACTGCCTGCGTCGATGTGCGGGCCCAAGCCGAGGAAGGGTACCCCAGGAGGGCGGATTCGCACGCCGTCGGCATACGACAATGGTTCTGGCGTCGTCGTGCCCTCGTCGTCGTGCCACCATGAATTCAACTCTGCCGACAACTTGAGCTGGTTGGGGTGTGACCGTGCCGCAATCTGAGACGGCGAAAAGTAAAGGTTGAGGATGAATGGGGTTTCGGCCGGCCAACCTAGAGTCCCCGACGCGTTGTTAGCCCTGCAACGAACCATATGTTCTTCGGGGGATCGATCGAGCCTGAATCATTCAATCTCGAAGAGACGCTCGCCGTCGTCGCGATCGAGCTCCAGACTCTTGACGCTTGCACCGAATCTCACTCACCTCCGATAGACGCCCTGTTCGCCGCGACGTACTCCTTCAGGTTCGAGAACCACTCATCCGCCTGCTCTTCGCTGAACACACCTCGAACGACAAAACATCCGACATTCTTGAGCTCTTCCTTCTTCTCTGCAGACATGGTGAATACATCGTCGAACGAAACCTCTGGAATGACCGATGAGCCCAGCTCGGCAATGTTGTCCGTCACCGATTCCAACTCCTTGCACACCTTGAGCCAGCTCTTGACGAGAGCTTCTTGCCCATACTGGTCCACGATGGCCTTCTTGAAGGCGATCAGATCGTCGCCAGTTTCCGCCTTGCTGGCCGTGAATTCAGGCCAGTCAGGCCATGATGATACGAGCTTCCCTGGCATCTTTGGGGGCGCGAGTAACTCCAAGTGTACGCGAGGGGCTGGCTCACTTGTCTGTTCTGTCGTTTTTGACGATGGAGGACAGAAATAGTCTTGACTATTCCCGTTGCGAAGACCGGTATCTGCTTGGCGAAGAACAAGCTCTCGAACGCGCCCGCCAGATCAAGACTGGTGACCTGACTCCCTGAGTGAGAACGCTTGAATCCCGTCCTTATCTCTGACCGTCCTCTTGTATCTGGTCTTTGAGCTTCGAAATCATCTGGACACGGAAACGTACGTTGAAGTGACAACGACCCCATCTCCACCTGGAAACCCAGGTGCGGACCACACTTCGAGGAGATTCGGTTACGGTTTATGGATATTGACGGCGCCTGACGAATGACAGGTCGGGCGCACGCCTGATGGGTATCCATTCATGACTCCGGGAGACAAACCTCGGCCGAGTTTCAGCGATCTGTCAAACGGACTTGTACACCCACGATCCCTGAGCGCCATGCGCCGCTGGGGAAGCAATCCGGGACGTGTCGGTTGGCCAATTGCGATTCGTCCTTCGCGATTGGCCAGATTGACTTCCCATCTCGCCCGAAGAGTCGCCCGAAGGCGCCGAACCTAGTGAGTGAGCGTTGGACACGCACGGCACAGGTCCAACAAGTCTCGCAAAGGCCCTCGTGATAACAGGTCGCGCGCCAATCTCTCAATGTCTGAAGCGAGGTCAAGACGGGTTTGCCCCGAAAGCACTATAATCAAGTGAATCGCGATTGGACAACCAGAGTCTTTGTGAAAGGCGACAGCTCGTATCTGAAGCTTTTTATGCTTTTTTAGATAGATAACCCATTTCAATCTTTCCCGTCTGGGAGTCTTATCCCACCGGCAAATACCGCGACACTGGTATACACATATAAAGCGGCCATGTACAGGACTTCTTGAACGCGTACCAGGAGCCGCCAGCCTTTTGCACTCATTTTGCTACCACGTCCTGCAAGGTACAGGGTTTCCAACAAGGCGCAGACCCTCGCAGGCATAGATTCAATTCTGCTGCAGCCATGTCTCCTATCCCCTTCGACCTACCCTCATGGGTTCCCAAAAATTCAGTCTTCGCCTCGGCCTTGCTGGTGCTCACGTCCTGTGTGACTGCCTGCGTGAGTATAGACGAAACGCCAAACCACGCCGAGTTCAAGTCGGAAAGCTGACTGTGATTTTTTCCGTGTCATCCAGACCATAGGTTTTGATGGGTCGATGATGAACGGACTCAATATTCTTCCGTCCTATACCGACTATTTCACTCTGACCACGGCCACACTCTCCCTGAACACGGCCTCGGTGTGGATGGGCAGTACCCTCGCCGGCCTCATCTGCGGAAAAGTGCCCGACTGGATCGGGCGAAAATGGGCACTGTTCTTCGCGGCCTCTCTGACCGTCATCGGTGTCATCATCCAGACCGCAGCCCAAAACATCGCCATGTTCGTCGTCGCCCGTACCATCATCGGGTTCGGGACAGGCGCGGCCAACGTCGCCGGCCCCAGCTTTGTCGCTGAGACGCTCCCCGTCAAATACCGTGCCTGGGGATTGGGGTGAGCAGATTTTCCCCGACCCACCGTATTATCGTGTAGTGTGCACGGCTGCTGACCATGTTGCCAGACTCTTCTACGATTTTTGGTACGTCGGCGCCTTGATCGCGGCGGGCGTCACATATGGCACCGCCAAATTCGAATCGACCTGGGCCTGGCGACTTCCGTCTCTGCTCCAAGGAATCTTCAGCGTCATGTGTATCTTGCTTCTGCCCTTCGTCCCGGAAAGTCCTCGTTGGCTGGTCTCTCAGGGCCGCAATCAGGAGGCACTAGTCTCCATCGCAGCCACCGGCTCCAACGGAGACCTCAATGACCCAGCCGTGCTCATTCAGTACCGCGAAATCACCGATACATTGGCCTTCGAAAGAAGCTACGAAAAGCCCTCGTTCATCTCCCAATGCCTCAACAGTGCGTCAACGCGCAAGAGAATCTTTCTGGTCACTCAGGTGGCCCTCTTCTCCATGCTGGCAGGAAACAACATCATTTCGTACTACCTGGGTACTATGCTAAATCAAGCCGGGGTGACCAACTCGACGACCCAGCTCGAGATCAACATCATCTTGAACGCATGGTGCCTCGTTGTTGCCATCGCGGGTACTTTGCTGGCTGATAAGCTCGGTCGGAAAACTCTGGCGGCTTCTTCACAGGCCGCTCTGACTGTCTTTATCTTCATCTTCGGCGCCTTGACCAAGGTCTACGGCAATTCCGACAACAATTCGGGCATATACGGCACCGTGGCCGCCATCTTCTTGTTCCAAGGCTCGTACAGCTTCGGTTGGACCCCCTTGACTGTCATGTATCCACCAGAAGTGCTGAACTACAGCATCCGTTCGGTTGGCATGAGTTGGTACACCTTCTGGAGCAATGGTATGGGCTTGATGTGCACATTCGCTTTCCCTTACGCCCTCGAGGCGATCGGCTGGAAGACGTACATGATTAATGGTGCTTGGGATGTGCTGTGTCTTGTGGTGGTTCTGGTCACCTGGGTTGAGACCAAGGGACGGACGCTCGAGGAGATTGATGAGAACTTGGACGGTGTCGTGCACAGCGAAGTTCCAAAGCTGGCGACGATTATGGGCGTCTCTCAGGATGAAAGGGAAGGAATCGTCAATGCATTGGATATCGCGACCACGAAGGAGGTCGAGGCACGAGCATCAGTGGTCGAAGTGCAGAGGAGCTGAGCGTAGGTTAGCTTACAAGAACGCTTTGTTGATATGTTTGAGTTGATATGTGATCCACTCTGAAAGCCGTGACAACATGATCAGTGGAATCCCTGTTCAAACCTTTTCTGAGCTACTACCTTGACTCCATGTCCCTGGAAGTATGTAGACGATCGCATCAGCTTCGGGAATTTGTCAACGGCGTCCAGTCTTGCCACCACCAGCGGCCAGCGGCATCGCATCCATCGTGCTCGAGGAAAATTGCTGCAGGATCTTCGGGCTCCATTATCAAACCGCCTGACCAAAACGGGATCTTGGTCTATAGTGTTGACTGAGGCATCACGGGTGCCGAATCGTGTCTCTGGTCTCAGGGAACTGTCTACTGTATCAATCGATCCAGCCGTATATCCAGGACTGATTCTTCCAGCCACAGGTTCAACGTTTCGTTGGAGCCGAAAACCACCGACCACTGTCTGCGTAGCTGTGGCCCTAAAGTAGAGACGAATTCTTCGTGTTCAGGTCTCAAGCGAGTGTAGAATGGTGCTCCTCGCAATTGGAAATGAGCTGCATGCTTCATTGCTTGATTCACCACTTTTTTTCGCACCCGAGGACGGTAGGGAACCGATGCTTTACTTCATTCAAGAATAAACTGACTATCTGGATCTCTTCTGTTAGTGCAGTATGCCAGTGGGTAAACCGGAGATATGAGATCTGTACAAGTGCAGCGACCAGTAAGTAAAAGATAGCAGGGTCAGCAAGGTGAGATATATCTTCATGGATCAGATACTCCTCAAAGATACCGGAGATGAATGACGCGGCCAGCGAAGTGAGTGGAGAAGGGGTCTGAGTAGGTGTCATCTCCTGGAAGAGCATGATTAAACCTGTGAAATATGGTATATGCAACTACCTCGACGTCAGGGAGTACCCCTTCAGTGATCGAGTCTATTGATCGAACAGAGTCAATGACTCGGGCACTCCCGCCAACCATCCCAACAGTTCAGCCTCCATGTCGAGCTTCTTATGGTCAGTCAGAGTACCTCGGCGATTATGCTCAGTCATATCACCTAAGATAGGCGTGATGCATACAAAGAGCTTGAAAAGAATACCATCTTGGTGGTGATCAAAATCAGAGTCTCGCAATGATCGGACATTGGTGTCTTCAGATTTACAGCCCTGGGGCTCCCGCGACTTGTGGCGATTTGATTATCCCAGGCTTGGTACCCGTCAGCAAGTATACTAGATGCGCTGAGATCCACCACCTACAACAAGACTCCACCAGATCTTGTGCCACAGTTTGACATCTGACAGTTCAGGATCGGGCTGGCGGAGCAGTCTGAATAGGTGTGCGAGACCGACACTTAAGGTGGGGCCAGAGACTACTGCTGTCAATTAACACATGTTCGGGGTCAGAGGGATTCAATCTACGCAGGAATATTGTAGTCACTATCGTTTCGAGGGTATGTGCCTCTGCGCCAGTGTAGAAAAGAATCTTTGCCTGCTGATAGCACAGTTGTCCCACTTCTGTAGCCTTTGCGCTCGACGCAACGGTGCTTCTTGCAACCAAGATAGCTGTCACCAACAATGAATTGCTGTTCGCCACATCAAGCTTGTCCAAATCAGGTTCGTCTATCAAAGGCATCCATGGAAGGCAGTGTCTCATAAATTCCTTAGCAGACTTTGCGAACGAGGCCCTTGCGGGGCCTCGTCCCTAAAGCCAGGGGCTGGATGTGCGCTTGTAGCGTGTTTGATGGTTTGACGCGCTTTGATCCTGGTGAGTGTCGTTTCCATTGACAGCAAAGTCTCCTGTGATGTAGCTGGACCGGCCTAAATAACTTGGCTGCTGTTTGGTAGGAGTGGAAGTGGCATGCTCGGGAAGTCCGCTGGCCGACAAATACTCCCTTGATTCATTGCTCCAGTGTAGCGATCAATACGATGCAGGTCTGCAGGTCTGCCATGGATCTTGTCGTGAAGTCGTTTCCTGATGTGCGGTCTACAGTAGTGGCTCAGTTAGCTCGTGACGCGCAAAGAGTCAGCTCATGATCATTATCATTATCCAATAGCCCTTACTGGTATGTCCTTACGGAATTGCTGCAATTGCTGCAAACAGCATGGACATGTTCATGCAGCTGTAAGTCACAGCGGATCTTCCGTGCATGGCAAGATGCCCATGCTTTGGCATTCTTAAGCATTAGCGGAGTGTGGGCTTCGTAAGTAGTTTTTGTAGCTGCGCCTTGAACGGACATAGCGTATGGAGGGCGTCGGTATCCTTGTTCTGATCGGTTCTTTGCGATGGATTCCAGTTGAGCATATCAGTGAGCCTCAGAGTGGTGTACCTGTAGGTATGTTTGGCTGATTTTCGTCTTCAAGACGACAAATCTCTTGGGTCTCCTTCTTGGTTGTGATGATGTTGTCGCTGCCACTTTTCGCGTTGTCACCTTGAGGTAGAGTGAATGAAACTTGAAGTTGCCTCGATAGAGTGAAGTCATACAGCTCGTGTTCTTGTCAACCACCGATTCAAAGGTTTGTATGATATACCCAACCCCGCTATCGGGAATGTCAGATGGGCGACGATCAATTAGACGAGAGTAAAACTGCGGTCACTGCTGCAATGGGACCTGATGATTGCTTTCGAGGCCTCCTTCAATATCGCGATGCCCACATCGTACGTGTCCCTACGCCAAACAACGACGGGGAAGAGGACCTTCGCCTTCCTGCGGCGGATTCGATCTCGAATCAGCCCGCTATCGACTTTCATGCGGAACTAAAGCACCATCTCGACCACATTACTGCGGAAGCAGACCTTGACCTCTGCGACCCTCATCGCGTTGAGATTCTCGATGATTTGGCAGCAGACGAAGATATCATTGAGCCACAGACTTCAAACATATCGCGAGTCGACTACGCCACCATTGATGAGTCGGTTTTGGATCCCTTTGACGATTACACACCAGGCTGGGAGATTTTTAGGAAGGGCGCACCGAGAGAAACTGTGGCGACGGATATCTCCGCCGAGACAGTAGCCTACCTGTTTGCCGAACAAGCGGCGGGCAAACTTGACCCAGACGACTTCCGACAACTTCTCAGCTTTCTGAACCAGAAGCCGAGATCGGGAGATCTGGGCGAGTTGAAAGAACTGACACACAAAAACCTTGAGTCCTTCTACGATAGTTGAGTGGAGGTAGCAGAACTCGGCTGACCAAGCCTTCTGGTCCAGAAAATGCCGATCTTGGCCTTGTGTTACATGTCGCGTCCACAGAAGATGAGATAGAGGGATTTTGGGACGTTGAAAGCAGAACGATACAATTGTTGATTGAAAAAGGTGTACTGGACCAAGACGATTTTGTGTTCGCTTTCGATTGGCATTGGCGCGCTGAAGGGAAGAGAAGCAAACGCAAAGGCCCTTGTCCGACCACTGCATGGTCTCGCCAGTTGCGGCTCCTACATAACACCTTTTCCGCAGCCTTGCTTGAACAACTACCACTGCCGCTTCTTATCGTTTCCGGGGCATGTCCGGTTCGGCAATACTGGAACACCCTTCCACCCGCCGCCAGACACGTCGAACTCAAGATTTCGATTCCAGACCCCCCAGGTCCCAATGCTGAGATCGTATTCTATCTTGATTTTAGAGAAAGCGGTCTCAGACGCATCGTAGCCTGTGTCGATCACCCATCAGCCGTATTCTTCAGGAGACAGAACTACCATGTCAACATTCGCCTCGATGCTGTCTTCAACTTTTTCTTATGGCTCAATGGGAAAAACTATGATGAAACAACCTTCACGGGGCGAAGAGCTGGAAAGAGTGCAGGTCTTCGATGCCCACAGCCGTGGAAGGAGCTGCACGAGTATAACAAAAAGGAGAAGGCACTTGGTCGGTACCTTGTGCACTCAGACTACGAGCAATCTTTTCTACTCTGGGCGAGAAAGTACCTCGAGGACGACCCTTCGGCAATACTAGAGAGAGGAGACAGCCTTGCTGCACGAGTGGATCATCAGTTCAAGAAGCATGTACGTCTTGCCCTTGCTAAACGCTACGGACTTGAATACGCAGAATATTGGCATAATAAGAAGCCCAAGGTAACGGTGGCAACCGGACCGACCAGAATCCAGCTTTACATTGATCCTGGGAAGCCAGCTTTACAGCTCAAAGGCCCTTGGGAGCTTGGAGCTATGATCAACACCTCGCTGCTAGACCTTACCATCAAGTTTCGGGATGACCACGTGGCCCTATATCTAGGGTTGAGGAAAGTTTTCGGCCAGTCACGGAAAAGCCTCACTGAGGTTGGCACTCAGGTGACCGAATGGGACCAACAGTTCGAAAAGGAGTTGAGGCGGTCTAGGCTGGTAGGCAATGATCTTGAGAAGCAAGGAAGCGCCACGAGTCTGTTATCAGAGTCAACACGGCAGACCCAAGCTCCAGCAACAGAAGTATGGGTGACCAGACGCAACCGAGGTGAGCACAAGCACTTACATCTATGTATCCGATCAAAGCACCTTGTCGGGAAGATGGCAGGCGTTGAACCATGGGATGGCACATGCAGAACGGGTTGCGTTTTGCAGGAGGAACAGGCCAAAGCCTCCACCAAGATGCACGATGACATCGACAATGAGCAGGCCAAGTCAGCGAATACTCTTAAGACCCACCGTTCAGATTATCACAAAGCATACTACGAAGCCAACAAGGAAGAGAAACAGGCCAAAAATCGGGCATACTACGAACGAAACAGAGCTGAGCAGAATGAAAAAGCGAAGATACGCATGAGAGCCTTGCGTCAACAGCGAAAAGCCGCTTTCGAAACCGGAGCTGCCGTTGTTAGCAAGCCAAACGTAGACTAAGAGGATATTTCAGTGACACCGCAGACTTCCGTTACCTTTCCGAACTTTCTTCTCTGAAGCGCAGATATTATGGCACAAAGGTTCACATGGCTACTACTTGGGAGAGATGAACAGTATGGTCTGCTTCCGAACCATGAATGGGTACCAGAACAATTTACCAATGTTTAGTCTCGAAAACGACATTGATGAGTTTGTACAACTACGCTGGTAATGAAGAAAATGATCGGACATTCGATACCTGGACCTCCGGTGGGGTCTTGAAGTCTGAATATGCAGTTGATGCTGGGAAGCGAGATCGAAGTTTACAATCAATGCTAGATTGCCTACATTGAAAGAGCGAAAGAACAAGATAGTTGAATCAAGTTGGACTGAGCTCTTCAGAGGCTGGGCCTTGGCCGTATCAGAGCATTACATAGAATATCTTTCCTCTCGATTGCATACGGTACTACTCAGACCAACAGTGTACGCATCTGCTGTAGCCTGTAGCATTGTGTAGGAGTTGAAGGAGAATTCAACGGCGATCTTCGGCACTTTCCGGTGATCTGTTCGGATCATCGTTTTGCCGAGAGCACGTGCGGATGTTTCGATTGTCCTTCGATGCTTCCCATGGTAGGTGCCGTAGATATTGATTAGGAGCGTGCAAGCCGGCCAGCGAATCGTCCCACACTTTTGGGGGCGTAGATGTCTTGGGAGCCAATGCCGGTTTAATGACGCCAGCTCTTCCTGTCAAAGACTCGGATGAAGATTTATGGTGGCCGACGTCTGAAGTAAATCTGAAGGGAGTTTACCTCGTCTCGAAATCTTTCTTGCCGCTATTGATGAACACAACTGCAGGCCTCAAAACGCTGGTCAACATCAATTCGATAGCGTCCCATAATCTGCGAATAAACGCCAGTGCATATGGTACGCCTGTGTTTACTGACGAGGCCTCCTTCGTCAGCTCTGACAGATAAAGCGGAATTGACCGGAGACACCGTTGCATTTTTTTGACTCAAGGACGCAGAGAATGGTTAGCCGGGAGATACCTCAGTTGTACGTGGGACATGCAAGGGCTTCTGCAGCCGTGAGGTAGAAACCATCGAGACAGAAAAACTCAAAGTGAGGTTGGTGCTTTGAGGATGCACCGACACTGGAGTAGTGATGAGTGCACATTTGACGCGAGTCAAGATCCCGACAAATTCGACGCTCGCATTGAGATGAACTGCTCAATGTGTGAATCAGATCAAACACATACCTTCTCAAACTTCAACACAGTCAACTCATGGTCGTCGAATCACACAGGCGATATACGACAGGAATCGTCGTTAAGACAAAACACAGCAATGTGAGATCACTCTCGGCGGTCTGAGATTCCAACAGTCCTGCGTTTGGTGATGCGGCGGCGGTTGGAAAGCGGGTGAAAAGGCATAAGGACCTTGAGCGTGTCATTGCATTATTCGTTTCTAAGTATTGGGTATCTTAATACCATCTAGCTTTAGCTGGCAAAGCATAAGAAGTCTTATAAGTCATGGAGTCTTCGTGACCCGTTGAAAAGTTGCAGTCAATCTCCGTTAAATGATGTTTGCGATCGTCATTCTCGATCGATTATCGCCCGCGGGGATATCGGGTGTATTCAGAGGTAGAGGAGGGAGTGTGCGCGGGTGCGGGTGAGGAGATGGATCTTGATCATGCATACGCTGCTGTCGTGTTTCGCACAGTCGCTGGAAATACTTTGCTGAATTCTCAATGTGCTGCCATCCACCCCAATCACGTTGTTCTTCTTCGGATAGGAAACTGTCCCAAGAAGGGGAGGAGACGGGGCGGGGCGGAAACTGTTCATTTTCTGTGTTCAAATTTTTGGGTCTGCCATGTTTTTGTCGACGGCTCAGGTGTGTCCCGGTCTCAGCGTTTCCCCAGACCCAACTGTTTGTGCTTGCTTGAAGATCCGCAGACAGGTAGACTAGTATCTCTTCGTCGTGCTCCGGGTCCAACGCACCACTCCGTTCGTAGTATTCGATCAGCCGACGTACGAAAAAAGAAAGGTACCTTCCGCAGCAAATATTGATCGACCGAGCATCATTAATGGTAGATGCAGCCCTCAACATCAGGTAAAATGGGTCGAAGAATTGTCGAAGGAGGAGTAGAAGCATGCAACGCAACAAGTGCGTGCAAAGAATGGTGGTCGAGGAAAGAATGAACCTCTGCTCCCACTCATGTGATTGTATATGAGGTGTCATGCATCTTGACAATATGGTCGCAGTATCCCGAGCCGCGTGGACGCACTGTTCGATGGCCTGCGCTCGTTGTTCTGGCGAGGAGGAGGGTGATAAATTGTGACGATGCAGGAGCAACCGTGTATTCTGAAAATATAGAATGGGTGCCATGATGCAAGGATCTAGTGGCGTAGTGGTTGATAGCTGTAAAGGTTGGGGCAGCAATTGAAGACAGTCCCCCAGGTGCGTTTCGAACTTTGTCAAGGCTTCGTTCGTAATGCAGAGGGAGCGAAACATCTTTGCCAGTGGTGCCATGAGTCTGGAAACATAGACGCCCGCCAACAGCAAAGTGGCTGGAAGAAGAGTTTCTACATCGTCGGCTACCAGTCTTTCTTCGTCCAAAACTTCGGGGTATTCAGTGTCGCATTCGTCGTCGTTGATCATCATAGGTTTGCCTAATTCCAGCGCCAGAATTCTGTATGCATTAGCACCCAAACCATTCAGACAGCCATGTTGCTTCGGGTCTTACCGATCCCACACGTAGAATGAATACCATATCCTCTTACGCATTTCTCCCTCTATAGGCGACCACTGGCCACCTTGAACGTGTAGACCCAGATCCTGGACTGTCCGAATAGCAGAGCCTAGCCAGATCCAGCTTGCCGATTTCCTGTTCATTTCCACCAGCGCAATACTCGCGAGAAATGCCACAATTGCTTGATTGATTGTCACATCGTCTTCCCAGAAGTTAATGGTGGCGATCGCCCGGGTAAGATAGTTTTGAGCCTCTTGTACCCTAGTAACGTCATGTGTAGCCAACGCGCCGCATGCCAGCACACTATATAGAGTTGCGACCCAGTCGATGGGCAGAAGTTGCGTATTTGGTTGCTCCATGGCTATGGCGAAGGTGCGCTGGAACTTGGGCCAGTACAAGACAGGGAAATGGCGATGTACGCATTCGTGATAATAGTGAAGCAGACGTTCTGCAACCGGTCGCGAGGGCAACCCTTGCAGATCTGAAACATTCGACGGTGTAATATGTGACCGTGGTTGCGCCCCTGTGACAGGGGGCTTCAACAATCCACGACCCACGTCGTATAAGTGAACTCTTGCATTTGTTAGATCTTGCGGAGACCTTGCTTTCAGCATCCTCCGCGGTGACTTTCCAACCGTGGGGAAGTCTGAAAAAACTAATGAGGCCATGTCAGGACGGAATTGGGGGGCAAGGTCGTTCCTCTGCTCGGCAGCCCGCTGTCGGTCGATCTGTTGACGAGCTTCATTTAATTGACGCTCCAGATCCTGGACTTGTCTATGAACGTCAGAGAACAGTGGAGGCAGATAGAAAAGTGCACTCACTTCATCGATGACATGCGGCGATTCGTGTCTTTTGTGAATTGGCAGCGGACGTTTCGACTGGAGCATTCGGTACAGCTTGATGTCTCTGTTGCGTCGCACTGGGGACAATTAGCCAACGACGGGAACCCAAGATCCTGGGAACGGCCACCTTAACTTTGCGCTCACGACACGCGTCGCAGCTTGGGTCTTTTCTTCTCTGTCGATACGCCCGCTTCGGATTGTGCATCATCACGGCAGAAATCTGCGCGGGCGATGGGGTGCCGCTTCCGACGCCTCCTGCCCGCAGCGATTCGCCCAGGTATGAAAGACTGTCGTGCGGGGAGGCAGACTCAAGCTCGTGAGAAGGATAAAATGAAGACATTGTCGATGGCTCTTGTGGTGACAGGCCGGGACAAGCGTGCGCAGGGAAGGAAGGCACTGACCCGGGTTGTTGGCTCTGATCGTGGACACTCACTGGCGAGGTTGAGGAAGCGCCGGTCGGCGAGTCTTTCACGACATACAAATGGCTCTGCATCCTCTCGGCCACGCGAGTGATTATCTGCGGACAACAGCCCAACACCACTCAATGGTCGTGATGGTGAGCAGACTGATTTCGAGTGTCGAGGCATCCCACTGTCCCCTGTCTATTTGCCCGAGACAGGACAGTCCAGGTCAAGAAAACCTGCAGGAGCTAAGGTTGAGATGGCTATGGCGCAGAGGAAATACAGGTCAAAGCCAGCGACCTCTTCGAATCACGGTGGCGACGAAGCGAGATGCAGTGTTGATGGAGACTGGCCAAAGTCCCGACCTTGGCCGTATGGTTCCACGGAGGGAAAGCGACAGTGGCCCACTACGACTGGTCGCCACGTCCACAAACAGGACAACCGAAATTGTCGTGCGCACGTCGCAAACGAGACCTCTGCATGGGTGGTAGGTGCCCTGGGCAAGAGTTCGTCCACGACCTGAGAGAAACAGAAGCCGCGGCCGGCTTGCGATCGAGTCAACTGATACGTCGATCCTATGCCGAGTAGAGGCAGGGGGCCAGATCGCCACGGCTAGTAGGAAGAGGCCAACATGGGGGGAAAGGTCCCAGAGGGGAGGAGAAATCAGCGAACAAAGAAGCGCAAAGATGAATCACCTCATTCCCATGGGCACGAGTATCGCACACCTAAAGAAAAAGAAGACATGCTCCGGCGACCACCTCACGACGTGAACTGCCGGAGTAGCGCGTGGCTTAGGGGGGCGCGAGGAAGGATCCGCTTGAGCATGATCCCAGGCGTGGTTTGGATCAGGACAGGATAGGATAGGAACTGCTGACCGCAAACCTCAGTCAAGCCTGGAGAAATGCAACAAAGCCAAATCCAAGCGTGGACGAGCGTCGAGATGGGTTCGGATTGATCGCGGGCCTGGAAAGCTAGGAGATGCTTAAGCAAGCCCCGGTTCTGTCAGCCGAAGTAAAAGAAGCTAGCCACAACGCCCTGACAGCCGAATGGGGCATCCCAGACAGGGCCAGCCTCCGAGCGGTGTACGACAGAAAAGCCCACTATGCTCTTTCGAAACGAGCTCCCCTGTTCGCTGGCCAAGTCATCCGTACCATGGAAACTTCGGGGCCTAGTCTCTTCTGCCATCGAGCCCGACACAAGAGTTTGACTCTTGAGGCCACTAACTTAGACTAGGCCTTCGTACGGGCCCGCAACCATTTGACTGTGATCCGTGGATTGATGATCTGTAGATGACGCTGGGATCAGCTGTTCCGTCAATCTTTGTCAAAGGAGTTCGCGCTACGTAGATGATAGACTGCAGGTGAAGGAAACGAGAGTGTCGTCAGGGCGCGAGGTCTCCGGATCAACGGCCCCTTCAACTTAACACAGCACTCTCTGCAAGTCTTGGAAACATTCCAGCCTCTAGGGTATTGTGGCCTGTGGTGGGCTAGCTAAATAACGCGCGCAGACTCCATCGCCTGTTGTAGCCGCTCTGTGGAGGCGGACCGAGGGTGATCATGAACCTTGCCTGAGGCTACTAATGAGTGGGCAACTGGAGGCGGCACCACAGCGGGCCGTTGGAGGGCATGACCTCTGGGTCTCCGGGCTTGCTGCCGGTTCGAATTGCTCTGTCTTCAAAGATCTGCTTTTTCGATCGGCCTTGTTCATCTTGTTGGCATAGTGTGATATAAGTGTTCGCCGTCTACCGTAAGCCCAGGCTACTAGGCAGGCCTCAGAAGACTGCCGCGGTCCGTAGCCGAACTGCAGGACTCGATCCTCCACAATTTTGAATTGACCTGGCGATTCAGGCAGGGTTGTGGAAGGAAGTAGCAGCGGATGCATATCTCAGACAGGTGTCCATCTTTTCCTTCAGAGCTACTTAGCTAGCCAGGGCCAGCAACGCCGTCGGAATTATAGGCTGGCCCATCCCTTTGAAGGGTTTTGTTGAACTGCAAGAGGAAGTATTTGGACAGAGAGAGGGCCCATCGTCGACTGGGGAGGGAGTCAACAAGCTCCACCGAAAGCTCTCCCACTTCCTGGAGACTGGAAGGGAAACCTGTTTCTCGTCGGTTCACTCAGCGGCCTTGCCAAGTTGGAAGACATCCCCGAACGCAGTAGTGGAATAATGTCCTCTGGTCCAAGGAGTTATCGCCTCTAGCCTCTTCCAAATTTACCACTTCGGGCTCCTGTTGCTGAATACAGAATCAATGGATTTAAGGTTGACGGACTACTTTCTTATCCTCATTCTTGTATTGATGGACCGATGGGGGAGCATCTTCTCAAGGGATGGCCCCGGTTCTTCTCGTGCGCCGTCGATCACGGCCTAAGCCAGTTGTTCCACGCAGGTTGTCGTCCGAGGACTCCAGGGTTCCCACAGCCGATAATCTAGTGAAACATAACTCCGTGGACGGTAGAGATGGCCTGCAAGGTAAGATTTGCGGTGCTTCGTCGCAGCAGAACAGACATGGATGCTAGCCCAACGCTTGGGTTATGGAATTACAGCACTGGTCAAATCTTCCAAGAGGCAAGGAACCTGAGACAACCCATGTATTCGGCCTGGTCAAAAGCAGGAGAAATAAAGGTCTCGGCGCATTGTGGGGCTCTGACTGGCACTGTACGGTAATAAGTGTTCTGGAATTTGACTTGGCCCGCTGCTAACTAGGATCCTTGAAGCTTCAGAAGGTCCCGGGGTTCCCAACCAGGGACTCGGAAGTACAATACACAGTACGGGCATAATTGCTCAGACCACGCTAGTCCAAAGTAATTTACCGGGAACCGGGCAAAGACATGGCACCGTGCTCATTATGGCCACTCAATCGTCCAATAGCCCAGCGTGGCACCTGGTGTGCTAAGGCTCGACGGCCACCGCGACGGGGGCGCGATCAATCAAAGCCACCAATACGGTGATGCTAGGTTGGCAATTCCAAGGAGGATGTTGTCAGTGGTGAGCTAACGCCGCCTCCCAAGAGTGACAGGAGGTCAAAATCATATCCAAAGAAAAGTAGGCAGGTCGGGCTAAGTAGGGTTTCTCGGTATAGACCAGGCTGTCCGGGCCCCGAGGGCGGAGTCGGCTTCCATAGAGTTGTAGTTTTGCTGCCTATTTTGGCTGGAGCGCTCTCACTAGGGCCCCCAGATCCCGGCAAACTAACTAGTGTTGCAGAGAAAGTGTTCTTGAACAGTTTTCGGAATCCCGGCTCAGAGGTCCCCAGTCCAATATGATAGCGATTGAATCCAGAATACTGGGCCTGCAGTTAGTGGGCGAAATGGTGCAGTAACACATCAAATCTGTCACCAGCAACGGCGCCCAGTACAGTTTCAAGGGCAAAGAGCCGCCCTCTTTCTGGAAAGAATGTAATTCGGGGACCAGACTCAATGCTCGGAAGCATACTTGCGGTCACGGTGGTCAAATGGATTCTAGAAAACCCCCGGCGCGCACCACCTCAGCCCGCCTCGGAAAATTAGCAACTGGAGCCCTATTGTCAGGTACAAATGGCCATAGGCTCGATCTTCTGCTGTCCTAATTCGGGACGCAGCCGAAGAAGCAATCTCTCGGATTTCGGTAAAGAAGGTGTTGGCAACACCCATGCTAAAAGGTAATAGTGAGCCGTTAGTTGCAAGTTACAAGGTGCAACGCTGCGATGGGCGTCACTGCGTCAGCCCTATAGTCTTCTCCTCGGGGGAGCCAGGTGGGGTTCAGGGGAAGATTGGTTTGCCATGGGTAACATCGTCATGTTCTCGAAGTTAGCTAGAATCAGGTTCTTGAAGAAACGATCACTTGCAAGCCAACGACGCTAAATTCCAATGACTGTTCACGGCACGGGAAAGTTGACACTTGCAAATTGCAACCAACAGACTGTGGTTGGCTATCTGCAATCGGCATGGCCGTACCCATTGATTGATTCTTGACAGTTGCTGGTGACTCCGGTTGCGACTCTTTGAATAGTCTCAAGGACTGTTTTCAGTTGTAGTCTGAGCGCCAGTCAAACGCTATCTTGTCACGACGAGTTTCGGCGAGTTGGACAGCATTACGAACATGGATTGCATCAGATACAGAGGGATGCTTCTGTGAGCTTACCTTTCCGACAGCTATCGAATCTACGAGTCCGTCCCAACAGCACACTCGTTGAATAGCAGCTTCAGCGAGGCTTTCGAGCTGGGATGTAGAAATAGAATGGCGCTAAAGGGCGAAGAGACCGCAGTCTTCCTAAACGTTGTCAAGTACTCGTAGCTGCAGGCTAAACTTGCCGGTGGTTTTTAAGAGAAGACATGTCGTGTACTAAGTAAAGCGTCCAAGCTGTCAAGATCGCGCTAGGTCTTGATCCGGAAGGCCGAAGATACTGTAGGGTAAACCCGGCGCGTGCAAAGTACCTAGCTTGGAAGGATCTTCTAGACTCTGAAACATCACTTTATAGTTTGATGGTGACAGCTGGGCGTAACAATGGTCGTCAGTGCTAGTTGATCTGGTTGGAGCTAGACAGTCCCTTTCTGGCAAAAATCAGACATCGAACAGCAGAATTTACGATCAAAAGAGCCTGTGTGTCCGATCCGGCGCAGGATTTCCCGCATCCAATCCTCTTCGAACATTAACCCTTTCTGGATATAAGAAACAATATTACGTGGACGGGAATTCTTTCGGGCTTATCATTTCCCTCTTACTATGTGGAGCGGACGTGGTCTTTCAGGGTCAAAGTTAACACCATCCTCCTTTTCGCGACAGCCATGAAGAACTCTAACCTCTGATCTTCCACTCTGCCGCAGCACCGTCACTCTATCTGGCACATCATGCGATCAGGTCGTCACCACCATTACGCGGCCAACAAGACTTCTTTTACGTCAAAAGAAGTCAGACTCTCGGAATCCCCTCGCACGGGGAATTTTCCAGAGTTTGAAATTGGACCCATTCCTCGAAGCTCCATTCGCTGCAGTTCCAACATGGAAAGGCACCGATTTGTTTGCCGTTGACCACGGTTTTGGCATCCATGAATCTATCGCCAATTGAGAGGAGTTTTAATAAAAACTCGTCTAGACTTTAAGTCCTTCTCTCATTCCATTGCCGCATTATTTCGGACACGGCAACCGTGAACCCTTCCATTTCTTCTTCAGTAGTGGTGCCTGCGAAGTTCATGCTGCAGCCAACGTAGACGGGTTGTCTCATTCTCCTGGCCAGAACCTTGGCCATTCTCGTGGCGTAGTCTATGCTCGACCCAGACGTGGCGAGCGGAGTGCTGATTATATCGCCATCGCTCCTCAACTTTCGCTCGTCAGTGGGGTAGATCTGTGTTACCGCGTGGGCTTACCTCGACATACATTAGGCATGGCGTAGACGAAACTTCCCAGTGGCGGCAAAGAGGTTTGTGACCGATCGAGATCCGTAGTCGTCAGATGAACCATGACACACGTGCCCAGGGGAGACATATGAGCGTGGAAGTTGAGATGTGGATGTTTAGGTAGCGGGAATGATATTTCGATGGGTTCGAACGATGGTCCCTCCATCGCGACTTGTATGGATGCGCTTGCTGAGAATCTGACGCAGCTACCAAGTTAGACTCTGCAGAAGTTCTTCGTTTGGCATTACTCAGGGCTTTTGATGATGGTGGAAAATGCACGATGTTTCTAGAAGGTGGTGAGTGATGGAGGCTCATACTCCTCCGGCTTTGGGAAGATATTATATTTCGTTTGCTTGGCGGCCTCAGCTATAGTATTTAGGTACGTATATTCACCCATCTCATGACGATGCTCTTCGATGTATTCCGCAGTCAGAATGCTGCATTCTCTTTTACTATTGTCTGGCCTCACCAAATAAGGATTTGTAACTAATGGGCTCCAGCTTCGCAAGACGTAGTCATGGGTCCGAGTGCAGACTATGTTCCATATTGAGAGCGATTCACGATCGATACCCAATCGGGACTAATGCATTAGAAAGCAGGCACTGGTTGTCTGCAACCACTTTGTACACAATCCCCAAATCCAGAGGACGAAAGTGCGGGATGCAAGGAATGCCAGTGATTCAAACGCTCGGCAATTGATATTTTATAGTAGATACATACGTACCCAGGTAGATAGATCGCCGAGACGAATTCCGAATGCGGACAAATGCCCCACAACTTTAATTTGTGGAATATGATAAAGAAAATTTCATTTGTTCTCAACAATTCCTCGATGGTCTAGTGGTATGTCTTATTCATCATCTTGTCTCTACCAGTCTATCTGACAGACATTAGGTCATGATTTCCGCTTGTCATTCAACAATCAATCTTCTCTGGTTGCGTTTACAAGCGCGGTAAGCATAATCGCCGGCAATGCCTCTACAGCAAAAGACTAATAATCTCAATAGGGAGACCAGGGTTCGATTCCCTGTCGGGGAGTAATATTTTTCGCCTTTTTCTGGGCTCTTGATTTTTTTTAAAGAATGAAATTCAAGGGATATGTATATTGAAGAACATCCGCCGCAAGCATGTCAAGCAAGAGCGGTGTTCGACTGCGTGATGCATGTCCGGCCCCAGGAGCATGGCACGTGACCGCACATGCTAATGCCTGTCTCATTTTATCGCTCAATCATCTCCATCTTGTAAGCCGTGCATACAATCTCTTGAGCAGGTAAACTACCGCTAAATAAGACCCTGCAAGATTGAGATCTTGGCACACTGAGTTGGCCGTAAGGGTTTTGGTACTTCACGACTCGCCTTGAGGCCGGAGTCAAGGGTTTGGGCTTTGAGCACCCTCGGTGAGATGTGACGAAGCGCTTGACGAAATCTGCTACCATTTGTCTCGTTCATCCACTGGGTATTCTGTATGGCAACATTGAAGAAGCACCCTTGTTGTTCTCCTCATACAGAATACCAGGACTTGGAGCGAGCAACAGCGAACGCGAGGCTGTAGGTGGGCTAGAGCGGCATCATTCTTGTCCCAGAGAGGGACGAGCTAGGCGTGCGTTTAGAGCCTCGCACAGCCTGATAGCCACCTACAACACTTTTCAGTTTGTGCCATGGCCAATGCAATGGTATAGCCCACTGCTGGAAGAACACCTTCAACCAAACATGTCCCCCAATGATGGCGAAAACATCGCCAATGACGGTGATGAACCTTCACTCTCCAAGCCCTTGTTCGAGGATATCGGACCGTTGAGCGATCCACTGGAGCGACAGGCGATTTTTGCTGCTCTAGACTCATACTAGTAAGTCAATGTGATGGAACGGATAAGATGTTGGCCCTGGAACAGTCTCCCCTCGGAAGTCGCTCAGACAAAGCAAAAGCAAGGCCAGAAGCAGATGCAGCAGCAAAACCACCTACCTCGTCTTGCTAACGTTGCTAACCCCGCTGAAGCCAGTATCGGAAAAACACACACTACAACACCACGCACCGACGCCGTCAAAACCTCTATGCTCTCCCTTCGTCACAATGGCAACTGCTCTCCAAACCGCCCATTTCTCTTCTGGACACTCTATCGGCCATCGACGACGCAATCGACTACAACGCTGACCTCGCCGACGCAATCCTCGATCTGGGCCTGAGCTCGTTCGGTCTGGACGAGCAGCAAAGGCAACAGTCTAATGACCCAGCCTTGACATGGCGCGGCGCCGCCAAACCCAACGACCTCTCCAAAGCACATTCGACCATCCGGCAATTCTACCGCGACTGGTCCTACGAAGGGTTCACGCTCGAAGTCAAACCTCTTCTCGACACAGTCCTCTCCGACCTCCAGGCCAACCTCCCACTCAACCCAACCTCCACAACAACGACTCCAGCAGCACCACCACCACCAGAACTCCTCCTCCCCGGAGCCGGTCTGGGCCGCCTACTCTTCGAACTCTGCCGAGCCGGCTACAACGCCACGGGCAACGAGATCTCCTACCACCAACTCCTCGCCAGCAACTTCATCCTCAACTGCACGACCCACGAGGACCAGTACGCCATCTACCCTTCCGCGACGACCTTTACGAACGTCACGTCCCGCCGGAACCAACTCCGGCGCCACACGATTCCGGACGTCCATCCTGCCACGGCGATCCAGGCGCGTCTCGACCATGGTCTCCCCGTGGGCGAAATGAACATGGCAGCAGGCGACTTTATCCTCTCGTACTCGACGGCCGAATGTAGACACGCGTTCGACGGCGTGGTCAGTGTCTTCTTCATCGACACGGCGCCCAACCTTATTCGGTACATTGAAACCGTCCGGAACTGTCTTAGACCAGGTGGTGTCTGGATTAATATTGGACCGTTGCTGTGGCATTTTGATGATCGCGTTCACGGCGGAGACAAGAACAGTAACGATAAGAGTAACGGCGATGACGATGATGACAACGATGACGATGTTGATCGTAACAATGAGACGGACGCCAACACTCACCCTCACTCTCACTCTCATGACGCCCAACGTCATCATTCCCCTCCACATGGACGGCCACATCCACATCCACATCAACGTACCCATCCCGCGGAAATTGAAGACAAAGGCATAGCCGAGCCAGGGTCGTTCGAACTCTGCGACGAAGAAGTAATCCAACTCCTTTCACAATGCGGGTTTGAAATTCTTCGGCATGAGATTCTTGGAGGAGATGAAGATGAAAACGCCATTGACCCAGCATCAACGACAGCATCACGAGCGCCATTCGGCTTCGGTCTCGGGTACATGCAAGATCCATCGAGTCTTCTACAGAACCGGTACAGATGCAGTCACTGGGTAGCGCGACGCAAGGCGTGAAGAGAATCGACGAACGGACAAGGAACTACAGTACGAGTGTAGATAGGACTTCTGCCTACCTACCTACCTACCTACCAACTTTACCTGGACCAACCAGCCTGCCTACCTTTACCTTACCCAACCTGTACTTAGTATTTAGGAGGTAGTCAGCTACCCTACCTCGCCTCACCTGGCTAGTCAGTCAGAAGAATCGGTACACGAGGTAGATGTCTTAGATGATGACCTGTTCCCTACCTACCTACCTACCTACCTACCCACCCACCTACCTACTTCCCTACCTACGCACGTGGGGTATTTCCTGTACTCACTGTAACCAAACATCATAGATAGATCAGGTACAACGGACATCACACACCGGCCATCAGACACCACGGACAAGCAAAAGAAGAAGAAGAAGAAGAAGAAGAAGAAGGGGGGGAGGGGGGAGGGGCGGGAAGAAAAACAAAACGAACCCCCTCAGAGTCCAACATCCATCGCACATGTCCAGCCACTTCGCGTCGCTCGCTGGCTTCTAGATGCTTAGTAGATGGATACCTCACCTGCCTAGCTATTCAATTTCTTTTACGTCGTCATGAGTCGGTCCATACCTAGGTAACAACTTCACACCCGTCATCGTCTTTACCCCTTACAACTGATATATCCCAAGGTCGAAAACCCTCCACTTTGTTCTGCTGATATAAGATATAGACCTTCCGCGAAAAATGTACGTCTCACTTGGAGAAAAAGTCATATTGGTTGATATATCTATCCGTCTTCTTCCACTAGAAACTCGTTTTCGTCTGCTTGCTACTTCACAGTACCTTCATTGCAAGACCCCTTTTCGTCAACTCTCCTTTCTCTTCAGTGTCTCATCGGCAAGCTTTTCACACTCGACCAGATTCTCAAATTTCCCTCGTATCACTCACGGAACTGTGACTTTCAAAACTACTCCCCCATGCCCTCGCGTTGTCGTTCGGGCGTATGACATCCACATAATTTCATCTCTGTTCGTGTGGTGGAGTCGATCCACAAGCTGGGAAAAGAAGTGTGCATCCTGTTCACATCAGGAATTTCTTGTCAACATAATTTTGCGCCACCCATAACATCATCATGCAAAACAAACCGGTCCCAACGCTCCATCGCTATTGCCAGAAGAACCGATCCAAATGGTCGATGCCAATCATAGTGGACCACCGATACCAATTAATCTTTACGCGTCCGTTCGATCCTCCGCAGGACATCACGAAAACACGCACCAAGTGAAGGTATTATCTGAACCGAGCCGTGCAACGACCCATGACTTCTCCTTGGCAGACGAGTTCGGCGTTGAACTCTGATCCGTCTAATGTGAGATAGATGTCGAAGTAGACGCGGTAAAATGTTCCTTGAGGTGTGTCCATGCGTTCAAAATCCTTTTCAAGGTTCTTTCTTGACAAATCCGAGGTGAGTGTGACAACCTCCTTGATACGGGGGTCTTTCGTGTATTCAGGACTGGGAGCAAATGGTCAGCATAGGCTCTAGTTTTATCAATGACATCCGTCTTGTCGCCACTTACCAAACATCTTCATCGCAGGCGTATAGGATGTCTTCGTACATCAACGTGGCACCTGGTGCAACTTGTCGGAAGAATGATACCTTCACCGGCTCGCCAATCTTGACCCTTTCGCCCTTTTGAACGAAGATCTGTCTGGTATATTTGCATCGGTCTTTGCCATCAAGACTGGGGACTCGGTATTGTTCTGGATGATAACCCTCCTTGAAAGGCTGCAAAGTTGCCATGAGGTAGTGTCTGCGGGCTACACGGGATGTAACAACTCGCTCGGTAATACCTGCCGTAACCGCACCCTTGACGATGGCAGCGACCGAGTCCATGGGACGGACAACTTTGGACTGGAACTGTGGCGGCACGTGAAGCTTGATTTGCTGAAAGAGGTACTCAGACGCGCCGAACCCACCAACCACCAGAACATTCTGCAAAGATCTGTTTTGTGCTTGAATGGCAATGATCTGGTTGCGGACCAGCTCAAGGATACGGTTGACGACCGGTTCGAAGCACTGAAGGATTTCTTCATTCGTGAATGTCATGTAACCTTCTTCGATGCCGGCTTCGGGAAATTCAGCTTCGATACCGACATCAACAGCCCACTTCTGGCCGTTGTTGCGGAAATCAGCCTTGATTCGATTCTCAAAGTCCATAATACATTTCGCATACACTCTTCCGGCAGTTTTTGAACCATCGGGGAGTTTCATTCGTCGGATCTTGGCACGTAGGATGTTGGAGAAGTTGCGATTGAGAGCCGTAGAACCGCAGGAGTCACCGCTGCCAGCAGTGCATTCGGCTACCGAGAACGGAGTCTCTTCTTCGACTTCATAGGCGATCAGATCGACAGTACCACCGCCACAGTCGACAATCAAGACAGCATCGTGGATCTTGAGGTTGAGCAGTCCAGTCTTCGAGCAGAACATGGCGGCTGCTTCGGGTTCGGTGATCAGAGTCAGTCTGTTATCATTCTCATCTCGGATAAAGCCAGCTTGAATGGCGGCCGCCCGGGTCGCTGCTTTGCCTGCATCGTTCCAAATGGCTGGGACCGTCAAGAAGTACCGAATGTTTCGCTCCTCACGGTTGAACACCTCACCGAGCGTCTTCCCCAGGTACACTCGCATGGCATTGCGGAGTTTGAAGAGGTAGTCGGCCGCGACATCGATTTCCGACTTTCCAGGGGGTAGTGGAGGCAGGTTGATAGGATCTATGTATGTATTCCCGGACAACATGAGTTGGAGTTTGAACCATTCCACCTTTTGGACACCGGGCTTGGGATATCCCGTTGGAGCTAGTGCCTCTGCGATATCTGGACCCCAGCCAACGACTTTTTGATATTGATCATAGTACAAAACGGTAGGGATCTAATAAGATTGTCAGCGTATGTTTTATCTGACAAAGTCAGAAAGACAGGTCTTCACCAACCTTTTGCTTCGTCTGGTTGCCTGCGCCGGGCCATTCTGAAATTATATCTTCCTTGGCTTCGGTGTTCGTCGCGAAAGCGTATGCCACACCCGAGAAGGTCGTTCCCTGCAACTGCAATCAGTATCCGGCGCATAAGAAGTCTGACAGCACTGTCTTACAAAATCGATGCCCACAATGAGCTGAGCCTTGTTACGATTTGAAGCCTCGACCTCGGCAGCACGGCCAGGAGCATATTGATTGGCAGTATGCTGGATGCCAGGCTGAGGTCCGATCTGAGCATAGGCACCTCCATACCCCGGGGGTTGAGGAGGGCCTAGCTGGGGGTTCCCTCCCATATAGCCTTGTCTGGTATCGATGGGAGGAGGATGGTGCGCCATTTGGTTCTGCGGAGGCGGTAGGGGAGACTGAGGACGGCCCTGAACGGTCTGGTATGAATAACTCGGCGGACGACCTGGTGCGCCTTGCTGGTTCATGGGCGGCAGGCTGGTCTGGGAGGAATTGGGAGGGGGAGGAGTGGTAGCAGTGGTGGAGATGGAGCCGTTTGGCGAAGCGACGGAGTTGGACTGGATGTTGGCACTACTCTTTCGTTTGGAACCGAAGCCTAAACTCTTCAAGCGAGAGGTCATGACATCGACAAGAATGAGAGAAAGGTCGGATGGAAAGAGCAGTCAAATTGGCGGTCGAGTAGGAGTAGGCAACCTTGAGCCGTGACCAGAACGAAGGAAGGAGAAATACGAGGGCGAGGTGAGCGCAGTTTGTGATCGTAGTGGGCTGTAAGACGCGGGCGGAGGAGAGGTGGACGACGACGAGGAGTAGCAGCCTGAGGCACAGGTTACCACCGGCCTAGGGCCACTGGGCTGTTCGTAGGGAGGGTACTCGTACGGAGGAGTCGTAACGATACAAGGACCGGGCAAAGCTGACGGTCAGCTCAATGGAGAAGCGTGGCAGTGACAGCGGCGACTGGAGACGCTGGAGCCTCAAATAGCAGCCGAGCGAAGCTGGTTCTCGCTTGGTACCTGGAGTAATAATAAGCCGTCGGGCTGAAACTCAATGCCTGGAAGTGCTGCGCGTGGATCCTTGAAAGGCGACTTTTCGCGGCGGCGAGGACGTGATGGCGATGGCGAAGGTCAATTTGTCAGTGAGTGTTGTCGAAGGAGCAGGACGAAGAGATTAAGAGAAGCAGATCAGTCTGTGGTTGTTTGCATGATTGAACAAAGGTGCCCAAAGGTGCCCAGTAGTTGGGTCGCTGGTGCTGAGGGGCGGCCAAGACTTGTACCCTTACAGCGTACGAGGGGCGTCGAATGCTCCTCTGAGAAAATAGACAAGAGGTACGGAGTACAGAGTACATACTGTACTGTAGGTATCTAGTACAGTATGTGCAGGGAGCCTAAATACCTACGAGGTGGCAGCTGCGAATACCCTGCTCCGTACACACTGTACGGGATGTGCCCAAACACCTCGCTGAGCACCTCTCACTCTGCAGCGACCATCCCACTTCGTCAAACTGGCGGGGATCAAATCTGGTTTGATTACCGTGTCTTGTCCTGTCTTACTACTACCTGTAACGCCGTAGATTTGGGCCGAATCTTTCTTTGGGGGCTGAAAGAATATGAGGGACACATTCCACACACTTGCCTCTAGCGATTATTCAGTCCATCGAGCAAACAGCGGTGAGAACCGCCGCCGACTCCTCCCTTGGATACCAAAAGGACATTTTTTATCTGGAGAACTAGCCTCGCACCTTTTTGAGCCTCAATGTCTTGGATCCCCTTGAATACATCCTGATGCCGCTATTGACCCTCACGGAATGCATACCAGCCGCCGCATTCAGCAACGCCAGCACGTGGTTGCTGTCTCCGAAGAACTACTCGTACTGTGCTCCGTACCATGCAACAAGTAGGGCTGACAGAGACAGAGGCCTGTCTCGCGCTAAGTATTGGGCCGGTGTTCGTGTCGTCTCCGGGAGCCAATGGCCATGGTGAACACCATGGCCAGCCTGGACTGTTTGAACATTTGTGCAGTCTCAAGGATTCTCATTCCGCCACTGCGTGATCTCCTGCGTTTCAGCCTTTTTGTTCTGGAACATCCCACGCTCGCCTCGTGGACATGGCCACAGGTATCGTACAGGACATGCCCAGGTGGCCAAGCTAGTTGCTAGATATATTATCACTTGGCTAGTCTCCCATCTCGCGCGAGATCGCATCTTCACGTCCTCTTCGCCCTCGTGGCTTAACTGTGGCGCTGGAAGTTTCCATCGCCGCTAGGCCGCCGCTTCTTGTACTCATGCGGCTGCAGGAAACATGTCCAAGGATTGAGGCTAATGGCCATATTTTCTTCGATCGGTCAAATGATTCAGACTTATGCTATAAACTATTCGTCTAGAGTTCATCTCTTACACTCTTTGACGTCCCTGTGGACGAGGCACCAGACGCAGATGACGAGCTGCTACCAGTCTGGCTTACACTCTCGCCAGAAGACTTGCTCTTCTTCGTTTTCGTCTTTCCCTTCTTGTTGCCTTTAGGCTTTCGGGGAATGTCCTGGAACTTGACAGCTTTCATGATGACGTCCGACACCGCCTTCTGGACTTCTTGCCTGCGTGTCTCCAACTCGGACACCAAGATAGCTGGATCTTCTGTCAGGCCTAACTTATCTTGAAGTTTCGTCTTCTCAGCCAGCCACGCTTTGACCGTATCATACTTTGTTGTCAGTGATGACAGATCTTCTTTTGTGTATTCGTAAGGTTTAATGGCGGGTGCCTCTTTTGTTTCGGCTGCTTCGGCGGCCGACGAAGTACTGTAAGGGTCGTCCTCGAGATCATCACCGTCTCCCGCTGGAGTTGTAGAGCTGGCAGTGGCGCTGGACGCAACCGATGATACAGTCGTGCTAGCACTTGATGCCGCCTGTTCCAGTGCATTTTTAATATTGCCTTCGACCATCTTGATCATACCACTCATGTTCTCGAGACCGTCTTCCAGTGCCTTGATGGCGTCTGGCCGCTTGAGTGCTTCGTCTTGACGCTTCAATACAGGATCGACCAGACTGTGAAGCTGCTTCAACCTATCCTTGAAGTCCTGGGCTTTGGCGTCTGCACCGTCACCGTACAGCCAGTCGGAAATAGCGGCGAGCTGTTTCTCCAGTGCTTTCCGAGTCGATGCGCTTGATGCCTGAATGAAAGACTCATCCTCAAGGTAATCCCGCGCCCTATAGGTGAATGCTTCGAGAGTGTTCAAGGCTTCGGCACGAAGGATTGCATTTCGATCCGAGGTATCAAATTGTGTCAACCGCTGTCGGGACTTGGATAAGGCCTGTGTTGGCGGTGCGTTGAGACCTACGACGGTCGACTTCAAGGCGAGAGGGATTGATACTACCGAGGGTGTAGATTTGGCTGACTTGGCAGTGGATGAAGAGGAAGGTGGCGATGAGCCTGCCTTCGTGGACGAGGCTTCGGACACGGTACTCCCTGAACTCGTCGAGTCTGAAACTGGCAATGGAGTGACCTTGGTGGAGCCATCGTCACTTCCAGCGTCGTCCTCGAGCACCTTTTGGTCTTCATCTGTCTTCGATCCGAATCCGAAGAGTCCCTTGACGTTGTCCATTACACTCCCCGACTTACTGTTATTCGCCTCACAGCTGACCAAGCCAGACACTACCTCGGGCAGTCCGTCTAGAGAGCTAAGTCGAATTGCGAAAACTGTGCTGATATTTGCGGACCCACAGCCATGCTTGTCTTTCAATGTTACCACCGACTTGGTCAAGTTGGTTGCTTCGACATCAAGAATGGGAAGCTCCTTGCTCAGCGCTGTTTGGGTGAAACTCAGCTTAATGTCTTCGATTGCCTTGAGTGGAACCTGCTTCTCAGCACCAACCTGAGATGAAGGCGTGAAAAGCTTTTGCGATCTTTCCTTCTCGTCGGAAGACCACTTCAAAGTGAAAGTGCTTCCTGCGATATCGGTGTCGCGAATGTCCTTGACTCTGAAAGCCGAGCTCAAGGAAGCTGCTTTGAAGCCTGCCCCCATGACTGCAGCCTCATCGGCATTTACATTTGCCTTTAGCTTTCCAGCCCCACCAGCGGCTTTCTCGAGCTGCTTTTGAACAAAGGGGGTTCTAACAGCACCGCCATGTAAGATCACTGAGTCGACATCATCGAGCGTGAGTTCTGCTGATTCTAGAGCTACCGCCAGCGGAGATGCGACTCGAGCTGCATGGCTTGCTGTGAGATCTTCAAACTGCTCTCTGGTCAGACTATACTTGAAGGTGATTTCGTCGTCGTAGAGTCCTTCGAAAGTGGCCGAAGATGCTGCGTTCGCGCTCAAGAGCTGCCGCATTCGTTCGGACTCTTTCCAGATCCTAGCCATTGACTTTCCGTGTTTGCGCAACTGGTCTTCTTTGAGGTTCAATCTCTGTGCTCCCGGACTTTCCAAAAAACGACTGACAATGTCTTCGACGATGACATCGTTCATAGAGTCCCCGCCCAGCGTTGTATCGTACCCGGTTCCCAGCACAATTACTTCCTGGAACGTCTGGTTACGCTTCGTAGGTCCCTTAATGGTCCTGGATTGGAACTTGAGAACCGTTGCAGTCGTTGAACCTGCGCCCATATCGTAGACGAGATGGTGTTCTGGCTTCCCTCCATCCGACACACTTTCGAATGTGCGATGGGTTGCGTAGTTCAATCCGACTGCAAGTCCGTCACTGATCAAACCTAAGACTCTCAATCCTGCAAGATCGGCTGCTAATTCTATAGCTCGCTTCTCCTCTGCAGTGTAGAAGGCAGGATAGGTGATGACCACATCAGTAACATGGGTGCCTTTGGCTACCATTGCCTCTGCATTGCTCCGGATATTCTTCAACTCCATCGCAAGTAATTCCTCGACCATGAAAACCTCATTTCTCTTGCCGAAGCTATGACTCTTGAAACCCACGGTACCAGCATCTCCAGATCTTGATATCTTCTCGATGTCCAAGCCAGGATATCTCGCGGAATAAGCCTTGACTGCAGCCGACGATGCTTCAACCCCCAATAAAGTCTTCAAATTAGGGTAGACATCCGTGGGAAACCTGGCAGACAATGCGACGGCATCCCCGCCGTACAGTCTCTCGGGAAAGACATCTTTGTCGTTTGTTTGTCCTCGTATTGGTTTGAATGCAAGTGTGGCTGCTTCCCTCCTCTTTGAGTCTTTCGAGAGAACGATGTCAATTGGACTGCCTGGTTTTGCAATGGCCGCTTTGAAATATTCCGTCCCGAGGTCTATGCCCAAGACGGCCGAAGCAGCATGCGCACTGCTTGAGAGGAGAAGTAGAAGGAGGAAAGGGAAAAGAACGGTCAGGTAAGACTTCCGCCGCCCTGGAGGAGCCATTTTGTGTGAAGATGCTTGATGTGTAGACTCGAGACTTCTGTGGGAGGCGAGAGATTTACTTGACCTGCAAGGGCATCTCTGACCAGAAGGGCAATACAAAGAACGAGCGAGACGTGTTCTGATTCCGTCAGAATGGTACAGATGGCCACATCTAACTATTTCATTGCTTCTCAGGATTCTTGACAACTTGTCCAGTCGACGCGAGTCAACGAATTATGTCACTAGGGGAGAGGCTGAGACCGATCTTGAGTCATGAAAACCCACTGTCTGACAGGAAATTCTCGCTTGCCACAAAATGAACACGTTTGCTAAACGAGAAGAATGACGGACACTACTTGTACATGGCCTTCGTCATTCAAGACACCATCCTTCTACTTCGTATCATACTCGTCTTTTCGTGCTCTTGGAATCGCATTGCAACCACCTAAGGTAATATCGGGGGGGTTCCGATGGCAACTATTAAAACGCCCGCCCAACCCGGAGTACCTCTAGTATGGCTAGACTGTGACAGAATCCGACTCCCACAACCGAGGTCACACAGGACGACGTCCATAACTCATTCTTGCGCAATAGATTACTTGATTCTATTTCATTAGTCACGACTTGTGCCCGGGTGCTTCTGAAGTCAAGCTCCCAATGCCTGGAGTGATTTGACAGTATCGACCACCGTCTCGTCCAAACTACGGTAAGATATCCCTAGTATCTCCTTGGCCTTGCTATTATTGATGCTATAAGGTGGCATATCTCCGACAAGGTCGTCGCGGACATTCTTTGCGAGTTGTGGGAAAGATCGTTTGATGATATCGCCCATCTCTCTCTCCAACCCCATTCCTGCAGCCATGAATATCCGCTGTCCTGAGGCTTCGGGTTTCTCGATCGAGAGGACATGTGCCAAAGCGAGGTCGCGGACGTCGACGTAAATCGGAGAACCAACTGGTCCATGTCGCGGATTACCCAACATCAGATCCAAAATCCGTTTGCTCGAAGTATTCAGTGCGTCTAGAGAAGCCACCTCGTGAATCACAGGTCCATAGATCATGGGCGGATTCAACACGGTCAGCCCAAAATTTGGCTTTTGGGTCTTAACAAACTCCCATGCAGCCTTTTCAGCGAACGTTTTGCTTGCACGGTAAGCTGCTTGCGGATTGATGGTTGTAAGTGCTTCTTCCATCGTCATGTCGTTCCAGATCTCCTCGGTGTATACCTTTGGTGGAGCTTTTGGGTTCGCAATGGCCGCAAATGATGATGTGATCACCACATGCTGGACAGATGGAGCGTACTTGACAATGGCTTTGAGAATACCAGTAGTACCATTCACCGCCGGGTCTATCATGTCCCGTTTGTTGTCTTGCACATTGTAGTGAAAGGGTGAAGCGGTGTGAATGATGGCTTCAAAGGGTGGTTCTGACCTAACAGCCTTGTCGAATGCGCCTTCAGCCGCGATATCCTTGACGATCGTATAGGCGACGGGTTTCCCTTTGAACAGGTCTAGAAGAAATCGCCCTTTCTCGTCAGACCGGACAGTTGTGACCACCTGGTGACTTCTCTAGTTTAGTTGTCTGAATGACAAAATATTCCCACTCCCACTTACCCACGCTCGAGGAGTTTCTGAAGCACATGTGTTGCCACAAATCCGCTTCCTCCAGTTAGTAAGACCCTCATTGTCCTTGTTCAGCTATTTCAGCAGTCGAAGGTTGTGGGTTTGAATGATATTTGTGCGTGAGAGTAATCAAAGCATCCCCGTCCTAAGGCCGAGTGGGAGATTTAAAGAAGGTAGAGCCACTGACTCACTCTGCTGTTCGGAATTTACCTCGGTGATTCTTACCTGAAAAGCTACCGATTTTCCGCCATATCCCGCGAGGTTTGTAATAGAACGGATATAGAGGGGTTTGTCCATCTAAAGTCCAACATCTCACTCCGAGTACTCCGACTGCTCCTTTGCGCGGATGTAAACTCAAAAATTCGCCGTGATCGCCGAAAAGCAGGAGGTGGGAAGTTCGTTAATGTAACTAAACAGATAGATAAATCTTGCCGCTTAAATGTCCCGGAGTTGCAGCCAATCACTGCTCCCTATCATCGGACTGCATTGCAAAAGCGCCGCATTGTCTCTGCGAGCAACTTAAGTGCCAGATATCAGTCACCACATTATCCAGCCAGCATCGGCCACAGTCCTTGCCTGCCGCATGCGATCGTTCGGGGCGCCATAATAGGCCCTACAACTCCTGAATGTGCCATGCACATAGGCCAGCATAATGTGACGCCTCCAGCAGCATCTTTGTCTTCAATATCGGGATCGTGGCGCCTGACAAAATGGCTGAAGTTTGTGTCGTTGGTGGTTCTCGTCATCAGTCTCACATCCATTGTGAGAGTCGAGGCACAGACGCCAGGCCAGATCAAAGCGTTGAAGAAGGAAGTTGAAGATCTTTTTTATCATGGATACGAAAATTATATGGCCCATGCGTTTCCTGAAGACGAACTGCGACCTATTTCCTGCAAACCCCTGACGCGCGACCGCGAGAATCCGGCTCACATCGAAGTCAACGACCCTTTAGGGAACTACTCTTTGACGCTCATAGATAGCTTATCAACACTTGCTATCCTGGCTTCTAGTCCCTCCTCGCCGAAATATAATAAAGCCTTACACTTGTTCCAGGACGGTGTCCGGAGTCTGGTCGAGCAATACGGCGATGGCACTGATACCGAGGCCGGCCAAGGTCTAAGAGCTCGAGGGTTTGACTTGGATAGCAAAGTTCAGGTCTTTGAGACTGCGATACGAGGACTAGGTGGCCTGTTGAGTGCCCACTTGTTCGCCACGGGAGACTTGCCTATACGTGGATACTCTCCGGTAACAAAGGAGACTGTCATTGCACAAAAGTCGCCAAAAAGCTTCACCAGCAATCATACTCGTGTCATATTATGGGAGAACGGCTTCAAGTATGATGGTCAACTGCTTAGACTGGCGTACGACCTGGGAAACCGTTTGATCCCTGCATTTTGGTCGTCAACTGGAATACCGTATCCTCGCGTCAATCTTCGCACCGGCATCCCGTTCTATACAAACTCTCCTCTCAATGTCGGTACAGAAAGTGAACAAAGTGGTCCTCGTCAGAGTGCGCCAGAGATCACCGAAACGTGTAGTGCCGGTGCTGGAAGTCTCGTCCTTGAGTTCACTGTTCTGAGTCGCTTGACTGGAGACAGCCGCTTTGAAGAGCTTGCGAAGCGAGCTTTCTGGGCTATTTGGAATCGACGAAGTGGCCTTGACCTGATCGGAAGTGGTATCGATGCTGAAACAGGACACTGGATCGGTACCTGGACCGGCATTGGTGCGGGCATTGACAGCTTCTTTGAGTATGCCTACAAATCCTATGTACTGCTTTCTCGAGATGCGCATCCCGATTATGTAACACCGATGGAGGCCGAAGATCCACGTGTACTGTTTGAGGCTCTACCACTAGAAGAGGATACGTCGCAAGCCTTTCTCGAGGCTTGGAACGCTGCTCAGGCTGCAATTCGACGGCACCTCTACAGAGGCCCTAATTACCAGCATCCCCACTATGTTCAGGCCGACTTGATCACAGGTGCTGCCAGAGGGTTCTGGATCGACGCACTCAGCGCCTTCTATCCTGGGTTGTTGACAATGGCAGGCCACGTGGAAGAGGCTGTCGAAACGCATCTTCTTCAGACTGCGCTCTGGGACAGGTTCTCTGCTCTCCCGGAGCGCTGGAGTCTGGTCACTGGAGGTATCGAGGGCGGATTGGGCTGGTGGGTTGGCCGGCCCGAGTTTATCGAGTCGACGTACTACCTGTACCGTGCCACTGAAGATCCATGGTACTTCCACGTCGGAGAAATGGTTCTTCGGGACATCAAGCGTCGTTGCTGGACCAAGTGCGGCTGGGCCAGCATTCAGAATGTCTTGACGGGCGAACAGACGGATAGAATGGAGAGCTTCTTCTTGGGCGAAACCGCCAAGTATCTGTTTCTCCTTTTCGACCCCTCTCATCCCCTCAACCACCTAGACGAACCCTTCGTGTTCACGACAGAGGGTCATCCGCTACTGATTCCTCGCAGTGTAGATAATGGTCATCACCAAGGCAAGCTCTGGAACCCCGTCCCTCAAGAGGAGGCTACCTGTCCTGTCAGTCCACCGCCACTGCCCTTCAGCATCTCCAATATAGCTGCAAGAGGGGACGTGTACCATGCTGCCAACCTTGCCAGATTACATCTGATGCCGACGAGAGATAATGTAGAGTCGGTGCTTGGAGAGTACGCTGCTGATCATCCAAGTATCACGCTCTCAGACATCAGCTCTCCGTCCAATTACACCTACTACCCGTGGACACTGCCAACGGACTTAGTACCCTTCAACGCCACCAGTTCTCTTATCCCGACAAAGCCTACACTTGACATATCATTTCCCGCAATCACAAATCTAGGTCAACCTACGCCGCCGCTCCAGCGCGTCAAAGAAGGAATCCTGATCAATTACATTGGAGGGCTCCGTCTCGGGATGGTGCGAGATGTCCCCATTCTACTGGGTACCGGCATAGTTGAGGCGTTTCGCATTCAAACAATCAATAATCTCCCTCTGGGCAAAGATGAGAAAGTGTTTCTGGCTCGCGACACCGGAAAAGAAAGCTTGAGTAACACCGATCCTAACTTTACACGCATTCGAGATGCAGTCATGCTGGATATTGTGATCGAGCTCTCCGGTCCCATCGAGCCGGAAGACATGCAGGTCAATACAACCGATGAAACATACTTCCTTAGTCTTCGTGACCTCGAAAGGCAATCTGCGGAATCCGACAGCGCAATGCGAGCGGCCTGGAACGCCATCGTCTCGCAAATCTCAAACCTCCTCAAAGACCACCAGCCTCAGCCGTCGTGGCCGTTTACCACTCCTCTTTCGATCCGCTCCACCTCAACGTCACAGCAGCAAGCGGCTTCTTCATCATCTGAAAACACGCCACGTTATCACCTCGCAGCAGTCACGCCCACGGGTCCCGGCGCTGCGCCGTTGCCGGACTGGCCTGAAGTCATGAGCATGACGGCCGCTGGCTCGCAATCGCCTCCGCTGTCGTGGACCACGGTCTACGCAACCGACGATCTGTGCAACCATAAATTACCAGCCCACGTCGTAAAGACGCATCAGGTCCTCGTGGTCAAACGCGGGGGGTGCAACTTCAGTGCCAAACTCGCCAACATTCCTACCTTTACGCCCTCGGCGCATTCTCTCCAGCTCGTCATTGTCGTCTCCTACGGCAGTGACCGAGTTTCCGAGGACGAGGACCCAGTTGGCGGTGGAGGCGGCGGCGGCGGTTTCGACGACGAAGAGCATCAACTGGTCAGACCGCACCTCGATCAGCCGCAGCGCACACCTGCTGGGTTGCCACGACATAACCCGATACCCATGGTTATGGTCGGCGGTGGCAAGAACGTATATGACGCTTTGGCTACGAAAACAGTGGGCGTCGGTGTCAAGAGACGGTACCATGTTGAGACACAGGGCGTCAGGATCACGAATCTGATCATCGTATAGTTTCCAGTCCATATCGTGGTAGGCACGGAGTAATGATGCGAAGTACCCCCCTCCCTACCTACCTACATAAGCGTTGTTTGGCGACCTCTTGACATCAACAACTTATAAGAGACCAGGTTGGTTGGAGAGGTATCGACAACTGATGTACGTAACGTAGCAACGAGTTCATTTCATGTTTTCATCTATCACGACCAAAGTGACTTGACGCCCGTCTAATCCAAACCAAACACGTCCATCGTCTGACTGTTCGTAACGCAACCTTACAATCACAAAGAGCACGTATGGCAACATGACAGTGCAGACTGGCAGAAAAGGAGGGAGCGAGTAAAAAGTGTGCAGGACAAACCTACCTAGGTATCTACCACCTTCCCCTCCAACTCTTCTCCCACATCCTCTCATCGTCCTCTGCCTTTTCCAAAGCGCGCCTCCACTCGCGCTCCATGCGTCTCGCCAACTCACTGGGCGTCTCGTCCTCGGGACCACTAGGCACTGGACTCTCGCAGCCCCTTAAGCCGATGAACCTCCCGAATCGACGCCTCTTGGTTTCGAGATCCACTCCCCCCTCGCGCACACCTTCACCTTCGCCCGCTACGTTGTCTAGCACGACGTTGTTCCGAACCGACGCTCCACTTCCGTCCTCCTCGTCGAGAGACGTCCATGCGGGGATCCAACCAGGGTACATGAACGTCTCGTCCACGGCGGGAGTGACTTGGTGGTACCATCTCGCGAGACTGTCCAGCTGGTCGTGCGTGAGGAGGTGGTATTGCAGTAGATTCGTGGGGAACGAGGGGTGTGGAAGGCCGGTGCTCACGGAGATCAGTGGCACAAGCGGGGCGCGCAGGTGTTGGACACTTTGCACGTACTGGATCCTTGCGCGGAGAGAGTCGGGCGATAGCGCGTGATCTGATACGATGACGTGGTACCGTGGTGGCGGTGGGAGGACGAGGGAGGACAAGTGAGGACGTGCCGACCGCTGTTGGCGTTTGCGGATAGGTGAGCGTGGAGATGTGGAAGAGAGAGGCTGTGATCTTCCGCTACCGATGGCCTTAGTGCTCAAGCTCCGGCTGCGGCTGCGGCTACGGGTATGGTTGTCGGTGTGAGATAACCGTGGCGACCGTGACGGCGGCGATGACAGCGAGTCCGGTGTCCAGTCCATCTTCTCACTACGAAACAAGGCTGTTGAAGGCGGCACGTCTTCGTCCTGTGAGGGGGGATCGTAGAAGCTTGTATCGATGCGCAGAGGGAGAGCGAGGACACGGTCAATGCCAGCGCTGCTGCGTAAGGAAAGGCGACTCTGGCGACCATCTGCGCATGAGTTTGAACTCATGGGAGGTCTCTGGAAGTATGCTTGCTCAGGCGTGCGCACCAAGAACGAAGCTTGTTGAGGAGATGTGACTGGTGTGGCGAGGCTGTTGCGGCGGCAGAGGGAGTGATTTGCGGGGGCCCAGGTTGGACTGGTCAAAGCGAAGTTGCTTGTTACGGAGTCGTTGTGTGAAGATGAAGAGAAGAGCGCCACCACAGGCGATGGGGCAGCTGACCCTGGCTCGACGGCAGCTGAACGAGGTGAGAGAGGCGATGGCAGAGGCATAGTGGGCGATGTTGGTGTCGTGGGTATCATAGCTGTATTTGCTTTGCGCTCCCTCGCTTGCTTCTTGCTTACGAGAATCTCACAACACAGAGTGAGGTGGTATTGCTGGTCAAAGTTGGGGTGTTGTTGGCAAATTACCTATGGTTTGCTGCGCGAAAGGGAATCTTCATGAAGGCTTCGGAAACAAAAGTCCGAACAGTGGGATTATGAAGGTGTTCGTTGGATGGGCCTGGATCTGTATAGGGCAATGAACACAAAGCAGTTGCCCATTTCGAGAATAGGACCATGATTCTTTTCTCTTTGACTGTGGGCAGGGCAGTTGTAGAGTTTGTTTTTGTTTCTAATTCGGATGCGCAGTTTTGAGTCTTTGTTTGACCCCGGTGGCCAGACACATCTAAACAATGAAGTAGGTCACGGCGACGTTCCTAGATTAGACATCCGAAGCGATACCCTGAAACTGGCCCAAGGTTGATACTGGTCATGCAGATGTTGTCTTTCCGTTGATGATGAAGTGATACATGGTTGGGAAACGGGTCCATAACGACGCAAGATATTGCAGTGGCTTTGAAATGTCTAGAAGGGTAACTTAGAGACAGACGGGATTTGCGTGTCTTGAAAATAGGCCCGCAGGCCTTTGTTTGTCTCTGCATTCCTCTTCAACGGTGACCGTGCGCCTTCATCGCCGCGAACCATTGTTCTGGGTTGTATGGAACACAGTACACCTCTGAGAAGAGGAAGGCTTTGAAAATTGAGACCAAGCTCTCCCAGCCGTCAATCTCCATCTCCACGATCTTTGCTGACAGTCGATTTCCATAGAATCCCACAGGAGTACGTAAACTCTGGCATCGCATTTCTGCCATTGATCCAACGTAGTAAATCCATAGCAAAGAGTTGTTGATACTAGGGATGGAAGAAAGGGCTGTCGAGGAGGTAGATCGGACGCAATCCTCGACAATGAGCAGCCCTTCCGCAATACGTTGCAGGATCGTAGCGGCGGAGTCATACAGAGGTATGCCTGTGACTCGAGGATTGTTCACTGGAGACCGGATCGTGAAGAGAACCGCAAGACAGATACAGGCTTGGAGATGTACTACTGCAGGGTGTTGAGTATCCTCGGTCGCATCGTTGAGCAGCCAGAAGTACCGGTTCATAAGTTGGCCTTGGAATGTTTCGGATCGTGACAAAAACCAAAACCAATCCGTCGCAGACGCGTTGGTCTTCCTCTTGGTGGCCATCAAAGAGTACATTAGGAAGAACGGCCGCATTTCTTTGACGGTGAGACGCAACCTGGGGTCGGTGATCGAAGGATCAGGCTCACCAAGGTCTTCCTCAGCCTCTTTTGGGAGAACCAGAGGTAGTCTTTTCCATACGGCTGCGAAGACTGCAGGGACGAAATCTTCGTAGTCAAAAATTGGACGCTCCATAGATGCAGTGGACCGAAAGTTGTCATGGTAGATAGACACGGACAAGGCACCTAGATCCAATGTCCCTGTGTTGCGTTGGCGTTCGAGGCTGCGACGAAGCATTATCCCGTGCAGAAGGGCAGCCTTGGGATTCCGCCCCAACACCTCTGCACGGAACAGACGGAAAATGAGGCCTTGAAGATTAGCTTCGGCGCCTGGGCCCAACGCATCGTTCACGACCAGCTGGTGTCGCAGAAGTTCGACAGCCTTGGTCTTGAGTACCAGAGCTTTCTTTGCCGCCTCAGCGTCACTGGAGATGATGGTGAGAGCTGTGGCATAGTAGGACATGAGACCAAAGGCGGCGCAACGGTCCGAGAGATCTTTGATTCCAGCATGCCAATTGCGCGCGGCGGGAGAGGATGGAGCCCAGCCACGGTTACCAGTCTGATAAAGTGCAGGGATGAGATGAGTCTTCCCAAAGTCCATGAAGCGGTTAGCCCAGGGATCAATGGTAACGGCGAAAGAGTCGAAAGGGTCTGAGTTCCCCTTGCCCAGCACGGTCCTAGGCGACGGTTTCCGGCCATACCATGCCTGAAGTCTGCCTGCTGCCTTGGACTTTTCCAGGTACTTCCGATCCGAGTCTTCATTGTCCGCAACAGTTTCAGCTCTGAGGAAGCCGATCTGCCCATCGGGGCCGCAGCGGTCGAGCTTGTTGGCGGGGTGCGAAGTCTTCAAGTACGGAGCTGGCGTAAAATTTTGTGTGGCATCGTGAGACGAAGATCTCTGATGTGAAAGCCACCTCTGCTCTTGTTCCTGCGCTGCCGTTCAATATTGGTCGCTGATTAGTTATGCCGAGTACTTACTTGGGACTCTGCCAACGCTTCCTTTCTTCTCTGTTGTCGTCGTCTCTCATGAGTGAGCTTTGCGATATGCGAGTTTATGACCGACTTCGCTTCCCCAGGTGTGCCTCCTTCACTTCGTCCACTTGATAGGATGATGACCAAGCCGTCAGATGAGGTTCCCGTCATTGTTCCCGACAATGGTCGAGAAGGAAATCCCGGCGAGCATAGCTGCCGTCTTTGTACTTAACAGAGGGGGTGCCGCAGGAAAACAGCCATCGATCGGCTTGGAACCATACCCTGGTCCAAAGCGCGTCTGGTGGACTTCCGAGGACAAGTCCTTGATTAGCCACATTCTGTTCGGCAACAGCAACTACCGTAAGGAGAAAGAGGGTTGGGAGGATCTCATGGTGCTCAATAGCGTTTGCATAATATCTGACTAACGGCGGATGATATAATGGGATATCTCTTAATTTACATCTTCGTGCCGTCCTCGAGGCGTCGCGCGATGCACGCTTATTAATGGTGGCCCCTCGAGTTCCGTGATAGCGCCCTGGTGTTCCCTGTCTCACAGCTTTCATTGGCCCTTGATGTTGTTGCGAATCTTCTGCACTTCATCCATGGTGAAGCCAAGCCCGTGTAATGCGTAGATCTCCCCCCAGTCGCCTCCCTCTTCACCATGATAAACATTCCGAATATCCTGGAGGAATCTTTCCATATACTCAGCCCTGGTATTGCTGAACTGCTCAATTCCGGGAGTGTCTTCTGTCCACTCTGGCTTCCATTTTTTGACCAGTGCAGCCAGGAAGTTTTTCTGAACTTCAACACCTACTCGAGAGAGAGCATATTCAAAGGCAATGTGCTCGTCTGGCACGCCTGCCAGGGAGAGTAGTAAGGCCGCCAGCACGCCAGTGCGGTCTCTCCCTGCTGTACAGTTGAAGAGAATAGGCACTCCTGGGTTGTTCAGCAGATGCTCCAGGACCTTTCGAAAGGGTTGCTTGTAGAGAGTAAGAATTCGTTGGTATTCTTTGCTCCAACCGCGACATCCGCCCTCCCAATAATTCGTGTCGCTTTCAAGGCTCACAAAGTCTGATATCTCCAAGTTGGCCGCAGCCGGCGAGTCAGATGGGAGCGACAAGATCTGAACGCCCTCAATGCTGGGAAATGGAAATGCATTACGCTCGCCTGCAGACCGAAAGTCAAATACGGTCTGGACGCCTAGCGTAGCTGTGAGATGGTCTTTTCCTTCATCGCCCAGGCCAGCGAGTGAGCCAGACCGGTAGATCAAGCCCGGCTGAAGGTATGGCTTAATGCCAATGTCTCGAGTGTTGAATGCGCCTTTCAAAGGTACGAAGGGTGTAGAAGAGAGGGACCTGTCGAGAATCGGACCGGGTATATCTTCATTGACAGGAGAGTTGATGAGCGTTGCGAATGTCTGCTTGTATTTGTCCATGTTTTGGGCTTGTCTCGTCGAGAGTTGTTTCTCCTTCCCAGAACCAACTCTGCACTCATCTATTTATATCTGAACCACGTATTCCGTCCTCGTATACGAGCGGTGGTGGTCTTTGAAAGTGGATGCACACCTTACCAGGCAGACACGAAAGAGCCAAATGGAGTCCTTCAGACCCCTGCTAGTGTTTGAAAATGTTGCCCCAGCAGACATATCGATGACCATCTTCCCGGGCTCACTACCCGCGGATTGGTTGAGCAGTACGGTATTCAACGTGGATTTTGCTTTGGTTGCGGATTCGAGTGTTGCACCACTGAGCCTCTGCTTTGTGGCCTACCATCTCAGCCTTGCTTACAAGTACAGTAGGTTAGGCTTGGGTGACGCTTTCAAATCACTTAGCGTTCTCGTCGCCCACTGTAATCAAAGAATTAAGAGAGAGACAGTCTTATATTCTAATAGCCAAAGGGGATGAATCAAAAAGAAGACTACCTTCGCTGACGAATTTTTAATGCTCCTTAATATTTAGGTGGCAGCGCCTAAAATTTAGGTGGTGATACCTAAAATTCAGGGGCATTTATAGGTGTTTAGTTATAAGTTTTGAGGTCAGTTAGATCGCCTAAATTATAAGAGAGCTAATAGGCGCGCCTTACGGGCGGCGTGAGTGAAAATTGTTCTGATCAGGAAGGTTTCCCGGATGTGTGCATAATAACCCCTTTACCAGGCGGGAGCGTCATGGGCAACACCCGACTCCGTGTCACCTCCCCGTCTATCAAAGCTACTGTTCATTCTCAATCTCATCACAGGAGCTTTACCGGCGCAGATACTCACTGAAGTTCCTTCGGAAACCGCCCGCGCTCTCTGTACTAGCTTTTCCTGCGGCGTCAATGCTTTATAATTGAAGGCATGGAATCGTCCGCTTGGTCCGAGGATTCCGGCACCGGTTCACAGCGACGACCTGTAGGAGCCAAGGCAGACCGAATCCAAACGCCACATAAAGGAACTAGAGCATGCTTCGAATGTAGAAGGTGCGAGTTCCCAGACGAGGTCTCTAAATAAACCCTCGCTAACAAGATCTTCCTCCATCCGTCGCTATAGAAAGAAGATGAGGTGTATGTGCTGTACCTGTAAACTGGCTGCAAACCTATTCTAACGAAATCACTAGGCGACATGGGCTTGCCGGTTTGTGGACTCTGCCAAAGAATCGGGTATCATTGTGTCTTTCCAGCAACAAGGAAGACACCAGCGCCCCGACGCCCGGTTGCCAAATCAGGATGTGAACGTCAGGTAGAACAACAAAACGGTGAGACAGCGTAGTGCAGTGCAGTCTACGTTTGCATCTCTACCAGCAGACGGCTAATTATATCATCCAGACCGTTTCTTCAGCCTCGGACAATCTTGCATCAACCAGACGGTTCCCCCCAGCCAATCATCATCATTGTCGTCTTCGAGAATAAAGATTGTGGATCGTAGCTTGGATGATGCCGCCAATGCGCGCGACTGGACTTTAACGGATTCCCTACCAGCCAGCCATGACCGGCACTTCCAAAGTAAAGACCTCTACGGGAGCTCGCCTCATGTCGTTGCTAATGACTTCCACGTTGGCACTCCCGCCGGTCGAGACGCGGACGCGTGCGACCTTGGGGTCAGCGAACAATTGGCGATTGAGTTGATCAGTATCTATTTTGACAAGATTCAGGCCTGGCTACCATTGCTGCATCGGCCAAGATTCTACGCTCAGTATAACTGCAGCGCCGATACCCTCCACCGGTTTCGATCGACTGGGTATTCCATCCCAGAAGCGTTGCTGCTCCAAAGTATGTTTGCTCTTGCCGCGCGTTTCTCTCCCAATCCGTATTTCAAGGGCCTGGCGCCATCTGCCCGTGGCCAAGTATTTGCCAGAAAAGCGATGCAGCATCATGCCAAGCTACGAGTCGAGCTAGAGGAGCCATGCCTCCTCCACCTCCAAGGATGCATTCTGCTTGCGAACTACTTATTGACGTCAGGCCCTGACTATCGAGCCTGGATTCTCACAGGAGTCTGCGCCCGTCTTGCGTATGATCTTGATCTGTGCAGCATAGATGGCTGTCAGAATATCGGCGAGGACAAATTGGAGTGGACCCAATTGGAGGAGCGCAGGCGGGCATTCTGGCTGGTGTGGGAGCTGGACACCTTTGGATCAACCTTGTCAAAGCGACCTACCGCAATAAATAATCAAAGGATGACGGTATGTCTCCCGGTCAGCGATGAGATGTGGTTTGCGGACATGCCTGTTCAGTCGGTAGTCTTGCACCCAAATCCAGCGCAAGCCTGGAAGGGCCTACCAGACTGCCCGAATCAAGACGAGCGAGCGTGGTTCCTCACGGCCAACTACTTAATGGCGGCTTCACATGACATGTATTCGCGCCAGGTTAGTTGCCAAGAGGAACAAGAGGAATTGATCGACTCAATACTCTGTTTTGCCTTCGCATTTTCGCAACGCTTCAGCTTAGAGGCTTGTCCACTGGTTTTCGACTCGGAAAGCTTTTCAAGGTGTAACTGGATTATTTCCACGCATTTGATGCTAGCTTCGGCTCGCATCAGTCTTGCCAATGCCGAGAGGATGGCCGTTTTTCGAGCATCTAGCTATGCGCGGGAATGCTCTCGTATTCTGCGCTCCTGGCACCCCGACTACATCGTCTTGAGCCACCCCTTCGTTGCATGCTTGTTGCTCCCGATTTGGGTCCTTTCGCCACGCGATTTGCTGAGTCCGCCGGAAGATTCGGAACGAATTAGAAGCATGCCATATTCGGTACTGAAGCAGATAGCCTCTGTTTGGGGGATAGGTTCAGAGCTACTGGGTGAGATTGTACCCGAGCTAGCTCCCTATGGACGTATTCTAACAAAGAGACAGAGCTGGTTGCTGTGTTGTCTTGCCGCAGCAACATTCTGTGCAAGGCTAAGTCATTGGCCAAACGTTATGCAATATTCTTTCCAGACCCAGTCCTGTCCGCGACATCCACATGCGAACCGTCAGTGACGCAAGCAGATTCAACAGCGTATCCAGAGAACGCAAGCATCTTGTTCCATTGGCCATCAGATCATGAAGACACTCGTGTCAGTTTAGAAGACATTGTGTAAGTTGGATGTGCACAATGCCTGTCGAGAAGCGCTGACAAAGACGGTAGCGCTGCAAGTGCAGCATCGTGGCAAGCTTCAGGCTGGCCCATACCCGGGAGCGAATCCGCACCAGCAGCCTGGGATGCTGGCACAGGCAATTTCGTTTAGTATAAGACGTGTACACCCTTTAATCGTATCATCCGGCGTTGGGAACTATGATGGAATACGAGCTTTGGGCCAAGACGACCACTCCTCATGGTGGCAGAGCTTCCATTCCTCGACAGATTTGACCAGAGTCAACATCTTGGAAAGCCTGGAAGTGATGAGAAACTTCGGAAACTTACACGACAAAATCAATGGTGAATTGACCTCTCATTCCAGCCTTCAAACAACACCCTCGTCTCAGCAAGGTCTCCCTCGGCCCGTTTAACTCGATGCTCAAGATTGTCAGGCACAGGCAGGACAATGTTAAACTCCGACCCGCGCCTCAACGGATAAAAGGCATATTGGCTTCAGGGTCCTAGCCAAGTTTTAACTCTTGAACAGGCGATCCCGGGAGCCGACCCCACAAGCAAAATCTCCGGGCGCCGTGGGACCGGCGTAAAGACAAGTGTGCCACTGTATACTGAGATACAGTGGCAGGCATCATGACAAAGGTAAAAATATAAGGCTCCACTTGCCAGTGTGGAGCACTATATAGCATGGCCGACCCCACTAGTTAAATCACTCGTATCGAAATGAAACCAACATCCAAAAGAAAGCGACTCTTGGATCTACCGGGGAAACTTAACGGAAACGAATACTTAATAACAATGTCGTCTGTCGCAGATTCAAGAGTTATTCTCTTCACCACTCAGTTTCGTCCCAATAAACTTGGCCAAACTAACTCGACATGATGGCTCGTACGGCCCTCACTCTCTGTTGTCTGGTCGCGGCAGTCTACGCCGTCGCGGTCCAGAACGAAAGGCGTCAAAACGGCTATTATTTCAAGCCTGAGCTGGCCACGTCCTATTGGAATGTGTGTTACTAGTCTACTTCTATGGCCCTTCTATCTGCTAACTTGTCAATTCAGGATTCTGGCCTTCCAATCCTCTTCAATTTCAGCGACTCGCAGTTCTCCAACACTGTGGATGGTGATCCCGCAGGCAGTTCATATTGGACAAGCTCCTCCATTACTGGGACAAACGGCCAGCAGTACCTGGCCGTCTCGCACGCTCTCATCTTCAACGGTGCCAACAACGAAACGTTCTACCGTGCCTCTGTTCTCCCGCTCAGTCGTCCCGAGGACTACAGTTCTTTCATCGTCTCCACCAATGAGAGTGCCCTCGCGGCTGGCTCTCAACTCAAAGTCACCGTCGATGGCAATGGATTCCAAGGTCTTACTGAAGACAACGTGTCGCAGATGCGCACATACAGTAACCATGACAAAGTTACATTCGACATCACCTACAATGCCACGTCTCCAGCGCTGGTAGACGCTGCCGTTGGTCTGTTCACATTTGGTACCGGAGTAAGCTATGAATGGGGTCTCCCGAATTGCTACACGGAAGGCGCACTGCTTGTCGACGGGAGCTCGGTGACTATTGACCCAGCTAACTCGTTTACCTGGTACGATCGACAGTGGAACAACGGGATCCCATCTACTGGAAATTGGACGTGGTTCGAGCTGCACATCCCCCACACAGGGTACAGGCTCAGCGTCTGGGCCGTCGACAATGCTCAGCCTTATCAACGCCTCCGGTTCGCTACAATTTGAACGTCGGACGGCTCGCAGAACGTGGCCCCCATCACATTCACCCCAGACTACACGCGCAGTTGGTACTCCAACGCAACGGCGACCTTGTATGCACAGGATTGGACGATTACCGTTGGGGACTTTGGGGTTCTCAGAGTTTCCAGCTTTACAGGCGACCAGGAAATAGCCGGGAAAACAGCCTTTACCACGGCATACGAAGGATTTGTCACTTTTGACGGTCAGTTCTACGACCAGAACGTGGATGGTTTTGGACTTGTGGAAATCTTGTATGCTCAATAGTACCAAGTTTTGGCTTAGCAGCACTGTTATTCCCGGCGGCCCCCTCGGTGGTCAAGCGTGGGAAGGAAGGCAGTAAGAACAAAAGCTCAAATTTCTATTCATCATTATACGTAATACTTGATAATTGGAAGATATCAGTGGACATTTCTTCAACCAGACAGACTCGTTGTGAGGCACTCTTTTGCAAGAGGCACCTGTGGCCGGCGGCCGCAGTAGCGAGAGCTATGCAGATCTTTGAGTGCCTCGGCCGGCAAGTAGCGGTACATGTCCATGTCCACGTAAGAAGGGTGAGGCAATTTCGAAAAGTCGAGTGTAGTCGTAGCCGTTCCCGTGGGGCCGGTGATCAGGGTCCTCGGGGCACAGCATGGATCACCCAGTACAGCAACTTTACTTGTCACCCCGAACATCGAGCCGGCGTTCGCTTTGGTTGCGTGCATGGGTCGTGCCGGCAATGATCGGCTGGGAAGTGGCCTCTCTCTGTGGGGTCGGCATACTGTACAGTGCAATACTTCCAGGGAACATGGGATCGTCGTGCAGAGAACCAGAGCTGGGGTTAGCCATCGCCGTTCCCACAGCAGGTTGTGTTAGTTCCTCCAGTAACGCATTCCTTTCCAATTTTATGCGTCAAATACCTATTTGCGTGACAAAGAAACGAAGCCGGTCTTTAAAAAAAGACAAACTAAAAAACACCTCAACGTCACCAGAACCGCGCTCGTAGCCCGTGTAGAGATGTTATGACTTAATTGTTGGCGTTCGGGCCTACCGGGCCAATACTGGTACAGTAGCAGGCTGATCTCGAACCAGGTCAACTAGTCAGACAGCCTTGCCGTAGTCCTTAAATACCTATCGTTTCCAACTAAACCCCCTTTTGAGTTTCTCGTACACTTTTGATGATCAGTCAGTGAGAGAGCACTCGATTCACCCTCGGAAATTCTTCGTTGGGGGCTTGATTTTTTTTTCTCGAACGAGCGTCGTCACCTACAACCGATCAATTCTCCCTAATGATTTAGGTCTTCATTGGACTCTTAGGCTGCGAATGGCAATCACAAGTCCAACGGTCGGAAGACTCCGGCTATCATGTCATGCTCACCTGAGCGCAACATCACCCGCAGTGCTTTAACCTCATGCTCGGATACGCACGCACACACATTCCCCTCGAGGGAGTAAAAGTCATCCATACCACTACTCTCTCTACCCTGGTATTGATAGATAGCGGCAGATCTGCCCATGTCGAATACCGACGTTGTGTCAAATATCTACTCGAGTGTGCTCGGATCGTCACGAACTTCTACATCTATCTGGAACCCATTGCGTTGCCCAACCGTACCCTGCCCTGACCTGACCTGACCTGACCTCACCTGACCTGTCTTGTCCCTGTCTGTCTCGACTCCCCTTCCCTCCCTCGACAGAGCAACTTGCCCCTTCACCCGGCCCCGAATCTGTACCATTCACGACGACGTAGACTCCATCTCTCTTCTCTTCTCTTCCCTTTATCGGTGTCAAAAATGACCGACAAAATCCACCACGCCGCCGACCAAGTGATCGGTTCGATCGACTCGGGCATGCACCGGATCCACGGCGCCGGGGACGTCGTCCGCGGGACGGCGATGGAGGCGCTGGACAAGCTCCTGCACAGCCGCGAGGGGGAAGAGAGAGATCGCGAAATAGCCCAGAGAGGACGCGCCGAGATGGAGACGGCAGGAGAGTGGGAGCGAGAGCGGGGGGGCGACGACGACGACGGGGGGTGGTCCGGGTCCACCGCCAGTGCCACGCGCACGAAACTCCACGCACACTCCGGACGGCCGAGAAGTAGGAGTGGAGGCGGAGGCGGCATCGGTGAGGGATCACATCTCGCGCAGTCGAGGATCAGGACGGCGGAGAATGCTTCGAACCTGTCGAGCCCTCACACTCGGGAGGAGGGACACGGGGCCGAAAGACGACGGATCGGGTCAGAGAAGGGGGACGAGTTGAAGGCTGCGAGGCTGGCGATGAGGGAGTGATTTATGTAATTTTTTTTCGGATTTCTCACTCCGAGTGGCTTGTCGCGTGGACTCTGAGGTATTACTTGATTGTTCTTGATTGTCACTGGTCAGGACTCAGATCTTGGACTCTTAGACTCAAGACTCAGACTCAAACAAACCTGGAATCAGACTCGGACTCGGAATCAGAATGAGAAGAGGATGGCGCGGCGGAGGGGGGAGGGGGGAGGGGGAACGATGAGGAAGAGACCAAACAAAACAAATGGAACTGTTTGATACTATCCTAACTACCTACCTACCTACCTTACCTGAGTAACGACGATTCACCAGGCTCGATCACAGATCTTCAAGTTTTTGTACGATAAGACGCACAAGGAATTGGATTCAGTCAAAGGGACTTGGGAAGCAGTCGTGTGTACTATACTATACAGCTGTAAGATCTTCGCGCCACGTGCATGTGGTTTCTTCGTGGCTGCCGTCGTGAACTGCGCCGAGGCCTCGTGGTAATTGGGAATCCCGATGAACGAACAGGGGCGGGGACAGGGTGGACGTGGGTGTGAGAACGGTTTAGCAGTGAGTTCTGGACTTTGTCGAGATCTTTCCTACCGCAGTACGAACCTACTTCTCACCTACCTACATTAATACGTTACGTGGAAGAAGAGACATGCCGACAATACGGATCCGTGATCGCCCATTTGCAAAATCACTCCACTTGCCTATTACGGAAACAATGGGGTATAATTACCCGTATGAATGGCTCCGGTCTTCTCGTACTCTCCGACCCGTGAAGAGAGTCGACTGCCTCGACACAATAATCATACTGTACCTTGTATCCATTTCCATTCGAAACAGTTGTCGGTCTTAGAAGTAAATAAAAAGCAGAAACAAAATCATGCTCGTAACAATGTCATTATGCGCATTATTCAATTGTTGATGTGTCATGTACAAAGAATCAACCGAAGATTCTGGCTATCCCTCTCTACCTCAGGTACATATGGATTTAACCTCCAGTTTCCCACAGATGCATAATCCATACGCACACATCAAAAACACTTCTCTCCCCGTCCCTCTTTCATCCTCGTAGCACCCTAACTGGTACTGACTGCTACCACCACCACCACCACCACCACCACCACCACTACTCCCCAAGTTCCGCCTTCTTGGCCAACCAGATCTGATCAATCAGAGCGGCCTTCTTCTCCGACCTTGGCGTAATCTCACATTCAAAAGGTTTAGGGATCGTCATCCAGCCCGGCACCATGTCCGAATTGGGTTCAATGACCTTCCCGTCCTTCCCGACCTTCTTGGAGATGTTGAACGCCCACAGCACCCGGGCGATGTTGAGGAACAGAGACTTCTCGGCGACGTGGACCCCGGGACAGACCCGTCTCCCGGCCCCGTAGGACCAGTGGTCACGTTCGTTCGGGTTTGCGATGTTCAGGTAAGCTGCGGCCGGGAGTTCGTAGCCCAAGAACCGTTCGGGCATGAATTCTTCAGGCTTGTCCCATAGGTCTGGGTCGTAGTTGATCGCCCTGCACACAAAACAAAACACAACCTAGAATTAGCATCGCCCATTCCGTTACATGAACACAGATGATGGGATCGGGATGATATTTGCAATACGTACCACCAATTCAAGACGACCACCGTGTCCTTGGGGATGAAGAATCCATTATACCAATCGTCGGCCGTGGTGTAGTGCTGAATGCCAAACTTGTTGGGCGGGCGCATGCGCAACAATTCCTTGATGATGGCGCGGAGATAAGGCAAGTTGGGTTCGTCCGCCCAGTCAGGCAGTCTGTCCGAGCCCACGACCCGGTCAATCTCCTCTTGGGCCTTCCTCATCACGCGCTGGTTGCCGGTCATGTTGAGGATAAACGAGTTCAAATATGCCGACGTCGTTTCAGAACCGGCCTCGACGAGACCGCCGGTCTGGTACGCGGCCTGGAGTTCGTCGAGTCCCACCTTCTTCGGGTCACTGAGGTAAAAGTCCTTTGCGAAGCAAGGGTTGGCCTTGCCCTCGTCGACTTCCTTCTTTAAATCCCCCCACAGGCCCAGGTACACGGCCGAGTCGTGCTTGAAACACTTCTCGCCAAACTTGCGCCAGTTGCCGAACATCCACTGCGGGAAGTATCGAAGGGACGGGAACGTGTCGACCAAGAAGGCACCGGGTGTCGAGAAGAGTTGGAGATTGTTGACGACAGAGTAGATTTTCTTGGTCAGGGCACCGTCAAAGTCCTTTTGCCGGTGTCCATACGCGACGGTCATGATGACGCTGTTTGAGTAGCGTCGGTTGTGGTCGTAAAAGTGCTCCGGGTCGTGGACCAGGTCGTACATGAGTTGTTTCGATTCCAGATCTTGGATGGGCTGGTAACTCGTCGAGACATTGATGTTGAGAAGGGCGTGCGCGATCTTGCGGACCACTCGATACCGTGGGCCGTAGGCCATGAAGAGTTGGCGACGCCCAGCCGAGGCCACGTCGCTGGCCAGGGGCGCCGGCGGCCGAGAAGAGTAGATGCCCGATTTCTTGTCCATGAGTTCCTTGACCGCGGTAGGAGAAGACAGGTAGATGTAGTCTGAGCCGCCCATTCGGGTGTAAAAGACATCGCCGTATTGTTTGGCCCATTTCATGGCCTGGAACCGAAACGTTTCGGCATTGGACAGTTCAAAGTAATTGCCCAGAAACGGCAGACCAGGCGGACCCGGCGGGAGGTGTTTGCGTCGTGAATCTTTGAGGGAATTGGGCGTGACCCAGAGATAGAATCCGAGGGCAAAGAGGATGGGCAAGGCCACAAAGCCCACAAGGGCAAGACGCCATGTTGGGACGCTGTCTAGATGGAGTGTTGAGAGGATCTGGTGTGAGGCCATCTGGCTGTTACCGTCGCCGTAAAGACTGAAGACGAGGATGGGACCAGAAGAAACAGATGGGAAGGGAAGAAATACCAACAATAATATCAATCAATGCAAGTCACTCCACATACTGATGAGTTGCATCTCCCACAAGTTGGAACGGAATTCCACATCGACCAACTGAGATGCCATTGCCTGCTGTAGTGGCGTTCCCAGGCTACTTGCACTCGTACTCATCCCGGATTCCACAGCTGTCGGGGTTGTTGGAGTCAGAGAGTTTGGCCCCGGGGGTTCCCCATGATTGACGCTGTACAAGAGTAGAATGGCTGGACTGCCTCCACATTCGAGACCGAGTGACCCCGGCCTCGCCCTGGCCACAAAATGGAGGCGAGACAAACTTTGGTGGGGTTTTATTGTCAGCAGTACAAAGCAATCCCCATTACTGGCCGGTCAATGCCAGAGCGAAGCTACAGCACCGAAGATCAACCTCAACTTGGGCATCGACGCCTGTGTCACCGTTCATTGCCCAGCACAATCGACAGATGGCGAATGACAAGTCTTCAAGATACGACCGAGCACGGGAAGTAAATGGCAATGAGACTACACTCATTACCCAATGTTGAAAGCTGTCTCCAGGTCTACCTGGGACAAGAGTTGGACATGAACTGACGAAAGATAAAGCAGACTAGCGCACATGCCTCCCTCAATGTACTCCTCCTATCATACATTTGCTTCCTTTGATGGTGCTGCATGCGAATTACGATCTTGTTCTTGGGCTCATCCTCTCTAGTAGCCGTGGAAGTGGCGACCAGCATATCTCTTGTGACTATGACCGTGTCTCTTCAACCCAGCATACAGATTGTTGGACACACCCAGGCGTTCCAGAGTAGTACGTTTTCTCATACCCGATTCGCCCTCGGTCCTGACCGACTGCGGGTTGGCGGCCTCGTAGCTCTTCAAGGCAGCGCACTCGTCCTGGAAGGATTGCTTGGAAGTGTAAGCAGCCTTGACAATGTCATCAGGTCGCTCGATAAACTGCAAAGCAAGTCCATCATCGACGTGCCACAGAATGTGGCAGTGCATCACCCAAGCACCCGGGTTGTCGGTCTCGAAACCAATGACAGTATAGCCGGCTGGGTTTCCAGGTCCTGCAGAGCCTTGGAGCATGACAGTGTCTCGGCGCATTGGGTTCTTGAAGTTCAAGGTCGAAGTAAGGTCACTGCTCCAAGGTGAAGTGCCAGTGCCGAGGACTGAGACGTCGTGACCGTGAATGTGCATCGGGTGGGATGCGAAGAACTGGTTTTGGATGACAAAGTAGACCCATTCGTTTGCCTGGTTGAGAACAACCGGGTTGCTGAAAGTGCTGCTGTTGTCTCCAGAGTCCAATCTCTCCAAAGTGGGCAAGCTGTAGTTGACGCTCATGACGCCGTTGTTGATGAACCATTGATAAACAAGACCGTCTGTGCTGGTCTGTACCTGAGTGACTTGACCTGCTGGAAGGGTCTGAGCCGAAGATTGGAATTTGCTCGAGTCGCCCGCAGGGAGAGCAACGTAAGGTACCAATGATGCAAGGGGCTCATCAGTACAGCCCGCTGCGGTGATATTGGTGATGGGGGTGTTGGTGACCGGTGTTGAGTTCGAACCCTGGTAGTTGATAATAGCGTTTGCCGTACCCAGACCAGAATTGGCACCACCAGAGGGACATCCAGTTTGGATGACAGCTCGGACGTAATAGCTTCCAATCGGTTGGTTCATCTCGACAATAACATCGTAGCGCTGGCCAATGCCGATATTGAGGTATGGGGTGGTGTACGGGACGATGGGGACAAAGTCGGCAGCAATAACAGTCAAGTTGTGTGCATCAAAGCCAACCACATACATGTTCTGAGAAGAGCTGCCGAGACGTTAGTTTCACTTCAAGCCATGCCATTCGGAGAAGAGGTACGGACCTGTTGATTATGCGGAACAAGTGCTTGCGGCAAGGTGTGACAGTCCATTCGAAAGCTTTGCCGCCAGGTCCCACTGGGTTGATGTTCTTGCCGTTGAACAGAGTGTTGAAAGAACCACCTGGGCCGTAGTGAGTAATGAGATCAGCTTGTGTGCCGACGGCATTGGCGAAACTATACTTGGATGTCAGCACTCCCGGCATACTAAATGTTCCAACCTCTACTTACGTGTCATCAATCATGACGGTACCCATGTCGATATCGTAGTTTGCTGTGGCAGGACCGTGAATCACGATAGGACCACGGACACCATCTCCATATTGGGCCAGAGCGTGGCTGTGGTACCAGGAAGTACCGTAGGAGGATGCAAGCCAGGTGTAAGTCCGAGAACCACCATATCCTGCAATCGCACATTCAGTGACACCGGGGACACCATCTTGGTCGTTGGTACCCAACTGGCGAACACCGTGCCAGTGGATGCTCGTGGCATTGTCATGCAGGTTGTTGATGACAGTTACTTCAACCAGATCGCCCCAGTTTGCTTCGATTACAGGGCCTGGTACTTGGCCATTCACTGTCAAAGCAACCTTGGGCGCGGTTCCATCAAAGCTCATGGTGGTGTTGTCAATGACCAACGTGTACCTGACTGTTCTTCCCGTTTTGAAGCCATTGGTGTAAGAGTTGGAGCTGATGTCCTGGCCGCCGCACCACCTGGATCGGTCGGCTGCGCTGTTGCAGAAGTCCGAAGCGTTGTGGGCAGGCGTGTAGGTTGGGCATCCGGTGGAGCTGCTTGTTGTGGTCGTGGAGGTCACAGATGTGGACGAGGTCGAGTTCAGGTATCCGGTAGTGCTGGTGGTGTTGTAACCACCCCCCGGCGGAGAGTATGAGCTTCGGGCAGAGGTGGTCGTTGTGGCAGGGCCTGACGTTGAGGGAACGGAAGTTGGCAGACCAGCGCCTGACCCACTTACACTCCAGTCATTCCAGGGACCGGCATAGTTTGTCTTCTGAGACTCCCACTGGGAGGCCCAGTTGTTCTCGGCGCTGCTAACCTCAGCACTCTTCAGAGTCGTTGGCCCAGTCGATCCGGCCTGGACGGTCGAAGGCGCGGGACATGTGGTTATAGTAGTTGCAGGGCAGATGCTGTGAATTCGGGTCGAGGTGACGGTGACGGTGACATCCGCCTCGCTGTGGCCTGCTCTTGCAAGGCCGAAAGCGGCAGAAGCAAGGAGAAGAGAAATAGAACGCATGGTGAACGAATGGACGCAAGCTAACAAGCTTGCAACAAAAAGAGTGACCGGGTTGGCAGTAGGGCGTGGAAAGAAAAGACAAGCATAACCATGAAAAGCGGATGAGAGGTTATATCAATACCTGCTGGGATACTAGACCCCGGCTCTCTCGAGCCGTAATCCTCCTGCTCAAGCGCGAGGCTTGTGGTCAGCCTGACGGAGCCACCAGCACCGATAAAAGCCACGAGGACCAGAGGGTTCGGACGCCGACATGGTATGGAGTACGCAACAATGAATGGTGTTCTGGTGGACTTGTGTCTCAGTTTAGCACAGTGGGGAGAAGACGACGGTGAGCGCGTCTTGTAAGAGAAGGAGCTCCTGTCTGAGGTGTGGTCCCCGGAAACTACCCGTGTAGGTAATCTTCGGATACGACGTGCAAGCCAGCCACAGCACCATGATCCATGAAGCAATTGTCTGTTGGTGGGATTGGGATTTGCAGGGGAGGCAGAGGTGAAGCCATGTCCCAGCAGAGACTAAAAGCCAAACCGAGTCAAGCGCGGCGAAGCAACCACCAAGCTTCAGCCTTTCAGGGGGATCGAGGATGGAATAGGAATAAAGCGAGATGCGGTGGAGTCTAGCTTGTCGCTACCTGACGCGCCGGTGGAAATTAGATATGAGCTTGTGATTCTTGGGTGCTTGAGACGCGGGTAGAGCGGGCGATCAGAGCCCAATAGTGACCAAGTTGACCGTCCAGACGGAGCTGGACCCAAGCGAGAGGCGAAACAGGGGGGAAGGGCGGCTGTGATCCATGGGAGGATGATCAACTGTTGCGAGATGCTGTAGCCTGTGGCGTATGAAGGCCGAGGCCAGGTCTGTACTCAAAGACGTTGACGTTGAATACGAGCCTTTTGAAGTGAGATGATGGTGAGATGATGGTTGTAGGGAAAAGTATGCAAGATTGGTGGCAGATGTGCAAAGTCGACGCCGATGACAGCGGGATCGCTGTACTTGGAACTTGGAGCAGGCAGGGATACGAACACGGCGCAGGCAGCAAATCGACACATCTTCTCCGCCAGCACCAGGACCACGGAAAATATGTCTTCGGGTTCGTGTTCGTGTCGTTGTCACTGTCACTGTCATTATTGCTACTACTATTACGGAGTACTACTACTACTTCCACCACCACCACCACCGCGAACAATGCACTCGGCCTGTCCCTGTCCCTTTCATGGCTGCTCCCGCGCAGTGACGCCTTCAAGATCTGGACACCACCGCCACCCAGCAAACGAGCTGGAGCACGGGCGGGTTCTTGTGCGACTTCATATACAGGAGAAAATGACCTCCTGACCTGTTCGATTTCACCTTAGCAAGAATAAATTCTCTCTACCAGTGCTTCACAATTGACCAATTGCAAGTTGTGTCGATGCGAACAGCAATCAAACTCCTCTCGCTGTCCAGACGCGATTTACCTCTGACTAAGGGATACACGTTCCTCTAATGCAACCGCGTCCTCCATTTTGCCTTCGAATCGCGATGTCTTGACTTAAATTGCTTGACGATGCTTATATTCCACGATCCTACAGAACAGACTACAGTACCGAGAAGATGGGTACCTCATCTCCACAAAGCGTCCTTCCGGGCGCTACTGCAAGCCCTGATCCTTTTAGAGCCCGCCATGCTAGCGAGCTTTACTTTGTTGCGCGCTACCGAATACGGCACCCTATGAGCCACAGCCTAGATGGACCTCGAACAGATTCTCCGAACCGACTCGCCATGATTCATGACCCTTTTGAAACAAAGGGAAAGGCCTCGCAGTTTAGGCGAGAGTGTTCTGAGCGCACGGAAGAATTGACTAGAAGACATTATCAGACGTGTAATGGTGAGTCTGGCGAAAGATCATCTGAGGCTGCGCAAAAATGCCCCTTGGAAAATTCGAAACAAACGTCAGCAAGACCACCTCCTTGCGCCTCCTACTGTCCGAGACTCGCTCTCCGCCATCAATGTTCGAGTCACCCTGTTCTGGCCAACTCTTCCCGACAGGCGACTAGCTTCTCGTCTGGTTCAAACGGTCTCACAATCATACAGTACGTGATGATGGGCCGCTAACCGGCCAGGGACTAAGGGTTTCCCGCCGCAGGCGAAAAAGAACCCAATGCTTCTAAACTCAGCTAGTCCCCTTTTCGTCTCCATATCCAATCTCGCTTGTTTCCTACAAGTACTTCTGGCTCCATGATGCTTCGCCTGCTTGACTTCGGACAAGCATTTTATCCAAATTGCCCCCTGAGATCCTTGGAGCTGGGCGAGATCTTGTACAATACTGTACAATAGGCTGTTAGCTCGACCCATTGAACTGTCCGTACTGACAGCGCGGTTGGAATTTGGTTGATGATTCCACACCAAGCCGGGGAAAATGTGGTGGCAACTTGTAGGCGAGTCTGGAGTGTCATCCCTGTCTATGCTTGCCTGCCCTTCTTGCTCCCGTCTTAATAGGCATTTTCATAGTCCCCCTTGGTGTGCTGGCATTCTACTCAAGTCACAAAGCAAACTATGAATATCGTTGTGCGTAGGGGTCATCTCGTTCTCTGCGTGTGCAACTTGAAGAAAGTCGAGACGGCTTGTTGTTTACAAAGTCCAATATGTATCTAATAACGTAATATATGTTCGCCATACAGTCAGAAGATGAATCATCGGAGCTGAGACTCCGACATTCCGTTGGGACTAGCCTAGGAGCCAACCCATGCCGAACATGGCCAGCGCACCCAACTCGCCGGTCATGCTGTCTCGTTTGTACTTTGGAGTAGCAGCACCCGAGCTAGACGTAGATGACGAGCTTGTCATGGGAGGATTCGCCGGTGAACTCACAGCAGTTGGGCATTCAGAGCTGTCACACCTCGCCGCAAGCTCTGGGCCCGGGACGAACGTTCTTACTGCCCTTGTACAGTTTTTCAGTGGGTTTCCATCTGCACTGATACTCTCAACAATACTCCAGGGATGGTACTTGGGCGCTGTAAACTTTGTCTCGAAGCCGGTCTTGTTGACGGTATCGATGACGGTCCAGGGGCCATTACGCCCTGGACCGGAGTAGATGCGCCATTGCGCCACCTTCGTCGCCCCGTTCCAGCTCATCCAGTATGAAGTGGGAGCGCTGCCGTTGTGGGCGTAGGTGAACAGGGCGGGAGCATCCGTCGGGTTGGTTGTGAAGTTGTGCTTGAACGCACGGTAATTCATCGACCCTGTGGATGCAAAGTGGCCCTGTTGGACCATTCTGCCATCGGCGGTGTATTCAGATATGTAAGCATTCGAACCCCAGCCAAGAAACGCGCTCGAAGTCCGCCAGTCCTTACCCATCAGCTGGACATTGCCTTGGGAGGCGGAGATAAACTCGTTTGGGGATATAAAGCGCTGAAGAAGGGAGACTGTGTTTCGCATGTGGTCCAGCTTCAGGATCAATCCCGAGGAATATCTAGCGGTCTGATTGAAGCCATTCGAGGCGTTGTCGAAGAGGGAAATGATGGTCGTGGTCTGGTTCTCCTCCCTAAACCTGGCATCGTGTTGAAAACTGAAATTGAGGCCCGGGGGGAAGGCAAAGTCAGAGAGTCTGCCGCCTAATCTCCAAATAATGTGCCCATCTTGCCCAGACACTTTGTAAATGGTACATGTATGGCGCGCAGATACAAGATAGTCTCCGTCGGCATTTTGATCGACACTGTTGATATGGAAATAATCCCAAGGACTAGTCGGTGTCAGCCCATTGCCCGCCACCTCGCTCTCTCGCGGCCCGACAAAGGTCTCATTCAAAGAGACGTGGTCTATCGCAGACCACTCAAATATGAGCTTGTTGGTGCCGAGTTCGAGATGCTGGAAATAGCAATTCATCAACCATCCTTGTCCGGACACATTGTAAGCAGACAGATCGTAATGTTCGGGGTTGTACAGAGTGAATAAAGATGATTTCCCATCGTCGAGCACGTTGAACTCGTGTTCATCAAAATTGGCCAAGCCGCTTTGTGAGCGAACAGACGTGCGTGTGGTCAAGGTATCGTCCAACACCACAGCGTACCCTCGACCATAGCCGTTGTTCTGGGCCGCGGAAATAAAGCATAGATTGTCCGTGCCGTTGATCGAACAAGCATGGAAGTTATGCGACGGACCTCGTCCTGTCTCAGCAAAACCACTCCACACCAGGTTCTTCAATCGTTAGATTCGCACATGTCGCCGTGCATACGAGACACTCACTCCTCGATTATCGTAGATATATGCCGCCTCTTGAAACGTCTGGTATGGTCCGATGAAAATGTATCCTGGAGTCACAGCATCGTCGTCAAACAGAGATATGTTGAGGAAAGGCGCGTAGATATCAGGTCTCTAATTCAGCATTAGCAACGATTCACGTGGAATCGCCCTGGAGTCGCCGTACAGATTTGTATTGAGAGAGCGGCCCCGTGCTATTGGTATTCACGGGAGCTGGACCTTGTGCCTGAACTTCAGGCCCGAGGCAGACTGCCACGAGAGCAGCTGCAGCAAACCGAAGTGAAAACCGCATGATGGTGGCTCTAGCACCACGTCGGCGTTGAGAGGTTCAGGGACAAGAAGCTTGTAGAAGAGGGGTTCAAGGGCGTTTAATATTGCCCGTCATCGTCAGCAGCCATGTTGTCCGAGGTTGTGCAGACATGAGTATGGGCAATACATGTACATTGCCAGCTTTTTCAAGCTGGATGATGTAGCATGCGGAGATTGCGGCGATCGTTCATTGAAGTGGTAGTTGAGGGAGACTCTGATCTGCCCCGCGCAATAGTGGTGGCCATAGCTGTATATAGTTAAAATTCCAGACAGCGGGGGCAACAATCCAGGCATCACCACGCCCAAGCACCATTCCGTTGGATCTCTGGGCGAGTGACAGCGGGGCCTTTTACTGGGCAAACTTGGTCAGTTCGGACGCTTTGATACCTCCAATAGGTACCTTTATCTGGCTACCTGCGAAAAGACCCTCAGGCCAGGTGTCTCCCTAGGTACCTAGGTACGTCCCGGGCAGTGAACGCTTCTCCAATCCTCGTCAGACTTTGCTCAAGACAGGCACATCATGTCCCGAGTATCAACTGGATCCTTACACAGTGCAATCTTGACCCTCAGTGACATGGTCATAACGACCAATGGAGAGAGACACAGACTCTTCGCAATTACCCCCTGTCGAGCAAGGTATTTCGAGACAAGATAAGAGCACCTATCCACCTCATGTGTGACAGCGCCACGGACAGAGGTGTCCATTAGAGACTGCACTTGGCAATCCAAAGCATCAAGCAACCATGTCGACATCAAGCCATTGCATACCTGGAACCGAACAATGCGATCGCGTGGACAACAGGGCTGGCTGAAGGTCACTCGATCATAGCCATGTACCCAGTTCTGAGCTGTACAGAATGAACTCACGGTGTACGAGTACCAGTGAAGCGAGAGCACAGCTCGAAGAAAGGAAGATACCCCTTCCACATCATGAACATGTCTCGCACCTCGTGAGACGACGTTGCTGGTGCCGAATGGTGTATTTATACAACTCCCTCCCATCATTCCCCATTTGTCTGAACAATTGCCGTCTTTGTGCCTGGCACCCCCGTTGGCGCTTCTCGCTGGATGACTCGTCCGCACCTTGGACCCGTTCGTTCGGCGCTGGGTTCTCTCAACTCTACCTCGGAGAGTGCTTTGATGAGCTCTCGTGCAAATAGGACACAGCGAATATCTGGATGCGCTTCTGTAGTGCTTCTTGACTTCTCGACAGTGTTTGCCGGCCTGGTCAAAATCGGTGGCGTCGGAGACACAACGTCAGATGTACGGACATGCGCTCAAACTCCTTCAATTCCAGCTCGACAATAATGAAGTGATAATGCGACCGACGTGCTCTCATCCTACATTCCTTGGAAGCAAAGTATTGCGCCATTTCTCCCCTTTTGGTTGCGGTACGAGACTCTATCGTAACTTGATAACATTGAAACGGTCAAGATGACGACCTTCAGGACAGCAATCAACACTTGATCTAGCACGCGGATGGAGCAAACAACTTCTATTCTTGGAGCGTTTGGATCGGAAGGGATCAATCAGCTCGGGATTCAAGCTGCAATTGTCCTATATTCACGTTCCTACAATTATAAGCATTCAAATTTCCCCTTATGGAAACCTGCCGCGGACATCAACTCCACCAATTTGTACTCTCACCATCTTGCATTCCCATTTTCCCGTCACCATCCGACGATCTTCACACCCATCGGTTCTCGAGACGTGATGCTTTCTCGACTCTCCCGTCCGGGAGGCACTAGAACACAAGATTCCTCTCTCGATCTTGGTCCATCGACCGCTTGGAAGCGAGTATTCTGCATACCTAGGTACGTACAACGCCCAGCCTCCATCCGCCAGCATTCGACAGTAAGATGCACAGACGACGCACCAGACCTGTGTGAAAGAAGCCCTGATTCACCCGGCCCTCGCTCTCCGAAAGCGTCTTGACCGTCTCGACCGTCTCGGTCTCCTCGATAGCGTCCCGGTGACTTTCTCCCAACAACAAAGCAACTTGGTCCCTGAGTGTCCAACAAGACGGCAAGGTGACAGATTGATATGTCTGGCTCTGGGTTTCACACTCAATTTCCATTCTAAAAGCGCGACAACCAGCCGTGGGGCTTGCTTGCCTGTTTGCTTGCATTTATGATTCATGTTCAACTGTTCAACTTTCTCGGTCGAGATCCACACAATTTACAAACTCAGGAAACGACCAAGGTTGAAAGTAAAATAAAGTGCCGACGCGCAGAGGTACCTTCAGATATGTAGGCAATGCAGTTATCGGCACCAGTATTATACGCTGAGAAAAAAACGACAAGAACAAAATATGGTCCACTCCCTCCCCTGGTCCCAACACCGCCGCCAGATTCCACACGCTCGCAATGGTTCACCGCACAGTTCTACTCTATCAAAAGAAATATTCATGATGGCTTCTATGGCTCATCCCTTGCCCGAGGAGGACAAAAACAACATGTCATCTCCCCCATGCCGATGGGAGCCAAAAGACGTGAAGGACAAGCCAAAAACACAATCCACAAACACATATCATCCTCCACCCCGGGATTTCCATCCTTGCAACGTGCTGGCAATTCCGTGTTCGTGGCTTATTGGCTCCGGGATTACCTATCTTTGGATATGCAGTCGCGCGGACACTACTGGTCGTTTCAACAGCATCAGACCTGGAATGTCGATCGTGGTCGGAAAAAACACGGTTTGGGTTGTTCGTCTTTCTCATAATCCAATGTACTATTCATTCACGTGCCAATCTATTGCACCTGGCTAACAATCTCACTGGCCTTGCTCAAGCTCTCGACCATTTGCTGACACTCTTTTCGTCGTCTGATGGTATAGTCGCTTTCCTTCAAAAGTTCGTCAAGCTCTTGTGTCCTGTACATTTGTTCAAGGAGTTCTCGTTGCATCTCGTCTTTTGTGAATCTAGAGAATTGTCAGCACCGCACCGTCTAATGTGTTTGTCTTAACTAAGATCACTTACTGTACGAGAGTCAACATGATGGCTTTGGGTACCATGTCAATCATCGTCCTTCGCACAATGTTGAAATAGCTGTTGATCAAGAGTTTGATGACTTCGACTTCTTGGTTTTCCCGTTCCGAGAGTGTTCCACTGGCCTTCAGCGTTGGAGGCGGAGGCTCCATTGCCGCCATCTTCTTCTTGTTCTTACTCGCAAAGAATGATCCAAAGAAGCCCGAATTTGGCTCTGAACCGTCGGTAGGAAGACCTGGAGAGTTGGCTCGAGGCGGAACCGAGGGAGGAAGTGGTTTGCCCGTCTTTGGATCCACCTGAGTGGGCTTGGCGGCACTGTGTCTTTCATTGACAATGGCCATAGCACGGTGGCCGTTCAAGAAATCGGGATGCCCTGTGTTGATGTAACAGGCTTCCATTGCCACCAAATCTTTGACGAGTTTGTTCGTTGGGTCCATGGCCTTTCTGAAAAATGAGATCACAACTCCATGGAACCTCTCCTTGAGTTGAGGATATCGTCGGAAGAGTTGTTTCGTAAGTAGTTGCTGAAGAATGCGCACGAGTTCGTCAAAGACAAGCGACACACACTTCAGTGAAGGTTCCTCAAGACGTTTGATTTGCTGCTTTACAATGATTTCAAACGCCGTCGTACCGACAAACAGTGCAGGTGATGAACCTGAGGAATTGACCAACATTGTCCGAATGTCAATGTCCTTAACTTGTTCAAAGGGATCGATGGCTTTAATACCATTTGAGTAGAGTTCATGATAGACGAAGGAAATTCTGGCACCACCCGAGAGTTCGTTGCTTGATAGTTCCTGGCTATGTCCCTCGAGAACAGTTCTGTATTCGTTGGCGAATTCGGTAATGATGTTGAGGACAATGTTTGAGCTGTTATGACCGAGCAGATCTCCAGCTCCCAATTGCTCAAGTTCCTGAGAGTATTTTTGAAGTGAGCTAGCAATGCGGTTCTTGATGTCGGGTAGAGTCTGTTTGATGTGCATCATCAAAATGAGATTGAGCTTTCGGGCCAGATACGGGGTGCCGCAATACGAAGCCTTGTTGCGATAAGAAGGATGATTATCGAAAAAGTCCTTCTCTGCTTTCAAAGCCAAGTCTATCCTCTTCTTGTTCTCAATGTCTCGTTGGCCTCGGTTGACCACGGGTACGTAGCCTAGTCTGAGTGGGATAATCCGCCCGGCTAGAATATCGACAACATCGGTTCCAGCGTCCATCAAATCAATCTTGGTTAGGACACCGATCGTTCTCTGACCCTCGGGGTCGACTTCTCGGGCGAGCTTCAGACCGTCCGAGTTTGCCAGATCCACATTTGCAGCGGTGACAGCGAGAATGATGGCATTGGGCTTCGATATCTGCTTGAGGACCATCTCTTTGATCTGTCTTTCGATATCTCGGGGTTGATCACCGACAGGCACCTTTGTCAAACCGGGCAGATCAACCAGTGTAAGGGTGAGGACATTGGGTGAGTAGATGCGCAAGTTGATGGGCGCGGGCGAGATGCCGACATTTCGTCCCGCTTTTGCTTCGGTTTCTTTCACGATTTCATCGCGAATCTTGTTAAAATCAAAGAACTTCTGTCCTGGCAAGTGGAGGAATTCTCCCCATTCATCAACATTAGCCTGGCTGTCGCTGGTCTTTTTCAATTCTTCTTCTGAAACGCCATTCGATTGCAACTTCGCAGGCGCGGGTCTGTTGATCAGTTGAAGGACGAGGGGCCGCCGCGTGACAATTCCGGAGCCTCGAGGTAGACTGTGATCTCAAGTTAGGAGTGGGAAATACAGATGAGCGGGAGTGATTGCTGCGCTTACAAGTCTCTCCCAACAATGTTTTCGAGCACGGAACTCTTTCCACTGGATTGCGATCCGACAACCACAATCTGAGGAAGATCTATGGGATTTTGCACCTAGGAAAATAACGGTCAGCTCTATTCGACAATTCGGGCTTGACGGCTGGTGGAAAAGAGAAGGGGAAAACATACACCCACTGTCGTGAACACATCTTGTAGCTTGTTGACGAGAGCAATCAGACTCGGATCGTTGACATTGATTCTGTGGCGATATTAGTTTGCTGGCCGCGGTGTGGTTTAGTGACTATCAGCAGGCACTCACGAATAACCCCCCGGCGGTGCAGCCATGGTTGGGGCAAACGACAGTGGCAGAGGATCGTTGAATAGAACGGGTGGTGCAGACTCAAGACTGAATGCAGCAGAGCGTTGCAGGACGACTTCGAGAGGTTGATCTTGGGAGGCGGTTGATTGTGCGGTGTTGTCAGTGATGTGTGTTTGCGTCTTGCTGGCCAGAACTTGGGATGATGCACCTGCGCCTGTTGATGTTGGTGATGGGGATGGAGCCTTGGATCCGCCTGCGCCGGCTTTAGGCGTGTTCTGCGCTGCACTAACAACACCAGCACCGTCGCTAGCAGCCACACTTTCTTGGCGGCCAAAGAGAAAGGGAAAGTTTGCCGTACGCGTCATTGAGCCACAAACTCCAAGGCAACAGGCAAATGGCGAAGAGGGATTCGGCCTGAGTCGACCTGGAAGACCCAAAATGTTCGTTCCACCTTCGCACTACATCAAGGCTGAAGCTTTTGAATGAATATGGCTCTGGTTACTGCCGCGAAGTGACTAGGCACCTTTCAATCTTTGTTTCGTGAGGATCGCAGGGTAAGGTCAGCTGGTCCTCAGATCTCAACCCATTGCAGGACATCTGACATAAACTCGTCTTGGGCGCGAGGAAGTGAGCGCCATCATTCAATACCCGTGGCGAAGATGAGACGCGAGTGAAGGTGAAACACGCCTTACTGTGTGACACGTCAGCTCCCGCTTCTGTGGACGAGCTCTCCATGTCATGACGCCCAGTCAGGTATACGAAGGGAGGCTGTATACTATTGCTGCAGATAAAGGTGAGATATACAATATCAAGCTAAATCTATGCTTCGCCCCTGTAGTAAGGCGGCTGTCCAGGTCCCTCTTCCTGTACGAATCCAGAACAATGCTTGCCAGATGCAAATGATAATTGACTCGTCGTGACCCGTGACAATTCCCTCGGTGCCGTGGATGGTGCGGGTAGCGAGCCATCGACAAATGAACTCCTGCAGATGCAATGTCGTATCCAAAACTCTATACCTTGCGCAGACCGTTGGCTGGAAAGATGTTATACCCCCCTGGAACTCCACCAAAACATACTTCCTCCCAGCGTGTCTACAACGTTGATCTCATAGCACTCAGCCGCCCAGAATCGCTACGCGCAACAGGTGTGTTCAAGAGGCTGGAAAGACCATCAACGGGAGGTGGTGCGCTCGACCATCTGAAGATTGGGTTAGTTTTGGGTCCCTGTAATAGGAGTACGCCAACTTACATGCGCACTCTGCGGTCATCCCCTCCAGACGCAAACATGGATGCATCTCGAGGATTCCAGTCCACCGTTGTTACACATTCCTTTCCGCCAGCACCTCGACCATGACCCGACAACTTCTCTATCAAAGATTCGTTCTCCTTGTGCCACACGTATACCATGCCATCTGTGAAAAGGTCAGTAAATGGTGCGCGCCGTTTGCCTCGCTCACCCACCTTCCGAGCCGCTGACCACAAAATTCTCCGCCGCTCCTCCAAAGCAACTTCTAATCACGAATTCGCCTTGCTTTTGGCCTTTGAACCTGCGTATAATATCTCTTGTGACGAGATCAATCATCTGTACCTCACCGAATGCAAAGTTCACAAGGACGGTGCTGCCGTCCCGGCTGAGCGAGATACTCGTCATCTTCCCAGAAGTTTTGATGGGAGGCTCCTCTCGATAGGTCTGCAAATCGAAAATTCGAATGATGTTCTGTGGGTCTAGAGCAACAAGCCAATGGCCATCATTCGTGATTGCAACGTCTTGTACTCGGAATCCTTTGGGCCAGACGTAGATGGGCGTCTCGGGATTCTCTGCAAGAAGGCTCCAGTAGCAGAGTTGACAATTTCTATCATGGCTTGCTGTCACAAAACCCATCGAATCAGGCCTCCACGCGGCTGCAGTGACACCGTATGTCGGCTCTTCGGATTCATGATGCAGTGTGACCTTTAGCCTGCCAGTTTCAACATCCCATACCCTGGCTTTGGCATCTTGAGAACATGAGATGATCTTCGTGTCGTCGGGACTCCATGCAACATAAGTGACCTCTGCAGAATGCTGTTTTAATTCGTGAATGCGTTTGAAAGTGACGGTCTCGTAGATATTGACGGTTCGATCTTGACTTGCAGTTGCCAACTTCGTGCCGTCGTGGGAGAACTGGACGTGCCAAACCTCACCTGCATGGTCTTGGAGTTCGATCGAGGTACGGGAGGGGAAGGCTTCTCGATCGCAGAGATGATCTGAGTAGAGTGACGGAGCCACTGCAGTGTTGTGATATAAACATTGATTTATCTGGTTCTGCTTCACCTGGTCGAACAGCTCGGCTAGCCGATGGTCTCGGATCATCACAGATGGAGCGATCGACCTGGACAGATCCTGGAGAAGTATCTTTCGGGATTCTGCCACTGTGCCAGCCCAGTGAGCCTTGGCCCTCAGGTCTTCAGGAGGACACATGAGAAGCGTCGAGAGGGCATGTAGTTGATGGACGTCATGACCCAACGGCGTTAATTCCTGCCGGAGAACCATAAGAGCCATGCTCAGATTTCGACTGTCTAGAAGCTCCAGGAACTTTTGTTGGCGAATCCAAAACAGCATCTGATCACGGTCGGCCCCTTCCGCAAGCACCAAGCCTTCGCCGTGTTGATCGTCATCCACAAGTAAGCCTTCGATAGAATCACCTCGGGGTGAACCCACCAGAATTGCTTCTGCCTCTGACCATGCACCTGCTTGGATTGCGATCCGGAATGCTGCAGCAGAAGGACTCTCCAAATTGTACCCACTCTCTTCCGATAAGCAATCTGCGGCATTCGGGTATCCCATGTCAAGCAAGCCTTGAACTAGAATCCTTACAACCTCCTCCCGGTTGTGGCCCCGATATGTCGCTGATCGTACTGGCGAAGGCTTCTTGATTGCACCGTTGGCAAAGGATGGGGCAGAGCCATTGAGACTGCTCGAAATGTGTCCATTGACGGCAGTGTGTAAGGGTTTCCGAGGAGTCGAGCCATTCGAGCTTGCAATATGACCATTAGAATATGCTTGCCCTGAGTCGTCACTAACTCTCATGTTGTGTCTATTTGTTCTCCTGCGCTTTCTTTGGGGTTCTGTGTCTCGGGGGTGAGAATCAGCGGAAGGTTCTGCTTCAGAAGAGGTGTCACTTAGGTGGTCAAACTCTGGGGAGGATGACCGCCGTCTCCTTCGTCGACGCCGCTCTTCGATACCCTGTACCTGCTCTATAGGTGGCGGATTCGGCACGGAGATGTTGGAAGGCGCGGAAGACGGGTGCGTCGATGTCTCGGTCGAGGGACTTGGAGGTGGAATTGGGGGTTGGGCAAAGGAATCTGTGATGGAAGTATTTGAGGGAGGTATCGAGGTGGATGGGTGGTCGGTAGTGATTGGGTTGTCGTCAGTTGAATGGTGGTTTGCCAGCTCGTGGTGGCGGCCAAAGCCGCCGGTATCAAAGTCAGGACTGCCGGAACCACCTTCTTCAAGGCACCGCTGGATGTTGAAGGCGTAGACGGGCTCTTCAGGATGCTGTTCCGATGGGTTCAACGCCTGGGAGATTTGTAGTTATGTACGTTCATTTATGGCTCCAGAAGCCTATGCACCAACGCGTGAGTGGGAATTGAGCACAAGGGCAAGATAGCGCCTCATCGACCCGATGTACGCGGGATTGACAGCGTAGGGAGAGGACGCAGACGCACGGGCAGTTCCAGCTCAGATGTTTCGGTGTAGAAATGCGGCAGTGCTCGGTGAACAAGGTCCAGTAATGCAAAATTGAGTAGATACGGAGAGGTAGGAGGAGGAGGAGTGTGTCGTAGAATGGTAATGGTAGTCGCTGGTGGTCATGGAGGCAGATGACAAGATGGAGATGGGGCACGTCGGAGCGACCAAGTACCAACCACGTCTAACTAAGCTTGGTCATTCTGTCTTGCTGTCTTGCGGCCTTCAAGCCGCCCGCATCATCTGAGTCTAGCATTTCACCATTCGATCTGTCCCGCTTCTCTACAACCAGAGTCGGTGAACGGTGCCAGGCACGCACTCCCCGCTACATTCGTGTCTACGATAGGCGCATAGCGCTGTTTCGGCCGTGGTAGAATTCCCACTACCTGTCACCTCTCAAGCTGCGTAAGAGCTGAAGCACGGCAGAACCCCGCGCCGCCCCAAAATATGAAATGCTTCTGTCATCAAGAGTCGATGGGAGAGAGTACACGTACGATTTTCAGTATTAGCTGCCTTTCGGAAGGATGGTCCTGAATGCCAGAAAGAGTTGAGCCCTGGTCTACTATCGAAGACTCCTCCGGAGTGCAGCACCATTGGCGGAAAGTCGAAAAGTGGAAAGTCGACTGAGCATCTGCAGTCTCACTAGGCCGTGCCTCGGGTCGATAAGCCAGATAATGGGAATGGCACTGTCCCGAGGATGAAACCAAGTGAAAGTGGTGGTTCCCTTGTGGTACACAGCGGTTTGCGTTAGGTATCTAGCTTCACGACAACATTCCAAAGAAATGAGTTTCAGAGAGGAGGGCCTCGAGTATTCCAATCGCATGACTGATTGCCTCCTTACTCTATCGTCAGTTGTCGTGAATGCTGATGACATATACGAGTGCAGAGTGTAGCACGTCGGGCCATTGCTCTGCTGGTTTCCAGTGCAAGTGTAGGCACGATTGCGTAGGGCCAGGCAGGCTTAGATGCTCAGGTTAGGCATCCCGGCCCTTAACCGGTAGGGGGCAATAGGCGTGCCTAGCAGTCCCAGGAGGCCCATAGCTTCACCTGCCAGTACGAAAACAGTACCTGAGATAAGACCCTCGCTAGGTTCTAGTGAGTACCTAATTGTAATTGGAGCGACTCGATTGAGGCTGTAACACGCCCACCCCAACACTATTATGACACAAGCACGAGCACTAACTGGCAGCTGCAACTCGGTCCACCCTGCCACCAGCCCGCTGTTGCCTTCAAATTCTAATTAATAGATGTCTTTGGGTCAATGACTTCGTACCTTATGGATGCTTGGGTTCCGTCCTCGTCTTTCTCGCAAAAAGTCTCTAGTGGAGTTTATCACCGGGAAGAGCATTGACGATCTTGCCAGCCTATCTGACCTCAGCTATCTGCAGCTTCAGCTTGGCCTTCCTGATCTCCTCGAAGACGACCTTGAGGAAGAGCTTAGCGGTCCTAGCTCCAACCACACCTCTATCTTCGCCTTTCCTCAACCCCTTCAGCAGCTACAATCAACCGCCCGAACATACAGAAGGATGCCTGCTTCAAAAGAGAGTGGAGTTGGGTCGGAGGACCAGAATGGCCTCGTCTTTGGCGTCTCCGGTCCCGTCATTGTCGCCGAGAATATGATCGGTGTGGCCATGTACGAGCTCTGCAGGGTTGGCTACGATGAGCTAGTTGGTGAAGTCATTCGGATAGAGGGCGATAAAGCTACCATCCAGGTGTACGAAGAAACTGGTTTGTGAAAACTGATGCATCCCTTCGAGACCCAATGCTGACTTGCTGCCAGCTGGCGTTACCGTCGGAGATCCTGTCAAGCGAACAGGCAAACCTCTATCTGTCGAGCTCGGTCCTGGGTTGATGGAAACCATCTATGACGGCATCCAGCGACCTCTAAAAGGAATCGCTGATGATACGAAAAGCATTTACATTCCACGTGGTATTTCCGTACCTGCGTTGGACCGCAAGAAGAAATGGCCATTCACTCCTACTATGAAAGAGGGTGATCACATCAGCGGTGGAGATATCTGGGGCAAAGTCGTCGAGAACACCTTGTTGAACGAACACAGAATCCTGTTGCCGCCCAGGGCCAGAGGCACCATCAAGAAAATTGCTCCCAAGGGCGAATATACCGTTGATCAACCTCTTCTCACGGTTGAGTTCAATGGGGAAACAAAGGAATATCCAATGATGCAGACATGGCCTGTCCGTGTTCCCCGACCGGTCAATGAAAGATTGCGCGCAGATTCACCCTTTATCGTCGGCCAGCGAGTGCTCGATGCCCTCTTCCCGTCTGTTCAAGGTGGTACTGTGTGTATTCCGGGAGCCTTTGGATGTGGCAAGACTGTCATTTCTCAATCAGTCTCCAAGTTTTCCAACAGCGATATCATCGTCTATGTTGGGTGCGGTAAGTGATGAAGACGTATGGAAAATCCATGATCCCGTCCTGACGTGATCCTAGGCGAACGAGGTAACGAAATGGCCGAAGTGTTGATGGACTTTCCTGAGCTCTCCATCACGATTGACGGCCGCAAGGAGCCCATCATGAAGCGAACCTGCTTGATCGCAAACACTTCGAATATGCCTGTGGCCGCAAGAGAAGCCTCAATCTACACTGGAATCACAGTGGCTGAGTACTTTAGGGACCAGGGCAAGGCTGTTGCGATGATGGCAGACTCGTCTTCTCGATGGGCCGAAGCTCTTCGAGAGATTTCCGGTCGATTGGGAGAGATGCCTGCTGATCAAGGTTTCCCAGCATATCTTTCCGCTAAGCTCGCCTCTTTCTACGAACGAGCTGGTAACTCGATTGCGCTTGGCTCTCCAGAACGAACCGGCAGCATCTCGATTGTGGCAGCCGTCTCACCACCCGGTGGTGATTTCTCCGATCCTGTAACATCTGCTACCCTGGGTATCGTGCAGGTGTTTTGGGGGTTGGACAAGAAACTTGCTCAGCGAAAACATTTCCCCAGCATCAACACCTCTGTTTCCTACAGCAAGTACACCAATATCCTAGACCAGTTCTACGTGAAAGACCATCCCGATTTCCCCAAGCTCCGGGACCGCATTAAAGAACTCTTGACCAACTCGGAAGATCTCGACCAAGTCGTCCAGCTCGTCGGTAAATCTGCACTTGGTGATTCGGATAAAATCATTCTCGATGTTGCTGCAATGTTGAAGGACGACTTCCTCCAGCAAAATGGCTACAGTGATTACGATCAGTTCTGTCCCCTGTGGAAGACCGAGTATATGATGAAAGCCTTTATGCAGTTCCACGACGAAGCGCAAAAGGCCGTCACGAGTGGCTTGTCATGGGCAAAGGTCAGAGAGTCGACCAACGAGATCCAGCATGGCCTCAGAAGCATGAAGTTTGAACTCCCAGACAACCAAGAGGAGGTGTCAAGCAAGTACGACAAGCTGCTGCAGAACATGTCGGAGAAGTTTGCTAGTGTTAGTGATGAATAGAAGGAGCGACTGACTGGTGGAAGGCTGGGCGGGTTGTCTGGGTTGCGTCGGTTTTAATAGTTATACTGAAGTAGCAATGGAATTGCCGTTTTACTCTTGACACTAGAACAGAGCAGAGAAGAACAGGGCAGGACAAGAACATGAGCGAGAGCGTGAGTGAGAAGGTGTCCATTACGTCAATAAATATATTGTTTTTATTTCATTCAACTCGTAAAAATAGCACTCCACACTCCATACTCCATGATTCGTAGTCGTAGAAGTCACATGTGACGCTTTCTCGATTGAAAGAATCGCTTTCTTCCACGTCCTGAGTGGCACGTAAGAGTACGAGGTACCCCGTTCTAGTAAGAGTTGGTATGGGAATGGAACCGGGGGGGGGGGGGGGGTTGGGTTAGTATGTGTGTTCAATCCCAACCAGGCTCGAATTTCCTGCCCTGGGCGGTCCACTCGATGATACGGCCGTCGGTCGCGAGGAGGATACTCTTCGGCCCATCCCTGAGCCTCTTGACGTCTATGCACGTGACGGGTGCCGGGAAGTGGTGGTCGTTCAGCGGGCTCCGGAGCAGTTGCCCCGTGGTCGCGGACCAGATGGCGACGCGGTGGGTGCGCACGTTGTCTGTGGACGCGCGCAGCACGACGTTCAGCTCCGGGTCGTACGCGAACCCGAGGCCGTATCGGTTCTGTCTACGCAGCGGGTCCACGTTGAACGTCAGCGACGGCGGCGTTGTCGTCCTCGTCGTCGTCGACGTCGTGGTGTCCGAGCGAGTACTTGGAGTAGGAGGAGGAGGAGCTGGATGTGCTTTTGGCTGGTGTTGTTGTTGTTGTTGTTGGTGGTGGTGGTGGTGGTGGTGATGATGATGATGATGATGACGATGTTTGGATTTCGAGAGTGTCACCTTTGAGGTCGGCCTATGCTTTCGCTTTTGCATTGAACTTTGAGAACCGTATAATTGTGTCGTTGTAGAAGAAGAAGAAGAAGAAGAAGTGGACGACAACAGAGACGGACGTGGCGCGTACCGGAGATCGTATATCTTCATGTCCTGTAGCCCGTTGACGAGCACGCGATGGCCACCGCCCGACGGTAGGACGGCAAGACCGCTTACGGCGCTCGAATGCTGGATACGCAAGGCGACCGCGGCGGACGATGACGTTGTTGACTCGGAGTCGGTGCCCAGGGGCCAGGTCGTGGTACTTCTCATACGGACATCGCACATCCTCACCTGTCCCGACCTGGTCCCGCTCATGATGGTGTTCTCGTCCTTGAACGCCACGGACATTTGTTCGTCCGGTATGTGCGTCTTGTGAATTGGTCCCTGGTGGTAGTCTTGATCGCGGAAGAGCGAGACGCCCTCACTCGTGGCCAACGCGGCCGTTGTTCCGGATTCAGAGACCGCCATGTCGAGAATCCGGTACGGTAGGCTGTACGTGACCGAGGCGAGGATGGGGACATCGAGCTCAGATTGGTGCCAGTGATGATCACGGGTGGATTCGAGGGATTGTTGCACTCGGTGGTGGTCGAAGACGTACGGGGTCCTTGTGAGGCTCGAGTTCTCGCTGCCGGGCGTGCGATGGGACCACAGTACAGCACCAGCGCCGGCGGGTATGATGCAGTCCGCGGCGGGCGCGGGATTGTAGATGAGTTGATGGTTGTTGTAGTTGTACAAGTACCCGCTGAGACCGCTTGGGTCATTGGCCTGCCCGGTGTCGACGTCCGGCCAGGAGGAATCGTAGTCGTGCGCGTCTTGACCGAGGAGGATCTCGTCGCGCTGGTGACGACGTTGTGCCAGAGGCGGACAAGACGAACGAGGCAGCGCGACGACGCCAGATCCGGACTCGACAACATGTTCCCGTCTGCGTCCGTACACCTTGTGCGAATACTCGACCGACGTAACCAGTTCGCCCGATGAGCCGATGGCGAATTTCTGTCCGAACTTAGGACCCCATTCTACGGTCGTAGGGCCCTTCTTGCCACGTTGATGGCTGCAGATTGCTCCATGGCCCGTGAGGCCCGCGGCATAGTACTCTGCGACAAGCGAACCGGGGCGAATGCGGAGGTTGCCCAAGCGTCGCTCAAACGAGAACAGAGGGTGCTGTGGGATCGAAGAGCGCGAGACAGTGGCGGCCAGCTTCGTCTGTCTTGACACCTCCTCGCGTTGTTTTGTCTCCTTGATAGCCCGTTGCGCGTTGACTGCTTGTCGACTGTAGTTAGCACCCGCAGGGGCGATGTGGTTGGCCTGGATCTTGAAGTACCGGTTCGTCGAGGCGTCGTAATAGTAGCCTGGTATCTCCGCAGGCATACCTTTGGACACTTGAAGAGTCAAGAAGAGGTGAGAATGAATTGGTCCACAGTCTGGTCGCCCTGTCACTTATCCACCGACGCAGAGGAAGTTGAAAAGAACGTATATTCCATCAGACGAGACCGGGTTTCCACGTGGCGAAAAGTAGTGAAGATACTAGCCAGAACCAACTCCAGCAGCGAACGCATAGCAGGCCATCACTCTCTTGGATTCAGATGCAGAAATATGCAAATGCTTCACCGGTCGGACCAGGCCTGGAAACAATAGATCTTTGTGAACGGTAATGGATTGTGGAAAATAATCCACAGCTGGATCGACGTCGAAAAGTCCAAACACGGTCAAGTGCAGCCTCGTACAGTATTTCTCGCGCCTCATGCAGATGATGAGTTTAATGCAGTACATCATTGTGGCATATGCAAAACCAGGAATTCACCTGGACAAGGCATATACTCGATGCATTCATTTGATCTAGTCATTACTTCATCATATTCGTTGATCCCGCCCTACCATCAATTTGAGCCTCTTCATCTAGACTCAGCTTATTGATCTTGCTCAACTTCATACTCGTTAACTCCCATCCCCCAAACGTGTCCCATGCTAACTACCCACTCTCTGCCAACGTTGATCCTCCATTTCTCTTCGGTCACGTCATCTGCGGCGAGACTGTTGGTACCACTGACTGTTGAGATACCCCCTATTCCTGTTCCAGATGTTCGCACAACCAGTCGCAACTTCTCCAGTTCACCTAGCTCTCGGTACACTCGATCACTCACTACGTTTCCAGCGCGATTTGGGATGCCATGTGGATGAATGGCACGGAGAATAGCCAGTAGTCGCTCCAAGGAGAATGACTTGGGTATACCTAGATTGGCGGTCACGGCAAAAATGGATTTGTTCCGCGATTTGGTCGGCGTTGCAAGTTCCGAAGTGGTCTTTTTCTTTGTGGGCGTCTGTCTTAGCCTCCGGATCTTCTTGCTCGTTCCGCTCGAGGAGGAGCTGAGGCGCGAAAATAGTAAAATGTCGTGTTTAGGAGCAGTGTGACTCGCAAGGTAACAAGACAAAAGGACAAGAGTTGGGAAGTGCTTCAAGAGCGGTGGTCGTTGCAGTTGAGAGGTCTTTGATATGGATGACCTTGCCAATGCACTTTCGCCTCGACTAGAGATGTGCTTCGTTCCATTCATATGCGTCTGGTCGTCTGCAGGACGGGCTTGTCGTGAAGTTTCAACAGGCAGGGTTGTAGTCAGAGCCTTTTCACCCTCAAGCTGGAATATCGAACGACCTCGGACAAGGAGCTTCGCAAAGTCCCAGCATTTAGTCTTGCCTGTGCCCGGTGGTTGCTCGCCTAAAGTGATGGGCTGGACGAATGTCGGCCACAACTTGTCACAAAGCGATGCGAACATCGTGGGTGATGTTGATGTTGAGCCCAGGAGAAGCGAGTCGTAAATCGTAATTGCGAACTGTGCGTAGAGCCTGGCCGCGTGCTGTTCTTCCATTCCAAGCTCTGATGCAGATGGTGACGGTCGTCTTGAAGCGACGATTCGCAGTGCCTCGGACCGTGTGTATGGAGGGAAGTGGACGTATGGAACGCCGGGCTTATGAAGTAAGAGGGGCTTGGGAGAACTCGATGTGAGGAGGATCGAGAAATTAGGGACCTGCCGTGTTTGTGTTAGAAGGAGCCGTACAACACAGTCTTGACAGAGATCATGGTGTACCTGATCACCTAGTCGCGCAAGTGCCGGAAGTAATGTTGGTCCGGCTTGCTTCAGCTTGTCGATGGCCTCAATGACGACCACGAACTTTCTTTGCCCGTCTCTTTCATTAAGCCTGCGAAGATTTGCCAGCAAGGCATTGATGCTGTCAACCCTGTCATATTGCTCGAGGTGGGATTCTTGTTCGAACCCGGAAATGCAGGATGCAAAGATCTTGGAAAGGAGGTGTCTCTGAGTCAGGCATTCCCTACTTTTGATCAAAGCATGTTGTAGGTTCGCTTTTTCTAGAACGTTAAGGATGACCTCTGTCTTGCCAGCGTCCTCGAGGCCATCTGCGACAAGGACAGGGGGGTTTGAGGAGTTGTTCTATTCAAGCGACGGTTAGCCAATGTACCTGCTTCCGAGGGCTTGGAGTGCCGTTGAGATCGCCCTCACGCTGTAGAAAGTTGATAGCTGCACTATCTGAGATTCTCTGCAGGGGCAGCTCCGCAGGATCGAAGCAATTATATCTGGAGGTAGCATCGTGGGTTGCTGGCCGACCAAACTCGGAGCGCAGACGCGTCTTTGTTCGAAAGGACGCGCATCGCCGCAGCCTTGTCCTTGCGGTTTGACAAGGCTGCGTAGGGCCGAGGCTGTTCGGCCATACTGTACGGATCAATGAGCAAGTTTTTGTTTCATACAACGGCCAAGAGTCCAAGTATCTATGTCAAGGACTTGGGGGTTTCATGTAATAATCCGAGCAGTGCTCTAGGATACAATTTTCTAGCTTAGGAAGTCTAGTTTTTTTTGTGTCTGATGGTACAGGACCATTTGCCCCAGGAAGGGGTCTATGCAACGAGACTTGCTGAGGTGTGAATACATAAACCAATTTCTGTTCTTCCATGATGAAAAGCAACTCTTCGTATCCAGTATGAGCTGTGCCAATCGTGCAGTATCAAGCTCGCCCTCGATGCCAATGTTGTTAGGGACAAGTCGCCTTTCCAAGTCTCATCAGGCATGTCACGTAATTTTTTTGTCTTATTTATTTAGGAAATAACACCAACCTCGCCAGCCATGCTGAAAGCCGAAAACACAATGAGAAAAAAGAGAGACTTGCGCAAACCACCATCATCCATGCCAATCCTCTGACTTCCTGCCAGACTGATACTGGACCGATAGCTAGCCTCGGATGCATAATACAATATTGTGTTGGGCCGTAATGTGTGTCATGAAATTTTGAAATCCTTTTGAGTTGTTACAGTCGTTGCAAAGGACACGTCAAGATGAAACGTAATCGTTCGTCGCCGCTAAGGTCTTGAGCACGTGCCATGGAGAAACTGAGTAGTCGTTATGTCGTGACTCGTAATCGTGTCGCCGCTGTTATGATTGGTGTTATGCTGCTTTCAAAGCATATTGTTGGGGCCATTGAGATATCTGGCATAACCGTTCTGACCAAGATCGTTACCATAGGCATTGTCGTTGTACATGGGCGCTGCATCACCACGGGGCATCATGCCAAAGCCATTGGTGTTGACATTTTCGTCCGCAAAGCCAGTTGGAGCTCGTAGTGTGTTGAAGCCACCACCAACAATCTGAACATTACGTCGACTGTTGGCACGACTTCCAGTAAAGCTTGCAAGGATGTTGTCGTTCGTCGCAGCACTGGCACGGCTCTGAACAACATCACCGCCCATAATCTTGCTTGCAATTCGGCGACCGTGCGGAGTTTGCTTGATCAGTGGAAGAATGGGGCGGATGGCGTCCACCAGGCGCATCTTGGTCTGCGGGTCGGCAAACTCCATAGCAGTCTGAACCACATAATTCGCAAAGGCATCGCGGAGCATCTTCTCAAGTTCGGGACCCATCATCATCTCTTCGATCATGGCTTTCTTGGTTTCAGTGTCGGCACTGCGCAGGCACTTCTCAATGACGTTGGAGCTAAACTTCTGCTTGGACAATGCAGGGATTCGACCAGCAAACGCGTCGCACAATGGTTTGGTGAATGCTGGTTCATCCAGATCTAGGATGTATTGAACCACGTAATTGCCGAAAGGATCTTGAACCAGATCGAAAGCACAGTGAGTGATCCGGGCAATGAGCTGTGCACGCTGGAAACCTTGGGCATGGTCGATGCAGCGTTGAAGAACACAGCATCCATGGCGGTGGGTTCCGACCACGACGCAGAACTTGCCAACAGCATCGTAGATGAACTGGGAGCGGTCTGCACCAAGTCGAGTCAGACATTTTTGCACAACGTGATTGCCATTGAGATCCTGAACAAGATCGACTACACGCGGAGTCAAAGATTGGATAATCGTGTCGACTTGTTCCGGAAGAGTGACAAACTCTATCATCTTCTGCAATGCACGAGTGCCATGCTGGTTGAGTGCGATGCTCGTCAAGGCAGGCGCAGCAGCATTGATAAGGGTAGTGCGCTGTTCATCATTGCAGTGCTCGAACAACTTCTGACATAAGTAGTTACCAAATGGATCAGTCATGAGCTCAATGATGTGAGGGCAAGTTTCCACAAAAATCGCCTGGATATGCTCCTCATTGCCGTCTTCGAGCTTGCGCTGGAGATAGCGACAACCATGTTGGTCCTTGCAAAGCTCATAGAGATTGCCGCGGTATGACTCAAGTGGGACATTGTTGAAGCGGGCCTCATCAGCGTGGTTGCGACGACCAGTTCCAGAGCGCTGAAGCTGAGCATTGTAAGCACTGTTGATGTTGTACATACCCTGACCTTGGCCATATGCCTGGACAGGTCCACCAACGGGAGCCGATGGGTTCATCTGGCTAACGTTGTAGGTCTGCATGTTGTATGTGTATGGTTGGGGTGCCATGGTGGGAGTGGGGCTGCTCATCGTGTTCAACGCGTTGTCCGTAGCCGTGGAGTAGGTAGCACTGAACGGTGCCGCACTTGCGTGGAGATTAGAGATAGACGATGTTGTGTTGCTTGACTTGTCTTCAAGCTTGCTCGCACCAGTTGCCACTTCGCGACTCTGACGGTTATTCACAGCGTTGGCAGGAATGCGTCCCAAACTGACGTTGTGATTGTGGAACTGTTGCTCTGCGGGAGTCTTGGAAGGGGTCGAGACGGCGTCAAGAGTCAATGACTTCTTGACAGTTGGCACGTCGTTGGTAGAGTAGGAAGTCTGGAGCGAGGCTGGTCGACTGTTGGACAGATTCGAAGGTAGGAGTGAATTTTCTTCGAAGGTGACACCCATGGAATGGCGCTGCGACTTGCGACGTGATTGATCGCCTGGTCGATCCGCGGTAGGACTGTTGATGCTCAAGTTGCTAAGAACAGGTCGGTACATGGACGAGTCAGTGTGTGGCATGCTCTGGTGGCCGGGTTTGTAGCGGAAGCCAAGAGCCCAATCAAGGTCTGGATCTCTGGAATTGGCAAGATCGAGAGCAGCAGAGTTGGCAGAGAGCTATAAACCCATGAGTACAGGCGTGCAGGCAAAGCAAGAACCAGCATGTAAACGTACCTTGAGACCGTCACTGGTCAGAGTAGGGAAAGTATCGTCGCCCTCGAGTTGAGCAAAGGCTTTTGCAACTGGGGACTTCAAATCTGTCGCGTTGAGAGAGAGATGTTTGTCATCGTCTTCGGGATCGAAGAGGAAGCTGGTGGCCGAAGAGACAGGACCGAAAGAGTGGTGAGTGGCACTGCCGACACTCAGACGCGGTTGGCGGGTGCTATTCACAGGCATGGAGAAGCGGTTCAATCTGAAACAGAAGTGTTAGCGAAGTCATGAACACGAACACAAAGGCGGGCGGTGAACAATGACACGCGACCAAAGTGCTGCGAGTTCAGAACTCTCTTCCCTTCAGGTGAAGTGAAATCGATATCACGTGATGAAAACGTTCAAAGGACAGTTCGCCTCACTTGCCCCAAGTGAATGTGAGATCTCGCTTCACTTGCCCGATAAACATGTTTGTGAAAGGAAGGTGAGCCGAAAGGGAGATCGTGAAGGACTTACGTAGCAGCAGCCCGAGTATTGCTCAGGTCTTCGGGGTAGTACTCGTCCTCATCAGAGCCACGACGTGATCCAGGAACTGACTTTGCTGAGGGTCTCTGGCTCTGGCCCAGAAGACCATTTGCCGAAAGACGGTTGGCCGGAGGAGAGGTTAAAAAAGAGCTAGATTGCGAGATCCGATTGCTCAGTCCTGGGGGTGAGATGAGGCTGTTCATCGACAATCTGCTAGACCGCGAATAGCGGTTGCTCAGGCCACTGTCAGCATACTCGGGAGGAGTTGTTGGCTCGCTGACCGGGCCGTTGAAGCTCAGTCGATTCATTCTCGTAGAGATCCGGTCGAGATCTTGGGTGTTGGAACCCATTTGCAAGTTACGTTCTTGGGCCTCCAAGAACCGCAACTGCTCTTCAGCTTTGCGTTTGGCAGATTGGATGTCGTCGTAAATCTGCTTGTTCTTGACCTGCGAATAGGAGATGTCAGCGGAATGACGAGGGTTTACCAAGCATCACACGCGAGGTAGTTATGGTAAGGGTGGTGGAGAAGAGGAAAGAAGAAGAGGGTTGATTGCCAGAGGAATAAAATGAGCCAGAGCAAAGCAGTGGCCGATTGAATTCACATCGAGCCGTACAAAACTCCGCTTGGCGCTTCGCCGCCTTCCTTGCCAAATACGATTTGGCAGATAATAGCACAGTGTCTCATCCAAGCACAATGGGCCAAGGTCTCAATAGTATTCACCACCCAAGGTGTATCACCACATACCGAAGTTGGAGTTATTGAGGAATACTGTTGTCCAAATGGCCTCGCGACAGGCATCTTGCTCGAGTCCGTCGTGAATCGCCTTTGCAAACTAGCACGCGCATCGTTGGATGAGGTATGTACACTCGGGAAAAAAGGACTTTGTTCTCTTGTTGAAGAGCCGTTTGGGCTGAAAGCACCATCTGCGTCGGGCGACCGCAGGTTCGGGAATCGCAGCTCTTCCATGCGGCCGCTGAGGGTGTTCGAGAAGGCCATGACTGGTGATCTACATCGTATTCACCTGGTCAGCTTGAGATCCTTCAGTGTCATATAGCAACAACGCCATCGAGGTCAGGGGTCTCGTGGATCATATCGCCCTGAATTCTGGCGGGCCGCTAGACCTAGGCACTGGCCCTGTGGCAGATGCACAGATGCCATGCGCAGGACTTAACGCAGTGCTTTGACTACAGACATACCTGAGGTGGAGAGCTCTCTCTGGCGTCTTGTTCGTGTCTGTGGTTTGGCACCGGGCTATTCTCGAGGCCCTGTCGAGGGTGCTGTGCTGGGCAAAGATAGGCTACTTTCGTGTGGCTCACAGGCACCCAACAACAGGAAGAGCAACGAAATACAACAAGACTGCGTGCGCGCTGCAAGCAGCAAGCAGCACACTTGTCTGACGATGCTATAATGACAGTAGAAACACAGACGCAGCCCAAAAGAAAAAGAATATTGTTACAAATGTGCAGGGTGAGGAAAGAGACCTCGAGGGACAGGGTCGAAACCACAGAGTAGCAATGGAGGTTGGAACTCGACTCTTGGGCTTCGGGCTGGTCTTTTTGGGCAAGCGTCAAAGTCAAGCCAGCGTGCCAGTGGGTAGAGGCCTAGACGAGGTTGTTGGGTCGATTCTGAGCCCGCTGCGACTCGGCGTGGGCTCCTTTGCCTGGACCGCGGTACTCTGCCACTCATACGCGACCTCTGGAGCTGTGCCAGCCTAGCGCTGCAGGCTAATACCAAGTGACCGGGGTAGGGCGACCAGGACCGGGTCGTCATCACAGTCTACAGGTCGAGTCTTGGTTGAGGAGGGCGATTGACTGCCGATGGCTGTGTGCTGCGACATCGTGGAAATCCCTGGCTTGAACCTGGCAGCAACAATGGTTTATGCATTCTCAGGCCATTTAACTGCACTCATGGTCTAAGACACTTGGAGACGGCTACGCCTGGGAATTGGGCTGGTGGCAGCAAGACAGCCCCTGGATGCTGCCATTTAGGTTGCGGGAGGTAACCGCCTAGCGGGGGGTATCGACAATGTTAGCGGCGAGGGGCTTGGGTCAGTCTGCGTGCCCCTCGACAGCAGATTACTGTACCCTGCCCACAGGCTACAGACCGTCTGAGAGTTGGCCCTCGTTCCTCATAGCCGCTAGGCTCTAAGTTAGGTATTTGTGTTCGTATGATAAAGCGCCATGGCCAGTCTGGGACCTCATCCAAGCCTCTCGGGATGGTGGTCCTGTCATCTATGCGTGATGCATGGGCGCGCTGGATTGATAGTTCGAGTGCGCCAGTTATGAGATGAAAACTTCCTGGGGCATTTCCAGCAAACGACTCCTCGTGGGTGGTGTTTTTCCCAACTAATTAGTGGCCAGGACGATGCTCGTGGGTGCCCTCATAGCCCACCGATGCTCATCAATCCTCCCACCACCATTTGCACATCTGTCAGACCAAAACAGCTTGTGGGGAAGAGACAAGCTTGTCTTGGTGGCTCCTTCACTAGGTCAGGTAGGCTTTGGTTTGGCTTCCCCAATCCCAAAGGCTCGAGGGCACGAGAGCGTCTGGGTTGGAAAAGGCGGTCAAGAAGTGGAAAATAAGGGGTCCGCTCGCGACATCGACGCCCCTCCAAACAAAATTGACCCGAAAATCGAGATCCAAACCACGCGCCTCTCGCTGTTTTCCGTCCTATTGTAGTTGCTGTTTCTCGTCTCTGCTACCCAAGGTGTTTGCCGCCCGGCATTGCCTGTGGCTGCTGATCACTGTCTGGACGCAATCTGTCCCGAGTGCTGGCATATCTGCCGTGGCCAGGGCTAATTGCAGGCAATCCGTAGCATCGGCAGAGGTCAACATTGAGAATGCGAGATTTCCATATATTGATGCGCCTATACCTGCATCACCTAAGCCCACGTACGGTCGGCGTATCACAGGCCGTGATCAGAGCAAGCCATCTCTGAGGCACCATGCACCACGGGCCACAAGCGAGGATTGACACACAGGCCTGCGCCGGACCAGAGCCTCTTCGTAAGTAGTCACGGTGATCCATGCTATGCAAAGCAAGGTCGGGACCTAGGATGATGGTGGCAGCTTACTGTCCCTGCATTACTCGCCCTTGGAGTAAAGACGCTGTGGGCGTAGAGAGAGATTAGCAGCAGATGGTTCAAGTGATGCGATCTTGCGAGTGGACAACCACCCTTTGGTTTGAAGTTCAGTGCAGATGTCGTCTTTTTCGTGCAGTCTCTTTTATTCGAGATATATCAGGGAAAGATTGTGCATACTCGGTTCTCGTCTGTGTGCCAATGGAGCGACGAGATCCTGGATTGACCTGCTTTGGGGATAGAACGGCCTGCATTGCAGAAACAGCTCGCGGTAGCTGCAGCTTCCTGCAGTCCCCTGCATCAAGAAAAGCCTTCGTGGGCAGGACATCGATCCACTCGCAGCCAGGCACTCGACAAGGGAAGGGATCAGGACGTCCCGTGTTCAACGCCAATAACAGCTTGACTCCGTCTCAAAACTCGTTGCCATTTGAGCTTGTGCTTTTCTAGTTTGGACTCGCTGCAAGTCAAGATAATAAATGAGGTGGCTGTCGGGGAGCTTGTGTCAAAGTCCACCAGGTCCACCAGTTCGGTTGCGAAAGTAAAGTGCATGCATCACAGGCTACAGCTACTGTATGTTCGGAAGTCAACCATGACTGTCTCGACTTTCTTGTCGTCAACTCCCTAGACCTCAACATCGACAACAGCCAATCGCTGGGCCACGGACTGAAATGCTCCGCGGTACGCTACACCGTACAGCCGTTGAGTCTTCACGATGACTAGGTCAGTACTGTAGAGGGCGACTCACTACTCGAACTAGTGCCCAGATTTGTCTTGCAGAGGGGAGTCCCGTAGGCTGTTTCCTGGGTCCAGGTATGTACCAGGTATGGAGGACGAGTCCGTTGTACCTACATATCATCCCACGGAGTATCCGTACTAGTACTCACGTTCTGACGCACGTGACTCGCCTCACCTTCCTTGCTGACATGGTGCCCGCTTCTCACCGCCTGCGGCATCGAAGGCGGCGGTGATGGCCTGGATCGGCAGAATATTTTTATGTGCGCCAGTATGTTGCCCACTCTGTTATCCGTACCGCGACAGAAATAGTTGAATTCTTTCTGCCTTCTCCTCTGCATCAGAACTGCTCTGAGAAAGAGCATGCGACATCTCCGTGTATTCTTGTCGCTGCTTGTCTCGGTGAACATCACCGATGCCGCCCAAGAAAAAAGCTGACGGCCCTGAGCCGGCGACTCAGCAAGCGTCCAGAAAACCTATTGCGCCGAAGGTGGTACGTCTATTGCGTATATGTCCTTCATCCTATGGTTAAGACTAATCGATTCCAGAAAACCCTTCCGCGCAAGTCCATCGCAAATGAAACCTGTACCGACGCAAATGCAGCCCACGAGACACACGGTAGTAAAGAGGATTCGAAGCACGAAAAACACCGTCGAAAATCCTCTCATCATGCAGACAGCTTCGACGCTGCCCTCCAACCCTTCTACTACGGAAAGTCCCTCACCGATCCGATTGATACGGCTCGTGACAAGTGGAATCTGGTACCGGCGTTCTTGAAAGTCAAAGGACTGGTAAAACAGCATATCGAGTCATTCAATCACTTTGTTGAAGTGGAATTGAAAAAGATTATTGAAGCCGAGCCAATAATTACAAGTGATATCGACCCTGATTTCTATCTGAAGTACGAGGACATCTGGGTCGGGCGGCCTTCAAGATTCGATGAACACTATGTCAACGATTCGAAGAACGAATCTACTGTAACCCCCAACGAGTGTCGGCTGCGCGATATGACCTATTCTGCCCCCATCTTTGTCAACGTCAGATACACCAAATCGAAGATGGCCTACCGGCGGAGAGGAATGCTCATTGGACGCATGCCAATCATGTTGCGGAGTTCCAAGTGTGTCCTAGCCGGCAAATCCGAGGCTGAGATGTGTGCAATGGATGAATGTCCTTTGGATCCTGGTGGCTATTTCATTGTCAATGGCACGGAGAAGGTGATCTTGGTTCAAGAGCAACTCAGCAAAAATCGTATCATTGTTGAGGCCGATGCAAAGAAGGAGCTCATCACTGCTTCCGTGACGAGTTCGACACACGCCAGGAAGTCCAAGAGTTATATCGTCCTTAAGAAGGATCTGCTGTACATGCGACACAATGTTTTGAACGAAGATGTCCCCATCTGCATATTGCTGAAAGCAATGGGTGTGACGTCTGACTTCGATATGAGTGCCATCGTGGCGGGTACCGACCCTGTGTTGCAGGAAGATTTTGCTATTAATTTTGAAGAAGCAATTAAGAATCGCGTTTATACGCAGCAACAGGCGCTGGATTATCTCGGAGCTAGGATCAAAATCACTCGCAAACCTACACCATTCGGCCAATCTCGTCGAAACTATGTCCAGGAAGCAATAGAGGCTGTCAGCAATGTCTTCATAGCTCACGTCCCCATCGAGAACCTAAACTTCAGACCGAAGGCAATCTATGTCGGCCACATGGCCAGGCGGGTGCTGATGGCGAAACAGAATCCTGCACTTGTAGACGACAGAGACTATGTGGGAAACAAACGTTTGGAATTGGCCGGCCAACTGCTGTCACTACTCTTCGAAGACCTGTTCAAAAATTTCAACTACAATATCAAAATGGCCATTGACAAATCTCTGCGGAAGCCCAACAAGACTCAAGTGACTGATCCCTGCGACACGATGATGGGGCAGGCTGGCCACATTACACAGGGAATGAATCGAGCCATTGCTACCGGGAATTGGAACCTTAAACGATTTCGAATGGATCGAGCTGGTGTCACGCATTTATTGAGTCGCCTCAGTTTCATCGCTTCTCTCGGTATGATGACAAGAATATCGAGTCAATTCGAGAAGACGCGGAAAGTCAGCGGACCCAGAGCCCTCCAGCCATCATCTTTTGGCATGCTTTGTCCTGCCGATACACCCGAAGGCGAGGCATGTGGGTTGGTCAAGAATCTGGCTCTCATGACCCATATAACTACGGACGACGAAGAGGCGCCTATCAAACGACTCATCTTCATGCTCGGTGCTGAAGACATTGTGACGGTGGGAGGGGCGGAGCTTTACGCACCAGGGTCGTACCTGGTCCTTCTAAATGGTACTCCAGTAGCCACAACAAGGCACCCATCACACTTCTTGACCTCCTTTCGACGTCTCCGGAGATCAGGCCGTATCTCAGAATTTGTATCAACCTTTATCAACCATCACCATAGCACGATCCATGTGGCTACCGATGAGGGACGGATCTGTCGACCCCTCATTATTGTGGAAGACAAAAAGTCCAAAGTCACAAAACGATACTTGAAGTCTCTTCGTCAAGGCTCGATGGACTTTGATGATTTTTTGGCCAGAGGACTTGTTGAATATCTCGATGTCAACGAGGAGAATGACAGTAATATCGCACTGTATGAGAGGGACATCAACGGGTCGACAACGCATCTGGAGATTGAACCTTTTACAATTCTTGGTGCTGTAGCTGGACTCATTCCGTATCCACACCACAATCAGTCACCCAGAAACACCTATCAGTGTGCTATGGGTAAACAAGCGATTGGGTTTATTGCGAACAATCAATTCCTCAGGATTGACACCTTGCTCTATCTCATGGTGTATCCTCAGAAGCCACTCGTCAAAACTCGGACTATCGAGCTAGTGAAATACGACAAACTTCCAGCTGGACAAAATGCAACCGTCGCAGTCATGTCTTACAGTGGATACGATATCGAGGATGCCCTTGTCCTGAACAAGGCATCTGTAGATCGAGGCTTCGGACGGTGTCAGGTCTTGCGGAAATACCCCGTGACTCTCAAGATTTACGCAAACACCACCAAAGATCAGGTAGAAGGCCCTACTTGGGAAAACGGTGCACCCATCAAAGCCCATGCCCTTCTTGATGTGGACGGTATCGCTTCGGTTGGGGCTAGAGTCAGTCAGGGTGAAGTCTACGTCAACAAGGCCATCCCGGAAAATTCAAACTCATCTGGCCTGTCGGATGGAGGCTCGAACAGCGGGTATAGCTTGATCCCTCAACCACAGAAGTACCGGCTTCCTGATCCTAGCTATATCGACAAGGTTATGGTGTCCGAGGTCGAGGCGGGACATCAGCTCATTAAGGTGCAAACCCGACAAACCAGAGTTCCAGAGGTCGGCGACAAGTTTTCGTCCAGGCACGGGCAGAAGGGTGTCGTTGGTATCATCGCCGAACAGGTCGACATGCCATTCTCTGACCTGGGCATCACTCCAGACATCATCATGAACCCGCACGGTTTCCCTTCTCGTATGACGGTCGGTAAAATGCTGGAGCTCGTGTCCGGCAAGGCCGGCATCTTGAAGGGCAAGTTCGAGTACGGGACGGCGTTTGGTGGCAGCAAGCTCGAAGACATGTCCCGAGCACTAATCGAGTCCGGGTACAGTTACGACGGCAAAGATTACCTCACATCTGGTACCACCGGCGAGCCCCTTCCGGCCTACGTATTTACGGGTCCAATCTACTATCAGAAACTCAAACACATGGTTCAAGACAAGATGCACAGCCGCGCTCGTGGTCCGCGGGCGATCCTAACCAGACAGCCTACCGAGGGTCGCTCCAGAGACGGCGGTCTGCGTCTGGGAGAAATGGAACGTGACTGTCTGATCGCGTACGGCGCGTCACAACTTCTCCGGGAACGCCTGATGTTGTCCAGCGACAAGCACGAAGTCGACGTGTGCGAGTCGTGCGGCTTCATGGCCTTCGGACGGTTCTGCCAGCGCTGTAGCACGGCGGGTGAAAGCGGGTCGAATGTCGTGAGGATGACCCTCCCTTATGCTTTCAAGCTCTTGCTCAACGAGCTGGGGAGTATGAACGTGAATACTAGGTTGATCGTGTCAGATGAATTCCCTTCGGACGGGTCAAGAAGGGCTTGAGGATGAAGGGGATCTGACTACATTATTGACAAGGATTGGTCTATTTCCTTTTTCTTTTCTTGTTTACTAGTCTCGCAAGTGCCGAGACACGATGCTCGAACATGACATGAACATGAGAAGTGGTTTTTATTTTTTTTGACTCACGTCTCAGCGAAATAGGGCATAGCATGGCACGGCAAATGGAACTAGATTTGTACCTGAGCGACGGCATCTGGGAAGTGGCCAGGCATCACAATTGTTGTTCTCACGAGTATGAATGCATGAGCGAAGGGCGTCTTCCTCCGTTTTTTTGAGAAACGAAAGGCTTTCCCATTCCTTGGGGGTTTGTTTGTACTGTAAGACTCATGAATGACAATTGGGATTGCGATGTGAAATAAATGTCCAGCTGCCTAAACCACAATTACAATACACAACAACGCAACCGAAATCATTCGTTATACGATCGATGTCTGGAGATGAGCTATTACGTCTTTGATGATGATGACGAGTCTCTCCCCCTGTGCAGAGCCGTGCAAGGGTCGTTCGTTGAAGGGTGCTACTTGCTGCTACTGCTGACGTTGCTGAGCCTGTTGTCTGGCCTGTGGCCTAGTCTGACGCCGCGGTCGCAGCGGTCGCAGGGGTTGCTGCTGTTGTGGTTGCCGTTGTTGCGGTTGCTGTTGTAGATTTCTCGGATCTCCGAGGGGATATCTGCGGTTCATGCGCGGTGGAGGCCGAGCCAACAAATGAGCAGGGATGGGCAGCAGTGGACGCATTGGTTGTAATCCCTGTTGAGGAGGAGGAGGAGACGGCTGTTGTTGATTCTGGTTTTGGTTTTGGTTTTGGTTCTGCTGCTGCCGGTGTTGTTGTTGTTGTTGTTGTGGAAGGGGGTCTTTGAACCATTGTCTTCCACTGGCAGACTCGTCGTAGAGCGTTTTCCAATTGTTTTCCGGCTCAAACCAATTCGGCGGCAAGTGACCATACTTTTCCTTGGGGAGTTTGATTCTGCGGACGTCAGGGTTGACAAAATCCCCCGTCAACAGGTACCTGATCTCGCTGGCCTTGGGACCGAAGTGGGCGTCTCCGAGGGGCATGTCGTTGATTTCGTGGCCCTGAAAAAACACCTTCTCCGAGTGCTCTGGGACATCATCATCATCATCATCATCATCATCATCATCGTCATTATATTCGTTCTGATCGGCGCCTCCCGCGGCATTGGGGTCACGGGTAGCTCGGGCTTGTCGACGCGCTTTGCGCAGTCTGCGTTCGGCGAGACGGAGACCAAGACGTGTCTCATCGAGTAGTTCGAACTGTGTTGGCCGTCCGGCAGGATGGGGGTCAAGACAGCGATGCACCAAGCGCCGGAGACGGCTACTGTACACACCTGGTTTTTTTGTTTTGACGCCCGAGAGCTGGTGGTTGCCGTTCCGTTTGAATGCCTGCGTGGTGCGAGCACGGGTGTGTCGGATGTCTTCTTGGCCGCGGAGCGTGAGTAGAGTGTGCATTGTTGCGCCGACCCCGTAGATCTATGATGGCACACAGTCAAAATCAGCAGGTGTGCGAAGGGCAGCGATGTGTGGGGGCCCCAGAGAAGGGGAAAAGGAGAACAGCTGCTTACATTCACTGCATGGTCGAAGATCACATCATCGTCCTCGCCAGGACCATTAGACTGGTCCTTTTGCAACAACTTTGCCTGCTTGTAGTCGAGTCGACGGCCTTTCAAGTCAAACACCCTTGTCATGCCTCCTGTTGGGGGGATGGTCCAATGGACTCCGTAAGAAATTTGTTCCTGCGACGTACTGTTAGCTGAAGATTTGGATGAGAGAAAATCAAAGGACGGTCTCACAGGAGGTGCGTATTGCGCTGTTCGGCGCCACCAGTAGCTGGAAGGGTTGTTTGGATCGTCGTCTGTAAGTCGTTAGTTAGGCGGTTCCTGATATACAAAGTCCAGGAAGGGGGAATATTTACTACTGGTGTAAGTTGCAAGCCCATAGTCTCCCAGCCTTGTCTGGGGAAAGTCGTGCTCTGCGGGATCCTCGGGGGCGTAATCCAGAAGAACGTTTGCTGGTTTGATGTCCAGGTGAAGGCAGAATCCGTCACCGCGATCCTCCAAGGCTACGCTAGACGGCCAGGCCAGACTGTCCTCTGCGGGTGGATCGCGCAGCGCCTCGCAGGACGTCGCCAGCTGGTGAAAGACATACCACAGATACACCTCGGGGAGGTGGGTATCCCAGGCGCGATAGAGGCGCCACAGCCGTCCCAGAGTCCCGTGGCCGCAATATTCGAGATACGTACGGTATCTTCCTCGGCGGCGATCAGACCTTTCCATCATAAACTTGTAGCCTCGCACATGTGGTGCCACACCCTCGTTCTTGAAGTTGAGATCCTTTTGAATTACGACTTCCTTGAGCAGTCGCTCGAAGCCGGGATCCTCAACTTCTCTCCAGCGTCGTATCCTTTTCATGACATCCTCTTTGAGAGCCAGTTCATCCAAAATCTGATTTGCGCCGTTTCGCTTCTGCCAAAGTCCGACGTTTCCGTAAGAACCGGACCCAAGCATTCTGACCGGCCCCCATTCTTCGTCGTCGTCGTTTTCCTCCTCAAAAAAGAGGTATCTCAACATGAAATGCCTGTCAACCTTGCGGCTTCCAAAAGCTCCTCGTCTGATTCGTGAAGCTAACCAGTCTCGCCTGTATAATTGTCGCTCGTTTCGGCTTCGCGCCGAGTTTGGGACGAGGTATCCAGCCTCATTCAAATCAGGAGTCTCTAGCTGATTAGCAGGTGGGGCTATTCGGCGCCAGCGCATTGTGCAATTATTCCAAGGAGGACAGTGTGGAATGGGATCAGGTAGGTATGTAATGAAGTCGTCGCCTTTGGGTCTCTACAGCAATAAGAAAACTCAATGGGCCAGAGGAAAGCGTTGACGGCAGGAGAAGAGATGATATTTTATCCTTGTTGTCCGCTTGCGTCACCACAAGCAAATCGTTGGATAAAGGTGTCAATCATTGTGTCGAACAACAGCATCAACTGTTCTTTGTGGGACAGTATGAGACAATAAAGCTGGATGTTCGAGTTTGTAGGAACATGGACGCGGGATGCCGATAGAAGGTAGTACAACAACCGACTATGCAATCTTGGCCTCGGTATCTCGGCATTCAGCGGCATCTGACAGATGAAGAGACGCATTGTGCCCAGTCTCTGGAGCGCAGGTGTTGTGTTGACATCAAAGTGGTGTATGGAAGGGGCCATGAGTAGCGAGGCTGAGTATTCTAGAGTTGCGAAGTTTGGCTCGATGTTTCGCCGTAAACTTTGGTCCGAGCCAGATAAATAAAGCCTGCACTGGGTCATGAATCAGTTTTCAATAAATCGCAACATTGGGTATTCCGTTTGCACACTGGGATCCTAATTGTCCGATACTGCTTTGTTTTGAGTCTAGGCCAGCTGCTTCTTGGGTGCGTCATCTTGAACTTGTATCCGCTTGCGGAAGATGGCACGCTGCTTTGTTTGAACGATGCGTAAAGGAATACAATTTCCAATCAGACTGCTTCCATCGCGCACCATGAGCGACAATTACTTTTGCTCAGACTGAGTTAGCTTGCGGTAAGTTCATGTTGACAAAGCAGGCATGGGACAAGGCTGTAGAACGTGGCGTCGAATAGGGGAGCTTCGGACGCTAGACCGCTTTGGGAATAAGAGAGAGGTTGTCCATGATCATGCTTCCATCACATCGCTTCGGTCAGCACCGTGGGAGTCTATGCGGGCACAAACATTGCCTAGGGGAATCAAAATCTCTGGTTCCAAGGCATCCCTGTTCATCAAGTCTCTGCTCGGCGCGTGAACGTGCCCGGATGGCCTTCAGCGGGCCGCTTCCACTGAGGACCATAGTGGACAGAGTAAGGAGCGCCTTTGGCCAATGGTCATGATGGCCAGGGCCGGCTGACCATTGCCAGGTCAAAATACGTCACATTTGAGCGAGATGACATCGTCCCTAGGGATGGGCATATCACGCTCGACGATGAGGTTCTTGATGGTGGCCAGCTTAATTCGGTGTGCTTTTGGATGGATAGCGTTGACTGATTGAGTCGAATTCGCACTGCAGCCACGTAGCTCGGCTCTTAATCCTTATTCTCCTTCTTGGATAATCTGTTTGCATAGCACCGCATGCAAAAGAGATCGCTGAGTAAAGCAACACCCGTCCGGGGAATACCCCTGAAGGGGCGTCCACGGGGAAATGTTCTGGGGCATACATGTACAGCGATATCCTAGCTTCGTACAGCATAGACCAATTCGTACCACTTGACTCCCTCAGTCCTGTGCCTGCCCAAGTCGCACGCATGGAGCATATCGCTTCGGTACCAGGTTTGCGGAGTTAGTTCTGGAGTGAAACATCTTTCTTGTACAAAGTCGTCGGTGTATGTTGTGTATGTCCCACTTCTATTCTCCGAATATCCCGATGGAATGCCGCACACGGACAAATGGCATCAGATTGTCAGTTACACCATGATAGCCAAGGTCGGAGTGATAGAGACGTGCGTAGAAACAAGCCCACCTCGCTTCCCAGCTTAGAAACCCTTGACTTAGAGGATCACGAAGGACAAGGCTTGTCTGACAGCAGAGTAGCGATGAGAATATCTGAGTGACGACCTGGACGGTATTACTGGCGATTTAACAGAATTTAACCATGTTTGTATGATCAATTGTCGTCCTGTGTACTTCATAACAGTCTGAAATAAGGTGTCCGGCCCCGGACTAACGATTTTCCCACTTCCCCGAGCGGATGCGTTATCGATAAGTGCGGAATAATTCGCGGCCCGCGACCGCAAAGCCCGTTCCACTCTGTGACTCTGAACTCCCACTTCCTAATTACTCCTCGGAGTTCTTTGGTTTTCCTCTGTCGTATACACTCGCAATCTGCAGCCATGGCCTCAACAGAAAGCGCTCCTCTGCCCACTGACCTTCCTCTTCCGACCGATGCTAGCCTCTCTCACGGCTCCCTTGCAGACCTGCTTCCGTCACATTTCACGACCGACATTACCCAGTGGCTTGCTGAAGACACGCCGTCCTTTGACTATGGCGGCTTCGTAGTTGGATCAAGCCCTCGGACAGCCCAGTTACTTTGCAAATCCGCTGGAGTTCTCGCTGGCGTGCCGTTCTTTGACGAAGTCTTCCGCCAACTAGATTGTACGGTGGAGTGGCATCATGCTGAGGGGGAATTTCTAGATCCTGCCAAATCGGGAGGCAAGATCAAAGTCGCTACCGTAAAGGGCCCCACTCGCAAACTACTACTGGGAGAAAGAGTTGCGTTGAATACCCTAGCGAGATGTAGTGGCGTGGCGTCAAAGAGTCGAAAGATGCTCGAACTGGTACGAGGTGCAGGCTACAAGGGAGTTCTAGCTGGAACGAGAAAGACTACACCTGGGTTCAGGCTGGTCGAAAAGTACGGTATGTTGGTCGGAGGAATCGACGGCCACAGACACGACTTGAGCAGCATGATCATGCTAAAGGACAATCACATATGGGCCAAAGGCAGCATCACCAATGCTGTCAAAGCGGCGAGGGCGGTTGGTGGGTTTGCCCTGAAGATCGAGGTGGAAGTCCAAACGGAGACCGACGCAGACGAGGCCATTGCGGCCGGTGCCGACGTTGTCATGCTGGATAACTTTGACGGTGAGGGCCTCAAAGTGGCTGCGCGAAGCCTGAAAGAACGGTGGCATGGCAAAAGGCAGGTCCTGTTAGAGAGTAGCGGTGGCTTGACGGAGGCCAACGTCAAGGAGTACATCAATAATGGTAAGACCATCCCTAGTAGCTTCCTGTGTGCACGACTGATGCCTCGCTTACAGACATCGATATCATCTCTACGAGTGCCGTACACCAAGGCGTCCCGCATGTAGATTTCTCACTGAAGATTGATCATTGATGGCAAGATGTTTCTTTCTCTAGACCGTCTGTTCTTCCCACGATCAGCTGCTCATTTGCTCGTTAGCTCGTAGTCATGGTGTTTTTGAGGCCCCCTACGGAAACCTCAGCTGAGCCGCCGGAGCCTCCTCATCTCCAGCCACCAGCCGATCCAACACAAGACTACATGCGTCCCGAACACGGCCTTCTGGGGACTCCGCTCTCCAAACTCGGGATCCTCCCACTTTGTCCCGGGGTACAAGATTGCACTCATGCCCGTGACCCAGTAGAGCGTCCCTATCAGCGCTGCAGTGGTAAGTGAATCCTTCTCGGCCGCGGCGTTAGGCGTCATGCGCCACGTGTAGTAGGCCGTCAACGTACCCAGACACAGACCCATGGACATGGTCTGGCCGTTGTGGAAGCGCGCGTGGGGCGGCCAGCGAGGGTTCTTGACGTGCGTCTCGTTCCAGTCGGCGAGGTAGCATGACACCGAGGTCGAGAGAGCCACGAGCGTGAGGAGGGAGCGACCTAGTGTTGTCGTTGTTGCTGTTGAGGTGGTGGCGGTGGTTGTTGGCATTGTGCTGGAGTTTTGATCGCTCACCATAGGGAGCTGTTCTCAAAAAGATGTGGAAATTGTGAGAGGTCGGTTTGTACTCGACAGGTAGGTAGTTGAGGGCCAGGATGAGGATGGGGACGAGGGTGTCAACTGTAGTAGGAACCAAACTTGAGAATCTCGCACCCTCACCGGTATGCGTAGTCAAGGTGGGTATATATTATGTTGGGGAAGCAGTAATGATTAATTGTTTGAACTGTTTGAATTCCGGGGATATAGTACGAAGTAATATAGGACAAACGGATTATATACCTAAGCATGTAAGTAAGAAGGGAATAAAACTTCAAAGGAAAGTCCAGTGTGTGCCCTTTTCAATGAGACGTCTCAAGGAGGATTATCGATGATTCCCCCCCAAAAGTATCCGATGAATCGGCATGGCGATCACCCGCTATCCCGAGTTCCGTCACCACTGAACGGCTAGTTATTGAATACCGGCCAGACCGTAACCTTGAGGTCTCTAGGTCCTCTTGTTTCCGAATCTTAAGGCCGGCATTACCAAGTGTCGGTGGCGACTTCAAGTCAGCCATCGGCCGAGAGCCAGAAACCCAGCAAGATTGGCTAGGATCAGAAGTACATACCTAGAGGCAAATGGTAAACTGTAAATGGTCGGCAACGACGTGTGGAACAAGTAAATACAGTATTAACAACCGAGAGTTGTAAGACACATTTTCACAACGCCAATTGCGAAGTATGAACGTCCGGATTCTCTAGCCGACGATCGGGACAGTGAAAGTGGTTGCAAAACATGATTGAACAACATCTTGACTGTGTGTCTGTGATTGACATTGTAAGAGTAAGTACAGAGTGGTCTTGACGTGCTTTCGTTCTAGAGAAAACTGACGATCAAAGCCGAACCAGAACCACTCTTCTCTATGGACATCAGTCTAAGGTCGTCCCCGGATTCCAACGACTCTCCCCACTGCAACAAAAAGAATCCTCCAGCTCTAGCTCTAGAACATAAAGTAGACGATTCTCATAGGCAGACTGGCATTCTTTCTCCTCTCCTGCTCCGCGCGATGAGCCTCCCAATCAATCTCTCTCCGTCCCGAGTCGAGATCAATCTGACCCAGTTTCAACCAGCCCTCGCGCTTCCAGCAGTATCCACAGGCCCAGAAGAACATGACAACCGGAAGAGCAAGGTAAGACTTAAAGAAGCCCTCGGCGTCGTTGACACCACCTCCAGGAGGCCAGATTGCGACGTAGAACTGTGCAATCAACACCAAAACGATGAGGATAAGGCCAACATATGATCCGTAAACACCGCCGACGGCCTTGAAGGGGATGTCATCTAGCGAGCGGCCTTGATACTTCCAGGCATTTCGGAAGCGGATGTGTGCGAGACAGATGGAACCCCATGTGAACAGCGCAGCCAGACCAGACAGAGCCAGGAGCCAATCGAAAATTTCAATACCAGACTCTGCGACTCCGAGGTAGGCCAAGCCACCAAAGGCGATGATAGTGACAGTGGAGACGAGAGGACGGCCGGCGCGGTCCACGTAGGCGAAGATCTTGGGAGCGTAACCTTGTTCGGCAAGTGCAGTCAGTGTGCGGCTGCCGCCGTAGACGCCACTGTTACCGATGGAGATGACAGACACCAGAATGACAACATTCATGAAGGAATCAAATCCGTGTAGCCCAGCGTCTTGAGCGGCGAGCACAAACGGCGAGGCTTGTGCGTCGACATAAGGGTTGGCACCGAGGAGGCGCTCATCTTCCGAGTTGACCAGCAGGCCAACGAAAAGTAGCGCCAGGATATAGAATAAGGTAATTCGCCAAAAGACCTGCTTGACAGCCGACGGCAACGACTTCAGTGGAGTTCTCGACTCAGCTGCGGCCAAGCCGACTAGTTCGGTTCCAGAGAAGGCAAAGGCGGCAGTGACGAAGACCGAACAGAAACCTTTGAAGCCATTTCGAAAAGCCCCAGGGTCGTACCAGAGTCCTGCAGAATGTTAGACGGAGCTTCAAGGCACCCATGAGTCGGGGAGTACACTTACTGGCACCCCAGTACTTGTCGTAGATACCGCTACTTGGCCCACCTCCGAGGACGAGGACCAGACCAATGATCATGAAAATCACGATTGCAGACAGCTTGAGGGCGCTTGACCAGAACTCTTCTTCTCCATATCCCAGGACGCCGAATACATTCACAATGATAATGCATACCAAGAAGATAGTTATCCACACTGCGACATGAACGTCTGTAGTCCAGAAGTATATCGTAAACGAAGCCACCGTAATTTCGAGAGGTAATACGATCGCCCACTGAAAGACACTACGAGGAGATCAGCACACGCATTGCTCAAATGGTCGAGTACTCACTAGTTCCAGCCCATGGCAAATCCCCACGCGGGATCAATGAATCGAGTCGAGAAGGTGTAAAACCCGCCGGAGATGGGATACATGATACAGAGTTCACCGAGAGCAAATACAACATTGAAGATCATTATGCCGATAATGCCATAGTCGAGAAGAAGTGATGCTGGGCCACCTCTTCGGAGAGCTGAGCCAGTACCGACGAAAAGACCTGCGCCAATGGAACCACCTGTGTTGTGACGGGAGTCAACAAAGGCACAATCGAGGAGGGGGAAGAGGAAGAAGAGGAGCTTACCAATGGCAATCATGTGCATGTGGCGAGAGCGTAGAGTTTGGTTGAGCTGGTTGTGTTTGTCGCTAGTACTTCTGCGCTTGAACGACTCTGCAGTACATCCCATTCGCGTCCAGAATGATAACTTGTTGTATTCTTGGTCATCACCAATCTTGACATCATGGCCATCGCCATTTCCTTTTGGTATACCGGCAGCGTCCCTCTTCTCGGGATCAACCGCCGACTCATCATTGAAAACTGGTTTGCCCTCCATAGTGTGGAAGCTCAAGTCTGAGGACAAGGAGAGCAAGAAGTTGACGCAGGAGTCGAAGCGACCCGGCACGGTATTTAACCATCGTCGAACCAGAAAGAGCCATGCCAATCTGCCATCATGTATGGGGTTCCCTTATCTCTTGGGTATGATTGACGACGTGCACGCGATGATACCCTGCGAAGGTCAAGACGAGGAATCAGACGAGGGGCATGATAAAGGAGGGATTTGCCCGAGGAGCTCGAGAGGGAACAGCACAGCCGATGAGCCCTACCCATTCTCGTCTTGGACATAGCTCCGAGCTCCCATGGGAGGCCAAGAACAGCTGCTGATCGCGATGCTTGGTACGTTGTGTGACGAGACTCGTCCGGAACAAGTCTTGTTGACGTCCTCGTGGGTCGCAGTGGAGAGATATCTTCGGTCTGAAGAAGCACTATCGAGGTCATGCTCGTACAGATCGCAAGATAGCGGGAGATGCCAGGATTTGCACGCCTAGCGAGACTGGCTCTGATCGAAGCGCATCCAGTGGAGTTGGTGACGAAATGAGAAGTTCTTGACTGCTGGGCGCCGAGCGGCCAAGGCTGGGCGGAAGCAATGCCAAGGTTTCCCGCTCCATGCCTCCCACTGTGGCAGCCTCAATGAGGAATGGGTAACCCTTTGTCACTCCTCGGTAGCTTCTTGTTCTGCTCCTTTGAGTAGCATCTGTAGTGGGTAGTGCTGCGGTGGCGTTTCGCTCGTGTGAGGCTCGGCATCAGCATTTGTCCAACTTTCCCTGTTCCCGTCGATAACCAGACCCTGCTCCCATCCGTAGTTCAAGTGGACGGGAGGCCTCCAATCCTCTGCAGCCACTCTCATCTCTTAAGCATGTCACTTTCTCGGTTACCCCGGTCTTGGCAGAGCCGTTCGACAGTAAGGGGCCTGAGGTAGCACTTCTAGAATACTTGTGGCGCTCCACAGATGCCAGGAGAGGCGGCAGCTCCGAAAGACTGAGTCTGGCGGCCTTTCGAGTTCAGTCTATGTTGTGAGACGTCGTTGTGATGAGGCTACATTTGATGCAATGGCCAGTCGGGTGAGTATTGCCTCCCTTACTTTTGAGTTTTGAGTAGCTCTTCTTTTCCCTTTTGGTTCGTGACGAGAAGGGCACGCGAGCCACGGCATCGCTTTAGCTGGAGTTTCAAACCTGCTGCAGAACTGCCTATGCATGCTAAACAGTTAGCATCATGGCTCGTGTAAGAGGCAACGTTTCGGCACTGGCAAGAGCCGTCACGGGCTCTTCCTGTGCGGCCTCGATGGTCCGATATCAGGACAGTCGTGAGTGCTGGTGATTCTCGCAGAGCCACGAAAATAGAAATCTTGTCCCAGCTTTTGTGATCATATGTATGTTTCCTGTATGAGTCGAACACGAGCTTTGGTAGCATCTGCTCGGAAAGGTGGTTGGGCAGATGGTACCGAGTGGTGTAGACCCAAATCTACTGGGTCGCCCTCTTGCCATCCATGTTGTTATCGATAAGAAAAGCTGAGAAAGCCGAGGTAAAACCGTCAACACCAACCGCAGTCTTCACCAAGACGAGACAACATATTGTACTATGCAATGCACAGATATTGGCTTAAACATCTCGACTTAGTCGCCAGCACCACATCTGAATAAGTATCATGGCTACCGAAGCATCACACAATACTCCAACGCCACGGACTGACTCTGTTCCTGTGACTCCTGCTTCCGTATACCAGGGGCTGTTCACGTACCCTTTCGACACAGACCAAGAATACCAGGCCGGGCTCGCGACCATCCTAGGGCACCCGGAGACTCCAGTAACCTCGGATGAGCTGATAGACAAGAAAGAACTCGTGCTTCAAGCACGGTGTTTCTATTTCTCAAGGTAGAAGAAATTCCTACATCGTTTCGTCAGCTTTGAACGCGTGCTGAGAGCTTGTTGGACAGGAAGTTTGCTCTCCCGCCTATAGATCCTGTTGCATATTCGTCATGGCTTCTCTCTCGGTCTCAAGCCGACCCTAGCCCTAGCCGAGATCCCCAATCGCAGATTCCTGTGGCACAGCATATCTCTTCAGCGGAAGAGTCTGTCCCATCCGCAGTCTCTCAACTCAATCCTGCATCATCGAGTGAACCGGAACCACCGTACCCTACTTCCTTCGCGCACATAGTCGATCTGATAACGCGCAACATGCCGATTCCTGGCATCGAAGAAATACCCAATACTGTACTCGAGCCTGGCTCTAGTAAGATTGACAAGAATCCACGACGCAGGAAGCCGTGGGAGACCGACGCCGACCCTGATCGAACATCGAACGCTTCAGCATCACCCCAAACAGAACCTCTCCCGCCAGCCGTAGTGGAGATGGGGGAAAATGGCGATGTCGTTGATCTGAATGGCCACAGAGAGACGGGCCAAGGTGTGGTGAACATTCTAAAGCCCAATGCCGTACCGGACAGTGGTCTTCTGAGTAAGGATTGAGTTGGACATTATTGGCCATGTCAACCCAGACATGAGCGTTAATTGTGGCAACTCGACGGTCGCGTCGTATTCTTCCGGTACGACCATCTGTCGACATTTTACTCCGCATCGAATGCCGTCTATGAAAGACCACAAACTCTTCCTAGCGCAGAGAAATACATGAGCAAGAGAAGGTCATACGCAGTCGATCGACGCTGGCACCGGTGCGGACCGCTCCCTAGCGATCAATGCATCTTGAGGCACATTCATATGTCTCCCAAGTTTGGCTAAAGCATGTATGGGGCCCAGAACCCCTTTTGATCGCTATCAGCAGGGATGTTCTGAGTATGCAAGGGTAGAAATTCGCTCAGCTATCATGGTCCTTTATCTGCTACATTGCCCTGATCACCACGGTTCATGCTAGCTCTAAATACATGCTTTGAGTGTTCGTTTTGCTACCCAGCAAGACAATGGTAAAGACATGACTAGCTACAGTCGTTGGGTGCTTATGAAACATGGCTTGGCTAACTCTGCAATTTTGAGATATCCCCCTTCCACCCAACATGATACGCGCGAAGTCCAACTTTCAATGTTTCCGATTTCGATGTTGACTGGGTGCAAGAAGTTTGTTTGTGCAATGCGAAATTTGCTATTGATACTGGAAAGACAACATAAGATTCTCACGAGAATCGTCGAAAAAGGCGCGCATGCATCTGAGACGACAAGGCGGCGCGGCCTAGCCAATCATTGACTGGAGAGTTCTGCAGGGTTGTGATCCCCATGCTCTTCATTAAGGACGGTATTCCAAGCAGAGGGGGAGCCCTCAAGTATCGGACAGTCTGTAGAATACGTGCAGTTTGACATAAAATGACGAGTAAGTAGTAGATGGAAAACCTGGCTTGAAGTTTTTGACTGTGCCAGTTTCGATGCTAGAACGAAAAGTTCGTTCAGCGAAATCGTGGCCACTGGTTCCGTGGCTGGCCTGGGGCGCCAAACGGGTTGACAGAAGCACCTGGGCCTGGGCGAGTGACCGAGTTAGGGTTGCAGCACAGCATGGCAACGCGGGATCCAAACTTAGAACCTCGGAGCGACACCATATGCTTGCGAATATGGATGGCCACTTGTTCGCGCTGGTGATGGTGGGTGTTCATGAGGATCCACTGGATCAAGTAGTTGCCATATTGATCGCCAGCGATGTCAATGAGAGGAATGCGCGGACGATCAGGATGCGCAGTGGTGATGACCCCAAGATAACGATCCAAGAATTCTGAACCTCCAATCTTCAGGCATTTTTCTACGACCTTAGAAGCAAATTGGTCAATGCTGTAATTGTAGGAGTTCGCAAGGATGTGGTCAATGACACGCCGCTTGTCCGGCGGGGAGCCATGCTCGCACAAATGCTGGATGCACCAGTTGCCGAATTGTCCATGTGCAATCAGGTCAATGTTTGCTATGACTTCTTCAATAGCCGGGCGTTTTTCCTCTTCGATGCAATTTTCAAAGATATTTTGGACCACGAGACTGCCAGTTTCACCCAGAGCAACTTCATGCCACATGCCTCGAAGTGCTTTGTTGACCTCAAGCATGATCTGTGGTGGCTCACCGCTCCATCTGAGCTCAAACAACTTCTGCCAGACGTGGCAAGCATATCGATGAATCACAGTGTCAGGAATCCGGCGAAGGAGCTCGCGGACCATAGCGGCCTTGTGATCCTCTGGCACAGAATCAAAGGCCTTCTGGATGACATGACAGCCAAATGGATCCATGCTGAGAGCGATCACGTTGCCGTGAATTGCGTTCGCAATAGCAACCACCTGGTCGGGTGTGCCGTGTTCGAAGCATCGCTGAACAAGAAAGTTACCAAACCGATTGATCATCAATGGGTATGCTTGCGCCACGATAGACTCGACAATCTCGAACTTCTGCTCAGCAGTGCCGACTTTGAGCTTCTGCTGGAGGAAGATGCTTGCTTGTTGGTCATTGTTACAGACGATCTTGTCAACAATGTACTTCCAGTCGCATGACACTGATTTATCGAGAAGACGACGATAGTTCATCGGCTCAAGAGGAGTAACGTAAGTTTGTCCATTTGCTCCAGTGACCTGGCAATCACTGTCAGCATCAATGTTTGGTGGCGGAAGACATGCTGTACACTTACTGGGGCTGTCCATGGATTACTAGCTCCTGGAATACCATTGACCGGAAATTCAGTCGAGGATGGGGTCATGGGAGTTGTAAGAGCGCGCGGGTAGCTGAACTGAGCGGGCACCCCAAGCGGACTGATTGGGGGAGGAGTCAGCGCTGATGCAGTGCCAGAGAGGTTGCCATATTGAGCTAGTGGGTCGACCAGTCCCGGGTTGATTCTCAGTTGTCCATTGTTGCGTCTGACAGCTAGAGAAGGGTTGAATTGCATCACATCATTACCTGGCCGCATATCGTAGCCAAAGGGAGCGGCAGGAGCTGGGAGGTTGCGAGGCGGAAAAGTTTCGACAGGAGATACTGTACCTCCATAGACACCAGTATAGGACTGACCAGATGCACGAGCGTCGCGGCCGTTGTTGTATCCTAGAACAGAAGCATTGACATTCAAGACGTCTGTCATGGAGCCGGAAGTATTGTTCCAGATGCCTCGGCCACGTCCAAAATTTGCGGTATTCAACAACTCAGCCTGGTCCTGGCGTTGTGCTTCCTGGGCAGCCCAAGACTCGTTGCGAGAAGTGAACGGCCGGGCAGAAGCATTAAAGGCACTCTGGAGATGGCCAATCGTCTGCTCGCTAATATCATTAGAAGCTCCGAAATCAACTTCAGAAGGAGGTCCCATAGCCTGATCCATGGTGTGCTTGAGAGTGCGTGTTTCAGCGAGCTCCTGTTCCTGGCGGGAAATGACTGATCTGGCTGCCTCAAGCTCTTGCTTGACACGCATCAAGTCCACCATGTCAACCTTGCCTGAACCCGAGAGCTGGGTAATAGGCTTCTGTGAGCCGGCGGCGTCGGTGTTAGGGGTGTATATAGTTGAACCGGAAGAATGATCACTGGTTTTGTTGCTTGCACCTTCTCCCTCGTTCTTCAGTTCCTTCTCTTGTCTCTTCAAAGTCTTGCTTTGGTCTTGTAAGTTGTTGACGAGTTTATCAAGCATTTCATAGTCAGATTTTTGAGGCTTGTTGTCCGCGGCAGGAGGGCTGACTTTGCGGGCATCATTGAGTTTGAGACGTGAAAGAATATCTTCCATGGTGCTCATAGACTTCGCTTCCGTGCCTTCGGAAGCAGCCTAGAGATGAAAAGAGTGATTAGCAATTCGGAGGCGCAGGTGAGTAAGGTGAGTGAACGGCGAGGATCCACGACGGTAAGACTTGCCTTATCCTTGGATTTCGGCTGCTGGATGTTGTTGACCTTCTCTGACTGCAAGACAGTGAAAGGCGTGCGGTTCCCTGACGCGGAACGCGTCGCGGTTGTGGCCTGAAGGCAAGTCAGCGGAGCAAAGACAATCAGCACGAAGTGAAGATTTACAGTGAGCGGGTTCAGGCTTGCACGAGAGACTTTATCACCGTCGTCTCTCACTTTGACAGTGGGAGTTGACTTCCGGCTCATTGTTGGCGACCCCGTTGACATCAAAGATGCCATCAATAGGACAATGACGGAGCACTAGAATACAAAAGTGATATCGATGTTGAGAGGGCGGTAAGGGGGGCGGCAAGAGTGGCAGGATGATTGACAGGGCGACAATGGAGACAAAGGTATCAGCAAATGCAAAGATCCGCCGAGATGGGCAGCGTAGGTGTGAGAGAATGTAAGTCGATGGCGGACGGTAGAAGAAAGGGCCGGGAAGCAATCAGCATATAGTGAGAGAATGAGAGTTGTAGACAAGGGCACCTTCTTCTTCATTCATGTAGAGATCCGGTGGAAGTGGCGCTGGGTAGCGTAGAGCAGTCGCCAGGCACCTCCCTTGCCCTTGCACTTACAAGCATTGTTGCCTCATATCTGCATCAACGATTGGGACGTGATCTGTTGTTGTCACCTGTGATTCCAGACTCATAATCCGCATGGTGAATCGGCCCTCCTGAAGCGGAGCATGTAACTTCACTCGGCGTCCCTCCTAGAGCTCGCATTGCCGATCTATGGCAAATATGAAGCAGACGATATTCTCCAATCACGGTCGAAGAATCCCATCGCTATAGCACCCCGAGCGCCTTTCCATCTGGCGTCGTTGTCCAAGATCACGAAGTCAGGTTGTCCAGCTCCGGTCAGCGTTGGAACCAGCCTCATCGCTTGTCTCAGACCGTCTTCGTCATGCCCCCAAACCACCAATTCCAGTCGCTCCTGGGAAAGAGGGCGCAACCACACGCCGCCCATACCGGACCGAAAGGGGATCGAAATGGTGTTTGAAAAGCCTGTTGTCAGCAATAGCCCGTCATGTTGAAGTGAGATAGGAAACGAAGACAGGTCACAGCGAGGAAGGCTCGTTCCAAGCCCAATGGTGATGAGGTTACCCCTTCTCGACAGCGCCTCCGCGTACTCTTCGAGAGTGACTATATTCGAGTCTGCGCCAAAGTACTGGAGGAAATTCCTACTTGCCTGAACTGCGAGGGCAAAGGTTTTTGCAGAGCACGAGACGATCTCAAAGGCGCCACGGCTGCGAAGTATCGAGTCCAGTGCACCTCTTTGGCGACCGTACCGCTGGTCCAACTGCCTCCAGTCCAGGGCAACTTCCCAACCCCAGAGCTTGTTTTCTGTTTGGACGAGGGACCTCGATCTCATTTTCCTTGTAAGTCGAAAGGCATGGGTCATGCCATCAAGCAAAACTTCATCTGGCGAATTAGGGATCTGGACACTAGGATCAAAGTGCAGACGATGTATGTTCTGCGTCCTCAGATGCCAACGAATGACCGACTCAGTCTGGGCAATAGAGACTCTGATATGGCCCATTCTGTCGGGCGAGGACAATTGATCGACAACGATACCGTATTTGGAGCCCATATCATGAGAATTTGGGACCACGAAAGCAAACTCATCGGGCGCCTTGGACATGACATCGGAACCATTCAAGTGGGCCAAGTAAAACTCAATCATGGGAGGGGTTGTCATGGTGCCATCGACCCAGTGACCTATTCCAAGCATCTCGGAGTATTTGGCTGCAATGCCTGCCTGACAAAGCAAAGTGTTCATCAATCGAGAGTGATAGACAGGGACATTGTCATCGGCAGAGCCATGCTGTTGGAAAATCGGGATCCCCGCTAAGTTCTCAGCCAGCAACTCATGACGGAAATTACTCCTTGCAGTATGGAGGATAGCAGCTTGGAGGGGATCTGCTTCGGCCCAATAGACATACGGGACGTAATTATCGATGGACAAGTATCCTGAAGCTGCCGCCGCCCCAAGAACGCGGTCAGGTTGATGCGTAGCAAAGTACCAGGTTCCTTGGCCGCCATTCGAATGACCTGTAACCAAGATCCTCGAAGTATATGGGTCTGGTCCCTGCCATTTAACAAGACTGACCCACTCTGTGATAGCGTCAACCGCTGTGAGCGCATCTGCGAACCCCCATGTATGCCAATCATCGCTGCTCCAGGATGTCATCCCAGTTGGAGTTAAGACCCATGCCGGCAGGTGAGGCGCATCCTCGAACATATGTCGTGCTAGATCTCCATCCGCATCGACTCCCGCACCATGGAGATTCAGGAGGATGGGTGCTTCTCTGTCTACCGTTCTTGGTGGTGGTCTCAGCGTTGCATAAGATACTGCACCACTTGGATGAAGGAACGTTAACTTTTGCAGAGACGAATGATTCGCATGCCTCAGTTGAGCCTCATACGCCACGCTGCGCGGGTTGGCGTCTGGAAATGCATAATTGAACACAAGTTTTATCGTCTTCGCTGGGTCTCTCAAGTTGTCGATTCGCATTCTCACTAAGCGTGATTGACCTGGAGCAACCGCCACGCTTCCTTCAAAGGCCACCGCAGCTTGTTCATCAGCGATTGCTCGGACACTCTTGACGCTGATCCAGGCAGCTGCTTGATTCCTGACGACCACACTCCCATAACGACCAGCGAACCGGCCTGCTATCACATCCGGTAGCACCAAACTGTCATGGACTATATCGATGTCAGCAGCCACGACTTCAGCCCGAAGCCTAGCATGTGCTGTTGGCGGTGAAGAACCGCCCATTGACCGTACATCGCGGACGAGACGCACATTCACAAGATTGAAGCCCGGCACAAGTTCGAACACGATAGGTGCGTGCCCAAATGAATAAAAGTCGCCTCCGAATATGTGTTGCTTGTTCAACCAGAGCTCTAGGATGCCTTCTGGATAGATGCTCACTCGGCGGCAACTTCCGCCATCATTCCAGATGCCACCCCTAACCCAGGCCTGGTATTGAAGTGCAGACCACCCGTAGATCTTCTGTGCAAAGTCCCAGTCGACTTCCGGAAAGTCGACTACCAGGTCAACAGTTGTTGTTGCCTCAGACACAACAGGGCGGAACGTGCGCGGGTTCCACCTAACAGTTGCGTTTTGAGCAAGGGGGGAACGATAGGCAACAGTGTCGTTGTCGTTGAGATCAAATATACCGCCAAACTGCTCTACTGGATCAGCACCCCATATTGCCTCTATGTACTGTCAGCAGATGGCGACGATATAGAGCCAAGTCTCAAGCACCAACCTCGGGTTCCGATCCTGAACGGCCCCAGGATACTCCATTTGTCTAAGAATGCTACGGAACTGTTGATGAGGATTGTATTGCTGTGAATGACTTCTTGAAGGGTAGCCTCGACGACATGAAATTCACACAGCAGGATTATGGTTAGTACTGTGTATAGGATCGCCTGCCCCATCGCTTTTTCATTGTGAGGATGACTACAATGATACTCCTAGTTGTATCCGTGATGGCTGACAATAATCAGGATCATTGTTTTTCCGATCCGAATAATTTGTTGTAACGCCGCCTTCTGGCTCTGGTCTAGCGTGATGGGTCCGGGCAATAGTGTGATGCAGGACCGGACGTGCTTCTGATATATGTAGCGCAGTCAAAAAGTGTAACAGTCTGTTGATTAGAGACAAACCTGATCGCAACCTCTTCAATTTTCCTTGAGCCGCATTTCCGCGATACCGCAGTCGTTGCATGAAAGGATGTCATTTTCACAGGCTCCGTAGAGCACCACGCTAGCAGATGCAGCAACACGACAAAGTGATCATTGTCTGTTCAACCACAGCATGACGACTACGATGACCGAAACTCCTGAGTTGCGACATGGCGCTCATCACCGCTCGCTATCCCCTCTCAAAGGAACTAGAGAATCGACCTCTCGAGAGAGATTTCCTTCATTTGACGATGCCCTACCAAAGTTCACATTCAACCCCGGTGCACCCGTGGTTGCTGAGAGTCCCCTGGAAGTAACAACAGGTCCTCTTTCGAACCCTGAGATCAAGTGGCCCACGAGGAGAGAGAGTCAGAGATTGCGCAATGGGAGATCCCCAGTGATACATGGTCATCGACCTAGGAGAAGCCTTAGTGACGCAATAAACAACTTTCGGGCACGACGAGGCAGTGTAAGCGAGAATGCGCAAGAATTGGCTGAAGCGCTGAGGGCACCGGTGTCCTACAAACTCATTGTACGTCGTTTGCACAGTACTGCGTTATACGGCTAATTTATGCGGCAGGCTCTTTGTATCGTCTGGTACATGACCTCAGCCCTTACAAACACATCATCCAAATCCATTCTAAATGCTTTCCCGAAGCCAGCGACCCTCACAATTGTTCAATTTGCCTCAGTCTCGTTCTGGTGTCTGGTATTGACCGGTCTGTCATCGACATTTCCCTCACTAAAGCGATCCGTACCTGCACTCAGGAATGGTCTGAGGAAGCCGTCTTGGGAAGTATTGGCGACAGCATTTCCACTGTCGATTTTCCAACTTCTAGGCCACCTGCTCAGCTCATACGCCACTTCTAAGATTCCGGTCTCACTCGTCCACACTATCAAGGGCCTGTCGCCGCTATTCACGGTCCTCGCATACCGGATTGTATTTCGAATTCGCTACAAACGAGCAACATACCTGTCACTTGTCCCACTCACCCTAGGTGTGATGATGGCATGTTCTACGGACTTTTCAAGCAATTTCTGGGGAATCAGTGCTGCATTGGTGGCAGCACTTGTTTTCGTGAGCCAAAACATCTTCTCAAAGAAACTTTTTACCGAGGCATCGCGTGCAGAAGCAGATGGACAGACTCACCTGCCGCGAAAGCTGGACAAGCTCAACCTGCTATGCTACTGTTCTGTCGGTGCCTTCCTACTTTCCGCCCCTGTCTGGATCTATACCGAAGGGTTCGAACTCATAGAAGAGTTGTGGAAGGATGGATTCATCGGCCTCTCGACCAAAAGAAATGCCTTGGATCATGGTGGGCTCATGTTGGAATTCATCTTCAACGGGGTCTCCCACTTTTTTCAGAATATCATGGCCTTTGTCTTGTTATCGATGCTGTCGCCAGTGTCCTATTCTGTGGCATCATTGATAAAACGGGTCTGGGTTATTGTGCTTGCTGTGGTCTGGTTCCGCAGCTCGACCACCTCGATGCAGGCCGTCGGCATTCTGCTCACATGTGTCGGGCTTTATCTCTACGATCGTACCAGCATGGAAGACGCTGCGGAAAGACGAACCAAGAGCGATCATTTCCGTCACAAAACAGCTTTGTTGCCTGTGACCGAAGTCAACACTCCTGGATTGCAGCTAAGCAACCCAATGGACCTGAATCATAGAAGTGAGATGTCTGATTCTCACCCTAAGAGGGATGATAGTCGAGGTCGAACACATGAATCGCCTTTCGCGTCTGGGTGGCTGCCTCCTGGAACCAAGCAAGAAAGCACCTGGGAAGCTGCAGAAAGAAATGCAAAGTCATAAAAGACATGTAACATCACAGATTGGTACCAGGAGTTGAGAGGACTTGACACATTTCACGACGAGGGTCCGGGGAATGTATGATTGATAGATAGACTGGTCATGTCATTGCTAAATGCAACTTGCATGCGCTACTCGAGAATAACTAACGAATACTGGCAAAAGCGATTTGTCGAATTTGTAGCGACCGTCGGTAAGGAACCGAAACATCATTGTAATCTTTGTTGTAGCAAAGAGTCCTAGTCAGCTCCAGCTACGGCGCATATTTTGATCTCGGATCACGTTGCAGAGGAGAAAGAGAAGGTGCATAGAAGCAGCCCTGGCTCCTACAATAAATCATGTCCGTGAATGAGTTTTGTACTGAAGAAAAGGAAAAGAAGGAGGATTCGGTCAGCACAAAAAAATGTAGAAATTGTACGGAGGCTGTGAAGACGCGCTAGTCCTCAAAGCGGAATGGCGCCAGTTTCCGGGAATCGCGGGCATGGCGCATGCTGAGTGAGTGGACGAAGCCCTGCCACTCCGGCGTCCATGTTCTCGACTGCGCTCGAAAGGGTCTTGTCAGCCTTCTTTATATCCTTTCAGACGCGTGCTTTCTTGTCTGCAAACAGCATCCGCCATCATGTCGCAAACAGATGTGGTCCAGACGGACTCGATACACGAGGAAGACCCTCACAATGAGCCTCCTAAGAAACAGAAGAGCCGACGCCCAGCCAGTATTACCGCCTGCTCTGCTCTACACTGAAGAATCGCTGACGAACGACTTTGATAGACACCGCTTTTAGACAGCAACGGCTGAAGGCATGGCAGTAAGTCGTGCTAGTAAACCACGCTCGGGACCGCGACTCTGACCTCCTTTTAGGCCGATTCTGACTCCCAAGACGGTGCTACCCATCTTCTTCGCAATCGGTGTTATCTTCGCTCCAATCGGTGGACTGTTGTTGTGGGCGAGTGCGAGCGTAAGTTTCAGAGACACCTGGACCAGACCAGGGAAGATGCTGATTTCCGCTCCAGGTCCAAGAGTTGGTGATTGACTATACCGACTGCAATACCACCGCAACCACATCATTTACCGCGATCCCCGAGAGCAAGGTCTCAACTTCGTTTAAATCGTCCAACTCGACCGCCAGACCCCTATGGAGAAGGACCCTGAACACTACCCATCCTCCTTACAGCGTCGAGTTACGAAACACGCCAGTTTGTACACTCCAGTTCTCGATTCCGAATGACATTGGTCCACCGGTCTACCTATACTACCGCTTGACCAACTTCTACCAAAACCACAGAAGATACGTCAAGTCGCTTGATACTGATCAGTTGAAGGGCGATTTCCTGAGCAACCACACGATTCATGATAGCTCGTGCAACCCTTTGAAATTGGATCACAATGGAAAAGCATACTACCCTTGTGGCCTGATTGCCAACTCGATATTCAATGACACCCTCAATTCTCCCGTTGCAGTCAGTACTTCCGGTGGACAGGAGAGCCAGCAATACCGCATGACGAACGAAGGCATCGCTTGGAGTTCGGATGCGTCACTATACAAGAGAACAAAGTATACCAACTTCGACGTATCGCCCCCGCCTAATTGGGCCGTGCGGTACCCGGATGGATACACAGATGAAAATCCAATCCCGGATCTATCCAAGTACGAAGAGTTCCAGGTTTGGATGAGAACCGCAGGATTGCCTACCTTCAGCAAGCTGGCGTTGCGCAACGACAACGAAACCATGACAGCAGGAACATATCAGATGGATATCTATGACTGTAAGTGCATTCATTCGCGGGTGAGGCACTGTTCTAACGCATTCAGTCTTCCCTGTCACCGTCTACTCTGGAAAGAAGAGCATTCTGCTATCGACTAGGTCAGTTGTTGGTGGAAAAAACAGCTTTTTGGGTATTGCCTATGTAGCGGTTGGTGGCCTTTGCATCGTGTTGGGAGTAGTCTTTACCATCGCACACTTGATCAAGCCAAGGTATGTCTTCCGTCGCCTTTCTTGTGTGGATTAGCGCTGATGTCACAGAAAACTCGGTGATCACACTTACTTGAGTTGGAACAACGACAGCCCATCAACCGGTGTGTCAACCGGCCGCGAAGTGCGACCTGGAGGTGCCTAGAGATATGATACAGTGTATGATTTCAACGATGATGTGTATTGTTTTTCTATCTTGTTGGGGGATGGCGCTGGCGTTGATTGGAATATAGGGATGCAAGGCACAAATTTCACCGACTTTCGGACAAAATCTTGCGAGCTGCAATTCCTTTCAGTTCGGTGACTTGCAAATATCGTCGTCGAGTATACTAGAGCAACATGACATTCCACATTCCTCGACTCCATCGCTTCGCCAACGTGAGGCGTGTCTGTGCTCGATGCATTGTTGAAGCTATTTCACAAGAATACTTACTCCAGCAACCCCCAAAAAGTTTTGTGAACCGGGAAGTCCTTTTCTGATCTTGTGGTTGTTGGCTGTGTTTGCTATGTTGTCCCGGCCATTGAATTGTTGTTGTTGTTGCTTGTTGTATCTAACCGCCTCCTCCCTGGGGTTGGCCGGTTCAGCCGTCGCAGGTATACCGCGATACAGGCCCATACACCGATCGTGTGGGACGTCTCACCCGTCGAGCGATCTGACATCTACACACCGCTGGCTGCAGGAGAGCGAACGACTGGGGAACGATCTCTGGAACTCGACGAGTGTACAAGAGCGACACGATAATTTTCTGGGGTCCGGGCCCAGATCAAGAGATCCTCCCGGCCATCACGGTGGTATAATTCACGATCACGATCACGATCGTCGTCAAGCTCCGAACCCACTGTACACCATCGACACGTACATTCACATCGTCGCGGACTCGTCGTCGTCGTCCTCCTCCTCCTCTTCAAACTACGTGAGCGACACCATGGTCCGCGACCAGTTCAAGTATCTGGCCGCCGCATACACCGACGCCGGCATCGGGTTTCGGCTCGCGGGCGTCGACCGCGTCACGAACGACACGTGGGCCCGCAACGGCGACGACGCGAACATGAAACGCGCGTTGCGCCGCGGCACCTACTCGGCGCTCAACGTCTACTACCAGAGTCTGCTGCAGGCCGACTCGAACACGCCCGGTCTGCCGGCCGGCAGCGTCTTGCTGGGCTTCTGCACGCTCCCCGTGGCCGGCGTGTACGCGGGCATGGATCCCGCGGCCTACGCGCTCGACGGGTGCAACATCCTCAGCGCCACGATGCCCGGCGGGAGTTACGCAGGGTACAATCTAGGCGGGACGACCGCTCACGAAGTAGGCCACTGGAACGGGCTCTTGCACACCTTCGCCGGGAATTCGTGCGCCGCCTCGGATTTCGGCGACTACGTTGCAGACACGCCCCAGGAGAGAACTAGTACGAGTGAGTATTGCTGTGTCCCCCCTTCTTTTTGATTTCGGACCTCGGATTTCAAACATCGGGTACCCAATAGGCAATAGGCGATGGACAACACCTGTGAAAAACCAGGGTTAACTACACATAAAAGGACGAAGCAGAAGCAGAAGTAGCAGAATAAGGAAGGAGAAGAAAGAAGAAGAAAGAAAAACAGGTCAACATTGACTAGCTGTTATCAGTATCGCCCTGGTTGTATTGCTTGCTTGTCCTTCCTCACTTTTTGGTATGCGTCGTCACTGACTGACTGACTGACTGACTGACTGACTGCGATGTGTGGATATGTGTAGACGGTTGTCCCTCGAGTGTCAAAGACAGTTGTCCGAATTCTGGCGTTCCAGCAGGATACAATGGGATCGGAGCCGAACCGTACGGTCCTCAGGGGTACAGTGGGCCGGATCCCATTCACAATTTCATGGATTATAGCAACGACGCGTGTTATACGGGATTCACGCCAGGTCAGGGGGCGAGAATGTTGAATATCTGGAGGATTTACAGGGAGGGGTTATGATTACACTGAAACCCCCCCAAAAAAGAAAAAGAAAAAGGCCTCAGGGTGGGTTCATCTTCATGTATACTGAGTACGGAATGCCGGAGAGGGAGGAGAAGAGAGAGAGAGAATTAAAATGGCTCCTCCTTCAAAGAGAGCAACATTTCCTTTACTTAGGAGGTATGTATGAAGAGAGCAAAATGGCAAGAATACCTTTGGTCCTTACTCGTGGCATGGTACCTACTTTTCAACGACCAAGATCCCAAAATGCGGCGCGTCAAGATATCCATCCCAAAACTCCAGGTCGACACCGTACTCGTTCCGACTCTCCTCTTCTGTCCGCGGCAGTTGCACGTCCACCCACTCCAAGGCTCCGAGTAGCCCCCCGTCCCTCGCCGCAACCTCGTACACGTCTCGTCCGAGGTGGAAGCTCTCAAACGAAAACTCCCGTGGCTTCACGTGCGCCGTGACTTTCGTGCGGTAGCCGGATCCCCCGGGCAATCTGCTCGCGTACGACACTGTGACGCCGTACTTCCCTCCCTGGTTGCGATCCGATTCCAGCAGAGGGTCGAACAGCTCGGCGAACGCGTCGAGATCGGGTGCCGGGTACGGCACTATGCCTACAAAGCGACCTCCTGGGTTGAGATGAGAGGACACGTTTGTGAACATCGCGACGAGGTCGGCCGGACACGAGGCGTAGTTGAGCAGCCATGCACCGAGGACGACGTCGAAGTGCTGCTGTGTGAGTTCCCGCGCCGGAGAGGAAGTTAAAGTAAGTGGACGCGTGCAATCGCCGACTTCGAAGGTCAGCCTTGACTTGTCAGGGCCGGAGTCGGAGCACTCCTCGGACTGGACAAGTGATCGAGCTGCTTCAATCATCGCCGGCGAAATGTCGACGCCGACTACCCGTGACGCACCCCACGTCAGGACGAGGCGGGAGTAGTACCCTGTCCCACACGCGAGGTCGAGAACGCTCACCCCGTCATTGTCGTCGGGACGTGTTGTCGGTCCACGTTTTTGCAACAGCGGCGTCATCACCGCGCGGAGGTTGGCTCGTTCGACCAGAGCCGCGGGCAGGGCTTTGAGGGATTCGTACGAGAGGCCGATCTCGTCGTATTGTGATGCCATGGAGTGTTGTCTTGTCTTACTTCTACCTTTTGCTGCTTCTGTGTGTGTGTGTGTGTGTGTGTCTCGTGTGCAGCAGATGCGACTTTCTAAAAGGCATGAATCTCCCTCACCCCGACGTGTATGGGAAATCTCAGCGGCCGGACCAGGCGGATGAAGTGTCTGTCTCAGAACGATTGTCCGAGGCGTGCGACTAGGACACTAGATAGCCTGATCAAATTGCGACATCTTCGCTGCACCATATGGGATTGCTGGTACAGTATAAAGTCAAAGTATGAAGCATGTGAAAGTAGAGAGTAGAGTGCTGTAGGCTCGAGAGGCAGCTTCACCGATCTGCCTGGGGTGGTCGTGTGAGACGTATCGTACACCAACTAAGTGCGATTGCATTTGAGGGGAAGTGTCGCCTATAGACCAATGAGGATCTATTGACATCGGGTCGTCTCGTAAAAGACCGTCGGTGGTGTAAAGTATGTGGTAATGAGTTTTTCATTCTCTGCATAAATGCAAGAAAGGTTCGTCGGTGGTGTCAGCTTCAGGAGCACGCCGTCGAGAGCATGATATCGAATCCAAAAGGAGACTAATAAGACACACACTTCGGAAAGACCGGGGCATATTGAAAATGACACATATCAGTTGCCCAGAGTAAAGCCCGGAAGATATGCCATTGTATAACCATAAACATCCCTTGACGGCGCCTCTAATCGTCTTCGTCAACCCTCGCCCTCTTTCTGTCTCTGCTACTCGGACCGGCTTCTTCCAATCCAAATCTCTTCTTGCCTTCACCAGCTTGCTTTCCAGAAGCAGCCCCAATGAAGCTGTCATTGCCAAAGGTATCATCTTTGTCCTTTTCGAATTGGACGGGACCGCTCTCTCGTTCAGCGGTATCGGCACCTTTGAATCCCTCCTTGGGTGCCCTGCCAAGATCGCCAAATCGGCTGGACTTTCGAATCTTGTCCATGGCCGCATCCGCATCTCCTTCTTCATCCTCGTCCTGGTTCACCGTCGGTCGATAGATTCTGTCTATAGCATCTGCAGCGGCAAACAGGGGCTTGTCATAAGCTTGGTCCTCGTTGAATCCAGAATCGAACCCGGACGTCTGGTTGAACAGTCGAGAATCATACATGGTCTCCTTGTTTTGTGTAGGCTTCGCCAACCCAAGCGCGACCTTTTCGGAAATGTCACGATTTTGTTCTCTGGCCATCATCTGGATGCGTTTCTCGGTTCCCATCCTGCTTTGCCGTAGTTGTCGTTCGTTTTCCTGTCTACGTTCTCGTCGGGCACGCTCTCGCTCCTTGGCCGCCTCCTCCTCGCTGTCAGACCTCGAATCATACGACGAACCAGAGTACGACCGTGGCCGCGATCTTCGTCTCGAATCCGAATCTCGCCTGCCACCACCGGCCGCCGCCTGTCTTTCTTCTCTGGCCTTTCGAGCCATTTCCCGCAGATGTTCTTCTTTGGCCAGTTTCTCTTTCTCCGCCAGCTTTTGCTGCATCTGTGCGCGGAGCTTGACCTCTTCACGGGCATGCCGGTCCGCCGTCATAAGTGCTTCGGCAAACTGTGCATGTTTATCACTTATAGTGACATCCTGCAGTCCTCGTCCATCAGCAGCCAATCGCTTGTCCAACGGGACGGTGTAGCCCTTGGGATTCTTCCAATTGCTGATCGGTGGAGGGATTTTCCAGGCTTCCTGGTCCTCTGCTGTCAATTTCCGTGGCGGCGAGTGCATCACTGGAGGGGGAGGACTAGGTGGTCCTCGAGGGATCTTCTTGTGTTTGAACTTTGGTGGTGCCATGGGATCCTCTTGCCGTCGGGCGATTTTCAAAACGTAGTCGTGCTTTTTGGAATTGTCGCCCATCTGATTTGAAGGCGTGTACCGAACATACGTAGCTTCTTCTCGATTGACGCCTTTGACGTTCTTCGGTTTTTGAGCCGCCACAGCCCCCGACACCAGTTTCTCCAGAGCGAGCCTTGTTTTCTCCGCTGTTGCCAGGACTTCTTCCTGGCTGGGCCTGTCAAGACTCAGGTCGCCCGCATCTGCCTGTTGCCGAAGCGGTATCAAATCCTTGAAACTCGAGTGTATGATTCGGCTATCACTGTGGCCACGTCTCGCGAGTGCGTCGTATTTGACCTTGCCTTCCGCGTCGACTTGGATTGCAAGAGCATTCGACGTTGATGACGTTCCCTTTCGTCCCATATCAAGAGGGTATTGTGCAACTGCAACTTCCGGGAACGCACCCCCATCTCCGAAATCCTCTGCCGAACGAGGTCGCCATCCTGATCGTTGGCCGTAAGGAGGAGGGCCAGAGCGCTGTAGGAAAAACGGATCAGTACGAAGTCGTCGCGGATGATCAGAAACACCAACCTTTAGAACAACCTGCGATTCATCGATTACTCCCGGCCCTACGATTCGAGGGCCCTTTGGCTGGGCATGCAGAGGAACCTCTTCGTGCTCGCCAGTGTATTTGGGTTTCGGTAGCGAGGCGAAAAGGCCGGTCGCCATGGCTGTGGTGGTGTGTTTGTACAAAGTGTTATTCAGGCCTTGAAAATAAAATTGTCCCCGCGCGACGTCCTGCGGTTGAAATCATTCAAATCTCAAAATTGTGGCACGGGGAAGTTTGTGCCGCCGTAGCGGATTGTAGTAGAAGGAGTACGGTGGATGATTAATGCTCCGAGGAACGCGCATTAGGGGGGAACAGTCTATAGACGCCGATCGAGTCGGCAATGAAACGGTCCAGCAGCCGAGATTTCGCTGTCGCTTTCTCAAGTTCAAAAACCCCCATCGTTTCTTCTTCCCTCGACGGCTCAAGGCTAGCCATATCGCCCTTCAAACCCTCTGGATACGTCAACCGTCGAACTCAGTGCCACCATGGGTCCCTCACGGCTCTCCAAAACCCTTCAAGGCTTAACTGTGACAGGCCTCGCATCCGTCGGCGCATTTTTCGTATGGACGAAACACTGCCACTTCACGCCAGCAGATCAATTCACCCCATCGACAGAACCACTGTTCCAGAGCACGTGGTATAAGAAGTTCAACCCATTCCAGAACCCTACGACACATGATGAATGTGTGCGACGGCTACCTCTTTTCAAAATCCGTCCAGACCTAGTCGAGGATGCCCACAAGGGAGGGTCTAAACTGGTCGAAGCCTTCAGTCAAGGAATCTGGGGCGGTCCAGGTATGTTGTTCCATTTTCCCACCCGTCTTTGAATCGAAGAGAACAAAAATTGGTCCGCGAACCCCATGGTTGTCGTTTTGCGTACCTGGGTATCACTTTTTGGATTTGGATTTTTTTTCTCTCATTTTATCAAGAGCAAAAAAAAGCATGCATGATGGAACCAGGCTGACCGACCATTGTTGCCCTTCAAACAAAACAGGATATACCATTCAAAGGCTATACTTGGACCGCAAATGGCGAAACAACACCACAACAGCCCACCAGCTGTGGGATCCACAAGAGCTGAAAGCTTCAACCTATGACAAGGGCACCGAGATAACAGACCATTTCGTCGTGCTAGACAAGACTCCTACGTCGATTCTCATCCGGTGTGGAGACTCCCCGTTGAATAACCCAGACACCAACAGACCGAGTGATGGATTATTTGAGATCAGCGCAACCACGGACTTTGATAATGGCTTTGCGGAGTTTAGGCTCAAGAGCATCTTCTACCAGGGCGATCCTGAGGTCAAGGACAAGACGAGTGACCCAATGCCCTCAACTATGGTCTATTTACACCAGCTTTACACGAAATTATGGATGGAGAGTGCCATTGGACACGTAAAACAATAATATCTCAAGTCCCAACACGTTAACCAAATGATCGTCACGCGAATTTTGCTCTGATTCAACGATTTCATGTTGACTGATCAATAATATGAGGCTCTCATTTCAAGTTCTCATTCTGCTTGGACCAAGCCACGTCTGAGCTCCATAACTGACTAGCAATTCCTGCGTACAATGATATCGACGGTGCTAACCAAGTTTCATCACCATGAGATCATCTTCTCCCGCTTGATGGCTGAAAGGCCCTTTCACCGTCGTGTTTCAGCACGTTGACTGCATATGACATCGTTCGTAATCGAGTACTCCCCAGTTCAATATTCCTGCCAGGGCCTCTGAGTCCGCTCAGCCGGAGTGACGAACGTAGTAATAGTAACCGCTGGTTCCATGGCGCTCCCAATGACCCGATGGGAAGTCACCCTTCAAGGTGTCGGCATACTCTCGCAATGTCCAACTTCCGTCCAACTCTTTGCACCAGAATTGTGGGCTCGAACCTGGTTTGTATGGAGCAAGCATGGTTGGCTGAGACTGTGTGGCAGCAAGATGGGCAGCTAGGATGGCGTTCTGGGCTTGTATCTCGGTGGCGGTGGCTCCAACAAAGAAGGCAGGCGCATTTGGCATTTGCTGAAGAGCTGCGTTGGCGGCAACGGCTGCAGCAGCTTGAGCTGATGCTGAGGTCTGCATCCAGGGTACAACGGTCGTGGTTGGGATTTGGTAAGGTGCTGTGTAATATGGTGAGTAGGCGAACGTACCACAGGCAGGGCTGGCAACAGGGGCAGTGGAAACTGGGTAACAGGTGTAAGGCCAACCAGATGTTGCAGTAGGAGGAGCAGTCCCATAGTAGAGTCCATTCGCGTAGTAGCCTGCGGGAGCAGATGAATTGCCCTGGTGCAAATTAGCCAGAGCAAGGAGAGGGAGCACGGGAATACCGACGGCAAAGTAGTACATGGCTGGCTGAGAAGCCTGGTTCGACTGATAGACGGGTGCTGGTGGGTGAATGCCCTGTTGGGTTCCGTCAGCAGCTGAGACATAGTAGAAAGTGCGCGGCCAGTCTGCAGGGTCTTCCCAGTGTCCAGCAGCGCTTGCACTGTTCAAGGCGGAAGGATTGAGGCCTTGGTAGCTGTAGTAGTTTGGCATTGTCTCGCAATGCTGTGGTCGATAGTGCTTGCAAAAGGTGTAGAGATGTTGGTCCTTAGGAATGCTGAGGGGTAGAGTGAGGAAAGAGTGAAAGGACAGATACAGGGTCGCACAAGACTCAAGGAAGGCAGGCAGCGTGTTCAGTCTTCACTCACGGTGCGACGGTCCTCGTAGAATTCGACGTTGTCGTCAAGGAAGATGTACTCTTGCTTGACAGGCTCGGCAGCGAGTTGCAAGTGTCGATTCCAAGGCCAGCCACCACAAGCGAAGCACATGATGGTCGTTGAGGTTGATCTGTCGGGTCTGAGTCAGGAATGATATCGGGCAGGATAAGATATGAGAGCGTGAAAAGGGACTCGGGCAGTTTTTGGAGCGAGTCGCGAGGCGTGGCAGAAATTTAAATACCAGGAAAGAGCGGACAGGTGAATTCGAGATCGAAACCCTCAATTCTCTGGAAGGCTGGACGGTTGAGGGCGACCGGTGAAGGAAAGTTCCTTTCGTTGTTCTTTCGCTCAATGGCTCGTGCTATTGTTACACCTCACTGCCGGAGACAATACGAAGTGGCAGTGGCAGTGGCAGTGGCAGATGAGGAATCGATGTGTAGCAATGTAAAGATCCAGATCTATACAGCTCATGCATGGCAGCATCAATGGCCGCTCCCTGGGCCACATGGCCTCGAGTCAGCGTCCTTTACCTGTCAACGACCCTGGGCGCACCTTTGGGACGGGTGGCGGCCAAGGAAAGGACATCAACTACGATCATTGAATGTGGGAAGGGCCTCGACTGATGAGAACGTATATTGTCATGAGAACCTCCCCAATTAGACACCTTCGGTGTCTCTCTGTATTCTGCATGGTTTGTTGTTGCTGGCTGCGGAAACGAAGCTGGAAAGTCTGCCGAACCCAACGTCGAGGCTGAATAAACCTCGCTCGCAAAAAGTCCGCGTAGGCAATCTAGTCAACCATGAGATGCTGTACGAGCTGCACTTCTGAACAACTCGCAAGGTAAATCGGATGATCGTCCTCAAGGCCAACAGACCTTCACTGGTCTCAGATATGCTGTTCGATGCCGCACAATGTTACTGGCCCACCTGATCAGGCTCTGGTTCCAGGTCACATTCCTCAAATCTCGCGCCCGTTGAGAGATGGCTGCAGAAGCTAGACATGCCCCCAGTCCGGCACCAACCTTCACGATCGATCTAGATCTACCTCCGCAAGAAAGGTACAAGGCTCTTGCAATGGAGTACAAAGATCGTCTCAGGGATCTTTCAATATTATTCGATAGCTTGCTAGCAGACATAGGCCTGCCTTCCAGCTGTCATGGCTCGGTTAAGCGCCTCGCTCGATTGTTGTTGAGACGACTCAGCTCCCCCAATTGAAACAGCCGAGCTGCGCGGCATAGCTGAAGTAGTCGATATGCCGATGTATCTTTTGGTCGCCTTCAACACAGTCCTAGACCTTCTTATGGGTTGCACTTCCGGCGCTGGTAAATCATTGGAGCCTGGTCAGCCTAGAAGCGAGGCCAAAATGCTTCATTTCCGCACTCTTGACTGAACGATGGATCCTCTTCGGTCTGTCATTGTACAGCTCAACTTCGTTCGGAGCAAGTCTGCTAGACCTAGTCAGGTTCTTGCAAGCAGCGTCTCCTACGTTGGCTTCGTTGGCGTCTTGACGGGTGTTCGTCCAAATCTTAGCCTATCCCTCAATTTTTGAGCTGTCCACAACGCCCAAACGAAACACGATCATTTCAAATTTTACGTGAATCATCTCCTTGTTCTGTTAGGCTACCGCCGATCGATATCCAGCATCTTGAGGAGTTATGTACTTCCAGAGACTAACAGTGACTGCCAAGTCAAGTCACTAGGAGAGATATCCGATGACATGGCCTCTCTCCACACGACGGCAGCGTATCTAATCCTCTGTGACGGCATCTCAGCTATTGTCATCGAAAAAGACTACGGTACTGGCTTGATCCGACATTCAGATACATTCATCGCCGCTACAAATCATGACGAGCTACTCCATCATCCTCAGTCGGCAATAGCAACCCCTGCCGCGAAAGCAGCCACTGACTCTCGCTCCCACAAAGCAATTGAGCTGGAAGAACTTCTTGAAGAGAGCAAAGACCGCCTTGATTGCATTTCTTCAAAGTGGAGATCCCGTGTGCGGAGGACCAAAGGGCAGTTCAAACATACACACAGACTGAATACTGAGGAAGCTGAGAGGATCACCAGCATAACACAATCAGAAGTGGTTGAGTGGGTTTCAATGTCCCCTACGACCAACGAGCAGACGCACAGTGCTAGCATCCTGGATCCTAAAAGGGGCCAGGTCATTTGGACAGGCGTCTATCTTGGTCCATTAATAAACAGCGACGACTGAGAGAGCTCCCACGTCTTTGTAGGATCCAACAAAATATATCGAGACAAGAATGCACGAAGCGCAAGCTTGGCTCAAAATGGGTTCCTCAACGCAGCCGAGTCTCAAAGGGGCTACTCCGACTTCTCATGGGCGACAAGGTGACACATGACAAGAGTTCCGTGCAGGTGGCTGGGAGCATTCCGAGCATGACCTGCATCGATGCTGTGTTGCGATGGTCCGGTTCATTCAAGGGAGAAAGCCTGCTTCGTCCGCAACTATCCATTGGCACGCGAGACCACATGCCTTTGAGCGGGTATGTCCTCTGTGCTCTTACAGCCTTGGCTGGGCATCACGAAGTCTAGCTCCTCATCGGAACCTGAGGTGGCGGGCCGTTACTCATGATTCATGAAGTCGGTTGAGAATGTCCCTTGGATTGCCCAGCAAGCCGCTTGGCCCATTAGGCCTCCAACCAGACCCCTTTTATCGTCCTTTGCGTCCTCAGATCATTCAGGATCAAGCCTCGGGACTGTAGTCCCGCTCTCTGACACATTTTAACCATTGATACTCCATAGCACACAAATAAACAATACGTTGCCATCTGTCGTCCGCAGGGCTGGGGAACTCAGACTCGGCGAAGCATATCCGGGGGGAGTTGGCCATTAACTAGTACTACGGCTTTGGCAGAGGCCAATTTCTCAGCACCTGGAAAACCTCAATGGCGGGGCGGTCAGGGAGGATAAGCTTTTAATTGTGTTGCGAACACGTCGTACGAATCTAACGCAGGGGGATCCGGTGAAACGATGAGGCATGAGGTTAGTTCTACTCCAAGGCTGTCGTTGCCGTAGCAGGACGAAGGGCGGGTTATTCATACGAGAGCAACGAGGTGAAATGCAGTGTTTTTATTTCTCATCGAGCAAGTCGCGTGAGAGCATTCTAAACGATCGTGGTGGATGTTTCGCGACGTTTACCCCGTTACGAACCATGGTTTCCATGCTTGTATCCGTATGTATTGTACTATTAAATAGCACGGCCACCCGCGATGTGCATTAGCTTCCAGTGGTTGAAGGGAGGCTAAGGGTCCGACAGGGGATCAAGCGAGGCTTATTAGGAGGCGCAGCGGGGATGGGTCGAGGCTCCGCCCCGGACAAGAGAACGGAGGAGGGAGACGCTGGGAGGTTGGGATGAGGCTGGCGGAGGAGGATCTGGCTATACGGCACGGAGATGTGGTGGTGGTGGTGGTGATGGTGGCATGAACCGTTGGACGTTCAGAGTGGAGAGAGACTGTGCATCACCTGTTTGATATCTCTCTGTTCAGCACGATACAATCCCTATCCCCCGTGTGTTGAACCCTTGTCCGGACATCTGGTGGGCAGCCAAGATGAGCCTCGTCCGATGCCTGAGAGACGCCGATCAATATGTACAAATCAATCCTCGGACGGAGTAAGCGTTCTCTGTACTGACGCATGGGAGGCCTCACTAGCCGGTGCTGGACATGATTCATGTCTATCTTGACGATCACCCTCCCGTCAGATGCGCCGTGACATGCATCAAATTAAGCCCCGGCCCTGTGAAACCCCAAAATAGCAATGCGTCTCCCTCACACTGCATCGCATGTTCCGTTTTCCGGCCTCGTTGGTGTTTGTCCCATGGCCCTGTTCTGGTCGTCTGGTCGCGACGTTGGGAATGTCCTGCCCTGCCCTTCCATCCTCACCCTGTTCGTTCGCTGTCTCAAGTCTCGGCTGTGTCTTGCCCTGGCCTGTCCTTAATTTATGGCCCATCGGATTCGCCTGCCACCTCCACAGTAAGATTCACTTGACTTGGCTGACCATTTTTCAGCACGCTCTCTCCGTTCACGCCATCTGTACCGAGTATCTCGTTGTGTATATGGGCATTCCTTCTCACTTGCCTTGGTCTGTTTTGTTCCTTCCGTCTCTCGAGCGTTCTTTCCTCCAAAAAGTCTCAGCGTGAGACCGACTTTCGTTTCAACCTGCGGCGGACTTTATCGTCTTCGATCTTTGCATTCCCATCGTCATTTCGTTTTGCTCCAGAATAGTCTCGTCACATCACAGTCGTTCAATATGACTAGGGCACTACTATCTCTTACTCTCCTGGCACTCTCGGCCACGCTTTCTGTCGTTAATGCTGCTCCCAGGCCGTGGGGGCCGACTCCCCATTTCCCCCATATCGACGACTGGAATACCAACCACTTCCCTGGGAAGTACCACGCATGCACAGATGACAACGTCAAAATCCGCAAGGACTTTGATTCCATGGCTCCTCAAGAACGCAAGGCCTACACCGACGCCATCAAATGCATCATGGACCAGCCATCCCAGTTGGATCAGACACTCTACCCTGCTGCCATCAACCGATACTTTGACTATGCAGTTGTGCACACGAACCTAACAGAGATCGTCCATCTCTCGGCCTACTTTTTGACATGGCATCGATACTACCTTCATCTGTTCGAGGAGGACTTGAGACGGACATGTGGTTATAAGGGTGCTTTTCCCTATTGGAACTGGCCTGCCACCGCGGACAATCTCCGCGGCAGCGCTGTCTTCGATGGCTCCGAATACTCCATGTCTGGCGATGGTGAATATGTGGACACGGGCCCCGTCGTTCTCTCGCCAGACTTCTCGCTCCCTCATGGCTCGGGTGGCGGCTGTGTCACCACCGGTCCATTTGCCAACATGGAGACTACCATCCAGCCCATCTCGATCCAGAACCTCATCCAAGGTCTGCCGTTGCCTGAAAATACCTTTGCCCTCAACAAATCCTGCCTGACGCGCGATCTCAACACGTATGTTGCCCAAACATGGTGCAATGAAACTGCCCTGTACGAGGCACTGGAGAGTGACGATATTGCCACCTTTGATACTTTGATCAACGGCGTCGCTGGCGGTGGCTCTCTAGGTCTTCACTCTGGGGCTCACTTTGTTGTCGGCTCGCCCGGCTCCAACATTTTCGTGTCGGTGCAAGATCCCATCTGGTGGCCACTGCACGCCTTCCTTGACAACTTGTACACTTCATGGCAAGCTCGTCATCCGGATCTTGCCGATGCTGTGTACGGTACCTTGACCGCCTACAACGCACCACCCAGCCCTAATGGAACTCTGGACTCTCAGCAGCCAGGCTGGGGCTATTTCGAGACTAAGCCTTACACCATTGGCGAACTCATCAGCACAACTTCGGGTCCTTTTTGCTACAAGTACGACGTTTCCCTGTAGGATATGAGACACACACGCACGCACAAGGGTGGGGAATGGTCATGAGCGTTGGTCGATTGATTGATTTGTACATGACAGAGGCAATGCAAAAGGCCAGAGAAAAGACTTTATGACTACCATTCAAAATTTGGGGATGTGTATTATTCTTCATGACTATAATGAATAGACAGGCAGGCAAGCAAGCCAGGTATTATTATTAATGGGCATTGGGTGCACATACAGCTCTCTTGTTTGTGTGTTTGGAAATCTTATTACTTCTATTTCATGGGGTATATATAAGGTAGTAAGTAAGCAAAATAGTATTCGTACCTAATCAGGTAGGCAGGTATGTGTCCAAGCTTCTTACTGTATGGTCATTGCCACCCACTTATGGTTCTAACTAGATATCCAAGTTCCGAGTAACCTGGATGTGGACAGACGGGGTACCTACTTACCTCCCTACATCTGGACGGGTACATAGATTCCAAGTACGTAGCCAAGGTAGGATAGGTAACGTGACAAGTAAAAAAAGGGGAGATTTCTTCTCAACAGGGAGTTTGTTTAATTTATTCGGTAGTTGACTTCTTGCTTGGGGGGGTTCTGACCGCCCTCACTTTTTTTTCTTCTTGGTCTTATCGTCCACGACAATCCACCTCTTGTCCACGCCTCTCCTCCCCAGCTCCTTTTCCACCACGTCCCTCTGGTCGCCCTGCACCAGGATCTCCAACATGCCGGGCTTGCCGCCGACGTGCTGACCCACGCTGGCGCTGCCCGCGCACTTCCTCTGCAGTTCGGGGCCGAGGACGTGCGGGTTGACGCCGAACGTCTCCAGCCCGGAAATCCTGGTCGCCGTCTTGGTCCCGGATCTCTTCTCCACGACCACGCCCACCTGCGGCGGCGGGCCGGCCTTGGGCTTCAGCGCCGGGTCGGGATTCTCGGGGTCGTAACTCTGGTCGTTCCGGAGCAAGACCCAGTGCGGGAGGCAGAGGTGCGGGTCGTCGAGGATCCGTCGGAGAAGGACGTCGCGGCCGACTTCCCCGGCTGCGAGGGTCCGCGTGTCGCTGGCGGCCGACGAGTTCGAAGAAGCGAGGATGTTGTTGGCGATAAACGGGTCCAGCTTGACGAAGCGCGGCGACGACGTGCCCTTCGTCAGCTCCGGGTTGTTTTCGATGTACCTTTTCAAAAACGCCGACACCTGCGAAGCCGTGTAGAAGGTGGTCTTCGACGGGATCAGGTCAGGCACGAGTTTGCTGGACGCTCGGTAGACTGTCTGTATGCTGAGTTTCTGGCCGACAGACGGATCTCCGCCGCCGCCGGTCGTCGCCGCGGGTTGGCCTCCGTCGTTCGCCGAGCCGCTCGGGTGTTGCGGCTGCTTTGGCTTGGGCAATCTGTAAGGTGTGAAGTTGGCTACCCTGCGATCTTCAAAGTCGATATCTAGGATGACCGTCTCGCCTCCGTTGCGGTCCTTGGATTTGACCAGAACGGATTTGTCCAGGTACTTGATGAATTTCTTGGTGTTCTTCCACGACGTCTTCTTGATCGTGTAGTGCTGGTTTTGGATCCGCAAATGAGGCTGCACCATGTTTGCTATCAGGAACGAAGGCTGGATGGGGAAGTCGATGCCGTAATGTGGGGGCTCGCCGTTCTTCTTCGCTTCGTGCACGGCATAGAGAAAGGCGTTGAGGAAGGCATCGTCGACTTCGGCCGTTGTTGGCTCTCGCTCGGGCTCGGCGGCTTCCTCCTCATCCTCGATCGATCCACTCCCATTAACGACTACAGCCTTGCCGTTCTGTGTTTCTGTTGCCGGTTCAAGGGCGACGCCGCCCTCCTCTTGAGCGTCCCCATCTTCGTCCAGGTCGAGATCCGCCAGTCTTTCTGCGGCACCCTTGAACTCCAATTCCCAGTCTTCAATCCTTTCGGGCGCAGGCCGACCGCCACTACCTGTGGAACTCCAGTTCCAGATCTCGTCGCCGTCCCAATGCACTCCTTCGACCGCTGCACCCTTCGTGCCCTGTACCCTACCCAAACTGGAGATGTCAATCTTGCACGTCCCTACCCACACCGGCACAGTAGGTCTTTCCAGTCCAGCGACAGCAACGACGGCACCTTGTTTGGCAGCCTCTGGCCACGGCGGCCCACCGACAAGACCTGGGGTCATAAGATCTGCGCCGGTTCGAAGTTTCTCGATCACAAAGTCCGGAGTATGGAGTAACGGCACCAAGCCTGGATTATGCCACAGGGTGTACACGGTAGGATATAGTTTCGCATCTTTCCCATACTGTATCCACAATATTCGTTCTTCTTGTCCGGGACGCGCGCCTACGTAGACTGTGCCAGACACCAGAGTGGCGGTCGCTCCGGCATGTGTCGAAAATCGAGCAGACAGGCATGTTTCCGGGACCAACGACGTTCGAGTAGAGGTGAGAGCAGGAGTCGGGTTGTTCGAAGAGGCAACGGCCTGGACTTCTTCAGTCGAGGCTGTTGGATCGATCTCTTGAAGGGTGGGTATGTGGACCTTGTAGTCTGAGATGATCTGGTCTGCTAGTTTTCGACGGTCGGAAGATCGGAGAGGGGAGAGGTTTTTGATCTGTGGCTTCTTCTTGAACATCTTCTGCTAGAGACGTGGGTGGAGGGGCGGTTGGGTAGGTGGAGGGGAAATGACTGGAAGGCGAAGTTGCTTGGTTCTGGACAGCCGGAATAGAATAATTTCCGGCAAATGCTTGCAATAGATGATGAGATATGCCGCTAAACAGAAGAAGAGATGAGAACAGTGGTGAGTAATAAGAGAAAGTACCGTGTCGTGGACAACGAATTGAAGAAGCGTGAATCGATGAATTCAATTACTCAAATCGTCTGCGGTATGTAGTTGCATATGTCGTAACTACGTCATTTTGTGTACATTTTGCTCCATGTCACACCATTGCCGCCTCACACATCTCCTTCGCGAGCAATGTACAACCGTGTGCATTTATTTCCAGTTATACTCCTCCTGACCAGTACTTTCAGTTCGATGGCATTTGGAGCTTTGCGATCCTGGATCGGGTCGAGTCGAGTGCTTTTTCACGCATAAATTCCCCTGCGCTCCCGCTGTGCTTCCTGCCACCAGTTGTCGGCATTGGGAGGGATGCCCGGCAGCGGTATAGGTTCTCTCAACCGTCGTTTCTGCTCTTGATCGATCCCTTCTTGCTTGTTTCTCGGCGCCATCGCTTCATCCACGTCCAGTTGCTCGAATCCGGTGAGGGAGCCCATCAATTTTGGCGGGCCCAGCGGGAGCTCGTGGCCCTTGTCCACTTCCCAGAAATGGTAGAGTTTGCCATACAAGCCGACGACCTGCTCCATGGCCTCCGTCTCCAGCTCGTCCCAAGCATCCTTGCGGTGCCGGTGTGAGTCTGGGTACGGAAGTACAAGCATGCCTGACTTGACCTCGAATTCGTGAGAGTGCCCTGTGACGGTTCGTTGTCCCAGTCAGAGAGAGAGAGAGCGTCATCTCAAAATTTCAGCACGCGACAGTCGGCTTGGACTGGAACCAAAAACAAACGACCATGTTTTTGGGGGGAGGGAGAAAGGGGGGGGGGGTGAGTTTCCTCTCAGCAACACACTTACAATACTTTTGCTCCTCGGGGTCGAGCTGTTCGTACTTCTCCTTTGGAATCATGTATTCGACGCCAATCAGGCGTGCGTCTGGCTTGCACGAATCGTATATCAAGCACTGACGGAGATCTGGAAGGAAAGCAGTCAATGCTGTCAGCCCACCTGTCCATCACTTGCCCGGCAGGCGTCTTGGATTTTGTCTCACCTTTCCTGACGTGGGAGCAGAAATGATGGGCGCTGACCGTTCTGACCTCCCCACGTCTGGCCTCGTCCGTGTAGATGTGTAGAGCGTGAAGGTACTCGCAGATGTTGTGCAGCGGCTTCATTTCAGGCTGCTGCGCCGGTCCGACGTGTGTTTGAATTCCAAGGTACAGAAGCCACGACTTCAACCACGCCGTCGGGCTGAACTTGAGCAGTCTCGCCGCCACGGTCGATATGCCCGGGCCGACTACTTGATGTCGATTCATTTTTCTTGTTCACCTCGACGATCTAGGTTGGAGTTGAGGTGATTGCAGGTGAGAGACGACGACGAACAGCGTCTGTCTATTGAAGATTGGAAAAATTCAACAGACGGACGCGCGGTCACCGTCAATGTTCATATGGAACGGATCCTGGGAATAAGAAAGCCCGTGATGTCATGTTGAGAGTCGGCGCGACCTAGTGACGAAGAGGAGCAATGGAGAGACCGCCATCTCTTCGCTCACTCTCACTCTACGTATGATATACAGCCAGAGCAAAGACAAGCTACATGTAACACGGACTATCTAGGCCGAATTACATGGGCGCCGTAGGAAGGTCTCCAGACTTGGTCGTCCGTTGCTATGGTTGATACAAACGAGATTGCTCTCAAGATGGGCCGAGCTCTGCCTCCGGATATGGCTGCCGATGAAACCGCAAGGCTGCGTGTTTCCACATCGAGCCAAGTATCCGTATTTACGAGTACTTGAAAAGGGTCGGCGCAAGGCTGAACGGGACGATGGGGGTCGCTGGCTGCATTCATCCCTACCTTCCTACCCACCTACCTACCTACCTACCTACCTACCTACCTACCTACCTCTGTGGGTAGCTAGATGATCAAAAACCTATTCGAGTGAGGGGTATCGAACTCCTGGATGTGCTGGACTGAACGGAGCTGCCAGCTGTGACTTTTATGCCATGAGGATGGCCTGCCTCTACACAAAAGGGCCATAGATTCTGAATCCCCACGGCTCGAGCGACGAGGTGCGACTGTCCTCGCTCACTTCGTCACTCACTCACTCACCTCACACACCATCGTCTCGTTTGACACAGACCCGTTCCCTCTCTACATAGTCTACTGTATAGTCCTATTGTATCTCTACAGCCTCCACTCTACCAGAAACCGATATGGCCCCGTTCGGGGATCCTTTCGAGGTTTCCTGCACGAAAAGATCCACGCATACCGATCACGCCGAAAATTCCCAGCTTCGCAGATGTACATTTTGTTTCTCTCATATCTTTGCGCTTCTCCTTGCCTTGACGTAGTTCGGCACTCTCTCCGGTAGCACCTTGATCATCTGCTCCAGCCATTTCCTCGTCGTGGCCGGATCAATCACGCTGTCTATCTCGGACGCCATGGCCATGTTGACGGCCTTTCCTTCGTCGTACATGAAATCGATCATGTCCTGCTCCTTTTGCTTCCTCTTTTCGACGTCGGTGATGGCTTCCAGTTCCTTCCTGTACGCGAGCCTCACGGCGCCTTCGATCCCCATGCCCCCAAAGACGGCGCTGGGCCACGCCACGCACATGCTGTTGTTCAGGCTTCCACCGCCGAGCATCGCCTGCGCGCCCAGTCCGAAACCGTTTCGCAAGACGACCCCCAGGACGCGCCCGCCCGAGAGGACAAATTCCTGCGAGTTGCCGAACCAGTCACCGAAGCAGCGATACGTGCTCCCGGCGCCCTGGGCCTCGGTCGAGCGCTCGAAGTCCGGGCCGACCATGAACCCAGGGGTGTCGCAGAGGCTGAGGATATGCATGCCGCCGAGCCGGATGAGGAGCCTGAACAGGCGGTTGACTTTCGCCCCGGATGCGACGTCGATGGCGCCGCCCAGCGGGGACGAAGAGTTGGAGGCGATGACTGCGACTGCGCGGCCGTCGATGCGGCCAAAGCCCGTGAGCACAGAGAGACCCCACTCGGGACAGAACTCAATGAAGCTGTCATCGTCCAGAAGGAGGTTGATGACGCGACGGACATTGTAGGCCCGGCGACGAGATGACAGTGGCGGCACCGCCGTGCGCAGGCGAAGAGGGTCCGAAGTGTAGGGACTCTCTGCTGGTGACAGCTGCGGATGGGTGAAAAGAGCCACGATCTTGCGGACCATCGGTGCGGCTTCGACCTCGGTGTCTACGAGTACATCGATGCCACCGGAGCGCATGTGGACGTCGACCGGGCCGATATGTTCGTGCTCGAATCGCCCTAGGCCGCCGCCCTCGATCATTGCTTGACCACCCATGCCGATTGTGGTGGTCTTCCTCGACGGCGCATCCTTGGAACCACCCCGTGTACCGATGATGATGTCGCACGTTCCCAAGAGTGCCGCGTTGCCTGCAAAGCAGTACCCGTTTACTACTGCGACCGAAGGTATGCCCCTGGCCTTGATCTGCCCCATGAGAGCGAACGATGGTGTCTTGAGGCCGGCCGTGCCCAGGTGATCAGTGTCGCCTGGTCTTCCACCGCCTCCTTCGGCGTACATCACCACGGGCGCAGGATGGTCAATGATCGACTGGAAGATGCGGTCCAACTTTTGATGATGGAAGTGGCCTTGCGTGCCCGCCAGCACGAGGTAGTCGCCAATGACAACCGCGACGGGATGAGAGTCCATCTTCGCCCAGCCCACGATGATACCGTCTCCGCTTGTTCGGGCGATGAGATGGGCCATCGGGTACCTTTTCCTCTGTGCCGCAACCACGAGGTCTCCGTATTCAATGAATGAATCCTTGTCTACGAGCAGGTCGAGGTTTTCTCGGCCTGTGAGGTATCCGTTTGCATGGCGTTTGGCCACGTCCTCGTCGCGGCCAGCATATTGCAGGAAGGCCTTGCGTTCGTTCAGTTCCGTCAGCTCCGGTCGTAGCTCTTCCGGGTTTTCAGCTTCGGCCGGGTCTTGTGCTCTGCCAGATGAAGTATCACCGTCCGAGATGGTGAAGAGAAGAGCATCGCCGGCATTTACTTGCTGTCCTGGCGTCACCGCCACCTTCGCCACAGTGCCGTTGGAGTCGCTCCGGACCGAGTGTTCCATCTTCATCGCTGCAAGAATGGCCAATTCTTGGCCAGCGGTGATCTTGTCGCCTTCATTCACTTTAATTGAAAGAACAACACCCGTGAGATGTGCGAGCAGCTCTTCGGAGCCAGGCGGTCGCTCCACTTTAGCCGCATCCCCAGTTGGTGAGGCTGACTCCTCCAAAGTTCGGCCAGCTTTGGCCTGCAGCGTGTCTTCGAACTTCTGCGTGGAGCTGTACAGCGCCTCAAAGTTCTCCTGGATGGTCAAAATGTTGCTCTTGCCGTCTTGCACGGCCGGGAGATCTAGCAAAGCCATCAGGAACGCCTGATTCGTCCTGCATCCTACAATCCTTGTCTCGTCAATGGCCCAACGAGCTAGCCGCAGCGCCGACTCATATGACGACGAGGTGACAATGAGTTTTGCCAAAAGGCTGTCAAACAAAGGGCTCACAGCATGCTGCCGGGATCCGTCAAGCGCTGTTTCGACTCGCACGCCTGCTCCCGTGGGAAAATAGCCTTGCCGAATAGTCCCCGCCTCAGGCTGCGTGGTACCATCTTGCCTGAAGCTTTCGGCGTTAATGCGGAGCTGTATGGACGTAAGTCGAGGAGGTGGTGGCTCCCGTGTTATGGACAGGTCTGCCAGCGTTCGTCCCAAAGCAATCCGAAGCTGTAAATCCACAAGGTCTATGCCATTGATCTGTTCGGTGATGGTATGCTCGACTTGTATCCTGGGATTCGCCTCCATGAAGTAATAGTCTTCGGTTGCTGCGTCGACAAGGAACTCGATCGTGGCGAGACTGCGCAGTTTCACTGCTTGTCCTAGTTTCACCGCAGCTTCGATGATGGCTCGCCTAAGCCGCGGAGTGATGGAAGGCGAAGGGGCAATCTCGACGACCTTTTGGTTTCTGCGCTGGAGTGAACATTCTCGTTCCCAGAAATGGCAAACTTGTCCAGTGCCGTCTCCGAGAAGCTGGACCTCGACGTGTTTAGCACCGTGTAGATATCGCTCGGCAAACAAGCTCCCGTCGCCAAAGGACGCTTGTGCCTCTCGCTGGCAGGCTTCGTACGCCTCGCGAATGGTTTGCTCGTCGGTACTGTCATCCACGATTCGGATGCCGCGCCCTCCGCCGCCAGCTGCGGCCTTGAGAATGATTTTTCTGCCTGGCCCCAGGCTCTTTCCAAAGGCCAGTACCTCCGCGATGGAAGAGCCTCGGTCGCCTACTGTCTTGGTGCCAGCTAGGACCGGGACGCCTGTGGCTGCCGCCAATGACCTCGCGCTCACCTTGTTACCCAGTTGCGCCAACTGCTCGCTCGACGGGCCGATGAACACGATGCCTTCGTCCTCGCACAGTCTCACCAGCCCGGCGTCTTCGGACAAGAATCCATAGCCCGGCGCGATGCCCCAGCATCCTTCCTTCTTGGCAATGCTGACGATGTTGGCGGCATCGAGATATGCGCGGGGACCTTCTTCTGGAAGCGCCACCGACGCCGTCGCAAGACGGACGTGTGTCGCATCCTTCTCGGCCGGAGTGAACAGGGCCACGGTCTGGACGTTCGGGTAGACCGAGTATGTTCTGATGAGCCGGCACGCGATCTCCGATCGATTGGCTATCAGAATCTTGAGGGGCTGAGAGGGAGACATTCTGACGCCCAATCTGAGATACCCGGGAGCTGCTTCATCTATTGCAGAGCGGCAGCGTTCTCGTGTCACGCACAATCATGATCGATCTTTGATCTTTGCCTTTGCGCTATTCTGTGTTTCTGCAGTGTTTATGGGCGAGACATGGGGTGGAAGTGCCGCGGCCCCGAGCTCGGTTGTGTTCGGTAATGCGGGCTTAGCACACGCTTTTGTCCTCCCTGCCTCCGCACTCCAAAAGAAGTATCTACTTCCATGTACCTCGTACCTGTAGACTGCACCTTAAGTGCTTATTGAGCGCCGTCTCCAGTAGACGCTAAGCAGTGATGGGCAGGCCGAGGAGCGAGCACATCCCGGCATCCCCTGACTGTACGTAATCTACAGGGCCACCAACGGCGAGTGGAATGCCAAACACCTCGGGATATCTCGAGGTTGTCACACCGCAGACTCTGCTCAATTGAGGGCTTATCTTTAACCACCCATCAAACTAAAGATTCGTTGAGACCCGTCTTCAGTTCGAGCCTGGAGTCAGGAAATACCAGACGAGAAAGACCCGTCACGTTACTGTAAGGAAAGATCGATACCATCGCCGCGCGTTTTCAAAGGCCACAGTCTACCGTGGAAGTCAGCACCAGGATGCCACCCAGAACGCAGCTTCTGTTGGCTGAAAAGGGCATCGTGGTCGGTGTGATACACGAAACTCTGACCACTACATCGCGCAGAACTACTGCGAGGCTGGAAGGCTGGAGCTGCCGAGGTGACCATGCTTCCGCACCGGGGGACACATGTGGTTCTTCAAGCCTCCGGGCGCCGGTTCATGTTTCATGAAGGACCTGTACGACGAGCACGGGCTCACCGATGGAAGATGCGGAGGCTTACGGTCAGAGTCTGCCCATCGCTGTCCCATTCTCTCTTGACGTTGATCTTACCGACAAAATTAAAGCCGCAGAGAAGGATAAGGTTGGAAGGTCTCCGGAAGGCAGGCTTCAAGCTTTGGGTTGGCCATGACGGATCTGGTCTCTATCGGAAGGACATCACCCGAGGAGGCGGCGGCGGCGGCGGCTGTCATCTCGACACCGGGGCCTGCCAGCTCATCATCGATGGGAAGAATCAAAGTGGTCCAATCGCACGAGAACTATTCCGGGCTTTGACGAGAAAAACCTGATCCCGTGCGATCGCAGAAAATTTTCCCGCGGGCATTGTCGTGCTTGCAACGGGCTATGATGGCATGTGTACTACGACGACCGGGAAAGTTCCTGGTGACAAGATTGCCGATCGTGCAAAGGACGTGCGGGACCTAGAGGGAGAGGAGAGGTCAACACGGCAAGTTCAAATCATCACGCTCACCTGTTGTGCAACGCACTTCTACCCAAACCAAAAGCCGATCCACCGCGACAGAGACGTGGCGGCCATGTGGCCATTGTCGTCTGTGGTTTATGGTGGCAGTTTGGCGCTGTGTCGAACTTATTCTCGGTTTTGGCATTGCACATCAGAGCCGAGAGAAGATTACTTGGGCATGAGATCATAAAAGACAGGCCATCCTCTAAGAAAGAACTTTGCCACATATACGACGAGATTTCTTAGACAAGACATAAAAGCGATCTCAGCCACAAGCCATCTTCTCTCGACTGCGAACGGTACTGGCGAGAAGCAACCCCGAGGTAGTTCACCTGCGTTTGCGAGTCAGGTCTCCAGAGAATGGAGAAATGCGCGGAAATTTTCGTTAAAGGGGAGTTGAGCGCAAGACACAGCTCAAAACGATTTATGTTTCGGCCATAACAGCGGTCATGTATTGTCAGTTAGCGCGAGAGACGTTGTTGACAACAGGAGTCTGCAAATACACAGATCAGGAGACCTTGCCGTCGGATGTCATTTGCGTCCAGGTTAGGAGCCTGAACAGTTTGAATAGCTGTGTGCGACGCTGAAAATAATTGACATCTTGTTCTCGGCCCAGATGCTGGCCGAATGCAATCTGGACAACACCTGAGAACATGCCTGGCTTGTAGAAAGGGGAAAACTCAAAAGTCTGGGGAGGGGAACATATTATTTCTGAGGTCACACCAACAAGAACAAAACCCCGTAGCACAGAAAGAAATCATTACCTCCGAGGGATGGTAAATGTGTATCGGTCTCGATGAAGATCTTGTTGCAGCCGTGTTCGGAAAAGCAAGCACCCAGGTGTCAAATTGAAGGATGACATCCTGGTACCACCGCCCCCAATTTACGATCATTCTGTGCTGCAGCTCGAAGTTATGTGCATGATTGAGTCGTGATAGTCCACCCTGGCGTCCATCAACAACACATTGACGAGGGTTTGGTCCAGTCAACGATCGTGAGAGTACACCACATCACGTAGTCGTGTACATGCCTTCTTGGCTAAGTAAATGATTACAAGATGAGCCCGTCGGCAACATCCACTTTGGATCCTCGTGCTCGTAGCCACCAGGACTTTGACATGCGACAACGTATGGAGGATGTTTGGTGTGGCTCAATTCTTCTCAACTAACATCACGCCGTTGCCGTGAAATGGCGGCTTCATCTTGAACGTGATTGACATCTCAAAGAGCTGCTCAAGGGCTCTCGTCCAATCGCGCCGGTTTGCGTAACCAAGCTTGCATGAAAACAGAACACAACCTCATTCCAGAATTTGGTGGGTGTTCCAGAAGGGTGTTCGTCGTAATTGATTCGTCCAAGCACTTTGCGCGCTATCGAGTCCACTGGAGATGTTCTGGACCAGTCGATCTAGTCGCCAATGGACGAACCGGATTCTGCGTTCAAGTTCTCGTACAACAATGGTCGAAAGAGCTGTGCAACGGAGCATGAGGGTGGGTAGACAGCCCAAATCATTGCTAACCTTGCTGACAGCACGGAGTACAGAAGGGGTCATGCTGCTGCTGGACACCTGATCTCAACATTCCCAAGAACCAGTCGGGACTGTGGCTGTCGTACTGCTTGCTATCCGCACTGTACGGAGTAAGTTACAGTGGCCCCATGTGTACGTTTCTGGGTGTGGTCGACGGTTGAATTGTCGTGGCATGATAACCGGCTTCCACCCCGTACAGAGCCGAGAGGACCATGATAACGCGAGTCACCTGGGTGATTGCATTCAAGGCGTACCCTTGGACGCTTAGGCTACATGGGTTGCCACATGATACATCTATCGAATGTGGCAGAGCAGTTAGCATTCAGCAATCTTTTTCGACCCTGTTGTTGTTGTGAGTATCCGCACTCTGAAAGCTACCTGTAGCTATCCAGGTCAGGGGGGTCATGAAGATGGCCAGTACAGCCCATGGTTGTGCAACGCGCCCGAACCAATCCAACCAGAGCGGCTTGGCGGGTTCATCCAAGGACATTCGAAAGGAGATCCTATGGTGGAACCTTTCATGCAACCAGAGGTGTAAGCGAGGTTGGGATAACATGTCAAATGAAGTGAGTCGTGACTGATTCATTTCCGGATTTCAGAAAGGCTTAACTGAAGTTTGCGGTACGGAGGTGCATTGAAGGATAGAAACAACAATGCCATCGCTCGACAACCTCACCTCGTACTCGTACAGGACTTCGACATCCTCATGCCGCAACTTCAGACGTAGGGATCTGCCGGTTGGATCAGAGAGCATGACCACTAATTAGCGGAGAATAGGCTTTGCAATCCTATCATCGGTCGGTGATGAGCGCCGGATCTTCCTGCGGCTCGCTGGGCTGTTCTTGATAGCCCTTCCCATTAGAGTGCTGTCAAACAGGGGTGATCCTTGAATCTGCGAGAGCTGTGCAGCAACTGAGACGCACTTGGGGTATTTGGTCGCGAGGCTAGCAAAGGGACCCGCGGCCGTGCCCGGCATCCCCGTCTGGAAAACGTTGATCTTTTGCCCACTACGCGAGTCATGTCAGAGGCTTGCCTGCTTTCTTCAAAAGTTAAAACTGGTGTTCGGTTCCCGAGACCACCAGCAGGACAAAGCGTCGACATGGTGTCCCAAACCTGGCACCCTCTGGCCCTTGCGGCACCACGCACTAAGCCCGGGCCTTCGCCTATCGATCTTAGGCCATCCACTGGACTTTTGGGGCCACTCATTTCGTCTTTCGAGCCTCCTAGCTTGAGCTTTGATGCCTCCCACTGCCATGTCTTTGGGTCGACCGTCTGTTTGATGAACCGTCAACCACGTTTGAAAGACGGGCCAGTCCTTCAACACTTGCCTTTTGCGTCTTATCCGCCACTGCCTGTGGACGAATCGACGCTAGATACTGTTCTCGACCGCTCGTCTCCAGCCTGAATATGTATTGTGGCAAAGACGTTCGGCTCTGTGCAGAGTTTGGGTAGCAGAGTGCAGAGGCTGTGCCAGAGCAGCATCGAATCCAAGCGACGGGCAGTCCAAGTGGTACGTGTGTAACGAAGCGAGGAGTAATTTGGGCCTGTCTTTTAAACCATGTCAGCATACATACTCCTTGTTCGTCTACGTGCTTAGCCTTCCTGATGGTGTTGCCGAGTCCCGTCCAGTAGCCTCTTTAAAATGGTTTCCTGACGAAAATCTCGGTGCGCCGGAGAACATGCTTTGAGCTTCCTTGTGGTCTCTCCAAGAATACAATGTATTGCAGAACGGACCGTGGCATGACGAATCCCTCACTGGTTCACAATTGGGCAGCCGTCCGTTTTCTGGGGTCCATGCTCATCAAGCCCAGGATGTACGGTACATACAGTACGGTAGAGAAGTGACAACGACCAGGCGAATTAGCTTTGGAACCGACAGGGTGATTCTGAACGACAGTAGTTAGACTTGCATTAGTGGCCTCGAAAGAATTGCTGCCCGAGGTCGTGGGCCAGGTTGCCTGTGCGCAGGACTATTGTACATTATGGGCGGAATGGCGCACCAGGCGTTGCTGAGGTGCGGGACAGTTGAGAATTGAGACTTTTGCCGTGGCCACTGCGTGAGAGGGACGGGCGGCATGAATTTCCGCGCTGGGGCAGCGCAGATGGAAGCGAGTACGGGCTCTGCACAGGCGCAGTACGGGCGTCCGGGGGGCGTTGATGCACCCGGCACCAATGACTCGTGCAGGCCTAAAGAACATGAGCAACGCCTAAACCAGGAAGAGCTAGGCGTGGTGAACCTTGACGAGCCCCTGGGTGCAGGGAGGGATTATTAGGATTTTTGTACGGAGTATTACTGCACCAGTGGCCTCCGTGCCCTCCACATTCTGGTGCTACGACGCCTTTGCCGAGTACCTAGTATGGTACAGCGTGTGAAACGAGGCCTCTGTAGGGGTTGAGGGCCGTTAGTGCACCCGACCACAGCGGCGCCGTCGACTGTCAAATTGACGCTGAGCCGCCCATCCCGTACCACGCTTTGTCGCCTCTTGGCCAAGGGCACCTGCTAGTGCCCATCCGATGCTGGAGCCGTCGTGGCACCGCGGCTTCTGCTGGCTTCTGGCCAAACCTGAAAACTGAAAAGCGTGGTCCGCCGGTGGGTTTGGGGAGGCCAGCCTAATAAACATGGTGCAGAGCAAAGACCTGGCGACTCGCGAGCCTGGTGGCCCAGCCCATTCTACTCCACAGGAGGGAGGTACCGAATGTACTGTAACTCGTCTCTTTCTCGTATTCTTGTGCTCCGTACGCTTCGGCCATTATTATCTGGAAGTGTGGGTTGCGGCCTCGACCACCCCATCCGTCCATCCACCTTCTCCTCTTCCTTTCACCACCGCTGCACCATACACCTTGACAACATTCTCCTTCATCCCCTTCACTCAACATCGACTGTACGGCTCTCCCTCGGGGACAGGTCCAAGACGTACTCTCTCTCCTCTTGACAGTGTCCACGTCTGGGTTGCTCTCGAGGTGACATAGGCGGACTTTGGGCGTCGGGGATTTCCAGCTGCATATCTCACAAGCATCGTACGGTTCTACCAGTCTGCGACAGAGCCGTGCCCCAACAACTTGGCCCTCCGATACTTCCTTCGAGTTTACCTTTCCGACAAACGTCTTGTTGAGTTCGCCTCCTCACCACCAACGCTTCCGCTGCGATTGACCCGCCAGTGGCCCCGATAGGAAAAACAATCCCGGGTCTCGTCGACGACCAAGGCAAGGTGGATTTGCAGGGAATAGTCGGTCGAGAAACTGCGTGATACTCAAGCATCTCAGGGCAGCAAGAGAAAAATACAGTGGTTCGGACTGGGTTCTGCTGGTTAAACTTTTGACCTTCTGTGGTTGCGCCATTCAGAGCGAAGACGCGATATTTTGACACTTGATTTGGAATAAAGAAGTGCGTAGGGAGACGCAGAAATAGACTGGCGCTCGTGAGGTTGAGGATCATCAGTCTGTCTTGTCGCAACCAGCTGTAGGCAGACAGTGTGGTGGAAGCTTGACACAAGGTTAGTACGCTCCTTTTGCATGGAACTTTGAATCCCGGCCCACGGCTCTTGCTTCAAAATGGTCTTGAGTTACCAATGAACAAGGAGGTTATCATGGTCTGCGTTCATACCAGGAGCCACCTTTCTCTGAAAATCTCTTTGGTCCCTGTTCAATCAATACCTGATTCTGCCTTGTTACTCTTTATGTTATAGCATATGACCGCCCTCCCAACTTCTTCGTCTTCGTTTTGCAGAAACACTCCTCCGCCATGGACCCTCTTCCATCATTGCATGAGCTGACCAACATGGCCAGATCGGACCGTCCGACGTCGTCGTCCTCGCAAGACCAGAGAGCGAGGCACGTTCTTCCCAGCCTGAGGGACGCTGTAGGCCAAGCCCTGCACGCACAACGACCACCTTTAAACCCTCAGATCGATCCACAGTCTCGAATTGCTGAGTTCTTTGTTCCTGGCATTTCGACCATCTACCTTGACGACCTTCCGATACGGACATATACCATCGGCGGCCTCCGATACAACATGGCTCAACCAAGAAACGAGACCAAAAGCGACTTCGCGCAAGACTGTCGATGGAAGGACAATTACCTACTCCCTAGAGGTGGCTCAGCAGCCAGAGAAAGCCAGAGCCTGCGGCTCAGGTGTAAAATGTGAGTATCGAGCCTTGTTGCACATGTTGGACCGTCCTTGCTGATCCTTAATTGCAGCAACACAAGATCGCCGCCCTGTCGACCCTCCACCCGTCATTCAACTGAGAGTGTTCAACGGAAAGGTAGACATCACGTCTATTTATGATGCTACGTTTATGCTTTACGCCAGCCTGGAAGTCGCTCGACCTATTGCAGCTGGCAAGATGCACACCCCTCCGTCTATCCCTGTTCTTTCCGGCGTCGCGGTTGCCAGCGCCGCCTACCTAGAAAAGCCGACACCGGCTGCCTACTTTATCTTTCCTGACTTGTCCGTCCGACATGAAGGTTGGTATCGGCTGAAGTTCTCTCTGTTCGAGGGTATCAAGCACCAGTGTGATGCCGATGTCGAGAACCCATTCATTCGGACATCTCAAGGAAGTGAAGACGGAGGAAGCGCCCCTGTTCGTCACGAATGCATGGCCAATAGACTGGAGGTACAAACTGTTCCTTTCCAGGTCTATAGTGCCAAGAAGTTCCCCGGCCTGAGCAGCAGCACCGCACTGAGTAAGACTGTCTCTGAGCAGGGCTGTAGGGTCCGTATCCGACGCGATATCAGACAGCGGAAGCGGCCGCAGAAACCCGAACCAGAACTTGATGACAGTCGCAGTTCCTACCACGGAACGCCCCAGATCGCTTTCCGCAATATGGAGCATTCACGGTCAGTTAGCCGCAACAGCTTCGGCAGTCAACACGAGGCGGAGGACGCACGACGAGCTTCCGTGGATAGCATGTACAGCCGCGGCCCGATGTCCAGTCGTCATTCCTCCATTGTCAGTATACCCATGGCAAGCCCTTCTTTGCCAAGCCTTGCGCCAACAATGTCGATGCCACCCCCTCCGCCTTCATTCAACCAGTATAGTCCCTCGCGCACTGTACCAGACACTACCGCGCCGGCGCCATCACAGATTCCCTCGTTAGCTCCCAGGTTGCCTCAACCAACAAGTTCGCCTGACAGTCATACCTTGCCTTCGATAAGAACGGAATTGCTCTCGAACAAGGACGAGTCGTTAACACTTCCTCCCTTGAGGATGGATGGTGTCAATGGAAAGTCATTCCGCCAATGGCCAAATGTACCTCCAGCCGCATCAACCAAACGCTCCCGTAGTACGTACGACTACGCGTCGAGTAACACCATAAAGAGTGGTGCGCGACCTGACCCAGTCTCAGCCAATATGTATGCCACCCCGCTACCCAGTGCAAACGATATAATCGAAGCGGATCCTGATATGGATGGTACCGAACAAGACGAGTATGAAGGTCCTCTTAACGACGACATGGCACGATTCGAACGTGCGGACGGTAGCATGGCTATGGTGACACGTCCTCGTTTCTTTCTCAACCCCGCCACACCCAGCAGAGGGGGGCTAGCAGGGCGGAGTACATGAAGAGCTGTACGCTGTGTTTTCTCTCTTACTGTTGTATTTTGCGGGACTCGGGGCAATTGGGCGTGAAGGAACTTTGGGTATTACAGAACCCGTATGACACAATACTACACAAACAAAATGCCATGTTTTATGGCAGGGGTGTGAACCTCTAGACATACTAACGGGGGTACCTTTTTTCAACCCTTTCGAGGGCTTGTCGTTTACTTCTTTGCATCCCGGGTGAGCATCGGTCGCACCTAGATACCAGATGGAATTATGTACAGAAATGTTTTTCACCGTCTTGTAGCTCAGAATGACCACAACCTTGATGAAAAGTGAAAACAGCACGTTGTCCATCGATGCTGAGACTGACTCGTTGCTGGCGGCGTCCGTCTGGGACGTCGTCAAAGAGACTCTGGTGGCCTTGACCCACGACCAACGCATTGAGTTTTCTGGGATCCACTTCCACATTCTCTCATCTTGACGTTCACCATGTACTCGGCCTTGTCGCCCCTTCCTCGCACTATGTTCCTCTCGTACCACGCATGGTACTGCAATTCGGGCCACGGGGTCACCTTGTCCAGCGTCGTGGGTGTCACTGTGAATTCGGCCACGTGTCCGTCCTCCTCGAGCTTGATGGTGGCCCGCGAGAGATCTGGGTAGAAGCGCGTGGCGCTGAGAGGTGGGTAGAAGGTGGATTTGATTTGAGCAGAGAACTCGGGGCTGATCACTTCTTCTTGTTCTCCTGATGATGATGATGATGATGGTGGTGGTGGTGGTGGTGGTGGTGGTGGTGCCCTACTCGCTTCAGCTTCCGGTTCTGCTTTTCCATCTGGTACGCTCATTGGCTCTGGCCCTGACTCTGGCTCTGAGGCCGAGTCTGACTGTGGAGCACCTGTCAGTTCTGCTTTTCCTGTACATTCTTCTGGAATCGCATGGGCCACTCGCTGACAGAACTGTCGGATTGAGGAGCACTCGGCAGCGTTGAGTTGGAAGCTATGCGTGGTGTGTTCTGTCTCTCCAGTGCCGTTGGCAGGGATTATCTGGAACGTCACACCTAGCTCGACTAGTCGCGGATCTCGAGCGCGAGGCCTTTGTGGAGGATAGTGATGTGTGGGCGTGGATGGTGGCGTTGACGGTACAGCCAAGGTCAAGTGGTCCTCCTCCTCCTCCTCCTCCTCCTCCTCCTCCTCCTCGTCGTCGTCGTCGTCGTCGTCAGCATCGTCCGTCTCGTTACTCTTGTCGTTCTCCCATTTCGGTGCCAGGCCGTTCTGAAGACAAAATTCTCTGAGTGTTGATACCTCGTGGACCAACATATCATTCTTCTTCTGGAGCTTGACATTCTCTTCCTGGAGGTCTGCGTATGCTTTCCGGAGAGTCTCGAGCCTGGATTCGAGACCATGCTGAGCCGGTGGCTCTGAGGAAGACATCGTTCTCGTTGGCCCAGAATTGGAAGAGGAGGGGTTTGCTATCGAGGGAAAGCAGACAGATCTTGGGCTGGACAATGCATGAGGGGACAACGACAGAGAAACACATGACATTAACCCTAGCCACGAAATAAATAAAAACCCTCTCTTCAAGTCAGGTATTGTCTATTCAGCGCGGCTGGGTGGCAGGGATGGGTAGTGAATTGAATTGCCTGCGTCCCTCCATATAGATGCCAATCACTTAGGAAAACCATAAAGGCAGAGCTTTTTGGTGAGAAGCTGACCTGCGTAAAGATCTGGAGTGAATACCAGGATCTCCAGTGATGAAGGCAGTGATGATACCTACCTGGCACATACGAAGGTGCTTACGCAGAGTTGATCAAGTCAGGGCACGACTTGTACTTACACAGACAGCCAGAGCACCCACATACCAGAATGAAGTGTATGTTGTTGAAGCTGGGAGCGTCGCAGTCGTGCATATCGTACTGCTGTCCATCGACTCTGTTAGGAGGAGGACAGGGGGCCATTTACCTGGTCAATATGCATCAGATGTCAAATTTGTTGTGAGTATTGCTTAGACGACTTCAAAGCTTTGTTCAGAGGCAATTGGTTCTTTAGGATTACACTGTTCTGAGCCAGAATCCTTGTCCTAATCTCGTGGACCTGTTCTTCAAGCGCACAGCGCGACAATGGGCGCGGGGTCTTCCTGAGGCGACGAACCTGTCAGCACAGAGCACGCATACCTCCTTTCGAGGTGCCTGTAGAGCACCGTCCTGACTGGGCTATAGTGACGCACTTGTAACGCATCTTCGAAATGATATAAGAATTGAGGCGTCGTTCAGAACATGAGTGACGAGTTTTGCACATGTTAAGAACTGACCGACATGTTCAGAGATGCTGCGGGCTTGCTTATGTCAGCCTGGACGTCGGAAGAGTATTTCCGCTCATGTGACCTTCACGTGAGCCCGATGCCTCTTCCGACATAGCTCAACTACCCATTCTTCTACAGATACTCCAAAATGTAACTTAACTAGTAGCTAACTTTCGACCTACTGCGCGCGTTGTGAATATTGGTACTGAGCTTTGACATCCGGAGCTAAGGATGGCGACTGAGCCAGCTTTTCATTACAAGTCATTCATGTCATTCCAACCGGGGCGAATACGCGTCGCTCTTAATATTGTTGAATTTGCCAGCCGGGAAGAAAAAGAACGAAGAAACTGACGGCCAATGGGCATGATGAGGACTTTATTTCCGCCTTCTCTCTCCCCCAAATCTTCAATCCTGCCATTTCCTTTCGAACGCTGGAAATTTCATCCACGGGCCCAGAGCGTTCGGGAACTCAGTCGGAAATTCTGACGTACCTGCGATCTCGATGTCAGAATGTCCCAGACCGTGGGTGCCCTGGCGCCAGGACGTAGCACTGCCCAGCGCACACAGGACGCTCCCCTGACAGATATGGCACAATGCAGAACATCCCATGTATTAGAGAAATCTTGGTCTTGCCTCGCATATTTGTTTCGCGACTTTTGCTCGGGTTTCGTATGGCATCAAAGAACTGTCCTGACACGTTCGTCCTCATTAAATGATGCAGCCGCCCACGCGCGATTTCAAGCACACGGTGGCATCACGGATACAAGGACCGTCTGGCCAGCAATCGTCGCGAGAAATCGCTGGACGCATAGCACCACGCCAGATACTCCCCAGGCCTCAAGGGTCTTCCAGCCCTTCTACTTCCCGGGCCATTTCCAGCGACACGTCTAATCGTCGGTACCGCACCAACGTTACCGTCGCTTGTGACCAATGCAAAGTTAAGAGGGTAAACTTGAACGATACATTTCGCAGCACCAGCCCACGAAAAGGGCCGCTTGGCTAATTTCTCTCCTTCAGGTCAAGTGTAGTGGAAAGAACCCCTGTTCGCGGTGTTCGATAAAGTCGCTTCATTGTAGCTACGACCAGGGCATCGATGGCCGCAGAGGTCGCACCTCGTCGAGCGAAGTCCAAGCCTTGTCCGAGAGGGCTGAGCAATACCAGCGCGTTTTTGACCTACTTCGAACCAGCTCGCCCACTGTTGCCTGTAACATCCTGCGCCAGATACGATCGCAAAAGGTCGAGGACGGGGACTGTGCAGGTGCAGATGGCGCAAACGACAGCGGACTAGCAAACGTCTTGCGTTACGCTGAAACCCTGGCATCGCCCTCTCCGAGTCCGAGTCCACGTCTCAATGGCGACATGCCTTCACCGTTGGCACAGGCTTGGAGGGAGGCCATCGTCGCGTCGGCGTCGTCGTCGTCAGTGCCGTCCGACAACACCTCGACGGCGGCCGCATCTGAGGGCGGTTCGCAACCACCCCCAAGTCTGGCAGCCCCACCAGCATGGCCTGGGAACGCTGTGTTCGACCCTCAATTTGCCACGATATCGGTACGGCATCCATATATTCTCTATCTCTCTCTCTCTGCGTGCCTGATTGTCAAGGCACAAAACTATTGGGCTGACCATCAAAGTGGACCGAGTTGTTAGAAAGCCAGTACTGACAATGACTTCTGGGGCTATAGGACGAATTTAGTCTGTTCGGGTTTGATCCCGTGCAGATGGAGCGAACTCTGGCGTGAGTGAACCCGAAAAGGCCCTCTCCCGGGTGTCATTTTACAGAAGCGTCACTCAAAGTGGTCGGGTAAATTTATGTTCTTTCTGAAACTGATATTCTCCCGTTGTCAGACCTGATAATGAGCACTATCAAACGAACACAAACACAAACGCCATGGACGGCGTAACCAACCCCGTATCGAACACGTCATTTGCGGCGCGGCCGGCGGCGGCGGCTTCAAGTACGTATACCAAACCTGTGTCTGCTACTGCTGCTATTGCTGCTCCTGCTGCTCCTCCTCCGCCAACCTGGCACCCCAACACCACGACCGATTTCGAACAGGCTCACGCATGGCTGAGGCAGGACATTGACCAAATCGATCGCTACCTCGACTCGAATTTTAGACGGATGAAACATGATCATAATGTGTCACGATAAGGGAATTGATGAATATTTCTAGATTTTTGGTTCTTCGATTGTTTGTTTGGTTGGTTGGTTGTCAGTCCTTCGACACAACTATCCAAATTTTTTTTGAGAATGTAGTACGGAAAACTCTACGGCGCAAGCACCTGGGGATTTCGTCGAGACGTTACGACGAGGAGGAGCGTCTGAGCTTGCTATTGTTACGACGGACGGACGGCCGGCCATGTTGGAGATGGATGGACGGGTAACGAAACTCACGACAGGACAGCATATGGGACGAGGAGCGATTCCATTGGAAGGATTGCATTGTCGTTGTGAGACGGGCATTCATACCTCTTTGTCATGAGTATGATTGTGAGTGTGATCACGAGGACAACACGAGAATGAGTTGGTGTGAATTAGTTTTGTTGCCCTCTTGCCTCGTTTCTTGTTCTCGTGGTTGGTTGGTTGTAGGTGTAGGTGTATGTGTAGGTGTAGTTCGTGTAGTAATAAAAGTATGACTTCATTCGTTCCAGACAGTGGAGAATCATCCGGGATGAATATCGACTCGCACTCGAATATTTTTACATACATACCCTAGTTACATACCGCCTGACCTTACCTGCGACAGCCGGCTGCCCGCCTACCCACCTGAAGCTACGACGAAGGTGTCCGGGGAGAGATCCCGGAGAAAATCTCCTGGCGCTCTGCTTGCTGCGCCCACGACACTAACTGACTGATGAAACTTACTCGTACTTTTTTCTAACCTGACTAACTAGGGTAGTTTAACTAACTGGTTAGTTAGTACCGCTTACTACCTACCTACCTACAGTACGTACCTACAGTAGCTAGGTACCTGTGTAACTAGTTAACTAACTGGTGTACATACAGTACCTACGGAGCTTTCACCGCCTACGTGCAGACTACATACAACGACACAGTAATACCTACAACCTACGGAACTTTCCCCCTTTACCTCAAGGTCCAAGTCAAGTTAACTAGTACGGTATGTAACAATCTACCTTTTTTAGCCTTTCGGATACCGTCAAAACTTGTTTTTTTTGTTTACCTTGGGTACTAGTCAGAGGTACTGGTGCTGGTGTGTTCCCCCGTACCCTCTCTCAACACGATCTCGATCCCGATCACGGGCGCTGGCACGGGCACTTTTATTAATCGTGAAGCATACACGTCGGTGGTGTGGTACCGTAGGTCAGTTTAAGTCAACCATCAAGATGGACTGAAAACCAATCAATCAATAAACCATCTTCATTTCATCGTTACGACTACTACCAACTACTGTGCTAATGACTGCAAATACCTCGGTACACTTCTAGCCCAAGGCTAAGTAGGTAAGTATAGATGGTACCTGGGCGATTCAAACTATTTACCCGCCCAACGCAGAGTCCACATTGTGCCATTTTTGGGGGTATCTGTGATCGGCGATACCGGAGCTTCTCTCTTCTGATTAAATTCAAGGTATACGACGCAGCGCATAATTCAATTAGGCCTTTGAAGGACCAGAGGCAGTCATGTCGGGTTGAGCAGCGACACCAGCACCGGCAAGACGCTTCTTGCTGACAACTCTCAGTCCACCCACCAGAACAATAAGCAGTTCCAAGCCGAGAATGACACCCAGGGTCACCATGGCACCAATGACACCCGCGACGGCCTTGGACATGCCACCGCCGCTGCTGTTGCCAGACGTCGAGCTGGAGCCGACGGGTGAGCTGTCTTCAAGGCCAAGAGCAGCTGGGCTACACTGGCCCGTCGAGTTTCCGCACGCCTTGCACCAGTCAGCCTGCGAGTTGATGGAGAACTTGTTCATGCCGGCCACGAAGTCGGACCAGGGCAACGGGGACTGCGATCCGCCGAACAGAGGGAACTCGGTGGGCACGCTGGAGTTGCTCGTGGTGCCGTTGTGGAAGTAGAAGCGGACGCTGATCTCGTCGGCGGTGGGGAACGAGGAGCTCGACACGGTGGCGTTGGTCACGAGCTCCCATACGAGGCTGGAGGCGTAGTCTGGGACTCCAAAGAAGTCGGGGCTGGCGGCCGTGAGGTTCGCGAGGCCAAAGTACGAGAGCATGCCCGCGTACGCGCCGAACTGGATGTTGAGCTTGTTCTTCCCCTTGTTAGCGATGGTGCCGTTGAGGGCGTCGACGACTTGCGCAGCAATCACGGAACCCGTGACCGCGCGGATTGGCTCGGATTCGTTGTAAGCCAGGCCAAACTCGTGCTGATCTGCTCTTGTGCGCAGCTGGAAGAACGTCTCCGGAGTGAGGAGATCCGCGTTGGGGAAGTTGTCGGACGAGTTGTGGATGCTGGCTACGTTAAGCAGGTCGAAAATGGTGTAGGCGTTCTTGAAGCTCGTCTGTTGCGCGGTGAAGGTGCGGTTGATCATGGGTGCGACGCCATCGTAGAAGGATTGCGTGCTTTCAAGCGTGGCGAGGTAGCTGGCACTGTTGAAGTAGTTGTTGGAGCTGATCTGGGCATTGGCACAGTTGGTCGAACCCTGGAGCCAGCCTGAGTTCTCGCTGTTGGTGCCGGTGGTGACAGTCTCGAGTGGAATCAATTGGTAGCCGTTGAGAGGCGACTGGACAACGCTACCATTGCGGAGAGTGTTGCTGCCAAGTGTCTCGCCGACTGGAGGATATAGACCTTGAAGGAAACCAAGGGCCGAGTTCTGCAGAACCGTGTCGCTGGGTGCCGAGGCCGTGATTTGCGACTGCTTTACAAGATCGGAGTTCAGGCCATAGATGCGGCGGCTCGCGTCGCTGCTCACGTAGCGGCTACGATAATAGGTACCAGATGTGTATACCTCTTGATAGCCAAGATCCGTGAGATTTGCCGGTGGCGTTGACTTTGCCGTACGATCTCCATGGCGGTGGAAGATGTAGGCTCCAATCACCTGTTCGGTCTGCCCAACAGCGGCCGAAGCCAGGGAAGCGAGAAGAGGCAGTGTCGCGTAATGCATGGCTGTAGTTGTAGTGGTTGGCTTCCTGTCAGCGATTTTTCTACTTTGGATCCAAGGAGCGATGAGAATGTGGTCGGAAAGCAACTCACCTGTACTCTTATGTACCCGAATGGCTCGACAAACAGTCAACGATGAGAATACCTCGTAGCACCGGCTGCTCAGGATCCGACGAAAAGAAAAGGTTCTCGGATCCAGGGCCCGTGAGCTCTAAAAAGGTTGAGCTGCTTGTCAATTACTCACGGAACCCATCTGCGCTTTGCTTATCAGAGGGGCTCTCGCGGGACGGTTTTCCTCGGGATGCCCCTCCATCCCTCCAGTGGGAGGTAACGAGTAAACATGTAGCTGGCGGAGATGGCCGAAGAGAGCTTCGAACTGCTAAGCTTGTGCTCGTGGGTCTCGCGCCGGCAGGAATGGACGGGCAAAGGGCGTGTCTTGATCAGAAGAATGGAGCATTGAGTGAGCAATAGAGGGGTTTCATGGCATGGTGAGCGAGGTTTGGTGGTGCAGGCGTCGGATGGAGGAGCTTATAATTGGGGGGATCCCTTTAGGCTCGCTAGTTACCCGTAGCTACCTAGGAAGGCTCGCTAACCCCACTAATCTCAAGCTGCTGGGTGTTACTGTACGATACAATAGGCCTCTTAGGGCTTCCCCCTCTCTCCCTAAAGAGCCAGTGGGACGGAGCGCCGTCGTACCCAGTCTTCCCTTGTACAATCTCGTAGCCCTCCGACATGGCATCGTACAATGCTCAAGGCCCCGTCTACGGCTGGCTCTGTCGGCTTCATGGACTCAGCAGGGTAGAATGGCATAGAAAATGTGGACGATGATCCGGGGCCACCAACAGTACAAGTTACAACTCCCGGAATATCGGCTTGACAAAAGGCGCAAATGTCCTCAAGCCAGCGATAGGCTCAACCAGACACGTCCATACACCTAGGTAGTGAGTAAGCATGGCTAGTGAGGCTGTTAGTCAGCCTCGTGCAGTTCATTTCTTCACGCAATGGCATGCGATGGAGAAGAACCCTGAAGCTGCCTTCCCAAACATGGACGGTTATCGTTTCTCCTTGGAGCTGAACGGGACGCCGATTCTTACTCTCTGCTCAAGACTTACGGATAATGATGAAGTTGCCGGACCGAGATTCAAGGAGGCATTGCTTGGGCTTGAGGGGGAGCTTCATTGCAGCTTGAAGAAGCTGAAGTTACACCAGGCCAGATATTGACCTTTCGAATGAATCCTTTCATTTGTATTCATTTTAAAATATGATCTGACCTTGTCATTGTCAATCTCGGTTTGCATCTTCATTAAATGCAAACGCCACCAGCGTGGTCCCTGGGCGGCCAAATTTAGGTTTCTCTCGTAGAGCGCTTTCTCGAATGTGTGCCTTCATGACTGGGCCTGACAGCACCGATGCTGGTCACGACGTCTTATAGTACAAGCTGCCCGTACAACACCTGGGCATGATCCGTTCTTCGGCAGTCTATCTCCGACGAGAAGCAGTGTCGGTACTCCGTCCGTACTTCTCCAATCTTCGCTCTCCATCCTTAGCCTCGGGGAGTGCGGGAAATGAAGGAGATGAAGGCCTTGCAGCCCGTAGTATTATAGCCGCGGCTGAGCAATTCTTCCATCATGATTGGCCATGCGGCACCTCGAAATCATTTCGAGACGCTTGCGATCTCGGAACTTGATTTCGAGATGCCCGTCGTCTCCCGTGTATGCCTTTCCCTCGTGCACCATCGCCAGCCTACAAAAACACCCGTCCTTGGTCGTCCTTGGTCGTCCTCGGCCCCTTAGTACGCGGATTTCGAGCAACTCGCCGCTCTGGATGATACGATAATGACTAGCTGGCTCTATCCGCGATGATTACTTTCAGCACGGCGCTTCGAAGCAAGGCCGTGCCTCCTCAAACGTTGTCAATCGTTCGACCCTTTCAAGAACCTCTAGCAAGAATACGTAGTTGGGCGTCTCGACCACAGGCACGAAGACTGCATCAGAAACGACGTGCAACCACCTCGTCGACTGCCCACGCATTCAACAACAAGTTTGAGGTGATTGATCACCAATACGATGCCGTCATTATCGGCGCTGGGGGCGCCGGTCTACGAGCAGCAGTCGGCCTGGCCGAGTCGGGTCTCGAAACTGCCGTCGTGACCAAATTGTTCCCTACACGTTCTCACACCGTCGCAGCCCAAGGAGGTATCAATGCCGCTTTGGGAAATATGCACGATGATGACTGGCGGTGGCATATGTACGATACGGTAAAGGGATCGGACTGGCTCGGCGACCAGGACGCCATTCATTACATGTGCCGCGAAGCACCGCGAGCGGTCCGGGAGCTTGAGGAATACGGCATGCCGTTTTCTCGCACTCAAGAAGGAACCATCTATCAGCGGCCACTCGGTGGTCAGTCTCTGGAGTTTGGGAACGGTGGCCAAGCGCACCGAACGGCTTGCGTCGCTGATCGGACAGGCCACTCCATGTTGCATACCTTGTATGGACAAGCTTTGAAGCACGATTGCCAGTTCCACATAGAATGGTTCGCTTTGGATCTCATCATGGACGGCAAAGACTGTATAGGTCTCACGGCGTTGGATATGGAGACAGGAACATTGCACAGAATTTTCGCTCGGAAGTGAGTCTCATGAGACCCCCACGTGACGGCCGTATTGTCTGTACTGATGAACCCAGCACAATCCTAGCGACCGGAGGTTATGGACGAGCTTACTTCAGCGCCACCAGCGCCCATACAAGCACTGGAGATGGACTTGCCATGGCAAGTAGGGCTGGGCTTCCTCTGCAAGACATGGAGTTTGTGCAGTTCCACCCAAGCGGCATATGTAAGTCCGATTGGCCTTCAGAACATCCCATCCTCCTTCTACTGGTTGCAAATCTAACCTGTCGTAGATGGCGCAGGGGTTCTTATCTCAGAAGGTGCCCGTGGAGAAGGCGGGTACCTGCTGAACAGTCAGGGGGAACGCTTCATGGAACGCTATGCTCCCACAGCACGAGATCTCGCATCGAGAGATGTAGTGAGTCGGAGTATGAACATGGAGATCCGCGAGGGACGAGGCTGCGGACCGGATCAAGACCACATCTTCCTGCAATTATCTCATCTTCCCAGGGACATTCTAATGGAGAGATTACCGGGTATTGCAGAAACTGCAAGCATTTTCTCGGGCGTGGACATCACGAAGGAGCCGATCCCGGTCATTCCGACTGTCCATTACTGTATGGGAGGCATACCTACCAACTGGAAAGGCCAGGTGTTGAACGTCGACCCTGGAACCGGGAAGGAAACAATTGTCAATGGCTTGTATGCGGCTGGAGAAGTTGCATGCGTTTCTGTCCATGGCGCTAATCGCTTAGGGGCCAGTAAGTTCGCGTCATCTGATACCCCTTCTCCTGCCCTTTGATCGGCTCGAACGGAATTTTCTGGTTAGATGCTGACCACGTTGCAGATTCACTGCTCGACATCGTCGTGTTCGGAAGGGCGGCCGCTGGTCATATCGCCGAGAATAACGACCGTGGGATGCCGGTCTTCAGAAATGGCGGAACCATTACACCAGAAACTGGAATCAATGGCTTCGTCGACCTTGAAAGGTTCAGGAGAGCCGATGGATCCAAGCTGACCGCCGAGCTCCGACTGGACATGCAGAAAGCCATGCAAGCGGATGTTGCCGTTTTCAGGAACGAAGAGAGTCTGACAACTGGGCTTCAGAGATTACAGGAGGTCGAGGCTGCATTCAACAGTGATGTCTGTGTCAAGGACAAATCCCTGATCTGGAATTCAGACCTTGTGGAGACGCTTGAGATGCGGAACCTGTTGACATGTGCATCGCAGACGGCGAAGAGTGCTTTGGACAGAAAAGAATCGCGAGGTTCTCATGCCAGAGAAGATTATCCAGAGCGTATGGATGAGGAATTCATGAAGCACAGCCTAAGCTGGCAGAAAGACGTTGGTCAAAAAGTGTCGATGGGGTATCGGGATGTGGTTTTCCAGACTCTCGATCAGAATGAGTGCAAGACGGTGCCGGCAAAGAAGAGAACGTATTAGTAGACCAAACCTCAATAACCACCCCCAGCTGGAGTAGTAGAACAGAATTTCCACCTCGACAAGTCGCATCATCCCATGAAATCTATCCGTACAGAGAAGTGCTATAACGATGGTAGTGATGAAAAGATGGTGTCGCGCTCTAAGGTTGTTTGCTGCACCGTAATATGCGGTGCTAGAGTGGAGCACTGGCTCCGTAAGTTTTTCCACTTCCATTCTGTATGGAGGGCTCGAGAGAAATGGGCATTCCCAGCTTCAAGCACCACAGAATCGAACCGCGCAGTTGTTGTACCACAATAGCTATACTGCCTCATACACCACAAGCGCTTCCCCACGATGTCTTCGAAGATATCGTTTCCCATCCGTATCGTTCTCGACGCCCTGAAGACAACCCGACAGCGACCGACCTGCGAATGCATACACACCCGAACTGTGAATCGCAAACTATCTCGACAAGCTCGATATGTATCGACAGCTAGTGCACAACGATCCGAGATGGAGGTTGACTCAGACCGTCCTCCGCGGTGGGCATCGACGCCGGCCGGCATGAAAGCTCCCGTGCGTACGAGACCAGAGCGACCGACCCTGAAAGTCAACACGGATCAGAGGAAACTCGACGATGTATACGTGAACATCCTGGGACGAGACGGAGACAAAATGTTATCAGAAGAGACGAAATGGCTAGCGGTGACAAGCAAGAGCTTCGACCACGGTCGCAGAGGGTTCAATGACCGCCTGGCATTTTTTGGTAAGAAAGCCTACTGTACCTACTATTGGCGTAGAGCCAGCATTGTTGACTTATTCACCACACACGCAGGCAAACGCATAGTCGAATTACAATGTTCGCTTGGTCTGCTGAGTGTCTCTGATGCCGCTGCCTTCCTCAAAGGCCAGGATCAGGATACACACGGTCGAGAACCTTTTCGGCACCCGGCGATCGAGGCTGTTGAATGTCTCTTGGGAGGAGCCCATGATTACTTCACACATCACAAGGCACTGTCGAACTTGGCTACACAGTATGGACTACCTGAAGTAGTGCGTTGGCACCCAAAAAACGTAAGTATCACTAGTTTGTGTTTGTGTGGTTCGCCGTTTGTGCAAGCGCAGTCCAGTCTCTAACTTACCTTTCTCTAGCCTGATCGACTCGAAGCGTCCGGTGCCGACCTCGTTTATGCGCAGGCCCTTTTGGCCATCGTTGGTGCATTGGCACTCGAGCATGGAAGCGCAGTTGCGAACCGCATTGCAAAAGAGAGAATACTGGTGCCCATGGGCTTGAAGAGAGACTGGACGCCCAAAGTCAAAGAGCCGGAAAAGACTCCCCCATCCTTATGATGAGCTCCGAGTGTTTTCCACGGCGTGTTTGTGTATAATATGTATCAGAGCGAGATTCCATTGCTGTTACAACTGCATTTGCATTACGGAATACCTTGTAAGAAGTACAGGTTTAAACATGGAAAGAAAATGTTTGGGTCCTCTGACACCGCCTAAGCAACTTGGAATGAAAATGCTCAGCCAGCTCTTATGGCACCGACGATTGAAACTTGGTCTCCGCGTCGCTGAATCGCAAAGTCTAACAACTGATAAGCCGCGAGATCTGACAAGATGTCAGGCCTCTCGGGAATGCTGCATTGCACTGTCTTGGAGGGCGCGTTGAATTTTGTGAAAAGAAAAGAAATGCAGAGTCCGGAAGGCATTCTCTACCTGCGGCTTGGTTCCGAAGATCTACCGGAACTTGGCAGAACAAGGCGACAGTTGCCGCTTTTAGAGAGGCGAGCTGCTCGTGCCTGAGCCTGCGCGCTCTCCTGTCAGGTCGTTGGTGTACCGACCATCATCTGCGATAGGGCGGCATCATCTTGCTCCCATGGGGCAAGACGTTATCACGCTTTAGAGCGCCTGCGAGTGTGGGCACCAAAGTGGCCTCAGATCAACTGTATCCGTCTGTCACGACAACGATTGCCCGAACACTCAACTCGACCTCCTCGCCGCTTCTCGATTTAAAGCATGCGGGATCCTCGCTGATTGAACTCGTCACCGCCTGTCTTCTGTTAAGCTGTAGCTCCGCCCGTGAGAATAATGGCGTCGGCGTTGTTCTTTCTCGATCTGAAGGGCAAGGTAATGTCGACACCGCACTCGCCGGGATATCTGCTAAAGACCACAGACCCTGCTTGCGCGAAACTACCGGGGCGATGTCCCTATGTCAGCGGTTGAGAAGTTCCCCATTCTGCTCTCCGAAGCTGAGGAAGAGTCTTCTGCGGTGCCTCCGTGCTTCTCTGATGAGGGGATCAACGTAAGTCGCAGCGCTCCGACATGGGCGATACTGGTTACTGAACATTGCTTAGTATCTATACATCCGGCATAGCAACCTATACCTCCTTGCCTTGACAAAACGCAACACAAATGCCGCAGAGATCCTCTTATTCCTCCACAAGATCGTAGAAGTGTTTACAGAATACTTCAAAGAGTTAGAGGAGGAATCAATACGCGACAACTTTGTGATCATCTATGAGCTGTTGGATGAGATGATGGACTTTGGATACCCTCAGACGACCGAATCGAAAATCCTGCAAGAGTACATTACCCAAGAATCGCACAAACTCGAAGTCCAAGCCCGACCACCCATTGCTGTCACCAATGCTGTATCATGGAGAAGTGAAGGCATTAGATACCGAAAGAATGAAGTCTTTCTGGACGTCATTGAATCGCTCAATCTGTTGGTCTCATCCACTGGCAGCGTTCTCCGGTCGGAGATACTGGGGGCCATCAAGATGAAATGTTACCTTTCAGGCATGCCTGAACTTCGGCTGGGGCTGAACGACAAAGCCATGTTTGAGTCGACAGGAAGGGCAACACGTGGCAAAGCCGTCGAGATGGAAGATGTCAAGTTTCATCAATGCGTCCGGCTATCAAGATTTGAGAATGACCGAACGATCAGCTTTATACCACCGGACGGAGAATTTGAGCTTATGAGCTACCGTCTCAACACCGCCGTAAAGCCTCTTATATGGGTAGAGTGTGTTGTTGAGTCACATTCTGGATCCAGGATTGAGTATATGCTCAAGGCCAGGGCGCAGTTCAAACGGCGGTCGACCGCCAACAATGTTGAGATCATTATACCCGTGCCCGATGATGCAGATTCACCCAGGTTCCGGACAAACATTGGTTCGGTACACTACGCGCCCGAGAAGTCTGCCATTGTCTGGAAGATCAAACAATTTGGCGGAGGAAAGGAGTTCTTGATGCGAGCAGAGCTCGGACTCCCTAGCGTTAAGGGTGACGATGAGCGCGGTGGTGGAATGACCGGCGGGTTTGGTGGCAGCATGGGAGGCATAACAGGTGAAGGCAAAGCAAAACGACCTATCAACGTCAAATTCGAAATCCCATATTTCACAACCAGTGGAATTCAGGTGAGATATCTGAAAATCATCGAACCAAAGGTTTGTCATTCATCCACATGCTTGTTGCGCAAAGGGTGGCATTTGCTAACTGGCTGCAGTTGCAATATCCTTCATTACCCTGGGTCAGATATATCACCCAGTCTGGCGATATCGCCGTGCGGTTACCTGATGTGCAAGGTTGAGCCTCGCCGGCATGGCAAGCCCTTTTCATGGGTCTTCTACCACCCCTACGCCGATAACAGGGCGCGTCCGTGCCATCTCCTAACACCATGTCGATGTCATCCCCACGGTGATCAGCCAACGCCAGAATGTCACATTGGCCAGATCCTAGCCACAGGGACTGGGCGGCCGTATCTTCCACTGCACGAATGTTATATCATTGGTGGGTTATAAATGACAAGGCCCCTTTGTGGTGCGCTCAGTATGGTCGCACAGCAGACCAGGGTCCTGCCATAGGACATGCCAATATACAACTGAAGAACGCGATCGGATGATGATGGATTACGATATTGGAACATAGAATGTCGACTCTGATGAACTACTACGAAGCCACAGTTGACCATGCTGCACTGCTACTTGGAATCAATGGAGCTACCATTGCAACTGTCACCTGATTTCGTATGTGTTCACCTAGCGCGCTGGTGGTTTGGGGATGGGTGTACGGATACAGACTACAGCATTCATGTATCAAGACCCCAGCGTCATCCAGAGAAAGTAGCCAATGGCAATGGAAATGGCAGCGATAGCTGCATCTACCAAACGCAGAAGATGCCTTCCCCGGCGGCCTAATCCTGTTCTATGTCAAGCGGCCTAAGGTCATCTCGCCAACTCCCCCCCCCCCCCCCTGCCAGCTGCATTGAACAAGCCCAGCTGTTCCCGGCAAGCCCAGTGAACCCAGCGTCCTGTCCACAGATTTAAGGCTACTAGTGTGAATCTAGATCTCCTAGAGTCCTGGATCAATAGCCACTTGAGGCCCTGTTACACCAGATGGTCGTGATTTTCCCCGTCACAATTTGACGTCCACTCCAGGAATTCAGGACGATCGCGCCGTCTCTACTTACAGCCAGTGCACTACCGTGAAAGTGGTCGAGCAGAGCCCGACGAGTAAATGACTTGTGGAAAGACTGGGAGCCGAGATCTACCTGCTGATCGGCGATCGATCCGAAAGTATAGGACGAGACGACGGTAGCTTTGTGGCCGTTAGGGTCATAAATGCGGTGGTCGATCGCACTAGTTTGACTTCCGTAACTTTGAAAATCGACTACAGGCGACGTGAGTTTCGATCACGGATCACGGCTCAGTGCCTAGCTCCTCAGATGGTGAGCTCAATCCCTACCTCAAGTGATCTCCCATCCGACCAGCAAGCCACTACAGATTTCGGTCAGGGGGCATCCGGTCGGTGCCCGCGGCCCAACGACTCACAACAAACACCACATACTCTGATCCTTGCAAGGCAAAGCGAATCGGCGCCTCAGCTATCCGTATCTGCACATAAAGCTCGGTAAGCCTGGGATGTTGTTGGACGGGCCACGCCAGACTAAGCGTGCCTCTTCCCTCCTCATGTTCAGCTTCTCCTCGCCTCTCAATCGTGGTGCAGTTGAGTATCCAAACATCAAACGCTAGATCGTAAGGGCAATACTCATATCTCTCCGCAGCATCTACTATGTACTCTTGCGTTCCACCCTTGACTCCCATATGATGTATCCACTAACCCCGGGCTGGCTGTCTTGCTGATCTGTCACCAGCCGTCTCTGCCACTCTCTCTCTTTCTCAGCCTGACTGACCTCTTCAGGCGCACAAATCAGAGAGCCTGTCTCGTTACAATCGAGCATGGGTTCCCCCTGCCGGGGCTTGGGCATGGCCGGCCCTCTCACGCCCCTAGAGCGAGTCCACCAAAGCCACAGGGCCCAGCTGTTTGCTGTCTGAAGCCAATGGTCGAGCCTTTCGCGGAGTACACTTCACCGTTTTTTTTGCGAAACTGACATCCCGCCTTGTTGAGATTCGGCTGCCCCATGCTGCGGGCAACTACGCTATTTGAAAACCAAGAAGTTGACATCTCAGGCAAGCATGCATTTGTTTGGCGCGACACGGCAGAAAATGGCGTGCCGTATGTGGCCGCTGACCCACTAGCAGTCCGAGATGACTTTGTGACAACCCTTATCACGTCGGATGTTTAGCCGCAACACCCAGTAGACTGGATCTAGAAACCCTGTCGTTGGAAATGGGGTGGGGGGTACTGCATGTACAGTGCAGCAGACCCAACATCACGACAGCCCTCAGCTGGTGACCTATATCAACGATGATGGGATCTCTCTGAAGGTCAACTTTGACCTCACCTTGACTGCTTGAGGATCGTTCGAGGAAGGAAACGTGAGGCTTTATTACTTATCCTCTTATCCTCTATTACAAGTACGGTTTTCCGTTACTGAGTCTGTCTTCGGCACAGTATGACAGGCAAAAGCAACATCTCGACTACAGCGGCTGGGAATGCTCCCGAACTAAGCCAGCCTAGGATCATTGTTGCATGCATCAGCTGCAGAGGCCGCAAAATCAAAGTGAGTGTCATCCTGCAACACCCCGTGAAAGCTGCTCCAGTGAGATCTGCTTCCGATCTGATACTTGGAAACCCAGTGCTCGGGAACGGCGCCTTGCGAGTCGTGCTCGTTGTCGGGTAATCAATGTATCATCGACGATACAACAACTGGCAAAGGCAAAAAGAAGAATCTTGTGAGCCGCAAGGTGGATGAGTCTAAGGCTTACAAATGGCTTCTCGAAGGCCTATTGATCTGCCTCCGATACTCGCGAGGTCCTGGACTGGTCGAACTGCTTGACGGAGTGAAGGAGCACTCGCCGTTGCGGCCTCTCGCTGTGACAATCTTCTCGGTCCTTTCCATGATAGACCTCCCTGAAGTTCTTCAATGCGCAGCAGCGGAGCTGAAACTGGAACTAAACAGGTTCCTTCACGGGGTTCGCAAGCCAAAGGGTGGTCGTCCCTCAAGGGGCTCTATCAAACAACCCGAGTCTGTCAAATTTGAGCATTTCGATTACGAGTCCTTTGGCCATTCGAATTCTCTTGATGGAGAATCAGAGTCCCGTAACGAATCGCAGCCTCCCAACCCCGAAATTGAAAGCCCGCAAGCCACAGACGGGTCTGGCAAGCATATCTCTTCAAGTTTCGGGTCCAGGACCTCAACCGAATCTGAGGCGAAGACACTCCAGCACCCGCGAAATGAGACGACGGCCTTCTTAGGCCTCGAAGACATCTTGGTATTTCTGAATACCACGCAGAATCCCATTGGGGATCAAGCCTCTGTAGACAGGCGGGCTGGGGTCGATGAAGGTATGATATAATCAGCCATTGCATTTCCATGACTAGATGCTGACCGATACCAGACCAGTCCACTAAGTCAGAACCGGGCACCCAAGCATCGTTGCCTGCTGCTTCAGGACCAGAAGCTGACGTTCAGGACACTGTAAGTATTGCGGGTGCCACCAACTTGACTGGGGAGGAACTAACGGGGTAGGATCATTTGGATTCCTCCGCCGAGGGCTATCCGCAGTTCAATTGCGGGAATCACCGAGGTGTCAAAAGGCCACACTCCCCAACGACCGTGGTTCCACCAAGGCCGGCGCCATTCACGCCCCAGTCCATTGAGGATCAAAATATACACCCTTCTCTGCCCATGGACGCTGCTGAATCCCAACGATTTCTCAACCCCCCTTCGACATTCATTAGTGGCTATGACATGTCAGCTAGAATGGAGTATGGACCCCAGCGGTGGATTGATCCCCCGCAGTCAGTCCGTGGGCCAGCACAGTACACGACGTTTCCTCACATAGCATTCAACGTCGAGTATGTTCCCGGCGCTGTCACAAATTACCTCGAGGGGGCCCATCAGCTATTGTCACAAGGTTATCCGATAGACGGAATACTGGGCCCAGAGAGACCCTATGTCGACCTACTCTTTCAACCTCGCACGCAGTCCGATTCACATTTCGCCTGTCATTTTGCCTCGGAACTATGCAACAAGCTCGAGGGAATGGAACCGACTACCCGGCTGGGTATCGCGGTCGTGTTGACGTATTTGATCAGGGTTCGTGTGCACCGTAAGACTGTGGTTGGCGCTTGCTAATGGAATGTCCTGTGTCATAGTGGTTCATTTCACCTTCACATGAGAACGATCTGAGTATCCCGGACCTGCGTCGGTCGAACTTTGCTGAAACAGAGATACCAGACAGCGCGGAGTTCACACCTTGCCCATTTCCTCGCCTGCTAGAAGCCCTGTCCCACAAGGATTGGGGCTTCCTTTGGGCACTGGCAAGGACCATCAATTATCATTGTCAGAACGTACCGGTCATGTCCTGCATCGAGACTGTCGACGACGAAACCGGCTCACACTATGTCCCCACCGAAGACTTTATCACTCGCATAAAGCAGTCGGAGGGTTGGATGCCTGTGCCGAGTGCATTGGACCCAGTTGCTGAATGTCCAGGTACATTTCAACGCTGTGTTCTAGGTATGTGATGTACTTTCTGACGAGGGTATTTGTTGTCGAGGACATGGTGTTCTTCTAGGTGACGGAGAGGCGTTTGGAGCGTGGAAGAACTAAGGGTGCTCTTGGCCGCGGAGGCACAAGGGGCCGCAATGGACTGATGCTAGGAGACATGTACTGATCGATCTATGGTATCTGACGACCTATGATAGTGAATTCAGGCTCGTATCGGGAGCCTTGGTATGGAGTACGGTGTATATTGCGTTTATCTCAAGGGGGTGTTTGGGGCAATTTCAAATGACATCATTTCTAGTCTCGGAGTTTCAACTTTTTTTTTGTGCCTCGAAAATCAATCCCAAGACACTTTTATGCTCGTGCTGCGCTTTGCACCCGTCATTTCAGGAATTCTTCATTATACGAACCACAGTATCTGTCTAGACCCCGATCACGATGCCTTCTGCTAATGCTGCTGCTCCCCCTCTTCCGACTCCCACCCCGGACGAACTCGATGACCTGATCTACTTCTCGAGGGTTGGGGACCTCGACTCGCTGAAGGAGGTCGTAACGAATCTTTGCGCGACCCACTCGTGTCCGCCTTCGGTGATCGTCGCGTCGGCCATTGACGTGGACGAGGACGGTCTAGGGTCGCAGTCGAGCCTGCTCCATTATCCCGCGGCGAACGGCAACCTCGAGATCGTAAAGTACATACTTGGTCTGCTCACGCCTTCGGACGCGCTGGGATCAAGCGTCGGCGCGACGACGGCGGACAAGTCGGCTCCGTCACTCGTGAACCATAAGAACGTGAACGGGAACACGCCGCTGCACTGGGCGGGGATGAACGGGCACCTGGAGGTCGTGAAGGCGCTCGTGGGCGCCGGCGCGGACCCCGGGATCGCCAACGCCGCGGGGAGAGATGCCGTGTTCGAGAGTGAGATCTCGGCGAAGGAAGGCGCCAGTGAGTGTGCGGAGTGGATGTTGAAGGAGTGCGAGGGCCTGGAGAAGGGTGTGGGGGTTGGGCACGAGGAGGGTGAGGCGGCGCAGGAAGACGTGGATTCGATGGGGCAGGAGGAAGCCTCGACGAGTGAAAATGGTACGGCACACACTGCTACGGCAGAGAAGGCGACGTGAGTGCCTAGGAGACAGAAAACGGAGGTGCACGGGCGACTACGAGGATGCTATGCCCGCGCTGCACCAACAACATTGCGACCTCATGGTCAAGACTCGGGGTCCGGTTCGGGTGTCCTGGACGACGGCAAATGAATGCTCGTTGGTTATCGCCATCATCAAATCCAAGTCGGAAAATGCGCGGATGAGTGTCCCCTATTCAGGGTATATTCTGAGCACGAGCCGAACACCTCGTCTCGTCTCGTCTCTCATATCCCGCTTGAACGTTCGAGGCGACAGAAATGCTTTCCCGACGTCGCGGCTCACTCACCCCATGACGAACTGATCTGGAAGCGAGGCATCCGACATGACATCCAATGACGCCAGGGCCGAGCATACTTGAAGGATACGTTATGTTTTTCCAACCTCGACCAGACCGGAGTAGACCGCAAGAGCATGCCACGGAGCCGAGAAAGCCACAGTCAAGCGCCTGCCGAAAAGGTGGACAAACAAACCCAGTCAAGGCGACATGAGGCCCGAATTGGTTCTCTCCCCCCGGATGATTCGTTCCCGATCAGCGGCCTGCCTCTTTCCACCTCTGACCAACCGAGCGGTGTCATTCCAGTCAATCCGTACATGAACTCAACGAGAGCGTTCTCCTTCCTTTTCGGACAGAGCGCTGTATATGGTCGGACACACTTGGACGGCATCCGACTCGAAGACGTATCGTCCCATTTTGGCAGTGTCCGACCATTCGACGGTAGGGTAGATGGGGAAACGGTCGCGTCAGAAACCCTGAACGTTCGAGACCGTTTCGACCAGGCGTCTTACTTTGAAACGAAAGCTTCAACTGGCGAACGGAAGTGGCCGATCGGGAATTTTTTTTTGGTACGGAAGAGACGGCGATGGCGACACCGCGCGTCGGAACCGAGTAGGTAGTTGGTTAGTATCCGAGTTAAAAACCAAACCGCGCCTTGTGCTGGACCACTACTGGAAGACACCACAAGAATGTTTTGACCACCCCCGGTCTCTATCTACACATAGGCAACCAGGGCGCGGTGGACGATGCTGGTTCTTTCACCACCCCCCGGTCTCTATCTACAAATACGCAACTTTGTGATTCGGTGATGATGATGATGATGATGATGATGATGATGATGCTGCTGCTACTTCGTTCACCACCCCTCTCTACGCCTCATCCTGACACGGACAGGCTCGACAGGATTCACGGCACCGCCTCCGGGCTTTCTCCCAGGGTGAACCCACCTCCCACCGTTTCCAACGGGCGCCATGTCCCACTGCATGACGACGGCCGCGACGAACAGCAAGACCTCTCGTTCCGCAAACGTCTTGCCCTTGCACATGTGCTTCCCGCCTCCCCAGACGCGCATCGTGCCATAATCGACCTGTCTTGGACTCGCGCCGTAGTTTCCCATTCCTGTTCCCGTTTGCGCCTCCGGATTGGTAGGTCTAGAAGTAGCAGTAGTAGCAGTGGAAGATTTGTTCTCTCCTCCTCCTCCTCCTCCTTCCTCTTCTTCTTCTTCTTCTTCCTCCCCATCGTCATCGTTGGAGGTGACGACATCAACGTCGACGCCATCATCCTCCTTGGCCCAGAACCGCCGGGGATCAAATCTCGTCGGGTCGCGGAAATACTTTTCATCGGTCTGGTGGACGCCGTGCGGTATACACACGAACTCGCCCTTCCGTAGCAAGAACCTCTCCGGTTCGGATTTGCCCAGCATCCTGGCGTCGTCTTCGGACTCGGACACGACAAAGTCCTCGACAATCTTCTTGTAGCTCATGCTCGCGGCCTCGAGACGCATCGTCTCGAAAAACGCGCCCTTGAGCAACGGACATTTCGTCCACAGCGCACCCAGCTCGATCTTCAGCCGCGGCGCCTCTCGTATAGGCAGCCCGGTGTCTCGCGGCGTCGGCGGCGGCACGAAGCGGACGTACGGCGCGAGCTCCCTGCGGAGCTCGTCGACGAGAGAGGCGTCGCTGAAAATGTACCAGATCATCCAGAAGATGACGGCGTTGGAGTTGATGTTCATGACCCAGACGATGGCCGCGTTGCCTGTGGTCCACGCGCGCCGCGAGCCACCGGCCTTGCGAAACTCGACGGCGCGCTTGACGATGACGGGGCTCACGTCCGACATGTCGGCCCAGCGCGACCCGGGGTCTTGGTCACCGCCGTCGAGGAACTTGAACATGGCGTCGTGGTGGTCCGCGATCGCCGCGAGGACGCGTTCGCGTGCACCGGCCGCGGCCGCCATGCTGGGAAACCACCCCGGCACGCCGGCGACGAAGAGGTTGAACTTCTCGTCCAGTTCCCACAGGTCGTGCATGAAGGCCGGGTGGTTCTGTAGAAAGTCGCGGCCCATGAGGACCGTCGTGGCGATCTCGCCTACAAAGTACCGCATGAGTTGCCAGAGCTCGGCTTCGGCGACGAAAAGCGAGTCGTCGTTGTCGCTTCTCGACCCTCGCGACACAATTTGGACGTCCGCCTCGCGCTCCCATATGGTCTGGTCGACGGGCGAGTCCAGCCCGGAGATCAGGTTCCACGTGCCGGTCTCGAGAGCTTTGACTGTGTCGCTGAGCGCGCTGGCTACAAAGTCCTCGCGCATCAAGGCGTTGAGTGCGCCATGGATAGGTCCCCAGACTGCAGCGGGGTCGGTCGCTCGTACCGAGCCCCCGTCACCCCAGAACTTCTCCATGATACGGTAGATGAAGGGTTCCGATGTCAGCGGCGCTTCTCGGGATATCAGTTGTTTCTCAATGCCCGGTACGGTGACGACGTGGTGTTTGCTGTTCGCCATCCACAGCGTGAAGATCGAGCCATGTGCACCCAGCGACTTGGATGCTTGGGTGAGGAAGTCGTTGCCGCCGAGCGCGAAGTTGAGCCCATGACCGAGCCATGGAATCCAGTAGGGAAGAAGTGGAGGCGGAGTGGCGGTTGGTGAATTTCGGCTCTGTCGCTGTTTGGTGCTTGCTTTGAGTTCGAGTCCTGAGAAGATTCGCGTGATGATGCAGAGGGCAACGAGAGCTGTGAGAGCCGCCAAAAACGGGTGTGTTGTGAGAAACGAGGTGATGGTGCGTCGAAGGATGGTCACATAGCTTTCCTGTGAGAAGCTCATGGCGCCAATGATGAGTTGTATATTTGTTTACGAGACCACGGCAAGGTGTCTCAGGTAGAGAGATACGCACAAAGAGGCTCCTGTACGCTTCATGGGCTGAATGCCCAATCAATGGAATCTCGCGAGGTGGAATGTAGCGGGCTCAGATCCGCTTGAGTTTGGTTGGATCCAAGACAACTTTGGCAAGCACTATACGGAGTACCATACACCTGGGTGAATCTGAGGGCCTACCATGACTTGTTGATCTGTCTATGGACGTGTTTAGGTCGATAGCAGGGAGGGAGTTGATGGAGATTGAAGATAGTGCTGACTGGATGCCTTACACAGGTTTGTCTGTGAAGTGCGCGCCAGGAACGAGGCTGAGCTTCGTATTTCATCGGCTTGACGTCTGCCGCGGCCGCATACCGTAGATCATAAACACAACAGAGATAGGGTGAAGCAACCGTCCACTCGCTCACGAGCAAGAGAATTTGATGGACATGTAGATGTGCTTGGCAGCTCAAGCAGTCAGTGGTCGAACTGTTCAAGACACCCTTCCGCGAGTCTCCCTGCTCCCACTCTTACGTACTCCCTCGGTATGTCTCGTCTCAAGAGAAGTTTCAGTATTAACGATGTCTAAGGGGACACGCTGCGAAGGGCCCCGACTTTCAGGCCTAATGTCATGCTGCTTCCCTGCTCCCCGGTCGACTCCATCAGTCTAGATGTCTGTAGATTTTCTGACGAGAATAGTGCGTATCGTCTGACCTGCGAGTATCGACCAAACATTTCCCGATCGACGTGAATAAAATATTCCAGATGAGCGAAATATCATGCCGCAAAACGTATATGACAACCCCGAGTTCTTCCAGCGGTACAGAGACCTCCGCCAGAACGACACAGGCCTGAATGGAGCTCTGGAAGTGCCCGCCTTTCAGAAATTACTCCCCAGCCTGGTTGGGCTGCAGATTCTCGATCTAGGATGCGGCTTCGGCGAATTTGCTCGGTACGGACGCTCTCAGGGCGCAGCGTACGTCGAGGCAATCGACGTGTCAGAAAAGATGGTTGCCGAGGCGAGAAGCCTCACCGCAGACGACAAGATCAACTTCATGTGTCGCTCGATCGAGAGTCATTCACCCGAAATCGAGACCTTCGATTTGGTCACGTCCTCCATGGCCCTGCACTACATCAGCGACTACAAGGCTGTGGTTCAGACAGTTTGGAGGTGCCTCGTGCAGGGAGGAATGTTCGTCTTCTCGGTCGAGCACCCGTCCTGCACGGCGAATCCGGTCGGATGGATACGGGACGAGGATGGCACAGCGCTCCACTGGCCACTAGACAGATACCAAAGCGAGGGTGAGCGTCGGACGTCGTGGTTTATCGAAGGGGTTACGAAATACCATCGCACGGTTGAAACTTATGTCAACACGTTGATCGAGCAAGGCTTTCAGCTGACCCATCTGGGAGAGCCCAAGCCCTTGGATGGACATGTGAGCAGACGCCCCTGGCTGCTGGAAACTTTGAAGCGGCCGCCTGTCCTTCTGTTGGCCGCGAAGAAGACTTGAACCTTGATCCGAAAAATCCTGCCCGGATACCAAATACAGCCATCGCTCGAACATCGATCGCTCACTCGGGTTTCGCCAGCCGCGGCTGCTCAACGGCGGCATCACCCTCTTCTTCAGTCAAGGGGGAGGCGCGAGCAGTTCGACCATATCAATGCCTTGGCTCGATACGGAGTGAGGTCAACAAGCAGGTGGGTACGAAGCCGATACTTTGCGGCATAGTATTTTGACACTATTGATTTGTTCCACACCAGATGGAGATCTTGGACCGGGGTATATATCTCACGTATATCATACAAACTTGGTTGAGGGGAAAACGACATGATCCTGTGCACCTCTATCCATGCCGCAACATGGCCTTCATTCTTTCACACTAGAACTTGCTCGAAAGCACCTTCTTCAGCTTACCACTTTCAGTCTCGTACTGAGATATCTTCATCTGAGATCCCATCACCTTGGCCAAACAGTATTGCGTTCGTGGTTTGATCTCGCTGGGCGTCCCCGGCAATTCGCCCAGAATCCTCAATTCGTTCTCGTACTTTTCGACATTCTTGGTCTCACTACTAATCAGTTGCGAAAGAATGGCCAAGTCGAGTCGTGCTTTGAGGACTTCATCGTCGGTAAGATACTCAAACGCCGACTGATACACAGGCCTGCCGGGCTTGATGCTGTGGGGCCGCCCATTAGTGGAGGTGATCGTGATGAGCTCTGCCTGCTCGAGTGCTTGCAGGACAGGTTCACCGTTGGCGAAGAGAGGATCAAGAAGCAGTTCGTTGTATCGCAGGACCTCATCAGACGCCAAACGTTTGATGAGTAGCCACGCTTGCTGTGGGGTCCAGCTGCGGCTGGCGCTGTCGACATCGAGAAGATACATCTTCAAAATCTCCGAGGCCGATTGCTCGATAATCTGCCGTACAGCTTCTGCAACAGATGTTAGGCAATGTCCGCAAAGACCAAACGGATTATGCACTTACTTCCGGGTGTTTCGCCAGTCTTGATCCTGCGGGCGAGAAATTCCAAGTCGGTTAATCGGCCTCCAAGGACCTGGATGACGCTATCGAGCTCGTCAATGTTATTCTGCATTTGTGCAGGCGACATCTTCTCCTCCCCTTCGGCTCCCGCGGTGTCATCCTCCCCGGTTTTGAGATGCTGCAACACGAGTTTCTTGGCGACCTCTGGTGTACAGTCACTGAGAGTGATTTGGCGAAAAACCCGGTCAGGTAACGCCTTGCTTAAAGACTTCGTAAACGACACATCTGTCGTGAGGAAAACCACATGCGCAATGTTCTGCGTGGTCAATGTCGCCGCCCATTCACCCAACTTGTCATACACGATACTAGCAGATCCTTCGTTATTTTTGTGCAAGAAGTTATCAATCACAACCACAGGTCGATACTCAGGATGAGCCTCGAGCCACTCATCGTCCGGCATTTGAGCCTCCTTTTCATCCTTCTTGTTCCGGTGAGAGAGCGCAATCTTCTTCAAAGCAGTGGTGGTGTTGCCCCATATCTTCGCCAATTGCGTATCGAGCGTTTCGGAAAATCCAGTCTTGGTTCCAATTGTGCCCATGGCTGCCAAGTCAATCATGCTGCTTATACTGTTCATCCACGAAAACACTGGCCGATAGCCGACTTCGGCGGCCGCAGCAGCAATTGTCGCGCTGTCTCCGCGAGCTTCCTGAATCTTTTTGCAGTCGATGATCAACTTGTTGGGTCGACCTTTCAGGGCTTGGTCCACAACGAGTTCCTTTTTGCCGGCTCCGCGAGGCCCCTGCACCACGATGAAGGTATCTGCTGTTTCGATCATCCATGTCTGCAGCTGAGTGATTGCTCCCTGACGATCCTCCCACACAATTTTCAGATTGTCGTTGTTATCCGCCTGCTTCCTGAGGCGAATATAGTCATATCCTCGACTGACCCAGCTCTTCGCCCATCTATACAGTGGCTGATCCTCCAAGTGCAGTCCATGGGTGATATGCATCCGGATGAAAAAGGTTCGGATTGGATCGAACACTGCGACTGATGCCGCGGTTAGCAGTGCTACAACAAGAGGAAGCACTATTCTGGGATGGCTAGTGATCCAGCTCCAGACCCAGTTTGCTTTGATTCTAGGTTCGTAGCTGAGCTTGAGTAGAGTTCCTGCCTTTCCACCTCCTCCAGCTGCACTCACGACATAGCCGTGCATGCAGTTCTTGGCCATCGTCGCAAATCTCACCCGAGTGTAGTCAATGTATGCATATCTTGGAAGAACCTTGGAGTCAAATGGCTCGGGTATGATCTCGGCCAGTTTGCCATATCTTCGAAACAGGGAATAGAGTGTTTCCTGCGTCAATTCGGCCGCAGACGTTTCTGGCGAGGTCGGCAGAAACTCGACTTTAACCCGGGAACTCGGGACGCGATAGAGATCTTCGATCCAGGGCTTCCCTCGAACGAGAAAGGCTCGCACTTGCCGGAATGGGTTGAACCATGGCTTGATTGGCTTCTCTTTCAGATACTCCTTCAACGTATTTTCAAGTTCTGTCACGGTGATTCCCTCCTCATGTGCAAACTTGACAAATGCCCCTCCTTCCCTGAGTCTCGGCAAGACCTTGGTGACCTTAATAGGCAGGCTTTCTGGTAGGGCTCTCTTGATGATGCTCGACGGGTCGGCCAAAGCAAGATCTGGGTGATTAACTCTCCTGAGAGATTCGGCGAGGAATGCGTCAGGGTTCAGAAATGGTATTCGAGTTAGCCACTGGAGCTTGAGGGGGAAGACATCTGGACTTCAGTCAGCGTAAATGCAACTCACCCTCTCTCGGAGAGCTGCCTACTGTCAAAGAACAGAATTCCTTCATTGGGTTTTGTCTCGATATGGCCGCTATCGTTGTCGCCTACCTCCGAGGACTCTTTTCTTTTTCCAGACGGAATTACTGGTCTGGTAGGTCGTGGTCGGGATCCGCTAGCATTGTGAAAATAACACTGTCTGAAGCGTGCTGCTGCAGGCGACGTTGGCCGACCCAAGTAAGACCTCACGGTTCTGGTTGTCAACATTTCGCTGAAACGCTCTAGCGGCACATCGACAGGTAGAGACGATCCCAGTCACTTTCGGAGCGTCATGAGCATCTGAGAAGTCTTCCTCACGCGCACGCGCACCACCTTTCACCTGTGTCAAGATTTCTTGTCGCAGTGACGGAAGAAGCAGCTGCGAATCCATTGTGGTATGACGTAGTAACTCAGACGCGCTAGAAGGCGTAGTGTGGCGCACGTGGTTTGTGGCTTGTGGCGGTGCATGGCTTTATTTTATTTTCCCGAGAGCACCAGGGCATGTTGACTGCAGTCTGCACCAGGTCGTCATTCGCAGCGTCCGCTCCTCGTATCACCCATCTCGAGGACTGGTCAAGATGGACTGGTTCTGGAGGTCAAAGTCTCCTAAAGCCCATGAGGCCTCAGAACCTAATTCTTCGAGTCTTTCACAGGCATCAGCCTCAATTGCTGCACCTGCCCTTCCATCGGTGGCCGAACCGGTCAAGTCAGCCCTTTCTCGAGAAGAACAAGCCAACCAGGAGTTTCTTGAGCTTGTGAGAGAACTTCAGGCACAGACAGAACCCACCTCAGAGAAGAGCTTAGAGGGAACAAAGTCAGCAAGATCGGTACATACTACTCCCGTCGAGGTTGATATCTCGCCTGATTCCCTTTACCCGACTGAAATATCCTGCCGCTCGTCCTTTGATTATGCCATGTTTTGCCAGAGCTTCGGAGGGCAGTTTGTCAACATCTATCGATACGGTTCGTTCCGGTCATGTTCAAACCACTGGGATGATTTTTGGCTGTGCATGAGAACAAGGAATTGGGATGCGAAAGATCGAGCGGCAGCAATCCAGGATCATTACCGTAAGAAAGCCATGAAGTGGAGAACTGGTCCAAGTAGTGAGGATGTCTGGGACGTTAGGACCGAGCCAGTCAAGGACGCATTTCAAGGAAACCTGGACGAGCTCGAGGCAGCGATTGCAGCATGGAAAAAGGCAAATCCGACCGCTCTGGACCCTTGGGAACGGCCTCAGCCGCCTGCTTTCAATTCTCAAACCACTGGGTAAAGAATGCCCTTCCTCCTACATGAGTGGCTTGTTGCAGTGAAGTGCTTAGAGGGCGGTGGTTCCTTGGGGGACTTACGACATGAGCAGTCCACAACACAGCATTAAACTGTCATATCCCCCCCTTCATGCGCCAAGCTTGTGATCGACTTGATCTTAGGCGCACCTGCATCTCTAAACTACAATTCGTCGCACGATCCGAGGCATCATTCTTGCCATCTTCTCCTTCATCAACTGTTTCCTGTCACTCATCGTAATGGCAGCCAGACATTCACTGAGCGACACGCTTAATGAAGGTGCCGCCTTCATCGAACATCAAGCCGATTTGATCAGAATTGAAGTCAACTTTCTCAGACAGGAGTCTACGCTCTTCTGGCGCCGATTTTTTACCGTCGGAGATGACGCCGGAGTCCTTGCCCAAGTCGCCCTTCGCAATGTAGAAGATGCGCTTGAGCTTCTCGAGTTGGCCGAGGAGTATGAAAAGCAAGCACAAATGCTTCGTGAAATTGCGAGAAACGTGGGCGGGATTGGTGAGATCGTTGCTAGTACTATTCAGGACCCCCAGACGTTGTTTGCAAGACCCCAATCTCACACACTATTCGTGTTTGAGCAGGCGTTGAGGATGGTCAATGCGCACCTGGCTACTGAACGAGCTTTGCAAACCCAGTCTTCCACGGCCTCTAACGATAGGATGATTGAGCATGGTACTGTAAATGCCTCCCGGACAAACTCCACGCCTGGAATGGATTTGGAAGTACATGAAGACGACGTCAAGCAGGAGACTAAGTTAAAGAGCTCGGATGCTGAAAAGAACAAGAACGTCGATGACAAGGGAGACGAGGACCTGGACGGCAATGAAGACGAAGACACTATCGCATTGGCGCGAATGACTGGAGTGCGTCGTGATTTCGAGGGCGAGCCGACTGCCTGAATTGAAGCCTTTGACGAGAGCAAATCTGGTTTCAAGGCACAAGAGGACAATTAGGGAAGGCATTTTGGCTTGTCTCTCTGAACAGACTGAGGTCCAGCCACTGTATGTCACCGGAGTTTCATTGTTGGGGCGAAGCTCATTGCTGACATTACGAGGTATTTCCAGGCGCATGTCTCTCGAGCAAACAACACCCCTTCTCATTCAATTGAGATGTGTCACGGTCTCGGAGGCTTCGCTAAGAGAATACTTCAGGGTCAGGGTGCGGTCTCGGGTGTAGGTGCGGGTAATTCGCCTTGGACGACCGAGGCGCAATGACAACGATTCAGAAAAGAGAAAACATGGCGCCCATGAATGTAATCAAGAGTTACACAACGTCTATGTTTAATATTGTGAAGTCGTTCCATTTAGAGTGCTACAAAGAGGCGTCTGAACCAAGACTACCCCTTTTTCGCTCCGCCTTGTGCCCTCTGGCCATATGTGGTAGGGAGCGAGGTTGGTACAATCGCCCTTTGGTGCTTTCAGTCACGTTGGTTGTCCAGATTATGGCTTTGGTACATTATTCGGTGTGTAGATTTGGACGTCGAGCTACAAGGAGTGATCTGTAGGCATCGTGTCGTGTCAGAGTGGCTACCGATGGCGTGATGCATAGAAAGCCGACTATGGAGATACCTCGGTCGTCAAGCCACTTCGAGAGGGCCTTGCCTTTCTTCCACTCTCTACAGAATGCAGGGCTGGTAAAGATTTGATGGGTGCATGTTGACATGTCTATACCGACCATCGATTTGAGCAAAGCGCAGAATTCGCTCACTCGGGCTGAAGTACTCGAGGAACTGCGCCACGCGCTCCTCGAGGTCGGGTTCCTGTATCTGGCGAACTACAGCCCTGTCTATTCCACCATCGACGATCTTGTGCGCATCTTGCCCCCGCTCTTTGGTCTGCCACAAGATGTCAAAGAGTCGGTAGCACTGGTTAATTCTCCCCACTTTCTCGGCTACAGCAAATTTGGATCTGAAACTACAGCCAAAGCCCAGGATCACCGAGAGCAGTTCGAACTTGCGAATGAGCTGGAGGACAAATACGGCCGGGATAACACGCTGCCATTGTACAGCCGCTTGCAAGGCCCGAATCAATGGATCAAGTCGTCCGACATCCCAGCACTGCGCGAGAAGGTGGAGGCCTACGTCGCGGCTCTGCAGGACGTGGCGTCTCGATTTCTCGCCTTGGTGGAAGAAGCATTGGGACTACCGAAGGATAGTCTGGCCTGCTTTACGGGCCCTCAAGACAGGTTGAAGCTCGTGCACTACCGGCCAGACTCGACCGATGCAACAGGGGACGCGCACACACAAGGCGTCGGGCCTCACAAGGACAGCTCAGGCTGGATGACGTTCCTGCTACAGGCGTCGAACCCATCGATCAAGGGGCTCCAAGCGCTCTCGAAGAGTGGCGAATGGCTTGACGTCCCCCCTGTGCCGAACACGCTTGTTGTCAACATGGGCCAAGCCTTTGAGGTGGTTACGAATGGTGTGTGCAAAGCTACGACTCATCGTGTCCTCCTCCCGCCGGGCGATTACGATCGGTATAGCGTGCCGTTTTTCCAGGGGGTCCGTCCTGATCTGACCAAAAGAGATCTGCAGGCCTTGTGGCAGCACTTTGACCAGAATCGATGGCACACGAGCGAGTCGGCAGAAGGTCAGAGGATCGACAGCCCGTTCCTCCAAGGACAATACGACACCTGGGGCGAAGCACAGCTCAGGACGAAGATCCGAAGTCACAGAGACGTTGGAAAAAAGTTCTACGCAGATGTTTTTGACCGGTACGTCGATGCTAGTTGAAGATGAAAAGTGCTTTTGACATACGCCAACATGCCTCCCGGCGGTTAAGACATCAATCCCCCTAGACCTTGTAGTCTTACTCAACGAAGACGTCCTTGCTGGTATCCAATTCCTCGAACCTCCTCAGGTCCATCTCGCCCTCGAGCAGCGGTTTCACGTAGGGATCGAAAGTCTTCCAGTATGGGTTCTCCAGGTGATACTTCTGGCTACTCTCTTGCTCGTAGCGTTCGACAATGGTGAAGTCTCGTGGATCGTGGACGGATTGCATGACGAACCATGAAATGGTCTCCTTGTCCTTGGAGTAGACTCTCGAAGCTTCGATGAGTTTGTTCTTGAGCTTTTGAATGATTGCTGGGTCGGACGATTTGGCACGCAAGTGCACCGTGATAGTGTAGACCATTGTGAGCGGCGGTTGGTGTATCTGAAGTCGGTTGATGATGATTGTTGGCTCGCCTATACCCTTGTTGTATGTCGTTTCGCTTCTCGGCTAGCAACCAATGTTGGGAGAATGTGTATTTTACAATATTGGTGAAGCTTCCCCTCCCTGTGGCTGCTGCTGTCATGGAATGTGGTCTGACAGATCATTTTGCCCTAAAGAGGAACCGCTTATGCAGTGAACGAGGCGTCATTTGAATCGAATATTCCGTCGCCCGCCTGGACGAAGCCGGTTCTCACACGTGTCGACGCGGCGACCAATAGCGCAACGGCTGCGTGTATGACGCTGGTACCTTGTGTCTTCCCAGCTCCAAAGTTTCGGCGGTCCGTCTGCGCGGTGCACTTACTTTGTGGCCTTGATGGATCTCCTTCTCCCATCGTGCTCATGGGCGAGTAACGCACCCATGGGACATCGCGACTGCCGTTAGCGTGACCATCCAGGCCATGAAGTTCGCAAAGTGCGTAGAGATGGTCACTTTTTGCTAACCTCACACACAACCACTGACGTCAATAGGGAACTGGAGGACGAAGCCGTCCCGGAATGGAGAGTCAAGTACCTGAACTATAAGGCAAGCAGTCCCCTTCCCAACGACACTCCATATGCTCACTGTCGCAGCAAGGGAAAAAGAAGATCAAGGCCATCTCCAAGGCTCTTCGAAACATCAATCGGACTCCGGCCGAACCTGCCCGCCCTGCACTCGTACCTGAAGATTCGTCGGATAGGATACCCTTCACGCATTATGATTTCACTCGGCCGCGGCCCAGAACGTCTAATACAGCACGGTCGCTTCCCGAAATCGAAGAGGTGGCCCCGGAAGAAGAAAGAGCCGGTGCTCAACGGCCGCCGTTGGAACAAGCCGAAAGCAGGACTTGGTTTGCCCAGTCACCGCCGATTCTGATTCCGAATGGCCCTGGTCAGGATACAAGTAGATTTTCTACGCCGGAACGAACGCCGCTTGCCAAAGGCCAGAATGACCAAAGCAAATGGCAAACGAGATATGGAAGTATCATCGGGACACCACCAGACGACGGAGAAACCCCCGGGCATTTCGCAGCGCTGGAGTTGCCCGATCCTGCCATAAGCCCAGTCATTCATAAACCGAATCAAACGGCGCCAGGAGAATCATCAGGTCAGCAGCAGCTCGTGAGATTACCAGAGGCTGCTCAGGTACCCCAGGGTCCAGATGCGTACCATGTCGGTGAGACGTCTTCACAGCCCAACCGAGGGCTCAGAGGCAGTATTGCCCGGAGGTTATTTAGGGCTCGCGACGTGGACAAGGACACCAAAGGTCGATCTTCCTCCCAACCGTTGGTCCACACTTTCCCTCGTTCACGATTACGGAGGCTGTTTTCGGCACAAGCTCTCGACCAGCCCGCCGTGAATGACGTGCAGTTGGAAGCATACAAGGAGCTTGATGCCAAGCAGGCGGAGTTCTTCCTCTTCCTGGACAAAGAATTGGACAAGATCGAAAGCTTCTACAAGATGAAAGAAGAGGAGGCTTCTGCTCGACTTCAAGTGCTACGAATGCAACTACACGAAATGCGTGACCGCCGATTGGCGGAAATCCTAAAGGACAAAAAAATCGAGTCTGGCACATATCAGGACCTAAACGACAACACCTATTCAAATGGCACAAATGGAAAAGAGAACGGCCAAGCCAATGGTTCCGGACCCAACTTCCTTAAGAAACCAATTGAAGATGCTTTGGGACGCCGTACCACCATTGGCAAGACCAGCAAAGCCATGCAGAAGTTGTGTTCTCCGCCGGGCCCGGGAGCCCAACAGCGAATAGAGGATGATGCCAAACGAGACTATGTGAGAAGAAGAGTCCAGAACGACGTACCGTACAGATTTGCAAAGAGACGACTCAAACTTGCTTTGCAAGAATTCTACCGCGGCCTCGAGTTGCTCAAATCCTATGCCATCCTGAACAGAACTGGCTTCCGAAAAATTAACAAGAAGTATGACAAGGCTGTTCAAGCTCGGCCACCGCTGCGGTATATGGCGGAGAAGGTTAACAACGCTTACTTTGTTCAAAGTGATGTTGTCGACAATCATCTTATGGCCGTCGAGGATTTGTATTCTCGATACTTTGAGAGAGGCAATCACAAGATTGCTGTTCGAAAGTTACGCTCAAAGCTCGGCGCGGGTGATCAGTCTGGTACTACCTTCCGCAACGGCCTGTACGTTGCCGCGGGTACTTGTTTCAGCATTTCCGGACTGATTAATGCGTCTGATCGCCTGTTTGGCCCAGATCCCGTGGTCCGAGTGCACACTGCGTACTTGCTGCAAATTTATGCAGGATACTTCCTTGCGCTTCTCCTGTTCCTGTTGTTCTGTTTAGACTGCCGGATATGGACACGGTATCACATCAATTATGTCTTTGTTTTTGAGTATGACACGCGACACGTTCTTGACTGGCGACAATTGTCGGAACTACCCTGCTTCTTTCTCCTGCTGAACGGGTTGTTCCTTTACATCAACTTTCAGATTGATGCGAGCGGGACTTTTTACGTCTATTTGCCGATTATCCTAATCTTCACGTCTCTCGTAATTATGGCTCTCCCGTTCAGGGTATTGTACCACCACTCGCGACGCTGGTGGGCTTATTCAAACCTCCGACTGCTCTTAGCAGGCTTATATCCTGTCGAATTCCGCGACTTCTTCCTCGGAGACATGTACTGCTCTGAGACCTACGCCATGGGCCAGATCGAAGCGTTTTTCTGTCTGTATGCCAACGGTTGGAACAACCCTGCACAATGCAACTCAAATCATTCTCGCCTCCTCGGTTTCTTTACTACCTTGCCCGCTATTTGGCGCGCCTTGCAATGTCTGCGGCGATACTACGACTCGCGGAACTGGTTTCCTCACCTTGCCAACCTTGCGAAATACTGCTGCAACATCACATATTATATGACCTTGTCGATGTTCCGGATTGAGCAGAGTAGCCGCATGCGCGCCATCTTCATCACCTTCGCTGCCATCAATGGAATCTACTCTGCGTTCTGGGACGTGTACCTGGATTGGAGTCTCGGCAACTTCTGGTCGAAGAACTTCTTTCTCCGGGATCAGCTCGCCTACAAAAAGGCTTGGGTCTACTATGTTGCAATCATCGCAGATGTGTTACTCAGACAACAATGGATATTCTATGCGATCTTTGTGTCAGATCTTCAACATTCGGCCTTGATGTCATTTTTCGTAAGTCTAGCCGAGGTTTTGCGGAGAGGAATGTGGAGTTTGTTTCGTGTCGAGAACGAGCACTGTAACAATGTTGGCAAATTCCGTGCGTCGAGGGATATCCCGCTTCCATACAAGATTGCAGAAGCGCCTGAAGGCATTGGCAGGTTGACTGCACCAGAAGATGCGAGGAGCACCTCTGGCATCCCAGAAACGATCGGACCGGTCGATGGTCGCTTTGCTACGGGCGCAGACCTGGAGGAGCAAGCCAGCCGCGACTCATCATTACGACTGCGCAAGTCGAAAACACCCACGGGAGGCGCGCCACTTACACCTGGCATGCAGGCTCTGCGGCGAGTTGGAACCGTCATTGCATCAGCGCATGCACAAGACTTCCAGAAACGGCGTAGACCAGAAAGCGAAGGACAAGGTCTCGTTGATGATGATGCCTCTTATGCAGAGGCCGATGCTGATTCGGATGAGGAGGATGACGACGATGAAGATGATGGAGGCGATGAAGAGGTTGCTGAGCTTCGTAGGCAACAGGCTGAGGAATCTGAAAACAATCCTTCCGTTCGAGGAGGGCGGGCTGGCTAGGTCAGAAGCCGGATTGAAGTGGCGACCATTTACTTGGCTAGAGAGACTTGGTGTAGATCTCTTTTAGTTTTATGGGTAGACAGGGAATTACAACCGCTGCGAGAGTGACTAATAGAGATATATCTACAGCTACCTCAGTGGATTGCGTGTCTGTGTGTCAAGAAGACCTGTTTACTCCATCGTCCATCGGCGTTCTCAGAGCAGCTGGGCCTCGATAGACGGAGGATTGTTGGCCCTGCTCGGTCGTCTGTGGCCTGTAGCATGAGGAGGTCGTCGTTGTTCTCCCATCGTCCAGCGGTGCTCTCAGAGCAACTGGACCTCGATAGGCGGAGGATTGTTGGCCCTGCTCGGTAATCTGTGGCCTGTAGCACGAAGAGGTTGCTGTTCTCCCGGATATGGCGCTAACCACATTTCGTATTCCTGACCAAGACAGGTAGGACTCTCTCCTCCTTACCGTCCGATGACACTCACATCATTGTTTCGACACGGCCCAGATGGACCTCGTCTGTTGCTTTTCTCCAATGAGTACTCTGCGCTGGCAAAACTAACATCGAGCTTCGCAACACGGAAGGCTATGGGAGATGCTCTTACCTCCGTCCTAATGCCCTGAGGCAATGTCCGGACTGTTCAGGAACAGAGTGTGCATAAATAGGCTCGTGAGAGAAGCAGATTCTGTGAAGTTGTTTTGACTTGCCTCACATTGTCCCAAACACCCCGTCCTCTTTCTTGCAAGCTTCTAGTCTAACAGACAACATCAGTTGTCCAACATGCGCGTCTTCATCACAGGAGCATCAGGCTTTATCGGTTCCGCCGCCACCAGAGAGCTGCTCAGCCACGGTCACCAAGTGCTCGGTCTCGCTCGTAGCGATGCCTCCGCCGACGCAGTCACCGAAGCTGGCGCCGAAGTCCTCCGAGGAGACCTGGAGGATCTCGAGGCACTGAAGAGTGGTGCGAAAGCGTCCGACGCCGTTCTTCACCTGGGCTTCATCCACGACTTTAGCAACATGGCTCGAAACACCGCCGTTGATCGGGCGGCCATCAGCGCAATGGCGGACGCCATCGCCGGCTCGGGCAAAGCGTTGATGATCGCCTCTGGTAGCCTCATGGTCAGGGCGAAAGGCGGCATCGCCACCGAGGACACCGAGATCACACGCGAGGCCGGCCCTTATGACCGCTGGAAGTCCGAGGATCTCCTTCTGTCTCTGGCCAAGGAGAAGAATATCCGGGGCATGATTGCCCGCTTTGCACCCACGGTCCACGGCGCAGGCGACAAAGGCTTCGCAAAGATCTTCGTCGACATGGCGCGCAAGAACGGCCGTGCGATCTACACCGATGCGTCTGCGCGATGGCCGGCCTGTCACCGTCTGGACGCTGCCGTGCTGCTTCGTCTTGCTCTGGAGAAGGGCCAGTCCGGCGGAACATACCATGCTGTTGCCGAGCAGGGGGTCCTGCTCAAGGACACCCAGGAGTTGATCGGCAAGCGACTGAACCTCCCTGCTACGTGCGTGAGTGTCGAGGAAGGTGCTCAGTCCCTTGGCTATTTCGCTTACGCGATGGCCATGGACAATCCTACGTCGAGCGAGAAGACTCAGAAGGAGCTTGGATGGGAACCAAAGCAGATTGGGTTGCACGAAGACATGCTGGCAAATTACTTTGGCTAGATCGAAAGACACGCGAGGGAGTCGGTAGTTAACTGGCTGGTGCTATAGCTCAATCTATAAACATATCTGGTACGTGTATGACACTAGGCGTTATCGAGCGACTCAAAAAAGTCAGCCCGATGGGCCAGTAGGTGATGACTCCGTCCGTACGGGGAGTCCGTGGTATTCATCAATGTCAGGTAGTTACAATATGCGACGCGACGGCTAATGTTCGGCTGTTCCGGCGACTGGCTGGTTGTTGGTTCGGTATCTATGAACTCTCTCGATTCTTTGAGCTTCGACTGGAAACCAGGCCACGGTACACCGTCTCCCCCTTGCGACCATTCGGAGGGTGTTTTATGGAGAAATGCCCCCAATCCCTCCGGCTGCGGTGACGACGGCGTGGAACCATCGGATAGTGTGCTACTTCCAGACGTACCACCACAACAATGAATACGTGTCGCTTCTCCCGCTCGTCACGAACCCGTCGGGCGTGACGCATGTCATCCTCGCGGCCATCCACGTGAACTGGGACCCGGGCCACCTCACGCTCAACGACGACCCGCCCGACCACGAGAAGTACACCCAGCTGTGGGACGAGGTCGTCGTGCTCCAAGACTCGGGCATCAAGGTCCTGGGCATGCTGGGCGGCGCCGCCCGGGGCAGCTTCGCCCGGCTCGACTACAGCGAAGGGAGGACCGACGTGCCCCTCGCGCGGTTCGAGGCGTACTACGCGCCGCTGCGGGAGGCGATACGGAGGTACGGACTGGACGGCCTCGACCTGGACATCGAGGAGCCCATGTCGCTGCCCGGCGTGATCCACCTGATCGACCGGCTGAAGGGCGACTTCGGCCCGGACTTCATCGTCACGCTCGCGCCCGTCGCGACGGCCCTGATGGCGGGGCGGCCCCATCTGTCCGGCTTCGACCATCGACTGCTCGAGGCGGCCAGGGGCCCCAGCATCTCGTGGTACAACGCGCAATTCTACAACGGTTGGGGTGGCATGAACACGACCGACGCCTATGACGAGATCATTCGCAATGGGTGGCCTGCAGAGAAGGTCGTCGCAGGGATGCTGACGAACCCCAAGCACGGAGGTAGCGGGTACGTTCCGCTGGAGCTTTCGGCGGCCGTGCTGAGCCTGCTGGTCGAGAGGTATCCCACCTTCGGAGGTGTCATGGGCTGGGAGTATTGGGACGCTCTGCCCCAGGAGGAGAACTGCTGGATGTGGGCCTACGCCATGGGGCTGTGTATGGGGATGAAGAGACTCAGAGATGCTGCGATCATTGTCCGCATGGGCAGAAACTTGGCGTCCATCAATATCAATCGATAACGAACAGCATAACAAGGTCGATAGCGCCCTAGAATGAAAGCCAGCCTGTCTGATTGCAAGGCTGACGCAAGGCTGAACCGGTTGCCTTACACTATCCAGGTGACCTGCCAGTCCATTAATTTCTTGTCAGACCATCGAGATATATATATTGAGAAGCCCCCCTAGACCTGATCTGGACAGGGCTGCGTCATTGGGCGACTCGACTTGCAGAAGCCTGCTTCAGCAATTGTTCGTTGGTTCGGCCCCGGCCAACTTCGACCGACAATAATGTGATGTGAGAAGTCGAACTCGCTGCTCAGGCAGTGAGACACTCTATCGAATTTCAATCATGGCCCCTGTGCCTGTCGTCGCCGCTGCTGCAAGCTCAGTGGTAGCGAGGATATCCGCCTACGTCTTTCTGAGATGGGTATGTTTCTCGCAATCCCTCACTAAGTACTCCCTTGGTGGAAAAGATTCACAAGCTAACAGTGACCCCTAGATTCCAGGGCATCACTTCCCTCCACTGATCCTTTTGAGCACCGTCGTGTACTTGTACTGCGTCTTTGGCAATTCCGAAGCCTTTGGCTCCAACCGCCCTCGTCTACACGAAGCCTTCCCTAAACTCTTCCCTCCCCGAGAAGACAAGAAGTCGGAAGATGAGCAAGAAGCAGAAGCCGAAACGCAAGATGGCGACCACCACGAGGAGCCGGCTATTTATGAAGATGAGAAATCGTTCTTCAAAATCAGTGTGGTTGGTATACCCAACTGGCGCGAGCCGGAATGGAGTTACATGACCATTGGAATCAATATACTTCTGGCTCTGTTCACCCTTGATCTCGTGCTCCGAGGGCCTCTTCTGCACCCGGCTCGAGACCTGAGTTTTACACGGGTCGGATTTGCGGACTCGACGATGGCGAAAGTTCTGGTTCGAGAACCCGATCCTGCTCAACTGCCCTTGTATGTCTATCTGTCGCCTGCAGACAAGACTAGCTGGACAACGACCGAGACCATCTACTACCTTGGAGCTGAAACCGATTATACACACCCTGTCACGTTTGGAGGCCTCCAGCCATCCAAGAAGTACATATATTCTCTATCGAACGACAAGTCGGGAACGTTTACCACGGCACCCTCTCCGTACTCCGACGCCGCCAACAAACTCACCTTCTTGACCTCGTCTTGTATCAAGGCGAACTTCCCTTACCGGCCATCTGCCCATGCTCTCGCAATTCATGGCTTTGAATACCTCTCCAAGGTTGTTCGTGGGCTACCTAGTCCAGCCTCGTTCATGCTCTTCCTCGGCGATTTCATCTACGTTGACGTCCCTTTCCGCCTGTCATCCTCCCTCGCACATTACAGGTCTGAGTATCGACGCGTGTACTCCTCGCCGTCGTGGTCCTTGCCGGGTCTTGATACCCTGCCCTGGATCCATACCCTCGATGACCATGAGATTGCCAACGACTGGTCTGGGGGCAACGACACCGAGCCGTTTCCCGCTGCCTCGGACCCGTTCATTCACTATCATGTATCTGTAAATCCACCTACACCTCCCGGCGCTCCTCTAGGGGCCGAGACAAACACGACATACTTTCAATTCGCGAATGGGCCAGCATCTTTCTTCATGCTCGACACTCGTCGGTACCGCACTGATCCTGAACCGGCATCTTCTTTGTCCGCGTCGTCCTCGAAACCGGCCTACGGCTCGTCGGAAGAATCATCGAATCCGCCTGATAGATGCACCAACCATACAATGCTCGGAGCGGCCCAACTGTCGTCCCTGCTCAAATATCTCGCCACGCCCGAACCGGCGCATATCCACTGGAAGATCATTGCGTCCTCTGTGCCTTTCACCAAAAACTGGCGCTTCGGCACGTCCGACACGTGGGGAGGGTTTCTGCGAGAACGCTCCATCATTCTCGAGGCGATGCACAAGGCCGAAAAGGAGCTCGGCGTCCGTGTGATCATCTTGTCCGGTGACCGGCACGAGTTTGCGGCGATTCGCTATCCCCGCCTCTTGGGCACCGCCAGCTATTCAACCTCGACGAAGACGACCGGCGACATGCGCGTGTACGAAAGTGGTCAGCAGGCTGGACCGCACGAGTTCAGCGTGGGACCCCTGAGCATGTTTTACCTACCCTTCCACACGTTCAAGCAAGTCGACGAAGATGATGTCGCGATCAAGTACTTGCCTGACGGGAACAGTAAAGTGGGCGTCGTGGAGATTAATAACCTCGGTGGGAACAATGAGTTGCAGCGCAGTCTGTTGAGGTACAAGCTTTACATTGACGGCGAGTTGGCGTGGGAGTACGCGTTGACCAGCCCGGCCGAGGGGAGTCGTAGGCCAAAGGGACGAGCGTGGTTGTGGTCATAGATGTGACCCCATGGCTTGGGCAACCTTCTCTTGGGTAGCTAGGTTGATGTAAAGATTTGCATTGGAGTATGTTGGACATTTGATGTGGTCACGATAAATCTGGACCGTGTCAGCGTGAGGTTCTGGTTCTGGTTCAGGATGAGATCACCAAGCACATATGTACCTACTGGTTAGGTACGTATGTACTCGGTTTTTTCGTGGACTACTACATCGATCAGGGTATCAGGAAGTACTAGGTAGGTAGGTAGGTAGGTAGGTAGGTACTGTAAGGTACAGTTATCTATTTGATTCATACTCCGCATCATGACGTTGAAAAGTTGAAGCTGAATATGTAAACATGTAAAATGTGAAAAAAGGAGCCTTTGTTTTCATGACACGTTGCCAACATTTGCAACTTATTCATTCATCCCTGGTAGAGAAAACTGTCTACATACTCCGTAAAACAGGTACGTGTCAAACACCCGAGGTAGGTATACTCCGCGCAAACACCACACCTACTGGGAAAAACACACGAAACACATCCCAGGTTCAGGCGACGTAGCCGTACAAGAAAGAAACCCCCTGGGGAACGACGACAAAATCGTTCAAAAAAATGGAACAACAGGCCCCCCTCCCCCCCCTTTTGTGGTTCGTGTACCTATTGTCAGGTAGGTATATAAATATGTATATGTTCCACGTTTTGCATGGGCGTGTAAAGGAAAGTGTGTGTGCGTCAGCTTCTCTCGAATTGACTCGGCTCAAATCAATGCACTTGACGAAGTAGTCAGTCGAATTCATCTTTTCGTATTCAGTATGTTTTGTATCCTTTTTGTTCTGTGTTATTGCTATTGCCGTTCTTCGTGTACAAAAAGTAATGCAGTGCCATTAATTCATTCCTCATATCTTCAATCGATACCGCCCATGTCGCCCATGGTAGGGTAGGTAGAAGTACATGATCCATACAGATGGATGTGTTTATGCCCGTCGACGGCTTCTGAAGCCTTAGGATCAGATAGGGCGACGTGATGAGCGTGGTGGCTGGCGACTGCGAACCCTTTCTGTCTTGACGGCGGGGACAGGATTCTTATTGTTGTTGTCACCATGTATCCCTGGCTTGTGCGTCTGGAGTGCGTGGTGCTCGTGGCGCTGATGCCTTCCGTAAGAGACAGCTATTTACTAGTGCCTTCTTTCCCAAGGACAAAAACGCACATTGTCGAGACAAACGTCTGGCTGGTCTGGACTTGACATTGCACGGCATATGTGCAACTACCCCAACACAATGGTGAGGATCAAGTCACTGCCGAGGATGTTGTCCCTTGTCCTTGTTCTTGCTGAATTATTATGGTGGGGACTGAACCGTGTCGTCACATATCGACCTGGTTCAACGAAGATAGATGTGAAGATAACTGTTACATGACCGTCATGGTTCGCTTCGAAAAGCCCAAAACCATGAAAGCGCACGCAAGTATCTCCGAAAGAACCACTTTCACCGGCTTTGCCCAAATCTGCGATCAAAGTCTTTCAAGACAGCCATGACATTCGCGGCATCAATCTCGAGCGCAGGTCTTCCCACCATCCCAGGCTGAGCATCGCTGGCATGTAGTTTTGGTAGCCACGTAGCAATTTCGTCACTGGCACTTTCATATGCTGGGTGCCGGCTCAGTGTCGTGTACGCATCAGCACAAGTCAACGTGACGCTAGCCTTGGATGCAACACGAGCCTGGGTTGAGTTGACCCCTGCACGGGACCGAGTGGTCCTAGGCGGTAGCGGGACAGAGTCGGGTTGGCTTTGGCAGCACCAACGACTACCCGGTGTTTGACCACCACAGCAGCCCGACGGGGTGCTTGCAGACTGTGCTCGAGAAGCCGCGAGAGATTTACAGAACAACGTGCTGTTTGGATCGGCACGGCATTGTGCGCACGTCCCTGGACCAGATGCACATCCTGAGGACGAAGCTTCAGCCACCGCTGGAACTGACATCGACACATCCCCTTCGGACGGTGGTGGTGTAAATTGATCGAGCTGTCTTGGCGGGTTGACGGCAGCTACGGGACGATGCAGACTTACGGATCCTGTTACAGCGGCGTGGTTCTGAGCTTGCTCACGCTCTGCCGCCATCTCTGCACAGATGCATGGAGTGCCATCAGAGCAGAAGCCGCAGGGGTCGGCGATGGCCGAGGTGGGAGAATGTTGCTCTGCGTGACTGACACCAGAAATGTCTTTTGCCGAATACATCGAGGTGAAATCGACTTCCATCGCTTCTTTCGGCTCAACCTTGATGCGTTTTTCAACCTCCATATAGATTGGAGAATGTGGTCGTTTTTCATGCTGATGTGTGCTCGTACTCGTTTCTCCACTCATGGCTTGAAAAGCGTCGTCGATACACTGACATCGAGTTTCCAGAGTGCAGTTTCCACAACCAACAGCGTTGTCATCGATGGCAGGTTCAGTGGTGGGTGCTTCTCCGGATTTCTTGTCTTGCGGTGATGCAGATCGAACCGAGACCAGTTCATTCTCAAGTTTGCGGCAGCGATCAACCCAGTTGGTCAGATCATGGCGGTATTGATCGATTTCCTTTTCGAGCTTCTCAATGGTTCCTCTCAGGGCGTCTTGCTCTTGTTCATTCTCTTCTTCGATCTGTTTAAGTTGTTCTTCAAGTTCACCCACGCGTGCGGCACGTCGCTCTCGGAATGCTCTCTGCGCAGCGCGATTCTGTGCTTTGCGTTTGGTGGGTGGCGTGTCGGTTGCTGGCTTCCGACCAGGTTTTGGTCGTGGAGGGATGATCCATTCCTTGCTTGTTAGGGAGAGCGTGGCGGAGGGTGTTGTTGATGCGGGGGATGTCGCCGGCGGGGTCTGAATGGGCTTTGCACATAATGACGGCTGCCTCGTAAGTATAGGCTTGACGTCGATAGGTGCCGGGGGCGAGCCAGCCGTCGGTGGAGAGGCTGCACTCGAGGACATGATTTCCAGAACGAATCCAACGTTGGCCGAGTTTGGCCGAAAAGAAGCTCTTTGTACGAGAGGATATTTCCTGACAAGCAAAACTCAGTCGCAGTCACGGACAGTATCGAGGCGCCTTTTCAGGTCGCCCAAGACGCTGTCAAAACGGTGCGACAGCTATACCTAGGTATGCAGAGTGCACAGCGAGGTCGAGTCAAGAGATGATGTTGAGGTTGTGTTTGTGAGGTAGAGAGAGATGCGAATCAGATTAGATGAGTTCTACCTGCCAAGAAAGAGGGGCTCCGATTTCGCTCATGCGATAAAAGGCCGCGAGTCAGGCCACTACTAGACCAAATCAAGGAGCGAAGAGCGAAGAGCGAGGAAGCACAGCATCCGATCAGGGCCCAGCACCTTGTGCAAGCTTGTACTGTAATGTAAAGAGTAAATCCGTGTCGATTCCAAAGTGCTCGGTACCTAGTATTTCATGTCCACCGGGAGAAGAGGAGGGGGTATCATCAGTCAACACCCATAACGCCATGCTGTCCCAGTCCACACGCACACATATACACATAGGAACGAGGCCGCAGCATCATAAATCAAACAATCAAGGAGATCCTTGAGCTCTCCAAGAGTCTAAAATTTTCCACCATGGACCCCAGTCCCAGCTGTAGCCGCCTCGCTACCACTTTGTAGTCCTCCAACAAAAGACGTGCCCCACACTCCGATGAGCCCCCAGAAGCCGACTCTCCAGCCGCGGTATAGGCCTTCGATACCCTGGCCTTTGCGCTTTCGTCTGGGTGCTTTGCCCATTAATGCTGCTGTCTTGTCTTTCTTGGATTCCGACCAACCCTCTTCCCGCATGATGCTCCATATAGTCGGTACAATCCCTCTGTACGATTGTGGCACAGGGACAATGGTGGTGATCGCCTTCCGCTTGGATGATGTGGCAGGTGGCGAGTATGCAGGAGAAGACCAAGTAGCAATCTGGGCGCGACGTAAAACAGTTTCCAGCGGGAACTTGATCGACAAGTCTAACGCAGATCCTGCAAAGGTTGCCAAACTCCAGGTAGCTGGATTCATGGCAGGATCAAGTCCAAGGTAAGTCTTCAAAACGACAGGTGTGCTGGTAGAAATCATGGTCGGTAATGTGGAAGTAAGAAAGGTGATCGGGACGAGGTGGACTGGAACCATGTATGCTGTAGGAAGAGTCTTCAATGTTCCAAGCAGGGTCCTTGGTTCTTGGTCAGAGGGTGTGAGAATCAGTCTCGTCCTAGCGGCATCTATCGGAGCTAGGATCAAAGATGACAATGCTGCCGCTGCAGTTGCAATAAGCACTGTAGCTGTCGGGGCTGTCGAGGTGAGTATGGAAGCGTCTGGGATTGCACCACCAGACGCAGGAACCAAGACGTCACTCTCGGCAACTCCAAAGACGGCTGCCAAAAAGCTTCGGAAGAATGTCTCAAGTGTCCTACTCAATATGTTGTAAACGAAAGTGGAATTGGTAGCCCGCCACATGGCTAGTGCTCCACTGCTAGACGAGAGCGCCGACAATGCATCGAGAAGAGAGTGAGGGTTCTTCAAGTTGATCATGCCTTTCTGCGGCTGAGCACGGCCAGAAGCATGTCGGGGTGACAAGTCATCCCGGGGTGGTCTTCCTCGCCGGCCACGAGGCGGCGAATGCCTCGAGAGAGGTCTGTCATACGGTGCAGTTGAGGTAAAGTAGTTGGGCTCGTCATCAGAGGAATTTTCGTAGTTATAGCCATCATCAAAGTCATCATGGCTGGAAAGCGTTTTCTTCTTTTGCGGTTCATCTCCATCATCTTCCTGGGCAACGCGTGTTTGTAGGATCACTTTCGCAACCTCGAAGGGCTGTGCGAGGAGAACATTGGTGTATTTCCAGAAGGCTCGATCGACCACGGATTTCAATGAGCCTGTAAGCGAGGGACTTCCCTCTGGTATGTAGTCCGAATAGTCAATGTCTGGAAAGGAGAAGGTCGACGTGGAGGAGGGTTTGAAGGCGCCCGTACTCGAGTTGGACATGGGCTCGGCTCCTATTGACGGAGGCACATAATAAGGGCGTAAAGGGTTTGGGATATGCCTTGGATCTTGCATGATGCGAGGATGCAAATGCTCGACTTTGCAACAGACGATGCGAGCCCCCTCTGCCTGTCCTGTGTGTGTAAGGTGAGGTGATCAATCCAAGATGCGCGAAATCATAAACTCACCAGACGTAATTGATTTTCCACTCCACCGTACAAAGGGAGATTCCCATGCGCATGTGGAACACGTGATTCAGCCTTGTCCAGCTACCACTATGGAGTATCTGGAGTTCTACTCTGTTCATTGCTTTGGCTGCAAACTGCCACTACTCAACTTCATCCTGCACAAGTACGTCCCTGCAGCTCACATCCTCCGACCCATCCCACAAAACCATCAGAAAATGACAGGCATACTATTGACCCTGGTCTCTGTCCTCTGCCTTCTCACCAGCGCGAGAGCTGCAACACTTCGAATCCAAATCCCACCATCGAATCTCCTCCCAAATCCAAATGCTCTGCCAGCTTCTACCCATGCCACTCTGACCTCTGGTACTGGGCAACCTTTACGAGCAGTCCTTCGCAAAGGCAGCTACTTTGAATTCCCCGATATCACAACCGTCGGCTCCCATCTTCTGGACATTTACACCCGCGATTACGTTTTTGCTCCATATCGCATCGATCTCGCCCCGTCCTCCTCCGACTCTTCTTCAACAGTGATTACAGGAGCATGGGAGACATATAGAGGCACAAGGTGGGAGGACCGCGGTATCGCGCTAGTTCCCGCACCCACGGATCGCTTGGAGATGTCAGCCAAAGTACTCTTGAGAAAGAATTTCTACGAAGAACGACAAGGATTCAATCCCCTAAGCTTGCTTAAGAATCCCATGATTTTGATGGGCGTTGTTGCTCTTGCGTTTACTTTCGGTATGCCCAAGCTGATGGAGAACATGGACCCAGAAATGCGAGCCGAATATGAGGAGATGCAGAAGAAAGGCCCCATGTCTGGCCTCGCACAAGCGATGCAAGGCGGAGGAACCAGCGGGCCAGCGAGCAACTTTGATTTGGCAAGTTACTTGGCGGGTAGCGGCAAGAGTACGGGCAGCGACAAGGCGTCAGAGGGAATAAGAGAGCGGAAACGATGAAGCTAGGCATCTCTTAGTCCCTATCAACAATCCGAGCTTGCCGTGAGCATTGTGATTGACAATACTAGACAGTGACAACGCCTGCTTCCAAGTCCATCGTCAGAGCGGTCCTTGCAATACGGTCGCCTGGGTCTGGGAGAATACCACAGTTTTCTCACTGGTAGGGATCTGCTCACCCTCAGTCGTTCCTATCTTCTCATAATCGTTGACTGTCATCTTGCCGCATAACGAGACCCGGCGTATGCCTGTTTTGATGATGCGAGTCGGCCCTATGCCTCCCGATATAGTGTCCGTCGTCAGTGAAAGCGGAAGCCACTCTAGATCATACCACAAGAATTGAGAACTCCGCTAATGGGCCTCCACTTCTGTCCCTGTCCCTGGCCCTGGCCCTGGCCCTGGGAATGTCCACCATCGCTCGTCGGCGTTGATGCTGAGGGTGCTGGCTCAGTTGAGTCTCCCTGCAAAAGGATCTTGTGAACAAGCGGATCGCAAAGGCGGCAGACAAAACCGTCATGTGCGCTGGGCCATTGTGCATCCACTTCTGCAACACCTTGAGACCACGAGTTGTTAACGATGCAGATTCGACGACAATGTCCGGGAATCCGGTTTTATCAATACGAATCGCCCTCTAATGTCCGATAAGGAACCTTGTTTCTGGTCGGGGCGGTTGGTGGGAGAGTTCGTTGATGTCTCGGCCGTGGTTTAGTTCAAAGCAAGTGCTCCACAATCCACGATAAAGCCATAATGTATGTACTTCGGGCCATATCAGGACTAACAAGATCGAACACTGCTTACCCAGGTTGGAGTCTACCTAGTAGGCTCATCGGCGCCTGTTTGACAGTCCCGTCGTCCTCGCCATCGTTGAAAGCAGCCTGTATTCGTGGTTCCACAAACTTGAAGACATCAAGCCACAGCGTTGAGCTGGGACTCTGCCTTATCAAACCCACGCCGCTATTTGAGCTCTTGGTCCTACAAAGACCATATTATGAAGCAGCACTGACTTACGGAAGACAAATCCCAAACCGCGCCATCAAAAGCCTGTCTAGGTGTTTAGGGCGCGCTCACTAAGGCTACTGCTTGCCTTCTGATCGTACTCGTGCTTCACGGGAAGCGCTATCAACGGAGCAGTCCGCTGACCTTTCATACAAGTTTTCTTTTTCACAATGGAAGCCAGGCTGATATCAAGTTTCGAAGCTGCAGCGAAGGACAAGTCTGTTCCAGGCATTGGCGCTATGCTTGTCAACTCCAAAGGCGAAGTGCTATTTGAGACTTCCCACGGCACACTGAATCTCGACGATCCAGCTTCGCCACGATTCACGAAAGACACCATGTTGCACGTGTTCAGCTGCACTAAGCTCTTGACTTCTATTGCCGCGCTCCAGTTGTACGAACAAGGAATGCTATCACTTTCCGACCCGGTGGAAAAGTACGTTCCCCGAATCGCGAAGATCCAGGTCATCGAGTCGATGAGCGCTGATGGACCTATTCTGCGAACCCCAAAATTTAAGCCGACCATCCTCCAGCTCCTCACTCATACGGCAGGCTTTTCGTATGACTCCTTCGACCCATTGACATTGCAATACCGCATGTACACAGGCCGCAAGCCGGGCGGTTATTCGGCCCCAAGCGAGTACAAGGACTTTGAAACCCCGTATATTGCTGACCCAGGCACCAAATATGTCTACGGGGTGAACACAGATTGGATGGGCTTCGTCATAGAGGCCATCACCGGGCAGAACCTAGCCGAGTATCTCGACCAGAACGTCCTCAAGCCTTTGGGGATGCACAACACGGGCCCGGTTCCGGATCCTTCTAAGCCGACACTGGTAATCCACATCCCCGTCCACGGCAAGTTGGTAGCAGTGCCAGCTTCGAAGCCCACCGACAAGCCCGGGGTGCATGGCGGCGGATCATTTCTGTATTCCACACTCGAGGACTACGCTAAACTTCTGGCAACTATGCTCAACAACGGCACAAGTCCATCCACTGGCGAGGCCATACTAAAACCGGAAACTGTCGAGCACTATCTCTTCACCGATCAACTGCCGCCGAAGGTTGACCGGTCCCAACTCGGTGAAATCAGCACTGCGGTCCCCCTTGATTGTGCCGAAGGAGGTTTCTTTCCAAGTCTTCCTCTCAGCTCACGTGGCTGGTCGTGCGGACTGCTCCTGAACCACGAGGACCTACCGTTTGGGCGGAAGAAGGGCAGCGGTGGTTGGGCTGGGTTGGGGAATCTATATTACTGGATTGATCCGACTGCGAATGTCGCAGGGATCATCGGCACAGGGACGCTTCCATTCATGAACCCGACAGTTCTGAAGCTCTTTGATGAACTTGAGCGTGTGGCGTACGGTCATGAACCCGCGGGCGACAAAGCAGATCCCAGAACCATGAACCATAGAGTTGGTCCGCCCCTGGATTCGGATCGGGCGAAGATGTAATACGCCCTCTCTGCCTTCACTGTTTGCGAGGATTTGACCATGGCGCCAGAGAGGTTCCTCGAGACTCGCCACACTCTAAAGATAGCATCCAAACATTGCGTCTTCCGCAGCTATCCTGGCGCTTACCGATAATGGCTTGTCGGGAGGTACCGCAGTTGTAGACGTCTCGGAACGTACAGTATCACCCAGCATCATTGTCGATTCTCAATAGTTGGACCAAGATTTTCAAGGTCGATGCCTCCGTTAGTTATCTTGTTTATTATCATTGATGATGTTATTGAAACCGAACGGCGCCTGATGAGGCTAGCCTATATCATTGGGCAAGGCTGACACTTCGAGTTGGCGCCAGGCGGATAAGATGCTGAGTTTGGCGCCTTGTGATACATTCCTTGTCCCACTCCCAGAAATGTGGCGATACGTGCGTATGGATTGGACGAGTCAACAGGGCATTTAGCAGTCTTGGTGCGTAGCATGAGTGATGTTGTCCATTTTAGTGCGACGACATGGCTGCATTAGCCCTTGCGGCCTTCGTACCATTCCGTCTCTGGCCAGGCTGTTTCACCTTCTGGCGTGGCCAGGATGGCTACAGGCCTCAGCCACACCGTGCTGCCTACTGCTATGCTCATAAAAGGCCGATCATGCCTCCAAAGCTTTTCGGTACGGGAGGATCACCCTCCCTCTCCTTCTGCGGCAAAGAAGATGAAGGTAACATCACTGTACGGCAAAATAGGAGGCTTCAGACTGAACTACGGACGGGGCTCGCAAAAAGGAAGACCATTGGAAAGAAAATCTCGGGAAACAAAGCGTACTCCACCGAATGTCTGTATCGTCACTGTGTTTGCTGCTTTGCACACGTTCTGGCAAAAGTTTACCGCCGTCCTCAGCGGCAACCCTCTTCCTGGTGACGAACCATTCCAAGCATCTCAGAGGCCATCAGTCTGGGTCCTTCTGGTACACTTGATACCACTTGCAGCTGTCTTTGTCATCACTTCGCTCAACCTGTACGGATACTGGATAGGCAAAGAGCTCTCTGGAGGCAACAACCAGAATACGCCGAAAGAACTAGCTCTCCAGTTGACAGCGAAAGCCCACGAGCTGCTCATAATGGCCTCCCTCAGCGAAATCCTGCTCACTCACTTACTCAAGAGTCTGGCTTGCGGGTTTGGTTTGCCTTTCGGATCTCTTACAGCAGGCAGTAAGTTCAAGGATTTGTCCTACCTCTGGTCTCGGGACTTCCGCGCAATGTGGGCGGCTAGCTATCCTCGAAAATCGCTTCTGCTGCCTCTGCTCCTGTTATGCCTTATTCTGAGCATCGTCGCCGGACCTTCTTCTGCCACCGCATTGATTCCGAAACTTACTGAGTGGCCATCTGGGCATGCACTCATGACACTCAACACCACTGACGCTATCCTGTGGCCTTCTCGACTTCAAGAGAGTGCTACACAGCCTGACCGTTGCGATCACTCTACATTAGGCTGCTTCAACTCCTTGACATGGGATTCAATCGGGCCTACACTGTTCTCGTACTGGGGCCACGATACATTGGGTGGGATGTCGGCGATGCCTCACCAGGTCAACATCCCAGGTGTTTCATCTCTGCGATCAATGGATGTCCGACTTCGATACCCAGGAAGCTCCTCGCCGCAATACACCCTCGCTACGGTCCAACATGCTGCCATTGGAGATATGGTCAACACTTTCCGCTTCTTGACATTCCCTTCCAGGTCGAGAAAGTGTCGCAAGAGATGGGCGGAGGCCATGTGCTCTTATCAAGACGCCAAGTGGTACCTGAAGACGATGCAGCCACTGGTTTTCTCAGCGTGTATGCAGACTCAGCTAAACACCACAAAGGTTGCGTTTCCTTCGTTGCAAGCTCAGACTCTTGTTCTTACGACGCGGTACCTTGCTTTGAACGCTACATTCGGGAACGACGATGAAAATGATGATAACCATCCTCAATTCCGCTGGGTTCCATCTTCTACGAGTACAAATCAACTGCTGCCAGACAAGTCCCTGGACGTGGCGGTCAAATTGCCCGAAACGATGAGTGGGACATCGTCTGAAAGTCGCGTATTTGCCTGTACAATCCAAGCGCAATGGGCCAAGTCTACCACGTTTACGAGCTTCAGTAACACGGACAACCTTGTCAGTAGTGTGGTGTTCGGATTGGGATCGTTAATGTTCAATTCCAAATACTCTAACGGCCACCCTGTCTCGATCACCCCGGATTGGGCTCAGCGGACTGTTGACAGCCGACTGGATTCTCAGCCGAATGTGACGGCGTTTGAGAGATTCATGCAACTTGGGCAGCCCCACGAGAATCCAGAAGCCAAGCTTGAGCTGGTCTTGTCGGTTCTCTTTGCCGAGATGATGGCCCACACGAGCCCCGGCACTGCTCCGCTGTCCATCTCAAGTAATGACCTTGATCTCAAGATGCGAGGGGACCTGACTGTACAGTCGGATAGAGAGGCGCGGACATCAGCAGAAGTAGAAACGGTGACAATGCTCCCAGACGCAAAGGATTATGTGACGAAATTTACATTGTCGACTTCCATGACGGGCTACGGATACGGACTAGTCACTGTGTCCGGAGTTTCTTGGTCTACGGTGATTTCGATGGTTGTGTTGTACGTATATTCGGCCGTCGTCCTGATCCATCTTGTTTCTTTGTACGTTTCGCGGGATATCTATATCAAGTCGTGGAGGGAGGATAGAGAGATGCTCTTGACTTGTTTATGGTCTAGATCTACACCTGAGGTGCGGGCGGAAGGACAAGAACACGGAATGACGCAAAAGAACCATGACGGTGAGCCCAATATCTTGAAAGAAATGGTGATTTTGACAAGTAGGAGAAGGCAGCCCGAGTTGTCGTTCAGGACCAATGATTATCTTAGGGTTAACTACTGATCTAACCACCGAGATCCTCCCCAGGGCTGCCACGCCGCTGTGGGTAGTTTCCATGACAGTATGGTCAGATCCGAAGATACCCAGAAGCGTACCGCCTAGACATTTCCACGAGTAGTAGTACTCCACGCTTAGAGCATCCTACGTATAGCCACTGAGGAATTGATACTGGCAGTGTCCCGTATCACTCTGGCCGGCGAGGCTGAAACGCAAGGCTGAAGGACGAGCCAAACTACGGCGAAGTATAAATGCCATCCAACGCACATCAATTTACGCGTCGTGCTGCGTACCGCGTCGCACTTTGGGAACATGAACCTCAGTTGTCCTCTAGGCTTTGTGTTCGAATGTTTCGTTCTCGACAACAATCACGATGTCGGACTATGAAGATGATATAGATGTTGACGTCCCTGTAGCGCAGGACAAGTCAATCCAATTCAGCTCCGACAATCTCGCAGGCAAGCAAAAGCGCATAGTTGCAGACTTGCCAATAGAGGCCGAGGACAACCTACCATGGTACTTGCTACGCAATCAAGGGTGACAATCGCTAATGTTGTATTGCAGGGTTGAGAAATATCGCCCCAACACTCTCGATGATGTGTCTGGTCACCAAGATATCCTTGCCACCATCAACCGATTCATTGAACACAACCGGTTACCCCATCTCCTCCTCTACGGTCCGCCTGGTACTGGCAAGACATCTACGATCCTGGCGTTAGCACGACAGATCTATGGCGCGAAGAATATGCGACAAATGGTGCTGGAATTGAATGCGTCAGACGATCGCGGGATCGATGTTGTGAGAGAGCAGATAAAGACATTTGCTTCCACGAAACAAATCTTCAGCACTTCCACGCAACAGTCCTCGACTGCAGCCAAATTCGGCCTTGGGGCTTTCAAGTTGATAATTCTGGACGAAGCCGACGCAATGACCTCGACGGCACAAATGGCTCTAAGGAGAATCATGGAAAAATACACCGCCAACACCAGATTCTGTATTATTGCAAACTACACACATAAATTGTCTCCAGCTCTACTATCGCGGTGTACGAGATTCCGTTTTTCACCTCTCAAGGAAGCCGATATTCGCCGCCTAGTCGACCTCGTCATTTCGCAAGAACATGTCAACATTGCTCCCGAAGCCGTTGACTCACTCGTCAAATTGTCCAAAGGCGATATGCGAAGAGCACTGAACGTTCTACAGGCCTGCCATGCAGGTTCGAGACCTCTCCCGATGCGAGGCGAGCCACCAGTCAAAGATTCTGTCATCCAATACAAGCTTATCACCAATGAGACGATATACAACTGTATCGCCGCTCCTCATCCGGACGATATCCGTTTGATCATGACCACAATGCTGAGTACACCAGATATCACGAGTTGTCTGAACACAATAAATGCGCTGAAAAGCAGTCGTGGCTTGGCTCTTGCCGATATTCTCACTGCTTTGGCAGAGGAGCTGCAGAGCCTCGAAGTCAGTGTCGCTACTCGCGTAACATGGCTGCAGGGTCTGGCTGAAATAGAGTACAGACTTGCTGGAGGCGGCAGTGAGGGTGTGCAAACTGGAGGCATGGTTGGTGTCATAAGGACTGGCTGCGAGCTGATGGGGGAGAAGGGTGTCGGCCAGAAAATGATTCTGGGCTGATTCGGTGCCTGCTATGTTGATTTACCAGAAAGCATTGCCCGAAGTCCCAAACGTCGACATTCCTAATTAGCTCGCCTCTCTCGTGCTCTGACACACAACACACCGTATTCGTGCAAACCTCAGTTGACAATTCTGCATCTGGGCCTCGCCGAACAACGAGAGACCTTCTGCAACGATTAGGGGCGGTGGCTTGCAGCACACTACGGCGAAGACCTCGTGCTGGCAAACGATTAGGAAGCTCCCGAATTCCCCCTGACCAAAAAGGCATTCCAGAGCTTCGTGCCCTCTCAGGGCGCCTGCATTACGCATGGAGCAGAGCCTTGATTGCTATGCGAGGCTGAATCTGGTATGTGCAGGATGAAAATACCCTGGAACCTTCTGAAAATGGGAACATGAAATATAGTGGGTAGCATAGGTCACCATCACTGGGCTAGGCTAGATATGATTAACGATTGCGCTCATCTGGGAAATATGATAATATCGTGCGTTAATTTAGCAAGTGCCCTGTTCGTTTCAATTCTTTCGTGTTGTCCGACCAATTCACTCTCTCTTTGTCCGTGAAAGCAATTGTAGGCTGCCCTTCCTTCCCAACTCACGTGGATTCCTGTAAACAACGCTCCAGGAATGGCTAGCGCACAGGGCAACTCAACTCGGTAAGGGCAGGTTTGCCGAAGCCTTGTGGGAATCTCAAGTTTGACTTCAGACGACTTGTCTTCATTCAAGTCGGGACCAATGCCGACAACAACTGAGCATATCCATCTAAATCAAATATATCTCTCTCTAGGTCGATGTTCCAGTTTTGAGACGGCTCTCGTTTGGTTACCTTTGTACCATTCTTGTGGGCTAGCTTCGGCCTCTGCAGCCTGACCCGACAGAGCGGTCAGCGGGGAGGACGCGACCAAACAATCACCATTTCCTCCTGACCATGCCTCGTTTTGCAAGCGGATCTGTTCTCACTAGCTTCATTGCTCCTCGCCAGTTTTTCCATCGGCATTTTTTCAGAGCTGAAGCTCTCCACGCCAGCTGCATCTGATGTGTCTCGCTACCGGGCAGAACCCAGTCTAACCGCATCTCTAGTCTTTTGAATTCGCCGACTATCTACTACTGTGGAGGAATTTACCAGATTAACATTTCACAGAGATGATCCTGCTCGTCTCTGTGGACCGACAGCCTTCCACGGCTGTCGCTTTCAATCACTGACGTTATGCATAAGCAACATCCGGTCAATCACACAAGTCAACGAGGCCCTGGAACATGAAACGGGGCCCCTACCTGTCTGAGATGGAATGTTTCAACATTCCGTGCTAACTGCAGTCTACATTGCCGGGGTGTAGAGATGTTGCACTTTCATTGTGGCAATATCTCTATCACGGAGGCAGACACATTCTAGCGGGGCAAAGGATGCGGGTGCTGTGCAGTTCAATGCCTGGACATGAACATGAAATCTTGCCACGTGTACAGACAAACTGGCAGCATGAAGGGGTTTTGGCCATGGTTGGCACGTACATAGCTTTCATTGTCAGGGCTGCTGCTATCGCGCCGCCGCGGTGCATGGGTGCATCAGCCTTGGACACTTCGCACTTGCCCTGCGCCCTCCACCAAAAGCGGCGTCAGATATTCCGGGACTTCCCCCTCTCTTCGCCGAGGGTCTCACCATATCTGCACGCCAATTGTAGACCACGAGTGACTAGATCTCCATCAAGGAAACTACATAGTGCTCAACGACAATGGGCAAGAACAAGAAGACAAGAGATGGAAATGGGTGGAAGAAAGGCGGGCGGAAAAACACGAGAAGGTCTGGTAAAGGTGAGTGACTGAACACCGGCTGGCTTTCGGCTTCGGAATATCTCCTTCCGGTGGTCCACGCCGCTTTTGGGACAACTCGCCAAGGCGCAGGCCTATGTTCATGCAGTCGGCTCACTGAACTGGGATTGCAGACTGCGAAGGACTCGTCGAACCACAGCAACCGCCTCATCCTCACCATCCTCCACCCTTGCCTTCTGACCGCAACGCAAATGACTCCCAGGAGTACATTGCAAGGTCTCGACAAGACCCTTCAATGAAGCATCGTTGGCGAGCTGAAGACGATCCTCGCGACAGAGACTTGAATCGATCGCGGGAGAGAGACCGACATCGCGGCGACCATCGTCCGCCATCACCTTCTTTTGGATATTCTGAGGATCATCGAGGCCCTCATCGAGAAAGGGACCAAGGAGGACGCGGTGGTCGTCGTCAAAGTCGAAAGTGGCATCGAGACACGAAGACATTTGGCGGCAGAAACCCGTCTTTATCACCCACCCGTCCAGCCCACTCAAAACACCCGCAAGCACAGCATTCAAGGCCGTTCAAAGACCGGCCCGGTCCGATTCGCGATTTCTCTCCCGATAGACATCCCAAACGCAGACGTACTCAGAGTCCTTCGCCTGCACCAAGTGACAGGTTTGGTTCCGACAGGCGGAAATCTGGCCGCAGCCGTGACCCTGTAGATATTCACGAAAGGCGGTCGAGATCACGTTCTCCTTTCAGACCATCCAACGCATCCAAGTCCGATTCGGTCTCTCGGGGGTACAACTCAGACCTCAGAATCTCGAGAGAATCGAGTCCTCGTCGAAGACCAGAGAGACGATCTCTTTCACCTCGCCCTTCGTTGAGACCATCTCCATCTCGCCGTGACGACTACATCAGCCATCGTGAAGCATCCAGCAAAGATTTTCGACCTCCAAAGCGGCCTGGAAAAGCCAGAGGTCGGCCTTTTCCTGTCGGAGGCCAACCGCGTTCAAGAACTCCGTCTGTAACAGACGATATTGACAATCGCTCCATGGATGGACAATACTCGACGCGTGGGAATTATGGCCATCATAGGGGACAACAGAGGTCTTTTGTTGATACTAGGCAACAATACAACGGATCGCCACCTTACTCGGGGACGTCTAACAGCTCCTATCATGGGTCTCAAGCTGGCTCACCGTATCACAATTCCAGAGGCGGCTGGGGGGGTGGTCAAAGTCCACATGGGTGAGTTGAATGCTTTCTTCGCTATAAAAGCCTCGCTAACGTCTCCTTAGGCCTATGCATAGCTCCTCTCCACCGTATCGACAGAACAATTTCCCTGGGCCTGGTAGCATGAATAATCCTAATCCTTACTATCAGAGCCAACAGTACTATGGGTCGAACTCCCAAGGATACCAGCAACCTTCTTATCGGGGGGGGCATGGTCGTGGTGGTCATTACACTAAACAGGACCAGAGATTCAACGGTCCACGCGGTCGTGGTAGAGGTGGTCATTTCAACAATCTTCAATGGACTGCACCTCCTACGGGTCCTAAACGAGGCGGTGCACAAAATCACGATGCACAAAGTGGACACACACATCAAACTTCCCCAGCGCATTCACAAAATGGCAGAGAAGCTCCTCCTGAAGAAGAAAATCCCTACAGACCCTCGAAAGATTTACAGGCCAAAGATCAGAGGTCTCAAGCTCAGCAAACGCAGAGAAACGATCAATCAACAGCGATATCCTCGAAATTCAGTTTTGCCTTCAAGTCAAAAGCTCCTCCATCAGGTCCTGCTAGGCAAAATACGGATTTTTCTGCTAAAATGAAAGGACCTTTCAACCCCGACGAACGAGGTCCTCCTACGCAGCCTGGAAGAAAGCCATTTGATCGATTCAACCGGCGGGACGATAGACCAGGTAATCAGCGACCGCCCCCTCCTAGTTTCCCTCCACACTCCGACCGGGGAGCTCCTGCTCGGGCTGCAGAATACCGTAGACCCGAACGATCACGCTCCCCTCCCCTCAAGAAATTCAAAAGAGAGATAAAGTCGCGACCAACCTTGCCGCCTGAATTTGCGGCTTCTGATTCGGTGTACTATCGCAAACCTGGCAACGAATCCGTGGTTGGTGCTGGCACATATGGGAAAGTTTTCAAGGCGATTCACATCTACACAAAAGATAAGGTGGCACTCAAGAAGATCCGAATGGAGGGTGAGAGAGACGGCTTTCCCATCACTGCGGTGCGTGAGATCAGGTTATTACAACATCTCAGACATAAACATGTCGTTGCCTTGCAGGAGGTCATGGTGGAAAAAAATGAGTGCTTTATGGTCTTCGAATATTTGTCACACGATCTTACTGGGCTGATCAACCACCCAACCTTCACCCTGAGCCCAGCTCATAAGAAAGACCTGGCAAGGCAGATGTTTGATGGTTTGGAATTTCTCCACCGACGGGGCGTTCTACACCGAGACATCAAGGCGGCGAATATTCTCGTTTCCAATACCGGGCTCTTGAAATACGCAGACTTCGGCTTGGCCAGATTCTATACCAAATCTCGCAAACTGGACTATACCAATCGAGTCATCACGATATGGTATCGACCACCTGAACTCTTACTGGGCGAGACACAGTATGGTCCTGAGGTAGACATCTGGTCTGCGGCTTGCGTCTTTGTGGAGATGTTCACCAAAAAGGCGATCTTTCCTGGCGAAGGAGGTGAACTCAGCCAAATCGAAAAGGTGTACAATATGCTCGGCACGCCGACCCGCGCAGAATGGCCCAGCATCGTTGACTTGCCGTGGTTTGAACTCATGCAGCCCGCTGACCGGCGAAAGAGACAGTTCGAGATGCTCATGAAAGATATCTTCACGCCGGCCGGCCTGGACTTGGTGCAGTGGATGTTCAAGTATGATCCCAAGAAGCGGCCCTCTGCTGACGAGGTGTTGAGACACGACTACTTCGTCAACGAGGAGCCGAAATCCGAGCAGGCAACAGAACTCTCCCTCGTTGAAGGTGATTGGCATGAATTTGAGAGTAAAGCAGCGCGACGAGAACGAGACAAGCAAGAAAAGGAACGCAAGAAAGAAGAGCACCAGCGTGAGAAGGAAAAGAGAAAGGCCCGCGAGGCGGGTCTGCCGGAGCCAGATGGGTCTGACAAGAAGGTGAAAGTGGACGCCGCAAATACGCCTGTGGTGCCACCACCTCCTCCAAATGGGCAAGATATAGGTTCTACGACCCGGTCGGAGGAAGTCAAAAACGACGATCCAGATGAATCGGAAGGCGAAGGGAGCGCACGAATGAGTATGTCTTGATCTTGGACTCGGCAACACGGCTGCAGGGATGTTTGTCCATCTTAGGACTTCCCATGTCGAAGGCGATCGCCCATGTGGCGCATCGACTCATTATTCTCCTTTTCCAGGGGTTGATGACCCGACCCCAAAGCTTCAAGCTCGACGGCGGAGTGGTGACGGCGGTGCAATTTTGTCTGTTGGAATACTACGAACCCATGAATCATTGACATGAGGTCTTTTGTAGGAGGGTAGTGAATGACCTCTCTTAATGCAAACTACAATATACCAAGCCATTCTTGATTGACAGTAGTGTATATCCTCTAGATGGGGTTGAGTATGTGTTGCGGTTTGATCGATATCGCTCGGCACCACTTTGCTTAGTCGCCGACTCAGCCTTGCCATGGACGAAGTGCAGCGTTTGGCACCTCTCGGCGTCAATATCAGGCCAATGTATCTGAGCTGTATTTGTCCACGAATGCTCTTGTGGTGTTGCAAACGTTCTCAACAAGGTTAAGTCATCGATCCCGGTATGAGCCATGGCGACGAGAGAGATTCGGCTCTACACCTTCTCGATACTGTTTCGAATCCATTCGACATGGACTACGCCGACCATGTCTTATCGGGGCGACGTGCCCAAAGCACTCCCGTGTCTTTGACCACCGGAACCGGATACAGCGTTTTTAAGTCCCTGGTCATACCATCCATCGCCAATGCACGGAAGGAGGTGATCCTGGCGACGTGCTTCTGGGCACCGTCAGCCACGCGCGACGGTGTGAGGGACGCACTGGTCGCTCTCTCGAATAGAGCGTTGGAGACGTCCTGCAGAATCACGGTCAGGATATGTTTCTCGTCTTCGTCACTCGCTCGGAACATGTTGTGGCCAACCCCCAAGGACGGGCAGAACTACAGCCCGACGCAGTGGGCCAAGCTATTGGGTCTATCTGGCCCGGCAGACGTCCGCGGCCTCGACCTCGCCGTCACCAGAAAGTTCTTCTGGCCCTTCGGCATCATACATTCCAAGTATGTGATTGTCGACCGGAAACTGGCGATATTTCCTTCGTGCAACGTATCTTGGGAACGGTGGTTTGAAGTGGCCGTCGCAATCAAGGGTCCCGTCGTGCAGGATTTGATCGTTTTCCACAAATCGTTCTGGCGGCCGCCGCCACCGTCGCCCACGGGGCGTTCAACATTAGTTCCGATCGGAGAATGCGAACGGCGCGAAGGCGAGGGCGACGACGAAGAAGAAGATCATGGTGATTCTGATGATGATGAAAATGTTGGCGCACAACTCAACCCAGGATCATCTACTGCGTCAAGCACGCTCAACTTGGATCCATCGCCGACCGTGCTCTTACCGTCACCTCACAAGACCAGCTTGCTTCCCTTCTGGTGCCGGCCTCGCGCTCTGGTAGGACAATGTCCATGTATGACGATCCCGAGCAGCAGCGCGTCGGAGTATTCACAGACGCCGTTGCTGTGCACGACACATCACCTCCTGTCGACCGCCAGGTCGAGCATCACGATGCTTACGCCGAATTTGACCGAGCCCACCGTCCTCGACGCCATCAGGGAGGCACTCCGCCGCGGCGTCGGCGTCCGTGTATGGACGAACCGGAACCTGATGACGGCCGAGCAGATGGTGACCGCGGGCACCACGACCCCGGCTTGCGTTCGCAACTTGAGAAGGACTTCACGTGGGGTTCGAGGCCAGCTGGACGTGCGTTTCTTCGACGACCACGTACAGCGAGACACTGCGGCGACGACAAGCACATCAACAACAAAAACAACGCCTGGCGTGATCCCGCCCGGCGGTCGCGAGACCACCCCGGTCAAACTCCACGCCAAAGTCACCATCGTCGACGACGACAAGATACTGTTGGGCAGCGGGAACATGGACGCAGCGAGTTGGCGCACGAGTCAAGAGCTGGGCGTTCTCATAGAGAGTAGAGCCGTGATCGAGCGGTTCAAGAAGGAATGGAAACATGGTGGATTGTGATTGACGTTTGTTTGACGTATATTTTCGCAACGGTCAGAAAAAGGATATTCACGATGGAGACAAGATGGATAAATCTGAACACCCACTCGCTCTCTGCCTACGGAGTACTCTCACTCGTTGCTTGCTTGCTTGCTTACACGAGTAGACGACATTACTCTAACAAATTACTACTAACGATCCAGGCGAACAGACACAATAACTGAATAGACCAACAAACTAACTAGGTACATGGTATCATTAAAGATGGTTCAATGAAACAGCCACCTTGTACACGCCATAAACAAAACGAGGTTTCCATGTCTCTCCCCCTTTATATCGGCGACGGAGCATTCCCAAACCTCAAACCCAAACCAAACACTGGTCCTGGCCCTGGCCCTGGCCCTGGGCTTGGACTTGGACTTGGTTCATCGGTACGAGAAACAGAAGCTGTGGTGTAGACACGACCTCTTGGCCGCCCATTTCTGGCATTGCCGACATCACTCCCTTGACCGTCCAGAACGTGACCGGCGGTGTCCCATCGTCCACTGCTCACCGCCCTTTCCAGGTTCCTCACAAGGGGTGAAGGATAGCTGCTATGCGCGTCACCTACACCGGCACCTGTATTCTCATCGAAATGACGAGGGTTGATGCCCGTTCGGCCATACCCATATCCATGCCCGTGGCCGCGCTCAGGGACATGCCATTTTCGCCCGCTTTTCGGCGGCGCCGGCGGCGGTACACGTCCCCGAGACGCTGTCAGCAACTGCCGTTTAGTCTCGGCTTGGACTTCCCATAACGAATCCGGACCTTCGAATGTCCGCGACAGGTCTTGAACATCATACCGGTGGTGGTGCTGGTGCTTATCTCTAAATCCTCCCGTTGCCTCACTCGGCTTTGGCCGCAGAGCAGCAGGCTGAGGCACAGGCCTTAGCTGCAGGTGAGTGCCAGGTGTCGGCGTCGGTGTGTCCTCTGGGCTTGCGCCAGTCCAATCTCCGTCGCCGCCTACGGTGTCATCTTCCCAGATCGAGCCCGCGCCCGTCGACATGGTAGATGGAGAATTGGACGGTTGTCGAGCACGAACCGAGGAGGCTGATACCGGCGGTGCGGGTTCACCGCTCGATTTTGCCCTCGGGGTTTGCCTTTCGAGGAAGGGCGACGAAACTGTCGGCATGCTGGATGCGCAGGTTGACGTCGTGCGTAGTCCTGCATTCATCTGTTGACCACCGCCGACACCGAGGTCGTCCTTGGGACACAACCGCGATCTGACGTTGGTGTAGTTGTCAAGTCTGTGTTCCGAGTTCAAGCTTCGCATGAGCATGACCGACCTACGAAGATCAACCTCGCCGGACTCCAGATGTTCTCTGCTGATGAAGAAGGCTCCAGTTGAGGTCTTGTGCTGCAACGGACTCTCGCCGTGCGAGGACTCGAAATGTCCCATACCCCCTGTTGGCCAGTGCCCACGGGGACCTTTGACCAGTGACTTGCGTGGGTATAACGTTGAACTCTTCAGCGCTGGAGATGGTAAGATAGGAGAGTCAAACGGAGGGTGTTGTAGATTGCGCTCAGAGGGAGGTGTGCTGTTGAGGCGGACGTCATGTCGTGCGGTCGGCGACAGTGGCTTCGGTCGTGGTGATACATGTTTTGCCGCATAGTCGTTTGTGATGTGACTGAATGTGTCCGAGTCAGGGCGCGGTATATCCAATGTCGTGCTAGTTGGAGGTTGTATGTATTGTTTTCGCTGCGGGCGCACGAGTGTTGGGGTTAGAACAGGCAAATTTAGGAATGGCGATTGTATCGGAGTAGGTCTCGGGGAGGAGTCAAGCTCAAGTTCCTCATCCTCTGCCATTCTAGTACGACGTTGTCGATCGTCTGAGGCGGGACGTTGGCATTGCTGCTCTGCTCGAGGGGGCTGGTCCTCCAGCACCTCTGGCAAGTTGCTGACCCGTCTCGGATTAGGCGTCGGAACAGGAAGATTGGCGATTCGGACGCAATTCTGGCGTTTGTGTCCGTTCTTGGATCCCTCAAGAGGCGACAGCGACCGGCGGACCTTTGCGAATTCGCCCCGCAGATCCCACTGCAAAGGGTTTGCAGTCGCTACTGAAGCTGGTCTCTTCAATTCACTGAGATCATACTCACCGCCATCGTTCGTGACGAATGAGTCACTAGTCGCACGCCATTGCGAGACTCTGCAGGTCTCTATCATCGAGCGCCTGTTGCTAAAGCCAGCGCGTGTTTTATTGACTTTGAACTTCCGAGGACTGTCCCAGTGGGTTGCGTCAATGGTTTTAAAGGAGTCGTCCCGGACGAAAATCGCTGGAATCGGTTTTGATGCGGACTTCTCTTCCTCGTTGTCAAGACTCGCATCGACCATGTCAAAACTTGCATGAATGGAATGAAGGCTTGGCTTGACCGCCCGCAGTGTACCGGCTGTTGATCGGCCAGGCTCAGCTTGCAGTCGCGGCGTAGGACTCTTGCTTCTGGCGCCAAGTACGACGTCGGAGCGTCCACCATCCACATCGAAGTTGGGGAGGCGTGAGTGTACACCACTGCGGAAGATGTGCTCCTCTGGTTCAAGGCTGAGGGCGGGTGTCTGATGGTCGTCGTGTCTTGTGCCGTGCATGTGCTGGTGCTGGTAGCGAAAACTCGCCGATGGCACGGACAGAGCATCTTCGGGCGGAGACGAAGGCGTACTGCTACAGCTGACTGCCCTGATGAGCGGTCGAGGCCCAGAAGTTCCTGAAGCTGCATTCTTTCCACCCATCCTCATTAGCATGCTAGGGCGGGCAGCCATCGACAAAACTTCTGTAGGAGCAGCATCGGGTTGACTTCTCGAAAGGGCGAGAGGCCATTGAATTGAGAATTGTCTCTCTGATTTGCGGGATGTCTCAGACGAACGAGCTTCACCAGCAATTTCCGCTGCAATGGTTGGAGTGCGTTCTGAATCGGTAAGCTCGATGATGGCTGAGAGTGGAGAGTTCTGTGCCGTATCGCATGGCATAACCTTTTGTATCCCCTTTTGTCGGCGAGTTTTGGGTATATAGAGTGATCGACCTGTAAAGGATCGCTTGATGCCTCCTTTCCCGCCGCGAGCTGGAGGTATCTCGTTGGGTTTATGCAAGTCGCGCACTCGTGCCTTGTCATCCTTTTCGTTCTCTGTTGAGAGACGTCTACCGCTGCCAATGGCTACAATACCATACGGCATCTGTACGCGACTGAGGTTCTTGTCGGGCAGGAGAACATGAGAATAGGTGCTATCGTTTGCGCCGAGATCCGGTCGATGGTACACCGTGAGATGCCTTGCAAGATGATGACTGTGCAGAAGTCTGCGATGCCGTCGACGCTCGACTCGAACAGCCAGCAAGACACCTGTGATGGTGAATACTGCGGCTGTTGCAACCGCTACAACGATGATCAGCCATACGGGCCACATTGTCGACCTCCTGCAACAGCAAAGGCTGCGAGTTGTATCATGTTGGGAGTCGACGAAGCTTCCATTGTTAAGGTTCAGTAAAGTTCGCGTGTCCTGGCGCTGGAATGTGGGAAATCTGGTTGATAGACAGCAAGGCACAACAAGTACTCTCACTGGAATGTGGAAACTCGACTGCCCATGCGTCTAGAAAACGCCTCCCCAGACACTCGAACGAGACCTTGCAAATACTCGTATTGGTCCGAATTCTCGCCCGTACTGTCCACCAGAAAGGTACAGGTACGAGTACGAAGACGTGTTCCCCTGGATCCAGATTTTCCAAGAGGTGATCCTGGCAATCCGCCAATGCGACCTTATCGCTGGTGCGTGTGGGCCATGTACATCACTGGAGATAGCCAACACAGAGAGTATGGCGTCAATATATGGGTACCCGTATGTATGTGGCCAGGCAACGAGTTGTCCTTTGCAGAAGTTGCGATGTTTTTATTGCGACCTTCGTCTGGCAAACGGAAAGATGGATGAAGAAGGGCGATGAACGAACAGCCACTCTTGGACCAGGTAAGATTGACCACCATAAGTATCAACGTCGCGTAGTTTGGTAGGCAGAAGAAGAAGTTGGCCGGTGGTCACCGCCAGATTGATTAATCCGTAAGTCGTTCCGCAAAACTCTGTCGGAATGGCGGCATCATTCCCACGACAGGAATGGAGCAGCGCCAGGCATACGTGGACGAGAAATCTCATCAAGTATCAGGTAGTATATATACCATCGTCCGTCACGAAATTTTCCCCCTCCACATTTGTTATCTCTGTTTTCTCACATCGCAAAAGTGTGCATCTTACGCCTGAAAATCACCTTAGACAATAGCCACCATGGACAGCCCACTCAATGGCGGTAATTTCAAACACTACAACACCGAGGCTCCCAAGTCGAATCTTGTCCTGCCTTTGTTCTCGTTGAAAGGCAAAACAGCAATCATCTCTGGCGCTGGTGCAGGTATTGGTCTTGCCGTCGCTCGGGGATACGCTGAAGCCGGCGCAAACGTCGCCATCTGGTATCACAGCAATAAGAAAGCACTTGAACGTGCTGCAGAGATTGAGAAAGAATTCGGTGTCAAGTGTATGTATACACAATGCATCAAGGGTCGATTTGGAGTGCTAATACGTCCTCAGGTAAAGCATATCAGGTCGACGTACGGGATGCCAAGGCTGTTGATGAGGCCATCGTCTCCCAAGTCAAGGAATTCAACAACAGATTGGACATCTTTGTGGCCAACGCCGGTATTCCATGGACCCAGGGAGCCATGATTGGAGGCGATCTCCAACACTATCAGAATGTGGTAAAGATCGATATAGATGGAGTTTTCTATTGCGCCCGAACAGCAGGGCGCATCTGGCGAGAACAGAAGGAGAACAAGCTGGAGAACTTCAACTATGGCAAATTCATTGCGACGGCCAGCATGAGCGGCCACATCGCCAACATCCCCCAACTTCAAGCAGCCTATAACGCCAGCAAAAGTGCCGTGCGCCATCTATGTCAATCTCTAGCGATTGAATGGGTTCAATTCGCGCGTGCCAACAGTATCAGTCCTGGTTATATTGCCACGGAGATCAGCAATTTCGTCCCTCCCGAGACGAAGGACCTCTGGCGAGACAAGATCCCTATGGGTCGCGAAGGTGAGCCTATTGAGTTGGTTGGTGCGTACTTGTATCTTGCTAGTGATGCAAGCTCGTACACCACAGGAACCGATATCTTGGTTGATGGAGGATACTGCGCTCCATAGATCATAGATGGGGCTGGGAAATATCGTAACTGCATTCCATTCAAACCTATCGTCTCGTGCAGCATAGTACTACCAACCTTGAGTGCGAGGATGTGAGGCCAAGATGTGAGGCCAAGATTCGACGCTCAAAAGACGTATGTTGGCACAGACGACTAAAATCCTTCCATTTCTGCAGGTACTCATGTGGACCGGGCGTGAAACCTAAGGTGAATTTACACCGGACATGGTGTTTGACTTGCGGATGGTCGTCGAGTCGAAAGGCTCGCATTGTATCATGAAGAATTCTGATTGTTGAGGAGTTCCTGCTTGGTGTGGCACTCCCGGGCCGTTTTCCTGATCAGTGGTGAGCCGCGAATTTGAAGCTCGTCTCCGCGCTATCCCGCCTTCTCGAACCTCTCCGAGCTCGACAATGTTGAGCTGAACATCACGAGATCGGACACATCGTTGGATCTGATTTGTATGATTGTCGCATGACTGGACGAATGGAATGTTGTGAACCTCCTTCTGCCAAATTCTCTGACAATATTGACCTTCCATGTCCGATTGGACTTCCTGTCTTTCTGGATTCGACATATGTTTGGGGTATGAACTCTGTAATCTGAATATTCCAACATATCGGTAGCCAAGAAAAACGGAGGTGACGGCAAATACCAAAACAAAGACGATAAGAAGAATTGTTGAAGTCCAGGTCTTGAAAGGCTCGTCGAGAAAAGGTATTGTCTGCTTTGGAAGAGTTTGGCACTGCGGTGCTCCAGTGAAGGAGCATGGCCTGGAGAAGGTCATCTTTGATGGTGATATACCAGCCATAAAGGTGCAATTCGGAGAGTAGTAGGGAGACGAGGGGAAGAGTTTGTAGATCAGTCGATGAAGATCAATATGAGGACGTTAGACGCTCTTCATTGTAATTAAGTGACAGATGAGATGGCCATGAGTTGCGAGGTGAGGTGAGGTGAGGTGCAAAATTGTCTGAGGCCACGCAAGTGATTCACCTCACGTTTAGACCGCCAAATGCTCGATCCAGTTCTTCGCCTTCTCTGCTGGGTGACATGGCCGGAGCAGAAATAGTATTTGCAGGATGTGTATCCAGCAGTCCTTGGTCGTTCTGTTGTCTGACCTGGGCTTTGGTAGGCTCAAGTATTTTTTCCGTCCGATCTAGCCACCCAGGAGCAACTCTGCGCTTTTCCGCAAGGTCACGATCTTTGATGCCCTGCTCCCAGTCTCTTACGGCCTTCTCTGCTGCATCGATGCTTTTTTGAAGATGGGCTTGGAGGGCTTTGCACGAGTTGACAATGTCTTCTGGATGTGCAGAGTGTCCCGACGAGGATACGACATACTTGGGCTTCCCTTCACCATTCTCCTCTATGATGGAAGGGGGTAACGACGTCGGCACAGAACGATATGTGTACGGCAGGGTGACGGCAGTCGGTAGCGACAGGAAGGGCGACACAGTCAATGGGACCTGTGCCAGTAACGGATGAGGCTCTAATCGCGGCAGTTAGTTTCAGAAGTTCCCAATCAGAGACGCATGTGCAGGACCTACTCATTGTGTCAAACATGGCTGCAGATTGCAGAGCATCAGATTTGGACGCAGACGCGCCTAATATCGGAAGTGTCGCAGAAGGAAGGATTCAGACAGGTGTTGATAGGACTGGGGAGCGAGTGGGAGGATGGTGGCCAGAATCTGACCGAGGCGCTCGTACTGGTAGCAGTCACTGCCGCTGTATGAGCAATCTGGGACTCCAGTTGATGGCCATGGGAGCTGTGCCTCAGGTAAGGTAGCAAATGGATGAACGAGCCGTAGCTGAAGTGCTCGTGTGTCACTCTGTTCCGAAAGTACCTAACTTAGTAGCCATACTGCGCTCAGTTACGAGGTACCTACAGTCCGCCTACTGTGCGAGCCTCACCAGCCCCTCTTTTCTCCCACCAGGATCAGCCAGATCAGGGTCTGTATCGAGCATCAAAAGACCAAAGTTCCTGGCCCCTCAAGATTAGCCTCAGGAGTCTTTCGGTGTCCAGAATTAACACACCTTCAGCCCTGGGCGAAGCACTATTCCATTTTCATTTACTTCTCCCTCCGCCGCCCATCGACTCCTACAACAATCAGCCCCCAATAGCAAATTCCCTTGCTCACTCCTCTACCATCTCAATCTTCAGCTCCTACTTTCGCAAAAAGTCCAGACTTATCAGTTCTTCTGATTCCTAGCACCTTCGCAAACCCGCGCCGAGGCTGTCCACTGGTGTCGCTGTTTGCCTCCCGCTGTGCCACCTTGACGCCCGTCACGACTTTCTTCCCCCACGAATTCTACATTTGACACGCCTCTCTTTATCGGTGCCGACTTTGTCTATCTTGGAATCATTCAGCTCTTTGAATTGCTCCTGGTTTGAGCATACAATTGTACTGTCCTTGAAGGTCACATAGTCCCAAGACAAAAGCCTGCGCTCGAGGCGCACCAGAATCTCAAAATGGATGGAGCATTGGCGAAGGCGGTGGTGGACAAGAAACCAGTCCCAGAGATTGATTTCACCTTGCACATCATGGAAGATGGCTCACAGGTGAGCACTCAGGAGAGAGTCTGCAAAGGTGCGTACAAACCGACTATTTATCTCGTTACCCATGCTTATACCTACGCCAGATGTTCAAGCCCCCGCCATGCAAGTCCCTACCAACGAGCAATTCTGGTCGCCTACCGATCCATCAAAACCCAATCTAGCTTTTCTCAAACAACATTTCTATCGCGAAGGACGGTTGACAGAAGAGCAAGCACTATGGATCATTGGCGAAGGGACCAAGATACTCAAGGCTGAACCCAACTTGCTGGAGATGGATGCCCCAATTACCGTCTGTGGCGACGTACATGGCCAGTATTTCGATCTGATGAAGTTGTTTGAGGTCGGAGGGGATCCATCCGAAACCCGCTACCTGTTTTTGGGCGACTACGTTGATCGAGGGTACTTCAGCATCGAGGTGTGTTCCGTCCATCCCCTTGTGGGGTGAAGACAACTGACAGTTTCAGTGTGTACTCTATTTGTGGGCGCTCAAGATTTGGTATCCCGACACACTATGGCTGCTGCGCGGCAATCATGAATGTCGACATCTCACAGATTACTTCACATTCAAACTCGAGTGCAAACACAAATACTCGGAGAAGATCTACGATGCCTGCATGGACTCCTTCTGCGCCCTACCGCTGGCTGCAGTAATGAACAAGCAGTTTCTGTGTATACATGGCGGTCTCAGCCCGGAGTTGCATACCTTGGATGATATTAAGAGGGTATGTCGTTTTACTTTGGACGTGACGAGTAAGACTGACCTTTCCAGATTGACCGCTTCCGAGAGCCTCCTACACACGGTCTCATGTGCGACATTCTGTGGGCTGATCCTCTGGAGGAGTTTGGACAAGAAAAGACTGGAGAATACTACATTCACAATCATGTTCGAGGCTGCTCGTACTTCTTCTCCTACCCCGCCGCTTGCAATTTCCTGGAAAAGAACAATCTGCTCTCCATCATCCGAGCACATGAAGCTCAAGATGCTGGCTATCGCATGTACCGCAAGACCCGGACCACTGGCTTCCCGAGTGTGATGACCATTTTCAGTGCCCCCAACTATCTAGACGTGTATAACAATAAGGCTGCGGTGCTCAAGTACGAGAACAACGTCATGAACATTCGACAGTTCAACTGCACTCCTCATCCCTACTGGCTCCCCAATTTCATGGACGTCTTTACCTGGTCTTTGCCATTCGTTGGCGAGAAGATCACCGACATGCTCATAGCGATCCTCAACACCTGTTCCAAGGAAGAACTCGAGGAAGACACCCCGGGCACAAGCGTCACGGCAGAAACGCCTCCACTCAGCGACGCCGAATCCATCGAAGCGAAACGTCGTGCCATCAAAAACAAGATTCTGGCTATCGGTAGACTGTCCCGAGTTTTCCAGGTGCTGAGAGAAGAGTCGGAGCGCGTTACTGAACTGAAGACACAATCCGGGGGCCGTCTGCCGGCCGGCACCTTGATGCTCGGCGCTGAAGGCATAAAACAGGCCATTCACAATTTTGAGGACGCCCGGAAGGTGGATCTTCAAAATGAACGCTTGCCCCCTTCACCCGAAGAGATTGAAAAGCGAAGTGCAGAGGACAGGAGGATTGCACTCGAGAGGGCGGCCACCGAAGCAGAGAATGATGCCCAATTGCAAGGTGTAGCACGGCGGATCAGTTTGTAAGTTTGACCATGGCACGCTTCTCGAAATACTGATGCTGACAACCAGTAGTGGCTCTGGTAATCCACGTGGACATCGCAGGAAGGAATAGACTGCTGGCTGGTCCAAGGTGGTCTTGTTCACGAACGGGACGGAATTTGCTATTGGAACAACCGGACTAGTGACAGCCTGATCAGGGACAGGGACGACTTGCAGTGATAGACTGAACGGCACGCAGCGGCTGACGGATGATGCGGGTGTGATATACGCGACGGAGGGACCCAAGGTGGAGCGAAGCTCGCCAGGGGGGGCTGGACTATACAGTTGGCTGACAGGTACTGCTTGTTCCGTGTTTGGCATATCCACGAGGCGAGGCAGACTTGCATCGTGCATCGTTGGTGCCACCTCTGTCCAGGTAGTCAGTCGTATGAAGGGAAGGATCAACATCGGAAGCAGAGGAATATAAAACCCGAGGCCCCGTTAGTCTCTTTCCAATTTCTGACATGTCATATCTCTTAGCCCACCACGACATGGACCTGATAATGTTCCTCCAGACAAGACAAGAATGTGAAAGGGACTCGAATCACCTAACGCGGTCTATTTTTGTCCTCGTCCAAGAGAACGCGACCAGGTGTTTCGCTTAATTACAATTGTATTGTATTTCGACGCCGGACACACACTGGTTACCAGGGAAATGGCCAGTGCGGCAGTGGAAAGGACCGAGCCGCGTCCGGCTTTATTGGTCGCATCGTCAACCACGTTTCACTCCTCCATGTCCCTCTCCCTCTCCCTCCTCTCACTTTTTGCCTGAGGCAGCTCTCTCCTCCGACGGTCTTCCATACTCTCCTTTTTGCCAGCAATTCAGCTTACTGCTTCTTCTGTTTCTCCTTCAGCGGTGTTTCAGCGTCATCTTTCGCGGCTAAGAGTTTATCTGTTCATTGTTGGTTTCGTGCGGCGACAGCGCTCAACCTTTTGGCTGAAGCTAAGGGAAAACAACAACATTCCGCCTCATTTGCATCTCAGAGCATCCTCTTACCGCATGTCAAACCGACGCAACTCATAGTCCACCAAATAAGCCGAGTCGATATGCCGACCACTCCGGCGCATCTTGGCACAAAGGTGGACTGGGCCGTGGACCATCTCAACAGCCATTGGGATCTGGAAATTCCTAAACTTCATGGTATCCCAGCACGAAATGCCGCCGGTAATGACCGACTGCCGTTTCGATGCTTCTCTAGAATTAGGATGCTCACATTTCGGTCTATCCCCATTGAAGACATCATTGAAGAATTCGATCAAAAGGCTCGTGCTATTCATTCAAAATGGGTTTGGAAACCGTCGCAGGAGAAGGGCACTCTTCCTCTCCTTACGGTCTCGAAAAGTCTCATTGAGAGTGAAAAGCGCAGATCCCAAGTGGTGAACCTGACTCCCTCGCAACGAGCTGATCTCTGTCAAGCCCTATTTGAATTTCTTGACGAGTACTGTAAACTTGCCCAATTGTCGGAGTCCATGTCTACGGAAAGACTGTCGGACACCACCTACAGCACTGCGCCGAGTACACCTTCTAGACGAAAGGATTCCACTCGAACACAAGGCACCCTCAGCACTCCTAGGAGAGACATCCTGCGTGAGGGGCAAGAACCCAGATTGAAGAACCCGGGAAGCTCTGTGAAACGGTCAATACCATCTCCTGACAGCGTAAGTATATCCAACGACACATAACGTCCTTTTCTTTTAACTCTATGACAGAAAAGCAAGCGTCAGCAAACGCTGAAGCAACTCGATTATTTCAGACCGCCTCCTTTTGTTGTAAAGTCTGAACCGCTACTACCATCGAACAACAGGTCACTTCAAGAACCCACTAGCTTCGAGACAACTTCAACATCCAGAGTCTCATCTATTTTCGACGATTGCGACGAGCAAAAGAGCGATATTTCTCACCAGACCTCACTTATTGAAGGCCTTGAAGAATTAGCTGATCCGGAGAAATCCCAAGATCTGTTTCCCACTCAAGAATTAGAGGAACTCCTAGAAGATGAGGACTTCCGAAGATCCTTCCATGAAAGCTCCTGCCTACCTAATGATATAGATGCTGCCCTGAGCAATACTTTCCCGGAAAGACGCAAACTGCCTTCACATGTTCCCTTCTGGCTCTCCTGGGAGATTCACCGCTTAGCAGATAAGGCTGACGTTCTTCCCTTCGATCTGTACAACTTTGTTCGGAGACGATGCAAGACTGATTTGCCAACCTTCGAGGCATATTGGGAAGCTGCCAGAGAGTATTCAAAGCACAATCAGGTTTCCACGCCCCCTAGATCCGAGATTCCCTCTTGGATGGCGACCGAGAACAAGTATATTGATCTAAACTCGGCAAGAGCAATATATCTGACTGCTAACCTCGCCTGGAGGAAAGACTTCCCTGATGGGGTATTCAAGCTTGAAACCAATGAGATACGCCTAGAGCAATCCTGTCGACTCTACAGAAAGTTTGGGGCAGACCGATTTCTGGTACTCACTACGCCCGAATTTTCCCAATCCAGCTATCCAGAAGCCCTCAAAGCTCGAGACAGCAACGCGGATCCTATGCGTCAGCGAATAACAGATTTCCTGACTAGAAAAAGTCATTTCATCGCGGGGAGATACTGGCGAGTTTTTTACGTGGAGCCAGAGAAGAACAAACGGCGAAAGGATCAGCCATCACGTCTAAAGTTCTTCTTGTTTGCGGAAAGCGGGTACGACATGGAGTCTTCTCTGTCGACAATCGACCCATATTCAGACTTACTCAACGCCTCTGCCCGCCATCAAGAGATCGGTATAGAAGTCATGGCCGAATGGCATTTGCGATTTGGAGCAAATGCCAAATCGAAGGATCTCAAATTGTTCTCGAGATGGGGCCTTGGGCTCTCGAAAACCACGCCGACTATTGTTCTTGATCGAAAGGAATTTGTTGTCCGACATGACCCACCATCCGCCCCGATAATGGATGATGGCTGTGCTTTGATATCTCTCCAGTTAGCTCAAGCAATTTGGGAGAAATGCGGCGGCCAGGGCGACGTCCCTTGTGCTGTTCAAGGCAGAATCTCTGGCGCGAAAGGACTGTGGATTGTCGATTTTCACAATCGCCATCCTGGAATAAGCGACCGAGAATACTGGATCGAAGTCTCCGATTCGCAGTTGAAGATTAAGCCACATCCCCGGCGCCGGAAACGTGACGATGCGGATCTGCGGACATTCGAGGTTCTGAAGTGGGCCAGCGAATGTAAACCTGGACACCTCAACATACAATTGATTACTGTTCTTGAGGACGGTGGTGTACCTCGACAAGCTCTCGAAAACGCACTCGTTGCCGATACTCTGTCATTTTCGGAGTCTCTTACCGCTGCCGTTAAAGACAAGGGCGATGGAAGATTGTTGTACCTGTGGATGCGGTCGAATGGCCTCCTGAGCCCATCCGAGGCCCAGAAAGTTCTGGGTACGTTCCCTTACGACTGTCGGCAACAGCTTACTCTTCTGCTTGAGTCCTCGTTCAATGCCTCAGAGTCTGCCAAAATAAAGAAGTGTGTAAAGACACTACTGACCAACTACATGGCCAACTATGTTGAGAGGTTGTGGATAACACAAACCTCGTCGACAACAGTATTCTGCGTTCCAGATCCGACTGGGAAACTCAAGAATGATGAAGTTTGTCTCAACTTCTCCAGGGCAATTCAAGACCCACGAAATGGTATGAGCGAACTAGTGCTCAACGATATTGACGTTCTTGTGGCAAGAAACCCTGCATACCTTGCTTCCGATATACAGAAACGCAAAGCTGTCTATATCCATGAGCTGAGGCACTACAGGAACGTGATTGTGTTCCCTACGACAGGCACCCGAGCATTAGCATCGATGCTATCAGGAGGGGACTACGATGGTGATACTTGCTGGGTGTGCTGGGATCCTGCTATGGTGGAGCACTTTCATAACTCCGATTTACCCGCTCTGCCTGACCAAGGGAGGTGTGGAATGAAACAGGAGTCAAGACCACTTCGTGAAATCTTTACCAAAGACCGACCCATCGAAGAGGCAATGCAAGACTTTTCTCAGACATGCATGAGATTTAACGCACGCCCGAGCCTCATGGGGATTTGCTCATCTGAACATGAGAAGCTAATTTATTCACTGAGCCAACGGCAAAAAGAACAAAAGTTGTCGCATCCAGGCGCTATCAAGCTTGCAGCACTGGCGAGCTACCTAGTCGACAGCAGCAAGCAGGGCTGGAGTTTGAGTGAGACTTCTTGGTTTTCCTTACGCGCTGATGCGAGTGGTCGTAAGCAGTTACCAATACCAGCCTATAAAGAAGGTAAAGCTCCCCGACGGCAAGGGGGAGAATTTCCAAATGTTGTCGACTTTCTCATGTTCGAAGTAGCAGAACGAGAAAAGGACAGGACGCTGGCCAAATTCCAAAAGCTGAATCCCGGGGCTGGTGTCTACGATGGTGTACTGAGTGTCACTTGGAAAGAGATGTGGGAGGATGCTCTCGAAGAGAAAAAGGTCTGGGAAAAGAAGACTGGTCACGGTTCTCGGGGTGTCAACTCATATGCCAAGTCAAGAGTCCCCGTCAATGAACAAGAACCTGCACGGGGCCTTGGTATCTATCTGATCTGCGACAATCTCAAGCAGCGTATTGCGGAGGTCCAGCAGCGATGGAAAGAAGTGGCACCCGCCGAGGACTCATCGGATCAAGCCAAGTACAATTACGCCGTTCGTCAAATCCATGAGCTTTTCCTGGCGATTGAACCCAAGCAAATCGATCATGTCATACGCCGCCAGTACGAGAAGGAAAAAACTCGGCACTTTTCGTCCTGGTCACTTCTGCGAGCCTCCTGCTTGCATTATACTGTCTGCCAAAGAGGCTCCTTTCCAGAATGGGTCTGGTACATTGCAGGACGAGAACTGTGCCATTTGAAAGCCATGAGTCACGGAGGCCCCGTCCGGTTGGTAGCAGAAGACATACTGGACATTATGAAAGTCGGCTCGAAATTCGCCAAAGCACTAGTGGAACGACAAAGCATGGACGATGAAGAGATCGATGGAGAAGAATTGGTTGATGATGTTGATGATGGATGAGTGAAATTTGCCGATGATCGGATTCTTGTGTGATTATGATACCCCTGTGCAACTATGGATATTGACGAGCGGAAGTTCTTGGGTACTACGGAGTATGGAGTCGCAAGGTTGCAAGAAGAATGAATTCCTGGATGAAACAAGAAAAGGGAGTCAATGCGTTGAGTTGCCCCTTTCCACCCTGCCACCCTCGTCTGGTGGTATGGAATTCAGTCAGCCTCCATTCTCCCTTGCCTCGCCACCATCGCATTCTTCCAGATGGCTGCTTCTCTCTAGCGCACCCATGGAAATGCTTCAACGTGTCCTCCAGTGACTCGTGTCGCGTTCAATAAGATGGACTCTGTCCGTCATGGTTGATGCTAATCTCGCTCTTACGTTTCCAGTCTGACTGACCAGGACACCATGAGGTCAACAACCATCTACCGGGTTGTCACCAGCCTTGTTGTAGTCTCCCTTTCCTACAGCGTCCTCCTCGTCTGCGGATTTCTTCTCGAGAATGGTGCCCTTTGCGGGACCATCGCATTGGGCATATACATATCTGTTGGACTGGTGAGTTTTCCGCGACAGATACAAGGCTGGGTGAGGCAACCTTACTGACACATACACACGATCAAGTCGATCATCACCATTATTATAACCAAACTACGATTATTCCTCATCTACCGTCAAGGACAAAAGTTGCAGACAATATCGCCATCTCTTGCGCTCCCACAGCTAGACTCTGCTTGTGCCGCTACGGTTCAATGCCTGATGCTCTCTTGGCTGCTGCTGGCCGGCTGCGGTTTACTGCCAGTGGCTCTGCGAGCGCCAATTTGTCTCGCAAACCCATTGCAACAATGGACCAATACACTCGTGGAAATGAGCTGGAGGTACGGCATGACCTGCAAACTGCATCGAACTGTGGTTGCATTGTCGATTCTGATAGCGTGGGTACCCTCCCCGAATCCAAAAACACAATGTCTGCATACGCAGGTGAAGAAAGATGTGTGCTGATAAAGTGCCCAACCATCTATAGCATCTCAATGTGTGCGCTTTCCTTCTTTGACGAGGCCGATCGCCGACAGAAGAACCGCTTCCTGAGGTTCTTCTGCTGCTCCCGCCGAACAACGACACCACAAGAGCAGGGAAGCAAACAACGGATTGAGACGTCAGTTTCCAGTATCGAGTTCGACAAGGACGAGCGCATCTTCATGGTCCCGGAGGCTCGACCGTCACACTTCGAGCGTGAACAATGGCTACAGCGCAGGAACAGCTTGTCTTCTCAGAGAGCCATCCACCCCCACAGACACCATTACTACGACCCTCGGACGAGGTACGTGGTGTACAGCTATGCGCCTAGCGCACGGTATTCGAGCACTCTGCGCTCCGTGTCAGAGGGACATTGTCTCGGTCTGAGCGATCGGAATTCATCATTCACATCTTCCGAATCCTCAGGATCGCTTGCTCGCTCGGCACGACTCCCACCCGCAGCAATATCCTCGAGCCACCGATCGAGCAGTAGTCTTGAGAAGCCTGGTTCTGGGAGCCGCAATGGCGTCGTGGGCGGAGGTGTAGCAGCAGGAGGAGGAGTTATACCGCCTGTCCATGATGTCCCTTCACTGCCAGCCCCACCGCCTCCAATGTGGTCTCCAGCACTGCAGCATGCGCCGCTCAGTTCGGATCCCACGATCCAAGCATTGAGTACCGGAACGCAGCTGTCTCATCCAAGGTCATCGCCCGCACTGCTCGAGACGCCATCTGAGTCTTCTCCTTGTCCTTCTTCTGCCTCTTCAGCCTCTTCAACGTTGGCTCCTATCTCAGGCCCCCTGATCCAGACGAGCGGTATTGATGTGAAGACCAAAGCAAAGCGTCAAGAAAATCGACCGGAGACTGGCGTTCTCGCACAACAAAAGAACCACCGACCACCAACACCACCGCAAACAACACAGGGCCCTGTGTCTACAGTACCTCCAACCTCTCCTCCGCCCCCGCCTCCTCTCACCATACCACCACCACCACCACCAGTAGTAACGCCTGATAGGAAGTCGCCTCCCTCTGTCGCGTTGCCGCCTTTACCCACACGCTCGCCAGGCCATAATATCTCCCCATTCAAAGGGACTCGAGGTGGTGGTGGCGGTGGCGGTGGTACTCGTTCTCGCCCCGCCTCGACGTCGCCATCGCGAACCAACACCACTACTGCACCTTCACCGAATAGTCTCCGTCGCCCGTCACCACTCAGGTCCGTACACAGACAGTACTATGCCCCTCAGCAGTATCAAAGGTATGTGCCCGGGGGTGCTGTCAATACCCACGGCAGCGGTATGAGTGGTACCAGGCGCTACGCCAGTGGTCAAGGGTACGGGTATGGGTCTGGATACGGATACGTGAACGGATCTTCCGCCACCGCTCCAGTTCTGAACTCCGCTTTGAGTGTGAGCATGTACTCTGCCAGTTCGTACGGGACGGACCGATCACGATCAACGAGTCTAGGAGGAGGAGGTATTGGTGGGAGGAAATGAGAGAGAATTGTGATAGGGAGATGAAGAACGAGAAACGAAGACCAAAGATGAATGGAAAACGGATGGGAGATTAAGCTCAGATGAATTGGGAAACACTCTATTTGTAAAATGCGCCCTCGTTGTCGAGGTAAAGTAATTGCCTTCATCAATCGAAAGACACACATGCAAGTGTCTAATTGCGACTTCGCACTGCAGACACACTCCACATTACCGGGGGACTAGTTTTAATTCCACTATACAGGTGGTCTAGGCTGGCTATGTATACACTATGTACATTCTGCGTACCCCGTACTGTCGTCTGTCCCTTATCGTGTTCGTTCAGGAAAGGGGGCGAGGCCGCTTTACTCAGGCGCATTTGGCTGCTTTCGGCGAAAGAAAAAGGCGCTGAGAGTCACTTCTCTAAGTGTGTCCTAAGCGGTCAAAACATCCTACCTTTCGTCGCGCAAGCGCTTATCAGGAGTGGATGTCTAGTCTCGTTCCGCACCAATGTCCGCGCCCGTGTTGAGATATCAAGTCAGCCTTGCTCAGCCTCGCCGTATGCGGTCACGGGGCCAGAGTCTGCTGTCGCCTGGGTGTTCCTGCGACCTTCAGTGGAAGTTGCGATGTCTAAACAAATCCGCGAGGTGAGGTAAGGCTGCTGACCTAATGTAGACGACAGCGACGCTGGTAGAGGCCAAGAACGCGACGTTCAACACCTGGTAGGCTGATGGCAAAAATGGACTCATTATGTATGAAGCATGAAGTACAATGAGTGCAAGGGCTTTACCAACATTCGGTATTTTCAGCTTGGGTAGATTGGGGGAACCGTGCCTTGGCTCACTCAAAGATTGAGAGAACTTTCGACCTGCCAAGAGGGGCTGAAGACAATACGAGGCTGATGCCGCCGAACCCCTGCTCGGGCCTCGTGTTGATCGCTTTTACTTTCACGCCGGTTCCCCCCCCCCCCCCCCCCCCCCCGGTGACAGCCAACCCAAGAGAGTTGGCAAGCCCGGCTTCAAAATGAGGCTGGGCTGCCACCCATGAGCTGAAATCCTCCTCGACCGCTCTTCATGAAAGGTCACTTCACCTCCAAAATATCCCTCCAGCACGGCTGAATTGCCTGTGTCGAGAGAAATCGCCCACCTCGAAGATGGATCCGGCGAACCCTTCCAACTCGAATGTTATAGATCCGATGACCCATCCCATCTCGCCTGGAAACACTGGAATTCAGGAATTGCGACGAACCGTCGGAGAGATCCGCACCATTCTCCCCGGCGAACTGGACAAATCATGTCCCATCGTCTTAGGTAAACGGACCAGCTCTCCCGATCTGCTGAAAACAGAGAGGGGAAGAAGGAGTACATGTAGCTGACACAGACAATTTCTCCGTAGTTCCCGGATTCAGCGGATGGAGCCAACCCTTCCTGGGCACGGTCAATTATTTCGGCGGCTTTGAGGACTTGCCCTTGATCCTGTCCAACGCAGGCTACATTGTCATTGTGGTCCGCATTGGTCCCCTTTCAACCAACAGAGAGCGGGCGTGTGAAGTCTTTGCGCAGCTCCGCAAGATCAATTCGAGCGCTTCGGGGAGGAAAGGCCTGCCCAGGTTCCCGGCTGAGGAAAGATTCACGGAGCTAACTTGAAGAACAGGGGGTATGATCTGCCCGGCACGTCACCTGCGACGTTAATACCCGTCGATTACGGCACGACAAATTCTTCACCACACCAGAATTTGGTGGCTGCGGCGCAAATCTGGCAAGCAGTCGTCTACGCGAGTGACAGCAATCCCTTGCCAGGCACGTGGAAATGGAGTGATACGAACAAGGTCAACTTCATATGTCATTCTCAGGGGGGTACGACAATACGGTACCTGATCGAGCTGTTATCTGGATCGAAAGGTCCGGATCTGCCGCAATTTGAAGGCACGGATCGCCAGGACTGGGTCAAATCCGTGGTCACGTTGGGCTCTCCCCACAAAGGCACAACCATAACAAGTGTTGTGAATGTAAAGTTACAATTCCGGCTCCCGGTGTGCGCAAGTGCTGATTCCCCGGGGCGCAGGACTTCCTCCCTTTGGACGGCCTGGACCCGCTCATTGACTTCGTCACCTCGTGCTCATTCAACCCGCGCAGTGAAAGAATCTATGATCTGTGCCTGGATCACTGGGAATTCTCTCGCCGACCGGATGAGACCTATCAGGCCATGCGTGACAGAATTGCCCCGGATGTCAGAACCTGGTGGACCGGACGCTCCAACGGCCTCAACGACAACAGTCTCCGCGGCGCGGAAGCCCTTGAGACATTCGCTCCAACCGCCTCGAATCAGATCTATTACTTCACCATGTCCTTCTGCGCGACCCAGCCATTCCCACAAGCCAATCTGACTCCGCAGGACATCAACGAGTTCTTGGACATGTTCCACTTCCACCAGGTCTGGAATCCCTTTGGCCTTTTGGGCCACTTTTTTAGCCCGGTTCAGGCGTTTCTGTCTTGGGTGACAGTCCTGCCTGCGCTGTATGCGACACTCACGTGGCTGACCGACGTTGCCAACCGGCATCTTGCACAGCTGGGATATTTCTCCCAGATCCCCCGACCTGGCTCTCAAATTCCTCGGAGTGATATTCTCCCACTCATGGCATTCCCGGCCTACTCAATGGCAGGACGAAGGATAGACGAGAACGCATATCCACGCATTCCCTCCGGCGAGTTCCAGCCGAATGATGGAATCGTGAACACGCGGTCGATGGACGGTCCGGTGGCGGGACCGGTGGATAATGGATTTTTCCCCACGGCGCTGCGAGCGCCGGGCAACACTGTCAAGGGAAAATATTGGCACCTGGGGAAGAACTCGACCATCGACCATGCGGATGAGATTGGAGTGTTCACAGACCGTCGGACGGTAAGCAATATAAGCCCCTGAGTTTTGGCTCCTTGGAGTCGGTCGGCTGGGTGAGTGGATGGTGGCTAACAATAACACAGAATGCTGAGATCCAGGTCATGTACCTCTTGTTCGCGGAGCTGGGTGCCCGTATTCGCTAGAGCTGCAGGAGGTTCTCTCTCCCTTTGCATATCACCCCTTCCAGATAGTCTCCATTGGAATATAGCGTATTGGCTCCGCAGAAATGAATCATTTTCAATGTTAAGCTGAAGATTCTGACATGTCGCAAGAGTTGGCCGGCCCTGTTGCAGAGCTGAGCTCCTCGATTTCTCGTCCCAACGCCTCAGAATTTTCATCGCCGCTCAGGCCATCGGTCGCAAACGAGCGCCGTGGGTTATTGTACCTGCGGTCGGTGGCCAGCGCTGTAAAGCCGGCCTGAATGAGGACCGGAGGCGCGGATTCGGTATGTGTCAGCGTGGTCGGGGTTCCTCCCAGGGGCGAGTGTCGGCGGCTGCTCGAGGAGCTGGGGGGTGCGGGATACCGACGGCGAGCCTTCGGGGTCGAGCCACTCGCTCAAGAGCTCTTGTCCAACCTCGCTTCCGCCGCGGTTTCGGTGGTATTGGTCTTGGTAGAAGTTGGGGATGCCGGTGGCTCTCAAGTCGCCCTCGGTCTGCCGCACGACTTGGCTCATCCACTCGGCGAGTCTCTCGGCCTTCATTCGCCTGTCCGGGTCGATTTCCAAGAGTTCTTGGATGGCTCCTATGACGCGTTGGAAGACCCTCATTTCAACGCAGTGCTCTTTCGCAAGCTCACGGAGCACTTGGTCAACGGCTGGTTTCAGTTTAGACGGCCTACCTCTTCCTCGTCCGGCTACCTTATACCAGAACATGTCATTCAGATTGTCCGAATCATATCCAGGGAAGCTTTCCCTCGCCGTGGAGAATCCGGCCTCGTTGCCATCCTGGTAGAACCCAAATGACCATAGCAGCAACTCCAGGAAGACGCAATCGAGGGCCCACAGATCAATGGGTTGAGACACACCGGCACGCTTCTTTTCGGTCTCAGGGGACCAGTACGCTCGCTTCCCCAATGCTCTCGGGTCTCTCTCTGACGCGTCTTTCCCCTTGGCATCTTTCAGAATCCCCTACCCAAAGTCGGTGATCTTAAGAATAGGGTGTTGCCGCTCATCCTTCTCGAACACCAGAATATTCTCCGGCTTAATATCATTGTGCCGGCCCCATTTATTATCCTGCTCCAGGAGTGAATTGGTCTGTGTAGGCTTCTTGAAGTGGTGCACGTGCTCGATTGCCTTCGCCAGACCCTTTAGCTGATTCAGAAACTAGATGACGAAGATTGGTCAATGGCGAACGTTACGTGTCGTTGATATACTTCCGCAGACTGCTCTTGGCCTTATCGTAGAGGATGTAATGCACCTCGTTCTACGTCCGTGTCATTATGTGCCCGACAAGATAATCGTCAGGGAAGTTAGCGAATTCTTCCAGCATTACTCTCTCGCGTTAGAACGGCTCAAATTACGAGAACTCCTTGACGGCGAATTCACAGCCTGGATCCTGCGGCGCGTAAATTAGCCAAGAGGTTTTCAGATATAGACAAGGGCACGTACACCAGAGACATAATGATGAGATCGATCTACCGTGACCTTATACACCTTTCCAACAGTACCTTCATTTTCGCCCAGCCTATAAATGGTCGGGCGATCTGCCTCGTTCTTTTCTCCGGTGTGGAACAGCGGTAAAACGTTATCTTCGTTCAGGTCGCGGTGCTGACAGTCGCGGTTGTTATCCTGGACAAAGAATCTCGGCAGACATGCGATGATGTCCTTCGTATGGGTGCCACAGTCCTGATTACATGAACCGCTGGTGTTGTGCTTGGGGTGGTTGCTGGGATCATCAGAGCAACAGTGAACGTCGACACGATGTCGGAGGAATTCCATATCGATGTGCAGGAAAAAGCAGATGGCGAATAGCTTAGCGGCCTCGTCGATGATTTGGTTGACAAATCCCCCCTACCCCCTCCCAGGCAGCGCCTTCCAGTTGAAGGTTCGTGTCCTCGTCGACAATTTGCGCCACCATATCCAGGGAAAGAAAGACGTCGAGATCACACCGGGGAATGTACTGAAATCCCATGAAATTGACCTTGAGCTTCCTTTTCATCTCCATCATGATCATGTCTGCGTACGACTGATGGCCGGATTTCTGCAATTTGACAAAGCCGTAATCCCAATATACCTCGAGAGAGAAGGGCTGAGACGGATAACTTGGATATGAAGCCGCAGATGTGGACGATTGCATTTTTGGGCTCAGCACCTCCATGTCATCGAGGATTGCGTAATGCCCGTAGACATGGAGACCCGGTGGCCCTTTGACCCTGGAGGAGCCATGTCTGCGGTACATCTGCTCCGATTCGAGATCGTATGATTTCTGGACCTTCTCCAAGATCTTGGTGGGAATGAGCACTTCATAGTTTTCAGGCACGGTCCAATCGAAATTGTCCAGTTTGATATCATCCACGAAAATCGGATGTTCGACGAAAGTGAAAAACACCGTGACACTGATAGTCTTGGGAAAGAGAGACGCCTGAGGGTCCGGTGCGTCGATAATAGAATACGGATTCCGTTGGCGAGGGTTCGACGAGGATCGGGACTTACTTGTTCTTGGAATCGTGAGAGGCGACAGCAAATCCATCAGGCTTGGTTGTTGGAGACGGCCACTGACGTTTGCTTGGATAGCGTGATCGACAAAAATCAAGGTTGCGCTCCGCGTCGGGGGGTGGAGATTGAACTCGAAATTCCCGTCCTCGCGTTGAATCTGTCGCCATTGCTGGTGAGTCTCATTAGCTAAGCCCGTCTATGAGACTATATCTTCGTCTTCTGATGATGTACTGCTCAAAGGAGATACAGAGTGCATGGCATCTCCAAGGCGTTTCTTCATGTTCTTGTTCTGCAGATTGCTTGCCAATGGATGGCGGGTTTTGGTCTCTTGCGGCGTAGTGGGCAGCTGCTCCTGCCAGAGGACGCTGTGGTATTGGTGTTGAAGAGCCCGATGGTTCACCGGCTGCATGAGTTCGACCTGCCACCCCATTGACGAATTCTTCTGGATGATGGGCACGAGAGTTGGGGATGTCATCTGTGGGCGGTGCGAGCGGTGGCCGGGCCGGATCGGCCTCCTCGAGGGGTCCGGCTTGGCCAGCTTACGCGCTCTTGAGCATCTTCGCATGGCCCATTTTGCTATGTCTCTCTGAGATGGTCTTCACGTGGGTGGATCAGCCGTCGATCGTATTTGCGAGCTGGGTCGCAGGCAGATCCAGGCCGATGACGAATCTGCTGATTGGGCCAGATACGATGGACGGGCGCTCTATAAGACGTGATGGCAGCAAAAGAGATTCGTCTGAATTGTGAACACACACCAAATTTTACTAGCCTTGGAAAGCAGACTTAGAAATTCGTGAGCTTGTGAAAGGAGGAGAAACAAGACTCTCAGTTGTCGGCCCAAAGTAAATCTTAGGTGAAGTCGGTCGAATACAGGCAACGAGACGGGATATAGGACGCGGTTTGAGGTAATTTTGTGAAAGGTCAGTAAACGTCCTCCCGCTCTCGCTCTCCCTCCAGAAGAGTATCAGGAAGCCCGTAGAAATCGTCCCTGCACGTCCTCGAGGCGGCGTAGCTGGAATAGGCCCTTCAAAGTTACCCGCCTTTTCAAAGGAGTTACGATTCCCTGATTGTTTCTGGAGTGGACTGTTCCTGGTCCCGTGAAGTCACACGAATCCTAGACCATTCCAGGGCTATCGTGCCCTTGCCCTTCTTGCCGCTTCTAACAGTTCTTGCCGCTTGAAGGTTCTTGACTAGGTATGTACATTCCTGTGATAATCTAACCACATTGAGAGTTGGTTTGTTGTCTTAAAACAACGCGAACCAAATGTCAGTGTCTATTAAGCCGCTCTGGTCTAAAGTTCTATACCTAACGGTAATTGTCGAGGCTCGGACGCAGCTACGCTTTGCCCATTCTGTGCCACACCTCCGCGGAGCACGCCAGAGGACAGAATACAACAACCCGAGATGCAATATTTGATAATCTGCTTCGCATCAGGCAAGACCCTTCGAGCACTCTACATGGAATTTCGCTGGTCTCCTGACCGGTTTCTTCTCCGACAATGACACAATGAACGGGATTCCTGTACGGATTAGGCACACCCCTCAAACGAGGTTCCAGACTGGACTTCGCTTACACTCCACGCCGTATCCTGGAAGGCATGTTGGGCTGATCTCCCAATAGTTCCCACACCGATAGCGTCCCAGAGATTCTGGCCTACTATAGAAAATTATGCCTCAGGCCACCTTCGCAGGTTAGACGGAACAAAACTTGTCCCCAAGAACTTGCTTCTAGCAATCCTGCAGTCGGAATCCAAGGATGATATTAGATACCAAGATCTCAAGCGTTTTACCATGTTACGGCACCGTTACTACTCGGCTCAGGCCCATATTGGCGTCAATTGTAAGTAAGAGCGGAGAAGCTTTTTTTTGGCGAGAGGCATCTTCTGAGAGTTGAAGCGACTTTTCGATAGCAGGCATCATTGACATCCCCTGTCATCTTAGAGTTGACAATGCTGACTACTATCCTCCACTTTTGATCAGCTTACTACTGGAATTCCTTCCCTTACCAAATTTCTGTTGTTAATCCTATGACCGTTGATATTCTGGCAGAGTTGCGTAATTCCTGAAGTCTCTCTGATTCGCCGATCGAAGAGCTGACACGGCATGAATTGGCCCATGTCAGGCCCGAGGAAATATAAGCATTCCTTTTGTTTTAGTTGATGCTTAAATAACGAGTACTGCACAGTACCCATATATTATTATGTCTTTCTCGTACTTCGACAAAAAGCCTTCCATTTTCTTATCGATTTGCAATAATTGCTCGGGGAGTATGGATGAAAATATCCCCTTGATTGCGGACGTTGTTGTCGCTGGAGGTAGGTTTTCATCAGCCCCCTTTATTGAGCCCCGGCACCACTCACCGTAACACTGACCTTGAAAACTGTTAGGAGGTACTACTGGCCTCATTGTTGCGGCTCGACTCGCAAAGGCGGACCCTCACCTCTCCATCGTCGTGCTTGAATCAGGTATCAACATTCGTGATAACCCGTCGATCGTAAATCCGGCTGTCTATATCTCCAATATTTTGCCGGGATCTAAAACCGCAACATTCTACAAGTCAAAATGCAGTGAGTCACTAGCGGGAAGAGAGCTGGTGATTCCTACGGGCGGCTGTCTTGGAGGCGGAAGTGCGATCAACTTTATGGTGTACTCACGGCCCCAGATGATTGATTTTGACGACTGGAGATCTGAGGGTTGGAGCGGAAAGGACATGGTTCCGTTCCTGAAGACGGTATGTCTGCGTCGACGAGCATGTATAACTACGGCGCAATGCTGACCTTAGTCCGGCTTTCTGGTCAGTATGAGAGTTTCCAGGATGAGGCTCCTGAGATCGATAAGTCGTTGCACGGATACGGCGGCGAGTTCTCCATATCTCCTGGAACAAACGCTCAAACTATTTTTCAGGAAGATTATTTCCAAGCTTGCAGACAGATTGGGCTTCCACAAGTGCCCGATGTACAAGACTTGAAGACTTCAAATGCTGTCGGGGTGAGTAGATATTCATTGTCCTGTGTTCTAGGTAATCAGCGGGCTGATTACCGAGCAAGCGGTGGAACATGTGGATAGATCAGAAGACCGGCCGGAGACAGGACGTGGCCCATCAGCTTCTCTACCCGCTCTTAGACACGCACGAAACTGTACTTCGGGTGTTTACTCAAGTCAGCGTCGTGCGAGTCTTGTTCAATGAGCAGAAAAGGGCCGTAGGTGTCGAGTACGTCCGTGTCGGACCTGGTGCTCCAGCAATATCCTCGGTTGTTAGGGCTACAAAACTCGTTGTCCTCGCTGGAGGGACATTCGGCACTCCGTAAATTCTGCAACGCTCTGGAGTTGGCGATGCACATCGGCTTTCGAAACTCGGCACTGATGTCGTCTCCAATCTACCTGGCGTCGGTCAGAACTATCAAGATCACCACGTGATATTCTACCCATATAAATCCACCGCTGGTCCCTCCGAGACAATAGATGGAATCATCAGCGGGCGCCTTACTCTTGAATCAGCACTGGAGCAGAAGGAAGCGCAGCCCAGTCGTTACGTTCTGGGCTGGAACGGTCTAGACTGTGTTGGCAAGATCCGACCCTCTACCGGTGACGAAGACCTTCTGGGGCCGGAACTCAGGGAGCTCTGGGAGAGCGATTATCGGCTTCGCCCGACGCGCCCACTGATGTTGATGTCTTCCCTAGCAGCATTCGTCGGAGATCACTCTGGTGTTCCCACTGGTCAACACTTCAGTCTTGGACCCTACACGCCGTACCCTTACTCACGCGGCTCAATACATATCACCGGCCAGACAGTTTTAGATCCGCCAGACTTTGAATGCGGTTTTTTGAACCATCCAGCTGATGTCCAGAAGCTTGTATGGGGATACAAGAAGCAGAGGGAAATTGCACGGCGCATGACACATTATCGCGGCGCCCTGGAAATTGGACACCCAGTCTTCCCTGAAAAGTCCAAGGCCGGCTTCGATTTTGTCGACAACCAAGACCGGGAGCGGGGGATTTATGCGCCAATTGAATACTCTGCAGAAGACGACCAAGCGATTGAGCTATTCATCAGGCAGAACGTCAGCACTGCATGGCATAGTATGGGAACATGTGCCATGAAGAACAAAGGGGAAGGTGGGGTCCTCGACCCTCGATTGAATGTCTTCGGAGTCCAGGGACTGAAGGTTGTGGGTAAGTGCTCACTTATGATCGGATTGCTCGGGATCTAATGAAACTTTGCACAGATTTGTCTATTTGCCCGTCTAACGTTTCCGCCAATACGTATGCGACTGCGCTGGCGGTAGGCCATAAGGCTGCCTCTATCATTGCGGAGGAACTGGGTGTGCCGTATTCCGTCTAGGCTAAGCGGCCTTTCGTCGCCTACTTGACATGTCGTTACGCTCTGGTAAAATAAGCCACATTTCGTCAACTGGGCTATTTGTTGAAGATGAATAGCCAGTTTGCACAACCCACACTCACTAACTCAAAATATACTCTACATTCAACCTCCATTACATATTGCGACTGGGACTAAAATGCGCTGCCAACAACATTCTAAATCTACGGTTTGAATTCTAAGTGGATCCCCCTATTGAACAAGCTGTTATGCTTCTTCTTGGGGAGTCATCCCTAATTCGACGGGCCATCTGTTGGCAAGGGTCTGAAATGTTTTGGAATCAATTCATGACATACTCCGTATTGGTCCTGAAATAAGGAGGCGCTATGTTGTGGGTTTCCGCATGCAGACGGAAAAAAGAAGCAGTTCTCGTCATCAAGAATTAGTGGCTCTCTAGACTACATACGGAAATATAGAGCGAGCAAATGCTAGCTTGATGATCAAAGCAGAAAAGACAATCCCTAGCTTCGACGACAAAGAAAATCCAATCCCATGGCGACGCCATCATCATCAAGATGGCTGTTCTGAGTTCAAAGATCTCGCTTCTTTTACGAAACTAAAGCGCCGACTCGCTTACGGGGGTAGTCGACGGCGTCAACAGGCCTAGAGGGCCACTCCCGAGGCATGTCAGATTTTCGAGCTCGCAACAGGCTACACAACATCAAATCTGGATCTACCAAAGACATTACTCTAGTTTGTTCGTACGTAATATCAATATGTCCGCGGAAGAATCAGATCCTTCATATAACTCCCGCTGCGAGAGAACAACCAGCTCAGGTGATCGACCAAGAATGAAGAATTAGAATACTAGTACGGTACCGCAATCTTATGATATATAGCAACTAGAATGGTTTAAGGATTATTTCCTGGATCACTATAAAGCAGTTGTTACAAAGATTATTCAGCTCCTTGGGCTTTAGAGATCCATCGAGTGCCCGTCAACCTCTTAAAATCATGCCTCGTTTCATTCGATGGTCAGTCTATCTTTGTCCGTCGCAAAGGACTATGCAGTACCGTGCTGACAAAGGTAAAAGGGATGCCCCCGGGGTCGAAATAGAGCAGCCCGGTGAGAAAGACACCATTAAGGCTGTGGCGGAACAGTTCAAGCGATTCCAAATGATGAATTTCAACGAGCATCACCATTGCTGGCGAGGAACTCACCTCAAAACTCACGGTGTAGGCCTCTATGCCCCATCTCACATCGACGACCAGCCCCCAGGATATACACTAACTCCCGGTGTTAAAGTGCGTTGTCGGCAAATTTATCGTCAAAGATGATTTGCCTCCTCATCTGGCCCAGGGCATGTTTGCCAAACCTGGCACGTACGATGTCATTATGCGCTACTCTTCGCTCCCACCCAAGTTGATGCCTGACAATATCCCCGCGCCTCGTGGGATTGGGATGAAAATATTCGGCATCGAGGGGGAGAAGTTCTGGGGCGAGGATAAGAAAACGCAAGATTTCACGCTCAACAATTATCCGATCCTTGAGCTTCGCGATGCCCAGACAACTTACGAAATTGCAGACTCTATTGAAAGAAATTGGAATGACTCGGCGCAACTTGCAAAGGAATTGTCAGAACGGACCGACGCTGAGGTGGCCTGTGCGCCTACCAAGATTCCTCGACAGCATAGTAGGCGATAAGCATTGCTAAACTCGAAGATCTTAGACTAACCAAGCATGATTTCTAGTGGTAGCTATGCCCGAGTACTCACAGTCGGCATACCGCTTCGGTGACTACGTCGCAAAGTTTGGTGTCTTCCCTCTCGGCGAGGAGCAGAAGGAGATGGAAAGCACCTATGTCAAGGACAATGATGCCATCAATGCAATCTCCCAAGAAGTGCGCGATTTCCACTTGAAGCACCGGGTCACCTATTCCTTTTGTGCCCAGCTTCTCCAGGACCTCAACGAGCAGCCAGTAGAGGATATTGGGGTCGAATGGGATTCAAAGAAGTACCCGTTCGAGCAGATCGCAACACTGGTGTTTGAGCCCCAGGACAGCTGGATCCCCAAGTTCCGTACCTGGTGGGACGATAGAATCACCGTCAACTCCTGGCATGGCCTCAAAGTCCATCAGCCGTTGGGGTGCACGAACCGCCTGAGACGCGTCGTTTATGCCGAATCAAGAAAGCTTCGCATGCGCGTGAATGGTTACAAGGATTACATTGAGCCCAGTTGCTTGGAAGATGTGCCAGTGCAGGTGTGATATTAGTTTCTCTGGTTGAGCTTCTGAATTCGATGTGTGTCACCAAAGTTGGGAGAAATGGAAGATCAAGTCAACGGATTCGGCAACATGATCTGGCAGTGGTGCTGCACAAGCACGCGTGGTGCCTCCGATAGTGAAGCCTATGTCTGTTTGAGCTCCTCCACGAACTTGGGCATCTCCCTTGAGAATTCCTGCCGAGTATCACCTCTTTTCTCGTTGTTGACCACTAAATAATCGGCTGATTTAATGACCGGACATTGGCTACAGTGCTGTGGTTGGGCCGGGTGGATTCTAGGTCAGAGAAATGGAAAGTTGAAAGAGCCCTGTGATTTCTGTAATGGTGTAACCGTGCTTCAACTTCTGCCTCACTGGTTGTGATAGAGATCGATAGAGCCACGATCGGCTTGAATATATACACATATATTTTTACATTATATATCTCGGACTGTCGTTGATCCCTTACCATTTCCGTTCCGGGAAAGGGAGCGAGGCCGCTACCTTACGGCGAAGCAATCATACCTCAAGCGCAGTGACTGGGACGGTTCGGCAGCAGCATTTCTCCGAAAAGCCCAGAACGGCTCACCGGAAGAACCTTGCGGATGACTTCTCCCGGGGTCCGACCCACTTTATTCTCAAAGGAGGCTCTCGAGCACAGTATAAAAGAAAATCATTTGGGTTATACGTCTCTGCGAAGGGTTACAACCTATAGTGATAGACATGTTAAGCCTACGAAGAGGCTTAAACTCGACCATCACCCCAGCACGCAGTACCTGCCAGGCGAAAAGCACGTCATGGCGACACAGACCGCGAGCGGCAGATCCGCTGCCCGCATTCCCAGCAAGATGCGCGCATGGCAGTTTTCATCGACGCGAGGCGGGATCGAGAAGAACTTGAAGCTGAATGACTCGGCACCAGTCCCAGCTCATGATTCACGTGCATTGGGCAACGATAAAGTCCTGGTGAAGATCCTTGCCGCGGGAATCAACCCGGTCGATTACAAGTTAGCAGAATTGCCGATCATAGGCCGGTTTCTCTACCGGAAAGATGCGACTCCAGGATCGGACTTTGCTGGTGTGATCGCGGCAGCTACACCTGCAGTGACGCCCGGGCAGACGGACAGCTTCAGGGAAGGACAGCTTGTATTTGGGAGGCTAAGTCAACCTGTCCATTTTGGCACTTTTGAAGAATACATTGTCCTCAAGAGCGCCGACCTAGCACGTATTCCCGAGGGGGTGGACCCCGTGGACGCGGCTGGCATCGGAGTCGCTGGTCTGACTGCCTATCAGTGCATTCAACCTTTTGTGCACGCTGGTCGAGGGAACAGAGTGCTCATCAACGGAGGTAGTGGAGGCACTGGTGTCTGGGGCATTCAGATTGCAAAAGCGTTGGGATGCCACGTCACTACCACCTGCTCTGGAGCAAATGCCGAATTTTGCAAGGACCTTGGGGCAGACGAGGTGATCAACTACAGGAGTACAAATGTCGTTGAAGCCTTGAAGAATTCGGTGTTGGCTGCAGGTGGGCAAAAGTTTGACCTCGCGGTGGACAACATCGGCGGCCAGGGAGAGCTGTATTGGCAGAGTCATCATTATCTATCACAGGGCGGGCGATATGTTCAGATTGGAACTGAGCCCGGCCTAGGTCACACCCTTGATCTCATGATGAAGTTGACTTGGCCCCGTTTCTTAGGTGGTGGTAAAAGAAAATTTGAGATGCTGATGACGAAAAATGACACAGAGCAGATTGGGGAAATCGGCAAGTTGTTGCAGCAAAAGAAAGTCAAGACAGTGTTCCATGACGGCACTGTCTTGTCCATGGAGGACGGGGCGCTGGCATTCGCAAAACTCAAAACGCACAGGGCCAAGGGCAAAATTGTGATCAGACTGACTGGTGACTGAGGTTGTGCGGTGGACGGGGTAAAACCGCTGGAGCTGGGAAGAGAAGGCCAACTTCGCGACACTGATTTCAGACATGTTTGAGTTTGTATTTTCATGGCCACGGCAATGAGAGAACCATGACGGCCGCACACAAATCTTCCAGCCTGTGTTTCTATCCAAATCGATCCTCCGCTCCCAGGAAGCCACGGTGAAATTTTACCCTATTGTCCCATGAGGCCTGGGCGTTTGGTCCTCGTTATCGATCTGAATAAGGAGGAGTGTGGTTGTCAGTGCGGTTTCGAGGGAGGTTCAGTTATATAGCCAACACGACAATTTGAGAGGACACTCGCAACCCGGTCGACACGTTGACGGAACAGCAGTTATTGGCTGAAGGTGAGGATGTGCTACTGGCTCTGAGTGCAGGGGTGTCGTATCTACAGCCATCGAGTACCATGGCCAATGGTCATTTAAAGTGTCCACTTTCCAGTGCGTGGGCAGTTGAATTCGATAGGCTTTCCTCCGCAAAGGCCGGCCACTGCGTCGGCACGTCGACATGGTGTTCTATGGCGGTGCCAGGGGTGGTCTGCTAACAGTCATAGGGGCACCGGAGACCGCGCGACCACCTTGTACGCTTGCAGAACCGTAGCTCAAGGATGACGCTATATGTTGGACGCCCGAGAACGGCCGATGGCTCCATGCAGCGCGCTGTGCGACGGCGAGAAAGCCCTCCCTTGCAACGCTCCTTTTGCCTATATAATAGATAGAGATCTCCCTCCGAGAGAGGGAGGTCAGACTCGTCACTACATCCCATTTGGCCCCCAAACATCGCCTAGAACTGAGCGTTGCATAACGAAAACTATCATATAAGTGCAAAAGCCAGAAATTGCCCAAGACTCGCTAACAGTCCATCTTCCAAAAGCGCTAATGTGAGCATGGATGGATATTCCCCCATGAAATTTCAGCACTCTTCAATGATGGCTGGCGGCAAATTGACAGCAGATACCTCCTTTTCCGAACCCGCTGTAGGTACAATACCCTGGTCCTCAAAATGTCCTCGGCGCGATTGTGCCCAACTCAGTATAATAACGCGTGTACAAGGCACATCGTTGGTCTATTGTCGCTGGAGAGACGTCAACCTGGATGGCTTTGCCTGGTGAGCCAAGCGCCGCGACATTCGGCACTTGTTTCCACCCAGGCCCATTCATGGGGTTTTTGGCAAAGGCCGCCCAGGCACCCTGCATGTATTTGCTCGTCTGGGCCTCCAAGGCGGTCGCACTTGCGACAGGATACGTGCCAAACACCATCCCGACTTCAGAGCTGTGGTACACTTCGGACCCAGGGAAAAGCTCCAGATTCTCAAAGGTCGCATTGTAGTAGTAGCGCCAAGAAGGGATACCCCGATTCCGGGAGTCCTGAGCCACGATGGCAGAAGGACACTGGAATCTTACCTCGGTCTCAATGGCGGCAATCTGATCTTGAGGCGATCCGATCCCTGGGGATCCAATGGGATATGCTCCAAGGAGAGTCTGGTAAAGGTCGGGCTGATTCGGGATTGCCTCCTCGAGATATGCTTGGGTGTCATTCTCCCCGAGGACAAAGAGAAGTCCGTCGTTGGCCACCGTCCCGACGAGAACAGGTACACGAGCAATGTCACCAGTCGTGCGAGCCGTTTCAGAACGGTACACAGCCGTTACGTTGTCCAACTGGACAAAGGTCAGCTCAGTCAGTCCCGTGCGAAGGGAAACCGGCGGTATACCCACCGTGTACTCAAACCCAAGTCCGAGTTGCTCGATCGTGTTCATCAGAGTGGCGAGATCGACTCTTCTCATACAACTCAAGATGTCGATACTGGTGGTACAGTTGAGAGCTTGAACAGTGGTGTTCCAAGGTTCGGACAAATCTCCCTTGGGGAAGTTGTAGTTAGCCACACCGGACTCCATGATTGCTGCTCGGAAGGGTGGGTTGTGTGGCATAGACGTCAAGAGGACGTCGACACTACAGAGTTGCTGTCAGTAACCCTCCACGAACAGGCCGCAGGTGAGTGGCGTTTGTTACCTTCTGCCCCCCGCACTCTGCCCAAATATTGTGACCTTTCGAGGATCACCGCCAAAGGCTGCGATGTTCCGCTGTACCCAATCCAAAGCAAACCCTGGGTAACCTTGATTAGAGCAGACTGTGTCAGATTATCAAAGCTTACTTTGGTCTAGGAACCCCAGATTTCGCTGTGTTATTGGAAGCTGAGGGGCAGCAGGGAACCCCAGAACTAAAGAATCAGTCAGCGCAGACCATGTCCCAGAACATGTACTTGCTGTTCGTTCTGTAGTTGATGGTCACGACGATGACATCCTGATTGGCTGCGAAACTAGCCCCGTCGTAAAGGTGGAATGAATTCCAACCATATTCCAGCGCTCCACCCTGCACGGAAAGTTAACGAAATGCGCGGCATGTAGATCCTGGAACGCACGTATATCCAAACCATGACGGCTTTGTTTGTGTTCTCAGTTCCTGGGACGTAGATGTTGAGGTTCAGGCAGTCCTCACTTTCACCAGCTGACGGGGGCGGTGTATTGAACCAGGCCATCGTAATCTCACGGAGTTCTTCGGGGTAATTGAATTGTTGAGGGCATGCTGGACCATATGCAGTGGCTTGCAAAGGCGTTGACCAAGGCACGGGACGAGTAGGAGGCGCAAATCGTGTCGGAGAGGCGGCAAAAGGAACGCCCAAGAACTCGCTGACGGTCGCAGTGGTGCCGGGGACAGTAGTAGTCGTGCCGACCACCATCCCAGCATCAATCTTGACAGTAGGAGCAGACGACCCGCATCGTGAGCCAAAAGCAATGCCCAAAAAGCAGGTGAGGAGCCAAGAGAGAATGTACCTTGACGGCATCGTGTACTCGGTTGATGGATCTGTCTACAAAACTATTGCCATGTTTCACGGAGAGATGCAGCTTCGAGTCGAACTTATACCTTTGGAGCTACTGTGAGACTAGCAAGTGGGTAGTCGAACTTAGGCAATCTCACAATTCCCCCTACAACTGTACCTCGGAGTAACTGAACTGTCGGCATTCGAGAAGACGCCTGGACTGACAAGCGTCGAGCCGGGCACGAAACGCGCTTAGATAAGTTCCTCGGGTAGAAGTTATATGTCGAAAGGTTAGTGAAGGGTGGACTAATTGTCCAAGACCCCATCACAGTAATACGACCCTCATATGCCCGAGCATCTTCAGTGAAGTCGCCCTGTTTTTTGTATGCGCGGTGCTGTGGTGGCGGCACTGGATAGAATAGATCGCATCGCAAGAGACAGAACCCATTGCACTAGCGATAAGACTAGACCTTCTTCGGCCCCACCGCGTTTAGTTTTCTGGCATCGGCCGTTTACACCGTCCTCCTTCGACGGAAGGGGTCCTTTGTACGAGGAATGGCAGCTGAAGGCTTTAGCACACGCCGGGCTTTCCTAGCAGCGAATGGTAGGTTATTCTATCATGACAACGATGTTGGAAAGATGTTGGAAGACCATGGGATGCGGTCTATTCAATGGACGACGGTGCTTATATATTGGCACCACCCAGGTTCCATCCCATCTTCGTCCTCGCACATCCCCGTATATCACGCAGACTCTCACAGACAGCACACACTTGGTCATTCACTCACTGACTCGTTGGCCCTACAACCATGGACTCCAGACCAAGTGGATACGGCGAGAAAGGTCAGTCCTACCTGGCGTTATCATTTGACTCAATACTGACAAGCGAGCCTGAGGCGGGACAAGGCAGACAACGAAGAACACAGAGACGGCGGCGGCAGGTGGTGCGTCCGAGTCCCTGAACGTTCCTCTGGAGAAGAAACAATTTGGCACCATCACCATCGTGTCCTTGGCCTTTGTGATTTGCAACAGTTGGGCTGGTATCTCAGGCAGTCTCCAGCTCGCCCTACTAGCGGGGGGGCCCGTCACTCTCCTTTACGGCATCCTAATCAGTACTCTCGTCTACATCTGCATCGCTTTCTCATTAGCCGAACTGACCAGCGTCTACCCGACTGCCGGTGGCCAATATCATTTTGCGTCGATCCTGGCACCAAAATCAATCAATCGGAGCATTTCATACGTGTGCGGACTCGTGTCGTTGCTTTCATGGATCGCTATCGGAAGCTCAGTGACCATGATACCTGCTCAACAGATCCCGGCGCTGATAGCCGCCTATAGTCACACATACTCCCAGGATTCGTGGCATGTCTTCCTCATCTACGAGGGAGTCGCGCTGGTGGTGCTCTTGTTCAACTTGTTTGCCCTGAAAAGAAACCCTTGGGTTCATGAAATCGGATGTAAGTCAATCCCTTGAACCAACCATGATGCCAGGTCAGATCTGCCCTCACAATATCTGGCCAAGGGCATTGAAGCTGATCAAGCTTGAAAATATAGTCGGCCTCACGATCGCTCTCTTCGTGATCTCCTTTATCGCCATTCTAGCGCGGTCCAACCCCAAGGCTCCAAACTCACAGGTATGGACTGCTTGGAGCAACTATACTGGCTGGTCCGACGGCGTCTGCTTCATCCTGGGCCTTTCGACATCCTGCTTCATGTTCATTGGCTTGGACGCAGCAATGCATCTGGCTGAAGAATGCACAGATGCTGCTCGTACGGTACCCAAAGCAGTGGTCAGTGCAATCATAATTGGCTTCTGCACCGCCTTTCCATATACAATCGCAGTTCTGTATGGAATTACAGATCTCGACTCTATTCTAAGTTCCGCCGGGTAAGCTCATCCCATCGTGGCTGCCACAGACATTTCTAAACACGGGGACGCAGCTATATTCCATTCGAGACAATGACGCAGTCCCTTCGGTCGCTCAGTTTTGCAACGGTCCTCTCATGTGGCGGTATCGTGATGGCCTTCTTCGCCCTCAACGCTGTACAAGAGACTGCGTCTCGACTCACCTGGAGCTTTGCCCGGGACAATGGGCTGGTATTTTCCACTCATCTCGAACGCATTCATCCCCGCTGGCAAGTTCCTGTTTGGTCTCTATTCGCGACCTGGGGAATTCTGGCCACATGCGGATGTATATTTCTAGGTTCTAGCACAGGTAAGCACCGTTTAGGAGTAACTTCCCATCCCCAAATACAGGCCCTAGTGATGCTGTTCCTGGTCGTCGACATCCCGCCCAAACGGGTCCTTCTGCTGATCTGCATATACAGCTTTCAATGCCTTGGTCAATTCCGCCGTTGTACTCCAGCAACTCTCCTTCCTGATCCCAATCGCCCTACTCCTCTACCAAAAGCGAGATCCAAAGTTCTTGCCGAGCACTCGTGCTTTTGTGTTACCGCGTGGAATCGGGTTTCTGGTCAATGTGCTAGCGGTGGTCTTCACGTCCGTCACCACTGTGTTTTTCAGCTTCCCACTGACCGTGCCTACGGCCGCGTCAACCATGAGTACATTTCGCCTAAGAGCAAGCAATAGTGTCCCAAACTGACATTGTCTTAGATTACACAAGTGCGATTATAGGCGTTGCACTTGCTCTTGGTGTCTTGAACTGGGTCGTGCATGCCAGGAAGCATTATCAGGGACCCCACTTGGAGCTTGACGGACGGGTCGTCGGAGCAGAATTTCAAGTTGGGCCATGAATTGGACGAAATGGAGACGCGTGTGCAATGTCAAGATTGCTGGGGTGGTACTGAGAGTCTGGATTAGCTGCAACGCGGACAACCGAGGGTAGAACACTCTGCAATCGAGCAGGACAATATCAATTAGGCAACATCCCGAACAAGCTTCTCTGTAATTCCTGGTAGCCGGCCGAGTTCCCGGACGACCACTTAGGAATGCCAGCTGAGTAGCGTGGTGGCATGATTCAGGCGCAGCTCAATCCTAGCAGGGTATGCCGAATTCCAAAAGGGACGATTCAAAATCGATGATATGGTCCCTATAGTCGTTGACTAGTCGTGTAAGCCTTGTGATCTAAGCGCGGTCTAGTGGACCATCGGCTGCACTGGAACGGGTGCACATCAACCCGGACATTCTGATTGTGTGAACGGAAAACGACCCCATTGAGCGATGTGCTGATGGGTTGACATGCAGAAAGGATCCAACAGTGGAGGATACCATTCACACTACAAGACCATCGCCTACGCGAGCACCCAGCAACGTCCCAGGAACGCCTTCTCTAGATCGTGAGTCGGCTGTCACACCACAGGTGTTGCAACGATGGACTGGAGGCTTAGAGGACGTAAAAAAATAAGGTAAGCGCGCACTGTTCCTCCCTGCTACAAAGGACAGTGCCTGGTCTCCCCTTCCAGGGCTGCAAAGACGCGAGAGCCTTCTCTATAAAAGCCAATTACACTGTACTGTCTCCTGCCCTCAAAGAACGAACCTCGACTTGTCAAAGCACTTAGCCTTGGATTTGTTGAACCTCAAAATCAATGGCACTTGCACCGAGCTACATCAATCCCCCAAACGTCGCCTCCCCAGCAGGGTATTCTCACGTCGGCGTAGGCCCAGACGGAGGGAGGTATGTGACAATAGCTGGACAGATTGGACAAGACGCTTCGGGCGTGACAGACCCTGCCTACGAGAAACAGGTTGCCCAAGCATTCGCCAATCTGCGAGCTTGCCTTGCTGCAGTTGGAGCCACTTCAAACGACGTCACCAAGCTCAATTACTACATCGTCGACTACGCCCCGAGCAAACTCACCGCAATTGGAGATGGGCTGAAGGCTACCTTTGCCCTTGACAGGCTCCCTCCTTGCACGCTGGTGCCAGTGTCGGCCTTGTCTTCACCTGAATACCTCTTTGAGGTTGATGCCACGGCGCTGGTGCCGGGACACACGACCCCAGACAACGTTGCGGACGTGGTAGTGGTGGGCGCTGGCTTGAGCGGTTTGGAGACGGCACGCAAAGTCCAGGCCGCCGGTCTGTCCTGCCTCGTTCTTGAGGCGATGGATCGTGTAGGGGGAAAGACTCTGAGCGTACAATCGGGTCCCGGCAGGACGACTATCAACGACCTCGGCGCTGCGTGGATCAATGACAGCAACCAAAGCGAAGTATCCAGATTGTTTGAAAGATTTCATTTGGAGGGCGAGCTCCAGAGGACGACTGGAAATTCAATCCATCAAGCACAAGACGGTACAACCACTACAGCTCCTTATGGTGACTCCTTGGTAAGCACAATCCCACTTTGTGATGAGACCTCTGTCGAGTGTAGAATACAGTCACTGATTCCACTTCGTCCAGCTGAGCGAGGAGGTTGCAAGTGCACTTGCGGAACTCCTCCCCGTATGGTCTCAGCTGATCGAAGAGCATAGCCTTCAAGACCTCAAGGCGAGCCCTCAGGCGAAGCGGCTCGACAGTGTGAGCTTCGCGCACTACTGTGAGAAGGAACTAAACTTGCCTGCTGTTCTCGGCGTAGCAAACCAGATCACACGCGCTCTGCTCGGTGTGGAAGCCCACGAGATCAGCATGCTTTTTCTCACCGACTACATCAAGAGTGCCACCGGTCTCAGTAATATTTTCTCGGACAAGAAAGACGGCGGGCAGTATATGCGATGCAAAACAGGTGCGTGTGGTGTTGTCTCAGGTGGGGGACTCGTTTCTCAGTGGTCATTCCAGGTATGCAGTCGATTTGCCATGCCATGTCAAAGGAACTTGTTCCAGGCTCAGTGCACCTCAACACCCCCGTCGCTGAAATTGAGCAGTCGGCATCCGGCTGTACAGTACGATCGGCCTCGGGCGCCGTGTTCCGAAGCAAAAAGGTGGTGGTTTCGTTACCGACAACCTTGTATCCCACCTTGACATTTTCACCACCTCTTCCCGCCGAGAAGCAAGCATTGGCGGAAAATTCTATCCTGGGCTACTATAGCAAGATAGTCTTCGTATGGGACAAGCCGTGGTGGCGCGAACAAGGCTTCTCGGGCGTCCTCCAATCGAGCTGTGACCCCATCTCATTTGCCAGAGATACCAGCATCGACGTCGATCGACAATGGTCCATTACCTGTTTCATGGTCGGAGACCCGGGACGGAAGTGGTCCCAACAGTCCAAGCAGGTACGACAAAAGTCTGTCTGGGACCAACTCCGCGCAGCCTACGAGAACGCCGGGGCCCAAGTCCCAGAGCCGGCCAACGTGCTCGAAATCGAGTGGTCGAAGCAGCAGTATTTCCAAGGAGCTCCGAGCGCCGTCTATGGGCTGAACGATCTCATCACACTGGGTTCGGCGCTCAGAACGCCGTTCAAGAGTGTTCATTTCGTTGGAACGGAGACGTCTTTAGTTTGGAAAGGGTATATGGAAGGGGCCATACGATCGGGTCAACGAGGTGCTGCAGAAGTTGTGGCTAGCCTGGTGCCAGCAGCATAGTCGTGGTTGTTGTGCAGATGTTCGACATGACAGGGGATGCATTTAAATGCGGAATCCAGGGCAAACGGCCCGTTCCTTCTCGAGCAAAACGCTCAACGGTCTCACCAGCACGACAACTGTAGATCACCTTCTCTCAGACAGAAAACATTGCCGTTTCAAACTAGGACATGGCTTCTCCAAGCCAGCTCAAGTGGCTGGGAGCAGACAATGGATTTTTCTGGCCCGTCGTTCTCGTTAGCTCACACAAAATTCATGAGTCTTCACGACGGCCTCCAAGGCCACCGGGCCATACATGCCCACCTTGTCCAGCTCCCAAGTCATCTGCAATATCTCCACCGCTCGCTGAGTGATGGCCATGTCGTACGTAGACCTTGACAAGCCCGAGCACATTTTCTGCCGATCCTCTGGCGAGCTGAGACACGAGCCGATGACCAGCAGGGGCCACAGCAGCCTGGTGCGTGACGGCGAACCCCGCAGCTGGCCGCACAGGAGGCGAAATTCGATGATGATAGGGTCAAGTTTCTGGCAGAATTCGTCCTTGTCATCATTTTTCAAGTAACGTGCCGAGTACAAGAAAGTCAACAGAGCAATCTGATAGATGCGATCCACTGTAATCGAGCTTTGGACCCAGGCTGGTGCATCAGATCGAGTTGTCATCGCCGGTGACCAGTTTAGAATCTTCTCCTCCAGATCAAGGTACGCCATGGTCCACGGCTCCCCATCCAGGTCCTGGAGCAGGGGAATGGTGGGGATGAGCTCATAGAGCTTCCAGGAGTTCCCGAGCATGCTGCCAAAGGTTTGGTACCCCTGCAGGTGCTGCAGAGACTGAACAAACCAGTCCGAAACCACCACATCCATCCGGTGGTCCGATGTGATGGTGATGTTGCGCACGATGGCCATGTATGTATAGTACTCCAACAGGAAGCCAAAGACATCGCGCTGCTGGCTTGAGAGATTGCCGACTCCCGCTTCAAAGATTGTCCTGACGAATTCTCGGCTGGCGCGAAGATGGTAGTATGCAATGATGCGGCGATTGCATGTGATAGCCTAAGAACAGAGTCAGTCTCACCGTCAAAGACCGCAAATTAGAAGGAGGTCACGAAGAAAGCACCGACTACGCCGAGGGCCACTTGCACCCACTTACTTCATACTGACACAGCAACATGGCAACGGTTAATAGGCGCACCGTATCCTGCGGAGCACCAGGATCCCAGTGCGTCAACGCATACTTGAGCCTCTGGATGCTAGATAAGTAATGCTTGGTCGTGGCCGCTCTCAATGCCGGGTTTCCCGTCTTGTGGCTGACATGGGCGCCGCCCAGGGCCATCATTGCATCCATAATCATGGTTTCCGAGTGTGCCCAAGGGAGCACGAAACTCAGCAGGGGGTTATGTTGCGGTTCTCGGGCAACAAGCTGGACCGCCGTCTCCGCCATGAAGTGGCTCAATAGAGTCTGCGACTCCGAGGTTTTGATGATCGTGGGTTCCCAAACAGAAGGGTTTGCCCAGATCTTGGAGCACGACGGAGTTGGCAGCCTGCCCTTGCTGGCGCCCAACCGCGGCGAGGTGAGATCGTCTTTGAGGATGTCTTGTGTGACGTGAAGGTGCTCATCAGTGGGCGTCAGTTCCCGTTCTGCCTTCATCCGCGTGGTCGCGTCCAAGACTCCTTCTTGGAGTCTGATGCGCCAGCCAAGATCAGAGCGGCGCTGAGAGGAGCTGTGCACAAGAGCTCGCGGCCAAGAGCAGATGAGGTTGTTTCTGACACAGTTTTTGCAGATGGGCGTTGCTTCATCGCATTTTTTGCGCCGGAGCCGACATACAAGACAGCCAGTCTTGGTCCGAGAGTTTCTAGGACGACGCTGCCGCACTGGCGGTATTGTCGACAAGGCCATGTGAAGGCGGAGAACGGTGGTCAAATGGTGACTTTGTTCCGGGGAAGGGTGAGGTTGGGAATTATTAAAACATTCTATAGAATAAGTACGACGGAGTGCAGATAGACTGCCATGCATTGTCGTTGAGGAGGCCAGGAAGCCTTTAAGTAGTAGTAAGGAGATAAGGCGAGGCCCAGACCACCGCCCTAACTAGTTAATGCAGGGCCCTTCGGGCCACACGGCTGCTTAGCGACTCGCTGGCAACGTGAGAAGGGTGGAGACTTCCGCAGAACCTCTCAATGTCCTCTTATCGCGCTGCCTCGCTCGCGTTTGTTCCGCTTCCTCTCCTCGCTAAGCAGCAACAGAATCATTTTCCATCGGCATTAATCAGGGTTCGGGGCACATTACTAGGAGGGTCCTTGAATTACTCGTTGGCAAGTTGACTACATGCTACGTGACCGTGGTATCCGACTGCCCTCCGAAGGTGCTGGACGTGGCACCGATCCTCAGGCACTTAGCAGGGAGCATGAAGCACATCAAACCCATCCCAATTGGCCACCTTCTCTTGACAGATCTGCTCATAGAGAGCAATCCCGCCTATGAAGGTTAAAGCACGTGTTGCTTTCCCAGGGATGTTGCCTCCAGTCCACCACGAATCCGTCAAGGGGAACAGAGTGTGCTCGTTCATCTTGGCAATCATAATCGACCATGCCTCTTGTGCTGATTTCGTCGCCTCAACGGACGTGGCGTGCTCGGCCTCCAACTTTGCAATTGTATCGGCGATCAAGTCGACTTGGGTTTCTATGATCGTTGGGCCGTTGGAAAGGACGGTCGGGGCTGGTACGGATTCAGCGACGGGCCTTGGACGGACGGGTGTCGAGGAACAGGTATCGACTTACCTTGAGCCGTGGCGACGAAGAAGGCATTGGGGAAGCCATGAGAGAAGACTCCCATATAAGTAGATATGCCATCTTTCCACACCTCCTTCAGGTCCACTCCGTGCTTGTTTTTCAAGCCCATATGTGTCAATCTTTCAAGGTCAGCCAAACGTCCGGACTCGGAGCCATGATCGAGCACACTCACGAGCCAGTGAAACTGTCGAAACCCGTCGCCAGCACGATCGTGTCGCATTCCCTCTTGCTGCCGTCACTCAAGAGCACACCTGTCTTTGTAACAGCCACAATGGGCGATTGTTCTAGATTCACAATTTCGACGCTCGGCTTGTCCAGCATTTCGTAGTAGTCGCTCTCCAGTGGGGAGCGCTTGGTACCGAACCAGTACGGCGGCTCCAGAGGAGCCATGAGATCTCTCTTTGCCGGATTGACGATACGAGATCGAGTCTTTTTGGCCCAGAAGTCATAGACCAGTCGGTTGGCCTTTTTGTCAACCATGACTTCTCGGTACTGGCAAGCAAGAAAATTAAAGGCCCCACGCTCCCACAACTCTTCGAAATAGGCCTCCCGCTGCTCGGGGCTGACTTCAAAGATGCCAACCGACGGTGCCTGGACCGGGAATCCAATCCGAGACTTTCGACTCGCTTCAAACAGCGTGGGGTAGTAGGCCTTCCAGGCTGTCTGTTCGTTCCTATCCATCGTTCGTTGCCGCATGGGCAGACAATAGCTCGGCCTTCGCATAAACATGGTTACCTGGTCAGCCTTCTTGGCCAACTCCTGAACAATCTGGATGCTTGTGGCCCCGGCACCGATGACGGCGACTCTCTGGCCCTCTGCGTCGAAGTCTTCGTGCCAGGCACTCGAATGAATCACCTTCCCGTTGAAATCGGCGAGGCCGGGGAGTGCGGGAGTGTGCTTCCTGTGGAGCAACCCCGTAGCGAGAATGAGATACTTTGCCGTCGCAACATGGCCAGCCGACGTCTTGACAGTCCAGGTGCCCAGATCTCTGGCATACCGCGCATCAACCACCTCAGCTCCGAAGTAGACGTCTTTTCTCAAGCCCAGGATCTTGTCACAGTGGTGAACATATGACAGCAACTCTTTCTGGTCAGGATAGCGGCAAGACCAGGTCCAGTCTTTCCATACTTCGGGAATGTTCAGTTGGTAGAAGGGCGTCTCCGAATCAACACGAGCGCCAGGGTAGCGGTTCCAGTGCCAGACGCCGCCAAAATCGGGGGCTCCCTCGAAGATTTTGGCGTTGAGTCTGAGCTTTCGCAATTTGTACACAGCAGAGATGCCGCTGAGGCCGGCTCCAACGATGATGGCGTCGCATGCGACGGAACAATCGCCTCTGGAGTTGCTGGTGGCCGACATGACTCTTTGATTGTCATTAAGTGGCAGCGGTGGTTGGAGGAAGAATCACCGGAGCTCTTAGGAGAAGAGGGACACTTCACGCGATGTCATGGCCCAGGGCAACATCCAAGGAACGCCAGGGTCGCGTTCTGCAAATACCTACAAACTTCCAACCTTATATAATGCCGCGAAGGAGCGGTATCCCCGAAAGGACAACAGAGGTTCCTCGGTCGAAATCAATTCTTCGCGGGGTCGCATCTGTACACGTAGCTCAGTGACCACACCGCGGGTATCGGACAGACATGCGAGGGATCAAAGAAAGTTTCTCCATTTCATTTTCGCGGAGCTGCATCCTGTGGTTGCCAGCGGAGTTCGAGGGGGTTGACTCCACTCCTTGAATTGAAGTCTAAGCGCGGCTGATACCAGTGGAGTTTAGGGTGAAGCTCCCCAGCAAACTAGCTAACATACTGTACAATAGTTATTTAGGTGGTGAGCTCCATACGTCCCCAAAAACCCTAGTCCCGATACTGCTCGACGGCGCTTACGGCACGAATCCGGTTTACATCATGGCTTGCACCCCGACGATGACTGTACCAGATAACCGAAAGAAGAATGAATCCCGCCTTCTCGACTGGCTCCTCCTCCACCGACCGTACACACCTTCCACAGGCATGCCAGTGAGCATCCTTTCTTTCCCTCGGTCAGGGCTCGGTTATGATCTGACCTCGTTGAACGCCTGTAGAAGTCTGGCGGTCGAGATGCTCGTCCTGGAGCAGAGGCTGCCACAATCGGTAAGAGGGATAAAAATCCGTTCCCAAGGACAATGGCATGGTGAAATGGACACCCGTGAACATTCAAAAGCCCTTTGCGTCCGTCTACCAATATCATATCCCTCTCTCCATTTTCCTCCCTACTTCCTCGTTTATTGACGCAAGACCTTTTGTTGGCCCTGTCACAACCATGTTCGCATTCTTCGACATCGCTGAAGACGAGATCCACGGCTTAGAAAACAAGGTCATCATTATTACTGGTATGAAGTAAAGTCCTTTGGAGTATCTGAGCTTAGCCCCCTGTTGCCCCTATGCTCATTGTCGTCTACCATCCACAGGAGGCACGTCAGGAATCGGATTCGCGACCGCGGAGCTCTTCAGCTCCAAGGGGGCCGTCGTGATTCAAGCCGACTTGAACCCGCCGCCGAGAACTCTTCCAGGGTCACACTACATCAAGACGGACGTGACCTCCTGGACAGACCTCGCATCCCTCTTCCGCAGAGTCGTTGACGACCACGGCAAAATCGACGTTGCCTTTGCAAATGCCGGAGTTTCCCCAAAGGCCGATTATCTGCAGCTGGCCTCGAAGGATAATGGGGACTTGATTGAGCCCACAAGGCTGTGTCTCGAAATTAATCTGGTTGCTGTGGTCAACACTGTTGCGCTGGCTCTTCACTATATGCAAAAACAAGAGACTGGAGGGAGTGTGATCATGACTACATCAGTCGCAGGTAAGATGCTGCAGGTGTCTTCCTGTGGGCCCGGTCGAATTTTGAGCGGCTGACAAGATCGATCCGAGCAACTAGGCTATCAACCCTTTGGTCAGGCAGACTACAGTAAGTGTTTCTATGCTGATACCGAGCTGGACTCTGGGGCTCCGGAGAAGCAAAGACCCTGACCCTGTGTGCAGCTGTATCGAAACATGGTGTTGTCGGTATTCTTCGAGGCATTCGCGAACACCTCTATCCCAAGGTTCCCATCCGCGTCAATGCGGTTGCTCCCAGCTGGACGGCTACACCAATCGTCTCGTACGTGCTACCTCCCCCTTCCCCCAGCCCCAATCAAAAAAGCATCAAGAAGTCCCCATCATTTACCAACCAAAGTCCAATATCGGAGGTGTTCTCGCCGTCTCCATGAGACACGATCCGTGGCTAAATGAGAACCCTGCAGCCTGCCCCATGCCGCTTTCGAAAAGGTGGGCCTCGGTGTCCAACCGCCTTCGAAAGTGGCCCTGGCTGTCGGCCTCCTGGTTACAGACCCGACTCGCCACGCGCAAACCATCTACAGTGTCAACGGTCGTTACAAGGAGCTTGAGGAGGAAGTCATGGCCGCCACTGCCACCGCGATGGGGTTTCACAGTGTGGAAATGACCGAAGCTGGGAGATTCCAGGATCTGGTCAAGGAAGCTGAGGCAGGACTAAGCTCAGACTTGTAGCCTGCTCGGCAGTTCCTGTATCTTTGTCCACCGGCACTGAATAAACAAGATAGATAGAAATTCCGTCTAGACGACATCGTCCATGCCACGTCACATGCCACTGCCTCGAAGGATTCACGGAATGTCTCTGTGACGAGCGGTACGAAGAGAAGAGCATGATCCTACCTACCCCCTAAAGCGTTAGTTTAGTTAAGCGGCTCGAGGTAACTACGTATAACCCAGTGCTAACTATGTGTTGCTCGTTTGTCAGGATTGATAGCTCGCTTCGATCTAGTTCGGTCAATGGTCGACGATTTACCTTCAGGGCGAAACAACTTATACTACTTAGTATTTAGTTTGCATAGTGAACCGGAAGTAGCGATCGTCGCCGGCGCGGGAGGGCAGTAAAATCATTGATGGAGCATGCTTCGAATGTACTTACCCTCCCGGAGGCAGGCACTCTTGAATCGTATACTTGCACGAGTCGAGATTCTTTCCCATCGCAATTGCTATTCAAGCCAGTCGAAATCTCGCGTACTCTGTGGCCCCTTCTTGGACGGCTCCAGTGCCCACCCGGCATAGTCTGTGATTGAGATATTGCAGGGAATGACAACAACCTCACCATCTCAGTTGTAAGCTGGCTACTTTATTTGATAGATCTTTGTCTTAGAAGTAGTCTCGCTCTTGATACGGAGTATATCCCTTTGATCTCTCCTCCGAATGGTGTACTCACGACACTTGATGAGTCAGTTAAAGCCATAAAAACAGGACTTCTAAATCAAATTTCCTATTTACTCTCTCTAACACTTACGCTGTCCCAGGTTTTATTGATGACTTCGCAAACCTTTCAAGGATTAACATTTCTGTTAGCCTCAGCCTCGTCTAGGAACTCTTCCACATTCCGGGCACGCGCGCCTTTAAGTATCCCAGTATCCCATTTCAGACAACGATCCTGTGGAACGGCGTTGCAACTGGTGAAACCCATTACGCGGAGGTAGTCAAGCCTGCTCTTGGAAGGCTCGTCCTTATGGTCAACAATCGCATCCAAGACTTCCGTAAGCTGTACCTTCCTAATAGTCCACTTCGGATCCCGTTGCTTCAAGATCTCGTAAAGCTCAACGTACGTCAAAGTTTGACCCGCAAGGTGAGTGAACTCGGTCCATTCATAATGTGAATCGTCACTGGTACCGTCTGTAGCCCCAGCATTCACGACCATCGCCAAGGCGGCACGAGCAACATCGCGCGCCGAAGTGAGTGTGATGTGCTGCAAGCCGTCCCCGTACAAGTCAAAGACTTTTGCCACGTTATCAGTTAACCACCCGTCTCCTAGGTTCGTAAAGTACTGCTGCTGTGCCGGTAGGAGATAATCCGTGAACCAGCCGACGGACACCAGTGTCCATTTAACTTCGTCTTGATCTCGTAGAGCGTTGCGTACGACTTTGTGCCTTCGTCCCAGGTAGGTTGGCTGATCCGGGAAGTCTTCAATGTTGACGGCCCATTCGGACGGAATGAAGCGCTTACATTGAGTCGATCGTTTACAGGCTTCTAAGAGCGCTAGATGAGCGGATATATGAGCCTCCTCTGGCGCGTGCAAAGTCGAGACTAAAGCGTCGCAGTCTTCTATCACCGGCGAAAGATGGTCGACCGAATAATCCGGGATGACTCGCTGTTCGAGATGTAAGAAGTAGTCTTTCGCTTCCCGTGTGAGGATAACTACGTGGTGAGGTGACTTGGCGATTTCTTCGACAAAGTACCGCCCAAGACTGCCGGCCCCGGCAATAGCAATCTTCATTGTTGCGTATCGGTTCTTCTCAATCAAAGACGTCTTCTGGATCTTTCCACAACTTCTTTCTCCTTAACGATTCTAGCTTTCTGTAATGCTGGCTTCTTGAGAAATTAAATTAGAGGGATCTCGTCAAATGCTAAACCTCACTGGTTCGGACTTTTCTAGCCCTCCTTTTCAACCTTAGAATCACCCTGTGTTTCGCAGGAGAAGGGATGCCTTTACAAACCTATCGAAGAGACTCTTCTCGCCCTGGCCACCCCAGACTTGGTTGAGCATGGTCCACAACTCCGGTCGGACTCGAGAAAAGCGTTCATGGTCTCGCAATGAGTCACCATCGCTCTACGTGAGGGTAAGTGGTCTGTGCTTATCTACTAGCTCACTCTTGACACTAGTGAAGTTTTAAAAGTTCCTCCGCGTCGGTCTTCGCATTGAACCAGACTTTAGAATACTTCGAATGCAGGACGCGATGACGTCTGCCTCCATATCATCAATGTCATTTCGGCTGATGCTCTTCAAATCGCACTTCTAAAGAGTTGTCGGAGGTCCAAATCAGTCCAGACATCGCGGGATGAACAAAGGGTTGGTTGGTTGTCCCAGGCCAATGAGAAGGAGAGATTCTCGACGCTCGAGGATTTTCTCTTTGTCAAAGGCAAAGATACCATGTTGCTGTGTCCAATAGGAATCTTGCTGTAGGTTGGTTGATGATGCATTCGAAGAAGCTGGTCGCTTTTCCCCTTTGACGCACGCAACTAGCGGACAATTCTGGATTGAACCAATGTGCAATGCTTCTCCTCGAATTCTCATCAAAATGAGATCGCACGATGAACTCGGCTCCCTAGAATCGATACGAAGGCATTGGCCGCAACAATCAGTGCAATGGCAATGACAATGGTGGGCGAATCACAACAAGATGTACCTCGACGCCGAGATAGACCAGCTGCGTCATTTGCCAATGACAATGATCAATGGCAATGGCAATGGCTCTCAGTGACTGCGTAGAGTCTAGATCTGAGTTTGAATTTAAATCTATGTCGGGACAAGAAGTGCCTGCGCGCCGAGATGGTTCCAGGTACGTGATCACCTTTGTCTGTCTAGAGGCTCCGAGTTCTTCAGATCGGCGTACTCGTCGCATCATTTAACTCGGTCCAGCTGTGTCCAAGTCAAGCACGTGCCGCGAACAGTCCAACTCCTCATAACGTCTTCCAGGCGGATCCTGACCATAGCCCACAAGCATCTCGTGAGCAGTGGATACGCCACCAGCATCCAAGAATGATCCAACAGCCACGCATCTGGAGGCAAAGATGGCTCTAGTAGAATGCGACAACTGCGGCCTTGCAGAACGGGTGTGTGCAGTCGGACTCGACAAAGCAACCCGCATGGTCGGGTTTCCTGTGACAACGCCCGAGGACGGGAATTCCCCACGAGTGTTTTGCGTGAGCAGGAAGACGTCAGTGGTGGTATCAATGAAGCAGGTTCGTATCTCAAGCAGCCATTATATTGCAACCACTAACAAGAGGAAGGTCAAAGTTTCGGGAAACTGCGAGCGTGTGATTACTGCCGGGGAGCTCTAGCAAGAAAGGCTCTTCGACCCCAGCGGCCAACTGACTCTCAAGAGTGGTCGCCGTAACGGTCGCCGCACAGGCAGCAACTGAGACCAGCGAGGCATTTGACGATTGGCAGACCAGCGCCGCATTCGCTCAGTGGTGTGCTAATACCAGCCAACGATGTACCTTTGACACTTCCTGCCTCCCTGTCGGTATTGTTGCTTGCGAAATGGTTGGCTCTCGATGATCGATAACAGCCACCCTCCAGTTTCATAAGAGGCACGGACCCTAAGGATCCGGCCAACAGCTGGCCTGAGTGGCCCGACCGATCGGGGAGGAGGAGCGTCCCCTCTTCCAACCCTTGGAGTACCCCGCCAAGCTTACATTTCATGACCAAGCCGTCGGAGTTGCCCACACCGAAGATAGGAGCCACGACTGCTGAGCAGAAGTACAAGTCTCGATCAATCCTAAAAACCCACCTTCGCTGGTTCTTTCCCAGTGTGAACCGGGTCTAAAACCACCCTCAACGGCGTTCACGATCATAAAAGGATGATTTACGAACTCCGCATTTATACCACGGTCCCTGGCCGCTTGCCAAACCTGCTCGCCAGATTCGAGAACCACACACTCAAGATCTGGGAGAAACACGGGATCAGGCAATTGGGGTTCTGGTATGTTATAGATCCATCCGACTCCGCCCACATTCCAAGCGAGAGGCTAGCGAGACTGAATGTTCTTGATTTCTCTGGAACCACAGCCCGCCCGGAGCTAACCAGCTAATATGTGTCCTAAACAGGACGACGCTGGTAGGCCCCGATTCCAACGACCTGACCTACATGCTGGCATGGGAGTCTCTGGCCGAACGCGAGCAGAAATGGAACGCCTTCCTCAATGATCCAGAGTGGATCAAAGCGAGGATCGAGAGCGAAAAGGATGGGGCCATCAGCGCGAAGATGTCGAACAGCTTTCTGGTGCCGACGAAGTTCTCTGCCAGTCAGTGATGATACGGCGTGAGATGCTCGGGAAGGATAGCACATTAGTGTGATATTGCTTTTTCTGGTAGTTCATAATCAGAAACGACGATCGAGATTATCGCCCTTCATATTCTCTTCAAGTTGTCTGATCTGAGACCAACTGTATGCAAGGATCGTGGCGAGTGCGAATACGAACAGAGTAGTTGCCCGACGATCGGTGAGACAGCTTTGATGAAGGGTCGAGATCAAGATCGAAACTACTACAAGTAAGTGACAGCCCCACTGAATGTGTTGGACTAGGCTGAGTTGCGGGGACTGTCAGGAGGCCTTCTTTACAAGTCAAATACTCACGCCTATTGTAGCTCCTTAGCGGCTCCGGCGGAACGCCGACGCTCTCACATTCCTTACAACTTTTGCAACACCATCAATTCACTGTTTCTAGTCATATATGACTATATTCTCGGGCTTCACAGGGAGGATTTCTCCTCAAAAATAGACAGCCTTCTCAACCAAGCTTTTGTAGCGACGGGCGGTCAGCGCACGTATCGTTTTGCCCCATATTTGAAAGACGACCGATGAGAGATTGAGCACCAACACTAGTATAGCGATGATGATGCTGGTGTTTCGAGCGCCGTTCTGGTTTATCCAGGGCTGGATGACGAAAGTTATGGCTCCACCGACCGCATTGCGCACAAAGTTGGTCAACTGGACCGTCTCGCCGGACAGCTCATTGTAGCAATCGAACGCGTAGGCCATCGATATCGGGGCGCCGGCATTCATGGCGAAGCCAATCAAGGCGAGCCCAATGCATGGCACAACCCAGTGAATCCCGTAGCTGGCTCCGACGCCGTACAAGAGGATCCCCGTGGCTGCGGTGAACGGCACGGGAAGGTACGCCCAGAGTCGATATTCGGGTTCCATGACCCCGTCGTTGCGTCGAGCGAGATGAGCGACGATCCAGTCGCTCAACGGCCCGCCCAGAATGGCTCCAAAAACCATGCCAATGATGATGGCGAAGTACATGAGGCCGAGGGCATTGGCCCCAAAGTTGTAGGGCGGAGCCGAGAAGAAGCCGGCCTGCGTCGTGACGACGATGCTAGTCATGAACGTCGCCAGGCTGAGCATGAGACTCGCCCACACCACGGCGGGAAAGAGCATCAGCCGGAAGGGGTTGAAAACCAGGGCCATGTACGAGAGCTTGATTCGCGTGTCTCGACGGAACAGGGTCATCCTCTGCAGGTACGTGGCGTTGGCATGGTCAGTTGAAATGCCGTTGTCATGGGGGTGCTGATGGTGCTGTGCGCTCGTCTCGCTCGGACTTGTCTCTCCCTCTTCCTCGCGAACGTATAGCGTTTCCTCTGCTCCGAACACCAGCAATATTGTGGCCACTCCCATGAAGATGAGCAAATACTTGAAACACCATTGCCAACCCTGCGCTTCGACAATGTAGCCCGCCGCTACGGGAGGAAGAAAATTACCTAAGAGGAGGACCAAACCTGTACGGAGTATGAATGGTCAGAAGAGGGAGCAGGCAGCCTTACAATAGTGTTCCCTGACGAACAAATTGCGACCATCGAAGAACTTACAATATATCCCAAGCCACGTCCCTCGTTGATGGAGGAACATAATGTCCACGATCGACGTCTCGTTGGTCGAATACGCTGGGCCTGAGCCAAATCCCGACAGGACCATGTATGCAAAGAATAGGCCGGTGTCCGTCATGGTCAGGCCAACTCCAACGCCCACGAGAACGAACGCCGAAGCCACGATGTACGGTACACGGCGGCCATACTTGAGGGCGTAGGGCTGGAAAAATAGACACCCGAACGCGCACATGAAGACCAGGAGGCCTTGACCGTTATTCAAGTCGACGTAGGTGGTGTCGAGGTCAACCACCCAGACAGCCCAGGCTGTACCTGTCCATGCAATTCTATGACCCTCAGCGGCCGCGGTCAGTCAATCTCGAAGAACACCACGTGGATGGTCCCTTGGGCACTTACGCCGCGTTGACGATGAAGCACCAGAAAAGGATGACAAACATATGCCAGTATTTGCGTCCTCGGGACCAGTTCTGGGACCAGCAGCCACACCGTTAGTGCCAGACCCACGCACTTCTAGCCCCTAATGAGGCCTGGGGATCGTAGTTCGTACCAGAGGATCGTTGGGATCAGCAGACGGCTGCGGCATCAGGACGAACCCGGATAGGTGGTGAGTTTCTGCCCGAAAAGAATGATAGGTGTCAGTTGTCTTCCAGTTCAAGAACAGATGACATGCCGGAGAAGAAAAGGAATAGATCTGACAATACCTCTGGTGAGTTTTCTAGTCCCAGGGACTTGGCAGTCGAGGTTCTGCATCACCGTCGCAGCCTCTTCTTCTGGCTCAGCTGCTGGAGTGGCTTGTTCGCAAACGATTTTCTCCATTTTGCTTTTGCATTCGACTCGGAGGGAGCCACAGCAATCCATCGTTCCTTGCTTCGCATAAGAGGTAGAGGCCAGGAACTTTGAGAAGGTTTTCGGAAGAACCATGTTATATACACATGGCCGACCCCTGAATGCCTTGACGCCGTCTTCCTGATAAGAGAGAAATCAAGGCCCTTTTGCTCGAGGAGACCATAGAGGCAAGTCGTATCCACATCAGTCTCCGTCCTCTTGCCAGCGCCAAATTCAGCCTGGCCTTGAAAGACTATCCACTGGCACGAAAGGATTCCCTCAAAGACAGATTCAGAAGCGCCCGTCCTGCAAAAATTGCTGATTCTGGCAATGTCAAAAACGTCAAGCGCCACTCATAGGCGTGGATATGATGACATCCCCGAATCTCAGTGCGTCGACTAGCGCATATCTCATCCTTTTAAAATTTCCTCTCTCGGTCGACTCACGCAGCACTCTCAAGTAAACTTTGGGCTAGTTGAAACTTTCGATCTGACATCGGACTGAGCCTGTATCACTGGCACGCGTTGGGGGTATGCGACCGGAGTCTCCACAGCACTCTATGCTTGACTTCTTGACGCGATGCTCGCTGATATGCTTGCTAGTTTGCGACGAGTGAAGCCCGACCGACAACATTTCTCTGACGCCTATTTAAAAAGGAACATTTTGCCCTTGAATCTTTGTTTCCCGTTCAGAGTTCGAGGAACCCATAATCAAGTGTGTCCGCGGGCAGTCTTTCCCCTTCTTTGCTATTCTCGCAACTAGCTCTCAAGCATACCATGCCGACATTACCCCCAGATTACGGGATCGATGAAAACCAACTTGACCAAAATGCCGACTACGCGTGGTCTCGCCCTGGGGGTCTGATCGAACGTCCAGGCCAGATGTCCGACGAACCGGAGGCATGGTTGTATTGCGATCGCTTTTCCTACAGTACGCATGAGAAGGTCTCCCTCAAGACGCACACTACGGCTTCGACGTATGAGATTGAAGTCATCAAGGACGGCTTAGAACCTCGCACAGTCTACTTGGAGCATGATCTGCCAGGCCGCCAGCACGCAACCCCGAAGGATGCATATGCCGTGGGTTGCGACTGGCCTGAGGCACTCTCTATCCAGCTTGACGAGTCATGGCAACCAGGATTTTACCTCGTCGTCATCCGTATCAAGACAAGTCGCGGCAGGCCGTTTGAGCGCGAGGGATTTTTCATCGTGAAACCCGGGGAGCAGCAGGCCTCCGAGGCAGACTTTTTGCTGATCCATGCCACGAGCACAATGCTGGCGTACAACGACTGGGGCGGAGCGAATCACTACCGGGGTATCGAAGACGGATACCAGAACGACATTCCCAGTCCACAATCTTCCACTCAGCGGCCCATTGCACGAGGAATGCTGCGAATACCCACGAACGCTCCGCGTGAATCAATTGGAGACGCAATCATCGGTCCAAACTGGACCCCGAGGTATGCCAGCCTCGAATATTCCTGGTACTTCCGCTACTCCAGACACTATGCCGATGCCGGTTGGGCGACGTATGAGCGCCCCTTTGTGGTGTGGGCGGAGAATCAAGGCTACAAGATTCATCACATCACGCAGTCCGACCTCCATTCCGACGCTCGGTGTCTCGAAGGGTACAAGTGTGCCGTCTCTGTTGGCCACGACGAATATTGGTCATGGGAGATGCGAGACCATATGGACTCCTTCACCGAGCAGGGCGGCTGCTTTGCCCGTTTTGGGGGTAATTTTTGCTGGCAGGTGAGATTCGACCAGAACATGCACACGCAAACTTGCTACAAGGACCCGACAGCCGATCCGGCCACGAAGACCAACCCGACTCGATGCAGCACAGGCTGGGACTTCCCGCCAGTGAACCGTCCGGCGGCGCAGACCGTCGGCCTGACGGGGTTTGGTGGCGTTTACACTCGCTTCGGTGTTGCCGCGCCCCGGTCATCCGGTGGCTTCCAGGTATACCGGCCAGCTCACTGGGCGCTGGAGGGAACTGAGCTCTTTTACGGCGACATGTTTGGCGCGCACCCGGTCAATATCTGCGGCTTCGAAGTCGACGGAGTCGACTACACGTTCCGCAAAGGACTACCCTATCCGACCGGCACCGACGGAGCATCACTGGATCTGGAAATCGTCGCCATGTGCCCCGCCGTCCATGGCGAAAGGGATCGATGGGGAGGTCGAGAGCCGATAGGAGGGCCGCTCAGAGAGGCGTAAGTCGCGTTCAAATCTCATTGCCAGCCATGTTCTCCCTCCACAAACCCTTCTCATTTTACTGACGGACCGCTGCATCTCTAGGCGAGGCCTATTCAAGGTGGTGTTTCCCGACGGCCCTCCAGAGTATCTGGTCGACCGTGAATACGGTAGCGGGATGGTGGCGAGCGTCGCTAAAGGTCAAGGGCAGATTTTCTGCGCTGGCACCGCGGAATGGGTGGTCGGGCTTATTAAAAAAGATTTCTTCACCCAGAAAATCACCACAAATGTCCTGGATCGATTTTCCGGCAGGCAATAATGCAGAATCCTTTTTTGCCCTTCCGCTCTCTGCGCTCCGTTCTGCCGCTGCAATTGTCCAAATAGTTCGCCGAGCGGACGAGATTGGGTGTCCTCTTCTCATCGCTTTGACTCGCCCTGACTCTGTGTCAGACATGGCTATATCCCCGGTGGAAGCATAGCAAAAGCTAAGTGGTGTTCTGTGGCAGCTGCCGTCATGATAAGAGTCCATAACGGGATAGAGGACTCCACGTCAATGTGCCACAGTCAATGCGCCACAGTCAATGCGTATTCATGCCGTCTTTTCGGCTAATCTGCTATCCTATTCGATGCAAGTCGCCTGTACGCATCCCACTTGTTCCGGGATGGATGAAAGAAGTTTGTCCAAGACGCGAACAGCTCGGGACCGCTCCCTATCAGCTGGTCGAGCCCTTAGCAGCGAATTAAACCTAGCCACATGAGCTTACACTTTTGCGCCGCTTGTGGTTCGCCTCGCCGGGGAGGCACTAACTGATCATCTTTGCCTGATAAGACTGCGATTAGCTGGCGCTTCTTTCCACCCCGAGAGTGATTCCAGCGGAGGTGCCCGTGCGACCGCGCCCGTCCCTCACAGACTACAAAGTCCACACGTCCCCGGCTCTCACTCTGTTTCAAACCCTCGCTGTTTCCAATAATGCTATCCGATTGACGTCTGCCGAGCGCTGTCTTTCTCTCCGACTCTATCAATGACATGCCGAACCGGCGATCACGTTCTGGGTGTTTGCGCTGCCGAAAAGTCAGCCGGAAATGTGACGAGGAGAAACCCACCTGCGGTCGGTGCGCAAGGCTCTCCGTCGCATGTGACTATCAACCTCGACTGATCTGGAGGAACGCGACAGCCTCGCGCTCGGAACACAGGGTCGCCGTGGTCCTCGAATCTGCGCCAAAGCGAACAAGCAGGCCACAGTCGAACCTTGGCTCAACGAGACCAGACGCTTGCACAGAGCAGACAGTAACCGACCTGGAAGGCGTTCGGGAAGAAGATGAGGAATCAGTCCTTCTTAATCGACATGAATCACGGACCCCTTCTCCTCTTCCCGCACCACCCCACAATGAGAACAGAGCTTCAAACGCCCCCTATCGCGCCGAAGCGAGTGGCTCATCCGGGTCTTTACCAGGTCCGGCGCCACCGAGTGTGAAGATCATCAACTTGCTTGGCTGGAAGTCGGTGAAGGGCATGAGTACCGACGACTTCGGAACTTTTCAGGAATGTGAGTGGTTACATGCACCAACGGCGGCTGCAGGGTGAAAGGGTTTGCCACTGATTCGGCGCCTTGGCCACATAGTCATCAGTCACGGACAACGAGGGCTTCATTTCTCGACCGAGCCCAACAATCCATTCATGGACGATTTGCTCCGCAAATGCCAGCGATCCGCGACAGTCACGGCGGCGGTGCTCTCGTTTCAAGCCAGCCAGAACGGCAATCATGGAAGCCTGGTCAAGTTTGATAAAGTGATCAACCGCTACCGTCAAGCTTTCTCCATCGATGATGTAGAATCCCTTACCGCCGCGGGCGGATTAATATGCTGCACCTCCGTAAGTACACTTCACTCTCCCCCACCTCTCCAGGCGGCACGAGAGAGCATTCTCTCATTGTTAACCGGAGCGAAACGTGCAGATGCATCTGGGTTACAGCTGGACATTCCATATCCCCAAAATGGTACGCCTCGGCCAGCACGCCGGCCTCACAATCAGACGTGTGGGCGAAAACGCATCCACCATGCTCGAAGCGATTGCGACCATTGACCTTGACGCATGGGTCATCGGGCGCCAGACCAAGACCAGCCACGTCTGGTATCGGTGGTGCATGGGCGGATCGGGCGTGGAGCCCATCAGCAATTTGCCGCGCTCGCTCCTCGATTTGATTGCGGCGGCATCTGCGGGCGTCGACTGTTCAAACGAAGTTATGCAATGGTCACCGTCAACGGGTTTGCTGGAAACGTCGTCGGTGGCGAAGCGCCATATCTGGCAAGCGTATGCTCTCGCGACCCGGCTGTTCCTCCACCAGAAGAAGATCGCCGTACTGGAGGGCGACACCGCAATTGCAGCTCTGACACACTGTTTGACGCAGCACATCACCAGCTTCAGGAGTGCTTCGGCTTTAAACCCAGCCTTCAATGCGAGGATGACCCTCTGGCCCCTGTTCGTTGCCGGCGAACACTTCGCCGACGACCTGACCAGATTCTTTATACGACGAGCGTTGGCCGACGCTGCGATGAATCAACATTCTCGGTCCGAGAACGCGGTGGGTACCATCCTGGAGGAAACGTGGGCCAGGAATGCTCGCGGCGACATGGTGACGACAGACATGGTGGCAAGAGAGCAAAATATCGAGGTTGGCATCTGGTAGGATTTTCAAAGATCTACAATTATCTTCTTTGAGAGTGTGACAGTCTCGACTGATGGCACTTGCATAAGCCTAAGAGACTACGCCTATAATCCAGGGAGACTGTTCCGTATGCGAACAGTGGACAAAGAGGGCCAGCCCCTCCAGGCGTTGCGATCCCATGGGGCTCTGGCCCTGCTCCCAAGACAGGGACGTTTCAACAACTCTGACTGCAGGACCGTACGTCTCTCAAAGAGAAGATGACGGTGGATGGGCGATCCTTGTCTTTGGATGTGCGCGGGGAACAACTCGGTTACTCTCCAATACTCCCAAAGCTCTCTTGCAGAGGGGGTATTCCGGCCTCGATCATGTTGACCAATGCCTTGTTGCAAGCGGCACCGTCTGAGCGCTTCGAAACATCGGAGCAATTAGACCATTGCTTTTTCCCGCCGAGTGCTCACACTCTTGTTGATCAAAGTTGCTTATTTTCATTCGTGGCTTCAACCTGAGTCTCGACGACATCTCCTACTTCCAGCAGAACAGCGGCGATTTCGATGCTTTCGACTGAAATGCTTTGACCCTCACGCATTGGAAGCGACTGAATGCTTACATTCTACGACGAATCCAGAGCGATGCCTTGATCGCATACTTGGTTGTCCAGCCCACTCTGGTGGAAGCAGGGCATCATCGAAGCGGACAGCCTATTCGAGTTCTTCCTTGTCGATCCTAGTATGTGTCCCTGCATGGAGACCTCACGCCTGAAGCAAGCCCGTTCCAGTCGACAATCCCGTCAATCAATGGCGCGACGACCCTTTCCAACCCCATCCAACCCCATGTTCTTGCGCCAGACTTAGACCCGTGTCTTACATGGAATGGAACGCGCGCCCCGTGACCGAACTGGCCAGTGGCTTGTTCTCCGTCGTCGTAGACGCCCGGACTGAGTTTGCTTCACAATGGGCCGTTTTCATCCGGCCAGCCGCGCAGCGTGTCCTCGTTCTGAACAAGCTGAATGAGCGGTTGCCCGTGTATACCAAGGGCCATCCGGTGAGTGGGTTGGTTGCCCAGAATGTGTGGGTGGTTACCGATGCCCAAGTTGCAGCGGGCGCGCTGAGCCTAGCGCAGCAGAACAATGTGCTTTCTTTCACGGACGGGCCGGCTGTGGGAGGACTGAAGATGTTTATGGCTCCGGGGCCCTTGGTAATTTCGGACTGGACGCTCACTTTGGCCGATGGGAGTGCCCCGGTGAACAGGCTCTGGCTGTTGATTCGGTATGTGATGAAGTAGGACAATTGCAGGCCTTTGCTGTCTGCGGCGTAATTTAATTCTCCTGCCCTGCCGAGCTTCAGCATGGCAGTGTCAAGTGTAAACCTCGTTAAGCGAGCCGCAAGTTGAATGTGTACGGTGCAGACTCAAATGGAAGCTGGGTCAGTCGAGGTGCCGGAGCCCAATATTCATAATTGAGTTGAAGGACACAACGCCACGAGACTCTTTTGTTTAATTCAAGGCTTGAATTCTATGCTGTGACATCTATTCTGTGAAATTCGTTCAGACTGTGAAATGTGGATCAGGAGACTTGTTCCGTGAAATCTGTTTGAAAAGCCCGTGCCGTGAGGCTTATTCTGTGAAGTCTGTTCTGTGAGAAAGTCCGAAATAGCTCCTCATGAAGCTGTCATACTCTTCGCTATCTTGAGTGATAAATGCCTGATCCAGTAAGATTGACCACTCGGGCTTACTTCACGGTCGAAATCGTAAGTCATCGTTCATAGCTCTTCTTCAACCCTCTACAGCCCCCCGAAGCTGTAACATTTGCTGCTTGAACTTGACCTGCGGCTCTTGTTTGATAGCAGCCTCGAGATCTGACAACAAAATTTCTTGGAGCTTCCGTATCCGCGAATCTTGGGCCAAAATGAAGGGGTGATGTGTGCTGACTTGACTGATGAGATGTTTCAAGATCAGAAACTCTTCCACTTGCCTCTTCAACCGTGGTGGTATGCTTGTGTCATCAGATTCATACTCGTCGTCACTATCATAACTCATGCTCTCTGTCCAACCTTTGCTCCACGCAACATTGGGGTTCTCTTGGTCGCCGCTCTCTAATGTGTTTGTAGGCCTGAAGTTCGTGGTGTTCAGCTTGTCTTCCAGCTGATCTAGTCTTTCGGCAATCTCCAAGAGGGACCTTGCGATCCCTGTATCATGCTTGAGTGTCTTCTTTTGCCTCAGCAGATCTGCTACCTCATTTCTTCTCGTGTCGACGTTGTCTCTGATCGCCTTGACTTCACGCTGAAACCCGAGCAGACCTAGTCTGATATCTTCAATCTTTTCCTCTCCGCCGGATAGGGTAGTTCCCAGAGAGAGAAAGTCCTGGTAGTTGTCGTTCACCAGATCCACCAACTCTTTGTTCAATGTGTTACTCAAATCACGAAGTTCGGTCTGGAGGTCCTCCAGTGTCTGAAAGCGATTGGACAAGCTCGCCAGAAATGTGGCCGCATTAAAGCCTGGCGCAAGGAAGGCTGCACGATCCAGAGGTTTTGGAAATGGTAGAGGCGCATCATCATCGACATCAGAGCCAGAATCTGAGCCGCCAAACTAGGTGAAGTGTTAGCATGCGCCGAGCCCAGGGTTGAGTTGAGTCTTGGGGGGCACACATAAAATCTACTGCTCATTGTGTTCTTTCCCTTTCACTCGTCCACATCACAACTTTCACCTTACGACGACAGCCATGGGGAACGTTCTGAGCCGTGTGTTCTGGTGGCTGCTGTTCATGGACTGCAACGATGAGGAGGCCACTTCACACGCCCAACAAGTGCCTGCATCGGCTTTAGACGCGTCTGGCGGAGATACCGGCAGATCTTCGGCAGCCGAAACACCATTTGCATCTAAGGGCGACGTGAACATTCTCACAACAATCAACAACTACCTCAACACTCCTCCCACGCACAACAAAGTCGAAATGGAAGCCGCTGCTCGTGCCGCTCAGGCGCTGGAGAATGGAGACTTCCATGGAGCTTTGAGTGCCTACACGCAAGCCCTCGTCGAACATCCTCTGTCGCCAGACTACCTCACCCAGAGATCCACTGCCTTTGCCCGTCTCAAACCTCCCCGCCATGACCTCGCCTTGAAGGATGCAGAGCTCGCCCTGGTTTCCGCCAAAAGCCGTGCTGTCAGAGAGAAAATCCAGGCTGCTCAGTTCAGAAGAATGATCACACTCTACAACCTTGGTCGCTACGCTGATGCCGCGTTTCTCGTTGAGAAATTGAAGCCTTTCATCCCAAAGGACAGCAAGCCAGGCAAGATGCAAGTGGACATGTGGGCAGCCAAATGTAACATCAAAATCAAAGCAAACCCAGACCAGACAGTCACAATCAAAGAATACCCAGAATTCCCATCTGGTCTACCGTCTCAGTCGGACATGATTGCAAAGTTCAAGGCTCAGTTGGATTCCGACGGAAACTATGTCTTTCCAGAAGATGTTGCCACTACTGCCACTCTACAACAAAACAACACCACAACGTCATCTATAGAAGCGTCAACCGACACCAAGAACACCACTGATCCTCAGACTTCAACTGCCACCTCGGCACCAGTTCCCAAGATCCGACATGAGTGGTACCAAAACAATCAAGCCGTCATGGTGACTCTCTACGCAAAAGGTGTTTCAAAGAGTGCGGCAGACATCGAGATCAACGCTGATTCAGTGTCCATCTCTTTCCCTCATCCTTCACACCCAAATTCGTCATTCAACTTCACTCTCGACCCGCTATTCGCACTTATTGACCCAGCTCAAAGTAGCGCAAATATCATGTCTACCAAGGTAGAATTGACCCTACACAAAGCACAAGCCGGTCAGAAGTGGAACAGCCTCGAAGGAACTAGCTCTCTTGTTGTTGCACCCGGAAAAGGCACTTCATCGTCATCAACCTCTACTGCAGCAGCCATCCAACCACCTCCTGTTGCTCAATCCGCTCCATCATACCCCACATCCTCTCGTACCGGTCCGAAAAACTGGGATAAGCTCGCGGACGACCTCCATGCGCAGTCCAAGGGCAAGAAGAAGGAGAAGACCACCGGCCCAGCCAGTGGCGATGAAGAAGAGGCGGACGTCGACTCCGACTATGACGGAGATGCCGTCGACGGCTTCTTCAAGAAGCTCTACGCCGGCGCCGACCCGGACACTCGTCGTGCCATGCAAAAGTCCTTCCTTGAGAGCCAGGGCACGGCTCTCAGCACCAACTGGTCCGAAGTTGGTAAAGGCAAGGTGGACGTCGTCAAGTCCAAGGACGACGAGTGAGTCGGGTCGGCACCAAAATGGTGCAAATTGATACCCCTGGGGCCCTTTTGCTTTTTATTGCGGGTGGCGTGTCGTGACTATTTTATGAGAAATGTGAGATGAGTATGAGTACGCCTTTGATGGCAAGAATGAAAATGAAAATTACAAAAGATCCGATCCAATCCATTGCATCTTGTAGTCCATTCCCACACCTTGTCCAGTGATATCGTGATTCAAAGATATGTCTCACGATCACCCTGTGCCCGTGTCATGCGAGAGCAATGACTACGACTATTGTGAAGGTGGTAGTCGCAGAAGTATTGGACCATACTCAACTCTATCATCGCTATGATGCGCACCACTCTCATCGAACGTGAGATGCGTATTGGCCAAGGAAGACAGCTCGTTACTGAACTGTATACCTATAACCTAAGTGTCTCCGGTACCATTGCACGAGGTAGCACATTCCATCTCCTGACCGTTTCACTTCCCAATGTTGATCTATGAATACATTCTGTACATGCCGGAACAAGAACTATCGACATCATGCAACACCCAATTCCTGAGGTGTAGGTGCGCCCGGGGATGGTCTATAAAATTCGCCGTTCAGCGAGAAGCCGGGCGTGTTTGTAGAGCTGAGAACCTAACAACAATTAGCAACAGAACGCTGCAGTCAGTCAATCGGTCGATGCAACTCACCACCTCAGAGACCTCCTTCACAATCTGATCACTCAAAGCATTTGCGTCCTTCCTAACCGCACTGACATATGCTTTCACATTATCTCTGAGCTGTTCTGGAGTGAAACTGAGTCTGCCCACTGCCATGCGAACAACGCCAGTTCTTTCTCTGTACATGCTACCGCCCAGCATGTTTCTGACCGCCGGACCTGGTTTGTCCACCACTGTACCCAGTTTTGCACTCGGCATCAAGCCTCGAGGACCCAGAATTCGGGGCAAACCCTCCTTGGCCAGCTTCGGGAGAGATGAGGTTACAGCGATGCATCGGTCGAAGTCGATTTTTCCTTCCTTTACACGTTGGAAGATCTCCTCCTCGCCCACAAATGCTGCGCCTGCTTCTCGGGCCTGTTTCGCGGCTGCGGAGTCGGGAGGGCAGATGACTGCCACTTTAATATCTTGTTTGACGGCATGAGGCAGTTTGATCTGGTTGCGAATAATCGGACCGTCCTTTTTCGTCCTCAGCTTGATGTGAATATCGTATTTCGACACGTCCGGATCGTGAGTAACTTCCATGGCCTTGATGTAGCTGAAATCTATTAGCTTCTGGCCAAACAAACGTCAAGTTTTCTCCCATACCGCATGGCCTCGCAGAGGGTAAACTGCTGTATGTCCTTCAGGTCATACTGCCGGAATGTCTGATGCCTCTTCTTTCTCTTCTTTGCTTTCGCTGCTGCCGCCTTGTCCTTGCCCGACCGAGGCGCAAACAGAACAGGAACTGAAGAGAAGGATCGGGTGGAGGTTTGAGGTAGAGACGTGAACGACGAGAGAAAGGTCGACGTTGTAGAGCGGCAGAGGCGCTTAGTAGCCGCTGCCAGACTCCGGGATGCCTCCATTTCTGTATGTGAGCGTGGGAAATGGAAATTCCAATTCCTTTCCGCTAGACATCAATACCAAAAGTCCGCAACTTTAGGAGCTCGAAAACGCCGGCGAGGCTGAGCTTGGCGAGTTTGCAGGATTTGGAAGGAGTTGGCAAGGCTGACTAAAGTTGGGTGGCCGATCATCTTCCCCACGTCTACTAGGGCTTTCCCTGCGCAGAAGTTTCGAGGTTTGAATAAAATGAGTCCTTGACCTTGTTCTTTCTCGCTCCACGAACCCTTTCAGCACTTCAGCACTGAACGCACGTCAACATGGCTACCAAAAATGCCCCCAAAGCGAAAAAGGCCCCAAAAGTTAAGCAGATGGAACTGCCAAACGCCGCTGCTGGTGTGGTGACAAGATTTCCCCCAGAGCCTTCAGGTTACCTGCACATTGGCCACTCGAAAGCCGCCCTCCTCAACGACTATTTCGCCCACATTCAGTACGAGGGAAAGCTCATCCTACGGTTTGACGACACGAACACTGAAAAGGAGAATGCCGAATTTCAAGATGCAATTCGAGAGGATGTCGCTTTGCTTGGAATCAAGCCCGACACAATCTCTTACACGAGCGATTACTTTGACCACATTGACGAGCAATGTGTGAAGATCATAAAAGCCGGCAAGGCATATGCAGATGATACCCCGGGCGACGTGATCAGTGCGATGAGACTGGCACGTGAGCCCAGCGCTAGAAGAGACGAGAGCATCGAGGATAACCTTGCAAGATATGAGGAGATGAAGAAGGGTACGGAGGAAGGGCGAAAATGGTGCATCAGAGCCAAAATTTCACACGCCAACGACAATGCTTCTCTGCGTGACCCTGTCATCTACCGATGCCCGAAGAACCAGACTCCTCACCACCGCACTGGTGACAAGTACAAGGCTTACCCCACCTATCAATTCGCCTGTCCTGTCGTCGACTCTCTCGAGGGCGTTACTCATGCTTTGAGAACTACCGAATACAACGATCAAGATGCGCAGTACAAATGGATTCTGAAGGCATTGGATTTGAGACCAGTCCATATCTGGACTTTCTCGAAGATCCAGTTTGTCCGTACTCTCATGTCCAAGCGAAAGCTGACAAAGCTTGTCAATGCTGGCGTCGTATCTGGCTGGGATGACCCTCGGTTCCCCACCGTCAGAGGCATCAGGAGACGTGGTATGACGGTCGAAGGTCTTCGAGACTTCATGGTTAGTCAAGGGCCCAGCAAGAACGTCGTCAACATGGATTGGCACACCATCTGGACCATGAACAAGAAAGTCATCGATCTCAAAGCTGGTCGATATACTGCCATCGACAAGGACTACGTGGTCTGCAAGGTCAAGGGTCTTCAGGAGGAGCCCTACTCCGAGGCCAAGCCAAAGCACGCCAAATATGACCTCGGTGAGAAGAAGGTCTGGTATAGCCAGAACGTCATTCTCGAGCAGGAGGATGCCAGGACTTTCGCTGAAGGAGAGGAGATTACGCTCATGAACTGGGGTAACGCGTATGTTCGCAACATCCAGTACGAGAAAACAGGCGACAAAGCTGATATCACGGACGGCGTCAACGCTCTTGGTAATGTTGCTTCGATGGAGCTTGAGCTACATCTGGAGGGCGATTTCAAGACCACGAAAAAGAAGGTAACCTGGCTGTCCAAGGATCAAGAGCTGTGCCCGGTTGAGCTAGTCGATTTTGATCACCTGCTGTCGAAGGACAAGCTGACCGAAGAGGAGGAGGAGCACTGGGAGGACTTTTTGACGCCAAAGAGCGAGTTCAAATCCTACGCCGAAGCTGATTGCAATGTATGGGATGTCAAAGTGGACGACTTTATCCAATTCGACAGAAAAGGTTACTTCAGATGTGACCAGGCCGCGACGAAAGATTCTCCTGGTGTTTTCTTCAAGATCCCAACAGGGAAATAGAGAGTCGGCAGGGATTCGAAGTTTGGACAGCACGAATGGCACGTCAGGTAAAAGTGGAAAGAATTTTGCGTTCTGAAATCGAGATCGGGTCAACAGGTCTGCGAGACATGATCATGGTTACGAGAGACATATAGATAGATGGAAAGAAAGAAACAAAAGAAGTCAGGACAGCGGCATCGCGACGTCTTCAGCGCCCAATGAAATGCTTCACGGACAACCCCTTGATCCATCGGAGTTTGCCGTCAATCTCGGCCGTGTCTCTGCATTACGATGTTGATATGCAACTCCATTTCTTGCACGGTGAATGCGTCGTCAACTCCAGTGTTGTCAAACCTACGCTGGTAATTAGGTTTAAGTATCCTGAGACCCAATCCGCAGTGGCGTTTACAAAAGTGCGTTGCAGCAGCATCCAGATTCTGCCCACGATATTGACAGACAAAAACATTGCCTGCGCTATGTATTGATACATACCGACTTATCCGAGAACCTGGGAGAGCCATCATCTGGGATTGTTGCCATGGGTGAAATAGGCAATGAAAGCATGGATTTCGACGTGGTCATCAGGAATGCCACTGTTGTGAGTATTTGTGCAACACTTTCCACTGGCGGTGTTGACCACTCCCTATCCAGGTGACAGCGTCCGAGATCCTGCAGCCCGGGCTCTCGATCGGTATCAAGGACGGCATCATTGTTGCTATAGCTCTCTTCCTCCCAGTTGGAGCATCAACTAGAGTCATCGACGCAGAGGGAGCCTATGTGACTCCAGGCGGCGTGGACTCGCATGTGCACTTACATCAGGACAACGCTCCGACCGGCGACAAGTGGCTGACTGGATCTCGCTCTGCTCTGGCTGGTGGCAACACCACCATACTCGCCTTCGCAACGCAGTCGAGGACGCAGGAGTCATTGTTCCCGGTGGTGAAAGAGTATCACGATCGCGCAGATGGCCAGTCCTATATCGATTATGGGTTCCATCTTATCCTGACGAAGCCAACCGAGAAGATTCTACAGGAGGAGCTGAAAGCCATGGTCGACCAGGAAGGAATCACGAGCGTCAAGCTCTACATGACCTATCCGGCCATGAAACTCGGGGATGGCGACATGCTCGAGATCATGATGCAAGCGAGAGCATTGGGTGTGACGACGATGATTCATGCTGAAAACAGCGACATGATTGATATGTATGTACCGTCTCCCTCGCGAGAGCCCTTTGGCCCCTTTCGGAACACCGCTCTCGGGGAATCGATCATTGACATATCTTATCCCCTTGATATTTTTGCCTAATTAGCAGAGTCAAAGGAACCCACTGACCTTTTCAAAAGGATAACGACCCGACTCCTCCGCAGCTCTCGAACACTTCCTAAATATCACGCAATCGCCCGTCCACAGATTGCAGAGTCCGAAGCGACCAACCGCGCGATTTCTCTCTCAACCCTGACCTCTGCACCGATCCTGATTGTCCACATGTCTTCCCCCGTTGCCATCTCGCACGCGCGCAAGGCCCAATCGAAATCTCTGCTCCCCGTGCACGCGGAAACGTGTCCTCATTACTTGTATCTCCTCTCCTCAAAACTCGCAGCTACGTCCGTTCCAGCTGCCCTCTCAGCAGACCCTCATCACTCCCACGACCACGACCACGACCACGAGGAAGAAGTCCACGACGAATGGGCCGGGGCCCGGCACGTGTGCGCGCCGCCACTCCGACACACCCCCGCGGACCTCCAAACGATCTGGGACGCGATACTGAACGGCACCATCACGACCATCTCCTCCGACCACGCTCCGACTCTGTACAACTCGCCCGGCGGGAAACGCAAGCCCCTGATCGACGCCGCGGCATCTCAAAGCGTGCCTACGTTCGCTCAGATCCCGAACGGCCTTCCGGGCCTGGAGACACGGCTTCCGCTGCTCTTCGACGCCGCCACAAACGTCAACGCGCCCCGGTCGCGGCGCCTCTCTCTGCCCAAGTTCGTCGAACTGACGTCCACGAACCCGGCGCGTCTGTACGGCCTGGCCGGCCGCAAGGGCAGCATCGCGCCGGGCTTCGACGCCGACATCACCATCTGGTATCCTCCCGGACACAAAGACGTCGCGGGGGGGATAACCATCACCAACGACATGTTGCACCACAGCATAGACTACACGCCCTTCGAAGGGATGAGCGTGTGCAATTGGCCGCGCTACACCGTCTTGCGAGGCGAGCTCAAGTGGGACCGTGACGTCGAGCTACGGGAAGGCCACGGACGCGGCGTGCTGGGTGCCCCGACCGACGGTGCGTATCTCAAGCGTGGCAAGGGGGAGGTGCTCGTCGGACGCACGGGTCAGCTGCCGCCGGGGATGAGGGATGGCGAGAGGGACGAATGGGCTGCGTGGACGACACATGCCCAGGTAACTTAGATACCTTGGGAGCCACGGGTAGGCTATTGTATCGAGAGCAGAGCCCAGAAGAACATGGTGCACACCACATAGGTATCTACACATCGCGTAGTCACTCCGACGACTTTGACTCTACCGAACATGCGGATGAAAAATCTCAAGAAAGAGCAAAGCATGGTGTATTGTTCTATCGTACGAGGTACGACCGCCGCGCCCCGGTAAGGCTGGACGCCCTCGAATGTCCATTGCTTGCGCCACGCAGATTGAATCGTCCAGGGCGAAAAAAGCCTGGCGCGTCGTCATCTATCAGAAGTGTGAAGATTAACTACAGGGAACCACCAACGTTGGGCCGGTGAAAATCGAGATCTCCACCACAATGAACTGAGATCCCTCCCTGTCTGTTCAGACGAGAGCAAACGCTTCGTTGCCATAGAATAGCCCCTTTCTTCATATCATAGGAGAGATCCGTTTGGCCTGAGAGTAGAGTAGAGTCGCAGGCCGAAAGACCGAAAGAAGCCCGTTTATCCCCCATGGTCCCGGAACGCCCAGCAATGCTTCGCTAAATTCCCTTGTGACAAAAATTGTTCGGTCGTCGTCTCGATAGAAAGATCCAGGTAATACCGACTCCTCCTCTCACGTGTGGATCAAAATCTTGGTTCGTGACATGACCCTTCAAAAACGCCGCTCATGCTTGGAGGAAAGAAAAAGAGCCCTATGTTGTCAAGAGTACGCCCGAGTGCCATGATTGTCCCGTTTTTCTTTTCTCTTGTTTGGTGGTTCTCACGAAACAACCATTCTAATCGCTTTCAGGCATGCGCATCCAGGCATCGATTGCGGTCGAAAAGGCCGCGAAGCCCGCACACCCGAACAGCGCCGCCTGCGGACCGGCCTTGTACGCCAGCCCTGCGCCAGTAATGCAGCCTGCCATGGCCGAGTTCTGCAGGTCCGACTTTGCCCTGAAGCTCTCGATGCCGCACTCGACACCCGAGTAGATGCCGCCAATAAGGGCAAAGTTCTTGGCCGACGACCAGGACTTTGCGCCCATGTCCTTCAAGCCGCGCTTCAGCTGTTCTCGCACGGGTAGCGACGTGATTTGCTGTCCTTGTGGTGAAAGGGGAGTATCGTAGGCCATCTAAAACCGTTGCTCGCGAGTCAGCGCCATTCGCTTAATAAGGCTGTAAAAATTACAAGAGGCACAGATAGAGAGGAGACCGAGCGAGCGAGAGAGAGAGAGAGAGAGAGAGAGAGAGAGAGCGCAAAGCACTCCTTTCTCATCAAACGCCAAAGTACAATTTGTATCAAAGAAAAATCTGCAGAACTTACACTTGACATGAAAAGACCAAACGCTCCTCCTAATGCGCCACCCATTGCACCCGAAATGATCGACTTGGCCACGCAGCTCTCAGACCCGCGTTGGAATCTCTTGACCCATATCAGTTCTTCCTCGCTCATTCCGTTGGCAGCACCACCTGCGCCTGCACCGCCTGCGCCCGGCGCACCGTACATTCCAGGAAACGCCATCGTGATCGCTGCGTGAGGTGCGAGGACGAGGGCGAGAGATATCGGACGGATCGCGGACGAGAAAGATGGCAAGGATGGCCGCTCACAGTCGCGATGAACGCAAGGCCACGTCCCAAGGGAGAAAGGAGAGGGAAAGCAATTCGCTTTTTATTTGGTACAGATGAGATCAAAAAAGATCGGTATTTTGAGGCTGCAAGGAAACATGTCGGCGGGCAGCGGCGAGAAATGGATGAGGCACTTTACAGACGGCCCTGATTGGCGGAACGTGGAGTACGAATGCAAATGGACCTTTTCAGCCTCGTCGACATTTATTAGAATTGACGAGGCTGTCCTTACCAGCTTCATTGGCGACATGTTGCCTAGGTACGGATGTATGCAGAGTAGTTCCTCGCAGACATATGTATAGCGATTCAAGTGTGCTTGTCGCCAGCTTCAAAACGACAACCAAGAGAAGTATTATGGAAATTCCAGCAAGGCTACGACGTTCACAGATGTTTCACGCCATGTTCCTCTCTTATCACTTCAAAAGGTTGTTCTTCTTGCTCACTACCTCTTATCTTTGTAGACATCGAACGCAGATCATTGATTTAGCTGCGTATTCTTTACGTGCCTGCACTTCTCATGCGCTTTGTCACTATCGTCCTTCCAAGAGCCATCTTGGGCCGACGCCCTGCGGCGTTCCTGAATATGGACGATACTGAGCGGTACAGCGTTAGTGACAGGTATCTGGGTCGGCTCGCCGAGCTCAAACAAAGAACCCTACCTCCCTTTCTTGCCCATTCCTTATACGCATCGCTGAACCCCCTCGGATGGCAGGGGAATGCTCTTTGGAACAGTCCAAATCTCCTTTCATGGGAGATCTTGTGCTCACGCGACCATGGCGCCTCATGTGTCATAGGAAATGGTACACCGGAGCCATTATCAAAATCATTTGACTTTGCTCATGACTGTGTCGGCTCCCCTCTCCACATATGTCGAGGCAGCCGTCTGTTTAACCGCAGTAATCATGCTTCGATCCCAGTCGTCCCTGGTCTTGAGGACACCTTCAACCCAACTCAACTGCAGATCCCAGTAATCTCGCTTGAAGTCTGCAAACACTCCCACAACTTCCATCTTATCGGCTTCGAGCAACTGGACTGTGTAATTCACAGCTTTCCATTTGGGCTTGATCGTCTCATTGAAACTGTCGGGGAATTTTTCGAAGAATGCGAAGGCTGCAAGGACGTCGTCCCTGAATTTGGCGGGGAACGGCTCGCCTCGCCTGAATTTGACTCCTTTGTTGGATTTTATGCAGGTCAAATAGTTGACTAGCAATGCGTCCGACAGCTCTTCAATCATGATATCCAGCAGCGACGGATGTAGTACAGAGCTATAATCTCCAATGTAATCGTCGAATGTAGTAGTAATTCGCTGCATTGCTGTTTGTTCGTACCATTTCCCTGGTACAAAGAGCTCTGTCAGGATTGTCCGGAAATCGACACGGAAGATGAGCTGCACGAAGCGCGAAATACAGTGAGTGGCCAAATCGACGTAGCCGTCTCGCAGGGAGTCCATCTCGCTTGTCCCATTTGTCGACAAGAACTTGGCCGAGGGCGGAGTAGGCAACTTGACGAAATCTTCTCGGAAACGCGTTAGATATCCCTTTTGCGCGGTTGGATCATCTATCACATCGCCAGCAGCATCGTCGACACATGCAATCTGGTCATTGGCAATAGCAAGGAGCCAGTCCTGCAATTGCTGCAACGTCTCAAGTTGCTCCGAGGTGGGATTCTTGTACCTTTCCACCTCTTCGTCCACCAGCCGTTCCCATTGCTGCTGTCTCGATTTCAGAGCGCTGAACATGGCGCTCATAACGCCTTCGACCACATCTTCTCGTTCAGAATCACCAGCGGCCTCTGCTTGCTCATGCAACATGCGCCACATGTCAGGCAGTGTCTTGGTTCTGAAGTGGCCATCCGGATCTGTCTCGATTGCATCCGTAGCTCTGGATTTGAAGTTCTTCATATCAGTAACATACATCCTGTCAATCCAGGAATTGAGAGCTTTCGTTATGATATTTCTGTAGTCGCGGATAAGGTCCCCTTCGCGGGAGTCGAGTACATGTGGCTTGAGTTGCGACTGCGAAACTCCGAGTTTGTTCATTTTCTGGTAGTACACATCGATGTAATGAACGATGGCCAGCATTTGTGGTGGCCTCAAATCCTCCGCATCAACGTACTCAAGTAGAAAGTCATGCATTTGTTGGTGGTAAATGTTCACGAATGTTTCAAAAATCTTCCACTTCTTCGGGAAGAGGTTCTGCATTCCTTGTTTGCAGACAAATATATCGTTGAAGAACCACTTGGTTGCCTTGTCGAGTCGAGATGGATCCTCCTGAAAGCTCTGTCTTGTCGTTTCGAATTGGCCCTCGGCATACATCTTAATTGAAGACAAAAACTTATCCTTGTAGCCACGAATCGACTTCGGCCCGATGGTGAATGATGTGAATTTGCTGGCTAGATCCTGGTGATCTTTCTGCGCATCCTGCAATGCCCGTACACGCGCGTCATTCTTCTCCTCCGAGGCAATCACAATGGCAAGCCGAACGATGAGGCCATGATTATCTTGCTTGGTCAACTCGATCAAGTTCATACAAATAGCCCCAATGTGGCCGTCAAACATATCTATGATGTCGTCAAGCTGCTGAAACCAATCGAGCAACGTCTGTTCAAGACTTGAATCCTTGCTTCGTCGGATCTGATCCAACGCTTCATCCCGAAAGTCGCGCAATTGTGTCAGGCGAAGGTGCGCTTCCAGAAGGTTGGGCTGGTTGTACTGGTCATTTTCATCCTCTTCCAGGAGAGCTCGAAGAATAGAGCAGTCTCGCTCAAAGTTGTCAAGCCCAGCCTGCATGGCTCGCGTGGCCTCGAAATTGCGATGGACTCGAGCCAGGTAATCCAACTGAGGGAAGTTCTTCCGGATCGCTTGCGCCTGTTCGCACAAATCATGTACAGTCTTCATTTCCTCTTTGATCTGCCCAACGAGTTTCTGCCCTTCTGCCAAAGTCGACATGCCATTTTGCGTGGAATCCAAGTGATCTTTAAGTCCTTCTCGTAATCTGGCGTCCACATCACCTTTCTTGCGATTGATTTCTCCTTTGATACTCGTGATCTTCTCGAGATCTTCTGGGGTACGTAGGGCATCTTGGATTCGGGGCATGCCGGTAAGGGCAGTGGCATTGGTCCTCACTGCCATGGCTGCGGTACAAGGGGTGGAAGTAGGGGTCGGATATATAATGGCCGCTTATGGCCTATTGTGTCAGCGCATCACTCTGGAGAGTGTCCCATAATCCCTCGGTCGAGAGACGGTCGAGAGATATGACTAAACAGAGCGTGTGTGATACCAGAGATCAGAAGCGCTCATACAAGGGCAGTGTCGCAGTAGTCAAACTACCTGTTGATGTATGGAACACGGAGTCTCCGGCGTATCCAGTCCCAGCCTGGCCGCTTTTACTCGGATCGACTACACTTGAAATCTGGGGTAAACAAAGAAAGAACAAACACGTTCACACGGGTAAGTCAAAATTATAAATCTGTGCTTTCGCTCTATGAAACCCTCCCGACAATACTCCTCCTCTCTGCATCATACAGAGCAAAGTCTACATCTCTGATCAATACTTGATGCTAGCAAGCCAGGCAGCGCCGTCACCGGTGTATTTTCGAGCTCGGTGCTTTGAGTAATCTCCTTACCAGCTTCGAAACTACGGGCCATATTTTTCTATTATAGGTATCGGTTAACGTAATGCCATCGTTGCCGAACAGAAGTCTTGCTGGTTGAAGTTGCGAATGGAGAAACATGAATGCATGGACAAGCGTCAAGGGAGACAATAATTCACCGTAGTTCTCCGGTACAGTATTTGGCAGGAAACCCGCAAAATTTCATTTTCCCTTCGAGATTCCTAGAACTTGACCTTCTTCGTAGACAAGAACGTTCTCAATCAATCACAGTGTTCCTGCGAAGACGTGACCTCTCGCCCACATCTCAAGACCCCACCCCCATCACTCGACAATCATGTCTTACTTCCGAATCACCTTAATACGATCTGCCATAGGTCTGCCTGCGAAATCCAGCAATGTTCTCAAAGCCCTGGGACTCCGCAAGCGCATGGCGACAGTTTTCCATCCTGTCACACCATCAGTAGCCGGTCAAATCATGAAAGTGAAAGAGCTGGTTGCCGTATCTGAAGTCGACAAGCCATTGACGAAACAAGAGGTTCACCAAGAACGAGTCCCGGATACAGGGTTCTATATCGAAGCTCGCGCCGCCGACATGAGACGGAATTAAGCACTACTCGGTTAACAAGGAGTGTTGGACATATGTGGAATGCGGTCTATAATACCGTTGGGGCTTCCTCGCAGCGAGTCGGAGTTGCTACGATTGCCATACAACGCCTTGCGCCCAACAATAGCCCCTCTCGAACAACCTCATCGATTCTTCATTGAATAAGTGGTCCAGAGAGAGCACTTGGCCCTGGTAGAAAGGCAACATCACCAGGGACAGTTGAAAGACGCTGGTCCTCATATCGATGATGAAAGGGCTCTCCATCCACGCACTGCGAAAACATTCCGGCGAGGAAGCTCTTCGCCGAACACCCGATCCTTGCTCCTTAGATGGACTTGGTCAAGACGGAGCTGACATAGACCTCTGAAGCAACGAGACCAAAGCCAGGCGCATTCGTTAGGAGGATACGGCGTGCAGCGCAGTGTGCCTTCACTTGGCCTCCGCGGGGACGAAATATCACAAGGAAGCCTCGGCGTGTTCATGCTCTGCGGACACGCCGAAGAGAGCATGGATCCTGGACAGCACTATGGCATCCCAGAGGCCTCTCGCGCAGCCATGGTGTACAATCTGTATCAGTATTGCGTGATTCTGGTTGGCAAGCAATGTAGATGTCCTGGTATGATGGATTGAATGTAGGAGCAGTCCTACAGCCTATGGAGTTTTAAACAGACTACCATGTTCTCAAAAAAACTTTTTTTCTTCTCTAGAGCGATACCAGATTGGACTCCACGTTCTGACTCTAAGGACCTTGAATTTCCTCGACCCTGCAACGGTTTCATTAGTATTCGAGCTTTGAGGATATATGGGTGTTGGGAGCTTTTTAGAGCCTCGGCCAATAGCAGAAGCTTTAAAGTTAGTTGGCTCTGTTCCGAGGGCGGCCAATTGTCGTCATTGCTCCATTCATTCACTCCTCCTCCTCCAGACATACGGAAATCAAATGTGAGGAGGCAAGACAACGCGACAACTCAGTAGCACGTCCTCGCCAATTTGCGCTGCGATTCTCCGTATCTGTTTCCATCCAACCTCTCTCTATACGTCGCCCTATACTACCTGGGCTCCGTGCTGGATCCCCTCGGACTCAACTCGACCACCACCTACCTGACACCATGAAAGCAACCTCTCTCTTCCGCACGGCTCGAGCAGCAGCAGCAACAATCACGCGCTCCACGCCGACCCGTCCCTCATCAAGTCTTCTTCCCAGTCTCCGCCGCAACGCTACTTCAGCCTCGACGCCTCTGGCGCTCAGACCCTCAGCTCTACTAAACCCTCGTCTCCTGCGTTCCTGCGACGGCCCTCGCACGTTTTCCACCTCCCGTGTCTCCTACAAAGGGATCCTCCCTGAAAGCTCAGAGCCACAACCACCCAACACCGACTCGTCGCCCGGCAGCAGCCCCGCACAGATTACGGACGCAGAGTACCACGAGATAGCAGACCAGTACCTCGACACGCTCGTTCTGGCCCTCGAGGAGCTGAGCGAGTCCAGAACCGATGGCCTAGAGGTTGAATTCTCGGTAAGCCCGCCCACTCCAGGCCCGCTCCTCTACCTTCTTTCGGTATCTAAGAAGAGAAAGAGGAGAAAAAACGCCCAGAAAGTTGTACTTGTGCTAACCCAGGGTAACTTCTTGGTTTTCTCTAGGCTGGCGTACTCACGGTCACTCACCCGCAAGCCGGCACGTACGTGATCAACAAACAGCCTCCGAACAAACAGATCTGGCTGTCTTCTCCCGTGTCTGGACCGAAGCGGTACGACTGGGTGGTCTCGGGCGCAGGGCAACATGAGAAGGAAGGCTCAGAGGTCGATGCTGGCGACGACGGAGCCGGTGGAAGATGGGTCTACTTGCGCGATAACAGCCAACTGAGTGACTTGTTGAAGAAAGAGCTCGGTGTCGAGGTCACAAAGGAGGACGAAGCCGATGCTATCGGCGGACGAGAAGGTCCTGCCGGTCAGGGTTCATCGATTGCGTGAATGAATGCCAATGTGACGATGAAAATGTCCAAGGCGGTCGAGGTTGCAGGGACAAAATACAAAGTCTCGACACTCATGTATGGGTGTAATTAGAGCCTCGATGTACTGTGCAAGGCACAAAATTAACAACTATCATCTCTTGCGACAAGAGAAAGTAAGTATGCGTCTCATCCGCAACTGTCTGGTCACCGGCTTGCTTGAAGCGCGGTAACCTCCCATCCAAGTTACTTTTGTATGATATCCAGCATTACATTCATCTTGTACCTTTGGCTATATAACCGACTTCACTTTTCCCCGCTCATTTTCTCTTCCGTCCACCTCCTTGCGCTACGGCTGCTGCAGGCGCAGGTCGAGGTGCGGCGGGCGCCGCGGCAGCAGGAGCAGGGGTCCCGGCTTGCGGACCTTGCATTCTCCTGTTCATGATCCTTCTCGAGAAGAAACTAATACCAATCATCATGGCCCAGCTGGGGATCGTGCTCAAGCCCCACATGAGGTAGCCGAACGGCTCCAGGAGGCCGAACTGGGACACGATTCCGTCAAAGGGGTGCAGAAGGCCAGTGTATTCTTCTTCCTCGAGGTATCGCGACTTGGAGTTGGAGGGGATGGCCACGATGTCGGCAACGGTCGCCGAAGTCAAGTTGAGTGGGATGACGCGGAGGGGCACTTTGGATGGAGGGTTCGATTGAACTGGCACCATGAAATGATAGATCGATGGCAATGACGCGGCCCATCCCGTACACAGAACGGCCTCCTTGTCGCAATCGACGAAGCCTAGATGCAACGGCGGGGATGATGCGGTCTTTGGGAGCGCGGCGAGGAGAGGAACCGATTCCTAAAAGGGTGAAACGTATGATGTTAGATACCGGAGGTATATGCATGGCCTTTGTGAGTAAGGTAGGCAGCTGGGTTGATCTTTCTGGGCGCGCGCATCGAGTCCTGGCAGGGGTACTCACATTCCAAGTCAAATCGACCTTTCCGCATCGACCGAAACAGCTCTTGTTGCCTCCAGTCATGTAGACCATCCATTCTTCCTCGGTGTCGAGTTTGGGGCCCAGCTTGCTCTTCCAATTGCGAAGGTTGATCTTCTCGACCCTGCTATCTGCGACTTGTGCGGCGCCAGCATCGATAGGATTGGGGACGACCGCCGCCGCGTTGGGGAGGTACGCCTTGGCTTTGTCGAACCAAGCCGCCGCCTGGTCTTTGAAAGCTACTTGTTGGTCGGCTGCCACGAGCAGCGGCAGCAGGAGTAGCGTCGAGGAGAAACGCATGGTGATCAAAATAGTGGGAAGGAAGAGAACAAAAACGAATCTAAACCCCAAAGGAACCTTATCAACAAGAAGCAAGGGATTCGAACAATTAATCAAATCAATGAAGGGATGAAAAAGAGTTCTGGAAGGGCGCAAAGATAGGAGAATTTGCGATCTCAGAAAGAGAGAGGGAGAGAACCAAGTACGAGTGCTGTAACTCGGTTACTAACTAGTTAGTACTCGTAGGTCGCTGGGTTAACGCCGTGTTCTCGTAGTTGTCGGGGAGGTTCGAAGCAGCGGGAATCGGCCTGTGAAGACTCGTGGGTGGATTTCGCAGTCTGTATGGCGTCAACGAGACTCACTAGTTACAGGCAGTTGGACGGCCGAACTGCGGCGAACACACGCCCGCAAAGGGTTCCTGTCCAGGCTGTCAATTTCCCCTCGTAGGCTTCCTCATCTGAATCGTCTCCTCTACTCCAGACGGATTTCGCCAAAGCCACCTCCACGTGGAAAGTCTGCCATTAATAAACCCCCCTAACTTAGGGAGGTACCCACCAGTGCCACCACTGCTACATGTTCCTACAATGCCAGGTTCTCTCCACCAATATCGTTTACTCGTGCATGGCATAAGGGACTATCACATTTGTGATTGAAGCAAACCAACATTCTGAGATATTGAACAGCCGAATCAGTATTGTCGGCTCTCGGCTCAGGTAAACCCGTCGGTGACACGATAATCTTGAATAAATATTGTCTGGATACGGAATACGAACCTGGTGCTAGACCTATACATGGCAACGAATTTACCCGGTTAAGCAGACCTCACTGTGCCTATCACTCACCCGTCATCTGTCTGATGAACTCATCCCAGTTGCCCATCTCGATATTGAATTCCCAGGTCTTCTCGTCTTGCCCATACAATTTCCAGAAACTCTGAGCAATGTTTCTGGCGTTGAGCACCGGTTGCTTGTCGTCCACGAGGCCCTGAACATCGACGCCCCCGACATGCACCCCTTGTGGTGCCAGAACCTGGTTCAGGCTGCCCATGAAGCTGAACTGTGCAGCTTTCTGCATGGCCAAGGAGAAGTAGTCTGCAAGCGGATGGTTGTAGAGACCGCCAATGGTGTACAAAAATGAAGGATGAGCGTCCGGCCGACCAGCCTTCGCGATCAGATGTTGCATGGACCATGTTGCCGCCACGTAGAGTCCCAGACTCATCGTCTTGCCACACCTTTAGCTACACATCAACCCGTCCAGGGCCTGGTCCGACATACCTTGAAGTCTTCCAGCAGGTAATCCGGCGTGGCATCCTCGAGCTTGGCCGGCCTCACCCTGGCAGCATTGAAGAAAACAACTTCCGGAGGCCCAAGTTCGGTGACGACTTCATCGAGCGTCTTCGAAAGAGCAACGTGATCGGAGATGTCCACAGAATACGCTTTGACGTGGACACCCAGACCGGCCTGTTGAACTTGGGCTGTATCTTGTTGCAGGCGCACTTTGTGGCGCGCCAGCAGTGCGACATCGAAGCCTTTAGACGCAAACAGAGAGGCCGTTGCGACTCCGATACCTGGACCACTGCCAAGAACAACAATGACCTTGTTAACCATATTGCTGGCTTGATTGCTTGCAAAGGTGATGAACGGGCAAACCAAAAAGTGAACGCAGGGAGAGCAAAGCTGAGAAGCGCGATGTTCCAATCGTCTGAATAGGTTGCCTGTTTCCTCGAACATGAAACAATGCTTCAAAGGCGTTTGGGAACTGCGATGTTCTTTAAATACTTCTCTGGACCTTCTCACTCACCTCATACATCGCGTCGTGGTCAACGGGGAAGCGCCGATGTATTTACAATCAACGCTCAAATCAGGGCCTCCTGCAACACAGATTGACTGCATGTCTAAGGCAAAATTCAACCATGGACGCACTGACAAGGTGTTGCTATGAGAAATTGGCAAGCGATACTTTCTTTAAAGGGTTATACTTGGTTGGAACTACCATATCGAGGTACATCTCAGAAGATTGCTGATTCGTTAACAATGCTGGTGCTAGCTCTGACTTGGAATTCTGACAGGTTTCTCCTGCAGATTTAACCGTGCCGGAAACTGTCTGGATAAATCCAATCCGATTGGGCTGTCGACTGCGCTGTTGTCCATGTCTAGAAGACTATTATAGAATCCATCTCTTATGTGAGGTTTCCTCTTTGTTGATCCTGAGTGCAGTGTCACGGTCCCTGTAGCTAGCCTTCTCTCCTCACCAAAGTTGAGCCAGTGCACATGACCCTCAGGCGCCGGATCCGGACTAGTAGCGCCTATAGTAGCCACTAGCGACAATTCCCCTCAAGCTACCCCGCGCCTACAGAGTGGCTTTCCTGGGGCTTAGTGCCGGTGTGGGAATGATGCCAGCCATCCCTCTCAGGCTCTCGGTCACACTTCTCGTCCTCTCAATCACACCACGTAGCAGTAACCACACCACCTCGCACACAACCAAAACAATAATCCGAGCCAAGGAATCTCAATTCACTACTTCGTGAAAACACGTCGCAATCATTTTCTCAACTGCCAAAATTCTACTCTCAATACCCATCCGACATTAATCCATCAATCAACCGGCAAGATGAGTGCAATCAGGGAAGAGGCCAATGAGCCTATCCAGGTCCTCATTACCATGCACGAAAACATGAACCTCCTTGATTTCGCTGGCCCGCTCGAGGTCCTCACCCACGCTCAGTACGATCCCAACGATCCAGGTAAGTGCAGATTCCAGTGCCTGTCCGATTGGGGGCCCGCGCTAACTCTCACGCGACCAGAAACCAAAGCCTTTGATGTCACCTTTGCCGGCCCCTCTGAGAATGTTCTCACCGCACAAGGTGTCACCTTGACCGCCCACATCTCCTACAAAGAGGCCCACAAGCGTTTGAAGGAGTTCGACCTCGTGGTCGTCCCAGGTGGAAAGGCAATGGACATCTTGAAAGAGCAGGCGGAACCTACAAAGCTGGTCAAAGCCTACTCGGAGGTGCAGGCTGCCGACCCAGCGAGAGAAAGAACCCTCCTCGCAGTCGACACTGCCGCGCTCTTCCTTGCCCAGCAAGGCTTGCTCCAAGGTCTCGGTGCCACCATCCATCCCGACTACTACATCAAGTTGGAGAAAGAGTGCCAGGACGCTGCAGCCCGAGACATGGGCGAGCGTACCGACGTCATGGAGGAACGATACGTCGTGAACAATGCCCGTTTCGATCTCGGCGAGGATATTGAGGAAAACCCCTACGTCTTCAAGAAGGGCCGCAAGGGCTCCAACGCTCGCAAGGGCAGTCTTGCACGCCGAGAATCCAATGCCCGATACGAGAATCTTGTCCGTCGTAAGAGTTTGAAACTCGGTGGCATGCGCGTCATCACAAGCGGGGGAGCCGTGAGTGGGATCGATGCCAGTTTGTATCTGGTCAGCGCCCTTGTGAGCCTCGAGACTGCTCAAGAGGTTGCTCGCCTCCTGCAGTACACCTGGGTCAAGGGCGTCGTTGTTGATGCCATCGACGTTTAGATCCTGTATTACTAGAAACTTGAAGATTCAAGTGGGAATCTGTGGCCATGGCAGCCCATGGTCGATATGGAATGTTAGGTTTCCGGAAACGCAGCGGTTGAGCAGATGGGAAACACGAGAAGCTTGCTGTAGATGCAAGCAGCTGGATCAGCATGAAATTGTCAGGAAATCGAGAAGATTGCTTAACAGCTCCTGTGGTTCCTTTTGAATACTGGCTGGTAGGCGAATTGGAGACCAGAATGTGGTACTGTAGGTATCTAGCTTCACCCGCAAGGGTCCGTGCACCGCAGCTACGAGGCCAAATACAAGGACATAAGGTACATAAATGAGTCAGCAAGGCAAGGTCTTCCCCACTAGCACGAATACATCACAGATGCCAAGGTTTATCACTCGAATAGACCAGCTGAACGACTCGACTTTCGAACACACTTGAGTATACAGGTACCTAGGTATCGAGTCGACCGGCCATGGGTACCTACCTATCGTTGTGAACTTGTTGATACAGACTGAGCTCTACTTCTAGGTCAATGGAGCAATAGAATGACCTGTGTCGATATCAGTGTGTACCTCAAAGGTTCTATCTACTATGGGGAGTGGGTGTGACTATATAGATTGTCGTCACCCAATGAGCGTCGTGCTTGTGCCCTGTTGGATCAGTTGCTCCGCTCACAGAGCATCCTGTAGTTCACAGGACTCAGCCCAACCGGCTTGTCTGCTTCCCTTTATATTCGTATTCTGTGTCGGCATCTTTGCGCCAACTCAACTTGTAACATTTAGACTAGTATTCCGTCCCACCACCTTGACTACCTGAGTCAGCCAGCTACCTATATCTAGGACTACATATGGTCATCACGTCCCCTAGAACTCAGATAGCTCCAGCAGAGATTCTTTCACTCTTTGTTTCGCTCTCAACCTTTTAGTAGGCACAATGCCCTTTACCCCCACAACTGGCTATAGTTTCTTTTGCAAGCTGTACTTGTTTGGCATCAGAAGCTGGCAAATACTGAATACAATGTGCCGTCGAGGCTCTCAAATACAATTTGCAAGCCTCGTATACATCCCACCCTTTCAAGTACTGTTCGAGCCCGAGGCTATTCACCCCCTGGATGACGACCTCTCTCTCCTCTTGCGAGGTGAGTCCGGTTCGAGGGACATACGCTTTAGCGCAAGCTAATGCTATTCCATTCACCGTAGGGCAGAGCTGGCCCGTGTCCTTTCGACAACCTAGAAGAACTTGTAATAAGTACCTAAACCTGAAATATAACAAAGAGATTTCCACTGCTTGAACATACCGCCGTCGCAATTGCATCCAAAAATATTACATTTCCCCACGCCTCACCAGCTTCCTTGCCTTATTGTGGCGTCAGGGCAAATTTCGACGGAGAAGAATCCCCCGATTCCTCTAGGGCAGCATTCAGCCATCACTCCTTGAATTGTACCAATGGCGACGAAAAGAGAGGTAAAGATCGAGAGTTTCATTGTGAAAGAAAAGGCTAAAGTGAAATTATAGAGAGACTCGTGGGCTTCAGAATGAGGAATGGGCCAACGAGATAAGTAGGAGCCCAGTTTTATATATTCAGTACTACAGACACAATTCGATTTTGAATCACGCTCCTCGATGTCAGAGCCAAGATAGAAAACCTTCTCGCTGCACGTTACAGTACCCGATGATTTGGTCTGTCTAGAAGTAGTGTAAAACTCAAAGAATAGAGTTAGGAGAAAATGTACATAGTCTCCATAAAGTGAACGCTCATTCAGGTTACTATCTAGGTAAGAAGAAACATTGGTTAGATAGGTACAATTTCTGTCTTGGAAGGCAGAGTCCTCTCAAGTGCACAGTTAAGAAGGTGGCATGGGTCTAGACCCTTGGTATATGTTATGCAACACTCAGCTCTAGGCGATGTCTGGGGGCTAAATGGGATGTATTGACGAGTCTGACCTCCCTCTCTCGGAGGGAGATCTCTATCTATTATATAGGCAAAAGGAGCGTTGCAAGGGAGGGCTTTCTCGCCGTCGCACAACGCGCCGCATGGAGCCATTGGCCGTTATCGGGCGGCGTTCTATCGGGCGACGTTCTAGACGGAGAGAAGCCCTCCTTGTGAAGGCCGAGAATATAGTCATATATGACTAGAAACAGTGAATTGATGGTGTTGCAAAAGTTGTAAGGAACGTGAGGGCGTCGGCGTTCCGCCGAAGGCGCTAAGGCGCTAGGCGTGAGTATATGACTTGTAAAGACGGTCACTGACATCGCTCGCAACTCAGCCTAGTCCAACAGTATAGGTCCCTGTTTTCGGTGCTGCTTTGTGTGGTGTATGTGGGGCACTGTTGTCCCTAAAAACAGTTCAATACTTCCGGAAATCTTCATCCAGAATAGGTCTACTGAAGCGAAACTAAGAGCATACCGAGGTAACTTTGGGAGAAACGTCGTAGCGAATACTAGAATTAAGACTTTCTAGTTCGGATGCTGAGGTAGATACGTTCTGTCTACAGTGTTCACGGCAGTCTGCTGACTTCTCGATCCACCATCACGCTTCAGATGACGATTTCTTGACTCATCATCATCATCACCTTCTCCTTAGTGTCGCTCTCATGAAATTTCAGTACAAAGACCTGAGCTAGAGAAGTTGAGGACGTAGGCGCGCTATTGTGAGCGCGGCTAGAGACATCGCTTCCGCGTGACCAGTAACGTGCAGGGTTGAACATTTCGCCCTGTTAATTGTTTGTAGCTCACGTTTTCGATAGGCACAGTATCGACCGATATTTCTGGGTAGGTGTTTCTTGGACGGCTCGGGTCCGCGGTGGTGAAAAGGGCCTGCCTACAGGCTACTGCTATCTCGGTAGAACCGTCATCTATATACCATCGAAGTCTCGCGCTGCCCTGATAAGGCTGGCGCCGGCTGGAGATCAGCGGCTCTCTCGAACCTGGAGCGACTGAATAGCCTTTTTTTCTCTTGTACCTTTGTAAGGACAATGGGTTCTACGGCCTCTAATATCAAGCTTCAGGACCAATAGCCCCTCCTCGAAAGTCATGGCTGTTTCGTCCGCTTCGAAGCTACATCGTTGAACTATCGCGATGTTGCTACCTTGCAGAACAACTATCCTTGGGTCGTGAAAGAAGATATTATACTCGTGTCGAATGGGGCTGAGGTTATCATCGCCACGAGTCAACAGGACAGTGAATCTCAATTACTCCGTAGACGACAAGTGACACTTTCAGAGACAAGTAATTCACAACCTTACAGATAAACATATAAATATAAATCTATATATTAGACTAGGCTGAGTTGCGGGCGCTGTCAGTACCGTCTTTACAGCACAACGCAGGTTGCAGGGAAATTTCCCGCCGAATTTGGCGGCCTGCGCCGCCGCTTTTAAAGGGTTTCTTCCCTCGATGCCAAGACCAGGTCCCCTGCATGCTCCCCACCCTTCGCCGTGTCTCAGTCTATCGATATTATCCCCCCTTCCGTTTCTCACGCTGAGCCATTCTATGCACCACGCAAACATGTAACCATCGATAGGGACCAGAAACAGTCTCCCTTCAGCACTAGTAAGCGAGCTATCTCGCTCTTCGAGAATGAGAGTCGCCTTCGACTTCTCTACCCTGATCATAATACCTCGAGAACTCGACAAGGATAGTCTCTCCCTAAGATTTCCTAAAACCACAGCGAGAAACTTTATCAATTAACGCAGACTTATTTCCCTTTTTTTATATATTCTAGCGACTCTCTCTAAACTTTTAATGTCTAGAGTTAATGTCGAGAAGTCTAATTAATTTACTGTTTATAACTAATTTCCCTTTTAATCTTCTCTTACTTGTTAATAATAGCCTCGCATTATTTACTTCTTTAAGACAGTATAATTATATAATCTTAGAGACAAGCTACCTAGTATTTGTCAAGAGGACCAAGTTATAGTGGGGAATGGTGAAGATAATGGCAGGGAATAGCGTGAATTGCCTTGTATACAAGGATAACTATAAATGAGTGTTGTGAGTGAAGCTTAAAGGACTTTATCTCGAGGTGAGTTAAGCCCTCCTTAAATAGCTAACGAGTGACGAAGAAACCAAGCATTATGAGTCATATCCTTCACTCGTGAGTCATAACCTTTACTCGTGAGTCATAGCCTTCACTCGTGAGTCATGATCTTAACTTAGCTGGCTGAGTGAGGCTGTGGTTAACTAGTTGGAGTTCTGGGCGAGGCTATGGACTTTGATAGTCACGAGGCTTAGTCTCCTGGGTCCCTAGGGTTGGTTCCTTGCCTCGCTAACTATAGTGAGGATTCACATATAGTCAACATAGAATAATATATATATAGTAACCCTTATACTTAAGATCTTTTATGCTCTTATAGTTATTATAATATTCTTTAATCTCGAAATCTAATAGGTCAATACTATCAATATCTTTCTTAACTTATCTATTAAAAAGAAGATTTATATCGAGTATCCTCAAGATTATTCTAGGCCAGAAAAGATTCTACGCCTTCTAAAAGCGCTTTATAGTCTTAAGAAATCCTTCTTGCTATAATATAATATATTCACTATAACACTTAAGGAATTAAGGCTTATAGAGATACTAAACATTAACTACTTATTTTATAACTTTAACTTTCTAGTGTTCTTCTATATAGACAATATTATGATTCTCTATTATAAAAATAAAAAGATCTTGTTTCGCTAATTTATAATTAAGTTACAGAAACGCTTTAAGTTTAGGGTTATAAAAGACATAAACTAGTTTCTTAAAATTTATATTTTATAAGACCATAATAATAAAACTATTCACTTATCGCTCGATTTATATATTGACAAAATTATAGCTAAGTTCTATATTAAATAACTTAATTATTTATCTAATACTTCACTATTAACTAGTAAGTTATACTCTTATAAAGAATAGGTCTTATCACAAGAGATTTATATATATTAACAATATATTAGATTTATCTTATTCGCTTTCTATATAACTAGACTAGATATCGCCTTTGCTCACTTCAAACTAGCCTAATTTCTAGTCAATCTATTAAGTGTGCACGTCAAGGCCATAAATAGAGTGATTATATATCTCTACTGTATAAAACACTTCTTCCTTATATATAATAGTTAATCTAATCAACACTTTCTCTGCGCGTCAAACGCCTTCTTCGCCGATGACCCTAAGACTAGAAGAAGCTTTAATGGCTATATCCTAACACTATTTAAAGGGCCTATTAATTAAAGGTCTAAGAAACAAAAGATAGTTATAATGTCCTTCATCAAGGCTGAACTTCTTGCCCTCTTTAATGCGACGAGCGAAATAATATGGTGAAAGAGAATGTTCGCTAATATTAATCTAGATCTTAAGGAGACCTCGCTCTTGCTCTTCGATAACTTATAGACTATTTAACTACTAATTAAGAACGAAAAGCTGTCTATAAGACTCTGTCATGTTGATGTTTATCGGCATTGGCTTAGGCAAGAGGTCCAACAAGGACGAATCAACCTCGATTGGACGCCGACGAACAATATGATTGCCGACGGCCTCACGAAGGCCTTGCCGAGGCAAAAACACGAGGCTTTCATCAAGTAACTCAACCTCACTGACATCCAGGAAATGCTATCCTGATGTTTTCACACTAACGATAATGGCATCATTTCCTGAGGAGGTATGTTGAACAAGGCTGAGTTGTGACGGGGTCATTATAACCTCCATACTTGCGCTGAACGCCTCCGTGAAACTTCGCCATCTAGAACGCTTTTTTTGTAAACCTTGCAACACCATGAATTCACTCACTTTAGTCATATTTTCGCTATATTATAGTCCTCAGGATAGAGGAACAGGACCTCCCCGACACAAGGACGCCGGCCCCGACGAGGACCTCATCGGTCGCCGCCGATGCCCGGGAGAAAAACCTCTCCACCAAGACGAGAAAACTTTCACTCCTCTAACATATAAATAGATAGAACAGCGACCTCCTAGTCCTGGAGGTCAGACTCGTCAATACATCCCATTTAGCCCCCCGACATCGCCTAGAACTGAGTGTTGCACAATATCAGCACAACGCAGGCTGCAGGGACATTTGCCGCCGAATTGCTTTTGAAGGGTTTCTTCCCTCGATGCCACGATCAGGTCCTTTGTGATTTTAGTTCCGGCATCGGTGATACTTATTGCCGATTGCTATATGGGCTTACTTGCTCTTACGTATATATAGCGGCAGGTCGCTCCCTCACTTCTAGTAGTCAATTAGTTCTCTTCACGCCGCTACGACCACACCTTCGCCGTATCTCAGTCCATCGCTCGAAGTCAAGAGATGTCCTTGAGCATTCAGAGAATAGTTGCTCTGCAGTAACCTAATGCCATGCACACTTTGACAGCGAAGCTCAAGTTCTGACTACGCGGAGACTTCGACCGCCATGGCTCGAAAGCATGATGCCACGAGACTTCTACAACTCCTTAAACAGATCCCTAAAGAACTGAGAATGTGCCGTATTGCGTAGTCATGGCAATGCTCCGTAGTCCGCTGGCCTTTTCAACAATGACGGTCGTGGACTTCGATGGCGAGTCGTTTTGTTTTGACAAAGTGGTCTGTGTCTGGGTCTCCAGGATAGACTCGGACTCGTCGACCCATATCTCTGCCCCATGGTTAGCTCAGCCTGACCTGGGGAACTTGGGGAGCTTTGCTGGAGAAGCTAACCAAGGAGAGGAGATTGGCCCTAGTAGGCGGGGACTCTCTCCGCGTGGGGCTGATGGACGGGATCTCGGACGGATTTTATCATCTGTGTCGCTTCTCAGTGGGCTCGTTGAATGGTCGTCTCTCCGAGTCGAAGTTCTCGACTTCTTCCGCGTTGCAGTCTCCTTCACGCTCAGTCAGATTCCGTTCACGTTTTATCTTGATTGAAAAGGTTCTCTGCCGGGTACTGGGTCGGAAGGAGAGGCACCAGGCTTCTGCTCGGCCTTGAGCTAGAACGTCCACGTTTGCGGGGGAGCCTGGTGAGCCCCTGTTGTGCAGCTCGGGATTCCGTCGTGGCTGCTTCTCCCCCACCATCCAAACTTGCCCAGGCGCAAGGAATGCAGATGTTCTAGATCCTGGCTTGCGAACAGATGCCGCCCACAGGTGCCGCCCACAGTTGCGCTCTCTCGACCTCACTGGATCTGATCATCTACCGTCGCCGTCCCACTCGGTCACTCGGGTGAAGCGTTTCCGACCATCTAGACGACAGGCGGTGGCATAAGCGAGGACGCAGCACACCGAGAAAAGACAAAACGTTTGTTTTGATTTCCACAGTTGAAACGGCCCTGTAAGCTTCTACATCCCATCAAGAGACATGGCACCATTCAAGGTCATCATTGTAGGGTCAGGCCTCGCGGGCAACTTGCTCGCGAACGGTCTGCTCAACCACGACATTGAAGTCGAGGTCTATGAACGTTTGGCTCGAGATGCGAAGAGAGAAGGATATCAGATTCGTCTCGGCGAGAATGCGCTGAAGGGGTTCCGTGCCTGCTTGACTACAGAACGCAAACAGGCCATCATTTCCAAGTTCGGCCGCAGTAGTGGAAAGTTCGCAGGAGCTCCCATCATCTACGATGCCAGCTTCAAACCTCTACTCGATCTCAACCGGTTTCCCAACTACGAAAAGTCCGCGGCTATCAGTCGCAAAATTCTGCGCGATTTACTTGCCGAACCTCTGGATGATATAGGCAAGATATTTTACGACAAAGACTTCAAGAACTATTCTATCATTGACCCGGGATCTGATGACGAAAAAGTCAGGGTCCGTTTTGAGGACGGTACTTTCAGTGACTGTGATGTCCTCATTGCCGCAGACGGAGCGAACTCCAAGGTGACATGCTACAAGCTCACCATTCTTTCAGGGCACTAATTCTCTCACAGATCAATCCACAGGTTGGGCTGAATAATCTGATACTGATAGATTCACACTGGGGCTTCCTGTCCAAGACTGATCTCCCCACGCATCGATACATGAAAGGAGACAAAGAACTTTGGAGTGCACCGCTGGGATGCTCGGCGGCTCAGCGGAGCATGTATTACTGCGGTATGATATAAGCTCCCATCTCTCCCGCTCTATTCGCCGGATCCTTTGGCGCCGGAGCGCTGTCTAATCCTGTCCTGCCCAAAAATTAGCCTATCTACCTGACAAAGACATATCGAGAACTGCTGCTTCCACGGCAAAAGATGGAAAAGGTGCTGTGCAACATGACGAGTCAATCTCCTCGTGTTTCTTTGCCTATGGCATTCCTGTGGCGGATGTACCGAAAGACATCAAGGAGTGGCCACTGGACAAGCAATGGAATTTCGTTGAAAAGGATATGGGAGAACATTGGTGTGAAAAATAGTGGGTCTCGTCCTTTCTCATATCGCAAGCCTGGTGTACTGACGCTTCCTCAAATAGTCAAGAGATCGTTAAGATTCTGAAGGGTTCAGACTTGTACATTTCCCAAGCTCGAGCGAGCTTTAGACCTCACGGAAACGTGAAGTGGCGCGAGAGAGTTCGCACAGAGTTGACGCCTGAAAAGGGCCATCCGAGGGTGATGTTGGTGGGCGATGCTATTCACGCAATGATGGCATCTCGGTGGGTGCTCGGAAATCTCATCATCTTACAATTTTGCTGACTATCAATCCACAGTGGTATGGGTGGGAATCAATCAATGCGGGATACCGCGGTCCTCCTCCCACTTCTGGTAGGACTCAATGACAAAGCGATGAAGGGGGGATTAACAACGCCTGCCATTGAAGCTGCGTGCAAGTCATACGAGGCGGAAATGATCCCACGGGCATTCTCATGGGTAGAGAAGAGTGGTGGAGCAAATGTATTCGTAAGTTTAGGCCGCCGTCTCCAGTCTACAGCCCAAGGAAACTAACTTGTGACCCCTTTTTAGTCGGATGATTCGTCAACATGGATGGGCTGGCTCAAGGTCCAGTGGATCGGCTTATTACTGGGAGTGGCCTATAATGTACAGAGGTTGGGCAGCTTGTTCTACCAACCTACCTATTCCGACGATGCACCTGAATTCCAGGGCTAGATCAACTACATTGGGACGGCTTGAGTTTATCATAGCTGCTTGGATCTCTTGACACACATCCAGGAGTAGTAGATCGAAACATGGACTGATACTCAAGTCGCAGTATCGCAATTGGTGGCGCAGAATCGAGTGCTTCAAATAATTCCGTTCCACGATGTCCAAGGGCTGAAGGGTCCCAGGTAGCTGCACTGTATAAAGACAAGTGACCAAGGTATGACGTTGTGGAGAGTGATCCTGGAAGCAACTCTCCCACCAATGTATACTATCTATCCTATTTGGAAGAAAGCCTCGGTTTCCGACCCTGAGCGGTCAACAGTAGAAGCGTTGCTTTGGACAGACATAGGGATATTTCAGTACACGAACATGGTCTTTGGGGCCTTGAATTGCTGAGAATCTTCAAAAAAGCGGATAGACCTTTGCTGGTTCCAGTTCCCAGACCCTCGATCTCGTCTCGGCCTCGACAAGTCTCGTCGCTGCAGTCGGATCCACGCGGTAGGGTTTTATAGGACTATCACGAAGTGCATCCGTCAGATAAATTCAGAACAAGGATCAGATTTGCATGGTCCAGACACTTACGTTTCGTCATGGAGACACCAACACACCCTCTCTGGCTGTCCAAGCCACTCGCACTCAAGCTTCAAGAACTCCGCCCCTGATCCCTTGAACGGTCGGCCATTCAGGTTCGCATTTCCCGGAATGCCCAAGAGGGCCAGATCAGGCTTGGGTTCCAGATCCCGCAGGATACCTTCATAGCCGCCCAGGTGGGCATTCCAGAGCATAACTTTTCCGCTGTCGAAGAAGCGAAAATTGTACATCAGCTGGCCCCCGTCGCAGTGTGAGAAGACATTCTTGGGATCTTTGACAAAGTCGATAAAGGACTGCATCCGGGCGTCTCGTTTTTCTTCGGGAACCAATTTGTCGAGTTGTAAGAGGCCATATCTCATGCCACGCGTGATGTCCAGTGTGCACGCATACGGTCTGTCATCAACCGACGGAGTCACACTGGCAGTGTCCCATACCTCTGGCGTGTTGTGGTCGATGATCATGGCGTGGAGAGACGGCCACACGTCGACTGCGGAAACGGCTAGAGAATGGTGCGGTTCTCGAGTCGCGTCGGGGAAATTGTCCCGCTGCTTGCATTCTCCCTTCAAGGCTGCCTCCCAGGTCGCACGCTTGAAGAGAGGAATCCGTTCCCCTCCAGCCACGGGAATCAATTGGCGTTCCGGGACTCCAGCCTCGCGCATCAGACGGATCACTTCGCAACTTCCGACAACCTGTGCTCCTGTCTGCAGGGCGATGCGGTCACAGCCTGGGAGACTAGTTGCATTATGCTTTAGTATTCTGGAAGGATCTCCGGGAAGCTCAGAAGGGTGGAGGGATTTGCAGCGTACTGGTCAAAGTGCGCGTGAGATATGAAGATATAGTCGGCCTCAGTAATCGACTCGACGGAGAACGGCCCTGGTGTCGCCGACGGACGGTCGATGTACGTGTCGAGGAAGAGAGTCAACCCATTAGATCGGACCCGATACGTCGTTGCTCCTATTTGGGAATTAACTATTGTATTGCAAGGCGATGTGCACCGCCATCAAAAAGACTCTTACCTAGGAATTCAATCGTGTTGTCCATAGGTCCATGGTCTACGCCCATTGTTGCCTTGGTGTGATCCCACTAGCCTACGAGGCTGGCTTTGAAAGAGAATATCGAGTAACCGAAGGACGCAACTGTAAGTTTACGAGAAGTGCAAATTGGCAAAGCGTGATCAGTCAGTCCAAGGATTGACGAATTCGGGCCGGGCGCTTCAGATCTGGTGTGAGTACATACTCTCCATCGCTGCCGGATCCACAAATTTTGAGCTTCCAGGGCTAAACAGACGCGAGTCGAGGTGCTCAGTAAGCCGGGCTAATGCACTGTAAACCACGAGCAACGTTAGGAAGGTCGTTGGCGTCGGGGTCCCCACCACATTACCGGTTGAGGGTGGAGGTGAGCTCGAGGGCAAACAGCAGTTCCCCGAAGCTCTCGTGGCGTCTCCGTCCGTCGGCCACGGGTTGGAGAGACCTGGGGAAATCCTGCTCCACCGCTGGAGACCATGAGCAGCACAAGAAGCAAGCTGGGCAAACAGTCAGAGTCCCCTTCAAGGGCCGTCTATGGATCATTTCAGGCCAACATGAATGATCTTGTCGCTTGATGACTTAATTCAGATCATTCCAAGCCCACTCCTTCTCTGCACGAAACGAACTTGCTTCACGCATTTTCGTGCATTTGAATCATGATAGCACAACCATCCACGGGGTTGGAAATCATTTACTGCGACGGAGGTAGCGTGGAAAACAACCCATATTATCCTGGATTCAAACCAGAGACCAAGATTCTACCGCGCGGCTCCATTCTCAAGGAGGGAGCTTTGGCACTTCCTTGCGACATTCTCTTTGAACGCGACATCTCGGTCTATTTACGTGATGGAACAACGATATATGTCGACCTATACCGGCCTCCAGGATGTGATGTCCAAAAAGTGCCTGTCATCGTGTGTGCCGGTCCCTTTGGCAAGCTGGGAGGATTCAACAGAGCCGTTTTCGATAAGATGCCATATCGCATGGGCGTACCACAATGCACAGTGAGCTCGCTGGAGAAGTTCGAGGGGCTGGATCCGGCATACTGGTGTTTACACGGCTATGCGATTGCTCATCCTGGTTGGTGTTTTTGGATCTAAAACCCTCTCGCATTTGAAGGCTGACTATCGTGCCTATCGAAAAGACGTGCGTGGTTCCTGGATGTCGGAAGGAGATGCACATCTCAACTGTACACTCGACGGTCAAGATGGTTATGACCTGGTGGAATGGTTGGCTTCCCAGGATTGGTGCAATGGAAAGTAAGTCTTGTCGCACTTCATCCTGGCTCTCGAGTTGTATTCGTTGTTGTGCAGAGTGTTCGGCTGACAGTCTGGCCTGTGCCTTGAAGGGTGTCGTACGCTGGCAACTCGTGGCTTTCGCAAACCCAATGGTTTATTGGTGCCGAACAGCCGCCTCACTTGGCCTGTCTGGCGCCCTGGGAGGGCTGGAGTGATCTCTACAATGACGATGTCATGCGAGGGGGGATTCCTGCCCCGGAATTTCAACAGAATATTCTGAACGAGTCCTCACCCTGTCGTGGGAAGGCCGAGGATGTCACAGCCATGTCTGCAAAGTATCCTCTGTGGAACGAGTACTGGGAAGACCGGAAAGCCAAGCTAGACCGCATCACTGTTCCAATGTATGTCGTGTCAAGTTGGACCAACCTGCTACATACGCGCGGCACCTTCAAGGGCTATCTGGGAGTGTCAACTCCCAAGAACGAGAAATGGCTCCGTGTGCACAACAGCCATGAGTGGCCGGATCTGTACTACCCCCAAAATACCGAAGATCTTCGCAAATTCTACGACTACTACCTCAAGGGCATCGAGAATGACTGGATCTACACTCCGAGAGTTCGAATGTGTGTCTTGAACCCCGGTGGGACCGACTTGATCAACCGGCCAGAGGAGGACTTTCCCTTAGCTCGTGAGCTTCCAACAAAGATGTTCCTGCATTGCAGCAATGCTAGCCTCCAGATGAGTGCACCTGTGGCGGACTCTTCTTCAACCGCGTTTGACGCCCGAACAGGCAAGGCTGAATTCTTCTACACCTGTTCAGACGATATGGAGTTGACAGGCTTTTTTTCTCTGAAACTCTGGGTGGAGGCTGTTGGCACCGACGATCTGGACCTTTTTGTCAAAGTGTCCAAGCTTGGTGCCGACGGGGAGTTGCTCGAGACCACATGTATCGACGCAGGTTATCTACAGCCTAATCCGGATGCAGAACGACGGAAGGTTTTCGAGGGACATCGGGCTGGAAGCAAGGCGTACGATCTATTCTTCTCCGAAGGGTCAACGGGGAGGTTGCGGGTAAGCCATCGCGAGCTCGACATGACGAAATCGACCCCGAGTCAACCAGTCTATACGCACCGCAGGGAGGAGAAACTCCGAAATGGCGAGATCGTTCCTGTAATAATCGAGATGTGGCCGCATGGCATGCTTTGGAGACGCGGCCAGGTGCTCAAGTTGACCGTTGCGGGTTATAACACGAGACCTGAGCATACACCGATGCTGAAGCCACCCACATACAACAAGGGAACCGCCGTGATACATACAGGTGGGGTGTACGACTCACATCTGCTAGTACCGCTGATTCCAGCCACCAAGCAGCAGTAATACCCTGAGCAGTAGGTAGCTATGTGACAATGTATCAAGCGCGAACATTGGCCAAGTCTATCCGCGGTCTCTGCTCACTGTGAGAACAACAACAAAGGAGTCCACATGCGGGGACACTGCGCTGATATATCTGACTCGGACGATTGTAAACAAATACTATTTAGTGGGAGATATCCATGCATGGCAACAACGGCCGGCTTCAACTGTCGGTCGAAGCGTCAGATGGAACTGGACACCCATCGGAACCATGTGATGCTAGGTTGTCTCACAGCATCACCCACTTTGATCTACTGAACTCAAGGGCCACAGCTGAAATACACTAGAGCCTTCTCCACCAACCCCAAAGTCGAAAAAATCCTGGAACTGAAAATCAGTGTCAAAATTGAGTCCGGTCGAGTTCCGCAAGATGCCACCATCCAGATCGTTGACGGCTGCGTCAGGGCCACTCATCTGCTGTAAGCCCCCTCCAGTGACTTCCAAACCTCCTGGGCTCGTCAAGTCCCGGTTCTCGGACAGTGAAGCCGCGGTGGCGGCCGTCGAAAGGGGCGCGTGGCGTTTTCGAGCGCGCAAAGTCTGCATTGCTTCTTCCAGCGTCCGAAACAGCTCGTCAAAGGGTCGAATGGCGACCTTGTGCGCACACGAGGCCGAAAAGCAGCGAGTGATGCTTCTCATCAGCCCCACGTCCGCGTCCACCATCCAGTGGGTCGGGTCTCTCACCACGCCCATGTACAGAGTGAAGATGACGTTCAAGCAGTAAGGGGTGATCCACCTGGTTTCCACAGTTGAATTAGCTGTTACGGTTGGGCGTAGAGATGAAATTCACATGAGGTCCACCTCGATGGGTTTGTTGTTGTCAACTTAAGCTGCGTACATACCTTAACAACGCCCAGTTTTCACGGTGATTCACCAAGACATTGACGTACTTGGCAAGAGACCGCGACGAGTTCAAGCAAACCACGTCTGAAGAAGCAATTCTCCCGTTGTGGTAGTCCTTGGCAATTGTTGGCAGTTTGCCGAATAGTGCCGCTCGATGAATGACAAGGAGCGCGTTGTAGTAGATGCAATACAGAAGCACACTGTCGCGTGAGTGAGAGTCCACTTCTGCCCCCATCAAGTCCGGGTCCGCAGTCCAGATGGTCGGAAGACTGCTCCTCCAGTCAGTCAGCATTTTGTCAATGGCCTCGATCTGTCTGAGAAGGCTAAGCTCGTCGTTCGACTCGGCCATTCTGCCGTACAGGCGGCTCATAATTGTCGACAGAATTCGACAGATCTGGATCAGGTACGGGAACACCGCTGCCTCTGATGTTTCTGTCACGTTACCGTCGTCCTCTAAGGATATCGACTCCACGTCGCAGTCCGTATCGTTGATGATGGAAGGCCGCCCACATTCGAAGCATAGTTTTCTGGGTTAGCTCAGCTATCAGCCCACGGTTCCCACTGTTCCAAAAGCAGCAAGACTCACTTGTCCAGACAGTAGCATGTCCACCAGACGCAGCTCCTAAGCCGGTAGTTCTTCTGGACGAATCTCAGCTCGATGATTTCCTTGTGTGCAGAAAGAGGTCGATGCAGGCCCAGGGATTGGGCAATCCGAACTGCTGTGCCGATGGCGAAAATCGCCTGGCCTTCTTTGTTCTGGTTGGTTAGTTCGATGGTCTGCGAAGCTATGTCAATCTGGAATACTCTACCACGAACTGGTGATGAAGCAGCCTACCATCAGGATCAAACATTGCACGCTAGCGAGGTATGGCGCGGCCAGAATAATGTCGTGCATTGACCAGCTGGCCGCAAAGTGGGTGGTCGAAATTTGCTCGGCATCGCTACCGCTGAAACTTCGTGCGCCGATGGCTATCAAAAGGTAAATACAACACACATTGACCTGTTCGTGTACGATGCCGTGATCGTAAAAGTCGTCTACCATCTTGCGGACATGGAGCTCGTCGAGAAATGGTAGGATGCGGTGTATGCTTGAGAAGAATGCTGTTTCGTCTCAATGAGCTTCACAGTGTCTTACCATCTGGAAGTCTCAAGGGACCTTACCATCGATACATCGCAGTCCTGTTGCCTTATCCACTAAAGGCTGATGCTTTGGCCGGTGCATCGTGTCAACCTCCTCCGAGTGGCTCAGTAAGGGACAGAAAAAGTCCATGACCTTCAGGAAGAAGCCTTCGGGCTTTGAGTACTGATCTGCTGACTTGGCCAATACTTGAGTCGACGTTTTGCCTACGTACTTGCACTTTTGGGGATCCGCGACCGGTTCGATCACAACAACGCCTTCATATGTCGTGGCAGTAATGCTCTGCCGTGACGTGAACGACTGCGTACCGGGCGATTGATCCGTACTCGGCGAATTATAGCTGGCTCGCAACGCCGCTGCGAAGGGGTGATTGCTTGGGGGCTCGCCGGCATAGGGATCGGAGCTGGGTTCTTGGGGCAAATGAAGCTGCTGCAACAAGTGGCCGTCTCCCTGGCCCCGAGACATCTGACCATCAAGTCTTGGAGAGTGCTGTGTCAAGGCCGGACGTTTGAAAACTGGAGAAGTTTGACTCCGACTCTGAGTAGCGAAAGGCTCAGGCGATCTCCAGTGCTTTCGAGAGCCATTCCAAGAATTTCGAGGGGGGGGTTTACGAGGCTCTCTCTCGCCACGGACAAGGTGTGAGCCATCTGCTCGTGTCATGGTACATTTCTGTCCATATTTCTGACAATTTTGGCATCGCCCGCGTTGCTCATCGCACCGAATCTGAAAGAGATGAATGAGCCGTGACTTTCCATTGCACACTGTGGCGACCAAAGCCTATTTACCTTGCGCTGCCAGCAACTGTCGCACTGGATGAAAAGGACTGTCAGCAGAATCTTTAACCAAACCCGGCACCGGGCTGACCTACTGCCTTGGGTCTACGTCGAGCGCCCGTTGTGTTGGCTGTTGGTGCGGATGGAATGTTAGAGTCTGCAGTAGGCAAGAGAGGAGGGTCTTCATGTTCGATTTCCTGGCTCGTCATGTTGGACGGACTTCTAGTACAGACAGAGCAATATTGAACAAAACAATGTCATCGGTTCCAGGTTTAATCTACTACTATCTGACAAGGGCAAGCTAGAGACAAAGAAGGCTCTAGGGTGCTTGGACACCTCGGTTGGCGATGGAATAGTTGCCAGTTAGCTACTGTGAATCGGCGGGGAAGGAAAAGGTGGGGCATGGTCGATGAGGGGGAAGAGAGGTGGCTATAAATGGGTGAATAGGCAAGCTCAATATGCATCTTATATCGCGGCGCCGCATTTGATGTCTTACTGTATATTCTGAAAATTTGAACCAAGGAAAGAAAATGAATGGCGCTATGTCATATCTAGACTGTAGACAGCCAGCTATACTCGTATTTCAATACGCTTTGATGCCCGCCAGCTTCAGCAGCTTGTCGGTGAGCTCGGGCTTCTGCAAAGGCTCGTCGCGCTCATGTGGACAGATCTCGCCGTTTCTATATGCCTTTCCCTGAGGAAAGATGTTGCAGTGAGGCCAGTGAGTGGTGCCCTCCCACTTCTTGAAACATTGCTGTTTCAGTTCCAAGTCTTTCTCGGAAGCCAATGCCCGCGGGGTGTAAGCAGCATATACGACGGTGCGAATCTGGTTGCTTTCGGGAAGCGCAGCATGGTGGATGGTCCGCGAATCCCAGATGATCATATCTCCAGCCTCGGCCTCGATCTTGATCATCTCACAGCCGTGCTTCTCGAACCACTTCAACTCTTCCGTCTTAAAGCCATACCAGTCAAATTGGCCAGGAGCATCAGCAGGCTTCTCCGTAGGTGGATTCTCCTTGAAGTATTGTTCAAATAGAGAAGCACTGCCACGCATGACGATCAAGCCGCCATCCTTAGGACCTGCATTGGAGAGCAGAACAACCCCCTGAGCACAGGCGAGGCCGAGACGCGTGGGGGATTGGTCTACATGGGGCCACGGGCTCCATTTGACATCTTTGCGACCTGGCAAGGTAATGTTGACAGCATCGAAGGACACTAAGAGCTCTTCTGTCTGCCACAGTTGAGTGAAGGGCTCGATGACACCTTCCTCACTACAACATTCAATCAAACGATCAGCTTGACAAGCTTCAAAAGACATCGTCTCAAAAGGGAAGTGACACTAACCATCGAACATCCCATACCCACTTCTCATGGGCAGCACAGTAGTTCAAGACCATGCCTGCATTCATCATGACAGGCAAGTGTTCCGCATTCCACGTCGAGGGGTCATTGTAGTCCAAACCCATGTCGAACTTGGTGAGCCAGTCCAAGGCCTGCTTTTGATATCCCAGAGCACGTTCACTGGGAACGGCCTGCTTCACCAAGGCATAGCCGTGCCTGAAGAAATCATCGCGCCAGTCGCCGAATTGCTTGCTAGCTTGTGCTTCGAGGATATCGGTATTGCCCCGGACTTCAGTATCCCAACCCTGCATGTGTTTGCGGCTACTTTCAGGAACATAATAGGTGGTGGAGGCATCGTCTTCTGAAGGAAGTGTAGCATGTGGTGCCATTGTGGTAAGAAGAAGTTTTGAATATTCGTACTTCAAGTATCTAGAGATGGATCCTGCTCGACGAGGTTAAGTTGTGTGTGCTCGTTGTTTAATGCACCAGCACATATTAAAGCTCATTATATCGACAGCCATCATCTCGTGGCAAAAGGCTGGGCCCCTCTACAAATCAGGCGGGCGCACTTTCTCCTTTCCGTCCTCACTACCGTCTGTAAGATCTGGCATCACACGGAGTCTCACGTGCTGCGCAAGGGCGAGCCAATCTGTGAGGCAGCAATGCAAACTACAGTCCGTCCGTCCGTCCGCCCGAGAGTCCGACGGCGCCAGCTTTTAGACTTCGGCGAACTCTATCAGAGTCTTGGCGGGAAACTCTCTCCGCACTAAATCTGGCCCCTCTTCCCGGGGGCCAGCAGAATCCGGGGTATGGGCTATACACGGGCTGGACACTCGAGACAAAGTCTACCGACGCGAAGTTCAGCACCATGTGCACATACATATAGCGTGATAGTCCTGGTGCCTTGATTGAGGGCAGAAGGCAGTCTCCTACCCTCCTTTGCTGTTCTGGTGTCTCAAAGGTGACCCATCCAATCACCAAACAGCCTGAACAGGACCTTTCACTATCAGCGTGAATTGGGCTCACAGAGACCCTACTCGTCTCTATATCGCTTGGAGCCAGACACGAATCACATTGACAGCACCATATCTCGAACATGGCACCACCAATGCTCCCAGGAGGAGTAGCCCTCCAGGCGCGCAACAACTGTCATCCACAATGGTGGAAAGACCCTGGCCTGCGTCAACTTAACATCCGTATCTTTGGTCTGATGATCAGCAGCATGGCTTTTGGTTTCGATGCGGCTCTCATTGGCGGCCTTCTCGGCAACCAGAGATGGTACATGGACTTGCAGGTCTCTGGGGCGACCTTGACCGGCGTTTTGATCGCATCAAATTCGATGGGTGTGCTTTTTACAGTGCTTCCAGCCCCATTGCTTTCGGACAGATATGGTCGACGGCCAACAGCCATATTCTTCTGCTTATGGCAGATTGCTTTTTCTATTGGCCAAGCGTTCGTTAAGACAAAGTGGCAATTCATGGCCGTACGCATTTTCCTGGGATTCGGTATGATCAGCTTGAACATATCATCCAACCTCCTTGTTGCTGAAATCTCCCATCCAAGGCAACGCGCTCAAGTTACCTCTTTGTGGATCACTTTCTTCTATGTGGGCGCCATCACAGTGGCCTGGACCGCATTTGGGGCGCTCAGCATCAACTCTTCATGGTCATGGAGACTTCCAATCATCATACAGGCAGCATGGAACATCGTTCAATTGCCCTTGTTGGTTTTCCTCTGTCCAGAATCACCAAGATGGATGATTCTCAAGGGACGCCACGAGGAAGGCAAAAAGCTCCTCGCCAAGTACCACGCCAATGGGGATCTCCACGACGAACTCGTGGAACTTGAGTATGAAGAGATCATCTCCAATACCACCAGAGAGCAAGAAAAGAATGGCAATTCCGTGCTCAACTTGTTCAGGACTAAGCCCAATCTTTACCGCCTGAGTCTTGCAGTTCTTCTGGGCCTTTCCAGCCAGTGGGTTGGGAACGCTGTCGTCAATTTCTACCTGGCCCCCGTTCTGGCTTCTGTCGGTATCACCAGCAACCGAGCCCAGAACGGTATCAATGGAGGCCTTCAGATCTGGAGCTGGTTCATGGCCGTTGCAGCATCACTCAGCAGTGAAAGGTTTGGCCGAAGGACCTTACTGATTGCATCGGCTTGCGGTATGCTGGTCAACATGGCCCTTGTCACCGCTTGCTCAGCTCTATATGCCAACAGTCACAACATTGCGGCAGGAAGAGCTGTGATTGCCTTCCTTTTCCTGTTTTTCGGATGCTATTGCATTGGGTTCACTCCGATCCCACCTCTATATGTCGCTGAGATCTCGACTCCGGCCACACGTCCAATGCTGGTGTCCCTCTATTGGATGTGCACTGGATTGGCTTTATGCTTCAATCAACTGGTCAACCCCATTGCTCTCGCCGCCATAGGATGGAAGTACTACCTTGTTTATGTGGCTGTCCTGGTTGTCGTCATCATTCTCTTCGCGCTATTCCTCCCGGAGACCAAGGGGCTGACCATCGAAGAAATCGATGGCATTTTTGACAGCAACTCCCGCAATGCTACCATCGAGGCTGCCGAACGAATCAGGGTGAAGCATGAATATGAGCATGATGAAGGGATTGAGATCGAGCACCAGGAGGCTAAACTCGAGCATGTCGAAGTTAAAGCCTAGATGATCAGAAGAGTTGGATGCTGTCTGACCAGGGTCCCTCACCAGACAGTGGAACACGGATAGCAATGACGAACGGCACAGAAGAAGGAGACCAGGAAATTGGACGGGATTTGGGTGTTTCTCGGGATTATGATTTGCTCATCGTTGTGGTTGAGAGACGATGTTGCAGTACCACAGAAACTTGGCTATCACCAAACCCAAGTCAATGATCGAGTATGCGGTAAAGAACGCAAACTCCAGGTTTAGGAATCTATGTTCACTTCTCATGAAACTTAAAATGACGGACACAATGCCGTCAGGTAAATTAAAACAAAGAAAGTTCTTATGACATTACTTATGGCGCTCTCGTCCCGGAGACAGACCGTCTCGTATAAGTATCAACGCTTCATTTTACAAGAAGAGTTGCAGGAAGAGAACAAGCAATAGAGGAAGCCATTCTGCCAAAAGCGCATATCTATTGCCTACTATCAGATTCAAATATGTGACGTTGATGACATGGGTATGCGCTCGTGTTGGAAATCATCATCTGTATCTTGAAACCGTTTCAGATCTCTTTTGCACACATCCATCCGAGGATATGAGTATCCTAGACAGTCCGAGAGTGACCCCCTTCTGGGATTCACAGTTCGACTTGGAAGCTGGGATGAGTCCTGATTCTCTCACGATATCTAATCAACGCCCAAATTGCAGGAAACATGCTCATTGAAATGAAGGCCAACACACTCATTCCCCCGCCCGGGCCTAAGGAGTCAACGAGGTGCTCTCCACAGAGAGGAAGGAGAACTCTGAACAAGTTTCTCAGCACAGTATTAGCCGCCGTTCCGGAGGCAGCACAGGTCGTGAAGGCATCGACGAGGTAGGTCCCAATTGGGAGAAAGGATCCGATCATGCCATAGCTTATCAGGCCAGTACCGATGATAGGCACAATCCAGTGGATGCCATTGTTAATGGTCTAGCCGTACAGCAAAAGCCCAAAGCACATTGAAGTCGACCCTGGCCAAATCAAAAGGAGACGATATTCCGGTTTCAGCTGGTCACCCCTGGCAAGCTTGAGGAGAGGAGAGTCCAAGAAACGATTGAAGACTATAACCGCCACGAATTGTCCGACACCAACTCCCAGGTAGCACAGTCCGACATTCTGGGCACTAATGTTGTACCTCTCGTCGAACAAGTGGCTCATCGTTGTGAAAAGCAGGTAGATGTCACCATAAGTGATGGCACCGTATACCGAGAGCAGTAACACGATGGGAGAGAACAGAATTAATTTCGTCGGTCGTAAGAGTGATTGCATGAAGACTTGACATAACCATCGTCGACCCTATAACTCGCTCAACGGAGCCATGAAGAGAGGGCCCTTTCCTTTCATGTCAGAAACATGTCTGGTGTAAGTGATACTGCTAGGGAAAGGGAGAAGCAAACCGACAACATATCCAGGCACAAAGACCAACACCGCGAACTCACTGAGGATCTTGCTGTCGGAATGAAACTCGGCCATGGCTAACTGAACCCCCTGGTGCAAACATGGTCGAAGAATCGGATTGGGTACGAACGTTAACACGGTTATTCCAGAGCTATATATAACATGTCTCCACTTTTTGTATGAAGTCCAGTTGTATGGATACTCGGGATCGTTGGGCTTCCAGTCAACAATATCAGGGTCTGCTGTAGGAGCGGCTGTGATGGTACAAGCACCCTTCAGCCATCGATTGGTAAGAAAGACGCCCTTATTGTGACTGCGTTGACGCTTTTGTGGCTTTGGAGATGCAGCTCTTGCGTCGTCTATCCGGAATCTCTCTAGAGACAGCAAGAGACAACCTAAAACGAAGTAGTGATATTGGAGCAGAGTTCTCGAGGAGATAAAGTATTGTGGTGAATCCGTGCCTCATGAGTCTCCATCCTGCTACACCCCAGTCGGGATCCCACGGTACCGTAACTTCACAATGCTGACCTAAGATCTCGCCCATTGCTAATGCCTAGTCCCTGCGATGCTGCGATCTTGCTGGTCTACCTGCATGAGACGAGCCCGCATGCCTCGGACACGGGAGAAGGACACTGTTATGCCGCATTGTGAATAGTTCAAGCTCTAGGAAATACGTGATAGAGCACCAACAGATCCCTACCTAGAGTAGTAGCGTCTAGTTGTCCAGGCCGCTGCACGGGATTGAGGGTTCGAGAGGCGAGTCACCAAAGTCTAACTTTTCCGTCCGTGATAGCCTCAATAGTGCCACAGTGTAATTTGTCCGTGTCCAGCATCCACGATTCACGGACGGTTCGACGATCCCTAACCCCGGTGAATGTGGAGAGGGTGTTTTGTATCCACCGATGTAGATCCCGACGGTCTCGATCTTACCGACTGGCGCATTCCACGGGCGGCCAACTCTTGACTCGACCCATCTCACCCGAAAAATGAACCGACAATGCCCAAACAACGTTCAACAAGTGCCGACCACGCTCTCCCATAGATGCTCCACGTGTACCTAGAACTACTTACTACCTGGATCGTGGCGGGGCATCGGGGCAAATGTGGGCTAGAATGCGAGGTACGTCAAGGGTGCCTCGCGGTTCCATGTCTATGAGCCGGCGATATCTGTTCGACTCCTGCTTCGAAACGATCAAACCGCATTCTCTCTATCCGTCCCAGTCCGAACAGTGGTGTCGCTACGTGACGCCTTTGTCTGCGGGTCACATAGGACCTCACTACGCAATCCTCAAAATGATTGCTACTACTACTACCAGTACTACTCCGGGACCTCTGCCTCCTCTTGCTTCTTTCAAGTCGGAACTTCGGGTAAAGAAGCTCTTCGACGACGTTGTCATTCGAGATATTGATCGAGCACCCGAGTCAAAGACATTCAACTATCAAGGCTTCCAGCCAGGCTCGCAGGTCCTAAAAGCCGGCTTCAAAAAAGCTCCTGACAGACGCCAGTTCGGAGTCGACACGATCTTTGACCGTGACGTTGAGATCGTAGTCAGGGACGGTGCGCGGATCTTCACCGATATCTTCAGACCAATTACGTCCGAGGCAGAACCAGTCCCGGCTCTGATACCCTGGAGTCCTTATGGGAAGTCGGGAACAGGCGCACAGGATTATGACAACATGGCCCCTTTCCGTGTAGGCATCCCCAAAGAGAGAACATCTGGATACGAGAAATTTGAAGCCCCTGACCCGGCAGAATGGAGCGAGAGGGGCTATGCAGTTATCAATGTTGACGCACGCGGGGCTGGACATAGTGACGGTATCATCACCTATTTTGGTGACCAGGAAGCGGAGGATATCTACGACACGATCGAATGGTTGATCACGCAGAAATGGTGCAATGGGTCCGTCGTCATGGCGGGAAATTCATGGCTGTCATTGTCACAGATCAACTTCGCTTCCCGCATGAAGCACTCCGCTCTCAAGGCCCTTGCCCCATGGGAGAGTTTTAATGACTTCTACCGACATGCCTTTAATCGTGGAGGTCGACCGCATTTGCGCAAATTCCATGCCATGATCTCTGGAGGCATGGCTGGCCCCGAAGGTGCTGAAGACGTTTTTGCCATGACGGCACACCGCCCACTATACGATGATTACTGGGAGGAGAAGAGGATAGCTATTGAGAATATTGACGGGGTTCCGGTCTACGCACTGGCTTCTTATTCCAGCATACTGCACACCTACGGCTCATTTGCACTCTTTAGAGACTCCAAAACGAAACAGAAATGGTTGCGCGTTCATCCATACCAGGAATGTAAGTTCATCACCGATTCTCTGTGGCTGAATGCCCATCTCCCTTATGCACAAGGGCAAGTTTGACGTCGTCGTAGGGTATGATATCTATCGTGATGATATCAACGATGATCTCCAAAAATACTTCGATCGATATGCCAAGGACATCAAGAACGGATGGGAGGATTCGACGCCGTCAGTCCGACTTTCGCTTCTTGGTTTCGAAAGCGGAGGTGGAATAGCAAAGACCATAGTCGAACGACCCGAAGCCTCTTGGCCGCTGGAGCGTGAAGAACTACGCACTTTCTTCCTGGATGCATCTTCGGGGACACTTGTCCCAGATCATCTGTCAGCCTCTTCCTCGATCACATATGAAGCTCATCATCTCACTGACTCTGCGGTACGTCATCCATAGTACGGCGGCACCTTGATCAGTAGTGCAGGTAACTAATACTCTCACCTTGCAGGACTTCACTCTCTATTTCAACCAGCAGACGGAATTGGCTGGGTACTCCAAGGCGACCGTGTGGGTGTCGACACCCGACCACGATGACATGGACGTTGCGGTCCAAATTCGGAAGATCAACGCACAAGGAAAGCCGCTAAAGCACCTCAACTACCCTTGTCCTGTCCCCGAGTCCGAAGTCCCGGACGTGAACACGGCAAAGACCCTGGGACCCCAAGGATTTCTCCGTGCATCTCACCGTGGCACTCTGGACCGGTCGAAGTCTTCGTCTGACGTCGACCTGTTCTACACCCACCGCTTCTCAGAGAAGATTAACCCTGGTACTAAAGTCAGGTTGGAGATTCCTCTATGGCCAATTGGCATGGTCTTCGCGCCTGGTGAGGGCATCATGTTGAGAGTTTCTGGTCACGACATGAGCCTTCCGGAGATTCCATCGTGTACGCTGACAGAGCCTGACGACGACAACGTGGGGAACACCACATTGTATACCGGTGGTGAGTTTGATAGCTCTCTCACCTTGCCCTTCATTCTGGGCTAGATAAGCACCTGGGAGCATGGAATTTTTAAAGGTAGTAGAGATACGCGAGAGAGAGAGAGAGAGAGAGAGATAGAAAACAAGTCCAAGTTCAAATGAAATCAAGTTCTATGGAAGAGATTCCACATTACTAAAGTTGCCACTTCGAAAATGAATAGCAATGTATTCCTTAATCTTCCTTTATATCATGATTGCCGCGCCTTTATTTAATGGTAAACTAAATTTACTATCTGGGCTCAAACAACCGTGGACGGGGCCTCACATTGAAGTACAGAGCTCGTTACAAGCACGAAATGACCTACGATGTAAGAAGACCATGTACACAAGTACATGATAAGCTCAAGCGTATTTGCTCTTAGCATCACAGCAACGCGGCGTCCAGGAGTCAGAGACAGGAGTATGCCATACATACTCCGAGCCCCAGGCTACGCAGAAGTTGCACCTTCTACCAACGTACATAAAATGCCATAGTTCTTCCTCGTGCTATCATCGACGTAGTCTTGTTGTTTCGGCCAGGTAACCCTATCTTCCGATATCTCAGCGATTTGGCCCGAAATCGAGGCGTCGTCAAGAATCATCTCAACTGCTTTCACAACCGTACTGAGAGGCGTTAGAATGATCCCATCCAGCTGGCCCACTCCAGGGGCAATGTTTGTTTCTGATGGCGTGCGGTGTGTCAGTTCGCGAGCGGGTGATGAAGTAGAGCGTAAAACCAGACAGACAAGCAGGCAGGCAGGCAACATACCCACGACACAAGGTGCAAGACCGTTGATTTGAATCTTCCCTTGCGCAAGACGCGGCCCTAGGGACCGCACAAGGCCGACTACACCGTGCTTGGCGGCGGCGTACATGGGCTCGAGTGGAAAGGCGTACAGCCCACTATTGGACGCTGTACAGATAATGCTACCTCTGAGTCCATTGCGGGTCGAGATCTGATTCTTGTTCATATAGTGGATGGCCAAATTGACCGCTGCATGAGGTTCGGATTAGTGATGCATGGTCTTAAACAAAGGTGATGCGCTCGATGGACGGACAGCGTTTTCAGAAACTGAGAAGTTTTCCAAAGGTGGTGCCCTCAAAGCACACTTACTGTTCAGTACGCCGTAGAAGTTGATATCGCAGCACAGCATATTTGGCTTGGTTGGTTTATTGCTGGGTTCCATGAACGCTCCCTTCTCGGCGACTCCAGCGTTCGCAAACACAATGTCGATACGCCGTTGGACTGTGAAGATGTCGGTGAAAGCTTCAGCCAGACTATCCCAGGATGCGACATCGCACCTGTGGAAGGTAAAGGTTGTGTGACCACTGGAGGAGAATTCATTCTTAAGGCTGTTGACAATTTGCTCTCCTTGCTGTGTATTGATGTCCAAGATCGAGATGTGTGTCTTGACTGCTAGCCATTTTCCTGCTAGCTTTCGCACGTTGGCTAGGCCAATGCCTGATGCACCACCTTGAAATCAAGTTAGCTGTGGTGGTTTTCCTTGTTCAGGAACGGTGACGCCCTTACCGGTGACAATGACACTGATTTCGCTCATGTTGGTGGGCTGGAAATATCCCCGTTTGGAGGTTCTTTTTGGATACGCGAGGGATGGACGCTTTCCTTGAGCGAGAGACTGGCTGTGAACATTGCCAGTTTAGGCACAGAATCTCTCCTTAAGACCATGGCATTCGCTATTGGCGTTCACAGGCCTCAAGGTACCGGTCATCTTCATGCCGTGGACACGCAAATGCCCCGCACGACTTCAACCATGCAACAAGGACAATAGCCCACCGCAATCTTCTCTCTACCATGCCATGTTCCGTCCTACACTCTTCCGCTGTCTCAAGCGAGGCCGTCTCCGAGATCTCAGCGGGGAAGGAGGGGTTTCGGAAAGCCAAATTTTCAATTTTGTTTGCTTTGGTCGGCTGTTATTCTACAACCGAAAGGGGCGTCGGCCGGAGTGGGTCGGCCGGAGTTACCTCCCATTTGGTGACTCAGGATAGGATGGAACTGGTGCCAGAAAGCACTGTACAAAGACTCGGTCTCTATCATGACTATATACTGGTAGAAATGACAGCCCATCAACACTCCAGTGCAGCGGTACTGGGAACTACCAATCACGGTGCACGTACCCGCCATGGTTGTTGGAATCGCCATCCTTGGGGCTGGCATCTTTGCAACGGAGGGTGAGCTACCAGAATGTTGAGGTCTTGTTTCCAGCATCATCGTCTGACAAGCAGGCAGAGCATCTCCCAGCAATTCGATCTGTGCCTGCCCTATCGCTCAAGGCCATCTACTCACGGTCGCAGAAATCAGCAGAAACCCTTGCGAAGACTGCAGGACCGGGTGTTGAAGCATACTATGAAATTCCCGCAACTTCAGATCGAACCCTCGATGCATTACTGAAGCGGCCTGATGTTGAAGCTATCAGCGTCGCTGTCCCTATCTCAAAATCGCCGGACCTCATTCGCCGGGCCTTCGAGGCAGGCAAGAGCGTACTTAGCGAAAAGCCAATTGCTCCAACTGTTGCTCAGGCCCAAGACCTCATGAAGCTGTACCAGAAGCAGTGTCAGTCGAAACAGATTGTTTGGGCCGTGGGCGAGAACTTTCGGTTCTGGAACTCAGTCAATCGAGCAGCTGGAATCATCCGCCAGCTAGACGCCAAGATCCTCACCTTTCGGTGCGAGATCTATCATTTCATCGGCGTCGAGGACAAATATTTCCATTCAGACTGGTGAGTTTTCCACTGGTCAACCCGGCAGGTATATTCGCTAACGGGTCCTCCACAGGCGCCAGACAGCCAGTCACCCAGCCGGTTTTGTGCTCGACGCGTGTATCCACTTTGTAGCCATTCTTCGCTTCCTGCTGGCTGCAGGCGGCCATACTCTCGCCACCGCAGCGGCGTCTGCAAAGCTCCTTGACCCTGCACTTCCGCCTGTGGACACTGTCTTCGCGCTACTCGAAACCGACAAGGCTGTTACCGGAACCTTTCGATTTTCAGTCGGCATCCCCTTCTTGGACGGAATTGACTACGACATCGTCACAGACAAGGGCGTCGTTCATGTTCAGGGTCCTACCGTCGTCACAACACGGCTCAGGAATGCTGCTGGTATCATAGTAGAAAGCAAGTTTGAGGACGAGATGACTTTCGGCGTGCTGGACGAGTTCGCTTCTTTCGGGGCAGCGTTAAATGGTTCAGAAATGGACACGAGGATATCGTTTCAGGAGGCTCTGTTGGATCTACAACTGTTAGAGGCAATGCTGAAGTCAAACGGGGAGAGTGTATCCATTGCCTGTTGAGCCTTGTTCTCATGTGGTCGTTTGGCAGCGGAGCATCAGCTTATTAGACGAGCGCTCCCGCGCATACACATTACCGCATGACTGCTCATACCTCGTTGGACGTGGTCAGAACGCATTTCCTACTGGACCAGCGAAGCAGGGAAATACGGGACAACAACCCTAGGACGGCAGTCCCTGGAACCGCGTGCCCAGCCCTTACGCCGCAGGACTCCCTCGTTTCCAGGGACTGCCAGCAGGCTAGGATCCTTTCGGTCACAGGAGAAACAATACCTTGGGACATCAGTCATAGGTGGGACAAGCGTCCTGCCTCAGCGGAGGTCCTGTGACCCTCCCCTAGCCTAGCCCGAACGTCCTGGAGATCCCATTGTCCTGGTACAACGGGCCTAGGACAGATCTTGAGCCTGGAAGGGGGTGCCCAGCACCAATGCCACTCCAGGACTTCCCCGCTTCCAGGCACGGTGTCCTAGGACATGCACGGTCTTCCCTTGGAAACACAACGCTTCTTCGTTATACAGTACCTACTCTCGATCTACAGCATCTGTTTGACTCGCTATTTGACCCCCCTGATGATCTGGAATGTCGATTGCACCGCCAAAAAGTAGACGCGAGGCCTCCGTCGACAATTTGGATTCTTGTTCGCTTCCAGCGAAGCCGCTATCCAGTCCTGGTCGATGATATAACTCTCCGGAGTCCAGCAAGCTTTCCACCGCACCAAGAAGAGGTGTCTGTCACCATCCCCGCGTTTGTCAAGGACACTGTGTACATGTGAGAACAGAATGCCCCAACATTCCGCTTGACAACGTCGTGAATGCGGTTGAAACTCGGAAGGATTGTCCTTATGCTTTTGAAGCATGGCCTCTAATGCACCTTCAGCATCCCGGATATCAAAGTCGCGAGGAGACATCCATCGATCGGCGGTACCCAGCAGGTACTCCGTCTCTCCGTGGTTATAACAGAACCTACGGTCATAGGCTACATTGTGGTCCCAGACTTTATCGGGAGAAAGCCCAACATAAAGGGGACTCTCTATATCGACGATCTCATCCTGAAGTTCTTGTTCTTGGATTATGAAACTTGGACTGTCTTCTTCCATATCCATATTAGATCGCCGAGGTGTCGAAGGCAACAACATTAAAGGGCTTGGATTCAGGGGATTTAAGCCACACCGAGATAAGCTGGGACCCTGATATTTGTTGTTTCCTTCCTCTTGTTAGTGGTTACAATATAATGATGGCTTAAGTTATAAACCTGCTTCATTAATACTGTCACTAATGTCTCCTTACTCACAACACTTAATGAAGCTACTTGTCCTTAGGCATAAAGACCAAAAACCTAACTATATATGTTGCTTTGTTAGGTTTGATTGGACAGACTCTTGTTCTTAGTTTGTTTTGTGATGGGCGACGATAAAGACAATTTACAAACACATCATGATTATAATGCTTTACTTATATACCTAGTAATGAGGCGGCCAGAGCGAAGCTATCAAGAATTCTAAATAAGCTGGTGACAAGTGGTGGGCATGACAGACCACGACAGTAAATGAAAGGTTTAATTAGAATGGAGAGAGAAGAGGAAGAACAAAGAACAGAGAAAGAGAGTCAAGAAGGGGACAGCTATATTTATATCTATCGATGACGCCCTAACCGAGTACACTGTCTCCACCGGCATCAGGTCTCTCTGCACTGACTGATTCAAACCTGGCTCTCATCCTATGACGATGATCTTAGCTAGCCAAAAGAAGCACCTAGCCACCCCAGAAAAGCAAAATTAGAACATGCATAAAATAGCTTTGCCCAGAGTGGCATGTAACTGTTTTAGCCAGATATACAGCAGTCATTTAGTCAACCACTTTTATATAACAACATAATAGCAACATTATTTCTTGAGACACCAGCCCAGAACAGTTTCGAGTAACACTCCTTTCCGATGAGTGCAGCGACGTCGTTTAGTGCCATTAAGCAAGGTGAATACTTAATAATTGGTTACCTATCAGATTCTAATCCTGAATTCTATTTTTCCTGGTGGGACAAGGCGATGTGAGTGTATCTAGAAATGCCTTACAATATAATGCCTCAAGAGCTAGCGTCTCGTGCTAACATTAGTTAACCTGCTGTGTTAGTCAATAAGCAGTAAGTATCGGAGATGTATAGAACATTAGCGCACAGCCTTCTCTTTCGCCTAGAATTGTATTAATGGAAGATGTAATGGTTCCTCATGAGGCTCGCAGGCGAGATTGAACAAGTATAGAAGCTAAGTATATCACCGTGCAGCATGACGTGCCCTTTTATGAGCCGAAATTTGGATAGCAGGGGTATACTATTAATTCTCCGATCATAAATAACAGCTTGATCCCCCTATATAGTGTGCGGCAAGAGTATAGTAAGGTAGAACTGGGATATATATCGTGAAGTGTTTACGCGTCACGGGTCACTAAATAATATCCACAACAGGAGCCAAATCCGTGACGATAACCAGGACTTATACGACCTTCTTCAATACCACGGGGCTAAATTTCAATACTATTATCAATGTACTTGGCCACCCTAAAGTAAACACAGAGAAGGCTATGAAAGTTTAACTTCGCTACTATATCAGTTTTGGTCGCAGTCAGTATTATGCCTTTGCCATTCTCCATTTACGAGGGCCTTTCGAATAGCTCTCATCCCCGAAAGACTACATTAAAGTGATGAGGATACCCAAACTTAGTTTCGGCAACATACTGGTGCTATATTTCATCAGCTCAAGAAGGGAATCTGATCCTGTTTGGTAGCTTATTCCCTGGGAGGAGCTCGATCGTTAATAACTTTATCAAAAGAAAGTCGACTAAGTCAACACGTCACTCACTAAGGTTTTATTGGTGAACAAGAGATATCAAGCAAAGTAAGGAGGCGGCCGAAGTCATCATAGTATATCTAGAGCCTGTAAAAGGACTTAGATAGAGTGCATAATATACTTTGCTATTCTCTCAGTCTATAATACCTAGTCCCGAATAAGGCGAGCCCTATCCTTGTCACACTGATGAAATATAGCTTAGCTGTTCACCAAGTAGAGAGATCTCATTAGCGCTTTAGTGAGCAACTAAGAAGTTGTGTATATAGGCCAACCATGACCGGTCTAGCAACACAGGCTACCAGGTAGACTAATTCCACGACCAAGTATGCGTCTCTCTAGAAGAATCAAAATATACAAGACAAAACAATCTGTCTCGGTTGATTGGCTTATCGCGTTAGCGTGTTTTTATTACATATTATATCGCTATAGTTTCTTGATATCTATGAGCTTTTCGAGTAGCTATTATCCTTGAAAAATCTTGAAAGCCATGAATTGAGCGTTTAAGAATGGTTTGAACGATATTAGAGTCACATTAAATATCGAGGAGAATCTGCACTAGCTTTTTTGTCTTGCTTATTTCCTAAGAAATAGAGAGATTAAGTATATACACTATGAATATAATAGCTTAAATACATAATAATTAAGATAGCTTGTTTAGATCACACTTATGTCTCTTAGTTATAATATTTACAAGGTTATAATGATATAGATTTCGCTTTCGCGACCTAATAAGTGTTGAGACAAGGGGGTGACTGAATATATTGCATGCTTAACCGACTTGGTTATTTTCTATCTACTAAGGAGAGAACGCCCCTTAAATACTATAAAGGTGGCAACTAGCTTATAAATTAAGTATTCACCTAGGTGGTAAAGTCTCCACTTAGGTGGTAAATAATAAAAACCCATAAAACTCCTTAGAAACCCTGATTTATAATAGATCTAAATCTATTATTAATCCTCTTTCTGACTCACAGACTAGCCTTATATTTTTATATTCTTCACACACCCTCGTAAGGCTAGTTCTGTTAAAACCTTCGATTTTGTTGTCTCGCAATATATCGATAAACCTCGATTATTGTCTTTTGTTTTTAAGTCGATAAACCTCGACTATCACCTCATAATATATCGATAAACCTCGATTATTG